TTTATGAGTTCTCGGTGTTTTTTTCCTTTTCTGTTGATGATTTGATGTTGATTATGCATCCCTTGTGTCTGTTTTCCCTTTTGTTTGACACGTTTTTTCTTTGTTTTTTCTTTTCCTTTCTTCTCTTTCTTTTGTTGTATACCCATATCCCCCTCTGCCATGTGTTACTTGGTCTCCGATATACGAATACCCTCGACTGTACATACTTCCCACTTGACTCTGCACATACTTCCAGACAAATGGACATACAAATTCTGATCCAAACTAAGTTTTCTCTATTTACCATCCTCGTAGTTGCATTCAGTAGTAATCTCCCGCTAAAACCCAAAACCAAATACTTTCTCTCTAAGCGACATGGCCTTTCCTCTCCAACGGAGGCTCCTCGGAAGCGCCGACCCACAGAGCCGCACAGCATCACTCCGTTCCAGTTCCACCTAGAAAAGATGCTTGACTATTTGAGGTGGAGGGCCTATTCAAAGAAACTCTGGTACTCCATGAAGAATCCCGTTTATCCAGCAAAGAAACAGAAAACATACAACTCCGGCTCGGATCTCAAACTCCTTCACAACTCCATCTGATAGGTGGTGTTCGCCTGGACTCATACGCACTACGAGCCGTGGTCCGGCAGATCGCCCCATGCCACGGTCGGCGGGCGCGCCACGATTTGGAATCGTGGAGAGTTTCACGCGCGAATCCACCGAACGAAGTTAACTTACCCACGTCGTCCGTCTTGCGTAAAGACCTTCTCTCGCTACGGTGTGCACGGAGTCCTGTTGTGTGCAGCTGCACCATGACCATCGGATCTCGGCATCACGGCGTCGCGAAATAGGGGGTTGATCAGAGTTTGTGAACCCTGTCAGTGATGACCGGACGCGGTTGCGCCAAGAGCGTCTTGGGTCACTTTCAGGGAACTGTGGTTAATCTAATAGACTTCCACTTTGGTGACTAACTACAGTAGTTCATTGCGAACTAATTTGTTCACGTTGCTAATTACTACTACTCGGCTTTAGGAAAGATGTCAGTCTTCCTTGATTGTTGATTTTAACCTAGTATAGATGTAGTTGGTAGGAGGTAACTGTAGTATTTTGACAGAGCACTACCATTTAAACGAAGAGGCTACTCCTGAACTATTAACCATTAGCCAACTTGACCCAAGTTCTAACATTTCCCAACGGTTACGGCGACCCCGACCCCGACATTACTCAAGGTAGGGCCTGACAGCCCTGACCTGATAATCAAAGATCCTTCATCCCCTGGAAACAGTCCCCGATCTACCGATCACCCAATGGCCTCGTCGAAGGATTCCTGAAGGAAGTGTTACCGAATCCAGAGTCTGGACTTGGGTGTACCTCAACCCCCTTAAACCTACAGAACCTCGCAAACTACTCCACCCATCTAGAACCCCGGTCTAAGGAGACGAAATTGCACAGATCCTCCTCGCTAATTAAGATTAGCGAAGAAAGCTGCTAAGCTGTAGGTCTGATGATACCCCTAATAGTAAGCCTCCAGTCCTTTAACCCCGATCGGCCGAAGAACTGAGGCGTTCGCCAAAACACCTCCCCCTCCTCCTTTCATTTCTTCATTTACCAAAGAAAGCTCGGGCGTCGTCGGTCGATCTCCGCGTCGGGTCTGGCCCGACCGGACTTCTCATGAAATATCTCGACTACGACTGGTTGGATTTTTGTCTAAATGATGAGGCGATAGTATGGAGAAGAAATGGCGAAGATACTGGATACTGGATAAAGGGATCTAGAATTTCTAGAATTTCTGGATGGAAAATACTGGTACTGGTCGTGCCTAAACAGGTTGCATTGAGTTAATAATTCAATTGTAATTTCTGGGACCTGGATAAACGGCAAAAACGGGCGTCATGGCTTGCTTCATGGGCTTGCCCCACGAGTCGCGAGTCATTCACTTTGCTTTTATTCGCGATTTATGAGAAAGTACTGAACGAGCTACCCCGTTACGGAGTACCCCATCTCGGCTTCGGGCTTAGGCGTAGGGCACGGAAATACGTAGCTGAGGACTCGGCCAACTACAGTAGTTCGCAGGGTTAATGTCGTACAAACCATATGTCCCTCCCATTGCATTCTTCTTCTGCAAGCACTCTGTAAAGGGGTGGTTGGTCCTAACTCGACTTCCCTCAATATCCTAACTCCGAACTCCTAACTCCTCCCAGCCAAAATCCCATGTCTTTCTAAAGTCAATATCCAATTCCCGGTTAGATCCGATCGAATACTCCCCTCCTGACTCACCGCGGATGCACCCTCTCTACGGAGTACCCCCCTAGTTAGTGGTTAACCCCAGTTGCCTCCTCATGCATCATCGCCCTTGGTATCCAAGTTGGGTAAACGGTGCGGGCGGGCGTCGATTGTGTCATCGATACCGCGCCCGTTCCGTTGCCCGTTGCGCCCCCCTAATTAACGAAGTACTTACAGTACTTAACTCTTAACCCACTTAACCCACTTAACACTATTTCGTGGCAAGTCACCTGCCAGCTCCTCAAGTTAACCTCTAGGGCTGAAAGACCCCACGGATCAATTAGGCAGCTCACAACTTTTGCCTAGCACCTGCTTCAAGCATACATACTTAACCCTGGTTAACCCTGCAAATAATAATCTGCACCGTACTCTGCTTAGGCGACCTGACCCGTGTCTGCCAGTCTGGATCACCTCACTCGAAACAGGCTCGGGTATCGAACGCTGTGATAGGCCGTGATTAGTGGTGGAGGGCCGGACCGCGTGAAATCGCCGCTCGTCGCGCATCGATCGGCGCTGTTCTGGTCGTGTTTTTTGACTGGTCGTGTCTCGAGTCTTTCCCCCGTGGGCTGCCGTGTCGATCAGGGGTGGGTCTTGTCTTGTTGCGAGGCTCTTTTAGGAATATGGGCGGGGAGAGAGAGAAATGGGGTTTTTTGAAATGTTGCCTAATTTTTTAGAATGTTGGTGCTGAATTTGGATAATAGGTGTTAATTCAATTTTGCTTTTGGATAATTCTCTGCATTTTTGAGAATAGCGAGCAGCACTTATCAAGAAAAGAGGCCTCGCATACTATGGCCCCCCCCCTTTGGCGGATAAAATGTTCGTGGCTAGAACGTACAGGTCAATTCGCAAAGGCTGATGCATCATGCAGCCAGCCGTTGCCTATGTCCTCGAGTTGATATATAACGAGACGTTAAAGACTTATCGAATGACTCAGTATCGTGCTTGAGACTTCGTTGCGGTCGACTCCTAGGGGCGTCTTAAGAAAAAGTTTTCTAATTCTCGGAGATGAAGAATGAAACTAGTGATTGTCTCTGTGGCAATGCCAGACTAGTCTTCTTCAACCAGATTGTCATCGCCTGTATTGAATGGGAATTCAAAGACCGCAAAATCATTTCCCTGGAGTGTTCAACTATCAAATCCAACTAGATCAAGGATCCTGGCCAATTCCACATCTTCACGGTTCGAAGGCGTTCGACATTAAGAGCGTGAAGTATCTCGATACTGTCGGACTGGAAAGAGACACTAGACAATGAGAGGCACATGAGAGAAGCCAGTGATTGATTCTTGATGCCAGGAGCAATATCGAGTACCGAGAAGGCAAAAGAACTGTCGCTTCTATTCCCGTTGCTCAGAGTCCATTAGCGGACGGAACGTATGCAGTTCTGCTCAGTATTACCCGAATGAATAAGGGTGAAAAAGTATTGAGTATGGACGGTATCTCCATAGGTCTCATCCATGGTCAGGTTAATAGATTCGATCTTTCTTTGATTTTCAAGGTCAGAATTTTATAGTGGATCAATTGGTAGACAAGTACGTAACTCTCACCTAATTAATGCATCAGATATTTTCAGGGAGAGGTATTGTGGCACGCACCAGAAACATTGTAACTGGTTGACAGGCAAAGACAAAAAAGCTTGAATGAAATAAGAGATTATTAGAGAAGAGGTCCTGCAAGCTGGTCTGTTCAGCTAATCAGTCCGTAGTCAGTGGGGGCTAAAGGCTGACTGACAGTATCGGTATCACTGTCACTAAATACAACGAGCCCATCTATCTCCTCATCACAGTGAAAACAACGGGTTGTCCTCCTGCAAGGCATTGGAGTTCGAAAGCGAAGTTCTCGCGTGCATCTCAGTCGATCCCATCTAACGGACTCCATCTGAACGCACAAAAACGCCAGTGACAATTCTGGCGTAGACAAGAGAAGTGTTTGTATAGACGAGGGGTAGTGATATGATATAGACTTTTAGAGATCCTCAGAGAGGGGGTTTGGGATCTTATTTGCGTGCAAACTAATGCTAACTAGCAGATATACTTGCATTTGTACAATATCCTCAATTCTGGCTGAGAATCAAGTCTAGCAATTCGAGGGGCAGAGAGGTTAGATGCGGCATTTTGGCACGGTGGGATTGTTCATGCTATGCTAGTAAGTCTACCCTGTTTTGCGGAGTCATCAGCAATACGAGCGTGACCTTTGTGCAACTAACAATACTGATTGACACTCGGGCAAGATGCTCAACTAGTATTCTCACCCAAGAGGTTACACTAATATATCGCCGTAGTTGAATAGAATCGCAGTGGGCTAGTAATTCCCTGTTCGACATGTTACAGCTCAGAATCATAATCCGAGGAAGAGATCAACCAGCTTCGGGAATATGGGTGTTCTGGAAAATTGTCAACATCACACTGCTCGGCACACAATGCTTGAGGGCTTTGGATAGTACCCAAGACCGCTAAATGGATCCCATACTTTCCGCTACCAGCCGGTCGAGTTGCAAGCAGTATTATTGCCATCCGTACCTAATGTCAGCAAAGACAGCATGATGAAGGCGAAATCTTGTTCAGTTTGACGAGATTCCGCCTCGTGAACTGACTGCCCAGTACATATTTAGCCGCTGGGATCCACTCCCCACTTTTGATGGATGGTCCAAGCTTCTATGCTTCTTATAGGCCATATGAATTCCAGATTTCGTGACGGAAAAGCCTGGGCATTGTGTTTATCAGACAGCTCAGGATCGTATCTCAGGCTGCGGCCGGCTCAGAAACCCGATCAGTCCTCGATCTAGGTTCATAGATAAAGAAATATGTACCGTACATCCCACTGCCACCATACGCAGAGTCGTCCTGGACGAGCTCTGCTATGAGTCGAAAACCCATTCGTTTATACAGTTCAGCTCCCTCTCTCAAAGCATGGACAAAAATTTCTAACCCCATCTTGTCTGCCTGCTCCATCCCGCCCTTCACCAACGCAGTCCCGACTCCTTTACGCTGGTTGTCCGGATGCACCGCAAGGTATTCCAGACCTGTAAACCCGACGCGTCAGACCAGGAAATATTTTCTGCTAGAGTCGCAAGTCAATGCGAAACTTACTGATATATGGTGTCTTTGGCGTCACTTCCTTCTCGAGCGCGTTTACACGATCCAACAGCTCATCGGCATCGCCATTAGGATCCCAGACAACAGTCTCGGCAAGCCGCCGAATCTCGGCCTCTTTCTCGGGCTCGACCGCCGGGACCTGAGCCTCGGGCCATGTCGGCGTGCCATCACCTGGGTTGATCTCATAAGACGGTGGCAGGCGCCATCGGGCGTAGCCGAGTATGCGACCAGTCTCTGGATCCACTGCTTTCTGATGTCGTAAGACCTCCCGGTTGTTCAACAGGTTGCGCGGGAAGCGTAGGGCTATCTGCGAAATGTGGTACTGGAGGGTCCGATGGCGCCAGGCCAGGACCCAGTGCGGATCAGCCCAGAAGGCTGGGATGCTGTTGGCAGCTAGGGCGATGCCATCGGAGACGCTGCATTGGGAGATAACAAGGGAAGCCATGTGAGGTAAGGGATACGAAGAAGCCCAAAGCCTAAGGCAGTCTGAGGCAGAGAAAGGGCAAATAGTGTGCATACCAGAGCCTCGGCGGTTACCCCTCTAAGGATATTTCAAGCGAAAAGACTAGTGAAAAGCACGTTGGTGTCTTATCTACCGAAATCCGAAGGTGATCGGTCCGGTGTTTCGGCAACCGACGAGGGTACGCGTGTACTTAGGACGATTAGCCCTGGCTTAACTAGACTATGCTATTTTAGGACTGGCAGAAACAAAGCTTTGTGATTATTGCTTCAGTTCACTTAACTCATCAACCACCAACTGATTACCCCCTTAGGATACACATTTCAAGGTTCAAGGAGCGATGATAGTCTGCATACCCGGTCCACCCATTTCAGCAGCCGTATCAAAAGCAGCCTCAAATTGCTCAAGCGAAAATGAGCCAGCCGTCTGAATACCTCCAGCCTGACCAAGCTTCAGATACCCAGCCTCAGCTAACTGAATCATGAATCTCATGTCCTGCTTTGTGTACATGAATTTGCACTTGAGCGTAATATCGTTTTGAAACATCGCCATAATAGGCAATGTCAACTCCATAAATGCTCCCATGAGGCTTACTCGCCCTCCGCGCCCCAATGCCTGAATGCAACTGGTGAAATGGGTGCTTTTAGCTGCCTCCTCTGGGGATATGTCGAAGAAAACATCAGCGGGACCAAATTTGGTCAACTCTCGGACATCTTGAGCCACCTCGCCGGTGATCTGGACTGTTCTGATTCTTCCCTCCGGGCTGAGGGTCTTCACCTTCTCCAGTGCATCGAGCTTTCGTCCCACGGCGATGACTTGCGCTCCCATGGCTAGTGCAGCTAGGACGGCGGCACTGCCAAAGGCACCCGTCGCCGGCGCAATAATGACCTTTTCGCCAGCCCTAATGTTTACATTCCGAAGTCCTCCCATGGGAACCGCCAACTTGGAGAAGTACGACAAGTCCGCCATATTATAGCCAAGGCCACCATCAGCAGGGTTGCCGAGAAGTCTCCGCTCGTCCAAGGGGAAACAGTTCTCCAACGGCACCTTGGAGTACTCGGCATATGTACCATTTCGCCACTCGTTTTCCATAAGCTTGTTACTTCCGGGATCGAGTCCATAATATAGGCCATGAAGAATCAAAGAGTTTGGGTCATCGCGCCCGTGAATGTAACAGTCGAAATATACTAGCTGGCCCACTTCTAGCGTTGTCGCGTCTGGACCGACTGCTGCAACCCGAGCAATGGCAGATGAGCCAGGCACAAAGGGGGTGGGATAAGGATATGGCTTGCGGCCGCTGAAGATTTCTCTGGAGTATGATAGGACGGCTGCTCCTAGGATTTGGATGACGGCACTGCCTGGTCCAGCCTGTGGTGTGGGCTGCTCGACGACGGAAATGTCGTATGGGTCTCTTGTCGATTTCAGGTAGAGCACCCGATGGGTTTGGGGAACAGCCGAAGTGGATTCTTGAGCCATGATTGTTGACTTGATTCTCAGTGGTTAGAAAGATCCTGTTCGATATTGAGGTCGTTGAATAGGTCCGTTTGTCGGGTCAACACCTCATATTTATACTCTTCCTCCTCGTATCGACTTGTTGTTTAATCTTGGAAGACCCTTGGATTCTTCAGTCTGTGGCGCTTGATCTCGTATAGAGAAGAAAACAGTCATAAAGCGGAGATATCATTATCGCCGGAGTCTTTCCATCGCAGCATTATGAACGGCCCATCCGACTTAAATCCGAGTTAAGACAAGAATGTCCATAGATTTATGCCCATCGTGCCGTTCGAAATTATTTCTTGACGCAGTTACTGATTCACAAATCCAATGAACAAAATATGGCATTCGCTAGGATTCAATTACTGAGATTTGGTAGAAACAGCGCCGCGACAATGAGAGACAATGGCGGGGAGTCGAGGTCAAAGTGTCTTTTCTACTCACATTATCTTCAGAGAGGAGATTGGCTGACCTTAAAATGCGTTTCATGATTCAGTGGGGAGAAACAAATGTTATTGGGAGGTAGAAACGTTCGTGCCGATTCCTGTCGCCTCGAAAAACAGCGCTCTTGGACTAATATTGATCAATACGAATGTCAGAGTTTGTGGCTGAATATAGCGGCAACTCTTTGCTGGATACTACGGTGGCTTACTTATGCCCGCCACTTTTCTGGCACGCTGGAAGAGAAGCTGTTTCAATATTTTCTAAGAACATACGGAGGTGAAATGGGGTAACTCTATATGATAAGATGAAAATATACCCTGAAAAATCATTCTTACAACAAAGCCAAGAAGATAAGTAGATGTTCCGGGACTACTTCCAGGGTCTCTTGTCCTCACAATATTTGGGAAATCGTTCTTGCCTGCTACTAGCGGTCACTCTGTTGGCTACTTCGTATCGCAACACGGTCGCTACTACACTACCTACATCGATCCCTTTGAGTGAAAAGCGAGTGATGGGTCTAGGGCCGCTATAAATGCGACTAAGAGATCCCAACTACCCCTAGACCTTACTTATTGTGGTCATATGTACCGAGATATCTTCGTACACTATCTTACTACTACATGTAAACTATATCCTCTGTTGACGCATGATCGCAAGAGAGTAGATCGAAGTAGTAAGAAAGTACCCTCTGATAGCTGATATTTTCCCACACTTTATCAGCACAAATACTACTCTGTATAGTCAGAATAGCGTAAGGGAGGATGTCAGTTGATGGGAGAACAATCTGTTTGAAGTCGTGTATATGCCGCATCATCTCAAGATATTTTTCAATTATTTCATATTTTGAAGATTGGTATGGTATAAATGGTGAAAGAGATAAGAGAAACGTAGCTCTCGGCGTGGGTCATTTGTTGATGTATAGCTACATTTAGTTGAGATTTGAATTAGTTAGCATTGGATTCGGATGGCAGTGAAGGTGGCCAGGGCATCCCAAAGGCATGAGAGCGCTTTAATTTGCCATATATGCCACTAGAGCCTTCATATGGCCTGTCTTTCTCTTATCATTTTTGGCCTCCATAAACACTTATATGCCACATGGGATATCACGTGCCATGCTGCTTGACGGAGGGGCGCCCTATTTGTTCCGTCCCACCTCGATTACCCAGCGCCCCAGCAGTGGCTGCCATTTCCCTTCCGACTGCTACTATTGAAGCCGCTTTCATGATTGGGGATTCGACTAACTCTCCCGACGGACCCGAAAACCAAGTGGGAGTGCGACGCCGCCAGAGACGGGCTCAAGTCGCCAGGGCGTGCGATGCTTGTCGACTTCGTCGCACCAAGTGCGACAATGGGGTGCCATGTTCAAAGTGTATAGCAAGGGGAAATCACTGTAGTAATACTGGGGCACCCAAAGCCTCAACTCTCACCGAAGCCTCCGAGGAAATTGCACGCCTTAGGCGGAGAATTCAACAATTAGAAACAGAGCTCGAGCGGCAGGCTTCCGACCATCACCATCTACCAAGTCCAGCAGTGTCATCACCATCACTGCATTCGGCTCCCGTATCTAGAGAAGAGCATTCTAGGCCTGGCTTGAAAAAATACTGTGGTGGAATCCAATTCCGACCGACACGCTCCTCTAACGACACATGGTTCGGCCCATCGTCACTTTATTCATTCATCCAACGCCTTAGCGATTTTCTCAATCTCAAAATGCAAAAAGAACACTCTGTCCATCGCTTACACCCTGTGTCAGCCAGAAATCACAAACTCCTAGATGTACCGGAAGCGAGCCTGCATGGAAATTCGAGCCCGCTCCCAACCGGGGATGTTCCTTTTGAGGGGGTTTACCTGAGTCTCATACAAGAGGAATATTTTATCAATCTTTTCTGGCAGAGCTACCACACTTCACTTTTTCCAATTGTGGATGAGACACAGTTCAAGAAACACTATCAGTCTCTCTTGGTGAATGGCGGCCGGGACCGGAAGCCCTCAGCCCTTGTCGATGTTATAATTGCTATGTGCATGCAATACGCAACTTCCACGATGCCTGCAGAGACCCAGGGACTTCTCGTCGAGGGTAAAGATGCGCTAGTTGCGGGTCGATGGCACTATTGGCGCGGGCAAAAGCTGCTTACACTTGAGCTTGACAGCCCATCTTTATCAACATTACAATTCCATTTGCTGTGTGCAGTTTACATATGCGGTGGTTCATTCCATAACATGATGGACGGTACTGTGGGCCTAGCCGTACGCACGGCTTATATGCTTGGTCTACACCTGGATCCCCCGTCAACCATGCCCGAAAAAGATCGAGAGATGCGCAGACGCTTGTGGTGGGCAGTCTATCTTATGGACAGCAAAGCTGGAATGAAGCTTGGTCGTCCCTTCATGTTGTCTAGCTCCCACGTCATGCCATCTCTCCCCAGTGACACTTTTGAAGCTGCTGCGAGTTCTGGATCCATGTTTGCACCTATCGGACAGAATGCCACATGGTTGAGCCATAATCTACACACAGTCCAGCTTTACTTCAAGATTCGGACAGCCTACACGGACCTTTATGATCACGACGTTTATCTACAAGGAGGCCGGGCTTTATGGGCTAATCATGAAGCGCAAAACTCCAGCGCGGAGGTTCTGCAGGCACATACCCAGAGCCTTCGCGAATGGGTTGATGGTGTCCCTGAATCTCTCAAGCTGAAGCGACAAAACAACGGTCAACCCATATCCACAGACTTTACCTCCATAAAACTTGAACCATTCACACCACCTTGGCTGCAGCGACAACGCTTGCTCCTCGAACACACATATCATCACCTCAGCGTAAATCTTTATCGACATTTCATATCCTTCAGCCTGAAGCCTCCCGGTGGGTCAATGGCAGAAGAACTTGCCATGAGATGCGCTTCCCATGCCATAATGTTGACAATAATCACGCATCAAGCGCTGACTGAGTCATCAATTCTTGACGGATGGCACGAAGCCTTCTTCTGTCAGTGGAATTCAGTTATGACTCTTGTTGGTTTTGTGATGTTGTTCCCGTCTTCGACATTATACAGCCGGGCCAAACATGCTATCGAACTGGCCACCTTGGTTTTCGATAATTTTGGCGCCAAGTTTTCCGTTGCAGCAAACGCGGCGAAAATAGTTCGTGATTTATCTGTCAAAATCGAGGGCCTCGCAAATTCCAGTCAGCTGGAGTACGACAATCTGATCGTCTCCCAAGATTTTGAGGCCAACTCCTCATTTTCAGATCCCGTTGACCAGAGCATACCATCGCAGGGTCTTTTTGACGTACCAGATTTCAACTTGTTTGATATGGCCGTCGATATTGATTTCTGGAACAGTGTAGATGCGCTATGGCCTGATCTTGACCTTTCGTCGCAATTTCAAGCGGAACTATGAGAGACGAACCGTCTAGACTTTATGGAAATATCATTGCTACCAAGGCTATAATTGACCTACAAAAACACAGAAATGACCTACTCTAACCATACCTCAATGGCCCTTTGATACGCTACTACATCTTCGCATCCATTGGGGAACAAGACCCATGCGGTCATTTTTCTAGCGAATTTGGCATGCTTATTGCTTCATCCCGTTATCACGTTGGGAAATTAAGGTGTGCGGCTCTAGACCGACCCGAAATCTATAATCCGATGTTCCTCCGGTAGTTATTGTTTATGATTATTAATATCTGGTAGACAATCCTCTTAGGCTATCTTGATGTTTGGTGGAGGCACGGAGTTGCGGAGTCCACCGGCTTAGTGCACCGTACAAGGCAAGCCTAGAAGCAAGAAGCCCTGGAAGGATTCAACTGATTACCAAGGAATATACAATTGGATGCTGATTGCATCTGATAGATTAAATTTGACGCAGGCTCCACATATTGATGGCTGATAAATGGGCCTACCTGGCTCGACATGCAGTGAGCCGGAGCTGCGGAGTTGCGGGGTGACGGAGTGACGGAGTTACGGAGCTGAGCCTCCCACCCTAGAACTATGGACGACAAGATCTATAAATTGCCATGTCTTCTGCACTTTATGACCATCAGAATCACACAGCATCACAGCTTCTTTCTACTACAAGAATCATCTTCCACTCCAAGTTCTTCAAACTTCTACCACTCCCAACACTTTCAAATTCAAAATGTCTCCCGCTCGCAAGGCCCTCATCAGCATCACTTCGGCCCAGGCCACTCTTTTCCAAGGCAAAGAGACCACCGGACTCTTCATCAGTGAAGCTCTTCATCCATTCAATGTCCTCGTTGCCGCTGGATTTGAGGTCGATCTTGCCTCCGAGACCGGTTCATACACTCCGGACTGGCTCTCCCAACAGCCAGACTTCCTCAATGGCGACGATCTGAAGACCTGGAACGACCCCAACAGTGCCTTCCGCCAAAAGTTGGATAACATGAAAAAGGCTGCCGACTTGGATAAGTCTCAGTATGGTCTTTTCTATGCCTCTGCTGGCCATGCTGCTTTGATCGATTACCCGACGGCATCTTCTTTGCAGAAGATTGCCGAGGAAGTCTGGGCAAACGGCGGTGTTGTTGCCTCTGTATGCCACGGCCCTGCCATCTTTGCCAATATCATTGATAAGGCGACTGGTGAGCCTATTATCAAGGGCAGAAAGATTACTGGGTTTACCAGTGAGGCCGAGGACACTATGGGAATTATGGCTGAGCTTCGGGCTTGGAATTCCGAGATGGTCGAGGAAGTTGCCAGTCGACTCGGCGCTACCTGTAAGTCATGCTTTAACATTGAAAAGATATTAATTTTTCGAGAGTTGAAGACTAATTTCAATTTAGATGAGCGCTCCGCTGGAATTTGGGATGACTTTCACGTTGTTGACGGGCGCTTGGTGACAGGCCAGAACCCCGCCAGCGCCTCGTCAACTGCAAAGGCTGCGGTTGCTGTTTTTGAGACCTTGTGATTCAACTTTTTATCGAAAAGTATCTATGGGGTAGGCTATGGAGACTGTGATAGCTCTCCGCACGGGGGTTGAAACGTTCTCTTGTTCCGTTAGTCTTTTATCCGCGAGGGAACCAACCCATTTGACAAGTCCACGGACACTTTATTTGGAGCGAGACCACGGTACATTAGCGAAATTTTGACCCATTATATAAAATACATTCATAATATTGATATGACTGTGCAAATCCCTTCATAAAAATGCTATCTAGAGTAATAATTGGGTTCAACGACAACTGCGTGGTTCATAGTCTCTTCAACCCTACCTAGCCGCTGCATATTCGTCGCTTCTGTGTCTCATCACAGCGAGACCGGGCTATGCTGTTGCAGCTATTGCTATCATTCTTCATTGTGCATAGGCGCTTATCTTGGCCCCATACTCCCCTCTCAGCGCCGTTGGTCCAACCAAACAAGGAAAACTGGCGCCAACAGGGGTGAGCCTCATCAACTGTGTCCCACCAGGCCTATCTCTATTTGGAAGACTGTTGAAAGCCTTGTCTAGATTGTGAGGCATAAATAAACCCACCCAGAGTCATTTCAACATTGCGTATCTTCTAATTTAGCTCCATCGCTCCCGCCAAGCCGAAGATGCCACCCGCTAGCTTGTTTATCACGAGCCTCGACTTCACGCAGGTCGAGAGTCTCAAGGATAGGATATATCAAATTATCATCAGTGGTTCCCTGGCCTCTTCCGTGTCGATATTTTTCACGGAGACATTGCCAGAATGGTTTACCCAAATCTGGGAGTGGCTATTACGTCCTGGTGAGTAGATTCAACTTTGTACTTGATACTAGGTATGATACTAATAGCAGTGAAAGACATTCTCACAATTATTACTGCATGGTGGATCACATTTACGGTAGTCATGATTATCATCTTTTGCCTAGGATTCGGTCCTGTAGGCATTGCTGCAGGTCTGGCAAATCCGCCCTTTACATTAAGCGCCGAAGAGCCCACTAAGCTAATTCGTTTTGAAACGACAGGCTCCGCAGCAGCAGCTTTTCAATCTTGGATGTATGGTGGCTTCACTCCTGCCGGTGGTATCTTTGCCACTTTGACAAGCACGGCGATGGTCGGCTTGTTGATACCTTGGTCCATGATACCTGCTTCTATTGTGGCTACTATAGTTGCTGTGATTGTGTGGAGGTTGGGAATGGAGTAGTATGATAAAGGGAGGAGCCGAATGAGCGGCCTATCGCCTTTTAGGATCCTTCTGCTCTTGTTCATTATTGAGTCATCTATTTGTATGGCCCAATTAGCTGGTGGATTGTCTTCTTCTTTAGCTTCGCTATCTACACTTACCAATACACACCATTCCACGTGTTTTCTATTGGCCACGTGTAGGCTCATCACCCATGATTTTGGGTGGAGTATGATATCTATAATGTCTTGTGTAGTTCAAATTTCACGACAGCAGGAGCTTATGATTCAGATATTGGTAGCTGGCTAAGCAATCAAGGGGATACAGCCTGCAAGAACTATAGCCACACCGCTCCAACTGCTGCTGCTTGTATCCTTCTGCATTGCTATTGCGCAAAACAAGGTAGATAGCTGGTACAATTGAATTTACATGAATTATCTATCGTAGTCGTGTGAATCAAAAACCTTAAACTCCTCGCGGGGAATCTTATCTCCAAACTGGGCACGAGAGAGGGGGAAAGAGGGGGGAAATGTCATCATCGCCCAATCTCACCAGCTTCAAATCTACTCTGTACCTTTTTCAACCCCGCATCATATCCTTTCGTCCACCGACAGGATCTACCAGTCCATTCGTTAGTCAGTCTGCTTTGCAGGGCGTAATAATTACCCGAAGAACGGAGAATCAAATCCCTCAAAAGTCGTACATCATCCGACTCGGAACGCGACTGCCGCCCTCCACTTGAAACCCACCGGGACCTATAAAACGCCCACTCCTTAGGAGATCTCTAAAAGATCTTTCATCTTATCTGATGTGCTGATTCATCTGATCTTGCAACAAGCCTCCGATGGCAGTAACAGCATGGTGGTGTTTGTCGACCTAGATCGCGATGACTCCTTCTCTGAGCATCATCATCACGGATCCGCGCTCTCTTTGGAGAAGCCCTTCCCGCCCAAACTGACGGTCGCACCCATTGCAACCACCGAGTCCTGCGAACTCTTACCCTCGCCTACCTCGTCCGATGAAGACCGCGATACAGACTCGGCAGATCCCCTGGCCAACAAAGCGCCCGAGGTCGACAATCCGAACCGGAATGCCTTCTCGGCTGCCTTGAGCTGTTACCCGTATGTGGATCCCTAGCGCGTTCTTCCCCACGTAACCCGTCACTAACACCGACGCCCCCTTCTATAGCATCGTCAAGGAAATCGCTCGCGCCGTCGATTTAAATACCCTCCACGCTTTATCTCGAACATGTCGCCAGTTCCATGTCAACCTCGCGCAGTTCCGGCACCAGCTCGTCCGGGAGACACTGCGTTGTGAAAATGAGTATATCGAGACCGTCGCAGATATGCTGGACGGCAATGCCATCATTCCGAATAGCGTCAAATCAGTACTGCAGCTGCTGAGCCAGAGCAGTGGGGGGCCAGGCCGTATGTCGCGTGGGAAAGTGGGCAGATGCGCACGCGACATGGTCGGCGAGTGTCGACGCTGCAGCAAGGTCGTATGCAGGGTATGTCCTTCCCAAACACGACTATGAGGGTAAGACAGAAGATAACCGACTCGGAATAGAATTGCACGATTAAACCCCCCTCCCAAACCGCTATGAACGGTCGCATTCGTCGGCTTTGCCAACCCTGCCGCAAAGCACCGCTCTCCTACCACCTCTCCCAGACGGCCCCCGACATGGGCATCTCCGATATTGACAACCAAGCCACCGTGGCAGGAGAAGTTGCACGCAGCACCGGAATATGCAATTGCAACGACGCTCTTTGGCTGTGCCAACAATGCGGACAGACCCTGCGCAGCAACGACACCACATACCGCCGTGTTTGGGCCTGGCGCACCCGATACAGCACATACCTCGGTGGTGGACTCGGCACCGGCATTGGCGAGGGTAGCCAGGGCGTGAAATGCGGTCGTGGCGAAGCCTGTCTCGCCGCGAAAGAAATCGAGCTAGAGGTCGACTGCGAAGTCGACGAAGGGTCGAGTGATACCAGTAGTCCCGGCCACAGCCCTCCTAGTCACCCATCGCATCATCACGAGCTGGTCTCGACGGATAGTCATGATGACGAGGAACCGGGGTACTTCCGCCAGGAAGTCATTGGGTTGGGTGGACTGATGAAGCATAAGGCTAAGAAGAGGGTTATGGTGGGTGCTTGTGTGGTGGAGTATGAGCATGAGCGGGAGTCGGGGAGTTATCTTAGGCGTGAAGAGAAACGCTTGCATCGGGCGTGGTGTGGATGGTGTTCGAGAGTGATTCCGGCGTATAATGAGGTTGAGCTTGGGTAATGGCAATGGTAATTATAACGAGCTAGGTATATAGCTTTGCATCTTGGGTATATTTTGGTTTATTGCATCATGGGCGACTTGCATAGTCTAGATTTTGATGGCGACGAGTGTATTCACGGGCATTCTGTCTGCATAGCGTAGTCGACGAATGAATGTGCATTGTCGAGTGAGTCTAGTTGAAACTAGGATTTACTGGATTGGAATCACCAAAACACTGATCGATAAGTTTGTCAGGATAATCTGACCCTTTGATTTGATAGTAAGACATGAAAGCAAAAAGAATGGTGGCTATATTTAACAGTCTGGATGATAGAGCTCAGTCTCATCGTGACAAGAAAAGACAGGACTCCGGAAATGCTCGCTCTCCTCCATGCAACCATAACATCATACATCTCTGATAACGCATATCTCAAAAAGTCACATCACATATCATCATCAAATACCAAATCTCACAACAAATCCACCTCATACGGGACGAGAATCAGCTGTACGCGTTTAGTGAGCAGCGATAGCTCTCAAGAAACCCTTCAGCTTAGACTGTTCTCGAGGTGGAGACTCCTCACGCTTGTGCCGGCGATGAGCACGAACCTCTTTGTCCTTGCTGCTCTGGTGTGTGCGACGAGAGCCCTCGGGTTTCTTCTCGCGATCATCGGGCTTGCTGACCTCGGCTTCAACGGAGCTGCGTCGTCGACTCCTCCTCTCACGACGAGCAGGGTCGTCTTCGCGTCGAGAATGCGACTTCTCCTTCTCCGACCGACCACTGGATCGCTTCTCCTCGTTTGAAGAACGCTCCTGGTTACCACTGCTATGACTCTGACTCGTGGAGGACCGACGGGGCTTCTCAGGAGCCGGTGCCCCAGGCTTGGGAGCTCCGTTGGGTCGCACGATGAGTCCATTGGTGTTGGTCATGGGAGCATTGCTCATGTATCGCAAGAAGGCTCGGGGCTTGGGAGCAGAGGTTGATGCCTGCTTTGAGGACGAGGAAGCCTTGGATGATCTGCTTTGCTCTGCTTCGGATGAGCGACGCTTGACCTTGGGCTTGGGCTCGACCTCAACAGCAACAGCAACATCCGGAAGTTCTTCCTCCTTTGAAACCTCGAGCTTCTCCTTTGAGGAAGTACTCTTGGATGACTTCACAGACCTATCCGATGGAGGAACACCACTGCGCTCCTTGTCTTCGGCTATGGCCTGCTGCTTGGCTTCAGCCCTCTTCTTCTCCTCGTGCTGTTTGCGGGCCTCTTCCAAAGCTTTTGCCCAGCGGTTGGTAAACAGACCGCGTTCGCTCTTCTGACGCTTGAGCTGCTCCTTCTTCTGTCCTTCCGAAGAAGTTTTAGAATTTCGTCGCTCACGTTCAGTCACTGGACGCTTCTTGCGCCGACGAGAATTATGCCTGGCTGCAGAGTCTCCTACTGGCAGTTCTGATGCTTCTGCAAAGGGGACTTCTTCGGGCTCCTCTGTCACCAGTTCTGTAGGAGGGCTATCCTCTAGGGCGGCTTCTTCGACAGGAGCAATTGGTTCAGCAGGCGCCTCACTTGGTTCCGGGGCAGGCTCCTCAATAGGCGGCTCGGCAGGCGGCTCGGAGGGTGCAGGTGCAGGTACAGGCTCGGGTTCAACGGGTGCCTCTTCTACAGGTATCTCCTTTGTCTGTTCGGACTCCGGTGCAGCCTCTTCGGGGACAGCGGCAGGCTCAGGTTCAGGCTCAGCAGCAGCTTCAGCGGCAGGCTCGGGCTCAGCAGCAGGCTCAGGCTCTGCAACAGGTTCAGAAACAGGTTCAGCAACAGGCTCAGCAACAGGCTCAGGCTCAGCAACAGGCTCAGGCTCAGCAGCGGGCTCAGGCTCAGCAGCGGGCTCGGGCTCAGCAGCGGGCTCAGGCTCAGCAACAGGCTCAGGCTCAGCAGCGGGCTCGGGCTCAGCAGCAGGCTCAGGCTCTGCAACAGGTTCAGAAACAGGTTCAGCAACAGACTCAGCAGCGGGCTCGGGGTCAGCAGCAGGCTCAGCAACAGGCTCGGGCTCAGCAGCAGGCTCAGGCTCAGCAGCAGGCTCAGGCTCTGCAGCAGGTTCAGAAACAGGTTCAGCAACAGGCTCAGGCTCAGCAGCGGGCTTGGGCTCAGCAGCGGGCTCGGGGTCAGCAGCAGGCTCAGCAACAGGCTCAGGCTCTGCAGCAGGTTCAGAAACAGGTTCAGCAACAGGCTCAGGCTCAGCAGCGGGCTCGGGGTCAGCAGCAGGCTCAGCAACAGGCTCGGGCTCAGCAGCAGGCTCAGGCTCTGCAGCAGGTTCAGAAACAGGTTCAGCAACAGGCTCAGGCTCAGCAGCGGGCTCGGGCTCAGCAGCAGGCTCAGCAACAGGCTCGGGCTCAGCAGCAGGCTCAGCAACAGGTTCAGCAGCAGGCTCGGGCTCGGCAGCAGGTTCAGCGGCAGGGGCTTCTTCTACCGGTGCCGGTTCTTCTTGAGCCGCAACCTCCTCAGCGGCAGGTTCCGGTGCATTCTCAGTCGATTCCTCGGCAACGGGCTCTTCGGCTGGAGCAGCCTCAGTGGTAGGCTCCTCGGGAGGGTCTTCCTTGGGGGAATCTTCGGGCTTCGGATCGTCTGCCGGTGACTCTTCGGCAGCGAGCTCCTTGGTAGATGATTCCTCAGCGGGAGCCTCTTCAGCAGCGGGTGCTTCTTCGGCAGCAGGTTCCTCCGGAGCAGGCGTCTCCTCTGCCTGAGCAGTCTCGACTGGGGCTTCTTCGGCTTCCTTCTCGACGACAGGCTCCTCGACGGGCTCTTCAGCGAGTTCTGCACTAGCGGCTTCGTCGACGGGCTCCTCTGCATCTGGCTCCGTGGCTGATGCTTCAGCCGCAGGTGCTTCGTCCGAGGTTGGTTCTGGTGTCGATTCTTCGGCAGGTGGTTCAACAGGCGCGTCGTCGGCGGGTGATTCCTCCTTCGGTGCTTCTTCTGCGGGTGTATCTACTGTCGGCTCGGGCTCGGGCTGTGCTTCTGCTTCGGGCTCTGCTGCGGCAGGTTCCTCGGTGGTTTCCTCCTTTGCCGGCTCGGGGGGCGTGTCGTCCGCAGGAGCGTCTGGTGTTTCGTCCTGGGGGGCTTCGGCTGCTGCAGGCTCTTCTGTCGCCGTAGTCTCAGGCTCATTAGCAGGCTCAGCCTGTGCCTCGGGTTTTGCTGCAGGCGCAGTGCTGTCGGGCTCAGCTGCTGCGACGGTCTCGGTGGAATCAGCCGCAGCATCGTCTGGCTTAACTTCGGCCTCGGCAGGAGTCTCCTCCGGTTCGGCAGCCGGTTCAGCAGCTGGCTCGGGGGCAGCCTCAGTAGGCTCCTCAACGGCTGGGGGTTCATCAGAAGCGGGTTTGTCGGCCTCGGGCTCGGGTTCAGGGTCGGCTGCAGGCTCAGGAGTTGGATCTGCAGCAGGGGTTGGTTTCTCCTCCGGCTCGGATGATTTTCCAGCTTTACCCTTCTTCTTTTTGTCCTTCTTCTTGGAGTTCTTTTTAGCCTTCTTGGACTGAGTTGTGGGTTCCTCCGCGGGCTCTTCGGGAGGAGGACTCGCTTCAGCAGGGGACTCCTCGTCCGCTTTGGCCTCGGCTTCTGGCGTTTCTGTTAGAGCGGCCTCTTCAGCGGGAGCGGCCTCTTCGGCTTCAGGGCTGGCTTCCGGGGCTAGAGGAGCTTCTGTTGCAGACGGCTCGTCGGCCTGGGCAGCACCATCTCCTGAATCTTCCGGTTTATCGGCAGCGGGCTCTTCAGCAGGGGTTTCTTCCGTAGCAGCATCAGGTGTATCTTCCTGGGATGCAGGCTCTTCTGCTTTGGTGTCATCTGAACCATTTTCGGCTGGGGTATCAGCTGGGGCTTCCTCGGCTGGGGCTTCTGCAGCAGGGGATTCTTCAGCTGGAGCGTCTCCCGCTGGGGCGTCATCGGCTGGAGGATCTTTCTTCTCGTCGTCTGCTTGAGACAGAGCTTCCTCGGCGTCTTCAGCAGCTTGCTTTGCCGCTTCCTCCTTTTCCGATTCTACTCCATCTTGTCCATCCTCAGGGTTAACTGGTGGAAAATCTTCGTCTATAAGGTTGTCAGTCGACAGCATGTACAAAGGTGATCGAACGCGCTTACCATTGCCTCCATTCTCGTCGCTGGGCTTTGGCGCACTGTCGTCTTCTGCCGGAGGTGCGCCTTCGTCGGCCTTTTCAGGCTCTGCACCTTCCGCAGGGGGCTCCGCGGCGGCTTCATCTGGAGCGCCTTCGCCTTCTGGACTCGGAGTAGCTTCATCGGCGGCGGCTGCGTCCTGAGTGTCCACTTTTGCATCCTCGCCTGATGCATCGGTGGCTTCAGCAGGTGGCTCATCTGCCGGAGGCGTCGTTGCCTCGGAGGATTCTGTATACTCCCAGTGAGCGAATGTTATACGGCACAAGCAAGGTTCCCCTTGACCATTGATATACAAGTCAGGGTCGAGGTCAATGTACTTACCTGCAGGCTCAGGTGTCGATGAGCTTTCATCCGGAGAGCTCGAGGGCTCCTCTGCCTTGACTTCAGCAGCAGGGGCTGGTTCTTGCGCTGGCTCGGTAGCACTGGGCTCGTTGTTGTCCTGGACCTTGCCCCCCGTCAGACCACTAGTGTTCGAGACGACGGGATAATATGAAAATTGTAACGTGCTCCGATCGAAAGACTGGTATCGCTTTTCGAAGGAGTGATACGTATATTTAGGGAGCTGGGCATACTGGAAGTTTTGCGAGCTCATCTTCGGAGCCTACGGCCACCGACTCCGGGGCGGGCTCTTCTGGGAGGTCTGTAGTCTCAGGACTTGAGTTGGTTGCACCGACGGGAAGGCGGTTGTTATTGTTGTTCTTATTCTTCTTCTTTTTGTTTTTTCCGGCCATGTCCTCGGATCAATGACGTATCATATATCAAGGTGTGGACGATGCTGACTGGCGCGTGATGCGCCGAAGTAACGGAACAATAAGGGAGTGACAAGCCGCTGTCAGGCTTTTGATGCAGGGTAAAGGGGGTCGGAATGGAACCACAAGGGAAGACGAAAGTGACAAAAGATTGAGAGAGAATTGAGAGACCTCGAGAGACTGGGCAAGGTACGATGTATTAGAAAACAGAACGGGAAAGAAGCATATGCTTGTTTCTCTGGAGACGAAGGGATTGTATTGGACAGCCATTGCGAGGCAGCGTATAATAGTTCGTCCGCTATCCGGGTAGGTTAGGACAACAATCCGCTACATTGTGGTATATTGGGCCCTGAACGTCATTAGTGAACTGCCCGACGGCATTGCTTGCCATTGGACCACGTCGCCTCGGTCTCCATGCAGTGGTGGCCAGCATTGGGTGGATGATTGAGTACCGGTACTCGATTAGGGCCGGATGAAGGCAGCACAGTCTCCGCTCGGAGGATGCTGCAGGAGCAAGCATCCCATGGCGGAATGGGATTGGGAGATGGGAAGCAACAGAGTCCAGATAGGAAAGGTATTCCTGCAGCTTCATGGAGCCAAATGGATATGTTGAGTGGGGGTGGGTGCCACCGTACAATTGGGTTTGAAATTTTTATCTGTTGTCTTTGCTCTGTTATGGTACACACAACGTAGCCGTGGGGTTGGGGAGGAACATTGAACGAGGGTGGGTCAAGAGTCAATTCGAATGGTCTCTACCAGGACAAATCCGAAGAAAGTCCTGCAGTGCTTCCATCATGGAGGAGACGAGAATAATGTCACGGTGCCTGTCGAGCAACGAAAAAAGTGATGCGGTCGACAGACCCATTTGTGCCCAATGGGCCCCGGTAACGGCGGCAAATAGGGATGCACGCCTGGCGCCAGTGCGGAGGCGAGGGTCCCCCTCCGAAGAAACGCGGTGTTGGAGGAATTGGAACTTTCCAAGGGAATTCTTGGCTTAGTGAGTCAAATCTGTCAAACAAGTTGCCCCCTAAATGGTTTGGATGGAGTCGCTTGGGAGCTATTGACTCCACTTTCCGACACCGACACTTCATCAGGCTGATCTCCCAGCCTCCCGCGAGACGTGAAAGGCCGAATTGCTTCACGATGATGCTGTCCACGGTAAGGGCGTAGTCAGAATGGAGATCGAATCATCCATACTCCATACCGCTGGACTAATGATGCATCAGTCTCATGCAGCACTGCAGAGAGGGGAAGTGGTGCAACGAGGACTGGACGAGGACTTGGAGTTGGGCCGGATCAGGTGACGCCTCACCAGTCCAACCAGTGTCATTCCACCACGTCCTTCTCGGGAATTGGGTAATCTGATCACAAGTCAACTTTGAAACTTGGGCTTCGAGGACGGTGATCGCCTTTACTCCTTATCGTGGCCTCCTCCGAGTCCGAAAAGAGGTGCATGCATGCCTTAAAAACTAGTGCTAAACTGCTCACTACTACTAACTGCTAAGCGTCGACTATTTTCCCACGGTTCTCGCGACGGCACGACCCGCGCCCCCGAACGCCCTGTTTTTCGATCTGTTCCTTAAGCTTCGTTTCCGTTCCAAATTTGGGTCAACTGACTGCCCAAATCCCTGCAACGGGCCGAACATCCATGCCACGCTTACTATTGGCCAATTGCGAGTGGCCCATGGCTCGGGGAATCGTCAATGACATGCAGTGAACTACCAAGGAGAGAGTGACTCGAGGAGACATATGTCCAATTGACATTCATGCCAAAGATAGAAATTATTGCTGGCAGACCTTAGTAGAGCTTTGATATACTACGGCGTGTGATTCGGAGAACAGAATGCATGGCGCCTGGCTGTTCATACATCGAACTAGGAAAGACAAAATACTCAGGATTCGAACTAAGTTTGAGTGAATAATCTTACTTGTCCAAGGCAGGGGTAAGTGGAAGAATGCAGTCGCTTCAACCACAATGTGAGACCTTTGCATAGAGCCTGCGAGTCACGAGATCCATTTGGAAACGATTCCTACCTAGTACATCCATGTCAGTGTTTGGTCTGAGATCAAATAAGAATCTACTGATGTTACAAGGAGCAGCATGGCTGGGACAAAGACAGCCTTCAAAGCGTCACACTAAGTATACCACAGTCTTCATTATCTGTCATAGTGGGAGTTGCATACCTTGGAACGATATAGTTATCCAAAATAATGAAACTACGCTAAAATATATCTTCCAGTCATGGACCTCTTTCAAGCGGCTTCAGCCTAAATGTTCAAGACTATGTGGCTTGTCACTTTCTCCGTCAGGTCAATCTCCTGATTCTGGGTCTTGAATCTAACTCAGAAACTGTTCACCTCAATCAACAAGCAAGAAAGACTAAAATTGTACCTCGATGGCCCGGTTGGAATCCAATTACCCGATCATCCGGACTTCGTGACGGTAAAACCCAGCGTGAATATATATCACCATCACCTAGCGAGATAAAAATTGAGGCACATCAGATATCCATCTCCACTCCCGTCTGAATATGAAAAGGAGTCCCAATTCCCCAGGAATACTAGAAAAGCTCCAAAGTATGTCAAGTCTTTTGAGCTAACACCCAGAAGGCATATTTGGATAATTCTAGAGATGTAGTGCCTCCTGGCAACTTGGAGCCCTGTCACACATTGAACATTTTCTTTTTCAAGAAATATCTGCCAGATATCACCCTCTCGATAGACGTGAAGCCTATCTTTCAGTATAGGGTAATGTTAAAAAATGGATCTCATGTTCAAATTTTTTGCACTCCTAAGGATGTTACTATGCTCTAGGCCGTGGGGGTTTCCTTCGATGTATAGTCTTTGAAAGATACACTTCCGAAGAATGTGATTGTAACGGGTGAGAGATGCACTTAAAATATAAATGCAGACGATGTTCAGTTCTTTCACTTTCGAAGATGTATGATACCGTCCGGCTTGAAGCTTTGATCGTTGGTTTTTTCTTCACTTATGGAATCGGCTACTACCTCCTACGCGGTGGTGTATCCGTTATCCAGGGCGACCGAGAGGAATACTCTGATATAGGCGCTCCATTAGCGCCATCTAATCTGGGTGAGCATTGTGAGTGTACATCCATAATGGAAAAACGGAAATCCGGTTAAGAGGCTGATAACTAGTTAAGAGACCTTCTCGGGGCCTACTAGCGGCTATCTCGAGGGCGGGAAATTATGTTCAGGCCCGCATACACTTAATAATCCTGATCATGATCGCTGGATTTATTTATTACTGCCTGAATAGCATGGTTCTTGGCTGAGTTGTGATCTTACACCATACTGATCTCATGTTTTTTCTCATCCCTTATTTCATCTTGTACTTATATGCAGGGGAAAACTGCCCATTCAACCATTGACTATATCTAAACAAAATAAAGGCTTTTTTAAATAGGAGGATCTTGAGGCTTTTAGATAATTAATGTTCAGCCTCGGGACCCTGAAATCTCACTCGAGCTCAGCCTCATGAATTTATTGCTTCCACCCTAAGCGCCCCAACTCCTTCAGGTAAGCGCCCGATATAAAAGGCCAATCCTAGGGTTGCTCTATGCGCCCGCGCCGGAAAAAAGGTAAATCTACAGCGGCTTACCACACTGACGGTGCCCATACGACAGTATTTATTAAGGGTCCTCTGTTTCAAGTGATTGATGCACGATATCGATCGTGTTCTTCCAGGGTCTACGGGGTCAGGGTCCAACCCCTCAAAAATAGGGCTCTGTCCCAGATAGTCTCTTGCAGGCATCTTCTCCACTTCATACCATGAAATCTGGCAGGCAGCAATGTCCAAACTCCTTTCATACTTCAAAAGCCTCGTACCAAAAGATAATCCTGGAGATCAAAGTCAGTGTTCACAACAGAGCGACAAGGGCCAATATTCTGGGTGGCGGCCTTTCTATCTTCAACGCCGAATTTTGATTATATTTTTGATTGCATTCTGTGCTGCCATCGCGGGACTGGAGTTTCTCAATCATGTCTCCCAAGTCAATCAAGGTATCGCTTCATCCACCGAAGATCTCCACTACATTTGGACTTACTGTCCCACCGCCATCCTGACTATCGTTGCTGCCTTTTGGTCGAGAGTCGACTTCCAAGCAAAACAAAACAGACCATGGCAATCAATGCATGAGAGCCCCCAGGTAGCAGACAAGAGTGTGCTCCTGGATTATATCACCGAGATGCCGCCAATTGCGTTGAAAAGGGCTATCCACAATAAACACTTCATTGTGGCTGCAGGGGTGTCTTGTTCCCTGCTTCTCAGCCTTCTCATTACAATTTCAACTGGCTTATTCTTATTGCAAGAAGTTCAGGTGAATGTGGATAATATTCCAATCCTGTTACACGACTATTTCACTAGTGAAGATCCCAAGTTTAACGCTGGTGGAGAAACGCCACGAGATATTGTCCAAGGTGTCACCTTATACAACGGAAGCTATCCCGGCGGAACCAACGCCAATTTTGCATTCCAGCAGTTCTCGGCTCCAAATATCTCTTCTGGAGCAAGTGTTACCGCTCCTATCAAAGTCCTAGCGGCAGAGCTGAATTGTGAATCTGCCGTCATGGTTGATACTCAGGTGAATATCAATGGAAGTATTATCATCAGTACGTCTTCTTGCATGAATGTCAAGCTCGACTGGCCAAAAGTACCCATTGCGGGATATTCAACCTACATGGGACTGTTCAGGGAGGGAAGATGTGAAAATTCGACGGGACTTGACGGCATGCGTATCGCTGTTGTCGCAGCCGCTGTCAGTACCCCACCCTCGACAGAACCATATGACGTTACGGGCATCATAATTGAAAATCCAACTCAGTTGATTTGCAAACCAACATATGCCGTTGTCGACATGGATGCTACAAAGAATATATCAGAATCGTCCTCGGATATTCGTTTCGAATTGACAGGATCCAAGAACGCCACTCTTCCGGGTATAACGGCGTGGGACATTGCTCAAAGTGTCTACGGGGCTAAGAATGACCTTGCTGAATCTTCAGCTAGCGCCTCTCCCAACCCTTTCGACGTTGATGCGTCTTATATTGACGATGCTCTGAAAATGGGCTCGTGGGCCGTGGGCCTCAGTGGGAGCATTCGCAGCCTCCTCTTGGAGGATGTCCTCAATAATGTGGCCTCTTCCTACTATCGTGCCATGTCTGCCCAGTACATGAACAAAGGACTGGTCCAGAAAGACAGCTCGATGACTACGGGATCCGCGATTATCATGGAGAACCGCGTTTTCATGACACAACTACCACTTCGGCTCATGGAAGTCTGCTTGGTTTTCGTCATTTTTCTCGTCATTGCGATGATATACTGGACTCCCGACCCTGTTACGACATCAACCCCCTGGAACCCAAACACCATCGCGGCAACTGCAGCAATCATGGCGCAAAGTAAAGCTTTTGGTCAGTTTCTCAGCGGCACAAGTGTCTCGCAACTACCCGTCCTTCAGAATCTTCTTCGATCGCAGAAGTTCCGTTTGAAACAACGTCAAGAAGGGTTATCCATCGATACTTTGGACGATGAAACCAGTGGATTTACTCTCTTTCACGGCCCACAGAGTGCCAGTCCCAATTCAGAATCCGTTCCTTTTCCCGGTGTGCTTTTTCGCATCACAACTTTTGTCACTGTGGCATTGATCATCGTTGCATTGGAAATTGTTTTACAGGTTTCCCAGGCAAACGACGGTCTTGGAGATATCACCTCCGGCGAACACATGCATTATGCCTGGACAGTCTTTCCTTCCTTTATAATGGTGATGATAGGTCTTCCATTTGGAAGTATGAGCTCCAATTGTCGAATGTTAGCCCCATTTGCTCTCCTGAAGCGTCCATCTGGCGCAGCCTTCAAAGATTGCATGACGGTTAATTTTCTCGACGCCTTGGATGTGACGGTCATGTTGAATTCGATTCGTACCAAACAGTTTGCTGTCTTGGCGACTACACTTGCTGCATTCATTACGTCGCTTCTCTCGATTTTGACCAGCGGTCTTTTCTCTGCGATTGAGGTCCCGTACTATGTCAATGCAAACTTCACACCCCAAGATAATTTCCGCTATTTGAGTAGCCAGAACACCTGGCAGGGTCCAACCCTTCCTCCGATCGCCGATGCCATTGTCCAGCAGAATCTCAGCTTTCCTCGCTGGACCTATGGGAACCTTGTCTTCCCAAAACTTTCATTGAATGCTTCTCTAGCAGCCAATCTCACCGAAGATTCTTTCGTGGACCTTTGGGTTCCTGCATTGAGAGCAACGCCTATTTGCGTGCTACAAACAGGCTCTGGGGTGAATCACACATTCAGAAAGCTGAACCAGACATTTCATGAACTCCATCTGAACATGCCAAAGATAAGATGCCCCCCATATCGTGTAAATGAAACATGGGCTGGAAACGGAGTGACAGTCCAACTTCCAAATAACGCTTACTTTGGATACGGTTTTCAAATGTCCTGCACTTTCGATGATCCTAATAATAGCATGACAGATCCCGTTTATCCAACAGCTTACTACTGGGGGCAAGTTGAAAACGGCTCACTCAAAAACCTAGCAGCCATGTCATGCAATAGTGCCGCTGAGACTATTAATACCCTGACTCGGTTTCAACTTCCGGATTTCGACATCTCCGAGGATCACGCCCCAGCTCCAAATGATTCTTCGGCCACACCGCTTGACATATGGGTACCAGATGGAACTTGGTCGCAATACTTCTTCTCAACAGATGGGTATTTGAACGCCTTTTTCACAGCATTGATTAAGGGAAGGTGGGCCATTCCCCAGGAGAATCTCGGTGAGGCGAGTCAAACCGAAAAGGTTGCCAAAGCCATCAAATTTCAAGCCGGCATCTTGAATGCATTACAATATAACAATGCAAGCCGGAATGCCACGCTAGAGGACCCATTACCTGGAAATGTGTTCCTCAGAAGTCGCCTCCGCCTGGTTGAAGATGCCACATCGGCGAGAATATTGGAAGGTCTACTTGGGTCTATGCTCATATTGGGTGTCTTGGGTACCGTCCTTATGAACACAGATCACATTCTGCCTAAGAGACCCTCTAGCATTGCAGCTCGGGCAAGTTTGTTGGCAGAATCAAATTTCTTAAGCTGGTATCAACCGCTTGAAAAAGACCCCAACAAATTTTCTTTTCCCGCAGGCTCACAGTTCTTCCTTGGTCGGCAGAATGCCGACTCGGCATCGGATTCGTTCAAGTCATACAATACGGAGAAGGGGGATAGGGACTTGACTATCTATCATCGTGGTCCTCCAGTGAAGGATATGGATCCATGACCAGTAACTTAGTAGGAAAAGGAAAGCACGGGAATGACCGTACTTGAGAGGCGAAGCTCTTCTTCCATTTTGTATTGATCAAAATTCCATCATTTGATACTGTTTCTTGAAGGATCATACTTATGGCACTAAAAGAGACTTACGTGACCCTACGACTCTACCTCTAATTAGAAACCTTACGAGTATAAAATGGTACAATGATAATTAAGATTATCCGCGAGCAGCGATTATGTATAGGCATAGACAGTGGAGGACTATACTTCTAAATCACCTTCTTAGTTGTGCCTTAAAAGACAAATCAAGAGACTGATTCAATGGTTTTACTGATGAGCTTCTTATTACTTCAATAAAAAGAAGGCCACGATGGAATCATCACTTCATCTATTCATGGTCATAATGATAATCTGGTAATGGGTATCATCCACATCGGGAGGGCTTCGGCGTGTATCCATCCGCGTACGGAACAGAGACCGGCGCCAAAAAGCAAGTAGAGAAAAGGCGCCACCAGGAACCCTCAATCACTCAACAGGAAAAGCTGGAGAGTAAAGGAGCACGGCAGCAAGGATATAAATATGGCGTGTGAACGTATGCGAGTATGGGAAGAGTCCCACGGTCTGTCGAATGATCCAGCCTTAAAGTGGCATATGACAAGGAGAAGGACGTGCAAAAACGCCTAATGTAAAATGCAAAGTCAAAGTTCAAGTGCACCGTTACCGCATTCGCTCATCCATGGTTTTTCTCCAGCGAGGACCAAATACCCTCATTAAGAATATGACCGAGCTGCTTGCAAAGCTGACCAGTCCAAGGATGGTGAAGAGCCATCCATTGCCGATGCCATTGATAATGGGCGCCGTGACAAGGGAGCCGACGCAAGAGAAGATGTTTCGCATGAAATTGTTGAGGGCAACGCCTTCCGATGATTTCTTGGGCATGAACTCGGTCAACATGGTGGTTACCATGCTGAAGATGAGCATTGAGCCTATGCCGAAGAAGAAGTTTGCGATCATCTAGTGAGACGACAATCTGGTTAGCAATTGCGCATCACCTCCAATCTCCTGCGAGCTGTGTTAACATACCGGAACCACCCAGAACACCCCCTTATCCACAGACCAACCATACCAGATGAGAGCTGCTGGGTAGAGGAAAGCTCCCAACCAAGCATTCTCACGCATTCGATCCTCGGGTCGATAGATTGGCCTGCCCTTCTCGTCATACCGGTTTGCCTTTTTCGCTTCACGCTGCATAATACTGTCCATCCATCGACCGCCGAATAGACTCGCCACCACGTAACCCACCGAGTTCGGGATATAAAGCAAGCCAATAATGATCGTGCTGAAATTGTACGGTGGCTTGCCGAAGGAGTCCTCGACACTGACATTCAGCACGTACAACGAGCCGAAGGCAATACTGGCATAGTAGACACTGAGCAACACGGGAATATACTGCAGGTAAAGGACAATCTTCAAAGGATCAATGAAGACGATCTTCAGCATCTTGAGCCATCTTGTCGTAACTCCAACCACCTGTCGCGAGGAGACTCGACTTAGCGGGCGACTGACGGGCGCCATCTCATTCTCTGGTACATCCGGAAGAACGGGTTTCCGCACGACGAGCGTTTCTGGTAGAGCGAAAAATATGAAGATGACTGTGAGCGCACCATATGCCGCAAGAAACCACATGGTACTCCTCCAGCCCCATCGTTCAGCCAGAAGACCACCGACAATGGGCGCGAATAAGGGACCACACAGAGGGCCCAGGTAGAAGATACCCATGGCACGGCCTCGCTCGCGGGGCTCCCACAGATCCGCAATGGTTCCTGCACCCACCGCTTGGACGGAGGCAGATGCACCACCACTCAGCATTCGCATCACGATGAGCATGGCGATGGAGCTCGAGACGGCGCAAAGACAATTGAAGACCACAAAGAGAACGAAAGAAACCAGATAGATAGTCCGTCGTCCAAGCCGTTCGCTAAACGAGGACCACCACAGTGGAAAAATGGACATGCTCAGCATATACAAGGCGATCGATAGGTTAGTGATCGTAGTCGTGGTGTGTAACTCCTGGGTAACCTGAGATAGCGAAGCTGATGATGACAACTGATCAGACCTAGGTGCATTTGCAGATGTCATGACGGGGCGTCACTTACGAAAGAAAACGGACGAGCCCATCGGCGCTGTAGCACCAGCTACCGCCACGATAAAAGTGATGAACCATTTCATTCTCCGAGGGTAGGTTTTTGGATCTTCGACCTCAGCCACCAGAGTCATCTGTCCAAACAGTCCTCTGCGTTTCAATCGAGGCACTTTCACGGCCGGGCCCAGTTCGGTAGATTGTCGAGCCAGTGGAATTGTCGTGTCCGGTATATTCTTTTCTTCATCTCGCGCCACAATACTCGAGGCATGGGATCGCGACTGGCCGTCGTCCATGTCGAGGGGTCCCTCGGCCGTTTCAAGAGAATGGTCATTGCTGGGACTGGATGGTGAATTCGCCGACATGACGGCGTCATCTTTCTCGATATCCGCAGGCATATTGAAATGAAAGAGCGCCGAAACAGCGACTCGTTGGATGCAAGTCAAGGAAATGGGCAGGCTTTAATCGCAAACCGATCAATGACGCCCGGAACGGAGACCGTCGGCGTAGAGCATACAGCGGGAGATCACTATCCCCGAAGATCAAGAAGGATATGAAACACAGACGCCTGCGATCAGCAGCAAGAAGGTCGTATCTCTCTGCCAAGGCTGGCGCATAAAGCTATGAATATCGAATCAGAGATAATGGGGATATCTCATGGGCAATGATGGACAGCGCGGAGAAGAGTTGCACCGCGAGGATCGTCAAAGGACTGCAGGACCACAAACAGAAGATAATGGGCATGCGATAGCCTAACAGCGGCCAAAACAGGCAGTCGTGGACCTGAGATTCTTGGTCGTGACTACTTTGTAGTGGGATCTACTCGTCGACTCGAGCAGTCGCCACGGGGGACTGACGCAGCCAGATCGAACGGGCAGGATCAACCTGACAAATTTCTCTGGACGCCTTCGATACAAGAGGCGACACTGTGAAGCTATTTGCACACCTAGAGAGCTGTTGAAAGAATTGGCAATCTCTTGTTGCAGCCGAGATTCAACCAGGCGTGTCTTCACTGCATTCGGAAAGCCGACGACCACCGATGATCCCCGAGTGCTCCCCCATCTTTTGTTTATAGCAGGCCCGTCATGGATAATAATCCGATGCCAGAGAGGGGTCGCTTGTCAAAAAAAAACCTGCGATCCAATGATTTGCCTCTCGGGGCTTTCTCGTGGGGCGAGGGGGCCAGTCATCGTGCAGTGCTGCTGTGCCGGTCTTCCGTCGGCAAACGTCTGGGGCGGTTGATCCCGCTGGGCGTTGGAATCTCCGACAAGCACTGTGATATGCCAGTTTTGGATGAGGGTATCGGGGCATTTTCGATCTGAATCGTTGATATAGCCTGAAACATGCCAATACGGAACAAGCATGTCGATCAGGTCGAAGATGTCTTGTTGACTCCGTTCGGTGCCCTGATAGACTCGGCTTGGCTTCTTTTAGCCGGGATCCAATCCACCCTTGACTGCTCCAGCACGGACGATGACGACTTCCATGCAAATAAAAGACCATCTTCATCTCATCTTTGCATTTCTCAAAAAGAGAAGAACTGGCGGGCTGCTCAAGACTCTCGATCTCGTATTGTCATGACGTCCAACCTTGACTCTCACCGCAGGTTCTGCAAGGAGGTGCTGAATAATCGTTAAATGGTTCCAACAGGTTGGGATAAACACGACGACTTCTTTAACATTCTTCCTTCTCCTTGGATCGTCAAATCAATTTCTTCATCTTTATATAATCCTGAACTACGCATCCAAAAAAAACAACAATCAGGATCAGTAAACTCCAGAGCCCAGACTCGCCAAGCCAAGATCCACCACCAAGGAATCCACCTCCGATTTGAGTATCTAAACAAATCGACCTCCAACTTTCCCCCGCACTCCATCACCAACCCAACCACAACCATGACCACTCCAACCAGTGGCACTCAGGGCATTCAAGCCCACCTGGCCAAATACCAGGGCGACAGCTACGTCGACGGCTGGGCCTCCCTCTGGGACAAAGGCGACGATCTACCCTGGGACCGAGGCTTCCCCAACCCCGCCCTGGAAGATGCTCTAGTCCAGCGTGCCGGCACCATTGGCGGACCTCTCGCCCAGGATGCGCAGGGCCAGTCGTATAGACGCAAGGCTCTAGTTCCCGGCTGTGGTCGAGGTGTGGACGTGCTCTTGCTGGCGAGCTTTGGGTATGATGCCTATGGGCTGGAGTACAGTGCCGCCGCTATTGAGGCGTGCAAGAAGGAGGAAAAAGAGAACCATAGCTGGTATCGCGTGCGAGACCAGACTGTTGGAAAGGGGAAGGTCACTTTTGTCCAGGGTGATTTCTTTGATGATGCCTGGTTGAAGACGATTGGAGTGCCTCGGAATGGATTCGATGTTATTTATGATTATACGGTACGTATACTCACTTCCCTGTTTTGCTCCCTTTACTCGGACATCCATTGTTCATCGAGACCACCCTCAATGGCTTTGAATTTATAATGTTCTATTTTCTAAACGCTCTAGATCTTTTATGCTCCCATTCTAACAATCATCTAGTTCTTCTGTGCTCTGACTCCAGACCTCCGTCCTAAATGGGCCCTCCGACACACGGAGCTCCTGGCCCCCTCGCCAGCAGGGAACCTGATTTGTCTGGAATTCCCCCGTCACAAGGATCCCCTGGCCGGCGGCCCTCCTTATGCCTCCCCTTCTGAGGCATACGTGGAGCACCTGAGCCACCCGGGCGAGAAGATCTCCTACAACGCCAAGGGTCTCGTCAATGCGGATCCGCTGCGAGAGCCCAGCAAGGCCGGCCTGGAGAGGGTCGCGCACTGGCAGCCTGAGCGTACACACACCGTCGGTCAGGGCGAGAATGGGGTGATTCATGACAGAGTCTCTATTTGGCGTCGACGTGACTAGATCCATCTCGTTGCATTTGGCGCAAAAAGAGAAAGAGGATGAAAGGGAAATATTGATGGATTTTGGAGACTGGCCCAGAAATATTAAGAAGTCAGCCCCAGACGCTAAAATAGCAGTCGAAAGAAAAGCCCGGCATGCAAAGGGCTGCTTTTTAAGGAAATTCCGCGATGGTATGCTCAGTCTTTCTTGAAGAGAGCGTTGTAGTGCTCGCCCAATCCGTAGGTGTGTCGGTAGTATGCCAGCCAGACCACGCGCTTGCGTTGCTCCTCCTCATCGAAGCTGTCCATATCGCCACACTCAATCTTCTCCAATCGCCCATCCTTCTGTACCACGTTGATATCCACTCCGTAGGCCCGGGAAATAGCCTGCAGCTCCAGCTGGCCACCCCACTCAGCAGTGAGCTTAATCTTCCGAGTGTAGACTTCCAGCGGCTCTTCCATGAACGCTTCAAAGTCCTCCTTGTGTTCCGCGATAAAGTCTGCCGCTACGGCACGGACGGCACGGTATCCGTCGTGTTGTGGTGATGCGACGGTATCGATGCGTGTTTGGGTTGACGATGAAAGCACAATTCGGCTTGGGTCTGGTCGCAGACCGACTCCGGACTCGTCCAGTTGCTTGGCCACGGCGGAGTAGAGACAGTGTCCATCGGGGGTCACTTCCACTTCCCTCAGACCAAGTTTCTTAAAGACCGCGTCCATAACTTCTTGCTCGTTGCCTCTGTAATTTGTTTGGTTGGCGGCCTCTTCAGCCGCCGCTGCAGACTGAGCGGCTTGTTCGGCTGCACGACGGGCGAGACGGGCTTTTTGACGGTTGGGCTTCTTGTTTCTCGTGGTAGGCTCTTCAGGGGGAACAGTTTGGTTATTTTCGGGAGCTTGGGGTGTCGACGTAGTCTTGTCTTCGTTCAATTCGCCATCTGCTGGCGTCCCATCTTCGAGGCTGAGGTCTTCGAGAGCATCCTCGACTGATTCTGTAGACTCTCCGTTCAACTCTGCAATCTCCGCCTGTTGTTTCTCGGTGAGCTCGCGCTGCATCCGCTCGCAATCATCATTGACACCTTTGCGGGTCTTCTTGGTGGCGGACTTTTTCTTCTGAGTGATGCGCCCTTGCAGGTCTTTTTGTTCTTTGCGGTGCTTGGCCAAAAGCTCATCCATGGTGAAGAGAGGATAAAAACAGACAATCTAATAATGAAAGACTCCAAAAATGTTAATGCAATATCCGATGGAAACGTAAACAACCACTGAAGCAATCAGCCCAGGAAATTCAGACCCCGCGAAACCCTGACGGAGCTGCCCTAAGTTCCGGCCGAATGAGGATTAGCGTATCATTCCTCGGAGAAACCTTAGCTCCGATGAGCCGAGGCTCACCCTGTCGGTCTTCGGGTATGTAGTGTAATCAGGGAGGAGCTACGAGGGGAAGAATAAAGTATGGACCCTCGCCTGGATTCTGGACACATCACTTGAACCTCAGAATTGCAGTCATGGATTCCGAAAGTCTTTTCAACGTCAAGGTGCGCGAACTTCATACTATAATTCCCGCTATCCGCTTGCTAACGAGTACTTCAGGGCAAAGTGGTGCTGGTCACCGGCGGCGCCAAGGGTATTGGTCGCATGATCTCCGAGGGATATGTGACGAACGGTGCTACGGTCTATATCTCGTCGCGAGATGCGAAGGCCTGCGACCAGGCTGTCAAGGAGCTCAATGCGCTTGGCAAGGGCAAGGCTCACGCTATTCCCGCCGATTTCTACAAGTATGAGGATGTGAAGAAGCTGGCCGAGGAGCTGGGCAAGCGCGAAGGCAGTCAGTCATACCCATCATTTTATAATTGAGATGGAGGAAGATTTTACTAACATATTTCTTCAAATTGTAGAGCTCCACGTCCTGGTCAACAACTCGGGCTCGAACTGGGGCGCCCCCTACGACAAGTATCCCTCCGAGGCATTCACTCGCGTCCTCACGCTCAACCTGCACCGCGTCTTCGATCTTACCCAGCTCGTTACTCCACTCCTGGAGAAGGCATCTTCCGAGAACGACCCGGCACGCATTATCAATATTGGCAGCATTGACGGTCTCCGGGTTCCCTCGCTCGAGACCTTTGCCTACAGCTCTAGCAAGGCCGGTCTGCACCACCTTAGCCGAGTGCTGGCCAACCACCTTGGCAGACGAAACATCACGTAAGAACTACCTCTATCTTTTCTTGGGGTGAAATATATTTCCCACGAAGACTGACACGATACATCGTTCATAGCTCCAACACTCTGGCATGCGGTCCCTTCGAGAGCAAGATGATGGCTGCCACCCTGAAGTCCTTCGGCGATGCCATCAAGGCTGGTGTTCCTCTGGGCCGTATCGGTACTCCCCAGGACGTTGCCGGTACTTGCTTGTTCCTGAGCAGCCGGGCAGGTGCCTATATTAACGGTGCCACCATTTCGGTCGATGGCGGTAGTTCCATTTCTGCTAAGATCTAGATGGAGTCCAGCTATGTGCAAATAATTTCTGTCAGATATTTCATTGCTGTAGATATTGAATTGTATAGAGCAGGAAGCCACTTTTATAAAAAGCTGCTATTGTTCGGACCCCGAGTCTTCCGTATACTCCGTAGTCGATGGAGCTGCCGAGATCTTTGACATACCAGCCGAAGGCTGGCAGTAGTCCCTCGGTCAAAAGCACCTTTGTTTCCTGCTTTGGGACTAGGCCTAATTGATCCAGCCTGAACTTTGGAGACATTAAAAAGAAAATATAAGCAGCGCATCTGGCGGAAGTTTTCGTTTATCGCGGCCAACCGAGAAGTGTGTCCCACTGTTAGTGTTATCATCGTCTTATCGGAGGCAACGCGGAGTGGAGCGGCGACATCATCATCGCTCGTATGAGATCATTGCTGTAATCAAGAACATCCATCCCACCAACACCCGTTTCTTATTCGATTTATCCTTCAAAAACACCTCTACAACATTGCGATACATCCACACGGTTTGCCGATTTGTCCAACACCGTCCGTCTCATTGTACGAAACAAAGTTTTCCCCCTTATCTCTCGACCGATACCTTCAGCTGGTCGGCCACTCGGAGTCCAGCCCACACAAAACGGCCTTCCTCGTTCCCTTTTCCATAGATCGCATCACTCGCATCGCTACTACTATTGCTTCTTCCTCCAACATTCCGACAATTGCTGCTACTTTGACGACACGCCGGCCGATCCCCTGAAAAGTCGGTGTACACATCACAAGCCCGCCTTGCGTTACGCACGACCCCGGAGTCTAGATTGTACCCCCAATCCCCTCCTCTCCCATCCGTCCCCCGCGACATACCATGACCTCGTCAAATGGGAGCCACCAGCGGGTTCCATCCATTGATCCCTTTTCGCACCCTGATGTCTACTACGGCGATGAAGATTCCCTTGCAAGGATCAGAGATCGCCGGCGCGCGTTCTCGACGGTAAGCAGCCACAACGCCTGTGCGGCGACCCCGCGGATCGACGACCCCTGCTCATATTTATTCTACGTGCTTCTAGAGCGTGAAGGACTACAGCCGCGGAGAGATTTCTGAGTTTTTGGGTACTTTACCATCGAGACGGGGAAGTCACGGTATGTATATCACACTCATTGCTTGTTCAATCGGCATGGCGAGGTAGCTAACTGACAGCGCCGACCAGATGAGGCCTCCGGACAGCCTCGCAAGTTCCTTATCAATGTGGATGAGACGCTGGATGCGCTTCTGAAGCAGGAGGATACCGATAAGAATATGCAGATCACGATCGAAGATGTTGGACCCAAGGTGCGCTGCTCGCCGACCACCAGTGATCCGTATTGGCTGCTGACTAGGTTAGGTACTCTCTGTCGGAACTGCAGGATCCTCAGGATACAACCGTGTCGACGTTCGCGGTACCTATATGCTTTCCAACCTCCTCCAGGAGCTTACTATTGCCAAAGACTACGGTCGCAAGCACGTTGTTCTTGACGAGGCCCGTTTGAGCGAGAACCCCGTTGCCCGACTCTCGCGACTCGTTAAGAACTCATTCTGGAAGGCCCTGACTCGACGTATCGATGGCTCCAACATTGAGGTGGCGGGCAAGGACCCCAAGGACTGGACTGATGACCCGCGACCCCGTATCTATATCCCACCTGGTGCCCCGGAACAATTCGAATACTACTCCAAGATCGCCGAGAAACACCCAGAGCTACGACTCGACGTGGTAATGCTTGATGCCGATATCACCCCTGACTATGTCATGAAGCTCAAGCAGAAGCCTGGATTGTTGGCGTTGGCAATGACGAAGCAGCACAACGATAAGACAGGGGAGGACGAATACACTGGTGTTCCGTTTGTGGTGCCAGGAGGTCGTTTCAACGAGCTCTACGGATGGGACAGCTACATGGAGTCCCTGGGTCTCCTCGTGAGCGACCGCGTTGATCTTGCCAAGGGTATGGTAATCAACTTCTGCTTCGAAATCAAGCACTACGGCAAGATTCTGAACGCCAATCGTTCCTACTATCTCACCCGCTCGCAGCCCCCATTCCTGACCGATATGGCTCTGCGGGTCTACGAGCGCATTAAGAACGAGCCTGATTCGAGGGAGTTCTTGCGGAACGCGGTCCTTGCCGCCATCAAGGAGTATTACAGTGTCTGGGCTGCCGAGCCACGACTTGACCCCGTAACCGGTCTCTCACGATATCGCCCCGAGGGTTGGGGTGTGCCGCCAGAGACAGAGCCGACTCACTTCATTCATCTCCTCAAGCCGTACGCTGAGAAACACGGCATGGGCTTCGAGGAATTTGTCGAGGCGTACAACTCACGCGCTGTATTCGAGCCCGAACTCGATGAGTACTTCCTGCATGATCGTGCGGTCCGCGAATCTGGTCACGATACCAGTTACCGTCTGGAGCGGGTATGTGCCAACCTGGCGACTGTCGACCTCAACTCCCTGCTGTACAAATACGAAGTTGATATTGCACGCATTATTCGCATTCACTTCAACGACAAGCTCGAAATCCCAGTTGAATTCCGTACCCCCACGACCAGAGACACCACGACCGAGTCTTCATCGACCTGGGACCGCCGTGCTCGCAGGCGCAAGCAGCGCATGGACCAACTCCTTTGGGACGCCGACAAGGGCATGTTCTTCGACTATGACACCGTCAAGCAGCAACGCACCGACTATGAAACCGCGACTACCTTCTGGGCTTTGTGGGCTGGACTGGCGACGCCCGCACAAGCCGCCACGATGGTGGCCAAGGCTCTGCCTCGGCTCGAAGCTTATGGCGGTCTGGTCTCTGGTACGGAAGAGTCGCGTGGCCCGGTGGGCTTGGAGCGCCCGAATCGGCAGTGGGACTTCCCTTACGGCTGGGCGCCGCAGCAGATGCTCGCGTGGACAGGCTTCCTGCGGTATGGTTACCAGGAGGAAGCTGAGCGGTTGGCATACAAGTGGCTGTACATGATCACCAAGGCATTTGTCGATTTCAACGGTGTAGTCGTGGAGAAGTATGATGTGACCCGCCCGATTGATCCGCACCGAGTGGATGCCGAGTACGGCAATCAGGGAACCGATTTCAAGGGGGCGCCACGTGAAGGGTAAGTTTTGCTCGGCTCTTGCTTTCTCACCCTTTTCTAGAATTTGTGCTTATCCTCGTTGTTCATAGATTCGGCTGGGTTAATGCTAGCTACGTGTATGGCTTGGAGATTCTCAATGCGCACATGAGACGCTCTTTGGGTGCTATCACTCCATACGAGACGTACAAGAAGGCCGTTGATGCGTCGGATGCGTTTTAATTCGGCCATGGTTGGAGACTACGTCTATCTCCGGAGATGACGATTTTGGTAGTCGTTGAACAGAATTGGAAAAAGCATGCATTTAGAAAGTGAGTATTGGATGGACATTTTGGAGAGGCTTGGTTATGTCTTTTATTGGTGCAAGGCGAGGTGTCATGTCAGATAAAGCCAAGTGCCATCGTCTTGGCAATGTCTACTCTGACATGGAAGAACGATGTACAGAGTGATTTGCAACTGCGATGCAATCGAATCACTACTTGATTACTCCATGTTTATCTCTGACGCAATGCAATTTCACTTCCATCAACGAAAACCAAAAACCCCCTCTTAAAAAAGCCTCACTCACTTCCCGAATAGGTCATCATCATACGTAAACCCCGCAATTCACATCCAGTAAGAATTAGTCAAGGTCAAGCTTGACGCCTGGAGTCGGCACCAGCGAAAATAACCCGGCTCCCTTTCGGCAAGGTACCTAACCCGGTCAACCTCCGAACTACAGGTGTTAGGGATCCCGAATTGTAGACGCTAGCATCGGGCTCCCCGCATGAGAAATGCAGCGAGTTAATTTAGTGGCCTATGGTTTGTCTGTACAGAGTATCTGCAAACTTAGGTCCCTCAGGTTCGACAATTCTACGGGAGGGGCAAAGCGTCAGGGCACCCTGGATTTCCCGAGGTTAATTCTCGTCGGCGGTATTATGTATCTGGTGATACAGCGGTGTAACGGTGATTATCTGTTTTCGATATCTTATTTTAGAAGTTATTGATGCGATGTTTATAATTGTATAAATCAATCAGAGTAGTCTGTAGATGTGGGTGCGTCCATCGTTCCTTTTTATATACTCCATCGTTGATGTACAAATAACCTTAAGGTATCTCGGCGTCGAGGTCCTATGGGAATCGCCGAGGGCGGAACTTGAGGGGTGGATGAGTGTACTAATACCGATCTGTCAATTGGAAACCTCAGGAGTACAGTACGACTAATGATGGAATATCACCCGCTATCCATAACACCCCTGTCAGGCCCTGTAATTGCGTAGTCAGCATGAAATGAGCCGAGGTCCAACGAAGAGGGCTTAGTTTTGAGTCATTTCGGGGATCACCAGGTGGATCTGCTAGAAAGTGTATCGGTTTGGTATATTGGAATTGTGGTGTGGCGGTGTTTGCTGTTCCGGTTTAAGTTCGTGCGATTTTAGGCCTCGTGAGGGAAATATAGTCGAAAAATTGGGCCGAGATGAGCAACAGAAGTCTAGAAGATATGTGTAGAGAAACCAGCGATCTGTTTTTGAAATGAGATTTAGTGGTTGTAGGGTATATTAGAAAGAGATGAGAGGTATGGCCAATGTGGATTAAGATCCTGCTCTTCATAATTGTTTAGAAGAGATTAGAATTCGTCTTCGTAGGCTGTCTGGACCGAAGATACTCAAACTCACACAGATGCTCGGTCAGTGGAGATGCCAGCGAATACCGGGGCATAACAGTACCGTATCGATGACTCAGGCAGAGACTGGGTTTCGACATCTTGACATCCTGGACTTTTATACCGATCCCAGTAAGACTTCTAGAACAAAAAAAGGAGGTAGACCGATCGGAGGTCCGATGAAATTGATCACACGACAGGCAATGTGTCTATTAAGTCATATCCCATGCTAGTTTAATCAGGCTCTTATCATGAAACTCGGACAGCAAACCGCACGTGAAAGTTGCGATGTATTGTCACGTATGTCTCGCATGTGTCCAACGACGTCATTTACTTGTTCGCCATCCCGAGTTCTTCACGTCCTTCCAGACGCCTACAAATTGGATATCAGGGGTTTAAAGGAGTAGGAAGTGAATTCCACCAGTATACTATAGAGATACCGATTCAAATTACACTCTCAAAATGTGACTCATAGTGGAAAACCCCCCGCGAAATCCAACATGGTGGCGGGTAGTGTTGCGGATGCTCTCCAGAGCGCCGAGCGCAGCTGGTCCATTAGACCGAGGATCTCCAGAGTCTGGATCCTCTCTTCCGAACCACCGCACCCGCCTTCCGCGTTTCGGAGCGACGCCCGTGAATCCTGGGATTCTACTGGGCATTTGCAAAAGCTGACTGCCCTCTTGAACGGGATTGCCTAGGCATTCCAGGCTTTCGTCTATTGTCCACCCGGTGAGCCGAGTGTTTACCGACCTGATTGACCTCCTGGTGACGCATTCGTAAAGTAAATAAGTACCCCGGGTTTCCCTTCTGGCTTGTGATTGAGCTCTTTTTTTTCCATTCTTGTTCTTTGAACTCGTGTGTTTCTTTTTCTAGCGACAATCTCCCCTCCTCGTCGCATATTTTTCTCTCTTGCTTTGTAGACATTCTTGTCGCATTGCCTATACATCGCTGCTCGACTATAATACTATATTCACCTTTTCGGGTTCATCGTCGCCCCTCCCCCCCCTTTGCTGTATACTATATACCCCTCTCTCTAGAATTACACCATGGGTCTACACGAGGATGAGGACCGCAAGTATGCGGAGGATGTCCAGGCTGTCAAGAACTGGTGGAAGGACTCTCGGTGGCGCTTCACCAAGCGTCCCTTCACTGCCGAGCAGATTGTTGCCAAGCGCGGCAATCTGACTATCAATTACCCCTCCGGTGTTCAGGCAAAGAAGCTGTGGGGTATCTTGGAGAACAACTGGCAGGTATGAGACGAATTGCGGCAATTGCGAATAACGAGAACATCTGCTAACACCGAGTTCACCGTGAATAGAACAAGGAGGCTAGCTACACCTATGGCTGCCTTGAGCCCACAATGATCACCCAGATGTGCAAGTTCCTGGATACCATCTACGTTTCCGGCTGGCAGAGCTCTTCCACGGCCTCGTCCACTGACGAGCCCTCTCCCGATCTTGCGGATTACCCTATGGTAGGTGCAGCCGAGCTAGAAATGCCGAGGTCAAGAAGAATGAAAACTAACAATCAATTCGACAGGACACTGTCCCCCGCAAGGTTAACCAGCTGTTCATGGCCCAGCTCTTCCACGACAGGAAACAGCGCGAGGAGCGCATCACTACCCCCAAGGACCAGCGCTCCAAGGTCGCCAATGTCGACTACCTCCGTCCCATCATTGCCGATGCCGACACTGGTCACGGTGGTCTGACTGCCGTCATGAAGCTCACCAAGCTGTTCGTCGAGCGTGGTGCAGCTGGTATTCACATCGAGGACCAGGCTCCCGGTACCAAGAAGTGCGGCCACATGGCTGGCAAGGTCCTGGTCCCCATCAGCGAGCACATCAACCGCCTGGTTGCCATCCGTGCCCAGGCCGATATCATGGGCACCGATCTCCTCGCCATTGCCCGTACCGATTCCGAGGCCGCCACGCTTATCACCTCCTCCATTGACCACCGTGACCATGCCTTCATCGTCGGCTCTACCAACCCTAACCTCCAGCCCTTGAACGACCTGATGGTTGCTGCCGAACAGGCCGGCAAGAACGGGCCCGAGCTGCAGGCCATTGAGGACCAGTGGACTGCCCAGGCTGGTCTCAAGCTGTTCAACGACGCCGTCATTAACACCATCAATGCTGGCTCCCACTCCGATAAGAAGGGTCTGATTGAGAAGTACCTCAAGGCTGCCAAGGGCAAGGGCAACAACGAGGCCCGCGCCATCGCCAAGGGTATCACCGGTGTTGACATTTACTGGAACTGGGATGCTCCCCGTACCCGTGAGGGTTACTACCGCTACCAGGGTGGCACTCAGTGCGCCGTGAACCGTGCCATCGCCTATGCTCCCTTCGCCGATCTGATCTGGATGGAGAGCAAGCTGCCCGACTACAAGCAGGCCAAGGAGTTTGCTGATGGTGTTCACGCCGTCTGGCCCGAGCAGAAGTGAGTCATCCCTTTCGTCTCAACTGATTTTTTTCAATCTGTCATTGTACTAACATATCTCTTCTCCCTCCAGGCTCTCCTACAACCTCTCCCCCTCGTTCAACTGGAAGAAGGCCATGCCCCGCGACGAGCAGGAGACCTACATCAAGCGCCTGGGTCAGCTGGGTTACTGCTGGCAGTTCATCACCCTGGCCGGTCTGCACACGACCGCGCTCATCTCGCACCAGTTCGCCAAGGCCTATGCCCAGAACGGCATGCGTGCCTACGGCGAGCTGGTCCAGGAGCCCGAGATGGAGCAAGGTGTCGACGTCGTCACTCACCAGAAGTGGAGTGGTGCCAACTACGTCGACAACCTGCTTAAGATGGTCTCTGGTGGTGTGAGCAGCACTGCTGCTATGGGCAAGGGTGTGACCGAGGACCAGTTCAAGAACTGAGCAGAGTTGTGCTCCGTCATAATCGTTTAGTAAAGTGATGAAGCGCAGTTGTATATCTGTTGGGATTCATTGCGGCGTTTTCGTTTAACCTTTTTTTTCTTTGTTCTCTTTTCCTTCCCATATTTCTGTCATGTTTGATATAGTCTCGACTTGACCTGATTCCCCATCGGCATACCCTTGGAGACGAGCCGAGTGTCATTTTTTGCATAGTTTGAAAATTTCATGCATCAGTTATTTTGAGCAAACGTCTTGGGTGCGCCATACTGTAGATAACGTAGAGAAATTCAATCAATCTAGTCACCTGCCACTTCTCACGGAGAGTTAGTTACCCCGACGCTCTTCGTACGGGGTATAAGGTTCGGAATTTGGTGTTGCCCTTGCGAACTCGTCGGGAAGATCAACTCATCGTTTCGTTTAGTTATTGAGCCACGTCCAATCAGAGACGCCACACGGGCGGGCGCCAATCCCAGCGGGGCCGTGTGAAGCCGCGGTTGAAGGACCCTGTGGAGTTTAACAACGGTCGGGCTGGGCGAGGGGTGGTCGTGAGAGCTGTAACAACAAAGAAAAGCAGTGTAGAACGTGAGATAGAATAGCCTGAATCAATCAGTTTATCTGCAAAGGTTAACCTTGAGCTTGAGCAAGCATCATACCATCCAGCCGTGGAGCAAGTAAATTGCAGACTAAAAAAAAAAGGAGTCGGAGATCGACAGTCTGCATAAGCAAATAAGCCGAGCGGAGTGCATGTGCCATGCGGAGAACTCTCCCTCTTAAGAAGCCCCTCCGCCCTAGAGCTTCTTTCCCGCCTGGACTCCATTTACCCCCTTAAATTCTTTTTTCTATCTCTATCGAAGTCAATATGGGTGTCCAGCTTCCTGACTTGCAATTTACCTCGCTCGAGGCCATTCCCGAGCGCATCTCTACCGTTCGCAAGTCCTTCTTGGAGAACAGGACCCGCGATGTCGAGTTCCGTCTCGTTCAGCTTCGCAAACTCTACTGGGCGTGAGTACCTTCGCAGAAACGATAAATATACCCCTGTCTTGGTTGAAAGTTGATGGGTTGACGTTTTCTGCAGCATCAAGGACCACGAGGAGGAGATCGTCGAGGCTTGCGCCCAGGACCTGAACAAGCCGCGTTTCGAGGCCGAGTACGCCGAGAGCGGTTGGCTGCTCAATGATATCGTCTTCACCTCGCGCAACCTGCACAAGTGGGTGAAGGATGAGAAGGCTCCCGATATTGAGCTGACCTTCAAGTTCATGAGCCCCAAGATCCGCAAGGATCCTCTCGGCTGCGTCTTGGTCATTGGGTAGGTGATCTTATTTCCCCCGGACGAAGACCCCGGTGGCACCACAGCAGGTTGATCATTTGCTTACTTTTCTCCGACTCGATATAGTGCCTTCAACTTCCCCTTCCAGCTCACTATGGGCCCCGTCATCGGTGCCATCGCCGCCGGTAACACCGTCGTCATCAAGCCCTCCGAGAACGCTCCCCGCAGCGCTGCCGTCATGCAAAAGATCTGCGAGGCTTCCCTCGACCCATCCTGCTACTCCATTGTTCAAGGTGGTGTCCCCGAGACACAAGCTCTTTTGGCTGAGCGCTGGGATAAGATCTTCTTCACTGGTGGTGCCAACGTTGGTCGTATCATCGCCAAGGCCGCGGCCCCTCACTTGACCCCTGTCGTCCTCGAGCTGGGCGGTATCAACCCGGCCATTATCACCAAGAATGCCGACCCGCGCCTGGTTGCGCGCCGCATGCTTTGGGGCAAGACCCTGAACGCTGGCCAAGTTTGCACATCGCAAAACTACCTGCTCGTTGATAAGGAAATTGTGCCCCGCGTCGTGGAGGAGTTTAAGAAGGCCTATGACGAGTTCTACCCTAAGGGTGCAAAGGAATCGCCCGATTACTCGCGTATTATCAATGAGACTCACTTCCAGCGCCTCAAGTCTATGCTCGATAACACCAAGGGCAAGATCCTGCTTGGTGGTACCATGGACGAGAAGGAGCTCTTCATCGAGCCCACCGTTATTCAGGTCGACTCCGTTGAGGACTCATTGTGCTCACAGGAGAGTTTCGGTCCTTTCATTCCTATTCTGCCCGTCGAGAACATGGACGAGGCTATCAACCTCGCCAACGGCGTTCAGAGCACCCCCTTGGGCTTGTATCCGTTCGGTTCCAAGGCTGAAGTTGCCAAGAGTAAGAACCATCTCGCACAGACTCTCCAACAATCCTAAATCTAACCATTTCTCTAGTCATCGCCTCCACCCGCTCTGGTGGTGTCTCTTGCAACGATGCCGCCCTCCACATCCCCACCCTGCCCTTCGGTGGTGTCGGCGAGAGTGGCTACGGTGCCTACCGCGGCCGCTCCAGCTTCGATGTCTGGGTGCACCGCCGCCCCATCACCAGCACCCCCAGCTGGCTCGAGTCTATCCTCGCTATCCGCTACCCTCCCTACGCTGGTAAGCTGAGCAAGTTCAAGGCTGCCAACACCCTGGTACCCGACTTTGACCGTAACGGTCAAAAGGTGACGCTCGGCTGGCTGCGCTTCATCTTGACTCTGGGTGGCGGGAGTGCGAAGGCCGGAGCTGGCCGTGCTGCTGTTGTTGCTGCCAGTGAGTAGATACCCATCTTTTCCTCTTTTTGCTTTTTTTCTGGCCCCGATCTTGGTTTCACGATCTACACGATCTATATCCCCTTTTGCTTTTTTTGATCATGTCATTCGACATCTTTTCCTATGTCTTTTTATATCTCGCTCGATTCTGCCTTTTCACGACGGATGGAGACGACATCTAGTGATTTGGGCTCATACTACGGCGTGTCCCCATGTCAACATGTCAATGCCCTAATCAGCCATCTGAGGCTATTTGATACCCCCGTATACCCCTCTTGAAACGTTGATTTTGTGCTCTACCTTTCTCTGGCTCTACAGCCAATTCACATTCCTCCCACCCACACACCCTTTCTCCTCATCCCTTTCGTTCTCCCCCAAATCCCCTCCCCCCAAAACTTGATACCTAGAGGCAAAACCGCGTACCCTTAAGTGTCTTAATCTTAATTGAATCTACCTCTTCTCATCCTGTCTGTCCTGTCTGGTTTCCGCACGCGCTGTACCACTCCATTCCAAAAGGGGGCCTTCTTGCGAAAAAAACGGAAATCTGTCTAACGTGCTCGGTAGTTGCCTACTTCGTCCTTCAAGTCCTCGAAAAGCGATCGTCGAAATTGTGATCTCCGTGTGGAGAGAATCCGACCAATGGGTGAATTTGGAGACCCATTTAGGTTGGACTTTTAGCTTTTGGATGGGGTTTCTCATTTTTGTGTAATTATTTATATGTAGCAAATTGTCCAGACGGGGGGTCATGTGAACTGCAATTGAAATGCAGTGTCACTGTAGCGTGTTACTATTTTGATCTCTCCTATGTGTAGCTATGCTTCAGCATAGTTTTAACAAGAACTATTGAGCTATCAACTCTAACTCTTCATTCCCTCGTCAATTCATCATTATTTCCCGTGGCTCTTTAAATAGCCATATTAGCACATGTAAACGCAGGCGTCGTAGCCCCTGAGTAATCGGCAATGATAGCCTCCACCGCGGCATACAGGCCCGGTCCAAGGATAAAAAGTCCAACGATCATAATAAAGACATTAACAAGCGTCATAGTCGTTCTGGTCAAACCGGCGAACAATTGTCCCCGGTTAAGCTGCCAATAAGCGACAGCGAAGAAAATGAATCCAAAGAACGAATCGAAAGCTGCGCTGAGCAGGGAGAGGAAATCACCCATGCTGGGGACAACCTCGGAGAAGATGAAGGCAATCAACCAGATACCAATCATAATCAGACCCCAAACGCCCCATCCGATAACGGTGTTGCTGTGAGCATGTCTGGATTTACCCAGGACTTGGCTATATATGAATTTGGCTGTGACATTGGCGTATATCACGCCGATGATGAGCGTAGGCACGATGACAAAGCCGAATGAAGCCTTCTTATATGCGGTCACACCGAGACTGCCAAAAGCAGGCGCCGTGGAGTACTGTCCCAAATACCTGAAGCCAATCGCCGGGGGTACGATGAATAGGATGGCCGAGATACCTGCGAGAACGGCGAGGGCCTTGGGGAAGTCCTGCGGGCGTTCCATTTCAGCGATGAAGGTTGGAAAGAGGATTTGTGGGACCCATAGGAAGGTGATGTTCAGCACGGCATTCATGCAGTTGACCCAGGTCGTGCCGGGTAGTGGGAAGGCGTAGGTCTTAACGGGCCCATCGGTGGGATAGTCGCCGTTGTACCCGTACAACGGGGCTTTTTCAATTCCGGCAAAGATGAGGAAGAGAAGAATGGCGATTCCCATGCATGCAGCTTTAGCGCTGGTGTTAGCAGAAATACAACATTTATCACAAGGAACGGCCGGTACTGACAGGAAAACATTGACATGAAGCTAACATGGTGTAGAGTCCGTGGTGCGGACATGATAATGCCCATGATAGTCGCAATGACGGAGAAGACAGCTGTGCATAGCGTGTGGCCCGATAGAGTATTCAAGACCTTGGCTCCGGTGAGAACGTGGAATCCGATCAGCAGAATATTGTTGGCGAGAAGCATGAAGGCCGAGAAGACGTAGGCTCCCTTGCTTTGCCCGAACACGTAGTATCCGAAATCACCTGAGTATCAAGCATCGATTAGTATGAGCTCACGCTCACGGAGGCTGTTAATCTTGCCCTCGGCGATTGATCTTCACTCACAGATATCCTTGATTTGCGGGTGCTTCATGATATACTTGTGCATGGTGATAGAAGTAATCCAGAACAAAACACCGGCGAGGACCATGGTAATTATACCGGGAACCCATCCGAGGACTCTGTACGCGCAATCAAACGTTAGTCTAAAGGACCTTGTCCTCATTGAGAATTGCATAGGATGCATTAACTCACGATAGAGACCAGGATTGCGCCATGATAGCCAGGCAGACCTGGTCGCCGGCCAACAGAACGGCGGTTTTCTGCCATGACATGGTTCGCAGCTTGATTTCATGTTCGTGATCTAGATAAGCACCGTTAGAATCGAAAAGACCCAAAATCAGTCTGTTTCGGAGAGGCGTCGCCGTACCTTCAGCCACGAGAGCTGTGATCGTGTCGAGCGAGCTTGTCTCGTCAACCTCTGTGCCTGACACATCGCCTGGCTGTTGTTTCTCGTCGATCTCTTTGATCTTAGACATGATGAATGAGGGAGGGACGGAGAGGGCAAGATAGTCAGGCGCGCAGAAGAGTAAAAGGTAGAAAGAAGAAACCAGCAAAGTTCTCGATCTACAGACCCTGCAGCATTTAAAGCAAGCCGACCCCGGTAATCAGAAAGAAAAAAAAATAGAAAAAAAAATTACACGTGGATGACAGGGTCGTGATTAACTCGCGCCATAATTGCCTTTATTTAGCGAACGAGTTGCACTATGCTACGAGATTCCTAGTCTAGGTTCCGTACCTATCAGGGAAGCTGGTAGGGTACCTATTCGCGTCCCACGGATCCATCCCGAGTCCAGAGGCCTGGAAAGCAAGCGGAACACGAGTAGAATCTAGCCATAGAACGACAGGCGCAGTCGCGGACTTGCAATGGCGTGATAATTAAGCAAATCGCGAATCGACGATTAAGCGGACCAGTTGGGTTTAGTGCTGTGCGGGCTGCGTGGGCTTATCGGCCTGGCCGGACTGGTTGACAGACAAGTTTTGTTGAACCTGCAGTCTGACTGGTGGTGATTGGGTGTCTGTGGTCAGATCGAAAGATGTGCATATGGAAGTTTTGAATTTCGTGCAACTATGGCCGACGAAAGGGCAGCTAATTCACTGGCTTATGATGTTGCCGTGGCTTTGGGGTAAGTTTGGGTCGGGCGGCATTTGCGGAAAATGAGTAGCTGAGAGATCACAGCCCTAGTAACCTTGCAGGAAATATATGTAGATGATCGAGATCAAACTCAGGCTTAACTTTGGGGCCGAAGATGGATGTATATTTTGGTATAGCACCAGAGCTTCTCTGTGCCGAAACTCGCCCTAGAACATGACCAGAGACTTTTCACAGAGTTAGTCCTGTACTCAGCCCAGCATAGGATATCTAGTTGGATTTGTAGAACATTTCACCAACATTAAACAGCGTGCTCAGGCCTACCTAACGCAACAACAAATTACCCCCACAAGCCATCCTCTAACATGGAAAGATAATACACATCCCATAGATCCCCGTCCCGGCCTCAGCCGCTCGCGAGACTTCATTTGCTATTGTGAAATATGTACCTAGGAGGCCTCAACTAGACTTCCCTGGATCCCCCTGTCCATTTTAGCTCTCATCCAAGCTTTCCCCACGAACGGACCAAACTTGGCGGCTGATTGGGCGGACTTACGTCGCTCTTATATAGGATGTAGAGTAGTTTGGATAAGTTGGGGGTGGACCAGGGTCTGGCAAGGGTCCTGGCCGGGGAATAGGTAAAAGTCATGGACTATGGATGTATTTTCCGGTTTATTTGGGGGGCCTAGATCTATGTGTGTTTTGAATAGTATATCATTCGTTATTCATGCCGCCACATCACAATTCTTGACTTCATGATCGCCTCATAAATTTCACATTTGTATTTTCCGAAATCAAGAATCCGTGTTAACAGCGTCGCTCCACTCCGCGTTTGCTTACACAGAGGTATTTCACCCCCTTATATGGCTTGACACTCTCTCCTAGACCACGACTGCGGCGTTGATCAATGTTTAGACTCTCGACCTTGATACCGGATGGAAGCCAGCCGCGCACGGAGAAGGAGACCGAGGCTGAGTTCGGCATCAGGCTGGCGTTGATTTGGGCTTTGGTTCTGCGGGGAGTAGAGCGGAAGGTAGAAGAAGAAGGCGTGAAGAAGGCTGGAAGCTGAGAGGAAGAGTGCGCGAGGGCTTGAGGTTGCGGTGTGTGAGGTTTGGAATGGTTGGGGGATGGAGTTTTAGCTTTGGTTCGTTCTTCCGATGCGCCGTCAGCAGGGGTCTCCCCGGTTTCTTCAGCCGCCCGGGACTTTTTGCTGGACTTCTTCTTTTTCTTCTTTCGTTTGGAAGGGTCTCGGCTCTTCCTGGTAGTGCTGGTAGATGGGTCATAGGAAGTAGGGGCCTCGTAGTAGCCCTGAAGGAGGTTTGTATCGGCATCTTCATCCTCTAGACTATCGTCCAGATCTTCATCCGGGGACGGGTAGCCGGACACAGTACAGCGAAGGGTTGCGGTACCGGATATCGTCCCAGCATCCTTGCCTGTCGGAACTCGCCATTCGAGAAGACCGCTAGCATGGGTGAACTGCGCATCACCGCGACTGGCCTGCATGTCCGTGATGTGCCGCACAGATTTAGAAATAGGAACGGTCACGACTACCTCCTCCAGAACCGGCCCAGAGGAGTTTCCGCTACCGCCACCAAGGAAGGAGGGCGTTGATGTTCCCGATCCACCGCGCGACGCAGCTGGCCGCGATGATGAAGTCTGCCCCGGGAAGTTTGTATTCAGAGTCAGTCGTACTTCAAAGTCTGCACCGGAAGGTCCCAGTCCCTTTCTAATATCCACAATCGCAGGAAGGAACAGCTTCTCCATGTGACTAGGCGGTTGATCGAGACTCGGGTCTATGGGGAGTAGATCCACTTCATAGCCTGCTAGAATAAACCGTCCATCCGGAGGTACAAAGCTGAGCTCACCCGGTCGATCCCGCCAACGAGCTAGGCGAACACACGGGTGGAACACGGGTAGTTCAATCTTGCGCGCGAGGGATTGTTGACCACCTGGCGCTGATAATGACAGAAGCAAATCCGGCACACCAGATATCTTTGCGGTGAAGGCGATAGTCCCCGAAACCAATGCGGAAAGTAACCTGCCAGAAGGAGCCATTGTCACAGATAAAGATTCGATGATATCGACATATAGCTCATTGGAGGTGTGTCGAACCCCAGAGCGCCGCCATGGAATTGCGGGGCCTTGGGCTGCGCTGGCTGCAGCCAGCGATTGCTTTAGAGGGTTGGTTGTTCCAAGCGTAGGCGCCGATGTGCTAAGTAAAACACAGAGATTATCAGAAAGCTGTTCCGCATGAATCGCCAGGGCTCGGTGCTTACCCAGGCACGCTGATACCTCCGAGGAGCTTCCCCATCCACCCCGGCACCTCCACGACTTCTTGCAAGACATTGGGCTCGGTGTTACACACCACTCCGCCATCACATATCTCATGAAGTAGCTGGGCTACAACCTCATAATTGGCTTGTATCTTGGTAGATAGCAATGGAGCGCCGACAAACTCCTCGAGTACATCGACCACGCGATGCAGGAACTCCAGAACCAAGAGCGGCTCCGTATCTACCTCGGACACAGCGAGGAACAGAAGATTGGACTGCACAGTTGAGAAAACTGTCACTGGAGGTGTAGTCCCGGGGAGATATATCAAGGACGGTCGCGGGGCAGCATGAGCGAGGTAGAGGGGCAGGATGGCCGCGGCCGATGGCGGGCGGGATCGGTAAACATGCTCGACGAGAGGGGCGCTAGAAGAGGGATGTCAGTATGATTTTGTGCTGGCAAGTCAAATAGCATACTTGTGCTCGTCAAATATGTAGAGGGCATCGATCTCGCCGCTCATGGTGACAGTTGTCTGGGGACAAGATGCCTTTGCGCTGTATAGCTCGATATGAAGCTGTGCATTCTGCCGTCGAGTCCCGCCTTATGATTACTTTTTGGCTGCGCTCGAGGCTCCCCCGATAAAATCACCGCCATATCAAAACATATTGAAGTCTGAGGAGTGCATCGGTCGCTTCGGTTTAGCTTTGAATCTCTCTCAAGAATCTGTTACATGCAAAATGTCGTCGCCTTCAGAAGATCGCACCGCCAAGCAGGCGATTGCCGATGACAAGTGGGACGACTGTATGTCCTGCAGAGTTACTGGTAGGTTTGAATATGCTCAAAGATCGCCAGGGTTATACATTTGTTTACTGATCGTATCTCTACAGGATCTGCTGCATTCGTCGGTCTTGGAGTCTACAGCTACTACACTGGCATGAGCAACCTCCGCAAGCAAGAACAGGCCATCATGCAAGGCTCAACAAAGTATAAGATGGGATCGCGACGACTTGGCATTGCCACTATTTCGGCCAGTCTGATTGGCCTGGGAGTCTGGCGGGCCTTCAATTGATCTTTCCAAATATGGAGTCTACATCTATGCTACAAAAGCACTGCAAGGCATAGACTAAGTCTACTTTCTACGAGGTTTTGTACGATATACAGGAAGGAGATAGTTTGGGGTTATATGTATGATATGATATTGATTTGTTGAACCATCACGATTAATGATAGCTGCCACACCGGGTATCACCGTAACACAATTCCTCTATATGCTGTATGGCAGGTATAAGAGAAAGAAAGGGGAAGGGAAGACAGGAAGTGAAAGGAAGCATGAAGAGGAAGAAAAGAAAGAAAACCCAAAGGATGTAACCAGACAAGAACAGGAAGATGCAAAAAGAAGCTATATATGTATGCAAGAATTCACCTTCCCCCAAATATGCACCCGAAAAAAAAACACCCCAAAGTGGCCACCCAGCTGCTGCGTGACAATCAGAAGAAAAAGTTCGTCATTTCGTCGAGTTCGTAGAGCCTAGTATAACTGGTTTCTAGGTAAACCGGCTGCGTTTCCCTCCTCCAAACGTGTTGTCCCTTCCACTCGGTAGGCTAGATAGGTCAAAGAAGTCGGGAAAGGTGAATTTCCTCTTGGATCCTAGGCTGGCTGGAGTCTCTCGTGGGGGAGGCCGCACGTTGGGACAGGGGTGGTTGTGGTTGTGGTTATGGCCGTGGCTGTGGCGATGGGATTGGCGGGGGGTTCGAGGCATCAAGGAGACGCTGACGGGCGCACCATCCTGCGATGGCGAGGTAGAGTTGTCCGATGATTGCATGTCCATATCAAGTTCCTGGCACTGGGGGAAGGTCGGCCCTGCAGTGAATGTGAACACTGTCGGCGATGCAGTAGGATTGTTGTCTTGTGGTTGCGGTGCGGCGGCGGTAGTCTCTGGCCGAGGCGCGGCGGTAGGGACGGAAGCGGGTTGCGGACGAGGTGTAGGTTCTTGTGCTGGTGTTTCCTTGCGGGTGGCAACTGGCGTAGCACTTCGATCCAGCTTCTCCGAGTCCACTCGCTCATCCTCATCACTCGTCAGGGATGCCGTGCCATCACACTTCTCGGTTGCCCATTGCCTGACTTTCCACCCCTCACCATCGCCAAGGCCTAGGTTCTCACGGTCCAAAAAGTGGAGCAAATCTTCGATAGCTTCCTGATAGCCAGCAGACCTCGCCTGGGCTTGTTCACAGACAGCATTCTTGTATAGGTTGGTGACAGAGAGGGCTGCCGCTTTGAATGACTGGAGCAGTTGCTCGGACGGCTGCGGGCGCGGTGTTGATTTCGGCAAAGAAGTGTTTAGGGATCTCATGGAGTCCATGGTGGATGAAAGATGGCGCAAAGCACCAAGGAAGACGTGTGTAGAGTAGGAGGCAAGCGATGTTGTCACCGGCGAGTCAGATGTAACGGGCCGTGCTTCAAAGGCGATGTTGCCACAAATCAGTTCAACAAAGGGAAATAGACAGTATATAAAAGGAAAGAAGTGCTGGCCCCGAGTTGGAATGAAACTGGGAAGGAGCCAAATCGAATCCTCAACTCCTGTAGTCGTAAGGGTGTCGTCAAAAAGGTCGGAGGAGGGGGCTAATCACTAGCAAGTACCCGTCGCTGCAGATGATCTTCTGCGCTTTTTGCACTGACCCGGTAACGTGACCCCACCTTGCGGGGAAATCTATTTTCCGAAGTGCTGGTAACTCGCTGAGTCAGCTCTGCACGGGAGGCTGCCTGGGGCCAATCAGCGCGTGTCCACTCGCCGCGCTCTCCAGTATTCTTCGGCGCGCCTGGCGTTTCTCTTGCGCTTTCATCCGTCCAACTTCCCCTCTGCACCTGAGCCAGACTCTCAATTCCCTTCGATTCCTTGGGCCCAGTCGAATTTTCTGGAACTAGTGTGCCTTTACTTCGAATTGTTTTCAAGGACTGGAATCTGTGCAAGTTCTATCGAAGTGCGCGACTGGATATTAAACTTGAGACGTTGATTGTGCCTTCATTGCATCGACCTTTGCGCTCCGCGCACCGAACACAACGATGGCGCCAGCCCCGACCGACTCGCCATCGCAGGCAGATACTCCTATGACGGACGCATATGATGATGTTATTCCGTCGATTCCTGTCGACAGTGCTGACGCGCCTCAGGTATGAGATGCTCTTCCGGACCCTTGAAGTTTCATATCAGGTGGCGGGAGTCAATTCTCCCCAGCGCCATTCTGATTCAATGTCCGTTTCTTCGAGCATTCACTAATTTTGACACGTTTCTAGAGCTACCAAGACACCCCCGACTACACGGTAATCATGGACTGGTTTCTAAATACATCGATATATAGATGGGTGACTGATAGCATTTCTTTTCTAGGATTCGGACACCAACCCCAACACAACTGCTAGCAGCGTCGCAGGCGACCTCCAAGCAGATGGACGCCGTCGCAGATCTGAGGCTACCCAGCTGAGGAAAAGCATTCTGGGCAAGAAGCACGGTCGTTTGGACGAGTCCAAGGTACGCAGTAACCTTATCTCGCAGCCTTCCTTTGTTCAGCCAACTAATAATGAAATCTACTTGTAGGAAGATGATTCGATTCGCCGATTCCGCTACCTTCTCGGTCTGACCGACCTGTTCCGCCACTTTATCGAGACCAACCCCAACCCCCGTATCAAGGAGATCATGGCCGAGATTGACCGTCAGAATGAGGAGAAGGCAGGAAAGGCCCGCAAGGGCTCTTCGCGCTCTGGTGGTGCGAGCGGTGATCGACGCCGTCGGACCGAACAAGAAGAGGACGCCGAACTCCTGCAAGATGAGAAGCGGGGCGGAGACACCACCACTGTGTTCCGCGAGTCACCTGCATTCATCCACGGCCAACTTCGTGACTACCAAATTGCTGGTCTGAACTGGCTCGTGTCTCTCCATGAGAACGGTATTTCCGGAATTTTGGCCGACGAGATGGGTCTTGGAAAGACACTGCAGACCATCTCATTCTTGGGCTACCTGCGCTTCATCTGTGATATTAGCGGACCGCACTTGGTTGCCGTACCCAAGTCCACCCTCGACAACTGGAAGCGTGAATTTGCCAAGTGGATTCCCGACATCGACGTCCTTGTTCTGCAGGGTGACAAAGATGAGAGACAGCGCTTGATTAACGAACGATTGGCGGACGAGAATTTCGATGTCTGCATTACCAGCTACGAGATGATCCTTCGAGAGAAATCTGCCCTGAAAAAGCTCCCCTGGGAGTACATCATCATTGACGAGGCCCACCGTATTAAGAATGAGGAGTCCTCCCTATCCCAGATCATTCGTCTCTTCAACTCCCGCAACCGGCTGTTGATTACCGGAACTCCGCTGCAGAACAATCTGCACGAGCTTTGGGCTCTGCTCAATTTCTTGCTCCCAGATGTCTTTGGAGATTCTGAGGCCTTCGACCAGTGGTTCTCTGGCCAAGACTCTGACCAAGATACCGTGGTGCAACAACTGCACCGTGTCCTGCGGCCATTCTTGCTTCGACGTGTGAAGAGTGATGTCGAAAAGAGTCTGTTGCCGAAGCAGGAAATGAATCTTTACGTTCCCATGGCTGAAATGCAGCGGAAATGGTACCAGAAGATTCTCGAGAAGGACATTGATGCAGTCAACGGTGCTGGTGGCAAGCGCGAGTCCAAGACTCGTCTGTTGAACATTGTCATGCAGTTGCGCAAGTGCTGCAATCACCCGTACTTGTTCGAAGGTGCGGAGCCTGGCCCTCCATACACCACTGATGAGCATCTCGTGTACAATTCTGGAAAGATGTCGATTCTTGACAAGCTTCTGAAGCGCATGAAGGCGGATGGCAGTCGTGTGCTTATTTTCTCGCAGATGAGTCGTGTCCTCGATATTCTGGAAGATTACTGCGTGTTCCGCGAGTACAAGTACTGTCGCATTGACGGTACCACGGCTCATGAGGACCGCATTGCAGCTATTGATGACTACAACAAACCCGGGTCGGAGAAGTTCATTTTCCTTCTGACCACGCGTGCTGGTGGTCTGGGTATCAACTTGACTACCGCCGATATCGTGGTGCTCTTTGACAGCGACTGGAATCCCCAAGCTGATCTGCAGGCCATGGACCGTGCCCACCGTATTGGTCAGACTAAGCAGGTGAAGGTCTTCCGGTTTGTTACTGAAAATGCCATTGAGGAGAAGGTCCTGGAGCGGGCGGCCCAGAAACTACGCTTGGACCAGCTTGTCATCCAACAGGGCCGGGCTCAGCAAGGCTCTAACAAGGCCGCTTCAAAGGATGACCTGCTTGGTATGATTCAGCACGGTGCCGCCAATGTCTTCAGCAATCAAGACGCCACCGAAGACGGCTCAAAGGACCTTACCGAAGACGACTTTGACTCTATCCTTCGAAAGGGCGAAGAAAGAACGGCCGAGTTGAATAAGAAGTATGAGGCACTGGGTATTGATGACCTACAGAAGTTCAGCTCCGAGAGCGCATACGAATGGAATGGCAAGGATTTCACCGACCGCAAAAAGGACATTGGTATGACTTGGATCAACCCTGCCAAGCGTGAACGCAAGGAGCAGTTCTACTCCATCGATAAGTACTACCGTCAGGCGTTGGCCACCGGTGGTCGCACCGCCGACACCAAGCCGAAGGTACCTCGCCCACCAAAGCAGATTACCATTCATGACTGGCAGTTCTTCCCACCTGAACTGCAGGAGCTTCAGGCGCAGGAGACTGCCTGGCACCAGAAGCAGATCGGCCACAAGGCTGAGCTACCAGAGGGTCCGGAGGAAACTCTGAGCGAGCGCGAGGCGGATCGAGAGCTGGCGCAATACACCATCGACAATGCCCAACCTCTGACGGAGGAAGAGCAAACCAAGAAGACGGCCATGACAGAGGAAGGCTTCTCAAACTGGAACCGTCGTGACTTCCAACAGTTTGTCAACGGATCAGCCAAGTTTGGACGCACCGACTACGAGGGCATTGCCACCGAAATTGATAGCAAGGAGCCTGATGAGATCGAGGAATACGCCGCGGTCTTCTGGGAACGCTACTCTGAGATCGAAGATTACACCAAGTACCTACGGGTGATTGATCAAGGAGAGGAGAAGTTGCGGAAGATGAACCACCAGCGCAAGATGTTGCGCAAGAAGATGGAGATGTACCGCGTGCCTCTACAGCAGCTCAAGATCAACTACACCGTGTCTACGACCAACAAGAAGGTTTATACCGAGGAGGAGGACCGCTTCCTACTGGTCATGCTTGACAAGTACGGTGTCGAGGGTGATGGCTTGTTTGAGAAGATCCGGGACGAGGTTCGCGAATCTCCTCTATTCCGCTTTGACTGGTTCTTCCTCAGCCGTACCCCCGTTGAAATCAGCCGCCGCTGCACGACGCTGCTCAACACCGTTGCTAAGGAGTTTGAGCCCGACACCAAAGAGGGCAAGGACACCAAGGCCAATGGCGAGGGCAAAGGCCGCGGTCGCGCCCGTGATGAGGAAGAAGAAAACGATGACGCGGCACCTGCAAAGAAGAAGGCTAAGAATGGCGCTACAGTAAGTACTCGCATCGTGGCGATGGTAACCGATCACCTTATCTAACCCAATTATTCTAGGCTAAACAAGCTAAGCCCGCCAAGGGTGGTGGTAGCAAGAACGCTTCCACGACGAACTCTCGGGCGGGTAGCGTTGCCAACGCACCCAAGTCCAAGAGCCGAAAGCGCTGAAGTGACTAAACCAGTATCTTGTATTTTCCCCGGTTGTGTTGCTATTCGGAGGTGGGGAGGGGTCTGCGTTTTGGATATCAGGGATCGGCGTTCAGATGATTAACTGTGTCATGCCAAATTAAAGATAGTAGAAAGTAATTCAAGGCTTATCTTGTGGTTTCTGCAACCCCCTCTTCCCTAGTGCCCCTGCAGCGCGAGGCGCCCCCGCTCGCCTGGTACACTCTTTGCCGATCCGACACCAAGGAATGCTACGTCGATCGGCACTGGGCACTAAAACCCACGCTAACAAAGGCCCTGTCACCTGCGATGACGAAAGTCCCCATACACAAGAGGCAGGACATGCACAACAACAGGGCCCAGAGGCAAATGACCCCGTCTCTAGGCAGTCCCACTCAAGATAAAACGACAATGGACCCACGATTTCAGCCAGCCCCGTCATTGCTGGCTCACGCCATATTAAGACCTATACTGAGTATATATAGCCTGTACAGTCTACAGTAGTCCCAGCCATGTCAATCATCAAGTTTCTCAAATCCAAACTGTGTCGCAAACCTCCAACCATGACTGCTACTAAGATCAAGGTGATTCCCAACCCGCGCTACCAGAAGTCGGGCACCAAGTCGTATGTGCATTTGATGCGAAAGTATGGCTTCCACCCAACTAAGGAAGGCCCTTATACCATCGGCACGATGATGCAGCAGACTGGACGCCAGTACACTGATAAGCCTATTGGGGGCCGGGTTCATGCTCGTCAAGTCCTGCAGAAAAAGAGTGCCGATGCCAGCCAGACTGGAGAGGTTGGCGCCGACGATGTGCAGAATGATTCCATGTATCTGGCTCAGATCGGTATTGGTACCCCTGCACAGAATCTGAACCTTGATTTTGACACTGGATCTGCGGATCTATGGGTAAGAGATGAGCATTTGGAGCCTTTCACCCATTGCGAGATTTAATAGACTAATATGGGGTATAGGTCTGGTCAACAAAGTTGCCATCTGCCACGCTGTCCGAGAATAAGAATCATACAGTCTTTGACTCCAGCAAGTCGACCTCATTCAAGAACAAAGATGGTTTCACATGGAAGATTTCTTATGGAGACGGGTCCTCCGCCTCTGGTACAGTTGGCAACGACGATGTTAACATCGGTGGTGTCGTTGTCAAGGGCCAGGCCATCGAACTAGCGGACACTCTGTCTGCACAATTTTCCAGTGGCGCCGGTGACGGTCTACTTGGCCTAGCCTTTGGCAACATCAACACAGTCCAACCTACCGCTGTGAAGACACCTGTCGAGAATATGATTTCGCAAGCGGATATTCCAAAGACCGCAGAGCTATTCACGGCAAAGCTGGGATCCTGGCGTGATACGGATGAGCCTGACAAGGGCGAGTCCTTCTACACCTTTGGATACATTGACCAGGATACCGTGAAAGACTCGGGCGAAGATATCTACTATACGCCCGTTGACAAGAGCCAGGGATTTTGGATGTTCGACTCGACATCGGCCACTGTAAACGGCAAATCGATTGCTCGTGCAGGTAACAAGGCTATCGCTGATACCGGTACCACTTTGGCTCTCGTTGATGATAGCACGTGCAAAGCGATCTACGATGCGATTGAAGGAGCGTACTATGACAATGACAGCCAGGGCTACATCTACCCAACCAACACGGCTTTGGATAAGTTGCCGGTTGTATCCTTTGCGGTTGGCGATAAACAATTCGTCGTTCAAAAGGAGGACTTGGGCTTTGCGGCGGCCAAATCGGGGTATATTTATGGTGGCATTCAGAGCCGAGGTTCTATGGACATGGATATTCTAGGTGATACCTTCTTGAAGGGAATCTATGCTGTGAGTGATTTTGCCTACGTTGTTGACTGATAGATATGGACTAATAATATCAGGTATTCGATGTTGGCAACACGCGCTTCGGTGCTGTGCAACGAAAGGAGCTTCACCAGAACCTGTCTGCGCCACCTCAGTAGATCTGGAAAGTCTCTTCATGACCCGTGCCAATTCTAGACTGTTATTTCAATAAATTTGTATCTAGTCATTGAGCTCTCGATAAACATGATTTATGATTCCAAAACTTCCAAAAGAAAAAAGAGTAGTATAACTAAGAGATCTCATCACGACATTTCGATAACCGCCTTCTGTGAGGGTTTACCATACCCAGAAATAATGGCATCTTCGATCTTCACTACCTCGAACTGGGCTTCATTCTGCGCCTTCAAAAGACCCTCCTCGATCCATCCGTTCATTGAACGCAGGTATTCCGCAGTTTGTTCAATTGTACGAGCAACAGAATTGCACCCTACAAGTGAAATCTCCTTGCGATATGCCTTGAACACATCAAATGCCAAATCCTTGCTAGCATCTCCCCTAGGAGCTGTGATCCATGTATAGCGTCCCTGGGGAGCCAACTGCTCCACGAGGGTGGCCATCAATGTCAAATCCCCAACAGTGTCGATCACAACGTCCACACCCTTCCCATCAGTTAAGGTCGAGATAGTCTCTTCAATGGAAGCATCCGCTCCCAGAGACACGTCGGGCTTCGGATTTCCACGACGTGCAGCCGTCAAGACCTTTTTGCACCCCATTGCCTTGGCCATCTGCACGGCTGTAGACCCTACGGCGCCGCTCGAGCCAAGCACGAGAATAACGTCGTCTGCCTTCACTTGTGCGCGCTGCAAACAGATCATTGCTGTAGTGAACAGGACTCCAACAGTTGCAGCTTGGATCGACGACAGTTGAGATGGCTTTTCGACAAGCGCATTTTCCGGAATCAGGCAGTACTGGGCGTGTGTACCGTCCATATTGAAACCGAGATTTAACCCGCTGGTTCCGTAGACGTGTTTACCGATCCATGACTTTGAATCTACGTTGTCGTTCATGATATCAATCACAGTGCCGGAGTAGTCGCGTCCGATAATACGTGGGAACGTTGTATCTGGGAAACCACCCTGGGCATTGAGTCTGTCGGATGGTTGGATGGAAGCATGGTGAACTTGAACGAGTGCATAGCCGGGCTTCAGCTGTGGGATGGGCAGATCTGCCGTTTTCAATTCTGGAGGGGCGTTTGTCGAAGGACGAGTGAGTTGGAGGGCTTTCATGGTGTCGGGTTTCGTCTAAGTGAACACTTGAAGTACAGTTTGGAAGCAGAACGAGATGTTGGTGACCATTATGGTGGATATTCCCAACTTTTTATATCAAGTCGCAAGATTGTTTGCATGTTGTTTTCTAATAGATTTCAAAGGCTTATTCATCGCTGTCAAATGGTATGCTAAGGGTAAGCAAATAATTGGCTGAACTAATACTATTGGTGGTGTTTTGTTCCGAGTGACGGCGTACGGCTCGCGCGGGCCGCGCGGGCCATGCGGAGATCCCGGGTTATCAATCAGTTATGGTAGTGGTATGAGAAAATAAGTCGGAAGCAACCCACGATCTTCAGGGTCTGAGGCTAATGTCGCTCTTTACAAAGGGCTATTTAATTTGACGCGTCTTGCTTCTATTTGTACAATGAGTCTTTACAGTTTCCACGTTCCCGGGTGCTCGTTCTCGACGCAGATATGGCGGTAAACCACACAAGGGGAGAAGCAGAATCAAAGGCTATGAACTATGATCGAGGTGACTTCTTTACGCTATTCACGTAAGCTTATAGTGAAGCTGATATAATTCTGGCTGAGACAGATCTCCCGGATGCCCGTCCTACCGCAATGGAGCCCGAGCATACCGCGTTCTCAATGACATCGCCTTCTACAGATCTAGAAGCCAAAAAGGAAACAGCGGATTTTGGCGAGCCAAAGTCATTCATCCACGAATCTGCATTTGTTACAGTCGTCTGCACTGCACAGCTCATGACCCAGGCTGGCCTTTCTCTCTCGATCGCACCTCTCCACATAATTAGCGCGAGTTTCAACAGCACTCCGAGGGACTTGACATGGGCCTCCGCCGCGTACAGTCTGACCGTTGGAACATTCATCTTTGTATCAGGGAGACTGGGCGATGTATATGGCCACCGGTTATTGTTCATCATAGGCTTTCTGTGGTTTGGCGTGTGGTCTATCCTGGGAGGATTTTCCGTTTGGTCAAACCCAATCTTCTTCGATTGCTGTCGTGCATTCCAGGGTATCGGGCCTGCTCTCCTGCTGCCAAATGCAGTTGCAATTCTAGGCAGATCGTACCCGCCTGGGCGTCGGAAGGGAATGGTATTTTGCCTCTTCGGAGCTGTAGCGCCAGGTGGATTCACCTTGGGTGCGACATTTTCCTCCTTGATCGCTGAACGGTTATGGTGGCCTTGGGCATACTGGATCATGGGCATTGCCTGTTTCATCTTTGCAGTACTTGGATTCCTCGTCATTCCGTACGTACAGCAAGAAAAACCGCACCCTGAGCTCTCCACGTATGAACGATTAGATGTGCGAGGTGCTGTCACAGGAGTTAGCGGGCTGATATTGATCAACTTCGCGTGGAATCAGGCCGCAGTCGTGGGATGGGAAGTTCCTTACACCTACGTGCTGCTCATCGTTGGGATCTTGACCATGGGCGTGTTCTTGCTTTGGGAGCGCAAAGCAGCCTATCCGTTGCTGCCACGGGCTCTATTCAAAGGTGAGGCTGGGTGGGTGCTCGGCTGCCTTGCAGCCGGGTGGTCCAGTTTCGGTATCTTGGTATTCTATTACTACAACATTCTTGAAAACTTGGAGGGAAATAGCGGCTTACTGGTAACGGCCAAATGGGCTGGCGCTTCTGTATCTGGAGCTTGCGCTGCCGTGGTGACTGGCTTGCTCCTCGGTCGAGTCCCTGCAAGCATCATCATGTTCATCGCGATGCTGGCATTCTCTGCAGGCCAGGCACTACTGGCATCCATGCCAATAGGACAGACCTATTGGGCCAATGCATTCGTGATAATGTTGGTCACACCATGGGGGATGTAAGTGAACCTTAATTCTGCATCGTGTTTCACCCACTAATATCAAGTCAGGGATATGTCCTTTCCATCCGGAATCCTGATTTTGAGTGATACAATGCCCCAGAGAGACCAAGGGGCCGCCGGCTCACTTGTGAATACGGTCGTGAATTATTCAATCTCGATGGGGCTCGGCTTCGCCGGCATAGTTGAGAGATATGTGAACCACGATGGAGGAGATGTTCTCAAGGGATATCGGGGAGCCACATATATGGGCGTTGGCCTTGCAGGCCTCGGTACGATGATCGCAACTTGTTTCATGTTTGTGACCTGGAAAACGTCTAGAAATGGATCTCGGTAGACTTGACATAATTATAAACAGAATCGCAGTCTTTCACTACATCATAAAGGTAGCTGGAATTCCATGGCCCATAGAGAATCAAGATCAAAGGGGAACTGGTGCTCCAGGGATGGGCTCGGTGCTGAGGAATCCTGTGGTGGATGAGCGGCAACAGAGTCTGGCGACGGAGGTCCCACCACGCGCTCTAATGATTCAACGCCCTTTCTCTTCTTGTCCAATGCAGCTCGAGCAAGTTGCCTGGCGGTCGACAATGCTTCTCTGGCTAGGTGTGTGTTCAACTGATCGACGACAAATTCCAGAGTGTCCATGGTTTCCACGAACCTTTCACAGGCTGAAGATGTGTCCATTACAAGGAGCGCACATGCAAACTGGAAGACAGTTCCGATGACGTTCCACCATGGCTGGCCTTGACTCACTAGCCTTCGTGCCGCAGATAGTGCTGTTGTGCCGACGGTAATCACACGGTCGTTGTGTATTTGCTGAGATTTCGAATCCATGACTCTAAGTCGTCGGTATATGCCTAGAGCTAGGTCTGCCTTCAAAAGTAGTAAGAAGTCATGGCTGACAGGTGCATCGACTACCTGTTCAAGGGCAGCCGATAGTTCGTCCGTAATATCAGCCGAGTCGCCAATTATCTGAGTCGCAGGCAGGGCCATGACAAGACTAACTAAGTGGGAAGTCAAATCTCCTTCGTGGGTCGGTTGTAGGATATGCTCGAGAGTTTGGCGATTCACAGTCATAATCGATCTGCCATACTCGAAGGCAATGACGATGTGAAGACAAGTGGCGACTTGAGCAGTTCGGATAACTGTTTTTGAAACCTCTGGGCTTGGGGCAACATTGCCTGTTGTCTGTAACGTATACTCTGATGCATGGTGTAAGCCTGTTGCCTCAACCAAATGCATGATAGTGCAACTTGTGAGCCAAGCAACATGTGGCCGTCCAGAGCAGCGAATATATATGGCCCGTAAAATCCACGCCGCAATTTGTTCCAAAGAGGGGAAGCGGCTTATTGAATAATCCTCAAGAATTTCTTTTGCATGTAGGATTAACCACATTTCCATGTCTTGGTCTAGATTGCCATTGAATAGGGAAGCTAAAGCCAGAACCCCGCTGGCTAGAGCCTCGAAAACCATGTCTTGTGGTTGACCATGCCAGTGTTTCTCGCATAGCGTGTAGAAGTGATCCATGTTGAGAAAGCCAAATACAGGATGAATAGCAGCAGTATAGACCTCAATAAGACCCCTGGTCGTGTTCCAGGAGATTTTCTCGGAGATCTTGTGGGTAACCGCACAGGGCGGCTCTTTGCGGATGCCCGAGTGATAGGCGAACGAGTGCAGACGCGGAAGCTTGGTCGCCTGGACTTCCAGCCCTACATAGAGGGGAAAGGCAATGGATGAGTATTTTCCAACATAACGAGCTTTTGACGGCTCGAGAATACCGGGAAGTATAGATGAATCCGTGGCCTGTTTTGACGTCGACTGCGGGGACGCGAGTCGTGCCACTTTCGCTGTTGGTCGTGATGTTGACTCCTCTGAGGGCGTTGGTCGCTTGGTAGATAATTTGGAAGCACCGTTTTCGTATTCACATTCGTAGCCATATCCTTGACACATATTGCAAGGAAACTTGCCATCGCATTTCCTCTTGCGTCGTCGGCAAGGGAGGCATGCTTGTCTGGAGCGCTGTCGGACTGTTCCTAGTGCAGGTGAGGTCGTACTTGAGCCATCTTCACGTGAAGATTGGTTCTGCATTATTAAAAAGACTCGGCTAATTTCAATTTGTCATTCATTGGAAACATATAACTAATAGCTGGCGAGTGACAACTTTGACGCGTGTTGGTTGGGGGTGAGTTTGTTGCCTGAGGTGTCATATTATTGCCTTGGAGCCTGGGGTGTCAACATCTAGTCTGTGACATTATTGTAGTTTGGAGTCTCGGTCCCATTTAAATCAAGCGGCATATCTGACAGATATTTTGAAAAGTTTTCCATGAGAAATTTCATGTAAGTGAATGATCTTGCACGATGGGTTTGAAGCCGTGAATGAAGACATCTCCCGACTCGGGAGGCGAAGCCGAGTCATACAATGCAGGACTTCAGGACCTCTCGAAGCCCAGAATTGTGCACCGACCCTGGATTTACACAATAGATCTGGTTTAAACTTGAGACATTGAAATATTTCAAGGTATTCAACTTATTCTCGAACAAATTATATGACATTCATTTCTCTTAGGCTCATTACTTATCCGCAACATCGATGTTACCCTCCCAGAGTACGTAGCGTAAGCTTGCTTTCCTTGCATCAGCCACCTTAAAACCGCCATAAAGGATCAGGTTCGTTCCTAAAGTTCCTTAACATTGCACTTTTCGCGGCCAATCTTGGCGGCTAGCTCACAGGCCTCAGCCACCTTATCAGGCATGCTCAAAAATGGAGAATGAGAGCTCGAGCATCTAAACTGACTATACTCGCCCAGCAAGCTAGCCATAGACTCCTGGACAGCCAAAGGAATTGCCTTGTCATCCTCGCAGAAGAGGTACATGCAAGGCAGATTATGCCAAGGCTCGTGAGCGACGCGATCCTCAAACACAGCGCGTGAAGTGTGCACAATCCTCGAGCTCCACTTCTCCTGCTCCTGCGGAGATAGATCATTATAGCAAATCTCTGCTGCCTCTTCAGCGCGGCAATAGTTGCCCTGCATGTTGTTAGTATCGATTGAAATCACTTGGGCGAAGAAAAGCAGATACTAACGTCAAGCTTCATCCATGGTAGCCAGTTCCCTCCCAGCATATCTAATAGACTGGTTCCTGATTTGGCAACAAAAGCTGCCATATAAACCAACATAATAACTCCACCGGTCTTGCCAGCATTTTGCCTTTCTGCGTATCCAAGACCTTTGACAGCGCCGGCTCCGACCATACCACCGTAGGAATGAGCCACAACAACAACTTGCTTGCCCTCGTTAGATAGTCTCTCAATCTCCTTATTCACGGCAATAGTGTCGTCCGCGAGTCCCTTGTTTGGGGGCTCTGCCCCAATGGCGGGGAGTGCCACGGCCGCACTGGGAAAGCCACGAGCGGTCAGGGCAGCCCGAGCGTCGTCGAAGACATCGGGGAGATGCCAAGCTCCAGGGATGAAAAGGATAGTAGGCTTAGATGAAGTCATTTTACTTGAAGATATTTGTCTCTGTAATGGAGATTCCAGATATCGTTTGTGAAGGGGCGTGGTTCTTATACATGTCACAAGATTGGTGTCAGTAGCACACGAGACTAAAAGTCGGCTAGGATCTTGAGCAACTCGGATATACGGTGACCAAAAGTTTCAGATAGAGTAAAGCTTCCGATGCAAGAGGTTCCCGCCTCGGTAGATCAACCAATTGTGAAGACCCTCTGGTCTACTAAAAATTATGCTTCCGAAGTGGATCGTTCCCCACATCCGAAAAAGAGGTTCGCCAAGCGGATGGGTTGTTTTGCGGAGGAGTGCATGTGTATGCGCGGGGATAGCAGCCACATGAGGGTAAGCTGGTAGGATATGCCCAATTTCAGGGCTGAGATTGCTACCTCCAGTAGTCTGTCTAGTACAGTAAACTCAGTCTGAAGTGCTGTTCGCATTCGAAGTCTTGACGCACGTCCCACACCACCCATGTCAAAGGTTGCCGATTTTACACCCCGGGCATAGCTTAGCTTTAACCAAGGGAGAAAATCAGGGGAAATATCGGCAATATATTTACATATTCGGTCTCGGTCCGGTCTCTAGTGCAAATGGCTCACTGATCTTATGAATCATGGGCATTGTATTCGAATTTGCCCAGGATCTTAACTCTATCCTCGCGGGGTATATTTTCAAATTCGATCAAAGGTCTGCCCACTTCAGTACTGGCTTGATGACCTTTCCTGAATGTAGATCTTCCAGTGCTTGCTCCAGGTTTTCTGCATCATAAACCTTGGCCAATCTGTCAACTGGGAACTTGCCCTCTTTATACCAGGCAATTAACTGAGGAAGTAGCTAGATGGAAAAACAAGAATCATCAGCTTAGCATAAGATCACACATTGCAAAGGAAGAACTTACAGTGGCAGGATTAGAAGAACCTTCAATGGCACCGACAACACGTTTGCAATTAATCATGAACTCAAGAGGATCAATATTCAGCGATGCCCCAGATGGAGCAACGCCCACGATAGCCAACGTACCCTCGTGGCCCAACGCCTTGATCGAAGATTGGAGCAGAGGCACTACTCCCGTGGTATCGAGTATGTGATCTACCCCATCGGGGAACAAACCATGCAGACCCTGGGCAAGATCTGATACCTTCTTTGTATTCAGAGTGTGTGATGCCCCCAAAGAAGCAGCTAGCTCCAGCTTCGCGTCGACGATATCCACCGCAATGATGGTCTCGACACCCTGAGCCCGCGCAGCCATCAAAGCCGCCAGGCCAACAGCTCCCATACCCAGTACAGCGAATCGAGAAGCGGGCTTGGGCTTCAAAACATTCAACACTGTGCCTGCACCCGTAAGATAACCACACCCTAGCGGGGCCAGCGGGGCCATGTCTGCATCTGTGACCCCAGAAGCCACGGGACTCTTTACAATTGAGGTTTCCGGAACAATTGCAAGCTTGCTCATTGAGGATTGTCCGAAGAATTGTCCACGAATAGCTTTTCCGTCGGTGGAGGAAATGGGCGAATCGGCCGCTGATATACCACGGACGCCGCCAAAGTTGATTTCAGTAAAACGACTGCAGAATCCATGCCGTCCTTCCCGGCATGGTGTGCAATTGCGACAGGTAGTGAAACTGAGGAATACTCGGTCGCCCTCGCTTAGACTCTTATCTTGGACTCCGCTACCGATTCGGCGCACGATGCCTGCACCCTCATGGCCAAGCACAGCGGGGTAGTCACCCACGGGAATCGCTCCATTTTGAACGACAATATCCTATCATTAAAGAGTGAGCATTTGAAAAAAGAATAACCCACAGCATCATGTCTCCTTCATCGCTGACAAGGGATGTAACGAGAGTACTTACCGTGTGGCATAGTCCAGTATACTTCATCTCGACCAAAACTTCGTTATCCCGGACTTCGTCCAGAACCACATCTTGCAAAACAAATGGAGACTTTGGCGATTTTACCACGAATGCCTTAGTGGGAATCTGCTTTTGTGGGATCATCGTTGCAGTCAACGTTTGAGACTAGTTACAAGTTGTTGCTGTGACTGCTAAAGCGGGTACTGTAGAGGGAGAGCCTTGTACAGGGAAACAAAGTTGATATCGATAAACTCGAATTCCTGGCGGTCTTTTGCAGGGAGAGGGACATTGCTTGTCCCATTTATAAAGTCGAATCTCCATTGGGAGATATTCGATCGACCAAAACCTGGGAGGCGCGTTTGTGGGTCTTTGTCCCCGCAAAGCCGATAAATTGTCGGGGTTTCCCCACATCAACGCGACCTCGGGACCAAAATTCGGCAACGGGACTCTCTCAATTGAGAAGAGCAACCAAAGCGTTCGTGTCATGCAGGGAGATCAATGGCTTACTTTTGAGACGGAGATTTGGCCATAGGAGATGTGGCTTACAGTCGAGATCGATTGCCACGGTACTACGATGATCTCCTGCTGCCCAGTCACTGGTAATCGACATATGGTAGTAGTACATTTTCATGAATTATATCCATCAACACTATTATACAATGAGGTATCTTTTACAAATGCTAGAGAGAATATGGTACAGAATGCTTCACCACACTCGGTCCTTGCTCTTCTTGACTGGCTCAGACATCGCCAGGGGGGTTCGCAAGAACATTTCCATCAATAGCGCCGCGGCAACGCTCACGTTCAAACTATCAATACGGGCGGGGTCGGATTCCACGCCCAAATGAGCACTGTGACGAGCGCCCGGAATGCTGACGATTGAATCAGCATGTGATTTGATGTGTGAGTTCAGCCCTGTTGCCTCGCTTCCCATCATGATCACACTGGGTGAATGCACCGTGGGAAGTAGGGTCTCGCCATCGGCCATAGCCCGGCCAAGATAGGTGGCACCAGGACCAGGCGCATCAGCAGCATAGAACCGCCATCCGTTCTCCTTGGAACGCTTGATGAACTCCACCTCATTCTGAGCATGCAGCAATGTCATATTCTCCGCCGCGCCGGCAGAGGCCTTGATCGTCACAGGAGATAGAGGAGCAGATTGGCGTCCAGCAAAGATGATCGCATCGATGCCTAGATAATAAGCAGACCGTATAATGGCGCCGATATTACCAGAATCCACAACTCCATCCAACAGCAAAGCCACGGGGTATCGGTGGTTGTGTTGGCCCGAAGAAGGATCTGAAGGGTGTAGAATCGGGATATGGTCGTTCGTGCCGTTCACTGCGGCTTCCTCCCGCGACTGTGGTGCCAGTTCTACCCGAAAGTGGCTCTCTGAAATCGCGGGAACAGCATGGAAGCCACGTACGGGAATTCTAGGCAGAGGTGAGGCCTCAAGAACACATCCATTGTGTGGACGGCCGGCAGACATCTTGTCTAAAAGCCTGTCCCAACCCGCGAAGGCCAATTTGATTTCGACGTTCTTCGAAAGGGCCAGCTTTCGAAGGGCGATCTTGGCGGGACCTAGGTCTTCCCCGGCTCGTTGATAGAGGTATAGTTTGTAAAGCTTGCGCCTGCCACACCGCAATGCTGCTTCCACGGCGCTAGTACCGTAGATGAATTCGGATGCTGGGCTGGAGTAAGGGATCGATTCGGGGACTTTGACGTTGTCCTTGATTCGTTCCGGCATGCTGTCTGTCACACGATGGGCGCGAGACTTCGTCTTTGAAGAGCCGAGTTCTCCAGAAGATGCCGAGGGTATATTCGATCTTGGCTCTCGTTCTCGGGGTCTCCGGTCAGTCCGTTGCCCGCGATCTTGAAGGTCTCGCGGAATTCCTCGAAACTTCCCACTTCGAACGAACTCGTCCCTGTCAAAGTCATTCCTCAATGGGCGTCTGTCGTCCCTAACTGCACGGCCATTTGACAATATCCTGGAGTCCTCCCGACGTGACCTCCCCTGGCCACCCTCAGCAGTGGACGATCTCCCGAACGAGCCAACATTTTGAGACCTGCGAATGCCGCGGCCAATGGCTGAATTCAACGAAGCATAGCGGACAGAGCTCCCTGTGAAAGGCACTCTAAGGACAGAAATTTGCGCACCAAAGCTCCTCTTTGGAATATTTGAAAGCATCATCACCTAGATGCTTGATGAGGACATTTTTTGAGCATTGCGGAAACTGCCTCCTGGCTTGACACCGGAACAATGTATATCCTGCGGCTTATCGATAACAATCACCTTTCCAATCAACGCGTCTTCGGATCTGTGCGCGTGCTATGTCCTATCGCCTTCGACCTTCCTTCATTCTCCAATTTCGATACGCCTACCTGCTTTTCCTCTACTGCGTTCTGAACAGGCTTATCAGGACCGGCTCTATTCCGTCTCATTCAACAACCTTCCGACCTCTCACACATTTATTCATCAAGCTCTCAACTTGTTGATCACTTCCACTGCGTCCGGTGACTGTGTGTGCGGTGCATTGCCTGGGTGTTCTGGCTCATCGCACACCACAGAAGCCCTCAACAACATGTCTCACCCCGAAGACATGGATTCGCCTGGGTCTGACGATCCAGATGCTATGGTTACACAGCTGCTGAGCCAGCTGGAGAGCTCGACTCCCGGCCCAGCAGCACCAGCCATTGAGTCCGGATCTCAACAGCGATCCGAAGAGGTACAGCAGCCCCGGGAGCCTGAACCCATGAAGATTCTGGATATTGAGATCCATGTCCCCATAGTCGACAATCCTAGCGACTATGAATATCTTCCGGGCCACTTCAAGGTCCGACGTATCCTGCGGGTCGACTCGAGTAATCCCGAGAGGCCGTTGTACACTGTTCGCCTGGCCAGTGACGAGCGTTCAACTGTGTGACCAACCCCTCCATTAGCTGTATATTGGATTTGTCTTTCTAACATTGATTTTCTTCCTTGGCAGATGTCGCGCGATACCTTCATGAGTCTCGACAACAGCGCCCAGGCTCTGGACGATTTCGTTCCGGAGTCCGAATCAGATGATGAACTCATGACGGTGGGATACGGATCTCACCAACGCTTCGAGTTTGGTGGGGATGGAACAAGATACGGGAAGCGAGCTCGCGCCGCCGGACGGAGTAGTCGACCACGTCGCCATGGATCCTCTGCACACGGTAGTTACGCCGCCTTTTATGAACCCCCGGAATCCTCCAGCTCCGAGGAAGATGAAGACGAGTCAAGCGACGAGCTTAATAAACGCTATCCCAAAAGACGCCGTCGGTCGACCAGAACGAGCAGAAGAGTAATCCTATCTTCCGATGAGGATGATGATTCCTCTGCCGAGGAAGCCCCAACTCGTGCTTCCACTCGTACTCGGAAGTCCGTTCGGAACAATCTTCGGGAGCGATTGGAAGATGATCTATCGGAAGCTGAGAGTGACGCGCCCAAACGTCAAAAGTACTCCGGGGCTCGAGAGGCGTTTCCCGAGCTTCCACGGGATGACGAGTTTAGATTGCGACACTTTGCCTGCTGTTCTTCTTGCAACTACTATGAAGACGATGAGGTCAAGGGGCCCCTTGTCTTCTGCCAGGGTTGCAGCTCATCGTTCCACCAACAGTGCCTTGGTCCGCGCAGCAGCCGAGAACACCTTGTCACGAAGATCGATGAGGAGTACTTCATTTTACAATGTCGTCGGTGTCTTGGGGTCGCACATAGCAAACATGATGTATCCCCTCATCTGGGCCGCTGTGCTGTCTGCAAGGAAGATGGCGCAATATCCCAGCCGCTGAGAGAGCGTCTTACGTCCAAGGAAGAACAACAGCAACGTGTAGCAAATGGTGGTACAGACCCGGTTACTCATGTTGACATGTCTCGCGTCAACAACATCGATGATGTCCTCTTCCGATGCGCAAGTTGCCAGCGGGCTTTCCATTTTGAGCATCTTGCTGCAGAACCGTCCCAGGATATGTCGGAGGTTATCTCGCATTACACGACTCATTGGCAGTGCCAAGACTGCACCGATGCTCCTGGCGATATCGAAGCTCTAGTTGCATGGCGTCTGGTAAAACCGCCCGCCAAGGGCGTGAAACTTTCTGTGGCTGAGCTTATCCCAGAGGTGGAAAAGGAGTACCTCGTCAAGTGGAAGCTCAAGTCGTATTTCCGCAATACCTGGATGCCTGGAGACTGGGTTTGGGGTATGAGTAACGCCGCCATGCGCCGTGCCTTTTTCAACTCCCCCAAGGCCCGGAAGCCAATTTGGACAACCGAGGAAGCAGTTCCGGAAGAGAATCTACGAGTTGACATCGTTTTTGACGTGACCTTTCCTCCTGGTACCGGCCTTGATGATCAGACCAACCCTGAGCTAGTCAAAGAGGCCTATGTCAAATACAAGGGCTTGAATTATGAGGACTCGGTCTGGGAATCGCCTCCGGACCCTAAGGAAACTGCTCGCTGGGAAGACTTTAAGCTGGCTTTCAATGACTGGCTGTACCGCGATACTATCGATCCGCCAGATCGACATGCACTCAAAACTCGTCTCGCCAATACCAGGCGCCTGAACTTTGAACAAGATCTGGTTCTCAGCACGCAGCCCGAACTGATCACCGGGGGCCAACTTATGGATTACCAGCTGGACGGTGTAAATTGGCTGTATTACATGTTTTTGAAGCAGCAAAACGCCATCCTGGCCGATGACATGGGTCTTGGCAAGACGGTTCAGGTGATCTCGCTGATAGCAGCCTTGGTTGAGAAGCACCAGTGCTGGCCATTCCTTGTTGTTACCCCAAACTCAACCGTTCCCAACTGGCGTCGTGAGATCAAAACGTGGGCCCCCGGAATTCGGGTTGTCACTTACTTTGGCTCAGCATTCGCACGTCAGATGGCAAATGATTACGAGATGTTTCCACAGCGCGCCAGAGCTCTCCGATGTCATGTTGTGATTGCTTCGTATGAGAGCATGGTCGACGAAGAGGCCAAGAGAATCTTGAACAAGATCCACTGGGCAGGCTTGATCGTTGATGAAGGACAGCGCCTCAAAAATGACAAGTCACAGCTGTACGAACGGCTTTGCCGTATGAAGTTTGACTTCAAGGCGCTTCTTACAGGCACCCCTCTCCAAAACAACATTCGAGAATTGTTCAACTTAATTCAATTCCTTGATCCCGAGAAGGATGCCGACGAATTGGAGGAACAATATGGCGACCTGACGGCGGAGAACATTCGATCTCTTCACGACATGATCCGTCCATTCTTCCTTCGTCGTACCAAAGCCGAAGTTCTGCCTTTCCTTCCACCCATGGTGCAGATCATTATCCCAGTCTCGATGTCTGTTGTGCAAAAAAAGTTGTACAAGTCGATTCTGGGAAAGAACCCGCAGTTGATCCAGGCCATTTGCAAAAAGCAAACGGGCCAGCTAAAGAAGGCTGAAAGGCACAACTTGAACAACATTCTCGTACAACTTCGGAAGTGCCTTTGCCATCCTTTCATCTACAACAGGGCGATCGAAGAACAGACAAATGACCCAGAGGTGGCTTTCCAGCGCTTGGTCGAGGCTTCTGGCAAGCTCAAGCTGCTCAATATCATGCTACCGAAACTTCAAGAGCGTGGACATAGGGTTCTGATTTTCAGTCAATTCCTGGAGAATCTTGATATCGTCGAAGATTTTCTTACTGGCCTCGAATTTCCATATTGTCGACTGGATGGAAAGTTGACTGCTCGACAGAAGCAGCAACAAATCGATGCATTCAATGACCCCGACTCGCCGTTCTTCGCTTTCTTGCTGTCGACTCGGTCTGGTGGCGTGGGCATCAACCTTGCCACTGCTGACACGGTTATCATTATGGATCCGGACTTCAATCCGAAGCAGGATATGCAAGCTCTGTCCCGTGCCCACCGAATCGGTCAAAAGAATACTGTTTTGGTCTTCCACTTAACCACCCGGGCATCGGTAGAAGAGAAGATCATGCAAAAGGGCAAGAAAAAGCTGGCACTCGATCATGTACTGATTGAGCGCATGGAAGCTAGCGAAGAGGAGGAAGATTTAGAATCCATTCTCAAACACGGCGCCCAAGCTTTGTTTAATGATGACGATTCGCCAGACATTCATTACGATGTGGAATCCATCAACAAGCTGCTCGACCGCAGCCAGGCGGAAAAGGCTGAGCAAATCGCTGCAGATACTCCAGGTTCTTCCACAGATCAGCCCCAATTTAGCTTCGCGCGTGTGTGGCAGAACGATCGTGGCACTCTTGAGGAAGTCACTGAAACAGAGGAAAGCGCGGTTGATGCCACTGTCTGGGAGGAGATCCTCCGCGAGCGCGAACGCGATGCTCAAGAAGAAGCATTCCGAAAAGCAGAGGGACTAGGACGTGGCAAGCGCAAGCGAGCCACAGTCAACTACCAAACTATCCGAGAAGAGGATGATCCCAATGACCCCGACGTGACGATGTCGTCTCCTGTCAAGGCGCGCAAGACTGGCGACAGTGATGTCGAGTTCCAGGGGGTTGATGAACCCGAAGAAAGTGACTTTGCCGAGGATGCAGATGCTATGGAGGATGTCACCGGCATTCAAGACACGGCGCCTCCAAAGCAATTGAAGTCTGCCCCTTTCCAGCGTGTGCAGTCCCCGCCCCCGCACCCGCCCCCGGCACCTGGATTCAGCTTCGGGATGGATGGTGCTTTCAATCCCCCTCCGCGGTGCATTGCATGCAACCAGTGCCACTTGCTTGGCCGTTGCCGGCTGAAGCAGGCTGGTCTTGAACATTGCCCCTTGTGCGGTCTAGCGCACTTTGGTGGAAGACGTTCTTGTTCGCACTTCCATTCTGAAACCCAAATCCGTCGCATGATGGAGACTTTGCGACAGAGTACTGAAGACCCAGAGCTTGTCTCTGCTGCCAAGAAGTACTTGAAGGGTGTTCTTGGTCACCTCCAAGCTGCCCGCAAGAAGGCGTCGACCATGATAGAAGGTGTCACAATGAGTGACCCGATACCGTCGGCTACATCGCAGGCCCCGGCTGGTGTTTCCATGCATTCTAATATCATTGCCACCAAGCCTCAGCCCTTACAGAGCCCATACGCTTCCATTGCCACACCTGCAACCGCTCAGAACGAAGCATCTTCGTAGTCGACGTCCTCGAACATTTGGGCAACAGTCCCTATGTGCACCACCGCGTCCCAGATCGTCTTTCATTTCGCTTGTGCTATGCACATTCTTTTCCCTTGATTTTCTTTTTCGTTCCGGGCTGGCCCGTACAGACCAAAAGCGTGGAAAGCCGCTTCTGGGCTTCTTCATTTTCCTTTTCTTAGTCTTTCTTGATGAGCGATGATTGAAGATACCCCCTCAGTTGTTAGATTAGAATTGCATCAATAATTCATCATGCTTTAGCATACAATATTGAACATCTTTTGCACATTATACGTTATCGCTCAGGTGTGGTAACGTCTATACAAGCCTACAAGTGGTCTTCAAGGTTGCAACAGCAAGAAAACGCATAGAAGGCAAATTGATGGGAAGTTAAAAAGCCATGATTTTGTCGAGCGCCGGCGTACAATATATTGCTCCACGCCTGTTTATATTTGAAACCAAACAGCGGCCCACGTTGGATTATTGACTATCAAGATGCCGGTGTTGCCTCGCTAACAGTTCCGAAGAAGCCAATCTAGCAGCCGATGAGTGCTCCATCTCTAGATCACCTCATAGATCGTCTGTATCCCTCGGTACGTGTGGGGGTGTCTGTAGCGTGTAACGTGTTACACTGTCATAGACTAGCTATGACCGTGCTGGTATCGTCTTCGACGTGTCATGTCCAGCATCACATCAACGGCAGGCAACATAGTGGTCGTCATCGGCGTATTGTTCTCCAATCTGAGAGGCAGCAGTCATGTTAGTGTTGTTCATAATTATCAACAAGGATGGATAACCAGGGGCTCTCTTAGCATCCTTAATAGCTTGGAGGAGACGAAATATTGGTCTCTCTGGAGCAGGTCCACGATGTTCGTAGACATCACGTTGCTCTTGAGCTGAAACAATAAGCTGCAGAGGACAATGGCTTTGAAACAGTGCTTGATATCCGGACAATGAGTTCCAGTGAGAGTTGAAAGAAAGAAAGTCCGCTTTGTTGCAAGGAAAAAGTGTCGAACACAATATTGTCGTATGGGCCAGGGACTTGCTGCAGCCAACTGATGCATTGTTTTCCGGTGCTGGTTGTTGATTTTCCCAACTATCAGCCTTCGAGGGCGCGTAGGTGAGAATATCAAGGCAGCATTGGCTGGCTAGGCTACGATGCCTCATGACACGATGCCCCGTGACCTCTGATGGCAGATTCCGGAGATGTTGTGTGTTTGCCTGTCCCCACTGATAGGCAACGCTCGGCCGGATTCGGCAAAGCCAAAATAAGCTTAATTGAACATCCTCAACATTGTATATCGTATATATTACTTACAACAGCGAAATCTAACTAGCCAAAATAGATAGCTTTATTGTTTTATAGAGAATTGCGTCGTCAATACTCAATTTGTACACGTTGTACCCATTGTCTTCTTGTAGTATTCAATCTGAAAGGTGGTGGTGTGGATGTAAAAGTCTTTGATGTTCATGGAACTTTCCTGGATAATGGTTTGTTTGCTCCCAAGAGAGACCAGGCAACGCTCTTGATTGTTTGCCTGGAGGCTTTCGTCTGGGAAGTTTCCCTCCCTCCAAATTCTTCGACCCTCCGGCCTCTTCTGCCACCCTCCTCCTCTCCTTTTTAAGCCTCCTCCTCGTCCTCCTCGTCCTTCTCTTCTTTTCATCCCTCGCCCTCTCCCAATTTCTCTTTCTCACCCAACCCTCCTCTCTCCTACCCAACCCTTCTACACTCTTGTTCCATACAACTTCCAGACTCTTGTTCAATACACCTGCACACTCAAGACTCACTTCGACTGACCACCTGAGCATCATCCACGATGAGCTCTCAGGTTCGTCCGTCGTTTTTCTGCAGTCGCCCCAACGGGTCTCTGACCCCCCTCATTGCACTTGACGACTTCCCGGTTGGTGTTACCGTTCGTGGTGTTGGTCGTACCCTCACTCCCAGTGATACCCAGGGCATGATCAGCTGTGGCTCTGCTGAACCTCGCTCCGAGCCGTGGGATCTTGAGGGAGCTGCTCCTGCTGGCCGTGGTGCCATCGCCAGTAACGAAGACCTTGCTGAGCTGCAGAGCGTACTGTTCAAAATCATGGCTGATGACAATGTCTCCACTGAGCTCCGCGGGGCTATCAAGGGAATCCTATACCGCGGCCTTGACACCTCGTACGTCGGTGGCTCGACCCCCACCAAGGCTGTGACCGGTCGTCAATCGACCTCCCCTGGCTATCACGGCAACAACGGCCACTCCGGTCACGGCCATGCTGGCAACGGCAAGCACGTAAGTGACTGATCGATTTCTTTCAGAATAACTCTCGCTGACTGAACTCCACACAGGGCTTCAACGCGAAGAAGGAGTTCTGCTCCTACTGGATCCGTCACGGCGAGTGTGACTACCAGCAGCAGGGTACGTTATATATTGACTGTTCCTCCGCCCTGGTCATCATACTAATCAAACCACTTACAGGTTGCCTGTACAAGCATGAGATGCCGACTGATATCTTCATGCTGGAAAAGCTTGGTCTTCGTGACATTCCTCGCTGGTACCGCGAGAAGTACGACGTCCCGAGTCTGCTGCAAGCCGGCTATGGCAATCAGCATCGTGGACAGCAGCAACAGGCTGCCATCGACCAGCCTCAGCAGCGTGCTATTCAGTACCGCCCCACCGCTAACACTGTGACCAACGCTGGTCCCTCTGCTCACACTGGCCCTGCTGCCAATGCTGGCTCATCCACCAACGCCGGCCCATCCGCTAATGTTGGCCCCTCGACTCACGCTGGGCCATCCCGCAATGCCGCGGCTTCTCGCAACACCGGCACCTTCCGCAACGCCGGCCCCTCGGGCAACAGCAATGCCACTAGCAGGAAGACCAACGCCAATACCAACGGTAACCCCCGTGGTAGCATCAAGGGACGTAACAACCCCAACGCGGGCAAGAATGGTCACCGCGACGATGTGGCTGCACCATCCGTCAACAATGACAGCAATGGCACCCCTAGCAGTGCATCTCCAAACATGAGCAACTCATCGACTTGGAGCATCAGCCCCCGCGGACAGCAACTGCTATTGGCCACCCCGATGGATCGTCCCCTGACTCTGTCGGAAGTCCAGGGCAACCACATCCTGGACAAGGATGGTATCGCCGCCCAACAAGCCCTGGCTGCTCGTCTTCGTGCGCTGACAACCGAAGACGCATATCCGGCGGAAGAGTCGATGAAGCCTCTTTATCGCACCAAGTCGCGCTTCAACTTTGGCGCTGATGGTCATCTGAAGGGTAAGGCAGCCCAGGCCAACCGCACTGGCTTCGACCCGTCCGCCAATCTCGCCAAGCCCGAGACTGGTAAGGAGGCTACTCCCTCTGCCTCGACTTCCATGATCGGTCAGCTCGTCGCCACTTCCGAGCCCATCGATCCCAACGAGCCTCTGTTCTACTGGGGACCCATTGGCCAGCCTGTTCAGCGCCCTGTTATGTATGCTCCCAATGCTTACACCGCAACTCACGCCAACAACCAGAGCATGAATGGCCACAATGCTCAGTTCACCTATCCCTACATGGACCGTCACTAGATTTGCACAGATCATACTCCGAGTCTCTGGACATTTGTCATATTCGACCATACTGCATACTGTGACCATATGAATGAGCAGCGATCTTGATCTTGATCTATGACGAGAATACTTACATGATTTATTTTGTTCAGCCTGGGCATTGCCATGTTTTCCGATCTGAGATATGCCTACATTGCCACCCAAGGTTACATGTCTGATATGATATACCTTATGTCAACTGGCAACTTGAACATTCACGACAACCGAATCCTCGCCCGGCACTGTTTCCTCTTGTGCGGCACCAGATGAGGAAATGAACATGATCAATAACGATGAACGGTTTTGATTTTACGACCCCTAACGATAATGAATGAAGTGTGATACGATGGCGTTCGTGGGGTTATGATCGGTTGTGTGTGTTTTTTGCCTTCTTGCACTTGTATTTTGCTTTTCATTTTTCTGTGTTGGCTTTCGCATTCGGTGTTCTTAATTTTCGTTACGATGAGAAACTTGTCTTGTACCCTTCGGGGTCGCAAGATGTGCTCGTCATGCCGAACCCGAGCAAATGGGAGCGTGCTGGAAGTTAGTTTGTGGGCGAGAGGGAACTCGCCGTCGGAGACCTCCTTTCTTTGGGAGGTAGCTGATAGAGCGGATAGCTTCGCCGTATTCTTTCTGATAGTTGCCTTGCAGGATCTATGATTTATTTTTATTTTTATCTGTTCTCCATTCCAATTGATCAGTATCGTGTAGGTGTAGGTTGATTTAAGCTCAGCATCCATATGCATGACGTGCCACCGAGGTCCCGTGACACCCCGTAAAATGATTGGCTGTGTCTACAGGAAGCCAAGCCCTCCTACATGCTGTAATCCCTATGGATCATACGAAGATTATTATCGATCATTGGGAATTGGCAGCGAGGCGCCGGTACTTGGAACAATAAAAGTGAAGTGGCTATAGTACATTGAGAAAAACAAATAGGGCCGATTAGACCTCCTAGAATATGCGCCCGCGCCTCGCAAATGTCTGATCGCAGTTTTGTCTTACACCCAAAGAAAGAGACCATGCAAAGCATAACTATACATTGCCAATCGGCGTCCCTTACCGACGTGCTGGCCTCTTCGAAGGACGCGCTCCGACCTTGACGGCAACCTTCTCGCGCTCTTCCGCAGCGCGGGCCTTCAGGGCCGGGTTCAGCTCAGGAAGGGCCAGAACGGCTTCGGACACAATCTGGTTGCCGTCCACGATAGCTTCCCGCGAAGATTGAGCGGTGAGTCGCTCCTTGCGGCGCGCAGCCAATTGTTGCCGGCGCTCTTTGGTCATGTTCCACGACTCAGGGAATTGAGGGCGGAACTTGGGCTTGTGGTGGCGCAAGTCAAGAGGAATGTCCGCAAACGCGTCGCCCTTCTTGGCTTCTTGAATCAGCGTGTTGACAACATCGGCCAGGTACCGCTTGTTCTGCGCGCGAGATCCAAATTGCTCGGCAGACATCTTGACGACGTCGGTCTGGGGGTTGTACCGGGGGCCAACCAGCTTCAGGAAAGTCTGGCGCTGGGCCTCCGTAAGGTACTTGGGAGTCAGGTCACGGGATGCAAGCTCCACAACGACCTTGGGTTCAGCAGGGTGCTGCTCACCCATGTATGTAGTGTAGCGGAAGCGGAGGATGTGTGTCTCGGGGGGTAGCGTGAAGGGTTTAGCGAGTTCTGCGATGGAAATCGCGGTCAGCAAGTTCAGGAAGCCGAAAAGCAATTAGAAGGTCCCTTACTGCTCAGCATTGGCATGTCCCAAGCTGCAATACGGGCGTACTCTCTCATCTCCCGATGCAATTCCATCTCGGCATGGGCCATTGAAGTAATTTCGTCGTCTTGAATTTCTTCGTCGCCGTCCTCAACCTGGGCCATCTCGTCTCCATCATCCTCAGCCCAGAAGCCCCGGATCTTAGACCGAACATCTTCGAAACGAATGTCCTCTTGTTTGTCGATCTGGTCAACGCTCTTTTGGATCTCCGCGAAAGCCGCGGCGCGCTTCTCGAGGTCGTTGAAATCGGCCACGATCCGTTGGTTCTCGGCGTCGAAGGCTGCCCGCTCTTCTGGCGACAGCATATCATACATAGATCTCTCCTCCTTGGTCAGAAGGTCGGGCGAATATTCAGGGACTGGTGGGTAGTCCTCCGCTTTAAGTTCCTTCGGGGGTGGAGGGATGACGGGGTCCTCTGTCACGAATCGGAACGGCGAGACTGAAAAGGACCGTGTAGGAACAAACCCTGGCCCCCGATGAGCCAGAACTCGAGCCGAGCGAGTCAATGACCGGGCAACACAAGCCATTGTTGCGAGCGTGGATCTGGATCTGCGCGGATAGGTTGGCGGAAGTACCTTTTTCGATGTTTTCCAATGCCTCGAGTCCGATCCACGCTAGTCCTATTTTAGCACATCACGTGATTTGCTTCATCAACAGCAACGACAGCGACGCGAAAGATGATTCAACCTTCATCTCTTCCTCAGCGTCTTTATCATCCTTCAGAAATACATCCTTGACTCCAAAAATGGTTCAAAAGCTCTGTTTAGTCACCGTGGGTGCTACAGCTCCGTTCGAGAAGCTCATCCAAGCGGTCCTCCATGAGTCGTTCATTGCGGAGCTGGAGAAACACGACTTCACCCGTCTCTTGATCCAGTATGGCAAAGGTGGCCAGCCCATCTTTGATGCCTATCGTGCTGAGTATGAGAATGGCAAAATTGTCCATGATATTCAAATTGGTGGTTTCGACCTTCGCCCCAACATGACCTCATGTCTGTGCATGGTCCGAGAGGACCCGTCCATCGGCCAGGAGCTTGGAATGATGATCAGCCATGCCGGTGAGTAGTTCATTCTAATTTTGTGAAATCTAATTCCACAAAAATTGATATTGACAACCTGACAGGTACTGGCTCAATCTTGGACGCCCTTCGTGCGGGCTTGCCACTCGTCATTGTTCCAAACCCTGATCTCGCCAACAACCACCAACAGGAACTTGCCGAATTTCTGGCCGAGGCGGGATATGCAATCGTTGGAAAACTCGAGTGAGACTTCTCTTCTAGCCTTTGTCTGAAAGGGCACCATAGCATCTAACAAGCTGTCTAGTGATATCCCTAGTGTTGTTGGCCAAGCAGCACAGCGGGGTGACCAGGCGCCCTTGTTCCGCCGAGACAATGGGGATCGCTCGATCATGACCATGTCAGATGAACTGTCATGGGTGGACTGAGCATGTTGTGTCTGTGTTGAGTGCATGCAATCACGAGGATTTGCATGACCAGATTTATCCGCTCGATGGGTAAGTCACTCTCTGCTTCAGCGTGATGATGAGATATGACACCGCAGTGATAGTTGCTGATACTCTACTTATGAATAGTGCGTTTTGTCTTCCCTGTCAATACCTTGCAGTGTTTGGAGTTTCCTTTGCCCATGCAGCATAATGGGAAGACATAACTCACCATCGAGCCCCACTACACAACACTCTGGCCGAAATAGCACGTCCAGTCATTGCTTGCCCGACCCCCTGTCCCCTTCTTCCCCCCATGGCCTTTCATCCTGTTTGTCTAAATGCCAGACACTAGTCACTACCAACACAGCTGTCTCTCACTTTTCTGCTCAGCCGACGGCAGGAATTTGGGATAGACGCCTGTTTGATCACTTGTACTGGGCTGATGAGATATGGGGCCAAACGAGCCTACGAGTACACGCGAAGATGTAATGAGGAAATGCGAGATACCCCCTTCAAATATCACTATTAATGCCAATACGATTCCGAACCCGTTAAGGTCGATATCCATAGTATCTTTTTACAGAGCTTCTAGACTATCCATACATGTTTGCTAGGCTTAAGTTAGGGGGCCTCGCTAGCTGAAGTAGTACTTCCACCAGGCGGACTACAGTTAGAAAAAACGAGGATACTTGTCATAATCAAGAGTAGCATCAAAAATCCATTCCAATCCATGCAATGTGAACAGAGTAAATTATAGATATGTGTACTAACAATACGATCAATCAGCCTTCCAGATGGGCCAGTCAGAGATGGACGGGACCCCATCGGGAACCATCATTGGCCCAAGCTTCTTGTTGACAACTCCCGACGCGAAGCCGCAGAGTCCTCTCCACTCCTGACGCCCTCATCACGGTTGAACATTGTCGCCCAGCATTGAAACTGTACATGTTTCTTTGTCTTCAATCACACCCCTGATATCCTGAGCCGTTGATCCCAGGCCGTGGGGCCGTCTCAACTACCTTGCGCCTCGACCTCCCGACCCCCGAATTCCCTCCTTCATACCCTCTCCCCGCAATGGCAGAGGCTACCCTTCACAACGTGCCGATTGTCATTGACAATGGCAGCGGCACCATTCGAGCTGGATTTGCAGGCGAGGAAATTCCGTCATGTTATTTCCCGTCGTTTGTCGGTCGCCCCAAACACCCGCGGGTCATGGCCGGCGGTCTGGAGGGCGATTCATTCATCGGCCAGCGCGCGCAGGACCTCCGCGGTCTGCTGAAGATCAGATATCCACTCGAGCATGGAATTGTCACAAATTGGGAGGACATGGAGTCGATTTGGCACTACGTCTACGAGAACGAGCTCAAGACCCTCCCCGAGGAGCACCCCGTGCTGCTCACCGAACCGCCGTTGAACCCTCGCGCAAACCGCGATATGGCCGCCCAGCTTATGTTTGAGGCTTTCAACGTACCCGCACTCTACATGTCTATTCAGGCAGTGTTATCTCTGTACGCGTCCGGCCGCACGACTGGTGTGGTCCTGGACTCCGGAGATGGTGTCTCCCACGCTGTGCCGGTGTTCGAAGGCTTCGCTATCCCCAACAGTATCAGGAGAATCGACGTGGCCGGTCGCGATGTCACAGAACAGATGCAATTGCTCTTGCGAAAAGCTGGCCACGTGCTGCACACCAGCGCCGAGAAGGAGGTCGTTCGGATGATCAAGGAGAAGGTCTGTTACGTATCGCTTGACCCGAAGCGCGAAGAGAAGGAGTGGATGAACAGCTACCACAAGTCGGATGCCAAGGCAATTGACTATACACTACCTGACGGCCACAAGATTAAGGTGAGTCTTGTCAACGTACCTGATGTAAAACGTGGAGATACCCCTTTACTGACCTATGTTCTTTCTTTCTTGTCAGATCGGCCAAGAACGCTATCGCGCCCCTGAAATCCTCTTCGATCCTGAACTGATCGGTCTCGAATACCCCGGTGTGCACCAAATCGTTCAAGATGCCATCACTCGTACCGACCTTGACCTTCGCAAATCCTTATACCTCAACATTGTTCTCTCTGGTGGTTCAACGCTGTGCAAGAACTTCCCAGACCGTCTGATGCGTGAAATTAAACGACTTGCCGTCGAGGATATGAAGATCCGGATCTCTGCGCCTGCGGAGCGCAAGTACACGACCTGGATTGGTGGTAGCATTCTTGCTGGTCTGAGCACTTTCAGAAAGGTAACTCTAATTCCAGATAAACAATATCGCCTGAAACCGGTTCGCTAATATGGTTGTTTTACAGATGTGGGTGAGCGCGGACGAGTGGCATGAGGACCCCGAGATCATCTTCAAGCGATTCGCATAAACTAGCATCTTTTTGAATTACCGAAGAACGGGGCAACTACCACTGCTTCGTATGCTTTTTCCTGGTGCACTCCCTCGGTGCCCAGTCGACCTCGACGCCATTGCAAACGTGGCAACCTACGAAAATCCTCATCCCACCTGTGTCCGCCGATAAAAATGGGAATCCCTTTCTCAGACTAATTCCATGGCTGTGAATAGATGCCTTCGTTTTTGGAGCAGGCCGCACAGAGTGGGTCCCAAGTGATCAGTGTTCACTTCGTCCCATATTGAGTTCGAGTCGCGTGCGACTTTTGATACCCCTTGCCCCATCATATCTCTCCAATCTCCCTGGCCCATATCTTGTTTATGTGATACGCCATTTTGGCCCCATGTCGATGAGCCTCCCGATTTGTGCAAATACAACTTGTTTCTTCTTTCTGTGTTCATTTGGAGTTCTGTGATCTGAAGGAGTCGGTTGTATACGGTGGTTTCTACATACTTTCAAGATAAGCTATTTCTCAATGAACTTTAGATAATCCACATATCGTCCATATGTCAGTCTTCGTAATACCGAGGATTATCAAGGACTTGGAAGCTTCCAACCAAGGTTCCCAAAACTTCGAGGCACTGGGGAGGAGTATTGGAGATGATAGGGCGAACAAGCCAACGAGGTGCGGGATTTTTGACTAAGGATCGCATGCGTTATGTTTTTCCCCCTCTTTACCTCTATACTCGATTCTTCGTGACGATGCTCATTCCTCTTGGCAGTATATACTAAGTGTGTATGGAATCAGCCACAGGACTCACAAGCCACAAAAGCCATGAGTGGAAGCTGCCGCGAGAATTTGACTAAGCATAATCACCAGCCCCACCTGAGAGCCTCAGTGGGCCGATTTTCTGGTTCGAGCTTCCCATCTTGGCATTGAACCATATGCATAAGAAACGAGAACTCGGCATGTTTTCCTTTCTTGTGAAAAATTCTGTTACTACTCTGTACGTGCTAGTCCTTGTCAAAATCTCAATGTGTGGGTCGGTGAGACCTGACCGCTAAAGAAAGGATTGGGCAAGGCAAAGCGAGCTCGTATTCTCAAGCATATGGTAAACAGATCCCAGCTGAAACAATCGTGTCATAAGCCACAGGTTGAATAACAAATGGTCAGCTTCAATCGTTCATCGGTTTCATGTCCATCAATTCTGTGTATAGGCATTCCCATTGGTGCAATGAATGCTGGTGCGTACGGGGGGCCTCCCGATCGACGATATTTTCTACATCGATAATATACAAGCATGCCGCATCTGTGGGTAGATTGGCCAGTTATCTGGTGGATCTCTATTGGATCTCTAGAAATGGCAATTGTGCCGAGAAGTGATCAGTCCAACATATTCAGCCCCGAGGGGAAATCTTTGCCTCGTCTTCTACCTTGGTTTTTTATCTCTTAGCACTACCTGCGGTAGTCTTCGTTGTCATATTTTATTGTCCTGCTTCAAATTGCCATCAGCTATGGGCATTAAGGGGGCATCTGCCTCGCAAGACCTCCCTGGCATGGAAGATCAACGCGATGTCCAACCTTTCTTAGACGAATATGGCCTGGAGTATACACCGGATGGACAGTTCATCCGCTGGTCGTTTTCAAATAAAAAGCACCCTCGGAATTGGCCGGCGTCACGGAAGATCTACGATACTGGGTTGATCATCTTCTTGGATCTTTTCACGTATGGATCCCCACAGCGATCTTGAAAGGATTCCTTTATAAGATTTTTTTCTACCTGATCGGCCACTCGACTGACAACAACACAACATATAGGACATCGGTTAGCACTGCTGGGGTAAGCCAACGTCACTCCAACCCACTCCTGGTTAACCTAACACGCACTGTAGAGCGCGGCGGCAGACCATGCTCGTGATGAGTTTGGACTCAGTAAGACACTTGCTGTCTTCCTTTTCGTCTCTCTGTCAGTCTCGCTCCTCTCCGTGAACGTTTCCATATTAACCTCTTGCCACACTGAATAGTTCTCTAGTCGGCCAAATGATCGGCGGTATTATCTTTCCAGCTTGCTCCGAAGCATTTGGTCGAAAGAACCTTTACATCGTCAGCACTGGTCTATTCAGTATATTTTGCCTAATCGTAGGCGTGGTCCCTTCGATCGCCGCAGTCGCAATCGGTCGCTTCTTATCGGGCTTCCTTTCCGCTATACCAGCAGTCGTTGTTGCTGGCAGTATTGAAGATATGTACAATGCCAAAGATCGGGTGTGGTTCATCTTCCTGTGGGCGGTTGTTGCAAATATGGGCCTAGCATTAGGGCCCATCATGAGCATTTATATCATAGCCCGCTTGAGCTGGTAAGAGCACTTCTTTTAAACACTTCTGTTCGAGGCTAACTGTCCAAGGCGATGGGTATTCCGCATCTCCGCGATTGTAACCGCTATCATCACGCTCCTCCTATTCGGCATTCGCGAATCGCGCCCATCTTTGGTTCTGGAAAAGCAGGTTGCAAGACTACGCAGTGAAAGTGGCATCACAAATCTGAAGGCATTGAACCCAGACCACACCCCCGATCTGAAGACCTTCATCCGTCTTAGTCTCTTCCGTCCGATTCACCTCTTCTTCACAGAGCCTATCGTCTTCATGGTAGCAATCATGAGCGCAGTGGCATTTGCATTGATATACCTATTCACGGAAGCCTTGCCGCCGATCTACATGTCAATGGGGTTCTCAACGACATCTTCCTATTTACCCTTTTTGGCAATCTGCATCGGTATATTGTTTGGACTACTCACCCGCATACAAGACCACCGGATCATCCTAAGATATCAAGAACAGGGCATTCCACTCGAGCCAGAACACAAACTCCTCGGGTTTTCTATCGGTGCACCTATTCTCGCCGTGGGATTATGGTGGTTTGCATGGACCATTCCACCAGCAGTGCACGTTCACTGGCTTATATCCACAGCCGCACTTATTCTCATTGGATATGCCGTCAACGAATTCGATTCTGTCTTGGCGGGTTATCTGGCCGATAGCTATATGGGCTACGCGGCTAGTGGTTTTGCAGCAGTTCAACTCCTGCGGTCCTCGATGTCGGCTGCTTTCCCGTTGTTTGCGACGGATATGTTCGATGCGTTAGGCGCGAATGTGGCGTCGTCGATTTTGGCTGCTCTTGCTACCGTTTTTTGTATCGTTCCACCGCTTTTTAATAGACATGGAAGGCGGATTCGAGGTCTTAGCAAGTTTGCTAAGCATAGCTTGCAGGTCTACCGGGAGAATGGGGTTGATAAGCATGGGTTTTGAAGACCGTTCGGTGGTGATGATGATTGCGCATAAATACATCTCACGGACGGGCGGTACCTTCTCACTACCAAGCAGCTAGTCACCAAGGAACTCCCGTCCTCAGGTGCTTTGTGTTCGTTGTTTATCTTGTCAGTATCGGTGATATAGTCACCAAGTACTGACACATGCAGAGGATCATTCAATCATCCCTCGAGTGCTAGGTTGTGCTCTCGTTTGAGCAGGCTTTATGATCCAAATTGAGGAGCCGTCGCCTCTTGCATAGTGCATCGACAAGATTGCAGCATGTTCAAACCGAAGGATGGCAAGATGTAGCTCCACCCGAGAGCGGATGTGGATCTACAGAGGGAACAATATACGAAGACAAAACATGATAGAAGAATATAGAGCACATATAGAAGGGATTCAAAGAATCATAGCATAATTTGATATGGACAAAATAGTAGTGACAGCTTCATGCCTGGTCTGTCAGGCAACTGCTTGATACTCCTAAGAATTATTCTTCCGCTCCGTAGTCTTAATGATGGAGTTTGTAGATCATGTGATGTGGTATGATTCACCGATTATCAGCATCACCAAATTGGGTGTAAAACTGACGTAGATTCAAATAATGAATTTTCCAAATTACGAGTCCAAAAACCTATGGGGTACTTGTTTCTGCAGAAACCAAGCACAGCAGACCGCTCCCTATAGTAGCCAAAAAAGGCAGGAACTGGAAGAACAGCACAGGGAGGCAAAATTAAACTATACAATAGACTACGAACGGGTCAGGGGGCGTGGCCAAGTACAGAAGGAACACGATTTTTCAAGTCATATGACAGGCCTATTAGAAAGGAGATCATCGAAACAAAAAAAAATCATTTTTCCCAGGCACATCCGTATTCAATTGCAACAAAACCAAACTACATCATACCCTGGAAACCCATCTAAAATTAAGACACGGAGCGTTGCCTCTAGAGGTATCGGTCAAGGTGGATGGGGATTACTACAGTAGAAAAAATTTTCCAAGTCCACGCATCAGGCCAAACGTGAGTCAAAAAAGAGGCGACAAAACGGTTGTCCTCGCCTATCCCCGGCTACGATGGTGACGCTGGCCCAGTGCCACCACATCCGTCGGAGCCGACCGACAATGTCGCCATCTGGTGGATCCACCGAACAAAGAGCATGTCGCAACGCGCTTACTGTTGTACAGTGGTTTGCACGAACCTACAATGAACCTCGACTCATCTACTAGAATTTACTAGAACAAAGAATGGAAATAAGGTTTTGATGTCAAAGAATAGTAGCCTCGGTAGGCTTGGAAAATTCATTGTTGGGCCCAGAGCTAGAAAGTAGTAGCAGTGGCGCGATTGGGGGAATATGTTAAAACAAAGAGTAGGATGCGGTCGCTTGAAAAACGCGCAAAGCTAGAAAGGCAAATACATGGGGACTCCGGTGGCCCGATGCCAAATGCGAATGAGGTTTAAACTAAAGAAAAGCATAATGCCCTCAAATAGCGCAATCCGGCAAACAAAGGAAAAACGTGCCCGAAACCTAGCATATGCAAGGATGCAAGAGCCTCTCTACCAGTTTTGGCAGTGACAAGCCCGGGGAATTAGGAAGATAGGAGTCAAGAAATAATAACGCCGATCCCATGAGTGGTTCGGAAGATGTTTGGATGGAGGAGTCTTTCGCGCAAAAGATTTGCAAAAGAGGACATAGAAAACCCTCCCTCGGCAGGGAGTGCACTGTAAGAAAGAAACATAGAAAGATGCGGTTTGAAGCGTCGCGGGAACAGGGGTATCGGGCGACGGGTAATGGGGCAAAAAGTGTAGACGTTGAGAAATAGAGAAACGGGTTGTTGAAAAGAAAATCCGCCGCAAGTGGTCTTTGTTTAAAGAACCATCCCATCTCGTCCCCGAAGTTGCGAGTTCTTTGAGAAAAAGTGTCCGATCCGCGTGATTAAAAACGAAGGCGATAGGTTGAAAGAAACAAAAGGCCGAAGATGGCGAAAGCAAAAACTTTTTTTTTGGTGTTGGTCGTGAATATCATGTCATCGTCAATGATTAAGGCGAGGTCTCCCTAAGCGGTACCCTTGAGCTTGCCCCAGCCCTTCTCGAGGCCACGGCGAGCCATGTCGCGGGCACGATCAGCCACGGAGCCAGTGCTGCTGGCGGTGTTGGTGCTGGTGGAAGAGTACTTGCGGCTCAGGCTGCAATTTGAGGCGTCGTCACGGTAGATCATGTTGCCAGCACCGCCACGACCAACGTGGTAGACGGGAGCTGCACGGCGGAGGTCACGCTCGAGTTCCTCATCGAAGCTGAAGATGGCACGCTCGCTGCTGCTGTGGACGTTGCCGGCACCGCCACGGCCGGAGGTGAAAGTAGTAGGCGCGCGCGAGTCGAGGCGAGTCAACGAGGCTGGGCCGGTGGCAGTTCGAGAGTCGGTGGTCTTGGTATTCTTGAGGCTGATGACATTGCCACTGCCTCCACGGCCAGTGTAAACAGCAGGGCGAGTGGTGTGAGGCACCGAGGGGTGCGGTTCGATCACGCGGTAACTTGATGTCCTTGCGGAAGGCATGGTGATGGTTGTGTGTGTTGGTTGTTTTGAGATGTGAGAGATCTGTATCTGGGAAGTATGTAGCTGCGGCGCAACTATAGAGAGTTCAAGTCCATATGCAGGAAGCAAGATTGGAATTGCAGAGCAAGTGTAGTGAAGCAAGCTCGAGTGAAGCGAGAAAAATTTGCAGGTTCAGATTATGGAGCACATCGTGGATCATGGCGGGGAGGCTACAGTTTTATAGAGGGGGGCCATGGAGTCATTCAGGTCTCGCAGGCCATTGTGAGTTGTGGCCAGGCACGACATCCACGGGTCACACGCTGCTTTGCGGTGGGGCCCTTTGGCTGTGGGGATTTTTTTCGAGTTTTTTTTTTTTTTTTTTTTTTTTCTATTTTTTCCTCTACCAAAAGAATTTTCTCACGGCTGGCGTCATGGGAGTAAAGAGGCAAGAGTTTTGGACCATTTTGGGAATGACGGCCCAATGAGTCAGCGTTGTTGATGCCTTAGTAACAGGGTGTCCACCGAATCTGCCAGAAAATTAGGTGCAACCAGTGGCCGTGTGGCCGCTCACCTGACCCTGACTGGTTCATTCCCAAACTCCACAATTGTCGCAATCCCTCGCTGCTTTAATTCCCCCAAGTTCCCAGCCCAGCAACGCCGTCATGGCCGTGGTCATCTGACTCCGCTCACCTCCCCATTAAAGCCCCGTCTTCACGTAACAGAAATGGGCGGGCCCGCCAATCATCATGCACGGCGTCTAAAAACAGGGATGGCCGGCGGGTTCGTGGCCGCTAACGAGGTTTTCATTACCCCCAGGAAACCCTCAAAAAACCTCGCACATCGTGTCCAGACTCGTCCACCACGCTGGCCGTATTACAACCCCCCGTTCACCGCATCCCTCGCGCCCTCGTGGCTCGGCTCGACACTCTGGCGCTCTCTCACGTCAGGTGTGCTAAGCTGTTCACTCAGCATTTGACAATAGTTCATGCCCATTATTGGTCTCCCGCAATACGCAGGCCACGATGGTGGTAATGTCGCCATTGACAGTAGTCCTGAGGACCCCGTGTGACCCCCCAAATGACTGGTTGAGAATGCCACCAGCCATAATTGCATCATCCCGGGCCGGCCGTCGTGGACAATCCAGTCATCCAGTGGGTTTCGCGGAGATGCTCAACCGCTTTGTCTTGCGACATCTGAGCACATAATTGAGGACATCGTTGGTCTCCCTGTCGTGCTACGACACAAGCAATGAGGCATTTCCATCTAGTCCGCATGGTCACATTGAGCACGCCCGCGCTTTTCCTCAATTCCCTGTTCTCCGTATATTCTATGGATTGTACGGTGTACCCCAAGCCACCGTCGCTAATTGTATTGTATAACTATTGTACAAGTCCTATACAAAAGTGGATCAATTGTATTTTCAGGGGGTCCGCCGATCCAAAGCACGATGACCCCATCGCACTGAATCAGCCCTGAACACGCTGCGGGATATTTTCTCCTTCCCCTCGCACCACTCGGTCGATCGGGTCTAGGGCCTACAGCATTTAGTTCACGCCGGTACCTGAGGCCTAGGAGATCATCCGCGTCGCAAATTCACGCACCCCTCCTACCCCCTTGTCTAGTGCCTCGACATTGTACATCGTGACTTGGCAGTCCAATATTCCACCCCTCTAGCCCTATGCCCAGATCAATGCCCAGCGACGCCGAGCATTTCTCCCTATAGCCTCCTTGCAATTCCCAATAATTGCAAATACCGACAGGAGATCCTACCGTAATAGCTGTGGCTCGGCAAACACCCCCTGGAAGCAAAAAAAAAACTCTGGATCGAATTACCCTAAAGGGGTATGGCGTTCCCCAGATCAAGTCCGCCAGTGGGGAAAACATGACGAAATGCGCCCGTAAAAAGCAACTGAGAGAAAAATTCTGCGTGCTCATGGGACTTGGACCTGCTGAATGGCCGACAGATCCGAGTCCGGTGGTTTTAGCCAATCACCACTCGGCGGCAGCTCGTGCATGGCTCTTTTGCTTTGCTTATGGCCTTTTCCCCAGATTTTCCTTTCTTTCCCCAGACTCCGACAGGACTTGCTCTGTTCGTTTAGGTCTCGACATGCTTACTCTGGATAGAGAAAGCCCAACCCAACCTAAACTGAGACTATACAAATGATCGCCCTGCAGATTATTTGTCCCTCCCCTTTGAAAATTGATCACGCTTGCACCTAAACTAGTCCAGGTGCAGGCCCCGTGATGCCCGCCAAAGACGGGTTTTTGATTTTGAGGGGGCGCATTGCAACTTGCCCTGGCAGTGGCACCGTGGCACTCGCAGTTTTACCTCGGAGTCCCCCGCGCGCACCATCTCCAACTTTTGTCGGCGCCCACAGCCGAGGAGAATGACTCCCGCCCTACTTGAACTATGGTTTGCAAAGAATGGCTGACTGACCGACTGACTGCTGAATGACTCTTTGGGTCATGTGGCCTGTTTTCTAGAAGTTATTGAATCTTGACCACCTTCTATTCACGGTAGAGTTTCACCATTCGTTTCCAGATCCAGATCCAATCCAGGATTCTATTTCCCCCCTGGTCGAATCTCTGACGCAGGTTTGACACTAGGGGGGCAGACGTTCCCAACGTTATTTTAGATTTTAGAATCTTGAAGAATGAATTAGACTCTACCCCAACCCTCCCCTCAGTCAATTATACTACTGTTCTCCCCACAATCCAAAAGCGGCATTAACCACAACCCTCACACTACTCCTCATAGAAGACACATATTACCTACTGCAGTATACCTATCTCGTAATAACATTCCCCAACCCTCCATCCCACAGATCACATCACATCAGAATTCCCCAATTCTCACCTCATCCAGATTCCACACGAGAAACATGCAGTGGATCCATTCAAGGAACCAAGGCCAACGCAACTCCCACGTTATTATCTAATACCGAAGCATCATGACACATCGAAATCCCTTGGCTGCAGGTCGAGACCCCCGGTAGACCTGCCGATGATCCTGGACCGGCTACCTGCCGGGTAGCCTTGATACCGATGACGCAAGATGTTGGGATACTGCGAGGGTAGGGAAAGCTCTTGTAGAGTGAAAGATGTGTGCATCAGAATCGCTTACACTTGGCCCTGGTCTTGGGCTTTCTGATATGATGCGCGATTTTATGAGCTCGTTGTGAATGCTATACTATGCTACACTATAGATATGCACACGTAGCTGGTATCGTGAGATGTGTCCTACGTATAATATGGCGACAGCGAATCACGCAAAATGGTTGAACGTACCGATTTGGGCACAGCGCTTCCCTGCTCGTTACAACCTCTCGTCGTGTGTGGCTACATAAAGTCCTCTTCTACTACTGAGTCGTCTTTGGTCACGTGCTATTCAACACCACTCTACTTATGGGATATGACCCAACATAGGTATAGTACTCCAGTACTTAAAACTTCAGCTGAAAATAAAATCGATTGAAAAATATGAGAACCCCTGATGCGCTTGTACACTCTGTAAGACAATGCGTTTCATGGATGATGGAAGAGAGAGTCTGGCCTATGATGGGAGTTGGGCAAGAAATATATCAGGTTCCTCAAGGACAACGTCGGGATTTTCAGGCAACTCGAAAGATAAATTCCATCAAATCAGGACGGGATCACCTTTATCCAGCGCTGTCAAGTTATATTAGATATATAGCAAGTTCTTCGCATGATTACTTGTCTTAGACTGTAGGACTGAGAAGGAAATGGAATTTGCAATTCAATGAAGTCACAACAATCAATAGACAAAAAGTTCTATCCCCCCCATGGCTTGTGTTTAATAATCACCTTGACGACAACAATAATCTTGATGAACGAGCGGAAAACAACATCCCTTCCTAGTGAGTACCGTTCTTCTGCTCCTTGGGATGTTCGTACAAGTCCGTCGCACTCCAAGTCTCACTCCAGGTATTGTATGAATCCGGGGGTACTGGCTGGTACTTGGGAGTCTTTTCAGGCTGATAAGCCTGGTTGAACGAGACACCTCGATCAGCTGGAATAACCCCTTCAATAACCTTGCCATCCTCGGGCAAAAACTCCGGTTTCTTCATCGCACTTTCAACCCAACTTTGATTGAAGGGCGTCCTAAAGGTCGTCAGGACGTGGAGATGCCAGATCTTCCACTGGCCATCTTCCTTGATAAAGTCCACCGCATAGCGGCCCCAGGACCAGTTGGGATAGATTTTCCCTTCAATGGGAAAGGTCTCATGACCTGGAGAAATCCAGACCCCTTTTGCAGTACTCCCATCTGCCGCAATTTCGATGACAGGCGTAGTGATGGCATGTTCAATCAATAGGCCCTTGGTGGAAGGTGGAAACGGATTTCCCACAACGTAAGATTTGTAGATAGTCTCGCGTGTTGTCCAAGCGCCCCAGTCCTCGGCTTCGAAAACGATGTCCTCTCGCTTGGACCACAACTCGTGAAACTCTCGATCATGCCGACCGGCCGAGTGAAGAAAGGCCCTTTGCCCCATGATTTTTTCAATTTCGTGAATTGCTTCCAAACGTTCAATGCGTTGGAGTAGAAGGTGGTGGTCCGAAGCGGGACTGCTCATGATGATATCGCTTCGTAGTCAGATACAGAGGAAATTGTCTTTGGATACTTACAGGCTTAGCAAACCGAGCTACGTTTTATAGACATTCAGTACTTGGGATCTAAGTGAGAATCTCAGGTAGATTCAGCCGTATACCTCCACATTCCGAGTTATTCATTCGTAGATATTCGCAAGCTCTTTCTCTCAACCTGAATTCGGTGACATGTCTTCTCCGCGAGATCAAGTGGGAGGCATAATCGGCAGGAAGCTCTCAGTCGGCTCCACTATAGTCAATTAGGCTATACTAAGTAGAACATGAGGATTTCACAATTCTCTGCGGGTGGTTCTAGGAGCCTAGTCGCGGCTGGAAGGTATGAGCATGGCACAGCGGGTCATTCAGCTTCAACGACGACCGGAGCTATGGCCTCCTTGAGCTGACATGATGAGTATGGAATGTTTGCTAGTACAATATAGAGGTAGACAAATGATAGCTATGTTTTACACCCAGACATGAGACCTCACCCATTGAGTACGGGCCCAACTATCTGAAATCTCTACGGGATATACTTTGAAACATTTACAACGCTGTCTTCTTGGATTTACAATGTTACAGGCTGGCAGCTAACCTGTAAAGCAATCATGGCAGAGATAAGCAGCGAGAAGCCAAGTCCCGAATAAAATTTGATGCATCAACCAGTCGAGTTGGATTGAGTGTATCTGTGAGCGATACTTCGCCCATGTCTTGGATCAGGATTTGGATCAGCATCTGCGACTGCTGAAACAAATCACACGATGGTGAGCAAATCGGGGCCAGGGAGACCACTCCGGCATGTAGCTGGAGGGAGTGAATTTTAATGGATGTACAATGTGGAAGCCGGGTACGCGGTGCCCACCTGGCAGAAAAATGGCAATTCACGACGAAGGGAATCTAGTTAGATTCTAGATACCGGATTGGGGTGGGGACCCCCGCCTTTTCCCCAGAACCCACTCACTAGGCGCCAAACCCAAATCGGTTGCTAACCCACGCGTCCCGAATCTCTCAGCAGTCCTTATCGACGAAATGCTGGGTTCCAACTGGCAAGTATGTCTCCTGAAGACATGCAGAATACAATATACTGGTGACTATGGCACTCGCACAAATACCTCTCTCTTTCCTATTAATACTCCCCTCTCCTTGCCCTAGTCGGGGCACTTATTGTCATCACATCTTCGAGCAACACCTCCGACTTCAATCGGTATCAAGGCCACTTCAGACAAGTTGATCTTATAGTAAGAGAGTGACTAACATCATATATTAGCACAATTCATCTCTCTTGCGATGACTGAGGGTCCGCAGAACGCCGGTATCGGTGCCGTTGAGAATGGCTTGCATACTGCTCACCAACTCGACGATGATGATGGAGCCAAGCACGACAGTATCTCAGTGAAGCATATTGAGGTTACAAGCCAAGACAGTTACGGAGACAAATTACGCGTGGAGCATATCCATGGGCGAAGGTTATATCTGGCCTTCCTTGGCTGGCTAATGACCGAGTTCATGGGCTCAATGGTGAGTGTTTGCATCATACCAAGTCTTGCCAGTGACCATGTCGAATTCATTTCGCTCAGTAACTAATATTTCTCTGGCTAGGGAGGCAATATGTTGGCCCCGGCCATACCAGTGATAGCGTCCAACTTCAACGCTTTTGGCCAGCTCGGGTGGATAAGTGGGGCCTTCTATATGACACAATGCGGGTCTATGCTTTTGTTCGGACAGTGTTCTGAGCTTTTCGATGCAAAGTATGTCCTGATAGTGGCTATACTCTTCAACATGCTTGGCTCCGCTATCTCTGGAGGAGCTAGTGACGTTACATCACTGATAGTTGGTCGTGCGGTGGCTGGAATCGGCTCTGCTGGGTGCTATATCGCCGTTCAGGCCCTTGTCGCATATCTTGTCGATCTCAAATATCGCGCCCTCATTTTTGGACTCTTTGGACTCCAAAATGTCATTGCCGTCACTGCTGGCCCCATCTCAGCTGGTGCCTTCTCGGACTCGGGCTTGTGGCGTATGTGCTTTCTTATCGTTCTCCCGCTTGGCACAGTCGCTATCATTCTCAACCTTATTGTTATGCCATCTGTCCCCCCACTTCCACTCACTGAGGAAATGGAACAAAGACTACAGAAGCAAATCGGCGGGTTTCCCAGCTGCACACGATTCGTGAAGGAAAGAGAATGGGCCAAGCGAGTCTTGTTAGCTGACTGGCTGGGTTTCATCCTTGCTACTGGCAGTCTGGTGTGTTTCGTCTTGGCGATGCAGTGGGGAGGCTCCGAGTATGCATGGTCCAGCTCGCATGTCATTGGCGTCTTTGTCGGATTTGTTGCCATTGGAGCTGCTTTCTTCTTTGTGCAGTCTGTCGTTGCCTGGCCGCTCATTCCACTACGAGTTCTACGTAACCGGACAGTGGTGGGTAGCTGCGTTATGGCGCTGTCACAATTCATGTGCAATCTTTTTGCTGCTACCTTCCTTTCCGTCATATACGAGGCTGGGTATGGTTACAGCTCTCTCCGTGCTGGCCTTCATGTTATACCCTACTTCACAGTCATTATCGGGGCACAGCTTGCCGAGGGTGTTGTTCTGGCCTGGACAAAAAGGTACTGGTACTGGGGCTGGACAAGCCCCATGATTATCGCTGTGGGTGGTGGCCTCTTATACACCATCAACTCAAGCACCAGCACTGCCCGGCTTATCGGGTACCAGGTCATCTACGGGCTGGGTATTGGCCTTACACAGGGCATTCCTATTGTCGCGGTTCAAGCTGATAGCAAGGAGCGAGATATAGCACAAGCCCTGGCGACCCTTGCGTTCACTCAGTTATTTGGAGGAACATGTGGACCGGTGATCGGGAGCGCAGTTCTCGACGAGCATTTAAGGGCCAACTTGAAGGAGAGAGACGTACCTGCCAGCACGATTGCCGAAGTTATCTCGTCAGTCAACATAATCAAGACGCTCTAACCGGCAGCTTTGCGCGAGAGTGTTATTGAGGCCTATTTGTTGGCCCTTAACCAAGTCTTTATCATTGCTGTGCCTCTAGCGGGAATTGTTTGCATTGCGGGTCTTTGTATCAGGAACAAGATATTAAGAAAGGAGAGCGACGGAGCCCATTGAGGTCCTATGGTATATTTACGGAGATTTCTTGAGGTTCATGGTCAAGAAAGTTGTCAGTCGGGTTGTGGTTCTAACTAGGGCTTACACATTTCGACAGACGCAGAAGAACGGGAACGTATGAGCTAGTGGTATCAGATTCAGGACTTGGAACGTGTATTTACCACATTTTCTCTAGTGTTTTTTTTTTTCATTCTGTGAAACTTTTACCTGTGAAAGTTGTTGGTCTTCTGGATTAATTCAAGTACCATCACCCTGCTCGCATTTTTCTTTCCTGTCCTATCCATTAAGCTTGATGTGAAAGCCGCCAAATATACCTCCTACTACTTCCGGAATGTTGGGCTCCACATTAGTTCCTGCATCAGTAGTTTTATTTTCACGTTCCTCTTGTTGTGCAGTGAAATGTAGTCTATATAGCGGTATCCAATTATAGAGATTATAGGATCAAAATTGAGTGTCACGGGTTGCTCAACCCCAGGAGCAGTCTAACATGAAATGTAGAGGTACTTAAATTAACATTTTAAGCATATAATTAGCTAATCGATAAGATATTTGCCTAATAAAAGACAATCCCTACGAGGACTGAAACTTAGGAGATACAACCTGAGTGACCCATGACGATAATGCCCATCTGTGCATTGTGGCTATTTTGTGTTCAATTCGCTAAGAGTGCGACTTAGCGGCTATCTAAGATCTTTCAAAGTTCAATTTTGGCTTTGTTACTCTCCAACTTCTCGATCCTCACCCCATCGAATTCCTTTGCCTATTCTTGATCTCAGTATCCATGCTCGGATTTCAATACCCCAAAAGTATAATGGAATCCACATGATTAAAACAGCAGCACAGATACCGGCCAGCGTTCCAAATGAGTTCATATAACCAGTTGAATCAATCCAAGGGTTTGTGTAAAAGGACAAAAGAAAGCCAAATGCAGCTACGTGGGTTAGTTTTCTATAAACATGTCGATATTCTGAAAGGAATCATACCTTTGAAACTCAGCTGAGAAACTATCACTTCGCCAGCGATGGGTCTATACGCATCGACTGCATAAACGAGAACAATGTTGCTGACTTGAGTGATCACAAAGCCCACTGAGTTAAGTTAGTACCAGCCATAACTAGAAGTTGGATGTGCTCGAGTACTGACATAAGCCTAGACCAAGGATAGGAACCATCCAGTGCAATGAATACTGAATGCCCGATCCGTAAAGCATTAAGGCCAAAGGTGCCAATATCAGTGATATTGTGATTGTGGGCAGACGCATCTCTGGCTCACGAACGCCCGACTTTCGTTGGGTAAGCAAGTCGGCAATATTGTCTGACAGCCAGCCACCTCCAAAAATCCCAATGAGAGCTCCAATTAGAACTGCGACATAGCTAAGGCCGCACTCCCAGGTCGAGAATCCGTACAACTCAGTGAAGGCTGTGGCGTAATTGGAACTGATCGCAACGAATGAGCCGATACAAACTGACATGCTGAGAGTCCCAAAAAGAACGGATGGAATTATCAAGAGAGGAACTGGTCGCCAGAATAGAGTGAAAAGTGACTCTGTTGTGTACTTGGGGTTGAAGATGCGAAGCTGTTCAATATACGTCTTCTTTGGAGGGACTCGGAACTCTATATGAGAACTTTCGATGTCCCTAGACTTGGTCCCCAGCTCGGTATCATCAGAAACCATCGGCAAATTTCTTTGATAGGCTGTCTCAGGCATAGTGAAGAATACCACGAGGACTAACAGCCAGATAATTCCCGAGGCAAGGAAATATATAACACGCCAACTCTGATGTATAGTGATCAAGCCAGATAGGATGATCCCACCGGCAATACCACATGAGAGAGCCGCCGAATAAAAGCTGCTCAATATTAATCTATATCCCAAAGAAAGCGCCACAAAAAGAGACCTACCTCATGACCAAGCCACGCTCATGAAGGAAGAACGTATCTGCAATAGTCAACGGGGCAACGCATTCAGCAGACCCCCCGGCAAATCCAAGGATAAGCCGGGCAGCCAAGGCACTTGGATAGTCTGTAGCTAGGCCAGCCCAGAGTGAACACCCGCCATAAAGTAGGAAGGAAAATATGTAGACTGGACGACGGCCATATTTGATGATCAGCGGCATATAGAAAAGGTTGGACATGCCTTGTACAAATGCCGTGCCACTGAAGAGATATGATGCCTTTGCCAAAGCGGCTGACCAGCCAGGGTTGGTTGGCAGGACTCCAAAGAGATCGTGCACAATTCCCGCCATGTCAGCGCTGGGACCAGCGGCCAGAAACTGCGCCATGAATATTGCGGCACAGGATATGATGGCAATGTATACTCGAAAACCTCTCGACCTGGCAGCATTTGAAAATTAGCATAAAACACTTGAAATGAGAATAGTTCACTTTTATTACCAATTCAGGGGATCATTGGGGTCATTTGACGGGGTTGGCACAAGTATTAAATCGTTGGTTGTAGGATGCCGAAGTCTAACGGACCCCAAAGTGCTCACATGTTTAGCTTTCAGCTCGTTGTCGCCCAAGCTTCTGTTCCGCTCGATGGAGCCAACACTCTCAATCTCGACATCATTCATGATGGATGGAATTGTTAGAGAATTATCTTGCGGGTACGTTCGGGGCTTGATCACTCGTTAAATATGAAGGGGCTTTTGGGGGGGGGGGGATTAGTAACAGTGGTTGTCTCCACCCTATCGCTCTGGGGGAGCGCGGGGGCGCGTGGAGGTGGCGCTGTATGATTCACGAAGAAAGCGACCACAAATTGCGGGGTGCATCATAGCCGATTGATTCGCCATTCCATATGTTCATGGCCAGCAACGTAGACGTAATCTATCGCTAAAGATTTATGGCTTCGGCCCCTTCAGGTGGCGATTGGAGGAAGTTGTCCACATCCCGAATTGGCTGCGCTAGTTGGTTCTTGGAGAACAGCAAATCTGTAGTTCAATTATGTACACTATAAATATGTACCTTAAATGGGGGTACGACCATGGCATAGGTTCAATCTCTCTGATCTCATTTTACTACCTATTTATTTTGGTGCCAATTTAGAACAAGTCTCTCCTGAAAAGCTCACCGTCACAATGTCAATCTCCCTCCAACAATTCCTGCGATACATAAAAGCCTTCAATGCAAAAGACTACCATGTGCAACACCAATTCTATGACCCCGAAGTCCGGCTTGTCATTCCTGATCCTGCAATCGGTACTCTTCATGGCTCGAAAGGAATTATGAAACATTACTCCGTCGTGCACGGGTCTGCCAAGGAAACCGTTGTCCCGATGTTTGTCATGATAGACGGAGCGCGTGTATTGTTCAGTATGGAAACATACTTCCTCTATCTGGAGCCTACCGAAAATGCTGTACACGGATATAAAGTACGGGCAGGTGACGTGATCCGAGTCAAAGTCTGGGCCCTTTATGATATGAAGGATGGAAAAATGCTGCAAATCACTTGCAATGGTCTGAGTGATGAGATGCTTGGACAGGTTGATGTGGAAGCTTTGATAGAGGAGAGCCTGAGTCGAGCGGATGAGAATGTGAGGGCAGAATGGAATTCATTGTCTACGAAACTTTGACTTTGCAGTTATAACATCAATCATTCTTCTGGGCTCATCATATGACGTTCCAAATATGACAATCTTGAAATTATTCAATTACTTCGAATTCTACGGCAGCATACTGCTGCTACGTCCTTATATGACATCAAACTGTGCTAGTCCTAAACGGAATTGAATTGAGGTATAAGATCTTATGAAGTGAGCTTAGAAGATATTCGGTTCATGCCGATACATGGTGTAAGCTCGACATGTTGAACGTCTTCAAAAATATCACTGTACACAGTGACAAGCTTCATATTGGCGAATGAAGTTGACAGGACAATGATACATAGATTTGTATAAAAGGAATATCTTTTCGTTGTACAGCATGGTTAATTTAGCTAGTCCGACTGTTAGGGGAGCAATATTATCTTCCTACCCGTAAACTACCCGTCAAGGACCATCTCGTCTTGTCAAAGGAATCGCATGAGCTTCTATCCTGTTATGAAATTTCAACAATAAATTCATGTGTGAAGCGGGCAGACCGTCACTGACTCACTCCGGGACTAGCAACATGCTACCCGAGGTGGGCGCCATCTTCCCGGTTTTTTGGTGTTCTGGTAGACCTGTAGTAATCAACCTTTGTGGGGGGAAAATACAAAAGAGAAAAGGCTAAGCTACTTAGTTATTTTTCTCCCTCAAATTATCAATCCAAATCCGCACATCAGCCGTCTTATCATCCCCTACTATCTGCTACCTATCCAACATAATCACGTTCAAACGATCAAGTGCTCACAGGATCATGGCCCCTTTCACACATAACGACTTCCTTGAATATGTCAAGTCATTCAACGCCAAAGATTTTGACAAACAATACTCCTTCTACCACGATGATATCACACTCGACATTCCCGACCCACAAACGGGAATTCTGCGTGGCAAGGCTGGCATCCGCAATCACTATTTGCCATTGTTTGACGTTGCTGACGAATACATCGTTCCGATGGTCATAATGGTGGACGGTGAACGGGTGTTCTACATAATGGAGAGCTCCTTCCGGTATAACAAGAGACTGGATGAAGGTGGTGTTTTTGGCTTTAAGGTGGATGATGGCGATGTTATTAAGATTCGAGTGTGGGCCTACTATGAGATCCGAGAGGGCAAGTTCCAGAGCATCGTGTGCAACTTGTTCCAGAAATGGTTTCTCGGAAAAGTTGATATGAAAGAGGCGATTCGCGAAAGCCAGAGTCGGGCCACTGAAGGTCTTCGCCACGTGCATATCTGTGATTGAATATAGGGTGGTGGGAAATACTGATAGAGTGATGAGGTTATAGAGTGATTTTCTGAAGTTATTATGCAAACGAGTTTGTCCCTTGCGCTTCGTAGAAATTCACATTATATAATGGACGAAACATGTGATTCCACTTACCAGTTCATCTACGTGTGCTATGGTTCAAGACTGTTCATTGGGTAGCCCCAGTAGAAACGCTAGAGCGTATAGAAATACCCGATGGCCACTTTAGATCCCTTCCGATGAGGGCCACTAGATCCCAGATTACGTATTTCCAATGTGCAGCGAAATATACGAGGTCAAGAGTCCACTCACTTCATGATCAACACTGAGCCAATCTTGTTAACGCCTCTATATACACACGTCTTCGAGCAAGCTCATATTAGCCGTGCAGGTCACAGATTATTATCTGTTCGATACTTCATTCATGCTAAGTATTATCGGCACACAACCATGGCTCCTTCAGTAAACTCGGGCGACAGACTTGCTGGCCTAGAATCCTTCCTTCGAAGCCACCAGATTCCTTACTATACCCCGTCCCATCCGGCTTTTCTGTCCTTTCGTGCTACCTACATCAGATCGTTTGAATCCGTGGTCCCGCTGTGCATCGTACGGCCGAGTAGTGCTGATGAGGTCGCTATCATTATTAAGCATGTCATTGTCAACGAAATTCCCTTCACCATTCGTGCTGGTGGGCACGACCTTTTCGGAAGATGCTTCGTCACAGCGTCCCTAGCCGTGGACCTCCAGGATCTCAAGTCGGTCGAAATCAGTGATGACCGGCGGTCGGCAAAAATTGGTGGTGGTGTACTGGCGGGGCGAGTTGCAGAGGAATTGGGACTCATGGGATTAATGACAGCAATGGGGTCAGTCCCATCGGTTGGATATGTAGGTTGGGCAACTCATGGAGGGTATGGATAATTTGCCTCAAACTACGGACTTGGGGTCGACCAGATTCTGGGTGCTAGGGTGGTAAACAGTGCGGGCGATCTTGTTGAAGCAGATGAGGGTATGCTGGAAGTGATTCGCGGGGCTGGAGGAACTATTGGAGTTGTGGTAGAGATGACAATCGCGGTGTTTCCATTGAAAGAGGTAAGTAAGCACCCATCCACGGGCCTTGTTAGCAGTAGAGAGTGGCCATAGAGTGGAATGAGATTCATGAAACGAGATGCCAATGCTGAATAGTGCTGATATTGTATAGGTATTAGGTGGCATTGTTGCATTTTCATCCGTCGACATGGCAAGTACTGTCAGAAGGTTCACAGTGGCCTATCAAGCGATGATGAAAGATGGCATTGATCGTGCTCTCGGTATTCAACAAAGCATAGTGAATACTCCAGGCGGCAAGGTTTTCGCTGTCGGGTTCATGTGGAGCTCAGATAATATGGCCCTTGGTCGAGAGTATCTCGAGAGAATAACGTCTTTCGGAGAGGTCATCAACAACACAGTCAAAGGTCGTTCGGCTTTTGACTGGATGACTGAATCATCCAGTCTTGTTCCCGAGTCTGCTTACGGTACCATCATGACTCTAAGCCTGAGATCAATCACGGAGGAAGTAATCGAAGTTATCTCTCACCATGTGTCCAAAATGCCCCAGGATCCTGCAACTCTTATATCGATCCATCAATTACGGAATGGGCCAGCACTCTCTCCAGCGGCCTTACCATCAGTATTTGTTGCTAAGGAGCCACACTATATGGTTGAGCTGATTGCAACCTCAAGCACGTATGAAGCTGCAGAACCTGCCCGGAATTGGGCCGCAGGGTGCCGTGATGCATTGCGAAAACCGTTGCCGGTCAATTTGCTGGACTCTACCTATATCTCACTGACGTCGCCCACGGAAGCTGATCCGAGGAAGATTTTTGGATGGAAGTGGAAGCGACTCTTAATGCTCAAGGCCCGGTATGACCCAAAGAATGTGTTTTCAAATGCGATGCCACAGTTCACTATTTCACTGCTTGATGGGGTGCAGCAGTTATGAGTTTAGAATGAAGCTGGCTCAGTTCTGTCACAAATCGAGATTGACGAAAGAAATCCAAGGAGACCGATGATTGCTTGTGCCTAGGTTCCCTCCTCGATAGTCAGTAAAGCATGATTCAATGAATTTAAACCCTTGGAGAGTACATCAAGAGGTCTGTACGAGTACGATTAGCTATGGGAAAAAGTGGGCACTTAATATCTCTTAAGTAGGGGCTATGAAATGGATGAGACAGTTGATATGTGTACTATCTACCTGTGCGTTATGTGGCTTTCTGAGAAGCATAACTAACTAGCAAGTGAGAAGAGGCTAGGAGACGGGTGTATGGCCTTCTAACGTAAACTAGAAGCGTTGTAACAGTAATAAAGGAGAAGGAAAATGTGTTTCAAAACAAGCTATCTGCAGCATGCTTACCAGCCAGTCGACCCATGGTATAGCTGAACCCTTCAATAGCGCCAGCGAATGCAAAAGGGTATGTTCCACCATAGATAGAATTTGCGTCACGGCCAGTTGCGTAGAGTCCTGGAATCGGGCATTGATCTGAATTTAAAGCCTGCCCATGTTCATTGATAGCGATACCACCAGAGCTGCCATAGCTTCCAAGGCAAAACTTTGCTGCAAAGAATGGGCCTTTACTACCTATCTCACGAAGATATTTGGGGTCCTTGAAGAATTCGCTATCAATGCCAATATGACAGAATTCATCGTAGGCCGCGACTGTCTCAGCGAGTTTCTTTTCGGGTACCATAAGTTGTACGGCCAATTCCTCGAGACTCTCGGCCTGGAAAAGATTTTTATATCCAGAATCGATCGCTGAAGAGACATGATCACGCAGAGGGCCCAATTTTCCAGGTGGCTGGTACAGGGCAAATAGCTGGTAATCTATACCCAGAGTTCGGAGCTCGTGGTCTATAGTTTCGGTCGTGATCATATAGGCGTAGCTACCTGGCTGTCGACGCACAGCATTGGCTGCATCTGCTGGATTTTTAACTATGGCTTCATCCACAAATCGAGCACCAAGTTGGTTGACCAAAAGCCCTGGTTGGCGAAATGTGCTCAACTCGACTGCAGTGCCACCAGGGCCCCCGTACGGGTCAGGAAGGTAGAGATATGTTTCCAGCATAGTCGGAGACTGAGCAGCACCGGCTTCCCAGGCCATCAAGAGCCCGTCACCTTGATGCTGCGGATGAGTGAACATCTTGAAGGTGAAGAGATCTACCCCTTGGCGCAGCCCGGTCAACTTTTCGATCAGCTCGGGAGAACCTTGGTATTCACCAGTAGCAATCACTGTGCGAGCTGCATGGAGATTATGAATGCCGCCCTCAAGGTCCATCACCTCACAGCCGATGATACATTCGTTTTCCGTGAGAAGACGAGTGGCTTTGGTTTGTAATTGAAAATCGACATGAAGGTCTCGCGCTTTCGCTTCGAGTACGTCTGCAATGACAGGGTTTTCTGGATCATTTCTGACATGAAATACGACCTCTGCACCCGTGTAGTAGGCAAGCACACGATCGAAACGTATGCCCATCTGGTTGAACCACTCGATTGTTGCGCCCGAGTTGCGAATAAAGGCCGATACAATGCGGCCGTCGGTACGCCAGCGAGAATGCTCCATGAGCATGCGATAGGCGCAGGCCTGGGAAACTCCAACGTGCATTTCGGCCTGCATCCAGCTCTCCACGGCACACATTCCCAGACTGCCGGGGTTAATTCGATTCGGGCCTCCAATAAAATTGGTCTTTTCCACAACAACAACCTTTGCGCCGGCCTGGGCCGCACCAAGAGCGGCGGCAAGTCCAGCTCCTCCAGCTCCGATAACCAGCACGTCGATCATGGATTTAGTCATATTGTAGAGATGATCAGGAAATGAATTCTCACTTGGCTATATGAGAAATGAACATGTAGCGTGGTGAGTGAGTTTCGAGATGTTGACTATACTCAGATTTTTCTGTTGAATTAAAGTAGAGCCCTTTTGTAGATATCAAGACCAAAAATTGATATGGCCAGTATTTCCTCCACTACTACTGTACTTCAGGTCAGGATGTGTGCAAATTAGGCAAGTGGGTCTTTCTGGAGAAGCGGATCCTTGAACCTGCCGGAGTGGGCGCCAAATTGCCGAGTCTTTTGCATCCAGATTGACTATGACCGGATAACCTGCGCGGATGATCTATCTTTGCCAGCTTCATTCCAGTTGATTTGCCTTTTTTTTTGTGGGCTCGCTAGCAGTGTCGCTGTAGTTGCCCATGTTTTCCAAGGATACACGTTTTATTATTATTATTTTTTTCAATCTATAGACGAATTAACTACAGTAGATTTCTAGATGGCTAGTAGGCAAATGGAGCCAGCGATGTCAGATTACCAGAATGTGTCGTTGAGAACTTGAGAACTTGAGAACGGCAAACCGACTCCAGTGAGGCGGGGCGCTATTACACTTTCTTAACCTCAGGCGTTCCGGCTTTTATGTGGTTGAGCAAGTGCCTTTTCCTTCCCGAGGTGGTCCCTCTTTCTTCCTATCCTCCCTGACTACGCTCTCAAATCCCAGCCAGACAGACCCCGTTGAGGCCATGGACTCCACTGCCCCGAAGCAGCTCTGCAGTAGCCACCCTTTCATGTGTGCAGTGTGTAACAAGAGCTATGCCCGCATCGATCACCTTGCAAGGCATTCTCGACAACGTACGCCAATTCGCCTCCATTGAGACCCTAACTGACCATACTAACTAAACGGTTTGAAGATACCCAAGAAAGACCCTTTCGGTGTAGTGAATGTGGAAAGTGCTTTGGACGAGCGTAAGAACACATCCAACCAGACTTCATAGGCCACCCAGTGATTTCTGACCCGCGATTTCTCCGACCATCAGTGATCTTCTCAAGCGTCACGCTAGACTACATACCCCCGAGGCTGCTGCCAAAAGACGCGAGAAGGAGGCTACCAAAGGGAAGACCCGTGTTTCACAAGCATGTGCCAATTGTGCTGCTGCCAAGATCAAATGCACACAGGAGAAGCCCTGTAAAAGATGTGACGCACAGGGACTGGTCTGTGAACTGGCGTTTCAGACATATGCAAATCACAATGTCTCTCCTACCGTCTCTACTACTAGCACACCAAGTTCCCTGTCGGGCTCCCACCCAGTCTCTCCTCATACCCCTTCCGCTGGAGAAACTGCTGCTGCACGGGGCGAGAATGCTCCCGCTCTGGATGTGACAGAGGGCTGCCTTCAAGAGAATCAAGCAAGCGTGGGGTCCTCTGGATTGCTACGTTGGGCAGTCCAGGAACAGCTCCCGCTCGAACACGTGGACTTTAGTCAGGCGAATCAAGCCACTATTGCGGATGATCGTAATCCGATACCGCTAGATGTCTTGCGTGAATTTCCGCAACATACTGAAATAAACGATACCGATCGCACAATGGCCGAGCGTGATAGTAACTATCACCATTATTACCCTGAAAGATCATCCATTCGATTCGAGCCATTCAGCCCGACTAACCCGAGCGGCTTCAATATTGGCCCCCAACCAGCCGTGACATTCCAGAGCTTCCAGCTCGATGGCCAAGGGACTGAACCATTTTGGGGGTACCATACAGCTCTTGTAGCTGACTCCCATCCACCTCCACTTGTTCAGGCTGAAGTACCTCAACCCCAAATTGGGGTGAGTAATGACGGGCCTATTGGGCAATACGAAGATGTGCAAGAGCCCACAGCGCTGGTCACAGTTGAAGACGATGAGAATACGCATCTTTCAATCAACCAGCACAATACACAAAGCAACGCTATTGAACAGGATCTTTCTCAAGATGGCCAAAATTTAAAGCCATCGCAACGCCTTCTGCCAGCCTCGCGCGATCGCATAATCGGTCTCCTGGCCAGTGTATGCAGCCGCGAAAAGTTTCAAGAAATTGTGATCTCGCTGTACTCTGTTGAAATTCTTAATGAATTGTTGGAAAATTTCATAGAATCTGCCGGACGATCAATAGATTCGTGGACCCATCTGGCCTCGTTGGATTTTCACACCATTCAGCCAGAGCTACTAACCATGCTAGTTGCGAGCGGAGCCATCATGTCTTCCAAAAGAGATATCCAGAATCTCGGTTATGTCATGGAAGAAGCCTGCCGCTTGGCAATATTGAAGAAAGTTAGACACGGTTTCCTCGAGCTTGAACACACTCGAAAGGATTCCGTATCAGCCCAATCCACACTCGAGCAATCATCAGTGGGAGTGGGGGCGCAGAATTCTGACTGGTATAACCTTGCTGTACAAAACCTGCAATTTCTACAAGCATATGCATTGCAGCTTAATGCTGGAATGTGGAGTGGATATCATAATAAAATCAAAAACAGCGAGGCAGAAGTCCTTTCCTTGATCACAGTAAGTTGTCGTCATGCCCGACCCTACTGTATATAAGCTCTTCTATATAGTCCTGTTATACTAATTACATCTTCTTCGCCGTCTTCAGACTCTCCGCCGCCTAGGCCTTCTGCGCCTTCATAAAGTGCCCCCTCGTTGTGAACCTTCATTTCGAGATTCTCCCGATACGCTAAATCGCAAATGGCTATCTTGGATTGAGCACGAATCCTTGAAAAGGCTGGTTTACCATATACATCTTCACAGCTCTCGGGTCTCTATTTCTCTTCAAACACCACCTCTCATATCATATGCTGAATTAGCCTTGGAATTCCCTGTTCCAGTCGATATATGGCTGGCTCCCACAGCCGACGCCTGGAGGGACCTTTTCACTATCTATTCGCGCGAGGTTAACGATAGTTGCCCTAAATTTGGAAGTTGCATCTTCGACATGAGAGAAATCATGTCATACTCCGCGCATGTGGACTTTGACTTTGTTCTACATGTTATTCTCTGCAGTTACTGGGCTCTTATTTGGGACTACCGCCAATTCATCACAGTTGCAAATACCTCCTCTTGGTCGGAGGAGCGGATAGATTCCAGTGCAAAATCTCCATCTCTACTCTCCGAGCAGAGAATTGAATCTCTACTCGAGAGTTTTCAAAGCACCCTTGCAGAAAAGCATGTCTCTCTGCTTACGGAGACTCGGATGCTATATCAACTTCTAAACGCGAATCTACATGCACCTTTCCAGTGCTTTCAACTCCTTGCCGGTATGCACGGTGGAAACGAGGCCCGGCGCGCGTATCCGCTTGTGAAGCGCTGGTATGGTACCAGACGGTCGCGCCAGTCCATCTGGCATGCCGGGCAGCTACTCCGGGCTACCACTGCTGTGGCCCCGATGACAGCGACAGTATCATCGACTACGCAGTCTTCGTCCTCGAGCTCAATCTCCCCTCCCAGCTTTCGACCACAAGACTATGACCTACGGGAAACTGGAGGTCGTGTTGCCGGGACTGGCAAATTACGCGGATTCGAGGTCATTGCTGTGTATAATGCCTGGTTAGTGCTATGGGCATACGGCCTCATGGCCCGGGCAAGGCAGCAAGAATGTCAGCAGATTAACAGTGTCATATCCCACATCTCATTTGGGTCATCGATGAACCCATCCCCAGCCGCTGTGACTCCCGATATTTGGCATCAGTGCGAGCATAATGACCAGTCTACTACGCGTGCAGATGACAAATGGATCTACCTCGATGGCGATGCCTTGGTAAATAAGGACCGACGCGATGAATTTACGATTAAAAACAGGGGGTGGCCAGTTATTCAGTCTGACCTTCCGTCCTGGGTACAAAATAAGCCAAAACGCACCTCAGAACTAGAAGCATCGAGAAGAACTGCACAGCCTGGGGGCTGTACGGAGACGATACCTTCAAACATGCTAAACAGTCCGCTCATGAACGACCGAGCAACTAACAAACAGGCAGACAAGAATGAAGTCAGTCTTGGGAGATCAGAAAGCTTGACTGGAGTACCTCTACATGAAGCTAGTCGTGTGGTGCAAGTTGTCATTGAGCTTATCAAGACACTCGCTACCATGCCAAAGAGGGAAGATGAGAGGTCTGAGAGGGAGTCACGGAGTGAAATGCCCTTCCTGGCTGAGAGCCTGACACGTTTGATGGAGCATTTAGGTAGAGCAACGGATGAGATCAATGTTTGATTGTTGAATTTAGAAAAACATCAATCCTCAGCCAAATTTAGACCATTTGACTTTATTTTCTTTGTTATTCATCCATTATCCAATATCGATAGACCTCTAGTTTCATAGTTTACAGTGTTACATTGAATTTTTAGCTTTTAAGGCTACGAATCGATAAGATGCTAACTGGCAGATGGTTGTTCGCTAGGTGTTTCCTGAGTGGGAGTTTCCGTTTGATAACCTCCGACCTCTCATAGTGAAGTCTCTCGCCCAATAGTTAAATTGATTCTTTTCCGTATTTTGTTTAGTCCCCTAAGTTTAGTTGACAGGATAAATGGCACGCCAGTTTGGTTCAATTTGCGAGGCTAAAACATGAAGCACTATCTTTCAGTTCTAATGGATGTAGATCCATTGAAATCTATCCTAGTAGGGCCAGAATAATCTTCAACATTGTGTCAAGAGCAGTATGAGGTCTAAAGATGCCCCTCAAATTCAAAATCATCGATATCGCCTTAAGGTAGAATCGCTCCATTTATTTAGTTCTTTGGACCGGCACTCTTGCCCAAGGAATGCGACCAAAGTAAGAGGAATATGCCATAGAGAAATTCATCCCTTTAGCAGTACGTAGCCCTTTGTCGATGATGCCTGAGGGTTGCTCTGCGGCCGGCCCGTCAGTGGGGCCTGATTCCTCAGGCCAGTAAACGAGGATTTCTTGCGACGTTAAAGTCAGACAGCCAGCCCCTTGTGTATGTAAAGAAAGCTAGATTAGATCTATCCACTACAGGGCCGCTCGAAATCAGCTTCACCTTTTCTTTCTTTTCAAAAGTTATCTGAACTTTATCTTGCATAGCATTATGCCTGTTCTGGTTATCCTGCGCCTGGCCAGCTTTTCGATGGTAATCCAGAACAAATGTAATTAAACCCTCGAAAATAGCCATTGTAATGTTCTATATGGACGATCCCTATCTCCTCTCAACCAAATCCACTATACGATCACCAAATTGTTCATTTGAATAACTTTCCTGGACCGATTGCCCAAGCTTTGCCAATAGTTTCCGCAGTGCCGCGCGATCCTCATCGTCACATTCTGGTGACGGTCTCCACCCATTCTCAAGGTTTGTGAGTTGTTTGGGATCCTCACCTTCCATATAAGGCGAAGGACCATATCCATCATAGCAGCACATGTACCGATTGTAATACAGCCCGATCTTGATATCCTTCTCCTGCTCAAATGGAATATTCGGGTACCAATTACTACGCCCGATTCGAAAGTGTCGCAGTTTTGGCAGTTTCTCTGCAAATAGATCGAAAATATGGTGCCATCGCTTTTCGAACGAACCATACAAAGAGGTATCGCCCTCGCGGTGCACCAAGGTGTCCCTGGGTAGAGCACATGCGTCCACATTCTCTTCCATCATACAAAAGTCGTAGAGGACGGCGCAGTCATCGAAGTAGATTTCCTCGAGGGTGTCGCCATGCTTCATAATCCAGTCGATTTGGCCATCATGGAAGAAACAAAAGTTTCCTAGTGACAGCGTCTTCAGGCGTGGAAAGAACAGATCGGAGAGATCCAGGTGAGGGTAAAAGGCGAATATTCACGCGAGCAGAGCGAGAGATGTTGGAGAGAGGGCGCAGCGGGACTCAGCCACGTGCTGGGCAACTCCTTGAAAAACTTGCGGATTTCCGGATACTGATATGTTTAGAAAAAGCATCTCGATGGAGGATAGGGTGGGTTATACCTCGAGATCATGCTCAGGAGCGGCGTCATTTGTCTCACTGGTAATGCTTAGGCGAAGGGACAGTAGGCCCGACACGACCTTTCCTATTTTCGCAAGTGTTTTCGGATCTTTGGGGTTATCCGCTTGCAGGTTCCGAATACCAAGATCTTGAATTGGGTGCCGTATGGATTCGAGAAGAGAGAAGAACTTATGCATTGCGTGGAAGCGAAATTGAGGCGTCTGGGGGAAGTCCATATAATGGTAATAATCATGATCCCTGCTGTCTGAAGTAAACCCCTTATCGAAGCACAGAACGGCGGCGTTTAGCTGAAGCAATTCTTTCACTTGCGGAAAAAGATTGTCCCAGCCTTGGGGCCATTTTTGCTCTTCTTCTTCATCATCGTAATTCTATGCGCATTAGTTGTTGCTTGCAGGTGGATTAAGATGATCGTACAAGACTCTCGTCCACGGTGTCTATGTAGATCTTTCGCGGAATCCGACGTAGATTGGGATTGTTCAAAATCTCTTGTAACCCCTTTTGGCTTGTCTCGCCGGGCTGTAGGAGCACGGTCCGGAAGAGCTGATCGGCGGCTAGCTGTGATATGAAACGGTGGGATTGGCGCAGCGACTTTAATGAGGACCGATCCGCATAAGAACATATACGAGCGAGCAGTTCGCCGGGCAAATTGAGAAAGTGTGACATCCAGGCGTCGCCACAGATAGAATTCGCAAATTGATGAGTCGAAAGGGGATACGTCTCGATTAGCCCTAGGCTCCCATAGTGGCGTCCAAACTTCTAATTCGGTAAAGCCTCAATGAGTCACATGACTGAAAAGTAGACTGTGGCAGGTGATTTGATTTAAGAAGAAATTACCTGCCTTGCTCTTATACCCTGTGTTTTGCCTTGAGAGACGATTTATATTTTCATTTGCCCTACTCATGAGTGAAAACGTGAACTTAAGGGCTATCACAAAAGAATCTACAAGCCGGGGCACCGGTTTTGTCGACTTACAATGGACCGCCTGGAAGCCGGTTCTGATACTTGAGTTGTACTTGTAGCAACGGTTTCTTTCAGAGACCCCCTTTTTGCTGGCTCACTCGCGCTCTATGATTCTTTGAATGGATCTATGCTAGAAGTAGAGACAATCTTATATATAATATTAGTGTCCTGCTACTGCCTACTGCCTCTAACGTTGGGATCATTCTAATCAGAATACTCACCTGCAGATGAGCTTCTTTAAACTTTTCCTTTTTATTGTCTCGGCATCGCCAAACGATTGTTGAACCAATCTCAGCTCGCTTTTTGGAATCTCTTGAATGTACTGAAATCGATGAATGTCAGTACAAATAGATGGACAATTCTGTTTGAAATCCTAGTGAAATCGGAGCTTTAACTGGTGCCAATACCAGTCACTTTACGCATCTTATCTACCATTAGCTAATGTTGTGGTAGAATAAAGAAGGTCAAGGTCCTAGATTAAGTAGTTTGATACTGACATTGTTCGACTACTTCATACGCTAGTCAATATCCTCCATCTCAACAAGCTCATTGATAGTGGTCTCCAAGTACGCTTTCTGCTCCATCAGAAACTTACGCATCCCTCGAACATTAAAGCACCGTTTGGCCTCTTCTCTTCTTCTCTCCTCCTTCAACTTGGCACGGAAGCGTTCTTCCAGAAGCTCTAGTCTGTACTCGGTATACCCGTGATATAGTTCAGACCAATTACTTATAGCTCGACAAGTCGTGAGAACACTCTCATCCCTAAACATATGGGACTTTGGTCTAAACGGAGTAATCATGGTGGTCCGCTCTCGACCTCCAAGAGCTTTCAGTGCTTGGTGCTCGATATATCGACCTTGGAGAATGATTGCAGTCCCCTGGGTAGCAGTTAGGCATATCTAGTTAAGCAATCCAGATATTTCTTGGGTAGGAACCTACCATCGTCGGCCCACGAATCTTCTTGATCTCCCCAGATGGCATTCTCATCGCGGTTTCTCCTCCAGTCATCCCCTCACAATCTGATATCATCGTCACGCACACGATGGGAAAGCTATCGTAGTGCCAGGCAAAAGCAGTTGGATCTTGGTCCTTAGATGTCTGCTTTTCATCGTCCTCAACTGAGATATTGATATTGCCAATCTCATAGTCAAAACACCAAGTAAGATCAATACCTGCAACCTGTGAAACGTAGGCAAGGAGCTCTGGAGAGGTCCACGCATCATAGGAGAACGGGGCACGACTGTGAGTATAATATCAGTTTAACACTTCGTGCATTTATGCCAAGTGGTAGAAACTCACGCCCGGCCCATGCCCCTTATCATGTTCTTAGTGAAAGAGGAGGTGTATTGACAGTCTCGAAGAACGGGTTCACTGAAGACTTCCGCTCGGATCTGCTTTATTGCTTCGGTAGTGAAGAGAGGAAAGGGCTCGGATGCGGCAATTGATGATATCCCATGCCCTTCCAGGCCAATCTCCTTCATAGTATAAACTTTGTCGGGGTGTTGAAAGCATAGGTGCTTTTGGGGGTCAAATGATTCCTTGTGAGCGATACGGGCGCTATCAATCAATGATTGCGGTATTTTGGTGGTTGGGCGTGTGGCTTTCCTTGTGGTAGGACCAACTGGAGTGGGTGGTGTTGGAGGGTTGATGAGGACAGCAGAGGTCATATTGATCAATTTCAGAGGCAAAAGAACTACCTAAGGATAATTTGGAATGGGTCTTTGGTATGCTCGAATGAAGCCTGAACTCATGTTCAAGGGAGTTTATTTATATTTGAGTCCTCAATTATTTACTCCTGTTAGCCAACATTACGCTCACGATAAGGTCGAGCTTGTCGAATCGGGTGACAGTACGATGTGAATAGGACCCCCAGCTTTCTATCAGCCACATCCGGACTACTCTTCCATATGTAGAGTTCAAAAGCGAAATCATCACAGTCTCAATAATTTGATGATGCTTTTATTCCCTTACTCGCTTTAGCGAAAAGATGCGCTGACTAGCTCTGGCCGTCTTCGCTTTCCCTTTTGAGCGACAGAATCCGTCGGGTCGGCGTTGCACTACCGATCCCCATGCTATCAAGCCAGTAATTACCATTCTGTTTTGGCTCAGAATCCGTTCATGCCCACTAGTCTTACTACCTATCTCTCCTCTTTGGGCAATGCATATAATGGAAGCCCCTCTTCTAGCCAGTAGGTAGAGGAAAAAGGATCCTTCTCATTGACTCGGTTTGTATTCCAGAAGCCAAGTAGCTATGTTCAGAGGCTTGTAATACCCTATGACACTTGCATATTATAGGTAGAGCTTTAAGGCTTAGCGACGTACTAAAGAGGAGATGGAGTCCTCTACCTTAAGAAGACCTGATATTTCAAAAAATGCCGAAAAAGAGACTTGAGTGTGGGAACGTTCATAAGTGAAACTGAAACTATCGAACCATCATAATAATTTGTTAGTGAATTAAGTAGATTATTATCTACTCATTCAAGTTTATGTCGTGTGAAATGATTACCATAGCAGTGAATTTTACTTCGTAGTTCTGAAGTGGACGTTCTTAAGTAGTTCTTCCGCAATATATTTCTAGCTTGGGTGAATGATATATACCAAAATGGGAGGTCTGAGATAATAATTTAACAAAACAGGCATAAGGATAGGTAATAAAGGAACAAGAAATGCACAAAAATTAACCTTTCAACATACAAAACATACAGACATTATGAGAATTTGCTGATTTGAGAACTGATCTCAGCAACCTTCACCCGCACGAGTGGTCAACGAACTTAGTTTGCGATCAACCTTCCGAGCAGGCGCGATAAGCCCCATTCTGCAGTCCGACACCGCCTTCGAGACCCTCGCCGTTGAAGCTTGGAGACGACCTTGGAACACGACTACCTCGATTTACTCCTGACTCTACACGTCTCGGGCTATCGCAGGGACATTTGCGAATTTTATCTCACCTGAACCTGCATTCTCTGCCAAGACAACTCTCGAAGACCTCCACTGAGAGACAACCACCCCGAACGGGAATTTTCGTCCGTTTCGCGACTGCAGCTGAGCGCTTGCAGAAGCTGGCAAGATGCCGAAATATAAGTCCTCTCTGCCTCTATATGACTCTGGTCTAACTGCTGACATCCTGTGAACTCTTCTGTAGGTTCCTTTCAAGCCCCAACTCTCACAGTTTCTCGTGTGCATGACTCGCGATTTCGACCCGAACGCGGCTTTGCGATAAAGCACCATTGATATCGACGACCACCAAGCCAAACCCCAGATTTACGACCGGCCAGCTGACATTTGGACACTATTATAGGTGACTACTGTGATGTGTACCTCACGCACGACTCCATGAGCGTGCGCAAGGCGCACAACTCCGGCCGCAACCACCTCCGCAACGTGGTGGAATACTATCAGCGTATGTCGCCCGGATTGAACACCCCAAGTCTCAACCAGAGCAGGGTGAACACCGCTGACAACACAACCAGAGATCGGCCAAGAGAAGGCCCAATCAGTCATTGACTCCATTACCTCCTCCTACGCCGCAGAGGGCAAGGCCGTCCCCAATCCCGCAATGGTCCCTCCCGGCGCATTCCCGCCTCCATTCGGCTTCCCAGGTGGTGCGCACCTCCCCAATATCCACACTACAAACACCAAAGACTAACAATTCCCGTCCGCCTAGGACATCCAGGCCAAGTCCCCCCTCCACCTTTCGGTATCCCACCCCCCGGAGCCCCAGGCGCCCCAGGAATGCCGCCTCGTACGTACCCAGAAGGACCACCCCAGGACCAACATCCACACCCACCTCTACCTGCATATCCCTATCCCATGTCACCACCAGCTAACCCCCCATACCTCTGGACAGTCCTCCCCGGTGGCCGTGGCATGCCCTTCCCACCATTCCCGCCGAACGCCTCCGGTACCCCGCCCCAAGGCGGTTTCCCTCCGCCACTCCCTAACATGCCCAACATGCCCCCCGGCGCGGGCAACCTGCCTCCACCCCCGCCAGGTGGATTCCCGAATTTCTCTATCCCCCCGCCCGGTGCTGCAGGTGGGTTCCCCCAATCAATGCCTCTACAGCACGGTGCGTCGGACTCGTCTATTCCTAGTGGACCGCGAGGCTCGGATGCCTATCCACCACCTCCCGGCGGAGGACCTCCTCCTGGCCGGGGAGATCGGTGGTGATTTATTCTAAGGTGTTATGCTGTTCTCCTTTCTTTTTTCATTTCCTTTTTATCGGTTCAATACCTGGTCTCAGTCATGATCACGTTGTGTTTTCGGGAAGATGCTGTGACGCTCCTTGCCAGCCGGGGGTTTAGAGATATTTGCGGAAAAGCAAAATACTCCTTTCTCAGCTTGCAGGGGGTCTTTCTGCGCTGGTTCTGTATAATAGCGTCTTCTGATTTTCCTCGATCTCAAGTCCGGATCTTGAGATGGCTGCTTAGACGATGGTTCTCTAGTAGCTCTCTGGGTCTATGGACAGAATGCTTAAACGAATAAAACACGGCGTTCGGGCCATAATTCATTGTTATCCTCACCAACAACTTTTCCGTAAGACTACTAATCTACAAATGTAAGGTAAAGCTAGTAAACGTGACGAAAACTTTAGATTGCGCGAAATGCGAGACAGATACGTCTCGTCTTTTAGACACTAGGACTACTTTCTTTTCCCGAGTACATAGCGTACATGTCACGCGATAAATCCGGATATTTGAAAAATCAAAGAGACGGGACGAAAGGAAAAAGAGGATAGTAATGTATATTCCGAAGCCCGCGAGAAACCCAAGGCCAGATCTCCATAACCAAGATGCATCAGAACGCCAGGTTGAGCAAAGACCAAAAGGAGAAAGAAAACGAAGAGGGTACGCGTGGACCTCGCGGTGAGGTAAGTCCCCCCTGTCAAGATGGGGGACAAGGAATCAAGTAGTTTTGAGACAGAAGAGACCAAAAGGTGTTGTAGGGAGGGGAAAAAGGGTGGAGTAAGTCAAAAAAGAGCAATCACACTGCCCGTAGGCAATGGACAGGAGAAAAGAAGAGGGAAAACAAGGAGAAATGGTGTAGTCGAAAACAAGGGGTGGGCCACGAATGGGCGACGATATAAAGCGCAGTTAGACAGAGATTCAAAATTCAAACAGATACCGGACCCAAAAGGATGGCGGATGGTAAAGGATCATAGACCATCGCTGTCCCACGCTAAAAATCACATATCTTCATCTCAGGTGGAAAATAAAATCAAGAAACCAATGCAGGCAAGGTTACACCGTCTAGTGGTCGTAACCAGCACCCCTTTGCCAGGGACTGGCGTTGTTTTGTGCTCTGTAGTTGGTTGCTAGCGCGGACGCGCCCACGGGGGCATTATCGTAGCTCCGTGGCGCGGGTGATGCGGATCGACCATACTGGTCATAGCCTGGGGGTGGCCCCCGGTTGGCCGAGTGGGTCGAGGCATTGCTGGGGAACAGTGGCACCGACGGATCGACGGGTGAGGGAGGAGCCTGGTGACGGTTCAGGTTCTGAGCGCTGTTAGCAGCATCGAGGTTGTTGTGGTGGTGACCGGTCACGCCGGTACCGCTGGAGATGGAAGCGGTATCGTCATCGAATGGGTTCTGGTGATAGCCGTTGCCATTCTTAACGTCGCCACGAGCGGTAGCACCAAGAGCATCCAGCTCGGTGGTCAGCTGGGTCTGAGACTTGATGAAAGAGCCACGGTCATCGCGCATAGGCTGGTAGCGGGTATCGGGGTTCTTGGACACGACAGCGTAGACCGAGGCGATCAGGACGAGAACGAGCAGAACCAGGGCGAAGGCGGCATTATAAACGAAGAAGACGACTCCCATAACACCGATCATCATGCCAGGGGGGTTGAAAACATCCGAGAAGACCAGCAGGAAGATGGCGTTGAGGAAGTTGACACTGGCGATCGAGATGTTGTAAATGTTGGTCTTCTTGTCCATCCACGGGCGCATCACACAGACAGCGACCAGCATGGCAGCCTCGAGGATCAACAAAGCGACAGTCTGAACGACTGGGGCAGGCTGGCTGAGACCGATGAACATACCCTTGACAAAGATATAGGCCAAGTAGGGGACGACAAAGTAGTATGCCGTTGCGCGGTACTGCACATACAAGAAGCCCCACTTGTTCAAGGCCGCAGGGTCAGAGTACAAGATGTAAGCCGGGTTCTTGTGCATAGTGACGGAGCGCTTCGCTAGGCGAATGACCTTTTGAGCGGCCCAGCCAAGGGCAACAAGCAGAGACAGAATCATAACCACAGCCAGGACAACCTCGGCAGCCGAGTCACGCTGAGTGAACTCCCACAGGCAGAGAACGGTCATTTGAGGGAAACCAATCAAAGTGAGACGGAATAGAATGCCGCGAGTGACAACCTTCCAGCCGTTACGGAAGTCCTGGAACTTGTCACTCTTCATCTTGCCATGCTTGACGAGCAACTCGCAGATACCCTTGAAGGAGGTAACGATGATGACCACCAAGCAGACGAAGACGACGAAGAAAATCAGACCGGTCAAGAAGATGTTGGTCTCTTCAATGTTGGCACGGAATCCGACACGTTCGATACCCCGAACCACAATGAGCTTTTGGCTCGAGCTATCACGTTTGGAGATGAGACTGGTAGCTCGCCTCATCAGGTTGATCGCAGGGTCGATGAAGTCACGCTTGCGACGCTTGAGGACTTCCACGGAGGTGTCACCCAGCTGCGAGAGGACAGTCGAGGGAGTACCACCCGTTGCGCGCTGATACCAAGTACAAATTGTTTGCAAGAAAGTAACGTGGATAATACCCATACTCCACTGGAAGTTTTGGGTCCACGATTCAACAATTGGAGGCATGTGAACCGAGATCATGCCAATCATGGCCTGGCCCTGCATAAAGCCGAAGAGAGAGAGCGCGTTCGCCGCAACGTGAGCGGCCGTGTTGGAATGACCGAGACCGGAGGTGATGGCGGATGCTGCCAGACCCAAACCTGAGATGATCGCAGTCACCCAAGCCACACCCAACTGGTATACACTCTTGCCATTGGAAAGCGAAGCCTCCACACAGGCAATCTTCTCACCAGTGTCCTTCTTCTTGATCACAATCTGCACGTTCGCATCGAGATCAGGAACGGTATAGGCGATGCCTTTGGTTTCGAGTGATTAGCATAATTCTCCTATCAATCATTTAGACTATGCGACTCACCTGGAACATTTTTAGATGTGCCCTCGGGAAGCGAGAGCGAGACTGGGCCCAAGTCAATGGGACCAGGAGCCATCGGGCACATACCCATGCCCTCAATTGAGCAGGGGTCAATAGTACTCGAATAAGCCTTGTAACCATAAGCCGTCAGGGTCATGTCGGCCACGACCTTGCCGGAGATATAGGAGACACCATCGAAACCGATCGTGAGCGAGTTGTTTCCGGGGTAGAAAACGACGTTGAAATATGTCGCAGTGAAATTACTACTTTCCATGCACACATTCAACGCATTGGATTCGAGGAGCTTGATAGCGGACGCCAGCGGCGCCAAAAAGGCGACGAAAAACGTGAGAAGTGATATCAACCTCATGCTGGCGAGTAGGCAATCAAGGTTGTTAGAGAGAAGAAGGTCGGATGAAGCGATCAGCCGACCGAGAAAGAGTAGTGTCGGAACAGGGACAAAGTATGACGGCGAAAGTCAGGGCGATACTCCAGAGTACCACGTTGGCAGTCGCCGGATGCGGACAGCCTGTCGACAACCGAGAGGGTTCGGTGGAAACGGTGGGACCGGCGGTGAATTCCAGATGACGCCGGATGTCGCGGCGATCAATGCTTTTGTATGAGTTGTTGCAGTGGTGGTGGATTCGGAGGAAGGCTGGTCACTGCAGCGTCATTGGAGTTTGTCGCGGAGCGGGTCAAGTACTCAGGGTGAACCCGGGGGATATTTGAGATCGTCGGAGAATTGTCTAGGAAGATTTGCGAAAAGGAGAATATGAATGAAAGTCGGTGGACACGAGTCCAAAGAAACAGGCGACGCAGCAAATTCCTGCCAGAGTCGAGAAGCTAGGGTCGGAGTTGAAGAAAGAGAAGCGGGCGGATGGTTTAAACGGGAGGCGGGAGTACGTATGTTGTACTAGTCGAACCTAAAGGGGTGGATAGAGCGAGCGGACGGGCGACACACACAGTATGGCCGAGAAGAAGCGAGTTGATTGTAGGTGAGGAGGTTTGATTCCCTAAGGGAAAGGAACTTGAAGGAGGGAGAGGGATCGAAGGAGTAGAGAAATGGGGGAATGGGCACTAGCGTTTTGCCTCTTTGGAGTTCAGTCAGTTGCGCCAGTCAAAAGAAGTGAGGGTGTCTCAGGGACAGGGCGGGTCACGAAAGTGGGAATGGGCCTGAGAATGTGGTACGGTATTTTTGGATCTTTTAAGGAAAACCCTGACTTGGAGAAGGGGATCGATGTGTATTGGTATTGTCACATCCTTATGGACGGTCGGCTTGGCACGCCTGGGCAGCGGCACCTGGACCAATCAGGATTCTCCCTCGAATATTAGGTCCCTATTTCCAGGGCTGACTAACGAAGTTACGGTAACAATGTTACCTTACGGATGCTCAGGGCCCAAGGGGAAACATGCCTGTGATCGATGATGTCTACGGCGTCGGATTTGAGAGAGATCTACAAGACAGGAGAAAGTTTCTGTGTTGGCTATGGACTAAGAATATTCCACTGTCTAGCTAAGCCTCTATCATCTTCTGAGTACTGCTTCTTGCCCAGTCTTTTTCTTTCCTGAACACGCGTCCTCGGGAAAGGTTCTGGGCCCCCCGAAAGCGGTTGATGGAATCGTGGCGGACTTGAGCGGGTCTGCATAAGGGCGGATTACCTCATCTCCCCTACCAAAGGAACCGTCGCCCCCAGATGTGGAGTTGTACCTGAAGCAGCGCACAGTTGACTGGTGTCGAGGGGAAAGTGGAGGGTCTCTTTGCACATCGTAACCTTAGAGAGAACCAGTACCGTTCTCGGGCCAAGGGCAGAAGGTTTCAAGGTTTGCAAGGCTCGATAAAAGTACTAAGGAGTGAAGGTCAGTAATACAGACCCTGTATCTTGTCTGCCTGGCAGTGCCTAGCCTATCCCTCTTTCTTTGAAAAGTAGAGTATACGTACCCCTGAACCGAGCAGCCTCGGGTTGCCAAGCGCTATGATGGTACACTGCATGTAGATTTTGTGTACTTCATTGGGCTTCTTCTTGTGCAAGCTACATAAGTTGACTGCTATCTTTCAGAGTGTTGATTGCATCGCATGACCTACATATGACCTATGACCTATCACCCATTTATAGGCATCAAAGCGGCGGGGGCATGACCAGTAATGCTCATCCGACCATGAAACCCTTACTTTCAGCAACTTAATAATCTTCATGAGAATCGGAACGTCCCAAGACTGGAGCAGACAGCTGATCGACGAGGGGGCATAATCAAGATCAAATCGTCCCTGGGCTTTAGCGCTGCACAGCCTCCCTTCCGTATCCACCCAAGACTTACCCTAATCCCAGGCCTCCATACCCCGACAAAATATATAGTAGTTTATCCTCAACATGAGATATTCAATATCAATACTGGTATCGCTTTTATTCTTCTATGTTTCAAAGCAAGCTGTGGGTCCAGGCTATACTTGATGCCGCGTGAACCAAAGCTACTGCCATGTTTCAGATATCGCATTCATTCTTGCGCCGGGAGGCTGAATGATCTCCACGTGTGCATGTGCTTGCTTTGTGTCTTATTCATACATCTCTTTGTCTTTGTACGCAGTACTCCATACCTCGTACTTGGTACAGTATATACAAATAATGAATTGTACTGTACTACCCGTCTACCTCGTCCATCCCTGATTACCGTGCGGAGCAATGATCGATGGGTAGATCATCGCGCTCGAGTGCGCGACATGACGTGAACCAACCCACCTTTTATCCTGTCTAGGTAGCACGCCATATCCTGAAATATGGTCGCCCTTGAGGGGCAACTTTGAAGCCATTCAGCTACCCACGAATCGTGAATTTTGAATCATATCGCCTGAGCTGTCACCGCTTGGGAGCCCTGGCTGACCCGTCGCGCTATTTTTGGATCAGGGTTTTTGGAGGTTGCGTGGCTTTTGACTGGCTAAGGGGCCCAGCTTTAATTTCACACCCGCCCAACTCACCCTCTGATTCGCCACTTATTTGCTGCCCTTGAAAACTCTGCTTTTCATTCGACTGCTTCTTCGTCCTCTCCCGTTGTAATTGGATATTGAACGGGTGATCATGTATCAGCAGCCGCTGCTGCTCTAAGACCTGAATCGCCATTGACTCAGAAATAATATGAATTCAATATGGAGTTGAATAGGGCTGCTTATGTTCAACTTTAGATCAAGTCTGCCATGGTCTTGTCTCAGGCCTGTTGCCATGACAGGTGAGCTAGTCATAGTAAACTGGAACATTTATCATAATAATAGACCATAGGAATTTAATGCCAGTCGGTCACGTATTCGTACTCGCTATTGCTTAAATTGGATGCTGGAGCTCCTAGTATGTACTAGATGTAGTACAATGTGTACAGTACTGTACTAGGGCTTGCGTCTATGCTCAACGAGCTAATAGATTTCCTAAGCTCTTGACATAGAAACGGTACATACATACGTAGTGGTAAACTTTCTTGCAAGTTGAAGTCATGTATGGCAATACTAGTTTGTACTTTACAAGGACGTTGCACTAATATCCACCCAAATTAAATGCCAAGGTTTGATACCTAGGCAGCATTTTAATCAAGGTCCGTAGCTCTTGGTTTGCAGCTCGACAGCACTTGCGCACGTTTCACTGAGAAGCTCTCGCGCCTTTCTGTGACGATCGGGGCTGTGAAGTGGGTTCTCATACTTATGATATGTCTGAATCCCCACTTTGGCAAGTGCTCAAAGAGCAGAGGTCTCAAGACCCGAGGAGCTATCATTACAACCGCGTTAGAACATGTTCTCTGTGGCTGGGCCTTGGCTACATCTACAAGAGCATGAGTGTTGATGCCTTGATACCTTAATATCTTGTTGCCTTGGTGCCTTATGCACAGGGCAGTAATAAAACCCGCTATCAACACGTGATGTGGAGATTCTGCCCAGCCTCACCGGCCAGAAAAAAAAGTAGCAACCCGATTTTCCGCAGTGATAGGATATCCCCTCGGAGATCAAAACATAACCTACGATCGGTCCCAACCTAGCCGAACGTTTCGTGAGCTGATCTTATATCTTCCACTTGATATTCACAGCTTGTCCTGTGCAACGAGTGCAAGATGCCCGGCCCCGTGGACACCGCAAAGTCCATTAACAAGAAGCGGAAGAGAAAGCATGCCGCTCGCGCCGGAGCCGACGATGAGGAGGCTCCCAAGCCCGTCGAGGCTCAGTCGAGCCCTGCAGTGAAAGCGAAGAAGGTCGCTTCCCCTGCCAAGCCTGCCACAGACAAATCGACCAAGAAGCGCAAAGTGAGCCATTCGCCAAGTGACGACGAGGAAAGCGCCGACGAGGCCGATGATGTCGAGGACAACGAGGAGCAGGAGGATTCCAACGATGACTATAAGGACGATGTGGAGGATGTCAATGGCAAGGGTGAAGATCTCCCTGTCATGGACCAAGTCCGCCTGCCGCAGACCGAGGGCGAGCTGCAAAAGTTCACCGAGTTGAACCTTTCCGAGAAGACTATGAAGGGTATTCAAGATATGGGTTTCGAGACAATGACCGAGATTCAACAGCGCACTATCCCACCCCTGCTGGCTGGTCGTGATGTTCTGGGTGCCGCAAAGACTGGTTCCGGCAAGACTCTGTCCTTCTTGATCCCCGCGGTTGAGATGCTCAGCGCCTTGCGCTTCAAGCCCCGAAACGGTACCGGTGTCCTCGTTGTCTCTCCTACTCGCGAGCTGGCTCTGCAGATCTTCGGTGTCGCCCGTGAGTTGATGGCGCACCACTCCCAAACCTACGGTATCGTCATTGGTGGTGCCAACCGTCGTGCCGAGGCCGAGAAGCTGGTCAAGGGTGTCAACCTGCTGATCGCCACCCCCGGTCGATTGCTCGATCACCTCCAGAACACCCAGGGCTTCGTTTTCAAGAACCTGAAGACCCTGGTCATTGACGAGGCGGACCGTATTCTCGAAGTTGGTTTCGAGGACGAGATGCGCCAGATTGTGAAGATCCTGCCCACCGAGGAGCGCCAGACTATGCTGTTCTCTGCCACGCAAACTACCAAGGTCGAGGATTTGGCCCGTATATCCCTGCGCCCCGGTCCCCTGTACATCAACGTCGACCACCGAAAGGAGCACTCCACCGTGGAGGGTCTGGAGCAGGGCTACGTGCTCTGTGAAGCCGATAAGCGTTTCCTGCTTCTGTTCTCGTTCCTCAAGCGCAACCTCAAGAAGAAGATTATTGTCTTCTTCTCCAGCTGCAACTGTGTCAAGTACCATGCAGAGCTCCTCAACTACATCGACCTGCCCGTGCTGGAGCTGCACGGCAAGCAAAAGCAGCAAAAACGTACCAACACTTTCTTCGAGTTCTGCAATGCCAAGCAGGGTACCCTGATCTGTACTGACGTTGCTGCTCGTGGTCTTGATGTTTGTCTTTCCCTAACATATTCGCTTAAATTGACGTAAAACTGACTGTCCCTTCTCTAGATTCCCGCCGTCGACTGGATCATCCAGTTCGATCCCCCAGATGACCCGCGTGACTACATCCACCGTGTCGGTCGTACCGCCCGTGGTGCCAACGGCAAGGGCCGCAGTCTGATGTTCCTGCAGCCCTCTGAGGTTGGCTTCCTGAAGCACCTCAAGGAGGCTCGTGTGCCCGTTGTGGAGTTTGAGTTCCCGAGCTCCAAGATTGTCAACGTTCAGTCTCAGCTGGAGAAGCTCATCGGACAGAACTACTACCTCAATAAGGTAAATAATCACCACAATGCCCGTTCCTTTCTTTAACTGCCTTGTACTAACTGTTTCTTTCAGTCCGCCAAGGAAGGTTACCGCTCGTACCTCCAGGCCTATGCCTCGCACTCCCTCCGTTCTGTCTTCGACGTGCAAAAGCTGGACCTTGTCAAGGTGGCCAAGGGCTTCGGTTTCTCTGCCCCACCCCGTATTGACATCTCCCTAGGTGCCAGCCTGAGCCGGGACAAGAAGCAAGAGCAGCAGGGCCGCCGGACGTACGGCAGCCAGCCCAAGGGGGGTAAAGGCTTGAAGTTCAAGCGGAAGCACGATGACTAGACTCGGAAAGTATTGCATGCAATATGCGAGGAGTTGGAGTCATTGTCATTCTCGTTCTCGTTTGCCATAATCATGGTCATTTGATGTGTATGAGTTGGATCCACAAAAGTGTCTCGTCCCTGCATCTTCATCTTGGGGATTACGGCGTTAATTAGTGTAGATATATCTATTTCATCTTATTTCTTTTTTTCTTTTTTCTTGGTTCTTTTGTAGATTTGGCTGTTGGTCTCCTTCGAGTTTGCAGTTGCTGTGCAAGACTTGTACCTTGCCCTCGCTACCCGTGACTGCAAGCCCAAGAATGTCTCGTCGGCCACTGCCATGTGGAAGCAAGAGGTGTCCTTCTTCCACGTGGAGAATGGCATGCAACGAACTATAGTACAAGAACCATCCTTGAATAGGTGTTACCACTTAATTGAGAAGAGAATGCTCTGCATCATGGCAAAATAACACGGTTGGACGAGTCTAATACTACAGTTATACTTGTAGACCAATCCTACCTCGGTACCTAACCCGGCTGGTTTCCAGCAGGTTATTTTTTTTTTCGAGAAGGGGAGCCACCACGTATCAAACGGTTGATAAACGGCGTGCAATCCTTCTGATATGCTTGCTGCAGCCATCAAGAGACTATACGAATGTACGTAAAGTACGAGCAGGCTCGATGGTAATTCCCAGTGACTTGCATGGGCCCAGTGGCAATCGCAGCAGCAGCCCCCTTCGCCTTGCATGGGCAACGGATTAACCCCGCTAGCTAAGTTATTTCTCCCATACTTAGCCCCCCGGATATGGCATCCCCCCAGATTAGAACCGAATATCTAAGGGGAAGTCCTCCACAGTAATGTAAGATGTCCAATTGAACAAGATTGCCCGACGGGTATCGCCCAATGCTGCGCGTCGTGGGCTGGATGATGGACAGCTTCTCGTATGGTGGCTACACCGTCAGGATCTCCGGTGTGATGAGATGGATGAGTTGGCAGTCCTCAGGGCCAATCACAGGGTCTCCGTGGTGCTCCCCCAGCCCTGCCAGTCTGCCGGGGACCCGTTTAGTCTACGAGGGGGAAACGATTGACTGGTTAACCGTCCATAGCGCTTCGTACTTTGTCTCTAGTGAGCCTCCTCGGATAATTCCTGGCTGATGAGTGCTTGTGAGGTTACCGTTGGTCGGGCAGATATAATAAATCTGGGATCGACTTTGAAACCCTTTTAGTGGTTTAGCTGGAGCGGATCGGGCCTCGGTCGTCGGGGCGACGGGGCCAGCCCCCCGTCGTCCAGTTTGCCCACTTTTTTCTTTCTTTTGGGCGAACTGGTTCCAGCAGTTGGGCCAACGGATCCTCGGCGATTGCCAGTGGGGACCCACGGAAGACCGCAGGTTTTTGTTGGCCCGTGTTGCGCTGTGTGACAGGCGGAGGGAACAGGTCAAATCATCATCGGCCGTGCATCATCGTTTATTGCCGGGGTGATGGAGGAGGGTGGGGAGAGAGGAGGAGGCAGGAGAGGGAATGGAGAAGATGGATAGAGGAGAGTACGAAAGGATAGCATTGAATATCCTAGATCCTAAAGTAGAGGAAAGTAAACAAGTCAAACAAGTATAACTAGTTACTGTATAGAGTGTTTGAGTAGGAAGAACCAAGGAACCAGGGCGGACCACCCGGGATCCGCAGCCTAATCCACGGCTCGTTTGTTTATTCAAGAAGTTTGGACACAGTAGGATCAGAGTATCAGAGTAAAGTTTACTCCTATCAATTTGGTCAGTAAACTCTAGCAGTAAACTTTGCGTAGATCTGGGAAGAACGGAGGTCCCAGCCATTCGTTTTTTTTTTCGCGGGAGGCTGGGCCACTTCACCACCCAATTTGGACCAACACACCTTCTCCCCCGTACTTACCCTGCCTTGGATCCGGCTGATGACCACTGTTTCTCCAATTCTTCTTCTTCTTCTACTCTCTTCCTCCCTTTCCTTGACCCTTGTCTTTCTTCCTCCTCCCCCCCGGATACATCCCTCGCATAATCGCATAATCACATCCTCGTCTCTCTCCCTCAATCTCGGGCCCTTTTCATGTGAGGAGATCGGCGGAACCGAAAGCTCGTCCACTCCAGCCCGCATAGCAACCACTCTCACCTCCCACCGTTGCTTTTTCTCTTCTTCCTATCCTCCTTCTTTCCTCCCACGCGGTGGTGATTTGCGCTGGTACGCTTCTAATACTCCTAATATTTGCGAGACATTCTTGTCTCTACCCCTCCCTCTCTACCCCGTCTCTCTCTCGACATTCCTACTCCAAGCCTCCCCCACCACCACCATCACTATCTCCACCACCCAACGTGGCCCCCTCACTAGCACGGAACACCACCAAGTGACCACAATTCCCCCTTTTTTGCAACAGTCTACCGGGATCCATCTTCTCGATAGGAGCATGCGATTGTCGGGCTGAGGACCAGGGAAAAAAACAAACGGGCGCAAACCATATAGAGAAGGAGAGAGAGAGATCAAACACAGCTTGCCCGGCGCCCTCCCCTTCTTCAGCCTGCCCTCCTTCAACCATGGGGGTCGACACCCGCAGACCCGTCCTCCCCGCTCCCACAGAATCCCTCGTCGATACAACGGGCGGCAGCACTACGGGCACAGATCTGGCAACTGACCTTTCTCGCCGCACAGACAAGACGTCGTACTCAATCCCGGACGACGGTAGCCCCATCACTGTCTCCACCCGGCGCCATCGGGACCGGGACGACAAACTGTCGCGCTCACACAGAGACTCGCAAACCTCCCTGCTCATCGAATATTTCGAAGGCGGGAAGGAAACCGGTGGCGTCGTCTCTAGGCCTAGCGTACGCGTTCGAGTTACCCCATCCGGGGCCCGCAAGTTCAAGGATAAGGACCGTATCCAGATCACCGAGTCCGGCAGTCGCAAGCCCTCATACACCCGGCGCATCTCTCTTACCTCGCCCGGTTCCAAGTCCAAGCAAGTCTCCGAGTCTATCTTGGATGAGCAGAGCCTCAGCGAAAGCAACTCGGCTGACGAGGAGAGTCCAACTGCGTCGAGACGCCCACCCGTGGAGATTGAACTGCTAAATCGCGACCACGGGAGTGAGCTTTCCACTGTCTCGCGCGATACCAGATTCGTGCTCCCATCTTCCGACATCTCGTCTATGCCCGCCGACAGTATGCTTGACGCTACTTCCTCGGCCGGTCCCCGGCGCAAGCGCAGTCAAAGTCTCGAGCGAGGTTCTAGTCGCGATGACAAGGATCTATTGAAGACACCGTCTCGACAGCGCAGTCGCAGCCTTAGCAAGGAGCGCATTGCTCACCGGGTGGCCGAGAAACTGAGTGGGTCGCCGCACGAAGTGTCTAGCGGCAAACACAGACACAAGCACAGGAGTAAAAGCTCCCGTAAGGATTATTTGGAGGCTGAGCCCAAATTATCCCGTCGGAAGCTCCAGGAGGACGATATCATTCCCAGTGCCGAATCCAGCTTGCTGAGCACCTCCGCCGTCTCATCCAACCGCAAGTCTGGTGATCAATATTCCATTCGATCGGGCGCCTCAAAATCCTCGATCAACAACCCGAAACTGTTGGAGACGGTAGAAGATGCCATTCGTCGATTGATTCTGCCTGAACTCAAAGAGCTCAAGAAAGACCAAAAGGTCATGAAGAACACCAACAAGTTTGAGCGAGACCGCGAGCGCGATATGATGACGAATTACTCATCAACCAGCTCTCGAGATGAGCTAGGTCGACGATTGTCCAAGCACTCGAGTGCACCCGACATCATCAAGCCAAGAGTCCTTTTGACCAAGGATAGCAAGGATGAGGGTATTGTTTTGGCCGAGTCCGGTCCGCGATCCAAGGACATTCCCAAGACACGCAAATCCAGCAAGAGTAGCGAGACTTCTGACAATGCCTGGGTGAAGTGGGGTCGACCGGAGCTCACTGAGCAAGACAAGCTTCGCCGACAGAAGAGCAAAGGCCTTCGAGACGCCCAGGCAGCCGGACGCGTGGGCTCCGCTCTCACCGCGGCGTCTCTCAAACATCACGATTCCCAGTCTAGCCTTGGCCAATCCGAGCGAAGGGACAGTGACTCTCGCAAGAGCGTTGAGAATTTCAACGTCAATGAGACCGAACTGGTTTTCAAGAAGCACAATGTCCCCCGCATGCCCATGCATAGCGAGATTGATTCTGAGCTGACCAGGGCCTCTCTGCTGTCTGAACGCACTGAAAGCCCTGGCCCGAACCAGAATATCTTCCATGGTGAGGTGCTTCACGGATCTCCACGACAGCTTGCTTCTCCCGCTTCACGGACGCCCACGCGAACGCCCTTAGATGCAGGACATGAACTTGGGATGCGCCATGGCAACCAGTCCCAACGCGATCTATCTGTCCATAGCGCCTCCGACCGCGACCTACGCGCTAAGAGTCAGTCGCCTGGCACCGACCATGGAGACTGGGCGATTGCCGCTGCTGCTGCCGCCAACCTGCTTGATGCTGCCCACCCCACTCATGAGGATCGGTATGAGGCTGGCCGAGCTTTGAGTCCTATTCAGAGCGTGGCGAGTGATCAAACTGAGACCCACGGCCAGCATCAAACCCAGCACCACCCCGGAGTTGAACATGAGATGGAACCCCGCCTCTCGATTGATTCTTTGTCTTCTGCGCCAAGCACCAATCTAGCCCGATCTACTCGAAATGGCGTCAGCCCCCACAGCCAGCAGGGTGAATACCAGCATGACCAGGATGGTCCAGAGCTTGGATATGAGCAGTCGCGACACGCTTCCGAGGAAGATCTGTACGGAAACGATGAAGAATCACGACGCTCGCTGGGATATGATGACAGCGAAGTCGATTTCATGGATAGGGTCAAGGAGGGCCAGCATGTGGCGCATGGCGCGGCTGCCAATCCCCAATTCATTCACCCTGTGGGTGTCGAGTCTGCTGTCGCTTCCTTGATGGATCCCTCCGTTCTCGAGTCCCAGTCATCCGGTCACTCTGGCAATCGCTCTCAGACAGAATTTGAGCGTGCTGGTAGCCGAAGCCCCGAGAAGCGCGGCAGCCCTCTGAAGCAAGTCCAAGAGGCACCTAGTCTCGACGAGACCTCTTTCCCTAGACGAATGGGTGTCACGTCACCGCCTCAGAGTGTCACTCAGTCTATCGAAGAGCTCGAGGAAGCTGGCATGGCCGCCGCTGCTGCACGTGGCCTCGACAGCTCCTTTGCTGATGCCGAGGCGCGCAGTCAAGAGTCCGAGTCGGAGATCAATACCAACCCTTCCATCATTCAAGGTCCCATTGGTGGCGTCGCTCCAGTGGATCAGGATCACTGGGGTGCCGCACCGGTCTCTTACTACGACTCTCCAGCTGCTCAAGCCGGTGGTGCCAAAGATCTTGCCCAAGGCCAGCACAGATTCGATGCCGAGTACCACGAGACTGCCCGAAACATCTTTGGTGGGGACGACTACTACGTTGAGCAGCATGACGGCCAGCTGTTTGGCACGCCTCCTGGTGCCAAGGATGAAGGCTACGTCTCGGCTGCAAACCCCATGTCCCCCAGCATCGGTACTCCCAAGCAAGCGAGCCGCGGCCTGGGTGCCGACGTTGCTGGTGTTGGTGCTTTTGACAACTCTGCCGAGGCGGATGATCCGTTTGCTTCAAATCATCAGCGCCACTTCAGTGGATACTCTCATGGTGTGGCGTCACCGCTGTATGACAGTGCTACTGGACGTGGAATTGAGAGGATTCAGTCCAAGGATATCGTCGCTCTGATGGATCATGTAAGTTGATGTGATCGTATCTCATGATGTGGAATTATTTACTAACTTTTTGCCCAGCTCACGGTTCGCGATGCTCAACGTAACGCCAGAGATACCGAGATCCTGGTCACCTTGGTCCGAAGCGCTGCTGAAATGCGCACCTCGTTTGAAGAGATGAAGAAATTCATCGCTCAGCAGGATGAAATGCTTCAAGATTCCAGTGACAAGCAGCATAGCCAAACCCTCCGGGCTCTTGGTGGACCTCGACCTCTGCCCCCAAGTGGCTCTCGAAGCCGCCAATTGAACATGGAGGATGAGGAAGATCTCCAGTCCAAGCGGAAGAACATCTTCAAGCGTGCTCTGAAGGGCTTGAGCCTGAAGTCTGGTAATGACCTTGCCAAGATTGAGGGTATGCTGGAGCAGTTGCTTGATGAGGTTGAGGCCCTGCGTGAAGGGCAAGGTTTCACCAGTCCTCGCAACGGTACTCGAGGAGCCAGCGTTGACCCGATCGAGCACGATACAAATGATGCTCCTTTGGGCAGCCGCTCTCCTTACTTGGGCAGCCCTCGTCCTGCCACTGCGGAGAAGCGTGTCGACACTGTCCCTGAAGAGGATGACGACGACATGGAGATCGATGAAGATGATCCTTATGTGACTGCTCATCTTCCTATTCAAGAGCCTGCCCGCCACGAGCGAGCTGGGTCCATGCCTCTTGCTACACCTCCTCGCAAACCTGTGGCAACGGGAGCTCGCAGCACGGAGACGACCCCCAAGAACTCCGCCGAGAAGGCCCGCAAGCACAAGTCCAGCAGCTCGTCAATCTTCCCCAAGTTCTCACGCTGGTCCAAGACGACTGCCTCGTCGATGGGTGATAACATCCGCAATAGCATCCAGCCCAACCGCAAGGAGCGCCCTTACTCTGAAGTGTCCCGCTCTGGTTCAGACCTCGCCCAGGATACATACAAGACGGGCAACTACTATGATCCCGAGGGCGATGACCGAATCCGGTCCACCTACGCACTTGAACAAGGGCAAGAGGAGAACCGACCCCCATCCCCGCTGGTTCCCTCCCAGGTTTCTGAAGCACCCAAGTACCGCGCCCACCGCGGTAGTCTAGATCTGCAGCACCCTCAGCCTCGCCAGGGTCCCACCGGCCGGTATCAAAACCAGCTCGAGAGCCAGGCGCAGAGCTACACCACTCCCACCTCCCCCAACTCTGAACAATGGGGATCCAATCCCAGCCTTCCACCCGTGAACCCCAACCAAAATCGCTTCAGCGCAGGAAGCCGTCTCTCTCCTATCTCTGATGCGGGCTATTCGGAGACCAGCTCCCGTACTCCAGGGCCGCCCCGCCCTCCCAAGGTCAAGGATACTGGACCTCTCGTCCCCGAGCGGCCACCCAAGGTTCCCGAGGAAGAGGATGAGGCGCAAGCACAAAGCTCCAGCGGCGATCGCGTTGCTTCAAGGGTAAGTTACATTCTCGAGCAAGCTTTTACTATTCCTTCTAAACAAGCAAACAATTCTAACATTTTCACGCTACAGAGCTCTGCCATTCGCTCTCCACCAACCCGCAAACCAACGGGACCCCGACCTCTGACGTCCGGCGGTGCCTACAGCCCTAGCAACATCCAGCGTACGCGCTACCGCGGCAGTCCGATGCAGATCGACTATGACGATAATTATTGAGACATTACGACCGCATTGTGATACCCCAGGGCTTGTATTTGTGTCTAGCGAGTTTTTTCTTCGTCAAATTTTCCTCGTGATGTTTCTTAGTTTCTTTTTGTTCCTCATGTGATGACCGCTGTTGCTTTCGGCGTCATCTCTTACGACTACGCCCCTTACGACAGTGATGACCGCGCTTTGGATTTGGATTCGAGGGATCTTGAATCACATATCATCTTATTTACCTATTCTGTTCCTTGAAACATCCGCATCCCATCTACGAGCGATCGTGACTAAAATCATCTTTGTTCCGTGCATTCTGTTATTTCCCCGTCTTTCCCCTGTTAATAGGCTTTCCGATGGATCATGGATGGGGCCGCTAGCCTGCCAAATCCTTTGATTTATTGTACCCTGTTCGGTTTCTGTACCCCCTGTCTGTGACTTTTCCTTCCTTGTTGCGTATTGCATTGCCGAGACCAGGGCTGGTCGCTGGGACTTGGTTGTAGATAGCGTGGACATAGTCTTTTTCGTTGGTGCAATTTAGTCAATACTTGGGCCCGTTGGGTTGAACGAGGGATACATGATTTGATGCATACATTTACTTTTCTTTTTGTAGAATGATAATTAAGTAGAACTGTAGTAGAGAGGGGTAGAATCGGTAACACTTTCTCGGTTAGACAATGAATTTATGTTGAATGGTCACTTTCATTCTTCTTTGTTCTTTGCATGCTAGAGTAGAAGCAAGACGGGATAATTGGATAGTTGAGCGTAGTACTGGCAACGACACTTCATACCAGTCCATCTTGAATGATCCCATACCAATCCCTCAATAAACCCCCAGAGAACAATACCCACAAAGATCATGCCCACAGTCCAAACCCCAGTAAAAAAGGCTCCATTGAACAAGTCCGAAGCCCAGTTTCATCCCCACGCCCTAGTAATCAGAAAAAGGTCGCACATGAGTAGTCCCCTTCTCACGAAAGTTCGACGAAGCGGTAGCCAGAGAGCTGTAGTCCAACCCCTCGCTGACGGGGAACTTTCCAGGGTAACTCTCCGTTGAATGGCACTTGGCGGTGCGATTGTTTGGCAGGCTGAGAGCAATTGATTCGTCAGTGTAGTGTGAGGAGGAGGGTGGAGTCACGTCGATGGAGACTTTGGGGTCTTCGGATGAGGTTGGGCTGGAATTGATACTTGGCTCGGTTGTGTTGATGGGAGTGACTTTGACGGGCTTTGCTTCGACAGGCTTGGCCTCGACAGGCTCGATCTCGACTGGGTTGGCTTCGACGGGACTGACTTCGAGAGAATCAATGGTGATGCCATGCACTACATCAATGACCGAGTGCTCCTCTTTCCGCTGCTCGCGTGACTGCTTCGGGGAGGCCGACTGGACAAAGACAACATGCTGGATTGGCTTGGTTGGAACTGCGTTGCTTTGGCCATCAGTCGATGGAACGGAGTTTCCAGCACCATCGTACTGTGACCCAGAGTGATCGTGCATTCCTGCAAGTGGAGAAGGTCCAATGTGCTTAGCACCGCTATCCGGCATCTGGTTCTCGAGGTGCAAGTTGTGCGAGGAATGAGGTCGTCCATTGCTGTGATAACCCTGTGGGAAATCGTCCAGCTCGACGACACGTGGTAGTGTGGTGCGAGCATTCTCATAGCTCACATACAAGGAACGATGCGGGCCCGGGTACCGGTGGAAAGTGGTTTCCTCATTCGCAAAGGCACTGCTGGGCACCGGTGATCGATAAACGGGTGGCGGTATGATACCGACGATGATGTCGAGGGCTTGTTTTTCAGCATCCTGGATGGTCTTCTTGAAGGGTCGAGAGCCGAAGCGTAAGGGCCATACGGGATGCAGAATGAAGGAGATGCCGTAGAGGAATTGGAGATAGCCCAGGACGAGGACGATGGAGAGGAAGGTTGGAAAGGAGATGGGGAAGATAGGCCGGGCGAAGGGAGTGTGGATTTGGTAGACAGGCATTTTGAAGATATTGAGGATCAATAGGAGAGAAGATGTAGGTGACGTGCCCGTGAAGATATTCGAAGAGTTGAAGGAGATGGGAGTGTTGATGGTGAGGTTGGGAAGGGACGGATGGAAGGAAGTCGCGATGGCAAAGGGTGGGACGTGACGTTAAAGGTTGTTGTCGTTGCCTTAAGTAACGTGTAGACGTGTAAACATGAAGCTGCTCAGAATTTAGTTTGTGGTTTAGACCTTTTCTGTTCTTCCTGCCCGGAGTATAGATCCATCGATCCATAGATACCAAAAAGTGGGACCCTCGAGAACGAGAACTCCAACTTCCCGCCGGCCTGAACTCCGCTTCAACATCTACCAACCTCCTCCTATTCCATCGCCAGATCCCCTGGCCTAAATCTATGACAAGCCGTCTGGCATCCCTGAGCACTGCCAAGTCTGCTATCATGTCTGCCGTTGCAGCAGATTGTACTCATCTTCGCCCGCGGCGTTTTGCCCCGCTTGATGCTGGGAAGGCGTCCGATGCCCCGGTGCTGAAGGGTATCGTCTTTGATGTGGATGGGACATTGTGGTAAGTATTCTGTTACGTGCTTTTATTATTGGAGCGATTGGAGCACTCTAAGATGTAGTTGGCTCTTTCGTCCGACTTGATGCATATTCTTGCCTGGTTCGATGCATCTAGCATTTGTCCGAGGAAAGACCTAGACTGCCTCGGAGAATGTATCCAAATGCATCATCAACAAGATCACTAACTATTTCCTAGTCTACCGCAACACCACATGTTCACCGAAATGAGGTGAGTCATGCTCTGTATCGATGGGCGTCCGGATGCGATCTTTGTCAACCAGGATGCACCATTCCTGGGAGCAATATCAACTATCCCGAAAGGCAATACATGTGGAATAACTACACTCTCTAACAATGATCTTAGAGACGCCCTCGGCATTGACAAGTCCATCGACATCCTCCACCACATCCGCGACCTCCCCACCCCCGAAGACCGTGCCGCAGCCGTGGCCAAGGTCCAAGCCGTCGAACGACGCGCCATGCTCGAGCAGCAACCTCAACCAGGGCTTTCAAAGCTTATGGATTACCTTCAATCCCGAGGTCTGCGACGGGCACTCTGCACCCGCAATTTTGAGTACGTCTGATAATTTATATCCCAATGCACTGACCTAAGTATTGTATGCTTATTACTATGGATGCATGCAGAGCCCCGGTCCAATATCTCATCCAGAATCATCTCCCCAGCCACATCTTCCTTCCCATCATCACCCGTGATACGCCCAATTTGCTTCCCAAGCCTGATCCGGCGGGGATTCTGCACATTGCACGGGAATGGGGGTTGACTAATCACGCGGAGAATTTGATTATGGTATGTTGAATGAATCCTCACCGAGCCAGTCGAGATACTAACCTTGTTACCGCTGTGTAGGTTGGAGATAGCATTGACGATATGACATCCGGTCATGCAGCCGGTGCGGCAACGGTGTTGCTGGTGAATGAGCGGAATAGTCATCTCCGCGAGCATGCGCACACCGATCTTTGCATTACTCGATTGGATGAGTTGATTGATATTCTCGAGGGGGGATTCCTCGGTCGTGAGCAGAATGACGTTCACGAGGGGAATTAGGCTAGTCTGCTAGGTTCAGTTCAGATACATTAAGCACCGACTTATACACGCTAAACCCCGGGACGGAATAGAAGAATGGAAGTTGTACAAAGAGATTGGGGTTCTTTTAAGAATGATGTATAGACATGATCATATACAAAAAGGTATAATAGATTTTGTATAGTTGATGTACAAGTACCCCCAAGCTCTAGATAACTCAAAACATACACTGGCGTTAATTTTCATAAGTGACCTATCAAGGCCGTCCTCCCCGAGGCTTCCCACCGCGTCCACGACCACGACCACGATTTCCACCACCACCGCCTCCTCCACCTCGAGGAGGCGGGCCCTTCGGACGGCTGAATGGCGGTGGCTTGTTTCGTGGCTGATAAGAGCCAACACCGCTACCAAACTTGATCGCCCCGCGACCTCGGCCACGGGCTGGAGGCGGGCCCTTTCGGGCACCTTTGCGGGGCATCATGTCTTCTTCGCTGGTTGATGATGGTGTGCGAGCACCACTACCGCCGCCGCCGCGACGTCCCTTGCCACGTTGGTAGCTAGGTGCGGGAGGGCCGGTCTTTCGGGGAGGCCCTGTCACGTTCAGGTTGGTGACGTTGGCAGGATCAATATCCTTGAGGGTAAAGCAGGCAGTTTTTTGTCGAAGATCTGCGGGGAGATGGGGGCAGTCTCCAATCAGATGGTTCCCACTTGTGCAGTGGGCGCAAGAAATGGAGACCGTAACGGTCTCGGAAAGAGCTTCCCCCGCTGGGAGGCTATACTGGTGGTCACAGTCGGACTCTATGTGTGTCGAGGAGCCGCAGTAGTCGCAGGGGACCTCGGCGGCGGAACTTTTGAGGGCAGACGGGCAATCGCCTTGGACGTGGCCTCGTTCACGGCAGCGTTGGCATCTGCGCCATGAGGGGCATTGCGTGCTTTGGTGGGTATTCCATGCTCCACAGTGAACACACTGTATATGTGTTAATGTAGAAATTGGTTGGGATTAGGTTTCGAGTTATACATACCTCCTTAGTAGGACACACTTCGGCCATGTGGCCCTGACGAAGACATTCGATACAACCAACCGGAAGCTGGAGATCAATGGCATTCACGTCTCGATCCCAGTATACGAATTTAGCCTGGATATCCATATCATCCTGCTGCAAGTCCATTAGAGAAACAGGCGCAGTCGGATACTTTTCAGAGAATCGCTTAAAGGCCTCTTCCTTGGACTCGGTTTGTACCGCAGTATTCCCATTCGACTTTCCGTTGGTACCATTTTCCATCAGCAGAGACTCTGGATCATAGTCATCTGCCCCATCTCCCTTGGTGCCAATGTTGAGCATAAGGGAGTCGTCGGCTTCGGAGTCCAGCTCTGAATCATCCGAATCGCTCCCGGAGTTCACCTCGCCTTCTTCAGAGCCATCATCATCTTCGGATGATACAGAAGCACTGCGACTGCGCCAGTATGTACCGTTGACAGCCTTGAATTGCTTTGCAGAGGTGCCATTCACCGTACTATCCTCAGTACTCGCATTGGTCTGCGATTGCGGTTGCACCTCTGGCTCAGGCTGGGGTATAGATTGAGAAGGTGTTTGTGAACCCGCCTTGCGCTTCCCCAGCGTCGTTCTCACGGCCGTCTTTCTCCCCTGGTTCCAACTGATCGCCGGCGCAGTGCTGCCCGCATGGGGGTTGGCGGGTGGGGGTACATCTTGCGCATCAGACTTGTCCGAGCCACTATCCGAGTCCGAACCGGAACTAGAAGTATCATCGGGATCGACCTCCAACGTGGCGGCGCTGAAGGAAGCGCCCTTGGGGACGAAATCGCTAAGATCGCTGGCGGTGCGGGATCTGTTGCGGCGGCGCTTTTTCGTGGGACGCGAGTCGTCGCCGGACTGGGCTCGGGAGGAAGGAGTATTTTTGCGGGCGCGCTGGGCGCCGAACGAGGCCGTTCGCGAGTCGGCCTCGTCTCCAGAATCTGACATGACCTGTTGCTTGAATGAGAGGGTTGAAGGCAGGGAGAGTGTCCGTCGGAGATTAAACTGCATGGCAGGCAAATTTTACGGTTGGCGCGGAGTACCAACAGTGCAAGAATGGTGGGTTTGTTTTTTTAGGCTGAAGGGTTCACTGTTCAGTAGGAAGACAGTAGTATCATGGTAATGCTCATATTCAATTGTTACACATTACTAGTCAGAGCAGTTTGAATTGTTTCAAGGTCTAGACTCGCCACGTGTACCTGGATGAAGCTATGCCCACTCTAGGAGTATCAGACTGAGCATTTGTTCTATTTTTGTCGGTCCTGCTAGAGAGACTATAGGAAGCCACCCCGATGTCTCCTGATATTTCATGCTATAGACAATGGGCCCATGTGACTAGCAGTACAGTGTCTTTGTTACGTGTAATTAGTACTATTTAGCCCCTTGTATAGTCCTCCTAGTTGGTTAGTTAGTAGAAGGAGTTCGTCTACTCCAAGCTGTTGAGGACTTGCACGTGCCGAGCTCAAGTTCCATTCCCCGATTTCTCATTCTCCCAGTCTTTCTCAAGTGCATGCTTGTATTAGATCACTGAGATCCCGATCCCATTCTGCTATCTTTTCCGATTTCTCAAAAGTCTGGTGTCCGCAAAAAGCTCTCAAGGCAGACAAAAAACGAGCCAACCCCGTGACCCCGAAAGCCGATCCGCCCGACTCCAGTTCTGGAGTTCTGGGCCGTGTGCCACCTTCATCCCCACGCTCCTTTTCCCTTCAACCCCCCTCAACTCTTTCCCTCGAGCTCTATCTTTCTTACTCGAGCAGTCACGCTGGCGTCCAATACTTCCAAGTCTTCCCTGCTGGCCCCCCGTGCCATCTCCTTCTCCCCCGAGATGGACGGACCGCAGCGGTTATCTCCCAACACCCAGAAGCAGGGCCGCCGCCGGCGGTCCAGCAGCATCATCTACCAGGAACCTGCCGAATCTATGGAACATATCAGTGACCAGGCTGCATTGCCCAATCTCAATGCTAACTGGGTCAATGCCAAGGGTGAGTCGAGCTTGCATGGACCTGTTACCCTCCAAAAGTGTCCCGACCGAACCGGTACGGACACGGTGGACGGGAATCCCTCACGGGAAGACGAATGAACCCCCAATATCGCAGAACTGGGCTAACTAGCAATGTTGTCGCGTGAACTAGGTGCCTGGACCATCCACTTCGTTCTCATTGCCGCGCTGAAGATCCTCTTCGATATCATCCCCGGTGTCTCGCAAGAGACCTCGTGGACCCTCACCAACATCAGCTATATGTTCGGCTCGTTCCTCATGTTCCATTGGGTGCGGGGCATCCCGTTCGAGTTCAACGCTGGTGCCTACGACAACCTCAACATGTGGGAGCAAATCGACAACGGCGACCAGTATACCCCCGCCAAGAAGTTCTTGCTCTGCGTGCCCATCGTGCTCTTCCTCCTCAGCACTCACTATACCCACTACGACCTGACCTACTTTACCATCAACTGCCTGGCTACGCTGGGAGTCGTCATTCCTAAATTGCCTTTCGTATGTGTTCTCTTCGACACTTTTCTATTTCAAAACCGACTAACCGTGTCTCGTGTCTCCAGTCGCATCGCCTGCGGATAGGTCTCTTCTCCGACATACCAGACGACTCATAGTATTTACTTTCCTAATTTCATTTGGATTCTGCGCTTCTTTGCTACATCGGCGTCTTCTGGCCTACGAGCTCGCTCCCCGTGTTCCCTTCCTCCCCTCCTCGAACCCGTCGCACTCCCCACCGAACCTCCCGACTCTTCATAAAGAAGTTCTTGCATTGCGTTTTGATCCACGGAGTTGTGAACCCGTTGTTGGCTGTCGCAAACGTTTTCCGCTTTTCTTTTCTCTTGTTCTGGCAAATATGAAGAACGCAGCAAAGTATTGAGCTGTGGAAAAAAGGACAGAGTTGGACACTTAGTTCCTGCTCATCCTTGGGGTTGGGTAGTCTAGATTTTTCTCAACTTGGAAAGGCCCTGCATACCTCATACACACCCACTTTTGATGCGCCTTGTTTTTTTTTGTCAATGTGTAAACTTAGTCATTCTGTTATTGCAAATATCAGAGATTCTAGCATAGAATGAAGTCTGGAGCTTGGAGACTACTGAAGTACCTAATGCAAGTCATTTGTTTAGTCGTTCGTCTTGGCTGGGCCCATGCGGGGTTTCATTGCATCATTCTGGCAAGCACCAACCTTAGTGCCGAAGTGGACATCTATATCCGATCAAAAAGAATCTGATTGTATTTTATAAAGTATATCTCCTCTTTCCGTATACTATTTCATCTTCTAGGCTTGAAGGAATCTATGGTACTGTACTGTATATCAGTTGCGAAGACATAAACTTGAGGCTCCCGCTGATCTGCCCAAGGTGTCAAGTATATCGGCAACTAAATATCGCTAGCGAGTAATATATTGCCTTTTGATGCCAAGATGGGGCTAAATACATGTAACTAGGCATATTATCATCGAGTGATCTAGAAATAAACAAAGAAGACCTTGAAGTTTGAAGTGGTCACAAAGAAAGCACTTTCAAAGGTGGTAGTACCCAAGATATGCAAACAACCAGGCGCAGCCAGTCTCTCACAGGAAAAAAAATGATTACCTTTATGGAGAACTGTTTATGACCCAGATCTCCCAGCATAACCCAACTTCTTCCTCTTCTTTCCCCGTCTCTCCTATCGCTAACCATTTAGTTACCTTCAGATCTACCTTTAACTCTTTTGGGTCACGACTACCGTTACCTAATCACTTATCGATAAGCACGCGTCTAAAAAGACGCGAACAGCCACGAGATGTCAGTCCATCACGACGAGGCCATGGCTCCCCTGGGCGATTTCCCGCATCGGACGCCCAAGCCGCTGCCTTTCGAGTTGGTTCAACATACCGGCATTTTCTTCGAGGAACACCTCTGTTCGTGCTTCATCCTCGACCCCCTCTTTCCATCTCATCGCGTCTCAAGGAACCCCACCCCAGCTAACCCGCCTGCAGACACACGAGCATTAGATCTTTTGTTCAACACCCTCGCCTCGGGGACTTACGCTTCAAATACAGTCCTGACACCGCTGCCACAACATCTGGCCATTGCAGCCACATTCCTTGTTCATCCGTCCACGACCACCCGTGCCCAGACCAGCAATGAGAAAGATGCGCCGGACGTTGCACTGCGGCTGCTGCGGCTTTTTTGCGCCCAGGTCAACCCCATAGAAGCAAAGCTCAAAATTGCTTTTAGTTTCACCCGTTCCAAACTCTCGCGATCAGGAAGAAGATATCACGAGGAACATGATCCGACTAGTGAACTTCGCCATGACGAGACGAAACCGTTGAATCTTGCATTAGGTACGACGGAGTCCTTGTGGTCTCGCGCGGAAGACTTCTGGCATGCCGTCGGATGGGCATTTAATTGTTCTGTGCTTTATCCGGAACGCTGGGACCGGTGGCAGATTTGGTTACAGTTCATGTGCGAAGTCCTCTTGGATGACTGGTCACAACGAGAGAAGGAATACATCGCAAAGCAAGAACAACGAGGGGAAGACCCCCTGAATAGTCTACCGGGGAAATCCCGAGGGACAAGCCCGACGGAAGATGACCTGAACATTCTTCGGCAAAGTCTGATCTTCCAGTATATTGCTGCTGGCGCGAGGAATCTTAATACTCGCCGGATTATCAAGTCTATTTTTGCAGACGGGAGCACTGCCTCAGTGAATCAGTTTCGCGAGGTCTTCGAAAAGGAGCTCGCGATTTCAAAGCCCAAGAAACACGCTTCAAAGCCAATGAAGCGAGATCGTGAAGTTAATATTGATAGAGAACAATATGGTGACTACTTGGATGCAGATTCGGATGACGACTCCGTCTCCGGTCCGAGTAAGTCACAGTCCCGTGCATCTACGCCTTTGGAAGACGCACCAAATACTCGACGCTCGAAGCGGACTAGACGGGGCACCCGGAACGCGTCAGACCCGACCGGTGCAGAGCCAGCTCGAGAAGCTTCTGATGCAGGCCAAGGCCACCTCACACAGCATGGTGGCGGCGTGTCTCAAATGGGCGGCCTCGACTCTCTTGGACTGCGTAAGAAGCTGCTCGGCATCTTGTCCAGAGTATCTGATCAGCTACCCCGAGATTTTATTGAACTTGATGGTCTCTATCAACTGTTTGTTGATCAAATCCGTCACCAACCGCTACCTATCTTCCAAGCCTTTGTCAATCCACTCGTGCTTCCTGAACTCGACGACGAAGCGCAGACTACTCTTTGCGAGTTTTTGCTATTCAACATGATCCAAAGTGGCGCTCGCACATCACAAGAGGATCGACTCACCGCTACAAAGTTGGAACAATGTTTCCTTCCATATACGACAGCCACAGCCAGTGTCGCCGATAATGCCAAATTCTCGATTATTCTCGAGTCGTTGGTTACGTTGCTGGCCGGCCGAGGCTGGATCAAACAAACACCATCTTTGACAGAGGCAGTCGATACGGGGATCGAACGTCGAGTCCGGCGGGCACAAGAAGAGTCACATCGGGGCCATGCTAGCCGGAGCAAGGAGGCACTTGAGTGGTGTTGGTTGCTGGAAAGTGGAGAGAGGCTGAGGTTCCTGATCGATCTTCTTCCAACAGAGTAACATGGACCTTTAGGCAAGGCAGCTGGCTGGGATTACGATAATTACGATGGCAATGACTTTAACGATGCATGCTCGAGTTTCACAACTGTTAATATAATTACTGCTTTTACATCATTAGGTCCCCAGGGCTTTCTCCGAAGCATGGACTGGTTGGCTCAACACTCGATCTACGAAACCAAACTCACAACATCGTCCAATGACGTAGCTAAATTGGCGATTGATGTTCGTAGTATATCTAATCCAAGAGCCAGAAAATGTACGGATCAAGAAGCATCTCCGCAATCTCCTCGTTGCCTTTTGACAACGCTTCCTTCATCTCACTTTCAGTGACTCCGGCTCCATGATCAAGAAGCATCTGCATGATCGGCCTATGTCCGTAGCGTATAGCCCTGCAGAGTGCACTGCCAGACAGACTGTTGTAATGAACGTCAGCCTTTACCCCCTTCCCAAGCAAAAGTCGTACAATCTCCTCATGGCCTTCACCTGCTGCTTCCCAGAGTGCTCTACCACCGTACGCGCGGGTATCAATGCCACGATCCAGTAGCTTCTGCACAATGCCCAAATGTCCTCCATACGCTGCAGCTTCAAGTGAATTCCTCGATGCAAGGTGGATACTGCTCAATCCAATATTGACGTTCGCACCTCGATCCAGGAGGATCTTTATCACTTCTTCGTGGCCGTTATAACACGCATCTGCCATAGCAGTCCCGTGGAACTCTCCCTCGCCGTCGACATCCGCTCCCTCGTTCAAAAGCAGCCGAACCAACTCCGCGTGTCCATTTCTAGCAGCCGTTATCAGTGACCGATTGCATTCGCAGCCTTTCCGCAATATAAAGCCGTGATCGAAGAGTATTCGCGTGGCTTTGATATCTCCCCGTGCAACAGCTTTGGATAAAGGGCATACACCTCTCCACAGCCAATTATGCCAGATGTCTGGATTTCTGCCACCGGATTCTTCTTTTTCAGTATCTCGCATCTTGTCGAGGACCTCTCTGACCAAAGGGGTAATACTGAAGTGCGCAACGGTGTCGATATCACCCCACCACCATCCTCCGTATCCGCTATACAGATACATCCAGTTATTCCTCTCCGGGCCATCCCCGGTACAAAGTTCTCTGACGGCATCGAGACTTGTTTCCGCGGCAGACTCGGACTGGTAGTTGTAATGAGTTGGCCAGTATTGCGCGGCATATCGTAGGAATGGGGATTTGCGTTCCTCGCGACGCATGTTTCTTTGTGATTTTGGTTTTTTGTATTTGTGTTCGTTGTAATGGACGTAGGATCTCATTTTGAGGGTGAAGAGGAATGAAAGACATGCTCGGGTGAGCATTTCATGTCCAGTGGTTATGTCGATACTGCCTTCCCAAAGCGTGGAAGGATGATTCTCAGCTTTCTGAAGAAGAAACTCTCTGGCTGATTTATGGATAATATTCACAGTTGACCTGTTTCTTAGTAAAACTTCATCTAGAAGTCCCATGACCAAGCCTTTTTGTTCAGGGTGCCTTTTTGCCAGTTGCCAGTAACAGAGTCGATATGGGTTGGATATAGCCGCAGTAGGATCTGAGTCGACAAGCTCCATGGCCAAAAACAGCTCCGAGTGTGATAGACGCCGCTGTATAGCTAGGAGAATATGGAGCATCTTCTTAACGGTTGAAGGGCCCCATTTGGCGCTCGTCATGTCCAATGCTTTTTCGTAAACACCATGGATATCCATCGGAAAGTCACTCAGCAGAGCATCAATTCTTGAAAACTCTAGAGGCAAATATTTCTCTTCCTTGAGTGTGTTGAGAATCAGGCTAGTCCCTGCCCGCAGCCAAAGCCAAGTCTTTTGTCCATTGCCTGTTAGAATTTGCTGGACAATTTCCTGATATTCGCTTGGAATGACATGAAGAAAGTCGTTAATGAAGGATTCCATGTCTAAATGAACCAGATGGAGTAGCTCATCCGCATCGATCAAAGTTATCAGCTTACCACTAGCTGCATCACGAAGGTCCTCAAAGTCCTGCTTCAAGGTACCTTTTAGTTGGCAACTGGTGATAAAGAATTTGACAACCGATTGTGGACTTTGACTCGGCCGGTTCGATATTGCCGAATAAAAACGACCCAAAGCTTGAAGCAGTCGCCTCCTCTCCGTTGAATCACACTCATCCATGCCATCGAGCACACACACGAAATGCCCAGCTCGATCATCGCTCGCACATCGAACGAAATGAGGCCATACTTTGTCAAAGTCCAGCCATGGCCTATAAAATTCTGCCGAGAATTCTTTCAGCAAATTCTTAAGTCTCCTTTTAGTGGGTAATCGAGCCCAGGTCTGATGGATAAAGGTAGAATATGGCGTCTTCTCAAAAAGCTGATGTAGTAGACCGCAGACTGCACTTGCAGCAGTCATTCGCCGTGCATGGCCTTCGAGGAAGAAGTAATAGGAAGTAGTTGTATCTCTTTCAGAAGACAAGCTTCCTTCTTCCCACCATTCATGGCTTTGAGTGGCTAGTGTTTTCGCAAGAGTAGACTTGCCCTGTCCAGGACTGCTGGTCAACCAGAGGATGCTTGGTTGGTCTGTATCACGCCAGTGCTTGACACGTGGATCGTCAAAAAACCATGTTCCCGTGTTTTCGGATATAGGTTGGTGATAGTCGTCGTCGTACTCGTAGCCTGCGGACAGTCTGTCCATGGCATCTTGCGGCCGGGTGTCGGGCATCGTGTGGGAGCTGCAGGGTTGTTGCCGTTCTAAGCGGTTACATCAATCTTGGCATAGTAGATATTGAAGGTATTGATACAATGGTTGAACGATTCAGATCATATGTGACTGTAGTAAACGACGTGTGGTGGATGCTTTGACCTCCACCCTCGTGAGGCTGAGCACGACATGCTGATTAGGCCACCACAAGGAATTACACAAGACAGAGAATAAACATTCGAATGATGAGACTTTATTTCTACTCTTAGTGTTGTAAATATTGTTATACTAAATAGTAAACATATCTAACCATCTCCTGCTTTTTTTCCGATATCTTCCTGATTTCCTGCGTTCTATTAGGCCCAAGGTAGCCAACCGCATCTAGATAGGCGCTACCTAATTCGGTACCATCTCCGACCGAGGCTTGAGACAATACAGTCTTTTTTCAAAGATTTATGAATCATCTTCTTCGACTTACTGCTTATTTGAAGATTCAGAATATGCATTGTAACCTCGATATGTGCAACGTGCTTATCGCTAAGCTTTTTGGCCCCCAGAAACATCTGAACCCTTGTTGGGCCAAACGGGAAAAATGCGTAATTGATACCAACTTTACTAGCAAAAATGAGGGACAAGTGTAATATAAACTGCGCTATTTCCCTATTAGGTAGCCGCTATGATAGCTGCGCATCTCGTGGAGCCTCACAGCCCCCCTCAAGTTTGGGTCGAGTTACTTCCAAGATAAAAACCCTTCGAAGGTCTCTCATAAACCTGTCAACCACCGAGTGAGTTTCCCGCTGCTTCTATTCACCATGTCAGAGAGTGGATCCAGTGATCACGCTCGGGACTTTGTCTTGCTCGAACGCAATGGTGGTAAAGCTACTGAATCCTAAAACGACACGAAAATGAGACTAACCTTGTAATAGATTCGCAGGACCCAGACCTGAAAAGGATAAAGATTTGGTTGAAGCCAACGGATTCAGACTCTCCTGCTAGTGAATACAGAAAACATCTCCACTCCCATGCCGCAGGAACGGGCGAATGGATTTTCGAGACTGAGCAGTATCGCGATTGGAGCCAGTCAGACTCGGTCGGTAATCTTTGGATCAGGGGAATTCCTGGCTGCGGCAAGTCTGTCGTCGCTGCCACCTTGACGAGCCGTCTTCAACGCCTTGAAAGCCCTCCAGTCCCTGTCTTGTTCTTCTTTTTCAGAGAAATCATTCAAACCAATCGGTCTCCACAGTCGCTAGTGCAGGACTTTTGCCACAAACTCATTGATCACTCCCCGTTACTACAAGCAACTTTGAAGAAATTGCGAGAAGACTTCCCAGATGAGCTTCCATTTGACAAACTATGGGAGGCATTATCAACAGCCATGCGGGCGATGGAGAAGATATACTGCGTGGTTGATGCATTGGATGAGATGGAACTTGGGCACGACCAATGGCTTGAGAATTTCCTCAACTTGGGTCGCCAGTTCCCTCGATCAATCAAAACCACCGTCACCAGTCGGCAGGTTCCTCACGTGGAGAAGCATATGTTCAAAACCCAGCTCGTTGATCTGCGTCTTGATCGTCGACGATTAGATCGTGATATCTCGATATACGTCTCGAAGCGTTTGGAAAATTCGGAATTGGACCTTTCTCCGAGCGACGCTGAGATGATAAGGACTGCGATTTGCGAGAGAGGAAATGGCCTCTTTTTGTATGCAAGGCTCATGCTCGATGAACTGCTGCGGAATCCAGAGGACCTCCAATCGCGTGTCCATAACCTTCCTCACGGATTAGGTGATATGTATAGCGATATCCTATGCGAGCATGCTGCAAGCTCAGGAATATCCAGTGACTTGCAGAGACTGATCCTGGAATGGATCACTCATTCAGCAAGGCCACTTCGCCTTCTAGAGCTTGCAGCCATGATTGAGTCCTCGCCCGAACGCATCTATTTCGGCTCGGATGTGAAACTTGCAATCAAGACTTCCTGTGGACCACTTCTCGAAATTTGCGAAGATGGAGTCATTCAGATTATCCACCACTCACTCACAGAGTTCATTCTCAATCGAGACGTGGAGCACATCGTGATGAACAACCAAAACAGGGAATTTGCGGTAGTTGATTCCCAAGCCGTCCACAGGAAGATTGCACACACATGCATCGACTACCTCACTAGTGGGCGCTTCCAGAAGTGGGAGCCCACCGAATATCGAATCCACGAGCCACAAGAACGCCAGTCGCTCTTCTTGCAATTTTACTTTCTTCGATATGCTACTTTGGAGTGGCCATTCCATGCGGCCAAAGCGGGAGATGACATGGAACTCCTGGCAAAACTTGGTGACTTCTGTCAAGACGGTAATCATGACTATGAATCGTGGAATGACATATGGCGTGCCGGCCAAGGAGAAGACGTCCCTCGCCGCTGCTCGCCTCTCCATGTTGCTGCCTACACCGGGCTTTCCAACTTGGCTCAATACCTTCTGTCTCAAGGGGCAGATCCAGATTCAAAGGATGATGACGGTCGCACGCCCATGATGTATGCTGTGATGAAGAACCACGACAAGGTTGTAAGCATTTTGTTACAGAATAACGCTAGTCGCGACGAGGTCGTTATGGACGCATATGGCATTAGGAAGCACTCCTTACTTTACTATGCGTGCAAGCTGAACCATACCCCAGTCGTACGGGCCCTGATCAGTGGGGGCGTGGATCCAATGGCAACAGATAATCAATTTAGATCCTCAGGGACTACCTTTTGTGACATTGTTGAGAAGGACTTGGCCTATGGCGTGCGGTTTCAAATCTCGGCTCTTGGGTGTGCCTGTCAAAACGGACATGTTGAAGCAGTCCGTGAGCTGATGAAGCACGTCAGTCCAGTCGACCTTTGTGCAGGCAATCTTCACTTGGCTGCCAGATCAGGTAAAGCTGAAACTGTTGCAGCTTTACTGGAAAATGAGCATGTTCGATTGACCATTAATGATCGCGACTCGGATGGTAACACACCACTGTATCTGGCAGCTTGCATACGCAGTGCTTCAACGATCCAAGTTTTGCTTGACCATGGTGCCGATATCACAGTTCGATCTCTGAACCGCAATAGCCCTCCGGAGCCGCCAATGGGCATGGATCCTCGATTCAACTTTGAAGCTTCCCCAAGCTATACACCGCTGCATGGTTGGGCTATCGGCTTTCCACGAGATCAATCTGAATTTCTTGAAGGGCAAGACATGGTGCCTGCCTTGGATTTATTACTACAGGCAGGTTGCGATATCAATGCTAAGGACTATAGGGGACGCACTACTCTCTTCAAGTGGCCTCATCCGCACTGGGCAGACATGTTTGCCGAGGAATTTATTGCCACTCTCCTTGACCGTGGCGCTGATGCGACTGTGGTCGATGACGAGGGACAGACCCCTCTTCACAGTCTACATGAGAGGCCTTTTGAAAAAGCAGTCAAACTGCTTGTCAATGCTGGGGTTGATATCAATGCCCAACGAAAGAAGGATGGGTTGACAGTCTTGATGTGCACTGCTCTGATGCAGAACCATACCAACCCAACTGTGTTCCACGAATTGAAAGCAGATTTTGACCTTCAAGATTGGGAAGGAAATACAGCTTTCCACCACTATTTTAGAAGGAGTCCAGCTGGAAATGACTGCCACCTTGATACCTGGCTATCTTTCTCAAATTTACAGAGGCAAAATGACCTTGGAAGAACGCCATTGCACGAGTACATGTATCGGCAGGGTGGGTGCGTGGACATGGAGGGAAAGCAGCTCCAGCCATTGTTGGAAATGGTCAAACGTGGTGTTTCACTGGAAACCAAGGATGGGCTTGGACGCACAGCACTGCTTATCGCACTGATGGGCACAGGGGGCGTTTCCTTACAATTTGTCGAAGAATTGCTCAGGCTCGGAGCAAACGTTCAAGCAATAGACTATCAAGGGAAGTCCGGTGAGTCTTGCCAATCATCCTACCCGTGAGATCCTGCAATTTCGCTAACAAGCCGCAGCTCTCCATTATGCTTTCAAACCACTTCGGAAGCATTACGTCTCGAAAGATGAAACCCTCGACGTAATCCGGTGCCTTATCAAAGCAGGTGCAAATGTCCATGCAGTCGACCACGAGGGAAACACTGTGTTTCACGACATGGTCGGCCATGAACCGACCACTTCGTACGATAATTGGTTCTGCATCGAGGAGCCCGCCCGCGCGGCGATCGAGATAGGTGTACCTTTTCAACAGGCTAACTACAGAGGCAGAAACGCTTTGCATGTTGCAGCAGCCATGGGAAATGACCATGGATACTATGTCACGAAAAAGGTCATGACCCGTTTGGAATTCCTTCTTCAGCCAAACATGCCCTTCGACGTGAATGCCAGAGATAACGACGAAGTCACTCCATTGCATCTCGCGTCTGCTGTGTCGGACACCAACTCTCTGATTTTGATCGAGAATGGTGCTGACGTCCAGATCAAAGACCGTCTTGGTCGCACTCCTCTTCATTTCGCTGCCAGGGCTGGACAAAGCAACGTCGTCGGCCTGCTGGCAGAAATTTATCGTCAGCGGTCAATTGACATTGATCAGCGATGCAGCGAGAAAAGATCTGCTTTGCACCAAGCTGCACGATCGGGCAACTCAGAGGCCGTTCGAATTCTTCTCCAGGCCGGGGCCAATGCCTCCCTAGCAGATCGGCTGGGCCGGACGCCATTGCATGCTGCTGCTGAATTTGAAGTCATAACACGTGCCCAGAGAATACAGATTCAAATCGAGTCGACGCCATCTGCTCCTGCACCTCGCAAGGGATTTTCCAGAACCAAACCAAGCGATGCTTTCTCGCGTATGCAACTTATTGTATTGGATGAGGACGGTGCTAGATGCATTCAAGAGGTCATCAGATTGCTTCTAGCTGCCGATGCAAATCCTAGCCAAGTCGATGCGAATGGTCATCGGCCCTTGGATGTGGCGGTGATGCTTGGCTGTTCACCAGCTGTTGATGAATTGAAATTATCCATGGATGATCTCCAATCGCGGTCTCTGGACCCAATTGGCGAGTCACTTTTGACAGTTACTGAATCCAGGGTCCGAAATCTCGTTGAGTCAACCCAAGTCCCCGAAGATTGTACACGATTCTTCGAGCGGGTTTTCTCAACGGGCAACGAGCGTTTGGCCGAGGCGTTTGTTCGGAACCAGCCGATGAAGATGGACAGCGGAGAAAAATCTCCTTTGTGTCTTCTTGCCCGCTGGGGCTTCACTTCCATGATGAAGAGACTGCTTCCCTGTGTTGAGGATCTAGGAGGCTTGGTACCTTCTCTTCTGAAACACGCCGCGAAGCGGTCTCTTTCCAACCTCGCGATGCTCAGCCTTCTTGTCAAATACCTACCTCAGAACGACACAAAAGTACTGAGTACTCTGCTCGGCGAATTCTCTGGTGGCCTGCGGTGGTGGCATCCTCGTGCTCTGTCTCTCCTTCTGGAAGCTGGCGCCGATCCAAATGTGTCTCTTAAAGATGGGCTCAATCCACTCTTAATTTCTCTGTCTCCTCATCGAGAAAAAGATGAGGGGAATCGCCGCTACAAGTGGAGCAACGAGATCATTGATATCCTTCTCAAGCACGGCGCAGACCCTGATGTTGTTCCGGAGAAAGGCTGGTTGACACCTATGGCCGCCGCCATCCGTGGTAGATGTAGCGTGGAGACCATCCAGCTACTTATCAGCCATGGTGCCAAAGTTAATGTTGAGAGTCATTGCTTGGTAAATACGGCCATCGATGTGCATAGTTACGATGCTCTTGAGGTGCTCTTGAAAGCCGGAGCAAACCCCAATGGTAATAGCCGTCGAATCCCCCTTGTGAACGCCGCAGGATGGTTGGACAAGGGCGAAGCAGCGATGTGCCTTCTCCTTCAGTATGGTGCAGATCCTCTTCATCCAACGGAGGATGGATCCTCGACTGCTTTCCATGAACTGTGTCGTGACAATCGTCCCATTCAGCTCATCTTGGAAACGAGTGTAGATCTCAACGTCGCTGATGGTTCAGGATACACACCTCTTATCAGAGCCACCAACACTTACTGGTGGACGAAGACTCACCTGGCAGCAATGGACTTGATCGAAGCTGGTGCGGATGTTCACGCTGTCGATCACACTGGGTCTTCTGCGCTGCACTATGCCGCAAGTTTGGGAAACCTCGAGGTTTTTCAAGCCCTTTTAAACAAATCAGTTCCTCTATCTGCACGCAACAACGAAGGATTCACTCCTCTGACGACTGCTCTAAATAGCTATTCAGCCCCAGAATTGTCATATAGAAAGGAAGTCTGTACAATGATTAATTTCCTTCTGGATCAAGGTGCAGATCCATTGAGCACTCTCCCAGACGGACGAACAGCCCTCCACTGCATCGCCGGAATGCTCATGAATTACAGTAATGTGAACCCGCAGAAACAAATTGAATGGGACGAGGGCGAAGACCACTTCACCTCTACATATCAGCTTTATCAACGGTTCCTCGATGCAGGGTGTGACCGCGAGGCAAGAGACAATGAGGGCAACACGCCGATATTCTTTTATGCGACAGGCCCCAAGTCTGATATACGCTCGAATGAACCTCCGGCACGTCCGTCAAACCCCGAAGACTATAAGGAGATGTTCTCGGAGCATGATGTTCACAAAGTCAACTATAATGGAGACTCGCTGTTGCATGCTATCGCACTGAGAGAGGAGTGGATCTGCGATGCAGATGAGGCTGAAGGATTGTTTTCGACCCTTGTTGAGTTGGGACTGAGTCCTTGGAAAGAGAATAACAGTGGACAGACGGCCTTGGATATCGCTGCTGCTCATGAAAAGCAGGAGATTCTTGCTTTATTTGCTCGAGATGATTGATTTCCTGTGACTGCTATGTTCTTCTCAGGCCATTTGATAATGCTTAGTGTCTTTCCTTGGAATTTACAAACTTGTATGAAAGAGTGCGGGTTTGGAATAATCGATGGTCAAGTATACTTTATGCTATCTACAGAAGGAATTGCTTCCATAGCCACTAACAGCAAACCACAGGAAAATCAGCATAAAATGAAAGTGCCGTTTCCAGATAGGCCGATCACACCACAAGAAAGAAAATCCACCAATCCACCCAGTCGCCAACGCAAAATAGAACAAGGGAGAAATCCTTCCAGCTGAGTAATAGAAGATAGAAATAAGAAGATAAGGGGAACAAAGGGGCAGATAGAAAATAGTCTCCTAGGTTGAATAGAGAAGACAGGACACGGTAGCTGCTCATGGTGGAGGTCGAGGTCCAATGATTTGTCGCCTGGCACCTCCAATCCCGAGGCCTGTGCCACCACGATTCTGGTTGTCGCCGCCCATGTAGCCATATTGGTGAACATCCCAGCTTTGACCTGGGCCAGAACCCATGCTAGGATCGCGCGCAGCAGCTTGGGTTTGCTTCTGGTTCTCTTCCCACTCGCGCTGGCGCTCACGTTCGCGCTCCATCTCACGCTCCAGAAGTGACTTGGAAGCCCACCCACCAGCACGAGTCTTCTCTTGAGATTCAATGCGGCGCTTGTTCTCTGCGTCAACTTCGGATGTAGTGCTGTAGTCCTGTGGCCGGTGGGTAGAGGGTGCAGGAGCCTGCGGTGCCGGGTTCGACGAAAGGAAACGGTCGACTCGATTCTCACGACCGCGGCTAGCTGTGTATGCTACCGGGTCTGGCAAGGGACGTGGAGCTGCAGGAAGATCGCGGGCCGGAAGTGCTGGCTTGGGCGATGCAACAGGCTCGGGGAGTGGACGAGGCGGTGGAGGGGGCGCCTGTTCCTCCTCTGCTGTCTCGGGTTCTTCAGAAGCTGCTGGCATTTCCTGGTTCCTCAGCCATTCTCCACGGAGCATGCGCCGTTCCTGTTCCAGCGAGGAGAGATCGTAGCTTGGCTTAGGAGGCACGGGCGCCGGGCGTTGGCGGTTCTGACTGAGAGGCTGGGGCTCTTGAGGCTGAACGCTTTGCCGTTCGCTCTGGTATTGTTGCTCTCTCTCTTTGGCCAGGGCCAACTCGCGCTCAAGCTCTTTGATACGGCGGCTTTCCGGGGTCTCCTCAGGTAGACCAGCTGCATTGCCGGTACTGACGCTGCGGGGTTGGTCAGCCTGGTATTGACTGAGGAACTGGCCATTGAGACGAGCATCGTTAGCACCCCGTCGACGCTGTCGCTCTTGGTCGAGACGCTCCTCGGCTGCTTTTTCTTCTGCAACGCGGCGTTGCTCTTCTTCTTCCCACTGGCGCTTTTCCTCATCCCAGCGCTTCTTTTCCATTTCCATCTGCTGCCGTTCCTTCTCCCTCATACGGGCTGTCTCTTCTTCCCAACGACGTTGTTCCTCGGCCTTGGCTCGGGCCTCTTCTTCCTCCTGCTGTTGCTGGCGGATGCGTTCAGCCTCCTCTCTATCCGCATTTTCCTGGCGGATTCTCTCTTCCTCCTCCCGTCTGCGCTTCTCCTTCTCCGCTAGACTAGGCACGGCTGGCCCCGGTGTAGTGATCTGTCGCCGAGCACCGAACGCAATGCCTTGATTACCCTGGCTGGCACCACCCATGTAGCCGTATTGATGAATATTCCAAGCCGGCGAAGTAGCGCCCTCGTCGCCCCTCTTGCTCCAAGAGCTATATGACCCCGACGGGTTCGCATCGCTAGCGTTACTCGAAGCCCGTCCATTCCGAGTAAACGAGCCACTGCCTGATGAGCCGGTAGCATTCGGACTAATCACGCCACGCTTGCTTTGGGGGCCGACGGTCCGGGGAAACTTGTTAGGGGCGAGGGCGTTCGCTCGGCGGCTAAATGCCGCTAAGCACTGAAGGACTTGGGCCGGATCTTTGGATTCGTAGAGATCGACTGTGAGGAAAACGTCGTGTGGAGGTAGGTTCAGAGGGGCCATTTGGCATGCACGCAGGAAATGCGAGATGTTCTCCATCTGTACGAATGGCATCCCTGACGGCTTATACTTCACGCCTGGTGACACAGCCAGATTGACCAGCCTTGAAGGAAAGGGGCGTCAGTCAAGGTTTCAATTCTGGGGATCCATACAATAGCGTCAAAAATCCTCCAGTTCATACTCACTTGCAAAGGGCCACACCATCCTTCAACCCTTCCAACAGATCGCTGGATGGCAGTTTCTCCCGTAGTACCTCCTCAATCCAGTCGCGTACCTCCGCGGCTGCCTGCGGGGTATAGCGGGACAGTCGCAAGTTGCGCAAGTCTTTGTCCAGTGAAGTCACAGAAGCCATGATGAGATTTGAATCATCGGTCTGCGGCCAGATACCCCGTTGTGTTGTAATGAGTAGACAAGTGTCAGTTCTAGTCTGACTATGTATCCGTATGCGTGCGAATGTGCCTGATCGGCCCCAAGGGTGGGGAGTTGGGGTTGGGTAGCAGAGGAGAGTAAAGGGGGAAGTAGTTTAAGTAGTCCAAGTGCGAAAGAATTCCAAAGTTCAAATCACAAAAGGAATCCGAATAAAGCGGCTTGGAGGGGGAGAGAAAAGGAGAGTTAAGGGGAAGTAAGTGGAATGGAATGCTCGGGGCTGTTTATTTCGGCTCCGCCGATGACGTTCCTGACGTTCTGCTTCTTTTTACCCGCGAACCACTTTTTCTCCACGCCTCCTCCTTACCTAGCGCCGCGTCGCAACATCACAATGGTGAACAGTCTCTGGTTCAAGTGGAAGAGCCTTCGGCTACCCTGGCGACGATCTTTCTTGGTCGGTGAGTGTCACTTTCATTCGCTTCCTTGTCTTCCTGCTGGATGCGCTTGCCCATGGAAATTCGCCGATCTTGCTGACCATTCCCTTTCTAGGCCAAGACCTCGCCGGAAATACTTTCTGGGAGTTCAAGGACGTTGCGAATGCCAACCGATTCCGCCGGATTGTGAAATTCGATCCCAAGACACATTACGGAGATGTCCAAGTCACACGTTAGTTCTATCGCCTCCGGGGAGGTCCGCGGTTCGCCACAATCACTCCTCCAGCTCCAAACAAAACCACTGCCGGAAGAAATATCGCTGACTCTTTTTGACTCGATAGCACAATGGCATCAATGGCTTCGATATGTTCGACAAGATCCGCCGAGTCTTGAAGAACAGCAGCAGGACTTGGTTCGCCAAGCGCAGATCAAGCACCTCGCTCGACTTGCAGATGAACGCTGGGCCAGCAAGCCGTCTTTCCTTGACAAACCAAAGACCCAACAACCACTACCACCCACAGAACCCGCTAAACCCTCGGTGAATCCGACCACCGAGTCTCCTCCAGAAACCTCGACATCCACACCCCCGACTCCTACCCCCAAACCTGCATCTGCCAAACCGAAGGCCCCGAAGGAGGATCCGTGGGCGAAGGCGAACCCCGGTAATCCTGGAGACACCTGGCAGCCAGAGTCATGGACCCCTTCATCAAAGCGGTGAAACGTGACCCAGAAACAGGATCTAGCGCCAATATAGGTGAAATTTTGGTCTTGAGCGAGGATCTTTGGGTTGCGAACTGGACGGCAATTTCCCGCATACTCCCTAAGACCCAGAGAGTTTCTAACGCCTCGACACGGGTATTTCTTTCGAGCATGGGTGCTTTCGCGGGAATGTATAAGTTACAGGGTCCTTTTGGAAGACTTGCTGCAAGCCATGCGCAGTCATTGAACCTCTGCAAACTAGGGGGCTCCTATCATAAAATACTGCCAGTGGAAGTCGTCGTTATGTCTCCTTCATCAAAAACGCGTGGGTCGCAGTGGTGACGAATCTGAAGGAGCGTCTTGTACGATGCAGCCATTGAACCACTGCGGATGAGTTCTGCTGTAATGCTGCAGCGTCAAGATCACTCCTCAAGCCGCACACTCCTCTCTTGAACTATGTAAGATTCTGCAGGTCGATATTCGGCCCATTGTACATTAATTGAACTTTCTACATATCTCATACACAAGCTTAACCCCCGATCAACTCTAAGGCTTCGAATCACCAGTATTTCTTGTAGATCCAGTCCTAAAATCCTAGTCTACTACTACCTACAAAGTGGAAATGTACAAGATTTTGGGGGCCCGAAGGCCTTTTTTTGTATTTTTCTAGTTTTAAGAACGCATCAAAAAATCAATCGCGAAAGCAAAAATTAGCAAAACATGTTAATCAATGTCAAAAGACATCACCATCCCTTCTTTTTGTAAGTTTTCCACCTTTTCCGTATGCTTTTGGTCTTCGTGTTTTCTCCAAGGCTGAGCTAAATTGCTCTTGCCAAATAATACCCGCCTTTTTTTTTGGTCTTTTCTCAGTGGTAAAGCAAATCGACGAGCATGTGTTCGAGTGCCGACATTTTGATGGACACGATGCAACTTCAGCTTCAAGAGGATAAGAATATGCAAGGTAAACTGATGATCAAGCGCAAGCAGAAGACAAGGGCTCTGCAATGCATGCTCTAGATGTAGACCATAGTCTCCGAGAGGTTAGGCGCCAGACGAGTGACTGCATCCCCAGGAGCAGGCGGGCGGACGTTTCCACGGGTCATCTGGTGCTCGTAGTAATAGGCACGGACATACTTGCGAGCACGATCAGCAAACCGATCAGCCAGGAAAGCAGGAGTGCTGTAGCTGATAGCGCGAGTGCAACGACCCATCATGTAACAGATGTTGTGGGTCAGCTCTTGAATGGCATCAGCAGGGTTCCTGCCAACCAGAGGGACCATGTTAGGGTTGATAAAGATCTCGTCCCAAATAACGACATAGTGGGCCGAACGAGCCGAACCCTGCAGCGGAGCCTGCGCCTGAAGGTAGAAATCCCAAAGGTGAGGGCGGGTGATGACTCGGTCAACCACAAGGCCGTTCTTGCAGTTCGCCTTTCTATCCATGTCACCTTGCTTGGTGGGGAAAAATCGGGTATTGTGACGCTTTCCACCAACCAGGATCGTGATGTTAGGCTGTTTACCGGAATAGAGCACCGAGCAACCCTTCTTGACTTTCACCAGCTCATCTGTCAGAACCATTTCGTACTGGCCTTCGCTGACACCATCACGGAAGATCACAATGTTCTCAGGCAATGCGTTCTTGTTTTCTTTCTTCCAACGGTGAAGACGGGCCTTCATAAGCTCAGCCAAGTCAACAACGTTCTCCACGCGGCGCTCTTGGATCTTAACTTGGCCGGGCCACTGACCCATGGTCTTATCGGTGCTGGCGACGATGGAAGCAATGCTGGGGAACGTTTCGGGATCAGTAGGGGAAGGGTGGGTCACGTCCAGACCGACAACCATAGTCTTCCCTGCCGAAATCAATGATGATGGAGGCAGGTCGAGGGCCTGGTTAACACCTCCCAAGCGAAGGTTGACCTTCATGGCATTGTTGGCCCAGTACTGATCATTGTTCTTGCCCTTGTCCACAAAGAACTTCCTGGTATTGCAACAGAGAGTCACAATACCCTCGGTGGTATCTGCACGCCACTTAATATGGTCGAAGACCCGATCCATCCCCAGGGGCATGACAATGACAGCAAGGTCGACATTAAAGCCTTTCAACTTGGTGAACATATTGTCGATCTTTGGGAGATGGTCCCTATGATTCCTCGCGTCAAGCTTGACGTAGAGAATATCCTTCATCAGGCCTTCCACCGTCATGCCGCAACGCTTCATGCCCTCTGCGAACTTTTGGAAATCGACCAGAGCATCACTGGGAGGAGGAGCGCTCGTCGACAAGACGACACCAACCCAACGTGTAATTTTGGCGCATTTGTTAAAGATCCTTCCAACAAGATTCCACTGGCCTTCTGCAGGTGCCTGCTTTCCCTTTGCATACTTCAAGGTAGGAGCGCTTAGAATCCGAGCCGGCACAGCAAGCATGTTAGGATCGATCTTAATCCCATGGTCCTTTGATTTGTCACCCTTTGCTCCAACAATATCCAGGCCGTGGTCCATGATCGAGTCGTAATTCTGTGCGGGTACCCGGCAACTGAACCCGATAATACCCTGGCGCTGACCAGTACTCAGCTCGCCACGGAAGACTCGACCTTCGGGGATTATCAAGACATCCATGGGGAGATAGACGGGTCTAGCTTTGTTGCCGACGTTCACCACTGGCAAGCCAGCTGTCACAGCAATGTTGTATTCTGCCGAGCCTTGTTAGCACAGTCATCTTTCAGAGGATGCGGTTCGGAGGTTTTATACTTACTCTCCATGAAGTACTGGGCGACGGTGATCTTTCTCTTATCAATGTAGAACTTGACATTGTTAGCGTCAGCCCCGTAATCGGGAACCTCGGGCTTGAGAAGTTCGTCCTTTCCATCATCCCTCTCTGCGAGACCCCAGATGGTCTTGACACGAGGAACCTTTCCCTTCTTTTCGTCGTCGTCCTTGAGGTGGGTGCACTGAACTCTGAGTGTCTTGACGTATCTGCCGAAGAGCAGACGATCGGGGCCATAAACCTTCAAAAATGCCTCCCACAAATTTTCCAACGGACCAGGGCGGTAGAACGCGCTGTGGTTGACGCTCAAGTTGAGCAGGATACGGCCAGCAGCAAGGCGCACGCTAGCATAGTAACCACGGAGGCACTCCAGACCACCGGGAAGCTCTTGGGACTGTTTACGGCGGTCGGTCCAGTAAAACTTGTTGTTACTACCCTTGCCCAGAGTGACGACGCCACTGTCTTTGCCGGGATAGGCAGCCATAAGGATGTTCAGGAGCCGAACCATAATAGCCTCGCCGGTAACGCCGCCCCGCTCATTGAGATCGCGGAGACGACCGAGGATACCTTTGTGGTCGATCACATCGTTTAGAGTCAGTTGGACCGAGTAAACCTTAGGATCACGATCGCCGTCGGGGATATTGACTGTAAGGGCAGGCACTGTTCCAAGGCTTCCCACAGTCACCAATTCACCGGCCTTGTCTGATGCACCACCAGCTTTGGCAATTTTTGGAATCGCAAGGAGATGGTCCCAGATCTGGAGCAAGTGTCGCTTGATCTTCGGTTCCGGGGTGATCTTGGCAATGTAGGAGTGGAACTTGATATTGGGATTCAATTCCAGATCGAAGTAGTTGGCACGCACGACCAGGGGCTTTCCCTTGGTACCATAGGCAGGACGCGTAGCCATCTCGCCAGTTTTGGGTCGACTTGGTGCCTTGGAAACGGCAATCCATTGGTCCTCGAATTTGTGACTAGATTGCGAGGGTTGTGGATCTCCCTGGAGCATTCGACTGTAAAAAGATGTTAGTATATTCATCAAAAAAGGAACAGAATGATTGTATTTACTTACCCAGAATCGGGAGGACCGGAGCGACCTCCACCACCTTGAAAACCACCACGGCCACCACTTTGACCACCACCTCGGCCACCTCGGTAGGGCAGGTCACCACGGCTTGAGCCACCACGACCCGAAGAACCACGATAGGATCCAGACATTGTGACGTGTGTTCACTGGTCTGGAGTAAGGAAGGGGGGAAAGTGGATTTTTCGGATAAATGTGGAAGTGATGAATGGGAAGGAGACAAATGTATGTCGTGAAGGTGTAGAGGGAAGGTGCTTTGAGTAAGTGGGAGAAGATCTGTCACAAGTCTGGGACCTTGATTGCCCAGTGTGAGATCCTCGGAGAGGAAGAGTCGAAGGAAGGAAGTAGAGGATGAGGAGGATAGAGATATGTGTGAACGAGGGAGGAAAAGAGAAGAGGACTCCAAGTCGAGTCAAGGTATTTATGTCTAAGGCAATTGTCAGCCAGTCCGCCCCGGAAGCTTCCCTCGAACGACAAACGAATTGCTCATGAGGCAGGATAGCAAATATTGTGATAGGCAGGACGTGTTGTTTGGATTCAATGGCAGCAAATAATCGTGAAAAGCGGTTGCCGGAACGGGCTGGATAGCAACGGAAGCAATTGAGCAAGTTCCGGATGCCAGAGCAAATGAGGGAGGTAGAATTGGGAAATTAGGGCTTGTGGGACATAGGGGGAAGGAACACACTGAGTCAATGGCAGTAGCACTTGGTCACTGAGACTGGCTGTATTGACCAGGAATTGAGAGAACCAGGGGCGTAAGAAACGTCCCCAGTAAAGTGGAGAATGCAGTTTGACAAATAGCAGTGAAGATGTTTTGAATTGTAGATAATAGGATGGTGATCAACTGGCAGGGTTTGACATAGCAATTTGAGCATGAAATGGAGATTGACATACCTTGATGAGGCCCAAGACAGCCACGCCTAGAAACTTGTGTGTGTGAGCTCTGGAAACTGTGTGTTCGAGAGTGTGTGTGATATGAAAGGAAGAAGAAGGAAGGATGGTGTAGAATTCCGAGAAAAGTTAGCGATCAACTGATCTGGTATGGAAAAAAGTATCAGTACTGGACACTGCTATACACCATTGGAAAGCTGGCGACTCGAGGCCCCTGGAAAAAAGGGTCCGATCAAGTTTAGAGCAAGTTTAGCACTGGAAGAATGGTTAGCATGTTCAAGTCTGGACTCATCACAATAATACGCAACTGGATAGGGGGCTTGAAGTTCAAAATCTTTTGATATTAGACATCGATGAATGTGTCTAAACATTATGTAGGAGTAAATCTAACATTTTGGAGTATAACCCAAAGACCAAAGCTGAAAACGCAGTGAGAAAACAAACCAAACACCAAACCAGACCTTCACAACAGATATTCCCAATGATACAAAAGATCCCACAAAAAACACCGGCTAAAACGTACAGAGATATCAAGGCAATGGGAACACAATCAAGAATGTAAAGGAATAGAAATATGCAGTTTAACACAACACGGCTTCCAAAGCCTCGACATCACCGCCGGCATTGCGAACGGCACGAAGGGCAGCCTCACTCAATTTGCGGCGGCGGTCCTTGGCCTCCTGCTCCCGACGGGCTTTTGTCTTGGAGCTACCAGAGGGAGCGACACCAGTGAGGATCTTCTTGCTGTCATGGGCAGTGAAGTTGACAAATGATACACTGACAGACTTGTTTGCTCCACGGGGGCTAGTGGAGCTCTTTGCAGGCTTGGGTGCGGTCATGCTTTGACCCGAGAGTTTGCGACTGTGCTTGCGGCTGTGGTTCCCCTTGACACCATTGCGGGTATCCTTTGGTGAAGAGCCGGCCGTAGGAGAGAGTGATGGGGAGCGGGAGATGTTGTGAACTTGAGGAGCGGTGAAAGGAGCCATGAACTTCTGGTTGTTCATGGGGAGCATGGAGGATTCGCCAGGCATGTCAAAAGAGGGATCCATTTGGATCATCAGTCCTCCTTGCATCATGTCATTTTGGGCTGCGACGGTTTGCAAAGAGCGTTGAGGGGTGGGTGATGTGACCATAGTTTGGTAGTTGGTCTGTTGTTGAGCGACTCGAGTGGGCATAGGAGACCACCATTGTGCGTCGTGGCTCTGGAGATCGGGAGTAAAGGAGAGAGAGGTGGCGAGGGAGTCTGATTGCCATGAGGAAATAGAGTGAGGATCTGAGGAGTGTGATGAAGAGAAGATTTCATCTGCAGAAGGAGGGCTCGAATCGGTCAGAGCCGAGGAGCCAGGGTGGTTCATGTAGTGTTGCTGATGACGGGCAAGGGCGCTAGCCGAAGGAGATGGCATAGAGACGGCTGGAGATTGGTGGAAGAGGCGCGCATCATATTGAGCAGCCATCTCTGCAGAGTTTCGGGGGTGATTCATTGTGGTGGTGTCGCCAGTCATGTTCTCGTGTTGGATAAGAACATCGGAAGGCGGGGGAGACAAAGGAAGACGATCATCAGAGCCAGTTAGGGTGAAGTTTTGGATTCTCTGGGCCCAGGCCTCTGGATACGCCATTCTTCCTTTTTGGATAGAAGATCGCATCAAGCTAGGGGAGAAACTTTGCTTGCGTAGTAGGGCTCGACGCTCATTCGGATCACGATGACGGATGGACTTGGGGGTAAGGAGAGCGCTCTTGTTTGCCTTGCGCTGGGGAGTAGCCGGAGGAGTGGAGGGAGAAGCAGTAGAAATTCGGGTAGGAGCAGCAGGACGAGAAGAGGCTTCAAAGTTGTTCAATCCCAGGTCTGAGATGGCAGAGGGATGAACGGTGTCTTGAAAAGCGAAATGATCGCCAGCCGAGCTGTCGTCCTGCAGGGACCAGTCTTGACTCCAAGGTTGCGGCGACTGGGGATGGCGTTTAGAAGTGGAGACGGTGGGGGAGAGATCGCCACAATCGCTTGATAGAGACTCCAACGGGAAGAGCTGGTCAAAATGACTCGAGAGCATGGGATCCTTGTAATCGGGGGCAGAGGTATCCATATTGACGTATTGGTTGAATAGATCATTGAAAGAGTGATCGAATGGTTGAGCGAACATCTTGCTTTGAGTTTCCGTTTGCGGCCACGGCAGGTGAGCAGCAGGACAAATGATGATTGGCAGCCAAAGAAATCCAACGAACCGCGGCTGAACGGTGCTGATTTGATTAGGGCTGGAGGCGGAGAAATCGGAGATCCGCGGAGATCGTCCGGGTATGCAAGAGAGATCTAAATGCAAAGTATGCAAATGCAGATATGCAGAACAAAAGTGCAAACCAAAGAGATTGTTGTTTGACTGTTTGGCAATTGATGAAAACACTGCTGAGTATGCAAAGAAAGCAAAGCAAGCAAACAGCTCGAGGCGACTATTTGAAGGACTGGCAGTGCCCCAGCCTCGGACTTTCTGCACACATTCCAATGGACTGGCCAAGAGGTATCAAGAATGTGCTGTGAATGACCCGGTTGGCCCATAATCGACTCCACCAGTCTCCAAAGGAATGCCAGAGAGCTCCCTCAAACGAGATAGACCAATCGTGAGGCCCGGTAGTCTGGCGAACTACTGGAGCCTCCCAAACAGTGTCCCACCCCCATGGTGGATGTCCGTTCGGATAGCCACCCGTGGGAATGCAACCCTCCCTCAACTAAACCAGAAGCAGGGATTTTGAATAAGTCACCGTGGCGGGTGTGGGGTGGAAAAGAGAGATTAGGCATGTCAAATCAACACCCTCCATTAACATCGTCCTCCTATGGTGGCATACAAGAGTGTAAAGCAATGGATCGGGGGACTCGCCGAGCCGTCCAGGAGGAAGCAACGCCCATTGACTACATAGGCCCGGTGGGTCACCAAGAATCGTTTCCCCCTCCTCTCTTCAGTGTATGCGTCATGACAGTGGTGAGATAATCGTCAATGGCTCAACTTCGGCTGCCTCGGAGTTACCCAGCGGATCTGTTGCAGACTTGACACGGACCTGATACGAGCTTATCCTCCCACTCTCTTCTGTTCGATCATTATTAGCTAGTACAAAAAACCCATCCGTGGAGAGACTGGACGTTGTAGCGTTACCCAATACCAGGGCGCTGATATGACTGGAATGTGGACCGGGCATGTTTGAAGGCTGGATGGAATGTCACGCCCGCTCCAACAATGCAACGAACAATCCTTTGGCATTCGAGAAGGTAGTTTGGCGGGTGGAAGCTTTGGTCCAAGTATAGTGCAGAAAAAGAAAGCTCCGATCTGCAGGGGATCATCGTTCAAGACGAGCCTGTGGTTGGCTCTTCTCGAATTGAAGCTCATTTCTATAATTATCCACCCTTTCAGATCATCGTGGCTGATGATCACTGAATAATAAATGATCGAAAACATCAGTCTTTCATTGTTCAAGCCATGCCTTGAAGGAACCTTCTTTGCACAGGATCACGAGTCAAAGCGCAGTCCAGGGCATCGCGACAGGGGGAAGTGTCAGTTCCTTGGGTATCCTTGTTTTCTCAGACTACCGTTAGCCAGATCCGGACAAGCATTGCTGATTCGTGACTGGATGTTATTTTAGAGACAAAACATCGAAAACAGAGAGGTTCTTTGTACGAGGGCCGGGAGTTGGGCGCGCGATGACGTGTGGGCGCTGGTACACGCCCGACTAATTTGGGAAAGGAGTCGGCATTGTCCTGGTATCTCGTTTGAAATGTGTTAATGCATGTAAGCCTTGTAAGGTAAGTCGCTAGCCTTGATATTCCTGGGAGATCAATAGTGCAATGTTAAGGCACGTCTCTCCAATCTAGTCGCCAAACAAATCTCCAACATCGGCACCTCGGTTCCTCAGCCAACGCGTACATTGAGGCTAGCATGAGGCGCTGGATGGGTGTTACCATGATCAAATACTCGTTTGATGCACTTGGGCAGTGGTACCATCATTGTAAACTGGACTTGGTAAACAGTCAGGCGGTCCTTGGGCGCGACACCCATCTCAGCCACGTTGGGGAAAGAAACTCTGAAAAAAGCAAAGTAAAGCCCTCTTTAAACAACACAATGTGCCAGTTCAAACCCGAGAACGAGTTATCAAGCAGTCGACGAGCGAGGTGATCTTCCTAGAGTGATTGTAATCATAACCCCGGCAGTCCCCTTCTAGAAGACCGTCGAACCTGTATCGGATAGTTAGTTGACACCTTGTCCGAGGCCCCTCGGTCTTTGTACTCTTCAAGGATATCACAAAAATAGCGGCCAAGGGAAATCAATAGACCAGTCTTCTGCGAATAGACTGATCCCCTCCTGTGAAACTGTCCAGTTTGTCGGCAATTGAGCCGCGGATCGGAGGAATCGGAGCGGCGGCTGACTCAGAATGACGAGAACCCGTGAGGCGACCACCGAACAGCGAAGAAACAGGGTCAGCTGAAAGAATAATCTGCTTTTGTCATCTTTGCTTGTTTCTCCAACAACCTCATGACCATTATCTAGACTCAGTTCGCTCACCCATCTTGCTGCTGAGACTATCTTTCGCCGTTCCTCTTCGCCTCTCCGACGGTTGCCGCAGACCAACGAAGTTTTGCCGGTGACTCAACGACCCCTCTGAGAAGGCACCCCGCGAAACGTGGGTTCTCACCTCGGTCATCTTGACTTCTCCTCACTGTCCCACACTCTTCTCCTCTTCAACCCACTCCCCGCCTCATCATCTTGTTCAAACTCCCCGTCTTCTCGCAGATCGTATCACGATCATCCACCAGCGTGAAGGCCCCGCCGCACCCCCTTAACATTCCGGTGCCGCTTGCATCGCGTCGCGAAAATACCTCGACCTCCTTGGCCTTCACATCCTCCTTCTCACCTCACAACACCATCGACTCTGAGAGGTCCCTTCTCCTCCGCCCGTCCCATCTCTGACGGGATCTACCGCTTCAATCGCCTCGTGTCCAACATCTGAGCGAACCACTCTCCCAAGACTCGATTCACAAGAGGAAAGACCTCGACGAAACCAACCCACTTAAAACGACACTACACTCACACATCATGTATTCTCACACTATTCTTGCTGAGGGCTGCCTCGTCAAGTTCCCTTAAGCGATCACACGATCACCGTGTGCCTCTCACCATGGACCTCTCTCCGTGTAATCGAGGCTTTCCTCGCCACTCTATTATCTCGATTTTCAACTAAATCTCCAACATTTCTTTCCCAATCGCGACGAACCTGGCCATAGCTGGGCTCGAAACTTGCCAGGAAACTTCGTCGTCTCACTGCTTCGCAAATTCACCAGCGTCCAATATGGCCGCCACTCACGCCACCCACCGAGAGTCATGGGATTCTCTTTCCTCCACCTTCGCCCACCTCGAAGTGTCCTTCTCCCAAGACAGTTGCTACGGTTCTGATGAGGTGTCTGTCTCATCCAACAATCCTGCTCCCCTGCAGTCCAGTGTCGAGACCTTTATCGACAAGCGCGCCACCACTATCCACCCGTTCTTGAAGTCGATCCTGAAGAACTCCACTTCTGACATACATGATGAAGTTGATGATACTGAATCCGAGTCCGGATATGGCTCGGATGATATTGAATTCGATTATGATGCCCTCTCAGAGGATGATGAAGATGAGGACGACGATGACGACATGTCCGATTTTTCTATCTGGGAGGAGACCATGGACGATGTTCCTGAGACCCGGGAAGACCGTACCGATACTTTCGATGATGTTTTCATCGGTTTCGAGTCCTCTGTTCGGTTTGCTGTCGAGATCGAGTACATCGACAATCCTGGTCTCGAGGAGGAGGATGAAATCTCTGACAGTCAAATGACATGCCATGAGATGATGATGCTTGCCCTTCAATCGGGCTCTGTGAGCTCTTCGTTCCATTCAGAGGATGACAGCGACGATGAAGACCATTCTCACCACGAGTTCATGCGCACTTGTACCAACCATCCCGAGGATTTCACTCCCGATGCAGTTGATGTGGATCGCCAGCTATTTGTTGCATACATGAACGGCATTCATGGAATTGCCGACGCCAAGTACAAAGCATACATCCACATGCAGGCAGACAACATCAGACTGGGCCACGAAACCGAGTCTATGCATCCAGACGACGCACCTTGTATGTACCTAGATCTGATTCAGAATCATGTCATTGGAGTCTTCCGCAACCTCCTCTCCGTGGCGGAGCTGGATGACCTCGTCGGTCTCCGCAAGCAAGACGCCCTCGCCGCCGGGCAAGCCAATCCCAACTCTCTCGACCTGACCCAAAAGAATCATCAGGTCCTTCTGGACAAGGTCGAGCACTTCCTCCTTGATCGTCTGGCCAACGGTCGAGTCGATGTCTGTCCGGACGAGATGAGCTTCCTTGCCGGTGGTATCGTCCAAGCACTCGGCACGCAGGACCTTCCTGCCTCTACCTAGACCCTATTCAGCTCAGGGTCTTGAAAAAAACAAACAGAGCTATGAGTTTACGATTATGAAAAATGGGGTTATTTCGGAATTCGCCACAGGCGACGTGTCTTCACTGGTTCACAACAACCATGAAAAGGAAAAGTATTCGGGTTTTGAAAACAGCAATGCGGGCCATGGTTCTACATCGTGTACTTTGCCTAGCTAGCACTTGAAATTTTAAGAATCTTCAACTTCGCCTTGTTTTTGTAGTAGTATCCTAGTAGGTCAAGGTCTCTAGACCTGGTAGCATGTGGCTCCCCCTGTATCTGCCTGGACACTGAATCCTTATCGTCGTGCCTTAACTGGCAGGGTCCTACACGCCATGTGTGTTTTGCCAGCGTCTTAACCAAGTGTGGAGCTAGCTCCTCATCTTCTTTACCAGTCCTCTGGCTCACCTGCTGTGTCCGAGAATGGCCGAAGCTCTTCAATCCAAGAATGACCATCCGAGCTAGTAGACGGCGGGAACTATGACAGGGCATTATCTTTCGGGCTGTGATCATTGAAGCAAGAGGAGGACGTTGGTTTACCGCAACCACCCAGGAAAGTAGATATTCTTCTTCTGTCTAGAACGCTATTACCTACAAGAACATCTTATAACAGTCACCCAGACCTTAAGAAATCTTTTACCTAGCTTCTCATAGCCTCTCTTACTCTAACGCCTCAAGGAGAACGGAAGTTACCGAGGATTGCATCTAGCCCTGGACACGACTGTCTAATAACCATCTCACCAGTATTCACTGTCGTTCCATGCGATATATACATCTGAGACTCCGAATCCCACCTCCATAATTCCAACCCCGAAACCGCCCCAGAGAACGGTCTAGAATCTCACCACACGGGCCAGCCTCTACCTTCATTCTCCCCGTGCCCTCAAGGCGAGAGCAAAAGACACCCTCGTGTTTCAGGTTCTGATCCCCAATCTCCCATGCTTATAACTCTCTTTGCCACACCCCACTTCCCTCCCGAACAACGGCACGGAAGGCTAAAGCTAACTTCCTCCAGTCTGGAGTAGTCTCACCCCTGACACCTCCGCGTCCTTCCCTCATCTCTGGAAGTGAAACTGTACCCTCGACACCCGGATACAGGACCCGGGAAATCCGGTGGCCAGAATATTACTAGTGTTAGTGGACGTCCAGACCTCGGAGAATTGTTTTTGGTTCCTTCCCTAAATGGTAGGGATGGGCTGGTGTTGTGTGTGCTCATGGTCTATGCTTTGGAGACGTATCCAGCGATATTCTTGGCTATTGATTTGCGGTTTTATCTGTCTATACTTGATGCGTTGGAAGGAATTGCGTGTTGCACTTATTCTACTCCGTGTTGAGGGAAGGGTTGTGGTCATTGGATGAGGTATATATATCCCCTGCAAATGAGAATGCCCTCAGGCGGAGATGGGACTATCAGTGGAGTTGGTATGCAAGGAGGGAATTACCGTGGCGGGGGACTACTTCTATCCTGACTACTAGCGACCTCCCGTGGCGTCTTCTACGGTACATTGTCGATTGTATTGAAGCTCCAAGGATATGGTGCTGGCTCTTCCGCATACTCGCGAACAACTCGAATGCATCAAAACCCTACAAATACATACCTGCATTGCCCATGCATGGTTATCGCGTGACTTCACTCGCTTATGACAGGTCAGGTCGGACGGTGACTCGAGGATGGGAAGTTGGAGGTGTCCAGTTGCCATTTTTTGGTGGTGTCGATCACTTAACGGCGAGACGAGCACAGACAGGCACGCAGTGCTGTCGGATACATCTAGCCCCCCCCCCCCCTCCTCGTTACTTGAGCCCACGATGCGGTGGGAGATGAATGAGAAGAAACCCTGTTCTTGATGTGTCGTACTCTAATGGATGAACTTTATTTGACCGGCATCTGTCTACAAAAATGGGAGTTGAACATCAACAGAATACCACTGTCCATATGGAGCACACCATAACTATCACTCACACATGCAAATACCGGGCACAACCTCCTCAAACATCAATAGCCACCACCAGTCACACCCTACCCCATCAACTATACGATAGTTTAAAAACTATTCCCCATCCCCCCATATCCCGCCAACAAACAAGGCCATTACTTACAAGTCTTGGCTTCGTACCCGTGTGGAGCCCCGGGATAGGATTGACATGAAGAAAATCCAAATTCTGACAGCCTCCGCGAGTGGGAAGTAGTGGACCGTTCCACCCACTATTGCCATTCGTCGGAGTTGAGACTGTGGCTACACTGGTTATCCTTATTTCCCTCTTTCCTACTGTGGAGGAATAATGTTGCTATGCTTGTAACTTGCAGGCGGTATTTACCGGTTATGGTGGCTGGAAGCAGGGTTTTGTGGGCGATCAGCATCCACTTTTTCTTCTCTACAGTACAATACAGCGTCTATTGGACGGACGACTTTATGTTCTCCGCGGTTTGAAAGGGAGTGTATTGGGACTATCGAATTTTCTGTTTGGCACCACTAAGCGGAAATAAATCCTAGATCGTGGTTGGTTCAAGCCCGATTGGCCCGAAGGAGGGTACATAAATATGATATGAGATGAGATGGTCGAATATTGCGCGGCTAACTACATCATTCAGAACCATAACCAGCCACATCACCTCGAGTTCTCCGCGATAGCGAACCACCCCCTGCGCCCTATTTTTACTCCCCAAGTCTATCAGTATTCTGCGTATTGAGGCGCAGGGATGTATTTTCTGGTGAACCCAATGACAAATGCAGCCAGGCAATAAACGACATGCACTGTGATGAGCGATGAGAGAGATGCGATATGATATATCGCGAGTTAGTCGCACTACCGTACGACTCGAGCACAGCCGCAGACTTGCATCATAGAAATCGTCCTGCCTCATCCGTAATTTGTGTTCTCCAGCCCTAAACCTTACTTACGAGGAAAAAGCAATGACGGCTGAGAAAGAGGGGGAATTGACTCGAGTTATGACATACCTACAAAGGGCGAGAAAGGTACTCTATACGAAGTATGACAGCGACTCCAGTAACCCAGCCCATAGCAACAATAATGCGATCGCTTATCCCCGCACAGCCATACAAAATATTAGAAGCGCCGTACAGTCGTACTACGCTCCGTACTAATAGACACGGAGACCAAAATCGCCGCCGATCGTCGTACACAAAGTCAAATGAGCTACGACCACCAAGTGCTGCAGGTAAGGTAGTACGGAGTACGGAGGACCCGATTTAGCGCACTAGAAACCCCGGAGCGAAGGCCCCGAATCGTGCAAGTAATACGATGGCTTCTCACATGTGCGTGATCCAGGCTTGGGATTTGTATCCAGGTACTCGGGAGCCCGAATCTCAGGGGCGTATGGGGATCGATTTATTATTGCTTTGCTTTGCGAGCACGGTCGAATTAATTGATCGCCTCCTTGAATCTCGCCTGGAGCCGGGGGTCCACATGAGAAATTGCTTTTCGAGTTTGCCAGTTTGGGGGAATGTGAGAAGAGAAGGGCAGGTTAGTTACTATGATAACTATATGGAGAACGGAGTTGGAATAGAGATTAAGCCGTGTTGTTCCGTGGTGATGAGCATTTAATATGTCATCTCATCCAACCACGAGGATCTAAGCACGGAACCCGGCTGAGTATTCCGTCAAGCCTAATCTCCATCGCTGTCTGCCCTATTTCGTTTGAAACCTGATGGTCCAAAATTGAGGTGTGCTTGATTTTCTGGAATCAACGGTTGTTCCAAACCATTTATCTTTGAGGAGGAACATTAACCGTAGTTTATCCCGCAAATCAGTTTGGAGGACGGTGGGCATGGGAAAGGGTGGGACGGGGTGATGATTGGAGGGTCCCACGTAGGATGATCGTTGCGATCGACAGAGTACGGAGACGGAGTACGGAGTACATACAGGAGTCAGTCTCCATATTCTCTTGGAGTATCGCGTTCCTGGGTCTCTTCCTAGGTCGGTCCCTTGAGCATCTGCCGGAACCAAAAATATGATACTACTGGATCTACTGGACCTGCCAGGTACCACGGATGAGTTCCCAGGGGAACAAGAGGGTGCCGTCATTTAGGGCCCGGAGTTCGGGGAGAAGCGATAGGGCGCGAGATCAGAGTCGATAATTCGATATTGGGGGGACGCGCAAACGATATCCGCCCGCGACGAGCCTGAGACAAAAAAAATGTCTGCACAAATCGTGAATGGCTGGCCAGATTAAGAAAGATCTCAGTTAATTAAGTACGGAGACTCCGTACTCCATACATCAGCTCAGCCTGTGTCAAAACGGGACCAGGCCCAGACCACGTTGTCGCACGGCATCTTATGATTATTTAGAAGGACCCAAGGACCTTTGCAGCCTAAGCCTCAGCCACAGCACGATCGCATGCTGCCATCATCCTCGTCTCTCTCCTCGTGGGTATTACCGTTCCTGGGAGAGTTCCATGGAACGCAGACCGAGACTTGAGGAACGTGTGTTTTTCGTATTGAACGGCACCGACGGAGACCTGAGGTCGTGCAGAGCCTATGAGATAACATTGGTAGGCTCCACCTTCGGGACATAAGAGGCTAAGAAGGTTTAGAAGGCTAATGGTGGTTGGTGTGTGGTTGCGCCCGGGGGAGTTGCCCTGCATGGGTGTGAGCGTAGTGGAAGGGGGATAGAACCATGATCGAAGCCTTGGAGGGGGGTCCGGAGGTATGGACGAAACGAGCCCATTAAAATCAAATCAAAGGTGTGAAAAGGACCAGGGGTATGAACCTCTTAGCCTGTTAGCTTCATAGCCTGACTCTTGAGGGGGCAAAGTGCTGGACCGTTTCAGCGAGAGAGCCGAGTCGGGAAAAACCAGAATCCAATAGAGCGACCTCAATGGGCAAAGCGTGAAAGACTAACCATTGCCAGGCCCCAGATCTGACGCCCGTGAGATGCGTGATTGGTAGTATCGCAGCCTCGTTGACCCAGACAATCCACTTGGATGGTGGAGCTAACTAGTGCACTCTCGGGGCCCGTCGATCGGGTCAACTCTTGTCTGCCCCTGGTTCTTCATCGCCAATAGGCCCGGACGAGTGCGCTGGAGGGCAGGACCGTGGTTGTGTAGGGTGGGTTATGAGATAAGAAGAGAATCGGTCAGGTACGGGTACCTGAGAGAGAAGGAACAGTAAATAATATTTCCAGGTGGGGAGAGAAAAAGAAAAGAGAGTACTACTGTACTCCGTCCTGTAGTGCCGATCGTGCAGGAAAAAAAGTCGGAGTGGCCACCTCGTGCGGGCTGCACGCCTCCCCGCCTCAGGGGGTAGTTAATAATTAATAAATACGTCCAGTAGTATACTACTGTAATACTTAATCGGTAATTTATATCCTTTGTTCGCAATGTTGATATTGTTGATGGACTTGCTATGTCCTCCATACTCTACATTGAGTATCGCTGGATAGGAATCGACAAAAACAAAGTATCTCGATTAAGTTCCAATAACTTCATACACTTGTATCATATTTCCTTTTTTTGTAGCTCCATAAATTATTCTTCGGTAGTCCATCCCCGAATCAGCGAGTCTCCACCCAAGAAAGTAGTAGTCAGACAGTACGGAGACTGTAGTCAGAACGGAATTTGGAACTAAACTCCATTATTCTTTTTGATTTTCCACTTGACGCCATTAAACTCCATTGGGTTTCCATTTGGACTCCTGACCCCAGTCTTTCTTTCTCTCTCTTCTCAAATCTCTCCTCTCAGCATCTCACTACTTTATCCCTACCCCCCCTACTACTACGACACTCGTTTCGGGGATGCTCAATATACGGACGGCATGATCACTCGCTTTTGCGCCGGTCCATATCGGTACGTGAGAGAACCCCTTCCTTACTTAACACCGTCAGTCGGGGGCCTCAGCCTGCATAACGCCCCCAATGGGCGTTGTACGAGCTCGGGCAAACGCAACGATGGCCAACTGCCCAAAATTCCCAAAAATAACGAGCCAGAGGGGCCGCAATGGCCGCAAGGCCCCCGAATGACCCCTCCCTCCCTCTGCATTTCTGAAAACAATGTCAGCTTTCACGACAGCAGAATGTGTGTCAGGCTGACCTTGCGCTTTGGAAGTACAGGATGATTTAGAGATTTTGATCCAACCCAGTTCTGCTTTCTGCGACTCCGATCTAAACCCATCAAGATCGAGGGTTTACGAACCCCCCCCCCCGAAGTCCCGAGGAGAAAGAAGAAAAAAAAGAAAACATTAACAAAGAAACTCTCGATCGACGGTCGAATGAGTACTAGTCCGGTCATCGAACAGACATCCCCCTCCGGGACCAGGGTGTCCGTTTCCCCCGCGATGCAATCTTACAAAGGATCCGATTTCCTAGAGGCAGGGACCTTGTCCCGCTCTCGCAGTACCAGTCTCTCCAGCGACTCGCAACACCCCCGAGTCAACCTCATGTCGCCTCCCTCCGTTCGTCCAGCGCCGGCTTTCATCTCCTCCTCCGCTGCCTCGGAGATCATCACTTCTGACCAAGAATTCAACGCCGCCGATTTTGCTCACGAGGATGAGGAGACGGGTGCCGGCGCAAATGCCCTGGTCACGCCCGCCGCACTCTCGTTGCTGAATGGGTTCCTCGACAACCTTTTGTTCAATATCCTAGCTGGATCCAAATCGACCCAGCTCGCCTGTATCCGACCAGCCCTTGCCGATGTGCTAAAACCGCGACTAGCCTCGGAGGTCGTGGCCACTGCCGATGAGGAGTTGAGCGAGTATATGGGAGGCGCGGAGGACGAGCAGACCGAATTCCGAGGTGGTCACGAACCCGGCGGCGACTTCGATCTCGTACGCTCATGGAAGTTGACGCGTTTGCGCTGTATGGTGTACACCCGGCTGGGTGACATGGAAGAGGAGGACGAGGACGAGTTTATTGCGCAAGAGGGCCTGGGAGAAAACGACGGAGCGCCCCGCAGGTTCACCAGTCATGTCGACAACATTACCCCGGCGGCCGCCATATTCCTGACCTCAATTATCGAACACATTGGCGAGCGAGCCCTCGTTATCGCGGGCGAGACGGCGCGGTCCCGACTATCCGCGAAACTGAACGACGGACAGGACGACGAGACAGATGAGGATGAGGATCGCAAGCGAATCGACCGACTCGTGGTGGAAGATTTGGATATGGAGAAATTGGCTCTCAATGCGACTCTCGGACGATTGTGGCGCACGTGGAGGAAGCGCAGACGCAACACCACTCTTGCGCGAACCTTGTCCCGCGAATCCTTCCGCCGCCGCGGGTACACGCAGAACCTCGCAAACAGCCGGAAAAGCAGCGTTGTGACCATCGAGGAGCCCATGACCCCTCAGGAACCGCTACCTGAAGAACTTCCTGCCCCTGTTGACCCTGCTACAGTTCCTCTGCCCATTGGCGATTGGGATGTTCAGGAAATCGAAGTTCCCGGTTTCTCCGCCGAGTTGGAGGGTGAAGTCCAGACTATGGAGGCCGTGGTCGCGCATAAGGTGCGACCGCGTAGTCTCATGGTATTTTGCTCTCCATCTCTAGGACCCAGATCCCCTGGTTCAACTGGTTCGCCCTTGAGCGCCGGTGCCATTGACAATAAGAGTCTCCGCCACGCCCGCTCAAGGTCCTTGCCAAATGCGGCGGCCAGCCCACCACGCCAGACTTCCCAGAAGACCGAGCCTGCTGCGACAGCCGATCAGCCGTCCCCTCGGACGTCGGAGGAGAAGAAGCAGCTCGAGACCATGTATGAGGATGACGAATCGGCGGAGTTTGTGGACGCTGCAGAGACCGCCCCTGGCACCGCGATCACCACGTCACACGAAGAGGTCCTAGAGCAGTCTGCGGCAGAATCTGCAGAGAAAGACAGAATGTCTGTGGTACAGGAGGAGGAAGAGGAGCAACCGGCTCCGGCTGCTGTATCTACTGCAGGTCCTCCCGTCAACGAGACTGTTGCGTCCTTGCGATCTTGGGAGGACGACGAGGACGAGGCTGCGACCGATCACAGCGCGCGCGTTTCGGTCGCATCCCTAGATGATCGACCTGCCAAGGATACGGAAGTGATTGAGGGACAAGGATTGTGCGAGAAGCCCAAATTGACGTCGACGATTCACCGACCAAGACGAAAGCCCAGCAAGGATCCTGCCCTTCTTAATGCAAAGCCGATCATTGCAGAGACTAGTGAGCCCGACGTGAATCCCGTTGTTGATACGCCGCCAGCCACGCAAGGGGTTGACTCCGCACCAACACCATCTGGCGCCACCGTCGAGGCTATCGATTCTCCTCGCGATCAAACCGATGTTGAAGATCGCGATCAGCATATATCAGTCACGACTTCCACGCCTGCGACCGCCCCTGTCAACGACGAAGTGATGCTTGAGAAGCCCAGCGAGACGATTGTCGAAGAACCAGTCGATCCTACCGAATCCACCGAATCTGTGATTGAAGAATCTACCGTTCAAGAGGCAGCACCCGTCTCCGAGTCTCCACGCCCGGCATCTGCTACGGGTAGCGAGCGATCACAACGGTCCCGACGCCACAAGCCCAGTCCGCTCGTGGTCACACCAACCAACCGCACGTCCCCGAAACTTGAGCAACGAGCTGCTGTCCAGCGCATGCCTCGTCCAAATAACTCTGTTTCATCTACAGTTCAGACCAAAACTCGTCGCTCAGAAAGTGTGAGCAGCGCTCGCGATAGGCGTCCACTCACCGCTGGCTCCACTACCTCTCAAGTATCCAGCAAACTAAAGGGTCTCATGAATCGACCTCAAGCCGAATCTCCGTCGCTGCGTCTTCGTAGCTCGTCTGAGACGAGCCGGGCATCCGGTAGCGCAGGCTCTATCGAACATGATGCTACAGATCTAGACAAGTTGATCAACAGTGACGAGACTATCCATTTCACTCTGACTCCTCGGAGTGTGCGCGAGATGCATTTCCCAGATATTCCTCGACAGATCCCGCGGTCAGACACTACGGACACGACTGACCTTGCCGAGTTCATCAAGAATACCGGGCCGCCTGGAGAGGAGCCTCTGCCGCGAACGTCCGTGTCTTCGAGAAACACCGCCGACGCGAATGCCCTCGGACGCACCAAGTCCATCGAGTCGCCCAAGCATATCCCCATCGCTTCTCGCATGACTCTGCCGCCAAAGTCTCCAGCCCGCGAAGTTGCCCGTACTGCAGGTACCCCAACGTCAGTTCGTGACATGGTCGAGACCAAGAAAATCTCCAGTCCTACCAGTTCTGTGCCGCAGGCTGGCTCCCCCGTTCGCCCTCCATCCAGCTTCTCCACCAACACCAACAACACAAGTCGCTCTAACCCGAATCGGCCCCGTCTCCAAGCACGTCCTGCCGAGACTCGAGGCTCGCAGACCTCGGAACTGATCGATTTCATCCGCGAGGGCCCACCGCAGCCCGGTGCGCACCGTATCCCTCGTACTGTTGCACCATTCCGCAACACCATCGACTCGGATGATATTCACTTCGACTCCGCTACGGACAAGGACCACGGTAGCTCTTTCGCTAGTGGCTCTACTCCTAACAAATCCATGACATCGCTTGGTTCAAGGACTGGCCTGCTGGATTCCAGTAACCGCGCCAATGGCCAGGCCAAGCCTACGCCGATGAGCAGTGCAATGGACGATGACGACCGCCCCGTCCCTGTTCGCAAGCAACGTCGCATCCCAGGCCGTGCCCCAGACCCGTACGCCATTGACGATGACGATGATGACGATCTCCTGGAAGAGCTCATCAACGCCAAGCCACCCAAACGGGAGGAAGAAAGTCTGATCGACTTCCTGCGCAGCGCGCCTCCGCCAGACTTTGAGCAGCAACAACCCCAGCCGTTGAATATCTCCATTCCCTCTAAACCCAACGGCACGGGCATGAAGTCCCGACTCATGCGCAGCTCCACCTCCGCTGACAAAGTCCCCTCCTCAAAAATGTCTATCAGCTCCCTCCGCTCACAGAGCACCCTCAACTCTCAACATCAGCAGTCATCCAACTACTCCTACAAGGTTGGCATGGCACGCAACCCGGGTATTCACCCATCCACAACCAACCGACAAACGGAAACGTCTGCCCTAGCGGACTTCCTCCGCAACACCGGTCCCCCAGAGCCCCCTGTCGGGCGTGATCTGGGTGCTAAGGGCAAGGAGGGCGGATTGTCACGCTTCTTCATTCGTCGCAAGAAGATGGAGGCTTAATTTCAAAATCTGCTTTCCTCCACATACCCCCCCTCCCAACCCCCTCATAATCTCAAGTCATTCACTTGCAAATTCGATGTCATGCTCTGAGCGTTTCAGCTTAATCTAACGATCCACATACTCTCATGTCCATCGTTTTGTCTGATCATTATTGTCCATCTTTCATCTTATCAACCCTCCACCCCTTGACGCTACCCCTTTCTTTGTATAGAGCTTCACATCTTGTGACAATTTCCTTTTTTTTTCCCTTTTCATTACTTTTGTTTTCCGGCTATCTAGCCAGGTGGCTCTTTTCTCTTTCCGACCTATTCTCCATGGAAGTCCTTATCTCCTTTTTTGTGCTCTGTTCTCTTCTCGATATGAACTGAACCTCAACCCGCCTCTCTATGTTTTCCTTGATTGGATGATATTTCGATATTCTCTGCCGGACTGAACGACTAATACGGACCTTTTCTTTTCCTTGAACTTTCTTTTCCTTTTCTTCTTGAAATCAGCCTCTGTTTGAAAATGACCGAGGTCTTTGGTTTTCGATTCTTTTTTCTTTTTGTGAATCCTTGCGAGATACCATGTTTTGAAGAACTTGTGTGCTTGTATCTAAAACTTTGACCCTTCGGAAATCATACCTTTTTTTCTTGATTGATAATCCAGTGTATTCTGTAAGAGGTGTTCCTAGGTAGGTAGAGATCAATTAGCCGGTATTTATTCTTTAAAATTCACATTCTGGACGGTTTGGTCTTGTTTTTATTTCTTCATGTGGCCGAGGTATCTATCACTTTGTGTGCAAGTCCTATAACAGCGCCATTCAATGTTATTGTGAGAACTTGCTATTCCATGGTTTGGATTTTTGCACCTCCCCTACACTGTATATCTGGCTGGCCTCGGGCCGCAATAATGGATTTCGTTTGGATTTCCAATCAAGCACTTGATGAAATTGGGAGGCGAAGGTTTGCGCGCTGCCCGGCGACAAAATATACTCCAACATATGTACCCATAAAGATGTCCAATAAATATTTTAAGCCCATGATCAAATCAACCTACAAAGCAGGTAACTCTCCCATTAGTAAGACTTCAAAATTCCGATTTACCTGCTACTACCTAGAAACTTGCTCGAAATCAAAGGAAGACCGAGTACTTGATCATTGTACCCATGCAGGTGGTCGTATACTTCCCGCGTGGTGTACCTGAGCCCGGAACATTGTTGATCCCGCCAAGTCCCCTTACCAGCTGGCATCAACAGCTCTCCTGTTTACCACCGACCATCCCGCCAAACCATGGGTTCCTCTCCATTCACCATGAGGTCGATCCTCGCTCTTTTCCTACTTGTGGTGCAACTCGCCTCCGCCCTCAAGTTCGATCTCCCCGCCAACTCGGGCAAGACTGAGCGATGCATCCGCAACTTTGTCTCGAAGGACCAGCTGGTCGTAGTGACGGCCATTGTGAGCGGCCAAAAGGGTGATGGCCAGAAAGTCAGCATGCACGTACGTACCACCTTTTCTGGAGAGTGATGAGGATCAATGATATGATATGAGAAAGGCGGGCTGGTGAGGTTGTGACGTGCGGGACATTATGGCTAACGGCTCCGGCGCGATGCAGATCAAGGATGCGATGGGCAATGACCACGGTCGTCCTAGGGATATCGTTGGCGAGGTGCGCCAGGCTTTCACTTCGACTGCTGACACCGCATTCGACGTGTGTCTCGAGAACCAGCTCGTCGGTCGCAGTAAGTTTCCCCATCGGCACGCAAGTTGCCATGTGTCACACGCCCGTCCTCGCCGCCCACATAACTAATACCCATTGTCACATGTAGACGCCATCGCCAACCCCTCCCGCGAAATCGATCTCGATGTCGAGATTGGCGCCGATGCCCGCGACTGGTCCTCCATCCAAGCGCAAGAGAAGCTCAAGCCCGTCGAGACCGACCTCCGCCGCATCGAGGAGATGGTCGCCGACATCGTCACGGAGATGGATTACCTCCGCGCGCGTGAGCAGCGTCTCCGTGATACCAACGAGAGCACCAACGAGCGGGTGAAGTGGTTCGCCTTCGGCACGATGGGCATGCTCGTTGGCCTGGGTGCCTGGCAGGTTGTCTATCTGCGGGCCTACTTCCGGTCTAAGCATCTCATTTAAGGCAAAAAAAACTTGGATTGGTGCTTCTTCTTTATTTTTTCTGCTATGTTAGCTTGCGTGAGGGGGAATTGACGAGTTGCATACATGATTCGGATGGTTTCCGCTTTTTTCTACTTCGATCTTGGATTTGAGGTGCTGTTGCATTGGGGGGTTTTGCTGTGCTGGCTGTTTATGGCTTCTCCTTTGTCTTTAGGCATTTCTGTTCCAGTAGTCATGACCTCAATGATATAAAATACATGCCCTGCTTCCGCGGAGGTCTAATCGTTATCTCTGTCCCTTGAGTAGATTGTTATACTAGGAAAGTTCGTAGTTAATCTTCACTCTACCTGGGGGCTGTCGGAATTGAGTGGTCAATCTCCACTATTAAATGACTTACATTCAATTCAATGACTCTATGTATGTACCCTGATTATCTTCTCCGCCGTCTAAATACCCTTGGGTGGATCCGCTTCATACATCACCCACGCTGTGTAATCGCCAGTGATCCGGTGGAGCGGCCTACCAACAAACACAGCAAACATCGGGACATGCAGGCCTCGGGTATCTTTTTTCGGGTCGTTTCTCCAGATGATGTCAAGTCGGCATTGATAACTTACAAGCTTATCAAGACTTCAGCTTGCCTTTGACCAAGCTCAAATCACCTCTCTCAAGGCATAAGGGATAGAGATTCGACACAATGTCTGCTCCCCGAATCATCAGCCGCTTCCTGCGGCCTACGCCAGCTGCCTTCAAGGCGCGCTCGGCTTCGGCAATCACCCGTACATTCGGCACGACCGGTCTGCGCTTCAAGGGCCCGGAGGACGCATACACTGGCAAGCTTGAGCACTTCACTGGTGGTCGTCAGGACCAGGGGCCTCAGAAGCCCGAGTTGGAGGTGGGAGAGATGGAGGGCATTACGTTCAAGGTTGAGCCCTTGAAGAGATCTGGCGAGGATACTACAACCATGCGAGCCCGGCTACTATGTTCGTCGCCCCAACTCCGTCACTCCAAACTATTTAATGCATACACCTCAAGAGTCAGCGCTGACAATAACACCAGACCAAAGCCGCAAGCGCGGTATCCTCGAATCCGACCTTCTCCTCTCTACATTCGCCGACGTCTACCTGGGCACCATGACCCACGCCCAGCTACAAGAATATGACCGCTTCCTCGATGAAAACGACTGGGACATCTACTACTGGGCAACCCAAGACCCGCCCTCCGAAGTTCCCGACGCCGCGCAGCCGCCCAAGGAAGACACCGTCACGGAGACGTGGAAGAACACCGGCGCCAAGAGCGGCGAGTGGGCGCAGACTATTGGTGCGTTCAAGGCTGCATATCGGCCTGTGCCGTCGCGGTGGACGGACTCGGAGGTGCTGCGTTTGTTGAGGGAGCATGTTCGTGATAAGAGTGCGACGGGCTTTGAGTCTGCTAAGAATAAGAAGGCTGGTGGTGGTGGTGGATTGGGTCGCATGCCTAATGTGCAGGTTTTCAACTAGAGGAGAGCTTGTGAGAGGGATGGTTGGTGGAACTGTGTACGATATGATAGAGTGTCTAGGGGCGGAGTATATATGCCCGTGTATAGTTTGTTGGATGGAATGGATTGTATCAACTAGAATGGAGTCATTGCATTGACGGTTATGATGAGATATTAAGGCAATGTCGTTTGAATATCGTTCTGATAGATTTGAACAATCAGGAATGTTAACTCGAAACAATGTCAGGGTTCTTTTCATTAGATCGATCTTAGTAGGTGTTTTGTCCTAGACAAGCTGTTGTCGAATGAGTGATGATCGGCCAGGAGTGACGATATACTGTAGACCAAGTTGCAGACCCAGCAGAATCGCATGTTGTTTTTAATCAACAAGAGCAATGGAAATCTTGGCACATTGAATAATATAACCATTCATTTAGTAATCCTAATCCCATGCCCGAAGTATACAAACAAGGCGGACCCGTCATCCATCACATGACCTTCGCTTATGGTTAGGGCACGGCGGAACCACACAAGGTGGCAGCCAACCGGGTTTAGGGCTTGGGCGGGCACGCAGCCAACCTCCTCCCTCTGCGATTTTATCTCCCCAGCGTCAACGACCTACTCCGCCAATCCTCTCTCCTTCATCGTCTCACTCCCAACATGGCTGAGCAGCTGGTTCTTCGCGGCACCCTCGAGGGCCACAATGGCTGGGTTACCTCCCTCGCCACCTCTCTGGAGAAGTAAGAGCCAATTCACCTCGAATTTTGTTCGCATCGAGAATTCACCATCTGACTTTTGACATTGGCTTTTAGCCCCAACATGCTGCTGTCGGGCTCTCGCGACAAGACCCTGATCATCTGGAACCTTACCCGCGATGAGCAGGCTTACGGCTACCCCAAGCGCAGCCTGGAGGGCCACTCCCACATCGTCTCCGACTGTGTATGTCTTTCGAACATTACCCCCTCCTCTCGATGACGCCGAGGATATTGAAGAATCCATTGGAAGGTGGAACGACAACGAATCTGGCGTGATGGATTGGGAAAATTGTTTGGGAGCGCTTTGGCTGACCGCGGGTCTTTCTTTCGCATTATAGGTGATCTCCTCCGACGGTGCCTACGCTCTGTCCGCCTCCTGGGACAAGTCCCTCCGCCTGTGGGAGCTCGCTACCGGCAACACCACCCGCACCTTCGTCGGCCACACCAACGATGTTCTGTCCGTCTCGTTCTCCGCCGACAACCGCCAGATCGTCTCCGGTTCCCGTGACCGCACCATCAAGCTGTGGAACACCCTCGGTGACTGCAAGTTCACCATCACCGACAAGGGCCACACCGAGTGGGTCTCCTGCGTTCGCTTCAGCCCCAACCCCCAGAACCCCGTCATCGTCTCCGCTGGCTGGGACAAGCTCGTCAAGGTACGCTACTCCCCCAATTCGCCCTTTCGATTCTCGAAAACCCCCCTCCAACTTTTTTTCTCATTCTACCCCCCACATGATGTTTGCATATTCTACGTATTTGCTACTTCAGAGCCCTCGGCGGCTATGAGACAACCATTCACCCAATGCCTGATGGAAATCCCAAACTCAATGCCTGTTTTTATGGTCTTGAGTTTGAAGGAAGACAGAAGAAAAAATTTTCTTGACTTGATATCACATATCGATTTGGACGTGTTTAAGTGACCGCTGACACTTCTTCCACAAATCTAGGTTTGGGAGCTCGCCTCCTGCCGCCTGCAGACCGACCACATCGGTCACACCGGCTACATCAACACCGTCACCATCTCTCCCGATGGATCCCTCTGCGCCTCCGGTGGCAAGGACGGTACCACCATGCTCTGGGACCTGAACGAGTCCAAGCACCTCTACTCTCTCCACGCCGGCGATGAGATCCACGCTCTCGTCTTCTCCCCCAACCGCTACTGGCTGTGCGCTGCCACCAGCAGCTCCATCACCATCTTCGACCTCGAGAAGAAGAGCAAGGTTGATGAGCTCAAGCCCGAGTACGTTGAGAAGGGCAAGAAGAGCCGTGACCCCGAGTGTATCTCCCTGGCCTGGTCCGCCGATGGCCAGACCCTGTTCGCCGGTTACACCGACAACAAGATCCGTGCCTGGGGTGTTATGTCGCGGGCGTAAATGGGTTGTTGATTGGATTGTGAGCGAATCGCGGAGAAGGGAGGAGGCCTCTTTTTGATCTATCGCCAAAGGGAATCAAAAAAAAGTTCAAAACCAGAACAAGATGGGCATTGGTTTGGTTTGGGATGTATGAGCCACGAGCAATGAAGCACTCCTCGCGGTCGAGGGAATTTCTCGGCCCCAGGAGGTTTTCTGACATGCCTAGCTTACTTGATTCACCATTAAAATCGAATGTCTGGAATCTTGTGACGGCATGTGATGTTCTAATACCACATAAGGCATCAAAATGTTTCCTATTTTTTCTTCACCCGTGTTGCTATTGCGTAGGGGGGTGAATGGATGTAGTTCGTCGTTGTATGACTATCCCTAGTAAGGTATACTACTTCTTTTAAACTATGGACGACTTCCTCCATCGGGCCTACCTACCCTATTGAGTATGAACCGATAGACGGACTCTGACACCTAGCGCCTGTGGTACTCGAAGCCCGAAATTCGCTCTGAGGTTACAACAATAAGCCTCTTCTGGACCCTGTCGACTCCGTCCAATGATCTACATGATTGTACGTCCGCATCTATGTATATAGGTTGAGGTAAGATTCTACATGATCATAATGTACATTGAGCGCACCCTCTATGCGCACCCGCGCTTATTTTTTGAGTCTCTTCAAGCCTTCATCAGCCATAGTAACTCCCTCCTCGTAGCCCAAGCCCTGGGCCAACGACTTGGCCTCTGTATAGCGCTGCTGAGCGACGTCCGGCTTATTCTGAAGTTCGGCAATCTCACCCAAGTTATAAGTAGCAGCCACACAAGTCATATCGCACTCCTCATTGCGCACAGGTGGCTGGATACGCGCAGCGACATCAATGGCTTTCTGAGCCCACTGCCGGGCAGCGTCGATGGTTTGCTCCCGCGAGACAGTCTGCTTCTCCTGTGAGCGAGGTTTGGCTGGCACCTGCGCTTGACCAGCCATGGCGCTGGCGACACTGTTCAGCAGCACGACTTGCTTGCAGGAAGGCGAGTCGCCTTCGGCAACGCGGATCATTTCTAATGCGCGTAGATACAGCGGCATGGCAAGTTCGCTGCGGTCCTTTGCAGTGTAGGTATCCGCGAGTTCGGCGAGTGCTGTGGCAATCTCGGTAATGTTCAGCCATGCCTCGCTATCGCCTTCACCAGCTGCCCCACCAACGGGCAAGCCCAGCGATTGTCGGCGGTGCATTTCCTTCAGGCATAGCTCGACAGCAGCGACCTGTGCGTCCTCGGCCTTCTTCTCATCTTGGATATACTCGCTTGAGTATAACTCGGCGAGCTTCATCTCGATTCCGACGACCTTTTTCAAGGCCCGGTCACGCTGCTTCGCCTCAAACTCCTGCATCTCCTTCAATCGCTTCTCAGCATCCTGCAGGTCGTCTTCGTTGATCTGGGCATTCTCCGGCGAGACATTCGCCTTCACGGGCGCTTGTCCTGCCTTCGACTTATCCGCCAATGCAGACTCAGCCTTACGACCTTCCTCAATCCATTTCAAAGCTTCCGTCTTCGTCCTCTCCAGCACCTCAACCGCAGGCTTGACCAGTCCGGATTTTTCCAGCATCATCGCGACCTGCAACTTAATACCCAGCACCTCATCCGAGAACGGATGCATGCCCATCTCCACAGCGGTCCGAAGTGCCTCCTTATACGCCTTCAAAGCCTTGGGCGGGTTCAAGTCGATCTCGGTATAATACACCGCCGTACGGAGCTGGTCAGCGACTTGCTGGGGGAACTTGTGATATTGGGGCTGGACGCGGGTGACTTCCACGTAAGAAACGTATGCGAAAACGGCGATACCGCCGACCACGGAGAAAATGGCCAAGGGAAGCAGCACGGGATTCTTGCGGAAGACGCCCTTGGACGCTTCGCGGTATTTCATGCGGATCTTCTGGGCGATGGTGAGGTGGCGGGTATGAGGGATGGTGAAGAGATCGACATTGGTATTGTTGTATCGTGGGCGCAGTGTTGGTCGGCCATTGTTGCTGTATATTGATCGTGTCCAGGCCTGGCGCTGTGCTGGTACGAGCTTTTGAGCTTGGGCGCAGGCGCGCCCCAAGGCTGCGCGAAACATTGGCGCCGTTGGTATTGACTGTAGTGAGTGGTCTATATGAGCTGGCAAAATCGACGAGTATTAGGCGGGTCGATCATACGTGGGGAGGGTTATCGAGAGGTTGTTGGAGTTGGTGAGGGTGGAATTGGCCGCGCTCCGTTTTTCCGCTGCGGCGGTCTTGGCCCAATGACGTCGCTAGGATGGATTTGTAACCCTCACCTGCTGCCTTCTCGTATTCATCCTCGCAACAAAGCTCTCAATGGCACATCGGTGACATGTACCAGTCGAGCTAGAATTATTTTAGTTCATCTTAATATCCTCCGCCATGTGTGGGCGCTACGCACTAGGCGTGGTGAGTCTTACCAGCCGGCATCCTTGCCCCATATCGAGAGGGGGACAAAACTAACCCATGATCCACAGCGCTTGGCGTACATTCAACAGCAGCTGCAAGAGCGAGGCATGCAAGTAGATGAAGCTCCAGAGGACGAAGAAGTCCGCGAGACATACAACTTTGCGCCAGGCAGCTTTGGCGCAATCTACCGCGCCGATGTCCCTGAACCTAAGTCTCGTTCCGAGCGAGACACAGAGGCCGGCCAAGAGCAAAACGACAATGTTCCAGAGCAAGAGGAACAAGTCAATGAGAAATCAGGCGACACTACAGCCATGGGCCAGCCCAAATACAAGCTTCAAAGCATGAAATGGGGCCTCATCCCCTTTTGGACCAAGCGACAGCCAGACTATGGTTCCATGTTGCGAACAATCAATTGTCGCGATGACTCGTTAATTGAGAATCGCGGCATGTGGACGACTATGAAACAGCGCAAAAGATGTCTCGTTATCTGTCAAGGCTTCTATGAGTGGCTGAAGAAGGGACCAGGGGGCAAAGAGAAGGTTCCACATTTCGTTCGGCGCAAGGACGGTGATCTAATGTGCTTTGCTGGACTATGGGACTGCGTGAAATATGAAGGTAAAACCCGAGTCATTATACCTTGGTTATGCAAGTGGAGGCTAATATGTGTCTAATAGACTCGGATCAGAAGCTGTACACGTACACCGTGATTACAACATCTTCAAACTCTTATCTGAAATTCCTCCATGACAGGATGCCTGTTATCATGGATTACGGAAGTGAAGAGATGAGGACATGGCTCGATCCCAGCCGGAAGACCTGGTCGAAGGAGCTGCAATCCATTCTGAAACCATACGAGGGCGAGCTCGAGTGCTACCCCGTCTCTAAGGAAGTGGGCAAAGTGGGCAATAACTCGCCGGACTTTATTATTCCTGTGAACAGCAAAGAAAACAAAAGCAACATTGCCAACTTTTTCGCCCATGCCAAAGCGAAGGACGCGTCTCCGAAAAAAGAGCCTGGTATCAAGGTTGAAGGAGATGAAGTCAAAGAGCATATCGCTGCGCATGGCACGAAGAGGGAATATACGCCGGAAATAAAAAGTCCTGATAACGAAAGCAAGAAACAAAAGGTCCATCCAGGCCCAGTCTCACCCTCGCTGCAGAAATTCAAAACGCGCAGTGCAACACACAATAAGCCGATGAAGAAGGCTGGGGCATCCAAACCACCTGACGGATCACAACGAATAACGAACTTTTTTAAGAAATAAACTGAATGTAGCTTTGTTATGATTTGAAATTATCTATCTAATTCACCTCAGTGATCTGATGATTGTACGGAATAGGAGGTTAATTGGGGCCTGGACCTCGGATATATATCTGTAGACCTTGCTTGGAAGGACCTACCTGGTATCCACTTTCAACAAGTCATGGAATGGAATCCATATTGATTAGGAGATTTCTAATCCAGGATCCTGCAATTGAACAAATTAGATGCTTAGGTAGGTTTCAAATGTGTATATCTAATTTTAATATTTTGCCGAAGTCACAAAATCATGATATTCATTGAGCTGGGGGTCGGATAATACACTATTGTACAAAAGGCTTCGCTCGAAGTGGGTATGAAAAATCGGCTTATTGCTTGTCCAGTTGCTGAAGTCGCTGAACGAGCTTTTCTCTGAGGAACGGGGTCAATCCCAAGCTAGATCGAGAATCAGTAACGCTCAATACGTCCGGGAAATCCTTCTGCCTATTCCAAGGGCAACTTACATTCCATTCCGAGTGACCATTCTGTACGTGCCTGTAATGGATAATGTCAGCTGCAAAAAACATTGGATGAACACCAGCATCCATCTTAAACATACCACTGGTTTGATATTTGCCGTCACCACCAACGAATTGACCGTTTCCATCCACCTCTAGACTGCCGAAGATATCCTCTGGCCTGTACAAAGATTAGTCGATCTCCTATTCTCACCGATCGCATGAGGTTCATACCATGCAATTCTACCAAACTCAGGGGGTCTTCTGCTGTCTGAAATGTGAATCCAACCGCCTTTACCGCCACCACCAGCACCACCCTGGCCACTAGCTCCACCGCTAGAGTCGCCCGTTTCAGTGCGCCTTCTGTTTCCCCGATTGGGCATCAAGACACCTCCAGTGTAGAGGTTCGCCCCAGCGGTTGAAACCATGACCTGGGCTTGGGATTGTGCATCTGGATCTTCATGCGCATGCTTGGCGAAGACTTCTTGGAGAATGCCGAGGAACTTGGGGTTCTCCGTAAGTGAGTCTGGTGTAGGCGGTAGCTTGTTGGTGACTCCAATGGCAAGATCTGGGTTGACAGGCTCAGAAGATAAGAGTGAAAGGATATGAGAGTTGTTTGGTCCTTCACTAGGGAATACATACTGCCTTATGTTCAGCATATATCAAAGTTGTGTTGACGTTTGCGTTGATTTACATACGATGTGAGGGTTGCCCTCTAGTGAAGAAACGAAACGGGCCTGGGTCCACCTCCGAATATTTAAGGCCTTCCGCCCAATTGACCTAGTTGCAAACATTTCTTTTGTCTCGAGAGATCGAAAATTTTGGATTAAGGACTTGGGAAGTCGCGAGAGCTCCGACGCTCCGTCATTCGGTCATCGTGCAGATCAAGGCGGCCTGGAAGGCGGTGAATGTGGACCGCCCCAAAAACGGTTCACGTGAGAGGCCTTTTGTTGTTGGAAGTCAACTTCCAAGGCAACCTTGCGAACTCCAGGTAGCTTTGTGCCTGTCCATTGCAAGTGTTGGTGACGGTTGGACCTGAGCGAGGCAGCAGCTGGTCGAAGTCAAAGCTCAATACCCGAGCCTTCCTGACCATCCTCGCCTGGAGTACTCCCGAAGCTAGCACTGGCGCATGATTGATTGGTGCCTTCAAGGATACCCAGGTTCAATTGCATATTCCACCCTGGGATTATAGGTATACTCCAGGTTTCGATACCTTTACTCGCACATTGACATTCCCTGTCCCTGCGCTGCTACTTCAACCATGGCAACTCCTTCAGCCAAACCCGGCGCAACGCCAACTCATCTCACCACTTCTCCACACCCCTCCTCCGCACCCCTTCGATCAATCGCTCATAAATCGCCCTCAACACGAACTCCGTCAGCCTCGGGACCTGGCCATGCGCCACAAATCAGCGTATCCTCACATCAATACGCTACACCTCTTGCAGTGACAAGCGCCGTCGACGACTCGGTCAATTTCAGTTCCCCGACAGCACTTCTCGCACTCGGTGGCTACACTGGCATCAGCCCGTCGCCTGTTGTGCACGATAGCCTTGTCGGACCCAGCATGAGTGAGAATGATATCCAGACTCTAGGAATGCAGGGTATCAAGCTTGGCGGGGTGCCGCGCGATAGCGAAGAGGAGCAGAAGCACCGGATTCAGGAGGTGGTGCAGACTCTTCGAGCGCGCGTTGCAGGCAGAGGAGTGTCCCGGGAAGGCATCGAACGACTGAGCCGATTAGAAGGATTTGAATCGATTTGGCAAGACAACGACATCAACATCGCCGGGAATTTTGTCGACCTGGAAATCGAATTCTACGCCGGTCACGATGTTGTCAAAAACGTCAGTCTGCGATATGCGACACCCGAATTTACAGAAGGCGAACGACGAGATGAAGCGTCTGCGGTTCTGAAGCGGAACCTCGTACAGCCGCTCGAGGACGTCGAACATGGGAGATGGAGGTGCCTCCAAGGGTTTCATGAAAATCTACACTGGCTCGCAAAGCTCGACAAGCTCAGTCAAGAAGTCAATTGCTTCGAAGCTCTGGAAGGCCTGGAAGAGAATCTTAAACGGGTCTGGGCCGAGGAAGGAAAACGTGGGAAATACGACGGCGAATACGAGCACCTCTGCGCTGGAGTCATTGGACGCCCAAGTATGCACAAGGGGTCCCGAGTCGGTCTCGGCCTGGAATACTGGGTTGAGCAGGCCAAGGTTTTGGACGCAAAGCAGCAGAAAATCTCGCCCGACGCGATGGTAGTCGACCAAGACCAGACCAACGGACTGGACGAGCAGCAAAAGTTATGGACCGTCATGATCGAATGCGAAGAAGGATATCCATCTCTTCGTATATCGAAAGAGTGGGTGGGAACCGAAATCTTTACAACAGGGCAAAATAGCGATTCGGCACCCAGTTCTGGCTCTACAGAGACAGTGAACTGGCTTGAACCTCCGCAAACCATGCGATTGTCTCACGGTGACCATGACCCCATGGCTCTGGACTCTAGCATGCTCGAGTCGACACCTCCAAACCGTCGTTTCGTCGCGAAGCTTGACCCCCCCCTGGAGCTTCCGATCCTTGCAGCATCGGAAATTTACCGCCATTTAGGAATGCAGCTACCACAAGAGTTCAAGATGGTCACATATGACAATCTTATAATCTCGGAAGGGTCACAATTGGATTCTACACCGCAGCCTGGTCGGAGGACGCGCCGGATGTCGGTACAGGCATTTGATTCAACCGGCACGCCCTGCACGAATTATCATAACTACACCTTCCAAGCATTTGAGTCAGTTGCTGGTCGGACTATCCGTGATCTTCCCTTCTCGCATCCTCGACAACTCGCCGATATCCTCCCAGTATGCATGCTTCTATGTTTGCGCCCATGTACAATACTGACTATATTTAGGTGTTCCGCCAATATGCTTTGTTGGCGAATCTGATCCGAAAAATTACCCGTGGCTCTACTAAGAGTAAGGATGATAAGCGAGAGCCTTCAAGAGGGGCATCAGTCGGCGCTTCGGCTTCTGCCAGCCAAAAGCTATCCTTTGCTGGTCAAAGTGATATCATCACACTCAGCAACGACGACCCCAATGAGGAGAAGTTGAGTGCCCTGCTTGGCGATGGATTCTCGACCGCCTTCACAACCATCGCTTCCAACGCTTCTCCGTTCCACAGCGAAGAGTATCTGGACGACGTCAAGGTGGACGTAACGCTACGAACGCAAATCGGTCAATCTCCGGCTTTAATGCTGCTCGTCACAGACTCTAGCAACAACGCCGAAAAGGCCGTGCGCGAGCCAGTCCAAGTAACGATCTGTGTTGAAGTTGGCCTCAACGGGCGTATTACGGTTGTCGACGTGACCGAGCTGAGCGCACAAAAGGGTGACGGCGGCGATGCGGAAATGCAAGGGACAGATGCCGCCGGACCAAAGCTGCAGGATATGCATGAGAAGATCGCCAGGGTTCTGGAGATCTCGCAGGACCTGGGGATCCTGGTCGAGTGGGTCCTGCGTTGGCTGCGGCAGCGGGCCGGTAGCGGGTGAGGCTGACCAGCCGAGGATTCCGAGACTGGAGGGTGTTGAGTCTAGAACTAGATACCCTTGCGGTTCCCTTGACTATGTCTGAAGTTCTTAGTTATTGCTGGGCTGAGCTGGGCTGGACCTGCGAACAGCTGCTGAGGAGACTCTCGGCATGGCGAGAAAAATCTTATATGCGCGACAAGTCTAGTAATACTAGAGTTGACATCAAGGCCAGACGTATCACTCCAGACGACAGAGCGTACAGACCTGCATTGGATACTTTGTATCATTGTGAAGATCAAAGTTTACCTTTTCGTGTAAGTCTCTGGCGGTCTTTTTCCTCCTGCATGAGGGTTATCGCACGCCGCATTGACAATGCCATGTCATATGCGAACTCCTGCAACGTGCAATGCAGTGCTCCTTAATTCGAGCAATGCAGGGGTCGATTGCGAGAATGCCGTCTCGAGCAATACAGTATATTTGCGATCCATGAAATGATGAAATTCAAAATACAATCGGCCCCTCCAACAGCCAATCTGGGGTCCAAACTCTACAGTAACCGTTATCACCCATGACGTAGTTATACAATTCCAGATTCACTTTATTGTTCTCTTCAACTGGGAAGAGGCAACGTGATGACCTTCCATCAAAGACCGTACCTAGTTTCAGGGACAACATTATTGAGCTCGATCCCCGCAGATCTGCCTACCCTAGAGTGGCGACGACATCATGTGGCATCATTATCGTCATTGCATGTAGACCAGTTCATCAGATAAACGCTGCTTCTCTCCTGTCAGTGCCATTACGTCGTCCCCTTGCCGCTGTGCCAGAGATCGTAGTCTAGCCAAGGCTAAACGATTACCAGGAGAGTTTCTGAAACTACCAGGATCCCCCCATCATACGTACTTTTGTCTGGTATGAGGTATATACTACTACCATGCCCCTCCGAGGATATTACCGCCAGATGCGCATGAATAATAAAAACTCCAGAGTAATTTGTCGATCGAATCAGTGAGATTCTCATTACGAACTACGAGGCACTATCAAGACCCAGTCGAATCTGACCCGCACTAAATGAGGCTTTTGTGATAGCCGCTGGAGGGGGGGGGAACCGCGTCGGATGACATCGTTAGCCTGTTCCTGTTATCAGCGGGACTCCGCAGTAAAGCGGTGCCTGGGAAACGAGGGCCCCTCTTTCCACAATTTCGGTGAGGCATTTTGTAGGGTTGAAATATTGGGATTAGTAGTGTTAATGCTTGCATTGTGTAGGGGGTTGTGCAAATGCCTCATTTACATGGCTAAAAAGAAAAGGAGGTCTGGAGGATTACAGAGAGTTGGAATGGGCGATATTAGCAAGCAAGCATCGGTGTGGTATACTCCGTGCAATGGAATAGAGTTGGCACTGACGACGATTTATTACATACACTCGTACAGCCTGTATGGAGCTCTCGCTTGTCGGTTTCTAGTCAGCGCAGTGTGTCAAGGCTGTTCTCCACCAATCAGAAGGCAATGATAAGAAATTCGGGCACTGTCGATCGCAGCCGCGGACCTTTCGTGATTGAACCATTACTATTTCGCGTCCTTTGGTTTGACTGATTTTTCTCTGGGTCTTGTTTGATACTGAATATGCTCGGACATTTGACCGATGTGGTTTTCTTTTCCACTCTATCAGGGCTGAACTTCCATGCGTGACTAACTTAGTACTACTAGTTACTTGTGAGTATCCGGAAGAACGTAAGCCCCGTACGACCTAGGGCCCCAGTCTGGACTTCGGCTGAAACTCGCGATGACTAACGGCCCCGCCGTGAATCATGTTTCACTGGTCGCTACTATTCTTGTGTCGCGGCTCTCGACTGTACGTACTCCGTGTAGTTTGTATGCAGAAATAGCATCGGGCTGTGCTACTTCGGAGTCGCCTGCCGAGAGACATAGGCTGGGGTGTACTGGGTATGGTCAAGAACGGAACTATCATTAGCATACACTGTCATATAGTTCGTTGCTGTATACTTGGTATCATCGAATCGTACTACGTACTCCGTATTATTCCTCGACAGGGCTGAAGATCGTAGTCTCATCTGTGTCCCCTCCTCAGCCACTCAGTCGTAGCCCGATTCCTAAAACCCCCGACTTTTCGACCATTTGCTCGAGAAAAGCCGGGGGAGGCAGATCTCGTCGCCACTTTTTTTTGCTGCTGGCCGATTTTCTGGAGAATCCCTGTTCCCCAGAGCCTAACCTTCATACCGATGCTGGAAATCGATTTTTTTTGGATCAACTCTTCTATACTCATTCTAAAAAGAGTTGAATCATGTCCAATCTATGCGCGATTTCTCAATCTTACATAGCCGAGTAAAACAAAAACAACCACACAGATAACAAAAAGGACCCCCTCCCCTCCACCCACCACCCCTCCAAAAGATAACGCACACAAAAAAGAAGGCCCGAAAAGGAAATCATTGAAAATTCCAACCCTTCACGCGACTAATCGTGACCGATCATACACCGTCGTACTGAAAAGCCCCGACGCCAGCCCCAAACCTAAGGCCGGTGTCGGGGGCGGTTCCAGCGGCTTGGCCAGGCGGGAGACGGTATGATTGGGTGGTCGGGCTCGGTTTCGAGAACGTTTTGCCACGCTCCACCCTGGCCATCGGCGAGTTTCGCGGGTCTGTCGTCTCGAGACGGTGGCTGGGGCTCTCCCTCCAGACCTTCCAGTGGTCTCCAGATGGTCTCCAGTGGTCTCCAGTGAGCGGATCGTTAGTTTACACTGTGTATTTTACCGTTTCCCGGTTCGTCGCGCGTGTGGGTTGTTACATGTATATACTGTAATTCATGATCTACGTGGAGAGTGAAGTTATGTTATTATATACGGATCTATATAGACCGAGGTAGAGATCGCCAGCATGTACATATGATGGATACCTCTTTCTTGCTGCAGGTACACAGGTCGAATCCGCTTTTTTTCTTTTCTTCCTAGCGACGTCTTAACGGCCATGCTACCGTCTGATAGAGGGTCGAGACCTCCGAGGAGAGATAGTATCGGCCACGCATGCCACGCGGGCAATAGCGCCGTGCCAGGGGGGTAAGGACTCTGATAACGAATCGCGCAAGGGCCATTTGCAGGTTTATCGGGGGTTCCCATCTCAGGTACCCGATTGAAGTGCGGAGGAGTTCGATCATGTCGCACACATCTCCGGGCATGGGATTTAGTTCTCCGTGTTCATGTTTGGGGACACCCGGTGAATATCGAAAGAAGCGAAAACCTCGTTTTCAAGGTTCCCGTTTCGAATTATCTTATTTCTTCTTCCTCTGTAAGCCTTGCAGGGAAGGTTGCTTATTCGGCGCAGATGCAGTTCTAGAACAGAGAGTTTAGTCAGGTGGGTGGGATGGACTATCACTATCTACCCTGGGCCTTGCAGCTGATATGCACTTGCACTAGGAAAGATCCTGGTGGTTGGTAAGAAGAATTAGAAGGATTAGCAACTTAATTTCCTACTCGCTATCTATGCATATGTACATGTTTCCCCCTTAACCTTGTACAGGCGAGACTAGGGTACTCTCTTGAAGGCGGGTGGTTTCTCCGTCGCAATTTTGACATCTGATCGCCACGGGCGTTGACGGAGGTGACCCGGGGGAGATCCCTCCCCCGGACTTTTCCCGCTCTTGGGGGGTTCTGGCAGCGACCGGGGAAAGATAGTAAGAACAGAAGAGACGGGAGAAAAAAAGGATGGTTGACGCGGTACAAGATCTGAAGCCAGATCTAGGAGGTCGAAGCGTTACGGGGGAACTAACTACGAAGATTGTGGTCGTTTATCCAATTGATATGGGTTGATTTGAAGGGTGGCAGGAGAGGGCGTTTCTCAGCTTATCGGCCCAACGGGAGAAGAGAGATTGATCATATTACTGGGCCCTATTACAGAGACGTGGTAGTTGATTGGGCCGCGGAGAATGAGGGCGGTTATCACGAATGGGAAATCAAAACGGTTTAAGAGAAAGAAGAAAAGAAGACGGAGAACTAGACTGATTGATCGTGGACTCGTGATGAGGTTTTCGGGTGGCGATGTGTATTGATATTACAGCTTGTTGTTATACTGTAGTCTATACGGAGTTGGAAAGAGTATGGAAGAATGCGGAGGGTCGATGGGGCGACAGGGAAATTTAGAATGTGATGGCCGACCGATGAGCATCGATGAAGCATCACTACCTAATACCAAGTGCGGGTATGAATAATAGAATGAAACTTAGAGGGCAGAAGCCTATTAGCACTATGTATCCAGGGCAGATCGGTGACGGAGTTTGTCGAAAGTTCTCGGCAACGACCGGTTTCGCAGTCCTAAATGGTTTGTATGATGCGGCGATGATGACACGGAAAGGGTAACTTGGGTGGCGGAACATGGACATGGAGGTCGGTAGATGGAGGATTGTTAGTTTTTCCGGACCAGCGCTTGACTCGGATGTCTCGTTTAAGGAATGGGATGGCATTGAAGAAGGAAAAGCAATGTCTATTCACGAGGCCAGGAAAAAAGGAATGTTTGCGTGATTTTTGTTGAAAGAAGTTGTTTCCTCAACGACCCCGGTGTCGGGCATGAGAATGTTCAAGTTGATCTATGAGGCACTTTTCGCAGAAGGAGAATACCGTGTATACAGTATACGGCAGGATATAAGCGTAAGTATATGTAATATGGTGTAAGACTCCGTAAGATACATACCGCTAAACCCCAAAGGGCGTGAGCTGATCCGCGGCTTCCTCATTTTTTTCCCGAATTTCTCTTTTTTAATTTTTTTCGTCTCCCATTATTACCCTTTTTTCCCTTTTCTCCTAGGGACTCCACTTCTTTCCTTCTTTTGCTTTTCCCCCCAAAATCCAAAAAAGACTCAGTCGTGACTAAATTTAAATCTTTATCTTGCCCTTCCCTCCTCCCCCCCACCATCTAAAAACTCACCCTCTTCCCCTCTCTTGGGATTTCCCATCCATCGCGTTTCTTCCAACTTCCTTCGGGAATCACCACTTCCTTTTCATCCTTTTCTGGAAAGTTTTGCTTGCTTGCAAGCCCACCTGGTTTTCAACCTCACACATAACCCCCCATAATCATTCATTATGGTACGTTGATTCTCTCTCCTGCCGAGTCTCGTTGCCGGGCTCGTTGCCGGGTGACTCACTTTTCGCCCAACACCCGGATTCTCGAGAGATTCCTATACAGAAAATGACACAGAGTGCTAACATTTCTGCTTCTCTCTACAGGCTGCCGATTCAACTGTCGTCTCCAACACGGAGAATGTGCGTTTGATTCTCGATGCATTGGATTTCCACAATGGCCGTTGAGCCAGAGAGGAAATACATATACTGACTTCCCATGGGGTCGAACAGCTCCTCAAGTACATGTCCCTCGACCAGCGCGGTCGTGTGATGGCCGAGTACGTCTGGATTGATTCCTGCGGTGGCACTCGTTCCAAGACCAAGGTATGCCTACATCTTTTCTTGATTTCGCCCATCCCCGGGAAACTGGTCTGTCACAGACCAGTGACAGACCAGTTTCCCGGGGCCCTATCTCCAATCTCCTGTGATGGTGGGATGTGGTTGCCCCGTGCGTATCGGCCTTCGCGATAAGCCGCTGGGAGTTTTCTTCGCCACACGCGTCCTGCAACCATCCGCATCACGTGAGATGGAGGGGCATTCGGGCTTCAATTTGACCTTCTGTCGAGACATCTTTGCTAATACCACTCGTCTTCCGTCTAGACCCTCTCTAAGCCCGTTACGTCGGTCGAGGAGCTCCCCGAGTGGAACTTCGACGGTTCCTCTACCGGCCAGGCCCCCGGTGACAACTCCGATGTCTACCTCCGCCCCGTCGCTATCTTCCCTGACCCCTTCCGCCAGGGGGACAACATCCTCGTTCTCTGCGAGACCTGGGACTCCGATGGAAGCCCCAACAAGTTCAACTACCGTCACGATGCCGCCCGCCTGATGGAGACCCACGCCAAGGAGGAGTTCTGGTTCGGTCTTGAGCAGGAGTACACTCTCCTCGGTACCGATGGCTGGCCCTACGGCTGGCCCCGTGGTGGTTTCCCCGGTGCCCAGGGTCCTTACTACTGTGGTGTCGGTACTGGCAAGGTCTACTGCCGTGACATCGTCGAGGCTCACTATCGTGCTTGCTTGTACGCCGGTATCAACATCTCCGGTATCAACGCTGAGGTCATGCCCTCCCAGTGGGAGTACCAGGTCGGCCCCTGCCCCGGTATTGACAGTAAGTTTGCCCCCTCACATGAATTTGATATACGCTGCAAAAGCAATAAGATCCCCCCTAACCTGGTTTCTCTACAGTGGGTGACCACCTCTGGATGTCCCGCTTCATCCTCCACCGTGTCGCTGAGGAGTTCGGTGTCCGCATCTCCTTCGAGCCCAAGCCCATCGAGGGTGACTGGAACGGTGCCGGTCTGCACTCCAACGTGTCCACCCTCGCTACTCGTGCCGAGGGTGGTATGAAGGCCATCGAGGCTGCCATGAAGAAGTTCGAGGCCCGCCACCAAGAGCACATTGCCGTCTACGGTGAGGGCAACGACAAGCGTCTGACTGGTCGCCACGAGACCGGTAACATCGACAAGTTCTCATATGGTGTCGCTGACCGTGGTGGCTCCATCCGTATCCCTCGCCAGGTCGCCAAGGACGGCAAGGGTTACTTCGAGGACCGCCGTCCTGCCTCCAACGCTGATCCTTACCAGATCACCGGTATTATCGTCGAGACCATGTGCGGTGGTCTCTAATTTCAATATTTGATCTTAGCGCTCCGATACCCTCCGGCATCAACTGGGAGTTCGGACCATGAGAGCGGCCTGACTGCGTGAGGGAGCCCTTCCGTCCATAGAATCCTTTTTTGACCTCCTGCCTGTGTTTTGTCTTTTTACTTTTGCTCTTTTCCCTCCATATCTACCTTTTTCCCTTCTCTATCATCCCGCGTCTTTCCTTCAGATGCAACTCTATCTATCCTTCCTGTCTCTCGGCGCCAGGGTCCGCCTCTTGCGTTCTTTTGCCTCCCCTCAGTTGCACTCGCCGAAATCTCTTGTTTTGTTTCTTTCTTGAAACCCCCCACTAAAGTGGGTTATGTGTGACGTACAATAGCATAGAATCATTACATGGATGGAAAATCAACCCATCGTTTGAGCATCACACTTTATTTCCCTTGGGGTCTCCACTGTGGCTTTGAAAGATGGCATTCCTCGTAGATCTCAGGATTTCTAGAGGTATCCACCCTCGATGATCTTTTTGGACTTCCTTTGATGTAACCCTATACTTTAAATTAACATCAATCCTCCTGCCGGTCAATCCGTTATCGGCAATGGAAAAGCCACTGCCGAGGATTTTATACCCCACACGTTCTTGAGTATGGGGATGTCCCCGCAGTTCGGATGGAGGACTCCTTGTCAATGCTGAAGGGCATTTTTGTATGTACCTATGTCCATTAGCCGTGGTACGTTGTTATTCAATCCCAGCCATTGTAAGTCATGGTTGGACTATAGTTTAATCTTGCCCTCTTCCCTACTGATGTTCATATGCAATGTGTCGCCAGCTAGCAAGCTCCAGGAAGTATTGGAACGCGAGGATGACGAATATCTACATTTCATTACGTGACGGAAGCCTGTGTAGAAAAAGGCAAGACCTGGTGGGGCCAGGGCAATTTCCTATAGAGACCTGCTAAAGAAGCAAGCAACCAACTACGTAGCATCTGGAAGTTTCATATGGCTTGCCTGCTGCAGTTACCTTGAATAGCTCATGACATTGCACTAGTCAAAAGTGGCCGGTTGGGAGGCCGAAGCTTCTTGCGTTTGGGAACTCTCATAATTTGGGATCGAGTGCGACGCTCATGATTTGACACTGTTTCTCCTAGATTGTATCCAGGGGCCCAGTTGATCACTAGGATTCTCACTATCGTTTGTGCGCCACGATCAGAGATCTGTCGAATCACCTTCCGAAGGCAAGATAAGAATTGAGATATCTCGTTTGAATCTATAGCGCCCAGTTGTACGATGAAATAGACAACCTTGAGTGAGGAGAGGAGCTCGGCAAGAATATCGCAGTAGTGTTCTTCAGAATTTGCATGAAGAAAGCGATTGATATCCAGCTCGGGGCCATTTTCACTATTGAGGCGGTTGATTGAAATCGTAGCTTGCTGAATGAGACTCTTCAAAGCGTCTATGAAAGAATAACTTTCATCACGAGGTTTGAGAATCCAAAGGCTGGCAATTCCGGCCTCTAAAAGTTGCTGAATGGCGTTGGTACAGAAATCCTGGGCAGACTGTCTATCTGCAATACGGACTTTTAGAAGGAACAAGGAAGAGATTGGTGACTTATTCCAAGTTTGGAGATCACGGGACTTCCAAAAGGGTGTTGACTTGAGGGATCTTCGTCGATCACGTTGACCTTTTGATGTCTGTAAGCTCGCTTCATAGTCGATGAGACACTGAGAAGACAACACGTGAAGCACTTGAGTTGATTTCACGTCACAGATGGTTCGATAAATCTGGGCTCGCTCAGTCTGAGCAACAATTTGCCCAGAATGCACGTCAATCTTTAATCCTTTCACAAGATCTAAAAGATCTTGTAACATCTTTCGCTGGTCTTTATGCTCCGCTTGATTCGTATTGCCCGCCCCTTCGACAGTCTTGCGGATAGCGATAACTTCGTTATGCATATCGCGCTGCTCGGCGTGACTGCCAGCCGTTGCTTCGGCCATGATACTACTAGTGATGCGAGACATCTCTTCAAGAATGTCATCCAAGTATAGGCCGGCCGGTTTTGTCACAGCGTGGATTGCTCGTTTGAAAGATCCTTCTTCATACCATTTGAGTGCTCGAAGGAGAAACTTTATTATGAAAGCGTAGAGTGTAGCAACCATTCGTCGAAGAGATTCTGTCGGATATAGGATGGAGACCAGTTCAACTCGTGGGAGAGCATCCGCGATATCGAGGAGGCTATTTGCGATTACCGAGCCCGTCTTTTTGTGCTCCACAACAGCCTTTAGAGAACGAGAAGTTAGAAATGACCCAAAGGTCGGAGCTTGAAAGGATCTTACTCCAATCAACAATTTCATCGTTCCCCACGCTAAGCAAACATACTCGGGATGATGTTGCACAAAGACGTCCATGATATTCCCATAGAAGTGTATCCTTTCCGAGACATGCTCAAGATGTCTTCTCATCTTTGAATGTGTCCGATCCTGATTGTAATGTTGCCTTGCTTGGTTGACCGCACTGATAAGGTCGTCCAATGTCGTTGCATTGATGCTTTCCAAGCGATTTTTCTTGTTGATATCCTTGGTACCTTCTCTTTCAAAGATGCCCTTTGCCTCTTGGAAGGCTATCTCGGCGGATTCAAATGCATGCGAGCTGTGCTTTATCAGTCTATTGTCACGCGATAGGCTCGCTTCTGTGCGCGTACCGGCTTGGCATGTACCAGTCGCGATATTGTGCAGTTGCCATCTTGTATGTCGACTAGCCTGGGATATCTATTTCACATCGAGTATTCTTCGCCTTTGAGTGTAAAACTGCGGATTAGGATTGAATCCAAATGGAGACAAAATATGCTCACTGCAGGTTAACCGACTATCTTGGCCCCCATTCTGCCTGATTGCGACCCGCCTCATGTGACGGGTCTTGCATAAAAGGTGAGGCTGAGGCTCCAACTCAGCCCCATTCCCATTCACCCCACTTGACCGCCAGTTTATAAGGATTCACTCATACAGCTCTCAGTGACACAGCTCTGAGGTAATTTGCTAAGAGATACTACTGGAAATCAATTGGATTTGAAGAACGACAGACTTCAATGGCGGAGCCCCTAGGTCTGGTGGCACCAGATTTGATGGCACGCTTCGATCCCCGTGCCAATCTAAAGATCGACGGCAGTCACCAGCAAGGTGATCACTCGGAGCCATCAGAGTCCCCCCATTTGACAATCTCAGAGGATAGGACTGATCGGGCTGCGATCGAGAAACGAAACCTTTCAGCTCTATGCCGTGAAGCACCGGAAGCAGAAGACGACCGTGCAACCAGAACTGCTAGAATCCAATCTCTTTTAGAGAATGAGAAACACCAGCAGAGAATGCGAGAGACCGAGCTAGAGATGGAGCAACAGAGGAAGGTGCGGGGAAAGGGGACAGTGCGCCGAGCACAAGAAATAGCACGCCCAAAACGAGAAGATAGACGCCAGTACATGGAGTACCCGAGGACCCAAGCTGCAAATCGAACAGCAAACCTTCTCCCAACCACGGTTAACCACAACATATTTGCAAGTCCCTCGAACTCCAACCGAGCTGTTCAGTCACAGCTGTCGCAACCTGGCACGAATAATGGCCGCCTGCCGACAGAGGAAGTTCAGGCATTGCGAGAGCAGATGGCGCTCTTGGAAGCAAAACTCAACCAGTACGAATCGAAAAGTAATGCTCCAGGCGCCTCTAGATTTGAATTTCTCTATCGCCTGGGTCGTGGCACTCGAGAGGGGGATGGAGAAGATGACTCAACTGACGAGGAACCGGATCCCAGAATATTTTCAGACCCGCCAGAGATTGCATATGGTCAAAATGGAGCTGGCCATGTCCGGTGTAATCTACCACTTCGAGATTTGGACCTTTTTCTCGCACAAAACAGCGATATATCGTTCGTTGTATTCCGCGACTATCAGAGATGGCACCTACCTGGCGACTTTGGGACAGGACACATACTCCAAGTACCGGAGCCTTTTTCTGAAAGCATTTATCCCGTTGCAAATGACCTCAAAGTTGCCCTGGATGTGCTGTTTTACGAAACTCCAATGTTTAGGGACATACAAAGTCAATACGACTCCACTGGAGAGATATTCGCTCCCTATCATTTCTTATACCACAGCCGAAAGGATCTGGAGGGCATCAAGATAAATCTGGACGAAAGGGTCAGAGAACAGCTGGATCTTTTGCTGAAATATGTCGAGGAGAATTTTGGCCACGAGTATGGCGTCGTGGACTCGCTTCTGAAAGAAGAGAAAATCACTCCCGACTATATCAACTACCTTTTCAAACCGGGCGACATTATAGTTGAGGCAACGGGACAGGATTACACTGGATACATTGCAGAATCATGGGTAATTGATGGGCAGCGTGGTCCCAACCAAAAGGATACGCAGAGGATGTCTGAGAGGCTACACCAGTTTCCTACCATCCCAACCAACGACAAGGAATACGGTCGACGAAAAGGATTTCTTCAGCACCCGAAGACGGCTAAAAGCAAAAGTGCTATCCCGACGACTACAAAAAGCTTAAAAGCCTGGACTCTCAGTTTCGATGGAGACTTTCGTCGAACGTATAAGACTTTGCAAATTGACATCCCACACGGGAAGCCCACAACAATAATGAAGAGACCCGAGGAAGACAATGAGTATCGAAATATCATGGACGAAGCTCAATCGATTTGTTCTCTCAATGTGTTTCCATTGGAATACGCACCCGATCTCGTCCTCAATCTTCTGAAACGAAGAGGAAACACTTTTTGGAAATGCCGTAGCAGAAGGCTGGTATCGTACCATGGCAAGAGGAGCGGCGAGGGTGTAGATATGGTGAGCTCAGGCTGTTAAACATGATTATGCCGTACTGACTGGATAAAGACAGACGAAAGATACATGATTGACATGGAGACCTACAAGAAGCTTCATCCCTCTGATAGAAGTGACCCCACAAACCTGCCACAGGACTTGCATACAGAAAGTATCAATGAACCAGAGGGCAAATACCTGTTTCTGCTTCCTCCTTATATCAAGGGGTATAATCTGAGACACAAGAAGTGGTTTGAAATTTCCGCTGATGGCATATCGGATGTAAAGTGGAATCGAGAGGCGTTCCAAAGCCTTGTCATTGAGCGCAAGTCAAAGGAGTTAATTCAAGCTTTAGTCACTAGTCAGATTGAGGCTGAACAGGCAACCGACCTGATTTCTGGAAAAGGCAACGGTCTAATTCTACTGCTTCATGGTGGGCCTGGAACTGGAAAGACCCTAACTGCTGAAAGTGTTGCCGAAATCGCCGAGAAGCCACTCTACCGTGTGACCTGCGGTGACGTGGGCACACAAGCAGAGCAAGTCGAAAAGTACTTAGAGTCGGTGCTTTATCTTGGGCGAATCTGGGGCTGTGTGGTGCTGTTAGATGAGGCCGATGTTTTCCTCGAGCAGCGTAGCCTTGAGGATCTGGAGCGCAACGCCCTTGTGTCGGTCTTCCTGCGAGTCCTCGAGTACTACGACGGTATCCTAGTCCTGACCAGCAATCGGGTCGGCACATTCGATGAAGCCTTTCGATCTCGCATCCAACTTGCACTTCATTACCCCAGCCTCGGTCCTGAGCAACGATTTCGAATTTGGTCAACTTTCATCGACAGACTCAGCAAATTGTCGACTGATGAGGAGATTGATATTGATGATTTGAAAGACCATCTGTCTGTTTTGAAAGAAGAGACAATGAATGGAAGGCAGATCAGAAACGTGATCACGACTGCTCGGCAGTATGCCAAATGGAAGAAAGAGCCTCTCACATACCAGTATCTCAAAGATGTCATCGAGATATCTGGACGATTTGATAGTTATCTCGACAAGCTCCATGGTGGGTTCTCAAACGATGAGATTGCACAGGATGACGGGTTACGACTAGCAGAGCAGTAACAGTAAAGTTGATACATTTCAAGGGTCTTGTTCCTCCACAGCAAATGTCAGCTCGGTGGACAAACTAGGTCTTGTGAGTATGAATTCTGCTTCATTTTCCTCACCATTTCTGTTTTCCCTTCGTGTCTTTCTCGATGCCTTGTTATTTCTATCTATGTGTCATTACCAGTTTCCAGCGCGAGGTGGCCCACAATTAAACGAAGTCGTAGCTTTGGGCGAAAACGCCAACTTCACAGCTCGAAGGGCAGCAGGTGTTTGATTGATCTTGTGTTCTATATTCTTAACGAACCCCAGGTTGCTCAAAAGCTCCGAGTGAATGAAAACTAAATCTGATGAATCCGAACCAGAATAATGAGCTTAGCGTCATTTAATTGTAGAGACCACCATTAGCTGACAGACAAGAACCAGTTGTCCATCTGGCATCATCACTGCAAAGGAAGGCCACTAGAGGTGCAATATCATCAACTTCACCAACTCGAGGGGCAGCGGGTGTTTCATTAATCATAGGTTCCATATCCTTAATGAACTGCGGGTCACTCTGGAACCATTGATCTGGCGAGATGGGAAAATCAGCGAGAGTAGCTTTCCGAAATTGGAAGAATATCTCTTACCGGTTGCAACAGGGCCTGGGTTAACACAATTGACAGTAATACCGTGGGAATGACCTAGTTCCTTTGCCCAGACGCGAACAAGGGCCTCGTTGGCTGCCTTGGTTGGCCCATATACAGTGTGTCCAGCAACACCAAGACGTGCAGCAGCGGAAGAAATAAAGACAATGCGTCCCCCACGAGGCAAGTGAGGAAGAGCCTCCTTTGTGAGGAAAATTGGACCACGAACATTGCAGTCAAAGTGAGTTGTGTACAGTTCAAGCGAGGTATCGACCAAATTTGCCTCTAACCCAAGAGCAGCACTATATTACGTTAGCTGGCGGGAAACATGGATAGATCGCAGGCAAGATGAGTGGTAGCCCAACCTACTTATGAATCAAGATCTCGATCTTTCCAGTCTCGCTAATCTTCAAAGCCGCCTCAATCAATCTTGGAATCTCGTCGAGCTTCATGACACTGGCTTGGCAGAGTATAGCTTTGGTTCCAATTTTGGTGATTTGATCAACAATTTCTTGAGCTCTATCCTTGCTTCCTTCGGAAACATAGTTCACTACAACATTAGCACCTCGCTTGGCAAGCTGAAGGGCAATGCCGGCACCGATTCCTCTGTGATAATTTTAGCCACTCAGTCTATTGGGATGGAAAGACATTTATCATGTTACCTGGAGGATCCTGTGACAATGGCCGTCTTGCCCTTGAGTGAAACACCAGTGAAGTCAGACATTTTCTGTAGTAGTAGTGAAGGAGGCCCGTGTTGGGATTGAAGCTAAAGGATCTTATCGGGATCAATGGTTGTCAAATTCTACAAGCTCGCCTATGCACAAACTCCTATATATAGACGTTCAAGGCCTCTCTATCTTCCAAATACCCCACCCACTCGATGGCTATATGGAGGCTCCTCATTTGAGGGGATTTCTACCTGCTAAACAGGGCAAGCTATTAGCTAAACCATGGGGGAGGAGGTAGTGGGTCCGGTCGCGGAGGCCGTTGCTTATCGCCATTAGTCCCACTACGTCCCACCTTCCTATTCAGGTAATGGGAGAGAAGCTCCGTGATCGCAGGAAAACTGGCCACATGACAGTTTTATCGTATTGATAGACTGAAAAGCTTGATTCAGGCATACATTTACTTTCGGGGAAATTGTGAGGTTGTATCTGGCGAATTTGGTCGATTTACAACCACTAAACATTTCGTTTATCGATTCACTATTCAGCCTATGATGATACTTGCGCGCGGAAATGTGTCTGGAATGTTTTCAGATACCAATTGAGAGGACAGATGATTTGTATCTGGTAGATAAAACTGCGAACACGGCGAGAGATGAGCTCGTGAACGTCACGGCTTCATATAATGAAAATGGGAACGAACCCTCTTTGCCATCCATACGTACGGAATAAATACGCCTGAGCGGCCTGCTAGATGCACTGCATCGCGGCTTGGAGATATTTTGACTTCTAATGTGCATGATTCAAAGCCAATAAAAACCCATTGAAGTATAAGGTAAAATCTAACTATCTAAAGATTGATTACGTCGTCATAGATGATTTTTTCCACACAATCAGAACAACCCAGCACTTCTAGATCTGTATTCAGAAGATATCAGCTTGTTGGATCCCCAGTTAGGGAAGGAAATACACATACCGCCATATGGTAATATTTGAGAGGCGATGATTGCACCAATTCCATTTTCACGATCTGCAAACCAGAAAAGATTGGCGAGCCCTTCCCACGAGCCCGAGCCTGCTGCTCTCCCAGTCGTGCTCTTGGTATGACTTAATGAAAAAGACAGACCCCACCCTTCAGTAAGATTGTCCGCACAGAGTACCAACGGACAGGGGTTGGCAAGGTCAGGTTTACCCGACGGAGTACTCTCGTTGCAATATCGCGGCATGGTCGGAATTTGGTCGATGAACATCTCTACGGTAAAATGAGCGACAAAAAATCGGCGTGAAAAACAGGATCGCCTACCTTTCACAGTTTCGGGCTTTAAAATCCTCGCACCCGTATTTGGACTTAGCCCGTCATTCAAAATTGTTGCAATAATCCCTTTGAAGTAAAAGTGTTAGCATGGAAAACAGACGCGCAAGGGTTACCCTATCGACGCACTGCAGTAATCAATCGGCTTCCCAAAACAGCCAGCTCCCCCCATACAAAAACGGCCCACTTGGGAATTTGATGGAAGCAACGGATATCTGTAAAGGTGGTCACGAATGATTAGTGTTCCATCGGGTGCACGGGAGTGCATGTAGGCCATCTTCGCCTTTGATTCCTCGCCCGGGAAGAACGTAATGCTTTGGATATCCAGCGGCCGCAGTATGAAAGTTTGAAAATACTCTTCAAGACTCAGACCAGTCACGCGCTCGACCAGTATTCCAACCCAGTCGAGTCCCACGCCGTACTGAAACTTGGTTCCTGGCTGATTGACTAACGGCCCGTGTAGAACGTCTTTTGGGTTGCCAGAGAAGTCGTCAATGCCAACAGGCTGCGACCAATCCCTTAATTTTATGTCTTCAAAAGCGTAGCCAAAGCCAGCTATAATTTGCCGAAGTCTGGAATTAGTGCCAAAGACAGAAACACTCATGCATAGGATGTCTTCTTACACGTGTGATTAAGCAGCATCCGAAGAGTAATGCTTCTTTCCTTCGGATCCAACCGAAATCCATCTTTTCCATTGCGTGTCAGGACCTTGACCATTTTCAGCTCCGGCGCAAGTGACTCCAGCTGGGTGCTATCATCCAGAGTAAGCTTTCCTTGTTCGACGAGCTGCATGCATGCAATGCTCGTAATCAGCTTTGTGCAGGACGCTAGCCAGAATATAGTATCCATGGTCATGGGCGACCCTTGATTTAAGCCTGTTTGGCCAGAGGCATGGCTAAAGAGAACATTACCAGTCCTGTCAACTGCACAGTATACAAGACCTGGAATTCGAGGAGCTTGGTCACTGGTACGCCTGTCAATTTCCAAGCGCGCCGTAGCATCGGCAGTAACGGACAGCTGCAGGGCCATGTTAATCTCGGGCACTGTAAGGGTATCTGATCAAAATCAAGTGAATAAGATCTGCCTTGAGCAACATAGTCTCGATTGTGCCTATATTTAATTCAAACACTTGAGGCTGGGGGGCTTGGCCCGGCATCGGAACAAGCTGACCCAACCTTCCTAATTAGGAAGGCGAGTTGTCATACTCGAGGAAAAGTTTCGATAGTTCCATCTCCTACTAGTCAAAGAAGAGAAGAGACAGTGCGAATGGTAAAGAGGGCCTTATATTTACTCCTGCAATGATCTTTGAGAATCGTAATTCCTGCACGGAGCTTTTCTGCATTTTCATCAATTAACCTCGCGCGGGTCTTCGCTACCTCACTCACTATACCGATACTTGCAGCTTTCACCGCAGTAACATGTAAGTATCTTCATGACACTTCGAAATCATGATTTATATAACTTATATGATACACAGAGGACAATGACCGATATGAGTGCAGATACCATCTCTGTCCCGGCGCAGTGGCGAGCGCAGCATCCGACAACGCCGCACCTCACGGGCCTGCTCGATTACCACACACTCTACAAAGAATCAATTCATTTCCCCTCTACATTTTGGGCAAAACAGGCCCGCGAGCTTCTTTCCTTCACGCAGGACTTTCATACCACGAGTATTGGCTCCCTCGAGAATGGAGACAACGCGTGGTTCGTGGGCGGAGGACTGAACGCGTGCTTTAACTGTGTTGATCGACACGCTATCCAAGATCCACATCGTGCTGCGCTCATATATGAGCCTGATGATCCTGCGGACGGTAGCCGGATCATCACATACGGCGAACTACTTCGACATGTCTCGCGGCTGGCGGGGGTGCTTCGTGGACGAGGAGTGAAAAAGGGTGACATTGTTACTATTTATATGCCGATGATTCCCGAGGCCGTCATGGCGGTTTTGGCGTGTGCTAGAATCGGGGCTGTCCATTCAGTTGTTTTTGCTGGCTTCTCAGCTGAGGCTCTTGGCGATCGCATCCAGGATGCAAACTCGGCTGTCGTCATTACTACTGACGAGGGCCGTCGGGGTGGAAGGACCATTTCGACTAAGCGTGTCGTTGATGAAGCAGCTCGTGAATGTCCTCAGGTCACAACTGTGCTAGTCTATAAGCGGACGGGGGCTGACATTCCTTGGATGGCGGGGAGAGATCTATGGTGGGATGAGGAGATGAAGCAATATCCTGCCTACACACCTCCTGAAGTCATGGATTCGGAGGATTACTTGTTCCTGCTTTATACATCCGGTTCAACTGGGAAGCCAAAGGGAGTATTCCACAGCACTGCAGGATATCTTTTAGGTGCGGCAGTTACAGGCAAGTATGTCTTTGACATTCACCCACAAGATCGTTTCTTTTGTAGTGGTGATATTGGTTGGATCACCGGACATACTTACGTGGTTTACGCTCCCCTCGCGCTGGGGTGCACGTCAATAATCTTCGAAGGAACCCCGACATACCCAAGCCATACTAGATTCTGGGAGATCGTTCAGAAACATGCCTGTACACACTTCTATGGTGCTCCGACGGCCTTCCGACTCTTGAAAAGGTCCATTGCCAAGGAAAATCTTCAGAATATCGATACCAGCCAATTGCGTGTGCTTGGCTCGGTGGGGGAGCCCATTGCACCTGAGGTTTGGAAGTGGTACTACGACTTCATGGGAAATGAAAATGCAGTAGTAACCGATGTGAGACTAAATCCTGATGAATACGGAAGACGTCTCAGGATAAGAAAGTGTTGATCTGCTGACTTTCTTGTTCTTTTTGCAGACTTACTGGCAGACCGAGACTGGGTCACACATCATTGCCGCCTGCGCAGGAGTCACTCCAATGAAACCGGGAAGCGCAACGCTACCATGCCTCGGTATTGATCTTGCCATCATTGACCCGGTGACTGGGGAAGAATTGAAAGGTAACCAGGTCGAGGGCGTGCTGGCTATAAAACAGCCATGGCCGTCGATGGCACGCACCATACGCGGAAATCACGATCGATACATGGACAGTTATTTCAATGTCTACAAGGGCTACTACGTATGATAAGTCGCCAGACAGAGATGATGCAGAGCTTCAGCTGATAGTCATATTCAGTTCACCGGCGACGCGGCATTCCGTGATCAAGACGGATACTATTGGATTCGAGGACGAGTTGACGACGTTGTCAACGTATCTGGCCACCGTCTTTCTACTTCGGAGATTGAAGGTGCCATCATCGAGCACCGTGAGTTTGATTTCCTAGTTACTAAAACGTACCCGTGCCGTGACTGCATACTGAGAACCTTCAAGCCGGTGTTGCCGAAGCTGCGATAATTGGTGTACCAGACGAACTGACTGGCCAAGCCATTAATGCCATTGTATCCCTCAAGAATGACCAAACACCCGAGACGACTGCGAAAGAGTTGGTCATTAAGGTACGCACGACCATCGGGCCGTTTGCTGCCCCAAAGAAGGTCTTGGTCGTAAGAGACCTCCCTAAAACAAGAAGTGGGAAGATTGTCCGGCGTATCTTGAGAAAAGCGCTGACTGGTGAAAATGAATTTGGTGATACTTCCACGGTGAGTTATACCCCGCGACCTTCATGTGAATATTGGCAATTTGTTGACATCAAAACAGTTGGCCGATCCTAGCGTTTTGGACGAAATTCTGGAGGCTGTCGCATCGAGCTAGCTTCCAGGAACACTTAGTGCAAAATTTCTAAATGATCACGTCGGAATTAGGCATATTTAAGGTGGAAAAATAGAACAAGTCTAGCATATTCATTGAGAATGTCGGAGCATGCAAAGAAAGTGGCGTTTAATCGGCCATCTGCGACACCGAGAAAAGTCATAGACTGAAATTCAATATGATCGAGTGAAATATAAGGTATATTGTAACATGAAAAAGTTCGAAATATTTTAAGAATAAAGTGTGTAGATAGAAATCCTCGACGCAAAAAGTTAACAATGCGGCATTATGACGCAATTTATTCAAGTAAATGATATCTAACCATGAAAGATCACACCCTCAGCGGCTAATTCAGCTCGCATGTTCGGAACCACAATTTCCTTAACCACCACATTTGTCCAAGTGGGTGTGTGACCAGGGAACTTCCGTTTGAATACTTGCATCATGCTTGCTTCATCTCCAGCGCTAGTTAAGTACCCAACTAGCTTATACGCTTCTCTTAAGCCATTCAAAACACCGGCATACTTCAAGGCAGCATCAAGGCAATCTAAAACAGCCTCAAATTCAGCCTCGGCAGAATGGTTCACAAGATTTCCTGTCTTCAAGTCCAGGCCGATATGGCCAGTGGTGAAAACGAGTGAGGTTGTTGGAGAGACTGGGACTGTAGCGGTGGTTGCTAGAGATGATGGTTTCAGGCATTCACCCACTGGACCAGGGAGATTTTTGTAGGTGATGGTTGTCATTTTCTGGTCTTAATTAGTGTCGTGAAAGCGATGCTGTAACCTTAGAGACGCAAATACTGACAGGGGTGTGTAACGCAGTGTGTCTTTGTGTACTTGAATGTTTTTGTGGGATCAGTATGCTTGAAGAAGGGGGGGGGGGGGGCCTCTTTATCTAGTCAAATCCATAGATAGTTCAAGGATAAATGTCATGCAATGAAAGTGCGGGTGTCGAACTCACTTGCCGCATGAGGCAAATTCACAACGGCGGGAAGTCCCCACTCAGTCTAACCCAAGTATAAATCTACCCCGGCGACCGTGGTGCTTCTTGTCTTTCTGCAAGACAGCCTTCTTGATCTCGTTCAAGGCTACAATAATCGGCTTTACTACTCGAACATGGCTCCTACTTTAAAGAAAACCCAAGATGGCTACTCATGGACGGGCGCCACAGGAGTGCGCAAAGGCGGACTGCGTTGCAGAGGAGTCATTGAACCCAGCGAGAAAGTCACCACACCAGCTGGATACATTCATGATGCTATTGTCATAGGGGCCGGATACGCCGGCTTGATGGCAGCTCGTGAAATGACCGACCGTGGTAGGTGATCCAGCGGAAAGGAAGAGGGGCAGTGAGAGCGTTCGGCTGACTTAGTTATGTAGGACTTTCTGTTCTGTTACTTGAAGCTCGCGATCGTGTGGGCGGTCGTACATATACTGTCGACGCTGATGGTAAAAAAGTCTGCCTTCCTGAACTATGAATATGTGACTCACTGCATGAAGGCATTCTTTACGAAATGGGAGGGACCTGGGTCACTCACCACATGGCCTTCCTGTTCAAAGAAATGATTCGTTATGGAATGGATCGTGACCTCATAACTACGCATCATAGCGGATTTGACAACGATTACTATACGCTGGATATCCCCGGTAAGGTTCCCAATAATAAGCATTTAGTCGCATGAATACTAATGATAAAACATCAGGGGTAACCCCAAGAAAGCTCTCTCATGAGGAAGCTGGAAAAATCGCGGCAAGGGGCTGGGACATCTTTGTCAATGTAGACGGAGAGAACTGTCGAAGGATATGTCCACTTCCGCATGCCCAGCTTGAGAACATTCTCACAGACAGAAATGAGGTAGAGAGATACGACAAGATTTCATGCCGTGAACGTTTCGAGGCTATCAAACACTTACTTACAGCCGAAGAGGCGGGAGTGCTTGTTGCTTTGTTGCTCCATATCTCGGGTGGCACTATGGAAAATTCCAGTCTATGGGATATGATCCGCTCCCATGCTCTCATGTCCTATAGCTCGGATAATTTTGGCCCTATCTGGACTACTTTCAAACTTCGAGAAGGGCAGTCCGAACTTGCGACTCGGATGTTCCAGGATGCAGTGAAGCACGGCCTGCAGTACGATTTCAAAACCCCGATCACAAGTATCAAAGACCATTCAAACGGACAGACTCAATTGGTCGAGGTGAGAACTAACTCTGGGGCAATTCATCGGGCACGTCGCGTTGTGAGCACTGTTCCTCTCAACGCTCTGCGCACTATCCACTTTGAGCCTCCGCTCTCACCCAAACGCCAAGAAGCCCTTGAGATTGGACATGTGAATTTCATGACCAAAATCCATGCTGAAGTAGAGGGTCCAGGATTGGCTTCATGGAATGGAGTCAAGTATCCCAATCTCCTTATGTTTGGCTACGGAGACGGTGTCACCGAGAATGGCAATGCCCGTATCGTTGGCTTCGGGAAAGATGAGAGGGCTACCTACGTTCCCGAACATCATCCGGAACGAACTATTGATGCCTTTGAGAAATTACATCCGATGACAGTCAAGAAAATGGTAGTTCCTTGTACACACCCTCAAATTAAATTTCGCTAATGAAGACTAGGTATTCCACAACTGGGTCACTGACCCTTGGTCTCGGGGTGGTCCAGCCTGGTGGACGCCAGAGTATATGACAAAGTACCAGGACGAGCTACAAAGCCGTCATGGCAATGTCCACTTTGCTTCGGCAGACTGGGCGAATGGCTGGCGGGCTGCGATTGATGGCGCCTTGGAGCAAGGCTTCATTGCAGCCCAGGAAATTGCCAAGGAACTTCGAGAGACTCAGGCTCGCTTCACTGCGAAGATCTAGGTTTGGACGGTGGTCTTACTATGTATCAATTTTTCTTTCTCGCACTACAAAATATATTTTTATGGTATTTCTTTAGTGGAACGAGTCAGCTTCCTTGATCGACTATTTCGAAGCGTAGCAACTAGTTCATTTGCCGATGAGCCTCACATAATTCGCACCAGATTACTAGGTATCCAAATGCTGTCCTTATTGCTCCGTGGCAAGTATCACGTTGTCGAATTTGTTGCCCCTTGAATGCCCCGATCAGGTTTCCAGCCCATGGTGCTATGTAAACCAATCTGTAAAGCAGAGGAATGCACATAGCCGACTGAGGCGTCTACTCTGGAGCTAATCACAATGATTATTTCGTGATAAGTGGAATCAAATTAGAGTCTGTGCTGAAGTTTCGTGCGCCATAGCTCGTACTACTGCCATTTTGGGTAACTAAGAAAGCCCCACTTCTATACTTAAATAGGAATGTGAGGCAGCATGGTGGAGTCGCTTCTCCAAATACAAACGCGCGGAAAAACTTCGGGGTTGGCCGTGCTACCTGATGCGGAAGCTCATTCCACGGCATAAACGGCTGGCGGCAGTGTTCGGCAAATTATCGCTGAAACCAAGGCAAGAGTGGGACTATGTAGAATGCACGGAGTACTTATTTATCCTCGGTGGTTCAGAAATATTGAGTTGAGGACAGTTTGGAAGCATTCTTATCACCAACCCGACCACAATGGCTGCGACCGGGAAGCGTCCCGAGATCATTGAGCTTTCCCGCGATCTGCGTGGTGTCCCGCAGTGCGAGGATTACGAGCGTATGATTTCAGGGATGATGTATGTATAAGCCTCACTGACTGGTAATGTCAAATAGAATATTGATACTGATAGGATCAAGGTATAACCCAAACATGCCCAAGTTGCTTGAGGCACGTCACCTCTGCCGTGGCTTGACTCGCGACTACAATGACTTGGACACGAAGACCGTTCCATACGACCAAGTTTTTGAGAAGCGACTCGAATTACTCCGCAAACTGTGCGGAAAAGTCGGAGATGGCACCTTCGTGGAGCCTCCGTTCAGACCAGATTATGGCTGTAATATGATTATCGGAAGCAATTGCTTCATTAACTGGAAGTGGGTGTCCCACGCTACCGATATCGAAGCTTGCATGCTAATTTCAAAACCAGCTTGACTGTCTTGGATACAAGCCTCGTGGTTATTGGAGACAGAGTTCAAATTGGCACAGGCGTGAGCCTTCTGACTGCCGGGCACGATACTAGTATACTTTCCCGTCAGAAGTTCGTCGAGTTTGGACACCCAATTTTCATTGAAGACGATTGCTGGATTGGTGCCAATGTGGTTATTTTACCTGGTGTTCGTATCGGAAAGGGAAGCACAATCGGGGCTGGGTCAATTGTCACCAAAGACATTCCTGCATTTTCAGTTGCAATTGGCGCTCCTTGTCGGGTGAGGAAGACTATTCAATCTGCAGAGGAGGAGGAGCAAGACCCTGAAAATCCCTATCGCCACCTATCACGCGAGCATTAGAATGGTATTACAGGTATATCACCGTGTTTTAAGAGCATGCAGTATATAGACCTGAAAGTTCGTTTTGAAGAGAAATTTCACACCGTAATACATGGATAAAGTAAGGGCGAGCCCCCGCACGCTTGCTCCACCATCCATCCATAGACCCGTAGCCCCTAGAGTCTGTTCTGGAAGGCTGGCGGTGCTAGATGGAAGTCACGAGGAATATGCTATAAGCATTGGTCGGCTTCTGAAAATAGTATCGCTTATCAATGCTAAAGTCTAAAATGGGATTCCACAGTATATATAAGACCCAATCTAGCAAGAGAGGCCAATCCACTTTTCTTTTACCATCAACGGAAGCTGGGGAGACACGACCACGCTCAGCCACCTCCATTCCCACAATGGAAACATCCAAAGGATCTACCGCCAAAGGAAAGAGAACCAACTCACTCGCATTTGCCCAGACTGACTGCCACACTTGTGCCCGAGTCGGGGACCAGTGCGACCGCCGGCGGCCGCAATGCACAACATGCCTTGATCAAGGACGCAAGTGTGGTGGCTTCGCAACATCACTCTCTTGGAATTCAAAGCGCATGCTGTCTACAAATTCATCATCTAGACAGAAACAAGTCACCAGAGAATCATCTGCTGTCGCCGATGTTGCATCATGTTCTTCCACCAAGCCAGCTCCTCTTATGGCCCCTGATAGACCAGTCCCACCCCTTCGGTTTCGATTCGTGGGCGATCCATCTAGGTCGAAAAAGCGTCGCACCACACCCACTTCTGGGGAAAATGAGATGACTGAGCACAGGCCAGATGTACATGAAAATACCATCGATTGTACAGACGGGCTAGTACCTATTACGGCAGGTGAGAATGCTGAGACGGAAGATCATACCCAGGCCGTGCATGCAGACAGTGAATTAGGTGTGTGCTTATCGTGTCTATTCCTGGCGCGGAGTCCAGGGGCGTTGAATCACCATTAACACTCGGGGTGCCAGACGACGGGGATCTGTTCATTCCTAATGATTTCGATCTATATTCCACTATACCATCCATATTCGGCTCAGCGTCCTGGCTTGACTTTGGGGTCCCGGAACCCCCTCTCTTGGATAGCCCAGGCTCCATACCATTGCTACAATCAACATCATCTGGCCCAGAGAGAGCAATTCATTTCATGGCCGATGAAGCCTTACACGAAGACTCACCGATGCATGACTCTGATCCCATTTTCTCTGCCATTTCGGAAAGCGGAATCATGTCCACTGTGGACACAGTGCCGAGCCATGCTGTCCCCACCGCTACAGTGATTCGGGATATATCCGCAAAAGACCATGATTGGCTTTTTGAGATGTGTATGGATCATCATAGCCTTATTCTTAATGCAACGAGTTATTTCAAAGCTAATTGGGAATAGATGATTCTGAGTTCTGTGTCCTGCCGCTGACGTCGGATACTGCCATCAATCCCTTTCGTTGTAAGCCCCAGACATTGCAGGGATCGCGTCTTCTTTTCCATGCTGTCCTGGCGTTATGTTATCGACATTTGCATACTATGACCTCTAATTGGTCGGAAGAGATGATCAAGCATCGTGGCAAGGCTACTCAACTGTTAGAGACTGCATTGGCGAGTATCCAATCACGGGAATGTTTACATTTGCTGGAGCCGATATTAATTCTGTTTACTTTGGACGTGAGTGTCCATGGAATTCTTGATCACTTTTGAATTTCTCTTTCTTAACCAGGCGTTCCAGTGCACTCTGTCCGCTACCGGGCATTGGTCCAGTCACCTGGAACGTGCACATACAATGCTCCAACTTTGTGGCGGCCCTAGCTCCCTTACCGCACCACGCCAGCGATCACAGGTTGGTATGTTAGTCTGGTAAGTTATGTGTCACCCATCATAAAAAGTTCACTTTATAACCATGTTGTAGGTGGGATGCAACGGTTGCCTTGATTTCTCGCCGATGTCCTATTATGGACCGTTCGTATCTAAATTACCTGGTACGATGGGAGAAGCATGATAAGTGGTCTTTTTTTGACCTAACTGGCTGCCCCCGGGAATTACTTGTACTTCTTTACAACCTGGCTGAACTGGCTCGCCAAAGCGAAATTGCTTCATCGATGAAGTGGTTGACCTTTAACTTGGCCCCAATTATTGAAGCTGAAGAGAGCTTAAATCAATGGCAAAATAAACTAGACCCTATGCAACAAGAGCAGGATCCTGATCTTTCCGACACCGACGCGGCCAAACAGCTCCACGAACAGCAGGATCGATTTCACTGCGCCGAAGCATGGCGATGTGCCCTTCTTCTCTATATTGAGTCTGTGTTCAAACGGGACCTGCAAAACCGTTCTTTCACACTCAACTGGCTGGTTCGGAGAACATTAGATCATATCCGATGCTGTCGACGAACATCACAAACACAAAAGCAGCTCCTGCTTCCTATATTTCTGGCCGGGAGTGAGACCTCGGATGAGGATATGCGCAGCTTCGTAAGGGAGTATTGTGCATATTGGACACAAAAGAGTCGATATAGCATGTTTAACTCCGTCCCAACCATATTGGATGAGATTTGGACCAGCGGAAAATGGTGGGGGACTGTCATCGACAATAGGAGTAGATCAACGTCTTCTGGACTAGAAAGGCCCATGACGCAATTGCTGTTTGGCTAATGGTTCGATTTCTATCTTTTGAAATTATTGATATGGAAAGGTCACATTTGAAGATAAGTGAGTTGTTACTGCGTGCCAAGCTTCTTCAAACTAGCCACTTGAATTCACAAACTTTATTGACAGTCAACACAAAAGTGCCTTTCGCATATCGTTCAAATAAAGGCCCATGGAAACCACCAGGCTCCAATTAAGACTAATGAGCAACGGCCGGGGCCATATTCAGAACATCCCAGTCAATGGCAGGGCCGCAAAACTTCCTTCGCCGTTCGATCCAACAAAGAAGAACGATGAAGAATATTCCGGAGATAACGGCAGCGTTACTGGAGATTGCTAGTCAGCAAGCGAGTCAAATTATGACTACTTAAAGTATCGGACTCACTAATTCATGTTGCTTAGAGTTGGAGGGTTGTTTGTTGGGAAGCAAAAAAGCACGCCGCTCAAAACGAGCCATAGTACAGAAAACACATGAACCGAATAGCCATACTTGCCCAAATCAAAATATCGTGGTGGAAGCATGGCTCTGCCTCGGATAGCTAGGATAGCTTGAGGAACGGTATACGTAATGTTCAGCATCAGAACAGCGGTGTTAATAATGGAATTGAAGGCCTGCGTGCTGGCTATATATAGCAGGCCGTAGATGACACAAAATCCTGCAGAGAGGAGAGTGGCTCGAATGGGAATATTGCGTTTTGAGTCGATCTCTGACCAGTAGTCAGAGTATGGCAAGCCGTTCTTTTCAGATAGTCAGTTTGAGGTAGTGGGACATATCATTTTGATATCAAGTGCTTTGAAAGGACTCACGTCACGGGAGAAGGCCCATGTCATTCGACTACTAGTGATCCACTGGCTCGGAACACAAGCTGGAGAGAATTTAGCAAAAGGCATAGTTAGATGGAAGGTAGAAGACGCACTGTAATACAGAATTGTGAGATAGGCCTGAAGAGTGGCGGCAGCAGCTTTACTGCCCGTGGCTTGGTAAAAGAGCTCAAGACTGGGTAGAAAGGCATTCTGTACAGCCTCCATGTCTTGAATGACAGCTGTCATGGCAATAATCCAAGGTACAAGGGTAAAGACTCCCAGGATAATGGTCAAGTTACTGTAAGATGTTAGTCACATGCAAGAAATGGAGTCCACATCGCAGGCAAACACACATTACCAGAGGGACTTTGCGACCGGGGCTTGGAATTTCCTCCGCGATATGCACACATGCTCCAGCAGCCGCAAATGCATATTCTCCGTTGCCAATACCTAATAGCCAGCCTAGCCCAGGACCCCAACCACTTGTTGATCGATACTCGACGAGGCTGCTGGGATGGTATGTTCCTCTGCCCATGACGAGACAGACAATCACCACTAACACAAAGCCAACGATGGAGAGAAACATTGCAGTCTTGGTCATGTTTTCGATGCGTTGCTGTGGAATGATAAAAATTGGAAGCACTGTAAATTGTCAGATATTGACTCATATCCTCGCATCAAAGTCTCTTACAAGTGAGCAAAATAACCAGCAAGTAACAAAGATAGACCTGCCACTGGGTTCCTGAAAACCCTTCAACTAGGAACTGACAGATTCCAAAGGCAGATATGGCTGTATATATGGTACCGGAAGCAGTATTTACCCACCAGGCAATGACATTGATCGCCCCAACAAGGTAAGCAGAGACAGCCTTATAACCATCTGGAGCAACGATGTATGTAAAATGGTATTGGCCCTGTTTATGATGGTATTAGACTTGGAGCTAGAACCACGTTCCGTTTCACTTACTCCAGACGAGGGAAAAGCAGAGGAAAGCTCGGCAACTCCCATGAGCATAATCCACTGAACCAGTGCTGAGATTATGGGACTGAAAATAGCCACTTGTCCTCCGCCATAACTATATGCCACTCCGAAGCAGGAAGCATATGTTAACCACGAATTGACAATGCTAACATACATTCAGCAAGAATATTGTTTGAAGTTGAGGAAGCACAAACCTGAAAGCAAGGCCAAGTGCTCCCATCCATGAGAAAGATCGCTCAAGCTGTACCTCATGTCCTTGAGCACGCAAAACTGCATCGTCTAAATCCAAAGCTTCCCCAGGGACCTTCTCATCGAGTCGAGAAACAGCATTGTCGTGACTCTTGGTGTTTGCCATGATGTGGGCGGTTTGTGGAAAGACAATTGGGCGGATGAGAGTCTTGGATATAGTGACAGAGCAGCAGGCGGGATTTTTAGAACATCGAAGAAAGGCTTTATCACTGGGACACCGGACCCTAAACCATTATTTCTGAATCGAGTTCGACCAATCATATTTCTTGGGGAGATAATGGGGAGTATGTCGGTCGATAAAGAATTGTGGTCAAGATAAGCCTTATTCCTATGCCATAGGTAAACTAGGGCCTTTCTTGCCGCATACAGTGACTCTGGCAGTAATCAAGACAGGAAAGGTATAAATCGCGGGCGAATGGATTAGAGAAGATCCACAATAAACCACACCCCCTTACCCCAGAATGCGGGGTCATTATGCTGGGGGTGAGTGCCACGGTTCTGCTTCCGAAGGCGTTTTTTGGCCGGTTCATTACCGTATCTCTCCTGCTGTTTCGGGAGATTTAAGATTTAACCCCACCTTTGTGCTCAAAAGTTCGAGACCTACTTATCTCTTTTTTTGTTGTGCGTTGTCATCGCGAATTCGAATTTAGAAACCAGTTCGCTCCCAGGTGAAATCAGGCCGGCGTGATATGACGTCTGTTCAATATTTTGGAATTATCCTGTCTCAATCTACGAAGGGGATGATAATTCCTGGTACTTCTCCACCTCTCCATATTTTTCGATGGATATCTTGGGATGAGCACTCATATCACACTTAACTAAGTCTACTTCGATTCCTCATAAGTTGAATAGACGCCAATCTCTATAATTGAATACGGCTCATCTCAAAGGTACGAGGGGCTGGATGTCGAATCTAGCCAAGCAGATGAAATCATACTCAATCCCTCCCGAAGCCACAAAGTATCCAACGTTGCATCAGCATCAAATCCATGATCGCCGTCTTGTATATAAAGCCGGACTATCACATCGGGGAAAATTTGGCGTAAAAGAGAGACAAATCGCTGAGATCCCTCAACTGGGACTGCCGAGTCCTGCTTTCCATGAAAGATGAAAAATGGAGGTATTTTAGATTCCCCAGAAGTTGCGAGGAGCTTTAATATTTCCATTGGAAACAGGACTGAGGCATTATCCCCGAAGAAGTCGAGGAAGCGGCCATTTTGTACGATAGAAAATGCCAACTCTAGCCGTTCTGGTGGATCTGCAGCTGTGGCCACCATCGGCATGTGCCCGGCCTCAACGCGAAGGAGATGCTCATTTATCACACTACTCGATATATTCGGGACACCAACTATGGGTTTTTCATAGCTTTCCGTGTAGAATTGTGCTCGGAGATCCAGCATCGGGTAGGCAGCGACGACGCCTCGAACCTTGGATGGGTATTTTAGCGCTAACTGAACGGCTAGATAACCACCTTGAGATATATATTTGCTCATCAGCTTTGCAAACTTAGGTACGGTACCGTATAATGTTTTACACTTACCGGCGCTTTCACCAAGTAGTAGCACCCTATGAAGATCGGGGACAATGCTGGAGTGGCCCGTTTCATGCAAAGACTGCAAAAGTCTACCCCCGTGCACCCAATTCCCAAAAAGCATCAATATCTTCCAGGATATCCTTCCCCTTTACTTCAGGAAGTAGGCGATAATTTGGAGACACAATTATTGCCTTGTGACTTAAAGCGTAGTCTAGAATCCAGCTTGAAAACCAGGGGGCATAACGACTTGACCCAGTGACCTGCATTCACAAATTAGAACTCCCATGACATGAAAATTCCGAGCAAAGGAGAAATACATACTAGAAATCCACCATGAATTCGAATCAAGATTGGAACTTTGAAATGTTCATGGCCACGGCACCCAAGAAGGGATTTGGGGATGAGTATGTCCGTGGAGATGGCAACATCACCACAACGGCTGGGCTTCAAGATTTTGTAATCAGTAGTCAATATTTCAAAATCCTTGAATTTATCAACGTTCAGCGACGAAAGATCATTCATCAACGCAAAGAATTGACTCGGTGGCGGCGGCATTTTGACTGGCTTCAATCGTCACGAGGTTTGGGGTGATCAACCGAGTATCAATATGTTCGTACTATTTTATAGTGACAATGAAATGGGTTCATCGCTGAAGGGGTTTATCAATTTGCAGCACCTAACAAAGGGAGGTGTTCTCAATCGTAATTAGGCATTCGGGGCCTTGAATAATAGAAATCTGCCCCCAAATTCCTTTCGAGGGAAGTGATGAGGTGGAGTGGGGGCTTTCGTATCTCTCTGTGGAGCTTGCCAGATTAGCATAATTTCCTAATAGGGAAACCGAGTTCTTCTTCGCCACCTTTCGTTTCGACTAAAATAAATCTAGTTGGACCCACATGGGAGATTGGGAGACTCGACGATCACCTTTCTACACAAGTAATTAACAAGCAGTATCTGATACTTTATTCCATTAGAGAATCATCAAGTAGAAACGCTTATCAACGAATCTGTGAAATTCCCTAGCAAAGTGAAACTGAATCACTTATTTGTGGGGCAGAGTTCATTCCTAACTGACGGAACTTTCCATGAGAATCCTTTCCCTGTAGGCATTTTTGATCTTGATTCTGGACCAGACACTACCAGTAACATCACACATGCTATAAAGGCTTGGTAATAAGCTGTCTGATTTATTCAAGAGGTATCGAGCCTGGAAATGCCCTCGGATAGTTACTTGAGCCATGCGTTAAGTAAAGTCAAAGCTTGGCACGAATTCCACAAGCTTCCTCGATCAAACTCACAGTAGCTTTTGCACAACCATAGGAGGATTGATAACCAGCACCCCCGGCACCATAATTGTGGACTACCCACATCCCATCAATTTTCTCCTTCTCAATGCGGGTGCCTCCTTCACGAATGGGCCGAAGCCCAACACCATGTCTGATAACATCCAAATGTTCGATGCCCTTGCCATTTGTTAGAGAAGGACACATAGCTACAGCCCGCTTCATTATGCGAATCGCAAGATTTGGATCCGGTTGTGATTCCCAGTTGCCCTTCTGGTACGAGCCACCAAGAATCGTGCCTCCCCCCGCAGCTCTTGTCATCACATAGCATGCTTCTTCATCTCCATCATCCGTCCCGGACACGTCGAGCATTTTGCCTGCTTCATTGCGAACAATTACAATTTGCCCACGTGCTGGAAATACCGACGCATCCTCAACGCCACCAAGCTTGGAGGCCATGAGACCCGTACAGTTCACGACTAGATCGACCTGACCAGATGGATGCACGCCAGAAGATGATGCATCGCTCACATGCTTGAAGATGGCGCGTTTGAAAACTACACCATTGGCTAGACACTGAGAAACCAGCCAGGGGAGATAGATAGCGGTATTAATACACACTGAGGTGAAGACTGTGGCTGAGTCAATGCCCGGGCCCAGTAATTCCTTCGGTAGCAAGCGAAACTAAATGCACATATGTCAGTAAAGAGAATAGTCTGACTTTATTATCGAAGATACTAACATTAGGAACAACCTTTGAAAACCAGGGACTTGGGGACAAGAGCTCGGCAAACCAGGTCGCCGTGGCTGATCCAACGTCTTTAGCGCGACTATGTATCTCACAGTCTAATGACAGCCGTCAGTGATCGTGTGAGTGTAAAGACTAAACGAGACCCTGTAGATACCTTGGAAGTGAACTCCAGCCTCAGGATAGTTTTTGGCAAGGTCCGCTAATGGTTCCCAGGTGTCTTGATCCCACTTCGCAGCTTCAGTTCCGTGCACCGAAACCCTATATTAGGCGTTAAGCAAAAACTTTACAAATACATCACAAGATACTTGGTGGTACCTTACGGCATGTAGTTTGCACCCGCCCATGGCGATGCATATTCGATATCATAGTCCCCAGGCATATGCTTAGCTGCCACGACTATCTTGTATCCCGCTTTTCTAGACAACAGCAAGGCTGTCGTCAAGCCCGCCACACCGGCGCTGTCTCTGCATTAGCCCACGCTGACCTTCTCAGAGGGGAGTACATACCCAATGATGACTATATTCTTTTGAGACATGTTATTCACAATTTCTGCAGCTGGAGGCCTTGGAAGGACGGAGAAGTTATTGCGTGTGTAACACAGGAGGATGGAACTCTTTGTCTTTTAGTGATGAAGCCCAATTGATCGTATGATTCTCACTGTCTTTCCTGACCAAGTATTCTCAATGGATTCTCATCTTCATTTCCCAATTCACTAGATCTAACTCGGTGAAATTTCAAACAATCCCCAGAATCAACGGAATTACCGAATTAGGAAGGCGAGAATGGGCTAGTTCGCTCCTGACAATCTGGGCCCGTCGCACTTGCCTCTTTTAGAATTTACGAAGAAGAGACCCATCAAACAACACGATCTTCTTGATGATATCGTACGTATACTTAAGTATGCATGCGACAACACCTGTGCTAAACACATCGACTTCACACTTGATCCCGATTCTACACAAACCAAAAATGGCTACCATGCAGAAGTTCTTTGCCGCCTATGATTATCGACAGGCGGTCCTTGCTGCCAGTACCAACCCTTTTGCCAGGGGCATCGCTTGGGTAGACGGGGAACTAGTCCCTCTGCATGAGGCCCGCATCCCTCTCCTCGACCAAGGCTTTATGCACAGCGATCTGACATACGATGTCCCTTCCGTCTGGGATGGCCGCTTTTTCCGTCTTGATGATCACATCACTCGACTCGAGGCAAGCTGCGTTAAGCTTCGCTTGAAGCTTCCGCTCCCTCGTGAGGAGGTTAAGCAGACCCTCATTGATATGGTTGCAAAAAGCGGTATCCGAGACGCCTTTGTCGAAATTATTGTGACTCGCGGGCTGAAGGGGGTCCGTGGTACGGATCCTAAAGACATTGTCAACCGTATCTATATGTTCGTTCAACCTTATGTTTGGGTTATGGAGCCTGAAGTGCAGCCCGTCGGCGGTACCGCGATTATCGCACGTACGGTTCGTCGCGTGCCCCCCGGCTCCATGGACCCCACTGTCAAGAACCTCCAATGGGGTGATCTGACTCGTGGACTGCACGAGGCGGCTGATCGTGGCGCGACCTATCCTTTCTTGACCGACGGCGATACTAATCTCACCGAGGGGTCTGGCTTCAATATCGTTCTTGTCAAAGACGGTGTCTTGTATACGCCTCAGCGTGGTGTCCTCGAAGGAGTCACTCGCAAGAGTGTCATCGATGTTGCACGAATGAACGGACTGGAGATTCGTGTCGAGCTCGTACCTGTGCAGAAGGCCTATGACGCTGATGAGATTTTTATGTGTACCACCGCGGGTGGTATTATGCCTATCACAAGTCTTGATGGCAATCCGATCAATGGTGGCGAGGTTGGCCCGATTACGAAGAAGATTTGGGATGGGTATTGGGATATCCATTACGATGAAACATTCAGTTTCGAAATTGAGTACAAGGATGGGAACAAGAACACTTCAAGTGGTCCTGGCCTATAGGTTATGGGGATTTTGAAAATTATTTAGCATACAAGTTGGTGAATGATAAGAAGTGAGGCCTCATAGCCAATTAATCTACAAATCCATCGCGACTGTCACGCGCACTCTGGCTAAAGTCAGAAACGCCAATAGAAAGTAAAATACCTTAGGCTTGAGTATAGCTGTACTGAGCTCGCGAGACCTATCAAGGAAATGGATGTCGAATTGTTGAATCTAAAGTAGTTTATCTTGCCTCTCCGCAACATTCTCTTGTTCTCTTTGCCCGGCTCTTGACTTTGGCACTGATATAGAAGCATAAAAGCTGTTCATGAGCGCAAAATGAGCAGACTAAAACCTGCCGACCACATTCTATTCCGGATTCTTCGCAGCATTTGCATGGATAAACGCTCTGTTCATGTTGTGGTAAATCTTGGGTGGTGGATAAAGTCGTGCTCTTGTCTGCCGGTTCGAACTAGTTACTGATCCGAAGAAAAGATTGGCCATCTTGTGCTATTGTACGATTGGTCATATTCTCGCTGATCTTTTCGTTTTGGACGGCTGTTACCTGGTAGCTGGTTGACCTTGACTATATAGAGATTGAAACTTCTTCTCCAGTGCCGCAATTACACAGTACTTGGCTGTTATAGCTGAGGCTATATAAGTTTAACATCATGAAAGCAACTAGAGGGAATTGTTGTATTACTTGAGTTATGAATTCTTCGTATATCTCTGGCCCCTCCAAATCCAGATTTCGAGTGTGGGGGATGGGACCCTACGAGACAACTTCAGGGAAATGGACATTCGCATACACATTTGGGTTATCTGATTGGCCGGCAGCTTCATCCGCATGAATCATTATGGGGGTGGGGCAGTGTCGGACTTCACTCCCAATCACACTACGGAATTGCGAGGCTTTGCTTTCCCAACAAAAGTACAGCAAAGGATTTGACTTGTACCTGCGAGACTAGATGAGGAAATAATCAAATCGGAGTTCATGTTTGAGAGCTTACAGTAGTAAGAGAAAACAAGATGGGCGGGAGCAGTTATTAGCTAGCGAGCCACTCAGAGCAAATATGCAGCCAAGACCTCGCACATCGGTCGGAATAAATGTAAGATTCGATGGTAACAATCAGGAAATGAGTCAAGTCCCCCCTTAGTTGTAGAGATTCCTTTCAATAGTTACTGTGTTTGCACCGCCATTCAGTCTCTTGACTAGCTTTAAATTGACGCATGCTTGGAAGAGAATTCGGTCAAGTCAGAGTAAACACAAGAACATCAGCCCTTGACAGCAATCTTGGCATGCTCCTCCTCAAAAGCTGGTTCTTAAGCTGTAAAATATGTTTGTCATATAAGCCACTAACGGCTGGAGGTAAAATATTGAGAATTATTGGTCCCTAGTGACTCTATATTCCAGTTAAATCGAGCGTGTGCCGAGGGATCTAATCAGGGTGTGAGATTATACCTTGTGATGAATGCTCTTCGAGAGGCCTCTTTGAGTCGTAATCAGTTCTTTGATGAAACTGATCGTGGGAGCCAAACGAGCTCCGATTCTTCTAAACTTAGCATCAAGATTAAAGTGGAGGGCTACGGGAGTAGTACCTTCGGACTAAGTGAGCCTTCAGTCGGTAACCTCTCGTACTTACTGAAGTAAGACTTCTCCTTCTCAGACATTGGCTGAAAATAAGATTAGTTCATTCTCTCTATGGGCGCAGAAACCAAAACGGGAAGCTCACCTCAGGGTGTGAGGCTATATTTGCTGGCTGCATATTGAAACGAATAATTTATTTGGTAGAAGGTACTTGGATTGATTCCAGTGGCTAATCAATCACATCTTATATATTTTGTAACTTTGCCAACTTTGTCTATGACGAATCCCTCGCACCTTATCAGTTGCTCTGGTTGGATGGCAGGATTCGCGTCCAGAGCTATCGATAAATTGAATGACATCAGAATCGGACGATGCCGTGGGTACTTCCGATTTACGTTTGCGGGACGGCCCAGTCAGATTGTCTAAAACATAAGGGCGGTTCCTTGGATTCTTCCTCATCTAGCAGTTGAACTTGGTGATTAACTTTCGGATGAACGTTATACTTTATTAGTAATTCTGTACCCCTATGGAACAACAAATTCTCGGAAGCTGACGGTATCGGATTTACTGGGAGCCACCCTCAGCTACCGCTAGTGCTTCCCCGGATTTTTCACTGCATAAGAGTAGTCCTTAACATGACGGAGTTCTACACAAAACCCCGAGTTTCTTCTAGCTCTTCACCCTTACTATTCTGGCTATAGACTATGACAGTGAATTTTCCCAGCAATCATTGGTTAATCCCACCTGCTCGGTAGGCAGGATAACCCTAACTACCTCAACCGTAATACGTAGGGACTGGTCCCCTCGAGGGTCTCTGTATCCAGGATTCTCTAGACATCTGGAATTAAAGACACTCAGATGATTCGGAGATGCCAGCCCCAAGTCGGAGGTCCATCTCATTTGTAGTCGACAAGCACTAGATAATCTGGATCGGTGAAAGCGTGTTGTGGTTGGGTTATGCTCTACAGCTCGTACTGGGATATCATTCAATCACCAGCTCGGACACTCTCAGGGCTTATGCTTGACGAATGACTGCCGAAGGCCAGCCACAAAAGGGCCCACTTGGCGGGACAAGATTGGATTGCTTTTGGGCAAATAGGTCGATATACGTATATGTACATTATAACAAATAGAAAAATAGTGCAACTCTTGATTTACTTGGGGTATGTGATCTATGACCTGCTTGAGGCAGAGCTTTTTTCTTGCTTCTTTTAAACAAGGGTAAAGGAGCTTGTGGCGGTCTGCATCTTATCCGTGCCTGAGCAGCGCATCCACCTTAATATTCAGGAATTAATTTAACATTTAATCTCAAGCCGAGCGGCCCTCAATGCATAGTAGTAGACATGATTGAGAAAGTGGGACTCGGCAAAAAGCGCCTCAAGAAGGTTGCCGGGGGATCGACAGGAAATGAACTGAGTAGATAGATCAAGTGGATGTGAAAACGCATTGTCCGGCATTTCCATTCCACTTCATCCAAATTTAGCGGAGCTAGTTGTCAAAGATCAAATCCCTGTTCAACCTGGACATAAACCTCGCCAAAGCACTCCCAATAAAGAATAAATTGTCAGCCTCGTGTCGGCAACTGATTCAGAGTCTGAGGATGAGTCCCTCTAGGAAGGTCGACGTCCTTCTTCAGGGATAGATCAGTTGCCCAGAGTGAGTTGTCCGCATGCCTAGCAATTCAGCGATTGGCCAAGACAGAGTCCGCCTAAGGGAAGATTGTGCCTAAGCTCGTATTTAGGATTTGCCCAATCGAGCCTCGGAAAAGCCCCACCCGCCAGGGTAAATCGAGTTCGTGCAACGAAGTGGGTGCTTTCTTTTTAGTGCCGTGGGATTGCTATCTTCACCTTCCATCCTAGCATCAAGAACCAACACAAAATGGATACTACAAAGGACTTGATTGAATAATAAGCACTTTCATATTGCTGTCCCTCACTGCTCAGCATTCAGCCTCACGACCCTGCAGGGCCCCAAAGCGGCTCGAGAGTGCGCCAAGCATCTAAACCTCGTATTCCCCAGCACCCTCGCCCGCCACAGAAAGAACTGACCTTAGCCCAGTCTCGGTACGATTGCTAGCGCCTCAACCTAATTCTTGGCCTAGTCGCAAGCTCTCTTTTGCTCGATTCTGGCATACCCCCCTCAAGGGTCCTATTTAAAGCCATGGTCATCCCTCAATCCACGCGAGTCCCGTTCGCGCAGCGCTGGACCGTTGAAGTGGCAGAGACCTCATATACGACAATACCGAGGCCTTTCTGACTCGAATCCACCTACTAGCCAAGATGGTGAAGTTCGCGAAGCAATTGGGGGTTTCCCTCCTTCTTCTCTTCTCCGCTGTTGTCGCCGAGGAAGCAGCCGCGGACGAGCCTCAGCAACTGTACAATACGTCAATGCACATCCCCCAAGAGGGAATCCTGAATACGCGCGATCTGTTTGGCTTGGAGCCTAGAGCCTATACATGCCGCTCAGGATACTCAGAGTGCGCCTACGATACTTCGCGCTGCTGCCCTACTGGAACGAGCTGCTGCGGAACCGGCTACTGTGCGGACCCTGGTGATACTTGCTGCACTAGCGGCGGCACTTGTCCTAGCGGATGGAACTGCTGTGGCGACGCATGCTCGCCGGTTGATGGAGAGTGCTGCAATGGCGGGTACTACTGCCGCGCTGGCAAGCATTGCCGCATTTACAATGGCGAGAAGGTGTGCTGCCCCTCGTCTGGTTGCTCGGGAGAGTCCGATTCTGGGAGTGTGGGAGGTACGGTCACAGCCGGTGCTACCGTGACTGCAACGACGACTTCAAGAACTACGTCTACCTATACCTATGCGGACTATGAGTACTACTACACGACCTATTACTGGTAAGTTGGGATCCTTTGCAAGAAAGATGCTGGAAGTACCTGACTAATTCATGGCTAGGACCTTCTATTTCTACTTCTGGACCTCGTTCTCCCCCTACACTGTGAAGACCGTTACCTCGACTCTCACCACGACCACGACTATTTTTTCCGTCTATGTGACTGACAGTGCCGACGCTAGCTCCAGTTTCTCCAGAAGCATCAGGTCCTTGAGCTCGGACATTCCTTACTCTGCCACTTCCCTCAAGGGCTCGACCAACCCAGTCACCATTCACACCGGGGTATCTGCCCCCACCTCGGGCTCTTCATCGTCCAACCAAGGAGGAGGGGCTGGTGCGAACGCTGCAAGCCATGTGCCTGTTGATATCAATGTTATTTTGATGGGTACTGCCTTGGCGGCTGTGATTGGCGGCCTGGCTCTGGGACTGTGAGAGATATGCAGTGGCCGAACAGCTTGCGAGAGTTCATGTGCGGGATCCGGAATGGTACTGTCATATAATGATCGATTTTAATGTTCTACATGTGTGATGGACTATATTAATTTGTTGAATAAGATTGAACATATCAGTTTGAATAGTGAGGAATTTCAGGTCGACCCAGTCGCCATGAAACAATTTGGTACGAAGAATATGCCGGAGTAGAATACGAAATAGCGAACATAGGCGTTCATGCCAACGGGTATAAAGTAGCAATAGTAAGGGATCATCACCAGAGAATCAGAAATCCGATAAGAAAATCAGCTCAGCGCATCAGAAGCAGTCTAACTACATACGGAAGGGAAAGGCACCTATTCTCCGAGTTTGAAGAAAGTCTCGGGGATTAGCTGCTATCCGATATGCTGCCGTTATTCTCAATATGCGTGCCCTTGCCACTCTCCAAATCCGAGCCCGACGAGAGAGTCTTAATCTGCGTTTCAGAAACGTGACTAGCGCGGCGCATATGCTCCTCAGTGTCCTGGTAGTTAATAAGAAGCTCGCCATTCTTGCCGAAACGGTGGGGCTCATTCCGGGCGACAGATACAACGTTGAAAACACTCGTACTCTTCTGGAAGATAATGTCCATTTCCTCGAGAGAGCGGTATGCGGTCTCAGGGTAGAAGAAGTAGACGACAGGGAAGATGAAGGCGTTGCTATTACAAATCCATGGTAAGCGAAAATTCTCTGCATAAGATGAATGGGTCACTAACATGACTGCGAGAATAATGTACGTGTGCCTTGCTGCACCCAGACTGCCAGGTAGCTGTAATGAAAGCTCAGTTTAGCTCATGCCGCTATTGCGAGTAAATCAAATAGAGCGCATGATACTTACGGACTGTAGAAGTGTTCATGCCATTACCAAAATCAGTCACGATATGACCAACAATAAGGTGAGGAAGCGAGTAAGCGCAAGACTACAGTGTCGCGCCAACAGCCATGATAATGGAGCGGACGAAGATTGTCTTGCGACGGCCAAGATAGTTTCCAATCCAGATACAGAATATAGCTCCGAAGAAGCAGCCAAGGTTATACGAAGCTGTGGTAATACCCTGCACGGTAGAACGCTGGCTCTGCTCAGACCGGCTGAGGCAAATCAAGCCGGCCTTGGTGGTGTCGATATTTGGAAAAGTAGTAACAAATGAGTTTAGGGTTAGTAGACCACCCATGACACCTCTGTTCTATTGTTAGAATCAGGTCAAATTGCCGATCTGGATTGTGTTTAATGTCAACCTACTGGTCATAACCAAAAAATCTAGAAAGAGAAATAAGTCAACATATTCCCTTGTTCGAATCAGACATTCTGTTGACCTACAGGAAATCAAGGCCAGAAATAATACTGATCATGGTATTGAGGGCAGTGCCTCTCAACCCGAAGTAAGGCTTCATAATGGCGAGAAAATACCCGTAACCCGTCCTCTATATGGACGCTTGAAAATTGGACCCACCCTCGCGACTACTAACTTATCTTCTTTTCAGCCGATAGCCTATGATACCCCTCCCGCGCCAACATAGACAAGCTATATCACTAATAACATTGAAATTGCTGTCAGTTCTCGGAGCGAAAGCTCGTGGCTCCTGCATTCAGCGATAATCAACTATAATACGCCCAATACAAATAAAGTATGGCTGTTATGACGTGGTATTGCTATACTACAGTCTACATAACGAAGGACTTCTAGTGCTAGAATCACCAATAGTCAATCTATTACATAATAACACTCGAGGCACTCTCTACGCTCTAGCTAGTGGTATAGCTCGGCGTATATCCAAATCGTTATCATGGTCTTGCCCGCATGCAATGATGTCATCAGGTATGAGTCCAGCAGGTATAGCGCTAATCGTTCCCGAACGAGACCCGGGGGTTGCAAGATTGAAGGCAGGTCGATAGCTTCTGAACCCCAGATTCATACGCAGACTTTGCAGTTCGATCGATAAAGCCGATAAAGACCAAATTGCAATGTCGATACCATAGATCCCGGTCGGCGGAATAGCGGTCCCGGTGATTCAACGAGTGGAATGCCGTTATCACTCTTGGAACTAACTGTAACCAGGCCATCGCGGTGCCTGGAATCATATCTCATTGTCACACCGTTTATGAGTCTTGGACATTGACCTGCATTCAAGTCTTTCCCTCGGATATCGATCTATTAATCTAGGATTCTGTCTACTCGAGTGGATTACAAGCCTTTGAGAGCAAAGCCTTTGAGAGCATCAATACAACAATGGAGGTCTCAATTGAATGGAGATTGATAAGACCAGCAAAATTGGTATTCGCATATCGAGTCTCTTATCTTCAAACATATCGTAATCTCACAAAGCAAAACCACGCGTGGGAAAAAAGACACCGATAGAGAGCCAGCTAGGTCATAGAAGAGGCCACCCAGGGTCAGTCATACAAAACAAGCTCGCATCATAAATGCGCGGGTTCCTTCTGTGAAGCGTCCCAACAAGATCGTTGTCCAATCCGTCGCTCGTAATGCGTGGTCAACACCAAAAATCGCTTTTCTCTCCGTCAGCCAGGCCAAGGTCAATCCACCGAATCAGAGTCTCCCTCTTTGTGGTATCGCTAACGTATTCGAATTACCAGAACTGGTCGTCCAGGCGCTGGCGCACCTTCTCGACCTCATCATCCTGGTCCGCATCGTCCTGATTCTTCTCGGCCTGGTCTGCGTCCACATCTTCCTGGCTATTATCGGCCTGAACATCATCAGCCTGGCTGGAGAATGGATCCTCGCCACCGACTTCGTCGAATCCGCCTTCTTCAGGCTGGGGGCAGCGCTTCACAGTGTGGCCCACTGCTTCATGGTTAGCCAAGCTGTCGGATCATTCTACAGGATCAGATATCAACGTACTTTCTCCACAACGGTTGCACTTGATCTTAGACCAGTTCTTAGGCTCGGGACAGTCACGAGCCATATGTCCGGCTGCAAATGGTATTGTCAGAACTTGTCTCAACCTTTCCAGCAAAATATCGGGAAATTGTGCGCTGTTACTTACTCTGGTCGCAGTTGCGGCAGATCATGGCATCGGGATTGGGAGGCTGGTCACAATCACGGGCAATGTGATCCTCAGAGCTGCAACTATGTTAACAAAATGGAATCCGTGCTCATCGTCCAATACTCACCCACAGTTCCGGCAGGTGCGAGGTGCACGCTCAGTCTGGTTGGGGCAATCCTTCGCAAAGTGGCCGACTGCAGATATGTCAGTATATCATCATTGATCTTTGGAGATTTTGAATCTTGAAACTTTACCTTCATTGCAGCGACGGCACTCAACATCGCCTGTAGATCGGGGCTCGGTACAGTCACGGGCCTCGTGGCCCTCCTCGCTAGGTACTGTTAGGCCTGTGCCTTAAAGTAGGATGTAGGATTATGACTTACCCACAGTTGCGGCATCCGTTCTGACTGCGGCGCTCCTCAGGGCAGTCTCGAACACGATGACCAACGGCACCGCAGTTGCCGCACTTGACCTGGAGTCTTTCAACCTCAGCACGCTCCTCCTTGCATGCACGGGAACCGTGGCCCATCTCTGTTAATGAATGAGATAACTATTCTGGACTGAAAGCGTAATCAATGTGAACTTACCTCCGCAGTTTCGGCACTTCATGACCTTGCGATCGTAGGGCAGACCAGCATTGGCCAGGCGCTCGAGATTGTCTTCAGCATCACGAGGCCAACGCTCTTCGAGGTTGGCACGCATTGGCTTGTCGGAGAAGTAGTAACCGACAACGAATTCACAGTCCAGTTGGCCCTGGAGGTCAATCAGGCTGATGACATCCTCACGCTCTTTCTCCTGCAGATGATAGATGTTTTAGTCATGAAACGTTTCTCGTTCTCCCCAAACCTCGGATTTGAACTTACCAGAGCAATAAGGAAGATCTTGAATTCTTCCTCGCGCATTTTCTTCTCGATATCGACGTAGGTGGTCTGCGGAACAGCCTTGGTGTAAATTTGGATAGCCTTGAGAACCGGCATTAGCAGATATACCGAATGTGATAAAGACATGAAAATTACCTCGCGGAAGTCATCCATGTCTTTCTCGTCACTGGCCTGCTTCATCATGGCCCAGGCCTCATCGGGAAGCTTGTCGGCGATGTGGTCCAAGTCAAACTTGCGCTTTTCTGTGCAACCTTGAGCGAGGTGGCCTATAGATCAAATAAATCAGTTCCTTTCTTGTTCTGCTGAGATGAGACTTCTGACCTTCTCCGCCACAGTTGTTGCAGATATCGGCTGGCTTCTCAGGGCAAGCAGAGGCTGGGTGGCCTTCCTGGGCACAGATACGGCAGGCTCCCTTGAAGACACGGGGCTTGGGGCAATCAGCCTTGTTGTGTCTGTATTAATGTGTTAGCAGCCGTGATAAACTTGATGGTTAATCTGTCATTTTTCGTTACTGACCCTTCTTCACCGCAGTTGAAGCAAGCCCGAGGCTTCGCAGGGTTGGGGCAATCGGCCTTGCTGTGTCTTGATCAAGATGTCAGCAGTCTGTGTAGCTTTTGCGGGTTGTTTGTCCTGTTTCATTACTGACCCTTCTTCGCCGCAGCTGAAGCAAGCACGGGGCTTCGGCGGGTTAGGGCAATCAGCCTTGCTATGTCTGTCACCGACTACAATTAGCACAGGCTCTTATTCACAATGTTCGAGTCCAGACTTACCCAGGCTCATCACAGTTGAAGCACTTTTGGACCTCAGCATTCGGGCACTGACGAGCGAAATGGCCAGTCTCGCCGCAGCTTATTCGGTTCTTGTTAGCGATCCGGTAGTAGGACTGTGCGTGATAAAAACACTTACTTGCGGCAGGTAAAGTCTTGGTTGTCACCGTGGTCACGAGCGGTATCATGAGCCTCGTACTCGGAAGCGTGAGGGTCCACGTTCTCGTCGTTACCATTGGTCTCGTTGTTGTCATCGTTGTCTTTGCCTGATCAATAGTCAGTTTGTCAATATGAGAAAATGCCAGAGGAAGAAAAAAATGTCGAAGAAAGCAAGGATGCCGAGGAGAGATTTCTGCAACGTTGGACAAGTAAGAATAAACAACATACCAGGGGAAGTGGAAGTCCAAGCCTCAGCGTCGCCCGTCTCCGGGCTGTCGCCGTCCTGCTTGTCCCATTCGGCGTCCCCCGATGCGGGTGCATCCCAGACGGAAGACATCGCGAGGGTTGAAGGGTGTCTGTTATTTTCCCACTATCAGTATCATGTCCACAACATGTAAAGTCCACTCGAAGGGGCACCAGAACTCGTTTCCTCAACGTTCTTCGAAAGAAACACGTAGAATAGCGAGCAGAGACGCAAGGATATCGATGGAGAAGACCAGTTATCCAGGAATCGTGTCTGGTATCACGAATATCATCTAGGAACGTGTCTATACTCCCCAGACGCCCGAGAATAGAGGCTTTCAAAGGATCAACAGTACTTACTAGAGTTTTTGAAGTTCAGTACAGTGATGTGTGGAATGAAGTAAAGGGTGGTGAACAAAAAAGATGATGAAGAGGGGCGAGGAGGAGAAAAGGAGAAGAAGAGGAGGAGAGCAGAACTATGATAAACAACACGCAGCTGGGCATTTGCTCCCGCCGAACGCGGTAACTACGTCAAACGCGCGGTGGGCAGGCCTGGTAACTTGAACGATGTAATCAATCGATTTAAAAATGGATACATTGAGGCTAATCAAAACACTTTCCCTAGGAGAATACACGTCGCGGGTGGATCAATTGAGTGCCACTATAGGCCAGCTTAAACATTCAAAATTCAAATTGAAATCCATGCTCTCCAGATCTATCGGAAGAACCTGCCCAGCAGGCCACCCGCGAGATTATTCACAATTCCACCACCGAGAGCCCGGTTGGCAAATGTGGATGCTTGACTGAACTTATCGCACCGAGAGAATGCCACAGTGTTTGTAATAGTCAGGATAAGGGCAATTCCTGAAAGATATGGATCAGTACAAAGGATTTCCCCAGATAGACGGCTATCGTCATCGGACACAAGAAGAACTTACCCACGAGACTCAGCCAGATAACGCCAACCAATCGTACAATAGCCAGAATGGCCAGTCCCACCCAAAGAGCCGGTGTCAAGTACAAGCTCAGCCAGAAGAACCGCTTATCCGTGGCGGTGATGGTGCGGACATTGGGGTCGGAGGATTCAAAGACCCAGTGGGAGTCGCCGGAAGCAGTGTTGACTTCATTCCACCACCGGAGACCAACAAGTCGACGCCCAGCAATATTCTTGAGGTAATAGAAGTCGGCAGAGAGGAGGAGGAGAGTCAGGATGAAGACCAGAATGCTAGATAGCTTGGTTAGTGGGGTGATGCTTCGCAGCCTAGCGGTACAAGGCCGGAACAGGTCCAAGGGGCTCTTACAAGTTGTCGATGAACAGGACACCAAAGAGGTACATCAGAAGAGCACCTATGAATAATATATGTTAGTCTGTACGTCCTCAGCCAGAAACCACGCAGATCAGCACGTACCGATGCGGATTCCCAAGAAGACAAGTAGCGTGATCGGGTGCGCGCTGAGGCGCCAGTTCAGGTCCCCTTGACCTGTTTGATCCATGATGAAAAATGAAGAAACAATGGATTTATAGTTTCATAGAGCAGCCGCTGACTAGTGAACCAACAACTGTCTTCCCTAGAAGAGAGCTTGTTATTGTTTGAAGACAGGCAGTGTCCACGTTAGCATGGAGGCACCGCGCCGGCGGTGGACTTTGGCAGAATACACGCCCCTTAAGCCTTATTGGCTGTTGAGTATACCACCATCTCCACTTTCAACCGTGCGGCGTCATCTGTAAAGCAACGCCTCATTTCTAGCTTGGCTTTAGATTATTTCGCATGGGAAGCTAGCATAGCTTGTGTCAGGCACGATTGGTTAGCTAAGCTACAATCAGCTGTATCAATAATTATGTATAGCTTAGCAACGAGATAGAATGTCCTCTTGTTAGGATGGATTTACGTAGCAGTATTCATGTTATGTCCACTTGGATGTAGTGGCACGTCAAGCTCCAGGCAAGTCATTCACCAGTGTCTACTACACCTGATACCAAGCCCACATCTCTCAGAATTATACTTTCAAAATCAGCATGACCAAGCAAGAATACGCTACGAAAAAAAAAACACCACGAAAATCTTTCTTCCAGAGATCTATTTCTTAAGCAGGCTGGGTAATAGGAGAGCTTCATCATGCAAATGCGATGGGTATCGTTGTCACATCATGTAATCCCAGATTACACCAAAAAGGAGGGTCATGAGTTCTTCGTTTCTAAATCCTCCCGTCTGAGCAACTGGATCTTGCCCATCGTGAGGGTGGGCTGGCCTCCATCAGCCGGGACATCATCACTCTCTGCCAGGGCCTTGGCCAGAGACTTGTCATAGCTGGACGGGTCGATGCCCAGGATACCACCAACGTAACCACCCCGCTCACCTGGCACACTGAATTCACGGAACAAGTAGCGCCATTCATTGAGCCAGGCCTTGACAGCCTTGCCGATCTTGTCTTTGCCGTTCTTGGAGTGGTGGCCTGTGCCAGTGATAGCGTATACCACGGGTATACCCTCACGAGCATGCTTCAGCAGGATTTTCTCGAGGTATTCGATCGCTTCTTCCGGGTGGAGACCGTGTAAATCAACGTAGAGTTCTTCCGAAGCTCCATCCAGGCCTGCCTGGAGCAAGTGTTGATTGCGCTCTTCATACAATTGGCGTGCTGCTTCTCGATGGCAGCGGCGCATAGCATCATTCTCTGCTTGACCGCGGAGGGAAAGCGCTTTAGCAGCTCGTGCATCGCTTCGGTTCCAAGCTTGGGCGGCACTAGGGAGTGTTAGCAAATTTTGGTCATGACAGAGGAAGAGAAATACAGATATTCTCAAATTGACTAACCTTTGCAGGAACTTGTTACGCACAGTCCCGTGACGAATAGCCTCTGTGCGATACTTGATGTATTGCTGGTTCGCCCGCGCACCCGTCTCGAGCCAAGGAATATTTTGCGGCGCAGGAATAGCCATGGCCGCGGCACTGTTCTCACGGCCCTTGGTCTCCTTGGCATTCTTCGGGGCATTTTTCCCTTTGTTGGGGCCAGGCGAGGGAGACATGCGAACAACATCCGCAAGTGACGAGGAGATAATCTCTTTGGCCCCATTATGGGCACCCCGTTTACCGTGGTGCTTCTTTCCAGCATTCTTTGCACTGACAGCGGCAAGTGTCGGGAAAGCATCCGGATCGTCGACAGACAAAGCAGCCGGGTTGAGCTCCGGTCGATTCTGGTGACGACTGGTCGGGCGAGAGTTTGGACGTCCCAGATGGGTCATGCTGCCATTGCGCCTGCCCATGCCAGGGTGAAGTCCGGGGGGAATAATCTTGGCTTGCGAACCGAGGCCAGGGTACCGGTTGTTGTATTGATTTGCCCACTGATCATCCATACCAGTTGATGAGAGCGGTGGGAATGCATCCGAGTTACTGTCCACCTGGAACAGAGAACTGGGTGCTGGGGAAACCGGGCGACTGTTGCTTGAAACACTGAGGTTGGAAATCAGGGCCGAAGGATCATGAGAGAAGGGGCAGCCATCTCCTGCTAGGCAGTTACCCATCACCCAATATCTACAGAATCATGGTCAGTTATATGCTTAAGCGCACAAGAAAGAGGCTTTAGAGAAGAGCTAGAAACACTTACTTGCACACATGGCTTGTGAGGTCATGGCTGAATCGACAGTCAGCCCTCAGGCACTGGCCAGTAGACAGCCAGTACTTGCAAACCACCGGGCTGCGACCGTTGCCTGAGGGGGTCACCGGACGAATTTGCTCCATGGCCATGGATTTACCAACCAGCACTCGAGCATCCTCAGTTTGCTTCAACACGGTATCAGCTTCCGAGTCTTGCGAGAGCGCAGCAATGGTAGCACCGAGATCATAACTGTTCGCTTCCAGGGCTGTTTCGATCTCCTCATTGGTTCGTTTATCTCCCAGTACGGTGCGTAAAATATCATGTGGGCTCATATCTGGAACAAACTCTGCAGCAGTTGCACTCAAGGACCCAGGGACACTGAGGCCACCGGTAGACGAGGTTGTACTATGCGCATCGTCGCCGACCAACCAATCCACATTGCTATCGCTGCCCAAATCATCATAGAAATTGGAAAGTTGACTTTGATCAGAAAATTCATATGCATTCAAGTTTGGAGAGTGTGGAATAGGTTGTGCGAGAGCAAGGCGGGGCGATGGTCGTGGAGAGGTAAATGGGGAGCCAGTTGAGGAACGCGGAGCTCGGGAGAATGCCCCGCGCGAGTTCTGCACCCACGAGGTACTCCCTGGGCTGGTCCCTAGCGTTGGTTGAGGCGACAGCGGTGTTGAAGCACGAGCCATCTGCCATGGTGCAGGCGATGACCGGCGAATAACTGTATGGCGAGCCGGAGGAGGGGACGAGTCGGGTAGGGTACGATTGCGATGCCGCCATAAGATGTCCAGGACGGCATTCTCCAGGGACGAACCCGACAGCGAGGAGTTGGCGCGCAAGAAGTCTTCAACCTTCTCTACCTGCTCTTCCTCGTCGAGGGCCTGGTCCTGCAGGATCTCCAACGACTTCTCAAGGAGTTCTTCGGACACCATGACGAAATGTGGATGTGAAGGTGTACGCGCGGTGGTAGGGAAAGTAAGCTAGGCAGGAGGGCGAGGCGAAGAGAGAGTGCGATCGAGAGAGATCGGAGGTTCGAAGGCTCCTCTTATCGATGCGAGAAAGAATTTGACAGTTGATAGCTGAGATAGGACGGGTCAAAGTTAAGACTCATCGATCTGGATGTCAAAGGCCGCGATCCATGATCCCTGATCAAGTTGAATAGGCCGAATGAGGGTGATAAAGGGGCAGATTCCCCCAGAAACTCCAGGCAATGTGTCGCGGGGTAACTAGCAGTAGTTACATCGAATCGCCGATGTTGAAAGAGCTCTGCGAGAGTGGTATTTCAAAAATCCAAGAGAGTGAATGGGCCCAAGCAAGTGAAGATGTGGAGGAGTGATCCGATGCAAACAAAGGAGGGGGGGGGGGGGGGCAGAAGGCGGAGAAAGGAGATCAACATCCGAAGTACATCCACTACTTAAGGCCTTGTCAGCTACCTAACACTAAGACGTAGGTAGTTACCGGGAAGTGTTCCGATGCGCTCAATGATCCATACAAAGTGATATTTAGCAGCTGGTATAGACAATAGCATTGTAGAATAATTTTCTGTTCCGAAGGTAGCTCTCTCCTATTTTCTGGTTCAGGCCAAGGTGATTGTATGCCTTATGGTGGAAGAAACTACAGCCAACCGTGTATACCAACCAGCTTGGGTCATACAATTCCCCTGAATCTTTGCATAGTATAGCCTAATTCAATCCTTTTAGTAACACTAGGCGTCCTCTCCAAACCCTAATGAGTTGTCCTCCAACAAAGTTTCCAGGGTCCAGCAATCTGGGGTCGTCCACAGAGTAAACACCGAAAGCTCCGGCGGATCCGCTTTCGAAGGCTGAGACCTGAAGGCAGCGTCGCCGACCGAGGCGCCTTGGCTAAGACTCAGCCCCCCCAATCTTCGAACCCTGATTTTCAGGGCCTATTATTGAATGATTTCTCCACGCTGACACACCTTTGACACGGCTTAACTGACGGATGAACTGGCTTCTTAATCTATCTTGAAGCCTCTTCAAATCTCTGGGGGTGCAGAGTATCTCCTTGGGCCCTTCGTTTCCACCTTCCCGTGCCGATCCCTCTCAAGGAGCTTCCCCCAGATCCGATCCCTGTTTCCTCCTCCATCTTGATCCTCCGCCCACAATGCCTGCGGACTACGAGTCCACGGCACGGGCGTTGGCGCTGTCGACCTCCCCGCCAGAGCCGCTAGCAGATTCCCACGACGACGAGGAGCAGCCCATATGGAGTCGGTCGGGGAGGCGCGACTCGTCGGCGCGCTGGTCGACCGAGCAGGCAACCAGTTTCCGCGACCGGATGATTGAGAAGGCCAAGAAGCTGTATCGGATGGCCAACGACCGGTATGAGCAGATGACACTATGGCAGAAGATTGGATTCTATGCGGCGTCCCTCGGCGCAGCGGTGTTGGGCATTGGGCTCATGGTCTTGACGGGCAAGGTGTTCATTTGGTTGGGCCCAGTCGCGGAGAAGTGGGAGAAGTCCTGGCTGGTGGCCTTTGTTCTATGGATATCTATCTTTTTCATCTCATTCCCGCCGTTGGTGGGCTGGTCGACCTTGGGAACGATGGCCGGATTTATCTTTGGCTGGTGGAAAGGGTAAGTGGCCTCTTCAGCTTCGGCTGCAGCCTGAAGTCCTGCTCCGATGATATTGGATGTTCAGAATGGAGTATGCTAACAGTTCTCGACACTAGATGGATTATATACAGCACTGCGACCGTCGTCGGATCTACAGCCTCATTCTATGTTTCGCGCACCGTGCTCTCCAAATTCGTCAATCGCCTGATGGAACGTGACAAGCGGTTTGCGGCGCTGTCGCTAACGCTTAAATACGATGGGCTGAAGCTCCTCTGCATGATTCGCCTGTGCCCATTGCCGTATTCGATTTGCAACGGTGCAGTATCTACGTTCCCGACGGTACAACCCTTGACGTATGGGTTGGCTACTGCGATTATCTCCCCAAAATTGTTGGTTCCTGCATTCATTGGAAGTCGCGTACGCTTGCTCTCCGAGAAAGGCGAGGAGATGAGTGCAGGCTCCAAGGCCATCAACATTATCAGTATTATCGTGACGGTCTGTATTGGAATTTTCACGGGTTATTACATCTACAATAGGTGGGTTCTTTCTTTCCGGTTACTTTCATGCTGCATGCAGCAGACTCGACTTGTCAAGTACTCGATTGCTAACGATGTATTCTCCCGCTTACAATCAGAACTTTGGCTCGTGCGAAAGAACTTGAGGCCAAGGAACGCGCCGAAATCCGGCAATCTCTCCAGGCTGACCATGCCGCCCATCGGCCTCACCGCAGATTTTCTGACGATGACGATGTAAATGCGGCGGCCACTATGCTCGCTCGGGATGAAGAGGAGCGCATCGGCTTCGACGATCTGGATGATGACAATGTCGATCTGGACCTGGACGATGATAGCGACAATGATCCCGCGGGTCGATGGAACAAGAAGACGGGCCGACGGTCATATCATGATGACTTTACGGATAATGATTCGGATGACTTCCCCAATGAAGGGCACGAGGCCTATGGGCTACATAGCCATGTCCAACATGAGACGTGAGGGGCATGTAAAGAGGATGTGTGAGTCCGAGCCGTGAGACCGTGTAGCCGTCGTGCTTTATAGAGTGATGAATAGTTATGACACTATGGTCGTCTGATCTTCTGAACATTCTCTTCTCATAATATTACCACATCTGTTGTATACATGAATCCTGCCATGGCAGTCTTCAACAAATCTCATAGTTCGGCGCATGTCGTAGTCGATTACTAGGCGGACTGAGAAATACGCTCCGCCCTGAGGAATTTAGGTACAACGGCTCTTCTACTCAACCTCGAGTCCCGCAACGATCCCCTCCCTTCCACGCATACTCGTCGCAATTGCTCCTCGATTGATGCCGGCCCAGTTGCAAATTCATACGGGTTGGGTTCGTGGGGAGGTGGATTACTTGAATGTATGTGGTGATCCCTGACCCCCGCCATTGGTACTTTAGCCACATCTACTACATCCGCATGCAACGGAAAAATTCGAGGCTTAGAAACCACCTTATATGCATGATATCTAACTGGAATACAGATTGATCCATCTCATTGATCTTGCTAGTACCCTCATAGCTTGCGTCCGTGATAACGATGCCATCTACAACCGGAGTAATCATGTCTCGAACTCGTGCCGCTTGATAAACCTGGTGGTCCTTTGATCCGGTGATCTTGATACAACGAGGTGGAGGACAATAGGGCTTCATCTTCACACAAAAGCGCTGTTGCCTACCATCTCTTCCTCTTCTCCTTTCACTCTTCGGAAATCAGGTACCTGCTTGGATATTTTTGAAACTTGTGGAAAAAGAAGTCCCGGACACCAGTGTTCCTTCCTTTTCAATATGCACGCTACATCCTCTATGCTCATCCCGCCCCTCGCGGGAATTCCTCCGAACCAACATCCCTTTATCCATCAAGTTGCTCCAAACGGTCTTTCGAATACTGCAGGACTCAAAAGTATGGATTCTTCGAATTCGGAATCATCTGAACCGGCCCCGAAGAGGCTTCGAGCGGACAATGGTCCGGTTCCAGCCTTTGCTTATCCCCCGCCATCAGTTCCCCTGGAGTATCACCACAAACCCGTTGGATATCAAACCCTCTCACAGACAATGGTATCCAATGACACTCATGAGACGGAAAGCTCTTTGGGATCTTACATTGGCGAAGAAACACGAATTGTCAACGCCTCAACTACCTCTACCTCGATCACATCCTCTCTCGAGCCGAGGAAGTCTTCTACTCCCCAATCTACTCCTGCCCCGTCTTTACCGACGCCATCGGCTATATCTGGCATCAGTGTGCTGGATAGCAACAAGGTTGATCTATCGAAATGTCGGCCGCGGTCATCCATCCCTTCCAAACTGACGCCATCCAAGTATGGTCAGCAATGCGTGGCAGCTGCCTATGCATCTCGACTTGATCCATATGCATTGCATGAGAAGGAACAGGAGATACTACAAGATCATCTCTGCCATATGCACGTGACTGTGTATTTGAACATCCGCAATGGAATCCTTCGTCTCTGGACACGAAACCCGATGGTCAGTGTCACCAGAGAAGAGGCTTTGGGATGTGCCAAAGACTACCGTTGGATGAATCTGGCTTCTTTCGCATACGACTGGCTGGCACGTTATGGATACATCAACTTCGGCTGTGTCGAGGTCCCCATTCCTCCGGTGCCTCCCCGAAGAGGACGCCGCAAAGAAGGGCCTGTCATCCTCGTGGTTGGAGCTGGTGTGGGAGGACTTGGTTGTGCCCGCCAACTGGAGGGTCTTTTCAAGCACTATCGCGATTCAGATACCGAACCACGAGTTGTCGTTATCGAAGGACGCCCACGGATTGGCGGACGCGTTTATTCCCACCCCCTCCACAGTCTTCAGTCTGATATGTTGCCACCGGGCCTTGTTCCCAAAGCGGAAATGGGCGCTCAAATTATCATCGGTTTCGATCATGGCAATCCCCTTGACCAGATTGTCCGCGGTCAGTTGGCACTTCATCACCACCTACTTCACGACCTTTCTACGATTTACGACTTTGATGGCTCCCCAGTTCCGAATACGCAGGACGAAATGGTCAACAAACTTTACGAAGATGTTTCAGAACGAGCCTTTGATTATCGCCACAAAAAGCTTGTCAGACAAACAGCCGAGGGTGACCGCGAGATGATTGACAGTGGAAGAGAGACCACTATTGATGATGGCATTACAGTACGACAATGGGAAGAAGCTCGAGCGAAGGGCACCACCGATTCCCTAGTCCCGACCAAGCGAGTACGCCGACGCCGCGGAGTAGGCCACAACACTGGAGACGTCGGAGCAATGAACGCCGCAGCATCAAAACTCGACGGCGATACGGACGACCACCCAGCAGCCTTGGCAGCCCAATCAGCGGGATGGGAGTTGAACGCGGGATATACTGCAACCGACACCCTGGACTTGGACCGCGTTGCGCACGCAGTGGAGGCACAGTCTCTAGGCGCTGTGATGAACGAGGGAGTCAAGCAATACCGGGATATGCTTCCACTAACACCGCGGGATATGCGACTGTTGAACTGGCACTTTGCAAATCTCGAGTATTCCTTTGCGGCAAATCCCAAGAAGCTCAGTCTGACCTTGGCGGATCAGGATTCTGGCAATGAATTCGAAGGATTGCACTCCATGGTGGTTGGAGGTTACAATCAGCTTCCATATGGCTTGTACACGGTGCCCGATAAGCTCGACGTTCACACCAACAAGATCGTCACGAAGATTGCATACGATGCAGATGGAGCGGGCAACCGCAAGGCTATCGTTCACTGCAAGGATGGTGAGAAGTTCGTGGGCGATCACGTCGTGTACACTGGCTCTCTTGGCACCCTTCAGCACCGCGCTGTCGAGTTTGATCCCCCTCTTCCCGATTGGAAGCAGGGCGCAATCAATCGATTGGGCTTTGGTCTCCTGAACAAGGTCGTTCTGGTCTTCGATGAGCCATTCTGGGATACCGAGCGTGATTTCTTCGGTCTTCTCCGCACGCCTGATAACCCTGAGAGTATGGCCCAGGAGGAATATGCGGCAAACCGTGGTCGGTTCTACCTATTCTGGAACTGTATCAGGACAACCGGTTTGCCCGTGCTGGTTGGTCTCATGGCTGGAGATGCCGCACACCAAGCCGAGCAAACGTCCGATACCGAGATTGTCGCGGAAGTCACCACGCAGCTGCGAAATGTGTTCAAACACACTGTCATCCCTGATCCTCTCGAGACCATCATCACTCGCTGGGCATCAGACCCTTTCACTCGTGGCAGCTACTCCTTTGTAGCCGCGGGTGCTCAACCTGAAGACTACGATCTCATGGCGCGACAGGTTGGCAATCTCCACTTTGCTGGCGAAGCCACCTGCGGAACGCACCCGGCGACCGTCCATGGCGCCTATCTGTCCGGTCTGCGTGCTGCTGCGGAGGTCATCGAGGCTACCGTCGGCCCGATGGAGATTCCCATGCCCCTGGTCCCGGATAAGCCAGTCGCTAATGTGGTCACGCCGCCGCCGGCTGATACTGTGACCACGGTTACAGGCACGCCAAAGCTTCCCGCACCGGCAACCAGCTCGCGAAGTCCCAACGTCGCCGATAAACAGCGGCGGGACACGTATGAGCAGGCCATGTGGACGGCCATCTACGCGGAGCTGGGGCCAACGCCCACTCCTCCAGCCAAGGCGGGACGCAACCCGTTCCTCTTGTACCAGAAGGACTTCTGGACCAAGTGCAAGGAACAGTGCGATGAGGCTCGACGGGTTGCATCCAACAACCCGAATGCCAAGGCCTCCCGAGATGACATCCGGGCCGCGCTTGGTGCGATGTGGCGGAATGCTCCTCCCGAGGAGAAGCAGCCGTACATCGACCAGGTTGAGGCCAACCGGATAGCCAATGAGGAGGCATTCGGGAAGTTCACGGCAGTGGCTGCGGAGTGGAACCGGCGCTCGTTCGAGGTCAAGGACCGGTGGTGTGCAGAGAATCCCATTGAGGATTGGCAGGTTCCGTCGGGATCTACGGTGGATATTTAGGTTGCTTTTGCCCCTGTTTCAATAGTGTCCATATTCTTACTTTCAAGCAATCTAACTCTGAGTCCAAGAGATTCAGCGCTTACTTTCGCTTTGTCTGCCGTGAGATGAAGTATCAGAACAACATGAAGTTCCAGTCAGATTAGTTGCTATCTTTTATTTTAGATTACCGAAGATGATGGCCGGCCTAGTCACACTGTACTACGTCTGTCATGCTCAGCACTCAGAGGGCCAGTATGAAAGCCGAGATAAATCAGCCTTCTGGGGCCAATTATTCACACCAGGTGGTATAATTCTAATAAATAAAGGGGGCAGTTTCCTCTAGCATTCCCATGGTCATAGAGACACGATCAAACCAAGTTTCAAAATCCCCACGCTGTTGAGGCCCTGGTGCCTGTCTCGCACGTCTCCCGGTAGCAATAGCCCGAGATATTGACGAATAGTCAAGGACTTCCCACGCATTCTTCCCCGGTTGATAATCTCGCTGCCCTAGCCTCACAGTTGAGACCTTTCGCCGGTAACGATCCGCTTTCAAAACCGTCAAAAGTTGCTCCAATATCGCGATCGCGGCATTGACGCCTTGCATTGAGTAGTCCCATAATGGTCCCACCAGATCTGCAGAAATGACCCCGGCGAAATCGGTTTCTCGGGATTGGCGACTCGATTTGACTCCCGTCGTCATTTCGGTTTGATATTCGTAGAGTGTATTTTGGCACTCTGTCATTGACTGGACCAAGTCTTCTCTTTCGTCGTCACTGGCGGAAGTATTTGCAACGAGAGACCGTGTTCGTTTGACAAAGCCCGGACAGCGTGCTATCTCGTGGCCTGCGTAATCGATCAAAGCCCCCAAGCGACTGACCTTTCCACGCCGCTTTTCATCCTCGATCATCTGTGGAATAATCTGCTTCCATTCTTCATCTTCAAGGAAACACCTTTCCCCATTCAAAAGAGCCTCGTAGACCAGAAATCCCTGAAACGACAACAAAAGCGTCCGCCCCATGCCATCAGCATGAGCCTGCGCCCCACGAATCTGATACAAATGCGAGATCCCCCTCGAATGAAGTATCCAAGCCTTTTTCCCCGTGACATTAGCCATTTCATACCCGCCAAGAAGAATAGCCGCAGCGAGAGTCGTATCTGCCGTGACGAGGGCGGGGTTATTCAACGTCCGCGCTAAGTGGTACAAAGCACGACCGTACATCTCGCGACTAGCATGAACGAGTCGGTAATCTTGCAGCGCACGTCCCATCTGCAAGGCGCCTACACTGCGGAGACCCCAGTTAAACGCCTCGCCGGCGGAGTACTGGTTGCTGCGGACCATGTCGAACCATGTCACGCCGAGACGACAGCTGTGGCCGTAGTACTGGTAGCGGTACTTTGTGTCAAGGAAGGTGCAGAAGCCTTCGCGGCATTGGAGATCTATATTTTTAGCGGCTAGGGTTGGCGCGATGACTTGGTCCATTGATGAAGTGATGGTGGCAAGAGGGTCTTTGGGTGTGGATTGCGAGGGATGAATAGTAGTAGGTTTTGTTTGTTTTTCATCCTGGTCGATAGATGTTGTTTTGGAATAGGCGCAGAACTTGCGATCCTTGACGTATCCGGGGCATGAGACCCCTCGTCTTTGACAACGCAGGCATTCGGGGTGTGTTTCGTCGCACTGAAATTAAATTGAGGCGATTAGAGTCCCGCTCCCCGGAGAAAGAGTGTGCGTGGCATTAGAATTCGGATGGGGAATGTGCGTACCTTGACTCGTCGCCGTATACATGTCTGGCAGCCTGTACTTCGAGGAACACCCACCATCGTACGACTAGGTATAGTATACTTCTCGGAGGTTATTGCATATAGAGGAGCGCCCCGGTGATACTGTGGGGGAGGGAGGGTCAGAGGAAGAATAAATCCGGTTGCAAAGGGCGAATACGAGGGGCTCTTTGCGGTCTAAGCCTCTCCAGTCAATAAGGCCACCCGTTTTAGACCGATTGCCGATCCACACTTTTGACTTTGCTTCAACGATGGTTCATAATCGGGGGGGCCCGAGAGCGATCTTGGCTGGATTGAGAGTTTGTCAACGCGGGAGATGGAGGTGAAATGGAGCAACCTGGCCCGGATGAATGAATCTCATGGTATCTGCCGAAAGGGGGCTATTGTCCAGAACCCGACTCCCCTTCACGACTAGTCTTGAATGGGTTAAAGTTTTCGCCAAGGTCACAAAGCAGCTAAGCTTTCCAGACGGTAGAAACGGAAAAACGCGATAATGGCCCGGGTTTTCTATTAGGTTATAAGCTTAAAGCCTAACCACTTGCACTGACGGCTGTCACTTGATATATCCCGGGTATCCGCAAGCCATTCGAGAACGGCGAGACCTGGGTGCTGCACCCCCAGCGGGGAAGCGGCGTAATGAGGCTGAAGGGCACAGACACGGTATTATGTATTGTTATTACTCGCGCGGCAAACCAGGCCGAAGAGAGATGTTGTTAGGTATTCAGAATCCAAAATATAATCCGAGATATAATTCCCAAGCTATCTAGCGGGTCGTTCAAAATATCTTTCAGAAAAGACGCAGTTAAAGCGTATCTACCTAACTAAATAGACAGGAAACCAACCGAATTAGGCCTAGTTTGTTGTCAGAGCTGACACTTTTTGTCGCGCAGGTAACAAGATCCTTCTGGTATCCCAGGGACTGTGCTGTTTGGACAACCTCCATCGCAGGCTCAAATAGTCATCCCTACTCAACATCAATAGCTCTCGAACAAATATAGGATGATGGCTTCTGACTTTGACTTCGATTTTACCACCTGGAATAGCTATCCGTCATCAACAATCAACTCTTCATCCAAGGAGCGGCCAATTCTCTTCTCATCTGCTAGGATCCAGAATGTTGTTTCCCAAGATCTGAGCGCTCAATATGCTGCTCGCGTGAGCGAAGCTGAAGCTCTCGGAGAGTCACTCGTGAGGTTGGTAAGCGGAAATGACCCCATCTAAACGGCGGTATCATTGATCCCTCTATAGCATCATTCAAATCAAGAAATATACCCCTACAGTTATCACGATTCTAGAGAGTTGTTTCTCTGAATTCCCACGGGATCTTCTTGAAAATGTCGTTTTGAACAAATCCAATGGCCAAAATATCTCGGTCATTCCAAGTACTCATGATGAATCAACGGGTAAGCTTCCCATATATACATTCAGCCCTGCGCGCGAAATATGACGCCAACAATTGTAGGCATCCGATCTCTCATGAACTTCCCATTTGTCTCGCGATCTTCGAACACTTCCGAGACAGAGACCCACAACCGCGTCAGTTTCTTGCCAGTGGCTGTCTGGATCTGCCCATCTTCATTCATCAAGAACTCGTAATCAGGTAGTTCTAGAATGATGATCGTTCTTATCTGTACCAGCTCCCACGTTTTCCGGGCACTTATATCATATTATGGTGCTGCCTATCAGAAACGGTGGATGCGATTACAGAAAAGTCCCGCGTGGATATTTCCAGATATCTTACACACTTTGGGTAGGTGGTGGGAAGTCTGGAATATCACAAAACAAAACCTAGGTGTTTATCATCGTCACGTTCATGAACTTTCCCGCCCAGTCCGGTTTCTTAACATCAGAGACTCTCAAAAGGATCGGCTACTTGATCTAGCACGACAACTTCATGATGAAAACGCGATCTTATTGTCAGTGCGTGAGCAGCTTCGCGTTCACTCGGCTGCACTCTCACGATTTCTTCGTCCGGCCATATGTCCGACATCACAAGATGTCAATGACAGATTACAAGAACATCTCGAGGATATCGATTACCACGCGGAAACTTCCCAGGTGTTGATACGGCAGCTTGAAAATATTATGAGCTTGGTAGCCACCCTCTAATCCTTTTGACTGGCGGAACATCTCTAACTAATGAATCCCAAAAATAGGTATTCAATATCGAGACCATGGCTCAAGGACAAGCAGTAGCTCGATTAAATATTCTCGCTTTTGCATTTCTTCCCTTGTCGTGGGTCGCCGTAAGTTCAACCTCATACCATGTCGAAAATATGTTTAATTGGAACTCTGGAGTTTATTTGGCATGACGGCAATTCTCCTTGTCCGCTGCCTGGTATCCTCTGTGGGCATTCGTTGCCCTCCTAATTGTGGTCACCATTTAATTTTCTCTTCCTTTGCATGGCTTCAATTGGCCTACGTTGCGTCAGTCTGTGTCGCGTCGACTCAACAAGGACATCATACCATCGACACAAGACCTTGAGGCTCCCACAAATTCCCGTGCATCTTCGATCTATAACTCGTCAACTATCGATCTTAATCAGGAAGATCGGGTTCCCCAAGAACGCCGTCAGCAAGATCTCAGTCAGCGGGTGGACATCCGTTTTCACAAAATTAGTATTCCTGTTCAGCGCATGAGTGGATCTCCTCTCCTTGTCAATCCTTTTGCGAGGAAAAACCCCAAAGCCCCGGCACCTGATGGAAAGTCGAGCGAGATTGTGGAGTAAGGCTTGTTAAATACCACACATCAATCAGCTTGATGTCTCCTCAATCAGTATCCTTTCATGATAGTGTTTTTCCATCGTCACCTATAAGTACCAAATACCATCAAAGACACAACCAAAAGTAGAGATAGAGCGTGGTTTCCTGTCTATTAGCTATCGAATACAAAATTTACACAATATCTTCATTGCTTTGGCCGCAATAAAGATCAGCTGCCTATACGGATGAGAATTCCAAATCAACGATAAACAACACAGCCCCAGCTTTCAAGCATGCCCTTCGAGCTCCTTCTCCGTCCAATCCCACAACTTTTTCGCCAGCTTATCGTCCTTCCCATAGAAACCCGCCATGTTTGTTACACCAACTGGCTCATAGTATTCACCGCTTCTGACATCTTTCGACACCGAAGCCCAGAGCTGGTTGAAGACTCCCTTTTCCACTGAAGTTCCGGACATCTCCACCAGCCATGTGACCGCCCGTACGAAAGATGATGTGCCTGTCGCACCTCTGAATAAACTCGTCTGTACCACTCCAGGGTGAATTGCGGCGATTGTAAACTGAGGGTAATGCTCGGCAAGCTGACGCACGTAGAGAAGGTTGGCCAGTTTGCTTTGCCCGTACAATGCCTCTGCAGGCAACGCATCAGGCACCTTCACTGAGTCGGGTACAAATCCGCCAGTCGGGGGATAGCGATGGGCAGACGAAGACAATACCACAATTCGCACGTCTGCGTCCGCTTGTTGGGCGGTTTTGTTCAAGACCGGCAGGATCAACTTTGTCAATAGCGCGTGGCCCATGTGGTTGGTGCCGAATTGGATCTCGTAGCCATCCTCCGTTAGGTCGTGCGGCGTTGACATAATGCCAGCATTGAGCATAAGGATGTCGAGCCGGTTGGCCTGGGACAAGAAGATGTTGGCAGCCGCCTTGATTGAGTGAAATGAAGCGAGATCAAGTTCGAGGACTCTGACGGAGGTTTTTGGGACCATTCTTTTGATCTCGTCGGCGGCCACGCTAGCTTTACTCAGGTTGCGAGCGGCAAGCCAGATCTCGGACGGATTGTGGTGAGCAAACGCGAGTAAAGATTGCTTGCCTAAGCCATTATTGCCTCCTGTCACAAGAATGACCTTGCCTTCGAGCGAAGGGATGTCTTTCGCTGGGCTGAATGAGACGGATTTGCTGAACAAGCCCATGTTCTCTCTTTGACCCATGTATATTAACAGGAGGAAGAGGGCCTAAGGTAGCCGTCCACGAGGGTGGATGAAATCATTTATACTCCATAAAATAGAACCGTAGTTGTTGCGCTTTAGCCGCTATGTAAGGGTTCTATGGAGAACAGCACGTTAAACTCTGGTTCCTTGTACACTAGTTAGGGTGACTAGCGGTCATTCGCCGACTAGTGCTAGTGACCCACAACGGGAAGCGGAGCGGAGTGCACTGCATGTATGGAAGGCACAGATTGCTCTGAAACGATGTTATCCCATCCCCCTTTCGATTATATTTCAGTATATTCAAAGCGTTCTTAACAATACCGCTAATGAAGATAATATCCAGGCAGCCGAGTAGACAGGGAGTCTGTATTTGAGCTTTTTGCGCGAAGTCTTTCTACGCCTACAAACCGAACCGATCAAATACACTCAAACAGCAGGTATACCACCGACTGATTCTCGTTCTAGCCAACTAAGAACCACCGTGCAGAGGTAACATATACAATTGCAGAAGGCGTAACAATGTTGAACTGGTTTTCAGGAAGCTTCATGTAAGAAACGATTCGTAGCAGTTTGGCAATTCCCCTTTCGTCCTCGATGGGTTCGGGCAATTAACCCGTGGCCACGATTGATAATGATTGGCATTTTCTTAGGTTACAATAGTCCTCCGCACGTATTGCTTAGTGTCATCCATGAAGAAACCGTGAGCTGGCTCAATATGTCGAATGTCGTCCTTGATCACGCCGTATCATTTCCAGTTTTTTGATGCTATAGTTAGTCTCGTGAGGCTCACCAGATATGGGCGAATCAGGTGACGAACAGGGGTGTTCACGAGATTGAGGCCAAGAGGGGTGATGCTCAGCCTCAAGCGCTGAGATGAAGACCAACATTCTTCAGTTATCTAAGCTAGTGTCGGACTTTAGGCGGTGACCATAAAGTCGTGGTGATGCACACAAGAAGATAGTGTATGCATAAAAGGTTAGGACTCAATACTGAGTATAAAGGTCGTGCGTATCTCTTAGAAGGAGAAGAGACACCAAGATTGTGGAAGAGTATCACTGATCAAGAAGAGAGATCAAAAAGGATGATAAACTTGATTCAATTTAGCTAGGAAACATAGTGAAAGATCACGTGAAGTAATAAGCAATTGGAGTTTTGAATAGTCTCCTGCCTAGGTAGGCAATTCGATGCGAGTAGGCAATTCAGTGCGAGATCGTTGAAGATCAATCTCGATAGATCTTATAGAGAAGATCTAGAAGCGATGAGGGGTAGTGGGTCCTTCGTCACATGACCCCACAACATCCATATGTTGACAACTAGTTTCACATCCCAGTAAGTTATCACTTACTGTGGAGCGGACTGAGACACCAAATGGCGATGCTGCCTGATCTAGTTCAAGATTTCAAGCTTACAACACACTTTCGTGGGGAAGAAACGATTCATACATATCAAGAGTCTGACCCCACCTCGGGAAACCGCCTCATTTCCCGAACAGAACACTGGAAGAGGCACAAAAAGATCGGAAATGGAGCTTATGGAAGCGTTTGGCTGGAGAATTGTACCAAAGGCCGGCGAAATGGGAGTCGGGTTCGGGCCGTGAAACAGAGTCATCTCGATAGTCGGTCTGGACCAGTTGACTATACCCGAGAGTTGGAAGTTATTGCTAAGTTCTCGAGAGCGAATGTAACTCTCCGAGGCCTGATCAGTGTTGGTATCAGTCACGCCATGATATCCCCTCACGCCTTGATGATCTCTCGCGCCTTGATAATCTCTCGCGCTCTACTCAGAGCAGCTCCTGGCACGGTAGACTCCACCGGCGCGACGACAAGATACAGGCAGGCTTTAAGGATTGGGTATCCCGCATCGCATTCTCTCCCGACGGCAAAACCCTTGCAGCCGGATCTGGCAACGAGATCAGCATATGCTCCCCCGCTGAACACAACAGAAAAATACTAGTGCAGGATAAGACCGTCCGTGAGTTTGCCTTCTCGCCGGATGGCAAGTATCTCGCCTCCGGCTCGAACGACACCTATTTCTCCCTAAGGCATGATATTCATCTATGGGACCTGAATAAACTCACCGAGGTCACCAAATTCACCATATTCACGGCAGTTAGCTCCAAGTATCAGGAGCATACGAAACATCTGTGTTTTCCCCAGACAGTACCCTTCTTGCATGTGGGATTCTGCGGGCAATGTCTCTGTCTGGGCGCTTCCCGGAGGGTTTTTAAATCGGACAGATCGGAGGAAATTATATCACACATTCCGGGAGAAGCTACTTGGGCTCACATTCTTGCCAAGCGGAGAGTTATTGCTCGTCGACTCCAAGGGTATATACCACTGGAACCGTATCACGAAGGTATTCCATCATCGTAGAATCGATTTCCACGGGGAGCTCAAAACGAGACAAGTCCGCTTCTCTGCCCAGGGGGCATTCTTTTTCTATCGGGTTTCTGGGACTTACAAAATCGAGTTTTGTTTCATTGACGATGGGTTGATATTTCGAACTTTTGATTACACTCTCCGCGACAAGATTCTCTGCATGAATATTTCGCCAAACGGTCAGTTCCTCGCAGCAACCGTTTACAACGGGAAACACAATGGATCGCGGATAGTCATTTGGGATGCTCTGGACGGGACAGAGCTTGATGTCGTACTAACTGCACATTCGAGAAAGGCGGAGGCGCTGGCCTTTTCTCCTCATAGCCGGTTCCTTGCAACTGGTTGCCATGGTGGGATACTCAAGACGTGGTACTGGGATCATACGCGAGTAATCGCTCAGGTAGAGCGAAGAGAAGACGCGTTGAGCCACAAAGGAGAACATGACGCTTAGTGGCTGATTGGGGATTTATAAGGTGAAACTGGCATCATTTACGGTATGCACCACGAGCGCCACTATGTATTCTATATTTCCCTCTTAAACGTTCTCCCTAGGGAGATGTTAAATCACTTTGACTTCATGAAAACCGCTTGACCCCCATTGTTTGTTCCTTGGTGTTCGGTAGTTGGTCCTCTAACGAGGATAGATGACAAATTCAGGCTCAATGTCTCTGGTGGTAACTCGGCCACCAGCGCAAGGAAGCAAGGAAAGAAAGGCAGTTCGATTCTGCCTATCTCTCTAAGAGAACAAGAGAACAAGAAGGAAGGAAAACAGGCAAGGGCCCTCATACAGAAGGATAGATATATCGAAAGTACTACAGTATATGCTACTCGTAAGGTACGTTTCTAAGTCGGCTTAACGTTGTAGTCACTAGAGTTTCTTGTAGTGCCATGAGTATGATCCTTTCTATACGCAGACTTTGAAATGTACGGGAAAAGCGTCTATTTCTATCTCTATCGGTAACGATCAATCCCAAGCAAACAAGCCCGAACCCAATCTACCGACCAGAAGCACGATAGACCAAGAATCCCAGACCAAAAAAAAAGCAAAATCAACAAAAAAAAAAGCAGACATAAAAGGAAATCCGTCGACCATGAGAGCATAAAGGAAAAAAGAGATATGCATTGGGGAATTGAGAGAACATTTCAGATCGCAGAACACAGACAAGTCTAGAAATGCGCATGCACGCAAGCAATTCTAAACGCTATGCGCCGTAAATGATCGAGATCATGAGGGGTGGAAGTGATGGGTGGAGGGATGGTGAAGGAGTATATAGAGATTGGAGGAGTGGATGGGTTATGATATTTAGAGGTTGGCACCGTTGACCTCCTGGGTGGAGGGCTCGGACTCGGAGAGGAACTTCTCGGCTTCGAGGGCAGCGACACAGCCGGAGCCTATATGCATCATTAGTTATAATTCTCTTTGAAATAGAGGAGGAAATGTATAAACTTACCGGCACTGGTGATAGCCTGGCGGTAGCGCTTGTCCTGAACGTCACCGCAGGCAAATACACCCTCGACGCTGGTGAAGCTGGTACCAGGCTGGGTGATGATGTAACCATCCTCATCGAGCTTGAGCTGGCCCTGGACCAGGGCGTTGGCGGGGTCGTGGCCAACAGCGTAGAAGAGACCGTTAGCCTCGACAATCTCCTCCTGGTCGCTGGTGGTGCTCTTGACACGGAGGTGGGTCATGAGGCCGTTAGGCTTGGTCTCACCGATAACCTCGGTGGCGACGGTGTTGAAGCGGACAGTGCACTTGGGGTGGTTGAGCAGGCGGTCAGCCATCACCTTGGAGGCACGCAGCTTGTCACGGCGAACCAGCACGGTGACGTGGCTGCCGTACTTGGCCAGGAACATGGCCTCCTCGGCGGCAGAGTCACCACCACCGATAACGTACAGGGGCTTGTTGCGGAAGATGGGCACAGCACCGTCGCAGACAGCGCAGGCACTGATACCGTTCTGCCAGAACTTCTCCTCGCCGGGCAGGTTGAGGCGGCGGGCATTGGCACCGGTAGCGATGATAACGGCGTCCGCAGTGTGAGCGGGCTCGTCGTTGGGACCGTCGTTCCACTCGGTCCACATCTTGAAGGGGCGCTGGGACAGGTCCAACTTGGAGATGGTCTCGGTGATGATCTTGGTGCCGAAGCGCTCAGACTGAGCGCGCATCTTGTCCATCAACTCGGCACCGCCGACACCGTCGGGGAAGCCGGGGAAGTTCTCGACATCGGTAGTGGTGGTAAGCTGGCCACCGGCGGCGGTGCCGTTAGCGAGCATACCCTCGTACAGAACGGGCTCAAGTTCAGCGCGCGAGAGATAGATAGCGGCAGTGTGGGCGCCAGGGCCCGAGCCGATAACTGTGAAAGAAAAAAAAAGGCGGTTAGCTGATATACTTTCTCCGGACCCAGTCAATTCCTATCATAAAGACTTACTAACTACTTTAGAGTGCACCATTCTGGCGGTATTGAGAGAATTGACGCGCGCGGGCGTCGATAACGGCTGCTTGAGGACGGAGGCCGGAGGGGGAGATTGTTGGTGGAGAGTAGTTGAGGCCGCGGCGGCAGTGAACCCGAGAGACCGGAGGGCGGCAGGAAAACGACGGAGCGTGGAGGAAAACAGCTTGAAGGTCGGGAAAAGAAGAGGGGATTAAAAAAGGTAGGAGTCGGGTTTTTTTTAATCGGGTGAAGAGGGGGGGAGGGCCTAGTGGGGGCTTGATGATGAGATCAGAACGAGTCGAACAGTTCTGCGTCTTTCTGCAAAATCCAGCAAATTAATCATTTGCCCGCGTCGAGGCCCCTCGCTTTCTAAGCATAGGGGCACGTGACAAGGTCTCGACCGGGTGGCGAGAAGAGTATCGAGAATGAAAGGGGGTATCAGATCACACATTTACTCCTATTCCCGTTCTCCGAGGTTACCGGTTTTCTAGAGCTAAGCTATCATTGATCTGATTGATAAGTGGGCGTTATACACTTGTACAGAGATGACGCTAAACAAGGTCTAGCCATTGGAATTGTACAAAGCATAAACTTGTCCTTAAGCAGACCTTATCTAAGCATATTCGTTATCGCCCTTATCGTCGGAATTGACTCGGCCAGATCACGCCATTTCCCCTTTCCCGAAAGGCGGTCAACACGGTTCCATAGGGCTCCGGACTATTCGAGCCGGAGAACTATTCGAGAGTAGATTGCATATGACAAACATCAATCATGAATTAGATCTACCTTAGGAAAAGAAAATAGGTGGAAAACATCCAGATCGGACTCGTCCAGATCAAAACAATCATTAAAGCCCGGAGAAAAATAGACCCCAATAACACCAGCGTAAGTCGTCATAATATACATCAAATCAAAATCAAATCAAAGCACACCAAACCACTTCTTCCGCGGTCGACTAGGCTCCTCATCCTCATACTCCTCCTCGTCATCATCCTCAAAAGACTCATCAGCCATAGCCTCGGGATGCACTCGGTGCGGCACCGCTCCACCCTCCTCCTCATCACTTCCAGGGTATCCATCATAGTGCGGGTGTGTAGCAGCAGCAGCATTTGCGCGCGTATTATTGATAGTGTCATGGTCTTCGTAATCATCGCCCTCCTCATCTTCGTATTCGGCGCCGTGAGGATCCTCCTCATTCTTCTTGCGGCGTGGCATGCGCAGCCATTTGCGCCAGCCCTTGACTACCGGAGTAGGTTCGGGGTCGTACTCGGTACCTTCGTAGCGGAGCACCGGTATGAGGAGTTTGTAGGGCACGGTGATACCGGCGGGGTCGTGTGGGCTGATCTCCAGGTTAAGGGTAATGGCTAGGCCGCCTTCAAGATCCACGAGAGCTCCGGCACCGTCGTCGCCTTGTTTAGCCGCCTTTTTAGCTGCCTTGAGGCTCAGGTTGGTTGGCCGACGGTGGAATTGGCCCGGTCGAGGAGGCTCTTGTGTGTTTTGAGGGAAGTAGCTGTCTGCGCTTTCGTTGGGTCGAGACAAGGGTCCGTCGACACTAGCTCGTCGAGCACCTCCCTCGCGTCCGATGCTCATGGTTCGAGTGGGTGGTCCGCCTCGTGTAGACAAACGCCGTAAGAGGCCACCAAGTTTACTTCCGGGACCTTTGTCTCCACGTCCGAGCGACAAAGTGCGTTGCAATTTGCCAGGACGGGGTTCGGGGGTTGGTGTTAATTCAGACTCGGGCGTACCAGGGGGTGTAGAGCCTGGACGGTATTCCCTAATAGAGCACCAATTGCGCCGGGGCAGGAGACGCTTGTTGTTTCGAGGCTTGCCATCAACATCCTGTGTGAAGATGGGAATGACATCTTCATCGGTGTTTGAGTCCATGTGGTGGACTGTGTTGCGCTTGTTGAGCATGTCCGAGATGATCTCGGTCTCGGGCACGTTAGCAATGGCAGAGGAGATCACATTCGGCATGTATCGGTAATCACGATCTTTGGCAATGTCCAACTTGGAGTTAGAATAGAATTGACCAATAGCAGCCAGATGAACGTCGCCACTAAAGCCACCGTTAGTATGTCATTTTTTGGTTTTTACACATCACACAACGGAGTGAGGTGCTTACCTGAGAATCGTAACTCTGACGGATTTCTCTGCCGCGAGATCTTGCAAGTCTTCGACCAGCCAGGTGCGTTCGGCCTTGAGGTGCTTTCCGGCCCAGTGATCGTCAAACACCTCAACATTACCACCCGAGCGGTTAACAAGACCACCGATCATACCAGCTTTGCCGAGAGACTTGCGGCTATTCATATAGTTCTTGAGCATGGCCTTTTGGGGCGTCCGGGTCAGCTTCGAATGGGGAGATGGGTCGAGCGGGCTACGTACCACGCGCGGGTAGGCAATGGGTATGCTCGAAAGGACGATCAAATGCTTCGTTTTTCCTTTGACGATTTCACGATGGCATCTATCCCAGATCAATTCGGATGTCTCTGAGCTGATAACCTCGGTGCTCTATACAAACAATTAGCATGTCAATAGTTGGGTATCAAATACACCCGAAAGTCTTACCTGTCGTTCAGTTCGGCAGTCCAGACCCAAGAAAACCACATCACTGCCTAGTGACATAAAGAGATTGCGACTCCTCTGCTCAATGTACGGGCCTGGCCTGGCACCCAGGAGCCAGCTAGGCTCGTCCATCTCTGTTTCATCTGGAACGCTGTGGTGCTGGAACAGGAGGTAATACTTGAACGCGATCTTGCCCAAGCCGGAGATGACAGCACTTCGCATGAACTCGTCATTGTAAGATCCGAATCCTTCAAAGATCTCATGATCATTCCAAATATTCACCATTGGGATCTGAGAGTTAGCCAGGGAGAAAAGTCCCTGTGAGAACCATGAAGCGTAGCGTTCAAGGTAGAACTTCTCCAGTTCCGCACGGAACTCGGGAGTGAGTGGTGCGCCGTATCGATCAGCGGCATTCTTGATCTTGATCCATTCCTGGAACAACCCAAGGTCTGTAATAACACTGTCGTTGAAAATTTGATCGCCTCCTCCAATCATCACATGGAACGGCTGTGTCTGGTGCTCATTGAGAATATCTCGCCAGAGTGGATCGGGTCCACACATGGGGTTGGGGTCAACATTAGGACCGAATCCATTACCGCTGTGGAACATGATGTTCATAGGTTTGCCCATAGCTGGGACCCAGAAGCCCAAGGCGGGTCCTTGGTTGATGCGGTATGCAATTCGCTGCTGCGTGGCGCTGAGTTCGATTTCAAGACTGAATCTCCAGAATGTCACATCTCTGGCGGCATCGGCATACAGACGCACACCGGGAATATCTCGGTGCAGCTCTGCAGTCTCGCCATCGACGGGGTGAATCCTGTTGGAAGGGATCGGTTGCTTGGATCCCTCAGAGCTATAGTCAATCATGCTGGGAGATAGTTCATAGATCCCATCATCATTTTCCACGGCCGAAAGGTCGACCTCTTCCTCGAGGTGGTCCACTGGCTTGACATACAATGGACGACCGTCACGGCCAACTTTCATAAGGCCGGCAGTGGGGTCGACATATTCAGGTGCCAGGGCTCCATTCTCACCACTAACCTCTGCGGGTGGAGGGGGCAAGAGATCCATCGGTTGAGAGAAGAGTCTCAATGTAGGCGGGACCTCGTAAGAAGAGCGAGAATCTTTCGTAACAATCATAATGGAGCCTCTCCAGAACTCCTTTTCAACAGGACCATGGGCTCCATCGATGTTTTCTGTCCTGATGCCAGTGTATCGAAGGAGGGGGCCGCATCTTAAGAACAACTTGGGCTGGAAGTTCTTGTGCTGAGTGACTCCTATAAAAAGTTAGATCTCTATCTTCCCAACTGCAATCCAAGTTCCGATAGTTCTTACCTGTCACTTTCTGGGCCGCAGTTTGATAGTTCTTGGGAAGCGCCCTGCTCTTCCTGCGATCTGCCGAGGCACCACCTTCCCACCAGGCCTTGCTTCGGTCAATATCCAGATGTTGGAAGTCAAAGTCAGCTGCTCCAAGTCGAGCAACGGGGGCGTTCTTCCACTCAAAGATGGGGGGAGGTGTCGGTGGTGGTACATCAAACGACACAGTTTGTCGTGGTTTTGACCGCGGTAGTGATGCACCGGATAGGGACTTCGCCGCAGGAGGGGTTTCTAGTCTTTCTGCGCTGGATATAGCAGCAACAGGTTGCGTCGTCTTCGGAGGTCCTTGCTGAGACACCGAGCGAGTGTGTATAAGTTTCTCATTTGGCCCTTCCTTTGCACCGTGTTCGCGCACTGTGACTGATCTTCGAGGGACATTGCCCATCTTTACTGGTTGGGATCTGGCGTTTTCAGCGCCAGGATATTGTGCATCTTCGGCTCGCCGAATGGCGGGATACTGGGGATTCATCGAGACAGCTCTGTTGTGGCGCACGGCGGGGCCTCCAGGTTGTCGGGCCATCGGTGGTGCAGCCCGAGCGGTTTCCTCCATGATATCCCTCTGTTTAGTTGTCCTAGTTGAGGCAGGAGTTCCGCGATCTGCCGAGTGCGGGCTCTGCTTCGAATTGGGTCGGGGGGCACTGGCAGTGCTAGCAGCAGCCGCAGCAACCTCGGCCTGCTCCTTTTCGATCTTCTGTCTAGCAAGACGTTCCCGCAGTCGCATTTCAGCCTCTTGTACCCGCGCTCGTTTCTCCTCCTTGCTGATCCCATTAAGGGTTACTTCGAGTTTCTGTAACGGCGAACGGTCCGAAGCCCAGTCTCGTTTGGTACTTGCGCCGCTTGTCGAGCGCATGGTGTTCGATCGACTGGGCGGAGAGGGCAAACCGGGCGCAGTCTGGGCCTCTTCACTCTCTGGCATGCCTGCATTGGGGCCATGGAGATACTCCGCAGGTGGAAGGCCGCGGGGAGTGGTGGATTCTTCATCCAGCCCTGGAGGGGCCGCTGGTGCAGGCTTGCGTGTGGTGTAGTTCAGATTGGCTGCTGCTCTCGCTGAAAATGACCGACTCGGCGGCCCTGAAGCCCTCTGCACTGAAGAGGCTTTGGGCGCGGACTGTGGATAGGAGCCCTCTGCTGCCGCGGATGCATATCCTGGTTCATCTTCATAACTCGCAACACTCGAGACAGCTGTGCTATGCCTGCGGCTCTCCGAAGCTCTGCGAGCTCCCTTGGCCATCTGTGGATTGTGGTTGCCGTTCGCCAGATCAGGCGATGCGCGCATTGCTGCTGTCGCCATTTTTAGCCGTTTTGCGATGATATGCGTGGATGGATGGCGCAGGTGATGGGTGGTGTTCCCTATCAACCTGAATTGAAGGATGCCTGTCGTACGGCCGCGGGCTGAAAGGATTCTCGTCAATGTTTGCTCATCGGGGGTGTTTTGAGACTAAACTCAATACAACACTGCGTAAATCAGGACTCGACGTACCAGAACTTAACTTTCTTCACGTAGTCACAACCCAGCTATGTCTGATGCCTGACACGGGCTCACCACATCATCGCCTGAATTGGATCAGGTTGCGCCAGGCCGTCAGGTACTTGTTTGGGCGGGGTGACAGCGGTGACAGGGTAGAGCGTGGCACGAAGCTTCCTGGGGGAATTCAATCGCAAGTGCTGAAGAATGAATGAAATGATCAGAAAATTGTGATCGGACAGCGAGAGGGGAGGTAGGAATGGAATGGAAGAGAAGAAAATTCGGCGGAGGCAGCAGGGCAGGATGAGTTTGCGCCGCCCTGCTCTATACTTCGCCATTATCCCGGTGGCTGGTATTTTCCCCCAGCCTTCGCGCGGGGCAGGGCTTTATTGGCCAATAAGTTCCCCCTCGTGGGTGACAGATACTTGATTAGAATTAAATTCAATTTTTTCCTTGATTCTGGACTGTTTTTTCCAAGATTTATTATTTTTCTTGGGAGTTCACCAGTGTTTAATTCTGCATGTTTGGCTTGGTACCTCTACGGAGTATAGAGTGGGGTTCAACCCCATGCTTCATTTATGGTTAAATGTGTAACCGGTTCATTGACTCAGTACATCCCTCCATATTGGATACTGATAAGAATGGAAAGCATTATTTATCTATCATTTTGAATAGATAACCACTATTCAATGAACAGGAGGTTCTGTATTCGATATACGCGCAATATCCTCGATAATGGCCTAGAGCCAGTTCCGAAATATATTGTTAGGTACGACAACGAGCTCATTCACGAAAATCTATTCTAATAGAAATAAAAACACACAGCATCTTCCATAATCACCTAGTTTCTTCAATATTTAAAGATAAACATATTCTGAAATAATCAAACTGATCCTTGTTAGCCGACCCGTCTCTCTTTCATATGCAAGGAATCCGAGGGACTATGAAACTAGAGTATACAGGGGACGCGCACTAGTTAGGTACCGTCGATTGACAGATACATCAATCACACAAGGTCATTTCTGGTCGAGATTCTATTATGCTAATAATTTGTGGATTGAAAGGGTAGAAAAAAAAGATAATCTGCATTTCTCATGCATTCTCTTTCATTATGGTAGTATGGTGATGCCTAGTCCTGCAAATCGCAACAGTCGAGACTCGGCGGCTGGATGGCCCGTCTCAAGTACGTAAGCCTCAGCCATTGAACCAACGCGGACACTTTAGCAGAAGCAACCGTGGTCTTTCATCAAAGAAAATAGTATCAGTAGGGGCCAAAAAGAGAACCCTGCCTATCATTCAAAGACAGCTCAGACCCTCTCTCTCCGTCAAAACCCACAAATCCGAGTGGGTTGCTGCTGAATTTGGCACTCAATCAGATCCCGTGTTGTTCTCCCCCCGACGATCCTCCTATTCTACACAACTCCCTCGCCACCTTTCCTCCCCCATTATTCCCTCGACCCTGAATTTCAACCCTTTCCGCTACTCATACCCTTGCTGCTACGGATTGAAGGTCTGGCACCTTTCATGGCAGCAGCCCCATCTATTGTCCGCCCTACACCCTGAGAGCAAGCGCGCTGTCTTGCCTCGAACCGCCGACCGACTACCTCTTTCATCATGCGTGTCGCTGGCGGCATTGCTGTCGCCCTCAGCCTAGTAGGCGCAGCCTCCGCATCCCTCCATCCTCGATCCCAAGAATCCCGCGACTACTTCGCCCTTCATCTCGACGATGCCACCCCTCCGGCCGACGTTGCACGAATGCTAGGTGCTCGACACGAGGGACAGATCGGAGAGCTCGGGGGCCATCATACCTTCTCGCTACCGCGGGAGCAGAGCTCAGATTTCAATGCTGTATTGGATACCTTGAAAACTAAGCGAAAGCTCCGTCGCCGGTCGGGTGATGGCGTCGCATCTCGGAGTGGAGATCCGTTGGAGGGAATCCTATGGTCACAAAAGCTCGAGCCGCCTAGACAAAGGCTACAGAAGCGGGCGCCGCCCGTTTCTTCCAAAAACTTGGGCGAGACGGTTCGCCCAAGGGCGGACGTAAAGGCACAGGAGGAACAGAACAAGCTGATGTCAACTCTGGGAATCACCGATCCGATCTTCAAAGACCAATGGCATCTATATAACGTCTTGCAACCGGGCCACGATCTCAATGTCACGGGTGTCTGGCTGGAGGGTATAACTGGCCATGGAGTGGCGACGGCTGTCGTTGACGATGGATTGGATATGTACAGCAACGACTTGAAACCAAATTACTTCGCCGAGGGCTCTTGGGATTTCAACGAACATGGACCCGAGCCGCGGCCTCTGTTGTACGACGACAAGCATGGTACGCGATGCTCGGGCGAAATCGCAGCGGCCAAAAATGACGTGTGCGGTGTGGGTGTTGCTTATGACAGCAAAGTGTCGGGTATTCGGATTCTGTCCAAGGCGATTGACGACGTCGATGAAGCAGCTGCCATCAACTTTGCGTTCCAAGATAACGATATTTATTCTTGCTCATGGGGTCCTCCCGATGATGGTGCGACCATGGATGCGCCGGGTCTGTTGATCAAGCGGGCGATGGTCAACGGTGTTCAGCAGGGACGAGGTGGAAAGGGCTCCATCTTCGTGTTTGCCGCCGGTAACGGTGCCCTCTTTGGTGATAACTGCAACTTTGACGGATACACCAACAGTATCTACAGTGTTACTGTCGGTGCTATTGACCGCCAGGGAAACCACCCGACCTACTCCGAGTCCTGCTCTGCACAGTTGGTTGTCGCATACAGCAGTGGATCCGGGGATGCCATTCACACGACTGATGTGGGCACGGACAAATGCTATTCACAGCACGGTGGCACTTCAGCGGCCGGCCCGCTCGCCGCTGGTTCGATCGCCCTTGCGCTCAGCACCCGGCCGGAACTCACCTGGCGTGATATTCAATATTTGATGATTGAAACGGCAGTGCCGGTCAATGAGGACGATGGAAGCTGGGTGGATCTGCCTTCTGGCAAGAAATTCAGTCACGACTGGGGTTTCGGCAAGGTTGATACTTATGCTTTAGTTCACAAGGCCCAGTCTTGGGATTTGGTGAAGCCCCAGGCGTGGTTCCATTCTCCCTGGTTGCGAGTGCACAACAATATTCCTCAGGGCGCCCAAGGTCTTTTGAGCCGGTATGTGGTGAAGGATGAGCATATGAAGGGTGCCAACTTCGCCAAGCTCGAGCATGTTACGGTCACGATGAATATCAACCACACTCGCCGTGGTGATCTCAGTGTGGAGTTGCGCAGTCCGAAGGGTATCGTCAGCCATCTGAGTGTGGCCCGCGATAGCGATGACGAAAAGTCTGGCTATGTTGATTGGACTTTTATGTCTGTTGCTCACTGGTGTGTGCCTTAAACCCTCCTTGTTTCTAACCGCTCCTTTTTGGAATACATTGTGGCTGACTTCAAAATAGGGGTGAATCGCCCGTGGGAGAATGGACTGTGGTTGTCAAGGACACCAAAGTCAACGAATTTACTGGCGACTTCGTCGATTGGAGACTCAACCTCTGGGGTGAATCCATCGATGGAACCAATCAGCCACTTCACCCACTTCCCGAGGAGAACGATGATGACCATCCGTACGAGGAAGCACATGTAGCCACAACTACTGTGGAGGTTGTGCCTACCAAAACCGCCACCCCTACCAACCCTGACGACCACCACGACCGGCCGGTTAACCAGAAGCCCGGTGACTCGTCCACGACCGGACTTCCCACTGAAGAATTGGAAGCCACAATCACCACCTCTCCCACCACCTCTGCTTCTCCTAGCTCGACCTCTGGTTCGGACCATCTGTCCAGCTACCTTCCCTCTTTCGGCGCTTCGAAGCGCACTCAAATCTGGATCTATGCGTCTTTGGCGATGATTATTGTCTTCTTCATCGGCTTGGGTGTCTACTTCCAGCTCCAGCGGCTGAAGCGCCGCCGCACCAACCCCAACGATGACTATGAGTTCGAGATGATCGAGGATGAAGACGAGATGCACCCTATGACCGGTGCAGGTGGTCGGACTCAACGTCGTGGCGGTGAATTATACAACGCCTTTGCCGGGGAAAGCGACGAGGAGATCTTCAGTGATGACGAGGGGCCATATCGGGATCGATTGGGCAACATCCCTGAGAAGGATGACGAGGACGACTCCCCCAACGACCGCTTATTGTCCGAAAAGAGGTGATCCATGGTATAAGAGTTGTGTGTACTTTTTCACTTCTTGCATTGGGTGCGGTTATCATCATACGTGCTACTATGTTGGGGATTATGTCTATTTTGAGACAGGATTTGCGTTGCGCATAGAAGGGCCAGGTTGCCAGGAGTTTTGTAAATCTACCATTTTTTTACGATCAAAGATGTAAAGCTATTCTACGTATTAGAAGTTTCACTAAAATTAGATAAGAAATGTCTACAAACCGAGACAGCCCCAGTGTAGATCAATTAGAAAGCGGCCTCCCGAGAAAGCGATGACGACGTTGCCGCCTTTTTGGGGGGAACTCCGCCTTTTGGGGAAAGGACGATCATCTGAATCCCACTGGCCCAGCTTCTCTCAGCTTCCCAGCTTTCTCACCCGCCTCAGCCACCCCATTTCAGCTATTCCCGCCATTTCCCACAGCCCATATTTGTCGCAGCAGAGTTCTTTGATCTTCGGATAGTTCTCAGCACTCACAACTGTGCTCTAGCAACGACCATTCCGCCGGGAGACCACGGCTGAGACCAACCACCCCTCCCCGCCATGGATCAACACGACGACTTCGATAACGTCTCCTGGAGGAACGACCTGGAGAGTGACGCTTCTCGGCCGACCACTTCGGGCACAGATGCCGAGGAGCCCTATAAACACGACCAAGATACCAATGGCAAGCGGAGGATGAGCTCCGCGCACGAGGAACCCCAGGCCGGCCCGCTGGCCGATGCCGTAGACCTGGCTGGTATCGGCGACGGCGTGCTGGAATGCCGCGTCGACTCGCCTCTGAAGGAGAATGACGGTACAAAAGATGCATATATCTCCTATCTTGTCACAACCAATGTGAGTCTTCCCGTTTCCCTTTGGATCCTTGCCAGGGCAAAGCTGTTTCGTTACCATGGCTGCCTGCCGTAGCCGCCGGAGCTCTGAATACCTGCCTCTACCTCAAAGGCCATATCGCTGACATACACCGAAACTGTCTAGACCGACTTCAAGTCATTCCAGAGACCAGAATTCAGCGTCCGGCGACGATTCACCGACTTCTATTTCCTGTACAAGACGCTCTATCGCGAATACCCAGCATGCGCCGTGCCGCCGCTTCCCGACAAACACAAGATGGAGTATGTACGAGGAGACCGATTCGGACCAGAGTTTACCACGCGGCGATCATGGTCGCTGCATCGGTTTTTGAAGCGCCTGACACTCCACCCGGTTCTCCGCCGTGCACCACTCCTCATCATCTTCCTGGAGTCGCCAGACTGGAATGCACATGTGCGGTTACACTCGACCCGAGGGTCGACGAGTACCTCTTCCGACAATGCGGGGACTGGAATCTTTGATAATTTCACAGATACCTTTGTCAACGCCTTCACCAAAGTACACAAGCCCGATCGGCGGTTCATTGAGGTGAAGGAGAAGTCGGATAAACTGGACGAGGATTTGTCGCATGTCGAAAAGACCGTGGCGCGGGTTGCGAGGCGGGAGGCTGATCTGGAGACGGATTATACGGACCTGGCAACCCAGTTCCGCAAGCTTGTCCCGCTCGAGCCCGCAGTCGAGATGCCATTACAGGTGTTTGCAGCTTCCGTGGAGGAAACTGCACGCGGGATACATGATCTGAAAGACCATACGGATCAAAATTACCTCGGCTCGCTGCGCGACATGGAGGCATACATCCTTTCCGTGAAAGCACTGTTGAAGACACGAGAGCAGAAGCAACTCGACTTTGAAGCTCTAGTCGATTACCGTAACAAGGCCGTCGCTGAAAGAGACTCACTCGCTGCCAACCCAGCCGCCTACTATGCCTCCAACCCGCTTACCTCCTCCCCCGCCTCCTTCATCCGTTCCAAGATGGAAGACATGCGCGGTGTCGACCACGAACAGTCCCGTCGCGAGCGTGTCCGCAAGCTCGAGCTGCGCATCGACGAGCTGACCCGCGAGGTCGAGTCTGCCAAGACCACCTCCGAGATGTTTGACGAAGAAGTCGTCCGCGAAGTAGCAGACTTTGAGCGCATCAAGGCAGTCGAGTTCCGTGATTCCCTTGGTGCACTCGCCGAGGCCCACATCGACTTTTACCAGGGCGTCCTGTCTACCTGGGAGCGATTCATCGCAGAGATGGAGGGTGATGCTGAGACAGGTCTCGAGGCTGACTCCCACGCTGCTGGGTCGAGGTAATCTAGATATGGAGGAGGAGGGAGATGGCGGGATCTGTCTATGACTTTGGATTTGGTCTGGTATAGCAGTTCATGAGCCGATTTTCTTGCCTAGCTTGTTTCTACCATTTCATACCCGTAATAACATCACGTTTCGTCTATGCTCTGGGTGAATCTCTCTCCGTAACGCCGTGCCGTGAAGCTACCACAACGGGGAAGTCGACATATAAGATCTGTATGGGAAGGAGGGTCTTCAAACAACCTTCGAGGATGGGCAAGGGCATCAAATTAATCAAAACACCGGGTAAAAAAAGAAGCAGCGTTGCCAAAATCAACCTCCATGACAGTGCAAGCCCCAAGTGTTTTGAGGGTCATCACCAACTTCAAGTTCTTCCAGGTAATCTCCCCCCTCATATGGCCTAGTTGGTCAGCCAGGTTGGTCGCCACCTGGTTGGCCAAGGGTGTGCCCCTGTGAAGGAAAATTGAGGGGAAATATGGTTGACTGGTATCCGATGTCGAGCACAACTCCACGGATGACCGGGCACACCCTAAGGGGGAGAGTCGGCGAGCGGGCTAAACCCCCCCGCTCGCCGATTTCTTCTTTTATGTTTTCTTTTTTATTTAATATGATCTCCTATATCTAGAGATATTTTTAATTAAGATTAAGGTTTATTTTTATTTTTTGGAAAGGAGGTACTGTGGCATAGGTTCGGCCGGGCCAGTCTTGAAAGTATGTCCTTCGGCATCGCGAGATGGCGATGGAGCATTTTGGTTAAGTATATCGGGAATGTGAAGGTCGAGGGTTCGATTCATGGACGAGGAAGATTTCTCTTTTTTTTTCTTTTTGCTTCGTTTGGCATGTGGCCAGTTTGATACGCCCAGAATTGGAAGCTTCCAGCTGGAGAACTATGTTGATGTCTCGATATACTATCATAGGCCTATGATCAGAAACAGAACTTTCATTGAACATGTAGGTCTCTAGCAGATCACTCGGACTTTCCCTTGGGAGGAAACACATGAAATTCATTCGAGAACTGCCTCAGTTTGGTCAACTCTTCTTGTTTGCTCTTCGCCTTAGTGGGCTTGCTTGAAGGCTCGAATATTGGAATATACTCGGTTTGGAGCCGTATTTCAAACTCGTTCCAAGAAGACTGCTGGAATTCTAGGCTTGGTTGTTAATGACTGTCCCCAAATGCTCCTGGCGAGGTACAATGGTTGAGTTCCTGTTGCATCGGGTTCACAGAGAGTACTCTCCCATCCAGATCGGTAGATAAACACTCCCTGAGACGTAGTAATGCAACGGCTCTCTCCTCCGGGGGCAACATTATAAGCCACGCTAGAGTGGCATCCGTTTCGCGTCGGAATTCAAGACTTTGCGTAGCTTGTATCATGCCTGCCATGCGTCCAGCGAGGCTTGATTTTGATTGGGGTTTCGAGCTTTTCGCGATCTAACTCTTCAGATCTAGTGGAGTCGTATCGTGCTTGACCCATTGTTCAAACCATCGCTGTTCTTGGCTCGCAGATAGTATTATGCGGTATGGATCGACGGATATACACTGCCTAAGACGAATGATGGTTAGGGTTCTCTCTGCATGAGATAGAATTTTGAACCATGACAAGATTGCATTCACTTCATCTCGGAAACCCTGGCATTCAATAGCCCTCATCATGGCTGCCATGTAACTGTTACTGGCTTCTTCTTCTTCTTCTTCCGAGTGACTCTCAGAGTTCTCCACGGTACCAACCACCATTGTCTTCTTCTGATGAATTATAATATTTAAACCCTGGATGATGTTGATTAGTAGAGAAGATGAGGGGTTGGGTATTGGTTGACACACCTTTCTCAAAACAGAGTAACGAGCAAGCTCTCTCTTCAAGAGACAGCACTGTGAACCACCTGACAATGGCATCGATCTCCCTAAGAAATGCTTGGTCTGCAGAGGCCCTGGAAATATCCGCCACGCGACTGGAGTTGTTCTCCCCTTTTGGTCGGTCGATTTTCAGATATCTTGTACCCCCCCAAACTTGACTCATCCCCGGGTTCATCATCATCATCATCGGCTAGCTGTTCCGATTCACTCTGGTTTTTCTCCTCGCGCTGCATCGCTTCTTTGGCTCGAAGTTTTTCTTGCAGACGAAACGTTGAAAGCTCATGTTTCAATTGGGTGACTGTCATATCCTCCAAGCTGGCAATGACATAGTTCAGACTCACTCCATCGGAATCGTTATCATTCTCGCTCACGAACCCGTGAATAATTCTCTCGTCTTGGTTTTCATTCGAGATGCTGGCTTGGGTGATTGTCTCCGCCTTCGAAGTCGCAGCATCTGATAGCTCTGGGTAATCGACTATACACACTTCCGATAGCCATCCCAAAGCTCTCGTGTCGTTGATTCTGCGGACACCCATTGTCATGACATCCTTCTGATCATGAATGGAATGACTTTCAAGGTTCTTGGTGATATCTTGCAAGCTATCAATGTAGCCCTTTGCATCGTATATGAGCGTCTCAAACTTTTTGTGATCACGAATAACCCAGTGTGTCTTTTTGATAAGTGTAGATCTGGCGCGATCAATGGATGTTGACTTGGCCGAGAAATTATTAAAAGATGTGCTGAGCTGCTGGAAGACGCTTTTGGGCCCATCAGGTCCTAACTGAGATGCATTCACACCGGCACAGCCATATCGATTTTGCATTTTCCCCGAGTCTTCAAATCTATCGAGGATCAGAGTCATGGTTTCGTAGACCAGCTCAGAATAAGCACAAAGGTCAAATGGGTTCTTCTTGGTCGTTGTATCGGCTGTCAGGCCCATCGTTTGTCCCCAAGTGTATAGACGAAATTTTCGATTCTAAGCTTCAGTGATAACTTTTGAAGATCTGTGCCTTGGGTCTGTAAAGTATGGATCACGTCAAAGGACTCGATACACAAACCACCTACAGACATGGCTGAAAATTAGGCAATCGGGAGTGCATGCAGTGCCTTTTATAGAAAGATTGCGCTTGTGGGGATTGATGATAGAGGGAGGCTGGGGAAGAGCGCAAACGACTGGAGGCAGATAGGGGAAATATATGGTACCGATCTGCCAATCTAGATATTCCAGTAGTGCCCGACGGGTTTCTTCTTCTTTTTCTTGAGATTCCCCCGGCTCCGGTACCTTGACTATATTATACAGTTGATATTTTGTGTTGATTCTTGTCTGGGTCGTCACGGTACTCGAGAGTTTGTTTGGTACCACCCCACTCTCCTCCCACGTCAACCAAACTATCAATTTCCCTCAAAACACCACTTCACACACTTCAACAGTCTCTGGCCAGGCGCGAGCGAGACAAGATGCATAAGAACTACCTTGACACCCTGGCCCAGAACAAGAGCAAAAATAAGGACGAAGAGGAAGAGGATGAGGATTCAGAATCAGAGGGGAGAACTCTCGCTTCGGGCACCAAGAGAAAAGCACCGGGGGTTCAGGGGACTAAGAAAGCCAAGAAGCACCAGCTAGGGTCGGCCCAGTCGCTCAAGTATCGACTGAAGATCAGGTGTCGGGATACGGGCGAGGGTGAGATTCAGAGTGAGACCGAGGGCGGCACCCTGGAATTTGCCGATGAGAAACTGGCCAGCTTTGAGGGAGAAGCGGGTTTACCTTGCTGGGGTCACAGATTCTCGTTCTCTGCACGCAAAGTCTCCGATGTCCCTGCTCCGTCGGACAAGAATTGGGGTTATTACTCGGAGAGACGACACCAGTATGAGTGGGCTACAAGATGGCGCTAGCAAGCCTTCTAGAGAGAGATTTACGACTTGAGAATATCGTTGTTTTGTTAGCTAGAATCTAGAAGGAGTATTTGGAAAATGCAATCCACTGGTAAAGAAACCGACGCGATATTCGTAACTATAGAAGATCGTAAGATATTACCCAAAATGGAAGGAGGGCTGTTTGTCTTGTTTGCACCGGACATCTCGGCGCGGAGCGTTTCGTGATCATTCGATTCCAAGCGCAAATCCAATTCCCCAAACACAATGCGCCCAATTTCACGAGCCGCATTGCGGTCATACGTCTGCCCGTCATGCCGACATGGCATTGGCGCTGGTCGGCGACGATTCGGTACCAAGACTGACCAGGCCACCGATATCTACGATGTGGTCTGCGTCGGAGGTGGTCCGGCGGGCCTAGGGCTTTTGGCTGCTCTTCGTGAGTGATAATACTACCAAACATAATGAGTATAGACAATATGCTAATTTGTGCTATTGCAGGAGCTTCCCCCGTTACATCGAAGCTCAAGGTTGCCCTCATCGAAAGCCAGGATCTCAACAAGGCGCGATCCTGGAACATGGACTCGACACAGTTCTCCAACCGAGTTAGCAGCTTGACGCCCTCGTCCAAGGCTTTCTTGCAAAAGATCGGTGCTTGGGAGCACCTGGATACGCAGCGTGTGCAGGATTACCAGGAGATGCAGGTGTGGGATGGCGAGAGCGGATCCCGAATATCGTTTGACTGGTCGATGGAAACGCCTGCATTCGAGGATCCGCGCACCGTGGCAACGATGACGGAGAATGCAAACCTGGTGCGCGGTCTTTTGGGTAGAATTGCGGCATCTGGAGACGAGAATCTGACGCTCTTCTCCAATACCACCGTTGCTGGTATCGAGAATGGAACGGATCTACAAACCGAGGGACCGGACCTGTCAGCTTGGCCCGTCCTATCTATCAAGCCCACCGGAGCTGCCGCAGAGACCCAGCCATCCTCTCGAATCGCGGCAAGGCTTCTAGTCGGCGCGGACGGAATCAACAGCCCCGTCCGCTCGTTCGCCGATATCCCAACCCACGGCTGGGACTACAACCGACACGGCATCGTGGCTACTCTCTCCCTCGCCGACCCCGACACTCCTCCATTCCCGGCCAACATGCGCACAGCTTACCAGCGCTTCCTCCCAGCACTCGGTGGCCCAATTGCTCTCCTCCCTCTTCCCAACAACAACGCCACCCTCGTCTGGTCCACGACCCCCGAGAACGCCGCATACCTCAAATCCCTCCCCACACCGGCCTTCCTGGCCATGGTCAACGCAGCCTTCCGCCTGTCTATGACAGACCTCAAGTATATGGTGGGCATGGCACAGCCCGCGTCAGAAGCTACATCCCATGAAGACGAGCTCTCCTGGCGTCTTCAGCACACCCCTATCCCCGCACACATCCCACCCTTCGCGACGGGTGTGCAAACAGGCACCGTCGCATCCTTCCCTCTCCGCTTCCGCCACGCAGCGCAGTATATTTCGCCGCGTGTCGCTCTCGTCGGCGACGCAGCGCATGTCATTCATCCTCTGGCCGGCCAGGGTCTGAACCTGGGTCTGGCAGATGTGGCCGCGCTCTCGCAGACGATCGAGTATGCGGTCTCGCACGGTATGGATATCGGTGATCTTTTGACGCTGGAGCGGTACTCGTCAGAGCGGTACCTGACTAATGCCAAGATTGGTGGTGCTTGCGATCTGTTGCATAAGATGTATAACATCCCCGGCCAGGGGCCCGTTACCTGGGCCCGTAGCTTGGGTCTGGATGTGATTGATAAGCTGCCGTTTGTTAAGTCGTTCTTGATGAAGAATGCCGAGGGGTACTAGGTGTGGTATAGGACGATGGCGGTCCTTTTGTATGTCTATCTGTATATCTAGTTTCCTTTCTACAATACCGAGATATCTTTCTCTTTCAACTTCTGTCTTGAATGTACTTTCTGATTTGGGTACTTGACGTTTCTCGATAGTGCACGCAGCCGTGAGAGTGTATATAACAATCAATGCTGAAAATTGCAAGCATATAATGTATTGGGTATCGGTCATGCCCAGTATGTTATGGCGATGCAGACACCCCCAAGTCTTTTCAAGGTACAAGAACTGCTGAATGGCTTGGGCACATGCAAAGACAGGAAAGGTGAAATCTATATTTTAGAGGAGAGAAAAAGATGGGAGGAGAGGAATGCTAAGCTGCCGGAGAGGGGGTAACATAGAGACGAGAAAAGGAAAATAAGAAAGAATCAAACGCCCCGATCATTTCACTTTTTGTGTAAATGGAATGCAGATAAATCAGACCTGCACACCCTGCAGTTGCTGAGCCAAGCTAATGACAGAGCCGCCCTGTTTCTTTGTAAGGCGGGACTGCAGCTCGGGGATGAGAGAGGCCAGTTCGACATCGACACCCTCCTTCTCGGGGTGGTCCTTGTCCAGACCCATCTCCTTGATTTTGACCTTGCCGGCGGCAAGCTCGTCCTCACCGATGATGATACCGAAGGGAATGCCGCCATCCTCGGCAGCCTTGAATTGCTGCTGAGGCTTGGGCTTGGCCTTGTAGGAGAACTCGGCCTGGAGATGGACGTTAGTATGTATACTTGAGATGATATAGTGAATCCTGTATGTCTTACCTTGATACCGGCGCTCCACAGCTTCTGGCAAATGTCCATACGCTCCTTGAGCATACCGGTGAAGCCCTTACCGCCAAAGGCCATGACCAGAACGTCAACCTCACTGTTACGCAGGTTCTTGGCGTTCTGCTCACGCTCGAGGCGTGCCTTGGTGATGGAGAAGATGCGGTCGACACCGAATGAAATACCAACGCAAGGAATCTGAGCCTTGGGCAGGAACATGCCCACCAGGTTATCATAACGACCACCAGCGGCAACACTGCCGACACCCAGAGTGGGGTCATCGGACCGGTCATCGTCTTCGGGGTTCTTGGACTTGCCCTTCTTGCTGGCCTTCTTCAGCTTCTCAGCCTCGGGGGCATCAGACTGCACAGCAGGGGCGGAGCCCTCGGTGACCACCTCGTAGATGACACCAGTGTAATAATCCAAGCCACGGGCCAGAGACATATCGAACGAGATCTTATCCAGGACGTTGAAAGCCTCCAGGTAGTCCATCATCAGAGCCATGTCTTCCAGACCAGCCTTGGCGGAGGCGTTGGCAGTGAGCCTCTCATCCTGGAGCAGCTTCTCCAACAGCTCACGTCCACCCTTGTTCATAACGTAGGTCTCGATAAGATCGGCCGCAGCACCATCAAGGCCCTTCTGATCGACCATCTCCTTGCGCACATCCGCCCAAGACATCTTATCCAACTTATCAACGGCACTGGAGATAGGACGAATCTTGTCCTCCGGGACACCGCAGACCTGGAATACACCGTCCAGAATCTTACGGTGGTTGATCTTGATAGTATACCGGCCGTTCCAGCCCAGCTCCTCGAACACCTCGCTAACAATGCGCATGACCTCGGCATCGGGAACCATAGCGTCGAAAGTACCGGCGATATCAAAGTCACACTGGTAGAACTCGCGCATACGGCCCTTGCTGACAGCGGGCTGGTCTCGGCGGTACACCTTCGCAATGTGATAACGCTTGATGCTGCGAACATCCGGGTTCATAGCCAACCAACGCGCAAAGGGGACGGTCAAGTCATAACGGAGCGAGCAGATCTCACCACCCTGATCCTGCAGGTCGTAGATGAGCTTAGAGTCCTCACCATACTTTCCGGCCAGAATCTCGCGCAGCTCAAAGACGGGGGTATCGAGGGCAGTGCCGCCGTGGCGCTTGAAAACGTCGGCGATGGTGGTGAAGATGCGGTCCCGGAGGATGGCGTCGGACCCGCACCAGTCCTTGGTGCCCTTAGGGGTCTTGAGGTTAAACGAGGGACCCTTATCCTTGCCCATTGTATCGATCTTCGCGGCGAGACGAGGGATTGAGGAAAAAGAACGAGTGCGGCGGGGGAGAGTTGAGTGGTGGGGGATGGTGGGGGCTCGGAGACAAATTTGATTCGAGGCGGCGGCGCGCTGCCGTTGCGCTGGCAGATGAGTCACGCGAATGAGAGAGGCCGCACTGGAAGAGTCGACAATTGCTCGTCGTGCAGAGCGTATTGAAGCAGGAAGGAACGTCATAAAAGCCGTCGCGAAACTTTGGGCGATTAATTTTGGTTGCCAGATTTGGCTCTGTCGGGCCTTCTTCCTGCTTCGGGGGAGTTTTTCCGCGAGTTTTTCCGAGTCGTACTTGTGAAGTATAGCGTCGTCTCGGGCAATTTCAACTTACAACGGCAAATTCTATGTTAGCTTGGCAAGAACTTATAAGAGAAAGGTTTCACTAGTGCCTTTGAGCTTGAGAGTGACTGTGTGACTGTGCTCAGCTTGATCGACTCGTATTTACACCAAACCTTTCTTCGATTAGAGCAAGGAAATGGTTGACTCGGATAGGCGCCGCCATATTTCCTCTCTAGATTTATTTTGACAAAAAGACTAAAATCAAGGATTGACAAAGTATCTTAACAATCAACTTCATGTTTTAAGAAAGCATGAAATTCGTCAACAGTCTTGAAAATCTCGATTTTCACTGTGCATTTGGTAGTACCCATCTAGATAGGAACCCTCTTCTAACTTGCCCTTTATGAAGTAATTTGTCATCCGTGCTCTCAATAACTACAGCTCCATACCTAAGCTCTTTGCCTATTTTACACTGTTGAAAAATCATGCCAATCTCCCTCGGGTAGTGGCAAACGTATACTTAAGCACCTGGTTACAGCTGTTGAACTAGCCTACCAATGAAGAATCACATGGAAAGAGGACTCGTAAGATTCATCCACAACGCGCGCAGATTGGTCAAAGAGCTTAGGAGCTAACTCAATGAAGAAAGCTGACTCGTGCTCTTGGTTGTATGAGCCCAATCCGATGCTCATAAGGGTTTTATGCGGTATTTTCTAGTGAAGACTAGGCCTATCAATCAAGCTATGAGAGGGATAAGATCCATGTGATATTTCACCTATATGGAGCATGGAGGATATGAGGTAGGACGGTGGTAAGCAAAACAGACAGAGTCATAGAATCTACGAGAGAGATTAGGCTAATACTTGGCTCGGTGGCTATTAGTAATGGAGACTGCAGCAATTTGTACCTAGCGCAACATCATACCAAGTGACTGATATGCAGTCTCTGTATTAATTTAGACTATGCTTGCATCAACTGGGTTGCTGATGAAAAAGGACCATGCTGAGCCGATTACAAAGCAAACCTGCAATCAGCCGGTATAGTTAATAATCTACTCTGTAGGCATACCAGAGCGACGTAGTGAGCACAAGAATAAATTAATCGCCACCCGTCCCACGAATCAGATCACGAAACAATTAAATGGCGCTCAAAAGACGACCAAAGCAAAATGGCAAAAGGTGCCTCTGGAACCAATCATATCGACCAATAGCCGGTCTCAAGTTAACCTGATCAAAAGGTCCATCTGATATCCAAAGTGTGGGACAACAAAAACAGCCACTTCGTGTCTAATCGCAGGGTCATTGCCAAGCTTGGGCAACTTTACTGACTGGCATTAGCCTTCAAGGCTTTTACCTCGAGGCTCGCGGGGCCCAAGGCAGCTAGAGTACTGTAATGAGTCGGTTAACTCCTTCGGGCTTGCCAAGAAGACCAGCTTGGCGGAAAGGTACGGTCTTGGTTCTTGTTCTTGCATATGCCCAATCTCACCTGCCCAATACCAATGTAACAGGAGATATCTCCATCACTTGTACCTCGTACAGAGTATGGTTATGGTTGAAATGATCGAGCCTGATCTGACTCTTAGTAGCGGAGTGCCCAGCCCCACCATGATGTACATGTACATGTACTGTACATGCGTCCAGGTAACGAAGACGCTCGATTTCACTTTCAGTCGTGGTATCGAGCGAGAGTTTGAATCAGCCAGCCTCCAGCCTTCAGCCTTGGCCCGCCGCCTTGTTTATCCCGCAACCTTGTACCTCTCGTCCATGGGGATCTCGGGCGGAGAGGTGCCGAAGTGGGAGGGCTTGTGGTGCGTTTGGACCCCAAGGGGAGCTTGAAAGAAGGTTTTCTCCCATCGTAAGCTACTTCCAGAAATATGCATGTACATACCTTGGGCCATAGGGTCGGCTAATGGGGGGATGGTACGGGAGCACAGCCATTTGGCCCCCTCTGGTGGTTAGCGCATGCCCCGCAAGGGATGTTATTATTGACTCGTAGAATCGATGCAGGTGGGCACATCTGTACTCCGTACTTGGATGCTTTGCTCGGAAAGTTGCCTCCCACCTCAGGGAGGAGGGCAGCGAACCGAGAAGGTGCCCGGGCCGCGCGGCGGCAGGGATTTGGAGGTGATTCTCGTGTTGTAGGGTACCGTAGGATTGTGCTCCATGACGATGTATATGCTCCTTGCGTCGTAGTGATCTGATGATGTGAATGTTGGGTTTTGGCCCCCGCATTATGCCCTGCTCAGGTGCTGGTGGGAGGACCGGTGGCCGTGGCCGTGGCCGGGGGCTCGGCCAGTCAGGACAGACGGCCCTTTTGGACTCGAAGAGAAGCACCCCCGCCACTTCCCCACGGTCACGACGATCATTGGCCGTTACGGCACGCCATGCGAGGGGCGGACACATGGCCCGTGAGCCAACAATGGGGGATAAGCCAATCAGACAGAAGATCTCAAGAGGGGGTTTCCAGAGTTCATTGAACCAGCCAGCGCCAAAAGAGGAGTGTTTTCCATGAAAAGGAAAGAGAGTGACCAAAAAGAGTGGCAGAAAAGAAGAGACAAGAGAGGGCCATGACATAACCGCGCTTCTTCTCTCCACTTTGTAAGTCCACTTCTTCCCACAATTTCCCACAATGCCCACAATGTCCGTCCGATATATCCGACCCGTAGGCGCCAAAGATCGAATGGCTCGAGTCGTGCAGCACAGAAAAGAAGACAGAACAAAAAAAAATCGGCGATTGGCTCAGTACCTGCCTTAGAAACTCCACGTGGCTCGAGCGTGTCGCGGCACTTAAGCAGTTTAGGACTCACTTAGTATAACCTACGAGACAAATCAGGATGGTCTTGCTCTGATCCTCCTCACTCTTTAGAGTGAGCTAGGTGGGACTAAGGAAGAAAGGAGTTTAGCCTAAGACTTATCGTGTTGCTCGACTGCTGGAGACGGCAAAGTTAGTCGAGTGACAGCCCGGTCTAACGCCCAAATCATCTGCGGAGGGCTTTTCTGGACGTTTCCGCGAAATACGGTCATCAGTCATCAATACTATACGGGAGTAGTCAAGAGAGAGTCGGTATACAGAATAAGGATGCCTGGGAGTACCGTACTCTGGAACTTAGGTCTCCAGTACCTGTAGTAGCCACGGTATACATCGTTTCCGCAGTATACTTTCACTAATAGCTAAATGATATAGAGTACAAGAGAACTAATACCTAGCACTATCAGTAATCCGATAACCAGGTCGGTGCGTGTACCGACTGCCTGGACTTGGATTCGACTGCCTATTATCCGACTCCTGCCACTACCTGGTTCTCTCACTATCCGTTTTAACTCCGCTCCGCCGTCATCTTCGTCCTGTCCACTTGGCTCCTCTCATCCCTCTCTTCCTCCTTCCTAGGAACGGCACCTATCAGCCTACCGACTCTTCTCACTCTGCTGTTTCCTCTTTCCAACAACCCCATTGTCTCTCCCCCGCCCCCGCTTCATCGGCGTTCCTGCGTATTCAGTTTCGGCTTCTGGACGCTTCCGCCGTGGCTTTCCCCGGACCGCCCTCTCCGCGACTCAACGTTCCTGATCTCATTCCCCGATTTACCCCAACCTGAACCCTTGACGACCCTCGCTCTCTTTCCCTCAGTTTCCTCCTCCTTCGCACTTTCCTATCTCACTTCCCCTCACCTGCCCTTCCTCGCCCATGTTCCGCCTTGACTGCGACCGGTAAATCCCCGTTCTCGCCTCTCCATGCAGCTGAGCGCGACCGACGAGAACACGCATCGATCATGAAGGGGCTCTTCTCCCCTCGCCGGAGCAATGGGGTAAGCAACCCGATCTTGACGAGCATCATCCCTTCCCGGCCGTCGTACAGCAGCCGAAACGCCCCCGGTCGCCCGTTGTTGCTCGTGAGACCATTTGGTTTGGACCTGACACTGACTGTTCCCTCGCACAGGCTCCAACCAACCCTTCGCCCGCGCCGCCGCCCAAGAAGGACCCCCAAATGCCACAACCATCCCCGCTCGAGAAGAGGTTGAAGGATATGGGGCCGGTCCGCGGCGACGGTAGTGACAAGTTCTTTGGCATGGAAAACGTGAGGCTTTTCCCCTCACTCGGCTGTCTTTGCACAAGCGGCCAACGGATCGATGACTGCGAGACTAACCACTTATTTCGTGCGCTTATAGTACGGAAACACCTGCTATTGCAATTCGATTCTACAATGTCTTTACTACTCCGTACCTTTTCGTGAGGCCGTGATCAATTACCCGCAGCGCACGCCCGTTGAGAGTATCGAAGCCGCCCTGGCTCAGAACCTCCGATACCAGAACCCCAATGCGCACTTGGAGGCCGAGGCTCAGGCAGCAAAGCAGAAGGCTGCTGCTCCTGCGCCGTCAGCGCGCCAGGCCGGCGTGCCTCCAAATCAACCACAGAAGCCAGAAGATAAGGATTCTCCCGAATACAAGAAGAAGGTTGCGCTCCAGACGCTTCCGTTGTTGGAGACTAAGAATAATGCTGGCAGCTACGGCATGTCGGAATCTCTTTTCACATCTCTAAAGGATATCTTCGAGTCCCTGGTGGGCAGCCAGTCTCGGATTGGTGTGATCCGGCCACAGCAATTCCTGGATGTGTTGCGACGGGAGCACGAAATGTTCCGAACGGCCATGCATCAGGATGCGCATGAGTTCTTGAACCTGCTGCTGAATGAGGTGGTATCCAATGTCGAGGCGGAAGCGACGAAGCAATCATTCACGGAAAAGAGCCTCCCTTCGCCGCCCTCTGATAGCGCAGAGTCCTTGGGAATGTTGACCAATAGCACAGGCTCGAAGTCTCCAAACACCACCAGATGGGTGCACGAGTTGTTCGAAGGAACGCTAACCTCAGAGACCAAGTGTCTGACTTGCGAGAAGGTCTCTCAGCGCGATGAAGTATTCTTGGATCTCTCGGTCGATTTGGAGCAGCATTCATCCGTAACTGCCTGTCTTCGAAAGTTTTCGGCCGAGGAGATGCTTTGCGAGCGGAACAAGTTCCACTGTGACAATTGCGGTGGCCTTCAAGAGGCCGAGAAGCGTATGAAGATCAAGCGCCTGCCCAGAGTGTTGGCCCTGCATCTCAAGCGTTTCAAGTATACGGAGGATCTGCAGCGGCTACAAAAGCTCTTCCATCGGGTGGTCTACCCATACCATCTTCGCCTGTTCAACACGACAGACGATGCCGAAGACCCAGATCGACTTTACGAGCTGTACGCCGTCGTCGTCCATATCGGAGGTGGCCCATACCACGGTCATTACGTGGCGATTATCAAGACCGAGGATCGCGGCTGGTTATTGTTCGATGACGAACTGGTGGAACCGGTTGATAAGAACTACGTTCGGAATTTCTTCGGTGACCGACCCGGCTTGGCCTGTGCATACGTTCTATTCTACCAGGAGACCACGCTCGAGGCTGTCATGCGAGAGCAAGCTCAGGAGGACGCTGCGTCCACCGCGGCCGCGGCCGAGGCTGGTGACCTTGGTAAGACTAACGGGTTCTCGACATCGCCAAACAACCTGGTCCAAGTGCACAGTGCTAGTTACGTCCCATCCGAAGAACCGCATCGCTTCACTCCCATCAGCAAAATGACGACGGCCCCTCAGCTCGAGCCCCATTACGAACACCCCGAGTCGGATTCATCCTCGCAACAACAGCCCGTTCAACCTCCTCAGCCTCAGCCACCATTGCCGCCAATCCCCGACGAGCAGCCCCCGGTCTTGAGCGCGAAGAAGAGTGACGTGCAGTCCAAGAAGGAAAAGGCTCGAGAGGAGAAGGAACGTCGGGCAGCTGAGAAAGAACGGGAAAAGAACGAAAAAGCCCGCCGCAGAGAGATCGAGCTCCAGCGACAGATGGACGCTAGGCGTGAAGCCGAGGAGCTTCGACAAGCCATCGAGGCCAGCAAGGCCGATGCCAATGATGTTGGTCCCGAGAACGGATCTCCCAGAAAGCCTTCCAGCTTCAATTTCCTCCGACGCGGTAGCCGCAGCCTGGGCCACCGCCTCAACAAGGACAAGGAACCCCGAGTGTCAACTTCGGATCTGGTGCCCACACCGGTTCCTGAGGCGCCAGTCAAGGAAGCAGCCGAGCCTGAACAGCCACTGGCGTCGCCCAAGGAACCATCTCCTATCTCCAATCCAAAGATGGCCTCCCGAGTTCCAGCGCCTCCACCGATACCCAAGGATACCAAGGAAGTTAAACACGAAAAGAATGGGCACACTCACCGGTGGAGGTCCCTGAGCTTCAAGAAGGCAGCATGATCAGCATCCGACCATCGTTCATTTTCCGGAGCACGTCGTTTTTCTTGCATCTGCCCGCTTCCGATTGCGTTTTACGGAGATACCCCCAATACCCTTTCAACATCATCAACACCCCTCATCTCATGCACATACAAGCGCGATTTGCTTCTTGCACATAGCTTTCCGTGGATGTATCATCACTATTTTCTCACCATTCTCACCATATGCGCCATTTCCCGTCCTTCAATCCTATTCTCCTGTTGGATGGAATGACCCAGCAACCATGTCACACCTCTGAGAGGTGTCCTTTGGGTCCTTCCAACAGATATGTCTTCCTAGACTTTCTTGGATATCCCCGATTATGGCTTTTCCTTCTTCTCTTGCTGCTGCGTTGCTAATTTCTGTAACATGTACGGCGGCATGAATTACCTGTGCCGGCGGGATCCGTCTATCCCCATGCTGGCGTGAAAAGGGGCGTTTTCCATTTCTTACTATGATTTTCTGGGTTTGCAAATGCTGGTCAGCATCGGATTTGATTTCCTTGATTCTCAGGCGTTTTTCTTCCCTTTTCTCCTTGTTCACTTGTCCTTTTTCTTCCCGATCAGCGAGCGAGCTCTTTTAGTCTTATTTGCATGCCTGTATCTACTTATGCCTCGTTTTGAAAGTCGCCATTTCCTTACAAATGTGGTCAAATAGCTTATGATTTCTTTTCAACGATGTGAACTCCGTCTTGCTTTCATCAACACCCTATTGTATCTTTTATTGGAAACAGAAGTGCTACGGGATTTAATCATACGGTTCTCTTTGTGTCTGTTATTGATTCGTGGGTATATACAAGTAGACCGAGGGCGTTAAAGGCGGATAAAAAAGACTGGAGCATGGACTGCGCCCTCCACATTCCAATTAACACACAAGGACATGGCCAAAACAGCCAGCCTCTCGATTCCACCAGAGACACCTGAACAGCCCATTCCTCCAATTTCCCCATGTCTAGAATGTTGTTCGCTCATATACTTCGTGTTGCATTGATTTTGTAGCAGAAAATAGGTTTATTCCAGGCTGTAGGCCCGGATTCGCTGAAATGATGGGGAGTAGGTGTCCGCGATACTGGTGAAGGGAAGGGGTCGGTCATGCGTCGGGTTGTCTCCGGTCTTCTCGTAGGACGGTATGGCAAAGAAGCTAGGCGGGACAGGAGCTCAGCCGAGGATCAGCTCGTAGACGATGATAATCGTATTGATGACGATGAGGGGTACTGTGGAGAAAGATTACATGTTAGCTGGGGTGTGTCCTCGACCGTCTTGCTGCCTGTCTGGTCTATCCTCGAGCATAGGAGTAGCACAGTAATGCATACCCTCCCACGTCGAGGATAGATACCAAGGTTCAAGTTTCATGCAAGGACTTTTGGGAAGAACACATACTCCGCATAACCGTCCGTACACTGGCAATCAAGTTCACCGACTTTGCCTTCACGCTGGTGCTGTCGTAGGTTGCGCCGAAACCTGGCTCAGCTTGTGTGCGGCCCCATCCAACTATAGTATCACAACTCTGTTAGCTGTACAGTTCAAGTATACCGATCGCCACCGGGTGTGTGCGCTCGGCGCGGTGTTAGGGGAGGGCACGAACTGCGAGCGAGGAAGCGGTCCTCGGAGAGGACGGCGATGGCGTTGATGATGAGGACAATTACTGCGGTGGATGTTAGTGACATATTTCTAGTTAAAAAGATGTATAGAGACGTAACTCACCATAGACGAGCTTCCCAAGGCCGAAGAGCAGCATCTTGTCGCGCGTTGATGGGGTGCGGTGGGTAGTGTCGGGTGTGTGAAGGTGACGGAGTCGATAAGGCGAGGGAGCTTGCGGCGGAAGCGCCAGATCTCCGGATTAACAACACCATAGCTGGACACTCCCTCACACTCGTTCTCGCCAATGCAGCCACCATGAGACATGGTAAGTTCGCACCAAAGATTCCTGAACTAGTAAATATCAGTATCTAACATTACTACAGCATGGATTGGACTTGTGTTTTTGCTGGCGGGGTTAATCCTGCTGCATCTCTTCGTTGCGCCATATACCAAGGTCGAGGAGTCGTTCCATGTCCAAGCTACGCATGATATTCTCGCGCATGGATTTCCGTTCGGGGAGAACATCGATCGCAGTAATTATGATCATTTTGAGTTTCCCGGCGCCGTCCCTAGGACTGCCGTTGGGGCGAGTATTCTCGCTGGGTTGTCGCCGTCAGTCACTGCGGCGTGGGCGGGTGTTAACCGGCAGATTCTAGGTATGTAGATTTCTACTGATATACTTGAAGTTTTACCCCCGGTCGATTGAGCTAATGGTTTTTATTTGTAGCTCGAGCTATTCTAGGCTTGTACAATGCCGCTGCTTTGGGATTCTTTGCCCATGGCTTGCGGAAGAGCTTTGGCCAGACTGTAGCTGTGTGGTACCTCCTGTTCCAGAGCAGTCAATTCCACCTGGTCTACTATGCATCAAGGCCTTTATCCAATATGTTTGCATTTGGATTGACTACTACTGCGATGAGATATCTCTTGCCTGACTCAACCTCGCGACCGGGAGTTCGTGTTGGCCTCCGAGTGAGAATACCCTTGTGTCTACTCACGATGGCAGGTGTCATCTTCCGCGCAGAATTGGCAATTCTAGTCGCTTTCACTGCGGCATACCTCCTCGCAACTCAGGGCATGCGAGTATTCACAGATATCATCATTGCTGGCCTCGTGGGGCTTGCCAATGGCCTCATTCTTACTGTCTGCATTGACAGTATGTTTTGGAAGGAGCTTGTTTGGCCGGAGTTTAACGCGTTCCTGTTCAACGTGATTGAAGGCCAATCTTCAGCTTGGGGTACAGAGCCTTTCTCATTCTACTTCTTGAATGCCTTACCTAGGCTGCTGTTGAATCCGCTGGTCTACCTCATCGCCATCCCAGTGGCACTGCGCAATCCCGCTCTCTGGCGCCCAATCCTCCCGCTACTAGCACCTTCAATGTGCTTTGTGACCCTATACAGCCTCCAACCGCATAAAGAGTGGCGCTTCATCATCTACATCGTCCCCGCTCTCACTGCCACGGCGGCCCTGGGAGCGGGATATCTATGGAATCGACGAGATCGATCGGTCTTTGCCAGTATCGCATCTCACCTACTTATACTCTCCATCGCCGCCTCTTTCCTCTTGTCGAATCTTGTGCTGTTGCCCGCGTCTGCGGCAAACTACCCTGGTGCCCAAGCCTTGGATGCACTTCACAGGTATCATGATCAGCAGTCCTTGTCCCGCAACGGAGCGTCCGTCTACCTTGGAAATCTCGCCTGTCAAACAGGAGTTACACGGTTCCTACAACAATCTTCTGAGCAGGGCTGGCGCTATGACAAGACGGAAGATGAGGATGTCAAGTCCACCGCTCCATTCTGGGAACGATTCGACTACATTGTCGTCGAGGCCTCTGCGGACCCTGAAGTCAAGGATGCTGACGAGACCCAGTTGCTCCGCGCACTACCCTCGTCGCATTGGGAGACGGCTGAGGTCATTGATGGATTTTCTGGCATTTCTATCATACGGCCGGGGGAACCTGCAACTGGTCTGGTAGAGCGACGGATCCTGTCAAAGGTGGCTGGTGCGACTCTCTATAATTTATACTCTGACGTTAGAGACTCCGTGAGGAAGCTTGTCTTGCGTGGCTGGTGGGCGGAGCTGAAGATGAGACCGAAGCTTAAGGTCCTCAAGCGTCTACGAGACAATTAGACACGAATATACGGGTTTTTTTTTCCCCAGGGACGTGTCTCTTTCCACCGACAGCGTTGTTTATTTGACATAAATATGTAACATGATACCGGAAACCAGGCCGAAATAACTGCGGATAATCCTTGATGCAAAGTCATGTTTTGACTTTGACTGATTGCGAGATGGTGAGTCTCCCGGCAACTAACTAGACGGTTGCTGGTTTGATCTGCGAGTAAGATTGCAAGGCCGCTCCAAGCTCCACGTGCTTCTCAAACGACAGCAAATCGAGAAACTGGGGCCACCAACGTTGCGTAACCTTCTGGTAGACTATCAAGCGCGAGGCAAAGACTCCATATCCCGCGCTTCCCGCCTGAAACAGTCGGCGCAATCTGACTCGTGCTTGTCGTCTTGCGTCGTCATCTCTGACCAAGGCCAAGATGTGCGGGGGTAGATCCAACGGATCCGTCTGTATCGCATCGAGACTGATGGTGTGGAAAAATGGAAACGAGAATCGGGGTCCCAGGTCGTTCCCATTGCTGTCGACGAAGAGTTCTGGGCGCATCACTACTTTGTGAAGTGCCGCATAACAGACTCCGCCGGTTAACGCCTCCAGCTGGAGACCCACGTTGATAATCATTGTCCCGGGAACCGGAGGAGCTGGAATCCATTCGCCGGTTGAGCTCAACGCCTCGAGTCCGCCGTGTGATGTCCCCGGGAGAAGGAAAGTCAAGAGACTGGCGTCTTTATGTACCCCTTTACCCTGAACCGTCTGCTCTTCGGTGGCTTGCTCGGGTGAAGTAGGTTGCGGATACTTGGCCAGCATCAAGCGGTCAAATGGTGCACCATCGAACAGATGAGCCAATGCGTTCGATTCCAAACCCAATGCCTCTGCGACGAAAATCTTGAACTCGTCTGCTAGCTTTCTCAGCTCGGTCATGTATCGCTCCATGACAAGCCTGAATCCCGGCAGGTCTGAGCTGTCCGGCCACTGAGTCAATATACGGTCAGTACTCGAATCTACAAATCAAAGTAGAAGAGGCAAGGAGTGCGCACGAGATTTGGACCGCGCAAGTTGCGGTATATGGGCTCATCAGGATTTGGCGCAGGCGTTTCGTATCCAAGCTATATAAATGAGCTACAAAATCAGCGAATGGGTGTGGAAAGCGGCCATACCGTATAGGTTTCGCGATAATCCTTTTTCGTCACAGTGACCGAATTCTCCGTGCCCACGTAGCCGACGAAATGTTTACTACTAGTCATGTCGATCTCCTCTTTCTTCTCTGGCGAGAGGTCGAACAGTCCGCGAGACTGTGCAGAGAGGTCATCCTGCAGAGATTCCGGGATTGGATGTTTCTCGAGGTAGAAGAAGCCTACTCCGACTAGGGCATCGCGCAGTTGCGAGAGGAATTGAGGCCTGGTCGCCGGCGAGGTGGATAGTGAATAGTCGATGGTAGGGATTGAGTTTGCCGCCATGATTTACAGAATGCTGAAACGTCAAATTGAAGCAGCGCGGCTTTAGACCTAAATGCAATGATAAAGCAAGGGCAGGATAAACCCTTAAAAAGTCTATTACTGCCAAAGAACCGATCCAATCGATGCGTGAAATGGTATGTCCCACAATTCTAGCAATATGCGCATTTTGTTGTTGGGGATCTCGTATAACGCTACAGGGATCTGCATCTCAATGGCTGACTATCGTATTTTATATTACAATAATGTACGGTGGTGAGGTGGTGACGATGCTGCGCGTCAAAAAAAAGCAAGGGGCCAAGCCGTCGATCCTCCATGCTGGGCTCCACGCGCGGTGCACATTGAAATCGGCATGTTGAAACAGGTCGATCATACTGTAGCGAGTGGCTGCCCTAAATGGCGCGCTTATGAATGCATATAACTCGGTCAGTACGGAGCATAGAGGAATTATCAAGATAATCGATCTACCTGGCAGAGCTAGGTCATTTGCACCCGACTATGGCAATCGAGAAGCCCCTACAAGTTACCCAAAGGCCGCCTGAAGCAGTCTTTCCAAACGACAAATTCTTCAGCAACCTTCTCTCTTGCGCAGAGCGGTTCCCTGGTAATCCAATTGCAGTCAACGATCCGGCAAATGGCGTGTCTGCGACATACAACCAATTGATCGGGGATATTGTCTCTACGCGGAAGGCGATCTACGATTCTTGGTCTCCCGAGCTGTTTGACAGCCATGGGATTTTGAAAGGCTCACCATGGGTTGGCCTTCTGGTACCTACCTCGTACGAGTTTGTGGTTGGGTGTCTTGTGATCCTCTCGATTGGAGGTGCTATCATGCCAATGCGTAAGTCGCCATATGGAGATGCAAAGCTTCTATCTAACAAAAGCCACGGTCTAGCAAAGGCGATTCTACCTGACGAAGCCGATCACTTCTTTGAACAGTGCGATTCTACCCTCTTGGTAGTGGGATCGAAGCATCAGGAAGTTGCGCTCAAAGTCCAGGCATATCGACATGTTGTCTCGCACCGCCCGATACTAAGTATACCCGTGACACTCGGAGACCGAAGCGAGAATCACGTAGGTGTCATGTATTTGGATGATAACATCAACCTGCCTTCCGATCGCCCTGGATTAGTCGTTTTCACGTCCGGAACTACTGGTCCACCCAAGGGTGCCGTGCTTCCTCGTTGCTCGTTATATCCTCGGCAGCCATGTTCCCCGGAAAACCGCCTGATCAAGCTATGCGATCGTCCAGCGCACTGGATCGGTGGCTATGTCGGGTTGTTTCCACTCCTTCTCAGTGGACATGGCATTGAGATCCTACCTCCGGGCTCCCCTGCAGTGGACTACTGGGAGCTCCTGCGACAACAGCGCGTCACTCGGGTTACTTGGGGACCGATGATGTTCTCGCAGTTGAAGCAATACTACGAGGATCACCTTCGATTACTACCAGATGCGGAACTCGAGCCATATTTGCAAGGTATTCGAGTGATTCAGGGACTGAGGGCCGGATCGGCAATGCCAGCACCTGTCTTATTGGAATTCTGGCAGAACATGCTTGGGAAACCACTTCAAATGGGGTATTCTGCTACCGAGGCAGGCGGGCTGATGAGTGCACTACTCAATGTTGGCTCTGCGAAGGTATGAAATATAAAACAAACCAATAGATGCGAGCTCTGGCTAATTATTTTCTGGTTCCGAAGCCGTCATCGATAGGCAAACCAATTCCCGGCGTCGAAATGAAACTCTCTGAAGGAACGACCGGCGAGATTTTGGTCAAAAGTTCCCGTATCATGCTACGGTAAGCCTCTCATTCTGCTTGAAAAACCCTTGGTATGACACGATTGGCTAACATTTCTACCGTAGTTACTTGAACAACCCTGAAGCGACTCAGGCTGCATTCACTGAAGATGGATTCTATCGAACTGGTGATATGGCCCACATGGACGGCGATGAATTCATATTTGATGGACGAGTCTCATCTGACTGTAAGTCGTGTCATTCAACCAGATCGACCCATACTCACTAGTCTTGCAATAGTTGTACAAGTTTATGCATATCGTGTCCCCATTCTGGAGGTTGAGAATGCAGTCACAGCGCTGCCATACGTGGTCGAGGCTGCAGTTGTCGCAGTCCCTGATCCAGCTTGCGCGAACCAAATCGGCGCCGTCATCAGGCTGAGACAGGGAATGGCTCAGATGCCTCTGGACAAGTTGCGCACCGACCTGTCCCCATCACTCCCTGCATACACTTTACCCACCAAAATGCGGGTCCTCGACGATGATGAGATGCTGCCTAGAACCGTCTCATACAAGATCCAGCGAAAGCAGACCGCCCACAAGTTCTTTGGAGACAGCGCAGAGGTGGATCGAGTACAGGTCTGTCTGAAACTTCAGGCTGGTAAGGATCGCCCTGTAAAGGCGTGGGATTGGGCAGGACTACAGTAGGACTGCAGCGGAGACCTCGTGTTCGGCGGTTGAACATAGTATACAATATTGCCTTGAAGATCATCCCAGCTTTTTTAATAGTGGAATATAAGTGGTGGGGGCTTTCTAAGACGTGGTAAGTTTCCTAGAAGCATAAATTATGAACTTTATAGTAGCGGTGTGTCTGGACCAATCTCCTGGAACGATCGGAACCTTATTGATAGATCACCTTACCCACTACAGTAATTATCACCTACACTAGAGCAATTAGAAGCAATTATGCAGCAAGTTTAGCCAGCCACCCACCTAGACTTAGGGTCCCCGGACCGAGCCGTACACTCAACAAGTGTTACGTATGACACGGTGCTGCTGCCCCTTGCATCCAGTTGATATCACCGATCTTCTTGGCGATACTAGTTGGTCCTCTGATGGCTGCCTAGTGGACTTTGCACGAGGTACCTTAGTGGCGTGCTAATCGGTATGTTGTACTCTCATTTCTTTTTTTTCCAGGTCCGCTTTTGTTGAGAAAAACAAGGATCAAAGATCTAGAGGTGTTATAACAATAAAAGTCAATTCGAAATTCAATAATGATGCCAATCATCTAGTTTACTTACCTGGGAGAGAGGACTCCGTACTTTGAGGAACTCCTCAGACAACACATCCACAGAGAACAAACATCACTTCTCACTATCTTTATCACGATGGCGCTTGTCGAACCGCATCGAACCGAGGCATTCCTCTCATTAGACCTTCCATATTCTCCGTCCAATGAAGGCGTCTGGGATTTTCCCAAGACTGTTCAAATTGCCTGGGGAATTGTGATCAATGCCTTCGAGCCAACTGATCGTGCGCGATTTGGGCTCGTCTATCTGGATGTATCAAGCCACAGTTCTGTCAAACCAAAACTTAGCGCGTGTACTTTGACGATGAGACGGGATTTGCCAATGTCCCAGTTTCAACGGGAGATTTCGATTTGTGAAGAGTCCGGCCTTGAAGGAATGGACACGATCATCGTACAAAGTACAGAATCAGGGACACCGTCACTGTTGGACCTGGAAGCACTATCGCAACCGAAGGGTGCTACAGAGGTACAGTCATGAGCATTTGATGTTTTGATGTTATTCAGCTGACTGTATTTAGAATTTCCAAATGATCGTCCAAGTAGAGGCTGGTGGATTTTCGACATGTATATTGGCAGATTCGACGAAAAGACTGTATTCAGATGCTACAAAGACTACGAACATGGCTAGAACGCTCCGCCATATCCTACCACAAGTGATCAAGCACCCTCACGCCTACCTCCGCGAATTGGACATGCTCACAGAGAGAGAGAAGGCCTGTCTGCGGAGCTGGAATTCGGCTCTTCCTGCCTCACCTAAGGCGTGTGTTCACGATGCTATCCTTGAAAATTGCCTGAACCTATCGGATAGGCCAGCCGTTAGTGCCTGGGACGGGGAACTCACCTATCACGATCTTTATGAACTATCAACCAGCCTGGCCATACATTTACGGGCACTGGATTTGCCTCAAGGAACAATCATACCCTTGTGTTTCGAAAAGTCCAAATGGGCGATTGTGGCGGCATTGGGAACTCTTCGCAGTGGTGCAGCATACGTTTTCGTTGACCCGGATTCACCTCATTCCCGCAAAGTTACCATATGCGAGGATATCAACGCGAAGGTGATGCTTTGCTCTCCGGCACAGTTGCCCAAGGCCGAAAAACTAGTTCCGCAAGCCATCACGGTGGAAACAGTGACTCAAGATACACCTATCAAGGCGAATGGCGCAACGGTTACGCTCCCGTCGGTGAAATTCGACGACCCGGTATACGCTGTGTTCACCTCGGGCTCGACGGGCAGACCGAAAGGAGTTGTCATCGAACATGGTGGGTTCTTCCAGCGGGCGATGGCTAATGGGCCTGACCTCTCTCTATCATGTGAGACACGGGTGCTGCAATTTGCCAGCTTTGTCTTTGATGTTGCGAATCGTGATATCTTGTATACTCTGATCTTTGGGGGCTGTATTTGCATTCCATCCGAGTCGCAACGTTCCAATGACCTTGCCGGATTCATCAATCAAAAGGAGGTCAACTGGATCAGCATCACCCCATCGGTTGCTAAGCTAATGCAGCCGTCTGCCATTCCTACTGTTCGCCACATGGTCTCCTGTGGAGAGGCTATGACCTCGAATATGATTGCTGAATGGGCTGACAGTCTCCAGTTGATTAATGCCTACGGACCGTCTGAGGCGACAACTATCAGCTCCATCCAGACCGATTGCACGGCAAAGACCTGCCCTACCAACATCGGTAAGGGCTCTGGTAGCGTTCTATGGATTGTTGATCCAGCAGAATACAACCGTTTGGTCCCTATCGGAGCGATTGGGGAATTAGTGATCGAGAGTCCTAGTGTGGGAAAGGGCTATATCAATCGTCCTGTGGAGACGAAATCCTCCTTTTTATCTACAACCAGCTGGCTTCCACTATTCCGCAATGGCGACCCAGCCATGCGTCTCTATAAAACCGGAGACCTGGTACAATATGATACCGACGGTAACATTCAGTTTCGAGGTCGCAAAGATGCGCAAGTCAAGATTCGAGGCCAGAGGGTCGATCTTGGCGAGATTGAGCATTGGATTCAAAAGTGCATCCCCCCTGGAAAGGAGTTGAAGACAGTTGTGGAATTCATTACCCCTCTTGGGCGTGACACCGGCTTGTTAGTGGTCTTCCTCGCACCGTGTGGCACCCAAGGCAGCCGTCTACAGGAGATTCAGGCGGATGTGCGGACTTTTATCTCCGGGATGACCGATGCGTTATCCCAGAATCTACCGGAGTATATGATTCCAAGAGTCGTTTACCCAGTGGAGAACATCCCAATGACAGCAACTGGAAAAACGCATCGACAAAGGCTGCGCCAGGTCGGCGAATCTCTGACGATCGAAGAACTCATGTCTCCGTTACAAAGCTCTTCTACGGCTGAGCCTCTTTCGGAAAGTCTGAGAGACCCAATCGGTCAAATGATGTTGAGACTGTGGGCTTCCGCACTGGGGGTTAATCCTTCTTCTATCGGATCCCACGATAGTTTCCTCGGCCTAGGAGGAGATTCGATCATGGCAATTCGCGTCACAACTCAAGCTCGGTCAGAGGGCATCGATTTGTCAGTCGCAGATATGATGGAGTACAAAACGCTGGGCGATTTAGTGGAAAGCCTACTTGGAAGACCGAGGATATGCCACACGGCCATGCACACCGAACCGTTCTCACTTGTGGACCTCGCAATTTCATCAGGTATTCGAGAAAAAGACTCCGGAGACATTATCGACATTCTGCCCACGACAGAAGCACAGAATTTCTTCTTGACGCAGTGGACTGTTAGCTGCTATACTTGCATGCTGCAAGGGGAAATCGACGTCAGTCGACTACACGCTGCATGTAAGGCAGTAGTCGCAAGGCATAGCATCCTGCGTACATTCTTCGCCAAAGTCGGGCCTCGTTTTATGCAGGTGTTGTTGAATTCTTTTGATCCTCCATTCGATCAGCACAAGGCTGATACCAGTCTGGAAGCTGCCTGCCCAGTAGCGGTAGAGAGGATCATTGCCGAGACGACCCCCATTTCCACGCGACCCATTGTTGGGTTCACACTGATCTCTGAAACCTCTCAAAGACATGCTTTGCTCATCCGAGTGTCGCATGCTCAGTATGATGGAAATACCTCTCCCATATTTTTCCGGGATATTTCGGTGGCGTACAACAATGTTCAGGGAGTCCTTCCAACTGCAACCCCTTTCAGTCGTTATCTCTACGCTCGCTCCATGGCCCCATCTGACAAGGTCTTTGACTTTTGGCGACAGAACTTTCAAGGCGCGTCTATGACTGTGCTTGGCCCGTCCATTCTCAACGGCAGCCAGTCGTCACCCGAAACGAGAATCATTGCACCCGCTTCTGGGCCGCTTCCAGCTTCGCTAGGTGATCTGACCGTACCGACGTTGATCAATGCAGCAATCAGTCTTCTCCTCGCAGACCTAATCAAGCATGAAGACGTCATCTTTGGAACAGTCATGGACACTCGGACGCTGGGCTTCCCTGGCATCGAGACCACTCTTGGACCATGCATCAACATCAACCCGCTACGTGCCCAATTCAATCGGAACATGACATTCCGAGAACTCTGTTACTCTCTTCAATCTCAATATGCCAAGGTGACGAGATACGCCTACAGCGATTTGTCAGATATCGTTGCCAACTGCACAGATTGGCACCCAGAGACCAAGTTGGGCTGTATTGTGAACCACCTTCGCCCTGACGAAGGCCCAGCACCACTATCTCTGGATGGTACGCGCTGTACATTCTTCAAGAAGACCGCCTATATTACTTTATCCCAACAAGTGCTTTTCCGTTGTATTACGGGCAGGGACAGGTTGGACATCCAGGTTCTTACGTCAAGTACGATGATGAACAGTGCCATGGCTCAGTCGCTTGCTGACAGGCTTGTCACTGGCGTCCGTGTACTTGCCAATTCTCCTGACATCCCCATTGAGAAGCTTTCCATCTAAATGCATAGAATGATTACCTAAAAGTTTGTGCTACTCAGTCAATGTATATTTATGTCTTGGGCGTTTTGATTCATGTCTAATTTAGACTAAATGTCTCGGTCTACCAGGTGGCTTATGACGATACCTATCATACTAGTAATCAATAGAAACACAATAATTGTCACGGGAAATGATGAATGGTATTGCCTTGTCGGGCCTTCGTGCAAAATGCCTCATGCTGCTGCATTGACTACAGCCAAGACCCCTACGAAGCGGGAAGACATTTTGTTGAGCATGAAAGTTAGATCCCAACAAAGGCAGATCATAATTCTCGATCAAAAGTGGATGCATCCGAATATGCAGGGTTAAATCTTATTTTTGCTTTTTTTCGCCGTAGTCTCGGAATGCTGCACGATGCAATAAAGGTTGCATCCCATCATGCAGATCGTCGGATATCCTCGGTCACAGCGAACTTCCCATCATTCAGAAGATCCGATGGTCTCATGTGCTACTTCAATACTCACCGCAACTTGCGTTGCTTTTTGTGGAGCGCAGATCGTATCAACGCCACGTCAAGCCATTGAGTTCAATTGATCTCGTGCATAGCCGGTGGGACTATTGAATCTCTGCTTGGCGGCCTCTCTATATTTGGCAACTAAGATATTTGCCAGATATTTGCTCTTAACAGCCATTTGACTGTTCCATATACCTACAATTCGATATTCCTTTGATCCTACTAGGCTCTACAGTCTACAGCACAATCATGACCAGGACAGAATACGCAGAGCATGCCGAATTTGAGACTACCCGCAGGCTTTTAGCATGCTTGATCAACGAGGGCCTTGTCGAATTTGTTCTCCAGAGGCTCGATTCCTCAAAACAGAGGGTCTTATGTCTTCGAGCGCTGAGCCACAACAGTGACCTGTCAACAAGCTCCCAGCTTGTAGTGGGCCTCAACTCAAATTCTCTTGTTGATGAAAATGGAAAGGTTTGTTGTCCAATTGCGCCGGAACAGCTTGAGCTACCCGTGAAATTGGAAAACAGAAAAGGCGATACGGTATACGAGACGAACCCGTCAAAGATTCTTGAAAAAATTCATGAATGGATCCCTGAGTCTATACCCAACATTCCGCTTCTGGAGACCACAAAACAAATGCTGCAAAATTCTGCTGAAAATCAAGGTTGGAATATCCATTCCGATACACATTTAAGCTTGACTAAGACCTTTCTTCAGAGAAATGGCTTCAGTTCCACCATCAGCAAAAGCCCTGTGACCTGAACAGTTCAGCAATTGAATGGGAAAGGACTATCATCTTTGGCCATCCCGAGCATCCTGTATGATTCTCCAAATTTTCGACCCATAGAAAGTTTGAAATGCTAATATTCTCAGCTTCATCGATGCCTGTACCCAGAGTCACCATCATTAACTGGCGCAGGTAATCTGATCACCCCAGAGCTATCATTTATCTCCATTCCAGATGAACAGCTTGAGACCACGGGTCCTTTTACACCAAGACTTCAACCTTTATTGGAAAAGCTGGGCCTCTCTCAATCCCTTCCAGGGCAAACCATCATTCCATGCTTTACTTCAAATCTCCCACTGGTTCTTTCTCGCCTACCACGGGCCACGCTGGTGCAGAGCTTCCAAGGCATCGCTGACGGTCAAGCCTCGGCGCGGTCTGTATCCATCAAACCCCAATTTGATTACAATCACCACCTGAAAATGTCACTGCCATTCCAAATAACGGGAGCTATCCGAAACGTCAAGCCATGGCAAGCATACCAAGCTACCTACATGACGGAGCTCGTTGAGCGTCTCGCACACCCCGATCTATGGGTAAACAGGGAAACTGCGACAATCACCGGTGTTAACATGGACGTGCAGGCGGCACGAACTGTCTGCTGTATTCTGCGCGAGGATTTGGAGCCTCGAGCTTTGGCAGAAGATCAATCGTTGATTATCGCAGCGGCACTTTATCACCGTCCTGCTGGAGGCGCTAAAACATACGCCGAGACACTTTTCGGCCTAGAAAGTCAGGAAGACAAGTGCTCGTGGCTTCAAAAGTACGTTGGCTAATCCTATTATTACCTTAACACGATCGAACTGACAGCATATCTCATAGGTACATGGGCCTCCTATTCCAGCTAGTCATACCACTCTTAGGCCGTGGCATTGTCCTCGAAACTCACAGCCAGAATGTTCTGGTCCGAGTTGACCGACGCAGTAAATCGCTAGCCGGCTTCGCCATCCGGGACATGAACGGAGTCAAGATCCATGTCCCCACTCTCCAAGAGCAAGGAATCACCGTGGACGAAAGACTCGCTCAAATCTCCGAAACAAGAGCCGCAAGCCTCGAAGCTCTATGGAAAAGAGCCCATCGAACTCTGATCCAAAATCATGCAGGGTTTCTCCTACGCAGTCTTGGCTTGGATAACAGCCAGGGTTGGTCGATTCTTCGGGGTGAATTGGAAAAGGTCCTTTTCAGTGATGCATGCCCGATGGGTTCGGAACTTCGTCAGTTCTTTTGGGGCCGGAACATGGGTTACCCTTGTTTCCTGGGTGCTATTCTGCGGGGGAAGCCGTTGGAGGTTAGTTTCCATATTCAATGTGCAAATCAAGGACTAGGAAGGGCGGCTTGAAAGGAATAGTCTATGCTGACTAAATATTCTTCTAGCTTGAGATCATGCAGTATCCTAACATCCTAATGAGATGATAGAGGGTGGGTACACAGTTGTGGGCAAACATGAGGACTACAAGATATGCCGACATGAGAGATTCTCTAGCCCCCGAGGGGGATGGTGTTCCGGGTTATGGGGAGTGCGTTGATATTGGGCATGATGTAGGTGTTGAGGTTACGTCTGGGAAGCTCACAGCTGGTATGGAGGCTGTGTTGAGATATGCTGTTGAGGATGTAATGGTAAAATAGGTCTCGAAGTGCGATGGAGGGCTCTCTATAGATCTATATGCAAAGAGCGTCCAAAGGAACGAATCATTGATCCATCAGGAGCAACGGAGTCTGATGGCTGGTAGTATTGGGTGTAGGCCTGACGGAATCAGCCGACTAATGGCTCGACCTTATGCCACCATGTGGAATCTAAGGTAGCTTCGTCATGGAGCTTCATGTTCAGTAGATCTGCCCTTTTACTTCGTCTTGAATCTGAAGCGTGTCACTCGTGGAATTTAATTGGTTAATGGTGTGATCTCGACACTTTTGGCCTATCGCTTAAATAGTGAGTGAAATCCTCCGTGGGGTTCAGAAAAGGAAATTTACGCCCTAGAGAATACCTCAATGTCAGATTCTCTCGCTCCCACGTGGGTTGCTTATTTTTCGACTAAGAGCCTTGCCTCCAAACAAATTGGAACTCATTCTGGAAGGTGCCTAGGTACTCCATGCAGGGTAGTGAAAGATGTTAACCTACCTACCAGTCAAGAATGCGGGTCCAACAATATATAGTCTGCTATATCGGAGGACTTTGCCTGGTAGTTGTAGTGTGACTAGATTTATTTCCATGCTCGTTTGCAACTACTACTTTATAGCCAGGGGCAATTTTATTCAGGTTGGAGACATTAATAAATGCCGACAAGTCATTGGGTTGAACTCCGGAGTGATTGCGATCCCCACAGTGTATGGCGGACATAAGCCCAACTAGTCAAAAGCAGTTAAATTACCTCACAACACGTGCACAAGCACGTGGCAACGGTTGGCTGATGATATACAAACTACTTTGAAGCCTTCGGCTGTCTCATTCCATCTGTTCTGTCCGTTCCATCGGGCCTTGAAGTGCATTTTTCAATTGGTCGTTTGAGGAATACGATCTAGGGTCCACCCTCGATACGGTCATGCCTCGCACTACAGAGCTCAGCGTCCAACCGCCTGGTCTAGGACCGAGCTGGGAGTAGAAATTGGACTGATCATCCGCTTTTATTTCATTCAAATTCCATCATCTCATCGGGATTAACCATGACTGCCATCATGAGCACCATGAGAGCTGCGACCGTGGTGGCCTTTGCTGCCACTGCTGTGGCGGCTCCCCCTGCCCACTCAGCCCTATGCAATGCCAAGACTGCGCCTATTCAGATTCGCTTGGCTTATGCTGGTGATCATGGCATGGCCGTCAGCTGGAATACCAATGAGCAGTTGGCTAACCCTACTGTTTACTTTGGTAAAGACAGTAGAAAGCTCAACCGTTTCGCCTCTTCCCAGGTCTCTACCACCTACCCAACCTCGGCCACCTGGAACAACCATGTTGTCATCAAGGGTCTGGAGCCCGATACGACTTATTACTATCAGCCTCAGTGTGGTAACCAGACTTACACCTTCAAGACCCCCCGACCCGCTGGTGAGCATGTCGAGTTCAATTTCGCTATGGTCGGCGATATGGGTACTTTTGGTCCCGATGGTCTCAGCACTACCGTCGGAAAGGGTGCTTCCAACCCTCTTTTGCCCGGTCAATTGACCACCATCCAGTCCCTGACGGACTTTCAGAACAGCTATGAGTTTATCTGGCACGGTTTGTTGTCCTTATGCAAACAAATCCCGTCTTTTCACTCACCTATGTTTCTATAGTTGGTGACCTTGCCTATGCCGATGCTTGGCTCAAGGAAGAGACTAGCGGATATGTTACTCCTCTTAACGAGACCGATGGCGGTGCCGAATACGATAAGATCCTCAACGACTTCTACGGTGAGATCGAGGTACTTTCAAGCACTCGCCCTTACATGGTTGCCGCTGGTCAGTTTGCCCTTTATCACTTATCATTCTTGTCATTGCCCATACAGCTGACCTTCATTCCAGGAAACCACGAGGCGAACTGCGATAACGGAAGCAACCTGGACATCTGCCCCCCTGGCCAGCTGAACTTCACTGGTTATCGCGCTCATTGGAACATGCCCTCCGCTGAGTCTGGCGGTGTAGAGAACTTCTGGTACTCCTTCGACTACGGACCAGTGCACTTCGTCACCTTCAACACCGAGACCGACTATCCCAACGCTGCTGACGAGCCTGGAGGTGAGGGAGATGAGGATGCTGGTCCTTTCGCTCCTAGCGGCACCCAGATTGCTTGGTTGAAGAAGGATCTCGCCTCCGTTGACCGCAAGAAGACGCCCTGGGTTGTTGCTGCTGGCCACCGCCCCTGGTATGTCAGTACCACTAAGTGTGTCGAGTGCCAGGCTGCTTTCGAGCCTATTCTCTATCAGTACGGCGTCGACCTCGTCCTTTCTGGCCACAAGCACTTCTACGAACGCCACGCCGCCGTCTGGAATGGTACCGCTGAAGAGATCAACGCCGACCCTACTTACCCCTGGTACATCGTTAATGGTGCTGGTGGTCACTATGATGGCCTGGACACTCCCGCCACGCCCTATGTCTCCACCTCCCGCAAGGTCATCTCTGCTTATGGCTGGAGCTTGTTCACCGTCCATAACAGCACCCACTTGACCACTCAGTTTGTTGCTAGCGGCAACAATACCGTCCTTGATACTGCCACTTTGGTCAAGAAACGCAAGTACTAGATGCTCTCGAGCAAGGAGCTTCATCATTTTACTGACTAAAATACTGGAATTCTGCCTAGCGCTCTACCATCCTGATATTTATCGCTTCTAGGCAGGGCTGTGTACTTCATCTTTTGTATATTTTCTCTAGTGGAATCACATGGTTTATACCCATGTGCAATGTAATGTTGGCTAGTAGAATAGAGAGCTGGTGTTGAAATACAGTAACAGTACTGGGAACCAATATCTACTTCCAGCCGCTCGTTCAAGAGTAACATTTCTATGTCCTCGAAAACGTGAAAAGATTTCACGATCGTCTCAGAGGTGTACTCAGATCTAATCAGTGAGCAAAGCGTCAAGGGTTTAAACACTAAAACGGAAATGAAAACCCAAGGCCTGGCAGAGGAAATCAAGTAGGTACTTCTATATAGCAGTAATATCAAGACATGTCTAACATTCTCCACCTACAATCACCTTAAGATCCAGAAATAAAAACACCTTGCACTCCCATGAATCGAACCCCCAACCTCTGTCTACCATACAACCCGTTTTCAAGTTCCATCCATGTTCCATCTCCATCCCAAGATGCTCATCCCCTCAACTCCCACAGTCCACCGGCAATATCCTATCCCCAACACCACAAACTCTCTCTTGAAAGCTCAAAAAAGATAACTTCTAGAATCTCCTCAACCCAATGGTTAAGACCATATTTAAAAAGTCCTAAAATAATAAGAATTTTATCAGTGGTGGTGAGATATAAAACCATCCGCAAAAACGACAGGCACGGCCACCTGGAGGGACTCCACATAAGCTTCCTCGCAATCCTCCGGACAGCCGCCTACCACCAGATCAGTAGGCTGCAGCACTCTAGGGCCATCTAGACCGCTAGACTACTGGTCCCTGTGGGTACCAGATTTGACCCTTACCACGGATATAGCCTCGCTTTTGAGACGAATCCAGCCATAGTAATCCCAGTACCAGTTGCCAACCTCTTCAAATACAATATAGGCTACCATCCTCTTTTTTAGTGCTGATTGCGTTCCTAGACTGGGTTGACCTCATTCATCGGATTTCTCTTTGGTATTATGTCCTGCAGATCCATTCTACATTCATTGAGTGGTAAATAGACTATGTAGCCACGAATTTTCATGAAAGATATCAACAGTCAAGCACATCTCGACTCCAATCAAGGCACCAGGCACTTAGAGCCAGAGAAAACAAATGCAACAGGGTATTATGCATCAAGATAGATCTCCACCGCCACCAGGTGCAGACCAATAACAATCAAAACTTCACCATTTCTCACAGACCACCAGGAGGACCCTCCAGACGAGCCATGCGAGACTCCAGATCTCGTACCCAGGGCTCAACGGTCTCAACGTTAGACCGTAGGGCAGCCTCGCCTTGTTTCATCTTCTCCTCGACGGCCGTGAGGCCCTCGCGCCATTGCTCAATCTCAGTTGCCATTTCAGCATGTCGCTTTTCAAGCTCGTTGAGGGATTCAGCGGCGTGGGCAGCACCCGCATGGCAGGCACGCAGCGAGCGGAGGCGCTCTAGCACGCTTGGTAGCAGGGGGTGCAGGGACTGAATTGTGGGAAGGGTGGCATAGAGTGCTTGGATCTTCGCAATCTGTTCATCATCCATGGCGCCAGAGCCTTCGCCCGTAGCGTCCGCATCCGAGCTCGTAGCGATTCGTGCAGCCTGGGCAGCCTTGGCGGCGTCAGTTGCACGCCTGCGAGCAGAGGCGAGCGCCTCGGCATCAGTGGTCAACTTGCGAACACGGGTGGACAAAGCTTCCAAGTGTGGAGTGGTGAGACCAGGGACCGCGCTGGGACCACCAGAGGCAGGGTTGCCGCCCACGAGTAGACTGGTGAGCGCTGAAAGGCGAGAGGTCATTTGTTCCAGCGAAGGAAGTACGGGCTGCAAAGCGGGTTCGCTGAGGCCATCGCTGATGAATGGGTTTGAAGAGCTTGAAATTCCCATCGATGCTTCCAGGAGAGCCAGGCGTCCTTCAAACGCAGCTGCATGAGAAAGGAGTCCCGCAGCTGGAGAAGCGGTCTGAGATGGTACGGGTGTAACAGCCGTTGCGGCGGCGGTAGGTTGTTTCTTCTGGGAGTCCACACTAGGAGCAGTGGCACTCTGGGATCCAGTAGTAAGCTTCTGCGTGAGCGCCGTCGCCGCTGAGTATGAAGCAGCTTGGTCGCCGCGTGACGAAGCATGCAAATTATCCAATGCCCGGCTCAACTCTGCAACGCCATCGCCTAGCGTGTTCTCTCCGGCCTTGTCAGCTGCAGGTGCAGCCTGACCTGCTCCAGTCTCTAACGTCTGGTTTGGTCCAGAGCTAGACCGATTCTCCATTTCCACTTTCAAGTCCTCCACTTCGCGTCGCAGGCGTGCCAGCCGCCGCTCGAGCGACTCGTCCTCGCTATCACTCAGATCGCCAACCTCCTCGGTCCCATCCTCACGTATCCGCCGCCTTCGGTTGCTCTTTTCTTTGCTGCGATATGCTTGGCGCTTCGAGGAAATGCTGTCGGAGAAATTGGCGTCTCGCGCGTCGACTGCCGCACCCATGAAAAGCAGACGCGCCCGGTCCGCGTTGACGCCCTCGCGGTCAATGTCAGAATTGAAGCCGGCGTCATCGTGATCGGAGTCGGTGCGGAGAGTGGTAGCCTGCGGGGGTGGAGGTATTAGTTTGAGTCCATGCGGTTCTCGTAGAAAGGAATGCTGGGACTCACGGGGACAGTGGAGGCTTCGTCGGTCAGGTCAGGGGTTTCGTAAATGTCCGGGGCCGGGTCCTGAAAGACAGCATTAGTAGTGATCGCAGAAATTGGCGCAATCTAGACTCACCAGGTCAGGCAGACCGGCGTACTTCTTGTTGAATGCCATGGTGATTTGGAGGTGGGGGAGATAGAGACCGTCAACAATGAGTTCACCATTCGGGGAACTATACCCGCTCGAGTTGGACGGTCTTGGCAAACCTCAGGCGCTCAGGCATCCAGGCACCATGAAATCAGACCCACTAACGACATCATCGTTCGTTCCCAATTTGGCTCCGCTGAATCAGCGCGCACGTGTCAGCCTCGGGAGAAACACATGCGCAAGAGCAACCAAGGCAGGGTATATAATAGGGGACTCAATCGACCGGTGTCTACGTAGTTTTCTGACATTCACTCTCGTGGTCTCTACTGATTCCAACTATCTCTTGCAATTCACCGTCCTGTCCGGAAAATCGCGTTGCGACCAACTCGATAACATCTACACCGTCTTATCCCCCACCTCCCCGCAATCTTAACTCTACACACATCAAAATGGCTGCCCCTGCCGATACCACGATCAAGAACCTCAATGGATCATGGGTGATGGTACGTTCTCTATACGAATTGCCCACAAGTGAAATTGAACCACTCGAACTAACAATCGCCTTGTGTAACAGGACTCATCCCTGTCCGACCCTGCTGACCCCATTCTGGCTCTGGTATGAACCCTATCCACCCTGTTCCCTGACCAGACATGCCACGAGAAGGCCCCTGGCAACTCTTACCCTTAATTAAAGTTCTCGGAACCCCCCGGCTAATATTTACCGTAGCAAGGCATGAGCTGGTTCCTGCGCAAGGCCCTCCCCTATGCCACCGTTACCCTGAATGTGAGCGAGTACGCGGACTCTGCAAACCCGCAAGTCTACCACATCGACGTCGACCAGGTCATCACCGGCGGCATCACGGGAAGCAAGGAAGCGCGCACGCTTGACTGGCAAGAGCGCGAGCACGTCGACAACATTTTTGGCACCCTGCGGGGCAAGTCGCGCTTCCTCCGCGGCTCCAAGGCTGATGACGGCAAGGTCCGCCCCGCTGTCGAGTTCCACACCAAGGTCGGTGATGCCGAGAAGGATGCCAAGGTTCAGCGCTTCCTGCGCGGCGAGGTCCTCCTCGACGGCTCTGCTGCGGAGGGTTTCGTCGTTGACGACGAGGGTGCCGAGTTTGGTGAGGGTGAGGGTCTCTGGCTGCAGAGCTTCGTTGTGAACGAGCAGAATGGCTGGACTGCTGAGCAGGTACGTTACTTTCCCGCTTTCTCGGAGGGAATTTGATTCCCCTGATTAATCCCGTTTACATGTGATGGGTTTGCATGTGATATTGTGCTAATCCCCACTTTTTTTTAGATCTGGGGCTTCGAGGTTATTGACGGCCAGCGCCGCCACAGCCGTCGTGTTGCAGTTACCAAGGGTACTCAGGTCGAGCTGGCTCGTCTGGTCTACAGCTTTGAGGGGCCAAAGGCTGAGTAAATGGTTGGAATGATATTGAGATGATATGATTATTGCATGGGCTCCGTGAGACCCGTTAGTCCATACTTTCAGATGAAGTAGAATAACCCAGTTGCTATGAAAGTTTTCAAGAAAGTTTCCGTTAGGAAAAAAAGTAATGAAAGTAGTGCCATCCATTGACATAATTGCCATTCCGAATGTGGTCAATTGAGTTTTTGAATACCTCGGACTTATTTGTATTAGGTTCTCCACGCATACATCAACGTGTAAGTCGAGTATGTAAATGGGGTGTATTAACAATCTTGGAATGACCTGGTCAAAAGGAGGTTTCTTGACGTACAGTGAGTTTCGAAACCGGTGCAACCCCCTCCACTCTTCCAGACACTAAGGAATACCAGTCCATATTTGGAAAAGCCCCAGAATATTGATATTCCTGTATCCATTGCATTGCAATCACTTTTCCTTCTTAGAATACTACGTTCTGAAACATAAACTACAACTCATGTTTCCACCATATTTTCTCCGCTCGTTCCGCCATTAAAGGCTCGATCTCAATACCAATCCATCTCTCTGTGCCATCGGGACTTATCCGAAACTCGACCCGAGTGGCACTGCGAGCACCCAGCCCCACCGCGACTTGAACCCACTGAGTGCCGGATATATGAAAAAGATCAATCACCATGCCTCTCGAATACTCGTTATAATTTGTGATAGAGGCACACAGATCAGGCGTTGTTCGGTTCAGCCCCTTGTAGATCTTATCGTGACCAGTACATGTACTGGTCAAAAATAGGTTCGGATAAGCTGGGTGTATGTAGGATCCTTCCAAGAAAGAGAAGTTTAGAGGGCTTGGCAAAGGAGGACAAGGAATCTCTGGGTAAAGCTTGAAGAGAAAATCGTCAGAAAGTTGCGTGTTGTTGATCAATGCATCACCCCTTTTTATCATAAAGTCAGAAACCAATCCAAATAATAAGACCAAGTCGCGGGTGGTTATTTCGCGTACCTTTTAACCCAGTCGAACCGTCGTTCCGGGGGAATATCCAACTCCTCATCGATCAGATGATAAGCGAGCACATTCGCCGCGGCATTGACACCATTCATATTGTTCCCCAATAGCACAAGCCCGAATTTCCGCTGTGGTAAAAGAACAACACTCGCTCCATACCCAAATTGAGATCCTTCATGAGACAATATCACCTCGCCATGATATGCTTGTAACATCCATCCCAGCCCATAAAGCGTTGGAGTTTGGAACGGCTCGACAGGGTTGCGTGAAACAATAGAATGGCTGCCGAGTAATGTCGCATAAGCTGATTGCGAGAAGGGTGGCCCACGATTCAATAAAGTAGAGACCCACTTCACGTAGTCTGAGACTGATGATAATATATTACCTGCCCCACGAAGAGTTTCTATGAAGACTCGATCAGTGGAGGTAATATTGCCATCCTCGGTCATATAGAAGCCTTGTGAAACATCCTGTTGTGCGCTTTCAGCCTCCTCGAGGGAAATATAAGTCTCAGTCATGCCCAGTGGCAACCAGATGTTATCTTGCAAAAATGACCCCAAAGACTGGTTCGTTACGGTCTCGATAAGATGGGATGCTACACCGTACATGAGGTTGCAATATTGCCATTCCGACCTCGGAGAAGCCGTAAAGGGAAGATATCTCATCGACTGTACAGCTTCCTGGAGCGTTATATTAGCAAGCCAAACCCAGTTATGTCCTGGAAGACCAGAGCGATGCGATAAAATATCAATTATCGTCATTTGCGACGTAGCCCATGGATCATCGAGGACGAAGTCTGTCGGTAATAGCGTATGGACCGGTGTGTCCCAATGGATAGCTGGGAAATTGATTTCATCATCAACAAGAAGTGAGATAGCAGCAGAAACGAAAGCTTTCGTAGTGCTTCCTGTAAAAAACAGAGTGTGTTCTGTCACTGGCCGGGAAGTGAGAGTATTCGACACGCCGTAGCCCTCCACAGTTTTTTTTGTCAGTCCAAAAACCAATAAGTTAAGCAGCTCTTAGCTAACCCTTAGGGAGTTTCAACACCCACTTTCGAATAAATATCTCCATGTGACACTGCAACAGCGAGGCCTGGAATGTCGAAATGTTTGAGAGCCCACTCAACTTTTTCGTCGAAAGACGAATCTAATAGTAACGCGGAATTGTGTTCTTGTGCTTGAAGAATCTTTTGCGTCTCAGGATTGGCCAGCACAAGGGAAATGAAGCCGAATAACGATGCCAAATGCATGACATACAAAAATAAGACGACAAAAATAACAGCTGCGACTAATCAATCGGACTATTTGTAGAGTTCTCTTGCCTAAATTCATGTAAGCTAGGAGTTAGTTGACTCGTTCCATACCTATCTGGCGAGCGGGGAAGCAACGTGTTAGGTAATCCAATGACCCTCGATTCCCAACCAACTAGGTTTCCCTAGCCACCCAGAATACCATGCTGAACAGTTCTCATCATCTCTGGATTTAAAGATAGTACTCCTGTTACCACTTACAGTCGTTTTCATCCCTGACCGATAGTGCCCCATAGCGGATCGTGTAATAAATGAGCTCGTGCTTGGAATACCAGTTTCGAGACGTACTGTGTATCCAATTCAACCTAACGAATCGTAGATTGCATTGTTTTATGGATCCTATTTAGTGAACTGCTACTGATCAAGATGGAAAAAATAAGTCAAAGACAAACATCCCAAGGTGCGAGAAATTTCATTGCTGGCAAGGCCAAAGCCCGTAGGCCAATCTTTTAGAGAGCCCAAATAATGCATTAAAGGTACATGATCATGCATGATAAGACTCAAAAAGAAAAGAGAAAACGAAAACAATTTATAGTATATGAACAACTCTTACGAGTGCGTGGGCATGACAACGCTAGCCTTGGTGCTAACAGCATCCTCGGCCCTCCACAAGCTAGTCACGGTCTTCTGCTGGGTATAGAATTGCAGACCAGGCTTGCCGTAGAAGGTGTTAGCACCGCCACCGGCGATACTCTTCTTGTTGCCGGTGAAGGAGAACATGGGAAGTGGCACGGGGATGGGGACGTTGATGCCCAGCTGGCCGGCCTCGATGTCCTTCTGGAAGCGGGAGGCAGTGGAGCCAGAGCGAGTGAAGATGGCGGCGCCGTTGCCGTACTCGTTGGCATTGATCATGTTGATGGCGTCATCGAGGGTTTCGACGTTCAGGCAGACCAGGACGGGTCCGAAGATTTCTTCCTTGTAGCACTTCATGTCGGGGGTAACGTTGGTGATGATGGTGGGGCCGACCTAATCGAAGACGAAATTAGTATTAGGAAGAACTATTATCGAGCAAGGGAGAAGGGGGATGTGCGTACAAAGTTGCCGTTGGGGTACTTCTCGGGCTTGTAGTTGCGGCCATCAAGAAGGATGGTGGCACCCTCAGCCTCAGCACTGGCAATGAGATCCTCAATGCGCTTCTTGCTCTCGGGGCTAATGACGGGGCCGAGATCGGCACCCTCCTCGAAACCACCGTCAACCTTAAGAGCCTTAGCACGCTCAGCGATCTCGGGGAGCCACTCCTTGGTCTCGCCAACCATGACAGCAGTGCTCAGAGCCATGCAGCGCTGACCGGCAGCACCAAAGGCAGCACCGACAATAGCGTTAAGAGCGTGGTTCTTGTTGCAGTCGGGCAGGACAGCGGCGTGGTTCTTAGCACCCAGGTTGGCCTGGACACGCTTACCGTTGGCAGAGCCGCGGGAGAAGATGTACTCGCCAGCACGGTTGCTGCCGACGAAGCTGATAGCCTTGATAGCGGGCTCATCGAGGATGAAGTCAACAGTACGGGCAGCACCGTGGACGATGTTGATGACACCGGGAGGGAATCCGGCCTCGCGGGCCAGCTCAGCCAGGATCATAGCAGCACCGGGGTCGCGCTCGGAAGGCTTCATCACCAAGCAGTTACCGGTAACGGTGGCGATAGGAATGCACCACAGGGGAATCATTGCGGGGAAGTCTTATCACCGGTTAGTGGGTCTGATAGGGAAGATAAACAAAGGCTCGGAGGAACTTACTGAAGGGACAGATAGCAGCCACGACACCCAGAGGCTCGCGATAGCTGCGGGTCTCCATGTCCTTGGCCACCTCGAGGACCTCGCCGGTCATCTGAGTAGTGATACCGCAGGCAGTCTCAGCGACCTGCAGACCGCGAAGAACATCACCCCTGGCATCGGCAAAAGTCTTGCCCTGCTCCAGGGTGATGGAAGCAGCGAGTCGGTCCCAGTTATCACGGATCAAGTTGGTGAACTTGAACAGAATCTGCTGCTTGGCCATGATGCTGGTTGCCCGCCAGGCGGGGAAGGCCTTCTCCGCCGACTGAACGGCAGCCTTGAGCTCTTCATCGGTGCTCTGGGGCACACGGGTCACGAGGTTGTTAGTGGCGGGATCGTGGAGGTCAATCCAAGTGGTAGCCTTGGAAGTGACAAACTCGTTGTCAATGAAGTTGGTGGTGTCGATAGGTTTGGCAATCGGCTGGTGGTCCGTCGGGTACTCAGTAGCAGTGCTAGCAGCCGAGGTGGTTGCGGGGGTGAACTGCTTCGCAGTAGCGTGCAAGCGCCGAGCAGCAGACATGGCTCCGGGAGTAGAAACAGACTGCTGAGAAGATAGACGGGCAATTGGTGTGGTGGCGGTGGTCAAAGACCGGGCACTGGAAGCAGCCCTGGCGACGAGAGGCGTGCGGGGAGCGGAGCGGAGAGCGGGGATGGTTCGGGCCAAAGACCGACGGGCGGCCATGATGAATTGAAGAGACAAGAAAGGGATGAGGAGGGGGGAGGTTTAAAGAGAAAAAGGAGGTGAAAGAAGATGCAGGCCAAGAATGCAGTGTTACGTGGCGAAAGCGAAGTATAAGAAGGGCGGCGCTATTCCAAGGGTTGCAAGTTGGTTCTGGCTACCCCAGGCCCGAGGTCAACCGCAGGTCCGCCCTACCGCCTTTTAATCGGATGCTTCCCCGTAAACTTCGTAAAATTGGGGGGAGGCAGATAAGCTATCCTCGGCGATTTGGACCAATCAGCATCCATGTTGATAGTTCTTTCCATCGCCGAGGCTGCCCGCTCATCGGATGCCCTTCTTCAGGCAGGCCGTTCCGAGGAATTGACCACCGGGTTGATCCAGAATTATCGCTAACCTGCCCAATATAGAAGCATAACGTGGGGTCTGTCCTCTACAGTTTGAGTATCCGTTTTGCTTTGATGACTATAGATCTGAAAACTATGACCAGCCGAGACCAATACGTTCACGTAGTGGAGTATTGACCTTTTTTATGACCCACCATATCCCTACTCGACTTGAAATCACTCCTTAGGAAGGAAAAGCAAAAAAGTATACCGAGTTCTTGATTTTGGAGTGAATCTCACACTACCTAAAGGTCCTAGTACTACACATGCCAATCGCACACCGTTGGATAATTTGGGGGAATAAGGAAAACAACGCACGAAGAAAGAGATGGGAAAAAAAATACTATGCGGGCTTAATCGTTTGGGTTTATTGGGGGGGTTAATGCTTCCTTTCGACCTTTGGATCTTCTCGCCCTTTACTCTGCAGAGGAGCGGGTGGTGCGCTTGGTGGCACCGCTCTTGCCAGTGTCGGCAGAGGAGCTGGTGGCCTCGCCAGTCTTCTCCTTGGAGCCGGCGGCGGCGGCCTTGCCCTTCTTCGGGGCAGGAGCCGGGCTGCTGGAGCCAATGGCGCCGACGATGATCAGGATCGAGGTCAGCAGAAGGGCAACCAGACCGCCAGCAACTTCGGGAACGGTCTTGACGGCGTTGACGGGGTCCTCCTTGGCAAGGCCAACGAAGTAGTCGACCTTCTGGCGAACAAAAGTAACGGGGTCCTCCTGGAAGGTGACGGTGGTACCGGCGGCGGCAGGAGTCTCGGGCTTGGGCTTGCTGGCCTCCTCCTCGGCCTCCTCAATGGGAAACTTGACATCGAAGGTCTCCTTGCGGAGCTGCTCAGCCTCATCAACGGAGTGACCAATGTAGATGTTGTCGAACAGGATATCGTTCTGCATCGTCCAGATCTCGAAACCAATCTGCAAAATTCGTTAGCATCCAATGCTACCGCGGCAATGAAACGGAAACGGGGAAAACTTACAGCACCCATAGGCTCCATGTTGGAGGGGGTCTTGTCTTCGTAGTAGCCGGGGTTGGCAATCTTGCGAGGGGCCCAGGGACCCTTGTAGGCAGGGTTCTCAATCATGGGAGCGGACCACTTGCCCTTGTACTCGGGGTTCTTGATCATGGGGCGAGTCCACTCACCGCAGCCAGAAACATCGGCGCACTTGGGGTTGGGAACGGTGGGAGCGAGCCAGTCACCATCCTCCTCATCATCCCAGTCCTCGGGCTTCTCGGCCTCGGGGTCAGGAACACTGGTGGGCTCATCATCCAGCCAGTCAGCAGGCTTCTCAGCATCCTCATCGGTAATCTCGAAGGGAGCCTCCTCGTCCCAGTCAGCAGGCTTGGTAGCCTCGGGGTCGGCAATCTGGACCTCGTCGACCCAGTCGGCGGGCTTCTTGTCCTTGGGGTCGTCAATCTCCTTCTCAGGGTTGACGGAGGGGGTGAAGTCCTCTAGGAGGCTGCCGGCCTTGACAGACTCGCCGTTGATGAGGATCTCAAAGGTCTGATCGGGTTTGATGATCAGAGTGTAGAGGGAGGTGACCTTGGAGGTACGAGCGACGGGGGGAGACTTGAGGTGCTTCTCCTCGTACTCGCCGGTCTTGGGGTTCTTGTGACGGAAGATGAAGTGAACCTAGAAAGGAGATTGGTCAATACAGATGGTCAATTGTAACGCTAGGGATATTGAAACGTACCTTGTTGGTAGCACCACACTTGTCGGGACCGAACATGATCACGTAGGGAGTGGCGTTGGAGAACTCCTCCTGGTGGAGCTTCTTGTTCTCCTGGAGGAGCTTGAGGTAGGCACCACCGCAGACCAGAGAATTCTGGGGCTTGACCTCATACTGGACGACCAGGGTCTTGCCCTTGTTGTCAATCTTCTTAGGGAACTTGGCGGAGATGGCGTGGTGAGCAGCTACGTTCTTCACGACCAGACCCTTGTCACCCTCAATTCCCTTGAAGACGGAGGGCTCCTCAACGGCCCACTCGCCAACGAAGGCCCAGTCCTCCTCAGACTTCGGGTCATCCTTCTTCGCGTGCGAGGGCTTCCACCGGGACTCCCAGTCGTCAGTGAACTGCTCCAGGAAGGGAGCCTTGAGAGAGGTGGGCTAGATAGAGATGTGTTAGGAGGGTGAAAGAAGGTTCAATTGTAGGGTGGGTCTTGAACGTACAGTGAAAGTGGGCTTCTCAATGGCAGTGGTGGCATCGGGCGCAGCTTCAGCTTCCTCGGCATGAGCATAGCCCATGAGAGTAGCCGAGGTGGCCAGAGCCGTGACGGCGGTATTGAAGCGCATGGTGAAGAAGGGACGAGAGGAAGGAAGCGCACAGCACCTAGGATCCAAGGAGGGAGTGGGGGAGGGAGAAGAGACAGCCTTAAGGAAGAGGAAAGAAAGCGGAGGTTATATACAGCAACGCGGACTGGCGAAGGTCCAGGTGGCCTCTTCATGGCAGCTCCCCAATCGGGACTAGCGTGGCCGTGAGGTACCGCGACCCTTTCGATCTCCTTCGATGCGAGGAAACTATATACTTCACAGGGCTATAAGGAGCCTACTAATCAAATTCAATCTTGAATGGGAGATTCTATATCCAATTATAATAGAATCAAACGAACTGAATTAGCAATCTACATCCACATCTCCTTTCCTGCCAGCTTTGTAGTGCAACATTCGTGCTGCCCTACAATAATTCGGTGATTTGATGGGGTCGACTCCGAATTGCGTGGAGCTCTGCAGATTCCACCCCGCCCGGAAAGTTTTATTGAATTAATTGGATCGCGCCCGCTACACCAAGTGCGACACTTCCATATCCTCGACAACCACTTAACTGACGCTTCTGACGTCTCATAGTAAGTAAAAATTGGTCGCCGAATCTAGGCGGATTCGATAATTTTCTCGTTCCACACCCGAAAGGCCTTTACGCTCTACATCATGACCTTGTGCTGACTGAAGTCATCGTCAGCCCACCATGGCCTCCACCGAAGACCAGGTCGTTGCGACCACCACAAACAATGACCACCTCGTGCAGTCGGACGACCCCGAGCACCCTGCGAACCTGATTCCGGAGCTGTGCCGCAAATTCTACAACTGGGGATGGGTCACTGGCACTGGTGGAGGTGTAAGTCTCTCCTTTGCGCCGGTGCGGGGCAGCAACGCAAAGTGCTATATCCGCTGACGAGAAGCAGACCTCCATTCGTCACGGTGATCACATCTTCATTGCTCCCTCCGGTGTCCAGAAGGAGCTCATGAAGTCTGAGAACATCTTCGTCCTCCAATGGCCCACCAAGAAGTACCCTGCCGAGGAGCGCAATTATATTCGCCGTCCCCTCAAGCTGAACCCGTCTGCCTGTACTCCACTCTTCCTCACTGCGTTTGAGAATGGTGCTGGCTGCTGTATCCATACCCACTCCCAATGGGCCGTCCTGGTGACCCTGCTGGTGGAGCGCGAGAAGGGTCCCGATGCCTGCTTTGAGATCAGCACCATCGAGCAGATCAAGGGCATTCCCCGTGGCAAGGGTAAGGGCATGTTGGGATACTACGACACCCTCAGTATCCCAATCATTGAGAACACTGCCTTCGAGGAGGACCTGACCAGTGGTCTGGAGGCGGCCATGAAGAAGTACCCGGACACCTACGCGGTGCTTGTTCGGAGACACGGAATGTAAGGATGACCCAGCGATTGTTTCACTGCTGTTTTTGATCTTAATTCGCTGATTTTCATCATAGCTATGTCTGGGGTGACAATGTTGCCAAGGCGAAGACCCAGTGCGAGTCTCTGGACTATCTGTTCCAGCTGGCCGTCGAGATGCACAAGCTGGGCCTCCCTTGGGTCAAGTAGACGGCAGATTCAGCGCCTGGGTATGCGATGGAATGGTGCAGGCCTGCCATCGAGTCCACCATTCCTTTTGATCGGCCCATTTGAAGAGTACAGTAGGTTTCATAGGTTCAAAATTCTGAAAAACTTCGGAAACGCCATATAAGTCACGAGTTGAACGATAAAATCAAGAGATAGTGTCTAAGCAATTAAGAAAGACAATTCAAAATATATATAGAAAGACCTGCCAGAATAGTGGAAGGGGATGAAGTCTGTCGCAATGCACTGTCTCGCCGGATCAGACCGTTGGTCAGTCATTGTATTATCGAGACGGTGACGTATTTATACTTTGAACCCATTTTCCAAGTTCTGTCCCAGGAACGAATTCCAGATCATGGAAGCTGAGAATCACGGGATGTATTGTAGTCATTGCAAGACACTGGAGGGTTAAGAGGCTTAAAGAATCCAGGAATGCGACGAGTGTCCAACAGGGTAAAAGTGTCAGCCCGGACCTTGGGGGTTTGCTGCAGGTGGAGATCCCGTGAGTGACTAAGATCCTCCACTCCGCTTCAACTGCCAGCTTCCAGCTTCCTACTCCCCCAGTCCCCCTCTTGTTGGAGCTTCGATTGAACCAGCGTTGGCGCATAATATTTGATTCAATCGCTTGATACCTCTTTGAATCCCCAGAACTGTACTTGCTCGGCTACAATGGATATCGACGCTGGAGATTCCCCGTGGGGCGGTAGGCAGTCATGATACCACAGCTCTTTGGATTGCGATCTAATATAGACCACAGATGAACCGTCGCGCTCAGTGAGCAGCCGTTCCGCCTCGAAGCAGGATACCCAGGACAATGGTGTGTTCATCCCTTCAGCCCCCTACATATTCGTCAACCCCTCACTAACCGCACCGCCGTTTCTCCTTGCAGCTCCCGTCCAGCCCGCGCCATCAGCTGGAAGTCCCGAAGTCCGGACACCCGGAAGACGAGTGCCGCGAGGAACGAGGAAGATCAGCGCGCAAGCGACACGTTTGGAAGCCGTCGACAACACCGTTGATCCCCTTGGCCCGCTCGGGGAATCGACCCCCGATGTAACCGCGACTCCTACCGAGGAGGCACCGGCCCCTCCCCAGAAAGAATCGCTTGCCGCTCGAGGCCCTCAACCGGCCTCGACGTTTGCCCAGATCCCCGGTGCCACCGGCCTTGCCGACTCGGTGCATCTCGAAGAAGATGGCGCCGGTTTCCGAGGCCCTCCGCCTGTACAGCCTGCCGCCGATGTCGACGGGCCTAAGCGACAGACGCAACCAAGTATGAGCATTGAGCAAGCTGCGAAGCCCACATTTGATATCAGCGTTGGAGATCCGCACAAAGTGGGAGACCTGACGAGCAGTCACATTGTCTATCAAGTGCGGACAAAGGTATTGTTGCCTCTCGAGCGGGGGAGATGCGATCTTTGGAGAGTGAGAGGCTAACCGCAAATGAACCACCAGACAACATCCAAGGCATACCGTCAACCCGAGTTCGCAGTCAGCCGCCGGTATCGTGACTTCCTTTGGCTATACAATTCCCTGCACAACAATAACCCTGGAGTGGTCGTTGCTCCTCCCCCCGAGAAACAAGCCGTAGGCCGCTTTGATACCAACTTTGTCGAGTCGCGAAGAGCAGCGCTTGAGCGCATGTTGAACAAGATCGCGGGTCACCCAATCCTCCAGCATGACGGTGACTTGAAGATCTTCCTCGAAAGTGAGGCGTTTAACGTGGACATTAAGAATAAGGAGAACCGGGAGCCCGATCTTGGACAAAGCAAGGGCATGTTTAGTGGCTTCGGTATTTCAGTCGGTGGAGGCGGCAAGTTTGTAGAGCATGACGATGTAAGTGAGCTTCATTGACCTTGCCGGCTGTGTTTACTCACTTTTATTTTGCAGTGGTTCCATGACCGGAAGGTCTACTTGGACGCTCTTGAGAATCAGCTCAAGGCACTGTTGAAATCTATGGACACAGTTGTCGCGCAGCGCAAGGGTCTTTCCGAGGCTGCGGGCGACTTCTCCAGCTCGCTTCACGCCCTGGCTGCTGTTGAGCTTTCCCCCGCACTAGCATCTCCCCTGGACGGTCTATCCGAGCTTCAATTCCGAATTAAAGAACTTTATGAACGCCAAGCTCAGCAGGATGTGTTGACTCTGGGCATTACAATTGACGAATACATTCGTTTGATCGGTAGTGTCAAGACTGCATTCTCCCAACGACAAAAGGCCTTCCACAGCTGGCACGCTGCGGAGTCGGATCTACAGAAACGCAAGAACACCCAGGAAAAGCTCCTCCGTCAGGGCAAGTCCCAGCAGGATCGACTCAACCAGGCCAATGCCGATGTTGCTGATGCGGAACGCAAGGTACACCAAACCCGGCTCTTGTTCGAAGATATGGGCCGCTTGATGCGGAATGAGCTGCAGAGATTTGAAAAGGAGAAGGTGGAGGATTTCAAGTCTGGTGTGGAGACTTTCCTGGAGAGTGCCGTTGAGGCTCAAAAGGAGGTAAGATGATCGCCGGTTCCAAACGAGATGTTTCTGTCGCTGACCAGTTCCTCCAGTTGATCGAACTCTGGGAAACCTTCCTTATCCGTCTGGATGCTGGTGAGGACGGCCTACCCTATTATGTGCCCGCCGGTGAGACTGGCGAGGCGCCCGTGTCCGAGTCAACGACATCGGCCACCGAGCCTGCTGCAGTGCCCGAGGACGAAGATGAAGCATGATAATGTTGGGTCTTCACTCACGGACGCTTTTATACCAAATCAATCCGACAAGCTGGAATATACATTATCCAGTCCCATTCTTGTATTCATTAAAGAATCTCTTCCATCGCCCCATCCTCCCCGCCTTAGCAAGGCACAACCCCAATGATTGTCTTCAGCCAGCTATTTTACTTTCCCCTCTTCGTCTTGTTGATTCAGAAACCCGTCCAAATACCACTGTTTACGTATTGTAACCGATACCACAATTGTGTCTTTATTTGATATTTTAAAAATTAACTTGGTCCACGTCATGTTGGACGTCATCATAGAGAGGATATGAGTTGGCTTCTTAAAATGATAAACAATGTCCCTGGACTTGAGAACGACGGGCCTCGGATGAAGATTGTAACAACATTAGAGAACATATCGGCTGTTGGACAGTTAGTGATAGACTCTCTAGTTGGCCACAGTCACTTACAAAGTCAAGTTCTCTCTATCAGTCAGATCCATCTGGCTATTATCCACTACTCGCGTTACGAGACCTCCATCTGAGTCAGTCGTCTCGATGATTCCATTGCCGCTAACCTGTTTTGTTGCTTCGAGTTTATCGCGGCGTTTGTTTTCCTGACTCAGGTACACCCGAAGGATGATGATGACTATCGAAGGAAGGATTGCTGCGACCTGGGAAGTATCAGTGATGGTCTTTCTAAATGCAGACGTCTGAAACTCACCACAAGCAGAATGATCCATGTTGGCCGGTATCGAGGCTTGTCAGTTGTCAGCACGCAGTACAAGCTATCATTAGTCTTAAGTGAAGGCTTACCTTCCAACGCGGCTGGAAAAGCTGTGGCGAAATGATATTTCCTAAACCATAGCCAATATGGTATAGAGCAATTACTGTGGTCTTCTTTGTGTGTCCCGCAGAGGCATTAGCAGCCCAAATCATGACCACGGCATAGGGTACGCCAGTCGTGGAACGGATCCAGATTCCGCTGATGAGACCCCATCGGTTTGTCCAGGGTAGGGCTGATCCGATTATCAGTCTCAGTTCATCATACTTCGACATATGAACCTACCTAGAAGGAGTATGCTAGACAAGGCACCTGGGATGTATGCAACGAGAGATATCCAAGCCCGACAATTCTAGATTATTAGTTTATATCGATTTCAAGGTGTTTAGCGGTATCTTACCTTGGTGTGATATAGCGCAATGGCAGCGGATCCAAGGGAAAAGAAAGATACTATTCCTGTCACCGTGCCCAGCAGTGTTGTCTGAAGAACCGTAAACCCGAAGGAATTGATGATTAGAGAATACTGGTTTGTGATTCCATTGGCCATTTCTTGAGACCAAGCATGGAGGAAGAAAAGCCATGTCTTAGGGTCTTGAATAGCCTCAAAGAATCTATATGTTCGAATTAGTACGGTTCCATTCTTCAGTAATATGGAAAACATTACTGGTATCTCTTAAAAAGCTTTTGCTCGATGCCAGAATGGTTCTCTTTGATTCGTAGAATGGCCTTTGCACGCTCTTCATACGTCAGGAAATCGGCATGAAGAGGGCTGTCAGGGAAAAGCCAGTAGACAAAGACACCGAAGATAATCGTAAGAACGCCAGTGATAACTATAAATGTCAGAGCACTGCTTCAAAATCCGCATGGGAGTATCACATACCCATGAACCATTTCCACGGAGAGAAACTTCCAGTATTGATCCACAGAACACCATACGACAATAGACCAGAAGTTATAGGGCTTGCATTGCCGATAGACCACATGATAGGCATCATAACGGCCTGTTCGCCGTAGGTGAAGAACATCGACATGGAGAGCAAGAATGCAGGGACAATGCATGCCTCGGCTAGCCCCAGGAAGAAGCGAACCACAAACAGAGAGGCAAAGCTGTTGCATGGGATATGCAAGAGGGTGATACCGCCCCTATCAATTTCATTAGTCGAGACTTAAGGGAAGGACATTGTGTAGATTTACCAAATAATCAAATTTCCAGCCAACCATTTGCCAACAGGAAACTTCTGCAATGCCCAATTCTGAGGCCATTCTGCCAGAAGATAGCCAAAGTAGAATATCGAGGATAGCCAATTGTACTGGTTTGAATTGAGATGGGCATCAGTCATGATACCAAGGATGGCAGAACTTCCTAACTAAATAACTGTGAGTTTTGTATCGTCCTGGTCAGAAGAGGTCGAGGTTTCACATACTGTCTGCTTATCTACATACATCAGATGATATCCGATACATAGGAAAGGTAAGATCCGCCAAAGACATTTCTTTCTTATCTGGTTTGCTTCTTCGGGCGTTGGGTCGGTGACTTGAATCTTAGAGAAGAGTTTGAAACTCTCGTCTGCGAATTGGTCAGGGACTTTTGGCGCATTGCTGAAATCGAATTCATCATCGTCACTCCTGGCTTGAGCAGTGGCTGCAATGTCAGATTTGGTTAATTCAGGTGCCATAGTGTTTGGCTCATAGAACGGCCCATCGGAGGGAATCGTCTTGACGCTCGATGGAGCCCGGAAGGATATACTTATGACTTCGGAGCATTTTCCTCTCTCTATCAAATGACATACATTACGCAATTTCTCCATATGTTATCGTCTTTGCTATGTGCCGGAGTTTGCCCGGCGCGGTTGATAAGCCAAGCCACTATGAAGCCTACTAGTTGAGGTTCTTGCATGATTTCTCTCCTAGCAAGGATGGCCTTCGCCAACATCATGTCAATTGCCGAGCCTTGCATTACTGCTTATGTTTTGACGCTAGGAAATGCGTCAATCGATGACAGAAGCACGCTTGAAGTCGCCATTGCGGGGTTGTATCAAAGTTGCATTGCTGACGTGACTTGCTCTCTGTAGTTACCTGGTCGCGATCATGAGTTGTCGTTTGATCTGTTTGCACAGTGGTCATTACTTATTTGACTTTCTTTCGGGGGCCTGACCTTCTGTTAATTTGAGATCCTATCAAGGAGCATATTACCAGGATGGCTGAGCAAGATAATACCCTCCGAGTCTTGATTGCTGGCGCTGGTATTGCGGGGTTGGCAACGGCTATCTCGTTACGACGCATCTCCGAGCTATCAAATCTAGATGTGCAGCTTTATGAGCAGGCTCCGGAGCTTCAAGAAATTGGAGCCAGTATTGCACTCAGTCCCAATGTATGACTTTATTTGAACCCCATTACTGTATTCATCTAATGACTTGGCCATCTACGCAGGGCATGCGGACCTTGGAGAAGCTCGGCGTAGCAAGCGCGCTCACAGATGAGGTTGGATACAGGGGACCAAGCGGTATACCGCAAATCTTCCGGTATGTTCATTGCTGTCATATTCAGGCTCATTCTCACAAATAAAAAACTCCAGTCACTGGAAGACAAATCAAGTCATCTCCGTCGACACACATACTGACGTTCCCGATCCACGTCATCATACTACCCGTTTCCACCGAGGCCATTTGCACACTGCCCTCCTTGAACATGTCCCACGAAACATCATCCACTTGAATAAAAAGGTCAACCGGGCAGAAGCTACCCAAGACGGTGTGGCATTGTACTTTGAAGACGGGACTAGTGCCCGTGGGCATGTCTTGATCGGCGCGGATGGAATTCGGTCGGTGAGTTGCAGCTGGTCAGAATATGTTTCAACATTGCTAATAAGTGATAAAGCCTGTGAGACAAGCTTTTATTCCGGATTACAAATTGAGATTCAGCGGGAAGGTGTTCATGCGAGCAACTTTTGATGCATCATTGGTTGAGGGCAAGATCCCTGACCTGCCCATCGATTCAATGCATTGGGTATGTTATTCTAGCTTGAGATTTTCAAATTATACTGACAGCTCCGCAGTGGGGACCACGAGATAATTTCTTTGCATCTCGGCTTGGTATGTTGAGACTGAATATATATCCGTCGCTTACGATGATCTAAAAGTCTGTAGGCAAGAACCAATATACCACCGTCGGCGCCTACGATGATCCACGAACCGCAGAAGAGATTGAAAAGAGCATTACATGGAACTCTGAAGGCAATGTGGAGTTTTTGAGAGAGCGGTACAAAGTATGTCCTCTCTAATTCTCATGTCGGGAAGCACATAGACTAATATTTCTCAGAACTGGAACCCTACTGTTAGGGCCCTCACTCAGCATACTCCTTCGACCAATCTGTATCCAAATTTTGCGGGCGACGCTCTTCCAACCTGGGTATTTGGCTCGCGAGTTACTCTTGTTGGTGACGCAGCACACGCCCATGGTGGTGCTTTTGCCGCGGGTGGCTCATTGGCGCTGGATGACTCTCTCGCTCTCGGTCTTGCTTTCAAGCATGTGTTCAGCTCCTCGAAGGGCTTGGAGCACTCAATTGAGAAGATCAACAGGGTATTGAGTCTTTATAGCAAGACGAGACAGCCACACACGGCACGTTTACTGCGTATTGTTCATAACCAGATTGAACAGAGGGGGTCAGCGGCTACATCCCTCGAAGAGGAGGATGCGGGACTGGTTGCTAGGATGAAGAAACGCCCTAATACAGAGTGGCTATCAGAGCATGACGTTGAGACTGCATTTAGGGCTGTGGTCAACGAGTCTGAGACCGATGACTATCTCGAACATTCAACCCTGGGAAGCAGGAGCAAGCTAAAAGCCCCCATTGAGGGAACCATCCAGCTCCAGAAAAGCAAGATTTAGAATATAAATTTGCATATTTCTAAGATAAATGAGGGATAAACCAATAGAATGAAAATTTAACTTCATGTTTCGGCTAATCTTCTACGATTCAGGACTCAACCAGCCCTTTTCGTCTCCAGGCAAAAGCCGTCACTTAAGCCGCTTTCTTCCATCCAAACAGGTCAAAGGCACTCTAGGCACATTCTAAATATTCCGCATCTGTCATGATAAATTATTGTTTGCAGCTGTACCCAATCATTCACCATGTTCCCCTAGAGCGTATGACGCGATCTTCCTTCAGTGCACGTTATTCGGCTTTCTTCCGAAGTAAAAAACATTTGGTACATTCAAGATCTTTTATCTCCTCCTTGCTCATGTTTTTGATCTCTAAGCAGCGGGGACCAAAATTCGTGATTTTGCATGTCAATGGCAGCATGTCGTCGAGCGGGGTTATCGAGAGATGAAGTAGATAAATCAAAGCCTTGCTATTCCATATCTATGCAGGCTGGGAGATAACATTGAAATTTATCGCTCCCTCGGAATATATTTGTTACTCAAGTTAAATCCATCATCAATATGTCCACCGAAAATCCGCCCCAGAAGCGACGAATCTACCTCAATGGCTTCGATATGTTCACAGTCGGCCATCTATCATTCGGCCAATGGAAGAATCCTGCTGACCGATCGGCAACAAAGCGTAGAGATCTCTCGTACTGGACGGATCTAGCCAAGATCCTAGAGAAGGGAGACTTCAATGCATTGTTCCTAGCTGATACTTTCGGTCTTTATGACACTTACAAGGGCAGTGCTGAACCGGCTATTCGTAACGCCGCTCAGTACCCCATGGGAGATCCTTCAATTGTATGATTAGTCAAATGGTTCATTATGATAAGACTTGACTGGGATGGAGTGCTAACTGCTTGTTTTAGCCGATCTCTGCCATGGCATCGGTGACGAAGAACCTGGGATTCGCTATTACCACATCTACATCGTATGAAGCTCCATATGTTGTTGCAAAGAGATTCTCAACTCTTGATCACCTCACGAACGGTCGATTTGGATGGAATATTGTGACATCATGGAAGGCCTCTGCTTCAAAGGCTGTAAGTTCTCTATCACCTCGAGACGATGCTCATTTACTAAACAGTTTAGGTTGGATTGCCCCTCATCGACCACGACAAACGCTATGAGATTGCTGATGAGTATCTGACGGCGCTATACAAGTCAGTCAACACGCATATATCTGAGCTTAACGTTGCTAATTGCTTTGGCTAGACTCTGGGAAGGAAGTTGGGCAGATGACGCCCTCAAGGAAGACGTCGAGACTGGAATCTACACAGACCCCAGTCGGATCAAATACGTCCATCACCACGGTAAACATTTCCATGTCGACGGTCCTCATATCCTAGATCCATCACCCCAACGCACTCCGTTCCTATTCCAAGCCGGCACTTCTCCAGCCGGCGTGGCATTCGGTGCAAAACATGCCGAGGGTGTCTTTGTATCAGCCCCATCTCCAAACATCCTCGCTCCTCGTATCCAGGCTATCCGTGAAGAAGCAGCCAAATCGGGCCGTGATCCGAGATCCGTGAAGGTCTTTGCCATTCTTACCCCGATCATTGGTCGAACAGAGGAAGAGGCCCAGGAAAAATACCGCGAGGCACTTGAAAATGCCAGTGAAGAGGCTGGTCTCGCTTTCTTCTCTGGAGGAAGTGGCATTGATCTCAGTCGATTTGATCTAGATACACCCATCAAGTCGTCTGATGTTCACGTTGATGCTCGAGTCCATTCAACCATCAACACGCTCTCGTATCAGAGTCCTGATGTCCCGGAATGGACGCCCCGAAACATTGGGAAGCATATCTCCATCGGTGGTGCCGGTCCCGTTCCCGTTGGAACTGCGAGCACCGTTGCAGATTTCCTTGAAGAATGGGTCCGAGTTGCTGATCTAGATGGCTTCAACATCGGATACGTTCAAACTCCGGGGACATTTGAGGATGTTGTGGAGCTCTTGGTACCCGAACTGCGTCGACGAGGTATCTATGCACCCGAAGGAGAAAGCGGAACTATGCGCGAGAGGATCTATGGGCCTGGCCAAAAGCTATTGAGAGATGATCATGTCGGAACAAAGTACCGCTATGAGGTTTATGATGGTAAATAGTTGACCATAGCCATCCATGCACAGTAGAAAGAAAAAAAAAACATGTGTATTGTACAGGATAAATGAGACAAATCAGAAAAAAAAATAACCCAACTCCCAGTTTAAGTACAACGAAGGTAACGCAAGTGCCCTCCTCGCTTGTGACAATTCAATCACCTCCGTGCTCGTATGCAGGCGTTTATTTCTTCTTCTTTCCCGAAACTTGAGGCTCCTCCTGGCCAAACGAGCTGATCAAATCCAACAGATTATCTTCCTCCTCTTGATCCGCCTTAGCCTGGGCCTGAGCAGCCTCTTGTTCGGCCTTCTTAGTGGCGGCGTCCTTCTTCACATCCCCGGTGGGCGTAGACTCGGCGACTGGGGCATTAGCATCCCAGCTACGACCGAAACGCGCACGGAAAGCGGCCAGACGTCCGGCCTCATCCTCCTCGACATTCATCAGCTTGCTGCTAGACGGGTTCCAGAGGAGGGAGTTGCGAGTGTCACGCGTGGAACGGTAGACGGGGGCGGGTGAGGTGGTGCGGTGGGTGAAGGCGCTGCCGTCGGAGAGGGTGACGAGCTGGGTGAAAGTGTAGGGCCGCTTAGGACGGCGGAGAAGTGTGGCGTGACGGCATTGCGAGCAGACAAAGGTTGTAGTCTTGAGTTGAGAAGCTGGCAGCCGGGTAGGGAGGATAGTGGATGTTGAGCTGGATATCGTGGCCGCGGAGCGACGGAGAGAGGTGTGCATAGACATTGTGCAAGGGTAGCGGAAGCGCAATGGATATCTCTAGGAATTGAGAGAGACCGTAGCCCTTGAGGGAATGTCAGGCCAGCTGCGAGCGGGTGGTTGCGGATTGCAGAGGTGAGTTGATGCTATCCAGACTCCCGACGCAGAGAAACTTTTGGGAATTATCGCGGGTTATGTAAGCGGCCGGGGATTTTCTCGGGCGGGCTTCTTTCTGAAGTAAACTCATGCTCGGTTTGCGCAGACTCGAGTCTCAAGTCTAGATTACGAGAATTACGACTTCTTCTTTTCTAATCAACTTATTTACGCCCATTTCAGAGTGCTAGCGCGTGCTTCGGCCTGTCGAGACCGGCAGCATGAAGCTCTCACTCCCGCGACTTGCGGCCCGGCAAGGCCTCGGAGGTGAGTCCTCAAGCTGTCTACGAGAGAATTCGCCCTGAAATAGTAATTGACGCTATCCAGAACCCTTATCGCATGGATTTTCTCCTATTAAATCGTTCCACTCCTCCATCCAATGCTCATCCACGCCATACTCCCCGCAACACCACCTCCGGCGCTCCCAGCGACATATCAGCCATGCCGCAGCTTCGCTCAAACAAGAAAGCCCAAATAGCGAGCTCTCTCCCTCCCAAAAATCTCACGGCACCGCTACATCCCAAACCCCAATTCAACCCTCCCCCGCCTCATTAATATCAGAACAAGTCCGCCTCCTCATGCGCCGCGTCCCCTACCCCGTCGCCATCATCACATCCACCGATCCAACCGGTCCCGCAGATACCTCCTCCTTCCGTGGAATGACCGTCTCCTCCTTTAACACAGTAACACTCACACCGGAGCCGGTAATATCATTCAACGTCCGCCGGCCCTCAGAAACACTCAATGCGCTACTAGCCTCGGGCCGGTTCCTCGTGCATCTCCTCGCGCCGAGTCCCGCTACAGCAACTCTGGCGAGAGATTTCTCCAAGGGCAACACCACCCTAGCGTCAATGTTGAGTGGACATGAGGAATTTGAGTTCGGTGCTTTGAGTGCTGAGCAGAGCTCGGCTGGAGAAGACGAGAGGCCTCTTCCTATTTTGAGGCGGCGGGGTTCAGACGAGGCTAATCGGTTGGATTTCCCGTTCGTGTTTGAGTGCAGGCTTCATCCGCAGAAGATTGACGTGCATGATCACTCGATTGTGCTTGGTACGGTCTTGCGAGCCGTTGAGGGCTCCGGGAATATAATCTCCGGCCAAAGCTGTGCAGGGGATGAGCATTCGCCGGAGCGCTTGTGTCTCACCTATGCTAATACTAAATTCTGGAAGATGGGTGGTGAGATTTAAGCCGGATTCCACATGGGGAAGAGTCTAAGATGGACTGTGTTGAACTGTACATATACCATACACGGGGCTGGCGCTTGCTGGACATAGATTTAGATTTTTGTAACGATATTCAAGATGTTGATTACCAGTTTGGCTGGATTTCATTTTTCTCCAAGCTTCTCATCCGAAGAACAACACCTGCACGCGGTCTCCACTACTACACTAGCCTACAAAAAATAACTACAAGGAAGATGGACGGCAACCGAAATAGTATAGAACAAGCTTTTTGGTCTCTAAGAACAGAACTGCGATTCATCTCACTTCAACCCGACATATACAACCTCGTCAACTCACCGCGAGGATCTAGTCGATGCGCGATGGCCAGAGAATATTCAAAGACCATCTCGATGCGACCCGGTAAGGATAACAGTTGAACTCGTAAAGAACGGACAGGGGTTTGGAGGGCTAACGAACGATGATCCAACCGAACAGAATGCAAAGCACAGGCACAAACAACTCAGGCGAACCGCATTGGAGGACGTGCAAGCTCAGACACCAACCGACGAGATCAAGCTCGATCATGAGATCATGGGATGAAAGCTCATGGGAGACATGAAGGCCTCGGGATATCCTACTCACGAGTCGATCTCGGACTGCCACTTCCGCTGCCGCTGCCTCCGCTGCCACTACCGGCTCCACTGACACGACTTGCCGCACGCTGGAAAGGGCTCAGAACGGGACGATGTAGAAAACCGTTTCCATCTGACCCGAAGCGTTGTTGCTTCTCGGAAAGAATATCGGACAGTTCGACCTGAAGTGCAGGGAGGCGATGCGACTCGAAGAAATCCGAGCCATATTGACTACTGCGAGTGGAGCGGTTGGAGAAGGAACGATCCCGACTGTTGAGGTCAGTGCCAAAATAAGAGCCGGCGTTGCCAAACGGTGACGTCGGGAATTGAGGCATGAAGGTGGAATCCTGCACAGGGCTGGTTGGATGCGACGACGAAGCATGAACGGGCGATGATGAAGTCTGAAGTGGACTAGACTTGAGAGGAGGGAAGCTAAGGCCCAACAACGCTCTTCCAGTAAGGGCAGAGGTCGTTGTAGTTTCGATGATGGGATTAGTGCCGGGCAGGTTGCCCTCGGGAGTCAGAGGACCAGAGTCGAGGAGCATCTGCTGTTGTTGCTGCTGGATGGACTGTTCGATTGCCGAAGCTTGCTGCCAGAGTTGACTGGTGCGTAGCTGGAAGTCCTGTACAGACTGGCTAATGCTGGCAAACTGCTCGTGGAAGTTCGCTTCCATCTTGGCGTGGTCTTGCTCTCGGGCAAATTGCTCAGCCGCACGGCGCTCTCTTTCGTTCAATCCTTGGGCATTGGCCGATATGATGCGCTCGTACTGTTCATTGACGCGAACACGGCGGCTCTGGAGACGCTCGCGCTTCTGCACCACCACGCTCAGCTCTTGCTCCAAGGTTGCGACTTGCTGGGCCGAGGCAAGGCGAGCTTCGGAAACCTCTTCCTTGGTCTGGTTGAAGAGGTCCAATTCCCGATCGTAATTAGCCTTTTGGGCAGTCCATTCCTCCATCTCCTCTTCCGGCACGTTCTCCATGTTGTCTAATTGCACCTCCAATACCGCCGTTGCCTCCTCCGTTTGCCGAATATTTCGCTCAAGCTGGAGCGAACGCTGCTTTTGCCTATTCTCATCCGTTCCACTTTGGAGTCGGTGGTTATAGTTGTCCAGTTCCCTCCGAATTTTTGAGATGAGAAGCTTATGATCGTTCTTCGCCTTCTTCAATCGAGAGCGCTTTTCGTTGAGCTTGGCCTCGGCATTGACAACGGAATTCTTCAGCGTAGTCGTAGGGGACGAGGGCCGATAAGTTGGCTGTGGGGGTGTCGGAACCGACGAAACAGCTGCTGAATTTGATGAGTTCATGAACGCAAGTACCACCTCTGAGCAGAGAAAGAAAGCTTACCTTGTTCCATGTCGGTCGTCGCGGGCGTTTTGACACTCATGGCACAGATTTCCTCATCGGTATCGCTGCGGACGAAAGAGCAGGTATAAGCACAATTGGGGGCGAGACCGGAGATCTCACCCCTCCAGTGAACTATACTGGAACCTTTGGGAGAATCGGAAACCCTGCAAACCGTCGCCGTTGCCCACAATGCTCCGTTGACACAAACGTAGAACGGCTCAGCCTCCGAATCTAAACGGCCTGCATCACACGAGCTTGGTGTCACAGAATAATCGGCAAGATCACCGGCGGCAAACTTGATCGTAGAACCATCCACATCCGTTATCCATACCAATCCTTCATCGAGAGAAACGCCTTGCAAGTCATCCTCCGTCAATCCACGTGCCGTTTTCGATAAGACCCGAGAATGTTCGTATTCTCGCATAACCGTAACCTTTGTACTGGCGAGGGCGGCCCAAAACGGTTGTCGACTTCGAACTTGGTTGGCTTGTCTCCTGCGTTTCTTGGCTGAAGTAAGACGATCTTTACCATCCTTGACCAATTGACCATCCGGTCCGACGAAAGACGAGGAAAGACTAGCAGCAGATTCCAGAGCAGAATCGGCTTGGCCTTGTGAGCCCGCCGACGCTTCTGTATCACCACGCTTGCCGGTCCGCGAAGGTGCCGGTGATCGGTTCTTGGCCATTGACCGTCTCGCCATCGCAGTTCCGGCTTGTGCTAGGATGTGTATGGCGAGCAAACTCCGTAACCAGCTCGGCGAGGATTGCGACTCGGATCGACGGAGTTCGGCGGGTAGAATATTCGAGTACTGTGAGAGAAGATCAGGGCTAATGAGTTTGGCAGAAACAAGATGCCCCGTCACAAATTCTTGTATGCCTTTGCTGCGGACGATGTGAAGAAGCAGAACAATCCCGACACACAGAGCGTTGACCCCACCATTTTTCCCGGAGCCTCCGCCGCCTAGAGTAATGGCGACTTGAACGTGAGCGAGATCAATGGCAAAGTTTTGAGCCCACGTCCACATAAAGAGACCCCAGAAAAGAAGGCAGAACCCGTCCATGGCGATCATAGTGCCCATAGAAGGCGTACCAGCGGGGCCCTGAAAGATGTCAAAGTTGGACGACAGGGAACCGGCAGCACCACCACTCGGAGGCATGAAGGTCAAGGACGCGAACAGGAATTGAACGCAGGTCAGAACCATCGGTGGGAGTTGTAGCAGAAAAATCAGAATGGCGATCGTGTCGTACATGGGACACGACTTGAGGATTGTGGACGCGAGTTGAAGCGGATTGATTGAAGCGTTGGAGCCCGATCGTTTCGCAGTGCCATTGCGAGAAGTCGAGCTCGCCATGCCGCCGTTTTGCGGCGTGGCGCCGTTGACTTCGCCGCCGGCCATGTCCACACCCCGATGTCCATTCACCAGCCCATGCCCATTGCCATCAACCTTGGACCCGCCCACACCCTTACACGTAGCAATCGAAGAGTTGACGGCGGAATCACTAGTGGAACGAGACGAGGAGAGGTCGACAGGTGCGGAGGCGCCCGAGCTGGTAGCGTTGCCGTTGCCGGGCGAGCCGTTGAGGTGGCCGCTGGACTTTTGCTTGGTTACTTTCTTGCCGGGACCGACGAGGCCATTCTCGTGACGATTGCTCTGATTCTTCCTGCCCGCAGCGGATGAGCGTGGCATGGACGAGGGAGCCCGAAACCCAGGTCCGAGTCAGCTTGGCGGGATAAGGCCAAGGACTGGGACCAGGCTGGAAGGGGCGAAGGAGGAGGAAGGAAAGGAATGAGAGGCGAAGATGGGAGGTGTATAAATGAAATAATGCCCCAAAGGTCCAAAATGAATGAAGATGAGAAGGACTGGGGGGTTGTGATGGGGGGTGAGGGGGATAGAGGGTGGGGGAAGAAAAGGAAAGGGAAAAAAGCGAGAGAGGAAGTGTCGAAGATGGTAATACGAGTAGGGGAGAAGAAGGGAAAAGTGGTGGACTGAGGATCAGAGAAGAAACTGAATCGGCGTATCGTATCGTAACGCCGCCGTCGATCATTCAGGGTGTCCTCTTCTGGGCAGGCGGTACCGCCCGCTTTAGAGGTATTGTGCCGTATTATTCAGACGTATTGGTGTATTTGCCGTATGGCCTCGTCTGAAATGTATTCCTAGACTACTTTCGATGAAACGAAACATGATCTGATTTATTATCATCTCAATCTTTGCATTATCACCATCTGAATATCACTAATCTAAATGATTACTTGATATACCAATCAAGAACCATCTACTCCATATGGAGTACGCGAAAAGTCCCCCGTCGATCTCTGCCGCCATGGAGTTTCCCCATTCGTCTCCAAGTCACCTGGTTGCTGCACTCTTTCGGATACCGACAACGTCTCGTCCAATCCTTAATGAACAACGGGATACGGCCGAAAGGATTATTTCAGAGCTCTCCTGCACCGTTTAAATCCCAACGCCAACCTCAGACTTCGTCCCGTTACTATACTGGAATACAAATATACGCATCCATCAGCTCCCAATAAGCTACAGCTTAAGCCCTGCCTGACTGGACAAACGAACCCTATCTATATGATCTTTATGATCGCCCAGTTGTTATCAAGCCAAGTCACCGACGATCAAACCGTTCTTTCAGCCGTCTCCTGCGGGGTTATCCTAGCACCAATCTTGGGGCATGGCGACACGAGTCCGCTCAAATCACAGTACCCAATCGGGGGAAGTATTCTTCACTGATGAGCATAGCTGCAGAGACCACGCAAACATACCGACTCGATGGGAGGCCCTAGCCGTTTTACTACTGTACTTAGTATTGTATGTACTGGCGTTATGCGGGATCACTCGATCATGCCATGCTTCGTGGAGATTTTAGCGGCCAATTTCTTCACATGCTCGGCTATCTCGTACCTTGGAGAGGCTCCGCTAAGCAATGGCCAACGTCCGATCCACCCTGTGCAACCATTACATACTACATACTGCTAGTCTGCTAGACGCAGTTCTCCAGGAAACGGAGACAAAAGCAAATCTATCAACGACCGCGGAGTGATACGTCGCGGCATCTGCTGGCCGATTGACCCAGCAACCCCTCCCTCACTTCAGTCAACAAATGCTAAGTCGACTTGGCATCGCAAGGTTTCCTCGTAGATCAGCCACCAAATTAGTAAGGATCGTCACCCACGACCAGCCTAGAGTGCTGGCTTTTTGCGATCTCCGTCCACTCCTTTTGCATGCGGTGACCCTGCCCTTTTTTCCATGGATCAATCAGAGCAATCCTCTAAAAAAAAAATAGTTCCAAAAAAAAATAGTATTAAACTGTACAATTTGGACAATCTCTTGCACGATGAGATTATTCATGCTTACCGCGAAACTTTCCCTGTAATTTTGAACGGTATACTTGCCTCGGTCGCGCCCAATCCCAGGCCGGAATCTTCCTTGGGTCCGATTAACGGTTCGACAAGGTTATGGCGCCGATCTCTTTCGTTCTTCTCGTTCCGGTCCCTTTCGACCCTCCCGGCCCTGCTCGGTAAGGTCGCCGAGTGTCGCTCTGGCCTGAACTGAACAACCATGAATGTAACAATAATAAGATGGAAAATTCCACGTAACACCTGGTGGAATCTGTCCGCACATATCAATTTCAGGGGCAAAAGAAAAACTTCATTTTCCATGGCGTAGTCATCTAGCCACATTCCTATGCACGGTGCCAGAAACGCCTCTGTTACAGACTCGAATTCGACGTGGCGGTGAGTTGTCCGAATAAGCTACAGACTACTACTTACTCCCTCACGTCAGCTTAGGTGTTTGCCATTTTGACTCCTAATCAAATGTTGAGAATGTTACGGAGCAGATAAATTTCTCGGGTGGCGACGGACCCATTTGAAGATTTTTGGTTCACAATACAAAATAAACTGGTACGGTGGGTCGAGGCTTTTTTTGCTAAAAATATACTTCAATCTTAGTATAGCCTGATCGAGAAGCTGGAGGGCAAGGGCAATGTTTCCTAAATTTCGATCCATGTTATGTAAATTTCGAGCCTATATAGGATATCATTGAAACTAGTGCTTGTTGTCGATGGTTTTGTCCCGTTAAATAGGTGTGGGAATTTTGATGGCAATACCCAGCGGATGAAGTGAGTACATACATATGTTGAAGGCGCCTAGCAAGTGCCAAATATCTTGCAATAGGCACGGTATCTCCAGCCGAAGGTACCAAACTAGGCTGGTTTGGATCTATGCAAGTTTCAAGCCAGCAGTGTCAAACTAAAGAAGAGACTGTTTACATCTTTGAAAGATCGCTCGTGGATCAACTGGACCCTTGGGCCGTGTTTTATGCAGAACCATTATGATATCTCAGAGGTAAGATAAGCATTTAAACCAGCGAATGAGATCCCAAACATACCTGCAGCAGTGGCTTGTAATTCTCGTTCATTTGAGTTTCTTTACAAGCCACATCCGCCCTCTTAGGTATTTCCCGCTCTCGTCATCCCTGCTATGTACCAGACCTAATATCGCTTTATTATTGGACTTTTTTTCTTGGGTTTGTCTATTCTTTACATAGGCTCTTAAGATAGAGCTTCGAAAGTATACTATATCCTGTGGAATCTCTAAAATCACGAACCAGCTACCGGTAGATGATGATTATGTAGCATATTTCTGAGTCAATACGTGCGGTATTTACATTCTTGCATCAAATTGACAAAGCCTGAACCTTAGAAAACTAGGCTCTATAAGCTACCTCGTAAAATTTGGGCGCTAACACTGCAGAATCAATATCTGCACCGCTAAGACACGTTCTGCGGAAGAACGCAAGAGAGTCTCCTCCATAGGTATGGCGTTGCACATCAGATAAACTGGCAGATACTGTCTATAAACTTTCTATCCATAGCCAGACATTCTGAAATAATTACCCATGTCTAGAAAACAAAGCCATTCACGTTCTTCTCCTTCTCAAGATTCCATGCTCTCTCAATCAGCTGGTTGACCTTGCTAGTGTCGGTAAATCCACCGTAAGCAGCAAGAGTACGCGCCTTTCTCTCAATCTCGTCCCTTTTGAATCGGCGTTAGTCGAGACTAATCAACTACCAATCCTTGATACACATACCTTGTCAAGGGAAGTTCGGGATCTCCCTTCGCAAACTCAACAGACTCGGTGAAAGACTCTCCAGACTTGGTCGTCACGATAACAGTTCCCTGCCACTTTTCAGGGAACGCCTGGTCAATTTCAGGGTCTAGCTCCATCCTCACACGCTGCTGGAACTCCCGTAGCGAAGAATCTTCCAAATCATCTTCCGTAAAGTCGGTGATCATAGCCTGGCCCTTTTTGGCGACGACGGCGAGAACAAATCCCATTGAGAATTTGCTTTGGTGTACCGTTTCTCCCCTTCCAGTCATGCCAAGTACATTGATAGCAGCTTGGTAAGTGCGAGAGGTCACAGATTCAATATCGTCAAAAGCGACTCCATTCTTATCCATAAGTTTCAACAGTGCATCGGCACTAGGATGGGTATGCCGACAAGATGCGTGCCATTTAAAGCTGGATCGAAGGACTTCGTAGTCGGTACCAAGATTTTGATCAATCGCCTCGGGATTCGTCGTACCCGGAACCAGTGCAACTCCCATTGCTCTTGGTCCCTCTAGGATATCTTTAGTGCCGAGAAGCCCATCACGAGCGGTGTATGCTGCGAAAATTCCGTCAAAGCAGGCTTTTCCAGTGTGCACTTGCTTTGAGTGTGTCGCGTCCATTAAGAATTGCCAAAGACCTGCGGCTTGAGTGCCGGCCGTTCCAATGGCAGACAAGGTCTGGGCGGCGTCAAGTTTTAAAAGATGCGCCGTGGCAGCTGCCACTCCAATGACTCCTCCAGTTGCGGTAGAATGGAAGCGCTGCATAAGGTTCAGTCAAATAGTTCAGGATATGAGCTCCCGATAAACATACCTCATAGTGACTCTTGCCTAGGAATTCCCCTACTCGGCAGCCCACTTCGTAGCCAACAACACAAGCTGCGATAAATTCTTCGCCGGTGGCACCTACATCTTGTGCTACAGCAAGGGCAGCTGGATATATAACGGTTGCCTTGCGATAAATTAGCTTATCTCGAGTCTAATGCTGCGCATGAGAGGCTGGCTTAAACTTACAGGATGCATAATGCTCCGGTTATGAAGATCATCCTGCTCCACGACATGAGATGATGCACCGTTCACTAAACTAGCGAAAGCCGGACTCGTTGTGAAATTCAAAGCGCCATTGACTAACTCGCTCTTCCCACTAGAAGGGCCCATCTGCGACGCGAATCTTGCAATGGCCGAGACGGCCGGATGATGGCGGCCTGCGATTGTACACCCCAGCCAATCCACGAAGAAATCTTTAGTTTTCTGGATAACATCTTCTGGGAGATCGGAGAATTTGAGGTTAGCGGCCCAGCTGGCCAGGTTCTCGGTTCGTGTTCCGCCCGATAACGTCGAGGTGGTTGGTTGAGCCATTGTAAGGGTGAAGGTGTGAGACGTAAACCACGAAGAATTACTACGGAGGCACCGATGACCGGAGATATATGTGGAACGCTTCGTATAACCTGAGTGTCACCGAAGTTGGTCAGTTACACGATGGAGAATATTCCAACTCCCCTCCCGACCGAGGCAAGTGCCGAGTAGGCGACTCTAGTGGGGCAAAAGTGGTCACTTTTAACCAAAGTGCTCAACTTTGGAGAGCTAACGGGCATCGCGGCCATGCCATATAGCCGACCCAATGCGGGGAAAAGCATGTGGGGTAAGGTTCGATCAAAAATGATGCAAGTCATAACTGACATTACCCCTTGGTAAAGATTTCAGATATTTGATTGTCGTTTAGATTTACATTTATTATCTTGAGCTCGATCAAGTAGAATTCGGTACTTTGACTAAGTGGCATACGATCCCGATATAAACCATCAGAAAGAACCCGGATTGCGGGGCAGAAACGGATGGTTAAGAGTCAAGACAGATAGTCTGCCTGCGCGATTACATCTAGATTTTTGCGCCGCTATCCGTTTCACTATAGCTTTGATAGTATATTGCACCTTCAAGCTTAAGATTATGAGTCAATTTGAAGACAGAGAGAAAGTGGATAGTGTTGTTCTGCATGAGATTCGGTCCACTAGCCAAGCACCACCGACATCTCGCCATCGCCCCAGTCTGGAGTGCAATCAAAATATCTGTTGGCATGATATCTATTTTCAGTCACCAGTTTGTTAGCATGGATTTGATAAGACAACTCGGTCCGATAGAGACACTTACGTCCACTGTAAAGAACCCACGCAAAAGTTGATGCAGCCTTGAAGGAATGCATCCACTTCGGTGGCGATGTTGTTCTCTTGACCAAGAGCATAGAGCTGCGGTTCGAATGATCGGAAGCTCTTGTACGAGATTTGAATAATCTCAACCCCGAAATTTGTCGCTTCTTGTGCGGTAAGTCCCTTGTGGTAAATGAGCAAAGGGATAATATTATCAATGTGACCTGACTTCTGGGGTAACTTTTTCAGTCCGTGATACTTTCATGGAGCTTGGATATAAAACTCACTATTTCATGACGAACAGAAACAATGTCATTGTACCTGTGTGAGTAATTAATTTAGCAAGTCCGTCCAAAACGAAATGAGCAAAGACGTACACTGATATAAGGATGCTCATCTGGAGAAGGGCTTCTTTGACAAGTTCATGAGAGAAGAACCAAACGGGTGGTTCAAGTGAGAAGTCAAGCTTCCATATGTCATGTAGTTAGTAGGGAACATGACTTCAGGTTCTAGAGAATCATACAGATACATTAAAACCGTTGGGTGACATAGTCATATAAGCAATCATGAATAAATCTTCTTGAAGACGCTGGCAAGAAGATCATTAGTGAGTTAATTTGAGTTAGAAACCAAGAATGTTTTTGAAAATTGGGGTTTCATTCACCTAACTTGACTCCTTGGCAAATTCTTTTCCCAATTGCCGACCACGCCTTTGCGGCAGGAGACTCTGGCTGAGGGGAAACAAGAGTTTCTTTCATAAACTCTTCGTCTAGAAGGTCAGACTGTATCTCGGAGAGTATCTCTTGCTCATTTTGGGACATTTCTTTGTTTTTTTGATTCAGCTCGCCAAAGTCGAGAACTTGAATTGAATTCATCAGTCATGTAATGGAGCTTAGAAACGACTTGCTTACCGTCATCCCATAGATAAAGCTATCCCAAGAAAAACCATCTGTACTTGATTGTGACGTCTACAATATAATGACCAACCCAAGAGAACCATATCACACATGCCTTTAGGTCTTCTAAACTAGCTGTAGGAAAGACGCTTCTACAGAAGAAGATCGAATCGATACCTCGGTTTTGTTTAAGCGCCACTGGGTCTTCGATCCACCTGACACACCATGTTATAAGATTATGCAATTCCTTTCCAAAGAATAGCAGGAGCCAATACTTACCGCCGCTGAAATATATTCAATTCTTCTTATACACTTTCGTCGTAATTCGGGTTGAAACGAGCTCCCCAGGCTGGAAACAACGAAGGCAGAAAAGGAATTCTAATTTGCTGCTCGGAGCATTGCTCAAGCAATGTAGCAACACGTGTGGCAGGGTTTGTTTCACACATAATGAGATGGGCCGGACGACGACTAACAAGTGCACCTCTCAAGAAGTGAAAAGGCGAAACAGGATACTTCTCTCTAATCCATACTAGCCTATAAATACTTTTTGTGGAGACCACTTGCTACCATATCTCTCCACCAACGCATCCCCTCGATGATGCAACTCGGAGTACATGCCGCTAATTTTCCAGGGGTGCTGTACCCTCCTCGTTGTGGTTTCTACGCTTCAGCAATGGATTCCAGCCTTTGACCAGATGATGATTGATGTAAGTGCTCCCTAGTCCTGAAATATTGTTGTCAATGGTCAAGCCGTTAACGTTTCATGTGACAGAAATACAAGGACCTCGTTATAACCAATATCTATGGAGCCGATTCTGAAAGAAGGGAACAAGTTCGAGTTCACTTATGTACTGCGGCTGGACAAGTTTACTCAGAAAGATGGTAAAGGAGGCCCCCCGTCTAGATTCTGGCCAGTGGAGTCGGTGGGTTTCATCATTTTTATCTTGCAGTATTCATGTACGCTCTTGTTCTTGTCACCTTGTGGAGAGTGCTACGGGCAACCAGTTCCAGCTTCATTCCACCGGTCTGAGCAGGGAGAAGCGGACTCGGTCAACCGAGTTGTTCTTTCTTAAGTACGTTATAGAAGATATTGAACAAAATCGACATACATCTAAACTCTACTTATGTCCAAAATATTTCGATTTAATAAACAACACTTCTATGCTGATCCCGTATCCTCTACCGCATCCGCACGATCCCAGCTCTCAACCTCAAGGGTCCGCACTCGGTTCTCAATCTCCAAGATACGCTCTTGCCAGTCCTTCTTTGCCTTTTCTTGTAATTCCCAAATAACCTTGAACTGCTCAAAGAGGAATGGTGGCAGTTCAGGGGTCTTGCGGTTCTTCTTATAGTCATATGTGACAATGTCCTCGTGGCAACGAGCTGCGGGACGCTGACGGGCCTCTGACAGAATCATCACTTGTAGTTGGAATGCGGATTGGGAGGATAGAGATGATGACGGGTCATGGACTAGTTTCTGGTATATGGTGATCTTGTCTGGCCAAGTCATGGGCTGCGGTGAGGTCAGTACTGGAAGGGTCTTGATAGGCTTGGTCGCAAGGTCACTCACAAATTTGTAGTCAACCTTGATACTTCGTAGAATCAGACCAATGCCCGTTGAATTGAGCAGGTTTGTCCATTTATCCTTGTTAGCAGGGTCGATGTGCAAGCCAATATTGCGTGTCCAATTCACTCGAGCGGACTCGGCATATCGGACGTAGGTGACATTGTTGACGTGGCCCATTATATCCTAAACAGATGAGTATCAGCCAACCAGTCTCAGCCTCCATCTAAAACCCTATGCCTGGTGGGTATAGTTGCGTACCATCTCTCCCCACACCACATTATGCCGATACAAGCTCCGCCTCTTCTCATCGGTCAAGAATCCCTCACTCCCCGCAATCAATTCACGCCAATCCCGCGCCAATTGCTGGAGAATCTTGCCGGCATCATCAATCTGGGCTGGCTTGAGACCAAACATCATGCACCGCCCGATTCGTCGCTTCATCATGGTGAGCCATCGCGGATCGATTCCATGGGGTCGAGTCGGGGGGTTCTCCGGGGCCGAGGCACGAGCATTTAGTATGGGGGCGGTCGTGGAGAGAGGGCGCAAGGTATGGATGTAACTGATTGAGCTAGCCAGTGGCCTCCGTAGCACTGCTGATCGGGGTATCATGGTGGGTGGTATGGAGAGGAAAGTTGACTCGGGAATCGCAAGTTGAAGGCGCATTCCTGAAGCTTGGGCCAGAGGCCTCGGGCAGAACCCCGCGAGTAGCCGTGACGTGATCAGAGCCGCTGGGATAGTCTTGTACTATATCTACATATTCAGGAAGCTATATTTCATCCCGAATATATGTGAACTACAAAATTATTACCGATTCAAATGCTCTTCAGCTAATTAGTCGTTCATTCTAAGCTGTCCCTTGTGTTGGAGTTGATCTTACAGCCGATAAACAACGGGCCGAGATCTCCGCATCCCCGACGTCACCGATAACCGCCGACCATTTCTCCAACTCCTTTCCACCCTCTTTACGCAACACTTGCCTCCAAGAGAGGGCTCAGACTACTAGAATAGTCCAGATCAACAATTGACATCTAACACTGTCAACTGATGCACCGACCATGGTCAACGTCGAGCTGCGTCGGCAGGTCATCAACGTCTACAAAGGTATCGCGCTTAACAACGATCAGCGTCAGTAGAATCATTCCATGAGCTAACAAAATACAGAGCTGCTGTGGCTAGGACGCGAGTATCCCCTGGGTTACCAGTACTTCAGGGACCGGCTTCATCGCGCGTTTGCGGGCCAGGCGCATCTTACGGACGAGGATCAAATTCGACAGGGGATTGCTCGAGCTGAGTTTGTGAAGAAAGGTGAGTTTTCAGATACACGTCAATTTATACTCGCGTGATGGTTGACTGACTTCTATTCTAGAAGTCGAAGCACTGTAAGAAGAACACTTCCTAAACCCCCTCTCCTATAAACACTGAGAGTATATCACACATCCACATCACCAAACCCTCTACATCAAAAGGCAGGCCAACGATCATTCGTCGAGGGTCATATGTCATTTATCTTTTCTATATATACCCCATGGGCAACACTGGGTTGGACGCACATCCCCGATTCACACATATTGTCATACATCATAGCATCATGCGAACACACCTTTCCCTCCCTCGACACAGACAGTTTTTGAACATGGAGACTAACGAAGAAAAATCCAAACTCCAGGTACTACTTGAAGCGGTACCGAACGCTTAAAAAGCGGTATGAGAGTAGCTGAAGTCCAAGCTGTCATGGACCTCAAGCACAAACCCCTCTGCACACGGAATGTTCCAGTCCATATGCATCCTAGAAAAGAAAAGAGCCGGGATGAAAGTCTCCCAGAAAGAAATCGAAAGAATAAAACATGAAAAAAAAAAGATAAAGAGAAAACCACAAATTCGGGGGGTATCACCAATATATGAAGCGCACTCAATGATCACTGTTTCTTATGCGCCCACCAAAAAACACCGGAATTGACTCCTGGACCTGGCCTAGAGGGAGGGGTCTTTTTTTTATCTCTTTTGACCCCACCAGGCACTCACTTCGAGACACTCGCCGCTGGCGAGGCCCCCCTTTGGAAAAAGTCGGTGGTCATCGCTGCCCACCATCGGTCCCATTCGTCGCGACCCTTCCCACTGGCCTCCATAAGCATGGGTTCCATGCCCTCAATCATTTGGACCACGGTGAGAAGAGCCGTTCGTCGAATGGCTATTTGTTCCGGAGTCAAAGCCTTCCTAGCGCGGCCTTTAGAATCTTTTCCTTGGCCTTCTCGCTCCCAGCGCAGATCACCCAATGGGATTGCGATGCGGCGGCTGTCGACATTCTCCAACAGATCCACTTCGGAGTTAAAGGCCAGGCCGATGGTGGCGCATGGCAGGGCTGTGAGTTTGCGTCGGTCGAATGACTTCTCGACCCAGGAGTTATAATCGACCAGGTATTTGTTTTGTGCTTGGGTGAATGGCGTGGCGGGGGAGAATGTATAGGTGGCGGTCGAATCAGCCGTCTCTTGGGCATGCACCGACAATTTTCGAGCCGGGGCCGGATTAGGGAGCAGTGAGCGGAATACCCAGTCCGAGTCCCAAACTTCCAATATACCACCCGATTTCAAAACTCGAAGCGGTTCTTCCAAGCCCGAGGCTTGCTGTGCCGGACTGGACGGGCACATGCCGGCGTCCTTGATAAAGACTAGATCAAAGTAGTCATCGGGGAAAGGTAGGCGGGGTCTTCGCAGATCGTGTCGTTTAAACTGCCAGTTCATGCCCTGCTTGCGCAGGTCCGGAGCCAGCGAGACAAAGTCGATGCCGACAAAGGCAACGTTGGGCTGTCCACGACGGACAAAGTACTCGTGACACAAGCCGGACCACAGACCCGACCCGCAGGCGATCTCCAGGACGCGTTTCGGCGGGCGATCGGCCAGGTGGGGGTTGCAGAACGGAGCGCCAAACACGCGCAGCAGCATCGTCGTGCGCAAGCTTTGACGGTGAATCTCGGGCAAGTCGCATGGCAACGGGTAGAGGTTTTCAGGGTCGCGGAGGTATGCACGGTCGCCATGTCGCGCGAGTGGGTAGTTGTTGTAATCTGTGAGGGATCCTAAAGAAGAGGAAGAAGTTGCGGCAAAGGTCGAGCTGAGATTGGAGTGAATGTCCGAGCCGGACGCCGTGGCGGCCGCAAATGAAGCCGTCCCTGCCGACATCATGTCCATTACTTCAGGCGCATCTATCCCGGGCTGTTGTTCTTAATGGGGTTTGGGGATCGGTCGCATTCTCGGCGCGCAAATTGTTTCGTTCATGAGCTGGGAGACATGCTTGTGTCTGGTCTGGCTGAGAAATGGAATCGTGATTTGAGATGTTCGAGGTATATATGTTTCAGTCCAAGCTCTCGAGTGTCGAATGGCGTAGGGTAGTTGTGTATATCCAAAAGTAGGGAAAGAGAAATTGACCCAAAAAATAGAAGAAAAAAAAAGGAAGCAGGGAAGTAGAAAAGCCGGAGGGAACCCCCCAATCTTAGCGGCTCGGAAAATATTCGTTTTTTAGTGCTATGTCGGGCGCAGTGTTGAAGAATTTTCGATGACGATTGATTTAGACGATATCCCCAAGAGGAATTGATATCATTCACGGGATCGATCGGTTCGCAACAACCCCCCTAATCACACTAGAGGTTTCACGAAACAAATCTTTAAGGTGGGAGGAGGGGGAGGTCGAGAAGAGAAATGGCATGGGAAGAAGGCCGCGGCCTCGTCCCGACCCCTGGATCGAAGTGGCATTGAACTCAACTTGGCTCCACTCGAGTCCAGAAGGGGAGAGCTAGTTCACGTAACGAATAACCGCAGTATTATTATTACTTGCGGTTATTAGATACGGCAAGTACGGAGTACGGTTGAATTACAACATTCGCTATTACGACTGGAGGAATTGGAACGGACTAACGGTCACAATTGTCTTGTGCAAGCTGCATTTGGGGGAATTTGGGGTCAAAAGAGGGTTCTCCCGCCAATGATAAGCATCGCTAATGTTTCGGCTATTTAGTTAGCGAACTGAAGAATTCCAGCGGGAGAAAGTAGTATACATCATTGTATTGACTATACTGCAGCCATAGTAGAACTACAGGGGGCTAACAGAGCATCCTTCTAGGGGCACGCGACGCTGGGCTCGTGGAAGGCTTCCCCATTCTCACGAAGCGACGGACCAATTGTACATACAAAAGCAGAATGGAGACCCGAACGGGGCTTGCTAACCGGCTGGGGCAGGTGCCTTGGTATTACCGGGACGCGCCTGGTGGATTCCTTCAGAGGCGACGGAGTAATTTCCTGTGGCTGGTAGTACTAAGTAGGATAGAAATGTAATAGCTATACTTAGAATGACAAAGTAATATCTGAAATTAAAGTAATCTGTATTAATTAATACAGACGATCGTGAAGTTACCCTATATACTATAATTGTTGATTAACCACTCCGCAGTTGTTGACATCATGAGTTGGTTCGGTACCACGGGCCGCTGGACCACTTGAACCATTCCTTGCAGCTGACGATTTCAACTAATAGTAGGAGTAGTATTATTCCAGCGACTACCTTAAATCGCCGGATCGGGAAAAAAAAGACTGGTCCGTCGCGAACTACTCAGTTATTAACAGTCACCAAGACTAGAGATAAAAGAGATTGTAGTTCTGTTCTGTAATATACTTACCTGCAGTACTCCGTATAATCCGCCCATATCCGAGAAGAAGTGGACGATACGAGAGTAAAAAGGCAGTCCTATCTTTCATTTCTCTTTCCCTCGCCACTGCCCTTCCATAGGGGCCACTCCACAATCCCAGACACTTGGATACTTGACACTTGACACCGTCTAAAAAGTAAAATTCCTCCACCGAGGGGGGGTCCTCTAACTGGCGCGTGCGTATCACACGTGCAGATGGGCTTGACAAGGGGGGGCAAAGGGGCGCAATAATGCGGTTTCTCCGTAGTCCCCCGTACGGAGTACAGCAGTGCATGCGCCATTCGCCTTGCGCAGGATCGCGTCTTTGCTCCCCGCTAAGAACGGAGAGAACCGAATATGATACTTAGCGCCCGGAGGCGCGCCTTTGTCCTTCGGAGAATCCGGATTTCTTTAGCCAGGATTTGCGACGCATCCACCAAGCAAAAGTACTGTCTAACTAATGTTGACTCTATAATAGGAGGTCTAAGTTGTATGTCGCAGAAGTCATGTTGGCTATAGAGATTTGTATATGTGTCTATTCTGTACTCCGTATTTCCTAACGGCCCGTACAGTACAGCCGCAATACTCCAGACTCCTCCATACTTCCGTCGTACAGGACAGCCGGAGATCCCTGCCCGCCATGTCCACCGTCCCAAGCGTCAGGTACTCGGGGCCTGACTAGCGACGGGCTGAGACTTTAGTCCCCGCTTTGCCGTTCTATCTTTCTATCTGATACCGGCTTGCCCCGTGCTCTTCCCCCCCTAACAATTCACTACTTTCCCCGCTGGATGTATTTACCCAGGCGCTCTGACGCGGGCGCACGGCATTCTCGTGGTGGCTTAGGGCCAACTCAATAATAATGGTTATTCCAAGGATTCCCGCGGGTCCCCTGCTCTCTGTCCAACATGTCGACTGTGTACCTGCAGCTCTGATGAGCAACACGATGATCGACATCATAGCGTCCTGCCACGTACTTTGGCAAGGCATGATTTCCCAGTATAGTTATCCTGAACGCACTGGGTATTCGAGACTCATCAGATTCTCAAGTGTGCATTTGACTCTTGAGCTCCCGGGCGTTGACCTCGGACCACATACGAGTCCATTCGTGATGTCTCTGCTTGCAGATAGCAACTGACCAATACCAGTTGAGGGTCATCCATAAGTGGCTTCGTGCTCTGTCGCAGTGGCCATCGAAAATATGTGGAGGCAACTCTGCCAGGTGTCACAAGGATGATTTGGGTTTCTCTTCAACTATGCAGGCTTGCAGCTCTGCAACGATAGTCTAGGTGGGGCTCTCTCGTTTACGATCGACGTGGTCGTGGTTACTGGGTACAGTAGTGGTATACCTAAATTTGAGTTTCGAGGGTAAGCTCAATAGTGTCGATTATTTATTAGTAGCTCGCATTTTATGCTTCGGCGGAGCGCTGTTAGTGTGAGCGCGTGATCTTAGGATTGGGTGGGCTTGTTGGGGCTTGTCTGTTGGCCTTTTCCACCCCTCTTCGCCACCCCTCAATAATACCGGATGACTCCGATGCTGGTTAACTAATAGGATATCACAATTGCTGGCTCCGTACTCCCCCCCCCCCCCCCCCCCCCGCTTGAGCTGAAAATCCGAGAGGACCGAGACACAAGTCGGTGATAATAGCTGAATACAGAACAAATTGCGGGCCTCTTGAACTCCATATTCTCCGATGGGTATATATTGGCGAGCCATCGCGAGGCGCTCGGCAGAGGAATTCTTGGCAAAGTAAACTCACGAAGGGAGAGGGTCATTTCGTTGCTACGAGTACGCTTGGTTTGGCTAAATTGGCCGTATAAATAGATTGTCTAGTACCTATCTCAGGATGGAGTTTTCTATCTCTCTTTCATACTCATGCAACTTGGATGGATACAGACTGCGTTGTCTTCTTGCTAAATCTTTGGATATATATCTGAGGACTCATGTGAAATCCCGGAACGACTTGTAGGACAATCCTCGACCGTGCAGATTCCAATTATAAGATTATGACCAGTAAAACTTGATTGCATTTGATAGCTCATACAATGGAATAGCTCACACTATGTACCTTAACAGGCATCAAAGAGTGAACATAAGATAACAAGGCAGACTCAGGATATATCCTTTCAGAGCCTAGTGGAGGTATATATTCAACAGGCCGCATTAAAAGGTACTGCATTTATCTGCATTATTCATCTGCCATAATACATTAAAAGTTAGATCCCTTATGTGATGATATGAATCCATTACTAGCGCCTATAATGGTGTTGATATTGATGTCTCCTAACACGACGAGGAAGTTACAAAGGTAGCTCTTACCAGTGCGCTCTCACTCATCAATGCCTCACTTCTCACAATATATCTATTTAACGTTATGTCAGATCTTCTTACAATTCAACCACTCTTCCTATCAGTGAATATCGGGGGTTATCCGATCCTCATGACCGCGAAGAAGCCATGCCTGCAGAATGTGGCTAATCTACATGGTCAAAACAAGAGCTATATAGGTTTAGAACGGTAGTCAACTGTTGAGAGCTCCATAGTCACCCTCTCAGTACGAGTGACACGGATACGAAACTAAAATTGTGGACAGGGAATCTAAGAGCCATTCTAACAGCTCATTGCTGGCGAGGGTTTAGCCCGAAAGAAGGGACCAGCAGCAACCATACTATGATCGGCCCATGGGAATAGCCACAATTTGTCTTGAATGTCAGTTTGACACTTGGAATTGCCCTTATCTTCTCAATCCCTTGATCTGTGAGATAACCAGATGCTAAACGAATACAGCGATATTCCTCGAAGCTTGAGGAACCACGAAAGGGTTCGGGGGTCTTGGCGTGAATCATATCCGGTTGGGTGATATCACGTGACCCCAACTCCCGCCTTCGATGCAAACCACCCATCAAGACTGTCATCTCAACCCCAGCCGCTCTCTATCAATCCTGGAACTGGACAACTGTGCGATCCATCCTGACAGTGCCTTGAACCCATTGGCTCCCATCTAACTTGACATTCTGCGACCAGCTAGATCGCGATCAAGAGTGCTCGTGACTCTTCCGCCCCGGCCTCCGCCCTTAGGTATCGCTCGAACCCAACCAGTCCACGGAGAGTGCCACCTTCACCTCCCCCCCACCCCACCACCGAATATCGCTCGTCGCACGAGGTCTTCTGTGGCCAAAACCAAATCCCCATACTCGCTCATATCGAAGGGGTGGTTCTGCTGCAGGACTTCATGTGGAAGAAGAGAAGAGACCGTGATCAATCCTCAACTCCTCTCCTCACCACCACCTCCCTCTCCGCCCCGACTCGCCAGCTGCTCGCCTGCCCCTCGGTGTTCCGCCAGGGAAATAAGACACGGTCTCGTCTGCCCCGTTAGATGGCAGATGGTACCTACAGGTTCCAGCAGCCTGGGGCCGGGCAGTTCTACTTCCAAACACAACCGCAGCAACAGCATTCGCACCAAAGAAACACTATTCAGAACGGGACCAATTCGCCGGGTCGACTGAAATTCAACAACAACGCTCCTTCCCCCTCTCGATCGCCTCCAGTAAACCAATCAGCCTCGCTGAATCCTTTCACTATGTATGGCCAAAGTCATCAAGGACAGCATGTCATGATGAATGGCGGTCAGACCCATCAGCGGTTTGCCATGCAGATGCCAAAGTTCCAGACTCAAAACCACCCCCATCACCATGCTCCGCAACCCACACACCACCATGCCCACCAACCTCATAACCAACATGGCCTCGCTCATCAGCAGCATTTCCCCGCCGGCGGCCTTGCTACCGCCACTCCGCATTTCACCTCAAATCACCTACAGAATGGAGCGTCGGCCGCCGGGGAGGATGATATTGATGAATCAATGAACGAACACTGGCAAGAGCAACTTCAGCTTGCCGCCGAGTCGAGGCAGGCTACTTCCCCTCACCACTATGCCCGCATCATGGCCCAACAGTCCAAGGGCATTCCGATCATGCCCAGTCAAGATACACCAGACCAGAAGGCTGATGGTCGGAATGGGACTGTCGCAACCAAGGCGGCCTCTCGACAAGGTTGGAATGCGCTGGACTTTGGCGGACAGGGTCTTCGAGTCATGGCGACCTCCTTGTTCAACTACAACTTCCTCGAGAAGTTGTACCTCAACCACAACAAGCTCAAGGTGCTCCCTTCGGCAATTGGCCAGCTGCGGAAATTGACACATCTCGATCTTTCCGGCAACGATCTCAATGAGCTTCCTGAGGAGATTGGAATGCTCACGAATCTCAAGAAGCTTTACCTCTTCGATAACAACATCCGCACACTCCCCTACGAACTGGGATATCTTTACCGCCTGGAAACTTTGGGTGTCGAGGGCTGCCCGCTGAATGAAGTTCTCAAGTCTCAGATCATGAAGGAAGGAACCAAAGCTCTGATTAAGTACTTGAAGGAAGAGATGCCGGGTGAGTCACTGCTCCTCTTCTCCAACATATTCGACGGCATACTTGTGGGGAGTACAAATGGCTAACCTTTCTTTCCCTTTGCCGCACAGTTCACCTGCCTCCTCCCGATAGAGATTGGGTCATCCTCGATGAGACTGCAAGCTCCGCCAACAGCCCTACCGAGAAGATCACCGTCCTTTCTTACAACACTCTGTGCGACTCCTCCGCCACCCAGTCACACTACGGCTACGCCCCCTCTCGTGTTCTCTCCTGGGAGTTCCGTCGCGAACTCATCCTTAACGAATTACGATCCCACAGCTCCGACATTGTCTGTCTGCAGGAAGTTGATCAGGGAAGCTACAACAACTTTTACCGCGAGCAACTGGCCTACAATGATTACAAGGGTGTCTATTGGCCCCGAGGCCGAGCCATGGGAATGCAGGAAGAAGATGCCAAATCCGTTGATGGTTGCGCGATCTTCTTCAAGGGCAGCAAGTACATTCTCCTCGACAAGCAGCTCATCAACTTTGGTCAAATTGCTGTTCGCCGACCCGATGCCAAGGGTCAAGACGATATCTACAATCGTCTTTGGCAAAAAGATCACATTGCAGTTGTGGTCTTCCTGGAGAACCGACAGACTGGAGCGCGCTTTATGGTTATCAATGCTCATCTCTACTGGGACCCGGCATTCAAGGATGTCAAGCTTATCCAAACCGCGATTCTGATGGAGGAAATCACCAAGCTCTCGGACGGCTATGCCAAGTGGCCCGCGTGCACGGACAAGACGGCATTCCGCTTCTCAGAGGCCGAAAGTGGTTCCGAGAACGCTCCCGTGGTCGAGCCTGCGCCATCCATGGAGTACGCCAGTGGAGACCAGATCCCGCTCCTCATGTGTGGTGATTTCAACTCCAATCCCGAGTCTGCGGCATACAGCCTGATTGCGAACGGTCACCTGCCCGAAGCGCACCCTGATTTGGAGAAGCGTCTGTACGGTAACCTCAGCCGGGTTGGCATGACCCATCCCTTCAAGCTGAAGTCTGCCTATGGCTCTATCGGTGAACTGAGCTTTACCAACTACACGCCGGATTTCATTGACATTTTGGACTACGTGTGGTACTCGTCCAACACACTGCATGTCTCGGCACTTTTGGGCGAGGTGGACAAGGAGTATCTCCGACGGGTACCCGGGTTCCCCAATTTCCATTTTCCTAGTGATCATATCGCATTGTTCGCGGAGTTTACTGTCAAGGGTAAAAAGGGTAAGGTAGTGGAGGCGGACTTTGGACCGCAACGGCACTGATGAATGGAAACCGGAGCATTTCGAATATTTTGAGATGGGTGTTTGTGTAGTTGGGTCTGCTTTTTCTTTCAATTGACGTTTTCCCTTTTTCTTTCCTCTCTGTTATCTCGGAATCTTCGGGGTGGTGGGTGATTTAACTAGCCTGCTGTCTGCTTTTGTCTCTTTTATGTCTTTCCTCTCATAGTATTTTCTCCGCGTTTTTCGTGTTCTCCGTCTCTTTGACCTTCCCTCTCACCGTGATTATGAACGTGTCTCTGCATTTTCTTCTCTCTGTCTTGTCCGTCTTGCTTTACCTCCTCCCTCCTATCTCCCTCTATCTCCCTCTCTCGCTACTCGGAGCGCATGTCTTTCTCGGTTGCAGTGGCTCTCGCTTCGGCGGTCTCTTTTTTGGAAAGTAGTCCACGATGTGGAACAGTTTCGCTTTCCCCCCGTTCACTGTCTGCTCGAGGTCCTTCCCCCTTTCCCCCGCTTCTCTACCTTCTTCCCTACTGTTTTTTTCCCGCTGCACTTCATGTTGGGGGTGTCCTGATATCTCTCGGTTTCACATCTCACCCAAATCTCGAAACGTCATTTGAGACGTTTTCACGATGCTTAGGGCGGGTTGGTGTTTAGGTGGACCAGGTGGCCGAAGGGTTCCGTATGAGGTTGCTTTTTTTGTGCTTTGTGCCTGGCGAAGGGAGTTTTCTTTTTGAGCAATGTACTTGTTCTGCCATGTCTTCAGATTCAATTGTGAATAGAGCGTGGCTATTTCGATCTTGATGTTCTAGTTGCTTGTAGAAATCCGTAGGGAGTAGATCGCACCTTTTAAGGTTATCGGACGTATCCGCTTTAAGGGTCCCCCGTCAGAGGCTACAGCCTTGTTCTTTGATATTTGTTTAAATAGGCAAACATGAAAAGAAGTGCAACCTGGAATTCTATTTGAAGATTCAATACTTGCGGGAGGAAACGATTCAAGTATAGTAGTTTCTACTAAGATAGCTGGGAGCAGTGCAAACACGTACCAAACTCTCTGATAAGAAAACTCTCGGCAGCGGCGCAGCGATCACATGCTAACCCCAGGTGTAAGCTTACATTTCGACACCTTCCCCACGTCCTTTCAACTTTCAGCTATACATACCTTTTGATTTTGTGCAAATACCATTCATCATGAGCGTTGAAGAAGGCACCCATACTCTCCCTGACGGGGTTGAGCTGTACACTAAGACATGGAAGGTTGGTTTCTGTTCGGCATCGAACCGTGGAAGGGGGTTGCTGACAATAACAATAGCCAGATGGAACACCTCGGGCAGTCATGGCTTTTGTTCATGGATTCAGTGACCACTGTAAGTTTCAATTGGATATTAAGAGGTGAAGAACATTCCCAAGAGATGAGTTTCTAACCATATTTCTACCAGGCAATGCTTACTACGAGCTATTCCCAACCCTCGCATCTTCCGGCATCGAGGTTCGCGCATTCGACCAACGGTGAGCATAAGCAATCTCCAGACACTATCACCCTCACCTTTGATCCCCCGAATCACTATGATACCTTCCAACTATCCATCAAAACCAAAATACTAACATGTCAAATCCAGAGGCTGGGGCCGCACCTTCAAACGCCCTCGAGACCGCGGCAACAGCGGCGGCACCACCCTCGTCCTCTCCGACATCCACTCTTTCCTCCTCAGTCTAACCGCCCATTCAAACACCCCCTCATCCTAATGGGCCACAGCATGGGCGGCGGCGAAGTCCTAACCTACCTCCTCCACCCGGACTCCCCCTACAACCAATCCCCACCCACAACCCGGCCCCAACTCGCCGGCGTAATGGCCTACTCCCCTCTCATCGCCCTGGACCCAGCAACCCGGCCAATGGCTCTAACCGTCATCCTGGGACGACTAGTCGCCCGCATCCTACCGCGCTGGCAGCGGTATTCACCGCTAGACCCGAAACTGGTGTGTCGGGACGAGACGGTTGTCGCGGATTACAAGGCTGACGAGTTGTGTCATGATACCGGGACGTTGGAGCAGTTGGCGGGGATGTTGGATCGGGGATTGTGGTTGGAGAAGTTGGAGGGTGGGGATTTGGGGGATGTGAAGCTTTTGCCTTTGTGGTTTGGGCATGGCGATGAGGATCGGGTTACCAGCTGGGCGGCGACGAAGAAGTTGGCGGGTGTTTTGGGGGAGAAGGGGGATGTTAGTTTTGTTTCTTACGAGGGGGCCTATCATCGGGTCCATATGGATCCTGGTGATGTGAGGGAACGGTTTGTGAAGGATGTTACGGATTGGGTGTTGAAGAGAGCTCCCGTTGGCGAGAGTGGTGAGAGTGCTACTGCGGAATGATCGTGTGGTAGAGTATGGTGGGTAATTAGAGGAGAATATATGGTTGGATCAGTTGGGCCAGTTGTGAGATGATGTAAATTGGGTTCTATGATACATGTTCGAGATATCTTTGTCAGTTAGTTATTGTACAAGGCGATGCAAGTTTAATATATAGTACAGAGACGCGAGAGCGTCATGTCCGAGATGAAACAACCAAAGAAACGGATCATCGTTCAGAGGGATCTTCGATGCGCCGCCAGATGCCAACGAAACCACCACCCATGGTCCGAATTCCCACCTTGGGCCTGCAGACCATGACTGGCTCCTCTTCTTTGACAGGCTCTTCTGGCACAGTAACTTCATCCACACCGTGGGCCACATTTGACTCCTCCGCGTCAGTAGCAAGGACCGATTCTTCACCATCGGCCTCGGCAGACGGAGCCCAAGACGAGGGATCAGCTCCAGACTTCTTGAAAGCGAGTCGAACGTCCCAATTGCGACCACTCGTAATTCCAAGTCCCAGTTCAATCACTCTTTCCTGGACAAAGGGCAACCGATGCTTGCGAATAATCTGCACGCAATCGCCAATTTGAGTGATGCTCGGCATGAAAACCACCAGATATCCATCCCGTCTCAGAACCGGCGCAACATGGGGAATTCGCAAATGCGCCGAGGGCATATCCAGGATAGCATGAGACAAGAACGGTTCCACGGTGGAGGACCCGGTCAACGAAGACAATAGCCCAGTCTTCGTCCGTCGCTTGGTCTGCTCGGCGATCCAGTTCTCGACAGGTCCGACGTAGAAATCAACATCGCCTGCGTATATACCACGGCGGAAACCCTTGACGTTTCGCTCGGCCAGGGCGGCGAACTTATGCGAGACGTCCACGGTGTGAATCACAGCATGGCGCTCCGCTCGCCATGAATCCCACTCAAGTTGGGCTGTGTTGTCGCTGGCCGCAGTCTCGTTTCCATCTGCCTTTTTCGTGTCTTCCTCGCCTGGCCTTTGAGCTCGGTTCTCCACGTATTGGATCTGCGATTGCGACGGACGAGGTGGCGGAGTTGTGTTAGCGGCGTGGATGGCGCGGGCGAGATGGAGGGTCAAGGAGCCGTGGCCGGTGCCAGATTCGAGGATTTCGAGTGGAGGCCGTGCCTCACCCGCGGCAGGGGGTTGGCATGGATATCGAGGAGAGAGACTATCAAGTTTCCATCATGCGAATAGATCTATCAGGCGTGAGCAGCTGCAGCGGAGGGCGTAGTTCAAGATCGTTTGCGCATACCGGCGTGACGAGACGAGGAGTCAACGCGACGTATTCCTCCAACGTTGGGAGACTCAATCGGACATCTGGGCCTGCAAGATAAATCTCTAGGTCAGTTACGCTACCATGAAGGAGGCCATTAATCATGTCTAACCTTTATGCGCCTGCACCGCGTCCCAGACCCGACTGCCAATAATGTTATCATGCGCGACGTGTCCGCGGCGCAAATGCGTCTTATCACCCTTCTTCAATGGCTTCGTCAATTGTGGCTGTTTCTGGTGTAGCACGGCCCTATCACCCTCTGCGCGTCTTGTCAGCCCTGTCTATCGCGTTGGAAACCGGCCTCGACGAACGGCGCACCTCGGAAGACGGAGAAATCGGTGTCAATGGATCGAGCCCGTAGACTACCAGCTGAAGCGGTAGTCGTCGACGAAGTGTTCAGCCCTAAGACTCGCCGCAAGGAATGCAGCAGACGAGCCATGGCCACTGGAGTTCGAAAGCAGCCCTGGAGATTTAATTCTAGGAAGCTGGAAAATAATTTGCTCCATCAGCCCAAAACCCACTTTGCGGCCCTGGCAAAGACCCACTTGGTCAATCTCTCCCCGGGTTCCCCTCGCCGTTCACCGGAGAAGACCCCTCCATTGCCTTAAAGATCTTTTTTTGGGTTCTTCTACTCCTTACGACTCTCTCTACGCAGTTTCTTACCCTTTTGTTCATTATTGGGATATATTTGCATACATACTACACGCCTTCCTACTCTTTCATCCTCAATTCCTGTCAAGATGGGGTCCACCGTTCTGCCCTACATGGAGACCAAGCCGAAGATGATCTTCTTCACCGATTTTGATGGTACTATTACCGTCGACGACAGTGAGTTCCCACCCATTTATTGACTGGTCTGGTTCAATGCTGACAGAGCTGATAGGCAATGACTTCATGGTCCGCACCGTCCCCTTCTTATCGCCATTCACAATTCCCTCTCTGACTGACCGTCGCAGATTGACAACCTTGGCTTCGGTCGCGAAGAGCGCCGCAAGTTGAACGATGAGGTTCTGGAGGAGCGCATGGGCTTCCGGTAACGCTTCAATGGCTATTATCTCATAAGAACACTGCCTGACCATGCCATTCCCATATTAGTGACGCCTTCCGCCTCATGCTCGAGAGCATCAAGACCCCCTACAACGAGTGTATTGAAATCCTGGAGAAGAACATGAAGTTGGACCCATACTTTGAGGAATTCTACTACTGGGCTGAGAAGAACAACGTCCCCATCGTCATTCTGTCCTCCGGTATGCGCCCGATCATTAGTGCGCTGCTTGAGAAGTTCCTTGGCCACGAGCCCAAGAGCCACCTCACCATTGTCTGCAACGAGGTGATCCCCCGGGATGGCAAGGATATCAACAGCGAGGGTGGCTGGCAGATCAAGTATCACGATGAGAGGTGAGTGTCCCGGGTAGCTCTGTGAAGTTGGCGTTTTGTGTTGGACGAGTGCTCACGGCTCTTTTGCTTTCTAGCCATTTCGGCCACGACAAGTCCCTCGAGATCAAGCCTTACGCGGCTCTGCCCGACGGCGAGCGTCCTATTCTCCTGTACGCTGGCGATGGTGTCTCTGACCTGTCGGCTGCTGCTGAGACCAACCTCCTGTTCGCAAAGGAGGGCAAAGGTAATTACCGAACCACCGGTCTGTTCAAATGGAGACTGGAGACTAACCATTTCCCTAGATCTGGTCACTTTCTGCCAGCGCCGCGGCATGCCCTACACCACTTTCCAGGACTGGTCCACCATCCTCTCCACCTCCCAAGACATTCTCGCTGGCAATAAGTCGCCGAGCGAGGTCGCCGTCCGCGTGAAGAGCACTTAGATCGGATGAACATATAGATTGAGGACTCGGTTTTCTTGTTTTTTGAGGGCGGCTCAACATTGCGACCGTCATTTATGAGTGTTTTTGGTTTTTCTTAGATCCCCCGGTTTACTTGTAATTTGCAAGCACAAATAGAAATGAATTACATCTTGTCATATTCCAACCATCTTTGACGATCCGAAGCGGAGTTCAGGAGTCGAGACAAGTGACCGCCTTCCGTCAGGGTCCAAGCGTCCGAGTCTCTCTCCCTCGAAAACAATCATCTTTTGCCCCCCGTCGATTTCCTTATGGCTTTATGGCCTTGTGAGTGGACCTGATTTTGTTGGTCTTCTCCTGGCATTATTGCATCTCTCCTTTTTTCCCCTACCGTCATAGGTGGCATCATGCGCCTGTGCGCCACCTTGCTCTTCTCCAAGACCTTGCCAGGGTGATCTCGACTTCATCATGGCTCGCCGACTCGTATGTCTCCATTCTTCGGCTTCGATACGCATGGAGATCATTGTACTAATATGGCTATATTTCTAGGTCCGAACGGGCGTTCAGCTCGGCTTGTTAGTAACGTTTGCGCTCCTTCTAGTCGTCTTTCTCGACAGCAAATTCCGTGTCCTACCAGCGTCAATCCATGGCCATCTCCCCATGCACTATTCTGGCTATGTGATCACTGATGTGACCATCACACAATGTTCCTCGCTCAATCCCTTCTCGAGCTGCAAGTTGGATCCGGAGGCCTGGTACCGCATCGAAAAGGATCTCTATCTACGCACCGGCTGGACCTCGACTGCGTATATCCAATTCCAGCGAAAGAAGGAAGAAGAGTTGGGTCTGGATGATAAGGTGCTCATTGACCTGAAGATTAGTCGCCTGACCCCACCGACCGAGTATACCCCAAAGGGAGAGGATGAGGCATGGGAGGCCCGGCCGGGTGGTATTTGGCTGAGGCGGACGGCCTCGCGCCACGCCAGCGATTCCGAGAAGGCAATCACTTATATTGACGTGCTCTTCGGCGCCGACGCTGTTGACCCTCGCCACAATTGGGAGGTCAAAGACACACCCTTGTTGCTGGATGGGTGGACAGAGAAGCTAGAGACTCGCCTCAGCATTCGACGTGGCAACCCCCTGAAGAACAAGAAGCCTACCCCTCGGATCAACGACAACGGAAAATTCAAAGTTATGCAGTTGGCCGATCTGCATCTGAGCACGGGTCTTGGTGCCTGCCGTGACCCCGTCCCCGCCGAATCAGTCCCGGGACAAAAGTGTGAAGCTGATCCCCGAACATTGGAGTTTGTGGAGCGACTCCTCGACGAAGAGAAGCCGGATATGGTCGTTCTCAGTGGAGATCAGGTCAACGGAGAAACTGCTCCGGATGCTCAAAGCGCCGTATTCAAGGGCGTGAAGCTTCTAGTCGACCGCAAGATTCCATACGCTGTTATCTTTGGAAATCATGACGACGAAGGTGACCTCAACCGGGCACAGCTCATGTCCATCTACGAAGACCTACCGTACTCTCTTTCAGCTGCGGGCCCGGAAGATATCGACGGAGTCGGTAACTACATCGTCGAAGTCCTCGACCGCGGCGGTGGCACGCACTCGGCCCTTACTTTCTACCTCCTTGACACTCACGCCTACTCTCCTGATGAGCGGCAATTCCGGGGCTACGACTGGGTTAAACCGAGCCAGATCCGTTGGTTCAAAAACACCGCACAGAGCCTGAAGAGGAAACATCAAGAGTACTCCCACAGTCATATGAACATGGCTTTTATCCATATCCCTCTCCCCGAGTACCGGAGCGACGGTAATTACTGGAAGGGTGAGTGGCAGGAACCACCGACAGCACCCGGATTCAACTCTGGCTTCAAAAATGCCCTGGAAGAAGAGGGTGTCTTGTTCGTAAGCTGCGGACAGTAAGTTGCCAATTACCTTAATTCCATATCATGCAGATACTTATGTTATTTCTAGCGATCACGTCAATGACTACTGCATGCTCGAGAAGGACTCCAATGAGAAACCCTCATTATGGATGTGCTATGGCGGCGGTGTCGGTCTTGGCGGATACGGTGGCTACAACGACTACGTCCGGCGCGTCCGTTTCTTCGAGTTCGATATGGGTCCCGGCCGGGTGACGACTTACAAACGTCTCGAATGGGGACAAACAGAAGCGAAGCTCGATGAGATGATGATTGTCGATGGCGGCTCTGTTAAAGGCCATGGCGAATAGACCTATTGAGAGTGACCTCCCTATCTTTTCCATCTCATCCCCTTTCATTCCATATTCTTTTTTCTACCTTTACCATCATGAGAGCGCGTACGTCTGCTCTGTTTTACCGTCGTTTCCGACTTTGGCGACACCATTCCTCTTTCGAGTTTCTACACTTCTGTACATACACTTTTCTTTTCCCAGTTCCTATACCTGCAAAAGGTCCGGCGTCCGTAGGGTGTCTATCTCTCTCTGAATATCTCATCATTTCTCTTTTTCTACTATTCCCCATCATAAGCAAGTACCACTATACTATTGTTCCTCTAGCGATGAATTGACAGTGTCTCTTTACCACCATTTCTCGAAAAATACTCGTTGCTCCCCGCCTTCTCCAAGGATGCCCTTCAACAACTCCACCATTTCATCCGTCATCTGCGGTGGTCCACAGACGTAAGCTACACTTTCTCGTGGATCTAACTTGCCATCTCCGCCGATAACGGCTGATTGCAGATCATGCTTTTCAATCCTCTTGGAGTGAATAGTGAGATCCGTCGGGGAGTTGGCAGGGGCAAGACGAGAAGAGTTCGAATCCGTGAGGAAAAGATCGAGGCAGATGCGGAGACGGTGAGATTGTCGTTGGGAAAGGATGATTTGACGGATTCGTGGGAGGAAGAGGATCTGACTGAGTGATTCTTCTGGTGATGCTGTTTCATGGCCTTGAGGGAGTCGACTCGAGTATAGGAAATGGATGTTCAAGGGTTGAGTGGTTTCAACTTGATTGTTGAGGTGGGAGAGGATAGAGATTAGCGGACTGTACCGATGTTAGTTTGGGTTCTCTGGGATGTAGACGTGATTCGATATCTTCACTTACTTAATTCCCACGCCTCCGGCAATAAAGACCACATTCTTGACTTTTCGTACATCAACACTTGTAGGCGGCCAGACAAAGCTCCCTCCAACGCGAATGTTCAATTCTTTGCCGAGAATCTCGGGCAGCGGTTTCCAGAGCCATGCGGCTGGTGGATTTGCGGGGGAGTCTTGGACGGCTAGTTCCACGTAGGGCTCTCGTCCTTGTAAGGGGATTGCTGAGCCGGCTTCCTCGCCGAGGAGCGTTTCCGCTCCTGGTGCCTCGGGTGATGGCAGTGCCTGGGCGTCGGCGGGGGTTGAGGTTATGGTGAACCCGCCAGCGGTGCTGATAGATGGGATGTGGACATCTAGCCATTGGCCTGGGAGGAAGGTGAATGGCTGTTGTTGTCCATTGTCATCCTGCAGAAAGAGTCAGCAATTGAGGATTTGGAAGTTTGTGTTACTTTGGTTGTCTATATATATTGTCGAGGTCCAGCTGGGTCGGACCAGCATGCTTGATCCAAAACAATGGATGTGTTCATATCATGCCTGGTTCCTGATCAAGCATGCCACAGAAAAGGAAAAGGGTAATTTCAATTTCAAAAAGTAGAGTGGATATACATTACTCTCTTCTGCCGGAATGGTAAACTGTAGCAAGCGGATAGAGGGGTTAACCTGCTCCACATGCGACAAAAGCACTGGGTAAAGCCGGTTCTGTCGAGGTTCCGCCGCCGTGCGGAGCTCATGTGGAATCGAGTCTTCGCGCTGGGAACTCATCACGCCACGCAAGGTTCCGGGTGTGATGGTGACGGTGATGGGCTGTATAGATGACAGGGGCCGGTGTAAGCTCCGGGTTGGAAGCGCGAGTCGTGGGATTGGCTGGGATAACGGTCGGAATCCCCTCATTAGATGGTGGAGCTAATGGGACGGATACAGCGGAGACGTCTAGACCGGATATTGTACCTTGTAGAGCAAACCTGAATGATTTGTGTTGATGGTATGGTCCAATTCGAGAAGCCAAGGAATTGAAGTTGGAGGTTGGAATTGTCGGACCACATGACTTGGACTTTATTCCACGGATTGACTCGACATGGAACTGCAAACTCCAATTACTTCATATACGTTCACAGCCCATCTTTAGGTTACGTCTACTATAACCGACAAAGAGCTCAATATCCTTGGCGACTAACTGGTTCGACGCTAAAACCCACAATGCTTGTCCTCGAGTGTGATAATGAGGTGCGTACGTACTGCGGAGTATATACAACGAACCCTCGACACTGCAAGAAATATCACCAACAAACTACAAGGATGGCCACACTCCACCACAGCGTTTCGCCAACCATTTCTCACTAAGCTAGCCTTGCAGGGCCTAAGGCCAAGTCTTCGTGCTGAGAGTGCTCTCCCCCTCGTGCAGATCCGCTCTTCCGTCACATTCGCTAGCGTGTGACGACCCGACAGGCCAACCCCGGTCTATGGCATGTCATTGGTGCGACAGCCCTGGACTGGTGCTTTCTCTGGCGCTTTGCTGCTCACAAGTATTGGCCAGATGCGCCTCCAAGAAACACTTCAGGGCGTGCTGCACTCAAACTCCCCTGCTGATTCGTGCCCCTCTCTGCAACCCGGCGATGGGCAACATGGAAAGTCGGCGGCCCGGGGGTCTCGCGAGCTCATATCTAACGCCCTCCCGCCGGATCGCCCTGACTTGATGCCTTTCTGATTCTCCTACTTATTCCCCCTTGAAGCTTTTCAGTTTCCGGCTGTTGAATGCGAAGCACTGGATGTCGCAGCCAGCCGGCCTGGCCGAATCGCATTGTTTCCCATTAATATTGCCGTCGCAGTTGGGCTTCAGCTAAGCGGCGATCTTCGGAGAATAAGAGGAATCAGCATCGTCTGATTGCGCTTCTCACGATGCCGTTCATTTTCCCCAGGCGGCACCGTCACTATAAGCTCACCCTTTGGTTGATGGTCGCCGAGCTTCCGATTACGGTCGTTATCCTGACTCTGACGGGTATTGCTTCACACAACACTTATCGGACGTTGCTATGGCAAGATGGTGCAGACAATGGGTTCAACAGCGCTCCTAATGCGGCGTTGTACGCGGCTGCTAACTACCGACCATACACGGCTCCCTTGGTTTGGTCGTCATTGTATGTGTTGCTCGAGTCTCATGCAGGATCTTGTAGAATGCGACTGACTTTACGACGATAGTATGACCAATTACAACCTGGTTATCGGAGTCCTCAGCGTTTTCCTATTGATCGTCAAATTCCCCGTTCACTGCATGCACCTATTCTTCCCTCCTCTCGGGGCCTTCATCCACGGTGCCATCATGGTGCTTTACATCGTCTCAGCTCGGTACCAGGCTGGCAGTGACATGTCAGACCCGAAGCACCCCCAACCGGGACCACCTTGGTATATCACGAAGAACTGCAATGTTGCTGCGCACAAGTCAAATATTGGATACTGCGAACAAGCCAAGTCGCTTTTCGCCGTCTCAGTCGTTATGATGTACGAGAATCCCAGTGTCCATGCTAGGTATGAATTTCGTCATACTAACAGCCGCCTCGATAGTTTCCTCTACTTTGTGGAATTCGTAGTGGTCGTCCACTCCTGCTTCATCACCAAGGAAGAGCGCGAAGAGATCCTGGAGCAAAGGGAAGAGAAGCGCATTGAGAAGGAATTCGAAGAGGAGATCATGAAATCACCCAGTATGATCCCCATGACACCTGGCTTCGTCGGCCAAGATCACGGCATGATCCCCCGAACTCCCGGATACCCACCGATGGTCGCCACGAGCCCCGTTACACATGGAGGAATTCTCCACGCACCATTTACTCCCCGGATGACGGCACGTACACCGGGCTTTAATAGACTTGGTGCTGCAAGTCCTTCTTCGGACCTTCCGCTGCGGGATCACTCGAATATGCTTACGCCGATACAAACTCAACCAGTACAGACGATAGAGCCACAGACAGCGTCGGCATCTGGATCAGCGATGTACTTCCCACCTCCGCCTAAGAAGGCATCGAAGAAATAAAGTCCAGATCACAATCTGTTGCTAGTCTTTACGCATTCTCTCATGATACCATATTCTTGTTTATGCTGTTCCTTTCCTTTGGTTGAGCTCTCAGGATGGCCTTTTCCCATTCTTCCCCTACCCTGCTCCTCCCTGACCACCCTGGCCTATTTGGCGAATCATCAAAATCTACCGCCCAAGTAAATACCATACTCCCTCATCTATGGCGTTCGAATATGGAACTCTATTTCCAGCCACTACATTGGCGACTGTCATCTAATATCGAAAGAAATACAAAAATCTCTAAAAAAGGCAAGACGCACGATCAATTCATTCAATCAATCCAAGGCTTAGACAGAAACCCGCAAAGGAACATACCCATAAATCAAGAGTGGAGACCCGAGAAATAGTGAAAAATGTACAATAAAAATTTCCTAGATCACAAAGGGCCTGGACAAAATGGTCATGAATTCATTAATCATGTTGAATATTGAAACATGTACCAGGGGATCGTAAGAAAAGGGCAAAAACGCCGCGCGCAGTATTCAAAATATCGAGAAGGGGAGAGTGAAAAAAACATCGACCTCTGATTAAAAAAAGTAGGCTGACGGGGTATAATCGCTGAGCCGAGGAGAAGAGATAAGTAAGAAAATTTCCCCATCGATCGAAGGAGACCACCAGTTTGATCATAAAAAAGAAATTCAAGTAGACTCCTGACGCTTCTTCTCCTTTTTGGACCAGCGCACTAGATGAAAGTCAGTCTGGGTTCAAGCCCATGAGAAAGCCGTGGATGGAATCGAAACTTACAGCCGCAGGCATTACACAACGTCTTAGGACCGCTAGGGCCCTTCCTCCACTCCGGGGAATCGGCCGTCCCACAATCACTGCAAACGTGCTGTCCCTTCAGCCTCTTACGCCTATCACCCTCTTGAACATTGCGGGCTTGGTCGGCCGCAGTAGTGATATCAATATCACACTGAATCAGTCGGCCTCGGCGCAGACCGGTACTAAGCCCCTGAGATCTCTCACCATCACCGTAGTATAGACCGGTCATCACCTCGATGCCATCAATATGAGACAAACCTTCCGAGCGAGGGGCATTCTCGGAAAAGTAATCCCCCAGGGCTCCGTCAGACTCATCGGAGTTGGGCGCGACGGTCTCGGTCGACTCCTGATCGCTGCCACTTCCCTGGGCAGCAGCTTGAGCCTCGAGTAACTTCTCTTCGATCTTTGGATAGGACAGACGAGACAGATTTGCCTCTTTGTCCTCTTCCTGCTTCAGCTTGGCAATCTGCTGTACCAAGCGTGCATTCTCAATCTTGTGCTCCAGGAACGAGTCGAGAAGCAGGGAGTTCTTTGTGGGGTAGGGTCGACACATGATGAAGAAGCCCGTGCAGCGTTCCTGAATGGTGGTATTCCTCCCCCGTGACCCGTCCTCGCTTGCAATATGTGGGTGGCCGTATGTTTCGACTAGGGAGTACGCGCTGTTCGACTTTTGTAATCGCACATGCGTTCGAAACGGTTTATTTGTCGCCACCGCGTCGTCCATATCTCTCAAGAAGATAGGCTTATCGTCCTCGTGAATAAACTGTGTAAAGAGACTGCCCTCGAGTTGTTTCGCTGGACGACCGGTGATCGATTTCGAGGAGGGCGACGCGTAGGTGATGCGACCCTGAGCGTTTAGCAGGAGAAGCAAGTCCTTCATCTCTTCCAAGACTCGCTGAGTCCATCCTGGATCGTTCTGCACATTTTGATATCCCCCCTGTTGCTGCCCCTGTATGGTATACTGCTGTCCATAAGATGCCGTGATATTCTGTTGCTGCGACTGCTCCGCCATGGCAGCCTGGTTCCCCTCGTTCGAGCGAGATCGTGACTGCAAAGGCAGGTGCGTAGTGTTATAGGTCATTTGAGTCATGGTCATGTCAAGAAGATTGTCCGTCCCTGCATCACCAGCAGAGACAGAATAGGATCAAGCGTCTGGAGGGGTCGTACTTTGGGAGTCAATGCGTTATCCGGGGGGTCAAGGGTCCAGACTGGCCGGCGGGCGCATTCCCCAGGAAATCGGATCCCAGTAGTACAGTCGGTATAGTTTGGTTGGATCTGGCAATGTTCATATCTGAGCCTGTCAGGCACGAAGTTTGTTCGATGGAAATCCTGTCAGATAGGAAAGCCCCTGCGCCTTCTCAGACATTCGGCCAAGATTCCATCCAGACAAGGGTCAGTGTTATAAGGGAAACATCCGGCTCGCTCTGGTGGACACACCACATTTCTGCCGATCGCTCGCTGGGGTGGGGCGGATTAGGTCAGCACACGGTCATTAAAGAGCCACGTGACTTCGTGTCGCTCCGGCGCGAAGTGGAGAAAGTCGATGCATCACAAGCAACGGGCGATCTGAGCACTCGCTTTGAGGGTGAAACCTGTACCAGTGCAACGGCTCGGTTAACCTCGTATCTCTGGAAGACAACTCAGAGATTGAAGAAAAAGTTGACACGTTTCTTTACAAAGTCCCCGAGAGGAAGAACGGCTCTTGCTGGTCGCTACCGCAAGAATGTGAGTGCCGCGGATACTCCGCTCTTGAAGGTGATTATGCTAATGATTCGACAGGTGTAAGTTTTCGCAACTCATTATTAGGTTCTCAACACATATCTGACGAGTACATCCCTGAGGCTAGCGAAGATCGATAAGCTCTCCATTCTGGGGTAAGTGCAGCTGGATTTCCCGACGCGACCTTTGACGGGCGTGCCATTTCCCCGCGCTTTGCTGACTGTCTCGTCTTCTCAGAGTTCGCTCCTTCGATAATACGCGCAGCGAGACCATCCAATTTCACACGCCTCTCACATTGATCGTCGGTTACAATGGATCTGGAAAAACGGTATGCGCCAAGCTAGCTGAAGCTGCTACGGGGAGGCTTAAGATAGAAACTGACTCGTCCTAGACGATCATCGAATGTCTCAAATATGCGACCACCGGTGACCTTCCCCCGAATAGTAAAGGCGGTGCCTTCATCCACGATCCCAAGCTCTGCGGCGAGAAAGAGGTGCTTGCCCAGGTGAAGCTCTCGTTCAATGGAACATCGGGTGCCAAGATGGTCGCTACACGCAGCCTGCAGCTTACAGTCAAGAAGACAACGAGACAGCAGAAGACACTAGAGGGACAACTCGTCATGGTCAAGAATGGCGAGCGCGCGTCTATCTCATCACGTGTAGCAGAACTGGATCAGATCATGCCACAGTACTTGGGTGTTTCGAAAGCCGTGTTGGACTCCGTCATATTCTGCCACCAAGACGAAAGCTTATGGCCAATGAGCGAGCCTTCGGTGTTGAAAAAGAGATTCGACGAAATATTCGAAGCGATGAAGTACACAAAAGCTATCGACAACATCAAAGCGTTGCGGAAAAAGCAGAATGAAGAGCTCGGCAAATTCAAGATTATGGAACAACACGCCAAGGAGGATAAAGACAAGGCTGACCGCGCAGAGAAACGGTCTATCAAGCTGCAAGATGAGATTGAGGCCTTGCGAGAGGAAACACAGCAAATGTCGAAAGAGCTGCGACGCGTCGCCGATCTAGCCGACAAAGCCTGGAAGGAATCTGAAAGCTATGCGCAGGTTCTTGGTGCTCTAGAGGGAAAGCGCATCGAAGCTAAAAGTATCGAGAACACCATTGAAAACCTCAAGAGGCACCTGGTTGAGCTCGACGAGTCTGATGAGTGGCTGCAGTCGAACCTCGAGCAGTTCGAAACGAAGCAGATCGAATATCAACAGCAGGAAGAGTCCCAGAAGGAGAACTACATGGAACTCAAGGAAAGAATTGAGACCACTCGACAGAGATTGGGCTTAAAGCAAGCCGAGAATGGCAAATATGAGAATGATAAAGCCAACTTTGAGCGCCAGGTTCAAAGGCGTCAAACGATGATCAAAGAGGCTGCTCGCAAGAACAATATCCGAGGAGTCGACGACAACATGGAGCAGGCGGAAATTGACGACTTCATGCAGAAGATCCGCCGCTTTTTGCGGGAGCAAAATCAGTCTCTTGACCGTGTGAAACGCGAGGCTCAGCGTGAACTTCGTGAGGTGCAGGACACTTTGAACGAGATCGGCCAGCGGAAGTCCGCCCTCCAGGAAACCAAAAATGCGGCAAAGAGACAGATCGCGGCGAATGAGAAAGAAGCGGCAGCGTACCAAGGGAAGCTGAATGAAATCGATGTCGACGAGGGCGTCCAGGCTGCTCTAGAGGCCAAGATTGAAGACATCACTTCAAGTCTTGATCAAGGTAAAGAGCGGACCAAGGCTGCCTCATGGGACCGAGAGATCCAAGACATCAACTCGCAGATTCAGCACCTCGAGGATGGGAACTCGAAACTTAATGCCGAGCTTATTGAGTCTACAAAGAAAGCCGGCGATTTGGCTCGCTTGGATCATCTCAAGAAGGAGCTCAAGGACCGGGAACGCAGTCTGCAGACTATGAAGAGTGCGCATGGAGATCGTCTGGTGAAAGTTGTCGGCTCCGAGTGGCAACCGGAAAGCCTGGAGAAGGATTTCCAAGGAGCCGTTGACACCGAATCCAAGCAGGTCGCCGATGCTGAGCGCGTCCGCGACGGTGTCCACCGAGAACTGGAGCAAGTCGAATTCAAGCTGAAGAATGCAAAGAAAAATTTGAAGCAGCGGCGCAACGAGCTCAATGATTGCAAGGAGGAGATTCGTCAAGCTATCAATGCTGAACCGGCTGATTACCCTGAAGTTGTCAAAGACCGCCAGGCACAATACGAGTTGGCCCGCAAGGATGCTGATCAATATGCTGGCATGGGAGAGTACCTCAACAAGTGTCTTGACGCAGCGAAGCGCACCAAAATGTGTCGCACTTGCCAGCGATCATTCAGGAATGAAACAGAGCTTCAGACATTTACTAGGAAGCTCGAAGCTCTGGTGAAGAAGGCTGGCTTGGATGCAGAAGATGAAGCTTTGCAAGGTCTTGAGAACGATCTCGCAACCGCTCGCGCAGCAAACGGATTCTACGAACAGTGGATCCGCCTTTCTGAGACTGATATTCCCGAGCTGGAGAAGGAAGAGCAGGATTGCGAATCTCAGCGTGACGAGCTTCTGGACAAGCTCGAGACCCACGATCGAACGGTCAGCGATAAGCTGGAAAGCAAGAGAGATGTCGAGACGCTTGCAAAGACCGTGACTACTATCTCACGATACGACGCTGAAATCAAGAATATCACGTCTCAAATTCATGAGCTTTCCGCCAAGCAGCAGGATACCTCCCTAGGCCGCACCCTGGAGGACATCCAGGAAGAAATCTCGGCTTCCAACGAAAAGTCTCGGGATCTGAAGAAGACTCTTGTAAAGGTCACCAACGAGAAAGACCAGACACGAACCGAGATGAACAAGCTAGAGCTTCAGCTCAGAGACGTACGGGACAATCTCAACAATGCCAAGTTCCAGCTGGAGAAGAAAGCCGACCTGCTCATCCGGATGGAGGAGTACAAGAAACTCAACGCCCAGCAGAGAGAGGCAATTCAAAAAGCGGACCAGGATATCGAGAACCTCACGCCTGAATTGCTCCAAGCCCAATCCAAATATGACGATATCAGTCAAAAGGCCGAAAGCCACGAACGGGACTTGCAGCACGAGATCAACCGGTTGTCCGACAGTATCCACCAGCTAGATCTTGCCAACGAGGACATTAATTCATACATTGAACGAGGTGGTCCCGGTCAACTCGAGCGGAGTAAACGAGAGATTGCCGGCATCGAGAGCGAGATTAGCCAGTTCGAGACTGAGCAAGGCGAGATCACAAGGGAAATCAACAAGATCTCCGCTCAGCTCAAGGATAGTGAAAACACGAAGCGGCAATACTCAGATAATCTGACCTATCGTCAAGCCACACGATCCTTGGACAAAGTCATTCAGGAAGTCGAAGAGCTGGAGTCGCAGAACGCCGAAGTGGACCGCAGCCGCTTCAAACAGGAGTCAGAGCGGTGGACTCGCGAACACAATGCCCTGGCTGCTAAACAGGCTAGTAAAATGGGTGAAATGAAGTCTAAGGATGACCAATTGATGCAACTGTTGGCCGACTGGAACACGGACTACAAGGACGCTGCCTCGAAGTACAAGGAAGCACACATCAAGGTGGAGACCACCAAAGCTGCGGTCGAGGATCTCGCTCGCTACGGCGGTGCCCTGGACAAAGCAATCATGCGATACCATGGATTGAAGATGGAAGAAATCAATTCCATAATTGGCGAACTCTGGCAAAAGACGTACCGCGGAACAGACGTTGACACTATCCTGATCCGATCCGACAACGAAAATGCCAAGGGCAATCGATCCTACAACTACCGAGTTTGCATGGTCAAATCAGGCGCAGAGATGGACATGCGTGGTCGCTGCAGTGCTGGTCAGAAGGTTCTAGCCAGTATCATCATTCGTCTCGCCCTGGCAGAGTGTTTCGGTGTGAATTGTGGTCTGATCGCCCTCGACGAACCGACAACCAACCTAGATCGTGATAACATTCGCTCGCTAGCAGAATCGTTGCATGATATTATTCGGGCTCGACAGCAGCAGTCCAATTTCCAGTTGATTGTCATTACCCACGACGAGGAGTTCTTGCGCCATATGCAGTGCGGTGACTTTAGCGATTATTATTATCGCGTTTCACGAAATGAGAGACAGAAGTCGATTATCGAGAGGCAGTCTATTGCTGAGGTATGCGCCTGATTGAAAAGGGGTGTATTGACTAGTGCTAACTTCTTTCTAGGTCATGTAATCCTCATGGTGCCGTGGCAATCTTCATTTGATGCACACCAAAAGCCTCATTTGTATTCTTAGCATTTCATTCTAGGCGTTCAGGACCAGATCCCTTTTCAAATAGTCTTTACTGATACCTCCAATGCATATGAGAAATTTACTCAGTGGATACCCTTAGAATACGCGAATACGTAAACATGTTAAATTGAATCGATAAATCGCTACTATTCCTCATTGTCGAGTATATCCATCTCGGCCTCCTCTTCATCGAGGAGTGGTACAAACCGGAAATCTACAAAGCATCTTGGACCTGCAAGCGCCTTGACGCCAGCACCAACGGATCTTCCAGTTGGCGTATTGTCATCAAGATCAACCATGAATTGGAAGCTTAGTACTCCCTGCCGATCACCACGAATACTAACTTTGTTAGCCACAGCCATAGCTCGGGCTGCCTTTCTGATGAGCGCAAACCGATAGCTCTGTCGAATCCGCTCACCCATCGATGACGGTGGTGATACTTGGAATGTCTCAGTAACGGTTGGCGCTGCCTTGGCTCTAGTAGCGCGTGCCCGCGAAGTTCCATCATCAGTTAGGACCTTGTGGGCCTGCGATGCATCGCCTCCCTGAGTAGCACCGCCAGTGATTTCATTGTGGTGGTCAACAGAGAACTCAACCGTGGACTCGCTGAAGGGACCGCCAGCACCCGTTAGAGCAAAGTACGGTTCCCGATTGGCACAGGCCGACAGTTTGAGGATGGTAGGAGTTGACGAGTCGAGTTCAGCAATGGCATTGTGCAACCAGGCGGAGCGCATGATGATTTTCATGATGATAGCATCGCGTTGTAGTGGGATATCGGTTTCGGCGTTTTCTGGCTCATAAGTCACCAGCTCGCAAGTCGTTTTCACACCCGCTTCGGTGATGGCGATGCTGAGAGGAGCACCATGTTGCGCGTATTGGAGGGTACATGAGCGGTCCATGAGTAAGGCAGGCGCACTGAATGCGCTCGAAGCTGGATTGGTCTGAGGGAGGTTGGTGTCTCGGGAGCCATTGGGTTCGGCCAAGTCGTTGATTCCGAAGATCTTCAGTGTCTCGAGGAGAGCGGATAGTGAGACAACGAAATGGGGAAATTCGACTTCATCGGAAGAGTCTTCATTTTGGCTGGCCTCTCTGTGCTCGGTTGATGGCTTAAAGGTGTAGCTGGTGAAGAGAGATTTGTCGAGGAAGGCTAGTCCTTGGATGACGCGGCCTTCCTCTGCTGAGAAACGTAGACCATCAGGGGTGATCTGGACCGTTGCTTTCGAGGCAAAGCCAATGCAGGAGAGCAGAGTGTAGAGGTGTCGAGCATTATTCGAGACACCAGTGAATAACGGCTCCATTGTTGAGGGCGTGGTTGCTAGACCCAGCTTTTAAGGAGGGTAATATATAGTCCGATCAAGGAGGAGGCAAGGATTTGAGGTGTGTGTGATGATTTGGGAGCTTCTAGCAGTACAGGTCCCTTTGAATTCCCCACTTATGGTACATGGAGGGGACAGAGTGTGGGTATCGCTTTAAACATAGACTCCGACCGCGCAGATAGTGAAGACGGCTCCGAAACTAACCACAGAATCGTATCAGAATTTTGCTTATTGTATCTCGCCCACCGATTCCACTCACCCGAAAAGTAATGACGCTGGGAGGCCGAGAGATGCGAGGCTCAGGAATGACCGGTCTGATAGCAGATGTTAGCCATTATTGGTAGAAATACAATTGACAAGAGAACTCACTCAAGCCAAAGAGTCCAGTGAAGATGACAGCTATGTTATATATATTGTCAGCGGTGCGCAACTTGGAGCTCCGGCAGCAAGCTATCCGTACCAATAAGGAGCAGGTTGAAGCCGACGGAGAATTGACTGTCTTTCGAGACAAGAGGGTGGAACGGGGTTGCAGAGGCTGCCTCCCAGACCTCGTTCAGAGACATGAGTGGAAGATCTGTGAATAACGGAGAAATCGGGGTTGAGATAATGGGCCTGTAATGAACAGGAGAGTTGCGGGACTCGAGAAGTATACAACAAATGCGCGACTGGTCGATCTGGCCGATACGGGGAAATGTTGTTCCTGGCCCGATTCCGGGGAGCGTTATCTCATCTCAAGAACGCGCCGAGTACCGATCACCACAAGCTTCAACTACGCAACCATGGCTGTCGAGACACCTCAAAGTAAGTTCTTTTTTATACTAATAGCTACTACGGCTATGGATGGACAGGCACTGACGGTTTTTCAGGCACCAAGCGGAAAGCGTCGGAGGAGGCAGCTTCCCCGGATTCCCAACAGCAAACCAGCAAGAAAGCGCGAACTGATTCCCCAGAGAAAGAGGTCCGTCTCATTCGAATGATCGTTCCCCAGGATTTTGATTAACACAATGCAGGACGATGGGCCATTACGAAAACCTCCACTGCGCATTGTGCCGTTCCCCGAGAAGGTGAGATTCCGCCCGTCCTCTCTTGCCCCTCTCTTTACTGTTGTCGCAAGAAAAGACTGACGTGAACATGTAGCCCGCAGTTTTGGAGGAGCGCCGAGGTGATATCGAGTTCCGAGTCGTGAACAATGACGGATCGCACGACAGCTTCATCGTCCTGACGGGCCTGAAGTGTATCTTCCAGAAACAGCTCCCAAAGATGCCCAAGGATTATATTGCGCGACTTGTCTATGACCGATCGCATTTGTCCATCGCCATCGTGAAGCATCCGCTGGAGGTTGTCGGGTTAGTAAAAACAGACTGGCAGTTTGGTTTTCGACGGCCACTAACTAAACACGAACAGAGGAATCACCTACCGACCTTTTAACAGCCGTACCTTTGCCGAAATTGTGTTCTGTGCTATTTCCTCTGACCAGCAAGTCAAAGGATACGGTGCGCATTTGATGTCCCATCTCAAGGTAAGACAAATCTCTCGTAAATTTAAATCGATCGAGCCTAACCCGTTTCGCAACAGGACTACGTGAAAGCCACATCCCCCATCATGCATTTCCTCACCTACGCCGACAACTACGCCATTGGGTACTTCAAAAAGCAAGGATTTACAAAAGAAATCACCCTCGATAAGTCGATTTGGATGGGCTACATTAAGGATTACGAAGGCGGTACCATTATGCAGTGCACTATGTTGCCCAAGATTCGGTATCTCGAAATGGGCCGGATGCTCGTGAAGCAGAAAGAGGCCGTGCAGGCCAAGATTCGCGCATTTAGTCGGTCCCATATCGTCCATCCTCCTCCCAAGGAGTGGAAGAATGGGGTCACCAAGATTGATCCTCTCACCATTCCCGCAGTCAAGGAATCTGGATGGTCGCCTGATATGGATGAGCTAGCTCGTCAACCTCGCCATGGGCCCAACTACAACCAATTATTGCACTTGCTGAATGATATGCAAAACCACAGTGCCGCCTGGCCATTTACCCAACCAGTGAACCGTGATGAAGTGCCCGACTACTACGAGGTGATCATGGAACCAATGGATTTGTCGACTATGGAAGAGAAGCACGAGAAGGATATGTATCCAACTCCGCAGGACTTCATCAAGGATGCGATGTTGATCTTTGACAATTGCCGACGATACAACAACGAGAACACTCCATACGCCAAGAGTGCCAATAAGCTTGAGAAGTTCATGTTCCAACAGATTCGGAATATTCCAGAGTGGTCGGTAAGTTTGACAATTGCCCAATTGAGTTATTTTCCATTTCCAGTTATCTTACTAATCTATATTTCCCTAGCATCTTGCCGACGGACATTAAGCATGGTTTTACTGGGAAGGTGTTCGGGATGGCGTTATGGAGGTGACTGGATTTACCAATACCCTGTGGATAATTAGTTTTAGCGGGAGTAAAAGAGCCTCCTTTGCATGAGAATATGAGCTGATGCCATTCGACAATATCAATTTTCTTAAGATAAATCTCATTAATCCAGCTTCAAATTCTTCTGTTATTCACAGATAAGGTTAAACAAGGATATGATGCAATGGCAACTTTTGGGTTTTTGGGGAAATGACAGGTGGGTCCGCTACGCGGATAAACGTTAATGCGGTGTTGTTTCAGGCCTTCGAATATGCAGAGGCTGGCCTCCTCTCCCCTACGTATTGCTTCAACCCTTACCTTCGCGTCCGCCCTCGTTCGTTTCAATCTTGCTCTCGTCTTTCTGTTCTGTATTTCCTGGGTTATCACAGTTGCTGCGGTGCAGCTGTATGCTGATTCGTTGATCCGTTGCTGTGGTCGCAAAGGGGTTCTCCGTTCCCAGCAACCATTATTGCCTATTCTGCAACGATATCTTCGACTCCCTTCACAAAATCCTCTTTTCGATACCGTACCAGGTGCAATTCACTCCTTCAGCATTCAATTGTCATCCGTCTCCTTGTCGTGGGCTTCTTGAGAATATTCTACCTGAACCTACGCGACTCGTCACGCTCGCTACCCCTTTTACCACCCCTCCTTCGTTTCGACTTGAACCTCTTGCGGTGCTGGATAATTCACCGGTTGACAACAACACAAAAACACCAACATAATGGCGTCTCCCGACTCGTTCCTCGATATTGAGCAGCGGAATCGCCTTCCAACGCTTTTCGAGGTCCTCAGCCGTCGCACCCTGGCTCCGGTCGATCTCTTCTCGTTCTACATTTACATGCGCGACCAGCAACGCTCTGTGGACTACCTGGATTTCTGGTAAGTGATGTAACTCGTACGTGAGCCGGAGTCCTTTGACTGGGTTCTAACATATCTTTTATCTGGCCAGGCTCGATGTCTCCCAACACATGTCCCTCTGCCGCCACTATGTCCGAGAGCTTCGCCGTTCCGTTCTTGTCGCGACACCAGACATGGAGAGAGCCGACAGCAAGCGCTCCTCTGCCATGCTAGAGAATCTGGAAAATTTGGGCGACATTCCGCTGGTGGAGGCTGGTCCTTCCCGTCTGCACCATAATGAAAAGAACCGCGATGCCGACCACCGTTTGTCGGCTTTCCTGCGCTCCGAAGGCCACACTTCCTCGCACTCTCCTCAAAACAGTATCGGCTCTCAGCAGTCTGCCCAGCGCACCCCCTCCAATGATTACCGGCCCAGTACCGGCAACGGAAATGGCGGCGATTCCAACTCTCCCGGACACACCGTGGGCCGCCATGACATTCGCGCCAGCGCTGAGAAGATCCTCTACACCTACCTGCTCCCGGGCTCCGAGCGAGAGATCGTCCTACCCGAGACCATGATCTCAACGTGTATCAACTTGATTGAGGATGATGGCCGTGACGACCCCGAGGTGTTTGACCCCGCGAAAGACTATGTGTTCCAGGCCATGGAGCGTGATGCCTTCCCCGGATTCTTGCAGGCCAAGGCTCTGGGTAACCTGGTGCCTCTGAGCATCCTCGCCCGTCTCGCCTTTGCTCTGATCAGCTTCGGCGGAGGCTTTTGGGGTGCTTTTTATGTCGTTCTGCGCGACAAGCCTCGCCACATCCGCTGCTGGGTCATTCTCCCATTCGCGGTCGCGGCGTACTTCATCGTCTCCTACCAGTACCGCATTGACCCCGTCATGGCATTCCTCGGCTACAGCGAGTACACATTTATGAACTGGGGTCTGATCCGTGAGCCCTATGTCCGCAAGCTCTTGAACAAGCGCGCGGTGGTCACCGCTTTTGTCTCGTTCCTGACTGCTGCTGCTTTGAGCATCTTGTTCATTTTCGTGCCTGGCACTATGCTGTGAATGTGTTTTCTACTCCTGCCGCATGAAAAAAACCCCCAAACCTCCCCACTCGTCCTCATTGTGCTGGCATTCTTACGCCATCAGCCAGATGTTTCCAGCCGGCGAGTACCTTTCTCTGTTCTCTTCTGCTTCTGCGAAGCATAATTTTTTTTGAACCCCTGGAATACAAGGACGGGCCCGTGACCCATAATTCCTGACGGGTTTGGTCTTGTACTTTTCAATTTCCTGCTTCTTTCCACTATTCTCTATCCACCGCACTGGCAACCCTGCCACTTTTCCTTCTCCTTGCCGTGTCCATATTTCTCCTTGTTGACCTCTTCATCTTGTTCGCGCTTTCTTCTCTTCTACCAATACCCCGTTTGATTCTGGTCACTTGTATTGTACTTATGTTCTCCATGAGTGTTGCCATTAGGGCTTGACGAATGCAACCTGTTTAGGTGCTACTCTTTTCATGTACATCACCTTGTAGCCTCTCCTTGTAAACCTTCCTGGATTTGGAATGATAGCTTGTGAATTCGCTTCTTGTAACTATCTAAGCAACATGATAAGATCGTGATATTCATGAGCGCCCTCTGTCCTAGGTCTTTCGTCCGACAACTCGCTTCGTCTGCCTGCTCCCTCCCCGGCCTACACCGGACCCTTCATCAATATCCATCCGCGACCACGACTCCCCATTGTCACCAGATACAAAGCCATCATCCTCATCAAAATCATCAGCTTCCCGTTTATTGCGCCCCAACCCAAAAGCCATACGATCAACCCCCCCGCCCAAACCCAGACTTACCAGCACGTCCATCCATACCATTCCCACCCTTCCGCGCAGTCTCAGCCTGTCGCCGCTCCACCGCATCCTCCAACCGCTCCCGGTACGCCTGTTCCTTGGCATGGCGTTTCTGGGCATTCACCTTGACCCGGGCGATTTCGGTTTCCAGGTCCGTCACGACCTCACCGCAGCGGGACTCCCATTCCGTGAGGAGGGTGATCATTTTAGGGAGGGATTGGGGCTGGACGTCGCGGAGGGGTGCGACGGAGGTCACGTTTATGGTGGGTGGGGTTGAGGCTGGGGAGAGGCGGGCGGTGATTAGGTTTGCGTAGATGGCGGTTGTCACGAGGGATTCGAGGTCGGCGGTTGTGGGGAGGGAGAGGGATTTCATGAGGGCTTGGTAGGTGAGGGGCTTTGTGGTTGAGGCGAGGGTGAGGAGGGAGAGGAGGCGGAGTTTGAGGGTTTGTTCCGCGCTTAGTTTGGGGAGATTGGGGGTTTCTGGTGTGGTTGTTAGCTGGTTGTTGGATTGGATATAGCAGCAGTGCTTCGAAGCTTCTTCTGGCATTGACCTTGGTATTCCTGCCATGTGCCCCAGGCAAAGATCTCGAGCAGCTTTAGGTAGCCCTTATACTCGGCGGGGCAATCGGGGGCAGCTAGAGCCTGGATGGTTGGAGTCTCTAGCAGCTCGGCGAAGACGTATGTTTGGGACGCCGAGGTGGCATTTGTGACGATATTGGCCACGAAGCGAGGTGAAGTTGCGCTGTTGGATGTAGCTAGGGCGACGAAGGGCTGTATAGCCTCCAAGGCCCGAGCGTGTGTTTGGTCCATTGAGATGGATGCGGTCAATGGGGAGAGGTGGGGGAAAAAGAGAGGTCTTCTGTTGTAGGATGAACTGGGTGGAGGGGTTCAAGGATCGAGAGGGATGTCGGTAAAATATCAAGTCTAGCTGGAGAAGCAAAAGTCCAGGGAGAGAGTCAAGATCGGGAGGTAATGGCAATGATGGTGATAGTCGATGGTATGGACTATGGATATGGGTGGAGTGGATGGAGCTGGTTTGCACCTAATGCAAACACTAGCGCCCACTGATTTGGCCGGAGATAAGAGGCGGTGAATCAGGCGGTGACTAAGACGGACAAGGACGGGGTTGAGTTAAAGTGCGGGCCGCCTTGGCAGGACTGGCTTTGGACTCGAGAGTTAATCAGCTTGCGACGAGGGACTATAGTTAGCCGAATATTCATTGTATAGTATAACCAGATATCTCTATAGTTCTCTATTATCATGGTTCACCCTGTACCAACTCGTATTCATGTAAAAGCCCCCGATCTTCAATCTCGGTCTTTGTACACAATTGTACAGGCCCCATCCCGGCCATCAATACTAGGTCCTAACCCAGCATCGCGGGCGATCTGAAACGATGACTACCACTGACAGCCTTCTGACACTCCATTCGGCGTTTCAGACTTGTCTGCTATATACTCTGCCATAAATATCTACTGATGACGGGCGCCTGATAGGGCGTGTGATTGTTGGAAAATTGCCCTGCATTATCACCAGAGTTTCCTGCAAGGTGGAGGGGAACGCGGAGTCGCGGCCTTCTCAACTTGGCGGCGCATTCCTCAGCGTGGCTCCACTCCCTGCGTAATCTCCCCCATCCACTTTCCGCCTGCTTTAAAACTATTTGCATTCCTCATCGCTTCTTCTTCTTAGATGCCTTCCCTCGACGTGGCCTTTCGGGCTCATCTATTCCCTCTTCCCGCTTCCTGGTTGCTTCTTTGCTTCTTTTAAACTTCTTGTCTTCCTTAATCGGGGAATGATCGGACCAGTTCTTGTCGATCCGAGAGCATCCGTCGTGCATCACGCTATCCCCTCTGCTCATTGCGCATAAGCTGCGCTCATCCCCGATTACTTCCCCGAAGGTAATCCCGAGCGCGTCCCCGTCCTCCATGCAATAGCCACGCTTTCCCCCGACCGTCTGGGTTTATCGCCATGTCTGGAGAACTTCGTGGTGCCGACACCGCGTCCCCCGCCGATCGACTGCCCACCATGGCCACAACAACGATCAAAGTGGATGGAATGACATGCGGTGCCTGTACCTCTGCCGTTGAGGGTGCGTTTAAGGGGGTGGAAGGGGCGGGCGATGTGTCCGTCAGTCTGATCATGGGTCGCGCCGCAATTCAACACGATCCGTCGATACTTTCGCCCGCCAAAGTTGCGGAGATGATTGAAGATTGCGGATTCGATGCCGCGGTTCTGTCCACCGAAGGACATGTTAAATCAGTGGATGGCGATGCGCTGGACGATCTGGCGTCGACATTCTCGACGACCACGCTCGCCATCGAAGGTATGACCTGCGGCGCATGCACATCTGCGGTGGAAAGTGGTCTCAAGGATGTCGCTGGAGTGAACTCGGTCACCGTTTCGCTACTCTCCGAGCGCGCGGTGGTGGAGCACGATGTCCAGACCATCACGCCAGAGCAAATCGCCGAGCTGATCGAGGACCGTGGATTCGGTGCTCGAGTGGTCGAAACAAAAGCATCGCCTGCCGGCCAAGAGAATTCGTCCAAACTTGCCAACCGGACGGAAAGCAAACCAGGGCATTTGGTGACGACAGTTGCCATCGGTGGTATGACCTGTGGGGCTTGTACATCCAGTGTTCAAAATGCCGTTGCCAATGTGGACGGCGTGATCCAGTTCAACATCAGTCTGCTAGCTGAGCGTGCCGTGATTGTACATGATCCGTCGATACTGCCTGCCCAAAATATAGTCACGATGGTGGAGGATGCCGGCTTCGATGCATGTATTGTCTCATCTGAACCTCAAGAGCCGCTCTCAAGGAAAACCCAGCAGCTCAACATGAGCATTCATGGTCTGAGGGACGCAACCTCTGCTTCAGCACTGGAGGAGGAGCTCCTCAGTCGACCAGGTATTCAGTCTGCGTCTGTCAAACTAGCAACTTCCCACTTACTTGTTACTTTCGACACATCCATCATCGGCATTCGATCTGTATTTGAAATCATCGAGGGTGCTGGTTACAATGCATTGATTGCTGATACTGATGACACAAATGCACAGCTGGAGTCCTTGTCGAAAACGAAAGAAATCCAGGAATGGCGCCGCGCTTTCATAACCTCGGTCTCTTTCGCTGTTCCAGTGTTCCTCATCAACATGATCTTCCCAATGTATCTGCGCCCAATCGACTTTGGCAGACTTCAGTTGATCCCAGGTCTTTATCTGGGTGACCTGATCTGTTTCGGTCTGACGATACCTGTACAATTTGGCATTGGTCGACGGTTCTACGTCACCAGCTACAAATCACTCAAGCATAAATCCCCAACCATGGACGTTCTCGTCATGTTGGGTACATCCGCAGCTTTCTTCTATAGCTGCTTCACCATGTTCATGGCTATCTTTAGCGATCAACACAAACGACCAAGCACTGTTTTTGATACTAGTACCATGCTCATCACATTCATCACACTCGGAAGATGGCTAGAGAACCGGGCGAAAGGCCAAACATCTGCCGCCCTCTCCCGCCTCATGTCTTTGGCTCCTTCGATGACCACCATTTACGAAGACCCTATTGCGGCCGAGAAACTGGCCGATGGGTGGACCTCGCAAGCTACATCCAATGAGGCTAAGCCCACGTTAGCAGACGATGCCACGGTGAACCAGAAAATTATTGATACTGAATTGATTCAAGTCGGCGACATCGTCATCCTCCGTCCCGGTGATAAGGTCTCCGCGGACGGCATTGTTATTCGTGGTGAAAGTTACGTCGATGAGAGCATGATAACGGGCGAAGCCCTGCCTATCCACAAGAAGAAGGGTAGCCATGTGGTCGCCGGTACCGTGAACGGAACGGGCTCAATTGACTTCAAGGTTATCCGGGCAGGTAAAGACACCCAGCTGAGCCAGATTGTCAAGCTCGTCCAGGATGCACAGACGAGCCGCGCCCCGATTCAGCGCATGGCTGATATCGTGGCTGGTTATTTCGTCCCAACTATCATCGGTCTTGGCCTGATTACCTTCTTCGGTTGGATGTTCCTCAGCCATATCTTGTCTAACCCGCCCCAAATCTTCCAATCAGAGGACAGCGGTGGCCGAGTGATGGTCTGCCTTAAGCTCTGTATTTCAGTCATCGTCTTCGCCTGTCCCTGCGCCCTGGGTCTTAGTACCCCCACTGCCGTCATGGTGGGAACTGGTGTTGGTGCTGAGCATGGTATCCTCGTCAAGGGCGGTGCTGTTCTCGAAGCCGCCACTAAAGTCAATCATGTCGTCTTCGACAAGACTGGTACCCTGACTACGGGTAAGATGAGCGTAGATCACGTTCGGATGGAGCCTCACTGGACGGCAAATGACTGGCGCCGCCAACTGTGGTGGTTGATTGTCGGTCTCGCAGAGATGGGCAGTGAACACCCGATTGGCCGTGCCATTCTCTCCGAAGCCAAGTCTGAATCTGGTCATCCAGGGGAAGACGGGTTACCTGGAAGCGTCGGCGATTTTGATGCGTGTGTCGGCAAGGGTATTTCGGCTGTCGTTGAGCCTGCCTCTAGCGTGGAGCGTGTCCGCTACCAGGTTCTTCTGGGCAATGCAGACTTCCTACGCTCAAGAGATGTGCCCGTGCCCGCAGCGGCTGACCCTGACTCTTTGGAAGCCCCAGAGGAGACGGGGCAGGTGGCCCCGAAACCAACTGGTGCTGCCTCTGGCATCACACGTATCCATGTTGCCATCGATAACCGATACGCGGGAACCATCTCCCTTCGTGACAGCATCAAGGATACTGCAGTCGCTGCAATCGCAGCCCTCCACCGCATGGGAATATTCACCTCCATGGTGACCGGCGACACATTGTCCACCGCGCTCTCAATTGCCTCGGCCGTGGGTATTCCAGCATCAGCAGTCCACGCATCCGCCTCTCCATCCGATAAGCGTGCTATCATTTCTTCCCTCCAGCTGAATGGCGAGCGCATCGCCATGGTCGGCGATGGAATCAACGATTCCCCAGCGCTGGCCACTGCATCCGTTGGTATCGCACTATCCTCCGGCACCGATGTCGCCATGGAGGCAGCGGACATTGTCCTCATGCGTCCGGACGACCTGCTCTCCGTACCAGCCAGTCTGTCACTGTCACGCTCGGTTTTCAACCGCATCAAGCTCAACCTCGTTTGGGCATGCCTCTACAATGTCATCGGTCTCCCCTTCGCCATGGGTCTTTTCCTTCCCTTCACGGGCTTCATGCTTCCTCCCATGGCTGCTGGTGCTGCAATGGCGGCGTCTAGTGTCTCAGTTGTGGTTAGCAGCTTGCTTCTGAAACTCTGGCGTCGTCCTTCCTGGATGAAGGTCGAGCGGTTGGAGAAGGAACTGGGCTCGGGAGCCATTCCTGCCAATGGCGTCTCGCGCAAGTCTGGTTGGTGGTCTCCCGCTACGATCCTGTCGGATCACCCCCGGTCTATCACCCGCTGGATCGGTGATAGTGTGTCGTCGCTCTGGGCCACGATTACTGGAAGGCGGACCGTTGTTCGCGAGGACGAAGGTTACGTGCCGCTGCAGACTGTTGAGTCTCCTGTTTAATGTGGAATGATGGCTTGGACTGGTGGTTATGGAATTGATACCACATATTTTCGGGTTTCGGGAAATGGGATATGAATAGGTTTTTACAGGGTGTTTCATTCTTGTCTTGGCCTTTTTTGAACTGGGCTCTGTTGGAGGCGTTGCAAATGTGGGCTATATTGTTCTTTTTCATTCTTAGATAGTCGATACCTCTCTTGTACAGATGCAGTTATGTGATTTGATATAAGGTATGCCATGATACACTTTGATATAACCTTATATTTCAGTCCAGCCACTACATTCTCGTAGTTATCTATTAAGCGTAGTCATGTTCGATCTTGAACCCGTTTTCACTCGATAATTGGAATATCCCGTCACGCTCCAAAGTCTTGAATTGCAAGGTCGTCGCACGCCTCTAGCAACTTGATTCGGGTACCAGGTTCCTATACAATGTCAACTCAGCCGATCCAGGTAAAATGATTTACACCGGTCTTGTCATACCTTGGGAGTGTGCCCGGCATCCGGGATCCAGATCAACTTCGACTTGGGCAAGGCTTTATGTAATTCCCATGCTTTCTGCGGGGGACAGACCATATCATACCGTCCCTGGATGATAGTAACTATAAAAACAGAGTCAGTAGCAAATCTCTGTCTATACAGTGTCAGACATACCCGGAATATGACGCATCTTGGCTAAATTCCCCTCCTTCATAATCTGACCATCCTCCAACCAAAAATCATTCACCGAGTAATGCGCCTCCAGAACCGCATGCGGAACAGACCACTCCTCATCATCCAACTGTTTAAAAGTGGTTTCATCAGTCGTTAACGAACCAATACTTAAATCCCATCTATTCCACTCCCTCGCAGCCGCAACGCGAGTTGCATGGTCATCGCACGTAAGTCTCTTGTAGTAATTCCCCGTAAGATCACCCCGTTCCTCAGGCGGGAGATGGTTAACGAAAGCTTCAAATGCCTCTGGAAAGATCGTCGTTGCACCGATAGGACCGCGGAACCAGTCTATCTCTGCTTTACTGGTTGTGAAGATTCCCCAGATAACGAGTGATCCTACGACGTCTGGGTAGGCTTGTGCGTAGAGCAGGGCCAGGGTTGATCCCCAGGAACCGCCGTAGACTAGGTGCCACTTTGGGATTTTGAGGTGGACTCTTAAGGCCTCGATGTCGGCGACTAAGTCTGGGGTAGTGTTTTCTCGGATTTCGGGGGCTGGTTGGGATTTGCCTGTACCGCGTTGGTCGAGGAGGATGACGCGGTAGATGGATGGGTTGAAGTAGGATGTATTGCTTTTTTGGGTGTGTCCTCCTGGACCACCGTGGAGATATACGACTAACGGGACGAGGAGTTAGCGGGTGAATTGAGGTAGGTGGTGGTGATTTTTGAGTTGATAGGTATGATTTACCTGGCTTTCCGTCTGGCTTTCCATACTGTTCATAGTGAAGTCGATGGATCGAACCGACGGGGAGCCTACCCTCGTCGAAGGGGTCTGAGTGCTCGTAGCCACTCATAGTGAGATTGATGAAGAGAATCCGGGTTTGGGATGTCTAAGTCCGGTCGGATTGTCAACGCAAGCGATGTATCACGAGAGGGGTTAATGTGAGGGGTACAGCAGAGGAGATTTCTCGAATTTCGAATTGCAGTCGACTCTGAGTCATGCGAGAGGATCAGAAGGGCTACCTAGTTCATGGCTCTGATTTGTGTAACTATGAACTATGGGATGCCCCCACTAATAACCAACTTAACAAGTACTAGATCCGGTGCTTGTTGCTACTGTACTCTGTAACTTGTTGGTTTCAATACTAGTGGTCATTTTTCAAGGCTGTCTAACCTCAGCCTTGCATCTCTTTGTCACTTGAATCCCCCCAAAGCTGGATAGTTACATGGTTTGACTGACGAAACCTGATACGACCGGGATCCCTGGTCTAGATCGAGTGTCCACCACCGCCGTCTCTTTGTGCGTAGTCTCCATTATCAACCCCGCCCCTCGAGTCTACCAAATGGCCCACCAGCCACACAAAATCCCATGGGATCTAGTAGCATCTCTGATACGCTGGTCAGACGGCAAACCCAAAGAATGTGTCTCCAATTCAACAAGCTTACACCCTGGCTCAACCGACAACACATGGAACCAGTTGCACGAATTCTCTGCTTCTTTTGCTAGGGTGCTCGACGAGGCTGTAGAGTCTGCAAGGGCCAAATACCCAGCAAAATACCACCCTCCAGCCGAGAATGAAGTACTTCTTGATGATAGAATAATCAGAAAGATTGAAGACGATCTCATCCAGTGGCGGGAAAGCCCTCATGCTATCGAAACGGGGGTAGACAAGAGTATCCCGATTCCACGAGAGATGAGGATAAAGTCTGCATTTTTCCATGACAACCCACCAGACAGTCACTACAGATTTAACAAGGTCGACGGAAAGGGCCTTTTCAATATTGAAATTATCAAGCTCTTGATAATCCATGACGAGATGGAACCAGTGCTTCGTGCATGCGCCCATGAATGTATGGTCATCGGCGGTTGGAAGCAAGTGACCCGGTGTCAATGCATGATAAGCTATGTCAATACACCTTCTTTCAAATTTCCCAGTGTCCTATACTGACAATAGATGCCCAGGCGATGAGATATGAGACCGGCTGGCGCATGCTCCACGAGCATGCCTTATCTGCGTACCTAAGTCTCAACACAATCTACTGCCTCCCCGAGTATTGGGATCCAGCAGCAGGCGGGACACCCGGAAAGGACTACCGGAGTACAAGGTCATACCAATCAATGCTTAGAGGATGCACCGCTCTTGGAAAGACCTCGGAGATTGTCAATTACCCTCATCGGAACTTCTTCGGCATAGCCCCTGACCAGTTCCACGCGATGGGACCCAGAGTCGCAGACAAACAACGCTGGCTCAATAAGCTAGACTTTGACAGTCAGTCGGGAACAATTAAAAAGAATCACTATGGAGTCTTGCCCTTTGACGACTTTATCACTCTGGAGAACCCAAAACCTCAACATATCCCCAATGCATCCGATGTCACTACCGTACAGGGCATACTATTGCGGCACTTACCATTTGAGCTCGTCCTGCTCATCATGGAGAGGGCGAGATATACGGATAGAAGGGCTCTTACTATACCTCACGACCCGCTGCATCCATTGAACCGACAGGCGTTAGACGCATATCTTGAGCACTGCTGGCAGATCCTTGTCCGCTGTCGAATGCTGGCCAAGGAAACTCATCCCTACAGAGGCACGTGGGATTTCAGGATTAAAGAGGGCATACGTAAACTCTGGGTGGTGCCAGTGCGCTAAAATCATGGCGCAGGGACTCTCGTCGATGAGCTCGAGAATTCATTGGGGGTGTTACTTCCAAGATAGATGCAGAGATTGAGCGACGGGAAAGAATGCCCTGATTGAGCAAGGGTAAGGCTGCTGCCACCCCCTGGGGCCTTAGATCTGTGCCTGCTATACCCGTCATGAATATCAGTAGCTTTTTGGACGGCCTTTTGAGAAGTAGAAGTATTTTAAGATATCTTTCCGGATAGCCCACATAATATCTCTCGAGCTAATAGGTAACTGTATAATGAGATGGTTTTGATGTGCGATCAAGATTCTGAACTTACCACCAAACTCCACTAAACAGAAGACTACCGGATAGAATACTATGTATTATTATTCCAGAAATCTAAGGCCCTAGGGGGCAGCAGCAGCCTTACCCTTGAAAAAGGTCTAACTACCACTAAGATGCTCGGAGAACTAGAAACCGAGATCTGGTGAAGGCATCTGGACGGAGTACAACAGATGGTACATAGTGTCTAGCGACTCTAGTCGTCCATGACTACGCGGAGTATCAATTCCACAAATAATGATATCAATTCAGATCATTACTCTCTGATCAATGTACCAAAACGGATTGCAGGTCATAACTCATCATGCCAATGATTGGCAGAAAACGGTCCCAAATAGACAGAGACACACAGTGCGCTGGCCCTTCACTCTTCCTTCTCAGTCTGCGCAGCTGGCGCAGAATCTCCCGCTGCCTCGGATGGCTGGTCACCCGCCTGGGGTGCTGCGGCTGCCTCGTCGTCTGCTTTGGTTTCCTCCTTGGGCGTGGTATCATCAAGTACGATGTCCCCATCTTTATCGGCGGGCCCTGACTCCCCATCGATATGGGTGGAAGTCGCCACAGATGGATCCGACGCGCCATCCTGTGTACCTGGCTCACCCAGGGTCATCTCCACGCCCTTACCATCTTGTAATCCTAGATCCTCTACACCAACAACTGGTGGGCCCCGAGCATGAGGAACTTCCTCTGACGTGTCTGCTGGCGGGGAGCCGGAAGCAACCTTAGTCTCTTCATCGCCTTCCGTTGTCACTGTCGTTGTAGTTTCGACCTCTTGTGGCTGCATAACTATGATTCCTTCTGCAGATCAGTCAGCCTGAGGCTCAAGACGATATTCTTGTAAGCATGGCAACATACGTTCATCCGGCATATTGCTGTCCCCACCCTCGAAAGAAACGTTGGTCAGCCATGGGATTGGCGTAAGGAGAGCTCCTCCTAGCGACTCATCACTTCCCAGACCAGTGGTGTAGTCAGGCGTCAGATAGGCCCCAGCGCTATTGGTGGGATGTACCAGCCCATTCGGCTGCGCACTGGCGCTAAGTGGAGCACTGAAAGGGAAGACATCGGCGCCACTGGTCACAGAAACAACGCGGTCTACGGCTCGTAGATACGCAGGCAGTGTTTTGTAATGGGCTGTTGGTCGGAGAATGAGCTCCGCGAGTCTCTGAATCGTGTGCGGTGGCTTTGCCACAAAGAAGGACTGGATGGACGAGCGAATAGACCCTAGGAGAAGCGCGAGCGGCGGGGGGAGAACATCATTTGTCTGTGGAGAGGAAAGCTGGGGCTGGGAATCCGGCACGAGCTCGGTTGAAGGTGGCGAACCAGTTGTCGCCGGTGGCTGTTGGGGAGATTGGATGTCTCCAGGGGCAGTATTCTCTTTGTTGCTACTCTCTGGGACTGCGTTGGACTCGGAGGGTGGGGGTAGCGACTGTGGGATGAAGGAGCTTGGTGGCACCTTTGGCATGGGGAAAATGTTGTAGACATTCTGAGAAAGGATGTCAGCGATAGGCGGATCCAGGTCGCATATATGAACCTTACGTATTCCAACCGTTCCAGCAGCGGTGCCACTATTCCTGTCCATTTCTCTCTATATCAGAGCATCCATCAGCCTCGCGTGATCCAGGGTGACCTTGCTATCAGATTCACACATACAGGTCGATCGAGCCGCCATTGGCGACTGCCTCAAGGGCTTCTTCATCTGCAATACCCAGTCAGTCCAATGTACCCTTCTTGATCTTTAGGGGAGCTTCCTACCTAGCGACATTGTCGAGGTGTTGCAAGCTGCATAAGATGGCGATTAAGTTACGAGCTTGGGGCGGTGATGGCACGTGCTGCTGATTGGGTGACCGTGGAGCTTATCGATAGGGTCATGTGACTCTCCGCGAATTTTCGGCGGGGCAGCGAATGACTCTTTCCGTAACTTTTACAGTTCACAGTTCACAATTGCAATTTTATTTGCCGATCACTATGTGGAACTCACGCAAGGTTGGAATTCTCGGCGGTGGCCAACTGGGCCGTATGCTGGTTGAGTCTTGCAACCGTCTGAACATCCAAGCCAATGTACTGGACGCCGAGAACTCTCCAGCCAAGCAGATCAGCTTCCACGATGGACACGTTACGGGCTCTTTCAAGGAGCGTGAGGCTGTGCGACAATTGGCCAAGTCCTGCGACGTCATGACCGCCGAGATCGAGCACGTCGACACCTATGCCCTTGAAGAGGTCGCCTCCGAGGTTCAGGTTGAGCCTAGCTGGCAAGCCATTCGCACCATTCAGAACAAGTTCAACCAGAAGGAGCACTTGCGCAAGTACGGAATCCCCATGGCCGATCACCGGGAGTTGGTCAAGAACACACCCGAGGAGTTGGCAGAGATTGGAGAACAATTGGGTTACCCAATGATGTTGAAGTCCAAGACTATGGCATATGATGGACGTGGTGAGTGTGCCGTTGCGGGAACCGTGCGGGGTTTGGAGGGTATACTAAATCGTTCTAGGCAACTTCCGTGTGAACTCCAAGGAAGACATTCCCGAGGCTCTCGAGGCTCTCAAGGACCGGCCGCTGTATGCGGAAAAGTGGGCCTACTTCAAGATGGTTCGTGATATCCCTAAACACTGCAATTTGTTATACCGAAAGGAACAGAAGGTCTGACGTCTTGTCTTTTATAGGAGTTGGCTGTTATGGTCATCAAGACCAAGGACGAGGTCCTCTCATACCCCACCGTGGAGACTGTTCAGGAGGACTCAATATGCAAGCTGGTCTACGCGCCAGCGCGGAATGTGTCCGATAAGATCAACGAGGAGGCTCAGGCCCTCGCCCGCAAGGCCGTTGCTGCGTTTGAAGGCAAGGGTGCCTTCGGTGTCGAGATGTTCCTGCTCGAGGACAACAGTCTCATGCTGTGCGAGATTGCTAGCCGTATCCACAACTCCGGTCACTACACCATCGAAGGCTGCGCTTTGTCCCAGTTCGACAGCCACATTCGTGCTATCCTGGACCTCCCCATTCCCGCCAAGAGCCTCGAGATCCGCCAGCCTTCTATCATGCTTAACATCATTGGTGGCTCTGCTCCTGACACTCACCTCAAGGCTGCCGAGGCCGCTCTTTCGATCCCTAATGCGGCCATCCACCTGTATAGCAAGGGTGCCGCCAAGCCTGGCCGCAAGATGGGCCATATCACCGTGACTGCCGCGACAATGCATGAGGCTGAAACTATGATCCAGCCCTTGATTGACGTCGTTGATGACATCCGCGCCCAGCGCACCGATATCAAGACCAAGGCTCAGCCCTCTGGACCCTCTAAGCCTGCACCTCAGGTGGCCGTTGTCATGGGCTCCGACAGTGATCTGAAGACTCTGGTCCCCGGTCTCAAGTTGCTGGAGAACTACTTCGGCATTGAGCCCGCCGTCGAGATTACCTCTGCCCACCGCACGCCCGACTACATGGCCGAGTATGCTGCCGAGGCTGCTTCTCGCGGTATCAAGGTGATCATTGCTGCTGCCGGCGGTGCCGCCCACTTGCCTGGTATGGCAGCTGCCCACACTGCTCTGCCTGTTATCGGCGTTCCTGTCAAGGGTAGCTCGCTCGACGGCGTCGACAGTTTGTACAGCATTGTCCAGATGCCTCGTGGTAAGTTGCATACGGTTCAAATTAGCTTCCTGGATACAGTAAGACTAACTCATCTTTTAGGTGTCCCCGTCGCAACCGTCGGAATTAACAACAGCATCAACGCCGCTCTCTTGGCTGCCCGCATCCTGGGAGCCTTCGATCCTGCCATCCAGCGCAAGGTTGAGGCCTACGCCGAGGAAGCCCGTGCTGAGAACATGGAGAAGAAGGGCACCAAGATGCGCGAGCTTGGCTGGGAGAAGTACTTCGAGCAGATGTAAATTGCTCAACGTGTATTGACTGATTGAGCTTGATGAAACAAAAATATTTCGATTCTTCTTCAAGTGGGATAGATAACATCGTCTTTCCTACGTTTTATACAGCGGGGGCGTTTTATATGAGATCTTAGACGACAATGAATGACAATTTTACCAAGCCTACACAAAAGAGCAATATCTTCGAATGATCATTTATGCCTTAGTGGTGGGTGGCCGCATGACATCACGGCAGCAGAGCTGCCAGCGGGGGATAGATATCCTTCTTATATCCTATACTATCGAGGGTGAATTACCCTTACTGAGTATCTTCCATTTTATATAGAGAAAGGTCTACCTTCTTTGGCACATCTTTTGATACATCTTATCAATTGATTTATGTTACAACTTCACCCTTGTGGTCTGATTTAGCACGGGGATCCTCAAACGGAAACGACAGAGAAGGTTCTTTCAGTGCAAGTGATGCAGTTTCCAATCCCGATCCCTCAGACTCGACGTCTGATACAGCATGGCCATCTATTGCGGCGCCCGTCGCATCATTCTGATCTCGAGGCACAAGTGGTTTTCTCTCTAGCTCACAGGCTTTTACGAAACCGGCGGTCCACTGGCCGGTCGTCGCAATATGGCTGTGTTGGATATGTTGACGGAAGTCGTCCTCACGAAATAATATCCTTGTGATATTGCATTTGCCAGGATTGTGCGCCTTTGTCACATTTTCGCGACGCGGAGCCCACTGTGACCGGGGGAAATTTGGAAACTCCATGCCACAATATCCACATCAATCGAACAAGGACTTCCCATTTGCGCCATGCGAGGTTTTTGAAGGAAGGAATGGGAACACAGGATGGCATGTCCATACTACAGACGGAGCATACAGGTCATTCTTGTTGTCAAATGTCTTCGGCTTCGGCGGACAACAAAGGCGTCCATGCTGCGGACTTGGTTTGGACCGAGGACCTCCCCCCGCGGGGCTGGCATTCAAGATACTCGATATTGACATCTTGTCTGCGGCATCTGTTGGATGTGGTGGCCGTTGCCCTTGGTCAATCATTTCGCGAATTGATTCAAACGAACTACCATGGCTGGTCCTTCTAATTGGCCCATTATGCTTGTGGTATTTCACACTGGTCTCAGCCTCGATGCCATCAACATTAGACGGACCATCGGGGGGATCGAATGATATATAGGACCTGTTTTGCGTGGTACTCTGACCGGGAGAAACTGAGGGAAGTTTCGATGGCGAAGAAAGCGACTCGAGAGGACTGTAACCGTCATCCCAATCATCGATAGAGTTCAAAAGCTTATCACTGGATACCTCCGTTACGATGGTAGTCCGTCGGCGCTTGCGCGATACAGGCGGGTGAGAGACACCAGACAGATGGCTGCCGGCTGAGGAGGCTGGAGAAACTTCACCCTCAGCAGGGCGCTGAAAAACACCTTAATTAGTCTCTGGTGAAGGTATATGTCCACTAGAGACAGGATGAATCTGCAGAAGGTGCACACTTTACTGGAGATCGAGCTGGGGCTGAGGGGCCGATAGGAAGAGCCGGGGATGGCAAGGAGGGTGTTGGATTCAGCAGGTGACCGGTTCATCTGTGCTGAGAGGATCCCAAGGTAAATGCGAGTCAATCTGAAAGACTCGAAGGATGATAATCCTTCAGAATACAATTGTGACAGGGTTGATTGTTGACCGTGAAATCACGAGGTCCGATGCATACGACTACCTCCAACCACTTGGGACACTCAGCATTGTTAAGGTACGTACTCAAATACCCCATGATAGAGAGGGGCTCGATAAGTTCGAAGCGCTCCAAAACTTCAAAGGCAGGACAGTTCAATCCACACGCGAAAAGACCATTCAAAAGAAATGAACTGAAGCATATTCATTATCGACATGCAACTACGCCTCTCGGTGGCGGGGAAAGTACGCTCTCGCTCTCGCTCTCTCAACTGCGCTAATACAAGTGCCGCTCCTTCCATTACATAGAATGCAGTTGGAGTACCTTGTTAATGGGGTAGTATCAAAGGAGCCACCCCTGAGAGCAACCGATGAGTTAAAATGGCACAACCCACATAGCTAGGGGAATGTACCATCGTGTGGCTATGTCCTCTCGAAGTCGAGTTACGGGTAGCCATCGCTATGCTTGATCGGCTTTCTGATGATATTCCTATGCGTGCCCGAGGTCAGCACGTCGTGTATACAGTGGGCAAGATCGGCCCCCACAAGATCGCCGTGGTCGGCTACTATCAGGAGTATGGTCGCGGAAGTCATAAGAGACCTGCCTCTTCTTCAATTTAGACTTTTAGTTGGGATCGCTGGCGGAATTCCTTCATCTACCAATGACATCCAATTGGGAGATGTTGCTATCGCGGTCCCAGAGGGCGATCGACCGGGGATCGTTGGCTATGATCTTGGGAAGGCCCGGAATGACGGTCATTTCGAATTGAAGCACTGGCAGAACTCGACCCATCCGATGATTCGTTCCGTTATTAACGTGATTCGGGCTCGAGAAGATCCACGATTTAGGCGACACCTTCGCGTCGTGGACAAGCGTCCAGAGTTCCGAAGGCCAGAGTCTACATCCGAGATGGATCGTATGTATCAATGTGCACTAAGGTACTATTCTCTCCGGAAACACTGTGATCCCAAATCTCGGGCCAAAAGAGATCAACTAAAAGACATGTATGGTGGGATCGCAGTCGAGATGGAAGCTGCGGGAATCATGGCTAGGCTACTAATAGATGTGACAGAAGAGTTGAGTGGTTCGATCCTTTAACATCAAATATGACGTGAAATTAGAGAAGTCTGCTAAGCGGAAATATCGGGCGCTCTCGTCGCGAAGGCTTCCCATTTTACCCCTATGCTGATTGAAATTGTGTGAACTTGGGCGCTCGGTCCAAACGAACTTCGAATTGCCCATCATTGTTAAAAATGCCCTCACTCAAGTCGATGACCGCCTCTAAGGCAGACTCTGTGAGATCAATCGTTAAGATAGGCCTCTCCTCAATGTCATCGTCCTGTTTCTCCTCATTCCACGCGGCTATCACCCGGACCTCGAATGAAATATCTTCGTTGCCATCAGAGAGAGCGGAAGCAATGTTTGCCCCTCCCCATTCGACCTGGTCTAAAACATGGGTAACTAGAGTCAGACATGGAGTCATGGGTGCGGGATACATGTATACAATCAACAAAAGGGAACTAACAACCCCCGGCGTAGCCGAAGACTTGATTAATATCAAGCTCTGCATAAACCCATTCACCGTTGTTATTTCGAAGTTCACCTTAAAGACGCGCGGTGAACTTGTCGGACTCGTCTTCAGGTCCGCAATAAAGTTCGAGATTTTAAGAACTTTCGTTGAAAGGTCTGTCGCACATACCAGCGGTGTTTCGGCTAGGGGAGAAGTTAGAATTAGGGGGTGAGGCGAATCTAGGAGAAGGGACCGACGCAGCACACCTTTTGTACTCCTCAGCTAGATGATCTGCTCCCCCACCCCCACCCCAAACTAAACGAAAAATACGGATATACGTGCATACGTATATATTTTCCGTGATCAACCGAAGATTGGGCACCGTGAGCTGAGAGTTTGTGTAACCTCGATGATGTGCTCCGAAGGCGGGGTAAACCCTATAAGATCTACGTTAGCCAAGACAAAGAAGACGGGGACTAGCAAAGATTATGAACTCGATTGAGAGACACCGAGGTTGTCTGTAAATAAATCATACATAAGATCGCTAATTTACATAGAGACCCCAACCAGCCACGCCAAGAAAAGATAAAAGAGATAAACAGAGGGAGAGGGACGCCAAAACGACAGCGCTGAGATGATGCCCAGGACCTATTCAAAGCCAAAAATAAAGAAAAATATCACAAGGGAATGGAAGGTATGCAAAAAATGAAACATGAAAGAAGGTAATTAGCGAATGCTCTGTCTCCACCGATCAATAATCTCCTGCTGCGCCGGGTCAACGACCTGTCGAGTCATATTTGGTCCACAGCCAGCGGGCATGGCATAAGCCATACCACCCGGTACGCCCATCATCATGCTATTATAGGCTTGGGCAGCTGGGTACCCCATACCGCCGTATCCGTAGGGCTGTTGAGCGCCCATCTGGTAGCTCATGGAAGCTTGATGGCCCGGGTTAAGGGGGGAGAGAGTGCATGGACATGCGGTTGGCATATTGTCCGGACATCATGTTCCCATAAGGAAGGACGTCATGTGATGATTGGCGGGCGATGTGTTGAGCGGGACGAGTCTGCGGGAGCGCAGCCATGCTGCGTCGCATATGTAGATTCTTTGCATTGCCGCGCAGCGGGGCGTTCTCCTTCTGCAGGCGACTGCGCCTTTGAGCGAGCGTCTCGTCCTCGAGGGCGTCAGCGGCCGGAGTGGGCTCGGGCTCTTTAGGCGGGACTCCAGTTCGAGTGTCGATTTCGGCGAGGAGATCACTGGCGAATTCGCTATCTGCCGGATTCTGTCCACGGAGCCGTCTCATGCGTTCGGCAAGTGTCTCGCCTTCGTCGCCGCTGTCAGCGTCCGGCTGTCCAGCCTCAGGTTGAGGAATTTCAGTCTCGTATACCGTGACTGGGCGCTTCTCCAGAACTGGTTCGCCGCGTAGTCTGGCCCGACGAGCGCTCAATGGTTCGTTTTCTTCTAGCTGTCGCCTCTCCATCAAACCCAGAGGCCGCTCTTGGTCATCATTCTGGACCTGGTCGGGATACAACATAGCTAGCGGAACATCGTCATCATCTGCGGTATCTTGATTGTTCCATGCCAGAGTGACTGGTCGTCGCCGTCTCTTATCACTCTGTTTCTGCGCCATTGCATCCATCTCCAATAGAGTCGAATGCATGCCCTGGGCCTGCGAGGCAGTAGGAAGAAAAGTTCGCTGACGCTGTTTCAATTCCTGCTTTCGCAAGTCCAGTTCAGCCAGTAATGTGTTTGGTGGTCCCACGTAATCCACAAATCCTTCCTCTTCCTCTTCCTCCTCGCCACTCTCTACCGAATGCTCATCGCCTTCGGTGTCGCTGCTGCTGGATCGATCCGAGTCATGTTCATCATGAGACCGATCTCGGTGTCCATCGCGCGAACTCGCCGACCCTTCTTCTTCATCACTCCCATGACGAGTACTGTGGCGTTGACCCATTGGAATATGCGAATTGCGGTCTGTCTTTGGTCTGGCCGGATCTTTGTAGATCGTCTTGCGCTTCGATTGTTGAAAGACGTACGAGCCAACCTGGCCAGCGTAGGGATGATCGGTAAATGCTGATACGGGAGCGTGCGCCGAGGCGTCGAGGATACTATCAAGCGTGGCAACGGCCGAGTCCTGCTTCACGTCCACCTCGAGGGTGGTACTCGGTTTATCAAAGAATAGACTGGCGCGAAGTTGAGGTGGTATCTTGGATCGACGTCTGTCCCTCTCGCTGTCACCTAACTTGCTCTGCTCCGATCCGGCCAACAGGAGGGCGGATTTCCTGTCTTCGGCCACGATATTGGTCAAGAGCTCGGTCCGGCGCTTTTCGCGATCGGAGATTGGCTTGCGAGACAGTTTCGGTGGAAGGTTAAGCATGCGGGGGACTGGGGCAGGGTAGTACACCATGTTCTCGCCCGTCCGCGGCTCCTTGTACGATTCCGGCTTGCTCGCAAGGGGCGGCTGGCTCAGGGACAACTGACGCCCGGAATTCACGCGGTCCAAGGGCGTAAAATGGACGCCATCGAAATCGGTGAAGAGCGTCCGCGCTTGTTGGAAGGTATCCCCCGAGGCGGCTGACGCTGGCCGCTCGATATCCTCCTGGACCTCGCCATGTCCATCGTACTGGTTATAGTAAGGGTCGTGCGGTTGGGTATAGGTCGGGGCTTGGGGAGTGGGAGCAATGGCCGACGGGGCAGGCATGCGAGCCAAAAAGTGGCCGTCTTCGTCGTGGTCGGGCTCGGGTAGTTGGGCGAGTCGGGATGCGCCCGAGACGGAGCGCTGGCGCGTGGAGAAGGTCGATCCGTGGGAAGCAATCGTCGCCGGCGAGAATGCTCCATTCCGGAGATTGACGGAATTGGATGCAGAGCTGCAAGAGCGTCGCTTCTGCTCCTGATCCATCTTGCGAATTTCACTAGCGATGTCTGCTGAACTGGAGCTAAGTTGCTCGGCACTTTGCTCCAGGCGCGCTACATTGCCCACGTACGCCCCCTGAGATGATTGTAGATCGGGAGTCGGGTGAGTGATGGGGAGGTCGCTCGAAGCGCTGCGTAAAGGGGGTTCGGGAGGGGAAGAATGTCGCGCGACAGCCGTGTTTAGCGGAGGAATGCGGCGTAGACTATTGTTGGATCTGTTGGATGGCTCGGCGAGGGAATGATCGGCGTCGTAGTCATCGGCCTCGTAGTCATCGGCCTCGACAATATCGTAGCTAGCGGTCGTCATGGAGCGGATCATCGAGCCGAGGTGACCGAGGCCTTGATGGTCGTCGCTTTTCGCGGCTTCTAGCTGAGTTCCTTCGAGTTGGTCGGCATCGTGAAGTTGCCGAAAGGCAGGTGAAGCAGAGCGCGAGACATCCGAGTTGGAGTCGGAACTAGAGGCGACCTCGTCGACCTGTGCGACGGCGTTGTACGCCATGATCGACAACGATAATTCACCCGTCGCAGGACCGACTCGGTCAGATTGGAAAAGAGATCAGTCGAGACGAGAGGGTGAGACGTAACTCATCAAAGAGAAAAGTAGGACCGGATCGAGAGGCCAGGAACCAGAAAGAAAAGGAAAGTCAGGAACCACAAGTGGAACGGGGTGTGGACGTGGTTTCAATTGTGTCACAGTCCCATGGGAATAAATTATTTCCGGGGGGGGCGCTGCTAAATTTGGGTTATACTACGACTAAGACAGACCCAAGTAGTAGTCTGTTCTTAATTTATTTGATTTGACCCTTGGCTGGTGGCTTTTTTGTGCGGCTTTAGGTCGAGTAGCGAGGTCTGACTCGTGAATCAAATAAAAAACCTCTATCTGGCATGGGGATGCGCCATCGAAAAAGCCTGCTCATCGAAGTAAACAGGCTGATCGAGGGGAAAGAACCAAAAAATCAAGGCACTGGAGAAAGGCCAAGCCACACGATGTCTTGGACCAGTCGAGACGAAAGTGGAGAGTGGGGGGGGGAAGAGGCAAAAGAGGAAGATGCGCACGGTCTGGCCAGTTGTGGGCCACTGGTTCGTCCATTTCTTAGTTTATACTTGTACAGATTAGTTGTATATTCAAGTTTACACTTTTCTTGTTTGTAAATGATTTCTTTTTCCATCGGGCTGGTGCAGGTGCATAATCAAACAGAACTATCCTCACTAACCCCAAGGCTTAGGAAGGAAGATCAAGGTCAACCTACCAATCTTATCAAGGCTATCTCTCAGCGATTAACCTGAGCTAGAGATAGACAATGATATACAAGATTAATATGTGGCTGGAAGCCTTGTCCCAATCAAAACTGTTACAAACAACCCCCTAGCTTGGTCCTACAACCATGTCCCGCCCGAAGCCTCCTTACTAGATGGTGGCTTCCGGCTTATTGCAGTCAGCAACGGCACATCACGGCCACCTACATGGAATAGCGGCGATATACACCACGTTTCTTCCAATCGCGTGCATCTCAAAGATAAGTAAATGCTTGGCAAGGCAAAAGTTGGGCCAAAGGCGGTTAAGCTTCGATCAAAGCGTATCTACACTCCTCCAGGGAAGATACAGGACACGAGAAATGAAAGTTTTGCAAAATGATAGTACAGTACAACACTCAAGATATTATTTATCACAAAGAAAAGAAAAAAGGTGAAACGAACGGACTCGATACCATGTCGAGTAAAATAAGAAGGGAGGGGTTAGTTAGCACCTGCATGACTGTATGACCCCACCTTTTCAGGGCTTGACAAAGGTCAAAAAGTCGAGTGACAGGTCACTGAAGAAACTGGCTCCAGCCACAGTCTCGGGGTGTCCAGCCGCAGTCACATTGCAGTAGTCAATCCAGTTGCCAGCTGCCTTGCTCTTCTTCTGGATGAGTGCCAGGTAATCCGACAGCAGACAGCTCTTGCCAGGACCGCCGTGGCAGTTGGCAATCGGGTAAACCGCATCGTTGAACAACACCCGAATATAAGTCTCGTTGGTCGACTTGCGTCCAGAAGTAACCTCGCAGTTCAGAGTCTCAAAGGCCACGGTACCGCGCATGGTGATGAAATGAGCAACGTTGTACAGGCGGTTCGCAGGGATGTGAGTATCGGGCAAAGGAGCCTCGTTGTCGAAAATACCCATGGCCGAGGTCATCTCGGCAATCTGGTTGTCGTTCAGGAAAGCCATGATCAAACTAGGGATGTCAAAGCTGCTTCCATCCGCAGCAGTGCCCTTTTGACCGGGGCCCTTGCTCAGGAGGGTCAACAGGCTCTCGAGGAAGGGTAGGAACAGCTTGGGTGCGGGACCGTCAGCGCCTGGTCCCACGCTGTAGTAGTAGCTCAAGTCCTGGGAGTAGGCGTAGTTGCGCAGTTCATCTTCGGTGAACACACCGCACCAGTCACTCAGACGACCGGTAATCTGACTCTCGTACCCGCACAGGTAAGGGAAGAACAGCATGTCTGTCTGGGTGAAGGTCAGGTTGCCGCTGACCAGAGCGTTGAGACGCTTCAGGGCCTTGGGGGCCCAGGTGGCATCAACTGGGAAATCAAAATTAGCTTATGGGATTCATTGCGGCTGAGATCAATGCGACTCACAGTCGGTGACATTGTTGCCTCCACTGGAGGTAGCAGCGAATTTCGGGCACGAGTCAGAAGGGCCGAGGGAGTTTCCGATGGCGTTGACGGAGCCAGTTGAGTTGACACTGACCACCGTGCCGTAGGTATCGGCGAACTCGTACAGATAGCCGTTGACAAAGGCACGAGCAGTCTGAACGACACGGGACTCATTGATCGGGTTCTTGTACTGGTTGGCCCAGACGTAGAATGGGTTGCCGTCCTCGTAGAAATCGGGGTCTATCAGTGATGGTCAGGACGTGTATGAAGAAAAGATGGATGGGATACACTGCTTACAGCGACCACGGAGTTGGTAGCCAAGGTCGGTAGCCTGATTATCATTAGCTCCAAGTAGATAAAGTTAAAGCGGTCGCCGACACAATTCATACCTCCTTCCATCCAGTCATGGACTCCTGCGCAATTTGCAGGGTTGGGTTGGTCAACACGGGGCTCCAGTCCTTGATGAAAGACAGCGAGCCACGGGCGTCAAAGCCCTTGCCATTGACGGCAATTTGGATCTATAAATGTTATTTTCTCATGTCGCGGCCACACAAACAGTGAACTTTGCGCGGGCATATAAAATAGCGGAAACCTACCTTATCCTGGATACCAACCCACGAGTTGTAAGATCCAGTATCGGGGAATCTGATGCCGAAGAATCAATAATTTGTCGCAATCATACCATTTTAATCTATCTCTTACCGACTTCCGTGTCTCACAACGTAGGCAGCCTGCTGAACAGTACACTTGTCAGGCACGGTATTCTCCACGCCATTGACATTAGGTCCCGCAAAGTACGGGGTGTTTCCACCAGCATACTGCAACGGGTTCTGGGCAGTCTCGCTAGATGGGAACACGATATCGTTGGCGGGAGCCAGCACCGCGGCCTGGCCACCAGTGGCCGCCAACAACAAGGAGGTAACGACAGTCTTGGAGAAGGTGTTCGCCATAGCTAACACCAAGTCTTCCAAAGTTGAAAACAAAATTTTGATATCAAATTGAATCCGGCCATTTCTACGGCGATCCGTGCCTCCTATATACCTCTTGCAAAACACCGAGATGCCCGGAACCTGCGCTAGTCGCCAGTTAGCCGCATTTAGTGTTAGCGGGGGCACCGTAAAGTCTTCGGACCTATTGCCGGCCCACGTGTCAGTCGGCGACATTTAACCGAGATGAAGTCGAGCGTGGCACGGAGAAATATACAATCTAGAAGTTCTTTTGCGCTCTTGGCTTCATGGGATTTTGGCGCTAGTCTGGCCCTACTGCGATTAAGGGTAAACTACGGGCCAATTGCTTGATTCGGTGCAAGGAACGTGTTTATGGAACAATCGGAGAAGTCATCGCTTATATTTCTTCTTGAATTCGTGGCGGACTCTTAGATTGATATGATAAAGTATCTGGAGAAACTATCTGACAGCTTACGCAACGGTGGAGTTCACCGTAGTGTTAAGGAAACTCTGGCCTAGCTTTGAAGTTGCGGACGTCTTGAAAGCTGACACGCTCTCTTCGAAGTTGGAGAATATAGCACCAATAACGGATTCACCGCATGAACTCTCTTGAGTCACAGCGCTGCTATCATCACGCTTTTTGAAGTTGATACCTGGCGAGATAGTCACACAGTTGTACTGCGCCTCGGCCGCTCGAAGTTGACAAATTTCGTCCGTTTTACAGTCGCCCGTGCAAGAACTGACATCCCAACCGCGGCTCTTGCGAGAAATATAATCCTGGAAGACGGAGTCGTCACTCTCAAACAGTGCGGTGACATTATGCCAGAATTCCGGCGTAAGCTCTGCGGCACTATCAGTGACAGCGGGGCTTAGGAGAGAGCCATAAGTCTCCTTAACGGAGTAGTACTTCTCCCAGGTTGGCTTCGTCTGGTAGGTAGAGCTAGACATGTTGGTGATGTAGACGGTATAGTCCAGGACACCGAAAGTCACCGGGTCAACCGAGTAGACACGGAAAGTCGGGTTGCCAGATGTTGGGGTCAAGGCTGGCGCAATATAGGACATCATGGTGGCAGTGCTGGCAGATGGGTCGGAATAGTTCGAGTAGGCAATTTCAAACTCATCCTTGTGCGTGTGGCCATAGAAGACTGCCGCAATAGTGGCATCATAGCGCTGGATGATCTGATTGAAGTAGTTGGACCCATCGTGGAATGCATCGCTTGCTCCCATGGGCATGTGGCCAAGAAGCCAGACTCGCTCACCTGCAGTCTCGGCAGCGTCGAGCTCGGTGACGAGCCAAGCAAGCTGGCCATTGGGATCAGACTGCATTGTCTTCTCGTAGAGCCAGAAGTTCTCTTTGTAGTAGAAGTTGGTGTTGAACGAGATGATGCGGAGGTTTCCATTGGGGTATTTGACAGAGTAAGAACCATAGTCATCAGCAGTGGTTGCGGCTGTCGATCCAATCCATTGAGTCCAGTCCGAAGAGAGGGTATCGTAAGCCCATTGGCTGGAGATGGTGGTATCAATGTCAGATGGAGGGAAAGAGTTAACGGGCGCGACATCATGGTTGCCAATGACACCGTAGACCAAGTCAAGGTAAGAAGGCATACGGGCGTTGTATGCGTCATTCAGATCGTTGGTCACTTCAGTTTCGTTGACAAGCCAGACTGCACCCTCGACAACATCACCCGTGAAAATGGTGAAAGATGCGTCAGGCACAAGGCTCGCAATTGCTTCATACATGCTCTCCTCAAGAGTAAGAGGAGAATCGCACTGGTGATTGCCATACTCGCCAGCTGGGTAGCTAGTGTTTCCGGGCGCATCAGCAGAGGTGTATGGACGACAGCAAATATTCTTGGTGCAATTATAACTATCATCTGTTAGTGACGAGTTGCAAGATATCACATCGCGATGGGAAAACATACTTGGCACCCGTCTCGTATGAAAGGTCAACGTGAATATCGCTGATGTGGACGACTTGGATAGGGGTCTCTCCACTGGAAGCCGGACGCGAGGCATTGGCTGGCTTGGTAGATGGGAAGTCCACTGTGTATTCCGTAACAGCGGGATAATCGCATAACCCGAAAACGGTGGAACAGAATAGTTGTGCGGTTGTCGAAGGAATGTCCATGTTGCGAAGGTCATGGGCGAGGATGGGTCCTTCACGAGAGATGGCACCGTCGCAGACATCGCTATCCTCAACCTATGGAAATTGTCAGCACTTGCTGCTGTAGAGGTATATCGGCCAACTTACTCCTGCCAGAATGCAGACTTCGGTGATTACATCGACAAAGTCGTCATTTCCCAAATGGGCGAGAGCCTGAAGCACAACGAGAAGGGCCTATATGCCAGGGTCAGTATTTTCTGTATCCACGGGTGCTAGTCTTTGGCATATTTTGAACGAATATTGTACCTACCTCGCATGCTGAACAGGTGACAGCATCTTCAATATCAGTCAATATTTCACTGACGGTGGTGCTTCTCCTAGCAAGCGATTTGCCTGGAGATGCAAGGGCTCCTCCAAGAAGACCTGCAAGGTAAACCCATCGCAGAAAAAACATGGTGACTAGCACTATATCCTGTAAGGATGCTCTATTGTAGCTGTTAAACCAAAGCGCCGATCGACGGGCTTTTAAGTCGGGATACGGATGGATCTTTGGGTGATCTGTACCAGACCTTGTACGACAAGCTCAGCAAGCGAGATAATTTCTCCGTCGCCTAACATCGGATCCAGGGTCATAATAGATGAAAATCTCTCGCTTCATGGCACGTTCCTTTCTTTTAAGCAATGATTGACTACTCTAAACCGAAGCGGAGTTCACGGCTTCATAACGTCACTTGTCACGAACGCGTGTCGACAATCTTTTAGTAGTGATTGGATCGTCAGGAGATCAATAATAGGGCAGATTGTCTTAGTTTCCCTCTAGATTCTCCGGATACACCGGTCATTTTGCCGGGAGTTGCATTAGTTGGGCGCTAAACGACAATCTATACCTTGAAGAATATAGACGGGACCAGGTACCCACGGGGGATTTACCCCTTTTGATGGACGCGCTATCCCCGGCTACCCGAACCGTTTGAATTCCCCGCTTAGTGTTCTGCACGCGCTGCAGAAGGATGGTCACAAGCTTTTTTTAATCTATTCAAGTAAGCCACGGATGCCTTTTTTTCTGTCGGGGAGCGAATGAAGTGGGTAGGTTGGGCGGTTAAGCCATTCCAGGCATCAAAGCGCATACACCAAGGAGTGTGCACTATAGCGACATTGAAAACTAATCTGAAGAGTGAATAGCCTTTTTATTGCTGACTTTTGGTTAAGTAAATGAGGCAATCATTTCCCTTCTATATTCAATAGCTATGAGAAAGATTATGGGGACTGTAATAGTCGTGGGCCATAGTCCGAATAGATGTGTCGGCTGAGACTGGGTTACAAGCACAATCGTTCGTATAATGCTGACAACTTGAGGTGATTTTTAACCATTCATGGGCCTTGGATATCACTGCAGATATAAAGCAAGTGTTATCTCGACTTGGTTTCAAATGCTCGTCACTTAGCTCATGTCAGTCACTGGGCAGCGGTAGGTAAAGCTGATCTGTGATTCGGACTTTATCTGATTCGGCGCTGAATGGACTGCTTGGATCATTGAGAGCATTTAACGAGATACCTAAAAGCTAAACTAAATTTGGAAACATCGTAACCTTGAAAACTACTACAGTTCTAATGGCTCGGGCTGTGTTTCCAAAATTCGTCTGTGTTATTGCAAGTTTTCTGGCTACCAACTATGTAGATCACTCAGTTGTGGGACTAGTCGAAGCTCTCTCGAAATTATGTATAAGTTTATTTGTAGATAGTAAATACTTTATTACCTACTCAGATCAAAAGATGTAAACCTGTCAACGTTTCCTTGTTCAGTGGGTTAGGTAGCTACCGTAAAAAGCAGGAATCCTGAAGCTAAATGGGTGGTCATAGGTCCGAAATATATCTAAATTCGATCCGACGCAGTCGATGTCAAAATACCGCTCTACCTGAGCAATGAGGGGAAATAGCGCGGCAACAGGCACAAATGCCCTGTATTCACCTCATAAGTCATAGAATATACTTGCAAGACGAGGAAAAAGCCGAGCTGAGCTAGATCCCCGATGGCCATTTAGGATATACTGTCGATAGGCTAGAGACTTCGTCATTGTTCCAGCAGCCCCGAACGACATTTTAAAATGAGAACAATGAATACACAATTTGCATGAAAACAATAAATGATTTTGAGGACCTAGTAAAATTATGCCTAATTTCACTACAAGAATCTAATAGTTCCGTATTCATTTAGTGATGCAGGATCACGTGACAGACAACATGATCCCCGATATGGAAGCACCTCAAGCCGTGGATCGCTCCACGTGATCACGCGCCGACAAACGCGTTTCCAACAGTGCATCCCACCATCACTCGATCACAACGGCCAGCGCGGGGATCTCGATTCAGCCAATGTACCAAAATGTCCTACTACGACATTGATTCCATTTTGACGGATGCCCAGGTGAAATTGGACCCCAGTCCGGAGGTTTCACGCCCAGGCCACCGTCTCGCCAGCTAACACGGTCTGCTCTAGAAACTCCCCTGCACATTTGAGTTGGAAGTCCCCGGACTGGGAATTCTAGAGGGAAACCCAGGTGAAGATGTATGCCCTTTGAATCTAACGGTGTCTACTTGTCATTCGATTGCTGATGTATTCCAGATCAAAGCGGGGACCCGCATCGATCTGCCACTATGGCTGGGTGAAATGCTTTCGATCGGGTGAGATTTCGATTCTACGATCCTTCAAGAAGAAGGCTTTTTTCAAGATCTATTTTCTGACAGTCGAGGTATCTATCAGTGCGCGACTAGGGACGTCCCGCCTGGTTACGCTCGATATGCCGGACGCGCTGGCAGAGCGGGTGATGAATGCTCTCAAGGCTGATCCTCGGACTGTTGATCTGCGTGCGTTGGCGCCACATTTCTATACATTGAGCGAGCGTATCTTGGAGATTTTTGAAGAAGAGGAGATGGTTGATGTCTTGATTGATGTATTTGCTATCCGTAGACGCCGTGGGATAATTACGTCTTTACTGACCGTCAAATCCAGACCTTCAAAAAGCGGGCAGCCGAAATTTCCGACCATGCGCATAACCCACGAGGGGCGGTGGGCGAAGGAGTGGATTTTCTGCGTGGCCTGGATGAGACTGAACGGCAGTGTAAGTGGCTTGAGCATATTTTGCGATTGATGGTCATTATGACTGACAGATCTAAGTATTCCGTGCGGCCCATGATCGGGCGAAGGAGGTACGAATTTGGGCTGGAGAAGCGAAGAAGAAATGATCCTGGAAAATGCAGTACAAAGGGCACAAAGTGCTCCGTACGGAGTACGGAGTACTGGCCTTGTATCCAAGCATGGGACTGGTCACCTCGGGCTGAGCTGTGCTCGTCCACTTGAGTTGTGACCCGTTGCCGAATAATGAGATCTATCGTGCGGGGATCAGGATAGAGAATCAACGACATGACCTACCATTAATTCCTGTTTTCGGTCGGCAAATGCTATGCTAGGGGATATTAGTATATCTACTTAAGATAATTCCGCTATATGATTGGATCTACGGTCAATGATCATACTGTCGTAGATTAGTTATTAGGCAGTCCCGATCTCAATGTTCCGCCGTTATCCCAGCCTCGCGTGTCGGATGTGACGTGGAAAAAGCGGACCGATTTGACAGCCGCCGCAGAGGGGCCCAAGCATACGATACGTCCACTTTTAAATTCTAAACTAGAGTATAAAGGATGGAGGCTATTACATTTAGCCCATCCTGTGGATGTTTTCTAGTCTTTTCAAGGCATGATTGGTAATAAGTTATCACAAATCTTGCAGACACAGCAGACACAATAGCGAGAGCCTGTAGCCACGCGACGCACTGCCCCGACGGTTGCTTTTTCTTGTGTCCGATGAACGGTTCGCGGCATCCATGGGTCGGACTGGGTGGAGACTCAAGGGGACTAAGAGTTTACCGAGCGATAGTTGAAAATAAAAGAGAAGAAAAGGGTAAGAAGTTGATGGATAGGAAAGTAATTCTTATGATGTGTATACTTTGAGGACAGTACTTGAGTATACCCGAGACAATTCCAGTACTCCGCAGTTAGTACAGAACACACAAATTCATCATGATGGGATTCACAATACAATTCTCGTTAACTTTCCGCCAACTCTCTTAAACTTTTCAAGGAATGGAGAGAGTGTTTCATTTGTCCCAACTTTTCAGGTCCCCTCCCTCAAAGTGTCCAATGATAATTATTGGCCCCCGGAAATTCGCAAGCGCAAGGGAAGCTGAGACGGTCTTATCCGCGGGGGACCATCCGATTGGTACCATTTTGATGCCAGGAACCAGCCACTAAACAGTCCAAAGGGGCTGGCTGCCAGAGGCTGGGCTTAGTTTCAGTTTTTGATCATGATTTGATCATGGTTTGATTCCTCGTCTGGTGATTCGATGTGTACAGAATAGATTTGTACATTTCATGTATCGTACAATTCCCCTCCATTCTTCTACCTCTCCCATTCCAGTCTGCCCCATAGCAACCACAATCATCAACTGGCTTTAAGTGGGGGGAGATTCTTCAATACCTCCAATTCCTTCGTGCCTTCCTTTTGCTTTTATCAACCACAATCGGGGCTGTCCGGTGAGGTACGATCGCAACTTGACTCGTCACAATCCCCTCACGTCGCCCATCCCTATCCATTTTTACCTTCTGTTTCTCACCCAAACGGCATCTGCAACTCCCAGTCCATGACTGGTCTCGGCCGTGTGGATTAAAAGAGGGTCTCATCTCATTTTAATTTTTCTTCCCTCTTCTTGGGAACGCTAGTGGCCCTAAACCTTCGATTGTCTCCACTTCAGGTTCGCCGCTATCGAGCTTGACGTGCTGCCCTTTTCCCCCCTTCAATTGTGCATCCCTCGCTTCGCGCAGTCAACCTTTGGTGACTGGGCAACCTCTCCACCTCCCCTCCGATCATCCAATACATTGTCTAACCTTCCGTCCAATTGCGGTATCCGGGTGCGCGACTCCGTCAATTAATCTTCCGATGCTAGTGGGGGAACCGCTGCAATCGACTGCTTTCGCCTTGCTCTGATTTGCCCAGCGCAACGACTGGTGTCGGTCCACGGCTGAACTGGGGGTGACTATCGCTGCGTCAAGCATGCACATTAGCCGGCTATGGATGCAGCTATGAAGGATGCGAAAACTCAAAGGCGCAGTTCGGCTGCCCCGGCCGCCGCTTCCCAGTCGAAACGCTCGCAAGACCCGGTATATCATACCGACGCAGTGCCCTCTGCCCGCAGCGCCTCCTCCAAACGTCGCTCAAGCCGTATGTTGGCCGTCCCCTTCTCGTCTACACCTCTTCGACCTGCCTCTCCTTTGATTGGACTGACCGTGCTTCCTCCGTGATACAGACAAGACCGAGAATACCTCCGAGCGTCCACAACACCCGTCCCTTTCCCGTGTGAAGGGCAGATCCAATATGTACACACCGCCACGGCTTGCAAGTGAGGTTTCATGGTTGAGGGATCAATCGCCAGTCCATGCTGGGACTAGGACACCCCCTCAGCAGTGCAGTATGTCCCCTCGGACGGTGCTGCATGGGTTGCTGTGCAATCTCGACGGGTAATAACTAACGACCTCACAGAAACACCCGATATCGGTACTCCGACCTTGGTCAATCCAGCATCTACACTCCTACAAGATCTCCTCAAGGAACAGCGTGCACACCGCAACTCCCGCGGAACCCTTCCCGAAGATTGGGAAGACCTTGGTCCAAGAACACCGGATGGTTCACGAGTGCAAGACGACTCGGCATCGGAGAAAGGGAGAAAAGTGAGCGAAGCCATCGCCACTGGGCAGCGACAACCGAAGGAGATGGGCATGCGAGAGATGGATCAGGTGGGTCCCCCTCGGTTGAACCAAGATCTGGGCACAAAACTGACCCCTCGTCTCAGTACGTTTCAAAAATGAACAAATTGAATTTCGACTTGAAGCTCGAGATTCACCACCGCTCGGAGCAGATGAAGCAGTTGCGGGAAAAGGTCCAGCGCATGGAGGAGATGGAGGCCGAGCTTCATCGCATGCACAAGCTGGAAGAGGAGGTTCTCGAGCTACGAAGTGTGGAGAAAAAGAATCAACGACTGCGTGAGGAGAATGGACTATTGTCTCAGGAGCTCGAGAAGCGGAATGTAGCCGTCACCGAGGCGGTTCAACTTATCTGCCAGCTCGAGGCTAAGATTGATGAGCTCGAGTCGGGTGGAAGGACGTCGCAGATGTCGATGAGCCGGTTGGTACTTGATGGTCCCAACATTACGACCCCCAAAGGACAAACCGCATTTGAGATCCCCGAGAGGACCTCATCGAAGCGAAATTCAGCCGCTTTCACCCGATCTCTCCAATCGAGGTCCGCTGAACTACACCAGCTGACCAAGGCCCCGTCTTTCTTACGAGATGACAACCAGAGCACTGCAACTTTGCGTAGTCTCTATGCCCCCGAGAATAACGTGTCTCACTCGGCCGTGAGTGCTCTGACCAAGTCAGAGAGCTTCACTACTCTGGACCGCTCACCCGAATCACCTCGGCTTAGTGTTCTAAGTGAATGCAGTGAGCTGGACCCAATCGGTTCCACGTCAGACTTGGATGGATACGACCAGTTGGATATTCCAGTTCGTCGAGCTTCATCTACAGCTAGCAGCTTGGATAGTTATGTTCCCCCAACTTCACGCGAGGAGAGCAAGGATTACCAGATTGATCGCTGGATGGGGTCGCAAGATGTATCCGATACGATCATCCGACGACGACAAAATCGGGGCTTATCGCACAGTGTAGGTCCGACATTTGGAGGTGACCTCTATTCGAAGAAGTCTGCACGCGGCCGTCCACCATTGGACGCGCTTTTCGGGAGCGCAAGATTACCTCCAACTCCCGACACGATGAGCACGGCATGCGCACCGGCCAACAACGGTTCCGACGGCAGCATCGCAGCTCAACGAAGCCCCCAACAAGGGCAAGACCGGTGGTTTGCAGGTCGGCCCGTTGAGCGTCATCGTTCTGCAGATGAACTTGCCTCCAGACGCAGCTTCAATGGCAGCGAGAGTATCCAGACGAACTGCAGTGATACGCCTCGCCTTGGAACCACGAAACCATGCTCTCCAACTTTCCTTCCGTACATCAACGTTGCCGACAAAGCGAGCGCGCTTCTTGGGCCTGGCAGCCCTAACCATCCATCTTCTCCTGGCTTGAGCGATCCCTTCCGCCAGATCAGCAACGACGATGCGGTGCCATCGACAATGACACGCCACGAAACTCCGACTAGACCTCACCCAAAGTCTGTCTGCCCTGACTTTGGAAGACCTGATGGATGGGATTCGCCCTCTCCTCCGCTGACACCCACAGACTGGGTTGCGGCGGCAAAGCAGGGGCCTCGCTCTCGCAAAGAGTGCAACCCGCCCCGGACTATCAGCCAAGCAGCATTCCACGACAACCCAAGCATCGCCTCCTTCCCAACCGAACCTGATACCCCACGAATTCCAACACTGGACATGAACACACTTGACATCCTCGAACAAGATTTTGCAGAAATGCCCATAGCAGAGTCCTCTAAGCCCGAGCCCGAGCCCGAGCCGGCCCCGGAAACTCGACGCCGCATCAGCTTCAAACCCCGCTTCTTCCATCGTAATAACAACACTAAACACGTCCAATCATCCCCAATTGCCAATGAATTTCATGCTACCGAAGATGATGAGGAAGATGGCGCTCCGTCACCCATAATTCCAAAGACGAGGGCACCTGGCAATGCGCGACGCCGCCCCGTATCCCAAATAATCACCAGCTCCGCAGACATTTACTCCTCCAGCCTACCAACAGCCCATGATCTCGACACTCCATTCGAACATAAATCCCTGCATCAATCCCTTATGGAGTCTCGAAGCACTGCCATCGCTATGAATGGCGCAGCCACTATCTCGGGCCGTCCGAGCACCTCACACAGCACGGAGACTCATAAGCGTCGCAGCTCACTCAGTATCTTCGGGTGGGTGAAGGGTATGACCGGGAAGCGCTCTGAGCCTGCAACACCCGTGAAAGCGGAACGGCCCAAAGCTAAAGAGAACGATCCTAACTGGGCCGTGGAAGACGATCTACCGCGTTCAGCGACCCCAGAGTCCTTCAGAGCACCCATTGTGCGCCCACGCTCGGAGATGACCATGTACTCGGATGACCAGGGCCGTCGGCCACGATACGTTGGTCGGCACTCGCGACGAGTCTGAGATGCTGGATAGCTGGGCTGGTTTGCGTGGCCAAAACAACTCTGATGTGACAATCCCCCTTTTTACGATGTACTTATGGATACCCCTACCAACACACATGTATAACACACACCTGCTGGGACAGAATTCCTGAGACTGGGTGCTGATTCGATATTTCCAACTATTTTTCACTCTTTATCTGCACGCCTCGAGGCGATGCTTTGAAACGCTCTTTTCCTTTGTTACGCTGATACGTGACCGGACTTTGTGCTTTTGGATTGTGATTGAGAGGGGCCTATTCTATCCTGCTGGTTCGGGATGGGAGATCTATGGATTTTATAGAGTATTTTGAAATAGGAAAAGCGAGTATCTAATGATCAGCATAAATGACCCATTGAATTCATCCTTGTTATACCCTATTAGTTACTGCGTGCCCTCTTTATCTTGCAACGTTTTGTTTTGCTTCATTTCTAGTTGAATAAGATTCTTTTCGTTTTTATACCTAGACCTGGTCACCATAGAAAAACAGAAAACCACCAGTCCCATCCAAGTTGCGCCTGACTCTCAATCTTATTCATGCCCGCATGTCTTCGAGATGTCACCAGGTTTCTCTCACCTCTGAGGCCCATGTCACCACCATAAGCCGTCATTCCAATCCGAGTCGAGTCAAAAGCCGCACCGCAGGCAGTAAAAAACACCAAGATCTTGAGATATCGTACATAGATCATATACCAAGCACCAAACCAAGACGCCGGCAGACTAATACCAACCATGCCCACGCTCCCCCTTCTTCTCATTCTTCGGATTCATCGAAATAACTCTCTGCCCAGGCAATGTATCCGCCGTAAACGCCGCCTCAAAGATACTCGCAATACCACGCTTCGCATAATGCTCATGCCCAAAGGAATCATAATCATCCCTCTTCCCATTAATAGCACCCCACTCCACTCCAGCCGGCGAGGTCCCATCGCCCAGATCCGTCCAGCGGGTTATGACGATCGCCTGTCTGAATACCGTTCCGCGGGGATCACTCTTGTCCTCGGAGAGTTTTACCTCGATCAAGTATTCGGATGGACACTCGGGGCAGCGACGCATGGGTCGACAGAAGCCGCATAGTGAGGTTAGGGCGTTGGGATCGAAGCGGTTGCCCTGCCATCGGTCTTTGACTTTGTGTTCTAGGCCCTGGAGGCCACCGTTGTCGCGAGGTCTGGGGATGTGTTCGAGCGCGCATTTACAGGCGGGCATGAGTTCGCCGTCGCGCCAGTGCGCGCATGCAGAGAAGTAGGGCCAGTAGTCTTCGCGGGAGTAGAGGAGGAGCCGTTGGGCGGAAGGCGTGAGAGCTGGCGCGGCAAAGGTCTGGCTAGTAACGCGCATGAGTAGTCGACCTTCGTGGATGAAGAAGCGTGATGTAAAGGACCAGCCGTCTCGTTGCCAGCGGCGGCCCAGTTCTTCGGCTTGAATGCCGTATTGAGGGCCGAAGCGGAATGCGCGCATAGTGAGTTGGACGAAGGAGAAGGGGATCATGCGACCGTGGGTGATGCGGCTCTTTGGTTGCGGATTGAGCGAGTTTTGTGCGTTGGGGCAATTGTAGAGCGGGTTGATGACGTGGGATGGTTTGATGCGCTCTTGGCCTTCTTGTACTCGACGGTGGTATCGTTCGCATGGGAAGCATAGTAGGTGATGAGGTAGAGATTGATTGAGTCCAATGAGAAAATTGAGACGGTGATCCGAGTTCTCTGGCCTTGCCAATTCCCGGAATGGCCGCGACCCCAGTCGACGGAATAGCGTGATGCTTGCAAACGCTAGGCTCGCTGCATCCGCTGGATTCAAGAAACTCGCAATATACCTCCATGCCCCCGAAGACAGCTTCGCAATATCCCCTTCTCCAGGCTTGCGACGCTCACTGCCAATCTGCGCCGGCCCATAGCTCTCATCCAGCTCTAACAGGCCCAGCGAGTGTATCATAGACGTATAGTCGCGACGCTCGCCCAATTGCGAGTCCAGCTGCGCATGTGCCTGCATATACTTCAGCCGATGGGCCTGGAGAGGCGCCAAGTCGGGCATTGGCGGCGGGGGCTCGTCGGCGCTTGGTCGTGCGGCAAGCCGCAGGTCGGTCATCGAACGGCTCAGGCTATTTTTGCGGAGGGTTTGGCGCGATTTCTTCGATCGCAAGGCATTGGAGAAGAATGACCGGATGCCCGGCTTATTCCCAGGGCTTTCGGCGGACATTGTGGACGACGGCGTGGGAGGATGGGTAGAGGGAAGGGGTGGTTTCGAGGTTCACTTTGAGGCTCTCCCGAAGGACCCGTTGCTTGAGCGGGACCGTTTCGGTGACGCGCTTACATACGCTAAACTCGGCCCGCAGTGGGGTTTGATACGCCACAGCGTGTGGCTGGAGCTTGGTCTATAAAATAAGCATAAGCAACGTCCCCCATCATGGTGAACTCCATAGCACGATAATCAAATACAATGCGCAGGACGAAAACAAAAAAAAATAAAATAGAAAGAAGACCGAACCCGGGCCGCCCAGGTGGGACATTGGCCCCGGTCACCCGCTAACTCCGCCCTACTGGCCATCAGGTAATTAAACCCGACGATCATGGAGAGAGTGTGTCAATTAGGCGAGTGCATTGATACCACCCGGTTTCGAACACCTCCCACTCGCCAGAGGTGTGCGGTAAGTCTAGTGTTTTACCACTAGGTTACCAAAGGGTCTTCTTGCCAATTTGGAACTGGAAGTGATCCTTAGCTTGTCAAGGGCAAACAAACAACGTTAGTTCGAACCCCACCTACCCCACCCAATTATTCGATATCCCTTACGGATTCATGGACCTGAGACTCAATATCTGTAGAAAGGCTCTGTCTTCACTGAGGCTGTTGGGGTTGATATGGCTGTATGACAAAAGAACTCAAGACGGGCAGCCAGAATATATGGCAGGCTGGGATCATAGACAGTGAAAGCAAACCAATTGTTAATCCATAACTGTTTACTCCGATGACAGCGTGACAAGGGCAAATAGGAAGATCGTCAACATATGGCAATGAGCACCTCCAACTTTCAGTCTGAAAAAGGCTACATTTGGCATCACAAGGCTGTTGATAAAGATTCCAGTTCGTTCACCACCCATATTCCGCATGGAATATGGGTGGAGCATCCGGCATTGATTGCAATACCTCCAACAGGAATTTTGGAGTCGAAGAAGTAACTTTGTCTTAGCACAATTCACTGAAAGTATCGGCCGCTCGTGTCGTCGGAGTGCTCTAGCAACAGACCCTCCGCGCGATTCGACACGAGACTTATAGCAGTCAAAGGTATATTTGCAGCTTAGTGAGAAGCATATTCGATCCACAATAGGAAGAAGGGCAAGAATAGTTGTAATCAGTTCTGGTGGAAGCGTTTCAAAGATATTCAGTTTCGATCGATGGTTGGTAAAAGAAGAGTGCAGTATAGCACGAATTCTTCTACCAGCATTGAGGCTTATAGCTGGGGACATTTCGGCGGCACGTGTAGCGAGTACCTGAGATTGAATGATGATTAAGGGCGTAAAAATTGACATATTGAAAATAAATAGTTGATCTCACTATTATTTCGGTATTCCCACGTCACACACTGCCTACTATACCTATTTTGTGCCTCCGATCTATATGAAGAAGGGTGAGCCTCACTTCCTAGGAGAATGGAAAAAAGAGACAGCCCGATGCCATAATCGACTATCACAGTCAATATGTGTTCTGCCTTTCTGGGCTTATGTACGTGCATCGACGACAGAAAAATTAGGCGACACATGGGTGAGCACGGCGATTTGATTTGCTTGTTGGATTAAATGGTAGGCGACTCGCTTGTGAATCGCGTGAAGCTTGCCTCTTTCTACTCAAGAATAGGTGTCAACTAGCTTCAATGAGTCTTAAGCACAGAGAGTATTACACACTAGCATTTTATCCCACGGTTCGCCATGTTCTGGATGAATCTGAGGCGCCTCTAAGCCGATACTTGTTCGAGATTGGCCAGTAGCCACCAGTAAGCCGTAATCTATCGTGTTGAATACTGATAATTGGTGTCGCCTTATGTGCCCTATCATTAGTTCGATCTCGTAGTCAGAGGCGTTGGATGAGAAAACATGTCCGAGCTCTGCTGCTGCCCGCAATGCTTAGGAGACCTGACTCGAATTGAGGATCACGACGTACTTTCTTCGTCGAATCTGCCAGGGGGATAGCTGAAATATTATATAGAAATACCGCGAACAAGAATTAGTTGAATCTCAGCTTGTGCAGAGACGTCCATAAATATAGATTCAGCTATGGGTAGACACGCAGCACATAGCCCATTTTTGCCAGGAATTATCGAGGAGGGAAGGATCCAGCATGAAGCTCGCAGCTTCTTTCCCTATAGGTTCCCACTCAACACAGTTCGAGAAAGGAGACTGCCCGCAATCGGATGTGTCGCTGGGTTGGTCTTCTGAATTGAGAGATGGAGATGCAGACTTCAACTCGTCTCCTCTGACAGAAATTGGAAGAAAGGGATCTGCAATATGTGAATCTCCCGAATTCCAATAATCCCACATATACTGGCGGTAGTTATGGCATGACTCGAACCCTCGGTCTCCAAAGCTGCCTAGAGTCTTCTGGCACCAGCCGAACTTTTCGAATCTTTCGAGGTTGATGTAGGCTTTACAAGCCGCCGCAACTCCAAACATCACCATATGAGGGCCCAGTAGCTTGTTCTTTTCCTGAACAAAGAACGGAACAGACCTGATGATCTGATCTGCATAGATTTGCATCATAAGATACTCTTCATCGAGCGTGTGGTCATTAACACGCTCTCCGCCGTGCTCCAGCGATTGAACCAAGGTTCGCGCTCGAGAGACCATAGGCAAAATGATAGTCATCGCTGTGCAGTAAAGAACGTGCAGCAAGGCATCATCAAGTGAGGCAAAGCTGTACGGCCTTCCGAATATGACATCTACCGGTTCTATGTCGATGCAGCGGAATTCGTTTGTCGCATCGAGTGGCCCTCCACCAAATGTCTCCGTTCGTCGAGCATACCATTTCAAAAGGCTGCTTTTCTGTGCGAGGCATGCACCAAGAAGGTTTTGGCATGCTTCATGATTTGACTGACGAACCGACTCGATGTCTGCACGGAGAGGAGTGAACTCCGCGAATATGTTAATTAGTTCCACCAAGGGCCGGCCCTCGCTTGGCTCGCGACAATATTCGTATTCTTCTTCACTTAAGCCACTGCCCATTGTTAAGCAGATCTGAACGAGCGAGTTCGAGTTAGAACGACAGTTCAGCAATACAGGTCGATGTAAAACTTCTCAAACTTACTATTCGAAACTTCTGCCACTGGTCATAGATAGCATCGATGATTGGATTTGTTGATTTTATGTATTGATAATGCTTCATGATTGCATTCGTTCCTGCTACGTGCGCTAGCCACGTTTGAAAGCCCTGTGGACAATGGCAGTTCTGACCGGCAGATCCGAAGAGAAATCAGCGGATATTTCTCGATGGGGATTTCCTGGTTAAAGCGGGATATTACCTCGATTTCCTGAAAGATGACCGAAGTGTATATAATGTCATCCGTATACATGTTCTGACATATCATGCTCGACATATCCTGGATGGCTTGATTGTATAATTGAAGCCCGTGCCCGAAGACTCGACCGTCATTTTTGATCTTCCCAAGATAGACACATGAGATAGCGGTGATCGCTTTGTCCAGCATGGGAGTCTTCTCGGGAAGCATAAAGAAGCCCTCAACAAGAGAACGCCAGACTTCAACTCCGTCCAGCGATCCAGAGTGATAGGATGGAAAATAGTTATCGAGATACAAGGAGAAGATCTGATCTCGGTTTATTGAAGCAGCATCAATGGCCATTATAGGTGTTACCACATGTGAAGGGCGACGGAGTATCAAGGAATCGAGTTCCTGGTTATTGTGGCGGATCAACTCGTGTGGTGACATCTTTTTTCCTTGTCGAAACGTCTCCTGATGAACGTTGAAGATGTGGGTTTTTTGATATCCAGGGCACTCAATGCCACGTTTAATGCACTTTCCACATGCTGGCTGCTGTCCATCACACTGTTCCCTTTGCTATCAGCGACAACGTTGAATGGAAGGTGGTTGTATCATGTTGACGGACCTTGATTTTGCGACGTCTACAGGCACGGCAGCCTTTTGATTGCCAAGGTCTTCCGCCCATTGCGTTGGACTTCTGTACAAATAGACTTTATACTTGCAAGCTGGAAGAAGGGTAAGATAGCGGTCTGGAAAGAAAAAGATCAAGCGGCAGCCCTGGAGGGGTACATAAATACTCAAAGCTACACCTCTGAATCCACCGAATCAGCTGGATCTGCATGGGGGCTGGCCTCCATTACTACTTGCATAATGTTTCATCAAGGAAAATGAAGGCCGTTTCTGCGCCCCTCATACTATTTGGGCCTAGTGTTCGCCCCCACTTCAACCTTCCAGATGGCCGTGGTTCTCGCTTCGGGATAATTCTTAGCGTTGGCGTTTGCCAGTCACTATGCTAGCGCGAAGCTTGCGTGAATTGGCTACTGGCTAAGCGAAATTCAATCCCGGTAGTATTCAGACAGTCCCAACATCGAGCACTTGAATCGAACCTTAGCAACGACTTTGGCCTTAAACCATACGTGGGAAATTTTTGGCTCATGTTTTTTTTTTCTTCCAAAGCTACAAGTCATGTAGTGCCCACTGTCAGCTACGAAGATCGACACTTAAGGTTCGGATCTCTAATAATACGAAAGACGTGAACCTTGATCTGATGCAGCTGGAAAGACGCTAGTGTAGTGCCGATACTTACCTATTTGGGTAATCGAGATGTTGCCCCCACGAGGCATCGCGCTCTATGGCTGGGGTCGCCCCACTCTACGCGAAGGCGTTCTCGACTACTGCCGCAGCCACTTGATCCTGATCACGTCGGCCCGCATTCTGCCCCATGATTTGGTATTTCATTTTCATGATTGTCTCGATTCTGGTCAATCAAGTCGCGTTTTCGAATATCAGCAGCTGTCCCTAGTGACATATGTTGACTAGACAAGGGGTCGTCACCGGAGCTGAGCGGCATTCCACTGTGGACAAGCATTATTTCTAGCTTAGGACCAGGAACGACTGGCTTGTTGAGGGATTCTACTGGCTCACACTTCAACAGAAGCTACGTACTGCATGCTGTCTTTAGATTAGGGTCACTGTCGATAAGTGGAATAGGGCTGACAAGATGGCGATGCAACGCACTCTTCGAAGGTCACCGAGAGCCGTTAGCGAGAACCGACACTGCAGATCTGCAAAATGAGGTGCATATTGATGTGATTCGTGACAAGTTAGGCCTGGTTGTCGTCATCTTCCTGGGTACCTATGCACATCATCCAAGTACACGACGATTGGCAGGCAGCATGGATAATAAGCTCATAAAGCTCACAAATAACCGAACGACTGCCGGTTACAGCCATGAATCCTTCTGGTCTCCGCTGCTTCCTGCTCGATCAGTGCAATTGAACTTCGGCCCTTTACTCCAAACTAGGCGAATCCTTGCTAGACTATGCCTTCATTTAAAGCCCGTCAAATGCATGGATTTCTATCAAATTAAGGGATCATTCACAATTGAACCTGTACCTTGACCCAATAACATCACACGCCCTCCTCTAGGGACTTTCCCAGATCGCGTGTCTGCTTCCGCCCGATGCCCAGCTTCTTCCGCAGATTGACAGACCTCACGCGTGAAGCTCTCTTTCTTCGCCGCCGAGGATAATTTACCGGGCTCTCACCACCCGTAAAGATAACAGCGTCGTATATCAATACGCCAAATAAAGCACCGCTAATATCTGCACACCATGGCCCCCAAATCCACCATGCGTGAGTTTCCCGGAAGAGTTGACCACCCCATCCAGCCATAAGAGCGACGAGTCTTGGTCCGAAATCGCGAGCGCAATTGAAGCATCTGAGCCGGGGAACTGTGAGCTCGCGACGTTCATATGGGTTAGAGTATACATACCCGCCAGTGTTGTAACCAAGTGCGAGAATCACAATTGAGATCAGCACTCCCACGACGAAGGCGTTCATTCCCGCTCCAGGGGGTGCATTGTTGTCATCTCCTAATGCCATGATAACTCCGACCAGAATGGCACTGCCAATGAATTCAGTGAAGAAAGCCGTTGCTGGATGAACGAATTGCTTTGGAGCAGTAATTAGAGCTTCGGCGGCAACACTCTGACTTTGTGGCACCTTTGCTGTGGCTGCAACCTCAAGAATTGCATCGTGGTATACCGCATAAGCAATTCCTCCCGCAGTAATAGCTCCGAGGAGCTGTGCAGCAATGTAAATCAGGGTCTTACGGGCGGGGAAGCCTCGAAATACGGACAGCGTAATTGAAATGGCTGGGTTGAGATGGCCACCAGATACACCACCAGTAGTATAAATAGCCACCATGAACCCGAAGCCCCAGGCGGCACTTTGCGCAGGGTAAGAACCGGCCTGGCTGGATGAAGTGAAGTTGGATAAAGTAGCACAGAGGCCGATTGTCATTGCAAGGGTTGTCTGTGGTCGCATACATTAAAACCAGTCGTTTCCGTATAACACTGGGTCTGATTACTTACTCCCAGCCATTCAGCCAGTGGCTCCCGAAGACAATGCCGGACTCTGGACCATGTGTTGAAGAATCCATCGTTATTTTGGTTTGTTGGCTGGTCCTGTTTCTTGCCAGTGTGATCGTGCCCCACGCGTCTGTCTTCTTTGCGATCCTCTGGCAATGCACCATGGCGCATACCTGGCCTGACGATATGAGGAAGGGGCTGTGATAAACTCCAGACTGGGGTATCCTGCTGCTGGTCATACTGAGGATTGTAGGCTCTGTAATCGCTGCTGACATAGGCGTTGCTATTTGGGTTCTGAGTATTAGAGCCTGCTAAGTTAAAGTCTGAGTTGTTGCCGACGGCGTCGTTCTTGCTGGCAGCTTCTTGAGTGCCCTCGGGTGGCTCATGTTCATTGGACTGCACGATGTCTGGAGAGTACCTTGTCAGCATTTCTATAAATCTCACTCTCAAAGGACGAGAGGGATTGAAATTTAATTATACCTCCGACATCATTGTCCTGACCAACAGCTTCTGTGGATGGCATAGTGGTAGGAGGAAAGCAAGCGAGATTCCGATAGCTTGATTGAGAATAACACTTGAACCCATTCCATTCTCAAAGAAACCGAGTTTTATATCAAATTCTAGAGCTATCAAACTTCGGTTCGCAACCTTGGAAGCGCGACCCACTCTTTCGTCACTGTCGATCTTAAACCTTAGATAGACGAACATCCCCTGAAATGTTCTCATGGTGTCCACTAGCGAAGACTCGGGGTGACGTACAGTAGGGTGGAGTGACAATTGAATGCCCGATTGACGTAAGAACCTTCGAGTGAAATGGATAAGAAGCTGTCGGTAGCAATGGCCACCATGACTAACTACATACTGCTTCGGGTCGAGCCGCCATTTTGAATCTCGCACTGAGGTCTGAGGTACTTGTTGCCACCCCGAGAGGAGTTATGACCCACTATCATCATCAAAGGAAAGTTGTTGAAGTAGGAAGAGGCGATTTGATCTGGGTCGTCATATGCATCTGACTGACTACATCGCAGGACGAGAGTCTATCGCAACAGGAGCACATTACTGCTATAAAGCGGTACCGTTGCATTTCAGTTTTGTTTTTATATCCTTCAAGGTCGATCACGTTGATCGAGGTGTCGCGAAAAGCACCTCTTATGGTGTGATTAACAACTTCGTTCAGTAGCCTCGTGCGAAGGACATTCCGATTTGTGGTCAGTCTCTCTCCCACGAACGATTACGGTCTTCGGGAGAATACTCTGGCTGGAATGTACTCTCGTCATTTAGCCAGGAACGCAAATACGAGGGGGCTAAGTGATATATAGAAAATTTCTGGATTGGGATTGGCATGTTAAAATACAAGGGTACTTTAAAGTGGTAGTTTTGATACGTCACTGTACAGGAAGCTATTTAAGAGAAGCGCTTCTCAACAGCCTTCCAGTTGATGACCTCCCAGATGGCCTTGAAGTACTCGGCCTTGCGGTTCTGGTATTGGAGGCTAAATGTGGGGTCAGCAGTGGTCCCATCTCAACATTATCGTGGATGCACTTACTAGTAGGCGTGCTCCCAGGCGTCAACGCCGAGAAGGGGCTGGAACTGGCCAACGACGGGGTCCTGGTTGGCGTAGGTGCGGATACCGATCTGGCCGGTCTGCTTGTCTTTGACGAGCCAGGCCCAACCGCTGCCCTGAATACCAGCCAAGGCGGTGTTGAACTTGTTCTTGAACTCATCGAGGCTGCCGTAGGTGCTGTCGATGGCCTGGCCGAGGGAGCCGGAGGGGGGCTCACCACCGCCGGCGCTCTTGGGAGCCAGGTTCTCCCAGAAGAGGGAGTGGTTCAGGTGGCCACCGCCGTTGAAGTTGATCGCGGGCTTCAGGGCAATCTGGGCGGAGATGTCACCCTTGGCCTGGGCCTCCTGGAGCTGCTCAATGGCGTTGTTGTAGTTGGTGACATAGGTGTTGTGGTGGTTCTTGTGGTGGATCTCCATGATCTTTCCGGAAATGGAGGGCTCAAGGGCGCCATAGTCGTCTGCAGTTGCGGTTAGTTTACCACTGCTTGTAGTTTAATTTTGGCCGGTATAATCCCGAATACACCGAGACACCATCACTTACAGGACAGGTCAGGCAGAGTAGCCTTGCCGCGGGCAAAAGTCAAACCCGCAGCTCCGGCCTTGAAGGAAGCCGAAGCTCCCGAGCGCAGGGCGACGCGGGCAGAGGTGGAGAGGAGAGCAGCCATTGTGAGTATGTGATATTAAACGTTGGGGTTGGATCCAAAAAGAAAGGAATATCAATTCAATCTAGCAAAGGAGAAAGAAGGAGAAGAGGGACCTCCGAGCTATGAAGTAACCGAGCTTAACGTCATCTTGTTTTCGTCCACTCGGATGCGGGTTGTTCCGCCCCGACATCCCCACGTGAATTTCACTGAGCTTTGCTTATCGCAAGTTGAAGCTTACAAGCTACGAAGGGGAGCTTTTCTGGACAGGGACTCGAGATTGTGGTGACAGTGTGAACACCATGGAATCTCCCTCGTCTTACGCTGGCCACAAGCGCAAGGTCGACGACATGAGTTCATCAGACGAAGATGATGCGCGACCAACCACCGGTTTCCGTGGCTTCGCCAGAGCCCGCGAGCGCTCCGAATCACCTCCTACGATGGGTGGCTTGGGTAGCGCTGCCCGCAACCCTTGGAAAAATATGGCCAACGCAGCGCCAGCGGCACCCCTCACGGTGGCGCTGCCCCCCGTGGAGGACAAGGCATGGGAGGAAACTCGTTCGCCGCGCGCATGATGGCCAAGATGGGCTACGTGGAGGGACAAGGACTGGGTTCTAGCGGCCAGGGTATCGTCAACCCGATCGAAGCTCAGGCGCGACCACAGGGCGCTGGTCTCGGTGCTGTGCGGGAGAAGACCAAGCAGGCACGAGATGAAGAGAAACGAGAGGCCGCGCGCCGGGGCGAGTCGATCGAAGATAGCTCCGATGAAGAAAAACGTCGACGACGCAAGAAGAAACAGGAGCGCAAGACAGAGAGCCGCAGTGGCACTGGCACACCGGTGCCCCGACCCAAGCCCAAATTCCGAACCGCACGAGAAATCGAAGATGCTATGGAAGGTCTCGAGGTGCCGAATGTCCTAAAGTCGCTCATCGACGCTACCGGAAAGGAACAACGGGTTTTGACTTCAACGGCTGGTTTGATGGCATCACAAGAATTCGTCAGCCAGGGCGAAGGAGAGGCGATGAAGATCGCGCGACGTGCCCGTACCGACCTTGAGGCCTTTGCAGATGAATGGAAAGGGTTGACCGAGAGGAAGAAATTCATTGAGCTAGAAGAGGCCCAGGTGGTTGACGAATTGGATGCGTATCAAGCCCGACTCAACCATCTTACTGGACTTATTGCTGCCGTGGAAGAGCTGGATATCTTCGAGCACGAGGAAAGCACTGCGTCCAAGTTCAATGAGATGACCGAAAAAGTCGAAGCCATGGAGTCCAAGTATCGGGACATCGGTGACGAATACAAACTCGCAGAAACGGTCGTCGCGGCCATACATCCACTCTTCCGGCAGGCCATGGAAGAATGGGAACCTCTTCAAGACCCGAATTTCCTCGTCTCCAACCTCGCCCGCCTCCAACCTATTCTTTCTCGCCGGACCGAGAATGGAGTTCAACAGCGATCATCGACATCTCCCTATGAAACAATGATTTACACCTTGTGGCTGCCCCGAGTACGCTCCGCACTTCTCAACGACTGGGACGTTTACGATCCGAATATTGCAACCTCGCTAATAGTTGCGTGGAAACCTATCGTTCCAGCTTTCGTGTATGCCAACCTCATTGACCAAGTGGTTGTTCCGAAGCTTAGCGGAGCTTTGAAGCAGTGGAAACCCAGGAGCAGCCGACGACACCCATCTCAGCAGGATGGAAAGTTCCCTTGGTGGTTGTTCACATGGCTAGAGTACCTGGGTGAACGGCATACTAACCCCAAGCAGCCCACGGGTCTGATGTCGGATACAAAGAGGAAATTCCGCGTGGTATTAGACTCGTGGAGCCTGCGCCGGGGTCTCATTAATGGCATTGAGCTTTGGCGGGACGCTCTCGGCAGTGAATTTGACGTCTGCCTACGCAATCACTTGCTACCTCGTCTAGCTCGTCACCTTCGTGAAGACTTTACTGTGAACCCTCAGGAGCAAGACTTGACTGCACTGGAAGACGTGCTGCGCTGGAAAGATTTCTTCAAACCTAACGTGATGGGTCTGCTACTAGTCTCCGACTTTTTCCCCAAATGGCATGAAATTCTTTACATCTGGCTCACCAACGATCCGAACTATGAAGAGGTCGCTACTTGGTTCACCTGGTGGCAATCTCAGATTCCAAAGGAGGTCAATGAACTGGCCATTGTTGAGGATGAATGGAACAAGGGTCTACATACCATGAACCTCGCTGCTGAACTTGGAGATCGCGCTGCTGCGGAACTTCCACGCCCAGCCACAACTGGCCGGACCGCACTTCCTACTCGGCAAGATGCCGTGGCAGAGGCAGCAGCGGCCGCAAGCAAAGCAGCACCCGTGCCTCAAGCCAAGTCTGCAATTGTGGAAGAAATTGCATTCAAGGATATTGTGGAAAATTGGTGTGTGGAACAAGGTCTCATCATCCTTCCTTTGCGCGAAGCACACCCGAAGAATGGATACCCTCTATTCCGCATCACGGCCAGTGCAACAGGCAAGGGTGGCGTGGTGGCATACCTACATGGTGAAGTTGTATGGGTGCAGAACAAGAAAGCCAAGGATGTCTGGGAACCAATGGGTCTAGAGGATTCTTTGGTCGAGCGTGCTGAGGGACGTTAGTCCATTTGTAGCCAAGAACAGATACATTTGACCGTGTTAGATATGCTCAGCGATGTTAGAAACATAATATACCCCTTTGAATTCTTCAGCAACGATCATGGAGGAGTGTGCCGAGGCTTGTCAAAGAAGTAAGAAGTACTGTGAACCCCCGCATCTCACCAGGAAATTTACCGACGGCACCCCACTAGGTCAGGATTTTGCAGATACATGTTCATCCTTTTAGCCATTACCAGGAGTCGGAGGGATAAAGACTTCCAGGGACATAGAGTACAAAGGGGTTACGCTCAAATTTAGAGGGACTACCGACCGGCCCCCACTTCGCCAGTGAAGCAGCCGAGGAAGCAGCTGTCCGATGTCTCCTCCCTCATCTTTCTCCTCGTCTATTCATACGGATTTCGTATAATGGGGACTGCAATAAGAACACAAGAGCTTTCTAGCCAGCACGAAACCTATGCCGTTTCTCTCAGTGCACAGGGCCAGCAAGACCAGCCGTCGTATAGGGCAACTTCGAACCCAATAACTGAGTCTCTTCACATGCAGCCTGCCCCTTCCACAGAACACGAATATCCAACAGGCTCTAAATTCTGGTGCACCGTCCTTGCACTATGTGTGGTTATGATTCTAGGAGGCCTAGATGCCAACATTGTCGCAACAGCAGTGCCGAGCATCACTAACCACTTCCATACTGTTGCTGATGTGGGTTGGTACTCATCTGCATTTCGACTCTGCACCTGCGCATTCCAATTTGGGTTTGCGAAGATGTATAAACATTTCTCAATCAAGATAATCTTCTTGTTGAGCAATGTCATCTTCCTCGTCGGATCCTTACTCTGTGCCACAGCTGCTTCATCCACTATGTTCATTGTAGGCAGAGCGGTTACGGGTCTAGGGTTCTCAGGAGGGTTGGCTGGATGTTTTGCCGTCATAACGCATATTCTACCGCTCAATAAGCGGCCGATGTTTGCGGGTTTTATGGCGTGTGTGGAATCGCTTGCAATCATTTCGGCGCCTATAGTAGGCGGGGCATTGACGCAATCTTTGGGATGGAGATGGTGCTTCTGGTAGGGCAGTCTCGTCATAGACATGATCAAGGAAGCTTCTAACTGGATCTTTCTCGCAGGATCAACCTCCCTATTGGTGGTATATCGCTGGCGACCCTGCTTCTGCTTTTCTCAGATCCAAGAATCAGGGAAGAGGACGACCTCACATTTGCTCAAAAGATCAGAGAGATCGATCTCATCAGCAATTTCTTATTCATCCCATCCTTGACAGCACTCTTCCTTGCCCTATCTTGGGCTGGAACCAAATACCCTTGGTCAGATGGAAAAGTAATTGCATTATTCGTTGTTTTTGCTGTTCTTCTCGTCGCTTTTTTCCTCAATCAATACCGACGTGGAGATTCGGCAGCACTCCCTTTCCGCATTATCAAAGACAGAAATGTAATTGCCGGTTTCGTCTTCACGACGTGCACTAATTCGATGACGAACGTTTTGGAGTGGTACTTACCAACGTACTATCAGGTCGTTCGATCCCATGTATGATTCCTTGGCCAGCGTCCGAACATATTACACTCATTAACATTCTTGATCTTCTAGACCCCGAGCGAGAGCGGTTACCTCATGATACCCATCCTTGTTGGAATGATGCTCGGCCTCTTCCTTCAGGGTATTGGCACCACGACATTCGGCTACTACGCCCCATTCATGATCTTTGCTTCCGTGTGCATGCCAATTGCGGCGGGTTTGATGACAACATACAATTTGCACTCGTCTCTAGCGGAGATTATCTTGTATTCGGGATTCGTAGGCTTCAGTGGAGGCATCGGCTTCCAAGGCCCTCAGGCGGCTATGCAAACAACTTTAAGCACCGCAGATGTCAACCTTGGGATCGGAGTTATCTTGTTTGGTCAAAGCATGGGTCCGGCCGTGTTCATTGCCATTGCACAGGTGATATTCACGAACGAGTTATCGTCAAGTTTGAGAAATGTTATACCTGGTTTGTCACCTGCGTATATTGAAGAACATGGACTTGGCGATATTGTGAACGGGCTCCCTGCGGAGCAACTGGGTGAGGTATTGAAGGGCATCGATCGGGGCTTGACGCTCACTTGGTATCTGCCTGTCGCTTTAGCTTGCACGACCATCGTTGGTAGTCTTTTGATCGAGTGGCGCTCTGTCAAGCAAAAGCAGCCGTGAAGGGGAAGACACAAGTCCAAAGTTTCGGATATTAAAGCTTGCAGATATCTCTGTCCCCTGTTGTGAAAATGGTCCTCCTAGTCAAACGACACTAAACCTTGGGCTCTGGTGTATGTGTGTCGAAAAGACTTTCACATATGTAACCACCGTGTCTCGCCAGGAAATGTGCCGAAGGCCCCTTCGTCTAATTAAAGCTTCATAGTCATATATCATTTATCCAACAGCAGGGCATAGAAAATAAGTTTTCAGTCATGTTTACAGTTGCCGAGTTTGCAGCGAATACAGGATGACTGGGCAGTGAAGTAGGCAAGTCGAGGAAACGGGCACGGCATCTTGAATTCTTTCCTCCGGACGGCGCGTCACAAGAAAAACGCCAAACCATCAAGCCTCCTCTCTTTATTTTCATATGCAGTAAGCTGCCTCAGCAACTTCCGGACCGGATTTCTCACATCCAACACTATAAGCAGTAGGTGTATACCTATTGTGAGTTAAGCCTGCAATTAGCCCGCATGCCCCACCGGCATATTTCCCCCTCAGTCAGTCGCTCACAACACTCTTCATCTTCGGGACAATGATGTAGTATCTATGGACTGTTTAGCCGCCAAAGCCATTTTGCCGGGAAATTAAACTCTAAGTGAACCCTTCAGAGAATTGTCCACAGATAATCATTTCCTAAAGGATGGATTCAACTCTTGTTTCGACATGGATATGGCATCCTTCGGGCCTTGTGACAGTTTAGCCGGGTGTCAAAAGTAAACACTTATTAAGGCAAGTAAATGCCAATTTTGAGCAGAGAGCTGTATCTTGTCTCCAAGAATTTTCCGTCGAAAAGCTTAAGGGCCTTTCTAGTTTGCGAAGCAGCCTATATTCTCGACATCAACCCCCTCTCTCAATACTGGTCTTGCAGGAGTATCTCGCGCAATGATTGCCAGATCACTTCTGTTCTTGCCACTGTTATTCATGGCAATATGTGGCTCCAAGGCTAGCACATCATTTCAAAACCCGGTCATCTTCAATGATCTAGCGGACATCGACCTCTTCCGTGTGAAAGATACTTTCTACTATTCTGCATCAAGCATGCATTTCTCCCCTGGGGCTCCAATATTGCAGTCCCAGGATCTGGTCAACTGGAAATACCTTGGCCATTCGGTACCTTCCCTGGAGTTCAACAGCCCAGCGTATAACTTAGAAGATGGAATGCGAGCCTACGCCCGGGGTGTGTGGGCTTCAGCTATGCGCTTCCGACAAAGTAACAATCTATGGTACTGGGTCGGTTGCGTCGACTTCAATGCGACATATATCTATACCAGTTCTGCAGTTACTGGTCCATGGGAACAGAAGACTGTACTTGACGGTACCTGTCTCTACGACTGTGGTCTACTGATTGACGACGATGATGCCATGTATGTCACGCATGGTTCGACGGTCCTTAGCGTGACTGAACTTACTTCCGATGGTCTTGACTTGGGGGAAACACAAATTATTTACAATTCCACCGTCGGCTACGTTGAAGGTTCCCGCATGTACAAACGCAATGGGTCTTATTATATCATCACAGTCCAACCAACCAATGGGCAGTACATCTTAAAGTCTGATAATGGTCCCTGGGGTCCATATGATTTTGGCGTCATTCTCAACAACACCTCACCGCCGACGAGCTTGAAAGGTGGCGACACGCCTCATCAAGGCGCTCTGGTTGACACGCTAGATGGTCAATGGTATTATATGGCCTTTGTCGATGTAAATGGTGATAGCACTGGTCGGGTCCCAGTACTTTCTTCATTGAACTGGGATGAAAACGGATGGCCAGTCTTGACCTTGGATGATGGCAACACATGGCCCCAAAGCCTCCCATATCCAGTCGGCTCCGGCGCAACTACTGGTAATTCAGACTCTTCTCTTCAGGGAAAAGACACTTTTGCTACAGGAAAGCTTGATAGCCAATGGGAGTGGAATCATAATCCTGATATGAAGCGAGTCACGGTTACCCCAGGTGAAGTCCGTCTGTCTACAGCAACAGTGTCCAAACTTGACGACATTTACCAAGCGCGCAACACATTGACACATCGCACTTTGGGACCAGCTTCCGAAGCTATAATTCTACTAGACTACGGGAACATGGCCGACGGCGACCGAGCTGGCCTGGCGTTGTTACGGGACAGCTCGGCATGGATCGGGATCCGGAAAGATGGAGACGTTTCCAAGCTTGTGATGCGCAACGATATGACCATGAATTCCACAGATAACTGGTCAACTATTACTTATGGTACTGATGAGGCTAGCATCCTGGTACATCAAACTGGCAAGAAGCGGAACATATACCTACGGGTGGTTGGAGACTTCAGTGCATCAGGAACGCGAGAGGCACAATTTTCATACAGCACAGATGGCACACACTTTGCGGCTCTTGGACAGAACTTTACAATGGCCAATGACTGGCAATTCTTCCAAGCGTATCGATTTGCTATCTTCAACTACGCTACTAAGGCTCTTGGGGGCAGCGTGGGGTTGAAAGAGTTTTCTTTATACTCTGTTCCCGTGTGATCCCATGGCTATTGACGTATGAAAGGAAGGTACAGGCAACCGAGCTAAATAATGGTGCGACTTGAAGCATATAACCACGCTTTGTAGTTAGTCCTTGCCAATTGATGCATTGATCCTCAAGTAGCTTTTGTTTTCTTATTAGTATACACTTCATCCATAAAAATCGATTTCTAAGTGGAACCCAATAAAGGGTAAGGATATGGGGCGAATCCCTCAGTCAATATTCTTAGACATGGTCTAGTTTCCTTTACATGCAAGTGCTATCCTGGGATTATCTTGCTTTTCCAGCAACAGATAGAGTGAAGATGGTAGGATAGACCTACCAAACCACCAACATAGGGCTAGAGCCTTAGGGTGGCCGGAAATCTACGTGGGGCTTAAGATATCAGGCTACATAAATAGCTACAGTAGAAGATCTCACGTCGTAGAGATTTCCAGAAAGAAAGAAGAAAAACCTGGTCTTTAAGCCCTAAAATCAAGACTAACGATCTGGACTCGACTGGGTCTCCACTCTATATAGCCTCTGTCTGAAACCGTTAATTTTGACCGAGATCTGCTGTGTAACGAATCTCACGCCATTGGCTGTTGGCGTTGTGCGGAGACCCATTTGCGAGCTGCTTCCTACCGAAGCATGAAACCCGCCCATCGGAGATAATGAATCGGAAATCTAAGGAGAAGGAATTATTCATTCAACACGATCAACTTCAAATGGTGAATAATGCCAAGAGCTCGGGTGACCGCCTAAAGCAGCTAAAGTCCGCCCTACGGAGTCCGCTTTTCTTCTCTTTTTCAATCTCCACCTTTTACAGATCTCCCCCAATGACATCAACTCAAATTCAATCTGGAATGCACCGAGGTGGACCCCACCCACGTCGATCTCCTCATCGAGCCAATCATCAACGATTTAATGGTCAGCATAAGCAACTTCTCCAATCATCATCGCTGGATTTGTTCTAGCAAGGAGCATCTCGCCGCGTCTGCTTTGGAAGCAGAACCTTGCTTTGGCCCCATTATTCGGTCAAAGACCTCACGCTGACCTTTGTATCCCTTCTGATTGGATATGGACACCCTCTGGAAACGGACATCTCCATAATTCTCTTTGGGCTATGGTTGTTTTTGCCTGCGCTAGGTGATGGGGAACGCCGTGGTGGTGGTGGGATAGCGGTAACTGGTAAGCTGGTGGTAGGAAGTTAAAAGGAGGAGGGGAGCCTGGAGGGGGCGTAAGCGTGTCTTATTCTTAAACTTCAAAGCTGCAATTGAATTCCTTTGTTTGTGACAATCCCTGGAGCCTTTGACTGGTCTGTTTCACGACGCCTTTGTTGATCCAATATTGGAAACGAAAGACCCTCTCTCTCCCCCTTGGTGTCCAAGTTTTCCAGACAATCTCACCTTTTGCTCTTCTCAATACTTAAGAGGGCCAACCTCGCGGATCTCCTTCTGCTTCTTCATCTCTCGCGTCGTGAAAACCCTCGTGTTGACGTGCATCGCCCTGACGTCAGCCTCGCCCTTGCCACTGCTCAGATCATCGGAGCTATTTCAGCGTGCAGCGTGGCGGTGTCCTCATCTCCGACCCTAGGGGTTTAAAACCGACTGATATCTCCGGAGAGACCCTTGCGGAAAGTTCATATAAGGCTTCCACATTGCGAAACCGTCTGGACCAGTTACACACGGAACCAGCCACAAAAGCAACAACCATGGCTCTTCTCTTCCTCAAGAAGAAGCTTTTCCCTACACAGGATACCAAAATGCACAGTGAGTAACCTGATCACGACAAGTTTCGCGGGTCTCGTTGCAGTGGTGATGGTGTATGCTGACATAGCTCGATTAGGCAAACCCCTCCTAGCTCGTATCGACGACGAAGAGACCATCCACGGAGACTCGGACCAAGACTTGGAATCGCAACGCTCCTACGATACCTTTGGCCGCTGCGTGAGCCACGACGGATCCACTAGCAGCAGCAGCACGACTCGCTCTCGCATCAACCCGCGGATAATTTCCGATGCTATCCTTGGCCTGTCAGATGGGTTGACTGTGCCCTTCGCCCTCTCCGCGGGCTTGTCTGCCCTGGGCAATACCAAAGTAGTCGTGCTAGGTGGCCTGGCTGAGCTTGCCGCAGGTGCCATCTCTATGGGCCTGGGCGGGTATGTCGGAGCCAAGAGTGAAGCGTAAGCAGCCTTGAACTCACACTAAATAATGACCAACCTTTTAGCTAACACGCCTTCTAGTGAATCATATGAAGCCACCGTCCGCGAAACAAGAGAGCTGATTGAGAGTGACTCCTCCGAGACTCACAACATTGTCCGCGAAACCTTTGCGCCATATGGCCTCTCCCCTGCTGCCATTGATGACATTACTCGGGACCTACATGCTTCTCACGAGCGACTACTCGAGTTCCTACTTGCCTTCCACCACCGCGAATCTGCACCAGACTGTAACCAGGCCTGGATCAGTGCTCTCACTCTTGCCATTGGGTACTTTGTCGGTGGATTCATTCCCCTAATCCCATACTTCATCGTGTCTCAAGTGATGACCGCGCTGTATTGGAGCATCGGGGTCATGGGTGTCACTCTGCTCGTGTTTGGTTATGTGAAAACCTGTGTCGTCCGTGGCTGGACTGGCCATGACAATGTGGTTGCAGGCATCTGGGGTGGTGTGCAGATGGTCTGTGTCGGTGGTGTTGCAGCTGGCGCAGCCATTGCGCTGGTTCGCTTGATTGACACGGGCAGTGCGTGACGCCGTACACGTCGCGGGAACTGCGAGTAGGATGTGAATGATTAATGCCGGCGCAACAAAAAGCATGGGTGGTGTTTGGGTATTTTCTTTACTCTGGTTTTTACCGAGTCACTATTACGATCTAACGGTCCATCATCCATCTATCATTAGGACGCATAAGCGAGCGTTTCTTTCCAGATACCAATGAGACATTATCTACCTTCTTCATGATGAATAAAAACATGTCATAACCATGATCTTGGCTATCAGATATACACATGACCCATAGATATGCCAGGATACATTCCTATTTTAGTATATTTACCCAGCCAACGCCTTTGTAACCAACTCCTTCCCCTTCTCCGACAACTGAATCTTGAGTGCCTCCGCCCGCCCGGCCTCACTCATCTTCCCCCAGCTCTTCCTCAAAATATCCACCATTTTCTCCTCATCCGCCAACTGACTCTCAAATTTATCAAACTGATCATCCAAGAACACCAAGCAAGCGACATCCTCCAACGTCTGCGTGTCCGGATCCCCCTTCCTCAAGTCCGCCTTGCGCACCATAGCACCCACCCTCGCCGCCTCTTCAGCGGTATATCCGCTATCCACACAAATCTGCTCTGCCAGCGCAGCCTGACGCCGCTGAAGCTCAGCACGCCACGAGTGATACCCGATTTTGGTGGCCGGGTACGAGGCGCGGGGAATCTCCCAGCGGCGCAGGTGTTGGGCGCGGATGGCGAGGCGAAGGAGGTCGGACGCAGAGGGATTGAGGCGCTCGAGGTAGGTGGTCATTTTTTGGGCATAGTGGAGCTCGTAGGGGAGGGTGGTGTCGTTGATGGTGATTGTGTTGGGGTCGTCGCTGTGTGCGGCGTCGATGCGCTGGAGGGCGAGCTCGTATTTGGACATTGTGGGTGGAGGATGGACGATGTAGGAGAGTAGGATGGTAAAGAGGTTAGGAAAGGTCTCTGATTTTGTCTGATGAGACTTTTGGGGCCGGGTATGGAGGGAATATATGGAGGGGTTGAGTAGGAAAGAAGGTTGAAGCTGGGCCGATAAGCTCGGTGGGGTTCCCCTCGTAACTGCTAACTCCTCGCTGCTGATTGGTGCCCGACCTAGAGCTACTAGATCTACTATACTTGCCATTCATTTGGACTTGGTTTTCTCGTCTTGGGCATCGTTCGGGTATCTCGTGCCAGCAAAACTTTGCCTAATTGAAATCTACAGCCTGATCTTTCGAAATCTTGCTTGCTCATCATGATTTTGTAGGTGCACTGATCTATTCACCTTTCTATACACAACTTTGTCCTCCCCAATTGCCGCAGACTTCCCAAACATGATATAGTCTAAGCATAGTGAGAATGGAAAAGCAACGTCCCTTGGATCTGCTAATACGTCTTTATATTATAATTTCAGCAACATTGGGCAACCAGCAAAAGCTCTCCAGCCATTGCACGGTTTAGCGCCGTGGAGTCACCTGATACGTGATGGGGCTGAAAATGCGCCCCTCTATCAGCTAAATACCCTAGAGATAACTCCCTTTCACACATCCTCGAGGATTTGATGGATTTTGTGTGACTTGGAACTGATAATGGAGTCTGCAGCTTTTACTGGGAGCAACGCTGGACTGCAGAATGCAATCAATTATGGCCCAATTACTATGGGCATCCATGCCCCCAAGGGTAGGTCTGCGTACTCGAATTTATTCTGACTCTAACTTACTAAGACGCTTCAAATTAGAGGAGACTCCACTGAAGCCCCTCTCAACTGTCCCGTTTCGTCGCGATCCTGACTTTGTCGATCATGGAACACTACTCGAGCAGATTGATAAAAAGGCCACTGTGCCGGGATCAAGGACGGTGCTTGTTGGCTTGGGAGGAGTTGGGTGAGTCTACGTTCAAGAAATCAGATAGTTTAAACAAAAACTGAAGTTATAAAGGAAATCGCAGCTTGCGATCGAATATTCGTATCGAGTACGAGTGCGATCTCCCGAGGCATGGGTCCTCTGGATACATGCGAGTAATGAAGCCCGCTTTGAAAAAGGCTGCAGGCATAATGCCGAACTACTCGGTATTCCGGGTTATCAGGACCTCAAAACAAATTTATATCAACTCTTACGTGATTGGCTACTGAAGACAGAGCGAAGGTGGCTGCTTGTCTTTGATAATCTCGACGATGACGATTTCCTGCGATGTAACTCTCAGCCCACACCAGATAACAACCTACTGCTGCCGATTTGGGAATACTTCCCCCAAAGCTTGCAAGGTTCCATTCTTATAACTAGTCGAAGCAAGCGGGTGGCATTGGACATAGTGGAGGACAACGACATTATCAGAGTTGAACCGATGGACAAGTCTCGTGCGACAGATCTTTTAAAGACGAAGCTTGGAAACATGGAAATCGAGCGCGATAAACATGATACCCTCAGCGATTTGAGCAAGGAATTAGACTTTATGCCTCTCGCCATGGCGCAAGCAGCTGCCTATATCAGGCGAAGGGTGCCTTTCCTGTCTGTCGAGCAATATCTGTCGAAATTTCGGGGAAGTGACCATCAGCAGGTGGCTCGTCTTCTTGTTGAGCATGAAGGCATGAACCTCCGCAGAGATCACGAAGCCAAAAACTCGATACTTATGACTTGGCAAATTTCGTTGGACCATATACAACAAGTTTGTCCTGCGGCAGCCGACTTGCTGGCTTTGATGAGTTTCTTTGATAGGCAAGGAATTCCTGACTTTATGCTTCGAAGAAGTCAGGGGGTATTGACCAACTCTCAAGCAGGGTCCAGGCTACATGAGGATCAAGCTTTCGACAACGGTGATCCAAGCGAGATCACATATAAGCACGGTGCGGCCAACCAATACGAGGCCAGTTTATGTACGGGGTTTATCCTTCGAAAGGTCGAGAACCACTGAAAGACTCTGAAAACGACTCTAGGACGGGTAATACCCACGCCCGCGAAAACAACAACAGAAATGATGATACAAATGGACCCAATGTGACCAAAATATATGAGGACAACATACGTTTGCTATTGGATTTCTCACTGATTTCCATCTGTACAGACGGAGCTAGCTTTGAGATGCACCGGCTGGTCCAAATAGCTATGCAAGATTGGCTGAGAACTCACGAGCAACTGGAATCATACAAAGAGCAGTTTATCAAACAACTTGATTTAAATTTTCCTCCAGGGGAGGATTTCGAGAACTAGGAAACTTGCCGGCTTCTTTACGCTCATGTGAAGCATGCTTTAACGCAGCAATATTCTCCGGAATCCTCGCTTCGCGAATGGGCTTCATTGCTTCGTAATGCAGCGATGTTTGCGTATCACCAAGGCGATGTATCAGAGAGCCAGAGCATGGCTGAAATATCAGTGGCTATCAGAGAACGAATTCTACGTCCTGAGAGTTCTGACTCGCTCACAAGTTCTGCAGCGCTTGGGCTTGCATATGTTCTCAAAGGAGAAGGGAAACGCGCAGTATCCATGTGGAAACGGCTGCTAGAAAAGCACAAGCTACTAGATCCGGAGCACCCCGAGACTTTGACGATAATGAAAAACCTAGCAACTACATATCGCGAACTAGATCGAAACGAGGAAGCGGAAGTGCTTCAGGAAGAAGTCTACAAAATCTGCAAACGTGTCCTGGGCCCAAGACATCCGGACACTCTGACAAGCATGAATAACCTGGCATGCATATGCCACAACTTGAAAGGACGGAGCGAAGCAGCACCTCTCCTCAACCAGATCATTAATATTCGCAGGCGGGTATTAGGTCCCATGCACAGTGAGACTCTAGCAAGCATGAGAAACTTGGGAGTTATACACGTCGATAGACCACGGTGGAAGCAAGCAGAGGCCCTTCAAATGCAGGTACTACAAGCAACAAAGAAAGTACTCGGGCCAGAACACCCAGACACTCTTCTCAGTCAGAACTTGCTTGCAGCTACATACCGAGACCAACAAAAATGGAACGAAGCAGGTGCGATCCAGATACAGGTCTTACAGACTTCGATGCGAGCACGAGGTCCCCAACATATCGGTACTATATCCACCAAGAACAGCTTAGCATCGACATTTTTGAAGGAGGCAGAAGCCCTTCAGGTACAGGCGCTAGAGTCTAGCAAAAGAGTTCGAGGACCGAAGCATATCAAGACAACAAGCCGTATGGCAAATCTTGCAGACATCTGGAAGCTTTGGGTAAGCATGATGACGCTGTTCAGTTGCTGACCGAATGTGAATAACTTGCACAGGAAATTATGGGTGCTGATCACTTATACACTCTACAAACGGCCGCACATTTAACAGAATGAAAAGAAACTAAAAATACATTGTCTAGTCAAGAATCTGCATGGAAAAACTTTGGAATCTGTTCCCCAAGAGTTGAGAACCACGGCTTTTCTGTGTGCATACACGCTACTTCGAGGAAAGATAGGGGAGTTGAACGAAAGTAAGCGGTTTTTTTTTTTGAGCATGAATTTTAAATGTGATGGCTTCATTCAGGCCAGTCTAAACTTGTTTCTCTTCAAGTTCTCTGTACCTAATAGGCCCTGGGCCTTCCAGAACCGATGGAAAGTCGGTCGATTTGTAGTGTCTATTTACGTGCTATAATAATAGCCGTCGTTCAATCATTATTACACTAATAAAACTGAATTGCCAAAGATTCATACAAGGGACTGGATAGGCTCGGAATACCGTTCGTAGAAACTTCTTGCCAGGAAGTACCTCTGGCTTGCCAAGAAGTTGAGACAGCTCCGCCATCCTTGGCATTGTTGAGGAGGTTTTGTCATGATTAACGATCAGGTATCTGATGAGTCAGGCACACTATCCCTCCAGAATCTAGAAACTAAGTGGAGAAATATTATCAACGAGCCTGAAACTGGATATATGCCTCATTTGCCAAGGGCGGTTGCTCAGTGCCAAGAAGGGCGCAGCAGGTAGTCATCGGCATGCAGTCGGATAAAACCAAACAGCATGACTCGGGCTGAAGGCAGTTCCATCTCATCCTACCTCACCTCTAGATCATCATGGATATCACTTCAACACTAGAGAATGGATCGCAAGCCAGCTATGCGTCGGCTGCGGACCCCTTCAACCTATCCAGCAAGCTGAAACCAACCGACAAGGACCAAAGAGCACAAGCCAACACCTCACGCAAGCGTGCTCTTCGCTACAATCCATTTGGCAAAAAGGAATCACAGCTTCGCGGCGTCACAGAGTTCTACAACTCACAAAACGAAAAGATCAAGAGCTTCCTCAAGCCTGTTGATGAACATGTCCGCGAACATGCCGAGACTACAGAGTCCAACAAGCTGCAATATCGAATCGCCGTATACTCCTCTTTCATATGCAACATCCTCCTGTCGGGACTGCAACTATACGGAGCCATTGCCTCAGGTTCCCTGTCTCTCTTCACAACAATGGCCGACTCGATTTTTGACCCGCTATCAAACATCACCTTAATTATTTGCAACCGACAAGCGAAAAAGGCCAGCTCTCACAATTTCCCAGTGGGCACATCTCGCATCGAGACTGCAGGAAACATCTTCTTCTCCTTCATTATGATAGCCGTCTCCCTTATCCTCGTGGCATTCTCCTGCCAAGAACTCGCCGAGGGCGGCTCGTCAGCCTTCCACTTGCCCTCCGTCATCGCAGTCACAGTGGCATTTGTGGTGAAACTATGTCTATTTATCTACTGCTTCGCGCTCCGCAACAAGTACTCCCAAGTCCGCATTTTATGGGAAGACCACCGCAACGACCTTTTCATCAACGGCTTCGGTATCCTGACCTCCGTTGGTGGATCCAAGCTCAAGTGGTGGATTGACCCGATGGGTGCGATCATCTTATCTCTGCTCATTTTGGGATTATGGCTACACACCTCTATTGGAGAGTTCAAGCTACTCGTCGGTGTGACAGCGGATGCGGATACTCTGAACCTCATTACCTATGTTGCGATGACGCATAGCGAGCATGTGAAGGCCATTGATACGGTGCGAGCGTATCACTCTGGCCCGAGACTGATCATCGAGGTGGATGTTGTGATGCACCCGCAACAGACATTGCAGGAATGTCACGATGTTGCGGAGGACTTGCAGGTTAAATTGGAGAGCTTGCCGAATGTGGAGAGGGCGTTCGTGCATATTGATTATGAGACTACGCATCGACCGGAGCACTCAAAGAAGGATATATAGAGGGATGGAAGGGGCATTGGGTAAGTATTGTGGGCTTTGCGACGCACCTTCGTATAGCAATGATTAGTGTAGAATGTGATTTGCTATGGGTGACGGGATAGTTCAAAATTGGAACCAGGATTTAATGTAGAAGCTGTGTACAGTCAGGTACGGTCAATGGGTTACAAAAGGGGGATTCCTTACTTTGGGGCTTCTCAAGAAAGTGGTGTCTTACCTCCACTCCGGACTAGCCGCAGTTCTATCTGTTAGCTCTGTTTCCGTCGTCTTTTTGCCGTGTTCTTTGAACCATGCATTTTGTGATCTATTCGATCTCTAATCCGGGCATCGATGTGTGTGCAAAGACCACCGCCTCGGGATATATATCCCGGCCGTAGCAGTGTACTCTCCTGGCTAAAAGTGGTCTCAAACCGATATTGCCTTCATAATTCATCAAATTCTAGCCAAATAGCGTGAATTACATAATTTGTGATTAGATACTTTGTACCGCAAGGCCCATGAGTGCGGCCGCTCTTCCTGTCGTGCCATCACTGAGATATCGAAAACCATGAATGTGCCTAAACCATAAACACCAAATTCTCCTGCTCTTGACTTTGCCTCCATAGATCAAGCAAAAGTCACCTTGCCATAATTTAACACCTTCTCCCTCATGCTTTACCGCAGTCTTCGATATGCTTGACTCGACATCAGTCGAAGTTGACTGCTTGAGCCCTTGCTTTGAACTAAAAGCCTGATTCAAAGTCTACCCCTTAGTGAAAATCGCTGTTACTATACCCAATCATCACAGCCCACACAATCGTCAAGGACTTCGCATATAGCCTCTCAATCAATTCACGCTCCGCGCCCCCCTTCGGCAGAGTCTTGATATACTGCACCAAGCTGGACGCATCCTGTGCATAGGTGGCTGCGACCGTCCGAGCTCAGGGTAATTTCTGAACTCATGCTTGATGCGGTTCTGAAAGACCACTCCTCCAACTGCGACACCGACTGATTGTCCGAGGACCCGGAAGAAAGGAGTCATTGTGACGGATATTGTTAGGTATTCTGGACTTGCCGCGGCTTGAACGGCCAGCATGACGGTAGGATAGAGGATGCCCAGACCGACGCCGGCTACCAAATTGATGAATACCCATTCCGGGATCGTAGATTCATCATTCAGATAGCAGATGAGACCTATACCCAGGGCACTGATTGGCCATCCAGACCATATAGCCCATCGGTAACCCCCAACTTTGGCGATCACGATGCCGGTGATAACTGAGATGGGCGCTACTGTGAGAGATTCGGGGAATAAAGCAAGACCGGAAATCACAGGGCTATATCCCAGGGCTCCTTCGTAGTAGAGTGGCAAGTAGTAGACAGTCGCCCACAGAATCATGCCGTGAAGGAATGCGCCCGCGTAGGAGAGGGACTGGGTGAGGTTGTTGAAGATAACTAGTGGTACTAGAGGTTGGGCAGCCCCTAATTTCTTGTAGACAACGAAGCCAATAAGGCCAGCCACCCCAAGAAGCAGAGGAACGAGGGTATGCCACGAATCCCAGGGGTACATGGGCATTATCTCTACGAAAAACGAGGAAGTTAATTAGACCTGGTTCGACCCTTCTATGGTCCCCAGGCCTAATTTTTGAAAGACCACTGTATAACCTTGTAAGGGGCATTTTACAGAGTCCGTCATAATTCGCTATACACCAATCTCGCACTAGTCAGCCCTATGCGATTAATGATTCCTCATTGAACCCGACGGATAGGTCAGCATATACACTAGCATCATTACGGCAATATCTACTCCCACTGTGGCTATGTTTCTTGCTCCTTTATGCCCGTAGTTGCGGGGATAGAGCCAAAACCAGAAGCACCTCCGTACCTGCAGCCGACATCTCACCTCCAAACACAAAAGCGCCTAACACCTGACTACGTTTCAGTCTGAACATTCGGATTCATATCTTACATGCCCACCTAGCAACTATAACGGCACCAATAACCTAATCAATGGAGGTCCAAGCACCAATGAACGGGTATCTAACTCCACGTGAGTATGGCCAATCGGGGCCGTTGATCAGATTCGCGTCGCATCGGACGAATGCCGACCAGAGCAATAGATTCAGAATAGTAGAAGAACTCGTTTACAGTAGAGAAATAATTAAGCATTCCCCATGATTGGCGGAAAGAACGTCGGTTAGATTGCAGTCTAGACCGGGTATTTGGAATAAGTTTCAGGTGGGTTCCAGAAGTTTGTCGGGTTCTTTGTCTAAGGTTGTTTCCGCCACCTTGTTTTGCTTATTCTTTCTTACCACCGAATTCGGCACTCAAAGCGAGAACGAAATACCGAACTGAATACATTTAGCTAACTAGTGAGCCAGCTACATTATTCCGCCAGGGGAGGGGGATGAGGTGCTGATCTCTCGTCATCCGACATAGTTGAATTGACGCTTCGCTTAATTCATCAAGGGCTTCTCTGAAGACAAACGTGAGTGATTGGACTCGTTGCTGAGCCTCACGCTGCTGGTTTAATTGACCTGACCAGATACCCTTTAGAGTCGAGTGCGGACTTATCTCTGACGTGGGCATCACCAGACATGCGTCTTTTGTCGGTCTTTATTGGGCAGTGTCCATGTGCTGTATCAGAGCCCAACGATAGCCCTGTCTAATTGTCTGTACATCCACTACTGACTCCTCTAGAGGAAGAGATATACGTCTACAAAGAATCCGGCCAGTTTGCACATTTTCATCTATTTGATCATCTCATAGTCAACATCCCCAACCTTCAAAACAGCTTTGAAAGAATCAAAGCCAAGCGTCCACAAAACATGGAACGCAAAAAGCAAACTATCAACCAAGGCTCATCGAGCCGCCCACCCATAGAGAGAATCGAAAAACTTCAGAGAAAAAAAAGAGAACATACACAATCTCCAGCCTAGAACTGAATCTGGCCGGGACGTGTGAAAAACGGCAGCATAAAAACACCCTTTGCAGGAAGAAAGAGAAAAGAAAAAAAAAATCAAAGCCAGCCATTACAGCAGTGGAAATCTCGGAGAAAAATCAAATGTCGAAGAAAAATACGAAGCAGGCAAAATAAAAGAAACAATACCTGGCGAGTAATAAGAGGGAAACAACGCAAATCAATTTGTATCCATGTTGAGATACTTATTTCCCACCCCCCGCCATTGAACGCCGTCCGATAGATGAAAGCCGGGTATATCCAGCACCGTGATGCAACATGTACTGTGAGAAAAATAAAAATTGAGAACAATTAAACAAAAAGACAGAAAAGACTGCTTTTTGATCCATGGGATATCGGTCTCATCTGGCACCGATGCCAAACATGCCGACTCCGTAACTGCCGCCTCGCTCGGACATTGGTGTCGAGACTTTGGAGACATGATCCTGATGGAGACAGGAATTAGTTTCGAGAGGTCCACATGCTATGTGGGAGTCGACTGCGACACTAACCTTCTTGCGTTTCTTTTTGCCGGCTCCTTCTCCATTGGAGTAGAAACCGGTCTCATCATCGTCATCCGCGTAGCCTTCGCCATACCCGACGAAGCTGTTATCATCATAATGTCGCTTGCGACCACGACTGGGGCGTGCCCTATCACCCATATCTTGAGCTCCCGCACCACTAGTCACATTCGCTTGAGTAGCGAACCGGCCACTTGGAGTTGGCACGGCCTTCTTGCCCGCATCGCTGGGGCCCTGAGCCTTTGCCGGCTTTTCCAGTCCCAAGACGTCTTCCCAGAACTCATTGCTCGGTGCCATCCCAGGCTGCAGCTGCATGGCATTTGTTTGGAGACTGAGCAAGGCGGAGTCCATATCCGCAGTCTTGATCTGCTTTCCAAAGACCTTTTGGTTTTGCCATTCTTCTTCCGGCCACAACGTAAGATACCTCAAGCTGCCTTCCTTGCTCGAGTCTTGCTTAATCGGCTTGTTCTTGCCCGCCAAACCCATAGGCTTCAGTTTACCTTCGTATGACTTTCGTAGTCGGTTGATCTTTTCGCCAGTGACGGGGTGAATTCGTGCAACCGATTGCGCAACCGAGCCAAGCCCGTAGAGGGAAATGAGATCCCACGATGGATCCGGACCAGTCGCAATAGGCGCTGTGGAGCAGTCAAGAAGCACTGTGTTAACAGGATTCATTTCTCAGAGCAAAAAAAAAAGAAAGCAAGTGCAATCACACCACTGCCACGGCAGCAACTACGATCAAACTTGGGGAATTCTTACAGCTCTTGCATAGGTGAAAGGCCGAAGTGAACTCCTTCTGAAGGGAGTCTAAGCCGAGATTTCGAGTATCGCCGCGCGGCGCGGGCTCCTTATCCAGGTCCATAGCGTCCGGGTCGGAATTGAGCCCAGTGGCAAAGTCGCGTACTCCAGGTACTGCCGAAGAAGTCGTCAAAGGCTGCCGATCGTGATCGGTCCGTCTGTGTTCTATCGTTTGGTAATCTGATCCGTCGCCCATGTTTCTCGTCGAGTCCTGTGATCCCCCGTGCAAAGCTTTAAAATCTGTATCTTCCGCCGACGTCGCATTCGCTTGGTGGCCACTCACGCTGCTGGCGGGAGTAGGAAAAGAGTTTGTCGTACTCAAAGTCGGCTGCTGAGAGACTTGAGTTGACATGGGCGTGGAAGAGGGAGGAGAGGAGGTGTGCGGAGGGTGGTGGTGGATCGTCGCCTGATTCGGTGATGCTTGGGAGGATGTAAAGTTGGAGACATTGTTCTGATCGCTGACCGACATCAACGGAGGCGATGTCGGAGTTTGGGGGATATGGTCCGAGGAGACTGGGAGCTGTCGGCTCTCTTTGAGAGCAGACCCGGCAGCGGGTGAAGAGGGTGAAAGAGGTCCGGTTGGGAAGGTTGTGGAAGGGGTGCGATCAGACATGAGATTGTCCTTCGCAGAAACGGAAACCGATTCACGACGTTATGCAGCACCACAAGAAAGCAGTTGGACTGGTTCGCTTTGGGTCCCGAATCGCAAGTTCTTCAACACAAGCGCTCAGCGTTTGGAGAGGGGGATCCCGGTTCGAATGGTCGACGGTCGCTCTCGAGCGGGCGAGCAGGTCGTTCGACGGCCGGCCTAATTCCTTCGCATTCCAATAGGACCGAGACGGTATCCTTGCGGTGAATCGGGATGGTGTAGGTGATGAGGGTGGTGGGGGAGAGGGGTCGGGTGGTTTGGGGGGAAGATGCTGGTTGACGATGGCGCTGAGATGGAGAGGCGAAACGAGCCCGGTCACATGACGCGGGACTCGGCCTCAGCTGTTTCGGGATACAACCCGTTGCATGAGTGGCATTGGCCGGCTATTCTATGGAGAAAATACGCCGAGGCCTGACCAGAGATTCAGAATTTGCTAAACCCGACTTCAAAACTTTTGTATGAGTATATGGACGGACTCTTTTACTATCACTGCTAAGATAATCATGCAGGGCAGGTAATGAGTGTCTCGAATGCCACATGGCAATGGTCTCATTGATCAAGACAAAGAAACGTAAAACTCTACTCCCAGAATAATACACAATGATAAGACTTCTTATTTGATCTACCAGTAGATTCTTTTTGGTTATATATGACAAAAGCTAGATTATAGTTCACTCACCGTTACACGAGCATTCAAAAGAGGTATATGTCAAAGGAGACCTGAGCATCCAAGGTTTCAAGTCCACACAGTAAAAAGTCCCAAACGCAGTCAAAAGAACAATGAAAAAGATCTGTCACTAAATCTCCTTACACGCACACACACGTGAGCTCCATTTCGCCAATGCTCCAAACTGCCAAGGTGCTGTCAGGTTTGCGGAAGAGTCAAATTGGCCAAGTAGTGAAATCCGCCTGATACTTTCAAGACTGGTAGAATGCATTAGATTCGCGAACCAGCTGTGCAGAGACGTCGGGGATGTTGTGCTCCAGTGACGCCATAAGCTCAATCTGTTCCTGTTGGCTGAGGGTGCGCTCTCGCCAGGGAGGTATGGGGAAGGGTTCGTTGAAGTAATTTGAGTATTGATCTCCGATAGAGGATGTCCACTGCATTGGATCCACGGGAGCGTCAATGTAGGCCAGATGACTGGCAGTCGTAGAGGCAAGTGAGAAATTGGGGTCCCAGCCTTGGAGGCCCGGAACCACCGAGGGCATCGTGTTGTATGGGGTATTAGGATCGATAGAAACATCAGGGAAAAGTCCAGATGGTGCACAGTAAGCATGTGAGGTATACTGGGGTGCGGTGCCAGGAGTTGTGACGGTGGGCTGTATACTATATACCGGGGTGACGGGAGAAATGCCAATCGCTTTCGCCTGGTCCGGAGCAAACGCTGGAGGGGTGGAATCTTTGGTGACATGAGAGAAGGGGCCCGTTGGGTCGGCGGAGGGACCTCTGGAGAAAGTACCAGCTGAAGCACTATCACCAATCGAGTGATTGGCACCGCGATGATTATGCGAGTAGTAAGAGGCAGTCGTGCTCGTTGATGGACTCGACATGGCAGGAGGAGTGGTGACCCCTTGTGATGAGGTGGGAGTAGGATGATTGGAAGGCGATTGAACCACGAACGATTCCTCGGTGCTGTACGCCTTCAAACAGGCCGCGACAAGGCGCTTGTAAAGGATCAATGCAGACTGCACGCCGGGCCATCGTTCGGCTGCATATACTATGACTTCCAATGCCATGTCTAGATACCCTTGAACTTCCTCGATGGGATGCTCTTTTCGAATCTCGGGGTACGAAAGAGTCCAAAGAACGGTGTTGAATACCATGAAGAGGGATTGGGTGAAGATCCACGTCAAGTCTACGGACCCGGTGATGGTCTGTTCCTGATGCATGGCGATGTTAAAGGTCGCTGCTTCGTAGCAGATCTTGGCCGCATGAACTGAGGGCTCGGGTATTTGAGGTGATGGGCGATGCATGAGAATAACAATAGTGTTTCGTCTACCTTGGAACCTGTGACGTGGAGAAAGTGGTCAGGGAAATAAGTCATATCAACGGAACATCGAGAACAAGAACCTACCACTTCACATTTAGGCCACTGCCATCGTCATTCTTCGGGCAAGTGTCAACCCAGTGATCGATCTTTGCCAGCATCTGGGCAAACCAGGGATCTTGATCATGGGTAGGAGTCTCGCATCGATTCAAGTAAAGTGCACGGCGCACCTCCAATTGGAGGAGACGCATCTTGAAAAAGTGAATCGCAATACACTTGGCAAGAACTGGTTTCGCGTGTGGATTGATTCCCTCGGCCGTGATATAGCGATCATCCACCAGCTCGAAGAACTTGACGTTCACATTGTCGTGAGTGAGGCTCAAGGCGCTGGTACGGCCCAAACTATGGGAAAGGCCGAATTCCATGGATGCAACGATCCAGAAGAGCCGTCTGCGCATGTCGAGCTCTAATGGATTGAGCGGTTGTCCGTTGGATGATTGAGCAATGGTGGCTTCTTCACAAAATCCCAACTCCTGGCACATTCTCACTGCCGTACCAACCACCCAAAATGACGCCGTCCTCGTCGGTGTCAACATTGAATATTGAGCAATCATAACTAGGCATTGCAAAGCACGGATGTCCATTTGTTTCAGGGTCGGCTCCAAGAAAGGCAAGGCAGCGAGGTAATAGCTGTCGGCTAGGCCAGCATAGTCCGGGCTCAATTTCTGCATACTGATTGCAATGACCATTCGTAGTTGGAAGTTGTGGCAAGGGTCCGTAGAGCCATTGAAGACCTCCTCGGCTTCTTGTCGGAAGCTTGGTACATGTAACGTCGGAAGCAATGCCTGGGCTGTTTCAAGGTATCACGAGTTAGTATCAAACATACACTGCGAGAGAGAGCTCTGGTGGGCCTTTGAAGTCGCAACTTCCATATACCTTTTGCAACAAAGAGATCAATCAGTTTGTATGTCAAGCTCCGCGGAGGTAGGGTGTCCTGCGGGATCGAGCTAATCATAGGATACACTTTGGAGGTGGGTTTCGAGTCCTCTTGGGCAAAGGCCGCCTTGATTTCTTGGGCGGTCAGCTCGGGGACGACATCCTTGATGCTTTTCGAATCGGTGTTTTGCTTGGCAATCTCCATGACGAGGCGAGTCATGGCAATGCCACTCGAGGCGCCTAGGTACCGGGGCTCGTCATTATCTGAGAAGCGGATACGTCCAGCGCCCCGCACCATCAACTCCGCATCAGCCGTGTGTTGAACCTCCTGTTCGGCCTTGGCTAGCTCTTGCTCAAGTGCGCGAGCTTTGTCCCGTAACGATACGATATAGGTTCGAGGAATGGTGGCATCGCGAGCCGAGTCGTAGTATACGCATTTGGCATTGCTTCGTTCGCAGGGCGCGCATCGAGGGATTCCGGGGTCACACCTAGATTTCCGCTACACACGCGCGATCCGGCTGTCAGTTTCGTCATCCCGCTGTCGCGACGGGGAAGGGTCCTCTTTCTTTCTCGGGGCATCTTGTCCCCGACAGGGTTTGGAGGAAGGGGGATAGAGACGAGAGAAATTGAGGGGGATTGTAAAACGATTGCATCATACCTGTCGACATCTCGTGCAGGCTGTTAATGTGTGTGCGATGCGACCGTCGGGGGGATCGAATGAAAAGGATTCCGGCGATGGATGCCCTGCGTAGGGTTGGGCGCTCTGGGTCATGGCTCGTTGGGAGACCCCCAAGCCCGGAGCAAGATGTAAGAAGAAAGGAAAAGTCACATGCGTCGGTGTTGCAGGAGGATGCCATTCAAAGCACGTTTAATCGGTCCACCAGTTGCCCTTGGCGCTATCGACATGGTCCCGTCATGCGGCTCTCGGGGGGTTGCGGGTGGATGAGTTGATGGTGGAAGCGAGGGATCGCGACAGTTCGAAGATTCACCGGGTCCAGGGTTTTGGGAGTATCCAGTGAGGAAAGGATCAAAAAGGCAAGGGGGTGGAGAAAAAGGTCAAGAGAAAATGAAAAGAGGCGTATCAAAATGCAGGCTGATACCGCGCAGGTTACGGCCGGGACCAGAAGGTGATTGTGGCAGTGGCCGTGGATGGTGGGGACTAGCGCGAGTTTGGTCGCACGGTCGGTTGGTGGGAGCGATGATGGAGGAAGGTACCTTGGGCCTCAGGTACTGGGTAGACGGAATAGTCAGAACTGAGTAAGAAGTGTACCAAGTGGTTCCAAATCGAGCATTCCTCGGTCCAGATCTGGATCGACGAGGAAATTAGAGCTTGGGGGGGGGGTTGGAAGCGACGGACGGTCTTCCGCCAAAGTGGGGGGTGGGGGGCGGCGGAAAGGGGAGAAAAGGGAAAAGAGGGAGGACTGAATAATAGTAGTAGTACTGTAAGTACTGGAGACTAGGAGTCGTACGGTGCCAACTGTGGATGGGGCCGGACTATGAATTTGACGCGATGGTTGGTTGATTTGCCGGTGGAGGAGAAGGAGGGGGGGAATGTCAAATAATGAACCACACGATAGCACGAGATATTACGAAGGATGTCAATTTGAGTGCTAATAATCAACCATCTCGGAAGCTAGGACTGTGATTATCTGCTAGAACTATAGAATTATGATAAAAGGCTAGTGACTGGCCGACATAAGTGTAGTGTCTGGTGTCCGGTGCATACTGTATACACCAGTGGACTCGCAGATCGGGCTAGAATCCATAAAAGGGCTCGTGCTGCCGACAGAAACCCGTTTCAAACACTCTTTGACACGAAACTCTGAATTGCCGAGTGCATTAGTGTCGTGTACATCATGACTATCTCCTGCCCGATGGAGTTTATACTAACTTCTGGACTCTCCACCATCGGACGACTAAGCGGGTCAACTACGGATGTACATGAGTAGTACGTACTGTACTAGTATAGGAAGGCATGAAGATACAGACTGTTCTGCAATGTCGGAGTCTCGGAGATCACTGATTTGCCCTGTCCGTGCGGTTCCACGGACACTCGAGCAGATCAATAGCCAGCCACTGGCTACTCTTCCAGTAGTGACTTCAGTCCCGTTTGAATCTCGTCCTATTAACTACGGACTACTGTCCAATCCTCTCCAACCAGAATCATTCTCGCCCTTCCGGGTCAAAATTACCCGATCTCTCCATTCTTGTCGCTCCTCTCCTTCTTCCCCTCGGGTAAGGCTGAGAGTCGGATGTGGATGGGCCTAATAATCATCGGGGGGTGGTTCGATAATTAAAACGATCCTTCGGCTCATGCAGGTTCTCGCCGTTAGCAGAGACTAAGTTAGTTTCAACGTCTTTCCCAGAAGCCAGTTTCAAATTATCGGAGCTTGATCATGTGAGTTTTATTGGGATTTTCCCTTTGTCCACGCGGTTTTTTGTATGAGTCGGTTAGTCGGTGGTCGATGCGCGCCGATCCGGTGGGGATTCCTTGTTGTGCAATCAGCATTATTGCCCGCGCCCAAAAGACTGGGCGTTGGGCTCCGCGCAAGGGTCATCATCCTCAATTCTGAATTTCTTTAGCTCATCAGTTCTAACCTCATTCTCCCTGGATTATTCAGACTCACGAAATACCTCGAACCCCACGCTGACAAGCAGAGCCTCGGTCCAACCCACCTTTCCCACTCTCTTCTCTCCCCTTCCTACCCCTCCCTAGGTCCCTAAGGGACCATGAGCTGCCAGGATGCCCGCGATGGCCACCACCTTCCTGGACAACCCGCTGCTCAAAGTTAGCCGGCCCGTCGCCGCCTGCTCGCGCTGTCGCACCGCCAAAATCAAATGCGACGGCAAGCTCCCCGCCTGTTCGGCCTGTGAGAAGGTCGGCAAGGCCAGCTCCTGCTCTGGAGCTAGCGACGAATTCGCCAAGGGCAAGGAGCGAAGCTACGTCGCGTCTCTCGAGGGATACTGTGAGAAACTCGAAAAGAAAATCGCCCTGTTGCGGAATCGCCAGAACTCTCTCCCCCTCGAAGGCAATGGCGTGGTGCGGGAGATGTCCATCACCTCCAACTCCTCCGATGGACCGGTCGGCTCAGCCCATCGTCGTGAGGTCTCCGATATCGATGATCTCGTCGGTGACTTTGGGTTCCTATCGGTCAATGCGACCTCACGCGACTTCCAAGGCATCACCTCCAAGACCACCTTTGCGAATCTGCTCCTTTCCGTCGCCACGGTGGGATATCCACCACCCCGCACTCCCAACCCGCTACCCGCGCGACACGAGGCGACTCCTCTATTACAATATTATTTTGATAATGTCTTTGTTCAATTACCGTTCTTCGTGGAAACCAGCTTCTGGACCTCGGTAGATGCGGTCTATCAATCTGGTGGTCGCTTTGCGAAACCCTTTGACCATTGGACGGTCAGGATGGTTCTCGCTATTGCCTCGGCATCGATTTCATATCAGAACAACGATAAAAGTCACCAGCGAGCCTTGGCTTTGGTATCGGAGGCGTTGATATATGCAGAGGAAGTCTTCCGTCCCGGCTCCATCACGTGCATCCAATCAATTCTGCTCCTGGCCCAATATGCGCTCGCAGATCCAGGCCGCTTCCGAAGTTGGTACCTGGTAGGAATGGCAGTGAGAGTCGCCGTCGACCTAGGTCTACATCAAGATCCTCCCGCAGAAGTGTTGTTGAATCCAGACAGACTTGATATTCGACGACGGGTATTCCACTGCCTGTACTGTCTAGATCGGTAAGTTCTGTCTAGTCATGATCAACCCTTAAATTTGAAATCCATGCTAACAACTGCACACAGAGGAATGAGTACTGCACTTCAGCACACCTTTTCATTCTCCGATGCATCGGTGAACGTCGCTCTGCCGGAGACCGACACATCGGCCTCGGCTACAGAGCAAACAGCCGTCTTCTTACGAAGCCCCGCCCCAGCCCTACATATTGTCAAGATCCGAAAGATCCTATCAGCCGGATATCAAGAAATGTACTACAGCACACGGGAACCATCCCCTCAACCCATCATCCAAACATGGACCCTCTGCTCCCAAGCACGCCAATGGTTCAACGACTGTCCCAAAAACGCCCCCAACCACTTCTCCCTCCTCTACCGCCTCGAACTCCTCTACACAAACATCATCCTCCTCTCCCCCTCAAACCGATACCCCCTCCTCTGCGACTACAACAAAGCCCTCCTCTTCGACCGCTGCATGGACTTTATCAGCCAAATCCACCAAGTGCTAGAAAACCCCAGCATCCTCCCCTTCCTCTCCTTCCTAGACATCACCCGCGTCCAACAAGTCGGCCACCTCTTCGTCCAACTCCTCATCGAAGACTTTGACTTCCTCCTCAGCCCCGCCGTACCCAACCCACCCCCCGTCCCAGCCGGAACACCTGACCCGCCCATCCTCGCCGAGGAAGATAGAATCAACTGTCGACCCCGTGCGCTGCGCTGTCTCACGTACGTGCGTGATTTGCTGCAGTACTCAGCCAGGAAGTGGGATCTTCGCCGGCCGCTGGATGAGTTTGAGAGGGAGTCTGCGCCGTTGGGGAAGATGCTTCGCGAGGGGCGGGCGAGTTATGGGATTAATCAGAGTCGGGCGTACTCACAACAGGCACCGCTGGCGGGCAATGGGTATTCGGGATATCATTTGGGATAAATTTTGTATTTTTTTTTCATGAACTGAATAATGGACTTTGATTCTGATTACTTTTAAATTTTGAAATGATCTTATTGCTTATATTTTGAGAGATAACCCGAGAGATATGGCCTGGCCTATCGAGGAATATGTTCAGAAAGAGATACAGAAAGACCCGTTAAATGGGAGCAAATTGAACCGTATTCAGATAGACCCTTCTTCTCAGTCTGTGGGTATAGACATGAGCTACCACTTTCCATGCTCTGTCTAACTCCTAACCTCTTGCCTTAATCATCTCTTACTTCTGACATCAGTTTCTTACTTTATTTTATACCTCACTTTCTAACTTGCTTCTTGACTTCCTTTTGACCTTTCATCGTTCTGAGATGGCTATACTAGGGTCAGAGTTCCTGCTAGGTCACTCTCAGCATCTCAACTCTGCTAAGATCAATAGGCACCCTTTAGGGAAGCTCGGTAAACTTTGTAGTTGACTCAATACATTAGGTACTTCCTGTATCTAGATCGATGTCTTAAGTTCCCTTGTAGACGTAGGTACACTCAAACCACAGTGTTGGAGGCTTAGAGGTTAGGTTTTATTTCCCAGCGAATTCTAAGCCTACAGTTTGGAATATATCGGTTTCTAGGGGTATAGTATAATTAGCATACGACGAGGATTTCAAATCATGATGAAGCCGTAGGAGGATGTTTAAACCGAAGTGTATGTATGTCCTTGTCATACTGACCTAGATTTACTATCAGAGAGACTATAAGACCAGATGTGCATAGGTTTTCACCATTAAAAAGTGATAATATCATTGACTTAAAAAAGAAATATAATATGTAAGTAGTAATGGAAGACAAATCCTTTTTTGTCTCCAGAAAGTCGTACAAAATCGCCCCTCCAAAATGTGAAAATATGCACAAGAATAATCCGCGGGGGTATTCACGAGACTCCCAAAGTGCTCTGCATAGCTGCGTAAAAAAAAGAGGTTTTCCTGTTCAATGGAAAAAAGACAAAGGCTTCAAAAGAAATGAAAAGAAGCTTAATCCATCATTTACAGGTTCTTGCTGATAGTGGCAACGACGGCGCCAACGGGGACACCGACGGAGGGGAGGCCAAGGCCAGTGACGAGAGCAGTAACCTCAGGGGAGAGCTGGATGAGGAGGACCTGGGCATCGTCGCTGGTGACGGTGAGGAGACCCTTGACAGGGCCGGAGAGGTCAGAGATGAGGTCACCGATGTTGCCGGCGGTCTTGATGACGGAGCCGACGGAGCCACCGATGGAGGTCAGGCCGAGGCCGTTAACGAGAGCGGCAACAGAGGGGGAGAGCTTGATCAGGAGCTGCTTGGAGTTGGGGCCGGTGACGGTGAGGATGCGGCCGACGGTGGGGACGAGGTCCTGGACGATCTCGCTGGGGGCAGCATCACGCTTGAGGGAGGTACCGATGGTAGCAACGATGGTGCCGACGGGGATGCCGACGGAGGGGAGACCGAGACCGGAGACAAGGCCGGCAACCTCGGGGGAGAGGGAGATGAGGAGGGCACCGACATCAGCGCCAACGACGGTGACGAGACCCTCGACGGTAGGGCCGAGACCAGTGACGAGCTCACCGAGGGAGCTGGCGGAGGCAACGATGGAGCCGAGAGGGACACCCAGACCGGGGAGGCCGAGGCCAGAGACGAGGGCAGTGACCTCGGGGCTCAGCTCGAGGAGCAGAGTCTGAACGTTGGGACCGGTGATGGTCAGAACGTTGTTGAGCTCAGGAGCGAGATCCTGGACGATGTGGCCGTTCTGGACAATGGCGGCGTTGCCGTTCTTGGAAGCAACGTTGCCCAGGTGGAGGAGGGAGGTCACGTCACTAAGCTTGGACACGACGGGGAGGTTGCTGACGCCCAGCTGCTTCGTAACATCACCAAGGCTGAGGGTCTTGGTAATGCCCTGAAGACCAGCCAGGCTGGTGATGGAGGAGGTAAGGCCAGTCAGACCGGCTAAGTTGGTGAGGCCAGCAGGAGCGGCAGAGGCAGCAGCGGCCAGGGTGAGGAGAGCGGCAAAAGAAACCTTCATGTTTGCGGTATTAAAGAGTGTGGATTATCAAAAAGAATGACTGTGGTGGGAATGAATCCAAGAGAGTGACTGGAGTGAGGAAAGAAAAAAGGTTGAAGGTGAACGCGAGATGCAGCCATCTTTATACTGGAACTGAACGCTCTCCTCTCTTACCCTTTCCCTTCTTTTGATGACCGAGTTATCAAATTTTTGCCGCTGACCAATTGCTCCATCGACATAGCGGGTCAGGTCCGTATCGCAAGCCTCAAGATGGATCCAGCTAATGGGGGGTTTTCAGCTATCCATCGTCGGGTGGGACTGCTAGTGCTGGGCGAACCTAACCCGCGAGATTGGAGCGCCCAAATGATCTCGAGGAAGGACCCTAGTGGACTTTGAGGAGTCCATACGAGATTATGGGTCCTATAGTGTGCATGGAGTCCACGTTTCTGGTCCCTGAACCCTTAGGGCTCCGCGTATGCCGCTTGAAAGATATCGAACTGTTTTGGAGTATACCAAACAGCCCTATCAACACGATTTTCCAGTGGATAGTGACATTCCAATGGAAAGATCCAAAGCTAATCGCCGTATCAAAACAGGCAATTGATAGCTAGCAATCGGCGTCATCATGATCGAACCGGAGATCACCGGATTTCCGCTGAACGATGACCACGATGTAGACTGGAAAGATATCTCCAAATTATGATCTGCAGGCGCAGTCTCGAGTTGGAACCCCACTGGATTAGAATTCGAGAAGATGGAGTCATGGCTCTTGCATGGCGCACTATGGCTGGCTAGCGGGAGCTTATATGGGCCTGGCAGGACCGAACATCTCCGCCACTGCAGTCAATAATCCCGTCGATCTTGAGCTTGGGCCGGAACGTGTGGGGAGGCGTGGGATATCCGCTGTGTTCCGCACGAAAGTAAACAGACGCAAATTTGAGTCGGGATGGGCATGATTTGCTGGTCAGTGGAGACCGTCATATTTATCGCACATGGTGTTTGCTGTGTTGGACATCTACCCACATGGGGGGTCAGTCAGGAGAGCGGAATCCAACGAGTTCTTTCTTGAGAGAACTCATCCGAGCGCTAATTGTAAGATAGGATCAAAAACAACGGCATGAACAAAGTGATCGACTGATGATATCGCCCCTCCAGGCGAATTGCCGACAGGATTCACGGTTAAGGTTGATGCTAAAGGGGACGATGGCAAGGGGAAAAGTTCCCAGGGTCCAATAAGAAGTCAGGTGCGGTCCCGTGACTCCACTCTAAGCCGACCACCACTGTAAATAGTTCGACAGCCATCAGACGTCGAGGGACCTGACCCCATGGAAAAACACTCACGAGGTCCTCAAAAGCCCTCAAAGTTGACTGCTCCATTATTCCCGCCCAGTCTGGCCAAGCCTTACATTAAACACGTAGGGTCTGCGCCAACTATTTGATTCCTAGCTCCTCCACTATCCCGCCAAACGCCGTGGACCACGCTCAGGGACCAGGGCAGCCAGCCTCCTCATTGGCCTGCAGATCGCGGCTGATGAACAGGGCTCATCTCCTGAGCTCTCAGGGAGAACTCACCCCGAGCGGTGGATTATTGGCCCGCCCAGGGTTCTCTCTACTGTAGTTCCTGGTTTCTTCTCCAGCTTTGGGGCTTAGGCCCATCGGCACTTCTCAGACCCATTTTCTTGTGGGTTTAAGTTTGGAGAGCCACCTGCATCATCGATTCGATACCAAACAAAGTTTTGTTTGTTGACATTATCATTACATTATTAGTCAATAGTCTCGACTCACGGAGTATTTTACACACACATGGAGCTATATGCATGCACTATGATTATAGTTACACAATAACGTGGTCATCGGTAGCCACGAAACCGTTGTAAACAATTTCCCCTAAACGCTCCCGCCCGACGTGCATGGAATGTTCTATTTCCTTTATTCTTCTCCTCACAATGATTAGCCTACACCAATAGTTCCTGAGTACCCAACAAGCCTCCGGAAATTCCCCGTCCACGCTAAATCGACATCGTGGGTAACCCGCCCGACAATCCCAATCTCAGCCGCCCCCGCTTGGAAGGGTCCATCATACCTATAACCCACACTCCCACATCCACTTGGCCACTCTCGACCGCGCGCATAGGTTAATATGACAGATTGAGTTCAACTAATGCTCCCATCCAGCTAGAATTTCTTTCCACCAAGGACTCTTTATCGCCTCGCGCTGGATCGGGATGGTTCCACACATCTGCCCATTTTTCCGCGGGTTCATGGTCCGAGATGAATGATTTTCTGGGTCAGGAACGAACCATGATTGCTATTACGCACATACCATCAGATGCTGTAATTGTATCTAAATACTTATTCCATCAGAAACGCGTCACTAAATCTTGTAAACCGACTTTCGATATATAAGCATCCGACAAATACTACGGATCTAGGACTCTCATCGACCTGCCGTCCTACCATGGGTATAAAATCAAAGCAATTGTAAAAGAAATTGACACATCAAATCATTCCATGAAAAGCCCAAAGAATACACAGTAGGGCATTAATCCCCGTAGCGCCCGTGTTTTCCGTACCTCTCAGTAGTGGCGTTCTGGGATAATCAATAGAGCATGGGATCGACCAAATGTACCACAGGTCTAGGAAGGTAACAGTGTCTATCAATCCAGGCCTAGGGCATTCGTCCCGTGCGCCGACCCAACTACATCAGAGCGTTCTGGACGGGATGAGAGACCCCATCTGCCCGAGGAGAGGGCACTCTCCCGACTCATCCGATCTCATGCACTGGTCGATTCACGGCGTGCCGAGTCACACATCCTGTCTCTGCTTCTCGCGGGGGTTAGCGACTGGATAAGTCGATCTTCACATGTTCGAACAGAGAAGACAAGACAGATGGCGTGCGCTGCCTGAGGGGTTCCTCTTCAGATGAGAGATCGCCGGAAATCGACGGGATTGACATTCCAAATCGACCCAGACAGCTGGGTCCCTAGATTTGTTGGGCCGGCTCGATGGCAAAAAAATTTAACCGCTAGGCCGTTCTTTCAGTGCTCCAGAGAGTAACAGTAGCCGTAGTGTGAAACTATCCGCCAGGGGGTCCAGTCCGAGTAGCGGTCATTGTGGTTCTTCCATGCCTTTGAACCATGCATATCTCGACGGATTCCGCCATATTTTCGATCCTATGATGGTGAGCATCAATCATACACACTCTCCGACAAAGTTATTTCTGTGGTGTATAGTGCTATGAGCTTGTACAGTGACTATTCATTGGAATCTAGGGACCAGAGAAAAGGTCTAGCAAAGTACATTTCAACACCTTCCCTTCAAAGATGTTTTCCGAATTTCTCACAAGTCAACTTCCTAGACAGCCTGGGCAAATTTTACCAAGGCTTTCTTCTAAAGTACGACTTATCGGATCATGTTCAAGTTTGATAGGGAGTAAATCAGAATTCTGGAACACACTTGACTCACAGAATTTCTCTTCCAGCTCTCTAACGTTCCCGTTCACACTGATCAGCCTTCGAACGCGGTCCTTGCAGAACCCATCAAATACCCGCGAGCAATTGCCACGATCGAATGCTCTCCTCTTTATCCTCTTAATACTCTTCGGCGAGTGCCATATGCTCAGCATCTCCGGGTTCTATAGGGCCTCCTTTGCATCTTGCGAGGTATTTTTGGATTCCAAATGCCTGCCACTCTTGTCAATAAATCGCCACGAAAGCTAGGCTGTTGGCTGTTTTTCCTTTGCTGATTATCCCAGGAAGCTTGCGGTAGTCAACAAATCATTCTACTCTATAGAGGGAGATGAAATATCTGTGATCGCACTCTCGACATGGAAGCAGAAATTATGGCTACGGAGTAACACTCTTCTGTCGGAGTGAGAGACGCAGATGTGACGGACAGTTCATGATCCGTCAAATACAAGTCCATATCAATCCCATCGAGGGGGTCTCTAAACTACATATAATCGTCATCGACGCAGGGCTTACTGGAGCCCTCGCTGCCCAGTTCTCCCGTGATAAGCTCATGCTACTTACACAAGTAGCCGAGTCGGAATCAATGATGGGATATACACCGGACTCCGCAGTATTCATCTCCTCGATGCTCGATGTCTGTTAATCAAAAGTCGGATTGCTGTCAACTTATGTTGAACAGTTTGGGAAATATTAACTTTACCCTAAGTGAGTACAGGATAGAAGAATGCAGGTTATCTCACAGCGGACTTGTTGAGGACAGCAATCGATAATGCCTCGTTTTCTAGCATGCCTGAAAATTTGGATCATTCTCGTTGGATTTCTGCTGTTGTCGTTGTCGACTCTGAAGGAGGCGCGGTCATTTTTGCAATTGAGAAAGCCTTATGAGACTCGTCGTTTGTGACTGGCTAATGATGTTTGACAAATATGGACTATGCGTCCTAGTCTGCAGATGCTATGTTACACTCCTGAGGCAAACCCCATTGGGTTGAAGCTCTGCTGGGATGCTAGACGCTCTTCACGACCCAGGTTTCCCGTAAGATTGTCACTGGCCATGTTGTCGGGGAGCCAGAAGATAAAAGAATCTCAGCAAAAATATCATTTACTGATCTATGTCGGCTAGTTGGGTTGTGGTTGGAAGAACTGGTGTGTCAAAAGCGGACTGTGCAACCAGTATGAGCATCAAAACTCTATTGGGCCAACGCGACCAGCTACTACCAGCCCACACACTTAAAAAATGCACTCCTTCCAACAAGCATGCTTTCGTGGTTATAGTTGTGGTACATTTGTAATAATTCCGCGGACCTTGGGGTCATCTGATATATCCGGCAACCATTGCCATCCCCATGACGTAGGAGACTCTCTGAAGTTATTTCAATGGTAATTATAAGATCCGGACAGAATCAGATTTGTTTCTTGTTAGGTGATCTCAATACTCATTGCATTTCCTCGCAACAGATGATGATGTTAAGCATATCTTCTAGGTTGACAGCCACAGGCAGGGCATGTGGTCGGAATCATACACTCCCCACTCTGTTACCGAAGCACTGCCCTCCATCGACCGTTGTATTAAAAAATCCAGGAGCACGATTCCAATCCACACAAAGCCAGAGGAGGAGTCAGAAATGGGACCGACGGGCCAACCTCGCTCGGGGTATTCTGTTTATAGTACCCATCATCACATCGGTTATGGTGTATGCGCAAATTCAAAACCCATTGTATATGGACTCCAAAAAAGAAAGCAATGACATCCCAGACCAAAATCCGAGACACCATGACCAAAAGTCAGAGCAGCCGTCATCTCCCTCTCATGGGCAACAGGAAAACTTAGTCGACGCCAACACTCTTCCCAAGGAAGAAGCAGTACTCACCACTGCACCCGATGTCCCTCCACGAATAACGAGAGACCACCCAGTCCTGCTTCAAGTGAATCTAGTCACCTCCACAAAAATGGAGAAATTAACCAGCCAATACAAATACGAAAAATGGAACTTCAATGGCTCGGTTCCAGGACCTTTCGTTCGTGCCAGGGTCGGCGATGTCGTGGAATTATCATTGACAAATCGCGATGAGTCCGGCAATCCCCATAACATTGATTGTCATGCATTCTTGGGTCCTGGAGGAGGATCTGCCTTGACCACGGCCGAAGAAGGACAGACAAAAACCGGGAGGTTCCGTCTCCAATTCCCGGGGCTTTATATCTATCATTGTGCCGCGGCTCCCGTGCCCGTCCATATTGCCAACGGCATGTATGGTCTCATGTACGTGCAGCCCGCCGAGGGTGACCTTCCATTGGTGGACCACGAGTACTACGTGATACAGAGTGAATTCTACCACGAGCCACCGGAAGTGGAAGAAAATGGAAGACCCTCGTCAACTGTGGAGTTCTCCTACCCGAATGCGTTACGCGAAGAGCCAAGTGTGGTTGTATTCAACGGCCACGAGAGTGCATTGACAACGGAGAAACCACTCAAAGCCGGTGTTGGAGAGTCTGTTCGCATCTTTTTCGGTAATGCAGGACCCAATTTGACAAGTTCTTTCCATGTCATTGGGAGTACCTTCAAGAAGGTGTATCGGGATAGTGACGTGCTGAGCCCGCCGGGTCAATGTGTTCAAACCGTCGGTGTCCCACCGGGGGATACCACTATAGTTGACATGGAAATGCTCGTACCGGGAACATACACGCTCGTGGACCATGCAATCTTCCGTCTGGAGAAGGGTGCTGTTGGGTACTTGAACGTTTCAGGGGCGCCGCGGCCAGATATCTATGAGGGAACTGAACCACCGGCTCCCTGTGTTGGCTGCAAATTGCACCCATGAATGTGACAAATATTCAAGTGCATTAGGCTCTTCATGTTCGAAGCTCATGATATGCCCCAAATTGGAAGTAAGACCTAATCCATTTGCATTTGCTTCAGTTAACTAATCTTCTGAACTGGAGAATTCATTTCTGTCCTCGCACTTGAAGTAGGGAGATCAAACCACTTCCTTGGCACATTGGCTAGGGCTCTTCATAGCTACATCAAATATTATTTTCATGGGAAATGGCTTCCCGGTCGCATTAAACAGATGGAATTGTCAGCTGCGTTATGATCTATCCACTTGGTTGTACTAAGTTTTCGTATACGTACCAAAGCAAGGCCGACCTATATTTTGGGTTCTGTTTTCAGCTATATATATTTGAACCTGTACCAGGAAATTTCCTCAACTGTACCTAAGAATCTTACTAGGTAGCCAAACCTTCGGTGCCTGGACATTGGATATGAAACCTGCTTCCTCTCATAACAATAAGGCGATATCGGTTGTAGGGATCAGTTTAGGGTTTCTCAACAAATCGCTCACGACTAGGAAGTCGAGGCTGATACCGTGTACAGTAGTCAACGGGCGCGCATGGAAGAAAGTTTTCGGGGCTTTAATCTCGTTTCAAGAAAAAGCAAGTTTTGTTCTAGAAGGGGGCCGTTGTTTCCAACCCCAGGAAAGGATATGCATCGGGGTTGAACTGTGGTTCTAACCCGGCCACCACTGTCAGAGGTAGACGGGTTGAGAAAGTCAAACCCCAAAGTCTATACGGGTTAGTCAAGTTGAAGCGGAGAGAAGCGGGATGTGGTTGGTCGGGTTACTCGGGAAACTTTCATTAGTAAATTATGCGAATAATCCCCCGGGCTTATCGTTGCGCCCCGTTCAGCCGCCGTCACATTCAACTTAGAGAGGGCGCTGGGCACCGACAGGTTTACTAGCTGATTGAAAAAGATATCCAGCAGAGTCAATAATCTCATGAGCACATGGCTACTATCTGAAGAACCACGTTTCCAGTTTCCGACTTTCCTTAACCAAGCCATTGGGTAGATGGGCCAACAGAATGGCGCTTATCTCTGTGAAGTTCCATGGAAAGGCCGTTATCGGGCCCCAAAATTTGGGATTCGTTCTGGTGCAGCGCGCAAATGGGCTTGCGTCTTTCGGGTCTTCGTCATGTCTCGTCTCCACAATATGCCATGGTTAGGCCAATGGTACTCGATCTATTGTCGACGAATGGGTCTCTCCCTATCTCGTGTTCTCCGCCACCTCCTGTACCTTTTTTCGCCTCATATCTTTCTCCGCACGCTCCGCTGACCGGGATGAGATTCGATTTCTTCTCGTATACATACACCTAGGGGTTCTATCACTGCCTGTATATGCATATAGAACCCTCTTTTTGCATCTTGAATTGATATACTCGCTCTGATCTACTCTCCGCTATCTTATACTCTCCATTCACTCTGTTTCAGCCAGCGCTTTCTTCATGTGTGCCTCGTAAAAAACACCTCACACGACCACTTCCAACCCTCGACCCTCGACCTGGCAGCAGAGAATATGCCCTCATGTCCAGCACCGGTGTCTCTGGCAGCACCTTCGGCCTCGCCGAGCGGTCAGTCAATCAGTTTGCTGAGAAGACTACTCTGGCTTGCCTCATCGCCATAGCCTGGTACAATGCCATCGAATTGATCGTCCTCTGCTTCACTACCTTCAAGCGCTATGGCGGGTGCTACTTCTGGTGTCTGCTCATCGCTTCCTTCAGCATCATCCCCTTTGGTCTGGGATACCTCCTCATCATATACGACATCTATACGAATCTTTTCCCCGTCGCTATGGAACTCATTGCCTGGGTGGGCATGGTGACTGGCCAGTCCCTAGTCCTCTGGTCCCGACTACACCTCGTCGTACATAGTCCCCGTGTTCTCCGTGCTTGTCTCGCCATGATTATCATCGACGCTATCCTCTTCCATATCCCGGCTTCCGTCCTCGAGCTCGGTAGCCACTCCAACAAGTCGGCACTCTTCACCCCGGCCTTTAATATCTTCGAGCGCATCCAACTAGTCGCCTTCTCGCTGCAAGAGGCAATCCTCTCCGCTATATACTCGTGGGAAGCTGTGCGATTATTGAACCTTCGCCCACGCGGCCACTACCGAGGTACACTGCTGCAGCTGTTGATCGTCAATCTGGCCATGATCCTCATGGACGCCGCCATTATCGGCGTCCAGTACTCGGGATTCTTCGACATCCACGTCACCCTCAAAGCCCTGGTATACAGTATCAAGCTCAAACTAGAATACGCCATCCTAGGCAAACTCGTCCACTTTACCGAGATGAGCCACAGCACCAACTCGGCGCCAACCGACCTGTCAGATTTCGTGGACCTCTCCTTCCACCAGAACAACCAACGACCGGCGGATAGCGACAGCCAGGCACGATTCCTTGGCACGCCGGACATGAGTTTTGACGCGCGAGCGCGAACGTCGTCGAAACAATCCTCTAATGACCCGAGGATATCCGATATATCGGCCACGGGCAGTTCGAGTAACGAAATACCGTGATGATGATGGAATGACTGTAAATACTTAATACACTTCTTGTTTCAGACATAGAACTAGAATACAAACTTTGCATATAGTTTATACGATGCATGACACCTCTTTTAAAGGTCTAGAAGATCGCATGTCTCAAACGATCGGGGGAGATGGCCTTGGCTCCCCCGCTTGTCTTATCGTCGGACTCCGCCGTGGAGCTGTGAATGGGGCGGCCATATCTTGACTGCGAATCCACCCACTGTGAAGCGAATCTGGCGTGTAAGAACACAAGAAAATCATCAATTGCATACGCAAAGATCGTAACGCTGCAGCCCACGAAGTTCTAAACAATCTCAATATGGCGCTATCCCCACTCACACCCGCCCAACTCAACAACGCAGCCGCAAAATGCCTCGCCCTCCAAGCCTCCGGCCAAGACATCCACAGCAAAAGGCCCTTCGCAGCTCTCCTCCTCGCCCCGGACAATGAAACACAATTAATGTCCTCCCTATCCCTATCCCACGTCCGCCACGCCGAGTGCGAACTAGCCCGCAACGCAGCAGATAATTACTCCTGGGAATACCTTGCGGGATGCACCATGGTCTCAACCTGGGAACCTTGTGCCATGTGCGCGGGGACTCTCTACTGGGCGCATATCGGGCGGTTGGTATACCTGGCGTCTGAGAAGACGTTACAGGGGTTGACAGGGGAGGGGAATACGGAGAATCTCACGCTTGATTTACCTTGTCATCAGGTATTTGCGGCGGGACAGACTAAGGTTGAGGTTGTTGGCCCGTTGGTGGAGGAGGGGTGGGAGGGGAAGGTGGTTGAGGATGCGCAGCGGTATTGGTCGACGCATAGGCAGGTATGAGTGTGAGATATGAAGGTTCTGCCAGTGATACTAGGTTGCATAGTATGGAAAGGGGAGTACGGAGCTTAGAATATCGAATTATACGGGTTGGGCTGGCACCCTCTCGCGGCTACGGTGGTCTACCATGGTTTCTAGGGACAGACTATGTGAATTAAGCTAGAAAGGCCCATCTCTGGAATTGGGGCTCCCGATATTCATCATTCTCTGAAGTTTGCCAGGGCGATACGTAGTAACGTCTTGATTGCTGCCTAAAACTCTGCAAGCACCATCGACCGATTCGTATCAAAGTATATGATCCTAACCGAAGACTCGAGGATCAGCAGAAAGGGCAGCCACTGACCCTCGAGCGAGAATGCTCTCAAAAAGGAAGAACTACAAGCTCGGCCGAATCGGCGTCTCCATATGGAGCACTCCACTGTGAAAGAAAAGCGAATTTTTCTCTTGCGATCCACCAACCACATGGAACCTTGGATACTTTTGCACGGAATTTTCCAATGGATAGGTTAGTTCGTACAATAGTTCGTGCTTAGCTCGCTCGTGATACGACGAGGTTAATGTGAGCTCCAACGAGCGGAGAAGACCGATGTTGTAGTGCACAGCCCCAGCAGCCACAGCGTATGAGTCTTCTCCCTATGAGCTCCTGAAAGGATCTCCACTCCGCCTAATCGGTGGCTGTGTAGACGAGCTACGGAGACTGTGAACTAGAAGAAAAATTACCGTGTAAAGCCTAGCGTAGAGGAGGACCAGGAAAAACAAGTTGTGCCCCCTTTTTTCTCTGCGGTCGGGCATCTACTGTTCAAGTTGTCGCCGGTTTTGCTTTTTGCCGTATCATTTCATCTGCGGCGTAATAGGCTTTCGCCTTCGTGATTGTCATAGAGTAGCCGGGAGTGGTGCCATGTCATCGAAGAATCTCGTATGATTGACGTCAGGTTGATGCAGAGGAGATCTGAATCTCTTTTGCGTTGCGCAACAAAAGAGTGGGTCCCCAGTTACAAATGGAGCGTGTGCCAAGACCCAGAATGGAGCCCGGAGCAAGTTTTTGGCGCTCAATGCAGTTTAACGCAGAGGGGCGAACTAGGGCGAACGACTCGATCTGGAGGTTCCATGAGCCTGGGAAATCCTAGCAGCCCTATGGAGCTTGATGTTTTGATGCAGCAATTACCGACAATTCACCCCCCACTACCTGAAAGCTCTGAGAGCCCTAGACATAGCAGGACATAGCAGGACATAGCAGGGCATAGCAGAGGCAAAACGCAGGAGGTTCAATTCCAGCCGAGAGTTTGTTGCAAGTTGGCTAAAGAAGCAATGGGGGGAAATGCATTTCCGCAACACATCAGGATGACGTCGGGCGAGGTGGTTGCGTCAACTGCTGCTTGTGAGCTTGTTGCCCGGGTTCTCGAATTATGAAACTAATAGGGTTGGAACGGGAGTACCTACGTACCTTGTTGCAAGCTAGAGTAATGATCATAGTCATAATTATCATGATTTCGTACCTAACAACGAAGACTAACGGTAGACTATCACAAACTATTGCGGGACACTCCTCCAAGTATAATGGAGGCGCTAGCCGAGCTGCTATTCTCCTTCCTCTTTCCAGTAGACTGCTGGATGATCTGACGCGTCAATCGTTTAATAGTCGTCATCCCTTCTTCTGCTTTTTTTCCCGTTATCTTCTTCCTCCTCCCTCCTCCTCCCCCTTGGAACTTCTTCCTCTCCTACCTTCCTTCATTCCAGTGATACCCCCCCCTTGATTCCTATAATATCTCCCACAAATTAATTACTATTGTTAATACCCCAATTATCGAAATCAACGCCCCCTCTTGTACCGGTGTGTATGACCCTTTCCCTCTGCTTGTTTGTTGGAATTGCAAACCCCCAAGCTTGGCTTGGCTACAGGCATGCTAATCCGGATCCACCAGTTAATATTACTTTGTCTCCTTATCTCGGGATCGAATCCTTGACACGAGTGTCACGGTCTTCATCATGTCCTCCAAAGCTGATGTTAACGTCCCTACCGACGTGAAGCAAAAAGAGAAGGTATGTGGATCAATGTTCCGAGCCTATAGATAGAGACCTCGATACTAATCCAATGCGCCCCGTTCTAGGATATCAACCAGAAGCTCCAGCTATTCGGAATCTACCATGCCTTCAAGAACAGCAAGCTTCCCTCGGTTAGTACTTGACACGGCCTTACTTTTGTTACATGTTGCTACAATGTCCCCATACTGAACGTCTCTCCTATTCGCCCAACAGAACAAGCAGTGTGATATCGCATTGAACAGTGCTCTGGCCTCCAAGGCCCTCTCCTCTCCATCCAATGAGCTTTCTAGCGAGGGCAAGGTCCTGATCGAGGACTTGCGCAACGTCATTGAACAGGCTAAGCTCCTGTTGCTCACCAAGAACGAGGGCGAGCTGTTGCAAGACTTCATCTGGCAAGCTCAGAATATCAACGCCGGTGATGTGAAGGGCCCCGATATGCCTGTGTCTAAGGAGGTGGGCCAGCAGGATGCCAATAAGGCTTTGGAGGGTCTCAAGACTCTCGGCACACTTCTGATCACCAACGGAGAGTTCCGCAAGATCTGTGAGTACAGATATCGAGTTGCTGTTGGCTGAACATATTTCTGACAATTATCTATAGTGAGCGATGCTGTCCTTTTGATCCGCGATATGGCAGCTGATGCCTCCCAGAAGGCCGCCAACGTGATCCGCCCTCCTGAGGCGCAATTGGCTCAAATTGACGAGCCAGCCGAGGAGAACACCTGGCACGAGAAGCCTAATATCTCCAAGGAGGACATCAAGAAGCGCTTCAAGAAGAGCAAGGGTGTAAGTCACCAAGACCCCCACGTCCAGACAAGATCTAGGCTCACATCCACCTTAGGACAAGGATAGCGTTGCCTCGCCCTCCATCACCCAGGCTGCCGATACTACCGAAGATGGTGCTTCTGTGACTCCTTCAGAGCAGAGCCGCCGAAAGAAGTATGGCCAGCAAGCTCGGGAGTACCTGTCCGAGAAGGTTCCCAAGGAGCGCCGCGAGCAGGCCATCTGGCGTCTGAAGAAGATGATCATTGAGATTCAGGGCCACGCTGACTGTAAGAATCAAAATATAGCTTTGAGAGAAGCTTAGTGACTAACCCTCAATATAGACCAGCAAGCCATCGAGACTCTGCTGAGCATGGCCGAGAAGTACGCCGGCCACACCAAGACTGCCACCGCCCAGAGTGGCAGTGCTGTGCGTGACATTCGGTCCAACGACAGCGTCAAGGCTGTTGAGCACAACCTGCGCACCCTCATTGAGCGTTTTGCCAACAACACTTCTCTGTCTGACTTCTTCGAGTCGCTGAACAACATCTACCGCGATGCAGACAAGGACCCTGAGCTGCGTGGGTGGTTCTCGAACATCGACACCTACATTCGCAAGTGTTTGCGTGAGCAGGGCTTCATCATGGATAAAGAGGCTAACCGCCAGTGGAACGAGCTTTACGACAAGGGCCGGTACCTCCTTCGTGAGCGCTACCGCACCCACACTGACCGCATTGTGGACGAGACCAAGTTCATCGCGGATCAGTTCGACAAGGACCCTCAAAACAAGGCTTTCGCAGAGTCCATTCAGAAGCTATTCTTGGACCTTGGCCGTGATGCCGACGGCAAGGTTGTCTTCAAGAAGCATCTTCTCAAGGATATTCGTGACGTTATCCTGCCTGGCATCATTGAGAACGTTCGCTACATCCCTATCCCTCGTATTGAGGTCTCCGATCCTACCGTCGATGTGGTTGTCGAGAACCTTACTATTGAGAGTGACAACCTGATGCCCAACGTCGTCGAGTTTGGTAGCGACAACTACTTCCGCTGGGGCCGCAAGAAGATCCGCAGCAAGCGTGACAACAAGATCATGATTGCCGCGTCCGGTATTCAGGCTGACTTCCGCGATGTCAGCTACTACATCAAGAAGAAGCAGGGTTTCCCCTCTATCACCGACATTGGTGTCATGGACATCATCCTGGGTGGTGAGGGTTTCGGCTTCAAGATCGTCGCATCGACCGCGAACAAAGACGACAAGCAGCACTTCGTCAAGCTTGACAAGGTCTCTGTGAACATCAAGAACATGGACATCAAGCTCAAGAAGTCCAAGCACAAGGTTCTCTTCGCCACCTTCAAGCCCATGCTCTTCCGTGTCGTCCGTCCCGCCCTGGAGAAGGTCATCGAGGCTCAAATCCGCAAGGCATTCAGCGACGGCGATGCCTACGCCCACGAGATCCAAAAGGAGGCTCGGCGCGCCCAGGAGGCCGCTCGCGAGGACCCGGAGAACGCTCCTAGCATGTTCTCTCGCTACGCCGACGCCATGCGCGCTCGTGCCCAGGCCAAAGCCAAGAAGGCCGAGGGTATCGTCAGCCGCACCAAGGTCCAGACTGTCATGACCATGCACGACTCCATCTTCCCAGACATCAAGCTGCCCGGCGGTATCTCCAACAAGGCCACCGAGTACGCCGAGTTGGCCACCAAGGGCGAAAAGTGGGAGTCGGCCATCTTCAGCATTGGCGATGCCTCCGAGTCTACGAACATCCCCAGTGCCGGCGATGTCACCCGTAAGCCTCACGCCACCGCTGCAGACCGTGCTACGAATGGCGGCACAACCACTCTCCCCGGCGCCAACGGTACCAAGGTGGAGGGTTACCCTTCGCGAGGCTTCTCCGATGAACTCGACGAGGCCTTTGTCAATGACAAGACCAATGGTCTAGGTGCGGGTATCAAGCATACTCCCAACGGTACTAACGGCATCACTCGCGCCGCCGACGGTCCGGCCGCGGTGTTTTAAGTTTGGGAATGCTGCCTTGGATAATTTCAACGTCAGGTACGGTACTATGTTGAGGACATACCTTTAACCACAGGCCTTCTGCTATCGAGCAGGTTTATCCTGGGTGATCGGTAAACAAGGTTGCTTGTTGTTTTACTTTAGTCTTTCCCTTGATGATCTTTTTGTGATTTGTTATGATTTCCCCCTTATGCAAAATGTTTGGATTTTTTGTTTCATGTATGAGAGTATGTCTTCCTTTTTGTGCTCGGTTGGTAGCTTAATCAATACATAATGTTACTGCTGAATTTGCAATTTATGGCCCGGGTCCCAAATCTTTCGAATAGTTGAAGTAGTAGGTACCCACAGGCAGTAGCCAGGCTAACTTGGACGATTGTTTGAATAAATTCCAGCGAAGACTCTCAACCTAGACGAAAAGAAGTTGACTGTATCTAGAAAGTCTGGGAGTTGAATCGTTTCTTGCCCCTACCTAGGTAACCGTTTGGATCATCAAACTACATCTGTCTTAGATTGGTATACGTGGGGAGCCTAGCTAAATATATCGCTGGGCACTTGACATTTGAAAAATATACATAATGCTTATATAGATCAGGTGGGAAAGGACTATTCCCCCAGTTCCACAGGGTAGTTGGCATCTGAAACCATGAAATATTTAATCATGGTTCTTCTATGTCGATAGGTACCAAGTATCTAGTTCTTGGGCTGCGGGATGGCACCGTCTTCCCACGGGCGCAGTCCGTGGTACTGCAGGGCCACTTAGTTGGTTAGTTAATTGGCGGTGGGACTTCACCTGATTACGTCTCCTATCTTCACTCCCGCCTTTATTTTTAGCTTGACATTCACTATCAGCTCGAGTCCCTACCCTTCGATTCATATGAGCCCCCAGCAAATACTCAAGCGAAAACTGATTCCACTTCTGGATATTACTTGCGGCTCTTGAAACTTCCAATCATACTCCACTGCCTCCTGCAAGCCCCACTGTCTGGTATGTGAGACTGGACCCTCAGTCCTAGCGGCCTTCAAACCCAAGCCCGCCACTTTTTCAGATTAATCGCCATGGAGCCTCACGTCCCTTGAACGTCCACCTACCCGTATATTCGATCCCTATCCGGGCCTCGACCCCCAACGGTTAACATGCCTCCCTCGACCGTCTTCTCATACTGGCGCAGAGATCATCGCCGCTCGATCGCGCCACCAGTGTCCTTGCCCGCACCGACGTCAGGTCCCAAGAGTGCGACGGACAGCCCGATCAGTCCTCCTCAGCTCCCCGAGATCCCTGATACCCCGACCCTCACCTCCCCGTTTGGCGAGTCACAGACACTCGATGCGCCCCCATGGAGCGATTCACCGGTTGAAAATGACGCGTCGAAGCGGAACGTCAACAGCTCTGTCGCTCCGTTATCTTCCTCCGCCAGCTTGGCTGTCCCGTCCCCGTTAACCGAGAGAGATAACCGCCCGCATTCGAGTCCTGGAGAACAGGAGCCGGAGGTTGGCCTTACATCACAGGCGAGCACGTCGCAACTCCCAGTCCCTGGCTTACGGCCTGAACAGGATGATGGAGAGTCAAATTCAAAGCCGAGTTCGCCATTTCGCTTATCATTTGGCAAGGGATTGCGGAACTTGCAGGCGCCAACAGCTGAACCCCAGAGGCGCCCACTTAGCACTGGGCCAGGACCAAGCCAATTTCGATTAAAGACCTCGCCTGATGATTCACCAGCCGAGAAGACGTTTATACCCGGGAGAGAGTTGAGGATGGAAGCGCCGAGCGCGAGGCGAGTGATTGAACGTGATGTATCAACCGAGAATTCCCATCACAAATCCGGCAAGGCGATGCTCCATCTCTTGAACCCAATGTCACTTCTCGCTCGCAGGCGATCCTCACAGATAGGTAGCTCACGTGTGGATGATGCGAAGATCAACACTCCCGATTTGATACCCGCTATCCCTGATGACTATGACCCGAGAATTCGTGGAAATATTGTACACGATTTTTCGGCTCCGCGACCGCGTCGCAATGTATCATTCAATGCGGCCGTTCCGCCCGATGGGAATAGCAGTTTGAATGCCCGAGAGACCAGATGGCACGATCAGACCAAAAGACATAGCGATTATTCGCCGGTGTTCAAGGAGCATTTCGAGGACGACCAAAAAGTGCTACAGGTCGAAAACAAGGGCTATCTTCAGTCAAGCTTGTTGACGAACCCCACCCAACATGGTTATGAGAGGTCAATACCAGTGTTTGCCAGGAATCTGCCTTCTTATCTATCGGATGAAACTACCGAGACCGCTGAGCAGAAGGTATCTTCACTGGTAGAGCTACCTGCAGATGTGCCAGTGGAGCTGCCCGCCGAAGTTCCTTCAAATATACCGCAAGAGAACACCCCAACTCACCAGCAGGACCAAGACACGATCCCCCATGTACCTCAGCCGAGCTCAGGCTTGCCTCGACATCTTAAAAGTAATGCCTCTCGATTCAGCTTTGATATGGGCGGCGTGGAATCTTCTACCCAGGAGAAGCTGCTTGAAGAGAAACATAAGGCCAAGGAAGCACAGCGTAAGCTGGAAGATGGCTACTTTGATGACTTTGATGACGAGTTTGATCATGATCTTATGGATGACTATGATGGCCTTGAGGAAAAGATTCCCGGCGTTAATGCTGATGCCGACGATGACGATTACTTGGCACCGTCAATGGTCAAGTCTTGGGCTGTACCCGGGCTGTCACCTGTAGTTGCAAGTCCAATCACACCTGCCCCGCCTGAGATCCCTGAAACTCTGATGGGCACTGCTCCCGTCGACTTGGAGGACGATGTTGATTCAATTTACGATGACGAGATACTCGAAGAGGAACTGGAATCCGTTGACGAGCCGCAAGAGGTGCAACGACCTCTGCCATTGAGCGTCCATAACCCAGAGGCCAATCCTCATACAATACCCACCATGCATGTAGGCCCTCCTGTACTAGATGATGATGACGACGACCTATACTTTGATGACGGAGAATTCGGGGACCTGACTCTTGACGATCAGGATGCAGGCTTCGACGAGTCTGTCTTTGATGATGAGACTAGTCATCTCTATGAACGGAAGCCAGTGGCCCCACCACCGGCACGACAAGCATCTCAGAGCACAATCCGCAGCGGGGATGCTCTTGAAAGAGAATTTCTCCTGGACGAGGCCGCCAGCCAGGGACTCAAGCATATGCCTAGCGTGGCTAGTGAATTCGGAGTTGGCCCCGTCAAGCGTGGCCCACTTGGTGAGCCAATACCCAATATGGGACCTGCTCGGGCTCATGGAGGAGTACTTACTGAGCGAAACCTGGAGGTGCTGCATAATGCTCTGGCATTTGCCGCCAATGAAGCCGCTACTCAAGGCCGGTTCGAACGTACTTTTAGTACAAGCGACCGATCTGTCGCACAGGAAAGTATTTCTCAAGCGTCGCACACGGCCGAGTCCCAGCCTGGTCTCGTGTCGGATGACAGTCGCCTCAGCCAAGGGGCAGATATGGTCGGCTTTGACGATTTCCTCGACGATCAAATCTACGACGACGATGCGTACTACGACGATCCCATCGTTGCTGCGGCCAATGCTGAAGCTCTTGAGAATGACGACGAGGGCTTCTACGGGCAAGAGTTTGGCTTCTATGCTCAAGCACACGGTACGTGTAGCAGCGAAATGACCAATGGTGGATACTTTGGTCCCCGCGGCGTCGAAGGGATTACTCGCCATCACAGCAGTCGCGGCAAGTTCCAGGAACCCAGCCTGACTCCCATCACGGAGCGTAGTGAATGGAGCACTCGCAACTCTGTAATCTCATTGAAAGCGCATGGTGGCACCCATTCAAACCCATCCCTGGCCAGTCCCGGCTTGGCGCAGCTCGTTGATCTGGGCAACATGGACGACGAGATGTCATTGAGTGCATTACTCAAGCTGCGTCGTGGCGCCTGGGGTGGCAGTAATGGTAGCTTGCGCAGCAGTGCAGGTAGCCCGCCTCCTCATGCGCTCTCGTCCTCCAACCGTGGCAGCTTCATTGCTGCCTCGGAGGCGAGCCCGTCCGAGGCACGACCCTCTGTGGAGGAGAGTTTGGCAAATATTGGCTATCACCATGACGATGGCCATGTTTATCCCACCTCACCGCTTCGAGACAGCCGTCGCGGATATCCCGGCGAGTTTCCGCCAAGCGGAATGGACGGTCCGATAAGCAGCACCGACCACCACCACGAAGTGCCGAGCATCGGCGCTCAACAACAACAACAATCACAACTCCAACATGCCAATGTTGTGTAAATAAACCACGTGCCCATTCGATTTTTCTTTCTCGGCCTTTCCTTTACTGGATATAATCATTCTGATTCCGGGCCATTTTCATCTTGTTGCATACGGTTGTTGATAGGGGCCATTTATATGACGATTTAATGAATCTCCGAGCGTGTGTTTGATTTGTTAGTATAGGGGGTTTAATAATGGTTGGATATCTGTTTGCTACTTGGTATTGTTGTTCTATTTCAATTCGGTCATCCTGCGCTTGGATAGTCTGGGGAAATTGGGCTTATGACCTGCTGATTGGATTAGTGGAGATGGGGCAGCCATTGGGCATGCTAAGGGCTAGGATGGGATGTATATAGATGCCGTAAGAGCAATCCATAGGCATCCAATTGGGCCGAAATCACCCGCAAAGCACCGAAATGCTTAGCCGGCGGCGATTCCGTCGGGGTCGTCGCTCCAAAAACTACGTAAAACTGCACAACTCGGCTATCCCTCGGGATGACTCAGCTTCGCCGGAGCGTTCCAGCCCTGCCTATTGGTTGGTGCTATCCTACCTAGTATTCTGGATGCCTTGCCGCCTGAATCGCCGTCACTGCCGTGCAGGCTCAGCTTTCCAGGATCTGGTTCTTCTCTACTCTCCACTCTTTTCTTCCTTTCCCCCCCATATCCCCCGTGAATTTTGTCATCAGCAGAGTTTCTGCTCTCTGATGAGTTCCGTTTCTATACAGGTGCTACGGCAATTCTAGTCGACACCTGTTTTCTTGCGCGAGTTTTTTTTTCAACAAGAAAAAAATAACATACCTGTTCGTTGCTGGCCCTTCCTTTCCTCCGTGTCTCGGTACCCTCGGCAGGAGAAATAACAACCTGGCAACTTGAAACTAACTGGCGCATGATTTCTGACCTTGGGTTTAGATCGCTGAAAAGTGACGCTTTCAAAGCTGAATAGATTTCGCATACCTAATTCCCCCCTTTTTACTCAACCTCATCGACTTCGGACTGTTCCCTTGAATCGACGGAAAAATCCCGCAATGTTCAGGAACACCGCCTTGAAGGCCACCCACAGCAATATGCTGCGTGGTGTTGCCAGCTCGACCTCCCGGAGGGCTTTCCACCTCACCTCTACTGCTCGCAGTGCCTCCAAGACCTCCACCTTCGGTCTGACCTCTCGCCGTCCCCTCGCCGTCGTCGACCGTGCCTTCAATGGCGCTCGCCTCTATGCTTCGTCTGCGGAGGGTAACGCTCCTGGAGTGGTAAGCAACATAACAAACCTCTTGATCGTTTTTGCCATTTGAAAAGATGATCATGATACGCGAAATCGCGCGAAGATCATACCTCACACGGCCATTCGACTAACGCGACGGCGCGGATTTTTTTCCTATGTATAGGACCCCAACGATTCTTTCCTCCAGGGCAGCACTGCCAACTACATTGACGAGATGTACCTCGCCTGGAAGCGGGATCCTTCCAGCGTCCACATCTCGTGGCAGACCTACTTCAAGAACATGGAGGATGGCAACATGCCTATCTCCCAGGCCTTCACTCCTCCCCCTACCCTCGTCCCCACCCCTACCGGTGGTGTTCCTCAGGACATGCCCGGCACTGGCCTGGCTACCGGTGCCGATGTGACGAATCACTTGAAGGTGCAGCTGCTGTGCCGTGCCTACCAGGCTCGCGGTCACCACAAGGCTAAGATCGATCCTCTCGGTATCCGTGGCGACGCCGAGGCCTTTGGCTACAGCAAGCCCAAGGAGCTCGAGCTCGACCACTACGGTTTCACTGAGCGTGATCTGGACCAGGAGTTCGCTCTCGGCCCCGGTATCCTGCCCCGTTTCCTGACCGAGACCCGCAAGAAGATGACTCTGCGCGAGATTATCGCCGCCTGTGAGAAGATCTACTGTGGCTCCTACGGTGTCGAGTACATTCACATTCCGGACCGCAAGCCTTGCGAGTGGATCCGTGACCGCTTCGAGATCCCCGAGCCCTACAACTACTCGGTTGACGACAAGCGCCGCATCCTTGACCGTCTCATCTGGTCTTCCAGCTTCGAGTCCTTCTTGGCTACCAAGTTCCCCAACGACAAGCGTTTCGGTCTGGAGGGTTGCGAGACCCTTGTGCCTGGTATGAAGGCCCTGATTGACCGCAGTGTCGACTACGGTATCAAGGACATCGTTATTGGTATGCCTCACCGTGGCCGTCTGAACGTTCTGTCCAACGTCGTTCGCAAGCCCAATGAGTCCATCTTCAGTGAGTTCGCCGGTTCCGCCGAGCCTTCCGACGAGGGTTCTGGTGATGTCAAGTACCACTTGGGTATGAACTTCGAGCGCCCTACCCCCTCGGGCAAGCGCGTCCAGCTGTCTCTGGTTGCCAACCCCTCTCACTTGGAGGCCGAGGACCCCGTCGTTCTGGGTAAGACCCGTGCTATCCAGCACTACAACGACGACGAGACCAAGTTCGACAGCGCCATGGGTGTTCTGCTCCACGGTGACGCTGCTTTCGCTGCTCAGGGCGTTGTCTACGAGACTATGGGCTTCCAGTCTCTGCCCGCCTACTCCACCGGTGGTACCATCCACATCGTTGTGAACAACCAGATCGGTTTCACCACTGATCCCCGCTTTGCCCGTTCTACCCCTTACTGCTCGGACATTGCTAAGTCTATTGATGCCCCCGTCTTCCACGTCAACGCTGACGATGTCGAGGCCGTCAACTACGTCTGCCAGGTTGCTGCTGACTGGCGTGCCGAGTTCAAGTCTGACGTTGTCATTGACATTGTCTGCTACCGTAAGCAGGGTCACAACGAGACTGACCAGCCCTCCTTCACCCAGCCTCTGATGTACAAGCGCATTGCCTCGCAGAAGGCTCAGCTCGACAAGTACATCGAGAAGCTGATCAACGAGGGTACCTTCACCAAGGAGGACATTGATGAGCACAAGAAGTGGGTCTGGGGCATGCTGAACGACAGCTTCGACCGCAGCAAGGACTACCAGCCCACCGGCAAGGAGTGGCTGACCTCCGCCTGGAACAACTTCAAGACTCCCAAGGAGCTGGCCACCGAGGTTCTTCCCCACCTGGACACCGCTGTCGAGACCAAGTCTCTTCAGCACATCGCCGACAAGGTCAGCGGCAGCAGTGCTCCCGAGGGCTTCACTCTCCACCGCAACCTGAAGCGTATTCTTGCCAACCGCAAGAAGAGCGTCGATGAGGGCAAGAACATTGACTGGGCCACTGCCGAGGCTCTTGCTTTCGGTTCGCTCGTTGACGAGGGCTACCACGTCCGTATCTCCGGACAGGATGTCGAGCGTGGTACCTTCTCTCAGCGTCACGCCGTTCTGCACGACCAGGAGACCGAGGCTACCTACACTCCTCTCCAGCACATCGGTGACAAGCAGGGCAGCTTCGTCATCTCCAACTCCTCCCTGAGCGAGTTCGGCGCGTAAGTTTACACCCACTTTGAAACTCTATCTATAATTCGCCTTGCTAATCTATTTCCACTATAGTCTCGGCTTCGAGTACGGTTACTCTCTGACCTCCCCCGAGGCTCTCGTCATGTGGGAGGCTCAGTTCGGTGACTTCGCCAACAACGCTCAGTGCATCATTGATCAGTTCATCGCTGCTGGTGAATCCAAGTGGCTGCAGCGTTCCGGTCTGGTCGTCTCTCTGCCCCACGGTTACGATGGCCAGGGTCCTGAGCACTCTTCCGGTCGTATGGAGCGCTGGCTGCAGCTTTGCAACGAGGAGCCTCGCGTCTTCCCCTCTGCTGAGAAGCTGGACCGCCAGCACCAGGACTGCAACATGCAGATCGTCTACATGACCGAGCCCTCCAACATCTTCCACGTTCTCCGTCGCCAGATGCACCGCCAGTTCCGCAAGCGTATGTTTCGTCCCCATCCAGTCATTTCTAGGAACTCAATTTACTAACTGTACCTTCTCTCTAGCTCTTGTGATCTTCTTCTCCAAGTCGCTCCTGCGTCACCCCATTGCCCGCTCTGACCTGGAGGCCTTCACTGGTGACTCTCACTTCCAGTGGATCATCTGTGACCCCGCCCACAAGACCGAGGCCATTGAGGCCCCCGAGAAGATTGAGCGTGTCATCATGTGCTCTGGCCAGGTCTACGCCGCCCTCGTCAAGCACCGTGAGGCCAACGGTATCCGCAACACTGCCATCACCCGTGTTGAGCAGCTGCACCCCTTCCCCTGGGATCAGCTGAAGGAGAACCTGGACAGCTACCCCAACGCCAAGGACATCGTCTGGTGCCAGGAGGAGCCCCTGAACGCCGGTGCCTGGTCTTACGTCCAGCCCCGTATTGAGACTATGCTCAACTCTACTGAGCACCACAACCGCCGCCACGTCCTGTACGCTGGTCGTGCCCCTAGCGCCTCCGTGGCCACCGGTCTCAAGGCTGTTCACTTGAAGGAGGAGCAGGAGTTCCTGGAGGATGCTTTCTCCGTTCACCAGGACCGCCTGAAGGGCGAGTAAATGTGTTCTTCGTCATTCCCTATAGATCGGGATGAACCGCATTTGACTGTTTGATTGGGTTGCTTTCCTATGTTCATGGGTCCTGCTGGGAGCTAGCGTCCGATTTTTCTGAGTTTTTCCCTTTGTACTACCTCTTTTTTATTTGCATGAGTTCTCTCTTGTTCTCAACCTGGTGTGTACGACCCGTCTATGCTGTCGCTGGACCCGGACCCGTTTATACCTAGAATCTATGGTTTTGTAAAATACAAATTTCATTTATTTGCTGCATTCAAAAATTCCCTCTCGAAAATACTTGCTGTAGACTGTAGATTGGCATATAGTTTTGTTGGAGATTCCTCTTGAAGCAGTTCAGCTGTAGAGCTGTCTCTTGCATGACGTCATTGAACATGACCACTGACTAATGATACTGGTGCCTGATACCACAGGCCGACACTCACCTGATCCGATTGCTCTTCTCCGCACGCAAACTTCCCGAGTGCTGTTGCTTCTTCGCCCGCTCCCCATCTGCCCCCAAAGCTCTCGCAACACTTGCCTACAAGCGGAATCTCTCGATATATCCGTTAGATCTTCCAGCCCCTCGTTTCTCCCACTGAGCCGGGCCTGGTGCACCCAGAACCCCTCTTTTTTGCGGTGCATCCCCCAGCCTGATCTCTTCCACACCATGTCCGCCGTCTCAACGTCCACCCTCAACCCCCAGGGCCAGGGGATCCGTCAATCAGCCCGGCAGACACGAACCAACCCCTCTCGAACCTCCAAGACAATCAGTCGCTCTTCGTTCGGCGTCAGCCGTGGCTCGATAGCCGAAATTCCCGCAACGCCCCCTGTTCCTCATGGCTTTTACCCTGCGCTTACGCATTTCACCGACGCGATCACCGCGCTGCCGCGCGAGTTTCGAAGACATAATTCGTTGTTGAAGGAGGTTGATGCGAAGGCGTGGGCGCTCGAGGAGAATCTGCTGCAGCTCCTGCAGATTTCGTCCGAGTCGCAACCGGTGCCGCACCCGCCTCACCCGGCGCCTATCGTCGGTGGTGTGGTGCGAGAGGATGTCTTGCCCAAGGTAAGTGGTTGGAGTATGGAATTGGCTGTTCTAGTGAATAGTGGACTAACGACTTACCCCCTCCTTTCACCAGGAACTCTCCCAATCCCCAGAGTCGCCAGAGAGCAAGAACCGTCGTCTCCTCTTCGATCGCGTACGACAGAGCCTTACCGACCTGATGATGACGGCCGATGAGAAAAATCATGTAATTTCCAATGCAAACGAGGAATTGGACCGTCAGATCGTTCGGCTGGATACCGTGTTCCCGTACATTGCGGGTGAAATCAGCGACGAGGCTCGTCTGGGTAGTTTGACGCACTGGGCATACTCTAACAAGAGTGCTGCCAAGGCTGCGACCAACGAGCGACCTCGTCGTGAGGCTGTGGCCCAGCGACAGGATCTCACGCATGTGCTCCACGAGGCTGAAGTTGCCAGCCGTAGTGAGGCGCGGCGCGAAGCTGTTCGGGCACGGGCTCGACGGCCGAATCCCGACGCAGACTATGAGGAGGGTCGTGCGCCTCGCAAGACGAACGCCGGGAAGTCCCGTGGTGAGAATGCGACGGGTGAGAACGCGGCGCCCAAGCGGCGCAAGGTGGAACGACCCGCGACGATGGATACTGGAGCACCGATGGAGCGCTCTGCCAGTGGAACTGGTGCACAGCGCGGTGCTAACAAGGATGGCGTGGAGAAGAAGCGATCTCGTGCGCCCAATCCGAACGCAGCCGCAGCTCGCAAGAAGTATGTACTGTCTATTTCCCCGTTTCATTGCTTGCAACTGACCGTTTTCTCTCTAGGGCCACCGCCGCCTCGAACGCTGGATCACCGGTTCTAGCCCCCTCACCTCTTATTGGCACCTTCAACAATACCCCGCGTGGTGCTGCTAGTCCAGGCCCGAACACAGCACGTCCACAATCCTCGCGAGCCCAACAGAATGCCGGGCAGACGAGCAATTCCCGACAAAGACCCTCTTCCTCCGCGTCCAATCGTGTTGGTCAGGCAAACTCTGGTATGTCCCTTTGCCCTACGATGCTTTGTCTTCATTTCTCTGACCAAATCTCCTTCCAGCCAAACCAGCAGAGCCCAGATCTACTCCCCGCGAGTCAGTCAAATCCGAAGCCACCATTCCAGAAGCCCGCGAACTGGAAGAACCCGGCAGTCGACCCGCGCCAGCTGGAACCAAGCGCGAGGAAGACCGTCCGGCAGACGCAGTCGAGCCCGAGCCAACCAGCAAAGGCCGCAACTCGAAGACCTCTACTCCCCTCCTCTCTACACTTGCCGAACCTACTCAGTCTCGCTCGCGACCAACACGAAGCAATGACGCCGCGCCTAAGCGGACGGCCAAGAAACCACCTGTGCAGCCCGCAATCCCCTCGGACGAAGAGTCTATCCACGAAGGCGACGACGAGGACGAGGACCAGGAGCCGAGATACTGCTACTGTAATGAGGTTAGCTTTGGTGAGATGGTGGCATGCGACAATGATGCTTGTCCGCGCGAGTGGTTCCATCTGTCATGTGTGGGTATGACGAAACCACCCGGAAAGAATGGTAAGTCTTTTTCTTTGCTCTTGCAAGGGCTCATTGTGTATTGGATATGCATGCTGACTCTGGGACAGTTAAATGGTATTGTAACGAGTGCAAGGAGAATATGCGGCGTGGTCGCAATGGGCGGTAAATGGGTGGAATTGAAGTGTCAGATTACAGAATTTGAATTCGAATAGACCTGGATTTGAGTGTTTATGCATGGCTTATGACGATTATATTGGCATTGGTTCTGGTTATACTGCTTGTTCGTCTTGATCGATATTGATATTGATATATGCATGCTCCTTGCAAGGATGACAACATTATTCCCTACTGACCGAAGGTGCAGTATACCTTGCTAGTAAAATTATCCTGAGACCATTTACACAGTAGTTAGACCATAAGATTCCATCTTTATTCAGAGCTTCAACAAAAAGCCCTTCTATAACAGCAAGATTCATAAGCCTTCACAAACAAACTCGAAAGTAACCATGTAAACCCTAATCAATCACCAAGCCCCCCTCAACCTCTCCATAATCCCACTCCCACCCCTCCTCCTCTGTCCACCCCCATTCTCCACAGACGTCGAAGCAGCAACCTCCCCCTCCAACCTCCTCCGCAAATCCTCAAACCGCTCTCTCTCCGCCGCACTCCCCCCACTTCCACTCGCACCAGCACCGGCAACACCCCTCCGCTCCCTCTCCCCAACTATCCACGCCGGAACGCGGAACCCATGCGCAGCCGGTGATAACCCCGGTAGTAACTCTGCGCGCCAGGCCATACCCACTATCCAGCCGAGCGCGGAGGGGAGGAGCATGGCGGGGAATTGGGAGAGAGCGAGCTGGGCGGCAACGAGGTATGTTGTTGTTTTGTCGGAGAGGAGGAGGGTTAGACTTGGTGGTGTTGGTTTTGCGGTTGCGGGTGTGGGTGCGGTGTTTGTGGCGGTTGTTTCGTCATTCGCGGCGGTGGTGGTGGCGGATGACGAGGAAGAGGAGGAAGTAGTACCGATGCGGAAGCGGAATGTATGCGGGATCATGGCGTAGTATTGCGCCAGCAGGGCGAATATCATTGCCGTTGGGCCGGAGGGGAGATAATTCAGTGTGTTGAGGGAGAGTGGTCGGACTAGTAGAGCGAGGAGAAGTGGTGGGAGGAGTGTTGTGTATGGTAACGTCGTGAGAACGAACGTCTATATCCAGTTAATAAAGCCCCCAATCTCCACTAATACCAATTCATAAGGACAAGAGTGCGACGTACGGCCATCTTCCTCTTCCCCCAAGCGCGCTCAACAACCCGTAAATGATACACTAGCATCGCGGCGAACAGGGCTTCCGTGGAGTTTGTAAACCCGGCGACGTGCCAGACAAGGGCGCGCCAGAATTGCGCGTATGGCCAGAAGTGTGGGGAGACATGGATTGAGGCGAGGTGTTTGATGTCGAGGATTGAGAGGGCGATTGAGGAGGCTATTGTGTAGACGAGGAGGGATTTGGTGAGTGGGGTGTTTGTTAGCCCCGACGTGAGCATTTTGTCGACTGTATTGGGTCTTGGGTTTATCAGAGAGGGCTAGGTAGTGGTAGGATCATTCGAGCGGTCTGAATGGGGTCAAATGGGGGAAGGGGGGTGGGGTGGTGTGGTTGTTGAGGTTGAAGGTTGGAAGTTGAGGTGTGGGGGAAGTTCGGAGCTTGAAGGAGGCCAGATTGGCAGTCGGAGAGCGGAAGACGGAGTCCGGGGTACCTCGGCATGCCGAGTCCCTCATTTACTTTCTATACTTTGCTGTTTCTACTTTTAACTACGTAGGACCATTTGTAGTCGAGGGGAAATGTTATTGGATATTATACAATTCAAAATTCGCCCACGCTCCGGCCTCAAAATAACGCCATAGAGTCTTGCCCCGCTTTTGTATCCTATTCGGCTGCGCCCTCGCACCGACCTGTCTTTCTCTAGACTGCTAGCAAGGCTGCTTCTCTAGCCGCCTCCGCCTTCTCCGCTTCTAGCGTGGTTCTATAGCGGGCTAGCGCCAGTTGCAATGCATGCAAAGTTGGTCCAAGTAGCTGATTGACCACTTTCTGACCACCCTCGATATCATCTAGATTGAGTCGGGGCTTGCGCTTGGTTCTTTCAAAGTACTCGCGCGCCGCAACCTTCCGCCGGTCAACCTCAACCTGCCGTTCAGCTTCGGCATCGTTGGCGACGGCCTTGATTCGCTCTATGGCTCGAGCAAGCGATTCGGATAGAGACTGAACTTCGCTAGCTCGCTCGGGATTACCCGAGAGGAAAGCTTGCCAGAATTGGTTCAGGAACTCGGTTGATGTTGCGTGTGTTAGGGTCAACCGGTCATAAAGACCTGCAGAAAGACCGTAGGTGTCGGATGTAGTTCCCTCATTCAACTGATCGCGTTGCTCGCGGACCGCACCCAGAATCTGTGCGAATGCATCATGGAGTGCCGCTGATGATCCGACGGGACGCTTGCTGGCCGGTGCATCTTCCATCTCTTCGTCTTCGTCATCGCCTGGATCTACAAGCTTCTGAAGCGGAGCAGTGCCGCCAAGTGGCAAACTCTGTGAAATCTCGGATTGAAGGGCTTTCAAGATCTGGTCTGGGTCTTGCTTGGCGAATGCCCGGGTCTGCTCATCCTCCTGAGTCTGTGAAAAGAAGCGGTTCTGATCGCGAATATTAAGTGTGACATGGGCCTGCTCCTCGTCGCCTTGGAGATCTCGTAACTGCATCTTCTGCCAAGTCTCCTCGTCCATTCCGATGGGGGCAGTAACATCACCATCCGCCGGTGCAACGTTGGCCATGATCTTCTCACTGAGACTGTTGAGTGTCCGAATAATGGGCACCTTGTCTGCACCAGATGGTCGCATATCCAGATCCGGTCTGTTTCCACGGCGCTGACTGTGATGAACTTCATTTCCAGCCAAGTCCATAAAGTGCGGGACGAATGCCTCACGATTCGTGTCGGTATGCTCTTCTCGTAGATACTTGTCCAAGATAGTATCCGTAGCGTCCGACTCGGAGATGCGTTCTCCACGCAGCTTCTTGAACAGTCTACTCTGGAAGAATCGCGACCAGAACTGCTGCTCGCTCAGTTTGGGGACATTCTCATCATACACCCGCTTAACAAGGGGATGCTGTGAGAAAATCAGCGAGATCTGCTCCTTGCTGATATTCAACCTGGTCACATTCTCCTCCACGCGCGGCTTCAACGACGACAAAACGTTGTATGAGCCACGAGTCTGTGCCCGCTCAATCGCATGTGCCCGCAGTAGATGTAACCGGGTCGACCAGAACTGGGACATGAACTGTGCCGAAGTCAAACTATCGGGTTTCGTGTGAATCGACTCCATGAACATCCGCTGCAGGGTGGGGTCGGCCTTCAACAGCGACTGCTGCAGTTCCACATCGCCCTTGAGCTTATTATCGTCGTCCCATGGGTTCTTCGATGACCCAGCCGACGAGACTGCATTGGCAATGGCCATCGCTGCAGACATACCCCCTCCACCAGCCGCACCAGGGGTTGGCGTTTGCACGGGCGTCCCCGTCTTCCCTGCGTTCATCCGGGCACTGAGAGCATTTTTGAGGGCGTCGGCCTGCGGGCGGGCGGCGTCCGGCCCAGCCGTGAACAAGAAGACATATTGGTCTGGTGTGGTATTCGGCGGAGCATTTGGGGCGAGGGCGAATACCTTGAGCATCACCTTGGGATTCGTTGCGGGTGTCTGTTGCAGATCTGATCGCCGCGTTAGCGAAATCGCCATCTAAGCGGCAAAAACAGCACAGCTCAACGCATACTGGTAATAGTAGACACGGCTATGTTCAGAGCCGTAGGCCCAGCAGCAGCTGGGTTCCAAGTGAGCGTCTGCTCATCTTGGGTCAGTGTCAGGGTGCCGTCCTTCTTCTTGTATGAGGCCGCGCCGCTCGGAGGTGCCATCATCGCGAGTCTCGACAGCTTCCACTGTCTTGGGCAGCGGCAATGAAACCACCCATCGGGATGAGAAAATCACCCAGGGTAAGATTTCGGTGAAGCAAAGAAGGTCTAGAGCCTTCGAGAGCGTAGAGACAGGAAGATGAGTCGAAAGCAACAGCTGAGAGCCGCAGCTCTTTGATCTAATCGTCACGTGATAACGTCACCTGGAACTCCATACCCTAATGCATGAGATCAGTCACTCCAAAGTAGAGTCGATGTGTGCCCAATAATTTATTAATTTATGAACTAGCTAACTACAATTATCTACGATGCACGGTGTCAATCTACTGGAGAGTTCTGAATGAACTATTTTAAAGAGATATCAACATTGTATGAGTAGAGTGATGCTGGTACGCCAAATGATAATCACATGCGCCGTAAAAACATGAGCAAGTACGCAAAATGAAGCGCTGAAGAGATCCAGAATGCCATGCAAAATCAGAGAACAGACGCAAATCGAGAGCACGAACCCGAAGCCAGGAGCCAGAATGCCGAAATTCGTAAACCATGTTGCGCGCCGCCATGCATAGACCGAATATCGTCATTCGTAATCGTCAAAAAGCACAAAAGGAATCCCGCCCAGAAAAATACAGAGGAAAGTGTGCAATGAGAAAAAAAAATGACAATCCCGAAAAGAAGAAACAAATGAACGCAAAAATCAACAAGGGTATTGGTACCAGCAAGAAGAAAAAGATAAATGAGGAGCAGCCAGCATGCTTTTGTTCGAGCAACGCATGGAGAGAAAAGAAAAGAAAAAGCTCCGACCCGTAATCATTTCTTGAACATGTAGTGGCCGTAGATTCCACCGACATCGCCCACAGCCATAGGGATCTTGCGCATGCCCCACCAACGAGCGCCCATTTTCCAGGAGCGCGAGCCGTCGTCGACAGGCTCGTTGGGCATGGATGCAGGATCCCGGACGTACCAGCCTCGGCGGCCGAGGTCACGGACAGTCCAGCCTACCGACGCACGGTGGGTCTTGGCACGCTCACGCAAGGGTGTGATGATCTTATCGCTGAACTCGATCACCTGCAATGGGTAGCTGTGGTCCGACAGCAACAGGCATGTGCTCGTGTTAAAGATCGCGCCAATGGTCATCTGTGGCACCTTGGCAAGGTCGAGGTAGCACAGAGTGCTAGGAGCCGCATTTGCCTCCGCACCGTTCTCGCGGGATCGGGTGAAGAACGAGTTCACATCCTTGACCGACAGATCGGCCGAGCTTAGGCCCAGCTCCTCCAGGTGTTTGGTCAAGGGGATCAGCAGCGGAACATGCTCGGAGGTGACCTTGGCACCGCCCAGGTTCAAAGACCGAAGGGTATCGGGAAGCTTGGGCAGCAGTGCGGTCACATCTTCCTCTTCCAGGAGGCGGAAACGGGTCGGGTCGGTCAAGAGGTTCAAGTACACCAAGGACTCGCGGACGGCTGGGTGCGTAGTCAGGAACTCCACCAAAGCGGAGCTGCGCAGACGGGTGCACCGTGACAGACTCAGGTGGGTGATGCGAGCCGTTTCGGGAATCGCCAAAAGAGCCGAGTCGTTCACCTGGGTGTGGGTGAGATCCAGGTGTGTCAGGTTGGTCAGCCGGGAGAGCAGCAGGTCGAAAATCGGGGCCGGAATGGTACTGCACTCATGAAGCGACAGCCGCTTCATATTTGGCAAGCTCATGGGCATCGCGGGTCCCGCAGTCAGGGCCTCTGTGAAGACCTGGGAGAAAGACTGAGTGGAACAGCCGCAGAAATCCACCGCACGGAGATTGGGAAGACCCATGAAAAGCTTCCGCACCACATCCACGCTCAAATCACCCTCGAGATGTTCCTGCAGTAAGCATTCCTTCAAGTTGGGTAGCAGATCCAGGCACTTGAGCAACGTGCGCGAAGTCAGGTTCTGAATCTCGGCGTTCATCTGCTTGGTGCGACCCAGACCGACGGAGGTGAAGTGGGAGAAGTCCAGACGGCGCACCAATGTTCCCAGAGCGGGATAGGACGACATATGATTGAGGGCCTTGGAGAAAATAATCGAATGCGGGAAGGTCATGTTCCTGTACAACACGCTCAGCGTCGCCGCATGCAACGTGCGCGAGGCGAGGAGGCACGAAACGAGGTCCACATTGCGCGGGGTGTAGCCATTGGGTGGCAGATCAATGGCAAGGTAGGAGATGATTTGATCTAGCGAACGAGTTAGTACACGGTGAGACAGAGATGAAAAGCTTCACGGCTTTTTTTTGGAGTTCTCTTACCCAGAACTTCTGGCGGGAGCTTCTCCAGAGCAGAAGTGCCCGGGGGCGGCGAGGCCTGTTCGACTACGACCGGGGCCTTTGGTGGCACCAGCTCCCGTCCCGATTGGGTAGTCTCCCACGCCCAACCCTTTGCCTGCAAATGCCCCAGGTTGCGAAGATCGCCATAGCTGCGACTCAGGCTCTTTCCACCGAGACGAATCTGCTTCCACCCCAGAAATCCACCGCACGGGCAGCAGAAATCCGGAGTCTGTTGCATCTCCGGGAGCTGCGGCTTCTGGGACTCCTTGGGTGAGGGAACGTGGTGAGTATCCACGAACGATTGCGCAATGCCTGCAGAGGGGGAAACTACGTCAGCAATGATATCCAGGGAATACTATACAATCACTTGCCGGTGCCAGTGAAGCCATTTTTTTTTTTTTTTCACGTACCGTCGACGTCTTCTTTGATGGAGCCGAACGACGGGCGCCGGCGGCTGCTGGATCTGGATCCGTCGGGAGTGTCGCAGCAGGATGAGGGAGACGAGTCGCGCGAGTGTTGATCGACGTAGGGGGAGGTTGAAAGGCGAGTATTGATCGGCTTGATGGGTGTAGGAGAGGCCGAAAGAGTTGAAAGAGAGGCCATGGTGAGAGAAAGTGAGCGGGCCCTCTATAAAGAGGCCCCAGTAAGCGCGGACTGGTCGGGAGGTACCTTAGAGACGAAGTGGGACAGAACAAAAAAAAAGTAAAAAAAAGGACAAAAAATAGAGTGTGAAAATTAGACGAGTAACAGCTTCCCCGGATTTCGAGCGAAAAAGAGTTTCCGGTCAAGCGACAAAGACAAGATGAGGACGGAGTTAGGGGGAGGAAGAAAGGATTGAAGTGGTTTAGGGCTATAGTTTGTCGAAGTAAATGGGAGGGGCGGCGGGGAAAAAAAGAAAAAAATGGGCAAAGCTGTTAGTCACAGAAAAGGGCGAACCGGCGTAGCACACGCCCAGTTAGGGTGGTCGTCGCAGTCGAGTGGACCAAGGGTAATTTAGAAGACTAATGGTTTCCACCGATTGGATTCGGGGTGGAAGTAGCGAGGGAGAGAGTAGGAGTAGTAGGTAGGTAGTAGTGACTTTTGGAGAGAAGAGGAGAGAGAGAGAGTATGGAAACCGGCAAAGCATGGAATGTATAAGAGCAGGTGGCAGTACAGAATTAAGTTTCTACGGTTTGCCGGGGGCGATGACTCCTCAGGATGGCGAAAAAAAAAGAAAAAGAAAAAAATCAACGGTGGCGGAGATCGGCTGTTCAGCCTACGAGCGTTGATTTCCCTAAGACTTGGGGACCTCGAAGAACCGTCAAGAACGAATGAGCGACCGTGGAGAGTCTATTCCGATCCTAAGCTTACCCCTGCAGAACTCCGATTTGCTTTGCTTTTTTCTTTTTCCTTTCCTTTTCGGATCGGATGGGTTTTATTTTTACTTTTGAGTTATGCAAGCGGAAATCCCATGGCGTCATTAGGGGACCATCGCTTTGTTTTCGAGGCAGGGGTAAATTCAGGTTCATAGTGATATAGTTAAAGGAAGGCATGAATTAGACAAGGTCTTAGAAGCAACAGTTCTTAATCTGAACGATCAGGTAACGAATATCAGGTAATGATCAGGAAATTCTCTGCTCTCCAACCGGCCGACGCCGAATTACCTTTCCCGCGGATTCTATGACATAACTAAAATAACCGCCATCCGCACTCCAACTACACCATCCATTTGGACGGATTTAGACTAGTAACCAGTAGTTACTGCATTTGTCGGTATAATAATAATACCAGTCAAACTACTACTCTAGCCAGTAGTTCTATTGGCATTAATATTTCGTACTTCAACCCTGAGTCTACAATACTGGAGGACTAATATACAGTAGTCATAGTTATTCAAACTAAGTACTAGTGAACCCACTAACGACTCCGTCGCTAGCCACATGTCGCCCACATTGGGACTAGTCTGCCATCTGGCGTCCAACTGTCATTCATCTTAATTGCCAGCTCACCCCTGGTCCGGTCTCCGATCTCCTGGTTCTGGGAGCCGCCGCTGGGGGGGGGGCGAGGAGGACATCTGACGACTGAACCATGCGCTGGTCAGCTGGAGCACGCCAGACAAGCCCTCGATTGCAAGCACCAATCCTACCGTGAGTGCTGACGAATGTTGATTCAAGCAGGCTAGTTATTCCGTACCTATAACTAGCATACACTTATATTGAAAGGAACAAAAGCACCATACCCCGGGGTTTGGGGTTCTTGTTAGGTAACCGCTACGACCATCCCTGCACACGCCATTCGCTAAAGCGGCCGATCATGCGGGGACGAGGCGATCCATTACCTAATAAGAATCACCTGACCTGTCCCCATGACCATCAAGTTGGCAACTCCTCGAGTTGTTGGATAACCAGCTTTACATTATTATTGTTTGGGCCACTCTCTCCTGGAATAAACTCTCTGGTCCTTTGGTTCGGTCTCTCTCCCAGCAAATTACATCTCACCATATCTAGTCATCCTCCTTGGGCTGCGGATACTTCCCCGCCAACTCCGCACGTGCCTTGATTTCTCGACTGCGGAGTACACCGTCTCCATCTTTTGTACCCCCCATTCTCTCCTGTTGGCCTACACGCTGCCAAGTGTACCCCCTAACACCTAGAATTGACCTAGAATCTCTCGGCATCCCCCCTGCGGCCCTGCATTCTTGTCCTCAAGACGTTCTGTTCGCCCGACGGAGAACACACGGCGTAGTCCTTTTATAACAATGCAGACTAGCAATACCGGCCTGTGTTACGGTACCGACAGGATTGGCAAAGGCTTACTTCCTCACAACCCGGCCCCAAATAGGCCACAAAAGTCGGGATTGCGATGCTAGATGACGTTATCAGTACTTCGTTTTGGAAAGTCCGGGGCGCCCGTATCTCCCGGGAGCCAGCCTTGCTTCCTAACAATGACATGCCATATCCCGCTGTAGATCGAGCTTGGCAAATATGGCCCGCCAATATTTAACCTGCAATCCCTCATTTTTCCATACTCAAGGTCTAGCCAGGACGATTTGCCAAGGACGGCGGATTGCCAAGCCAGGGCGGTGTTGTGAGGATTATGTTGATCTCCTTCACTCCTTGCGCTAATCATCTCCTTATTGTAGAGCTGGTCTTTGATCAGATCACTATTGCTATAGAAGAGAAAAGACGAGACGATAGTTTGCGGGGGGGGGGGGGGGCAGAAACTGACCTCTCGCGAGGCTCTGCTCTAACTCCACTCTCCGCAGTAGTGAGCATCACGAGACCTTCATTGGGGCGCTCCGCAATTAAGGATAAGAGCGACCCATAATCCGCGACGAGCTGTGGGAATTGTCGAATGGTCCACATGACTCGTTCAATTACTGGATTGAGCCTTGGGTACCGCCGGTTCAGTACAATCTTTGGTGGAGGCGAGGAATGCTGGAGAATCTACGAGGTGGCTATATCAGATAATTGACTGTTATAGTCGGAGCACGTCCTCGCTGGACTGGCTATCTTCTACTATTGAGTGGAAGTCTATATTCGACCACTCAATAGTCAAGCTCTACTTATGGTTCTGATGCTTAGAGCTCACTATTCATCTAAACTTCCGATCAATAGTTCAGTATCCAGCTGCCCCATGGTCCCTCGCCGGACATATTGAAGGCCGAATCAAAGATCATAGAACATCGGAATATACCAGCCCAATATTATGGGATTGAGTTCATCGAACCAAGTACCCAAATGAAAATAGATCCGAAGTGATGACAACCCTAAAGCGGCAATCCACACCATTCTCGAACGTTGATCACCCCATCACTCCACCACATAGATAGGGCTGAGTCACATGCAAAATCACCATCTTATCAATCAGCCCTACAACACTCATCTAATCGAAAGAGCTCGTTAACCTCACCAGGTAACAATACCAATGTACGAAATTCCAAACCTCAGATACCCACAAAACCACATTCTGAAAAATACCAAAACCGCAAATTTACACCATCCAGCCTCTTCACTTCATGGACCCCTGCATTAGCAGCTACCTTCTAAAGTAAAAAGACACACTAACCTTTCCATCCCGAAACCCGCCCGCAAAAAACAACCTTTACCGCGACACCTCACATCCTCTATCGTAGTCTGATACGTTCCAGAAACCGGGGCCCCGGGTGAGTCGGCAACGTGCAGCTCGCAGCATATTTGTTCTACCCGGTGCCGTGTCTCCGGATCGACGGGGATATACTTCCCCGTGCCCCCCCCCCTGTACAGATGCCGCGTGATCTAGACCTGTCCAGGAAAGTGCTAAATAGATATTTCGATATCAAAATTGTACCCTGATCACCTCTCTACTAGTCTACCCTTGGCTACCCGTTCTACTTGATTAGGAATAGTATACTATCACTTCATATTTGGCCTGGAAAGCGGTCTTTTGCCACCGGCGATCAGACTATGAGGCAGAGAGAGAGAGAAGAAATGTTTTCTTTTTTGCTCTTTTTTCTGGATTTTTCATTTTTCTTGCTTTCCGTGTTGGTTTTACCTTTCCCGCGCTTAGACTTCTTCAGGTAGAGATATGTCTTGGGTGAGGAGATCTAGAAGTTTCGAGGTTTCTTCTTTTCGTTCCGTTGAGCGAGACATACACGGGTTCTAGATTCTTGGACCTGGATTTAAGGGGAAATTTGGCTGACTACTTTTGACATTGTAATTTCATCGTTGAATTGAGTTTTGGTTCTAGTCTCCTTCCAGACATTATCATATGGATACTCGTCTAGAACGTAGAAAGTGTGGATTGTGAACAATGCTCCGTTGGATAATTCCTCGGCTTGTGAGAAACTTTGAAAGTAGCAACCCTTCGAATATGAATCAGGCGGCGAATTTTCGAGAACATCCAAAATGTGTGGTTAACATACCCAACGGATGTTGAATCTAAATGTAAATGATCGTGTTGAAAAGTCTCTAACTGCCTGCAGACCTTCTGAAAATGGCACATTAGCATCTGAGCACGTAACCAAAAGGAAAAAAAAGTAGTTGTGAAAAGGGAAAAGATCCAGTCTTGATTAAGCAAATAAGGTATGAGAAAGAAGCAAATTTAAGCTAGTAAGGGTCCCGAAAAAAATCAAAAGTTGCTTTCATGTCAATCTTGGGTCTTGAGCAGATGACATGACAATGGATATCTAAAGTTCTTCGCCAAAAAAATCCCCAGGAACTCTATCAAACGAGTCTAGGGAGAGAGGATGCGAGATAAGCAAAGCCGAAAAAAAAAAGAAACAAGTCTAAAAGTCTCTAGAGAGAATCAGAACCCGGTTTCACAAACGCCAAAAGGAAAAGCCCATCCCACGCCTAGCCATCACACTTTTGAATCATAGGGGGGTTTCCCGATATCATAAAGCGTGATAACTCAGATGACAAATCCAGAATCCAAATCTGGTAGTTCGTTGTCGCGTTTGTGTTTTGTTTTTGATTTTCTTATCATCACCAAATCACCAACTCGTTTACTCAACGGCCGAGGCACCGTCACCGCTGAGAACGGGGTTGACTTTGGGGTTCCACTTGAGCTTGAACTCGTGGCCCAGTTCCTTGCGGACAGCAGCCTTGACAGCCTCCAAGACATTGTCAAAGACACCAAAGTTGGCAGGGTTGTTGGCGTCGTTCTCGCCCTCCTTGCCCTGGAAGACACCGGTACGGACCAGACAGGTGTTCCAGCCGTACATATTGCCGCCAATGATATCGGACTGCGGGTTATCGCCGACCATGTAGATGTTCTGAGGCAGCCTGTTCTCATTGTGAATCTGCTCCATCCAGGACTTGAGTACCTCGTCGGCATAGGTGTAAGTGGCACGCTCAGGCTTGCCGTAGACGACACGCTCCAACTCAACGCCGGTCAAAGCCTTGTACTGGGCTTCGATGGCGATACGGAAAGCACCCTGGGTCAGACGGGGTGGGCCCTTGTGGTCGGTAGGGAAGACCAGGTCACCCTGCGAGAAGTAAATAGGGATGCGGCTGGCGACGGGGTCCTTGGCGCGGGTCAGCAGCTTTCCGTCCTCGGCCAGAAGCAGGTCGATGATGAGCTGCATGTCGGTGGCGTAGTCACGGGAGTCGGCAAAGACCAAGATAGCGTCGAACTTCATCCTGGAGAAGTCGCGAGGCTTAGCATCGGCGCGGTCCTTCTCGGAGAAGACGCGCCAGGGAGAAACGGTGGGATCCCACGCCAGAATATCCTTGGGGTGAACGACATTCTTGAAGCCATAGCTCTCGGCGACCTCACGGACCTTGAAGTCTTCGCCACCGCACACCAGAACAGTCTCGTAGTACTCTGCCAGGGCCTGCATGGGAGTGTGGGACTGGATAAACTGGTCGGTGGAGATGGGTGCCTCCAGAATCTGAGAAAGCTGCTCACAACGGGCGATCTCGGTCTTACCACCACCGTTGGTGAGCAGGATGTAGGGGATCTTGATTCCCAGCTCGTTATCACCATTGAGCATTCTCAAAGCTTCCTTGGCCTCCTCGATGGGCTCATTGCCGTGTGCCAGCACACCGTCAATGTCAAAGGCAAACGCCATGTTCTTGGCATTGGCCACCTTCTCCTTGGACATGTCCTGGACCTGGGAAGCCAGGATATCCCGAGAGACGGAGGGTGCACCGCGCTGGGAAGACAGCCGGGACCGACGTGGCGAGCGCGGAATGGGGAGAGAAGTACCAAAGGAATTGCGGGAGCCCCGTCGCTCCTTCATGGAAGGGGACAAGCTCAGATTGTGCATGAGGGAGGCGGCATCGCTGATGGAGCTGCGGGTAGCGGGAATCTCCACGGTGGTGTCTGCATTGCTGGGGATGGGCAGGCCAGAGCCAGAGCGAGAGAAGCCGGGACGAGTGCTGCGAGGAGGAGCAGGGACGTGAGGAGCGGTGGGCTCGACACCAAAGTCAGCATCGTCAAAGCGAGGCATGATGGAGTCGATCGTTATGGAGATAGATAAAGTGGAGAAGAAGGAGGGGGTGGAGATTCAACAGAGGATAAGGGTGTTCTGATCGTCAGGGTACGAGAGGAGCCACTTGCAAGAGGTGACCAGGACTCAATGGGGACGATAGAAGGATGAGAAGAAAGAGAATGATCAGAGAATGGAGTAGAGAGATAAGAGGAGATTCCGGAGACGAGAGATGAACGTATATATACAGGAGAAGGCTATCTGATACCAATCTCCATTGGACGAGGGGGCTCAATCCCAAGGGAAAAGTATGAAAATTGAAAAGAATAATAAATAAATAAATGGAGACCCATCGCTAGAGGGGAAGAGACTCCACTTGACCGGGTACCTCATTCCTGAGAATTATCGTCATCATTTGGCAACAGGATGTCGTTGCATTTGGGTGGATCTATGGGAGAAGGTCTGTGAAAGTGTGGAAGGTGAGCCAAAGGAGTACAGGGTACCTGCATGATGGTGGCGTTGACCATATTTTACCGTGTACTGGGTACTCCGTACTTGGTCCTGGTCTTGCCGGAATGCCTCAGCATTCACTTCTCAACATGTGTAGGCCAATGCTGCCTCCGGCGGAGTGAATAAAGACCGATGATGATTGGATACACGAGGCCGGCGTGAAGCAGCGCAACCCGCCGAGTGGGTCGGAAGAGGCAGAGACAGGTCGGCCGGAGAGAGTCAATTGGCGAGGAGGCCAGTTCGCCCGTGGAACGGCAAAAGATCGATGGAGCCGATGACGATCGGGCGGGTCAAACGCTTTTTTTTTTCGGCCGGTGATGTCATTGGATTATGAGAGTTCTGAAAATTACCGAAAGTTTGACAAGTTTGAGAAGTTGCAAGGCACCGCTTATCTGTTTGCACGCAATTACAACTATACCGTATGAAATACGGAGAACATTAGTACTTGAATTATTTGAGTGCAACCTGACTCCTGAATATTACATTGACCAGTCCCTAGAGCTATCTAGAGCTCTCTATCTGACATTGATGCAGCTAAGAGAAGATACGCCCAAATACCATCCATTGATTGTAGCAGTTTACAGTCGAGTGTCCAATTCTAATTGTAGGCATGTAAAAATGTACTCTGTACAATCTCCGCCTGGTAAATTGTACAGAATTACAAGACCAAAGCGACTGCCCCTCCACCCCACTTCTTCAACGTCAACAGCGTCATCGCCTATCCCGGTAACACCCCCCCCACCTGCGACTACTTCTTAGCCCCTACTTCCTCTCTAACCTTCTTCTCTTTTCATACCCCAATTGAAAACCATCATCATGTCCAACGGAAAGACTTTCACATTGAGCAACGGGGTCAAGATCCCCGCCGTCGGCTTCGGTACCTTTGCCAGCGAAGGCTCCAAGGGCGAGACCTATGCTGCCGTCACCACTGCTCTGCGCACTGGCTACCGCCACCTCGACTGTGCCTGGTTCTACCTCAACGAAGACGAGGTTGGTGAGGGTATTCGCGACTTCCTCAAGGAGAACCCCTCCGTCAAGCGTTCCGACATTTTCGTGACCACCAAGGTCTGGAACCACCTTCACCGCCACGAGGACGTCCTCTGGTCCGTCAACAACTCCCTCAAGCGCCTCCAACTCGACTATGTTGACCTGTTCCTGATCCACTGGCCCATCGCTTCTGAGAAGGAGGACCAAGAGACCCCCAAGATTGGCCCTGACGGAAAGGTGAGAGAGACCACACGCGACCCCGCCACATCTTATCGGCGGTCCACCGCCGAGCATGATAAGAAGAAATGAGATGCTAACCGGGTACAACACAGTACGTGATCCTCAAGGACCTGACCGAGAACCACGAGGAGACATGGCGTGCCATGGAGCAGCTCTACGCTGAGGGCAAGGCCAAGGCCATCGGTGTCTCCAACTGGACCATCCCCCAGCTGGAGCAGATGGCCAAGTTCGCCAAGGTGCAGCCGCACGTCAACCAGATCGAGGTCCACCCCTTCCTGCCCAACGAGGAGCTGGTGCAGTACTGCTTCTCCCACAACATCCTCCCCGAGGCCTACTCGCCCTTGGGCTCGCAGAACCAAGTGCCCACCACCGGCGAGCGCGTCTCCGAGAACAAGACCCTGAACGAGATCGCCGAGAAGGGCGGTAACACCCTGGCTCAAGTGCTGATCGCCTGGGGTATCCGCCGCGGCTACGTCGTTCTCCCCAAGAGCTCCAACCCCAAGCGTATCGAGTCCAACTTTAAGAGCATTGAGCTGAGCGATGCCGATTTTGCGGCTGTTAACAAGGTTGCCGAGGGCCGTCACTTCCGTTTCGTCAACATGAAGGATACCTTTGGTTACGATGTCTGGCCCGAGGAGACTGCCCTGAACATCTCTGCTTAAGTTTCAAAAGTTTTTTGAAGGCGATATACCCGAGACTGGGATGGTGAATCCTGTTGGCAGGCACGAAGAACGTGTTACGAATCTCAGATACGAAATAGATGAATTGGATATAGTATCCTACAGTATACCTGAATATTTTTCATTACTATACTCGTATTCCATCTTTGATAACCCCAATCTCAATTCTACGAATCCTAACACTTGTACTCGCCTTTACCCGCCAAGCTCCAATCCCCATCCAGAGTAAACCAGCAGGCCCCAAAATCCCGCCTTCAGCCATACGACAACATCCCCCTAAAAAACCCGCATACAACTCAGTCCTTCCCATAAATCAAGAATCTCAAATTTACAAAACAACACTGCTAAACCTCTGTATGCAACGTTTCAAATTAGGGAACGAAATTAAAAGAATTCCCGCGCTACGAGGCAGCTCCCCGCCAATAAGGAATGCGGGCATTCTTCCCCGACGCACAGCCTCTCCATCTTCTCCGTGCCACGGCTTACGGGATACGGGCTCTTGGCCAATATCTAAGCTCTGAGCTTTGACAGGGATCGGAATCGGGACAGGGGGAGGCGAGAAGGAAGGGAAAAGTTTGTAAAATCTCTTCAAATATCGTTTGTCTTTGGTTGTTTAGTTTCCTGGTGGTTTCGTCGGATACTTTATTGAGATATTCTATAAATTTGTACGTGGTACTGGTTGGTAAGAGTGGATCTATGTAACTCACTACTTGTTTACAGACTCCATATCAATTACTGCGATTAGGCCGTATGAACGATATGCAAATTGTTGGTATGTATTCGGACTATCGGATATACGCCAACGATAATGCAGTTAGCTCTCCTACCCACTACTCCATGGCGCATGCCTAACCAGCATCGAAGCACATCTTTCGTGCCACACGCCTATTCTCATTCTCTCAGACCATGAGAACACCAACGCCTTCTACAATTGTACCCTCCTCTTCTCCATCCTCCACACACCTCTCGCACAGTCCCAGGAGCACTCTGCTCCGACATCTGCAACGACGATGTCATCCCGCGTGTGGCTCGGAGCCCCTGCGCCACTACCAGCACTCAGCCTTAGTGTCGGGGCGGAGACTGTATGTACTTGTCTATGCTACAGCATACATTTGTAAAAAATATTTATCAAACTAGTATTATGAATACTTGCCCTGAATGTAACGATTAACCCTCTAATATTCAACTCTTCATTCTAACTGGTCCTCGCCGGGCAAAGCCGGAATCTCCCGGCGCGGCCGGTGGGCAGATCCGGGAAATATTTCAGTATGCAACACCGAGTCGCCCAATGAGGTATGGTTGAATTGTGCGGACCGAGGGGAGATGAGATGAGACGTGAGGGCTAAATTACATGGCTATGCTGTGTATTCTCGTTGGTGTTACGGAACTTATGAGACGAATAGATGGAGGAAATTAACATGTGGATTGGGGGGATAGTTTAGGGTACAGTAATACATGGATGGTGGCTGTTTCGGGCGCCGCTGGTTTCCATATTCTCCGTTTTATACTTTCGTTTTTACTGGTTCACATTGGCCCTGAGGTTATTTCCCCTACCGAGCATCCTTCGTTAATATTGACCGTGTCAGCACCCATTATCGGTTGCATAGTACCAAGTGAAAACCAGGATTGTGCATCGCAAGGCTGCCTCACGTCTTACACTCCAAGGTGCAATTGACTCCACCAACCGACCACTCACAAAGTCCTCTCTATAAAACCCCTCAGCCCGCCGTCCCCGTCCAAGAAATCAAGGAACCCACTTAGTCGCCCATTTTGGGTATCGTGCAGCCACTCCGAAAAGCCATTCCCCACGCTACGCTATGCATTGCCCATGGCGGCAGAGATAACTGTGCATACTGGTGCTGTGATATCTACCTCACAAAATAAGCAACTATCTTGGTGGCGTTGCAGAGGTCGGAGGGCAGGGATGGTCGGATCGGGAAGGTTGTGTAGGTTTCGGGTTGTAGACCGTTGGAGGTCGGGTACAGAGACCGAGAGCTGAAGCGAATGGCAAGGTTCAGTCGCGGCAGGGATGTGAGGTCGGTGCCTGTGGCTTAGGGGTCTATTAAGGCTGGATACTAAGCTCTAAGTAGAGGTGCTGGGTATTATCAGTAGTATATAGCTGATGAAGACGGATATAGTGTAAGCACAAAGGTGAAATAGGAGCAGAAAGAACCGACAGATTGCAATCCAACCACGAGATTGTTGTTACGAGGCAATGGCCCTTCATACCGAGGGACTACACCTTTAGCGCGTTTCCATGCACGCAATTATCAACGCCCCCCCGGATAACCTGCTCCAGTTAGACTAGTGTTACCCTCAAGCCCTTGACAAAACTCGGGATCACCCCACGGGGACTAGGTGATTTACTTACCCAGTTTACACAGAGCAGGTACAGCGTTGATCATCACACCCCACAAGCCAGACCACCATCGAACTGATGATCAGATATGCGATATCCAGGGCCGGGGTGCATAAACAGCGGCACAGACGTCATCCCGCAGAGTGGCTGGCTGCGGTTCTGCACGTTACAGTTGCACACGACAGAAGATCAACGAGACATGGGAAAAAGAAATTTGTGCCCAATTAACGTTGAAAGCTGCATTGAAGAAATGACCAGAGCTAAAAAAAAATGAAGACCAATGCAAAAGAAACAGGGACAAAACAGGAAACAAGAAGAATGCAGCGCAAGTGGTATCTTGGAAAACACACAAATGGAAGAAAACTCCAGGTAACAATGCGCTGCGGAGCCAAAACAAAATAGTCAACAGGGTATACCTCGAGCGCATTCGCCATGCCCACGAGTAGCCGCTGTATCCGATGCTGCTAATCTAAATAGGATTCGACACATTCATGACCGTGCTCGCACCCGCCGAGGCATCGGCGTGCACCCTGCATTAGCCTCCGCCATACTCTTCCTCTTCGTTCCCTCCGAGCCAGCCGTACTCCTTGTTGGAATCCCACTGACAAAGTGCTGCTCGCCACCATTACTGCTGCTGGCCTTGGAAGCTGGGACCGCCAGTAGCGACGAACTTGGAGACTTGGGGACCAGCTTGCGGCGCGGCTTAGTAGGCGTTGACGGGCCTGTTGTAGCGGTGGCAGGAGCCACATCACTCGCCGAGGTGGTGGTAGGCGGCTTGCTGGCACGCCCGCTACCTGTCTTGACAGGCGTGCCCGATGTCATCGCGGAGTCACCTAGCCGGCGTACGCGTCGCGATTTCGAGGTTGTGGACACGGGCGCTGCAGCGCTTGCTGGCGCGATCGCATCACTCTCGGATTCTACCTTCTGCGGTGGCTGGCTGCGGGAGCTACGAGAGCTAGACGATGATTTCTTCTCTAATCGCTTGGCTCCGGAGCGTACACGCGAAGAACCTCCGTCAACCTCGTGCTTGCTGCTCCCATCCCTCTCGATTGTAGCGTCTGCTTCAGTGTCTGCGTCCGCGTTCGATGAAGCCGGACTGGGGGTATCGCCTTCGTACTCGACCATCCGCGCTTCATTCCAGGTGACTGTCTTGCGCGACTTGGACGTGGCTTTGCGACTGCCCGAGGTTTTGTGGTCTGCCCGGTTTTGGCTCTGAATATCGCTGTCTGTCGCAGATGAGTCCTCCTGTGCCATGGCCTGGAGAACGTATTTGGGCATCATCGAGCTGCCTCGGTTGTTCCTGGTGTTGCGTCGTGTAGCGAGAGCTAGCTCCTGGGCGTCGGTGCGTTGCATAAAAATGAACTCGTTACCTTTAGCCCGGCGCAGAGAGATAGTGTTGCGCACGGGGGGAACGTTGACTGGCGGAGCTTTGACGCGGGTGCTCCGTCGGCATGCAGGGCTGGCAGGCGCTGTCTCTTCTTCGCTCTGTGTATCCTTGATGACGACATCCTCGCTTGATTCGTCGCCGGGAATAAACTCTCCCTTGGAAGGTGCGATTTGGACTTTGACGGGAGAAGGAGAATTGGCGTCCCGGTCCTCGAGGACCCTCCGTGATCGCGGTGTCGCACACTCTGAATCTGGCGATTTGTCCGGGCTTGACGACCTATCGGCAGAGTCTGACTCTTGGGAGCTGACCTGGGCCGCCTTGGCCGCACGCTTCGCCATGGCCTTGGATAAGAAGTCATTCAGTAGCATTGCGTCCTCTCCATCTAGCGAGCTGCGAAGCGCCGATCGCACAAGAGTTCCCTCTTGTGCCTGCGTTAGGCTGCGGACAATCTTCGTAGGGGTGGCTGTCACATCGTTATTTACTTCATGCACTGCACTGGCGATCACTGCCCGCGGTTCCTGATGGGATGAGCCCGACTCAAACTTCTCAATGGACTGTTCGTCAGATTTCGTCGGGTTCGAATCCTCTGTAGAAATAGTATCCTGGAAAATAGTCGTTTTGGGCGGGCTTCGGAGTGATTTGAAGAGAATAGGTGATGCGGTACCCATGGCCAGATCCCCATCCGCATCTAAATCGTAATGATCATCCGATCGTCGACTAGTTGTACGATCTGAGGCGTTTGAACTTTCTTCATAAACGTCAAATGGCGCATCCGGCAATTTGCCTAAAAGCCACTATTAGCGATACGCCCGCAAAATCAGACTAAAAGCGCCGGGCACTCGACACTCACGTCGTTTACGAGAGATCTCCGACTCCCACTTTGTCTCCAGAAATAGACGTCCAGGTTGTGGTACTTCCACATTGGCGATCTCGGCAGATTCCCCCGGACCAACGCAAAGACGCTTCACACCTCGCACGTAAGCTGAATCCTTGGATGTGTTGATAGCGGTCTGCAACGCGTCATGGTCCAGGGTGGTCGATGACTCGAGAGTCTGCATGTTGGAGAATGAGGACTGGAAGCGCTTCCACAGTTTTCGCTTAAGGCCAGTCTTGAATGGAGTTGCCGGTTTGCGCTCCCACAAACGGGGGATCGCGCGGAGGGCCTTGATGGGTGTGAATCTGAACGAATTTTCGTCGGAGGGAGGTTCAGAGGTATCGCTAAAACCAATTACGCTCACGCGCGTTATGTTAGCAAGTTCAAGGCAATATGCGTGGCTGTTGATCTGAGTGCGCGCAAGTTTTCGCGACGAGGAGGGGGGAGCGTTCAGGGATTCAAAAACAAAGCGGGATAGCCCCTGGACCAGGCGCGTAACTCAACGATTCAGTAGGCCAGGCCGGGTTGATTGAAGAAGGCAAAGAGGAATAAACTAGACGAAGAAAAAAGATGACCCACCATGGTTGCGCCTGCGAAAGGGCAGGATCGGTGCTCATTGTTGGTGTTGACGCGTGCGGAATGTGTCAAAAGTCCACTAGTATTCGACCTCGACTGGTACCAGTCGTCGCACAGTATACGAAAGAGGTAGTGAGATAGGTGCCCTGTATAATGCCTTCAGGGCAGTCGATCCGTCGAAGACTGTCGGTAATGTATATGTTGTCGTAAGAATTGTCGAAGGTGCTGTGTTGGTGAAGCCGTTAGGTTTGGTTAGTTTTGCTTGGGCCGACAGTTTGGACGGGACCCGCGCGTTGCCCTGCCAACAGCCTCATGGCACACCGACAATCGCTGATAACGGCGGGGGGGGAACACAGTATGGTACTCTATGAATAGAGAAGTAGAAGGACATGGTACCAGAGTTTTCTATCTTATATGAAGCGTCAAGCACGGGTATCAGCTGAGTATTTCATGTCTAACAATGGAGGCCCCCCTCGCATCTTGAATTACAATAGCATGGATCCAAGATATGGAAAAGAAGAAGCCTGTCAAAGGTAGATTTGACAATCAATCCTTAGATGCAGTACGCAGTTAACATTGTTCATTCGTTTACATTGTCTTTGCAGTACATTTGTCTGAGGCGCCGATTTTAGGCACAAGATACACTACAAACACATCGCGCCATCGGAGCCTCATAAGACCGTGATGTAGATATTCTTAAATGACGTGATCTTGGAGACATAGGTGGACATTACACCTTGATCCTTAAAGCTACTGTATTTCGACTGTGCTGGAGAACTAAAGTAAGCAGGGTGTGTCTCTATATCATGGACAATCCCGGATGGAATCGAGGATCTGAATACTCGGGAATAGTCAATTTCCTAGTGAAGAACGTGTACCTAGTGCTATTGAATTAAGCAAAATGACTCTTCTCATATTATAGGCTGCCACAATCCACATATCTCGCCCATAAGATATTGAGAGAGGGAAATTACAACCTCTCTATGCAAGAAAATCTACCAAGTGCGGGATTAGTGCTAGCTACAGAAATCGGGTAATTGAGGACGACGAGCCTGAGGTAAATGCCGCAGCGTCGTGGAAAAGTGCCGAAAGAATCAAAGAAAAAAGTTTAATTGAACAAAGAAGACTGTAAAATCGGGGACAGTACCCAACTTAGAGTCCTTCGTCTGGTGTCTCGTGTCTCGTTGACCAATGGGACAACACTTGAATAGATTGTACGACCAGGGTTGTCAGTCTTCTTTGTCCAATGTCAGACAAGGGTTCTCCGTCCTCCTCAAAACCTACCCCCCAATAAATCTACTATTGCATCCCGTCTACCCAGTCTTCATACTCCTTCCCCTTCGAGCCTCCAGGCTCTGATACGGCGGCGGTAGTTATATCCGCTACGCCACATCGGAATTCGCGTGGCGATGGCAAATGGCAGCACATGTCGGCAATAATCAATCGACCAGTGACCTGGCTGGCCTCCTCTTCGACAAACCTTCCAGAACAATTTTTGTGATGAACCATGGGATTGATCTGTTCTAATATTCGGTTCATCCAATACCCCATATTCTTTCACGACTGACGGCTAAACGGATCGCCGGAATAGGCAAGAAGTGGAGATTCCATGGCATCATCCCTCAGGGACGGCGATACTAAAGTTTTCCTCGCTACCGCCAGGAACCAGGCACAAGCCTATCGCCCCTGGCATTGACCATGTTTCCTCTGCGGAAAAGGTGGCCACCGCTCATACAAAATTGAGATTTATGTCATAGGTACCTGGAAGTTGCACAGTGGAGCATCTATGGAAAATGAAAATATAGTTTAAGTCTTGGCCAAGCGTGCGGCAAAATTATCCGCTCTTCGTGACCTAGGAGCGGCCAACACATTTACAATATAATCTAGCTAAATATGCTTGTCTATAACTGCCAACTGACATTCGAGACTCACTCCCTCGGGCCAGGACGTCGAAAGGTCTGTAAAGAGGGTGGAGACTGGATTCGAAGAAGAGATGATTGGAACCATACGGGGAAGTGGTGGAAAGGGTGGCGGGGAAGAGGAAATCTTTCATACTTGTGCAGAGTGTTCCATGTCTCAACACTTGGTGGCTTCATCAAGACCATGGAACTCATCCTTTTGCTTAAGTCAGGAAGACTGCATTCTGGAATACTTAAATCGATCACTGCCCCCCTCGAATTTCCTTCCTTCGATTGTATCCAAAGACGACATTCATTCCTTAAGAAGTCATTCCTTTCAGTCTTCTTCTTGCCCAGTCATTCCTTCTGGCCTGTTTTAACACTCTTTCAACCTCAAGGTTCAATAACCAAGTCAATTCTCTTCTCCACTTCTATCTTTAAACATCATGATGTTCCAATCCACCGCCGCAGCCGGTCTGCTCTTCACCCTTGGCGCCTCTGCCCAGTCGGTCATCTCCAGTGGCCAAGGCTTTGGTACATACTACTATGATATCGATCAGGTTGATGCCTGTGGTACCACCTTCGAGTATCAGAACCAAGGTGGAGTCATGTGCAGCTCTGAGACTCTTCTCTCTCTTAACGAGATGGACACCAACTACGTCGTTGCCATGAACAACACTCAGCTGCGTGCCGATCCATCCCAGTACTGCGGCAAGAAGGTCGTTGTCACCGTCAATGGACAGAAGTCGGACCTGCAGCTCTTCATCGGAGATGGCTGCCAGCGCTGTGGCACCGGCTCCTCCACCAGTGACACCTGGAACTCAGAGGGTGCTCCAGGCCTCGACTTCAGCTACTCCGTCCTCGACCAGTTGTCCGGAGGTAGCGCCTGTAACGACGGCCACGTCTCCATCTCATGGGAGATCCTTGACGAGACCATCTACAATTTTGATGGCAGCTCTTCAGGATTTACCTCGTCCTCTGGATCTAGCAGTTCGGACACCTCCAGCTCTCAGTCTGCCACTCCAACTACGATGCAAACCAGCGCGTCTGCTGCGCAGTCTACTGCATCATCCACCGCCTGCTCAGACAACGCATGGCAATGCAACGGCGATGTCCTAGAGCAGTGCATCGGCTCTACCTGGACCCCCCGTGCTACATGCGCTGCTGGTTCTAGCTGCAAGGGTGGTTCCAACCCGTACTGCTCCTGAAAACATTCCTTTTAAAGCCCTTGATGGGACACCAATCAGGATTGGTTAGGATTCTTCGTGTATTTAGTTCTTAGGAGAAGCTTATCAGTCACTCGATGTGACTAGAGCGAGTCCTTGTCTACCTCGGTCGTTATATTGAGTTCTTCCCAGGAGCTCACTTGTGACATTCATTCCTATTGAGATCATAGAATTTAACTATAGACAGTTTGCCCTCAATTATATTTTCTTCGATCAAAATTTCCATTTCGTAGCATAGGAGGACTTAGAGAGACTGTAGCTTAAAACACTTTCAAAATATGCGGTTGTGCAAGGGAAAAGGTCTCTGGCATCCTTTGTCCATTTGCCGGCCGTGTTGGACCCTTTACCTGCCTATGAGGCTTCAGTCAATGGCCCGTTACTTCGACCAACTATTAACCTGGGGATGCGGCGTTGCATTGGGAGTTCTGGTAGCGTTACATCTAGACTACTCTCGCCTGAACTAAGGATCTGTAAAGAAAATGCCCGAAGGCGCATCTCTGGCATGGAGTAAATCACGGTCTAAGAGAATACAAACGAAGCACATAGCTCATCCCAAGGAATAGGTCATGTTGTAATCACAGTAACCACCCGAGTAAAATCATTCTGTAGTATCGATGTGAATGATATATCATTTACTCCATATTCAAGCTAACACTATTGAAAGATTGAGTATCTTTCATCTGAAATACGACCAGTGGCAAGTTTACTGGGTATTTTTACCTGATCTAGGTATGGGTTCCATTCAAGACACATATCCGCAGTCTAAAAAGTCAGATTGATAAGTTTCAACGATCAGGGCTAGCATGGAGTCTTACCGATCACAATTTGCTGACCCGTCATCGAAGTATTTTTGGAAAGCGATATATACATGTCAGCACAATCATCGAGGAAGACCTAGATATATCTTGTTTAGTAGGTGGTATAGACCGTCGAGGTACATGGACTGACTTCGTGCTTCAATGTGGACTTATCCTTCCAAGCAGCAATTTGCTCTGAAGAGTATCTCACTCCCTAGAAAATTCATTAGTCAAATCGCTCTGCCTGTTTCAGGGCCTATAAAATCCTTACCCATTCGGTCAATAGCAAGCCGGGAAGGACGGAATTTATGCGGACCTTTGGTCCCTGGGATGCTTTTAAGCATTGCAAGAGATGTAAACCTATTAAGAATTAGAAAAAAAAATTCTTTTCCCTCGGGATCGTATTTAAGATACCGGCGGATTTAGTCACAGAGTAAGCCATGCTGCTCCCACCAGCGGTTATACCCTGCATAACATCATCAGTGGAAACACTCATGTCGGCTAAGGTGAGGAAATCGTACAGCAATTGATGAAGTGGCAATGAAGACGCCACCTTCAGGATTCGCGTTAAAAGTCGGGGCGGCTTCCTTGAACAAGACGAGGTTGCATTTGACATTGGTTGCCCAGCACTATATGATACGTTTAGTCTCGTTACACTTTCGAGGACACTGGTTCAATCTTACTTTATCCCATTCTTCATCAGTCAATGCATCGAGATCTCCAAATTTGGTGAATTTCGTCCAGCCCTGTGACAGTTAGATCTAGATCGGAAATCCGATCAAAGAGACTTACTGCATTCGAAACGATAATGTCCAGCCCGTTCAACTTCTCGATCGTGCTCTGAACCAGTCGCACACAATCTTGCGGAAGACCGGCATCCTATTTGACGATATGTATCAGAGACCAATAATTAAATATTGTGGATCGAAGGTCACTAGTTGGAGATGAGAGCAATACGTACTCCCTGGATAGTGACTGCTTTGATGCTGTACTTCGTCGCTAACTCCGAGGCAAGGTTATCAGCCTGCTCCTGACTGAAGAGATAATTGATTGCTAAATTGCAGCCTTCGACGGCGAATTTCTCTGCCACAACTGCCCCAAGCCCCCTGTATAGGTTCGATCAGTAAGATCTCGAATGAAAGTATCAGAATAATATAGAACATACCTTGCCCCACCGACAATGAGAACATTCCGACCACGAAGGTTATATGGCATGTTTACAATCACGATAAACAGAGAATGTAGGCCTATGAAGTTCTTTGATTTAGGGAAGGACGAGCGTCTCATTTGTAATTTGGCGAAGTTTCCCTCCCCTCGGTGCAACCTAAGCAGCCACAAGAGCTACCCCGCAAGTTCGGTAATACCGATGTACCGACTTCTCAAACCGAAGAGCCTGTCGGCCTGACCGATGACAAGGGCACAATCATGTGACCTGTTCTATGTCTGTTTCTACAGACGCAATACGGTCTTTCATTGAAATAGATAAAGAAATACACTCAATGGCCGCCGTAGATTAAATGTCGTAAAGTTGTCACACACGATTGCCGACAGAGAGTTTGCCTGTGTATTTTGTATAAGTTGTTATTTCTCGGGCGATAAACGAGGCCTAATTATGAAAGCATTTCCTGTTCTGCATTGAAATGGCATAAGATGATATAAAATTTGAAATGATAGGCTTTTGGATTTGAGGTTCTGATGTGATAACGGAACTCAGAGCCAGCATAAAGAAAGTAAGTATATTATTGGTTAGTACAAAGTTCATAGACCCACTACGGTCTGGAACTATATCTTTCTAGGCCCCTACAGACCCCCTTGACGATGATTAAACTCACTAGCAATCTTTAGGAGCTCGGTAGCCGAAAAATACCCGGAAAGCCTCGTGTTTCTTTTCTTTCTCAAAACATGACATTCTTTTCATATTTCCGACCAGGTGGACGTCAGACAACAGCTCGCAAACCCCAGATTTACATTGAAAGAGAGAATAGTCCAGGCGAGATTTTTCTAGGTATCGTCTTATAAATTGAGTATGCCGAAGGACTGACATTGTGCTCATAGAACAAAGAATCCCCGAAGAAGACTTGTATCGATACACTAGACATCGTTGGTTGTAAGCAAATTGATCGGTTATCTTTGGCCAGCGGCTCATTCAAGGCCCGATTTTAGAAGTAACGAAGAAAGTGAACTTGCGAAACGCCGTTTAAAATTTAACTTGTAACAACTTCTCGACATCGCAGTTAATGCTTGCGACGGGGCCCAGTATTGTGTGTTCTAGTTGCATTGAGACCAGCAAGACTTAACGGCTAACTCAGATTGAAGGCCCTAGGATTACGAAGTGCGTGGAAGGTCTGCATAATAAAGCATTCATCTTGAAAATGGATAATGGACCAGAGGCTTTTGCGAAACTCCCAAATCCCAATGCTAGACCTGCCCGTTTTTCCGTTGCGTCTGAGGTTGCTACACGTGAGCTGGTAAGGTGTTCAGTGTCATTTAGCTGTTATCACATCACTAAAATAAACAGCTTCGTGATGTATTTAAAATTCCTGTCCCTCGGGTGTTGTCTTGGTCTTCCAATGCAGGAAATAATCCAGTCGAGGCTGAGGATATTATTAAGGAGAAAGCCACTGGTGTACGACTGGGCTCTGTGTGGAATCAGTGGCCTCGGGATATAAAGCTACAATTAATAACTCAAGTGGTTGCCATAGAGAACGAGTTAACTAACATTAACTTTGATAAGCATGGTTGCATCTACTTCAAACAAGACTTACGTACCCTTATCGGGGAAGCAGAAGATATTCATACACAGACTGCTGGATCCAACGTCCTTGAACGATTTTCTATTAGACCTTTGACCACGAACGAGCTATGGCGCGGAGCTAGGAGGGACATGAATTTGGATTGTGGCTCCTATAGGTGGGCGAATTATCAAATTCCTATTCCGTTGTTTCTAACATTTCTTCCGGGGACAAATGCGTGTGAATACACCCATACGATAGGCCATAATGAATGGATGTGGGTCAAGGCGCATGCTGTTCCTCGGCTGAATTATTACCGGCCGAACAGGAGCAAAGAACTTCCTGAAGATGGTGTTTTACTCCTGGAGAAATATATGAATATTTTCCCCCTATCTTGTCCCCAACCAAGCGATGAGTCCTCCTCTGCCAACGTTCTTTGGTATCCAGACCTTCATCTGGATAACATTTTCGTTGATCCAGACACTTGTCAGATCACTCACATTGTGGACTAGCAATCAGCTTGCGTTGCTCCATTGTTCTACCAATCTGGCGTTCCCAGAATGTGTAGACATCCTCGGCCTGTTCGGGAAGGCTGGGTTGTCCCTACACGACCAGAGGGGTTTGAAAGCCTGAGCAAAGAGGAACAGAAGCAGATTGATGAAGATTTAGAAAGTGAGACTATTCACAAATACTACGAGGCGCAGGTGTATAAGCGAGCACCTCTTCATTGGGCTATGCTCCAGCAACCGGCAATCTCTATCCTCCGGAAACCTGTTTGGCTCGTGAGCGGAGTGTGGGAAAACCGAGACCTATTCTTCCTTCGCGAAGGGCTCATGAACATTGTAGCCCAATGGAGCGAGTTCTTCCCGAACACCTCTTGCCCGATCGATTTCAGCAGCGAGGGAATCGAGCTCCAGTCTAAGGAAGAGGAAAACATCAATGGAGTCGGACGTATGTTATTAATGTTCAGAGAGCAAGCTGTACTCCCTGTGGATGGAATGGTTAAACCTGAAGATTACGATCTGGCTCATGAGAATAATCGCAAGTTCAAAGATATCTTCATTGGGCTGGCGAAGGTGAAGAAGAAAAGGAGCTGTTCAGGAATCTATGGCCGTACTAAGAGTCTGGGAATATCTGAGATTTAGGGTTTTATTTTATAAAGCCGTCGCTCTGGCGCTAGTCCCACCAGAAAGCCTTTTGGATGAGCTGATTTTGCGTATTTTAATCTCGCCGGTAGCTTTGTTTCTTCTCTTTAAAACATGGAACAGGATTCGAACATAGGTCGCATTTAACTCACTGGACTTTCTATGAGATAAGACCTCCAACTCTCACAATACGACGATGACTCTCCGAGGAGAAAGAGTGTATTATATTTGTTATAGCTGTCTTACATGCCATTGATCACCAACTCTGAAGCCGACTGGCCAAGGATCGTTTGCATCCAACACCATCTGTTTGAATGAATTTATCCAAGCACTTCCCTTGACAGTTGGCAGAACAGCGTCATATCCTCCCAGCCTCTGTGTTCCACGGATATGGCACTCAAACGTGCTCCCAATAATACTGCGATGCGTAAACTTCTCGCCAACCTTGAGCTGACCACGAGCATGGAGGACGGCCATTCTTGCACAGCTCCCTGTGCCACATGGGCATCGATCAAACCGCCCAGGAGAAACCACAACGGTATTCAATGCCTCCATCGTATCGTGCTGGAGAGGCTCCGTGAATTCGAGTATACTGACACCCTTGATGCTCGGGGTTTCCGGATGAACGGGGATAAACGAGGCCTGCTGGAGTGCATATTTGATTCTCTCTCCGTATTCGATTAGCTTCGGGCCATTTTGGTTATTGATGCGAAGCCCAAGAGAGGTCACGTCTACAATTGCATAGATCATCCCTCCCCATGCTATATCGACAGAGATCGTTCCCAGTCCGGGCACGTCGACCTTGTAATCCAGGGCGAAAACGAACGATGGAACGTTGTCAAATGCGACGGCCTTGCACTTTCCATCCTCGCATTCGGCGGTAACATGAACTAGGCCTGCTGGTGTGTCCAAAACCAAATTTGTAACAGGCTCAGTCATTTTCACCATTCCTGTCTCAAGAAGCACTGTTGTTGTAGCGATAGTGTTGCCTCCAGACATTGGTGGGTATTCGTCGCTTTCCATAATCAGAAATCCGGCGTCGGCTTTGGGGTCGCAAGGTGGGAGAACAAGGTTCACACACATCGCGGGACGTCCACGAGGCTCTTGCATGAGAAGCTGACGTATATGATCCTCTTTGTCTCGAAAATGAATAAGCTTCTCATACATGGTATTGCATCCCGAGGGGTTCAAAACGCCCCCGACGATTACATCGCAAACTTCGCCAGCGCAATGACAGCCGACAACGTTGATGGACCTTTGAATTTTCATTGCTCGGCAGATATAGTGGTGGAAAGGGAAAGAATTGTTGTTGAGAATACCTTGAAGTCGAGGAGCGACGGGGTGGGAGCTTTATATATTGTCTCCACAGATGAATACCACGAATTCTTTTATTTGGAGTTGGTTTTCTTAGCACAGGCGAAGATAAAGTGACATTTTATGCCCGCTGGTGTTCGGTACGGAGAATGTGCCAATTGAATTCTTGGAGGTTTCCTAACGGGTTGGATGAATGGGTCCACCGGCAGTGTAACCGATCATACAGTAGCTGTCTTGCAGCATCCCCATGCCATCTTTGATTATCCTATCCCAGAGAGACAAGAAGTGAGATTTTATGAAAGCCCCCGATACATAGGCTTGTCTGTGGATATTCTGCTATCAGAGTCGCGACAAAGCCTATTATAGGATTGACTACTACAACTATAGCGAATTAGGGCCAATAATTCCAAGTGAAACCTTCGACTGCTTATTCTAGGATGAAAAGCCAGCTGATATGATAGTCCTCTGTGTAATTGAAAATTCTCAATTCGTCGTTTCGCTCATTGTCTCTGGTTAGATAGTCTCGCGCTTATGAGCCGCATTTGCTAGTACAATTTGAAGGCTTGCTTTAATTTTTCTGCTCAATTGAATTATGTTGTTCCGTAAAGGTTTAATTGTATTCCAACGTATATACGGAGCTACTCCTGCTTTCACGCTACGCTGGGGCAGTGTGGCAACTTTCTTACCCCGCACGTCCGTTCGGCAGGCTACGCGATGGACGGATATTCATCGGCATCGTTGCCGATAGCTTGGGCTTACTCGTATCTTGGTTGATGCTTCCTCGAACAGGGTCAAGTGAGCTTCCTTCACATTTAAGCTCTCTATCTCTCCCTCCCCCTCTCTAAAATCAACCAGTAATCTAAGATCGCTTATTACAAAATAATGTGTGTTTCAAGACATTAGCATTGGTAGACTTTATAGTCAACGTCAGTCGTTCCGGAAGGAGACTCTGAGTAGAAATAGAGACCAATACTTTTATATCTGCCAACAACCGTCCAAAGGGCCTAGGGAATTCCTGTACACATACTGGTGCGCTAATCAATAATCGGAGAATCGAGACGGCGGCAAGTCGAGGGTGGCCACCATAAACTCTCGTCCCGCTCGGGGCAGGCGGGCAGCGCTCCGCGTGACTCCAAAACCCAGCGTTGTTCTTGCTATCCAACTACTTCCCTCAGCACTTTCCATCCTGCAGATATCACATTCTAGAGCGATAGTTTTTCTCCCTGCGACCCATTCTCTTACAATGGCAGGAGTTGAACAAGCTAGGAAAAGATCCGCGAGCGTGTAGGTGGAAGGTTTGGGTAATAATACTGATGTTGCTGGCACTGACTATTTCCTTGGTAGCTGCGCGAGATGCCGGAGGCAAAAGATCAAGTGCTCTGGCTCGTACCCGTGCCATAGCTGTAGCAAGCGTGGCCTTTCCTGCAATTTCAACAAGATGGATCAGAAGGTCCTGGTCACTAGGGGGTTAGTTGTCGCCGCTCAGGTAATTACTAACTGTCTGCTAATCGGCGTAGATATATTTCTGAGTTGCAGCAGAAGATTGCGAGGATGGAGAAGCATATACAAGGCCATCATGATGTTTGCAATTCGATTGGCGATACCAACAGTCAGTTGATCTTGCTCTTTAGTTTTGGTTCAACCACCAACGCTAACTTCACTAGACCCCGTGGATTGTGAAGGTATAGCTGGCAACGAAAGGTCGACTTCGCCTAATGACATTGAAGATTCCGAGGAAGCGGGTGACCATGATGGACTGGTTAATCCGCTAGTCACCGGCCCGCCCGCTTTTATGTCTCCAGGCAATGAGAGAATATGTATGTTGATATTAGTCTCATACAGATTACGGTTCTAATTGAGTATCAGTTTATCTAGGAACGTCTTCGAATTGGTCTTTTACTCGACGTGTGCTGAGTGTCGCGCACCAACACGTACACAAGGAACCGCTACCAACGGAGTCATTAATATTTGAAGGGGCGTCCTATAATTTGGACTGGGATGGATGGCGGACGGATCCGATGCTGGCGAACCCTATTATCCCCAGTCTCGACCATGCGCAATATCTGATCAATGCAGTTGGGTTCCGCTGCGGAGGGCTGTACCACCTCTTCGACGAAACCGACTTCATGAAATCATTACATGACTTTTATTCCCAGGAGCCCCCATCAAGAGCAACGGTGAAAAGCCTATGGTATATTCATTTTCTCCTTATTCTGGCTTTTGGAAAGAGCTTTACCCAACACCAAAGCCAAGGAAGGAAGCCTCCAGGAACAGAGTACTTTGTCAAAGCCCTGCAGCTTCTACCAGACCACTACTTTCTCTACTCCTCGCCAATGATATCAACCGAAATTCTGTGCTGCATTGCTTTATTCTACCAATCTCTCGACTGTCGCAGCCCGGCACATAATTATGTATGGCCTTCAATTTGGGATTTTTTTCATCTCATGCAGCGTGGCTAATAACAGTTCCAGGTCGGTCAAGCCATGCGATTGGCCATGGCGCATGGCATGCACACTGACATGCCGATTAGAGATTTGGGGCTACACGCTGTTGAGAGATGCAGGAAGATTTGGTGGACTGTTTATATACTAGACCGGCACATGTCCTCAATACAGGGCCTACCTCAGTCTATCGATGACCGCTTTGTGCAAGCCATTCCTCCCTCATTCCCTGGATCCCCCGAAAGGGCCAGGAGACTGAGCATGCATATCAAGCTATGTCGCAGTATTGCTGATATCAATAGCAGTAAGTTCTATCAGACTCCTACATGGAGTGACATTATCTAAAGGCACGAACAGCTGTGTATGCCGTTGATGGCCGAATCAACCGAAGATTTCTATTGAACACCAAAGTAGCATTGTCGAATATAGCAGGACATGCGGATGAGCTTCGCGAGACTTTTCCTCTCTATTTAGATGGGACGGATCTCGGAATTCCTCGAACATCGGCGTACTTGCACCTTCTTTACCAACAAGTTAGTTTTCAATATCCGCCCAGAGGCCCACCAATGAACTGACTGTTATCAATTTCCTGATGCATTAAACCAGTGTGTAATTGTCGCCACAAGACCTCTGCTCTTCTGTTTCCTGAAAATCCGTCTTGAATCTCCGGAAAAGTGTATAGAATTTCTCAACAAATCACGGAATATCCGCAACCTGATCCTAATGTGCATCGAATGCTCACAGCATAGCATCGAGATTCTGCATAGTCTTAAGTCTCAAGGCCTTCTCGGTAAGGCACCCAAAACCCCCAAGCCCGCGATACATGAACTTCGATCTAATGTATCGTGCAAGAAAATTTCCTCAATTTGGACCTGGAATCAGTTTTCATATCCACAGTGGTCCTTCTCATAGGGCCCATAATTGACCCTGTATTAGTGGATGACTATCCCCGGTGGCTCGAGAAGGCCTATGCTATATTCCGAGAGATGGTTGCGAGCGGAAATGAAGTAGCCAAATTCCGATGGACTGAGCTCCAACAGCTAGACATGACTCTACACGCTACATCGCAAGACAATGCCTGCAACCCGGCTGAAAGTGCTCTGTCTCTGCAGTCTGATGCTGTTCCTCAACTGCTTTTGCCAGAGACGGGCTATGCCCTAGCATCCATGGACCACAGCCCTGGCAGCCATACCCCTTTCATTGAGAACAATAACTTGGATGCGGAATGTGGCCTCGGCCCAATGCCAAGCTCTGCCGAAATGATGGCGATGGCAGATTCCATTGAGATATACCACGCAGAATGGGTGTCTAGCGTGATGATTGACCATGACATCTGGTAGGGCACTCGACTGTATAGAGTGTCTCAGGTATTAATAAAGAGCTTCAATTGTGTTAAAAATTTGTAGATTGCTCTAATAAAGACCAACCAAGGATATTACAATAATATCGCGGATCTAAATGCGTAAACTATCAGTAATGAATGATTTCCCTATTCGCTTTTCAGAGGTAGAGGGAACTATGGACAGGTGTAGTATAAATCTCTCCCTACCAGCCATCTCTTCCACTCCCAAGGTTCTACCTATATCCAAGGATAAGCTCAGATGAGAAAGATTCTTTCATTAGGTAACATCTCCAATGATTGCGAGAATCTCATCATTTCTCCTTCACAAACTACAGTTCTTCTTCTCGTTAAGCGCCAAAATGGCATTGGCTGTTGTCAAGTCCGTGAGACTCACACCAACGCTTTTGTACACCACAAAGCCTTGGGAGACAAATTGATTTGTCTGCAGAACTTGCTGGTCATTCAGAGGTTTTATCTTGCCGCTCATCAAAGCGATTATTTGGCCGAGCTCAACTAGATCGTTCGCCGTGAGTTTGCTCTGAACAATCTCTCCAGAATTCTCAAGAGCAAACTGCAGGTCGTCGACAAGCAATACTCCCTTGCCCTCACCACTACAAGGGTTATACACACCCTCGGCGGTTATGGCATAGTGTAGCAATGCGGGATCCAACTCAATCATGTCCGACTGCCAGGACCCAATGGCAGAGACAAACGGTTGACGGATGGAGTGACGCCGCTCAGTCAAATAATTGGCAGGAAATAAAGGCTTCCGAGAAGGAGTGGTGCAGAAGACGCAGTCGGTGTCACTTAGGCGTTTCTTGACTTGTTCCTGATAATCCGAAGCAGTGGTATCGATGAAGTGAAAAGTACACTTGGATTTCCAACGAGCTTCGTTCTCTTGCAAGACCGTTTCAATAAGCTTATCGACCCGATCCTTAGAAGGATTCACAAAGGTGATGGTCTTAACTTCGGATCCTCTCAGGGTCAGTATCAGACGTGTATGCCACAAAGCCTGCATTCTACCGCCAAAGATAACAATATTGTCAACGTGGTTCCGCCAAGAGAAGGGCACCATTGCGTTCATGGATGTCCGGTAGCCAGTCACTTCCTCGGCGCTTAGCACGCCGGTGGGGTTGCCCTGTCCGTCGATGAGGATTAGGACACCGTGCAGAGGTATTTTCTTGCCGTCGGGTCCAGTGCCCGCCTCGATGACAATCTTAGCACCGACCCTCAAATCCGATGTGAAAGGGCGAAAAAGTGTCCGTTGGCCATTGGGCCGAGTAGCGGAGGTAGGATCGGGCTGATACTGACGCTCGCCAGCGACAGAAAAGTCTTCGAAAGTTTTCTCGATAACATTCCGGAATGTGATTGCCTCATCTTTCGTGAGATTTATCAATAACTGATGAATGGCCTCGTTGCCGAGGAATTGTATTTTGTCCATTTTGAATGTTCCAAGAGTGTCAGGAAAGTGTTTGCGAAGGGAGATGCACACCGAGCACGTATGCCAACGAATTTGAGTAAAATGATTGTGAAGACTAAAATAGACAGAATCTGAATACAACTATAGTGACATACCTTTAAACCTTTGAAACCTGATCCATGCCTGTGTTCGGGAAAATAGCCGTAGTCCCTCTTAATATCGGCTTTCCCCGCTCTGTCTCTTCGGCTAAGCTGCCGAGGGGCAAGTTCTCACTGCCACAATAACTGGTAGGAAATTCTCCAGAAGACGGGGATTCAAGCCTCTTTAAAGTGTATCGTGATGAGCTATCTAGTATAACTCCGAAGTCGATTACCTTTAAGAGGCGTTTTCTTGAGAACAGGACGCAAATTGTAAGCCACAAGCTGTAAGGGGATCGCTGTTTAGCTTCAGGTGTCTAGGTACAGGAGATATGTGATCCCTATTCTGCTGCTTTAACTAGGCTGGATGCCTTAAGCTGCAGGATCATGCATCTAATCTGATGCAAACTTGCAGACGTATTGACCAGGATTGGAAGTCCTCAACAATAACAGGCAAAAGCATTTGTGTCGCGCTTCCAGCACACTTGAGTCTTCATCCAGCCACATTTATAGTCAGTAAGGAGCTCGACACTCCCAGTTCCGTGCCTCGTCAGGGTCCCCGTTGCCCATATACACGGCCTTTTGCGGATAAAAGCATAGCGGCCGTTGACGATAGACCGTGTCCTGAGTGCTATCGTTTTTCCATGTCGTGGCAATCAAATTTTCAGGTGCAACTTTATTCTCAACCCAGTCCATTAATGCTAACAAAATATCATGTTTTCTGTCCATGAAGCCAGGGACACTGTGTAGACTGGACGACAATGCTGGCCCCTGATTGGGACCAGCAAAATACCAAGGCGCATGCATATTTGCTGGTGTGCCTGAGCAGTGTCTATATCGAGGATTTATCAGTATTCCAACGCTGTGGCCTCGTGATTGTATGTGTATTAAGAATAAGGCAGGGAGAAAAAGGGAAAGGACTTACTGCATTCCAGGAACGTAGAAAAATCGATAAAAACCATCCAAATCGATTCCCCTCGACATCAGGACATTAGTAATTTGGTTGTAGTAGTATAAGCTGCTGTCTGTCGGAATTAATCCATCAGACATGCCGTGATACATCAACAGCTTGCCGCCCTTCTTTTGGAAAGGCGAGATGTCAAAATCCTTAGCAGTTGCGTTGCCCGGATCGAGCTGGTCTGCCAGCTGGACTATGCTATAATCAAACTGCTCTTGTGTCCATTGCTTGCCTAACCCCAAGAAATATTCCACGTAATGGGTTCCAAGTGGATTTGCAGTTCCATTGTTGATAAGGACATCCCACTGAGATTCACTTCCGGGAAGAAGATGTGGAAAGACGAATGTCTGATTCACATCAACATAGTCGCTATAAATACGGCGTAGAGTGTTGAGCTGTTGCGGACTAAGACAATCTGTTTGGGATTCTTTGCGGCATAGCAAAGCTTCGAGGTTGAGAGCACATTGTTGCGGTGCCGATACAATACGGTCAACAAGACCATCCTGTGGATCACACTGCTTGATTATTTCGTCGCCAATTACCGTGAACATACTTTCAGGAATCTGGCTGAGTGGCAGTGCGTTGTATGTTCCGGCTTTGACTGTCCAAGGCTGCAAATGCGAAGTCCACCATGCGGGTGAACCAGCAATTACGCCGTCGAAATCGTCCGGATATAGCTCTACTGATCTCAGACCTTGACGACCGCCAGTGGAGCATCCGCTATAATAGTTATATTTCAGCTTCTGGCCATAGAATGCTTCGATCAGTTCTTTAGCGAGCACAACTGATCCGTGCATTGCTCGGTAGCCCCAGTCAGTCACCTTTTCCGGTGAATAATACGCCCAGCTTCCGTCCGTACTTGTGCTATTGTGTCCAGTATCTGTGGACATAGAAGCGAACCCATATCGAGTGCCAACAGCCTAATCTTTATTAGCCAAAATGTTCAGCGCTCCTGTAAGATAAGCTTAAAACAAACCATGTCCACCCAATTAATTCCTCCGGCAAAGCCACCATTTCCAACAGCCCTTCAAATAAGACCAGTTAGAGTAGAAATCCAAGTATACTTTCTGTCACAACTTACAAAAATCTGTCATTCCACTGCACTGGCAAGAAAATTCCGAATGAAAAAGCTGACTCTGGATTTGAGCTAACATTGATCTGAACAACACAGAGTTCTGGCAAATTCGTAGGTGACTGTGGGTAGGCGATGTCACTGGCTGGAACTTCAAACGTGTCTCCCTCGGCTATATGGTAGGCCTGCAGAACTCTTGCATTCGGGTGACTGGATGACGACAAATACCCCGAGAATACTTCTTTAGAACACGATAGTCTGCTGGTGGCCAGCCCAGGAAATGAGTTACCCAGAGCAAGGTAAGATAAATAACGAGCGAACAGCATGGTGCATGTCTTGGCTTGTTTATCCACGCCGTGCCCTATGTCCTCTGCTTCTGAAGCGGCATGGGATAGTCTAGGGCGGTATATAGAAAAATATGAACAACTATATATTATAACTTGGGTAGTGGGGAGTCCACTTTTGCATGAGTATACATCTTGCAGTCGTGTATCCTTTCTGGTTTAACTTCAATGACCCCACTGCGCGTCGGCCCCACGTCGTTCGCCCCGGCCCCACGGTTCCAGGAAGCAAAGCGACGCGGGGAACCCAGGACGGGTGGTATTGCAGCGAGCACTGACAGGGTATGAGACGATCCTCGGTCCATATCATAGGATGTAGCGCCTCGGAGAGAGGTTAAATAGGCTAATCTTCCAACCCTCACCAAAGCCACTTGCAAGATGGCAAGAAACATCGATTTGTGGCAGCGTAAGATGATTGTTTATATAATATACAACAAGAACAGAGTTACTCCATCGCAAATGGTAAAGGTGGCGCGGTGTGGTGAGCGCTCTTACCCGTGACGTAGGATATAGAGCCTTGACCAACCGCTGCCCTATATAACCTATACCCGTAGTGAAAGCAGACTATAGCAAGAAGTATATTGAGCACTGGGAGATCGATCACCAGGAATAAGGTGTACTCCTTACTCCAGCTCAAAAGTGAACTGCTTCGAAATAGGTGAGACCCTCCAGTGTGCAAAGAGCTGTGCATTCTCCACCAGAATCCGCCGTAGCATCTTCCCCCTCTCCTCTGCACTAGGCCCCACGCCCTGCCATTCGCGTAGATACAGTTCCATGATCCCCAAGGCCTCCCTCACCCACCTCCCTGCCCTCTCCTTGCTATTCTCCCTCTCTGCACCATCCGCCTCTCTAACTCCCCCAGAAATCGCTCCCTCTCCTCCCTATCCTTCACCGTAGCCTGTAGTAGTATATGGACCGGACTGACAAGTCCAACTCATCCATCTCGATTCTTTCGAGTCCTAATTCAGCTCTCCACCGCAACAGCAGCCAGGAACTCTACCTCCTCCTCACTCCCGACCTCTTCCTCCCACCCCCTTCAACACGCCTGCTCTCCAATCCCTCCATCCGGTAACCCACACCATATCACCTGCTCCGACTGGCTATCTCCCTCGCTAACCTCGTCCCCCGATACCTGTGCGAGGTACGCTGCTTCTAACCCGTGTATATCGTACTTCCCCTGCGCGACTAATATCCCAAAACTATTGAGGCCCCTTGCTTCCCGGGAAGTTACCCTAGCCACGCGAGATGGAGATGGAGATGGAGTAAAATATTCAAGCCAGAAGCGTGCATGTGATTCGGAATAGGGTGGTGCGCTGGGGTAGGCCGTGTGCAGGCGTCTCATAGTTGCCTCCAGCGTGCTAAGGGCCAGTGTAGTAAGAGTCGCAAATGGCAGAAAGGGCTGCCTACGGTGTGTGCACCCAACAGTGTAGGCCTAGCGGGGGATTTCAGGACCTGTAGGGATACTGGACTATAGCGCGGCTGGAATAGTGGGGAGGAGGAGTCGGGGGGTCCTTCTGTTAGGCGCTAGACCCTTTTCAAGTCAGCTTCAATACGTAAAGCGGCCCTGCCCCCTATCAAACCATAACTCCTTTTGACTGTGTTTATCCGAGATTAAGGGTCGTCTAGTGTCTTTTAAATCACTAGATTCTATCTGGATGTTAGTCTTTACTGCTCTCTTTAGGTTCTTTTCATTTTCGGATATCCGTTTCCTTCTTTGCTTGGTGTGCTGTTCTCCGCTTGAAAATACTGTTATTCGAGGCTGTCTTTTCCCGATAATCTGACGAAAAGTAAAATGCAGGCTCATAGTCCCGAGTGTTATTAGCGACGCCATCAGTAACTAGAGAAAGATATTAAACAGAAGCGATATACCGTTTCCACTAAGAATAACATAGATAAAATCAAAGGACGGTGGATCAGGTAATACCTATATTGTTAATCATAATCGAAACGAGACTAATTAAAATAGGCGCTATCACTATTTAGGGGAAGATTCACTCTATTTTCCTGTGCTAGCTCGAAAAGAAGACATTAAACGGAGTGTTACGAATCGAGGCTAACCTACAACCAGTGATCCAAAGTTTTTATTCATGGCCCTTCATCATACAATCCAGATCAAGAACCACTTGTGAGCCCACTCAATTTCCATATCAGTAGCGCTCCATTATAAGCTGCGTCTTTAGTGAGTCCTGTGCAAGAAGCCAACCCTTGCTCTGCAAGTAAGTGGCTAGGTTTGCCTGCTCACATGAGGCTTTCTTGTGGCTCTTTGTCTTGAAAGAAGCCTCGACGGTGTACTCAACCCCCGTACCCTCGACGTTCAAGAGGGGCCAAATCTCTAGGTATAGAGTCATATCATTCCACAAGCCAACAGAACGCCTGGCAAAGACTGGGCCAAATATGCGCGATACAGATAACGTGCTGGTACCCCATTTGTTAGGTCTCCAGTTGTCGAACTTGTTCGGTGCATTATCTATCAGCAATTGACGCGAGTTGCTTGTTCCCGGTAGGTCCATTCCGGTTCTCCCAGGGTCAGCTACCATTTTCTTGCGACTAACAGAAAGCGTCTGCTTCTGGTAACCCCACTCGACTTGCGCCTCGTATTTTGCGTCGCCGGCGTTGAAGTCATCGTTATTAGCCGCAGTGAGAGCAGCTTCAACGTGCCCACCAATGATGGCATACCGCTTCTTATACGTCAGCTCGAGGTTATCCTCGTTTTCCACCTTTCGGATGCGGGCGCTCCAGTTGGCGGCATAGAGTTCCTTGAGGCTGTTGTCGAGGAATTGGATATTCATCTTTGTTGAAATCAGGGGCATCTCGAAGGCTGATAGGACGGTAGCCACTAAATCGTGTTCGGCACTGAGGACTGCAGTTGGATTAAGCAGGAGCCGAACTTCGTAGTCTGGCACCATATTTGACACTGCCTGTGGTCGGGACATGACAATGGCAGTCGTAGCAAAGGAGGCGCACAGGTGAGATATGTATAGTAGCTTTGATCGCGCAGATAGGGTCGGCTCAAGCCAGTGGAGCAATATAGAACCCAAAATTACACGAGAAGATCAAGGTGATAAGTAGTGTGGCAGGCAGGATCTTGATGCGTATTAGGAGACCTTGGCAATGTCTGGCATGATAAAACTAGCTCGCATAACACTAAATGAGCTTTATTTATTGTCATCTAGAAAACCCCAAGCATTAACTTCTGATGACAACCGTATGTTGTGTCATACCAATGACAAGAATGGAGTAAAGTTTAGTTTGATTTAATTCCATTAGTTTCTCATACTGTCCCACGCGGATCCCCGCTGATTAACCGCAAACGGTGCCGGTCTTACCCGGGCAGGGTCCAGACCCGGTCATTTGTGATGGACTCAATCTAGATTCAATTTCCTCATAATCAGTAGCTCCTCTAGAGACGTGGGTCACAAAGCTCCGAATCGTCTTTTCGAGGTCCTTGCGCCTGGTACCAAAGCCCTCCCACGACAGCTCCCGGACACTAGACGTACACCACTTGCTTTAAAATCCCGTACGGAAGTCTTTACATCCCAATAAATACCAAATAACTTCGAGGCTAGCAGGAGGCGACTCATGTGGACAATTGGTCACAATGGCCCCAGAAACCCCCTCTTCATCCACCTCATTTGTCTGTTCAACTTGCTCATCATGTACATTGATTTCTCTAAATAGATATACATCAAGAGAGTGAGTCCGCTAATAGAGTCATATAAAAGGTTGGACCGTCAATGGACCAACCATAGTCCATATTGACACACTGAGCTACGAACCTTGGCTTCTGAGATTTATGCTCTGTCATCTAGCTTCTGAAGACACGAGCAGTTTTCTTAGGCGTGCTAGAGCCATAGGACAGAAATCACTAATTTACGGTTATGCTATAAGCACCCTTGAAATCTACATAATGCTTGGAGAGCAGTTAATTCGCTACGACAGCAGCATGGTCATTCTAGACCTGGCTTAACCGCAAGCCTTCCTGAATCTAGACTGTTTGATGGTATTTCCAACTAAATGACCAGGTTTTTCAGGCATTCTGTATTAACGGGCGGTCTTGTTTAAATATATATATTTTTTCTTTTCACGGCCTCCGATCAGGTATACAGTCCCCACTTCACAATAACAACATACCAGCTGCAGTAATACAATAGCAATTCATCAATATCGGCCCTCATACGGTAGCCTAGACAGCCAAGAAGTACCTAGGAGATACAAGATCAATGTACCTTTATAACAAGAGATTTCCTTTGGAGATGTAAAATTGCAGTTTAATAGGTACATGGGTTGCTACACAAGCATATCACGAACATAAACAAGAATTGGTTACACAAGACCAAACGTCATTGAAGTCATTCCGTGGCAGCTGTCCCGTTAGTGGACATGGTTATGCCGATCGAGGTCTACCAACAGGCTCTCTGGACACAGAGCTCTGGATAAGCTGGACCGAGTCACATAATCCAAATCATGCGTTACAGTCATCTTCTTATCCGGGTGCAAAACATACTCTGGTAGCCCCGGTGAAATGCCATTTTTTATCCATCGCCAGCCGGTTTGGCCACCACCATCACCACCTGGTCCCTCGATCACAAATCCAGCCAGTGCAGCTGGAGAATAACCGGGAGAGAAATTGGTCTTCCTTATCCGGACGATTGGATGGAAGTATTCATTAGTGCTGTGGGCGCTCTTATCATCTCCTGGGAGCTGCGAATAGTTGCCTGGCGTGCGGTCCTGTTTCCCCAGTCCCCGGAAGAACGCACCTTGCAGACCCGCAAAGTTGGACCTAATGTACCCGCAGCCCCAGTCATCGGCTCCCTGGCCGAGGGCGTTACGTTCAGTCCGCGCAGCCCGGTGTTGCTGAATTAGTTCCTCAATTATCACATTTTCAAAAGTCAGCATTCCCGACAGATTGTCCACCTAGTACCCAGCATTATTAGTCCATTAATCGCAATAATAAATCAAGGATTAAAGGTAATAGAATAGGGCATACCATCCACGCAAATGTGATATCCTCAATTTCACGATCTGGAGCTCCACCACCAATATTCTGGTGTACGCCGGGAAACCAACATTGCTGTAGCTCCTTGGCCGGCGCATCTTGAGTTCTGTGCCAAAGGGTCGGTGGAAAGGTGAGCCGTCTCTCATCGATCGCTAGGGCCTGAAAGGCGTAGTCTACATCTACACCGATTGGTAAGCGGGGTTGAACTCAGTGCACAAGATTGTGCTAGTAATCAACAATGGGCTCACTTTCTGACACATTTGTGTTGTGAAATGCGTACTGCTTTGAAAGATTGATACCCACTTTCGAAGCCATATCCACCAGTGGCCAATTAGGGATTCCCTGATTTAACGCTATTTTTAGCTCCTGTCACTCCTGCCTTGAAAGAATCCGCACTTACTAAAGCCCCAACTGTGTCCCAAACGCCAACTACTTTGATGCGGACATCATTCTTTAATCGTAGCTTGCCTTGATTCTGCTGGTACCAAGTAGACTTCTGGAAGGGCTGTCCGCCCGTATTCTCCCGGTAAGCCTTCCACATTTCGGGGAAGTGCGACATGTGCTGGGATGAGAGCACGCCTATTTCGGAGACAAGGCCGGCCACGGAGCGGACGGTAAAGGCGCCGCGAGAGAATCCAAAAAAGAACAGCTCGTCGCCTTGAACGTAATTGTTGGAGATGAAATCGTAGATCTGACAGACTTCATTGTCCAAACCCCAGCCAATACCACCTGTGAAAGAACAAAACAAGTACCAAATCAGCCCTGCACGATCTAAAATTAACGCCACCGGGGCTTACCATAAATGGCCTTCTGGAAAGGGAGCTCTCCAGCTCCCAGTCCAGAATGATATGAGACAATTTGCTGAACGAGATTGCCATGGGAGTCCGGGCCGCTTGGTGCGATAGTGCGAGCAATTCTCGCGACGTTGGAAGGCACAGATGCATCTCCCAAGTCGGACGCAAGCCAGGTTCCGTCCGCACAAAGGATGATACGTTTATAACCTGCCAGCCGAGATGCTAAGTGAGTCGATTGGGGCAGCATGATGGAAGGGATATAGACGTTGAGCTAGTCTGCGAGGCAAACTGTACGTATGATCTTGCTGTCCGGACAAGAGGAGTTAATAATAATACCCCCATTCGTGCAACGCGATCCAGCGGGAAATGTTGTCCTTAAAAGTTGAATCAAATGACCGGCCCGCGATGGCGAATCAAATCCAGGCATGATCATCAGAAAATCCCTCAAAGTGGTTTCAAAATTTGTCTGTAAATGCTATCTTGGGGGTCGGCATAGCAAAGAAAGATCTCCGCTTGCAGTCAAGTCTCAACCTCATTCTTCAAGCTAATGGTTCATGGAAGATTTTGATTGGTGGGTAAGAAACACCGGGGTTGAACCAAAAGAGTCGCCCAAACACCCCGCTTACACAAAGGCTTCAAATCTGACTGAAAACAAATCCAAGTTTTTTTCCGCACGTGCAGCTGCAATAGGCGTTAATTTGGAGAAGAATAACGGTAACGATACAAGAGCTTGGTCCGCCAGTAGATCTCAAATCGCTCACTAGCAATGGATGGGATACATGGACGATCAAGTAAGGTTTGGTTAGTGGATTTGATCCGTTCCAGGTCTCCCATTTGTTTGGGAGGCTAATTGGCACAATATTATCAAGAGGTCTTTTAGATGACGTACCATGTGAGCAGGAACTACTACCTAATCCAATAATGGCACGCACCCATTGAGCGGTAAGAGCGGTCCGTGATACCTACCCTCCTCACTCTGAGAACATCTCATTATTTAGCGGGTGAAACTTTGAATATGCAACTAAGCCCATTCTTTGTCTTCGATCACGATCCTAGGAAATCTAGAACCTATGGAATATCCAAAAACGAGAATGCCTGCCATCCCACAATCGAAATTCGGATGTACCATGAGACCCGGAAAAAGCGCACCAATGAAACCCCACATTCGATGTTCAACAAGACTAGAACTTGTTGCCAAGCCCCTACCTATGTATCTTTGATTGTTCTTCGCCAAAAGATGGCACACATATGCGTTAACATGATTGCGTTATGATTCCTCAAAATTTTCCTTGGCCAAAAAACGTGACATTTATTGGAATTCCTCTATCACGCCTACGAGAGTATGTATAGTACAGTTTTTGTGATGGTTTTGATTCAAGAAGCTGTTTCCACATCCCTATCCATTATTCTACTTACAGAAGCAAGTTGTGTAATTTTACTGTTTTTGTTTGACCCAAACTCCATCTCAGCATCCAGAAGCCATCGCAAGCTCCCATGCACAGCAATCAGTGGCTTTGTGACGTGCGCAATATGTCCTCTTCATGTTGACCCCCATTGATTTGAACCCGGTAGATCAAGTTGCAGAAATTATTGTTCCGAGACAGAAACTAAGTAACGCAAGTAGAGAAACTAAATCTAGGACTCTGGCGATGAGGGGGCTCGAAGTTTTCTGGGCATTTAACTTATGGTACGGGTTGCATTCAAGCCTAATTCTTGATTCGCTCACCCGCGAAGACACCCGCTATCTCCGGTCTCGTTGCGAGGGCTGTAAAATCAGCTGCCACTTACCATTGACGGATAAGTCACTTTCCTTGCTGCAAACAGCAGAGAGATCGCCCTGACTTGTCCTACCCAAAAAGCTTATTAGTTCTAGACTGTTTGGAGGGCATTCTACGTAGAAAAACTGATTATTGCTTCGATTTTCGAAGAGTTATAAATGTTGGACCACTACACTTGTTAGTCTGCTGATCCTTTTCTGACTTCCAAAGATCTATCCAAAGCTCACCTCTTTATTTACCACTTACCAGTTGCAAGTCCATCGGCAATGCATTCCCTCTGGCCACTCCTGTTACTCAGTTATACTGTCCAGTTGACTTGGTGCTGGGGAGACCTGGGTCATCGTACCGTTGCTTATTTGTCAGAAAAGTACCTAAACGAGCAGGGCGCTCAGCTTGTGGAAGACCTTATTACCCCAAACGAGGATTTTGATATCTCAGATGCGGCAGTGTGGGCTGATCGTCAGAAATTTAAATGGCCATTCACTAGGCCTTGGCATTACATAGGCATGTACTCAATGCTAATTGCTCTAGATTTCTTAGCTTATTCAAACAGATGCTGAGGACAACCCGCCTGATTTGTGTCATGTTTCCTATCAAGCAGATTGCAAGGAGGACGGATGTGTTATATCTGCTATTGAGAATATGGTTAGTGAGAGACTCTACCTCTAATATTGCAACCTTATTGAACACAAATATCGGCGAAATGTTACTGACGGTAAAAAGACCCATCAAGTTCTGGACCTCAGTTTAGAGAAGACGCAGCAAGGTGATGCTTTGAAGTTCTTAATGCATTTCATTGGTGATCTACACCAACCCCTACATGTTGAGAATAAGCTTCGAGGAGGCAACGATCTCCACGTTTGCTTTGACAATCACTGCGCCAAGACTACGAACCTTCATAGTGTGTGGGATACAGATATCCCACATAAACTGAACGGACTCAAGCACAAGCTGAAGCACAACGAGGAAAAAGAGCCTGCTGTGAGGTGGGCCGAGAAATTATTCCAGTCGCAGGGACTGAGACCACTTCAGGCAGAATGCTCTGACGTAAAAAAACCACTAAAATGCCCTATTATATGGGCAACTGAGACAAACCGACTGAATTGTGATTTCGTTTTCAAAAATGGCGTTGAATGGCTCGCAGATCACGATCTGGGTGGGGATTATTACAACGGCGCTGCTCCAATTGTGGAAGTACAAATTCTCAAAGCAGGAATCCGCCTAGCCGTGTGGTTAAATGCTTTGGCAGCTAACAGAGCTTCTTCAGAGGAGTATTTTCAATATCGACATGGAAAGGTAAGTCTTGGTTTCTGTTTCTGGCTCTATCCGTTTTTATAAGTGCGACAATCTGATTTTCTGATCTATTTTCAGATGAGATTACAAAAGGGGCTATAGTATGATGAAACTACAAGGAGGAATTTGAAAGTGAATACAATGTGGCAGCTTTAGTTGCGTGGTTTTATTCGAGCCCACTTGACAGGTTGGCGTGCTCATCGCTTTATGTTTTTCATATAGTAGCAATCCTCTGTTTCTATCCTAGGATGTCTCCATTCTGATTAATCTGCTTTTTAAGTATCACACAGTCTCCCAAGTTATCAGCATTATCTGACTCGTCAAGAAAATGGTGTAAAGTAATTACAAGACGGACATGTAGTCCTATGACACATGGTCTGTTTGGTCAGAGACAGCATGGATAGTATTCACAGGTTCGAACAATCTATGTAAGAACTCTCTCTAAGCTCACCCACCTGCTGTACTACATATACAAACTATGATCATATAATTACCGACGTGATTAGTCTTTGGAGGAACTGGTAGGTCTTTTGCCAAGTTGTGGCTGATCTGGTCGGAGCAGCTCGATGTAGAGAGGTTTGGAACGGCTTATCCAGCAAGCGGCTACACCACTTGAATTACTTGGATAGGAGTTAATTCATCGCTTGGCACAACAGTCGCCTGATAGCTTCTAGATTTTAGAAGTAAAGTCTATTTAAGAGGGAATTGGAATATGTTTATCAAATGCCGAATATCTATGAACAAACAATTCTGGTCTCGGCTAGTCCACCAATCCTATAGAACTCATAGGTCACCGTGAAGGTTGGTCGTGGCGTGTGATCAATAGTTCTAGACCTATCAATATGTCAGAATGACAAGTTCGACTGGTGTTGAGCTATATGCGTCCAAAGGCGCCGTCATTGCATTTCCGATGCCTGAACGGTAGCCATACCTATAAAAGCTGGTCCAATTCCTATGTTAGTGCTACACAGTTCTCTAAGAGATCAAATTCCTCAACTGAAAAACAGTTGAATCATCTCAATTATTGTCGTGATTTGAACCAAAATGCCTGTAGAAGACTACGGTGTTTGGAAGGCGTTACCCGTTCATTACGAGGTTGAGGACCGTTACGAAGACCCAAAGTCTCCACATCTATCTCTATATTACCACGATAATTATGGAACGGAGCCCCAATTCGACGTCAGATATCGTCAGAAACACATACACAAACCATCCAAGAGGAAAAGTCCGCAGGACATTCCTGGGCTATTTCGTGCTGCAATCAACATCAAGTCTACTGACCGGGACTCGCGACTTGCCTATTGGGTGAATTATACTCTCGGTGACCATCCAATTGTTCAAAATCTAGCAAACTTGGATTTCGGCTTCCATGATATCCATAAGGTTAAAGACAGCTGCTTGGACTATATTCGGTCTGACCTATTTGATACCAAAAAAGGTCGTCTTCTTCCCCATGACATCGACGGCCCAAACAATGATATGATTGACGTCTTGGTGCCTGAAATAAAGAAGTCGATCGACGAACAAGCGGAGATATACATTTTTGGTTCCCGTTTCAACTCGAGAGATGGAATTCACGATGTACACATGAACCAAGGCAACATAGAGAAATTCCGTCGCGATGATGGAACCTTTCAAGACGGAGGTCTTCTCATCCATTACAAGGAAACTGGTCAGTGGACCGGGGTTTTTCTTGCGTTTGCATCACAAGCAATACACACAGATGATAAGGATGGTCATGCTATATCGTGTTTGACTTGGGGGAAATTCCTTCCCACAGAATTTGTTGAGAATTCAGTGGCTATCAAGGAAGCAGTTGTGAAAAAACAAAAATCAGTCACGCTTACGAACCTGACCAACCGCCGAGTATCTTTGGCATCGTGGAAACTCCATAACTCAGCCGGTCAAGCCCAAGAACTTCCTGCTAGCGCAGTTTTGAACCCCATGTCCTCTGGAGGCTTTGAAGTGTCGAACCTCCATTTTTCGAACAACGGTGACATTATTACTCTCGTTAACGAAGAAGGCCTGAAGGTGGATGGAGTGAGTTATAACTCTCAGCAAGGAAATATGGAAGGCCGGCCAATCGTTTTTGCGCACTAGTTCTAAAATGAAAAGGTAACTCAAAGTCAAAAATAGTTGATCAGAATAGGAGAAATGCGGCCGTGGAAAAAAGTACCAAAAAGCGAGAATGAGAAGGACAAAAGGGCTTCTACTGTGCCAGGAAGGTTTTTGGAATTATCATTATATGCACGTAACTTAGTCAATTTCTTGCGTTCGCTAAATTTGTGTCAAATTGGATTCAAGTACTAGCAGGAAGGGAAAATATTGTCCCAAATATTATTTATGTTTACTTTCTTTGGAAGACTAAGTAGAAGGATCTCACGGAGCTAATGCTCACATATTCAGCTAGTGAATGAATGGTCTATGTTATGGGACGGCCAGAGATGGATCTTCCTGTCAAGCGAAAGTATGCAAGCACCTAAGGGGCTGCCTTGCTGGTTCTTGCAGGTGATCATTGCTGCCCTTAGCTCTCGCGACTGGGGCAATTGTTATAAATACTGCCTGTTTCCCTACTGTAATGCAATAAGCTTTACATCTTTTATATTTATAGGTAGATTTCCTGGGCCTATCTGACTATTCTGTGTTGACCTGCCACTTTTCAACATTTCTGTCTAATACTGCCGACCCTCGCTCTCTCATGGATAGTCTCTCATCCACAATCGTAGATCATCGATTAGATCGTACGTCTCTCGCCCCGACGGCGCACGAACACTTCGTGCACACATCAGGGTTTATGCACACAGCTTAAATCCGACAGCTCGTAGTAGGGCTCAAGAATATATAGTTACAAGGCTATTCCTAGGCTTTAAAAATAGAAAGACGGTGAGGTATTTTAATAGTTTGGAAATAGAAGGGTGTCCGGCATAGCGTATAGAAAGGGAGTCGCTCAAATTCTTAGGACAGGGTATAAGACCTAAAGTCGAACACCAGATAACAGGAAAGCGAGAGGAGTTACCATACCAGCCACGTCAGAGTACGATATATCCTGGCCTTCGCTTCCAGGATCACCAGAAGAAAGCGGTAAGCAGTATGATTAGCGTCGCAGATTTTATACAGCGGAGAGGCGGAATAATATCGAATAAAGCAATCAGCCTGAGCTTTGGGGTGAGCGATCAGGTTCTTCTGGGAGCTGCTCAGGGCGGTGAGGCGACTAACTAACTCATCCTGTGCCCTGGAAGCCGATCATTTCCCGAGGGTGCAGTTTTACCGTCACCTAGATTACCGATTAAAGTGTGAATCGCCCTCGCCAAAGGACAAGCCCTGCGCGTGTAGCTTCTCCACAACATTGAGCACCCTATTTCCGGTCTACAGCTCCTTATCTAGATAGATGAATGCGATCCGCAAGACATCCTCATGGCTGTTCACTGGCACGATACCGCTTTCAACATTGGCCAGGAATTCTTCAGCGCTCATTGTAGCGCTAATGGCATGGTAATAAGAAAATACGGGTAACTGAGGAAGAGAATATGAATTTCAGATCCCGAGTCAGGATAGACTCGGAGTAGTTGATGTTTTTAGGTTTGCTTTGCCAAGAGATCATAATCACGCGACTTGGCTTGATCCACAGACATACAGAAGTGGATACACGTATGGCTAAATACACTATGCTCCGTTAATGTAAATAGCCTTATGGCATGTTGGTATATCGTAAAACCAACACACAAGCATACTAATAAACTCATTCGTATGACAAAGACTATGCAGATATCGAAGGTATCATTTTGTACTCTTAAGGGCTTCATAATGGATATGAATTCCTTAGACAAGACCGGACACAACTAAAGCCTCCCAAATAACCCCTGGAAGACTGAAGGCATGACGAAATGTTCTGCCACCGCCAAAAGGTATGGAAGTAATAAAAAAGAGAAATTGAGACTGGAAGACAAAGTTAAATGTGGAGCAGATCTAACTTCGTACCAGAGTACATTTGAGTTCTGAGTAAAAGTCTGAGGTTGGAAGTGTGGGTATTAGAACAATGAGCATAGCAGCTGTAAAGGCAAAGAAGCAAGATGTTGCGGTGGAGTATTGGTCGGCTTCGCTTGGTGATTAAGTGTATTTTCTATCAGTGCCAATAAAATGTCTGTTCCCATCCAGCTGGTGGTCTAAAGGGTCTTTCATGAATATATTGACCTCGCGGTTTGACTTGGTTCAAGAACACTGTTTGATACCTTCAAGCCATATTTCAATATTAATGTGCTTTGCAACCCGTTGCATTTCCAAGTCTGATTCTGCATCATCAAGCTCTTCGTCGGTGTCTTCGAAGTCAATCCCAGAATGCTGATATATGGGTTTTTCGTCGTGAGTGTACCCTGTCGATCTTAACCATTCGAATATTCCACTCGTAGCTCCTTCAGAAAATCGATGTGAGAAGAAATCATAGTTATAATCGCTGAGCTTGGCCGAGATCCCGCCAGGGGCGAAATCTGATGTTTGGTCGGGGAGCCGGCTGATTTCTGCAGCAGGATTTCGGATGAACGGTCGTTTTAGCAGCCACTCCCAAGACTCGTATTCTAGGCAATGAATACCACATTGAGCATGCTGTCGAACCGGGAGCTCTGTATCGCAAATCTGTGTGACACCAAAGGGCTTCCATGGCCAGATTGGAGGTTGTTCATGACCTTTGCAGGCTGTAATAAATGACAGCCGACATTCGTCGTCACGCCGTATTGATTTACCATCATTTCCACCTATGTCACAGGTCAAGAAATTCTGTGTCATCGCAGTCCAGGCAGACGCTGAAAGATCTAGAGCCGCCATTCCCATTCGTATATCGCGCAAGATAGATTTCGCCAAATCTGTGGAAACTGCGCCAAGCCAGAGGATCCCAAGTCGAGGTTGTCGATTTGTAAGTAATGCGATCAATGACGTTTCCCTTGAAGAGATCGAATTCAGAACCGCAAAAGCTGGGTTCAACCAGGCACTGACCAGGTTACACTCAATATCTGGATTGAAGAAGGTGCTACACAGAAGAGAGCGTAGACCCCACGTGTTCGAACTCAATGTCATATACTTTGGAAGCAATCGGCTGTGATCATTGAGAAAGTGTCACCAATATTCTCCTTTAGTTCCAGTCGAGAAAGCTGTGTTGGAAAGGGGAGCGACACTGCTCTGCCATTCAGAAATGGAACATAAAGTACCCCAGCAAGGGCAGCCGAGCACTGAGCGTAAAGGCGATGGTGCATACAGAAACGAGAGAGATGTTCAAGAGCGGTCGCCGACGATGGCGGTTGTGACTTGTCACCCATAGAGGCCTTTCCGGCTACTGTTAATCTGGCATCCTTTATTGACACCGACCACGGCGGTGAATAGATATGGCCATTGTACTTAGTAGCCGCGTCCCATCCGTCATGGGAACACAAAATGGTGCGCTACCGGAGAGCTTCTTCCTCACAAGCACCCTCGCCGAGATCAATTTGAACCTTGGATTGCTCCTCGGATAGCGGTGGACTCTTCGCTTCCGGCGCAGCGTAGCGTATATGACATTCGTGATCCTCGGAGCGACCAAGTAGCTCAACCCATCGAGCAGATAAGATATAAGCCCACGCGAAGAAAAGGATTGACAAATAATTTCCCTTGTCGTAACCTGATAATCCCTGAACTTCGGGCCAGTCTGAGAGGGGAGAGTCTTCTGAGAAGCTCACAGTTAATTGACGACTAAATCCTAAAAGAAGTTGTTTCGGCAGAATCCTCGGCTGGATGTCACAGATGCCTTTTGAAGTTCTCCAGGCTGACCGGCAATTGACAACAAGACTGCCTTCCCCTTGTGTCCACTGCTTCTCTTCGCAAGCGAATGATATCTTCTCATCCAAGGAAGCAAGGTTATCACCAAGGAATGGTGGGGTCTGACCGACGAGGGATCTCAAATCCATGGCTTGTCGGGGGAGTGGGTGATCTTCGCTCCCAGAGTCCAGATATGAAGACCATATGTTGAGGCTCTGCTGAAGAACTTTCTTGAATTCATCGTCACTTGGGCGCAGGGCGTCACCCATCCTCGCACACCCGCAAGTCGAATGCAAATGTTGCTTGAGCGATCGGGCTTGTGTGTAGGTGAGAGGTTACCACAATGACGCTCCAGCGACTTCGGTTCGAAAATCAAGGGAGAGACGTCGCCTTGAAAAGGTAGGTGCGAGCAGCCTCTTTGGTAGAGGTGGATATTTTTGCTAATACTGCGTCGTCGTGTGCCGTATTCTTCCTTATTTGGACACACTCTGTTAGAAAAATGCTTGTTCAGAGTGTTGCTGTTACTTGTACGACAAACTAGGACTGATTAGGACATACCTGGTGCAGTATGCCCGACCAGACATCAGTGCGGTTTTGTTGATCAAAGTTGAACGATTGCCTAGCAGATCATTCTAGTAGTCTTTTCAAAAAGAGGCAGCCAAAACATTACCAATCGAGACTTGTTCTCTGGTCGCTAGATTTGTAGTCAAAGACAGAGAAAATCAACCGAATTTGACCTAGTTTTCGGTACCGGTAACAAGATCCTAGACATTTATCTGCTTCCTTTACCACAAATTTTGTCTCCATTTATGCTCATTCTTCAATTCACTTTTCGACGAGTCTTTAGAAAGATGTTTGTGTCATGGTTTTCAAGGCCGATGTGGGGGCCTCGGTGTAGCCTCAAAAATGGATAACTGTAGCCCTATAGTGGTGGCCTGACGCGTACAAAGCAGGCAGCCCCCACTTGGGTACTTCCCGGTTACGAATATGAGCTTAGCCTTGATATGAGTCGAGTAATTAGGCCGTCTAGCGCCCGACGTGGCAGTGCTGGATCGTTTAAGGCTGCCAGCAATTGAGGCTCAAAGACCAAACTTATTCTTTCACACCTGCCCAGTTTCATTTCCATTTCATACCCTCAACAACCACACCCCAACCTTCCACTTTTCAATATAACACAATCATCAACATGCCTATCACTTCCGAACCTCAAGGCTCTTTCTTTGGCCACCTTTTCCATGCTATCTGGGCTGCCGTCAGTACCTTTTTCGACACAACCTGGTTTCTGACTTCGTCATTGTTCGGCGCCCTGTTTGAAGTCATGCTTCCAGCTACAATTGCCGCCGCTATCGTCGGCGGTGTGGTTCTCGCCGCCATCTTGGCTGTCGTGTATATCGTGAATTGGATGGGATGCATTCAGTTCGAGTTCGGGGCTGAGAAGACAGGGACAAGTTCGTCAAAGGCCGCCGGAGATGGATCAGACGCAGTACTGGTCGATGTTACGAATGACAAGCGACGTGTTGAGATTGAAATCGAGTTTTTGGAAGAGTTGCTGCGTGCTAAGCGGGAGAAGTTGGAGAAATTGGAATAGAAGGGTCGAATGAATTTACTCCTCGAGTTCATATCGAGGAGATGATGGGGACAGGCGCACTATTGGTATGGGATATGGCCCAGCTCCTTGAGTCTACGAACATGTCCCACCAAGGCGAATGATACGAGCTCAGTTTCTATCCTACCATGGAAAGGGACGTGTCACTATGAAACTACACATTGAATAGTGAATATAGAATAGCAGTCGCATGGCTTGAATGGCCATCAAACGCCGCGTATGCGCCAATCTCATCTATGGATTTTTGAGCAGCTTTGTTGGGTCTCTTCTACCATATAGCCTAGCGTCTATTTTGGTCTCACTTATTGAATCCAAGTCCAACGAGCAATGACAGATTCATGTCCCTGGCAGGAAACGTATCGGCTAGCATGTCAATAGGTGGAAACGGGTAGCGACCCTGCTCTAGATCAGCGGGGGTTTGCCATAGCCTCCTCAACACTATCATACCGGAAAGAAGCAAATCCATAACTCGGGGGGTTTTCACGTCGTGTCTTCATTAATCATATCATCTACCATGTCTAAAGTAGCAAAGTCGGCTGCGGGAAGCCATTGCGGTCGTTGGTGTATCATAGCAGTTTCTCCTCCAGGTCACGCTCATCAAATGGATCTCCGAATTCATCTGCAAATAGACAAGTCAGTCAGGAGCCACTGGGGCATGGGGATAGCAGTGCCAACAACGTACTCAAGTTGAAGTCTTTATCGACCACCTGCTCCAAGGCTCGCTGGTACTCATCCTGGGCACGCTTGGTCTTCCATGCCGCAACCGGCGGCTCCGGGCCTTTCCCGAGGAGGGAAGCCTCTGCTTCTGTACGAGGTCTCTGATCGGCTGTGGTAGATATATCCGGTATTTGCTGGGGTTGTGAGCCGGGAGGGGAGAGCTCAGAGATGGGAGCCGCGCCATGGGCGTTGTGAGTTGGAGTGCGGGCACCGGTGTCAACCCCATCGGAATCAGAGTGAGGAGAGCCGACAGAGGAAGCCATCTCAGAATCGCCGTCGGGGTCGCGAGATCCTATGTGGAGTTGGTCAGTTGAAGGAGCCTAGGCCGAGATGGTGATGCTTTTGGAATGCGGAGATGGGTAAATAGCCGAAGATGGAAGTTGGCGGGGACACGGGTTGAAGCCCTGTCCAGAGCTCGGGCAATAGATTGTAGGAAATATTTAAGACTTACCGACAGCCATCTTGGCGGCAAGTGAAGAGAAGCAGATTGGAGTAAGCCGTGCAGATCGAGGCGATCCAAGGGCGGAGCTGAGGAGGAGAGCGGAGATCGAGAAGCGGGCTGGGGGGCGGTGGGCGCTCGCCTTTGGAGACCCGCGAATTTTCTTTTCTTACTTTGTCTTCCCCGCCATTTTATATACTCCTTGAACATATCACCTCTTGCTTGTCACTTGCAGCACCTTCATTTTTTTTTACTTCCATTGAGTTTGTCATTCTGCTCATTTGGTTCTGTCTTTTGTGGGCCATGAGTGCAAAGCCTGAAGTCCCCGATGCATGGGATGTGGACTGGGAATCCCAAGCCGATGTAAGTACAAATGGAGCCTCGCGATTTCGTGAGACACAAGTGCTGCTAAGCCGTTTCTTGTGGGCATGAGCCATAAGGCCCAAATTCAGTCCCCATTATACTAACACTAAGATATATAGAAACTAGCAGATCAGCCGACCCCGCCAGCAGAGAAGAAAGTCTCCTCAAAGGTCACCAAAGCTCAGCGCAGGGCTCAGCAGGCAGAGTTCAACCGGCAGCTCTGGGCAGAAGCGTATGTATTGATACTACATATTCCATAAGAGACCTGTCATCTTTCTAAGCACGGTTCCCGCCGCAGTGAATCCCCGCAGACATTCCACTATGTCGAAGCCCGATCCGAAGTACCTCTGAAACAAGACTTTAAACCGACCGTCACACTCCTCAGTCGGAGGCCCCAGATCGCATCACGCCAGTCATCATCTTCCGGTGGGATAGATGGGGCAACAGCCGGAATTGGACAACTTGGCCTTGACGATGAAGGCGACTCGGACGAAGACTCCAGCAAGCCTCATCAACCAACCTTTGAAGAACGGCAAGCGATAGCGCTCAAGAATCGCGAAGAGAGGCAGCGTAAATACGAGGAGGCGCGAGAAAGGCTCTTCGGAAGCCCTTCTGCAACGACTTCCGGCAATTCGTCTCCAGGCAGTACAACCCCGCCTCGCCAGAATCAGCCCGGTGAGGGCCGTGGGAAAGGGAAAGGCCGAGGCGGCCAGCGGGATTACAGGGAGAAGAGGGACTCTTCGACTGCCTCGAACAAGTCCAGGCAACAGCTTTACGATCCGGCGAGTCCGAACAGGTCGAACGGATCAACCCTACAGAGGCGAGATCGTCCCCAAGGGGATCGAAGCGATACTGAAAAGCAGAACGCTCCTCAGCAGCCATCGCGAACTCCTCGGGGCCCTGATGGAAGTGGAAGGGGTGGCTTTGGATTTGCTAACAGAGGCGCTCGTGGGGGCTAAGATGACGGCGTGTCCTGTATCCTTTATCGGCCACCGTTCGGCGCGCCTGCCCGCCCGATCGACCCATATCCCATCACCGCCTAGTCCGAAGATCAAGCAAAGCCTCCGATGAGAACTCAAGGAAGACCCCGTCCCGAATTGATTGCATTTGCAACTTCGGACGTATTGGGCCGGTTTTCTGCGGTTTGGGTCAATATCTCAGCCCTCTACCCAGGTCATCAAAATGGTCAGGAGGCTTACCAGCGTATCGGGCATAGCTGTCCAAATAGAGTTCATCTGAGCTCGTCGTTGCTCGGACATACTCATTTGAGTCGATGGCGTTCACCCAGGAGGCCCATCGCGTTCCCTCCTCGGCAACTGGCCAGCCTCGGTACGGCTTCAAGACCCGCCGAAGTCGAATGACCCACGGAGCAGCCTGCACATCTACGAAAGACATTTGCGATCCCGTGAAAAAGGGTCCTTGGGGGTGTGCAGCTGCGAGCAGCTTATCAAAAGCATCCCGAAGCTCCTTTGCATTCTCAATCTGCTTCTCCCGGTTCTGCTCTTGCAGTACCCGGTAGAAGCCGGGCACAATGTTTCGATTGATCTGCGTGGTGCTGTCAGCAATGAGCATGAAACCGACCGCACGGAAGTGCTCACATGGTCTGCCCACACTCGGCAATGGGCACGCAGTTTTGCATCTTCTGGAAGAAGTGCTGTGCCCAGTTTCAAGTCTTCAAGCTAGAGGCAAAGGCTTGTCAGAATCAATAAAAAGCGAGGGTAATACCTCGGGCATGTGGATGTTCCTCTTACATATTCCATAAGCACTGTGCTTTCATAACACCCCCAGTTATCATGTCGCAATGCTGGAACCAGCCCTCGTGGGTTCACTTCCAGCAGTGACTGAGGCTTCTGGTATGGATCGACTTCGATGTACTGGTAGGGTATCTTCTTCAATTCCAGCGCTATCCATACTCGTTGCACAAAGGGACTTTGTGCAGAAAATTCCCATCGAGTCAGCAAGGCTTCTTTTTAAAGTGACTTCGCCAAGAATGTGATATTCTCACCAGAAACAGCTTCCATAGAGCTTCAACCTCGACTCCGCTGCATGTTGAGCTGCCGTCGCAGCGGCTAGGCCTGTTGCTTTAGTATGATAAGACTTCTGGCCGGACATGTTTCTGTTCTGCTGGAAACTATTAATATCTTAAGAATGAAAAATTATAATGAGGATCGCCGCAGTATGTCAAAGTTACGAGTGTAGGTGGGTGACAACGCATCGTGACTGTGACGTAAGGGCAAGTCCTGCCGCGCTGCGGGGATGCCAAGCCAATGCTGGTACCGCTGTACATGCAGGACACGCAATGAGAAAAGCAAAGAGAAACATACCATGTTCTTTTTCCTCTCCTTATCTTCTTTCAAAAGAATACGCTGAACACTATTCTTCTTAACTCGATCACTGTCCTCTATCGTGTGTTGATGGCCACATCCCAGTCCCTGACCTTGAGCCCCAGTACCATTCACCCGTTGAATAGTAAAGTATCTCTTTCCAGTTGCACCGGGATGATCACCCGGTAGATTGGAACTAGGTGCAGAAAGCACACTGAATGCGTTGTTACCCTGAAGTGGGAACATAGAATGCATGTCAGGCAACATGTCCTCCGGGATAGTCACATCCTCCAACACAACGGCTGTAGGGAAGTATTCGGTGATTTTGATCTTGACATCGCAAAGGTCTCTTTCCCGTGCTACACGCTTGCGCTTTTTCTTGTTTGGGTCGTCAGACTTAGGTGTCCCCGATGCTCTGCCTTTTAGCCGGCAATCCCAATAGTGAGAAGCAAACGGCTTGCGCTTGTATCGCTGAGTAGAGCGATGGGAATACACATTGTCGATGTAGGGGAAAAATATTTGAAACCTATAGATTTGTGCTCGTTAGTGGTTAAGTCTAAGTCAAGGTGGGCCCGGCAAACTGCATACTGTTCTTCGCTCAGTGTAATCATCTCATCGACATGGAACAGTATGTTTCTCCATGTATCCAGGTCAGGCGGGTCTCTGACAAGCTTCATGCCTTGCAGATGTCCAGGAAAGCTATCCAGGAAATCTGTTATGTCTGGTGCATCCGCTACTAGCGCCGCATAATCATGTTCTGGAAATGCTGTATGTGACGGCGGCTGTAGCTCAAGGGCCAATTGCACATTCGATGACTCGGGGGCATTGTTCGTCATAGCTATCATCTGAGCATGATGCGGGGCTCCATTGAACTGTGATCCAGGTAACCGGATAGACCTCTGCACTGAGGAGAAAGGTTTCTGGTGTTGCTGTGCAACATTTTTTGAAGGAGATATAGCTTGTTGCGGCGGAAGAGGCCGAGAAGCTGGAGGAATGTTCTCAGTTGGCCGGAAACTTGCGCAGGGGTTCGTTGTGCTGAATCGGTTGGCCTGCGAGGGCGGAATGGCAATTGATGCTTCATCGACGATCGGTATTGATGAAGCTATAGCCATTCCTCTGCGTGAGCCCTGGTGCGAATCCATTGGAGGTGGATGGGGACGCTGCTTTTGCGGTGCGGAGAAGAAAAGAAGCGGAGGTTGAAGCGGCGAGGGAAATTGCCCGCTTCGTACGGAAGCAGCACCATACCATTTATGACACAACATTCTCGTATTCCGTATGCATGACTTGAAAGGAAAGTATGCCATCTCCCTTGAAATACTGCGCAACTTGAAAACAATATCTGCGGAGGATTAAACTATAGTATCACAAATTCTATGACTACAGAGATAAGAAACAAGCTTTTGTCGATCAACCAATCAACCATTCACTAGCACATACACTACTTGAGCTGGCAACACTCATTCCATGATTGGAAACAAATATCGAGACAGAAAACAGGACTGTAATTTATAGGGCTTTCTTTCCAGCATGCTTCTTAGCAGCCTCCGAATTTGCGAAAGGAAACCCGGTCGTCCTCTTATCGGCGCCCGTTCTGCGACTGATCTTGCCATTGCTGCTTGCGAAAAGCACGCACCAAAGGCCGATAGATGCAAGAAGAGAGCTTGCAGCCACTGCGATCGCAAAGAATCCCTGTCCCGTAGTAACATATCTAGTGTACGCATAGAAGGCCGAGGCTGAATGGAAAATTGAAGTCACCATGAGAGTGGGAAGGGCATAGGGCGCTTTCGGATCCGAGTCCTCGGTTGTGACTGGCTCTGAGATCGAGGATATGAGAGGAATGGAACCGGTCAACATCACGGTCAAGATGGCAATGGTGAGGAGACTAAATCCGAGGCATCGGGCAAAGTAGATCTCAATAGCTGTTCGTTGCGGTTAGCACAGTTTCCTTAAGAAGCAGGATAAAAAAAGCAGCGAAACGTACATGATGCAGGTCGAGTCTCATCCAACAATAAGGCCACAATCATGCCGGGGCCTGTAATCAAAGACAGACTCTGCAGCGAAAGCCATCCTGCCGTCGAGTATGTATAAGCTTGGAAGACCTTTCCGGTGACTGTCAGCTTGTCTTGTTCCGAAATGATATGGCTCTCTCCGCAAGGGGGATGATCGTCAGTTACTCACATCCATGTTCACTGATTTACAATGCGTAAGCAATATGCAGTACTGAATTTGTTGAGATAGTTGCAACGTCTAGTTTGTGTGCTTCGAGGGTGTCGAAAAATCGGAGAGCTTAGCTGGCAGCCTGGAAGCTATCGACGATATGACGTCAGCCGATTTGTCACGTTTCCAATCGAAGCGACATTTGCCCCAGAAGCAGATGCACCGTTATAGTCAGGAACAAGAACTAGGAAATCTTTAATGCACAGACTGTAACTTGGACCCTATTTCATGCATAATTGCGTTAAACAATCTCTACTTAAGCAAGAACAATTGTCATCAGCCTCGCCCGCTTCCTTACCGAGGAGAACTTAGTCCTCTTCAAGGATGTCGTACTCGATCTAGGCATCACCTATTCTAGCAGGCTATTATATACGCTTTCGAAATCTCTTTCAGAATATTTTTCACTTGTTCTCTTCAGGTCAAAACAATATGTGATTTAATTTCCAATGCAATAGTATGAAATTGGCGTCCAATAGCCACCAACACCGTGAACCCCAGGAAGCCCAAGACATCAACTCCTTGTATGAATACCCATGATCATCAATTAATATTGCTGGCCCGTAGGTACCGGGCAAAGCTACTGTCTGCCTCAGAGGGGGCACTCTGAGAGCCCGACAGAGCCTGCTTGTACCGCTCGGACAAGCCTTCATCATCGCCTGCACTGGGTCTGTAATCATAATCATAATCGCCATCACTGAAGTCCTCCCCATCAGCCAGGCCTCGTTTGATGATCTCATCTTCCTCCTCGTCTTCGGCCTCGCTGACAGTCTCAGGCCCCTCGGGGCCCTTGCGCTCTTTGCGGGCGGATCCCGAGACACTCATGTCCTTCATAAGCTTGCCCAGCTCCAATTCTCGCTGAGAAGACTTTTGCTCTTCACGCTCCTGCCTCTTTCTCTCAAGCTCGGGCTTGTAATCACGCTCGAATTCCTGACGCTTCGTTTCAACGGCCTCGAAGAACTCGTCGACACCATCACCGGTCATGGAGCTCACACCAACGACGCTCAAGTGCCGATAGAACTCCTCCAACATCAGACTCATGCTGTTCAAAAGAGAACCCATGTATCCGCTGCCAGCGCCGAATCCACCGGCACCGCCCTCGCCTCCAAAGGCACCGGCTTCCTCCTCCTCGCGCAGGGCGGCTTGGAACTTGTCAAAGTCGGTCATCCATTCCTTAGCAAAATCGGCATCCTTGACGTCGGTCTTGTTGAAAACCAGGATCATTGGGAGCTTGGTCTTGTAAAGGATACTGCAAGCATAGAGCATGTTACTCATGAATGTGCTGGTCGAGCTGGCGCGAGGGGTATCGATAATGTATGCGATGACAGTGGGGAATGACGACGCCAGAGTCTCCAAGAAGATACTACCCGATGCGCTCCATACGAAAACCTCAATCTGGCCGGGGGTGTCGACTAGAATGTGTTCGATTGGCTTTGCAGAGGGAGTCTCGGGGTTCCGTGCGGTACGCTTTTCAAGGAGGGCAATAATTTGATCGACTTTGGTCGCGAACAGGTTCAGAGACGTCAGGATACCTCCGTTAGGACCCAGGTTATACTGCTTCATCACTTCCTTGTAGTTGATCGAGTCTCGAATATCGATGTTGCTTTCGAAGGGAACGGAGTGCACAGCGGGGTCGAGGTTCATCACATAGGGGACAGTTTTCTTCGAGTGAAGGTGAGAGTTGATTCTCTGCATGAACGTTGTCTTTCCGGAGCCTGTTACAAAATAGTGTCAGTCTTTATCGCAGGATGCGCGACTCGAGACGAAGCCGATCCTTACCTGCCATGCCCACGCAGACCACGGACACCGCCGGAGAGGCCATGATGAAGTGAAGTCCGCTTGAATGAGAGATTAGATAGTTGAGTATGTAGTTCTGCGGTGTTTAGAGTAAATGGTTCGGCAGAGGGAAATATTGTCGCAGAGGTTGTAGAAGGATAGTGGCGGGGAGCTCTTTTTTTCTCCAAAAATTCTTTGGTCGCGGGGGACTGACGATCGGCGCCTGGACCGCCCGGCGCGCCAAACGTCATTCCGCCGTGGCTTTTTGCTTCTCAACTCTTTCCAGAACAACCACAACCAAGGAGAGACACAATGACCTTGGAGGATTTTGAGAAGTCACTAGCGGAAGACCAGGACCGACGTCGCGAAAGAAGCGACAAGGACCGGCGCCATCGAGACCGCGATCGTGATCGCGATCGTAGCAAAGACCGTTCGAGCCGTCATCACCATCGGTCCAGCCACCACCACCGACAGCATTCTTCTCGATCCCGCGAACGTGACAATAGACGTGATCGTGAGTCTCGACACCGCGATGACGACGGTCACAGACATAAGCGTTCACGTCATGAAGACGACCATGACCACTCGTATAAGCGCCGACACCGACAAGACAAAGAGGATGAACCATCGGCACCCAAGACTATCGTTCAGGAGGTGTCAAGCGCCCTGAAGCGAGACTCCTGGATGGAAGCGCCCTCCGCAATCGATATCGAATACGTCCATCGCCCAGACTCCAAGCGCGTGGAAGAATCTACAAAGCCGAAGATGCTCCAAGCGGGCTTTGAGCTCAAGATTCACGATAAGGAGCTCAACAACCACCTTCGTGACCTCAAAGACGGGAAAGCACTCGATGATATTGAAGAAGAGCCCGCGCAGCACGAGGTGGATTACACATTTGGAGACTCGGGATCTCAATGGAGAATGACCAAGCTCAAAGGCGTGTACAGGGAGGCTAAAGAAAGCGGTAAATCCTTGGAACAGGTTGCCGTGGAGCGACTTGGCGATCTCCGCTCTTTTGATGACGCTCGAGAAGAGGAAACCGAGCTGGATCGCCGCAAGACGTATGGCCAGTCATATGTGGGTAAGGAGAAGCCCAGCGGAGAGTTATTCCAGGAGAGAAAGCTTAAGAATGCGGTCCACCGAGACCCGCATGAGCATGTTCGTGACCCTGCAGAGGAGCTTAGGGCAGAGGGTCAAGGCAAGGTCATGGATACGGAGGCTCCTTCTAACACGACGAAGCTTCTCGACCAGACAGCATTGAACCGTCTCAAGGCCCAACTAATGAAGGCAAAATTAAAAGGAGCCGCCAACGCAGCTGAGCTTGAAGAGCAATACAACAGTGCCGCGGCTGCGGCCATGTCCAACCGCAGTGAATCGGACGTCGTCGTGCTCGGTGTTCAACAAAACCGCATGCTCGCTGGCTCAAGAAATGAGGTCAAGCCGGTCGATACTAAGCGTGGCCGTGAAAGAGGCTTAGTGGAGGACAACGAGGATATGAGCATTGAGGACATGGTTCGAGAAGAACGCAAAACCCGGGGACAAGCCGGGGGTGAAGGCGCACGGCTTGCTGAGCGTATCGCGAAAGATGGCAAGTTTGAGGTGAAAATCATTCTATTAATTCCTTATGAATTGGTGGAGTTCAGTTGCTGACAATCTTCTAGAACGACTTGGAGTATATGGACGACCAGGCTTCCAAATTGGCCAAACGAGTACATCGATCTGAGATCGACATCAAAAGCGCCACAATCAATGATTTCCGTAAGATGAACCGCATCTTGGATAATTGTCAGCTCTGCCACCACGAAGATACAAACACTCCCCCAGTCGCGCCCGTCGTCTCCCTCGCAACCAGAGTCTACCTCACACTTCCCACTGAGCCTGAAATCAGCGAGGGAGGAGCAACCATCGTGCCCATTCAGCACAGAACGAATCTGTTGGAGTGCGATGACGATGAATGGGAGGAGATCCGCAACTTCATGAAGAGCCTAACACGCATGTACCACGACCAAGGCCGTGATGTTATCTTCTACGAGAATGCCGCCCAACCACAGCGCAAGCGCCATGCATCTATGGAAGTGGTCCCTCTACCTTACAGTCTTGGAGAGACATCACCTGCATTCTTCAAGGAAGCAATTCTAAGTGCCGAGTCGGAGTGGTCACAGCATCGCAAACTTATCGACACGTTGGCAAAGTCCAAGCAAGGGCTCGGCAGAAATGCATTCCGCCGGACTTTGGTGAAAGAAATGCCCTACTTCCATGTCTGGTTTGAGCTTGACGGAGGTCTAGGCCATATCGTTGAGGACGAGCACCGTTGGCCTCGCGGTGACCTCTTTGCGCGCGAGGTCATCGGCGGCATGCTCGACGTTGCCCCTGATGTTATCAAGCGACAGGGCCGCTGGAGTCGTGGTGGGGATCGAAGAGTGGATGGGTTCAAAAAACGATGGAGGAAATTTGACTGGACTCGTATCTTAGTCGAAGGATAAGGCCTGAACACTGCAACGTACTAGTATTGTTTACTGCTAGATTCCAAAATGACCAGTCTACGGAATCATTGCACTATGAGGGATCTCGGAAGCGCATTCTCTTTTCAGTCAAGCCTCAATCTCTATTTATTATTGACAGAATCAACGTTTCCCGAGCCAGATCGGCCCTTTTCCGAGGCTGTTTCCCTGAAAGCCGAGCTGTATGGAAGACCTTTATAGATCTAGGCTGGCTTCTGAACCCTCAAGACCAGACTGTATGCGATCGCTTCTATTGAAGTAAAATGTACACAAGTAAGATAATTTCTCGAAAGGCCTATCATCGTCTCGATATCTTAGCAATCCATTCGCAAGGATCACGCTTAATGGCGGCATCCCGGGCCTGCGGGGAACTCGCCGAGATAAACCAAACTTTGTAATGTCTCGCGTGGGGCTCGTCGGCTCTCTCGGCCGATGCTTCGTATCTTTAATGACTCTTATGGCTGCTGTTATCTCTCAAACCTTTCCTGTCGCATTCTGTTCGTTGCTAGATTCTTGCATTCAACTCTCCCTCCAAGTATATACTCTCTTAGGTGATTCGGAACCTCCAATTCTCCTCATATTTGCAATCGGATAGGCCCGATCTGCCCCTCATCCTTATCAGTAAGTTTGCGCCTTCGATTGACATCTCCTGAAGCCTGCTGCGGAGAGTCCAATCGATTTAATTGCGTGACGCTCCGCTCTAAATCAGTGCTTTTCGTGGTTCTATTCGTTCCTAGGCGGAGTAACTGGAACTACTTGCGCTAGCATACAAACCCTTACGCTTGAACAAGACATTGAACTGAGTATTTCTGTCCAGACCATATAAATCTTACTCCGTCGCTATGGGCTCTCACGAAGTCAAACCCAAGGTCCTCATTCTTGGAAAAGTCGACTTGTCCGTTGTCCGATTACACTGCGCATCCGTGACCAACTGCTAATGAATGAACCACAGTGCGCATGATGCCTGGGATGCGCTGAACCAGATCAGCGAGGTCATCAAGCCAGATTCAACCAGCCGTGACGACTTCCTGAAGGAATGCCGGAGTGGAAAGTTCGAGGGAACCGTAGCGGCCTATCGCACATTCCACTCGTTTGGCATCACCGGCCAGATCGATCAGGAATTGGTGGATGTATTGCCGAGCTCCCTGAGATATATTGCTTCTTGCGGTTCGTCATACCTTGATACGGCCGTATCTTGCCATATGTTGTTGCTGATACGTCTCAAATAGGTGCCGGTTATGACCAAATAGATATCGATGCATGCAGTGCCCGTAACCCCCCGCTCCTTGTCTCGAACGTGCCCACTGCGGTGGACGACGCTACCGCCGATGTGAACATGTTCCTTATTCTGGGAGCGCTTCGAAACTTCAATGCTGGCATGCATGGTCTGCGAGAAGGCAAGTGGCGAGGTCAGCCTGCACCACGGCTTGGCCACGATCCCCAGGGTAAGACTTTGGGAATTTTGGGAATGGGTGGCATTGGACGTAACTTGAAGAAGAAAGCCGAGGCTTTCGGTATGAAGGTTATTTATCATAATCGCCGACAACTCAGTGAAGAGCTTTCTGGGGGTGCGCAATACGTGACCTTTGACGAGCTTCTGGCGACCAGTGATGTGCTCAGCCTAAACCTCCCGTTGAATGTAAGTGAGATCTGCCGAGATGGGCGAGATTTCTCGGGTTTTGAATCCCTAGGTGCTGATTTGAGTACAGAAAAACACCCATCATATCATTGGCAAGCCAGAGTTTGCCAAGATGAAGGATGGAGTCGTCGTGGTCAACACTGCTCGTGGTGCTGTCATGGACGAAGCTGCGCTTGTTGATGCTCTGGACAGCGGTAAGGTATTCTCAGCTGGTCTAGATGTCTTCGAAGAAGAGCCCAAGATCCATCCTGGTTTGATTGGTAACCAAAATGTACTTCTTGTGCCTCACATGGGTACCTGGACTATCGAGGTGAGTTGTTTAGCGGGTTTATGGGGGTAAGGTTGGGTGACTGACAGTATACTAGACTCTCATCGCGATGGAAGAGTGGGCCATTGAGAATGTGAAACTGGCTATCACCACGGGAAAGCTGAAAAGTCCCGTGCCAGAGCAGGTTGATCTGCAGTGATAAACCGTCCATATCTATGGGTGCTGCAGGTGGTCAGGTGTCTGTGCATTTGAATATATAAAGTGGCGGAACATAGCTGGAAGCACATCTCTTGTATATATTTGGAGAATAGATCGATTCCTATAAACAAACCTAGCGGTCTGATGTTGGATTTCCTGACATCAAAACCCGAAATCGAAAGAAAGAAGGCCCAGCTTGAGTGGAAAAGCCAGTTCATACTTGACTCTATACCTGCACGTGTCTCCTTTGGGACTAGTCTGATTGCGGCGGGAGTTTGCGATCTTATCGCCGCTCAAGCTCTCCTCCAACTTCAACTCTAGATTCAACAACTTCAACATGGCGGAATACTGGAAATCAGCAGTAAGGAATCCATTAATACTCACTCTCCCTATGGTCGCTAACATCACCTGTCTTACAGCCTCGCTTTTGGTGCAAACAATGCAAGATCTTCATTCGCGATACGCCATTCGAGAAGACCCAACACGAGGCCAGTCCAAAGCACCAAGGTAGCCTTAAGCGCTTCCTTCGTGATATCCACCGGAACAATGAACAACAAAAAAGAGAGACACAGCGAGCGGAAAGCGAGGTTGAACGGTTACGCCAGGCCGTCGCAGGCGGGCCCTCGAAAAGCGATCCCAACGCCCCTGCGCCTTGGAAGAAGACCGCTGCACCAGCACCCAAACCCGCCGATCGCCCGGTCAGCATGGAGGACAGGAAGAAACAAATGGCGCAGTTGGCTGAAATGGGCGTAGCGATTCCGGACGAGTACCGCGGCGATATGGCCTTGGCTGGTGAATGGCAGACGCTCTCGGAGACCAAGGTTGAGGATCTACAAGGCGCTGCTAAATCCATCGGAGTCAGAAAGCGCAAGCATGATGGCGAAGAAGAGGATGAGGAGGACGATGGTGGAAATCCCTCCGCGCAGCTTGTGAGCAGAGGATGGGGTTCGAGGATGAGGACGTACCCTGGAGCGCAGAACGACGACGATGATGACCTAGATGCTCTACTTGCGACTACGAAGGATTTGAAAAAGTCCAAACCCCAAGTCCCGGAACCAGACTCTGAGGAGTCCAAATTGGTCGAAGAACAGAAGCCTGAGCCTGCTTCATCTGCAACGAAAGAGGAAGAGGTCGTGGCGTCTAAGGACCAGGAGGCGGGCAGCTCTTCGCATGTCAAGACCGAGGAACCTGGCAATTCCCCTCTTCCACCGACCGAGGAAAAGTGGCAAATTGAAGATGCACCAGGGCCTATTTTCAAAAAGCGCAAGGCCAAGGTTATGAGGAAATAAGCCAGAGCCAGACACAAGGAGGCTTTTCTCAACCTACAGAATACACTCATTCCATACGTGGACATGAGACTACCCAATACGCATCGCGTTCAGGCCTTAATGACCCCGGCGATGTGTTGGATACACGACCGGCCTGGACTACCAACGAAACCTCGGCCGCCTCCAGAGCCGCATTACCATTGTTGTCTTGACACGCCGGCCACTCACCCAGCCATTGCCGGTCTGTGGCCAAGCACTACTTGCCTGCTTACCATCTGCCAAAGTATCGGAGATCCCGGGTCTATTTTTTATCTGAAACCGACGCGTGAGGCATTTAGGAATACACAAGCAGGGACTATGTATGCGGTTGGATCATCCAGCTTTCCGCCCCGCTGAGTCCAACAGGCAAAATAGTGTCTCTACTCGAGAGCTGCTGAGCAGCCCATGAAATTTCTGATGAAAATGAAATATATTATTTTAGATTAGGTTTTTGGGTGCAAACAATATAGTAGATCAATTAATAATTTGTGTACTTCTATAGACAAAGAGAGGGCTAAATTTTGGAGTATAGAGTATAGAGTTGCCACTCCAATTTTTTTCTCGGCGTCGAAGCGGAGAGTTTGGATCGCCGGAAAAGAAAGCTCCTTTAGTTCGCTCTCCAACTTCGCGCATCTCCTTCCGACTGCCCACCAGACCACAGACTTGCCGAGTTCCCCAGCAACTCGCGCCGTTCCACTATATTTAACAGACACATGGTGTCCTGACCCGGTGAGTGTGTCTCGTTCCATGCAATCGCGAATTCTCCAGCCCAGTCAGCCCGCCTTGTCCTGTTCATGGCGCATTTCTCTTCTCCCGCCCGCAAAGAGCCTCGGAATCTCCTCCTCAGCGCCTTCACGATCGATCCTCTACCGCAAAGAGGCCCTTGCGTCTTCCTGGCCGTCGTCGCGACACCAAATACTACCCATCAAGACGAGAGATCGCGGGCGGGGAGGAGACTTCGGGGCTCTCAGACTGAAAATGCGACACAAACTTTGAATGGCCGACAGAATCACGGTGAAAACTGGACCTGATTTTGCAGAAGTCAATTGCCTCTGAAAATACACTTGCGCGAGACTCTGGATGCGCTCAAAATCGTCGTGTGGGACATGGCTTTTCGCTGGGTAGTGGGTTGCATCTCGGTCTATCCACGGCGAATGTGTTGAGAAGGAACGGCCCTTCCCTGGCTTCCCTGGGGAAATCCGCTTCACATGCTCTGCTCATTCGGCCTCAAAACACGGGGTCTTGTTTCTCTCTATAAAATGCTCTGTTCCAGGCATCCAGGCGCGACTGGGCTGGCACTGCCAGATTGGAAACTTTTTGCTAACAAATGCGATCTCACTAGACCCAAGGCGATAAATGATTTACAAGTCCCAGCCCGTTCAACCTGGTGTTGTGCCTTCGCTCAGCCGCAAACTGCACAACCTTTGACCTTGAGGATCGTCCTCCTACCGCGAATCTTGAATAGGACCGCCGACACAAACTTTCGGCTTATATAGACCGATCGAACCCATCGGACTGCCTGGAGGGCCGGCTACTAGACATGGCAGAACCGACGGAACCCAATCCTGGCGAGTCGGCCAACCCGCCGGCTGAAACGAATGCGCCAGCGCCGGTGACAAGTGAGCCGCCTGCACGGACCGAGCAACCTTCAGACGAAGCAAACGCGCCCACAACCCAAGGTCCGACGCCGACGACTGAGCCTCAACCGGAACCTTCCCCGGCGCCGCCAGCTCCGCCAGCGCCCTCAGAACCCCCGGCATCTTCAGAACCGCCAGCACCCTTAGAATCTCCAGCACCTCCAGTTCCCCCGGCACCTCCAGCGACTTCGGCGACTTCGGCGCTGCCAACCACAGATTCAAATGCTCATCAACAAGAGATCCGTCACTCTGTGGAAGAAACCAATCACTCGGAACCTGCGCCCAGCTTTACCACGTCCTCTTTGATTCCCGCACTCCCAGCAATGGACACATCTCTCCCGCCTATCGATCCGTCTCACTCTTTGGATGATAATGAGCTCCCTTCATTTGACGCCGCGCTTCGTGCTGTGAGCTCTTCTGCAGGGCCAGATCTGTCGCTTCCAGCCATCGACACAACTCTGCCCTCTCTGGACGAGTCCCTACCAGCGATTGGAACGGATATACCGACCATGGATCACCCATTTGGTGACGATAGCCCCTTTGGGCACCACGATCCACACGATGGATCTATAAACACGCTAGATACAGGCCACGACACGACTCATCAAGGATCCATCAATGGCTCTACGCATTACCCGGCGGCATCTAATGACAACTACCAGACGTCAAATGGCAACTATCAATACACCCAAAACTCACAGCACGATGGACGACAACAATCACAGGGCTCGCCTCAACATCAGTACCAGTCTCAACCTCAGCAGAGTTACCAACAGCAGACCTCCGACATGTACCACAATACAAGCGGGGGTTTCGCCAGTGTCAACGCCAACTCCAACAACAATGGCCAAGGACAGCCCGGTCAAGTGCCTCAAGCACCGATCGGATCTCCCATGCCATCCAATATGCCTCCCATGGCATCTATGGGGCAGTACATGACCGGCTACCCGTCCAATGTGTCTCCCTCGGGCATGAATTCGAATCCACAGATGCCGTACTCACTTCCGGGAGATCCCAATAAGATGCTTTCAGGTGGCCGACATAAAAAAGAAGTTAAGCGACGTACAAAAACCGGGTGTTTGACTTGTCGCAAGCGACGAATTAAGGTATGTTGGATCTGCGTTGAGATTTTGCATGTTGCGCTTCGCGGGGCGCAGGACCTCGCTTGTTGCCGCAGACCCCGCCATCGTTTATTTTATCTCCCGCTTAAACCCACGACCTCACCCCTCTTTCGCGCTTCTTGCTTTTTGGCTGTGTACTAATTTGTACAGTGCGACGAAGGACATCCGGTCTGCAGAAATTGTGTCAAGAGCAAGCGCGAGTGTCTAGGGTACGACCCGGTGTTTCGCCCTCAAGCGTCTGCTCCGTCGGCGATCCAGCCAGCTCCAAACCCTCAGGCTCCGTCACTCGTTGTCAACCCCCAAGGCCCTCCTGTGCCTTCGGCACCTTCATATCCTTCTGCGCCGCCTGGGTACATGCCCGCTTCCTCACAACCTTTTGCGCCGTCCCTCCACTCCGAATCCCCTAGCGCCTCGACCGACCACCACGACAACGGAGCTGGCATTGACCATTCTCTCGCGAACAGTACCGTATCACACCCTTCAAATATGCAGTCTGCCAACGATTTCCGGACACCAACCTCAGATATGGTCTACAAAGGTACGTGGAACATCCTGCGGGGCTTCCGGTTACTGGTCTTATACGGCTCCTTTCTCATCTACACCCATAAAGCCTTTGACGGGCGCTAATCGTTATACTATGAACAGCCAAAAACCTGAATATCAATGACTTGATTGCTTTACGGGGCATCCCTCCACCGGCCCCTCATCCTATCGGCTCCCTTCCTCCCGGCCGCCTCGAAGAGATCCAAGCGGTGTTCCTGGCCACATATGCCCCAGCAATTGACAAGCTGCTGGAAGTTCGATGGTACACAGACAAGGCGCTGTCATCTCTCATGGCGGATGCGCAGCTTATGGCAGACTACTCAGCCTTGATCAACGCCTTCAACGATTGGAACCTCAATGACGGAAACACGGTCGCCCGCTTGGAGAGTTTTGAGGCTTCAATCATTTGGAGAAGCATGACCCTGTGCCGGCAGGCGCAAAGCTCAGAGAATGGGCAACACGGCCAAGACTGGAATTTGACTGCGGCAACTGCGCGTCTCAATGCTATCGAAGCCCTTCTCACCTGGACCCACCTGGATCAGAACGCCTTGTCGCGCGCACTGCGAACGGAGGCTGCAACCCCACCCCATCAGCCAGATCAGTTCATGCAGCGGCAATTGGACTTCTGGAGCGAACTCGGCGACTTCCTCACGCTTCACGACAATGAAGCCAGCTCAGCCAAGCAGATTGACGATACACTAGGGCGAGGTCGCCAATTGCTTGATACCTATGAAAACCGCGACATTATCTATTCCATCGCCATTGCACGGCACCTTGGCCAACGCTGGGCCGATTTCCCGAACAGCCTTCCTAAGGTCGGATACACTGCCGAGAAGGAGTCTGGCACCAAGCTATTCGTCGCGCAGAAGTTCATCGAAGAGGAGGCCGAGGGCAAGGGCACGACGCAAATCTACAAGCGCATCTGCTGCATGGCAGTTCGCTCTTGGTGGGTTGCCCGCGAGTAGACACCTCGCCTCGATTCTCTGGCTTGATGAGTCCTTCTCCTTTTTCATTTCCCCTCTAGCCTGCCACGATCGTGGCGGCTCGTTTGTTCTCTCATATTCATGAATGCACAGCGGTTGTATCTGCTTGCGATTCAAAAAAGCATCATGGCTAGGCGTTACGATTTTGCGGATGATTCATTGACTTTCTTTTTGTCGCTTTCCATGGGGCCTCTGGGGACTGGGCAGCGAGCGAGTAAAGTACCACGGCGTTTCTGGCCTCTTCATCCCCCGGGATGAGTCTTTTTTGTTTCTTTTCCTGTGTATAACTCGGTCACTCCTCCTACGGGATTCATACCCTACGAGTCCAACAAGCGGTTAGACAATTCTACATTTATCAGTCAATAGTTGAACATAAGCTCTCTTTGAGTAAATTTTGGTTTCCTTTCATCTTATTTGAATTGTATGCATGATAGGGGCTTCTGTAGGCAAGCCATCGTAGACTGACTATACAGGAGCTACTTCAACCCGAATCTTCATTTCACCCGTCTCGCCCTGGAACAAGAACCCAATATCCCGCGTCGAATCTACCAATTCAATCTCTCTCCGCACAAACCGGCTAGTATCCGCCGAAGATGCAGGAGCTTGCGCCTGCATTTCATCATCGCTATCTTCATCCCAACCCACTGTCCCGTCATCACCAGTCTTCTTCTCCACCGGATCCCACTCATCCGTCTCCCAGACAAGTCTGAACGAATACGGAGCGAGATCGAAAAGACGTGAAACGAGAGCTTTCACCTGGTAAGAATCGAATGAAGTCGGGATCTCTTTGACAAAAACTTGTGATTCGGATAGACGGAATGCCAGCTTAACCAGGCGCGCTGCTACGGATCGTGGGTGGATCGCTTTCTTACCAGACCCATCATCCTCAACGGCCCTTGTTACCGTTGGTTCTCCGTATGATTCACAGAGCTCTTGGTAGCGAGGGTGTCTGGCTAGAATGGCGGGTTCTTCGGCCTCGGAGGTAGCAGAGAGTTCTTTGCCGATGAGGGAGAGATAGTACATTTCAGCATTGGAGCGGTCCTGGTGCGAGATTATGCTGAAATTGAGAGTCGTTAGGGAGGTGGGGAAGCGGGATAGCGTGAGCATGAAGGATTCGTCTAGGGTCATTGGCTTTGAAGCGCTCATGGATGAAGTTGCTGCTGCTATGGCGGGTGGGAGGGGCGGTTGGTCGTAGAGGGGGTTTCCGGAGAATCGAAGGGTTGTTAGACCCGGGAATAGGATAGGGAGGTGGTTAACGAATGTCCATGATGAGACATTGTTGCGTGAGAGGTCGACGGAGTAGACTGTTGGTGGGAATGTGAAGTCTAGGGAGGTGTTTTTGGTGTTGTCGGTGATGGCATGGACGTTGTTTCCTCGTACTGAGAGATGTTCGAGAGTTTTTATCTCTGCTAGCGGGCGTAGAGCAGATAATGATGTGATCTCGTTGTTCTCGAGTGTCAATTTCGTGATGGCTCCAGGGAGTGGGCGAGATATCATGCTGAGTTGGTTGCCAGATGCAGTGAGCGATGTTAACGCTGGGAAGCGAGATGTCACCTCGACGATCTATACAAATCGTTAGTTGCTAGGACAAGCATTTCATATGCCGGGGCTTGGCATACCTCGTCCCAGCTTAGCAAGGTCTCCTCGAGATGCAGCTCGGTGACGCCTTCAAAGATCAACCCATCTTCCAATGGTTGGAATCGGTTGCCACTATCATTTCAAATCAGCTCCATTCGTAGCCACAGTGATAAGAAAGGATATACTGGAATCATTTGAACTTACTTGACCTTCAACTTCTTCAGCTCCTTGAGCTGGTTACAAATATCCCAAACATGACGCCAACTACTCAACAAACTGCGACTGAGATCGAGTTCCTCAATCTTAGGGCAGGTTGTTGCAATTTCTTTGGCAGCCTCTTGAACTTCAGCTTCGGGTTGCTCATAGGAAGAGAGCACGCCAGCAATGCGTAATCCATCCAGCAAAACGATTCGTAGCTCCTGCAACTCCGCAAGTTGCTTGCGGATCTTATCGAAGCCAACCTCTTCGACGACCTTGCCGCTGATCTCAATAGCTTGTTGACTGGTCTGTCCAATCGGCTTGGAGGTCCAGACTAGCTCCGAGTCATTTTCAGATGCGTATTTGTTACGCAGCGCTTCTACGAAGCTGAGTGGTCCATATGTTGGCCTGGAGGGGCGGACGAATGACCCCGCCGTGAGATGGTTGCTCTTGCCTGGGGACTGCGTCAGTGTATCAATTTCAAGGATATTCAGAGATGGAAGGTATGTATACATGTGAAATAACGGACTCCCTTATGCTCTCCTGAATGCTTGCCTCTCGTGGGGTCGTCCCATTCAACACCGAACCAGTCACCCGTAGTACCCTCGACCCTTCCCACATAGCGAATGGTACCGGCCTGACCGTTGTAGATACGGCGCTGGCCTATCAGAGATTCACTCATCGCTTAGGCCGAATTTTGAATCGCCAGCTTTTGCTTGTCGTGGGAATATCTCCCACATCAACTTGTGTACTTCAGAAACCATCGACTCCCGCGGTGCTTACATAACCACCACCTATCTCCAGACGCCCACAGATTTGCCTTCTCCAACCTCTCCAGCGACAGCGACAAGATGGATTACCAGGTAAGTCTGCACTCTGTTTCCTGATATTAATACACAGCAATACCTTCTCGGAGTCCATTCTAACCTTTCCTAGAATCGAGCAGGCTCCAAATTCGGCGGTGGAGGCGTCGCCTCTCACTCCGCAACCAACGCCGACCGTCGCGAGCGCCTGCGCAAGCTCGCGCTGGAATCAATCGACCTCGACAAAGACCCCTACTTCTTCAAGAACCACGTCGGCAGCTTCGAGTGCCGTCTCTGTCTCACAGTCCACCAAAATGACGGCTCCTACCTGGCCCACACGCAGGGCAAAAAGCACCAAACGAACCTCGCCCGTCGCGCCGCCCGCGAACAGCGCGAAGGCAAAAACCAAGACCCCTCCTCGCTCCCCGGTGCAATGGGCGTGCAGGTCAAGAAGCAGACGATCAAGATCGGCCGCCCCGGTTACAAGATTACCAAGATTCGGGACCCCTTGACGCGCCAGATGGGTCTGCTTTTCCAGTTGCAGTTCCAAGAGATCACGCCCGGTGTGGTCCCGCGCGTGCGGTTCATGTCAGCGTTCGAACAGAAGATTGAAGATCCGGATAAGAACTTCCAGTATCTGGTTGTTGCGGCCGAGCCGTATCAGACTTGCAGTTTCAAGCTCCAGGCTAAGGAGATTGATCGCCGGGAAGGGAGGTATTGGAACTGGTTTGACGAGGATAGCAAGGAGTTCTGGGTGCAGATCATGTTCAAGACTGAGCGTGAGGAACGCTTCAGTGGTGTGCCCGGTCTTGCGCCTATGCGGACTTGAGACGTGATTTAGCCTTATGGGCACTCTGATATTTGGTTCTTAATCTTCGTTTGCGACAAAAGATTATGGCTCTGTCAACGTTAGGGTCGGAGCTACGGCGTTTGGGGCATGGGCTGTGTATATTTCTTTTCTTTACGAAACACAAGCGATGGCTTTTTACTCATAGAAATGAGACCTTGGTGTTTGTACACCACCACTCTATTCACTTCCTCCGAGCTATTCTCAATATGTATGCTTGTGTCTAGTTACAGCACCCAGCTATAAAGGGATGTGATAGCTCTCCAAGTAGATTGCCGAGTAGATGCAATGCAGTCGACTGTTTTAACACTAAATATGTGCTCTATACGTATGATGTCCAGTCATGATGATCTATATCCACACATGTCATAACAGAGGATCTTTTTTTTCTTTTGAAAACTATGAATATGCAAATCACAACCTGAGATGCAAGAAATATCCCCTCGGCTGGCATCTTTCCTCATATGATATGACGACATGAGGATGTGTATGACAACAAATGTAGCCCTAGCAGGGTTTTCGATATCAACAACTAAAACCAAAAGACGGCGCTCGGGGTCATGATTCGGAAAACATCGCGCTTGATATGCTGAATGAAGATTCGTGGCGAAGAAAGAAAAACATTCCAAAGCCCCAGCCGGGTCAGGGCGTCACTGAAAAGAATACGAGTGTGCAAGCCCCGCTGCTTCTCTCGGTCTTTCCCTGCAAACCACCCGCCGGCCGAGATTTCTCGAAGACTGACAGAGGGCATTTAACTACTTTGGAAAGCGTTAAAGGCCTTGTAAGTGTAGCCGATGAAGGGCAAGCTCATCTCAGCCTCCTGTGAATCTGGCATAGCCCGAGCCTGAGCACGATGAATGGCGCTAGTATCCTCCTGAGGAATCTCGTCAATCGGGAAGTACGACACGTCAATGTTCGAGCTGAGTCTGGGCTCGAAGGGTGCGCGAATGCTGCGCAGCTGGTCCCACACGACACCTCGGAAGAAGGGGTGGTTCTTGATTTGGGTCGCACCACCATGTTGACCACCCTCGCTACCGATACGGTGCTCAGGGTCACACAGGAAGCTAGAATTATGGTCAGCATTTAGATTTTCCCCGCTTCAAATATGGATGGGTCTTACCTTCGGATCAATGACTCAGACTCACGGGAGAGAACCAGCTCATCGGGGAAGTACAGACACTCGCGCCAGTTCACGATCTTGCGATAAGTGTCGGTGGTATCCTCGGCGCAGAAAGGAGGCCAGCCAACGAGACACTCGAACATGATGGCACCCACAGACCACCAATCGCACAGATAGGTGTAACCTTGACCATTGAAGATCTCGGGCGCAATGTAGTCGGGGGTTCCAACAGTCGAGTACGCCATAGCGCGGCGAGACTTTCGCCAAGTGTTGATCTGGCCACGGTTGGAGACAGTCAAGTTGATGGCATCGTTGAAGTAACCGGAGTTACGGTTCCGGTCCTTTGACGTGGAGTTCTTGAGGAGGTTCTGATAATAAGCGTTGTCGTGAGTCTTCTTGCCACCGGTTGAAAGACCGAAATCAGTGAGCTTGACATGGCCACCGCGGTCAAGAAGAATGTTGTCAGGTTTGATGTCACTGCCAAGATGTGTTAGCATTAGATTCACGCAAAAGGACCATAACAGAATTTGCGTGGAGAGAATGTCCACATACCGATGAAGGAAGCCGAGCTTGTGAACGGCCTCGATAGCCATAACCACCTCAGCCATGTAGAAACGAGTGATGTCCTCAGAGAAAATTTCGTACTTGATGAGCATAGTCATCAAATCACCACCAGGCAAGAACTCCATAAGCAAGTAAAGGTACGCCGCATCCTGGAATGAGGCGTGCAGCTTCACCAACCATGGGTTATCCTTCGAGTCTGCCAGAATATCACGCTCGGCACGAACATGTGCCAACTGGTCCTTCTTGAACATCTCCGATTTGATGAGAGACTTGAGGGCGTAGATCTTGCCATCCGTCTTGCGCTGCACCAATTTCACTTCACCGAATGCACCCTTGCCAATGATCTTAATGGTCTGGAAGTTCTGAGGGGTTTCCTTGGTACGGAGGAATCGAAGGAAATCCGATTCCCTCTTGGAGATGCCTTCGGCCTCTTGGCGCTTCTTGGTGGAAGGAATGCTCGGGTCTTGTAGAGTCTTGTCGAGGTCAACGGAGCTGATAGAAGAAAGAGACAATGTTAGACAAGAGCCGCTTTAAGGAAGACATGAACTCGGTCTGAGGAGTAAATGCTTACCGCATGTTGCGATCCCGGGCCCGTTCAATGTTCTCATGGAAGAAGACCGTCACCAACTCCTTTGCGGCCTTGCCGCGCTTGTGCACATTCTCCGAGTAGCGATCAGGGAATCGCTGCAGCTCCTCATTCTCCGCCGGCGGGCGAGGGCTGCGAGGCACTGGAGGGGCCAAGTGCGCGGCCTGCGCCTGGCCAGCGGGAGATCCTCCAGCAGTCCGAGGGCGAGAAGCGGGGGAGGCCGCCCGGTTGAAGAAGCCTCCACGGTTGGCGTTGAGGTCCTGGTTGGAGAACTGCTGGATGAGACCGTTCGTTCCATCGTTGGCGTAGCCTACGCGAGTCTGATAGGCGGGTTGGGGCGATTGCAGAGCCTGCTGCTGCGCGTACTGCTGTTGCTGCTGCTGGGCATACTGTGCCTGCGCGGGGTATGGGTTGGCCATGAAGTATCCGGGTGCGTAGGCAGGATTGGAGGGGTCGACATAGTCCTGGGCCCCCTGAGTCTGATAGATGGGCTGAGGGAACGCGGAGGGGGTAGTGGGATAGGCGCGGTTGTTGGCCGCGTTGTAGTTGCGGTCATTGTACCCGTAGTTCATGTTCATGCGGTTATTGTTGTTGTTGGAATCCATCTTGACGGTTAGCCCCTGCTCCCTGGTATGAGGGAGACCAAACGAAAGGAAGGGGGGAGGAGGAGGAGTTGGAAAGAGGAGTGGATGAGAAAGGAGAAGGCGGGGAGGTGGTTTGAAAGGAGCGGTGGCTCAGGAGGCAATCCACTTGCCCCGAAATGCCCCAATTCCCAGGGGCCTCGATCGGTTTCGGGTTATGTTTACTGGTATCAGAACCGACATTTGCTTATTGGCCTTCCGGTATATTACTTTTTTCCCTACGACTTTATAGGCATACTGTGCATGATATTTCTATGGACTATGGAGGGGTCGACCCTCCTCTATTTTTTCCCTTTGAGTGGGTGTCGTTTCAGATCTCAAAATCCTCCTACGATCTCGATTGATCCCAGAATATTGTACCCATCACGAGGCTCTCTTCATGCAAGAGATCGAGGAAGAGGGGGGCACAAGCACAATCAACTAAGTTGGAGGGGCACATTCCTGGCATGTTGTCAACAAGAATTTATGCGCACAGTCGCTTTAAGCACGAGGCCCCAGCTTCGGCCCCCAGTAGGGAACTAACTTGTATGTACAAAATGATGTCGAACTTTCTGAGCATTCGCCGTTTCTATTTGTGCTGAAGAGTAGCCTATCATGGAATGATGTAATTTGACCTCAAGTTGACTCTTCTAAATATATCGATATCTTGTCAGATCAATCCGATCACAAGCCGAGCTCCAGTACCGTATACTTCTCTGGCACGTGACGCGGATCATCCTGGCGCCGCTTGACTTTTTTCCGAACTCTCGCCGCAACAGTGGTGTTTGCTGCGTCTATCTCAACTCACAATGGCCGATTCTTCCAGTTCAGGCGCCGCTGCTGGTACCGCTGGTGCCAGCCAGCCAAAGGCGGCTCCAAAGCCACCTAACCCGGTATTCAAGATGATGGGTATGCCTCTCGAGCCTTCCTCTTCCGTGATCAATCCCGAATCCCCGAACTAATGCAATGCAATGTAATAGGTCTGCCGAATATTCGCTTCAAGCTGCCCTCTCGCAACTGGATGATCTTCTTCACTGTCACCGGTTCCTTCGCCGGTGCCATTATCTACGACCGTCGGGAGAAGCGCCGCTCACAACAGAAATGGTGCGACCTCGTGGCTCATATCGCAAACGAGCCGCTGGGCGTGGACCAGATGCGCCGCAAGTTGACCGTTTACTTGGCTGCGCCGCCGGGCGATGGTCTTCGCGTGGCGAGGGACCATTTCAAGGAGTACGTGAAGCCCATTCTGACCGCCGCGGCGTTGGATTACACCGTCATCGAAGGACGTCGCGAGGGCGATGTCCGTGCCAGCACTGCAGAGGGCATTCGCAAGTTGAGGCGGAAGGCTGGTGAGCAGAGCTCGGTTATTGAGGAGCCCAGCGTTGAGTCGGCTGTCTTGGACATGCGCGAGCGGATGGGTATCCGGGATGAGCCCGGTGCCAAGGGTGATCTGGTTATTGGACGGCATACATGGAAGGAATACGTTCGGGGCTTGCATGAGGGTTGGCTTGGACCATTGAGCCCTCCACCGCCTCCCGTTGCAGACGTCATTCCAGCTGAGCTGGTAGAGGAGACAATGCAGGACACCGCAGCCGGTGATCAGCCCTCCGATGCCGCACAAGCCAGCCCCGAGCAGAAGACTGAGCCCGAGGAAAAGAAGGAAGAGAAGCCCTCGAAGCCTGCCGGCCCCGCTGAGCCTTACATCCTCACTGCCGATTATCCCTCCGCCCACCTCCCCTCCTCGATCCCCCAGTCCCTCGACAGCTCCGTGCCCATTGAATTCCCCCACATCCTCGGCTTCTTCAACACCCCGATCCGCATGTACCGCTACCTTACCCAACGACACCTTGCCGAGAGCATTGGCAGCCAAGTCGCAGCCCTTGTCCTCGCCGCAGACGCCAGACCCTACCGCGACGAGTCCTTCAGCTCCGACTCCGAAGTAAGCGCAGCAAGCGCCGACTCAACCCCCTCCGGCACATACGAACAGCAAACCCTGCTCGAACACGAAGAGAAGGAGTGGCACAAATCCGTTCACAAGCGCGATGAGGAAAACAAAGATAAGGAACGTGAGTGGCTAGATGATATCGTGCTTGATCAGCGCATTGCCTCGCGCATGCAGCGTGCCACAATTTCGCCCGAAGACGAGGCTCGCTCTCAGCGCATCGCTTCGGAGGAGGAATACATTCTCGGTCAGGAACGGCCGCCTCCCGTTGCTTTCTGGCAGCGCATGTGGATCAAGTACGGCTACGGCGAGGACGAGGAGACTTTAAGGAAAAAGCCTATCCTTCCTATCGTTGATGACGAGGAATAGTGCGTACGCACCGCATTCTTTAATTGAGAGAATGTTCTATATCATAGAAGCGTTGTGGGTGTTTCTGATGCCTCGGGCGTGGGGCCTATCTTGTTTTTTTAATTTGCATAACCATCTCCCTCTTCGGCTTGTATATTAGTATTAGAGGCGCAATTTTCTTTTCAATGGGATGTACATGGAAAAATACAATATTAACTGTTTTGATCTCTTCCTTTACATGATTATGTAGGTATAGTTGGACAGAGTTCTTGTACTGCCTTTGATGGAGGCTACGAGGGAGAAGGGTAATGAACCGTACTTGTACAGTGGATGTGAATTGTTTTGTATATTTTTGAAGTTTTGAGGATGACCGCCGTCAACAGGTATAATCGACCAGAGCTTTCTCTATTTTCACCCTCCTCATCAAATCTCTCACAGACATCTCCATCTCCCCAGGAGGAGTAGCCAATAGGCCGCGCAATGCACCCGTGGCGTTGAGACCAGTAGCCCTTCAATTCCACTCGCCCGCGGGACAAGGTATCAACAAGTTGCTTTTTCAATCATTCCATATACCTAGTTCTGCTGGAACACAAAAGACTCCGGCCACTTCTTGTTTGCCTTCTGGACGTAGGCAGAGATCTCGCTGCCCCACTTGTTCAGCAAATCGATAGCAGCAGCGGCTTCTTCAATAGTGATCTTGGCCGAGTCGAGAGTGGCCAGAAGGTCAGCCTCACACTGGGCCTTCGAGTCGGGGTTTAGAAGGTGACGGCCAGAGAGGGCGGCGTGCACGTGAGCGATGCTTTCCTTGTTAGCGGCGAGGAAAGACTCGTTCCACTCATCGAGCTTCTGAGTCTTTGGAAGCATCTTCTCGAATTCGGCGTTGACGACGTCGCCAATTGGAGCGGGAAGGGGCTCGGAAAGGCCGTCAAGGTTCTTGCGGAATTGAAGGAGCTGGAGATGAAGGGTAGGGTTGGAGGGGTCGATGGCATATGCGGCCGACAGGCACTTGAGGGCCAGTAGGTGCTTGTCTGTCGTGGTTCAAAGTCAGTTGTCAGGCTCTCACATTCTCTCTGGGTATTACTCACTTCTCCTGACATAGACGTCGAAGCCAAGGCACTGAGCCTCAATCTTTTGTGGGTTGAGGGAGAGCAGCGGGGTCAAAAACTTCATCGCATCGTTCAGGGGGTCCTTAGTCTGGACCAGAGTGTTACCAAGAGGGTCGGTATCCTCCTTCTTGACCTCGCCATCGGAGCTCTTGGCGTTAGCAGCAGCCGCCTTTCGGGCTTCTCGCTTGTCGGCCTCGATCTTCTCCAGGCGCTGTTGCTCCTTCTTGGCCTTCTTCAGGGCCTTCTTGCGCTCAGCTTCATCCTGAACCTCGCCATTGGCCCCAAGGCCTGTCGGACCGTGAGCCAGATCCGGCTCGTCGTGGAGGAGCACGTAGGCCTTGACGGCAGAGACGGCCATCCTGGTGTAGAAGGGGTGCTCGCGCAGGCGGTCTTCCCAACGAACCATATCAACGTACGCACGAATCATACCCTTCCTAAGGGAGAAGCTGTGGAAGTCGAACTGGTCCTCTTGCCAGGTGTCGAAAATGTTGTAGACGCCGTGGAAGCGCTTAAGAGCGAGGGCCAACTTCTTCTGTCGCAGATATGCCTCACCATCCTCCGTCAAATACCATGTGCACTGCATCTCGTGTAGGTCACCCATCGCACCGCCAGTAGTCTCGTTGCGGGTGAACTTGCTCATGTTATCCAGAGCCTTGTCGTTCTGGTTGTTGCGGAGCTGGTACTTGGCAGCCTTGGAGTTGATGTACCGATCCTTCTCATCCAGCAAACGCGCCTTCTCCATCTCTTCCGCCGCCTTCACAGTGTTACCGTGGTGCTTCCAGATACGGGCCTTGGTCATCTGGTATTCCACAGCCTTGGGCGACATTTCGATAGCCTTATCCACATTGTCCATGGCCTTGGTGAGGTCACGGCTGAGGTGGTAGTTGTAATGCTGAGCAAGGAAATAGTAGGATGAAGCCAGGAACTCGTCCTTGCTCTCAGCTGATCCGTTCTGCTGCGAGGCCGACTTGCCAGAGACGTATCCTTCAACCAAGTCCTGGACTACGTCCCGCTTGGCAGGGTTTGTGTATAGGATCTTGATGTTCGCGAACAAAGAAGGAACACCCTTCTTGAGCATGCGCTGCAAATAAGCATCCACAGCCTGCTTGAAGTCCTCGCCCTCCAAGAAATCCAGAGGGATGCGGCGTGCCGCATCACCACGCGGGTTCTTCTCTACCCACTCATCGTACAATGACTTCAATGCCTTGTGGTCATCCTCCGAGATACCCTTGGCCTGGATCAAGCCATTGTAGTAGACCGAGTTCTCTGGGTTACGATCCAGGAGAGCCGTGTAAGCCTCCTCCGCTTCGGACTTACGGCCCAGTCGAAGAAGATAGTCCGCCTTCATCTCCATGACAGCAAGGACATCGGTACACCGATATCCAACCTTTTCAAGATGCTCGAGAGCTCTCTCCAAGTTCCCTGACTCGGCAATGATTGTGTTCTTGTACAAACAGGCCTCCGAGTGTTCCATATCCGAGACAGGTGGTGTGGTCTTCAGAGTATCCTCGTATGTCGTAAGAACCTTCTCGGCCTCCTCCAAATCGCCCGACAAATGGTGAGCGATCGCCAAAGCAGTCCAATTCTGGCGGAAGCCGGGGCGCGCCTGAAGCATCGCACTGCGGCTCTGGATGTATCCCTGGAAATCTCGCATTTGCATTTGAAGAAGGGCGAGATCGCGTTGGATAGGCTGGGACTCGGGCTCCAGTCGGAGAGCGAAGCGGTAGGCCTTGATCGCCTCCTCATAGTTCTTTTCCTGTCGGTATAACAATCCGTACACGTGCCAACAAATGTGCGACTTCATGTCATTGCGCAGAGCCTCCTTAGCCAGCACAAAGGCCTCCTCCAGCTGACCCAGATGGCTCATGATAAGAGCCTTCATCGCCTGCGTATCACCATGGTTGGGGTTCTTCCGAAGAACCTGGTCTGCCGTCTTAATGCCTGTCGCGATGGAAAACGTGGTTAGCTTACGGTGGGACCATTGACGGTGGGGGGCGAAGGGATTGCGGACCTTTCTTGTATTGCTTCTGCTCGAAGTTGCGAACCACTTGGCGGAACAAGGCATGGTCCTTGGAGCTCAATGGTTGCGGCATGGTGGGCGACGCTGCTTGGGGGAGAAAGGATTGACTTGTGCGAGGGAGGAATCGATGTGTGCGGGGAGCGGCTTCTCCGAGTCCGAACTTGGCAGAACGATTGGGCCGATAAGATACGAGTTTCCGTCGACGTCAACAGGTCTAACGCAGAATGGCAGAAGGAGATATGAATTTCCATATTGCTTCTTGATTTCTCCCCGGATTATGCTGGTATGTCCTGTTGTACCCCTAGGTATTCAATAAAACTAGCGAAAGAAGAGCGTGCAGTGTAACCAAGGGCTGTGGGATGTGTTGTACTTGCCTTAGGTTGGAAGTGCATATATATTGTACCAAGTACTTTCTACGCAAGTATTAAGCAACCTATTCTGATTCAATCGCTCAACAAAGTGTCGAGAGCGGGAGTATCCGAAAATCCAAAGATCTTAGTCATGTAACGAAACGCTTTATATATATATGCAGTAATGTACAGATTGTGGATTTTCACTTCCTCGGCCGGGGCGACGCAGGGAGGGTTAAGAGTCGAGAGAGTCAAATTAGCAATCAGTCCATGCATGCATGCGCATATGCCCGCATGTCTGTGCTATGGACTGTTTACCCTGAGAAAGCTCTCGCAGGAGGGAGACCCTTATCGCTGATGAGTCTGTCGCCAGGTATTCAGGGCTTCCTCCCATGAAGGAGAAGACCCGGCGCACCTCTCAGTCACTATTCCCCATGTTCGAGCCCGGATGATCTCCTCCACGGTACGCTGATTGCGAATCAAGTTTGCCAGTGATTCAGTCCGGGCTTCACGCGGGAAGAAGCGGGCCGAGTATGGATCCAGCCGTTCATTGACAACTCGCTCGCGATCTCGCGCGGACTCGGTCTCGCGCAGTATCAGATCCGGATCATCGGGGTCGGGACTGGTTGCAACTCCAGCGCAATAATTGAGGACATCTGATCGAGTCTGCCATGATGGGAACAGCACATTATCTTTGAAGCCTTGACACGCAGCGGGGCCAATCGCCTTTCGAGCCCTTGAATCGGTCTGTCGAACGGCAGTTGAGGATGGATCGAACCCCTCGCGGGAGGGAGTTACTAGCGCATTTAGGTTCTGTGTAATTGAGTCATCAATAGTAGAGCGGGAAAGGCGAAGGAAGTCTGCGCAGATCTGGGGTCAGCTCTAGTTGATCATCATGAAGATAGCACGGTGGATCGACGCACCTTGCAGAAGCCTCTCATCGAAGCAGAACTGAGGAGTCAGCACCGGGGCCTCCGTAGATGAAGGCTGTGACATCTTTTTGCTGGCTGTCTCCCCAGAGCCAGAATCCGTCTTGCTAGCCCAGAACCACTCCAGCTTGGGTGGAGACCTAGTCGAGTGGTGGGAACGGGTGATACACTTGGATGTAGAGGGAAAGGAACGTTGCGGCGCAATGAACTGATTATGCGCAAGATAGACCGTATATAAGGCAGTTGAAACTATGCACAAGTCTGACCAATTCAAGATATCAGCTTGGAAGGCGACTTTGGCCGGTTCGCCGCATGAGCGAATGTTCATCCCTATTCGGACTAGCGCTGATGGAGCTGAATAATGCCCATTAAGCTCGACCACGTGATCTCGTGTCGCGCGTCCAGGTTCTCGTGTCAAGCTGACGACCCTTGAGAGCCACAGCGACATACATCTCATCTTGATGGTTTATACTTTTTGTAAATTCATCAGATCATCCATCTCAAAGTCATTATGCCCGAGTTGGCAGAGGTTGCACGCATTGTGCATTTCATTCGACAGCACCTGGTTGGAAAGACGCTAGCCAAGGTACAGGCGCAGCATGATGATATCGTTTACGGCAAAGTTGGGACCAGCGCAGCCGAATTTCAAAAGGCAATGCAAGGAAAGAAAATTGTTGGTGCTGGCCAACAAGGAAAATACTTCTGGATTACAATGTCTTCACCGCCACATGCTGTGATGCATTTTGGAATGGCTGGCTGGCTGAAGATCAAGGATGAAGACACATATTACTACCGATCAGACAAGCCTGCTGACAAAGAGTGGCCGCCAAAGTATGCGAAGTTCATACTGGAGACAAAGGAGGATCCAAAGACGGAGGCTGCATTTGTGGACGCCCGCAGGCTGAGTCGTATTCGCCTGGTGGACTGCCCTGGCGATCAGATTCGCAAATACACACCTCTCAAGGAAAATGGACCGGATCCTGTCGCGGACAAGGATATTGTGAACGAAGCATGGCTGATGGAGAAGTTGAAGAGCAAAAGGGTTCCCATCAAGGCTCTTCTGCTTGACCAAGTAAACATCAGTGGAATTGGAAATTGGATGGGGTAAGGTCTTTCTCCTCGAATTCGCGTGAGCCGATTACTTATTTTCCTGATTTTAGTGATGAGATTCTATACCATGCCAAAATTCACCCCGAGCAGTACAGCAACACCTTGAACGATGACCAAATCAAGGAGCTCCACAAGTCACTCCATTATGTCTGTTCCACGGCTCTGGATGTCCTAGCAGACTCGGAGAAGTTCCCTGAACACTGGCTCTTCAAGCACCGATGGGGCAAGGGAAAGAAGAATCATCCCACTACTCTTCCCAACGGGGACAAAATTACCTTCCTTACTGTCGGAGGCAGAACGAGCGCCGTTGTACCGGCAGTCCAGAAGAAAACTGGTGCTGTGGCGAAAGAGGTCGATGAAGATGATACCTCTGCAAACTCGAAGCGAAAGCGGACTGTGAAAGAGGAGGATGGCTCTGATGTCGAAGAAAAGCCCAAACTAAAAGCCGCCGAATCAAAGAAGAAGAGAAAATCGACTGTCAAGAAGGAGGAGGATAATGAAGAAGAAAAAGAAGTGAAGCCACCAGTTGAGGCTCCCATTGGAAGACGTCGCTCTACGCGATCAAGAAAATAAGGGAATCAACTTGGCCACTGTAGTGGGGTTACGAGTTTGCGCTCCAACTACACGGATATTGGCGAGCGTCGAGGACAAGTGAAAACAATGTATTTAATGTGTAAGAAAGAAGCATAGGTTAATATTGCAATCTAATTGCGGGGCCGATGAACCTGGAAAACGGAAAGCGGATGATTGTCTGAGTCACTTTAAAGGAACTTTGATCATAAACGAAGCATACTTGTTAAATTGAAATGAATAGAGATAGGCCCAAGAGGGCAGTTCTCTCGTCGAGATCTTAAGCACTATAAAAAAGACTTGGCTCACAAAAAATGAGGAGAACGAATATATCAAACCATAGACACGTAAGAAGACCTGGCTACAAGACAACCCAGAACGGGGTACGCTATAGAGACTCGGCTCACATTTCGAGGTCGTGTAGAGTCTTTTTGAAAGTAGAAAAATTGGCACCGTCTTTCTTATCAAGCACTGCAAACACGATGATCTCAAACTATCCTTTGAACTCCTCCTCAACAAGGACCTTGGCCCAACAATCTGCAACTTCACCGGGGGGATGACAGAAGACTCCACACCCCAAGGCTCCGAGCACAAGTTTGGTATGATAGTTTCCACCTGCAACACGAAGAATACAGCGCATCTTTTCTTCCATAAGAGTGCGCTCACTTTCATTCTTGTACTTGGTCTGGGTAGAATCCAGAGCTGGACCATGCGTTGCTGCCACGCTGATAACGGACAACGCTGGGAGCAGTGCTGGCTTGTCCAACCACATCCACGAGAAGCCTTTCTCCTCATTCTCACGCATGAGCGCGACGTTGTTGACGTAGATACCCTCATCGGATTTCATGGGGTAGAATTCACGTGGGAGGCCAAAATAACCCAGAGTAGTCCGGAAGCAAATCTGTTCTTCCTGGGCGCTGTCACCATCCAGCCATCCTCCCCCAGGATGGTAAGCATTTGCAAAGTTGAGCACGAGAACACGCTGCCTTTTTTTGAACCCCATGATATCAGATGCAGTGTCGATGGCAAGCGCGGCATCTAGCGTATCCTTATCGATGACCTTGACCTGGGTAGTGGAGAACTTCGGACAGATGGGACGTTTGCGTTTCCCGTCGTCAAGTCGTCTGGTTTTCGTGTGAGTAAATTTGTCATAGAACCCAAAGCGGGATTCGTGACTATCCACAATTTCTTTGGCCTTTTTGAGAGTATCCTTGGCGGCTTGTACCCGAATTTTAGCCTTCTGAGAAGGGGACAAGGTGGGAAGGGGATTGCTTGGTTCAGGATATCTCCATTTTTTGGTTGTAGGCTTTTGTTCCGATGGCTGCTCCTCGTCGAGTGGTCTTTTCCGAGACGCAGGCATGGTTGAATGATCAATATAGGGTAGTAGAGGAAGAATAACAGGTGGGATTCCGGTTTTAACTTCCGGCGATGAGATCTTTGACTGACTTTTGTTCTCAGTGTCTTCCTTCGAGTCCACGGGAAGCGGATCGCCATCTTTTTGAGTCGACATTTTGGCTGGAAGCAGAGGTCTTTGTTCGAGTCAAGGCTAGAGGTAATTTGTTTAGCTCCTAAATAGAGTTTAGCAGATGAGTGACCCAAGATTTTAGATGAAGTTGGCCAAGAGAGCGAGTGAAAGACAAAGAGGGATGAAAGACAAAGAGTGTACCTAATGTAGTAGTTCGCAGGCAGCCAATGAGAATGCTCAGGTAACGCCCGCAGGCGGTGAGCCCAAAGAAGCTTATCGGTGCAGCAAAAGGGCCGATGTCGCCACCCCCGATGACAAAGCCCGGAACGCTCGTTGGTTCTCTTGCTTTGAACTATTTCAAGTGCTTGACCGGGGACCCTTTATATTTCTTTATAGGAATCCCTGCGCCTGCGATTTCGGTGGCGCCTTCTCTTTCACAGAATACAAAGAAACGCTCTCACCTCCCACCTTTCACCACGAAAGACCCTTGGTTTCTCCCTTCGAAGTGGGGTTATTCTGCCCGCAGCGGCATCCGCCACCATGAGCGCGATCCTGTCGGCTGACGACTTGAACGATTTCATTTCGCCTGGGGTCGCGTGCATCAAGCCCGTCGAGTCACTGCCCCAGAAGAGTACAAAGGACACCGAGGTTGGTGGTGTTTCGTCCTTTTTGTCGGATCTGCATGGCCCCTCATTTGCTAACTCTCAATCTCAGAACCCTTACGAAGTAACGACAGAAGACAAAGTACAGCCTGAAAACCTACCTCCGGCCCAGATTTCTTTGACAGACTGCCTGGCCTGTTCCGGTTGTGTCACCTCGGCGGAAGCGGTTCTGATCTCTTTGCAGTCTCATGCAGAGGTCCTAAACACTCTCGATGCCTATCCAGAAATCCCATTGCCACAAGAGCAGGGGGCCACGCTCGCAGATACTGGGAACTTGGGGGATGGCAAGATATTCGTTGCCAGTGTGAGCCCGCAGGTTAGAGCTGGCTTGGCCGCCACGTACGGGTTGTCGGAGAAGGAAGCGGGGTACATGATTGATCATCTCCTACGGGGCCCGCAGGGACTACGCAGCGGTGGAAAGCATGGCAGTGGCTTTACATGGGTTGTGGACACGAACGTTATGCGAGAGGCCGTCTTGGTCCTTACTGCCGATGAAGTTTCAAATTCAATCGCCGAGAAGGCCCCCGCCGCCGACGAGTCGGAGCCTGCCCTTCCTAAACGACCCATCTTGTCATCTGCTTGCCCGGGTTGGATTTGTTACGCGGAAAAGACCCATCCCTTCGTCCTGCCTCATTTGTCCCGATTGAAGTCTCCCCAGGCTCTTTCAGGCACCTTCCTCAAGACTGTTTTGAGCAAGTCACTTGGGGTCCCACCGTCTCGCATCTGGCATCTAGCGGTCATGCCATGTTTCGACAAGAAACTAGAGGCCAGCCGCGAAGAATTAACTGACGTGTCTTGGCAGCCCACTGGTGTCCATAACGAGTCTGAACCACATCAGCCTATTCGAGATGTGGATTGCGTGATAACGACTCGCGAGCTTCTCTCTTTGGCTGCATCTCGGGGTCTTTCTTTGCCCAATCTACCTCTCCAACCACTATCTCACATTCACACTCCCCCATTGCCAGTGAAAGCTTTGGATTCTTTTATTTCATCCAAACGCTATACTGGTGAGCAGTCCCTCGAAACAGGCACCTCTGGAGGCTACCTTTACCATGTTCTCAAGACCTTCCAAGCTCGAAACCCTGGTAGCGATATTGTGACGAACCGGGGCCGTAATGCGGATGTTGTCGAGTACATTCTCACCTCGCAGGATGGGCAGCCGATTCTGAAAGCGGCTCGTTACTATGGCTTCCGGAACATTCAAAATTTGGTCCGGAAGCTGAAACCCACCCGATCATCTCGGATGCCTGGAGCAAAGCCCATGGCAGCGGGACGCCGTCAGCCCATGTCCCGAAATGCTACATCTGGAGGGTCGGGCTCGGATTACGCATATGTCGAGGTGATGGCTTGCCCTGGTGGCTGCACGAATGGCGGCGGGCAGATTCGGGTAGAGGATGCCAGAGATGCTGCTGGATCTTCAGAGGCCGGAACATTGGAAGATGGTACGGCGTCCAAGCCATCTCCACATGAGCAGCGAGCGTGGCTTGCCCGGGTTGATGAGGCATACTTCTCTATGGAATCCGATACGGAGTCTGAGCAAGACCAAAAGCCCACTCAGCTCTCGATAAGCGAGAAAGAGGCCCTTATTCATAAGGACTTGCGCTCCTGGTCAAACTTTATGGGTATACCCCTTTCGAAGCTGGTATATACGACTTATCGCAAAGTGGAGAGCGACGTCGGTAAAGATCAGACCTCCGCCAACGACACCACTAAAGTGGTCGAGCTTGCTGGTAAGATCGGTGGTGGGTGGTAAATATATTTTTCAGCATTTCATTACTTCTCTTTTACATTGGGTGCATGGCGTCGGTACTTTGATTGCTCATGACTGCATATGAGATATACCAGGCTTTTCTTCATGGTTTGCGGAGTTATGGCAAGATTTTGTCGAACCTGGCATTTTCAGTTACATAGAATATCAGCAAAATTTTCATCCTCGAAGCAGTAGTTCTACACGAGAAGGCTATATAGGAGCCTACCTCGGAACCGGGCGTAGCTACTATGGATTAACATAGCTACGTATAGGCTATAGTCTAAGACCTTTATTTTTATGTTACGATAATTAATGTGTATGCGGCGTATAAGAAACGGTCACCCACGTACTAGTGGAGTATCTAGAATTTGGAAGGGATATTCGGAGGAAGCTACGGAGCGATGTGGGAGACGCGTTTCGTAGCGTCTCAAGTCTGCTAGGAGGCTCAACCGAAGGTGAGAGAGGTAAACCTACCAGACACCGTCTTGTGAGCCAAGACGATCATGGCCGTGCTAGACTCAGGTATTCGCTGAGGCGTCGTGACGGTTTTAGAGTCGCGCGCCATCCGAGGGCAGCCTAACAGTGGGAACGGCAATTAGGCCACGGTAGGCCTTGACGACCTCAGGCTCTACCTAAGTTTGCTGTCAAAGTGGAATACCCTGTATGTACGTACGCGGATAAGGTATATATAGTTGTTGTAGCCTGCATATCGCTTTTCATTGTGAGGGGTCAGGGTAAATGACATCCATCCATCCATCCATCCTGTATGCAGCATGCGAATCTCGTATATATCATGAGAATAACCTTAACGGCTCCAAGATCTTGCTCGAGAGGTCTAGGTATGAGTAAAGTAGCTCCTGGGGCGAGTGGTTGCATTCCTAGATTGGGTTCAGTCCTCAAGATCATCTCATCTGCTTGTGCTTTCATTGGCGGGTTACAGAGAATGCGCTTCATGTCAATGCATGGAAACTTGCCTGCCCACATTCGATGTTGTTCCTACACCCAGCTCCGGCATTTAAGCAGGATATGCCGTACCGTCTACAGATACCAGTAGCTGGTTGGTAGCGCGATGGACAGTCCCTACTTATAGTCGGATGAAGCCTTCTTCAAATTGGCTAGGAACATACGGTAGTTCTGGTAATCTTCTGCGCGCCCATTATGGTCACAAGCGACAAGATACTCCTAGTCAATATCCACTCCTGTGAAGCCAATATTGCTTATGAAGTTGATCAAAGACTTAGAGGAAACATTTTGCTTCGAAACATCTGCATAAAGTCTCAAATTATATCCTTAAACTCTCCTAGAATGAACATCTTCGTGCTAAACCGATAGCCCTCACACTCACTCCAAATTTCTGCTCCCAGACCCTCTCCTCCTTTTGCACCCGAACCAAAAACACCGCTGGCATCAAACCCCCTCCATAGACTATCATCACATTCTCAAATTCATTTGGCAGAGCGGGTGACAGCCAACAACTAACTAGCCCTTCCGCTCAGAAAAAGAGCATGAGACACCTTCACACGTATACAGTCCTCGGCAGTAGTGCCGCAGGAGGAGTTTCGAAGTCTTAAGCCATCAATGGCCACGTGTTGATCCTCTCACGACCTCCGCTTTTCTAAGATACTGGATCCATGTTATAGCATGAACTCAGAACATTCACAATATCATCTTGCTCCACTTCATAGATCAGATCATTGTCAGAAACCACCCATGCACTCTGGAAAACCGGTCCGCCAGCATCATTGACATCGAGACAGCTCAGCTCAGAGTTCATGTTCATGATATAGTCCCCATAGACATCAGCAACCCAATCATCCCAGCTATTGATGGATAAATCAGTATGAATTTCAACGAGGGTGTACAGATCTGATCGCCCGTTACAGTCAAGGGAAGGATAACCGAGGGCAATTCTCGGAGGCAAAACTTACGAGGTTTGATCATCTTCGACCCAGTAGATGCTAGCAATAAGGTTATTCTCCTTTGCGAAGCCTGTCATCAGGTAGACATCGTCCGTTGTAACTCTCTTTTCAAGGCTCGGGCTGGCAGATTTGACGTTGGTGGTCGTCTGTTCAAGGCGAAGGGCCCGCACGGAGCCACTCTGCCAGAATGATGCTTTATGGGCGACATTACGTGCGGTGACATTGGCAAAGTGCGTCCACTGAGTTTGCGGAGTGTTTTCTTTCAGCATGCAGTAAACGTCACAGCTTTCTGTGCCGAGATAGTCCTCATGGAGTTGCCAGAAAGCCTTTCCAGTGCTTCCGTATGAGGATTGAACAACGTTCCGTTTCAAAGCTTCTCCAACGTATTTGCTTCCAGAGAGCTTCAGTAAACTAAAGATCGTGACAATCCCAGCAGCTGCCAGTGATACTATACAGGCTGCACTAGCTGTGGCAACAGCAGCGACAACACACGTTGCCCCTGCCAAAGTGTACGATGATATGACATAAAAAAATGACGTTGCGTCGCTATTTTGGTCTATCTGCCGGAGCAAGTTGAGATAGTATAGGATAGCAATCGATATAGGCGAATGGGATCAAGGATCGGATCAAACGGAACCAATCCTGGATGCAAACGTTGATTAATTGAAAAAAAGAACGAATGTCGCGGGGCAGGTTGAAATACCCTATAGATAGCTAAGGTACATGGTGTTACGATATCCGTAATGCTAAGGATACCAAAATACAATACAAAACTAGGGAAAGTGGGTCACTCCCTGTCTACAGGGTAAGTTACCGCTCCGTGTCTCGACACTTTCTTACTATAGTCAGTAGCTATCAAGGTAAGCCCTAGCCACACTTATCCCTCATTCTGAATTTCAACAACTTGCATATTCGAGTTCCAATTATCGGCTCATAAAAATAGGCACTACCTAGACGCTACTTACGCTCAAGTTGATGGTAAAGGCATACTATTAAACCCAGTGGGGGCCACCCATGTTGCGGCGGACCAGCTTGAGCGCCGTGTCTGCCGCGTAGAAGAGATAATTGAGCTCTGCGTGGACAGAGAAGCGGTCCATTGGACCCACCTACCTTTACCTGTTAGGATTCCATCACCTCTTCATTGCCGTCCAGCGTGATGATGGCCGCTCCAACATAGTCTTCGCGTCCGGACGCGTGCGAGTAGACAAGAACATCGGACGTGTCCCTTGTGGAATCCGCCCTTTTCTCTCTCTCTTTTTCTCAGTTATGTTCAAGCTCGATTTCCGCGAAAGCGTTCGTTTATCACGGTGGCGGTGGGCGAGGGTCGATTGTTTCTAGTTCGTTGAGCCTATTGCCGTCCATGGTCTTCTATTTCTTCGACAGAACCTTTACATGGAGATTGAGAGAAACAGACAGAGGAATGTGAGCCGAGGTAGTTGAATGAAATAGTGAGGCCGCAAAATTCTGTGACTATTTGCATTCACCGTTCCCATCCCGGCCTTCCTAAAATAGGCGAGGGCGCCTTGTCGCGCTGTCGAGTCGGGGTTCGCATGGTGCTTTTAGGCGCACCAGAATAATCGCAGAGAATGGCGGCGATGAAGGGTGGTCAGACTCTTGTCGTGTGTAACGTGCGGTTTGGCTGGCTTCATAGCACACGCAGAGACTTGTCAGGACCAGAAAGCCAGCCCGTAGCCGGAGCTATGATAGCATATATGGGAAATGAATGATGCTACTTTGCATTGGGTATGCATTCAGCGCAGTATTGTGCTAGGGGATCGCCTCTTACCAAGTTGCAATTACCCAGTTTGGAAATGGGAAAGTTGTCTTGTCTTCTTATTCCTCCCCTCTTTTAATGAAAGAGAAAGTGTTGAATCAAAACAATGCTCCAATGGCCAATGCCACATGGGTGGGCCACAAGGTGTAAGTAATGTACACTTGCGCCGGCGTATACGGCTTTGTCAAAAGCAGGTAGGCCAAGGAGATATTTCCTGCAACAAGCCCAAAGATGAATGATTTGTTTCTCTTATGAATTGAAAATTCAGCGAGGTTTTGGCCCCATGCTGCCAGTCCCACACCCCAAATGGAGAATAAAACGAAAGAACCAAGACCGTGTAACATCGCCGAGTCAAGTTTCTCCGCAGGCGACGCCGGCGGATTCAGAGGCGGCCTGAGCAAGATATGAGTAAGAAGAGCAACGAGGCACATAATGCCAAGACTGATAATGGCATAGCTGCGGGCCTCGATTTGTTTGGAGGAAAGTGCTGCCTTTCTTGCTTCTTTCATCTTGGATGGATGAAGCGATAGGTAGACCACCAGGTTGGAGCAGTACGCGAGAGAAAAACCAAATTTTTGTTGAAATACTTAGGAAGGAAGGTCCGTGATTTTGGACTCCAGAATAGTGACCTCTAAATTACTTACAGTAACGCCCCAAAAGTCTGTGACCTTCCTAGTTGACCGCCCGGATCCACCGCCTTCCTAATATCTCCTGCATACGCACGTACCTTAAGGTTCTGTCCTGGTCGGGATAGCAGAGCTGACTCATCCACGGTTTTTCTTGGTGTCTTAACTAATCCTTAGGCCAAAATATCATTAAGTGCTTAGATAATCACCTAAAATCCCGCGGCGAAAGAAAAAGAATCTCGCCGACCTCGACTATCATCATCACCCTCCATCGCTTCCCTCCTGACGCTTGCTGTCCGCGCAACAAAGAAAACGCTCTTACCGCAACCTCCAACCTACCCAACACTCAAAATGTCTCGCGAAGCTTACCAGGTTCCCTCCATGGGCGGCCAGAACGCCTTTGCCGAGGGCGGCAGCGGTATGGCTGTCGACAGCCCCGCGGTCGTCTACATTTGCGGTCACTGCGCGTCGCGCGTGTCTCTCCGTCGCAGTGAGCACATTCGCTGCAAGGAGTGCGGCCACCGTGTGCTGTACAAGGAGCGGACTAAGCGGTGAGTCCCCGATCAGCCTTCTTCTGGCGCATCCTCTTTATCTCAGAGTACTTGGACTGACTCGATATCTTTTTTTCATCAATAGCATGGTCCAGTTCGAGGCCCGTTAAATATGCGCCGAACCGGCAGGATAATCGTTGTGGACTTTGCGAGGTCCAGACGTTGTGGAGTTTGAAGGAAACGGGGGCCCGCGTTATTCTATGATTCCTCTTTTTTTTACTCGATTTTTTGGCACGATGCATCGAATGGCGCTTTGGAGTTGCAAATACACAACTAGTTTTCATGAAATACATGAGACTTATGGCCCGTGGCTGGATTCGTCTAGTTACGGCGAATAAAATATGATCTGGGGATATTGTCCCAATTGAGCTTTCTTACATTCGTTCCAATTAATTCAGACAGATTCAAGCCGAAACCCTTGTGTGAATCCTGGATCACCTGGACGACAAAATAAATACCGTTCAAACTCGACCTCGAGATTTCCAGAAAGATGATACACATGATAATAAACACAAAAATCATGACATCAACATTCTATCCTTCCAAAGTTGGCTCTTTCCCGCCAAGCTTACTCCAGCTGATTTGTGACTTCAATGAATTGCTCCAGATTCTTGAGAGCCTCGCCACTTTCAATCGCCCAGCGTGCGCGGCGCAATCCCTCCTTCCAGCGGCCACCGCCGGGCCCACGCTCGGTGATGACCTTGCCATCATCGCCAGAACCCATGTTGGAGGTCTCAGCCTCGCAAACACCGGCGGTGACGAGAAGAGCGGCAACGTTCATGAGCACAAACTCTAGAATGGGATCGTCCCGAGGAAGCTCGTTGTGGAGGATGCTCATCAGCTTAGCTGCGTTGTCCTTGGGCATCTTGCGACCATAAACCTCGGTGAGAGGGTGAACGGGGAGACCAAAGTCTGAAGGGTGAAGCTGGAATGTGTCGACCTTGACTAGCGTCTTGGGGTTCTCCTCTTCATCGTCACTCGAGTCGTCCTCGGCACCTTCGGATGGTTTATACGCCGGGTTGGGGTACTCTGAAAGCCTCCAGCAGTTGGTTGGGCCTGCGCAACTGATCTCATCCATATCCTCCTCGCCGCAAACCACCAGTGCCTTCTTGGCACCGGCCTGTTTGAGAGCATCGACAAAGACCGGACCCAGGCTCTGGTATGCCACGCCGACGACTCGTGCCTCGATAGCCCAGTCGATGGGGTTGGCTAGGGGTCCCATCAGGTTGAAGATTGTCCTCAGACCCAGACCACGTCGGACGGGGTTGGCGTACATCATACCGGGGTGGAAGTTGGGCGCAAAGAGGAAGGCATAGTTGGTCTTCTCGTAGACCTTCGCCACGTTGGTCGCGTTGACTGCGGAGATCTTGGGAGGGATGGGCTGGATGGCATTCAAGACGTCGGCGGACCCTGAGAAAGAGGTCTGGGCACGGTTGCCATGCTTGGCTGTCATCAAAAGCGGCGAGGCAATAATGGAGGAGGTAGTGGAGACGTTGAAGGTTGAGTGAGAATCTCCGCCGGTTCCGACGATATCGCACTTTAGTAAAAAAAAGGTTGTTAGTTACACCATAGCATCAGAGATTGATGATCTCTTACCAGGCCACCGTGGTAGTTTCCTTCGCGCCTTCCACGAGCTTTGACAACCTTCTTCAACTCGGGTTTCTCAATCTGGCAAGCTGCCTCTCGCATGCGATGGGAGCATTTGGCAATGACATCAGCCTGTCTGTCCTTCCCCGTGGAGTGTAGTAGGGTAAGGAGGGCCGCGGTCTGAATGTCCGACAATCGATCCTCAAAGATCAGCGCAAATGCAGACGCAATGTCTTCTGCGCTGACTCGAATCTCGGCGGTAGCGGGGTAGGCCAGACGTTGGAGAAGAGGTGAGATGGAGACCACCTCCGGCTTCTCGTACTTTGGAGACGACATCTGAATGAAAACTCAATCGAAATTGAGGACTTCCCCGAGCTTTAAAAGGTCAATGGGAGTTCAAACTTGTCAAAGGAATGGTACAGTCATGAGTCAAACCCCTCATGGCGCTGATCCATGTCCGGCAGAATTATAGACCGCCTGTTATTGCGCTATCCCCATTTTGGAATCAAAAATTATCACCCGTTGGAACTGCCCTTCCGTCCCCCGGAGGTTCTCTCGATCCACTTCAACCTCGAACAATTGGTGTCATTGCACGCCTATCACATATCATCTACCATGCCTCCACGGGTACGCATCACGTCGCTTCGCCGACAGGCCTTGCGATGCCCGCAAGAACTCCGAATCGCGTCTCGGAGCGCCAGCACCGCTGCGGCTTCAGCAACTACACCAGCTGCACCCATCGAGCAATTGACACGCTCAAAAGCTCCAATCTCAAAGACTCCCCCGTCCAGCTTCCCTCGCACCGCAATCCTGAATACCGCCGGTCACAACTCCTGCGGCAATATACCTCCCTCATCCGCACATCTCCTCTGATGGTCATCTTTCAACACAACAACCTGAAGTCCATGGAATGGGCCTCGATCCGACGAGAGCTCACCAAGGCCCTGCAGAAGGTGGACGAGAAGATTGCCTCTGAGGGCCGGACAGCTCCGGAATTGGCTCCTTATATCAAGCTGCAGACTATCCAGACCAGCATCTTCGAGGTCGCGATCCGTATCGTCGAGTACTTCCGGCCCAACGAGGCCGCCCAGGCTGCCGGACAGCCTCCTAGTGCTGTCAACCCCATCACACAAACCTCCGCTGAGTTGCCGGCCACCTCCGGCTCCAAAGACGACCCTGCCTTGACCCACGACCTGTCTCGCGCTGCTCACGCTGCTGTGAAGCACCTGAAGGGCCGCCACGAGCTCGCCGACATTCTCGTTGGTCCCATCGCGATCCTCTCCATCCCTGCCGTCTCTCCCGAACACATGAAGGCCGCTTTGTCGATCTTGACGCCGAAGGAATCTGGATTCGCCGCGCCCACTCGCAAGGGCAACCCCGATTACCACGACCCCGTCGTCCAGACCGGTCTGCAGAAGATCAACCTTCTCGCTGCCCGTGTCGATGGCAAGGTCTTTGATGTCGCTGAGACCAAGTGGGTCGGCAGCATCGAGGGTGGCATGGACGGTCTGCGTGCTCAGCTCATCATGGCCCTCCAGAGCATGGGATCCAGCGTCACCAGCACCTTGGAGGGTGCCGGTAAGAGCTTGTATCTTACTCTGGAGAGCCGGAGAAACGTTTTGGAGGAGGAGCAGAAGCCTGCTGAGGAGAAGAGCGAGTCGTCTTAGGTTGGCTAAAGCCATACCCAATCATTTTTGTATAATAGGTCATACTGTTGGTTTTTGCATCCTAGAGGATCTTAGGTTTTTGCTGTTCTTTTTATCTAGGATGAATGTATACTGCACAGCCAATACATCTTGGTGAAATTGTTTCTTCCCAACCAGGGGACCTGGATATCATTGTGCGAATATCTAACAATAGTAGAGAAGGTGGTGGAATTCTCTGTCAAAGCCACCTCCCCTAGTTCTCTCTCAAGCGCAGCTTAGCGTTCATGCCGACAATGCAGCGCACAAGGTCCCAATCTCCATCCAGACCAACCCAGTCCGTCACTAGGATACCAGTTGAGCAATCCCCGTCCCCATCGGTCTGACGACGACAAATATAATCAACAGTGGCGGGATTCACCTTAGCCGCAATCTTCTCAGGCCAGGTATTAGTCTTCCAGAAGTTACTCGCACTGAGGAAATTGATATAGAAAGGAAACTGGCGAGCCTCCACTGGACCGGGCAGCACACCGAACGGATAGCGGCATTTACTGGCCCGATCAATCTGTTCCTTGACAAACTCGATCTTCTTCTCGATGTTGGTGGTCTCCTGAACCTCGTAGAAGTCCTGAATACAGAGATGGCCACTGGGACAGGTCGCGTTGGGAGTATTATCTGCCCACGCGGCGGCATCAATGCCCCATCCATTGCCGCCATGCTCTCCCTTGAGCTCATCGGGCAGATTGAAACGACGAACGAGAACCACCTTACCCCGGGCCTCGCCCAGAGTTGGGATCTTGGGCCGCACCCACCAGCGGCTGTCGGGGCGAGCGTAGTGGCGGGAAAGAATGTTGGCGAGCTGCTCATCCTTCGCGTTTCCAGGACCCTCGCGCTTGAGGGAGATGATTAGCGTCTCGGAGGGGTTCTGCTCCAGGAATTCGTTGACTTCCCTCATCAAGTCGCGGAAGTACTTGTTGCCGGTTAGCGAGATGGGGAAGACGCTGTGGACGAGGACTAGTTCATCCTTGGCAGGGTCGTCGGGGTACTGTGGCTGAACGCGGATGTCGAAGAAGCGCACGCCGTTCTTCAGCTGCTCCCGTGGGCTGACGGCCTGGCAGCGCACCGAGGGTGGCGCGACGTGGCAGGTGGGCGAGTTGTGGGTGCCAGGGATGGAGAGTGCGGAGAGTAGAGTATCGTCGCGCAGTTCGCCCATCCATGCGTTTAGCTTGGCAGACGAGAAGATGGCCAGGTGCGACTCGGGTGTCACGTAGACGCCCGTGAAGCGGTGCCTGGTGTTCTCGGACTCGGCGTTCATGGTGGCTGACTCTGTAGTTGGGACGGGCGTTTGTATGGAGTGACGCTCGCCATCGACCTCGAAAGTCAGACGCATGCGCTCTTTATCAGAGTGGATGAATGCCTTTCGGTCGGTTCTGTTGGTCGCGAAGGGCTCGACACGGATATCGACATCCTTGTGCTCCTCGAAGGGACGAGTGTCGATATGAATGGCCTTGACAGGCTCCGTCGTGCGAGTAGTGTTGGTGAGCACACGGGTGAAGTTCTTTGCCAGCGTAGCGATGTCATCGCCTCTGCTCTCCCTGGGAGCCTCGAAGCGCTCAATGCGCTTGAGGATGATGGGAGTGCTGGTGTTATTACGGATCGTGAGATGTTCGGCGACCATGGTGGATGGCGAGGGGAGAACTCAATGCTCCTGAATTGATGGAAGCGCGCAAAGTCAATCGGATCCCAATTGAAATTGTGAAGCTCAAAAAGGACGACAGGGCTGCAAGCTGAGCACAAAGGGATGACCCCTCCATCGGCGATCTGCGGGCGATCGCGCGTCGTGGAGCTTCTCTCTTGGCAGTCGAAGCTGATTCGAAGCTCACCTGAATCGCTGACGCCCAGTGTCCAAGTTCCCCATCGTCCCGTGCCAGGCACCAGCCATCTTGATTCGTAGGGCACTGGAGAGTTGTGATTCCATTCTTATCTCTACCGAGTGATGGACATATGCTGTGCAGTGCATGCCGATCTTGAAGGGTGCAGGGCAATTCCACTTTGGAGGGGCTCACTATGTGGAGGCGGGGTATTCCCACTCTGCCGTTATGAGAATGTATACTTCCCAGTAAATCCACTATCCTCGGTCCTGTACTCGATTCTATGCAGTGATAGTCCAAAACTCCCAGGCTAGAGATTTGAGAAAATACTCGGTTGGATCTTCCTCAGCTTCAGCTCTTTTGGAAGATCTTTCTGGTCGTTTTTCGAATTATCTTTCCTGATGGCTCAGAACCACCAACTGTTACTCGAAGAATCTTTCAAGGTGTATCCGAGACTATTATCCACCAATCTCTCCAGGTGGTAGACTTTATTGATTAGAGATATACACTATCTCCTACCTCATATTGAACGATGCGCAGTGCCCCTCCTTTGGCGAAGAGTGCCCAAAGTGTGGGGATCGGAAATCAAAAGCCGCCATCCTCGCAATTCGATTCCAGGCGGCCCATCTTAACTATAAAGGGAGGATAGCCATATGCTCTACAGTCTATTTTCTTCTAAACGTATACAGCCTGAATACCTTGCATACCGCGATGATTACCAACAAGTTGGCTATTGGCAGTCTGTCCTTGGGCCAGCACCCTTCTCATGCTCTGGATCATAAAATTCGGATTGCAGCCCAAGCAGGATTTGCCGGGATCGAGATAGTCTTTTCAGACCTGGAAAGATTCTCTCAACCCAAAGGTCTATCTATTTTCGAAGGCGCAAGCAGAATAAAGGCGATCTGTGATAAAAATGGTCTAAGCATCCTATCGTTGGCCCCCTTCGAGAATTACGAGGGAGACCGCTCGCCATTGATCGATAGGCTACGGAAGGCCACACAATGGGTCGAAGTTGCTAGAATACTACATGCGCCATTCTTGCAAGTTCCTGCTCAATATGGCATTGATGCTATTGGTGACGAAGGCGTCATTATAAGTGAACTACGGCAACTATGTGACCTGGCAAGCTCCAAACAACCACTTGTCTCAATCGCTTATGAACCCATGTCTTGGTCGACCTATTATTCCACATGGGAGTCTTCATTGAAGCTCGTTGAATTAGTCTCACGAGATAACTTCGGCTTGTGTCTTGACACCTTCCATATCATCACGAAGCTATGGGCCGATCCTTTCACGCCATCGGGAACGTATCCCAACGCAGATGATATTTTGCGTGACTCGATGAGTCGATTCGTACGTGATTTCCCACTGGACAAGATCTTCTTCGTCCAATTGTCCGACGGGGAGAGATTCGATCCTCCATTCTCCAAGGAACACCCATGGTATTTGGAAGGCGAAGCTGCTCAATTTACCTGGTCAAAACATGCACGTCCATTCCCGTATGAGACCAAGCTGGGTGCATATATGCCGGTTGCCGAGGTTGCAAGGGCGTGGATTGTCGAGACGGGCTACAAGGGTTGGGTGTCTATGGAGATATTCGATCGTCGTATGCGTGACAGGGATAGCAAAGTGGAACATGCTGCTATGCGAGGCATTGAATCTTGGAAGAAACTGAAGCACGAGCTTGATGCTACGCAGTCCAAGATTTGATAGCACAATTTGACTGGCAAGTCCTTGCCGAAACATGGTAAACGGGCGAAACAAATCGCGCGAGACACTAAGCTGATTTGGAAGTACCTGAAATCACAACTGATTTGCCATTCAGAGAAATGCTATTGTTGAGGCTCAAATTTAATGTCAGATAGAGTCCCCATGCAAAATATCAGGCATATATACTTGGCAGGTCCCACATATTTCACTCAGGAGCAGGAACAGCGCCCATGCTGGCGGCCCATAACCAGTCAAAATCCTCGGAGTCACAATCAATAAGATCATCATCCTTCCCTTGCAAGTCCTGTCCTGTTGAACCATCTCCAGAAATCTCATTACCCCCATTTCCGCTTTCAGGAGAAGTGCGTGACTTTTTGGGTTGAGGTGATTGCGCTCGAGATTTATCCTGAGCTTCAGGCATAGCCCGCTTCGCAGAGCGATAAGGACGGACCTTCGCCTCCCATAGGCCTTGCATATGAAGCAAGAAACTCTGCGCTCGTTTCGCACTTTCCCATGAGAAACCGAATTCCTCCAGTGCTCGGAAACAAAGGCTGAGGTGAGCTACCGTTTCATGGTCATGGTTGGAATTACGATTGAGAATAGTCGCAAATATCAACATTAGCGCCGCTGAGCAGGTTATTGCCACAGCTTGGATGTTCATGCGACGGAAAGTATAGCGTAATTCGTACAGATGGAGCAGTTTGGCAATTGCGGTTGCGGATTCGACACACATTTTGCGAGCATGGGTATGACCGGGGCCTTGAGCGGGTTGTGGTTGGATCGAGCTTTTGGAGATCCATGGTCGATGTGCATGGATGATAGCTTGATGATAATGCATACTATATTCAACATGTTAGATATGTGATTGAGAGCATAGCAGCACAGGCATCTATCTTACTGAAGTAGTAGCACATGTGGCAGATATGGAATTGTCGAATTGTCGAGGTCCACTTGCAGAGGCGTGGGTAGATTGGCTTTCCACTGAAGAAGTTTCTTGGTAGTCTTTGCGTTGAGACTCTGCAGATCGTGTTTTGATATCTTTGACGATCCGTACCTGCAAGGAAGAGTTCAGTGGTTGCCCCTGGGTAATCTGGAGTTGTACATACAATACATGGCCCAACGGCGTCATAATCTCACATAGTAAGATACGAGACTGACTCAAAGCCGTGACTGGGTTCACGATCGATGGGTCTGGTAGGGGCGAAACGGGGTATGGGAGTCCATAAGGTGTCCACCGCTGAGCCTGATCCCAGTTCGAATCGCGACCAGGCTTGTCAACGGTGACATCTTCCATGTTGATTCGGAATGGTCGTCCGAGGAGGAATCCCCAGTGTCTAGTAGTATGTAAGATTAGTGATGCTTGTGGAATGGAAGCTTGTCTTCCTCACTGGTCCAGTGTGTAGGCCCCCCAGAAGACCATACGTCGCAATTCAGCTTCGGCGGCACTGATAGATCCATCTGATACGTAAGATGACATATCGAGGTGTAGTCCAAGATCAAAGGCAAGTCGCATAGCCATTCCTACTAACCCGTCAGTAGTGATTCTGACCCTTCATGCTGGCGACAAGTGTAACACTCACCGCTGTAAAGCCATCCTCTTGCGTCACGCTTGCAACCTATATCGTGTCCGCTTAACACTACCATTGCTTGGACAGTCGCCAAGCATGGCGAATCAAGCTCGATATCAAGTAAAGTTTTAGCCCGATCTGCGAAAAAGTCCGAAACGGATTTTGGATAGGTAATGAAGTTCGGATGATAGCGAGGCTCAAATGCAGCACCAAGACAACACCTGCATAGGTCAGCTTTGATAATATGACAAATTAAGTGTACTGGTCAGACTGACATGGCGTTATTCAACGCTTCAGAATAATATGGCGTATCTTCCATGTCGACTTGCCAACGTTGCTTTGCCGCTTCGTACATTTTCCTATCCACCACATCAAATGATGGATTGTGCCAGGTAAAGAATAGGTTAATCAGATGGGCCTCCAGATCAGGCGGCACACTTTTACCGATGCCCATGCGGTATAAGTAGTCTTGTCCGTCTTTTCGTACATTGCGATGGATTGTTAACTTATCCGGGGTGGGCATTCGTAGCAAGTTAAAGTGGGACGTAGGGCCATAGTATCGCACTTGTCCATCTGATCCAATTTGGAGACTCCCCATTCGGTCTGAGAGGCGATGGACGATATCTTCCATGTCTTCGCCGCCATTGGAGTTTTGCTTCACTTCGTCACTACTTGGCATGGTGACGTTGGAATTCAAATTGTGGTCCGAAGATTCTGAATCGGGCAAGTCACTTGGCGGCTGCTGTTGATTCGATTCGATAGGCTGAGCAAGGGCAGGCAAAGCCTGTGGAGAGGAGTCCTTGGGATTCGCTTCTTGGCCCATATCCGAGAAGCCCCCCAAGTCCACGATCTCATCTTCAAACAGGGGTGGCAGTGAGTCTTCAGTAATTCTAGGGAGACCTAAAGCCTTTCGTGATCTAGGTTGGTAGATCTCTTCAAAGCCGTCATTCATCAATGGTTGCCCCAATATATCCATATTTGAGTTCAACTCGCTGAGGTCGATCTCAAGATCCGCCCCCTCGGTATCTTCAAGCAGAACTTGGGTAGTCCCCGAGAGAGAAGAATGCGCCAGATGCCTGTCCTTGGTCTCGATTTTCTCCAAGGCTAACTGGACGTGGCCAAGTCCAAGAGTTTCCAAAGCATTTTTCAATGCTATTTCATTTTCATTGAACATGGGAGGCGGGGACAATCCCTGGTCAATGAGATATTGAGATAGTTCATCTAGTCGGTTAACAAGAAGATCGACCACAAATCGAAGAGATATTCTAAAATCCTTTTGTTGAGTATGCCGAAACAATGTTGAATGGCAACCTGGTATGGCGCCGGGGAGGGCGGAGAGTCCAGACACTCACTTTCTCTTATCAGATCCAGCTCGATAAGTGCATTCCTTCATCTTGTTTTGGCAATTTGAACAAGAAGGCTGGGCTCCATCACACTGTTTTAGCAACATGAGTCAGCTACTCTTGCGGCAATCTCCATGGACAGGCAAGGAAACCGATTTCCGACCTTCACTTTACTCTGCCGGCATGCATCGCAGGCGGTTGTAACATATTTGCGTTTAGCATCCTTTTTCATTGGAGTCATTTTGAAGAATCATTCAGTCATTCTGGAGGGTCGTGTAGATATGGAAGCGTTGGCTAGTGTGCTTAACAGTAGTCGGGGTAGCCGACAAGTCTCGGGAATTGCCACAAGAGAGATCCGAGTGAGACCCACAGCGTTGGCAGACGCTGACCAATCAGAACACCGGGTTCACACAGCGCTATCGAATGTACTATAGGCCTTCCCCTCTTCGTCCTCTGCCTAAATAGATAGCAAGTCTAATCAATCACATAGTATACCTCTATCAACTCCAATAACGCTTGAAGCTTTATTTGGCTTTCTGATTTCCAAAGCCCGCCTTAGATCCAAATGGGTCCAAACGGACTGCTCGAATTAAGGCCCGAGAACAAAACCTCAGAAGTGCTAAGTAAAAAGGCCACGATTATGCGTGGCTTTCCTCAAGGATAACAATGGTGATCTTTTCACCCTATTTTCCTGAGAGCACCCATTACTATTCTATCGATGGCAGTTGGTGGTAGTACATGAATTATCTTCCGTTGGGTTAAGCTATGTGAAAGTTCTGCCATTCTTCCAAGATATACGTATTTTTGCTATTTTTACCAGACAGATCAAAATCACACCTCCTTCCACTCGGTACAGAACCTCAAAGACATGCCGGGGGGTCTGCTCATATTATAGACTGGCCAATACTGAATTATTATACGTTGTTTAGACCGGAATCTAGGCCGATGAAGACAGAACTCTGGACCAATGATCTGTGCTTAGAACACGTTACCCTTGGTCTGAGTCATGTTCTTGACGTTGATGTTTCTCATCATTCCAACCCAGATAAAGCCCAGGACCATGAACACTGTGCCCGCAATGAGCATGCGAGTTTGAGCATAGCCGTATGCCTGGACAATTGCGTCACGGGTCGCACTTCCAACCGGATAACTGAGCTGCTGAGGAAGACTCTCATAGATGAGCATCAGGTTTGGCTGGGCTGAGGCTGGGAGAACCTGCTCGAGTTTCTTCAAGAATGTGTTTGTCCAGATAGCACCGCAGATAGCACTGCCGATGGAGCCACCGATGCTGCCCATCACGAAGAGCAAAGCGAGCACTGCAGCGACGTGCTGGTGATCAACGGATGCGAGGACAGCGAGTTGTACACAAAGGATAAAAACGCTACCCGCAACAGAGAAAAAGATCTCGCACATGACAATGTAGCCAATGTAGCCTCCTGGCGTACGGAAGTGGATCATAAGACCCAAGCCAAAGATGTACATGGGGACGCAGATCCAGAGAATCCACTTGAAGCGACCAGTCACGCGGATTAGCCAACCGGCAAGGAAGAGGAAGACAAATGAGACGACACTGAATATGTTGCCAACATATCCGGCAGTCGTGACATCCAACTCATAAACCACTTGCAGGAACGAGGAGAGGTAACTGCCGTAGCAGTAGTATGAGACCTGGTATGTCATATCCAAGAGACATGCACCCAGCACGGTGCGGTCGGTCAGGAACTTGTAGTTCAGGAATGGCACTGGTGCAAGGAACATCTCGTAGAACCAGAAGCTAATGATCAGGACTAAGCCAACCACAATCATCGCAATGATATAGCCCGTCTGGAAGCCGTGAGGGGCGGTAGCCGCCAGGGTAAAGGGAAGAAGGAAAACGATGAAACCTCCAGCGAAGAGAACAACTCCGAGTACTGCAACATGAGAGACGAGGCATAAGCATTGTACGAAATCTACCAAGGGGAAGATGTCAGCCACTTACAATCAAACTCGATGATGAACCACCAAATGCCCCGAGGGCTGATGTCCAACTTCTTCTTCTCACGGACAAGGATGCCCTTTTTCTCCGCCTTGCGGAGGTTATAAGCCAACATGAAGTAGATTGGCAGGGCAAAGACAGGCACGAGAATGGCCCAGATACCATAGCCCCAGCGCCAGGTGGAGTGCACGAGCAGCTCGCCAGCAGCCTTGGATCCACCAAACGCGGAGATCAATGCCGGAGATGAGGTAAAGGCAAAAGCCAGTCCTCGATTTCTCAGATTGGTCACATCGGTAGCAAGAACATCCCATGTATAGGCCAGGCCTCCGAAGCCTACTGAGTAGAAAACCTGCGTTTATAGAAATCGCACGTTAGACAAAGTTCTTGCTGACATTAGACGCCGTTGACGTTTTTCATCTTACCTGTCCAGCACAGTAGGTTGGGAGGTTCTGCGATGAAGCGAGCAGAACCAGACCGAGAACGCAGAAAGTAATCATAACGAGGAAACCCTCCGCACGGCCCCACAGGTCCAACGCTTTAGCCATGGGGATATAAACGGAACCAGCCATGGCCGAGGCCACGATGGTAATGACGGTCAGCAACGAATGTCCTGCGAAGGAACTTGTCGCATACGCGTTCAAACTGTACGTCATCGAGCCGCGGAAATCATTAACCAAGGTGAGGAACCAGATGCTTCATTCAAAGAGAAGTGACCTGTTAGCAGAGCGCAACACGCTTTAAACAAGGATGCGAAACTTACAGGACTAGCACCAGGTAGGCGGAAGACTTGCTCCAGGCGAGAGTGACTGCTTCGATTTTCTTAACACCCGCCTGGGCATCCTCTGTAGGTTTCTCCTGGTCATGGTCACTGTTGTCATTGTTTGTGACCTCGTTGGCAGGTGGAAATCCCGCTTCCTTATCACCAGCCGTCGCTTGCAAGGTTCTCGGGTCGTCGACCGAGGCAGACTCGGCGCTGGCGGACTTGTCGCAAACTATAGTATGAAACCGCTTCATCAACCCCATTTTGACTTGGATAAACCCGAAGGTATTACAGCAAGAATGATGGATGATAGAAGAAAGAAGAGCAGCGTCCAGACAGCGGATTGATATTTATTTAAGCGAGCGCGGACATTTTGCCTACATCTATATCCGATTCCGCTCCAGTGGGCCGATCTAATCAATCTTTACGTAAGGTTACTGGTGGACTACTGCGTGTTGCGCGGCAAACAAAAAGAAAAGAAAGAAAAAAGAAAAAGAAAAAGAAAGCCAAGTCGGAGTGAATTAGAATTTCGAAATTACCAGCGTTACCTCCCTTGTACCGACGCCACTACGCCGAGTTATTCTAGTGGCTGACGCTAAGCGGAGTCTAACCTTGCTGAGAAGTTGTAGTTACAGAGCTACCTAGCTTTGCACTTCTTAGACCAGAAAACTTTTCACATCACTTGAGAGGCATCGAATTGAATCTAGAACTGTAAGAACAAAGTAAGCACTCTGCCCTTGGCTTTGGTAATTACGACTTCCATAACATTGTGGAAATGAGGCATGAGTATCAAATAGACAAACTGCGAAACAGGGAAGATTACGGATCGCATCGGTGACACCACAGTACAGCTAATAGCCTTGGCCAACTAAACTACGCATTGTGTTCATCGGAAGACAGCGGGACATGTGTGTATGAAGATAATTGAAGATACCAGGAAACGCGTACCGGCAACAACATGATCAAGATTTATTCGCGATGAGTAGATGAGTAGACGAAGTCTGAAGACAAGGCTCGAGTTCTCTACTACCGCAATATCTTCCGCAGATAGCAGTACAGCTTAGACAAGGCCATGATAGGCGACCAGCTTTTCCCGTCCGAACCTCGTGACGCCCCAGCCTCTTGCGTCGCAAACCACTCCTCCCTTGAAAGTGAATAGCGCACTTCACCTTCCTCAATGCCCGGCGGTGGTGTTGGGTACGTATTGAAAAAGGTCTCGACATGCTTCAGCCCACAACTCGCCATCACCGCGCGAGACGCGGTATTGACGGTCATCGTTTCACCAATCACCTCCACTAGCCCCAAGTCCACGAAAGCGTGTCGAATCATCTCCCGGGCCCCTTCCTTTGCAAATCCCTGCCCCCAAAACTTCGGCGATACCCGGAATCCGTACTCGGTGCGATCGGTCAAAAACTTCTCAGGGTCATCCTTTGTAGGGATTGGTCCCAGGATCCACCAGCCTACAAATTCCCCTTGGGTGTAGCCTGCCCACGTTCCGAAACCGGGAACTGAGTTCGCGCAGCCCATCAGCCAGGTATGCACTTGAATCGCCTCGTCCTCGGTAAAGGGCCGGCCGAAGGCAACATGCTTCATCACTTTCGGGTCCATGTCGAGCTTCATAGTGTGTTCTCGGTGTTCTGGCCCGAGAGGTACGAGTTCTAGGCGTGCTGTTCGCAGCGTTGGCTGAACTTTCTCAGTCGCAGCCATTGTATATGGTTGTTGTTATCTTAGGCGGTGGGAAGTTTGAGGTAATAATAGGAGTGTTTCCGAGGGTTTGAGTACGCAAGGATGTATAGAGAGAAGGTGGCAGTGGAAGTTCGTTTTGAATTCTTCAGTCTTTTCGGATGTGGTCTCTCATGCTTGCTATATATTCCATTTTCTGGGAGTTCAGCTAAGGTGCTGACTACTAATGTAGATGACAAGGTTCCTGTTATGCACCGAGAATATGGCGATATGTCTCGGTATCCTGTACGATTGACACGGCTATTCTCCGAATTCCCACATTTGGTAGGTTGAGAGGGTTCCGCGTCGATATCGACGTGTAAGATGAATGGAACAGCTTGGTGTAAGACTGCAAACGAATCCAAATACCTTTTTCACCCTTGGCGCCGATGATCTTGCCTGTGTAAGCGTTCTAATATCCACATGGGGTCTTTTCTCATAGAAGTCAAGGGTAGATTTGCGGATATCGGTGCCATTTTCGGTCGATTTGACTTATTCCTGGCCGAATTGACCAAGACCACACAGAAGAGTATTGTACTGAGCTCTGGAGCTGCCTTAAAACAGATATAGCGGACGAAATCGCTGGGCAAGAAGTAGGTTATTAGTATAATATCAAGAATCCCTTCGTATGCATTCGACTTGTCTTGTATATTCGACCTACATTTGCACGTTGTACATTGCTTGGTATCTCATAACAATGGCATAGTGGCCCAGCACACATGAAGTCTATACGGCCAGGACCCTGTAGATCCAGCTCCCAGGTCCGATACAAGCTAGTGAGCTCGCGAGGGAAAGGGATATCCACCCGTACCAGTCCCGTTACAACGGGGGATGACGAATCATACAGTTCTGTATTGTCGGAGGAATTCTAGCTTGTGATCCAGGGTCCCACTAGCAGCATGCAGCTACTAGGCCCATGTTATAGTTGAGGGATTTTTCACTCTCAATACCTCAGGGACTAGTGTATGTTACATGTATTTCACCACAATACAAGGGTCCGTGGGTGATCAGATTAGATTAGAAGATTAGATTTGGGGGCGGATTTTCTCGTCGAGGCTTGGCACGGGTGGCGTCTAAGCCTTCCCGGGTAAGGATCAACTCGAAGATGATCGGAGATGATCATCAGACCTTTAAACCCCAAATGTTAGGGGTATCAGATACCTCTGGGCGAAAGTTAAATTACAGGCATACACGGATATTGTGGCCAACTCTCTGCAGTGGCCACCCAGCTGACACTTACCAAAACTGGTCTCAAGGACCGAGCGTCGGATGTAAATTTCTTCCCTGCTCGGTCCCTCGGGAGAAGGGTTCACTTGAACGGTTGAACCCGGCCGGGAGCCCTTATGTACCTAGTGGTTATGCTGAATAATTTCCTAATGAAATGATTGTAGAGCCTTGCCAAGGGTCTTTGCCGACAGCCAAGGTCGAAGAAGGAAGTGCCGAGCTATGCATATCACCAAGTACATTATTTTGGGGGTTGGCAACTTGGCAAGGACCAGTGTACATGAAGCCATGCAGACCGGAGGTTTTAATGAGTCTCAAATACTAGAATGACTTTTCCTCCCCTTTGTCGCCTCCTTCGTAGTAACGCTTCATTTAGAGTTCACCGGTCTGATTGACTCAATATTTGAGTGACACTGCACACATAAATATTCATAGCTTGGAATAATTCTTGTCTACCTCATTATCTATCTACTCTGTCCTGAAGTATCGGCGTTGAACGTGCGGATCATATGATGTTCAACACTTCTCGGTCACGACTGTTGTAAAGGCCAATCCTCAAAGAACAAAGTCAAGCCCCGACTAATCGAGCAAGCCATGACACTTGTGTGTTCTTCTCCCTCATACTCCTTCGCCTGTACTGTGTGGAGTCGTTTGCATCCACCCAGCATGTTAACAAGGTCCAGCGCATTATCTGCCATTCGCAACTCCGAGGCAATTTGCTTCCGCCCCTCGTAATGATCCAGAGGCTCATCATTCCACTGAGGTGGGTTCTGCTCACAAGATCCCCAGGAAACGACTAGCGACGGTGATTTCTCATCCGAAACCTTGTCATTGTCTAAGAAAGCTTGGGCCGAATGTAAGATACAGCGCCTATTCCACCATATGGAGGGACTGCTAGCAATGTAACAGTCGAACGAGTGGGGGCGCGTGAAGAGGGCATGCAGGGCAAACAATCCCCCGTACGAGTGGCCGTACAGCGCTTCACGAGAAATGGTTATCCTCGGGAAACGGGCCTTGACGGCCGGCCGAACGGACTTTTCGATGAAATCGAGAAATGCATCCGCGCCACCAGCCCCCGGGATCGGACTTTCGGTCGGCGGTGTCAGGTCAAGACTTCGGCGTTTAGCATCGTACAGCTTGCCAGCCACTGGGTATCCAATGGCGACGATAAGGCCACCGCCGGCAAAGTGGGATGAAGCTGCACGGCGCCAAGCCACCTCCGTTGCCGTTAGGAATAATGCATTTCCGTCGACGACGTAGCTAGAGCGATCAAGATCGGCTGGATCAGTAGAGAAAACAGGAAAGTGTCCATTGGAAATGTGATGTGATGAAAAAAACAGGGCAGAGATCTGTCGGCGCTTACATGATTGGAAGGGGCCCGCGATCTGACGTCCGATTATCCAGCCAATGTAGAGGCCAAGAAAGTTGTATAAGGTACTTGTGGCCCTGGTCGCTGTCCAGGAAGAATTGCTCTGCGTTGGGCAGCGGGACGGGGGTTGGCCGGTCTCCCATTCTAACGGTCTCGCCCATGTTTGAGTTGTGAATGCTGAACCAACGACGGGGAAGAGTTGGAGAATCCACGAAGCGTCCATAGAGAGGACGTGGGCTACGTTTGTGAAGAAGGATGCGTAGCATGAGAGATGCAAGCGACAAGACTAAAAATCACGAGGACAAATAGCAACCATCGGAACCATTTTTTCTTGCTGGCCAGATCGTGGACTGAACCTCTTAGGGAAGCATCCGAGGCATTTAGGGGACCCACCTTTTTGGAGGTCACAATACGATAGTCCATAATAGTCTCCATAAAGTATTGATCGTCTGTATGTTTATTGCGGCAGAAGCGATTAGGGTATCCCATGATACGGTAAAATAACCATACATACTGTACATAGTGTACCGTATGGACAAGGATCGTGGTACCGTGGCGGAACCACCCGCTCAGTGAAACTCTAAACTCGATCCACTTTGATTTCGTTTACTCGTGCAACTACTCTTTACGCTCGGATTGTTCCCGCACTTCTCTTGGCGTCTTACATTCGGAGTCTGCCTGTCTTCTGATCATGGCGTGATCTGATAAGATTTCTTCTTGCTCTGGGCTGAAATCATAAATACAACCTACCCGATGTCGGAGATCGGTCTTCTCGACAGACTCTAGCGTCAAGTGGAGCTTCTTCTCTACTGGTAGTACCCACCGATTTTCAAAATTACTGACAAGAGTAGACCCCTAATGCAGTGGTGCCAAGATGGTTCATGATAGACGACAGGCTCTTAGTCTGTCCCAATGCTGTTACTTTGACTTTCGAGTACGCTGTTATCAGATCCAGTGAAATTTTTATCAGATCCTTTTTCAGCGTTGCTGCCATCGCTCAAGCTGACACACTGGCCCAACGACAGACACCATGGCAGCTGCAACTGAACCTCCAGCAGAGGCAGAGCCATCTAAGAAGGTAGGTAGTATTAAGTTCTCCCCGGTTCACCTTGGTACTTGTGCCATATTGATCCTGCTGATGCTAATCACCATGGTCGATTTGTAGTCCTGGCGCCGTGCAACCTCCTTCGCTCGTCTGCTCGTCTACGGCAACCCCTCATCCAAGGATGTAATTATCCTGACCATTGGCTTTGTTGCTGCAATCGCCTCTGGGATTCCATTCCCTATCATGTCCATTGTCTTTGGACAGTTGGTTAATGGGCTGAACTCCGCCACATGTGAAGTCAACGCCGACACCGCGGCGTCCTACCAGGACGGAATCAACTCCAAGATTCTGTTGATTGTATATGTCGGCATAGCATATTTTCTGCTGATCTATATCTATACCCTGTGCTTTAATCTCAGTGCCGAGCGACTTGCCCAGCGTCTGCGTGAAAAGTATTTGAGTGCCATCTTGCGCCAAGATGCGGCCTTCTTTGACAATCTTCCCGCCGGTGAGGTCTCTTCACGGATAACAGGGGAGATTTCCATTGTGCAGCAGGGTACAAATGAGAAAGTGGGCATCGTGATCAACAGTATCTCCTTCTTCATTGCTGCCTATGTTGTCGCATTCATCAAGGACGCTAAGCTCGCCGGTATGCTGGTCTCCCTTACCCCTGCGTATCTCCTCATGGCATTGGGTGGTGGGTACTTTGTGCAGAAGTACTTTGGTCGCTCCCTCGAGAGCATCGGAAAGGCTTCCTCCGTCGCGCTGGAGGCTTTCTCAAACATCACCGTTGTACATGCGTTCTCGGCAAATGCGAGACTAGAGGAGAAGTTTATCAAGGTCTTGAACCCAGGCCTTTCGGCTGGTATGTGGAAGTCTATTGCCATGGCTGCTCAGGCTGGACTTCTATATTTCATCGCATTTTCGGCAAATGGTCTCGCCTTCTGGCAAGGATCTAGGCAGATCGCTAGTGCCGTCGAGTCGGACACTGGCGGCATCACGGTCGGAGCTACATTCACAGTCATCCTGATCCTCGTAGATGGTAAGTTAAAAATTTCCAAACCCATCTCAAACATGTAACGGGATAAGTGCTCATATAAATCTTTTAGCCTCTCTTATTCTCAGCCAGGCCGCTCCCTTCCTGCGCACCTTCGACTCCGCGGCCGTGGCTTTTGCCAAGTTGGAAGCTGACATGGACCATGTATCGAGCATTGATGGTACTTCTGAGCACACCGGACATGTTCTGTCGGAGGTTGTGGGAGATATCGAGCTGCGGAATGTCTCATTTACCTTTTCTTCGCGCCCAGAGAAGCCCGTGCTACAAGATCTTTCACTCTCTTGTCCTGCTGGTCAGCAAACGGCTATTGTGGGACTATCCGGCAGTGGTAAATCCACCGTCGCAGGCCTGATTACTCGATTCTACAACTCAACGGAAGGTGCCGTGCTTCTAGATGGCCATGATGTGAAAGACTTGAATGTGCGGTCAGTCCGTGGTGAGATCAGTCTTGTTCAGCAGGAACCCTGCCTTCTCGATCGATCCATTCTCGAAAACATCGCTCTTGGTCTGGTGAACTCCCCTAAACACAGACATCTGCATTGCATCCTTATGACAGATGTTCTTGTCAATGTTGCCGAGGCTCTTCGTGGTGGTCAAAATATTGAATTAGTGTCCCAATCGCACGGGGATCAAGTGCAAGAGATTATCAAACTGGTTCTTGAGGCTGCTTCTTTGGCAGATGCAATCGGCTTCATCCAGAATCTACCGGAAGGTTTTGGTACATCGGTCGGCACAAAAGGCCATCTCATCAGTGGTGGCCAGAAGCAACGCATCTCGCTCGCTCGCGCGTTGGTCAAGGATCCACGCATTCTCATCCTCGACGAGGCTACTGCCTCGCTCGACTCGGCATCAGAGCTCCGTATTCAAAAGGCATTGGAGCACGTGGCCGTAGGACGCACTGTCATTACGATTGCTCACAGACTTTCCACAATCAAGAAAGCGGATAATATCATTGTCATGCGCCAGGGGAAATTGGTAGAACAAGGAACACACCAAGTACTGCTCGAGGCTGACGGAGCGTACGCCGAGCTTGTCCGTCTTCAGAATCTCAACGTTAATGGCAGTGAAGAAGATTCCACCGACTCTATCTCGGTGCTTTCAAATTCCTCGACTCAAGGGCTCCATGAGAAGAGTGAAGCCTTGGCTGCCTCGACTGCAACCGATTTCCCAACAACAGGCAAGGCAGAAGGACAGGTCGTAACCAAGCACTCCACCACGGAGGGTATTACGGGCCAGCGAGCTATGTTATCAACAATCAAGTGTATGAGTGCACTTTTCCGGCCATATTCTTTTCTTCTTATCATTGCAATCGCTGGAGCGGTCGTTATTGGTGGTACATACTGCGGCTCGGCGGTGATCTTTGGCAATGTTGTGGGCAAACTCAGCTACTGCGAGCAACCGAGCTCTATTCGCCATGCCGGCGAGCTCTTCGGATTGTTGTTTTTCATGTTGGCCATCATCGAGTTCATCGCGAATTTCCTCAGTTGGTCTCTTTTCGGCTGGATCGCCGAGCAGATCATCTACAAAGTGCGCGTTCTCACGCTGCGGTCAATTCTAGAGCAGGAAATGGCCTGGCATGAGGGCGAGGACCGCAACGCTTCTATTCTGCTTGATTTGATCACCAAAGATAGCACCGCACTGGGTGGTCTAACCGGTTCCGTTGTCTGTACAATTCTCTCCATATTTGTCAGTCTCATCGCGACCATCACCATGACGCACATAATTGCCTGGAAAATCGCGATTGTGTGTCTTTCGGTAGTGCCGTTGCTACTAGGCGCGGGTTACATGCGCGTTAGTACACTGGCTAGCTTTGAGGAGCAGCACCTGGAGGCTTTTGCGAACTCCAATGCCATCACCGTCGAAGCTGTCAACTCCATCAAGACTGTGATGTCTTTGTCCCTGGAGCATGAGATTCTCGGCATATACCGTCGCTCCTTGCAAGCCCCCATGCATCAGATCACCAAACAAAGCGCATGGGCAAATCTATGGCTAGCAGTTGGCTATGGACTGAGCAACTTCCTCTATGCGCTCGCCTACTGGTGGGGCTCAACCCGTATCATTGCCGGCGAGTACACCCAAACGCAGTTCTTCATTGTCCAACTTGCTCTGCTAGTGAGCTCTCAGCTATGGGGGCAGGCATTTGCCCTTGCACCAGATGTTTCGCGTGCTTTCCAAGCTACGCGTCGCTTGTTAGATGTGCTCGATCTGGGCTCTTTCAAGAAGCTTTCCTCTGCTCTCACGCCGATGGGGGATATTGAAGCCACTCCCAAGCTAAGTGGGAAGTCCCAGTCGATGGATGTTGACGGCACCAGTGTCGCTTTCAAAGAAGTGACCTTTTCCTACCCGGCACGACCAGACACTCGTATTTTACACGGACTGGATCTGAACATCCAGAGTGGACAATTCGCCGCGCTGGTGGGACCCAGTGGTGCCGGCAAGTCCACCATCATCTCTCTCGTGGAGCGCTTATATAGACCGGAGTCGGGTAAGGTCGAAATTGGAGGGCGCGACATCGGGTATGGAGATGACTCATTCCGCCATGATATCGCATACGTTCCACAACAGAGCGTCATGTTTGACGGCACAGTCCGCTTCAACTTGACCCTCGGCGCACGACCCGGTCAGTCAGTGTCCCATGAGGAGCTCGAGGAAGCCTGCAAGCTGGCCAACATCCACGACACAATCATGCAGCTGCCCGATGGATATGACTCGGAATGTGGACCCAACGGGGACCGCCTTTCTGGAGGCCAAAAACAGAGGTTGGCGATTGCACGGGCACTCGTCCGAAAGCCGAAGCTCTTACTTCTAGACGAGTCGACGAGTGCCCTTGATGCGGAGTCGGAGCGATTGCTACAAGATGGCTTGGAGAAAGCGACAAAGAATATGACAGTCATTGCCATTGCGCATCGACTTTATACCATTCGCAGGGCAGACGTCATCTTTTTGATTGAAAATGGACGCTGTGTTGATCAGGGAACTCATGCGCAGTTGGTGGATCGCAATGAGAGCTATCGGGTAAATGCGCTTAATCAAGCGGTTGGTCAGTGAGGAAGGGTGTCCGGGTTCTCCTGGCTCGTGGGTCTGTCTCATTTTCATTCATGTATACTGGCAGCTGGGAGGTATCGCTGCAGTATAAAAAGGGGTTTTGGTAGTAAACAGGCGCACAACGCCTCCTGGTTGCTGAATATGGCGAAGCTATTAATAGAAGAAAAAATAGTTGGCCAAAATGGCCTAGCCATGCTATAACTGCCCTACCAATTAATTAATTCATTGAATTAAGATCAAAGTTCGATCCACGGCGAAGCATGACTGAGACGGATTTCTAACATGCGGAGCTTTCACACCGTCCCGATTATTTAGGGCACGGAGTAGACATTACGGAATCGGCGAAAGTAAATGAAATCGACAAGTAAATGAAATTAATAAGTACTCTCGCGACCGCAGTGGCTCCAAGGTTCACAACAGACGAGGATGGCCGTTCAAGGAATAATACGAAAGATGAATATTAAATGGAAAAGGGCAGCAGCGAGCCTAAAGTCAAGTTTCACAGAGGGCTTCAGACTGCTTCCAGATTTTTATCCACCGATCACTCTGATTTCAACCTCATTCTATCCATGGGGCGAGACAATTCATATACGTTTCCCAAAAGAAACTGAAAGTCAGCGGGCGTCTGTGCAGGGGCCATGTGTCGAATTGGCGGTGTGCTACAAATCCAGTTTCTCATCAACCGGCCTAATAAAGATTCTCGCGTCAAAATAAAATAAGGACTGAGTACTTAAATAGAAGTCCCAGTCGCACTTTCTGTTTCTGCTAAGTGATAGACAAATTGGCAAATGACGGTGTGGCTATGTGATATTCAGGACTACGACAAGGTCTCTGTTCGCACATACGGCGAATGCGTTCTATGCAATCGTCATCTTTGTGCGAAACATCTGGGACCAAATCATCACACCTGCCCAAGGTGGGAGGTAAGTCAAAAAAAAAATTAATGCTATAATAGGCCGTGCTGACTCCCATGGACAGGAGGAGGCCGAATATGACTCCGCCGCTAGGAAAGCCGAAGGAGATGAGATCACCAAACTTTTTGATAAGATCAACATTTCTGCACTCATTTCTCAAGCCTCGGCTCTTCGGGGAGGCCTCGCTTGTTCCATTCCCCAAGGCCTTAGATATGATAGAGCAACACGAAGCTCCGTTATGGGGGGAATGAATTATCATATCGAGATATCATTTGCTGATAGAATCAGTTGGCTAGCGCGTATTCGAAGGTCTAACGCTACTTCGCCGCTAGCGGAGCTACGAGATTATATTTTGCGCAGCGAAGTCTCAACCCTATAGTTTCTTAGTAAAACTAAAGTTCCAGTTCCAAAACTTTTCGACTTCAATTTTTATGAAACGAACCCTGTTAGTGTTAGATATATCCTAATAGAGAGGCTGCCGGGAAGCTCCTTGCGCTAGTCCCTTGCGACTCCCGAGTAAAGAAAATATATAACAAGTCAGCTTACAGACTCTATACACTAACCTAGATCTTATGATATTGGACTATTTACCCGAGAGTCTTTAACAGAGTTTTATGGTCCCTAGATGAAAGCGCTCGGCCCTTTCTTCTCCACTGAAGAGTACTTTAGTATATATATTTAATTAATTTTAGATTTAATCCCTCAATAGGAGTCGTACGTCAACCGGGTAGTGGATACTTTTTTGATTCACCGGTTTCTTTTAGATAAGGTCCTAGATACTTACTCTCAGTCATCTTAACGATAGAAAGTTCTACTTGAAGCATACGGACGAGAAGGGCGACTAAATACTTATTAACAGTGAATTCAACATCACCGGAATCATTAACTAGGAATAGGCGCATACAGATTCTAAGTCAGGAGCGTTTAATTCACCGATTGTCCTACTCTCCGTTGGTGATTTTTATATAGGTGTAAATTCTATCAGTGAAGATGAAACTTTTCTCGCAGAGTGTTTCGAAGCAAAGGGGCATGCGGATCTAGGAATAATTGTCAGGAATGGCCGACTCATCCACAGGTTTCGGTTTTGTAGTGGCTACGACCTTGCAGATTGGGAAGGATTTCTTGGGCTCTTTGCCGGCCTTTTGAGAGCCTTAGGCTTTACTGGTGATTTCCATTGGGAGACTTGGAAAGCAGAAGCCTTGGAACGCTACGAAGATGATCACCGGCTGCAACGGGTGATCGCAATGTATACTTAAACATGTTGGTCTCGCCGGAAGCAGACAAGCACGACTGTTAATTGAAATTTTTTGAATAAACATGATCACTTTTGCTTGAGTGCTGTGTTCCAATTCATCACATTGGCCCTTTCACCCCGGATGAGAACTTTTCAAGTGAATCGTTCCGTTGCTTCCTACCAGAACAGCTAGTCTCTCTAGCTGCAGTTCTTGACCATAGAGAATTCTGCCAAGAATACAGATATCGACTCGGGGTTAAACTTGCCTCTTCTGTGATGTAGCTTCACGTAACTTAGTGGCTTGTATACTATTGGAATAAGACTGATATAGATCTACAATCTATGAAGTAGTAATCCCGTATAAGAACGGGGTCAGAACCTCGCTCTAACTATTAACTACCGTTAACCGGGCCCTTTTTTTGATTCCGTGATCTTTTATTTGCAGCCCCACTCCTTCGGTACCATCTGCCGAAGCTGCTGTTCAAGTCACCACCACTTAAACGCTTAATAGCCAGCAATTCTGCTTAACGGGTGTTTTTCCAACCATTTCATACCTACAATCATACTCAGTATGTCAACTTGTCAATATGAGTACCTTTTCTTCCGCATCGCCAAAGACAATGCGATCGCGTCGTCGGCTACAAAGTACAAACAGCTGCGCCTCCAGGCCTTATCCGTTGCACCGACTTCATTTTCATCTACTCACGAGATCGAATCTTCCCTCCCGGATACTGAATGGGTTGACCGAATCTCAGAGAACGGAAGGGAGATTTTCATATGCGCTGCGAAACCCACAAAAACCAGTCAATCAAATTCGCAAATCCCAGAACAGACCACGTGGGTAGGCCAGTTGACTTTACGAGGCCCACTCAGCCCAGAAGACTTTATTCTACCTGAGGAATCCGGTCAGAAAAAGCCCGCAGAAGGCAAGGACCAGGAGCTTTGGCAGATGCTCAGCTTGTTTACTCTGCCCGACCACCGTGGTCGCGGATTAGGGAAGAGGCTGTGTCAGGAGGCGTTGAGTTACTTAGCCTCATATAAGGACTCTCCACGTGAGCTCTGGGTGCGGTTGATGGTAAAGCCAGAGAACCATGCAACAGTCAGCTTGTATCGGGGCCTAGGGTTTGCGGAGGCTGGAAAGTGTACTCTCGCTGAGGCATTGGTTGCGAACGGAGACAAGGATCTGCTACCAGAAAATATCACTGGGGAGAAGTATACGTCGAGAAGTGGGTTGATCATGATGTTAGAGATTCGTCGCTCGTGAATCAGCCGTTGAGATGGGCTACGATTAAGCACTGAATATCGAATGGGAGTGAGAATTGGTCAAACAAAGCTTGATAGATTGACAGAGTACAACTTGACAGTCAGTATTAACAGTCTATCGCTCAATTATGCGATTCAGAGTATTTATGCTGAACTGAGCGGCTAGACACTGGCAGCAGTAAATCCATAGCGACCAGCCGAACGTCATCTTTTGCAATAAGCCGTTACCATATACAAAGAAAGTTGAAATCATTAAAAGGTTTTGAAATACGGCCATCAATTCTTTACAACACAAAAGGTCCCTCGTATAACGGCGCGATTATAGTTCAAAAATGAAAGCTGTGTCATCTGATATCGCCAGGTTGAATGCCGCTTCGACATCCAAACGACGGAATCCTGGTGCACATCCTAAACACACACCCCTCGAAAGAAGCTCTGTTGAAAATGCGCGGTCAACTTTTCTGCATATCACAATTTGGATACAGATATAAGAGGGGAGATGACAAACCCTGAAGAAATCGGTCCACGTTGAGGACCTTCGCACTTTGCTGGATATCCCGCTGTGAACCCTCACTTTCGGGACGTAATGTCGCAGCCCTGCCCGTTTCAAATGATCGCAAGTCCGACAAATACATAAAGGACTGTGTCCCTCCAATAACAAGTCCATTCTCTTCAAGCCAGCCCTCGATATCCCGAGGGTCGAACCACATTTCATCGTCGTTTTTAGATAGCATCTCTTGTCCTACCGAGACGTTCTGGACAATATCAGGATCTCCCTGCCCGTCTTGGTAATGGGTCCCTGCACCACCCAAACTATACACATATGCAGTTCGGTAATCGGCATTAGTCCGTAGCAAGATGTCAAAGGTCGAAATCATCGTGCTAGCGTCCGAGTAATGGAATGAATACTGGAAAACTCTGGTGACTTCAGCCCCATCTGCATGCGGGTTAGTTAACAGGCCATGAGCCCGCTTGATGCAATTAAAATAAAGCCGCTCCGCGAAATTCCTCGGTGATAGGATTCGTGTTTCGAGGAAAGGAATGGGAAGCCCTAACGCAGGTGCAAGACTGGGCATTGATGTTTCGGTAGGTATAGTGATTGGTCCTGGTAATTCCGTAGAGCAAGTAGTGCGCGCATTGGATGACGGGCCTCGCCTTGGCGGATTTGGGTCAGCTCTTAAGTGGTTATGGTAGACATATCCATCATCACGTTGTGGCTCCTTGAAAGGCTCGATAATCTGAGAAGCAGATATAAAATCGCGAGTAATACTTTGGATCTCGCGTGAAAGTTCTGGCTGCCTCTGAGTAATTTCCGCGTTTGTAATATGGGATAGCAGTTCAAAGAAAGACCGGCTCATATGCTCAATTCGATTTTCAAGAACCTGTACGTAGTTCATGCGAAGAGCAGCTTCTTCCCCTTTTCGAGACCTATAAGCCCGTTGTGCTTTCCGAACTTGGTTACGGCGCCTCTATCAACCAGTTAGAAGAATAAGTCAAACTTTATGGGAATGGAAAGAGCAGTAAGTTCCTAAATATACCTCCACTAAGCCTTTTTGCGTAGGGTCAATTGGGGGTCTCCCTCGCTTTCCCGTACGCAATCGCCGAAGGTCGTCCGAAACTAAAGAGCCTCGCTCGCTTTCGTCTGACCTTCCGGTTGGCATATTGGAGCCCGTTCCTGAAAGAGATACGTTGGAAGACATAGAGATTGTATATGAGTGCACTGATGAATTAACCTGACTACAATCGGTCGGTCTATTAATAACATGATGGGGAGTCCACACTAAAATTTTAGCACGTCCTCTTACGGCTCTCTCATTGGCTGTAGTCAATCACAGGGGTATCCTGCATAGTTGGCCTAAATGGCTCGACGTACTCGCAAGGTGGAGAAACGGTAGAGCGTGGTCACACTAAAGCTAGGCGTGGTCACTAATTATTTCTCCCCTTTTTCTGACCACATTCAGCTCTTAGGCATGGTCAGAAATTAACTAGCGCCCTTTTTCTAACCCCACTAGGCGTTAGGAGCTGAGCGTGGTCACAAACAGAGGAAAAAGAATTTCTAACCACGCCCAGCTTGAGTGTGACCACGTTCTGCAGCCTCGGTCTTTTCTCCTGGTGTTCCGTCTCTAGAACGGAGCACTTTCATTGGAAGAGCCATCTTCAGACCCTTCGCTCATATTCGACAGTCGCGTCTAATAATCTGCGGGTATTGGCCTAGCTAGCCCTAACATGGTATTGACCGCACCGTCTACTTCATTCTCGATACCTATTGACATCATGAGCTCCCGTCCAAATCTAGACACACGACTAGATCAAGATATATATCGAGAACGAGGAGTATCATTCGGTACCATATCGTGCTGTCTTATATTCACATCTACTGGCCCTTTGGCCAAGCCTGTAAGGTTAGGTAGACTTGAGTAATAAAACTATGTGATAAAAGAACGCTCGCCACATGGACTGAAGGAAGGAAAAACACCAAACAAAGCACCTAAGGAGCTGTAGTGCTGCTACCTGCTCTTCCAGACGGAGCCGCACAGCTGATCTCCTACTTGACGAGGCAACTTTGGCATCATGCCCTGATTTCGTGCCAGAAGCTTAGAAAGCGACCTAAGAACCAACAAAAAAGTTATAAAAGCGGAGCTATTGCTTGCTCACTTAGTAGACAGTTGACCGGAGAGAAAACTGGTCGGTTACGTATGCAAACAAACACTTGGTCCGAAGTCGACGAGAAAAGGTTATGAGAGATCGGGAAATGTACTATCGCTTATTATCCAAAGGAGGAAAATATAGACCTTGCTTGGAATACATTATACTGTATGTAGTGTGGTATTCTACCCTGCCGAGACATCTTCCTATTTATAAGCCTTTTCAGGCACAGCGACTCGGAAGATAAAAAGGGTCCGAGATATCCACTTCCAGATGCCAAGTCTTTATTTCCCTTCATTACGTGTACGTTAGACAGCGAGCTTGATTTCCAAGGTAGTTATGATGGTAGCCTTAAAAAAGCGTCAAGAACCGAGAGTATAAGCATAATCTATACGAGCGCCTAATACCGTGGTCTACTTGTGCCTGGTGATGACACTGTTGATCCTCCGCCTAAATCAGGCAGCTGTATACTGCCATAGGATCGGACGATAACCTTGGTAATCTAGGATTACATAAAGAGCGATTGGCCTCCATAGAGTGTTTTTTTCTTTGTACAAGATCTTAAACGCATTCATCCATATGCCAACATCGCAAATGAGCTCCATCGGGCAACCATCCATGCCTGCTCCTCCTCCCCCTCGCCCTCCCCCACCCCCCTTCGGGAATTCCATCCCCTTCTTCTTCTCTTCTACCATCGAACCCTGCTTCTAAAACCCCCATTGCAAACGAAGAAACTGAGCAAAATCATTACAAGAGCAACGATGTGACGATCTTCGCGTGGAACGGAGATCATCCAGACACAACCGAATTCGAATTTCCGAGACTGGAAGAGAGAAAAGGGAGTGTTTCGCTTCGCACCGTGGTTACTCAATATGTCGGATCTCTTCAGTCTCACAAAGTCGGTGCCGAAAAGCTTTTCCAAATACTTGGACACTTGAGATGTCTGCAGTATGCGATAGAGCGGTACAATTCTGGCTTGCTGTCCCAGAACCACGAGTTCCTCCAATACTGGCGTCGTCATACCTTGGGCTTGCTTTCCGGCTTCGGATTCCGTCCGGGTGCTGAATCAGAGGCAATTCAAATTTCTGGGCTCTTTGAGCTGATCTCTCAAGTGGAATTGATCTTCCAGCAAAACATTCAAGCAGCCCAAGAGTCTATCGCGAGTGGAATGATTACCTTTGCTGGATTGGGAGAACTGTTTAAGCCAGATATGCCCGTGAAATGTACGGCTATCCCTGGATCTCCTCCATGTGTATACCGCGTGGCAGATTGCTTCTATGAAGAGCGCCGTACACTCTTTGGATCACAGAAACACTTTCATGTCACTATGGAGGTCGTTGTTCTAGTGGGCGACCACTTCTCTGTGGCCACATTCTCAGAAGTCCTACCCCCTTGGAGCGGAGTGCATCGCCGCAGTCTCGCTGACTTTGGCTACCAACCTATCGCTGAGATCGAACGGCAAAAGTTTCAAGCACGCGGTGAACAAGCCGTCAATCACGGACTTGGTGGTGCAAAGTACCTAAGCTATGGAGCCAACACCTTCTATGTCCATACGAGTCGATTCAGACGAGATGTCACTGGGATGGCACAAGCTACGAACAGCGCACTATCTCTGACAGGAGGACGCATTATGATTGACATGGCCCGAGGCTCGTCGCTAGGACATTACCCTTGTCAAGGAGTCGATGAGGCTACTTTGTCTATCATACAGCTTGCAGGGCGCTATAGGCAGTGGCTTTCTAAACGGTCCCGCTTCGACACTCTGGAGACCGATCAGCTGGTCTTGTGGGATGCTGTGCCCAGAGAATTTGTCATCTTTTGCTGGCCCGCCCTTGTCGGCTTCAGTTTTACCACTAAGGCATGGGGTCATGTTCTAGTTGACGGTCTATCGCCAATTGAGTTCCAGGACCAAGCCTTTGATCACTTGGTGCTCAAGCAGGAGCGGAAGGACCTCATTCGCGCGGTGGTTCGCCATGGAACAGCCCTTCAAACACCTGATGTTATTGGAGGAAAGCAAGGCGGGCAGATATTTCTCCTACACGGGCCTCCAGGAGTCGGGAAGACTCTGACGGCTGAGGCCATTGCAGAGGTTCTCCATCGTCCACTTTACTACGTCACCATGGGTGAACTTGGTGTGACACCGGAAGATCTAGAGCGAAGATTGTCGGACGTTCTTGAACTGTGTGCTGAATGGGATGCGTTGGCCGTGCTTGATGAGGCTGACGTCTTTCTGGAGACCCGCAGCACTTCTGACCTGATCCGTAACGCGATGGTCTGCGTTATGCTCCGCATTCTCGAGTACCACCCTGGAATATTGTTTCTCACTACTAACCGAGTTCGAACAATTGACCCGGCCTTTGAGAGTCGTATCACTGTATGCCTTCGTTACGAAGCGCTTGATCATGATGCTCGGATGAAAATATGGAAAAGTCAAGTCGAAAGACTTCCTACTCATGGGTCACCGGATTTCGACTATTCCAGACTCGCAGAACAGCCACTGAATGGAAGGCAAATCAAGAATGCGGTCCGACTGGCGCGTAGTCTTGCTGCGGAAAAGAAAAGTCCACTGACAGAATCCATCTTGCTCACCACAGTGGACGTCATTTCTATTGGACGCCAAAACATGTTGGCGGATGATACATGGGAAACACATGTATAAAGTCCTTACATTGAGGATCCTTGGGAAGGTTGTTGGATCATTATTTGTGTATAGTGCTAGACTCAATATATGTCTAGTTGGCCTGTCACTTGTTTTGTCGACTCAGAGACGTAAAAGCCTGCCCATACGGTCAATCCGCGTTGTCGGCCAAGAAGAGCGTCACAAGGCACACTGCAGTTTGAGAAGAAATCCTTTATCAAAAAAAATCCACAGAAACTACCAGGACAGAGTTTAAATACGATGACAATATCTCCACCCCACAATATCTTCCCCAGAAAGGTCTTGATTGGCGCTTGACTAGCCTACTACGCACGACTGTCGGCATCTTCCCCCCACATCCCAGGGATGGCGGTTGCCACTTCCCATCCGCGATAAAGCTATACTCAAAGCGTGATATTATTGTAATACTACCAATAGATTATAGTCGATAATACACAAGTTCTTCCCCGGAATGGTGCATCTACTCGCCGACTTCGCGATCGTCGTCCCAGGTGATGAACTGTACCACCTTCCATTTCATGGAAGCAACCCTCATTTGCTTGCCCCAAATGTACATAGGAATCGAGAACAAAAGGCATCCACCTGAGATGGCCGCCATTTCACCGTAAGCGAGAGCATAGCCTTTTTCGACCCAGACATTGGTGTAGAACGAAAGGAGGAAACCAAAGCAGGCTGTATGCCCAAATGTTAGCATACGTTGTTAGTCTACGGGATATTTCATTGAACCCTTACATTTGAAAGCAAGTTGGGTCACAGTCACCTCGCCTGCGATAGGGCGATAGGCGTCAATGCAATAAGTGAAGGAGACATTGGTTCCTTGGACGACAGCAAAGGCATCTAAGTATGCATTGTTAGCAAATATCAAATTCAATGTAGTCAAGCATCAGCAAACTGACTGAAAAACAACCCAAGTGTCGGAACCATCCAGTGCATTTTGTTCTGGATGCCAACTCCGTAGAGAACAAGGGACAATGGCGACGCTATGATGGTGAGCACAATAGCAGGAAGACGCATTTCTGGCTCACGAATGCCACCATTCCGTTTAGTGAAATAATCGGCAATCCAGTCAGAGAATGGTCCGCCAAGCACAATTCCAAAGACGCATCCAATGAGATTGCCGATGAAGCACAGTCCGATTTGCCAGGGCTCCATACCATAGGTCGAGTTGAATGCGCTTCCGATATTGGAAGAAATGGCTACCAAGAATCCAATGGTAACGGACATGACAATTGTAGCCCAGAAAACTGGAGGCAGGATAATTAGACCCAGTGGGCGAACCATCATCCGCCATAAAGGCTCGTCAGTGTATTTGCGACCATCCCAGGGCTTGACGGTTTGCCAATAAGACTTTTTTGGCGGAATAGGAGCCACCTCGCTCTGAGTTTGTTCCCTCTCGCCCTCGCCAGCCTTCGACCCCCGTTTCGGATCGACGACAAGAGGATTGTTATATCTTTCGAATGCAGTCTCGGGGAAAGAAAAAACAACGACAAGCAGAGTAGCTCCAACCAATGCAGCTCCAACCCAGTAGATTGTTCGCCAGGTGTAGTTGATGACAATCAATCCGGAGATAACTGATCCAAAAGCCACGCCACCGGATAGGGCGGCATTGTAAGCTGCCATAAACAATCCGCGCTCATGTAGGAAGAAAATATCCGTAATGGTCAGTGGCGCGAGACATTCACCAGCACCTCCTGCAAAGCCGAGGAGAAGCCGAGTCACAATCTCTGCGCCGTAAGATTTCGCTGCCCCAGATCCGATGATCATGAAGAAATATATCAAGAAGCTGGCAATATAAACCGGCCGACGACCATACTTCAGCATCACTGGAACCCAAAAAAGATTTCCAACACCCTGTGCCAGAGCACTGTTATTGAAGAAGAATGCGGCGTGCGCAGGGGTCGTGTTGAAGGACTGGGCTACGGTGAGCATAGTCACCGTAGGACCCGCAGCCATGAAATTGCACATAATCATAGCGAAAGCGACAAGGATTGCGATCGAGATCTTGTACCATTGTTTCCTGATAATTATTCAAAGTCAAAACATGACACATGAAAATTTCACGCTGACATTAAAAACCCACCATTTCAAGGGATCGTTCGGGTCGAGAGACGGCGCAGGAATGAGAATGACCTCATTCGTCGTTGCGTCGCGAAGTCGGACGTGTCCTAGGGTATGATAATGCTCATCGTCGTAGGGGTGCTCATGATGGCTGACAGCTCCTTTCTCCAAGCCAAGTTCTGCCTTAGTCGATGACTCCGCCATATTGGTCTCTTTCTTGCGGTATCGAGAAGGTGGGCCTGAGAATGTCTCCCTCTGAAGGAGATATTCACTGTTATTAACTAATAAGTTCCATCATATAAGGACGGAATATGGGGTCTTTTCTCCAGAGCTGGGGAAAAGTGTGGGGGGCACGGAGAAGTAGTGGAGCCGAGTTGGACGGCATCAGTGTTGGTCGTTCATTTGTCATTCGGGACTTCGGTCGACGCCCGCATTTAATATTCTGCTAGACTTTGTTTAGATGTGAACATGGTTTTTTATAATTTGTTTACCGAACTCATTTCTCTCGCTTGATTCAAAGACGCATGCGACGTGGAAAATACGGTACTGGGTATGTATATGCTACTTTATTCATTCCAAGCCACAGATAAGACAGCCAATCGTCTCATGTATATGCGATATACCAGGTAACTAGCTGACGCGGCCCCTTAGGAAGACCTTAGCTCTGGTGCTGTCATTTACCCAGGTAAGGGGCAGCCGACTCGGAAGCGACTCGGTTCATCCCAATCGGGTCCACATTGAGAATGTTACCATGGACATTAAGCTAGCCAAGCTATAAATCTTTGAGATTCCCTTTCAGATATCTGGTTATTAACAAAGTGAATAGTCTAGAAAGACTATCAACAGGGATTGGAACTCCTTCCCGCTTCCACCATGGCGACATAGCTATATGTACGAGTGAAAGTGCCCATATTGCATTCATCAAATAATACAAAGCGAAAGAGTCTTCCTGGGTGTCTCAAGTCTCGCACTTATCATTATCCCATACTACATTGCGGTTTCACAAATTAATGGAGACTGTCTACTGTGTATATGTACTTGATCAAATTATTCTCTCCATTTCAATTTTCATAATAATTTCTCATCTATATAAGCGTCTCGGTCGATCGACAGAATATTACAAGAACCCGGAGTTCACCTTTGGCTTCAATCCTACTACATTGATGGAAGGTCGCTTTCATCCGGTCCCTCGTTGTACCTATTCGAAGTGGTTGGCTTCGCGTGGCGAAGCCGCTCACCACGTAGAACGTTGGACTGGTCTACCGCTTCTCTTTCATCCTGCTCTGCAGAGTTGTTAGCTTCAAAAAAATCTAGATAATCCGCAGTTGGTATTGTACAAACCTAGTTGTTGATCAGAATTAGAGTATGGTGGCTGAATAGGATCTTCGACTGGCTGTTCATCGCTTTGAACGGGGACTGTATCCTGCAGGTCTGGGTTTGGTTCACCTGCCCATGAATTATCTGCAACTGACCCGGTAACTGGTGACGGATCGTTGTCTCTTTCGTAGGAATCTTCGGCTTCTCTTTCGATAGGGTTGGACATGGTGAATAATTGGGGGATATAGAGAGATATGTATGGACGATGTATAGTTCAAGGTGCGCAATGAGTTTACTCGAGGAATTTTTATAGAGCACTGCACGTGGATTAGTAATACTCCTTTTGCCCCATAAACACATAGTCACGTAATGCTAAAGTAAAACTTCGATTAGAACAGATATGTCATTATGGGTCATTTCCAACTCGAGACGCCTCACTCGAGTGATATTATAACCATGGAATATCGCATCCCAGTCTTGAAATGTCCAAAACTCCATCCGAGCCTCGTCAGATATATAAAATTTAACGGCGAATTAACTTCACTGATGGGGTTTGGATCCCAATAAGGCTGTACGGGCCCATCCATCTGAAATCCGAGTGAAAGTTGGAAAGCCCAGTTAGATTTTACCCCAAACTCGTAGATCTTTGAGGGTGGCTTCTGTAAGGAGGATCGATGGCGCAGATGAAAATCTATGGGCTATAGACATGCATGCTATCGCTTTTGAGGATATTAGAACCTTAGGAAGTAAGACGAGGTTACCTAGGCTGCCAGGATCGGGTGGCAACTACAAGGCTCCGTCGATAGGGGTTTGGCGACCTCGATGTTACTTCAACATCCAGATTTATTATACCTTAGCCCCATTAAGCGGGACTCCCCCTTTCATTACCATTCTTGACACAGCAAGCTAGGTCTATATAAAGACGCGTCGGTAACAACTAATATTCGTTCAATAAGATCGATTCCCTAAGACACTGAAGTTGGTTATTCAAGTAGAGCTCGGTTTCCGCCCCACCTTTGCCCCATGATCAGCCACGCAGTTGTAACGATTACGACACTATGATTCGAGCTAGAGTCTTAGATAACTTGGCCACAGAAGCCGAAAAAGTAGAAACTCTGAGATGAAAGACATTCTAGAGCCACAGGCTCAAAATCACGGAAGAAGCCCATGGAAGTCCAAGTGGTATGATGAAGTGAACGGAACTTTTCCATGATAACTTCCATCACTACTTTCACAATGAAAATGGTCAAGGTAAAGAATATATTCCTTTTATGCTCAGGGCTGGGCTAACTATTAATTCCTAGAACGCCGCAAAGTACGTATCCGAAAGTGTCAAGGGTAGTACTAGCGAGACCGCTAAAGAGGCCAACAAGAATATCGCCAAGGACTCTGACGCATGCATCGGCACCCGGGCGACCGCAGCAAAAGATGTCGCCATCGACAAGAAGGACGAGTTTGTGCAAGAAGTGAAGGCGGACACTCATAATGGTATGCACTTGGTAAGGATGGAAACACCATGTCCACGTGGATGTTAATCTGTTCATCAGAGGCTGCTAAGCACCAGGTTTTCCATTTCACGGACGGACCGAAAACGTACGAGGGATATACAAGCACGAACATTGTCAATATTATTTAATTTTATGATCAATAAAGAGTGGGACGTATAATAATTGTGTATGATCGGCTTGCCTTTGATGTGCTCTATGAACGAGGGTTTTTTTTACGTTCTTGCTACTCGTATGACAAACTAGGCTTAATTATGATAGCTTCTGCTCTACTATCTATAGTGTTCCCTAATTCAACTTCAGGGGGGGCTTTGTTAATCATAATTTAAAAGAAATCTCGGGGGACATTTCTAGATAAATCTAAGGAGACACTCCAAAAGACTTCTAGAATGACCTTTCAAAAGAAAGGTAGTGAAAACGTATCTAGCTAGACTTTTTTGGCCAATCGCTAGATTCAGACTTCTAAACAAAGAGGAAACTAACCAAATTAGCCCTAATTTCCGTGCAAGTAACAAAGTCAATACCATTCAGTTCTCTTTCTACGAATAGATATTTAGTCCGCACCTCGGTGTTCTCCGTTAGCTAGTGCTTAGACTAAGTGCCTTTGGGTTTAGGTCAACCATGACTCCCCACTTCTGCCTTTCCATCAGCTCGCCTCAACCAGAGTGAAATCAATCATTTCCTGAGATAATTCTTATCTTGCTCAATACAAAAAAACATGGAGATAAGTGGGCACTGCACTGCACACGTCAGCGGCTAAGAGAATGGTCAGTTCTGACGAGGATGAGAGCCAGTGAATGTTCGGTGGCTGAACAATGGAGGGACGATCGTCGTGACGCTAAGCTTTAGCGATCATTAGCTGCATGACAAGCTACATCATCAGCTCAATTAAGCATCCTCATTATCGGGGCTAATCCGACACGTGTATGATTCGTGAATTCTCCTTTGTGAGCCGAAATGAGCCTGCAGAAAAGGCCAGATCAGATCTTATGACGGCAAGCGCGACGTGGTACAGACATAAATAAAAAGAATTTCCCAACCTGGCCATCAACTTTCCTCTCTCTAATCTTTCCATAGCCACTTTGATCTCATTCGCAAAAATGACCATCTCCCACTACGGTGTCTGGGCCTGCCAGCCGACTCGCTATTCCGCCGAGACAGAGAAACAGGACTCCAAGTCTCCCCATATCCATCTCTACTTCACCGACGATTCCTCGTCAAGCAGAAACCTCGAGGCAGCTATCAATGTCAAGTCCACTGACAAGGATACCCGACTTGTCTTTTGGCTGAATCGGAATTTCAGTCACCCCATCACCGAGGAGCTTTCGCAACTCGAGCAAGGCTTCCACCTGGCCCAGTCAGGCTCCTCGTCCAACTCAGCCCACGAGGATCACAGTCAAAGCTCATCTCGCCACCAAAGCCACGGTCACCACCATTACCACGAACGCCTTGTTCGCCGACAAGAGTCCACCTTGCAAGGTCTTGATTTTGTCCGTACGGAGAACCTTATCGATATCCAGTCCGGCCAAGTTCTTCCGCATGATATTCCTGGTCCCAACAATGACATTCTGGACGAACTTGACCCCATTCTAACCGACGCGATCAACAAGAAGGCGACTGCCTATATCTTTGGATCATCATATGGCTCCGGTATTCATGACATTCATATGAACCAGGGCAGTCTTCCTAGTTTCGCCAACGGTATCTACGAGGATGGAGCATTGCTGTTCAAGTTTGATGATGGACACTGGGAGGCTGTCTTCCTGGCCTTTGCCTCGCAGAAGATCCCCACCGATGACCAGGGTGAAGCACAGTCCAACAGCAAGTCACTGGCAGATATTCTGGGGCAGTGATTAGACCTTGCATATGAAGGAATTATGACATTTCCGAATCCAATGAACGTGTCGGAGTTCTCAATTCTTCGAACAAGGTGGTGTACTTAACTTTTCATCTATCGGGTTAGGCCCATAATTGTTAGCGGCAAGAGCGTCTAACTCCAGGAGTTCAATACAGGCCAGCCCTGGATATACCAACATCTCTTTCTCTGCATTATTTCCCGGTAAATTTTACTCGAGGCCACGCTACTCCTTGTGGACTAAGCTTGTAAACCGCTCCCAGAGACACAAGGGCTTAGCATGAGAGTTGCAAGGGAACTATTATTTTCAGGACTTGGGACAACCAGACATGGTATTACCCATGTCTCTACATGATTAAATATATGAAAATCTACTAATTACAAGGCTACCAGCCCATTGTTGTGCCGTAAGGCAATGTTGGAACACTGTTGTGTTTGTAGTATGCATGAAAGATTGCCTATTAAGGTTGTCAGACAAAATAAGGCATCTGAGTAAAACCCCCTATTGAATACTAACCGGCTCTCAAAATATCAATATCTTTACCCCATACTATTTCCCCGACCAAATAAAACCAACAATTGCTCTGACATAAAATTCCCCCGCATGATGTCACGTGGTTTTAGCGTCGGTTACCCTCGGCGCGGAGAGAACCATAGATAAATGGCCATGCTCCAGTTCATCGACAACGAAGCCCCTCGATTGCGACTCTGAGAGCATCATTTTCTTTCTCTCTACTCCTCCAAGGTGATCCATCATGAACATCTTGCGCACTGGGGCTAGTGTTCCCCGTGCCCTGCGGCCCTGTCGACCCCAGAGTCTTCTCCGCACTCGTTTCCCCATACCACCCGTCGCGAGCCGCGCCTTTCACGCCGGACCATCGTTGTGGGGAATTAAGTCGCAGGTTCTCAAGGATGTCGGTGAAGGTGAGTCTGAATACCTTGCTGTGGCTTTGTGGTATCTGTGAAGGGAATTAAATGCTAATATTGGGGCAGGTATCACTGAGGTCCAAATCATCCAATGGTATGTGGAAGAGGGGGCTCATATTGAGGAGTGGAAGCCGTTGTGTCAGTATCAGTCCGATAAGGCAGTAGATGACGTGAGTTCTTTCTCTTATCCTTGGCTTGGTGGTTTGCTAACACGGACTTAGATTACATCGCGATATGCCGGTGTCATTAAGAAGCTACACTTTGAGGCGGACGATACAGTACCCACCGGACGGGTAAGTTGCCAGAGCCTCGACTGGTTTTACTCTCCCCGACCAAACTAACCACATTGACTAGGCTCTATGCGATATTGAAGTCGAAGACGGGAAATACCCTGACGATCAACCTCCTCATGAGCCAACACCAGAGCCAGAGCCGCCCGTGACAGCTCCAGAGACCGAAATACTAGCCACTGCTCAAACAGCCGAGACCTCTCCCATCGATCCTCAAGTACCAGAGGAAACCGTCGAGATACCCAAATCCAAGCATGCATCCCTTGCCACGCCAGCCGTGCGAGGCCTCCTCAAAACCCACAAGGTGGACATTCTCGACATCAACGGAACAGGCAAGGAAGGACGTGTCCTCAAAGAGGATGTTCTCAAGTACGTGGAGAGCCGGGACTCTCCCGTATCAGCAGTCTCCCCTCAAGTCACACCATCCATTACACTGGACACCCGGCAGGCAGAGTCCGAAGTCACCCTTACCCCCATTCAATCCGCCATGTTCAAGACCATGACCAAATCCCTCAACACTCCACATCTACTATACGCCGACGAACTCAAAGTAAACGACATCACTTCCATCCGGAAGAAACTCGTCAGTGACGCCCGTGATCCCAAGAAGATCACTTTCCTCCCCTTCGTCGTCAAAGCCGTCTCCCTAGCCCTGAACCAATACCCCATTCTCAACGCCCGCGTCGACACCACCGACCCCAACAAGCCCAAAATCATCATGCGGGAGAAGCACAACATCGGCATCGCCATGGACACGCCAAAGGGCCTCATCGTCCCCAACATCAAAGACGTCGCCAACAGATCCATCTTTGACATTGCCGCCGAAATCTCACGCCTCAGCGCCCTAGGCAAGGAAGGCAAACTAGGGCCCGCCGATCTAAGCGGTGGAACGATCACAGTCTCGAATATCGGGAATATCGGTGGCACCTATGTGGCACCGGTGATTGTGCCGACGGAGGTTGCTATTCTGGGCGTTGGACGGACTAGGACGGTTCCCGTGTTTGATGATCAGGGAGAGGTTACGAAGGGGGAGATGGTTAACTTTAGCTGGAGTGCCGATCATCGGGTTATTGATGGGGCGACGATGGCGCGGATGGGGAATCGGGTGCGTGAGTTGGTTGAGTCACCTGAGTTGATGCTTCTTGAATTGAGATGAATAGAACATATAGAAGAGGAATAAAAAGGATGCAATTTGATATCAATGTTGGTTTAGGGAATTCCAACTATAACACATGGACTTTTGTTTTGTACTTTGCCTCGAGAACTTCCTAGATAGGTATGGGTATGATTGCCTGGCTGGAAGAGGAGTCTTCTTGATAAAACGCGAGGGAAAACACTAAACAAGTTCTTCGTGACCAAAGCCTTCAGCCAAATGCATTCTTGAGAATCAAATCAAGTCTATTGAGAGCCTAGACTGTAGCTGCTATGCATTTGCCCCGACGTATGGGGGTATCAAGACACGAACCCATGTAGAGTCGTACAATCACGCCACAGATAAAAAAAAGATGCAAGCCATATGGCAAAGAAAAGAAAAGAAAACGCCAATCAAACAGATCCCAATACCAATAATTCCAGCAAGAGTAATAACCATTTCCAGTCCATCTGGGGGTCGGCTAGTTCCAGATATCACCAAAAGAAAACACCAATGACACCAAGCAAAGGAAACACGAGTCCTCGCATGCAAAACCACAAGATACGCACATCGTTAACCATTGCGGGGTTTACCTTCCCTCATAGGTATTCCGAGAGCTTCTTCGTCACGGTGTCGATCACTTCACGCTGCACCTGCTCGGGGGGACCCTCGACGTTGATCGTGATGGCATCCCACTCCTTCTCTGGCTCCTCCAGCGCCTGCATCTGAGAGCGTACCATGTCACTCTTCATATAATGGGATTGGCGCTGGCTGACGCGCTGCATGAGGACTTCCTCGCTGAGCTTGAGGTAGATAAAGTGGATCTGGACGGAGGGCGAGCCGTAGGCGGCGACGCGCATGACGTCGCGGTACTTCTGCTTCAGTGCGGAACACGCGACCACGACGCCGGCGGGTGGGTGGAAGTTGTTGGCGTCAGAGGGGGAGAGGGCTTCAATGGCGGCTTTGCGGAGGGAGATCAGCCAGTCCCAGCGGTCTTCGTCGGTGAGAGGGATGCCGTTGCCCATTTTCTCTTTGTTGGATTTGGGGTGATACTATATCAATGCGATTGTTAGTTTTCTTGTTGTTCTCATTCCCATTCAGGGATTATAGTCCGAGGGAACCAATGCGCAGGGACATAACGTACATCATCGCCTTCCAAGAAGGGCACCCCTAGTTCTATGCGCAGGCCATTGCCCACGGTGCTTTTTCCACAACCCGCAGGACCGGTAACAATCCAGATATGTTGGACGTGAGCCGGCTTGGGAAGCTTCTCCTGGATCAAGTTGGCCGGGTTGGAGGAGGAGCCTGGTTTGGCATCGAAATCAGGCATGATGTGCCCCTTGCCCACGGAGACGGAAGGCGGATCTACTATAGCAGATGAGTGCGGAGGCTGAGGCCGTTCGCCGGCGGAGAGCATGATGCTGAAGGCAAAAAGAATGCGATAGGGCTTTATCGTAAGGAATGGTCCTGGGGAGGTGTGATCCAGGGAAATTGGCCGAAGATGAATGGATGACGAAACGATGCGGTGATACGCGGAAAGGAGATTGGCGCTGGTTCCGGGAGGAAAGATTGGTTCTATACGAATGATGCTAAATATGCACAATGCACAGGAAGACGACAGTGAGGAGTGATCCTCTCTTCTCTTTATTGGAATGAGTGCGGTCGGGGGGGAAGGAGGAGAGAGTCGCGCGACAGGGCCGAGTCGGGGCTACTTTTTAAGTATTTCAGGTATGGACGGTGGGGAAACCCGAAGAAAAGCAGAAGCCGAGTGGGGGACTTGCAAGCGGCCTGGAGAAATCGGCGATGATTCGCTGAGTCTGCAGGGCCCTCATTACCCGAGTGGAGGAGTGGGAAAAAAAGAGTGGGATGGTCCTGTTGTTGAGTTTCTCCAGTCTGGTGATCGATCGACGGGGCCCTGCAGGCCATGGCAGTCAAGAAGGAGATTGTATCTCTCGCTGGATCTCATCTTTTCTGAAGGATTCGAAGAGACGTAGTCCAATGATCCAGGCTCCGAATTGTGTATCGTCAGCATTTGGCAAAAGGCGATGACCAGAATTGGAAAAGGCACATGATGTCACTGGACTTGGATACGAAACGGTATCAGACGTGTTTTTTGGCTGCCCCCACGCTAGTGGGACTCTGCGGAAACGTGGCGGCTCCGTGGATTTGGTCCTGGGTAACTCCTGGAGTAACTAGTCGAATACAGACTTACGTATCGGTATTTTTGTTTGACTCGTGATCAATTAAACATTATTCACGACTCCGTGGATTATCTCGCAACTACAAGTGTAATAATAAATGAGAATTACAAGAGTTTCCATATTACTCCACATATCCCGCGGAGTTAATCACACTCTCGAAAAAAGCAAGTTGACCTTGAATCGGAAAAGGCTTTATACTTCCCCGTCTGCCGTTTGCCTAACCTTACACATATCCGACACCTATAGTTAAGGGACACGTTTCTCCGCAACTGCTGGCAAGTTTGGACAAAACTGGGCAGACCTGCCAATCTCTTCCAAGGGGTTGGAGTACTTATTACGTGCCTGATACCGCACTCGGGCCATGCTTTACGAGGGCGCCAGCAGGAAGCTCTCTGCATGACTGTCACACCGACTCGAGCTTACGCCCGAGTACGTTGGCTACCGGAAGTACCTCTTTACGCATGAGAGATTTCCCGCATCGAGTAATGGATAATTCTCCATGGTTACTACGTTCCCTTTATAGACCCCACACCGCATCGTAGATAATCATTCGTTGCTTCTGTCGGAAATCCGGGGAAGCCAATCCGCAGGGCCGCTATAGGACGTGGCTCGGGAAGCAGAATCCGGTGCCCCAATTAGGCTTCCCTTTACAGTCTACCTTGTAATAAACGGCTCCAGGGAGGCTCATGGAGTGACATAAACTGTGGTTCTTCTCTCTTGAAATATAGCTCTAGCATAGGTTCGCCGCTTACCATATCCTTAGCTCGAGTTACCAGTACCACAGTCATGAGCGGTATCCATTCTTCAAGACCTCTGCAATAGAATGGCAATAACAGCAACAGCCAACCAATTTTACCAAAATATCTCCGGTAGTTAACCTTCTATCTATCGTATATAGCTAAACTCTCCACAATCGAAGCAGAAAATATCCTGCAACTTCGTGATTGCTACTTCATCTTTGCTTCGACGTCAGGAATTTCATAGCTGCCTGCGGGTATTACGTAAGCAGCGAGGCCACGTTCGGGATCATCATCGCGAGCTCGACTCCGCGCAACCTCTCGCAGCTACACAACGATGGCTTCCCTCTTCTTCTCCACCCCCGTCGACATCGACGTCGTTCTCGAGGACCTCGATGAGCGCCAGACTGTCGATGTCAAGCTCGACAAGGGCCGCCGCGAGCGCGTCCCCCTGTACATGGACGGCGAGTCGGTCAAGGGCGCCGTAACGATTCGACCAAAGGATGGCAAGCGATTGGAGCACACGGGTATCAAGGTGCAATTCATCGGGTCAATCGGTAAGCTCACACATTTGGGGGTTCTCAGTCGGAGTGCCTAGAAACTAACCGAAGCCGCCGTCCAGAGATGTTCTACGACCGAGGCAACCACTACGAATTCCTATCGCTGGTCCAAGAATTAGCCGCCCCCGGCGAGCTGCTACACCCGCAAACCTTCCCTTTCAACTTCAAGAATGTCGAGAAACAATACGAATCATACAATGGGATCAATGTGAAGCTGCGCTACTTTGTGCGCGTGACGGTCTCCCGGCGCATGGCCGACGTCATCCGCGAGAAGGACCTGTGGGTGTACTCGTATCGCATGCCGCCCGAGACCAACAGCCCGATCAAGATGGACGTCGGAATCGAGGACTGTCTGCATATTGAGTTTGAATACTCCAAATCCAAGTACCACCTCAAGGATGTGATCGTTGGTCGGATCTACTTCTTGCTCGTGCGGCTCAAGATTAAGCATATGGAGCTGTCTATCATTCGACGAGAGACTACCGGATCCCCACCAAACCAATATAATGAGAGTGAGACGCTTGTGCGCTTTGAGGTATGTTCTGACTTGGTTTATATGCTCTTTTCCCTGTTTGGGGACTGTCCTAGGAGATTTCACTCAATGGAGAACTGGGCTGACGCAATTTTAGATAATGGATGGTTCTCCTTCGAGAGGTTAGTGACTGATTGCCTTTGGTGCTGTTAAAACCTCTGCATTGGGATTTTAGATCCCAGCTTGGTTCAGCCGGAAACAACTCGGTTTTTCAAATGCTGACTTGCCACAGGTGAAACAATCCCAATTCGTCTCTTCCTGGGCGGGTTCGACCTCACGCCTACGTTCCGCGACGTCAACAAGAAGTACTCAACACGGTACTATCTCAGCCTGGTGCTAATTGATGAAGGTGTGTATCAATTCCCCCTTCCCAGCCCTTGCCCTGCTCCTGCTCCTGCTCTGCATCGATTTCCGTGGGACAAGGTTGGCGTCAAATGGTCCATCTCGAATGGTTTCAACCGTTTGGAGCATGGACAGCGAAACCGGGTGATATCAATCATACCAATACCCGTCGGCAAATGATACGAGCCGACCGGTTCGGTTCGGTTCTGGTTGGCACACCCCACGCCGTTTCGCAGTTCCCGACTTTGCCGTCTCGCCCACCCCCACACTAACCTAGTCTTGGCATTTCACAACCTCCACCAGAATAGATGGACCATACCGTTCCTGAAATTTTTGGTTGGGAAATCCGTCCACTAACGTTGACTCTAATAGATGCTCGTCGTTACTTCAAGCAATCTGAGATCGCCCTTTTCCGCCAAGCACCCGAGATCGCCGCCACCCCTCAGATCGCCCAACAGCAGCAAATCCAGCAACAGGTCCTCCTGCAGCAACAGCAGGCCGTCCTCCCGCCAGGATCTGCGACTGCCGGCCCGGGTCGTGAGGTGACTCCCGCCGTCAATCGGGAGAATAATACACCTGCGCCCGTCTCGGCACCGGCTGCATGATCTTCATATCGAGGTTGAGGCCATTGCAACAACTGTATCCTTGGGAGCTGCGACGTGAAGAGACTCTATTTGCTTGCTTCCTTCTCCTATACCCACATCAGTCCTCCTCTCATTTTCCTTTTACTTCTTTTATCCTCCCTCCCTCTCCCTATCTTTCTACTTTCGTGTGCCCAAGTCATTGGGTCCATTCACGGTCATGTTACGATACCATCCTGTAGTCTACCGTTTTACATCCATCTTCAGATTTCAATAAGACGAGGAGTCCATCCATTCAAAGTACTTCAATTCCTGAATCCGTTTTGAGAAAAAGAAACCGCTCTTATCTGTGACGCATGTTTATGGAGAAGGGATTAGATACATAGAAAAAAGAAATACATGTCTCAGACTGAAAAGGTGCAGACCCGTCCAAATTGAATCAATCAAGCTGGCCAATTTCCTGTAAGACTTTGCCGAGTGCCTGCAGAACCTGCCCGTCATCTCGTTCCTTGCCCGCGACCTGAATCGCCTTAACGATGAGCGGGAACATCCATTCGAGATGCTTGCGGTGGGGACGCTCCGTAGAAGCCCCACCCGTAGACAAGACAGTCTTGATAGATGGCGGATCCGGTATGGCTGATGGCTCACTTTGCAATTGCACCATATGCAGGAGAAGATGAAGCAGGGCTTTGCGTGCGGGCGTAGGCTGGGGCATGAGTCCGCGTAAGGGCTGATCTGCAATGTAGCCCTTGAGCGGGATCGCGCACCGGAGAAGAAGGTAGGGAGAAATCGAGCAGGCCAGGAGTGTCCGGGGGCATGGCTTCGAAGCGTCGGGCTCGGGGCTTTCCGCAAGCTCGAAGAGAGTATCTATGAGAGCATATGCCATGTTCGGGCGCAGTGTTGGTGGCGGGTCAAAGGTTCGCCCTGTACGGATTCTATAAAAGTCTTGTAACGGGGTTTTCTCGATTGAGTTGGAAGGCAAGTCCAGGCGCTGGGGTGGGTAGATGAACGAGGAGTGGAAGAGTGCGAGAGCGAAATTTTGGCGGACACTATCCGGGATGGCAAAGGCACCGAGGGAGGGGAGGATGAATGTCTTCAGGCGGGTAAATGAGTCAATGTCGAAATCCTCGTCGGCGAGGATTCGAGCATTAGATAACTGCTGGGTTTGGAATCCGTGAGCGGAGACAATGCCGTGGGTAATGTCAACCACGCAACGCCAGAAGCGTGCTATGTCCGCTTCGCTTGCACTGTCATACTGCTTTTCGATGTAAGGAACTGCAACTTGAAGAACATTCAATGATGCGGTAGAAGCCTGTTGCCACATGTATGGCTCGCGGTCCTTTCCTTCCCACGTGTACTTTTGCAGGATCAACGCACCGAAGCGTTCAAGGGCCGACGCCAGCGCGTCGTTGGAGAGGATATCCTGCTTGATACCGAAGTCGGCAATGTACCAGCTGATCAGGTCGATGGTGGATTTGGAGAAGGCGACAAATCCTGGCTTTCTCGAGTCATTACCGGGGCTCCATTTTGTCAAAGCCGATCCGGACAGATCGGCCAGACACAACAAGATCGCAGGCTGGGATTCCTCTTTTTCAGTGCAAAGGGTTTTGATACATTCAATGACCAAGGCTTGCAAAGCAGAAGGGCGATCGACATCCGGAGAGTACGGTGGAGACACCGAGTTCCACACTAACAGACGCAGATGCTGAAGCACCTTCTCGATATTTTCCGGGCTCAGGTGAGCTTTGTGCAGGCGGTATATCTGCTGGAAGCTTTGCATGTACGCTAGGGCAGCATCTTGATTGGGTCGGTCGAGGTCAATAGCAGTTTCATCATCTGCAGGATGACCGTTGGCCCAAAGATTCCATGCGCATTCTCGAGCCTCCTTGGTCAAGCCCTCGGGAGACTGTACTCGAGCCAGAACAGAGGCAATGCTTGCAAAGGTTGCCTCGCTGAACTCCAAAAGACGCATATCCACCAACCCCTGGAGGTACTTGAGGAGTCTTGTCCAGGATTGGTCAAAGTTCTCATCGCTCACGATAGCGTCGAAGAAATTAGTGATGAGGTTGAACACTCCGTTGATCATCAGCACGGTCGTCTCCACCCATGATTTGAGATCGTCTTTGGCAGTTTCCTGTTTCGTGGCCTCGTCCAGGGTAGTACTGAGATTTTCCACCATCGAGAAGAGGACTCGATTCAAACACAGTTGCCATGCCTTTGGAGAAAGTTGCTGTCCATAGGCATCGAAAATCCTCAGAAGCGTGTGGATCGCACTGTTCCGGATCTCAGACCTTGTGTCCGTGGTGATTCCAACGATGCGAAGAAGCAACAGTAGCCACAGAGTGTTTCTGGACACAGACGGGTCTTGATCGCAGGCCAGCTTGCCGAGCTCCTCCTCGCTGACGGAAGAATCAACGTGGCTCTCAACTGAAAATTGTTCAATTTGGCCTCGCAGGAAATCGGACACATTCCAGAAGAAAGAAGTTGTTGACAAGGAAATGTTAAAGTCCTGTATTTGGGATGCAAAGCTGGAGAACGAGTTCACCAGGGCCAGCAGACAGGGTGCTGGGAGCAAAGAGAGGAAATCAGACGCAACAAGGTGTAAAGACTTGTAGGCAGCTCGGACAAGACGTGGGCCGCCTGGAAGAGCAGACCTCCTGCGTTCAGTCGGCGCGGTAAGCTGAGCACCACTTGCTGTCGCGGAAACACCCCGGAATACGCCAGATATCAGGTCAAATATGAGACTCCACCCGTCCACGAGTGTCTCTGCGTATTGTTCCAGGATATTATGGAGAATTTCCAGACTTTGTTCATGGATCTCTATCACAGTGATCGGAAGTGACTTTGCGGTCACTTGATCCGACGAATACAGCGTTGTTACCTGATCCTTGAGTGTCTGCAGGTTTCTTGTCTGTACCCTGTTGCGAGTCTGATCATCATCTGCTTCCCTTGGCTTCATAGTCAAATAGATCAATGAATTAAGAATACTGCTAGCCTGCAAGCGGAGGTTAGGGCTGATTGCAGTGTTCGCAGACGTCGCAATGAGACTTCCACTCAGAAGCTGCCACGCTGCAACATTCTCTTCATCAAGTGAAGAAAGCCTGTCCAGGTTCGCCCGAGCCAGCTCATTTCCCTTTTCGAGCACAAATTTCAACTCCTCGTCCTGCATTCTAGATTTGCCCACGGTGTGCGAGACACGACGAGCATTTTGGTGCATTCGTCCAGATTTCCGCGAAGACTGAGGGGATTGTGGTGGCTCAGACACCTCTTGGGCTGATTCTTCAGGGGTTCTCTGCTCAGTGAATGCAGAAAGGTTCAGCAAGGCGAGCAAAACTTCTTGGAAGGATGCACTAGGATAGTCACTAGTGCTTTCAAACATCTTTGTGGAAGCCGTCTGGACTGCAATCACCTCCGCTCCAAGATTTGCCGTTGGAATATCATTGCCAGAAATGACTATGCTTTCCCCTGTGCCGCTGGCCGATTTGATCAAAGTACTGGAAGATATGCCAATCACAAACCCAGCGTATTGAAGTGTTTCAAGCAGAATGGACCAGGCCGGCTGATCCAATGTTGGTCCCAACGCGATTCCGAGATTGAGCAAAGCCCGCAGACATAATAGGTTTCTTGTGCTCAAGGAAACCGAAGAGGTTTCAGCGGCTGACGAACCGGTCAAATCTCCGGGCACGGAGTTTGATCGAGGTATATCCGAGCTCTTGCGATACTTTTGAGGGGTATCTTCGGACTGCGGGCCGCCCAGAGACGGCGTGGCAGGGCTTTGAGTCTTTACGCCGCTCGCGCCGGCCGGAATTGCAGCCTTCCCGAGAGTTGTGAGAAATGCATCTCGAGGCACAGAGAGTCTTAAGAGACCCGCGACATGGGCCAACTTCTGAAAAGCGCGAACAAGGTTGTGGTAGTATTCGTCGTCTAGTGAAGCGTGCAAGAAAGTCGAGCAAGCGGCTAGAACTGCAGGCCAGCAGTCTTCAATGATTCCAGCACAGGTCTTGATGGCCGAATATTGAACATGAGATTGCAGATCCAAAGGGTTGATCGGGACCGATGATTTCTTTAATGGCGAGACCGCCTGTGCACGCAAAATATCTGGTGATTGAAGATCTTGGGAGGAGCGGGCAGAATCAGTTGCCTGGTCAGGACTCATGATTCTATTTTTCTTCTTGGATTTCACATCCGGAACAGTGAGTGGTAGGATGAACTTGGCAAGCCCCTCTGCAAAGCTGCTGATGCAGTTGAGAACAAGGCTGTAGATGTAAGTCTCCGGGGGTAGCGGCGGGTCGGCTTTATCGAGGAGTTCGATGTATGGCGTCCGCACCACACTCCACTGGGTGCTGATGCCAGGCACTTTAGTTTCAGCAGTGGGGCCGGTAGATCCAATGACACCAGCGACGCCACCAGTCTCAAGAGCAATTTGGTCTTCTGTTGCAGACCTTGTATGCTCTGCTCGGAGCGGTATTGTTGACTGATTGCTGACTCCGATCAAAGATGGCTTTTCAGAGGCCAGGCGAACGAGAGAAGCCATATGATCCCTAAGAACGTTCTTCCTCTTCTCGTCTCCATCGTATAGCGAGTAGATCATTCGAACGACTCCAGGCTCGGCGTAAAGGCCTCGGAAAATCTCCATGCATAACACTCGCTTCCATGGCGCATTCCCGTCCGGCTCAAGCAGATGAGTTAACAAACCAAATGCCATCTCACACTCCGCAGTCAAGAGAGATATATGGCGTTTCAGAAGCACGAGTAGAATCCGAGCAACGCGGACGGTCTGAGAGAATGAATGCCTTTCGGAGAAATATCGTACCGTGAGTGGCATCAGACGAACTCGCAGAACTTGTAATAGTTCCGGGTGTCCCACAAAGAGACGGCCACTGTTAAGTATGATGCTTTCTATAAGTTCCAATACAAACGTGGGGGACAAAGTTCTCGTGCGCAGAAACTGCAATTGCTCCCCATCGATGAGGCGACAGAGATCATCTAAGACCTAATGGAAAGAATGTCAATATCACAGACCAATCACTAGATAATGAAATCTAACCTGCAAAGCGTCATATGCGAATTGGGCCACCTCCACTGGATGGCCATCGACCTTCACGGTGGTGAAGGTTTTGGCATCCTTCGGCAGCTCTTTTTGATGCACGAATTAGTCACTTCCATTAATACAATTCTGGGGCCATTCATCACGTACTGTCTTCATTGGATACCCTTTCGAAAGTCGAAACCACCAGTTGCTGCAGGGTAGCAGCCGCAGTGCTGCTTACAGCAATAGTCTTGCTGGCTTGCAATGTTGCGCAAATCTCCAATGTATTTGCCAGCAAATCGCCGCTCAAATCATTGGAATAAAATTGCAGAAGCGAAGGCAAAGATTGCAAGATCTTTAACTGGATGTCAAGGCCTATAAGATATTAGTAAACTCGTGTCCATTGTTGTACTCGGTCAGCTCTATCATACTTAAGCCGGTCGTCTCTTTTAAGCCTGCAAGAACATCTTTCAAGCGATGAGAAGGTAATGACCGAGATGCGATCAATCGTTGCAGGCAAATGACGCCGATTCCAGCAAGTTTCGCGTGCCGCGTATGACACGCGATAATGAACGGCTCGACAAATGCCGGTTTACGCACGAGGTCTGGTTCAATTATTAGCTATCATTCTGCTTCAGTGCAGACTTTAGAGTCTTACCTGCCGAGATCTGTGCTTCAGACGTCGAAGGTAGAGCCTTTAGCTCGTTAAGGGACTGCTCGGCTGCCTAGATCTTCCGGTCAATGTCTGGTCAGGGAAATGTCCGAGAAGAGATGAACTGACTGTTCGGAGGTCGGCATTCTTTCTTCGAGACTCCTGTATGAGATTTGCGAGCTCGGTCTGCAAGAATTGGGAGGACATTTCCAATGTAAAGCGGCTACCTTCACCGCATGGCCGATGTTATCCCAGTGGCCGAATGTCTGAGAGTCGACAATCAAAGCCCCTTGACTGCAAGTGTTTGAGCTGTTCCGTTTCGTTGTATGCCAGATTCAGCGAAGCTTCTAGTCAAATTTTATGCAGATTCAACCACTCCAAAGGCCGATTTTGCTCTGAAAGTCTCGTGAATCAGTTGCGCAATCAACAATCCCCGGCGTGGCATCTCCAGTGCCAAGGCTCTCGATAAGACCCCTATCGCACGTGACTAGCGGTCATCGATCCAGCAGCCGCGGGCGGGAGGAAAGTGCCCCTCATCCAATCCTCACGAACTTCTCCGTCACCTTCGTGCTGTCGCTGGATCCGAATTGATCACTCTGACATTAATTGAACCCAAAATGGCTGCCACGGTTCCGCGAAACTTCCGCCTCCTGGAGGAGCTCGAGAAAGGCGAGAAAGGATTGGGCGCAGGTACGAGCGTCCTGGACTCCGAGAGCATCCAATCAACCACTAACTAATCATGGCTTTAATTGCAGAGGCTTGCTCTTATGGACTTGCTGATGGAGAGGACATGATGATGAGCAACTGGAATGGAACCATCCTTGGGCCCCCTCATGTTTGTCTACCTTCAATCCCCGCATCGAGTGTCGTGTGCCCTTGTCTACATGGCTAATCAATTCTGGTATTAGAGCGTCCACGAGAACCGGATATACAGTGTCAACATCCACTGCGGACCCGACTATCCCGACAACCCTCCTACTATCCAGTTCGTCTCGCGAGTCAACATTCCTTGTGTTGACCAGCAAACAGGCAAGGTACGAACCGAATCAATACCGCAGAGACAGGCCAGGGAACTAAATTAGTGATATCATAGGTGGATCCATCCAAAGTCCCGTGTCTGGCTCAATGGAAGCGGAACTATACCATGGAGACCGTCTTGATCGAGCTGCGGAGGTGAGATATTCATGTGGACTCAACATTCTGGCTTGCATTACGCTGACTGCTTATCTAGATACATGGCCTTGCCCCAGCACAAGAAGATCGCACAGCCCCCAGAGGGATCGACCTTCTAAGGTCTGCATGTCACCCATAGGGTCACGAAGGAATCCGGAGTACCATGGTTTTCTCTTTGATGTTCCTTCGTTTTATCTTTCATTTTTCTATGATTATCCTTTCGAGCGTGTATAGTGTATGCATGGCAGTATGGCGCGGTTTCTCTGAAGCCAAATTCAATTCATTCATAACGTATCAACAATCATGTTGTTAATCGTAGCCTTAGCTTTTTGACACCCGTGGCAGTCAGTAATGTGTAATGTGATAATAGCTATCACACGAAAAAGCATTCGGTTTAACACTCATTTTCTAAACAACAACAATGATCCAGATACTGGGCTTCGTATCTAGCGGCACCTTTGTGTAACGGTAAGATGCCCCGGCTTGCGGTTCAGTCGTCCAGCCAGTTTTTCTTTTCTCATTTTGGGTAACCAGGTTTCCATTGTCGCTAATCTTCTTTTTCTCTATTTTTCTACCTCGTCACTCTATACATCCGTATCGATCACGTGATGTTCTTCCTCATTTGATCGGATGCGGAGAGCTTCCGCAATTTCTCGAATCCGCCCTCGAGTACTCGAGATCACGGAATGCATAAGGTCTTAGTACCAAGTCGCTCTGGGGTCCACCGCTTTGCTTGTGAGATTAACCCCTCCTCTCAGTTTCTGGCCTAGGCTAACTCTATGATTCCCCGCAGGTTTGGCGCTTTATCGGGCCCTTCTCCGACAATGTTCTCCCTCCGCCGCCGGTGATGCGCCTTGGCGCGACGAGACCAAATGTCTCGTCCAGCAAAGGTTTCGAAGATATAAAAGGCTACAGAGTCCTTCTCAGATCGCAAATGCATTGAAGGCAGGATACGAGGTGCGCATGGGCAACAGCTATACCAGCAATTCTACAATACTGATAAGATACGCTTCGATATAGGCTGTGGATTTGCTTGACCGCACGTCTAAAGGAAGCCAGCCGGACTCCCACAAGCTCACTGCGATACTTTCCCAGGCAAAGTCTTTCAAGGAGCAATATGCCGCTGAGCAAAGAAGGGTTGCGGAGCTGATTCGACCGAAGCCGGTATCACCGAGACAGGCTCGAAAGGAAGAGACTATACGATTCGAGCAAGAAACCTCCCGCAAGCACCCAGATGCTCCGTCGATTCTGGATCGCCCGCGACTAAATTTAAACGGGAAACGAAAGGTGCCGGTGCTGGTAAATGCGCGTGGGATACCTTTCTTGCGAATCAAGAAGCCTCAGCCGAGGAATCTGAGTGGTGTCATACGAAGCAAGCTCGAAAAGCGCTGGAACCGTATTGTAATCCGTGACAGGCTACATGTGGACCTTCTCTTTGCCAAAGATGAGGACGCTTGGGATCATCTCACCAGAGCCGCGGAGCGACCGACGTGGTCCGAAGAGGTCAAGCTTGCTCTGGATAACGTGTATGACAAAATTCGGGAAACCGACAGGCAAAACCGCGAGCTGGCTGAGAGTATGTGGAACATTGTGCTTGAAGAGAGAAAATTGGCGGAGAAAGAAGACGAGCAGAGACAGTTGAACCAGTCGGCCTTGCAGGACAGGACTACTTGACCCATTCCACTCAGGTGGTCGTCGTCGTTCTCAGTGGCCTGCTGTGTAATGCTCCCGATGTGCTCTCGGCTTTGGGCTTAATCGGTTTTTTATCGGGACATGCCCCGGTTTTGTATAATAGACATTTTTCAATTATGATACCCCCAATTTTACTGGTTGTTCGAACTTGAAGCACACCCTTCTGTCGATGTATAAGTAGACAGTGTATCTGGCTCGGTTCGTTAGAATAAAGCAAACAGATATTGTTCATGTCATCGTAGACTCGTTTTGTGCTATGTGCATAAGACTCCAGAGACACGTAAATCGTGTGAAACAGAACTATCAAATACACCGGCCGTGCGAAAGATGTCGCAATCACATCATGCAGTAACCTTGAGCTTGTCGACAGCAGGCATAACGTCTTCTTCCTCCTCGTCATAATCGGCCTTGCCTGCGAGACCACGCTCCCATAGCTCTCGGCCCGTAAGCTTCTTCTCTTCCTTGGCGGTCTTTTTCTTCTTGTCCTCTGCCTCCTTCTCCTCACGCTGCCGCTGTTCTTCTTCCTCTGTCTCTTTCTTGAAGCCTTCAAGCCATTTCTGGAATGTCTCTCTGTTGACTGCTGTGCCTCGGAATTTCCGGTTCTCCTCCTCCTCTGCCTTTTGAGCCACGCGCGCCTTCTCCTCTTCAACAGCCTGGACGCGGTCCACCATCAACTGCTCTGCAGCTTCCTTCAGCGCGCTAACAAGTGAGAAGACCATTGCCATTCCCATGTTCTCCTCGATTGCATTGTTCAGAGCATCAGTTAGGACGTCTTCATCTTCTGGAAGTTCGATAAGAGGGTGCTTCGGGGCATTGGGAACTGGTGTAATCTTGAGCTCCGGGGCGACATCGGGATAGTCTTCAGGGTATGAGACTTCAAGGTAAATCACAGGTTGCTCGGGCTCGGGGCCATTCTCGGGAGGGTCGAGCGTTATGGAGATCTTGTATGAAGTTTCGGATATGTCTGGTAGCGAGCGAGGTTAGCAACTATACATTCCCCTGGCCATATATACTATTGAAAATCAAAGAGATTTAGCCGTACCTGTAATCTCATCTGGGAAAATCGAGTCGAGGACCTCGCGTTCCTCAATTTGGTCTTCGCGGCCCATTGCGTCTGATCCGCCCGCGGATTTGAGGGGTAGTAAATATGGTGGTCGACTGGTAGGGAGGGAGAGATTCCGCGTCAAGAAGAGAGGGTTATAAAAGGAAGACTGGTATGAGCAGTCAAGGCTTTCAAGGGTGTATTCGTATAAAGAAGATTAGGTCTTTCAGTCAAATAATCGAATCGCATTTGCTTCGACAGTGGTAAATGCCAATCTTGCGGTCCCGCATGCAAACCTGACAAACAGCTCCAATTTTTGGGCCGAAGCTTCAACTTTTTTACTTCGAGTCCCCGTCACTGAACACTAATTATTCTTTTCGTTTTGCATAAGACACATTTATTACTCTCATTCCTTGTTTCAGAATAGACCTGCCATGGGAAAACCCAGACCACAAAAGAAAAAGTCATCCAAGTCCCGCACAAAGTCCGTCCTCGGCCCTGGTGGCTCGATCTCGAAACCCAAAATGTCCCAAGACCCCTCCACGTTACTCGACCAGGCCACAATCCTCCTCCAGACGGGCCGAGCAGATGAGGCCCTGCCAACAGCACAGCAGGCGTTAGACCTAGCCGCCGACAATGTGGCCGTACAACTTCAGGCGGTGAACCTGCTCGGAGAAATCAACGTCGAGCTCGGCGAGATCGAGACTGCTCGGGAATACTTCTTGCGCGCCGTCGAGCAGGATCCCAATGGGTCAATACCGGAGTCGCAGGGCGGTGGCGCTGAGAAGTTCATGTGGCTCGCTCAATTGAGCGAGCAGGGTGGAACGGACAGTGTCCAGTGGTTCGAGAAGGGCGTTTCATCTCTCAGACAGACCCTTCAGGCCTTAGACGGAAAGACGAGCGCCGAGGAGGTCGCGTTGGCTGAGGAGAAGAAAGTGAAATTGTCCAATGCGCTTTGCGCCGTTGCAGAGATCTACATGACTGACCTTTCGTGAGTTTCATGGTCCATCGCAATCACTAAGGTTCTACTGCTGACAGTTAATTACAGCTGGGAGGAAGACGCCGAAGCTCGATGTGAGGCACTGATCACAGAGGCCCTCACTGTCACGCCTGACGCGCCAGAAGTCCTACAGACTTTCGCCTCCATCCGGATATCACAGCTGAAGACCGAGGAAGCTCAGGAAGCCCTCAAGCGAAGCACTAGCCTGTGGAAGGACCTGGCTCCCGAAGATCCCAAAGTGCCCGACTTTGCAGTCCGCATCAGTCTTGCACGTCTTCTCATGGAGGTCACGCTGGAGTTTGAGGCTCTGGAAGTTCTCGAGCGTCTGATTCTCGAGGATGACCAAAGCGTGGAGGCGTGGTATCTCGGCGGCTGGTGTCTCTATCTGCTGGCGGAGAAGCAACAAGCGCCGAAAGATATTGCCGAAGATGAGGCCGCCGAGTCGCCGCGACACGCGTCTTTGATTGCCAGTCGAGAGTGGCTCAAGCAAAGTCTGAAGCTTTACGATCTACTGCAGTACGAGGACGAGCCCCTCCAATCCCACGCCCTGGAGCTAATTCAGGGAATGGTTGCCGAAATCGGAGAAGATATGGAAGATAGCGAGGCGGAGGGCGAGGGTGAGGGTGAAGACTGGGACGAGGAGATTGACGCGGACTCTGATGACGAAGATCACGAAATGGCCGATTCATAGATACAATCAAACAGTGATGATGTTTTACGCATGTACAGCTCTCTTTCTTTTGTTTTTTTCTTTGTTGATACCACAAATAAGAAAAGTTTGCCCATCCCATAGATCCTTCTTTCTTCCACCAACCATTCCTGAACTTCCCCTCGCCACTGAACCGCCTCGGCTCCGGATAAACCCACTCCGGGCGCTGCAGATACCGAATTTTTGTCGGCGTTCACTGCGAGAAGAGTCGTCGAGGCTGTCAAAACTCCTGCAGGATGGACTTGGTACCAGCGCCGAGCGGGAAGACCCCGGTGAAGTCTCCTGTGGTCGAAGTGGAGGCCGTAGAGGCCGTGGACGTCGCGGAACAGGTCGAAGCGGAGACGGTCGCGCTGGAAGATGCGTCGTCCGAGTTTGAAACAGACAGTGATGGTTCAGAGGACTGGGACACTCTGTCTCATGGCGGGGATACAATCCAGTTTCTGCGCGATGAGCAGCTACGTGATGGACTAGGTATGGACCTGTGCCTGAAATCTTACATCGCGCCCCCTTTACCCCAGTTTTCCCCGCGATCGATCACCCTACCACAACATGTTTTGGCTAACATGACGGCGCACTGTAGTTCCCGGTGCTTGTACCCTAGACGAAGCCGTCGCCTTTCGCCAGCGCCTTCATGATATCGGCAAGGCGGCATTTGTGGAAGAGACTATCGCGCGGGAGGCCGTGACGGCGAAGAAGCTCTGTACGGCATTTGGAATCATGCCACCGGCATTCCTTGAGGGCGCGCCGGACGAGTCCTATCATCCGCTGCTAGCAATCGCCTTGTCTCGAGAGTTCGCTCGGCGACCAAAGCTTCCTCAATACAACACCATTGAAGACGCTGTGCGGCTCTTGCAGGAGTCTAAGAATATTGTCGTGTTGACGGGCGCGGGCGTATGTCTTCCCTTTTCATACTTACAAATTTTCGCTTCAAGGCTAATGAAGAGATTCTATTTAGATTTCAACCAGCCTCGGAATCCCTGATTTCCGTTCGAAAGATACTGGTCTCTACTCTAAATTGGAGCATCTAGGTTTGAGCGACCCCCAGGAGGTCTTTGACATCCACGTCTTCCAAGAGGACCCTAGCATCTTCTTCTCGATTGCTAAAGACATCCTTCCGACGGAGAAGAAATTCTCCCCGACCCACGGATTCATCAAGCTGCTGCAGGACAAGGGCAAGTTGTTGACCAACTATACCCAGAACATTGACAACATCGAAGCCAACGCGGGAGTCCTACCTGAGAAAATTGTACAGTGCCATGGATCTTTCGCCACTGCTACTTGTGTCAAGTGCAATTTTAAGGTTCTCGGTGATGCGATTTTCAGTGATATCAGAGACGGTAAAATACCCGAGTGCACAGCTTGTCCCGAGGCGATTGCCCAGGAAGCGCTGAAACCACAAGGGCTGAAGCGGAAACGCAGCTCTAATGGACAGCACAAGGATCGCAAGGAAGAGTTTGACGATAGCTCGGATGATGATGACTATGAGATCCCAACTCCTGGCGTGATGAAGGTATGCGGTGATTCCACGATATTGCCATTGTTAATTGACCGTGCTAACTTCCCTATGAATAGCCTGATATCACCTTCTTTGGCGAGGATCTTCCCGACGAGTTCGGCCAGCGCCTGATTCATCACGACCGGGAACTGGTGGACCTAGTTATCGTCATCGGAACTTCGCTCAAGGTAGCCCCCGTTGCGGAAGTGCCAGGGATTCTACCCCGTAACGTCCCACAGATCTATATCTCACGTACAGTATGTTGCCTCCCTCGAATGCTTCTTTCACAACTGATGCTGATTTATTCTATAGCCTGTGTCTCACACGGGATTCGATATTGATCTCTTGGGCGATTGCGACGTGGTTGTTTCGGAGCTCTGCCGCAGGGCCGGTTGGAACTTACAGCACCACATGATACCCGCAGATGAGGCTGTAGAGGTTACTCCCCTCGAGGGACACGAGTCACGACATGTGTTTAAGGTTGTTGGCGCATAGCGGCGGAGTTTTGGGAAATGGTTTCTGCGTGGGGGACGGCGTCACTTGGGATTCATCCTTACCTCGGAATGTGGTTTCTGTATTCGCTTTTGGTTTCTGGCCCAAGGCATTCTCTGCATAAATTTGGTTTTTGTTATTCCAGTTAATACCATTGAGCTGCCGCACGAATTTTGATTCGTTTCCATTGTTTAATACCTTAAGGTACAGGAGCTAATTCCGAGGTTGGGCTCTAAATTGGTATAGTACCAGACATTCCCGCGGATATATCTTTACACTGCTTGCGAAAAATTTACAGACTGAGATAGTGAAAACAGAAAATCTGCTTTTATTCATCTTCGAATTAGTCCAAGAGTATCTTTACCTACATAAATTCATATTATAGTCCAGAACATAGCGTTCTAGTTCGTTAACTGTTGTCATGTTCTTAAATCGGCGACCCAAAGACTGGCAAGAAAAAACTTCAACTCCCGTCCACTTGCAAAACCCCCACCAAAATCGAACAACATCCTGTACGAGAACGCCACAATCAGCCTCCAACAATTATTTGATACTAAGAAAGAATAATAAGGGGGAGAAACAAATCCATCAATTCTCAAACTCTCCATGATGGAGTATCTAGTCCGACTGGCCCAGTGCCATGAGACATTTCGACAACCGGAGCTCCAGGCTGTGGCTACACTGCTCGGCATTGACATGGAGATTATTGCCTACAACGAATTTGTATGTGCAGTTCAATCGAATAATCTGGCTATTTATTGAGCATTATTACATTCCTTGCTCCCCTATATCTTGTTCACCCTTGCATGCCTCGACCCCACTAACAAAAGCCCTCTAGACGCCATTCTGTGTGGTAAAATTGAAAGACGAAGAAGCTGCGCGTGCGTTGATCTCACGTAGTATCCTGGCCAAAGACATCCTAGAGCTCTGGGGAAAGGGTACTACTTATGAAGAGTTACATGCCGACGTCCATCAGCGAACGAAGCACCGATGGGCAGACTACCACAAAGTTACGTACGCCCTTGCTGTCGATTGCTTCGCGGGCAAGCGGAGTACAGCCAAGAAAACGGAAATCTTCGAATCCTTCGGCTACTTGAATCTTAGAGGCGAGGTGCGACTGAAGAACCCCGAAGAGCAATTCCGGGTCATTGAAGACTACGTGACGGACGTCGAGGAGAATGCCATCGGCACCCAGAGATCATCCGAGCCACGGATGATTTACCTGGGACGCTGGCTTGCGAAGAGTGATCGCGACATTATCCTGACTCACACTCTTAAGAAGCGTAAGTACATCAGTACTACGTCTATGGACGCAGAGTTAGCACTGGTGACGGCCAATATGGCTCTTGCGGCCCCCGGAAAGGTCTTCTTCGATCCTTTTGTTGGAGCCGGAAGCTTTCTGGTGGCGGCATCGCACTTTGGAGCTTTGACTATGGGCTCTGATATTGACCCTAGAGCGTTCCGTGGCAAGGAACACGAGCGTAAGAACGGGATGGCAATGCTGCAGAACTTCAAGCAATATAACATTGTGAGCCAGTTCCTAGATGCATTCACCTCCGATGTCACGAATACACCTTTACGAGACACTGCGTTGCTGGATGGTATCATCTGCGATCCTCCGTACGGTGTTCGTGAGGGTCTTCGAGTTCTGGGAACTCGTGATGGAAAGGTTATCGAGCCGGTCATTATTGACGGGGTCCCTGCTCACTAGTACGTTTTCTATTCCTGTCGGAATTCTCGGAAAAGATATTCATCTGACCTTACTGCACAGCCGGAAGGGTTATATCCCACCGAAACGACCATACGGATTCGAAGCCCTGCAAAGGGATATCCTTGAGTTTGCAGTTCTCAGACTCGTTCCCAATGGACGGTTGGCTATGTGGATGCCCACAGCTAGCGACGAGGCTGTTGAATTCCCGGTGCCTATGCATCCAAATCTGGAAGTCATTAGTGTTTGTGTTCAGCCCTTCACTAACTGTGAGTAAAGTCCCACCGTTAGAGGGATTCAAGCAGTGACAGCTGACCGATTTTTCTTAGGGTCTCGCCGGTTGATGATTTACCGTCGCTTGCCGGAAGGAGAGACTTCCGACGTCACACTTGGAAGAAGCAAGACGGATGGTGAGGGCGTATCTGCTGATGACCTCAATGCATTCCGGGTGAAGGTATGTACAGTGTTGGGAAATTGTCATTACTCTACACATCTAACCATCTATCGCAGTACAACAATCGAAACGCCTCTAGAGCAGAGGAGAAATAAAAGCAACGCAATGATGATGAACCCTTTGAGCTAGTGGTTATCGGAAGAATCGAACCGGAGGCCCGTTAACCGATAGACTGCGATCCTATGTACTATGCTGAGAAAAATAAATGGTCAACAGCATGTGGGACTCCCTTCCCACAGAATAAACAGAAGGGGGAGAATGGCAGGGATAGGCTAGCCTGGTCTTCACAATTTGCCCTTCTCCGCCGTGTGGCTAAGAACCACACCTTCTTCTTTCTGAATCCGCTTGATCTCAAGGTCCAGCTCGGCCCTCATAGCACGGGCTAATGCAGCACCCTCGTCATCATCAAGCTCATGGCGCTGACCACGACCAAACATAGCAAAGCTCGGCTTATGAGCGAAGTCTGACGGTCGAGGGATGATGTGAAAGTGTACATGAGGTACTTGCTGTGCTGCACGGGCGCCTATGTTTCTCAGTTAGAAGGAGTCTTTATTGAATGCAATGGCAATATCCTGGGCCTGCTAGACCATAGCATCTTTGCAAGTAGTATGAACAACCTGTAATATAGCGCCACAGAGGTCCCAGAGCCACCGATTTTGGCTTGAAGAATGTTCATTAGGTGGATAAGAATATGAGATCACCTACCATTATTCTGGACAACATTCCAATGTCTATCCGGATCATCCCCGAAAATAGTCTTCGTCACAACCCTCGAAATAATCGGAAGCCATTTCCCCATCTACCAAAGAATCAGCATCACAACCCATCTAATACGCAGAGCCCCTATAACCAGTGTGTACGGGGTGGTTTGCGACCATCAACGTGGACAGAACTCAATATCCCAGGGAAACCAAGAACGAATAGCACATACCTCCTGCCCAGCTGCAACACCCATATCACCCAGCTTCTCATAATGCCGGCGTGGAGCAATCAAGACATGACCATTGGTCAGAGGCATGATATCTAAGAAAGCCAGCACATGCTCTGTGGACAGAATCAGATGAGCCGTCCCCTCGGGTGTTGACTCGGAGGAGACCGAGCCGGACTCGGGATCATTGAAAGGGGCTGGCGGATTCGATGCAGCGATGTTGCAGAATGGACATGATGATACTTCGGAAGCCATGATGAATTGCAGGAGGTTTGTGTTTAGCAGGCTCGACAATCAGTCGGGAATATAACCGCTTGTTTGCGAGTATGGTGCCGTACTTGTCACTAGGAGGCCAAGATGTTCCCCGCAATGTAGTTGTAACCAGCTGAGATGGGATTATCACCGGGAACCACTAGCCAAACGTATAAAGATAGTTGATTGAAGCCAGAAGTTGGTACTCGTCGCAAAATTCGAGAATGGTGCAAAAGACTTGAATTCAGTCCTTTATACGCCTGGGGGTGGTGTTTTCGATCGGACGGTGGCAGCGGGAGGATCAAACCTCGGCTAATTCAAAAAGGACGTTAAGGTTAACGCCAATCAAGACAATAATAAGACAAGGGTTCATTCAAACTGAAGACCTATTTTGCGCATCCGATCCAGAAGAGAAGACGCCTATGTACACCTCCCCGAAATTAAAACAGACGCGAGAATTGAAATAGAAGATCAGAATTGCATCCAAGGACCACGCCAAGCACCCAGCGCAGAACAGAACTAATCTAAGAGAGACCCAAGAACAACCTTGACGCTGATTATCCCCCCTCCCAACCAATCCATCTAGTATCCGGGGAAGACTCCTTCATCCTCACCAACCTGAACCTTCCAGACGAACAAAGACAGGAATTCCGTCAAGATCCAACCTCTTTTTGTTTCCATCAAAAAAGCCACTGAGATGGGGCAGGACCACACAGGTTACCCGCAGTGGAGAAAAGGAGACCCAAGAAATGAAGACAAAACTCAAGGGTGCAGAAAAAAAAGGGTGATATTCTGATCTTGAAAAAGAGCAGGAAAGAAAAGAAAAAATGATAAGATAAAAGTCCGACGCCGGTCACCGGAACGCGAATAAGGAAGAATGGCAAGGTATCAGGGCAGGCGAGAGAAGAGGCACCCCATGCAAACAAAGAAGCAGAACAAATAAACCACACAAGCCAAAGTCGAAACAGTACCACAGGGCTGAGCGCCGAACACCACCCGTCACAGAAGACAAATGCCCAAGCGCACAAATCAAGTCATCGTTAAGAATATGCAAAGAGGTAGTCGATACCAGCACAATGAAATGCCAAAATATGGAGGAATTCGAAGTTCCCTGGTCGGAGTGTCTCGAGGGCCTTGGGATCGTCATGAAGGACAACGACAATGCCGACACAGGGCTAGCATAACATCGTAAATGGCATCACTACTGTTCGCTGTCCTTGATGAAAGTGTACGGCTCCGTGGTGGAGCTCTCAATGTACATCTGGTGATACTTCTTGGCCCATTGACGGGTCAGGATGGAAGCTGGTCGAAGGAATTAGTAAAAGCACATACACGGGGGGTTTGATGATGATGATGAAACTACATACCCTTCAAGAACTTCTTGCTGGCATACTTCTTGAAGAAGGCCTCGTGAGAGACAGGGCGGTGGAGGTAGTCGATCATAAGGCGGAAGACAGGATCGATCTCCTTCTCGGTGTATCCGGCGTAGTGAGCCAGAGTGGCATCCCAGGAGCCACGCTCCAGGATCAGGCGGGCCAAGTACATGGCGGCGGCAGCAATATGGCTCTGAGGATAGCTCATGAAACGGTGGTCGAGCAAGCTGATCTCCATCAGATACTTGCCCAGGGTACGGGTCTGAATGTCGTAGTTGTCTGCCTTGGAGATGCGACGCAGGAAGTTCATAGGGTTAGGGAAGCTCATGTTGTATTCGAGAGTGGCGAGGACGTGGCGCTCGGCATCAAGGATCTCCTTGTCGGAGAAAGTCTCATCGGCGACGTGGCTGAAGTTGGCAACGTGGGGAGACAGAACCTCCTCATACTTGGAGGCAATGAACATGGCAGTGACACCGACAAGCTGAAGGCGATCCAGAGCGACGACCTCGGCGGATAGGAAACGATCGATGATGTTGACAGCGAGGAACAGAGTCTCGGGCAGCAGGCGGAAGCGAGTGTGAACCTCAATCAACCAGTCGACAAGGATTCCGCGCATCTTCCACTCCAGATCGGGTTGGTGGTCGATGTACTGAGGGTTGGGCAGGGTGGTCATCTCCAGGTCGCGCAGATAGTCGAAGATCTCCACCACATATTCGGCAGCCATCAACGGGTCGTCAAGGTCCTCAGTATCCAGGTCCAGCACATCGGGACCCAAGCCAGCACCCTGCTCAACGACTTCGGGAACCTCCTCCTCCTTGATCTTCTCCTCGACCTCACTCTTCCCCTTCTTGCGAGGAGGCTCCGGTTGCTCCGGCTTCTCGACCTTAGGACGCTTGTTGGCGGGCTTCTTCACGTTAGGATCGCGAGGCAAACCAAAAGTACGTGATGAGTTGTTGCGGCTGAGCTTCTGAACACCAGCAGTCTGGGTGGTTGCCTTGGAGGTTAGACCGGCCTTGCCGGCGACAGCCTTCTTTGCACCCTTAATCTCCGCGGCATCGGCCTTGTTGACATTGCTGACATCCCCCAGAGCGGCACGGGGGCGCTGAGTACCGGTGGCGGTGGTAGCCCGCTTAGTCTGAAGAGGCTTCTTGACAGCATCGGTAGGACCATCGGTGTTGAGAGCGGCCTTGGCCCGCGTCATACGCGTGGAAGGCCCGTTCTCGTCGTTCTCATTCATGGTGCCTCGGGAACGGAGGCTACGGGCCTGTGAAAGTGTTAATGTTTTGGCTGCAAGTGAAGCTTTCCGACGCGTCGAGAGCTCCAACGCAGCACAAAGAAATGTCCTGCAAGGTAATTGACTCGAGCTTTCAAGGGTGGGAAGTGCTTACCACAGGCATGGTGGTAGTCTCAAGAGAGGGGGAGGGGGAAAGGGAACGCGATGAGAGAAAAGGAAAGGGCGAGGCAGATAGTCTGGTCCAAGCCGGGTCAGGTCAGCATTCCGTTCGACATTACCTCGGTGGGGAACCTCCAAATACCAGAGTAATCAAGGTCAAAGTGCACGTACCACGCGTTGAAAATGTAGTTACCCTGAGGAAGCTACACTGGCCAGGAAGGCAATGGGGGTAGCTGCTCAGAGGAGTTGGGATGGGATGAGTCGCGAGTCACGACACATTCAAGACGATGTTGATATTAAGAAGACTCGCGAAGTCTCTGCAAGTCGGAGTCGGAAAACGCGCGTGAAGAGAAGATTAAAGGGTGCAGGGATAATTGAATGACACGTCGGGGTCCTTTTAGAAAAGATATGACCTAAAGATGGGGGAGGATGTGGGAGAGGAGGAAGGGTATCTCGAAATGGAATGATGATGATGAGGGAAAAGGAAGAAGTCGAGAGAGGGCCAAGCGATGTTTGGCCCTATTGTGCTAGCGTGGAAAACCGGTCAAACTTGAATGACGCCCCACACAGCGAGTCGCGACGGGTCTCTCGACACTTCTTTTCCGCCTTGTATTAAGACGAGGTAGAGATGCTTTTGGGAGAGACTTGTTTGGGGATAGAATACAGAATAGAGTAAAGGAATTTAAGATCTAGAGGAGTCCAGATCGGAGGGTTGGGGGGAGTGGAGGATAGGGAGGTGGTAGATCCAGAAATGAAGGGGAGGGGTGGTTGGTAGGGGCGGTATTGGGTATTGAGGTTGGTAGTGACGGTAACGGTGGATACGCGAGGGCGCGGACGAAACGTGAGGCGCGGATGTCAACAACTCTGTTTCCCCCGCAACCGCTGGTCACGGGACTATCACGGGACCAGATGCTACACGGAAGCCTCATGCGCCACATATCAACTTGTAGCACCGCCACAAAAAACGAGGCTGTGTCGGGCGGTCAAGACGAGATCACCTGATTTGGCTCCCAGAACTTTTTGCCCTGGCCATCAGTTCCAGCACCCCCAGCCAGGAGACCGACGAGCGGAGAGAGTATCGAGAGCCCGACTTGCAATTGGGCCCCGATATCTGGATTTTGTGGTGGGAAATCAATTTCTATTCTCATCAATTCGCCCACAAGCTAGTGGCTAGCCCTCCGACCAACCATGCTCCAACCCCGACTTGCCCTCCAGGGCATTCGGCTGCCCTTTAGGTGTTTACCTACGATTCCGACTTTTCCTGTGCGCCGTTTCGCGACTGTCGTCAATGAACTAGAGACGTCGGCCAGCAAGGCCACTCCTCCTGCAGCCGACTTCAGCGCCTCTTTTGCTCCTCCTCCCACCCGCGACGACTCCGGAGTCCAGCTTCGCACATACACTCCTCGTACCCCCGGTGTACGACACTTGCGGCGACCAGTCAATGACCACCTCTGGAAAGGCCGTCCCATCCATCGATTGACTTTCCCCAAGCGTGGTCACGCCAAGGGTGGTCGTAACAACAGCGGTCGCGTCACAGTCCGCCATCATGGTGGTGGTCACAAGCGTCGGATACGCATGGTGGATTTCATGCGGACAGACCCGGGCCCCCATCTCGTGGAGCGGATTGAGTATGACCCAGGTCGCAGCGCACACATTGCTCTGGTTCGGAGCAAGGAGACTACCAAGTTGAGCTATATTCTCGCCGCAGACGGTATGCGAGCTGGAGACGTTGTGCAGAGCTATATGTCTGGTATTCCCGAGGACTTGTGGCAGAGCATGGGTGGAACTGTTGATCCTGGTGTGCTGGCTGCCCGGACTGCCTGGCGTGGAAACTGCCTGCCTTTGCACATGATTCCGGTCGGCACCCTCATCTTCAATGTTGGCTTGCGGCCCGGGAAGGGTGCCCAGTTGTGCCGAAGTGCAGGCACCCATGCCACCGTGGTCGCCAAGGGTAGCGACTCCCGCCAGCAGGAGATCGAGACTGATCAGCCTGAAGAGGAGAAGAAGCCTCTGACTCTCCGCGAGAAGCAGAAGCAGGAGCGCCTGGCTCAACACATCACTGTCCGCTTGTCTAGCGGTGAGACTCGTCTCATCCACAAGGACTGCTGTGCTACTATTGGTGTTGCCAGCAACCCCAACTACCACTACACTCAGCTGGGTAAGGCCGGTCGTTCGCGCTGGCTCAACATTCGTCCTACCGTCCGTGGTCTGGCCATGAACGCCATGGACCACCCTCACGGTGGTGGTCGTGGTAAGTCCAAGGGTAACGTTGACCCGAAGAGTCCTTGGGGTATTCCGGTAAGCTTCTTTTTCCCTATCCCTTAGATTTTATGATCGGATTGCTAATTCGTGATTTTTCTCAATCTTCTAGACCAAGTCCGGCTACAAGACTCGTCCCAAGTGGAAGATCAACAAGGCTGTTGTGCACCCGAGACCTCGCAACCAAGGCCAACGTCGTCGCGGATACAACTAGACGGCCCTTTCCATGGCATAGTTGGATTTTGGGAGAGGCGGATCGTGTCCCCTCTCCCTGCTTTGCTCTCCGAGACAAAAAAGCCCTTTTTCTCATCTTATACCTCATTCTCACTGCACATGGGATGGCTGTACGATATTTTTCTTTCATCTTGTTTTCTTGCCGTGTATTCTTGATTCCGCCGTGCATTATATCGGGAATCCTGTTTCTATCATCAGTTGGAGCTTGGGGCAGCGGGGGGGCTATGTATAGTATGAGGCCCACGGCCATTCGCACAGAAATACAGAATATTCAAAAAGGTTTGTTCGATTAGGGAAAAGAGTTTAGAGCTCTTTCTAGTCTAGGAGACTCCGTATATTGATTTTCGAATATTAATGCCTTTCAATGGGCGTCTTCTTGATTGCGTCGTGATAAGAAAGGATCGACGCTATGAGCCCGCCCGATCCCTGCCAAGCCCGCCAGGCAGCGTCGTGGTGCGTACACCCATCCCCAGCAACACTAACGGTCGATCGCCAGGTGTCAGTCCCTTCATGGGCCATGGAAATTGGATGGCTGATTCCATAGTCTCCTTTCGAAGCTCGTCGAATCCCTAAAAGGGGGATCTGAGGATTTAAATGAAAAAGACTTGTACTGTAAAAGTCCGGGCCGAGACACGCAAGACACAGCCTTCTCTCCCCAATACGAAAGCGTGCCACCGTCATCCATAAGAACTCTCTTCTGCTGCTTATCCCCACCCACCAGAGATTATCACTTTGATAATGGGATTTGCCTTTATTTGACCTGCTAGCCCGGTATCACGCCTCATCCCTACTCTCCTCTTTGCTGTGCAGGAGTTGCCCGCGCTGCGGTGATAAGCGGTGGGCTGTCAATCTCGTCATCGGTCGGAATTCCTTCTTCGTTCATCGTCCCCGCTGGCGATTCGGCCTGCCATGGAGAACCTTCCGCCCTCCGCGTTTGCGCCGGGCGCTTCGCAGTATAATACTGCCCTTGAATCCTCATTCCAGGACTCGTCAGTCGCAGATAATAACCATCTAGCGGATGGCGCGGTCGCTGGAGATAGCAACTACGTTCCTCGGCCCAAGCGCATCGCATGCGTGGTCTGCCGTCGGAGGAAGCTCAGATGTGATGGGAAACGGCCAAGCTGTGGAACGTGCTCGCGCCTGGGCCATGATTGCGCCTACGATGAAGTGCGCAAGAAGAGTGGTCCGAAGCGGGGATACGTGAAGCAGCTAGAAGCGCGCCTGGGTACGAATCATCTCACTTAAGCACTGTCGCGTATTCCGCGATAAGACCCCAACGAAAAAGCGTCGCTAACCGCTATCTCTTGTATAGCTCAAGTCGAAACCCTTCTGAAAGGCCAGGAGACTGATCCTGCGCCGCGCACCTCCCCACCTCAGCCGATCGAGACGTCATTCAACGCGCCTATCAACGATGACTCGATACTCGGTCTACCGGACATTTCGGGTATTGGAAATGACATTGGTGGTCAGATGCCTCCATCTACAGCTGGACTCGGGCCAGCACCATCGAACCCGATGCTGTTCCCAGGACCAACGGCTGCCCCCAACGATCCATCCTGGGACTTGATCAGCTTGGGACTGGAGGAGCCTCTGCCGACCCAGGATGTCATTGACGAATTGTAAGTGAGCGGTTCTGGGAGGACATAGAACTCTTTGCTAATCCCGCATTCCATCAGGGACAACCTATTCTTTGAGAAAATCTATCCGATGATGCCCATCATCCACCGTCCTCGTTACTATGCCAGCCTGAACCTCGCTCCTCACATGCGCCCACCCATCTGCCTGCGGTACATCATGTGGTGTCATGCAGCATCTGTGAGCGACAAGTATTACTTTTTGCATCATCATTTCTATCAGCGCGCCCGCAAATATGCGGAAATGGATGAGATGAAAGGCTTCGGAGAAAATATAATCAGCCTGGCTCATTGCCAAATGTGGATTCTAACGGGCTCTTATGAATTCCGAATGATCTACTTCCCTCGGGCATGGCTCAGCGTTGGCAAAGCGTCACGATTGGCACTGATGATGGGTCTTCATCGTCTGGATGGCAATGGGCTCGATGTCAAACAGTCCATCATGCCACCCAAAGATTGGACTGAGCGTGAAGAACGCCGGAGGACATTTTGGATGGCCTTCTGCACTGACCGCTATGCTAGTATTGGAACTGGTTGGCCTATGGTCATTGATGAAAATGATGTAAGTTACCTTTAGCTCCGATTTGCGTTTATTGTGGTTGGTCATGGCTAACTGTCTAAGATTATGACCAACCTCCCAGCCTCCGAAGAGTCATTCCTGAAGAGCAAGCCACAGCGCACGCTTCGCCTGTCTGATATCATTGCCGGTGAAGGTGTTTCTACGTTAGCTCCCTTTGCCTGCGTCTGTGTTTTAGCCAACTTGTTTGGCCGAAACCTTGTTCACATTCATCGACCTCAGCCGCTGGATAATGATCATGATCTCAACGGCGAGTTTTGGAAGCGCCACAGGAGTCATGATAACATCCTTCTTCACATCGCACTGTCATTACCCGAGCACCTTCGACTTCCAAGCGGCATGGATGACGTCAATGTCATCTTTGCCAACATGAGTATTCATACATCCACCATCTGTCTTCACCAAGCAGCAATATTCAAGGCCGAGAAGAACAAGATGCCAAACCAGATCATCACCGAGAGCAAACGGAGGTGCCTCGTGGCAGCCAATCAAATCTCGAGCATCATGAAGATGGTCAGCCACATGGACCTATCAAGCGTATGTCTGCCTCGATTATGCACTGTGTGAGACCGGACTAGCTGACCATTGACAGTTAAACCCTTTCATGTCATTTTGCTTGTATATCTCAGCGCGAGTATTTGTGCAATACCTTAAATCTCGCCCTGATGACTCTACAGTCTACTCCTCCCTGCAATTCGTCGTCTCGGCTCTGAATGCGATGAAATCCAAAAATCCACTCACAGAGTCCTTCTTGGTACAACTAGATGTTGATCTCGAAGGGACGGGAATCCGGGCTATGGATAACTCCAAGGCTGGTTCCGGGCTCAGCCATGTTGCCAAAGCGCTGGTAAGCTCCTTTCGCCCCCTGAAACCATGCGTCTGGTTCGCAGATATTGCAGAATTTCACGGCTCTAACCCTAATTTAGCAGTCCTATTGCGCTGAAAACACCGATTGTACGCCTTTGTACACTGTTCGCCAGTCCCAAGGTAATGGCATCCCAACCGAATCTCCGCAAGATGGGTCAAAGTCGAGAACTCCTAGCCGACCTTTTGCGCCTGGCATGACGACCTCTCTTCCCAGTCGACACAGAGATTCACCAATTGTCGACTCTGAACGAGGGCCAATGGGCGGTGAATCGCAGCAATTCTTCCCCCATCATGTACGAACGACGAACGGCATCGTTGAGGTAGCCGGAGGAGTCATTGACGGAGATATGGACTTTTCGCCCGACTTTGGCCTTGGCGAGAGGAATCCGCCTTCGGATCATCCCACTCCATCAACTTTGAACTCCTCCTCCAACACGTCCTATTCTATGTCTGGGATCGACAATCCTTCGCCCGGCAAAAAGCAGCCCAACACTACCTCGACTTATCCATCTTCAAGCTCCGCTACATCTGTCGATAAAGCCCATTCCGTTCAGATTTCTCCTGTTACCACAGAATCTTCTCATATTCTTGATATGGGCTCTATCGCTGGCCAAGCATACCCATCTAGCTCCGCTGGTCCTATGGGAGCTGCAGGTGCTGCTAACGTATTCAATCTGTCTAATCGCTGGGATATGCCTACTCCAAGTCAGGATTTGAGCAACCTTGATTTTGAAAACGTCAACGTGGAGGCATTCAGTGATGCCCAGTGGGCTCAGATCCTGAATACTGAAAATGGTCCCGGTTGGGAGAACTGGCGGCCATCATGAGAACCGACAAAAATGGGTTCCGTAATCGGAACATTCTGACAGAGACATCGGTTTCTTCCTGGTGACCGAAGCCTCCTGTCTTTCTACCTGCGCTGAAGCAACTTGACGTGAAAGGTGTTACCGCTTTTTAGTGCAGCCCTTTATCATTGTCACTCTCTAAGCCGAAGGTTTACTATACTCAAGGCATCGGGACCTAGCGGAGGACTGCACTTCGCTTTCCCGAGCACTGAGCATCACGCCAGGGCCGAAGACAGCACCAGTCCATGCTGTCTTGTACTAACAAAAATGGCTTCCGTGGACGACCCCGGATCTTTCGCACCGTGTATTATTACAAACACGCAGATTCCAGACGGTGGGCGGACTTGGCTTGGCGCTTTGGGTGTCTTTTTTTCAACGACTTAATGATGATGAACAGATACTCCTCTTCTCGAATAATTACTCTCTTCTCTGATTTGATTTTTTCTTGACCATCTCCATTCAGGAAGACTATGTTGATAGTATAATTTCTACATAACACTCAATATAAATCCGTTAACTCATTTAGATGTTCCAAAAATGGTAATTTCGGAATCGTAAAATAGCAGCAAATCCAGGGTTATCAATCCCTGGTACAAACCCCATCAGGCCCATCCACAGACAATGGGATGGGCCTGGCATCTAAGCTTACAGACCTCCACCAGCAGCACCAACAATCTTGAGACCCCCAGAGCCGCCTCCCGGCCCATCATGGGTCGTCGAGTAAGCCAACCAATATCTAGAGGGATGCCACGCGACAGCGGGAACACCCACATTGGCACCAGTGGTGGGAATCGTGTAAACGCTCTCGCCAGTCTCTGCATGGAAAATCTCCAATCCATTTCCACCACAGAAGGGCTCATCGCAAGCCCCGCAGATAAAGCGGCCATCGAAACTCCAACTAACGCCGCGAATTGAACCACCGTTCGCACTGGATAACGTGCGGCGGCAGATCCAATCCGTCGTATCCCATAGAGAAATTAGGGCATCGCTACCGCCAACGGCTAGGTAGCGGCCGGTAGGCGCGAGTGATATGGCCATGCAGGCGGAGGTGTGTGCGTGGAGGGTATGGAGGATATCGAATGAGGGGTAAGACATTATCTTGACGGTACCTTCGCCTGTTGTTGCGAAGAGGTGGAGGTCTGGGGATGTAGGTGTTGCGACGTGGTTGGAGAAGGTGGTGGCATTGGTTTGGATGGGTTGGGGGTGTGGTGTGAGAGCTGTATATGTCGAAGAGCTAGGTTTTGAGCCCCCGATAGAGGATATACCATTTGTAACACCGCCTTGTGATAGGATGGTAGGGGTAGACAGGGACTGAACCGAGATGGGGATCAAAGTGTCGTCCTAACCCGGAAAGACAAAGGGTTAGCGATGGCAATGGCAGAGATATGCTAGGGAAAGGCCTCGGGACTTACCTTTCTACCGACAACCATTGTACTCCCATCTGCCGACCACGAGAGCGTAAAGGCCTCGCCGCCGACATCGAGACGGCTAACACATGTCTTGGAGCGCACGTCCCAGAAGCGCACTGTGCCGTCTGTCGAGCAGCTCGCCAATTCCGCATCCCGTACAGGATTGAAAAGAACTTTCTCCACGGCAGCCGAGTGTCCCCGAAGTTCCGTCGAGTATTTAATAGCAGGGCGTTCGGGGTTCCATATCCGTAGCGTACGATCAGCTGAACCAGTCGCGATTAGCTGACCGGTAGGGTTCCAGGCTAGTGTCCGGAGGCTATTCAAGACCACTGTCAGTAAGGAGCCTGGAGGAGTGAAGAGAAGGACTCACGTATGTGATCCTGGACCCTTAGAAGCTGGGTCATAGTAACTCTGGGTTTTAACACCCCCGAAGACAAATGCGAAATGTTCCTTTGCGAGGAGATCGCGGCGCGGCGCGGGCGCCATCGCTAACAGTCCCCTTTAGCGCTTGCAGCTACTCCAAATACTGGCGCCTTATTTATAGTCAACCTGGATCGGCGGCAGCAGGAAATTGGAATTGAGGGCTCTCAGAGAGTGTTGCGGCTTTAGCTCATGACGTTTTGAGGGACTGCGATCTCGCCGCAGCTAAGATCGCGGCTTGGGCGGAGAGCTTCTTTCTGCCTCAGGCATTAGCAGCTCTGTTCTTTGTATACGATGTTAGATATTCATTACAGAGACGCGTCCACATGACAATTAAAGAAAAGACGGAGCCAATGATTAGATTCAGAAACTCAATTTAGTTCAAACCAATCTATGTTCCTGCGCTTCATCATGTGCTAACATCACTTCTCGACCTACTCGTCAATCAGGCCTGGGATAAGGCAGACACCAGATATGATTATAGTCGAATAGATCAATCTTCAAAGTCTCTGCGCTGTTGGAGTGTCTTCAAATGAATTTAGTAAGGCTCTTTGTGTTTTGTTGGCATATTATTGGAAAGAAATCCCTTTGTCTACTGCATTGACCTGCATTGAATATGCCCAAGTCACCCAGGGCTGCTGTGGTCCATCTTTGTCGTGACAAGGGTCTTCCATTCTTTCCATAGCGAGTGGCCCTAGACATCTTGTAAGTAAGCGTTGAGTCGCAGTAATTCCAAGGCGATGTCCGAACCTTTAGGTAGTATTAGGCGTTGGCGTTGGCGTTACTACAGACTTGAACTAACGAGTTGGTGAAAAACTAGATAAGACTTTCCAGTTCTCTTTGCTTCAACAATGAGTACTCAGTTCAGTTGGCATTGAATACTTCGTTCGCCGGAGGTTCATGGTAGCAGGCCGGGAAGTATATTGCCCATGTCTTTCCCCGCCACGAAGAAAGTGTGATGCAGGAGATCGGTCTCCACCAAGTTAAACCCAGAAGAGCCTGTACTATCTTTAGGCATGTACTTACATTGTAGTATTGTCTACTATACCAATGTTGATTATCCGCTAATCCCAAAGCTCTCGTTGTGGGTGTGATATTGAGATCATTGGAGCCTATCGATAAGACAAGCTTAATCAAACCTCAGTCTCCGCCTCGCGTTGCACTCCACAAATTTCTTGCCGCCAAATCCCTCCTCAGTGAAATCACCATTTAATATCCCACAACAATCTTTCAATCTTCTTCCCTCGTGACAAAGAACCGAATTGACATGTTCGACTTCACTGATGACGCGTCCGGACGCGAAAAATGCTACACTACAGTCTCGCAGTTACCTGGTTTTATCGACCCGACACAGGTGCCGACGAAAAAGTCTCCATTCTCTGCTATCGTGAACCATCCATTTGCGCATACAGTAAGATTCATTATCTCTGCAATTCAATTGTATATTTATCAGAAGCTGATCAATGTCCGCAGGTCGAGGTCATTCTCCCCGAAGATGTTTACACAGACATTCAGACGTCATTAGACAAGCTGAATAAGCCTCACTCTGCGCGAGTGTTCATGTTACCCTCTGATCTCCTGGAGCATGAGTTTTTCAACACGTACATAAAGACTGGTACTGTCTCTTGTCTTGAAGTGTTTGTGTCAGATTCTAATGGACTTTTAGGCAACATACTCATGATATCTGAAGGCCGAGCAGGGTCTGATAATGTGTACACCCTGCAAGATGGTTAGCTTCCTGCCCCATTTCGGACACTGGTCAAATGTGCTGTGGGTATAAAAGCCAACATATCATGAATAACTAGGAATTCTCAAGATCGAGCTTGGGAGAGAAACATTTGAGCGCACAGGCCTTACGGGAAAACCCATCCGGAGTGGCGGAAGGAAGCATGCAAAGGAGAGATTCTGTAAGCACAAAATGCCCCGAATTTTACCTTTGTCGAGGCAAAGCTAACGGTTTTGCTAGTGATTGAGCTAAATCTGCGCCTCCCATCGATGTTACATGGCAAGAAAGGATTTGATAGAATCGTATGGGCCTTCAAAAATGTGCTGAATCAGTCTTTGGCTTGGCTTTTCTGCGACTTGGAGTCTACCCCAGGAGACCAAGGTTGGTTTTCCCTTCTACAAAGGATGTGCAAAGAGAACAAACATTAACCAAAAAAAACCAGAGACCAAGCCGATCCAAAAACAGAGTCCGCAGATGATTAATTCCGAGGTTCTGAAAACTAAACTAAGCCAAATTTCAACACCCCCTCTGCAAGGATTGGTATCACCCGAAATGTCCGAGGGAGATATGCAGGAGAGCTGTGGTGCCTTTGCTGAGTGGATTGCCATGGTCCAGCTGGGGTCACCCCGTGTTTCTGCGGAGGATGCTGTCGACTCGTACCTGAGTCGCTACAGTGTACCAGGAGATGAGGGAACCTGTACCACCGATCTGATTAGCCTGAAATGGCATGGTTTGATTTCAGGACCATGGGTCCTCCAACTATTCAATTCCCTACTGTAAGTTCCATACTTCCAGCTGAAGTTTTGAGGAGAATATCCCGGCAGCATTTACTAACATGGCCCTTAATCGGCGGCGGCTCTAGATCCCGCACCTCCAATTCTAGTTCTAGGCCTTCATCGCCCTGGTTCATTCTTTCTGTTTCTGCGCTGGGGAGACAGGCCGTGGAAGGAAGGGACGGTTATACAATTGCAACTGCTCCCAACATCCACTGCTCCTCAGTGGCATCCAGCGGGAATGGAGGCGAAGTTTCCGAATCTGGTAACCGCAATGCGCTATGCTGGGAATTCGTTGGGGCGACGTCTATCGAGTGATAAAGAAGGACTAGTTGCCAATTCTAGCCATGGCAGCTTGGCCATTCATTATCCAAAACTGTGTCGGCGCTGAGCTGCCATAGTTACGCCTGATTGCATTTTTACATCATGCGAAGTCATAAAACCTGAGACCTCCTCCTTCTTCCCTCTTTTCTTCATTCTCAACCCACACTCTCTCGACTATCTGAATACCAACGTTCTCTTTTGCACTCGCTCTCCCTATCACTCGCTCCATATCCTTCGCTCTCTCGCTTCTATTTGCTCACTTTACTTCTACTTTGCTGTCACTTGCTCTATTATTCAAAGACGAGCGGAAAGCAGCATGGAAACCACTCTTTCAACATTTCCCACTGATGATATGGATCTGATGAGTCCATTTTATCCTTCCCTGAATGACATCAATCAAGACGGCATGAATGACAATATGCCGTTACTCTCATTCGATGATATAGAGTCCGCTACTATGTACAAGGCGCTTCGCAACCAAGAACAAGAACTCGACACTGGACTTCGTCATGGCAACAATATTGCTGAAGAGCCAACAACAGTTGCGCCGCTTGCAACACTGCTTTCGTTTGATCCCAGTTCTTCTGACAGCACCACTCTTAGTCCAGTGACAACTGAGACAACCCTGGGGAACAAAGAGCCTGTGACCATCTTTACTCCACCAACTCCTATCAGTAACTCGCCCACTCTCCAGCCAGCTGCCATCGAACCACCTGCACCAGTATCAGTGGATGTGAACCAACAGAACCAACAACAAGAGCCGCGTGTACAAATCACTCCAGCCATGCTCGATATGGTAGCTCGACATATCCATACAGAATGGATCGACCTGAATGGTTCTCGTTCTTCAAGCACTGAAATTCCGGATCCTACGCCGATTACTATGGACTCCCATCCAGTGGAACATCCTCGTCAAGTTCCAACGTGTCACCCAATGCATTACCATGGACATAGGCCAATCCAATACCCGATGGAATCCAGTCATTTCTGTCCGCATCACATGTTCTGCCCACACATGGGGCATCCCTTGCCCCAAACATACCCTCTTCCATCACCGGCTCCTCGACAGCCACCTGTATCGAACAAACGAACATTCGAATTCGTTGAGCCAGAGGTACCCGAGAATTTCGTGGCCAACCCGAATAATCATGGCCGTTGGCAATACGACAGGAGCGGCAACCGGCACTACCTAAACGCGCCAAAGACGAAGGTGCCTGGTGCAAAGTGATTTTTTGAGATCAGGCTGTACTTTCCCTGCTCCTTTGCTTGATACGGTGTTCACGGAGCTCGTCATTAAGGGTTTTTTATGTCGCTTACTTGGGCTCGATGTTTTTGTCTAGTCGCCTTCTTTGTATTACTATCATGTCCAGACATACGCCTTTGTACGAAATGAATCCTGTTGATTTTTTGTAAGAGACACTTAAGCCAGCCAGCTCCTTCTTGTAGCTATTGGAATACGTAGCCAGCCTCATTAACATGACTAAGTCACGTAGAGCGTACATAGCAATGTAGAGTGCCTACTGAATCAAGTTTCTAATATCAAGCTTGGTTCGATTGTATTAGAGTCGTCCGCACCCTCACTAAAAGTCCGGCATCTCTAGATAACCTTAAGCTACCGGCTTTATATGGGTCTAAACTTCAATATGACCCACCAAGACCCTCTTCTCAGCATCAGTCCCCGCCCATACAGAGCGATTCCCACAAGCAAGTACCCAACTGCGATCGCTTTGGCGCCAGAAGCTGAGCTGCCGCCCCGAGATCAGGAAGTCGGCAGTTTTGGTGGCGCCAGGGGCGATGGACACATCATCGAATCCCACTAGAGTAGAGACAGCAAATTGATAACCAGGATACTTGGAGCCAGCATTCTCTGGTGGACCAATGTAAATCTGGGGGACCTCCACACCGGATCGGGAGCCAGTGTTGGTGATGTGAATAGAGACCTGGAAGGAGGAGCCGGATTTCTTTTTGATAACCAGGTTGCTGTACTTGAACGAGGTATATGACAGTCCATAGCCAAAAGGAAAGAGAACGCTAGTGTTCGTGCTAAGGTACCATCGATAAGCTGAGTTGATGCCTTCTGAGAAAATTGCTGTCCCACTCTTAGTAGCCATGCGCTCCGGATACTTTGGGTTTCTCGTAACAGTGTTGTTGACAGATTCGGGATAAGTGATTGTCAGTTTGCCTTGGGGATTGTGGTCACCAAATAAAAGCGAAGCAGTAGCACGGCCGCCTTCTTGGCCAGGATTCCCCATCCAGAGGACCGACGAGACTTGGTCGAGCCATGGCATCAGTACTGGATCAGCGTTGTTGAGGACGACGACTGTCTTCGGGTTTATCGCGGCAACTCGCGAGATGAGCTCGTCGAACCCATGGTTAAGCTGCATTCCCACATCAGAAGGACTGTTGGTATGCGCAAAAACAACGGGCACTTCGACGTTTGATGCAATCTTCTCTGCCTCTCGAATGTTCTGCTCTCGCTGGGTTGGGGTAACCCAATTCAGGCGAACTTCTATCGGGTCTCCGAATACCTTGGTGGTGGTCACAGTGATGTTGTGAAGGCCAGCAGTGAGATAGACATCCGTTCCGACTTCATCCCAGCCATCTAGAGCAGGAAGTGGTGAGCTCCAGGGCCGGGCTCCACCGTCTCCCAACATTCGATAACCATCAAACGCGGTTCCATTGACGGTGAATGAATGAACGGTGAAAACGCCTAGGTAGTCCGAATTGTTTAGTCCTCCACCGACGTGAGGGAAGCGTCGATGCAGAGAAATACGATAGTAGCCAGTCTCATTCGCTTTGAGGAATCCAGCCCAATTATACGAAGTATCTCCTTGCAGGGCCGAATCCCCAGAGAAGTTGATCTGAGAGTCGACCGAAGTTTCGCCGGCTGAGTTCGTTCGAACTAAACCTTGCTGGCCATTCTCTTGTAGCAGATAATCGGCAGGAATCGTGCTTCCATGAACATCAACTCCATTTGATACAAGAATGTCATTGTTGGCCGTGATATCTTTAATGGCATCTAGCGAGCTCTTGAGTCGCGAGGGGATTCCATATGCTCGCTCGGCAAAGCCTGCGCCATGGTTATACTGGAACGCAGCTGGGCCAATGACAGCTAGTTTGGAAATGTCCTTGGAGAGAGGGAGTACTCCTTTGTTGTTCTTCAATAGAACTCCAGACCGGCATGCAATGTCATATGAAATTGCAGCTGACTGCGCAATCACCGTCTGTGGCAAAGGATTCGGCACCATGTCGAGCGCAGTGCGATTTTGGCCGATCAAACCAAATCGATTGTATGTAGAAAGGATGTGATAAAGGGCGCGGTCAACATAGATTTCGGATAGATTGCGATGAACATAAACATCGTCATATAGGGGCTCAGTGTAATAGGTTCTGGAACCCATCTCCCAATCCAAGCCAGCCTCGATACTCGGAGCTGTTGAGTGCGTGGCGCCCCAGTCACTCATAACGATGCCTTTGAACCCAAAATCCCCACGTACAGTGCGGTCCATGAGTTCTTGATACTGACAAGCAGGCACTCCATTGACTTGAGCATACGAGCACATCATGGTGGCCACCCCAGCGTCCACTAAGGCCCCATGAGGTTGCCAGTATATCTCGTGGAGTACCTGTAGATCCACTTGCGAGTTTGTGTCACCAGAACTGGCACCACTGCTTGATGGACCTATCTGCTTGGTATTCGCCATTGTTCCCTGAGCCTGGATGCCCTGGACGGCTTCAACTCCGAGCTGGGCATTCAAGTAGGCATCCTCCGAATAAGCCTGCCATGAGCTTCCGTCAAAAGGATCACGGAGGAGATTGACACGCGGAGCAAGAGCAACACCTTGCAAAAAAGTCAGCTCCGGTATTAATTAGCTATTCAGGGCTTCACATACCGGCTTTGAGTAGTCGGGCCTCTAGGCCAGTGACATGGCCTGCAGCTTTTGCCATTTCCCTCGACCAGGTTGCGGCGACGTTAATCTGGCTTGGAATAGCAGTAGCATCATGAACACCATTGATTCCGCTATTTTTACTTCTCGTCAACAACGATCAACGAAGACAGAGACCACAGGAGAACTTACGCTTCTCCATCGGCAAGCTGGAGTGGAGGGATTCCTAGTCGAGGAAGCCCAATGGCATAGCCGGCATAATTATCACTTCCTGCATAATAGGCTCCTTGTAGAAGGGAAATCTTCTCTTCAGGTGTCAGGGCCGCGATGATTCTATCGACCTTGCCGCTATCCTGAGGCCAGCCGCCTGTGTCAATACTAGCATGCACTCCCATGCCAGCTGCCAGCACCAGGGAGAGGGGTAGAACTGCAACAAGCCACATAGTGTTCTCCGCGGGTAGGCAAAAGGATCGGCTGGTCTCTTTGGGCACAGTACCGCGCCGTCCATCGTATTATATAGAAATCCTGCCTCCCGCACAACGTCATATCTGGAGCACGTAAACCCCACCGGAAAGGAAAACCGGCATAACAAACGGCGATTCCGAGTGTTCTAGCGTTCTACAGGGATATATCTGACCTATGGTTGCAATATTCTGGGTAGTCCAGCACAAGGGTCCCACCTCCCGTCCCTCGGGATTGTGGGGAAACCGCGGGGATAAAAGTGCGGAGATTGACCTAGGGCCAGATGAAGGAAAGATTGCGCCGTGTGAGGTTGCTTCGCGTCGGAATATAGATAGCCGAGAATGGGGCAATGTGACATTTTCACAACTCCTAATACTCTGCTCTTCCGGAGGAGGAACTTGTCGGCAAAGGCACTTATGCAAGACTAGAAGCCCTAAGTAACCGCTCACTGGCCCACTAGCCTTGCGATAATTGAGCAGATAGGCAGTAATCGATGTAAAAATTAGTCAACGACTATCAGAAGGTGTTCGCCGCGATTGTGACTTACTTCGTTTTAGTGGCAGGAATAAAGGACTGATATCCAAGGCATCAGCCATCTCGTTTGTTGCTTGTCTTCCGGATCGTGCCGTGGAGACTGGGAGTGTATAAATGCCTTTCCAGGTAGATACTCTACTTCACTGTGTTTGAGAGGTCTCTTTGCACTTTGGAAAGGATAACATCTCTCTTGCTAGTGTTCCTCGCTTCTGTCCTCTACGCATCCTCTTTTCATTCTTTTATCCCCATATTGCCTACATTCAAGAGTTACACACCATTCAAGAACCGTACCAACCACCTTTAGCATGGACACCATGCAGCTATTACCTTACATTAACAAACCAATCATCAAGGCTGTCGTGTCAAGCTTTGCACAGGGAGACGGCCTTGACAAAGTACAAGCGGTGCTGTCAGCCATTCTCAACTACTATTTCCTCATCGCAAATTCCTTCCTCGTTTCATTCAGCAGTGAAACTCCACAGAAACTACCTCCCTATTTCAACATCCGACGACAGAATCAAAATGGAGAACTGCAACACTGGGCTATGCTCTTCATACTTGACAAGGTTGTCACCTCAGCATGGACGGAAGAGCTATATCCAATGCTGCAGACCGTGATTCCAAAAGACAGAGGATGCTGGATTATCCTGTGGCGTGGCCCAAAGCTGCACTTCTTCAGTTATCTCAACACCGCGGATAAGTCCAATGAGCTCGATAAATGTGTCCATGACGAGGTTGCCTCCGGAAGTCTCCATATCAGGCATGACAGTACCCAGATCCACAGAAATTTCAACCTTATCCTGCATACAGTGCCACAACTGAAAGGTCCAGTTTCCAAAGGTGCAAAAGACCTTTCGAAAGGAACAGCCTGAGCAGGCATTCTTTGTCCCATAGATCAGTTCACTCATTCAATACAAAGACACACATGCGATAGTATCCCCACAAAACTCCATCTGAGGAAAAATAACGGAGAAGCCGGCTGGGGATCAGTCGATGTGGCGTGGATGGGGTAGGAGTGGATCATGGGAAAGAGCCACTATGGATAAAGAGGCGTAGTCATCTCGGGCTTTACTAGAGAATCAATGGGTTCAATACAATTCCATTCACATAACACCTTTGAGACACACACGACAATCAAGACATGTAGAAATAAGTCCGTACCCAAATATCCATCGAACAGTATGCACGACCATATCCACCACCCACGCTATGTACAAAAACCGCAGAGAAGTGCAAGAGACTAGTAATCAAAGGTAGAACCGGGATCAATGCTCGTGTCAACCAGCAATATCATTCACCAGGTCTTTAAGAATGGGCCTATTACCCACAACAGAGTTGCCATTGAATAGCTTCACACCCCGCTTTGCAGGCCTCTTCAGGCTCGAAGAAGGTTGTCGGGAGCCCAGGGGACTGAGAGGCTCTCTTGATGCTGACTTCTTCTTGACAGCGGGACTCATTCTGTTTCTCGTGGATCCAGGACTCCTAGCCGCATTCGGAGATTGGAATGGCATCTGAGTGGCATCGAGAGCAGCGGATTGGAAAACGTGACTGTCGGCTGCGCCAGGAGGGAGGTCGTAAACCCAGCCCTTACCTTCCACCAGACGGACGTATTTGCCCAGAAGCTCATTGCCGTCACGAAGCGTCGATTTGCTGCCAAGCACAAGAAGCTTGGTCCGGGCACGAGTGAACGCAACATTGACTCGTCGCCAGTCACGCAAGAGGTCTCCAACATGATTCTCGGCATTGCTACGAACGCAGCTGAGAATGACGATTTCTTTGTCACGGCCCTGGAACTTATCGGTAGTGTGCATCTCGAGCTCTGGGGAATAGTGACGAAGGTTCTGGCGCAGAATGGAGAGTTGGCTGCGATAGAAGGTGATGACGCCAATGTCTCGAGCAGGAATGCCACAAGCGATAAGTGCCTCCACGAGTTGAGTACACAAGATAGCCTCCAAATGATTCACGACTCGTTGTCCTTGTGCAGTTTCAAGACCGGATGCCCCCAAGGTGTCCGTGTTGACGAGAAGAGTTTTGGCAGATGGCACCACAAGGTCATTAAGCCAGCAGCGTCCATGGCACGTTCCAAGGCAGATTTCTTGCTTGGACTGGGTGGGATAGAAGTCATCGGTATGGAATTGCTTTAAGGCCTGTATATTTGGGATCTCCAGCGAGCGAGCAGCGACCTGTGGCGTGCCGCATTTCAAGCGACCGGAGTAGATCAGAGTGTTTGAAAGGAGCATAATTTCCTCGCACATGCGGTATTGATGCTCTAAATTGACAACAGAGTCTGGCTGTGCATCTGAAAGCAGTTTGAACAAGCTGACATCAAGGCCTCCTTCCTGAGCGGCCTTGTTCTGCACCAGCGGGGGAAGTTGATAGTGGTCGCCAACAAGAATAAAGGTTCTTGCCATGCGAATCGGACCAAGGCAGACTGGAAGAGTAATCTGTGAAGCTTCATCGACAATGCAATAGTCGAAGATTCGCTGGTTGAAGATGTTGTGGTTGACACCCAGGCATGTCGTCGCCACAACCTGCGGTTTCTCGTACGATTCCTTGAGCTCTTCAATGGTTTTCTTTGGAATTGCCGCAAGATCGGCAAACTGCTGAACCTCTGGATGAATCTTCGTGGTTGCACCAATGCGTAGCGTGCGAATGTTATCATCGCGGATCTTCAAAAGAATATTATCCACGGCAGTATGTGTGTAGGATGTCAGAAGAACACTCTTTCCCTGCGCCACTAGAGCTCGAATGATGTGTGCGATGGTGGTAGTCTTGCCCGTGCCAGGCATTCCAAGCACTAGGGCGTAGTCCTTGGCACTCATGACTTTATCAATGGCTTGCTTTTGATCCACGTTGAGGCTTCCTGAATCGGGAAGTTTGTATGCAGAAGACGTCGGTTTGAACACAGGTGGTTGGCCCGCAATGATGAGTCGCCGCAGGTGCCTCGACTGGAAAAGATCTTTGTCCATCATGCAAATAAGGTTGTTTCGAACAATAGCCATGCCGTTGCTAAACTCGTCCTTGTCGATTCGATAGACCAGTTGCTCGTTGGGGTCTTGCAGCTCAGAGAGTCCGTCATTCCCAATCTCCATGATTCCCCTAAAAGACTGATTCGAGATCGCATCGAAGCCGACTGTCTTGGCTCTCGCGTTTTGTAGTCGGCGATCGACGGCAACTGTGACGTGCGAGGTGCTCACATGAGTCACATAGCCGTTGGCGAGTGCGAAATGGCCCTTCTCGTCAGAAACGACTATTGGCTCACCGACTGAAATCTGTGATTCTGCAAAGGAGAAGCCAGGGGATGCTTTCCGCTTGTGAAATGTGTATCTGAAGCGGTTGATTCTTGTTCCGTTTTCGTCTTCGTGTGCAGTTCGCGGGTCGATCACGACATCTCCAAAGCATCGACCGTAGGACTCACGCTCATCGCTTAGCAAAGTCCATAGCTCACGTTTGAACTTGATCAAGTTTCCTTCCTCTTTAGTCAAGAGCTCGTCCCATTTGCGGAAGAAGTCACGATCCCCTTGGTTTAGGTGCTTCGTAAAAGCTTCGAAGTCTTCACCAAGGGCGCTTGTCTCACCATTGCCATCTTCTGCCAGCTTGTGGTATATAAGGCACGGCGTCTTCGCGTAGCACTTATTACACATCTGCGCCTTCTTAAGCATTGGCGGAAGCTGCATCCTCTCGCGGATATACCCTGCCAGGCGGTTTCGCACTTGAATCATTTGAATAAGCTCATGACGAATGCCACGTATGCTAAGTGTCTTGGAGAGCTCAAGATAGTACAGGAGACCGAATTTCACATCGACATCTGTTCATAAATTAGCCACAACCCACGCTAGACAACAGATCGCTCCTAGTGCTCACCATAGCGATCCGAAAGCAGAAGCGTGTAGAGAGCGGTTTGGGCTCTATGCCCCTGATTTGTGTCCCTTTTACCCGTCTTCAACTCGAGTGGAACAACGAGATTCTTCAGTGTATCTTTGTCTTGGCAGGCGACTTGCACTGTGGCATCGATATTGCCTTTGAGGCCATACATTGGAGACCACACATGCTCTTCAACCTCGAGCAGTTTGGTTATACTCAGATTGAGCTTTGCACCATTGCGATCTTCAACGAGGGAATTTGCCTAGCGGAATTGTCAGAATCGGGAATTCGACAGCTTTATGGAAGCTCGTACCTTGGGTTTGGTTTGGAGAAAGGCGTCTGCCCAGGCCTGTACCTGAGGGATTTTGCCCATAATGGTCTCGACAGCCTGAGATGTACTCATGTTGATTGTGTACAACTCCTCAACATGATTTTTGAGAACCTTTTCGACCAGTAATCTCAGTGAGTCCAGATCCCACTTGTTTGCCATGAGTGCCTCTTGAAAGACCTCGTGAAAGATGATTCCAAATGCTTGTGGCTGTTCAATCTGGCCGAAAACTTTGACGCGGTCTTGAAGCACCGCACGACGTTGACAGTCCACCGAGTCTGCGACAACAGTAGCAGATATCAAGTGATCTGGATGAAGAATGATCATGTGGTTGGTATTGTCCACGACGCAATGACCGGCTGAGTCGAAGTCTCCAACCAGATGAATGAATGAATCTTTACTGCAGGGTGTGTCACACCACGACTCACGCAGAATGATGACCTTGCGGGCATCGGTCTTCTCATCCTTGACTGATAGAACCTGCACACGTGTCAGCGACCTCAACGAACTAGAAGTTACATGAATAATGGCATACCTGCTCAGGTTGCGTACGTCCTCGTGAATTGACATACGAACTCTCTGCGGTCTCCACGACCTGGTAACGCTTGATAGCTTTCCGAGAATTGAGATTCTATTGTGTTCATCGTCTTAGCATACACCTAGGTATTACCCCACTAAGAGTGACCAACGTAAGCTGCATCTTCACCAGTCTGTTTCATAGTCTGCTCGATGGCATCCAGATCAAAATCGTCATCAAATTCATCATCAGAGAGCGCAGCAGCGCCATTAGTGGATAGCTGTGGTACGTGGGTTTGAAATTGAGGAGCAGAGTTGACGGGGTCTGCATTCAGTTTCCGCACAGAATGAAGCTCCACGCTGGGTGGTTTGGATGCATTAATCGGCTTTGCATCGCATTCCGCAAGGGCGTCCTCAAAGTCGTCATCAAAGTCCCCAAAGTCGTCTTCAAAATTGTCAGAGTCGTCAGGTTTGGTTTCGTTATTCATAAGGTTTTGCATGGCTGGTTGTTTCGTCTCATTTATGGATTGCAACCTCGGGTGGCTGGATCCAGGCTTCTCTACAGCTAGACTTGACCACGCAGAAGAGCCCAGTGAGTCAAATTCATTGCGATCAGCCGAAGGAGCAACGAAGGGATCTTCTGCGACATCGGCCAGATCCATAAAATCTTGATCAAGATCATCGTCTCCAAATTCAGACTCCGAATCTTGAAGGATTGGATCTCTGGTAGCCCCCGAGACATCGGCAGCCTTGCCTAAAAGAGATTCTCTGGCAGCTTCTGCATCCCCTAGGCCCTTTCGGTCCATTGTGGGAGACGATGAACGACATCTTTGTGCGTCCATGCGTTGCCGCAACGGAGAAGAATTTGGCGGGCCCATTTCGACTTGCGGGACCGGTTGGAGGCTCTTTTCAATCTTGTCCAGGAGGAAATTGATTCTGGATGATTTGTTCTTTCCCGAGCCCAAGACATCGCTCCTCGTACGAGAGAAGATGCCTCGGCCGGAGCCCGGGTCCTGACGATTGACCCGTCTCCGTTTTGCGCGGGATGTAGGCCATTCGGCAGCACAGCTAATTGATCGCCTCAAACCGGATGAGTCTCGGCTTGTCCTTCCTGAAGCTGGGGTTTGTGGCGAAGAGGAGAGCAGATTTGCAAGACGGGGTGGGGGAAGGTCATCCGTTCCATCGACCATATTCTTGTCCATGTAATTATTCCAAAGCTCAGTCGCCAGATCATGCTGGGGTGTCTTGAACAGAGCCTGGATTGACTGCAGATCGAGTGGCTCCTTCTGGGCCTTCTTGGAGTTTCCATTGGTCGGAGAACCGGCAGACGATGAGCTGTGACGCCGCTTCCTCCGACGGCCTGCGGGTGTCTGAGACGAAGCATCTGGATTCGAGCTTGCTGGAACGTGTTGCCAAATGACATGATCAACTGGGGTTACCTCCGGACCTGGCGCAGGGTCAAAGGCATCTTCGGCATTGCTGATCAAGTCCGCGAGAGGTATACGGTTTCCCGGTGTTTGAGGACATTCCTTCACGGGTTTTGTTTCCTCATTCAACGGTACTGCTTGAGGCGGAGGATCGACTTTATCGGTAGATGGTTGCATTGGTTCCACCACTCCATTCAACCATGAACTTTGGTTTTCCTTGTTGTTTTGCACAGCTTTCGTCGCATTCTTCGATATCGTGTTGTCGGGCGCCACCGTCTCTTCTTTGTAGCGGAATGCGTTTAGTTTCGTGCGAGAGTTCGAGGAGATAGAGTAGGAGTTGTTGTTGTTGTTGTTGTTGTTGTTGTTGGTTGCCATGATCTCGATTCGATTCCGTCCGAGGGCTTTCTTCTTAAAGCGGGTAATGATGCATTCTCGGCCTTCTATCAGCAATGTTAACAGTGGCACGCGAAATCGTCACTCAATGGGAAGCAATATACCATGCCAATGGAGGTAAATTATGTACTCCACATCCAGTAAACATGAAGACTCGACTGTGTTCCGAAATAAGCGCTCTGTTGACAACTCAGGGATACCATTTGGGGCAGGATGCGATAAGAACGCGTCGCGCGTCGAGTGTCGTTGCCTGATTGGGAAGGCGTGCATCATATGCCTGAGGAATGAGGCGACAAAAGGCGGCCAGAATAAAATCACCCAAAAGGGACTAGCGTCATGACTGGTCAGCTCCTCCGTCGGCCTTTTGCGGCTTCAACATCAACCCGCCGAACAACCCCTCTCCTCTCCATTCCACCAAACGGTGCCATACCAATTGCGATTGTTGCTGCCACCGTTGGCAAGGCGACATCTTATTGGCCTTATCCTTGATCACGCAACTCCCACAACCGCCAGGCTCCTTCCGATCAACCCCAAACCGTCGCACCCCCGTCTTCAACATGGTTGCCCGGCCAGTGTCGCATCTCCTTCGTTCGCGCTGCCTGCTGCGCAGGCCTCAGAACACCCAGGCCTTCTCGACCCGAACCAACCTCCGCGCCGCTGACCATGGCGATCACTACGACCCCCCGACCGGCTGGCTGTTCGGCGTCAAGCCCGGCCAGAAGTACGAGAAGGAAGGCTGGGAGGGTATCTGGTACTACGGATTCATTGGCAGTCTGCTAGTTGCCGGTGTTGCATATGTTTTCAAGCCCGATACCTCGTAAGTTTCACCCTTACAACTCTCCTGGAAGCTTGCCGGGACCTGTATACATGCCCGAGTGACTAGCTTGCACGGGGCGATTGCATGTCAGGGATGAGCATGATCAGTCAATCCTAACGCTTCTAACAGTATACAAACCTGGGCTCTTGAGGAGGCCCGTCGGAGACTTGAGGCCGAGGGTATTCTGGAGGACCCCGAGAAGGTCAAGAAATAAACGGATCGGTTCTTGCGCCTAAATCTGTACACTGTACATAGAGAGATCGGAAAAGGATTATTTCGGTTGGCGCCTGTACCACCTGCGATGGCAGATATGATGTTCCGATCCTTTGGTTAGATGGGGTTTTTCGCATGTCCTTCCATTTCATTTCTTTTTCTCGTCCCCCCAACCTGTTGTACTACTTTATATTCCGTCCGAAATGCTTTCCGTCGCATCAATACTGGTGAATTGAATCAAAATGGTGGTCATTGTTAACAATTCCTGGGCAAGAGAATCCTTAATAAATATGTCTGCCATGACCTGAATTGATTGATGGACCCTGTCTTAGCGCTTTTACAAAGTTCCAATTCAGACCTCTGGGTAGATATCGGTCCTCCTGAGCAGAGGCATCTCCCTCCGAATCTTCGAGACGAGGTCGAGGTCAATATCGGCAGTTACGATTTGGGGTTCTGGATACTCGTCACCCAATTCTGCTACCACCTCGCCCCATGGGTTGACAATCATAGAATGACCATAGCTGCGTCTTTTCTCATTATGCGGACCGCCTTGCGCAGCAGCTATCACATAGGATTGGGTCTCAATAGCTCTAGCTCTGAGTAGAGATTCCCAGTGAGCTCTGCCCGTTGGAACTGTGAATGCAGACGGATAGGTAATGACTTCTGCGTTTTGACGCCGCAATGCTAGGCTTATCTCTGGGAAGCGTAGCTAGATTCGGAAGAATAAGTAAGCGGGTAAGGACGACAGTCTCACTGGATCATGGAATACCAGTGACAGGAATACCAAGCTGGCATGCAGGTACCGGCACTTACATCAAAACAGATAGCTAGACCGACACGTCCCACCGGCGTATCAAATGGTGGAAGGATTTTCTGTCCAGGCTCCACATTCCTAGAACCACAATGTTAGAACTTGAATTCAAAGCTCATACAGAGATTTTAACTCACTTGCTCTCTTTCAATATGGGGCCATCTTTGATCTCAACGTCAAATAGGTGGACTTTCTGATAGTTCTGGGTGACTGTTCCCTTATCATCGATCCAGACCAAGGAGTTCTTGAGCCTATTCTCAGAAGCTAGCTCGTGAATGCCAACATTTATATGCATGCTCTCTCCTCTAGCTGCTTGTTGTAGAGCTGAGATAAAATTACCACAGTCCGGTGACCGGGCAAGGGCCAGGGACTCCTCTGCAGAAGAGGCAATATAGTCCGATGCCTCTGGCAAGAAAAGGACCTGCGATGGATTTAGCGAATTGAATCGAGTACATCGGGGCTAGATCATTGAGATTATGTTATACCTTGGCACCTGCTGCTGCTGCCTTGCGAACCAATGTCTGACATTGGGCGAGGTTGGAAGTTATGCTCGCTGTCGCGCAGAGCTGCCCCACGGCCTATCTCGAAAAAGGACGATGAGTGATCGGGAACACAGCACAACAGAAGACGAACTAAACTTACTGCAAGTACCATTGTAAGTTTTAATTTCAAAGACTCTGACAGACTTATTTTCAAAAAAGCAGTCAGTGTCACTCGTAGAAGACTGCGATGTCGCAAGCGTACAGATGAGGAGATCGATACCAGGCGATTACTCAGCTATCGCGATCATCGATAACGGGCAGTTTCCATCGCCCGCAAAGATTCATTTCTCACTTGGCCATCTCCCCAAATTTGTGGTTCACAAGTAACCCAACAACTGCCGCCAGGCAGATCAATACCGTCGCGATGAAGAGTTTAAGAAGAGATGTCTCTTCAAACCCGCAAGCCGCCAATGTCACCAGCAAAGTCTTCGTGCGGTCCACGAAAAGTGGAAAGGTGCAAAAGATTGTTCGTGAGCTCTATCTGAGACAAGACATTCCCTGCTCCTCGAAGCTTTGCTCCCTATGCCCTTCGATCGCCCCGGCAGATGCCAACGGAAACAGTATGAGAGCTCCCGTATGATGGTGAACCTGTGCACCCAGCTAACGCAAAGCAGTTGCGCCATTCGTCCTGTCCGATCGTCCCGCCGGCACCAAGGCATTCCCCCGCGGCCATTACCTCGTCCCCGATACGAATGCGCTTTTGAACGGCATGGATCTTTTCGAGCACACCGGTGCCTTCTACGATGTTATTATTCTGCAGACCGTCCTCGAGGAGCTTCGAAACCAGTCGCTGCCTCTCTACAATCGCCTTCTTTCCCTGATCAAAACCGATGAGAAGCGCTTTTACCTCTTCTTCAACGAGTTCCGCATGGAGACCCATGTGAGGAGAGGCCCGGAGGAGTCGATCAACGATCGGAATGACCGTGCAGTTCGCACGGTGGCCAGCTGGTACGAGGAGCATCTGCGTGCTTCGACCAAGAAGAGCAAGAAAGAGAAGTCTATTCCTGCTATGGTCGTTATTACCGATGATAAAGATAGCATTCGCAAAGCCAAGGCGGAAAATGTGACGGCTCTCTCTCTCGCAGACTATGTCGCCGGTCTTGAGGATTCGGAGAAGCTGTTGGATATGATCAGCGAGGCTAAAGAGGCTCGTGATACAAAGGGTTCCGCTCGTGGGGAGCTATTCTACCCCGAGTATTACTCAATGTCAAAACTTATGACTGGCTTGCGAGCAGGAAATTTGCACCAAGGAGTGTTCAACGTCTCACCATACAACTACTTGGAGGGGTCTATCAAGGTCCCGGCCTTTGACAAGCCCCTACTCATTCTGGGTCGCGACAACAGCAACCGTGCCATTGCAGGTGATGTTGTTGTGATTGAGCTCTTGCCCAAAGATCAATGGAAGTCACCCTCAACGAAGATCGTTGAAGAGGAGACTGTAACGAAGAACGACAACCCCGATACGGACGAGACAGAACCTATGGTTACGGATAGAGAGCGCAAGGCTCTTCAAGAAGAAGTCAAGCAGGCCCATGGGAAGAACTCGGAGGGCAAGCCGCAGCCAACCGCCAAGGTTGTCGGTGTTATCAAGCGCAACTGGCGCCAATATGTGGGACATGTGGACTCAAATTCGACCGCCTCACACTCTGGTCGGCGCCAGCAGACTGTCTTCGTGCTGCCGATGGAGAAGAGAGTTCCTAAGATCAGAGTCCGCACGAGGCAAGCGGGTGATCTCATCGGTCAGCGTATCCTTGTCACCATTGACTCTTGGGACCGGGACTCTCGTTACCCCACCGGTCATTACGTCCGATCCCTGGGAGAGCTGGAGACCAAGGGAGCTGAAACCGAGGCCCTTCTTCTGGAGTACGACGTGCAGTATAAGCCCTTCCCCAAATCTGTCTTGGACTGCTTGCCTGCAGAGGGACATGACTGGAAGGTCCCTGCCTCAAAGGAAGACAAGGGCTGGAATGGTCGACGAGATCTACGTGATCTGCTCATTTGCAGTATCGATCCACCGGGTTGTCAGGATATTGACGATGCGCTGCATGCACGCCCTCTGCCAAATGGCAACTTCGAGGTTGGTGTCCACATTGCGGATGTCTCACATTTCGTCAAGCCCAACAACGCAATGGATCTCGAAGCAAGTGTCCGCGGCACGACGGTGTATCTGGTTGATAAGCGTATCGATATGCTTCCCCATCTTCTTGGAACAGACCTCTGTTCATTGAAGCCCTACGTGGAGCGCTACGCCTTCTCCGTCCTCTGGGAAGTCACTCCCAACGCAGAGATCGTGTCTTCCAACTTTACAAAGTCCGTGATTCGCTCGCGCGAGGCTTTCAGCTACGAACAGGCTCAATTGCGCATCGACGATCCCTCGCAAACCGACGAATTGACAGAGAGCATGCGAAACCTCCTGCGCTTTTCCAAGATTCTCCGACAGAAGCGTTACGATGCCGGTGCTCTGAACCTCGCTTCGCCTGAAGTCCGCATTGAGGCAGGTGATGAAGCCGGTGATCCTCTTACCGACGTAAAGACCAAGGCCATGCTCGAGACCAACAGTTTGGTCGAAGAGTTCATGCTTCTCGCCAACATCACCGTGGCAACCAAGGTTTACGGCTCTTTCTCGCAAACTGCTCTCCTCCGTCGTCACGCCACCCCGCCACCGCAGAACTTTGAGGACCTGATCAACCAGCTGTCCAAGAAGCGAGGTATGGAGCTCGATGTATCTAGCTCCGGTGCCCTTGCCAGCTCACTGGACCGCTGCGTCGACCCAGAGAACCCATTCTTCAACACGTTGGTCCGTATCTTGGCAACCCGTTGCATGACCTCGGCCGAGTACTTCTGTGCCGGTGCCCATGCCGAGTCAGAATTCCGTCACTACGGTCTTGCGTCACCCATCTACACACACTTCACCTCGCCCATCCGTCGATACGCCGATCTTCTCGTCCACCGACAGCTTGCTTCGGCTATCGGGTACGAAGGCGAGGACGGCCACGCCGTCATTGAGGGTGTCAGCACTCGTGGCAAGCTTGAGGATATTTGCCGCAACATCAACTTCCGTCATCGCAATGCTCAATTTGCTGGCCGTGCCAGTATCGAGTATTACGTTGGCCAGGCCCTCAAGGCCCGCGGTGAGAAGATGGCCGCAGGCGGCATTGACACTGGTATCGACGAGGAGGGATACGTGATGCGTGTCTTTGAAAACGGTGTGGTTGTGTTCGTGCCCCGCTTCGGTATCGAAGGTGTCGTGCGCTTGGAGGACTTTGTGCTGCCCGGGGAATCCGGTGTGTACTCCGTATCTGAGCGACGGGAGTTGGCGGTTCATCGCACAACGGACTTTGACAGCGAAGAGTACACGCTTCGGGTGTCGGAGAAGAATCACTCGGAAAAGGAACGTAGTGTGCAGGTTGAGCTTTTCCAAAGGGTGAAGGTGAATGTCAGCTCGGTCAAGGAAGAGGGTCGTGGTGCTGGCAAGCGCAGAGTTCGTGTATTGATTACTGGTTAAATTAGAATTAGCATCAAAAATAATCAATGTAAGGGTTATCACCAACTTCAAGTTCTTCCAGGTAATCTCCCCCCTCATATGGCCTAGTTGGTCAGCCAGGTTGGTTGCCACCTGGTTGGCCAAGGGTGTGCCCCTGTGAAGGAACATTGAGGGGAAATATGGTTGACTGGTATCCGATGTTCGAGCACAACTCCACGGATGACCGGGCACACCCTAGGGGGGAGAGGAGGCGAGCGGCTAAACCCCCCGCTCGCCGATTTCTTCTTTTATTTTTATTTTTTTTCTATTTAATAGATGGATCTCTTTTATATCTTCTATTCTAGATCTAAAATCAAATATTTTAAAGGTATTATGATAGTGTAGAGGGTGGTTATTTGGTGGGTGTGGTCCCGGAGGGTATGTTCTTCGGCATCGTGGGATCGCGATAGAGCATTTTGGTTAAGTATATAGTTGATGTAAAGGTTGTTCGATTCATGGAGGTTGCAAGTTTATTTCTTTTGTCCTCTAGGCAGGTCTTACTTGTGAGTAGGTGAAAATGGCTCGATATCAAACATTTCAATGGTCATTCAAATGCTTCTTCTAGTCGTACTTTTAGACACGCTTAAGGGCAACCATCCTGCGCATCAAGCTGAGGGGGGGCCCAAATATGAGTCTCAACCGCGCCATCAGATGCAGTCGTCGATGCAACAGTCGCAGGACGATCCTGCTTTTCTCCACCAGGGGTCTCCGTATTCGTGAGAGCCTCTTCGCGAGCAACAGATTCTCGCCGCTCCTGCGCCCTCTCTAGTTCCCCTACTTTCCACCCCCGAACAACCCACAGACACAGGGAAGCACCGATATATACAAAGCCGGTGAATATCTGGATATGCAAGTATGAAACTCCCCCGCCAACCTTGGTCGTGCGAAGCTCGAGAGCAATCGCTTCAGAAACGGTACACGGTGCAACGAGCGTGAGCCAAGTAATACTCAGCCCAGAAGGCAGGTCTCTCAATCCAATGATCTCGGCCAAAACTGGGGAGACGGTGGCCCAGTAGGTTCCGGCAACTGTTCCTACCAAGACGGCGAAGAAACATACCACGCCCATGCTATCAGCAAAGATCCAAATGACCAGACAAAACAACCCACACACAAAGGTGAGGAACGTGGCGATATTGATTCGACCAAGTCGATCACTGAACATGCCGACAAATGGACGACCAAGACCCTGTCCGAGATTCAACAGAGCAGAAACGATACTGCCCTGGTGCGACGTCAGACCAACGGAAAGAGCAAAGTTGGCCACGCTGAACAGCAGTGCCACGTATCCCAACATACTAAAGACACCCCAAGCCAAGAAAAGAAGAAACTCAGGCCGCCGCAGCAGTGGGAAATGAAAAGCCTTCAAACGACTCCCAACCAACTTATTCCGATCTCGAAGGAGGTTCCCGCAGACCAGGTTCACCACGCACGAGACGATGCCCAAGATACGGAATGCCCAGCCCAGACCTAGACGGGGGATAATCGCACCCACAGCCAAGGAGTAGGTCAATCCGCCAAAGCCAGACCCAGCCGCGGTAATACTCATCGCAAAGCTGCGTCGTTTCAAGAACCACTGTGGAGCGATACCCACGCTACCGACGAAGAGGAAGCCCATACCCCAGCCGAAACAGACGCCTTGGCTGAGGAAGATGTGCCATTTCTGCGTGGCAAAGGATGACCCGATGAGGGAGAGGGTTTCGAAGAAGACGCCCAGGTTGACGACGAGTCGGGTACCGAAGACTTGAATGAGATAGGTGGCTAGTGGGGCTACCAGCAGGGCACAGGAGATACTGAGACCGCCGGTGAAGGCATAGGAGAGAGCTGTCGTATTCGGGAAGACGTTGTGGGAAAGATAGTAACTGAGGAAGACACCGTAGCTCTGGAAGGGAGTACGTTAGCTAATAGTAAGATATATTACTCTAAGGAAGGGTATACTAACGCTGTTGATTCCCCAGGTATGCGCATTAATCCAAAATACACATGCGACGCAGACCCAGCCATATCCCCCGTCTGGTGGGACGTCCTGCTTATACTTCTCGTCGGGATCGGTCTGGGGTTGTATCTGCGGTGGGATTTCGTCCTCGTGCTTGGTTCCCACTACCGAGTCCCGATCGTCATCTTGATGAGACTGGATCACATCGACGGGGGCATTATCAGCCATGCCGAGGATCTATAACCCCGGGCACCTCCAATATTGGGGGTTCTAGTATGTGGTGTATTCTTGCCAGTGGCAACGCTTAAAACCGAGACCCGAAATAAATTGCCGTTTTCGTCACGACATAGGTCTGGCCGTTTCAACAGTGTATGGATGAAGGTGAAGAGAGAATTATTTTAGAAACTTGAAAGAAATCCAGACTCAAAAAACACGAGATGACCACCGGGGTTAGCTTAGGATTTTAGTCTCTAAATTATGGGGCCCATGTCGGACTTGAGGCCGACATTTCTACTGTAGAGGGAATTTGGGGTCGGCTCTTGGTCGAGGAACTATACCAGGGTAGTGATAGTACCAGCCGCGGCCGGTCGGTGAATTCAAGCCAATGACGGAGCATAATTTGGGTGGGAATGGATCACAGATAGGATGCGAGCTTGATTAGGTGCAGACAATTAGATGGCAGAGAGAATAATAATTGGGGCAGCTTGGAGTCGTGGAGAAGGGAAGTGGGGTTTGGTGCCGAAGACCCGGTGCGGAGAAATGACAGTTACAGGAGACAAGAAACCGACAAGAGATAATTGAGCAGGGAATCTGACTCATTGCGGGCGGTGGAGGTGGCTGGTGATTATTACTGTAGATTATCTGGCGTGTCAAGTTGTTCGTTGGCAGTTGGGTATCAACACGTTAACTTGTGGACCCAAGACCGAGTACTAGCAGTACTCCGTACAGTACAAGTAGTAGATCTACCCACATAACTATGGTCAATACAAAATATCTCCGAATTCCAGGCATCTGATCAGTGAACACGGACCATCAAGGTCATACAATTTCACGTGGAGTAAGCCCTAAGCCCTACCCCAAAGAGGCAAGTCAATGACGGCGTTGCCCGGGACCCGATTGTTTTGGACTCCGCAATTATCGGGACGAGATCGCGACTAAGACCCGCCTTGGCTATTCAAGAGCGCCTCCTGAATCCCTGGATTCAGATTGCTTCTGTTGCATACCACAGAGAACCTTAAGCTAGATCCCGACGCCCTCTTCCGGAGCAGCAGTCGGATCGAAAATAAAAAATACTAGCGACCATGATGCACAAACATACTAAACCCATCGGCCAGCGCAAGGTATCGCCGCCGGGCCCCAGCTATATGAACAATGACCAGATGGGTAAGCTGCCTTTCATCGTTGGTTCGAGTTGGGACTTGCCCGGTGCTTTCTGAACCTGGACCACAGCCAACATACAACGATTGCCAATCGATTGAAGCTAACACGCTCTCGCTTTCTATAGCAAGTTACTTGAAAGACCTCCGAACCAACCGTCCAGCTCGACCAACGGGATCGCGACCATACCCTGGCAAATCTACGACAGCAACCTCACCCGATCTCGAGGAAAGCCTCCCCCCTCGAGCAGCATCTGCCTTCTCCATGTATCGCACCTCTGGAAGCCCGCCTAAAGAAGAACCTCGCTGTGAAAGCGCCATGTCCCACCGTCGCTCCAACTCCACTGCCGCCGAAGGTGGTCCAACCGGACGCCCTCTCGCCCAAGAACCACGATCAGTCTCGGTGCGAAAGAACGTGTTTCCCTCGCAGATCTTCTCGCGCCCCGTCGCCGCATCCCCAGTCCCCTCTTATCGGTCTTATCGCGAAAGTAAACAACGACACCAGGAGAAGGAGGAGGCGCGAGAATTACGCGACGCGCTACAAGGGCTAGATTTGGAAGATGACGTTCGATTGCACCAAGCAGCACAGGATGAGGCGACCGAGCTAGTGTGGATACATCAGAATCCCGGCATGGCGTATAAGAACCCCTATGCGCCTTATCATAACCCAGATGCCGTGGGGAGAGAGCCTTCAATCCGAAGTCAGACACCAAAGAGCTCTGGGTCGGGCTCTTCGCCAATCAAGCACCGTCATTCAATTGCCTCGAGTGGTACCTCGAGTGGACCTTCGAGTCCCGAGTATACGGAGGCCGGCTCGGAGTCGTCTGCCCGGAGGCGCTCATCCCTCGCCGGGAATTTGAAGAAGAACCTCAAGGTCAACTTTGCCTTGCCTGAAGAAGAGAAGCCAGCACCCAAACCCCGTACCGTGAGTGGTGATTCCTCCAAGGGCGTCTTTCGAAATCCCGAGGACCATATCTATGAAGAGCCCCAAGCGACCGATCCTCAACCCGACTTCTCCAAGTCTGATTCCTCAGCCCTGCGGAACAAACCACGCAACGCGCTACCACGACTCGGTAAACCGCTCCCCTGGTTGCAGGGTAGGAATACCACTGGTTCCGTGCGCGATAAGATCTCCAAGTTCGATATCCACAAGAACCCGCCAAGCCAATCCCGTGATCCAGGTTATACAAAGAACGAGCCTGTTGCGCCGTCACCTCCTAGCAAGGATGACGAGCCTATTCCCATGAAGGATGGAAAGGAGATCCGCAGTGACGATATCCGGGCCGCTACCAGCAAAAAGCTCAAGGACCGCAGTGAGAAGCTGCCCATGCCATCCGCGGTCAGCAACCGTATGGGACGGCCCATTGTGAGCTTTGATCCCAAATGGCAACCGAACGACCAGCCCAAGCCTAAGCCACAACCTCCGACAGTGGCCCCTCCAGTGCCTACCATCACGGTAGCTCCCAGTATTGAGATCTCTGAGCCGCAGCCTCCGCCACCGATCCCGGTCATCAATATCCCCGATATTAAAGAACCAACAATCTCCGAAATGACAGAACCTGTTCAACAGCAAAGCAAGCCGGGGAGATCAATTCCACAGCCTCCAGGCAATCAGAACCGCCAGCCTCCTGTAAGAAGACTCCCATCGGAACCACAACGCCATGCGTACACTCCATATACTCGATCCGGTGTCCCGACAGCACGCTGCGAGTCCTGCTCCCTCTCCATCTCTGGCAAGATCGTCACCGCTGGAGGATGTCGATTCCACCCAGAATGCTTCATCTGCCACCACTGCCACACAGCTCTGGAGTGTGTTGCTTTCTACGAGGAGCCCGAAGCCTCCCGGGCCGAGAGACTATCTCATACTCATGACACAGATGAAGAGGCGCGCATTCCGCGGTTCTACTGTCACTTGGATTTCCACGAACTCTTCAGTCCCCGCTGCAAGAGTTGTAAGACTCCCATCGAGGGTGAAGTCGTCGTTGCATGTGGCGCAGAATGGCACGTTGGCCACTTTTTCTGCGCCGAATGTGGTGATGTAAGTAACGCTTCCCAATCCGATATTCTTTGTTTACCTGTCGGGTCAGATTTGCTGACAATGACTTCTTAACAGCCCTTCAACTCGACAACTCCCTTTGTCGAAAAAGACGGTTTCGCATGGTGTCTCCAATGCCACGGTCGTCGCACCGCACCCCGCTGTCTGGGCTGCAAGCAGCACGTCCTCGATGATCTGGTCATCACCGCTATCGGTGGACAATGGCACGAGCGCTGCTTTGTCTGTCACGAGTGCGGTGACGGGTTTGGACCCGAGGGTCGTTTCTTTGTTCGTGAGGGTGAGCCGAAGCGTACTGCTAAGGGTCGGATTATTGGTGGGCCGGTACAGTTGGCTATTTGTGAGCGATGTGAGGGTATTCGTCTCAAGGCTCCTGGGATGTGCTAGTCAAGTATGTCCGGCACTTACTTTCGGGACTCTTGGGATTGGTATCTGAGCATTTGATGTGTTTTATGAATTTACTGCATTACGATTTATTGATTTCGGGGGGTTTTTTCGGGTTATGAGAGTGCATTGTTCGGTTCTATGATTGTCTTATGTTATACTTTTCGTGTTTCGGTTCCAATGTTGCCTCTTTGTTGCCCTCTTTGGCGGGAGTTGTCAATTTGATTTAGAAAGCGCAGATTGTTTATTTCAGGATTTTTTTCATGTTTGTGATATCGGCATTTGCATGCATAATAGAGGAACTTTGGACTTGGACTCGAAGATGGGGAAACGCCTATACACCAGAGATTCTTTTTCAGGCCATATAAAGACCAATCAAACACATGCACCTCCTTTCCTTTCCTCTTAAGCAGGCCACTCAGGATCAGCCTTGCGTCGGAAAACAGCAACGTACTTGTTACCATTGTTCCGAGTAACTTTCTTCGACTCTTCCGTCTCAAACTTCATCACCCGCACACAAGGATCCGCCTCGAGTTCCTCGTCAGAAAGAAGTTCCCACAGATCCCTAATACCCCCGGTAGGTTCATCCTCAGCAACATTCTCCCCCTCAACAGTCTCGTACTTGAAATGCCGCAGGACCCAGTGGTGGTATTCTTCCACGTCGGTGATAGTATACATCAAACCACCCGGCTTAAGCACATACGCATACTCGGCATTCAAGCTCTCAGAAATAATACGGGCCTTGTGCTTGCGCGCCTTAAAGTGTGGATCGGGGAAACACACGAAAATCTTGGAGAGTTGGTGGTGGCCGAAGAAGTTGGGGAGGAATTTCATCGTGTTGGCTCGGATACCCGTGATATTCTCGTAGTTACCGGGGACGATGGTCGTCGTGCTGCCGACCTCGTCGTCTTCGTCTTCTTGGGCGGCGGGGGTATCGGAAGGGGTAGCTTCGTTTGTGGATTTTTCGGCGGCAATCTTTTTCAGGACTTGTTGTTTCAGGCGGAGGGCGGAGATACGACTGCGGACGTATTCGAGGACTGAGACGCGGATTTCCATGCCTGGCAGGATAGGTTAGTATATCATAATATGGGAGACTTGATTGAAGTTGTTCAAGTCATAAATATTGAGGGTCTTTTAAACGTACCAACCATCAAGGTATCTGGTAGTAGAGGTGCCAGGCCAACCAGCAACCCACCAAATCCACAACCAATGTCCACGACTTCCACATCCTTGGTCAATTTCCTCGTACCACCAAGATTGATCTTAGACGGATCAGGGTCCACAAAGGCAGGGTAATGCGACGCCCAGTCCATATGCGCGGGGCTAATAGGGCTATAGTTTCATCAAAGTTAGCTCTACTCCAGCGCAGACAAATCCAGAAGTACCCAGAACCACATAGCTCAACGAAGCCAATGTCTTCACAGTATACTCCGCACTATTCTCCAGGACGGTATATAGGTCACGTACTAGTCCAGATTATGATCCGAGAACACATTCGCATGCGCGCGTTGCCGGAAGAATCTCTTCTGCGGCATCTTCACATTAGAAGCATCGCCATCACCGCGCTCAGCCTGCTCTTGGATCTTGCGGCGGTATTCCTCACGATGGTGGCGCTTTCCCGCTACCTGGGTCGTCATGTTGAGAATGACCGGGGGGGGGGGGGGGGGGGGGGGTAATTCGAGAATTGGGAGGGAAAAGCCAGGGCTCGAGACTGGAAAGTTGGAGGGTGGAGGAGGAATAATTTGCGCGGGCCGCACCCCACTCCGATCCGCCCGAGCTTTGGGTTGTGCTTATCAGTTCGTTGCTCCATCTGCCTCATCCTGTCCTGTCCTGCACTTTCATTTACTAGCTATATCCAATACAGCTGGCTAGAAGCTCACTCATATCAACAAGTATATACTCTACAGAAAATGGCTACTTCAACAACAACAACCACCCCCTTCACCTTCCCACCAACATACAACTTCCCACCCTTCTTCACCCCGCAACCAAACAGCACCACGCGACACTCCCAGCTCCAAAAATGGTCCTCCCTAATACAATCCTGGTGTCGACACCACCGTACCTACCGCCTCTCCCTCGTCGACGCCGTCGATTCCCCTCTCTTCCATAATGCAGCCCTGCGCAAGCGACTAGATCTCGCCGAGGCTCGCGCGGTCGTGGACTGGATGACGAAGAAGGAGGAGGAGGAAGGCGGGGGTGGACAGCGCGCGGAGTGGATTGAGGGTGCTTCAGCTGGTGGGAATGCGATGCCTAAGAGTGTTGCTTGGATTTGGTGGCGCAGGCCGGAGGAGTGGGCGGATGTGCTAGTGGATTGGATTGATGCTACGGGACAGCGTGGGGTGGTGTTGACGGTGTTTGAGTTGGTACAGGGAGAAGCGACGGTTTCTCAAGGTGGGTTCTTTACATTTTCAACTGGGTCTATGGGGAATAGTCATTGCTAATCATCTTACAGAGTTCCACGGCATGGACAACGATGTCATGATGAAGGCGCTCAACGTTCTTGTCAAGCGAGGCAAGGCATCCGTCTTTGGTAACGAGGGCGAGGAGGGAGTCAAGTTCTTCTAAGCAAAGAGTCTGGATTGCTATGCCCTATGTGATGAATCGTGGCTATTCGTTACAAAGCAAAACGCTCAAAGGGCCTATCCATGTTGCCGGTCAACCCGCACTGCCAATACTCCCTAACATTTACAATAACCCCATTGAGCCAAACGACTTGAATGAATATCGAGACGAGTCCTACTCGTCTGCATCCTCAATCGAGCTCTCGTCTAGCTCGTACTCATCCGCCGCCCGCAGTTCCTGCGACATGGCCATGTCGAGCAGCCAGTCCACACGCACGATGCGGGGAGTTCGCTTGACATCGCCAGCTAGTTGACGGAATCGAGGCCAAAGGCGAGCATGCTTGCGCTCAGCACCGCTCAGAAGGAAGGCTTCATTGCGACCAGGCTCGTCATCTTGCATCTCCTCGTCTTCATCATCGCTCTCTTCCCTTCGAGAAGTGTTATTCAATGCGAGGCGACCACGGAAGAGCAAACACTCGCCGCCATTTGCCTCCACGATCGATTTGAATGCTTCGTACCCTCCGCGGATATCCTCCACGCAATAGACACGGAAGCCACGCAGAAGCTTGTTCTTGTTTTTCTTTGCATTTCCCAATGACTTGGCAAGGGACATATGGAACTTTGACTCAGCCGTCTTATCCACAAGTGGGAAGTCCTTAGGGTCAAGCAACTCATCCTGCGAGAGGCAGTTGTCGACAAAGTCAGTGCTCATAATCACTGGCGCATAGGCCAGTGCATTAACGAATTTGGCGGTGCGCAGGATGGAAGGTGCAGCCAAATGAGTGCATCGGCGGGCATCCTGAACTACCATGATCCCAAGATCTCGGAGATGGCGCTGTTCACATAACATTAGCATTCGCATATAGATGCAAGTAGATAGCATTGACAAACCTTATCTGCATCCTCTTTCTTTTCATTGCCCTTGCCCACCCACTTTTGGTAGCCAGTAATCAGCAAGTGCATGGAAATGGGAGGTCGAGACTTCTTCTGTCGCTTCGCATCCGAGGCTTGTTCGCCGTCGCTCTCCTCCTGTGGCTCGGCGGAGCGGCGCTTCTTTAAATTGATAGATACACGATCCTCGTCAGACTTTCGTCGGCCCCCATAGATAACACCACCAACGCGTTTCATCTCCTTCTCATACAGAGCAATATCGGGGGCGATCTCATGGAGCCGAGCTGCTGCTGCGTCTTTAGATTTGCGGCTGCTGGTCGAAGAAGGTGTCTCGTTTTCTTTATCGTCGGGAATCAGCCGGGACCGCGCAGGCGTCTGTGCCTGCTTATTATCTGCTGCCCGGCGGGTGGTTTTAGTCTTGGCCTGAGGGGTGCCCTCGGCAGTCTCAGAGACCTTTTCGGTTTCCTTGCGAGGCTTCTCCGCGGGTGGCTGCATCGATTCCGTGTTCTGGTCTTTGGCCCGCATAGCACGGGGAGGACTCGAAGGTTCCTCCATGGCTTGAGTAGAGAAGAAGTTCCGCTCAAGAACGTCGATATCCAGCATCTTCTGTCCAGCAATGTCGCCAAGGTTAGTCCGAGGCGGGAAGTGGTTGTACCGAGGGTTGGACACCGGTTGCAGTTTCCATGCGGCGTAGCTGTCTTCCAACCACAAATGGTTAACCACCTGTAGTCCCCATTCTCGTGCCGCACTACACTTTTCACTGTTACCATGAGCGGTGATCAGATGCGTGTTCTCTTGTTTCAATGTCTTGGTGCACTCAGCACCCGCTGCTGCAACTAGATTCTCGAGGTAAATTCTCGCCTCGCCAACGTAGTTGGAAAGACTGATCTTCAACCCTTCAAATCCAGGAATTGGTGTGCGCGACACGGGGTAATGCAAGAGTTTAGTCAAGGGTCGAGTCCAAGTGTTGAAGGTCATAAGATGGTACAGCCAGGCGAGGTTGCCAACAATCTTCTCCAAGCGTGATGCCGTCCTGTACACAAAGCCCTCTCGGAATCGGCAAATCAACCAGTCCGCATCCTCGACTTTGGATGTTATGGTAGCACCACCTTGCTTGAGCACGGCCTCGATAGACTCCAGCATATGTGAGCCAATGCCCAAATCTCGCGAGAGCATGATGGATTTTCCTGCAAAGACACTCGATTGGTCCCCGGTACGTGGGATACTGGGTGGCGTGGGCATTATGGAAGGTTCAGGGGTAGATGCCCCTGCCAGATCCTTGTTCTCGTTTGATCGAATGGGAGCATCAAGGCCTGGGCGGAGGATCTCAGGGTCTGGGAGTGTGTACGGGCGTTCATCAATGCGTTGACCGAGTTTCAGGCAGTCGTCAAACCTATGTCTCGTTAATCAGTGTCGCTAACCAGATATGGGCACAGCTTACCAGTGTGGCAAAACTATCTTTACACGCAACTTCTTGGCCTGCACCAGTCGCGCCTTGTCCGATTCCACAGTCAAGTCAACCAGGTGGGTAACCATTCCAGTGATTCGGGGGCTGTACAATCCACCCTTGGCCACGACCCCGCCGATAATCGCATCCTTGTCGCCTTCTGGGATATCACCACAGGTAACGACTACATCGCTGAGGAAAAGGCGCGGATCGGGGCTGTGTTGACGGGGGTTGGCCACTTTCCGTTTCGCTAGCGAGTTATGCACCCACGAGGGCTTCACCACGGGAATGAGAGTCTTGCGAGCGAGGTCGTAGGTGTGAAAGTGGGTGTTATTTGCAACAATATGAGTGCATTCGAGAGTGTCCTCTTTTTCAGGGCTAGACTCGTGTATTGACGGTTCGCCGCCATATTCTCCGATCACTGTAGCAAGCTGGTTTGGCCAAAATATGAGTTTCGTCTCCGTTGTATGCGCGCGTCATCGGAGTAATACATACCTGCTCCGCAGTCTCCAGAGGGAGATCATTTGAGCACACAATGCAAATGCGACACTGGTCGAAGAGCTTGGTGTCCTCGTCTGCCATGGTGACAAGACTGCGTTGCTCTCGTTGTGGTTGTCAGGAACGAATCATCGAAGACGCGCCGCGCGCGTAAAGGGCCGACGCCCAGTCACGTGCTGACACGCGGGGCGAGATGAGTGTATGTAGAGTTGGGCATGGCATTGAAAGTCATTGTTAATTTGACTATTGCTATTAATATGCTACATATTATTGCTGCAGTTTAATTATAGATCTTTTACGGGTATGGATGCGAGCGACTTTGATGTCCTTGACTTGAACGGCACCAATCTATAATCGGGACAACTACAAAGAGCCGCGGAACAAACTAGGGCTATACACAAAGACGAACCTACGCCACGAATGTTCTTTTGTCTTTCAATCTCCTTATTGTCTATATCAACGAGACATGTTCAAACAAAGATGCACGCTTAAATTATCTCCTCAGATTCATGAACAATGCACAAGAAAACCTCCAAGTATACCGAGTTCCAACCCATATCTCACGAGTCTTCAAGTATAAATAGTCTCATCAACCCTCAAGTATAGGGATCTTCATCAACTCTCTCATCTTCGAGACTTCTATCTACTTCAAACTATCTTGCAACTACCAAGAACTCTCCAGCTATTTCTTCCTATCGTCTCTCGGGCTATTAACTCGTCACACTCTCAAAATGAGCTCTTACTACGACCCCCACGACGAGGGCATTGGCCCTTTCGACGTGGATCCCAATCAAAATTCCCAACCCAAGGCTCCAGGTAGGATACCTTCTCTCTACCCAATGACCGTTCAGGAGTTCCGCTCTATCCGCACCGATTTTGTGGCCAAGTTCAAGGCATGGCGCGGCGGTTCTTCGGGAAAGACCACCGCGGACATGGCCGAGATTCTCGAGTACATGGCAGATGATTTCGATCACTTCAAGACTGCCGCTATTCCCAACACGACCAAGCCCTGTTTCCGTCCCAAGTGCGATATGATCAAGCACGAAGTTCTACAACTAATCCAGAAGCTCAAGGGTAGCCGGGAATTGACCCTCGAGATCGAGGAGAACATGGCTTACATTGGCAGCGCTATCGGTAGACTCACGCTCGAAGGTGAATCTGACGACGATGCGATGGATGAGACTCTTAGGTTTGTTAAAATCCATGAGCAAAATGTGTGGGATATGCCCGAGATGGGATTTACCCAGGACGCCGAGGGACTTCGCACTAGACTCTGGACGGTCTATACCAACGTCAACTTCTCCATGTCCGGCTGTCGCTGCTTCCAGTGTGCAATGTACTGGCGTGGTTAAGCAACTCGCTGGTTATTAGGATAGATCAAGAAGACAGGTCAGTTGGTCGCTCCTTTTGTCTCATTGTCTTTGTGGATTTTGTTCGTTTTTCCTTCTTATTTGGATATTGTGATCTTTGCTTGCTAGTATTGGCGAAGGTTCATATCTCTGTGCTGCTGCTTTTCACATTTGTTTCCCATCTTTCTAGTGCACACCAATCTACAAAATTTGAAGACATGTTTTTTGGCCCTTCTCACTCCCCAAAATTAGTTCCATTCACGTACGGTGAGTAATTCCTACCTTGTTAAGCTTCTGTAATTTAAGCCCCTTCCATCGTTGGCAGCGGGTTCCTTCTAAGTAAAGGGCTCGAAAACGATCAGCTGATAGCTATATGCATAAAAATCAACGTAGGTATATAACGGAATTTCCACGTTCTTCACAAATATTCCGAACCTCAGAAGGTATGGAGCATCTACGAATCCAATGAACGTGCCAACGTGGGGCCCCGGCAGTTGCGATCGCGGAGAATGCCTGTCGGCCCCAAAAGGGCCTCGGCTCAATCGTTCGGTATCCTCCCCATTTAATACCCCGGACATCCCTGGTGGACGCTGGTCGTTCCCCCACAAGTCTCTACGATACGGTAATTGAGGTTCAAACCATGTCATCCTCTCCGTTTCGAATCGTCGAGCATGTCGTGCCTTGCCAGCACCTTCGCGAGTATCCTGCCGCCACGGCCAACGAGCAGGAACAGCCCTTACACCTCGCCGTGAAACAATACATCCCACTCGACAACCCGAATCCGCAACCCGGCGATGTGACCATCCTTGCTGCACATGCCAATGGCTTTCCCAAAGTATGTCAAGGATCAGGTTTCTGCGCGCATCATCGCTTGGCCGATCGCATGCAATCTGCGCTTGGCCGCGACACGCTATTATATGCGGGCGCGATGTAGCACTAGACTAACTGGCAACAGGAGCTATATGAGCCTCTTTGGGAGGAAATCCACGCTCGATCTAAAGCCAACGGATTCCGAATTCGAAGTATCTGGATGGCCGATGTCGCACAGGAAGGCGAGAGCAGCGTTATCAATGAGGATTCTTTAGGCAATGACCGTACGAGACACACTTGACAAAACCTTCATACGACAAGAACAATACTCACAGTGCCACAGCTAGCTGGTTCGATCACCCCCGGGACCTCCTCCACCTGGTCAACGTTAAGCGCGCCGAGATGCCCCGGCCCATCATCGGCGTTGGCCACAGCATGGGTGGCGCACACCTGTTAGTCCCCGAGACCGTTGCACGCGTATCCAATCGCCATCGTACTAACTAGAACCTGTAGTACACAACTGAGCTTGATGCACCCCCGACTGTTACACACCCTGGTGCTACTGGACCCTGTCATCCAACGGCAGACCACTCAACTCGACACGCTAAGCATGCTCGAGCGCAAGCGTATCATCGCAAAGACCACCCAGCTATCCACCCACCGACGCGACCTCTGGCCGTCCCGCCAAGCTGCCGCAGAAGGCTTCAAGCGCAGCCCCTTCTATCAAGCCTGGGATCCGCGCGTTCTAGACCGCTGGGTCAAGTATGGCCTCCGCGACCTCCCCACGGCCATCCACCCGCTCGATCCCAACACCGTTATAGACAAGAAGAACCCACCAGTCACATTACGAACCCCCCTTCACCAAGAAGTCTTCACCTTCTCGCGTCCAAACTATAACCACATCCCGGGCAGCGACAAGCCCGTCAACCGCGTAACACACCCCGACCTAGACGCCGACCACCCAGACTCCCACCCATTCTATCGGCCCGAGCCGGCGCGAATCTTCTCTCAACTACCACACCTACGCCCTAGTGTGCTCTACATCTTTGCCGGCAAATCAGACATGTGTCTTCCAGATATGATGGCCGACAAGCTCACGAACACCGGCACGGGTCTCGGCGGTAGTGGCGGCGTTGCAAAGGGCCGCGTGCGAGACGTCTATCTCAAGGACTTTGGCCACTTACTCGCTCAGGAAGCTGTAAATGAATGTGCCGATGCAGCGGTCTGCTGGCTGGCGCCGGAGTTGCGGCGCTGGCGCGATGAGGAAGAAAGCTTCCGGTCGGTGTGGAGTAAGAAGTCTAGGATTGAGAAGATGACGGTTGATAAGCAGTGGATGGAGAATGTTCCTGCGCCGGCCCGTCGGCCGAAGAATGGTGAGCAGAAGGCTGGTGGGTCAAAGCTGTGATGAGTGGGTGCGATCACTTTGTATATAGATTTGCATCTCTGCCTTTTCTAGTAGGTCTTGTAGACTGACATGGCGGACGAAGCCTTGTAAATCGATCTTGGAGATGTGTTATATTAAGAAGATCGTCAGTGTTTACAGTATTGATTCTTTCTATAATGACGGGGTGACTTGAAAGCGTGATGAGCTGACAAAAGCAACGTCAGAGACAAGCCAGTAGCTACAATGATGAAAGACCCGACTCCTATCTATAGCAACACCATTGCACATCCTTTTTTTTTCATTGCACGTAGTCGGGGGATATGAGACTAATGCATACACCCCAGAAAGAGAGGTATCAACCAAGACCAGCTAGTATTCCGTCATCGGAAAGAATGGAGGATATGCCGGAGGGTGTCAGCCCGATGCCCCCCCCCCCCGGGAACCGGCGGAGAGTACAAGTCAACAGACATCAAGATAGATGTGGGAGTAGAGTTTCTACTGCAGTTGGAGGGTTACATTCCACTATTCACCATCACCCCCCGAAATTGGCAGAAATAACGAGGTAATCAACCGAGGATTGAAGTGAGGAAATCAGGTAGACTTTTTGGCTCGAGCAACCCCATTCTCGGACACGGGTGTGGTACGAATAATCTCGGGGATTTGCCAGAAATGCGCCCAGCGCAGATGGAAGTCGTCCTGGCGACCATTCAGGCAGTGTCGCAGCCATATACCCCAGATGATGTACAAGTATGCACCGACACCGGTCATGATATGCCTGGAGTAAACGGAATCAGTAAAAGACAAGAAACAAAGCTGGAGTTTAACCGGTGTACGTACCACCAGCCATGTCCCTCCAGGAAAATCCCCCACGGCAAGCCCACCGTCCGACGCCACACGCGGATCTGCGAACAGAACTGGTTGTCTAGATTCCAGATGAAAAAGCCGCCTAGGAACATACTAAGTCCATACAAGACCATAAACCACATTGTCTTCAAGGTCTTCATGTCGCGCTCATTCTCGAAATGTTGGCGTTCCTTTGTAGGAACCGGGAGACCCTTCTTCTGGCGGTCCAGGCGATCTTCCTCGCGGGAGTGGCGCCACTTGGGACGAAGGGTTGTCTCCATGGTGTGCATGCTGCGCAGGACAACGACGGTGGTCAAGAGCGCGTAGGCATTTTGATGGAATACCGGGTCTTGCAGGTAATGGTAGTAGAGGGTGATGAAGACCGCCAGACTGAGGAGGGAGATGGCGAGGACGAGGCGAACGCCGGATGGACGCGAGTATGAGAATGAGGCGTAGGCCATCAGGCAAGTCGTGTAGATCATGGAGAGCTCATCGACAAGTTGCATGGGGTCTGTATTTGTACTCAACGGTTAGCATGGCTGGTTGAAATGTAACTTAGACGACCCGGCTGATCTATACGACCGGGACGGCTGGGATCCGGGAATATTGAAGGTCAGATTCGAGGAAATGACACTTGCATTTCAAAGTAGAATGGAACAAGAAACTGCCCGTTCCTACAACCAGATAGCCCAGAAAGGCAACGGTGAAGATCTGGTCGTGTCCATTGCGGCGACAACTGATGATGCCCTTGATACCCAACCACATGAACAAGAGGTTTGTCAGGGTATTGACAATCTCTGCGGAATAAACGGTCGCATAGTAGTCCTATTATCCAAGAAGTTCTGGTTAGTTTGGTTCTTCAAGTCGATAATATTGCTTCCAGACAGTTGCCTGCCCGCATTCAATGTAATCGCGGGGGTGATCGGCGATAAATAAGCAAATTGAAATAGAAGTATAACGTACCTCTTCGCACCAGTTGAGTGTAGACGTGACGGGACTCCAGAATCCAGCCTTTGCAGGCGGATATGGGATATGAGGCAGAGACCACCCCATTGTTGAAGAGCAATGAAGAAGAGAAGAAGAGGCAACAGCGAAACGCCCCCCAAAGGCCTTCCAGTGACGTCGATTACACACGCACCGCAATTGGGGTCCACTGATTGGCCCCGGCGTGGCTCCGCGGGTTGCCGGCTGTTTGCGGGTTGGCGAGAGTCAGCCCCGGTTTGATCAAGAATGGGGGAAAAGATGAAAATGCGATGGAAAGAGTTTTCTGGAAACGGAAAGTATAGCATTTAAACAGGCCACAACTGGTATATATTCATACTAACCTTTATTATTATTATTATTATTCTTGTTGCAGAGGCGATAAGTAGTACACACCGTAATCAAGTAGATCCCTTATCGATAGGGCCCGAGACCGAGGCCGATGACTAGAGAAATCACTGATGACTTCACTGAACCCTGTGTAATCTCCAACTCTTCAACTACCACCTCAACCCAACACTCCTCCCTTGATTCTGCCCTCGGTGTGAATTGGTGTTTACTCGGGAATGCAGACTGCCTCACACCCATTCCCATCGTGACCGTTCCGGAACGGCCTGCCTCAACTTTCGGCCGATCGTGAATCCCTGCGGAGAAATCTTCCACCCCAACTGTTCACGACTCTCTCACTCCGATATCGAAGGTTTCCTCTCTACCCGTACACAATCTCTCTCAACTCTCACCCTCCGCCAGTTGATCGGGCGCAAGATCGGGCGCTGAAGTCATGTCGAACAACAGCGCGTATGCGGTGCCGCAGGTGAAGAAGACTAGCACCTCCACATGTATGCATATCCCATGCAAGCCCTATCGAGTCCGATATTACTATGAAGTGCCCAGACTAATCCGCTCTTGTCGACCTTCTAGCATCAAAAACAGTCTTCCACTTCGCCGCCGGCCTCTGCTCTGGCCTTACCTCCTCCATCCTCCTCCAGCCAGCCGATCTTCTCAAGACCCGGGTCCAGCAATCCGGGAAAGCCAACGCGCTCCTCCCAACCCTCAAAGCCATTCTCTCCTCTCAAAATCCTATCCGTAACCTATGGCGTGGAACGCTTCCCTCCGCCCTTCGCACGGGCTTCGGCTCTGCCCTCTACTTCACCAGTCTGAATGCCCTACGCCAGACGATCGCCCAAGCCAATCCTCCTCTCGTCCTATCAAATACATCAACCACCGGCAAATCCTCCTCCGCTCTCCCCAAACTCTCTAATACGGCCAATCTGGCTACGGGCGCCGTCGCCCGCGTCGCCGCGGGATTCGTGATGATGCCCGTCACCGTACTCAAGGTACGCTATGAGTCAGATTTCTACGCCTACCGCAGTCTCTGGGGCGCGGGCCGCGATATCGTACGCACCGAGGGTATGCGCGGTCTCTTTGCAGGCTTTGGCGCTACAGCAGCTCGAGACGCCCCCTATGCCGGCCTTTACGTACTTCTCTACGAGCAACTAAAACGCCGGCTTGCATCAATGACCACGACCAACTCCGACGGGACCCCTCTGGCAGGCGTGTCCTCGTCTTCTATCAACTTTGTCTCCGGTGCCTCGGCAGCCGGTCTCGCGACCGCTATCACAAACCCCTTCGACGCCGTCAAAACGCGACTGCAATTGATGCCCGCCAAATACGGCAACATGGTCCGGGCAGTGCGCTTAATGATTCATGAGGACGGCATGCGCAGTCTCTTCGGTGGTCTAGGCCTGCGTATGGCTCGCAAAGCATTGAGTTCTGCGCTGGCCTGGACGGTCTATGAGGAACTCATCCTCCGCGCCGAGAAGCGATGGGCGGCTAATCATCAGATGAGTTTGTAGAAAGGAACCTAGGAACTCTACCTCACTCTCAACTGAGACACAACAACAACACTCCCCACATTCTGTATTATTAGCTTTCATCTTCAAATCTCCACTTGCGGGTCTATCCTGCAGATGCATCACGCACGCGTCCTTGCGTCGAGTCTTGGCCCAATAGGGCTTTTCCTTTACAATTTACGATTTTAGAGTTGACAGCTGCAAGACGCAGCTCCTACGAAGATATTTTGAGATTTCAAATTCAAAAACGTGGCTAATGAACCGTTGTCCACCTACCTAAACATCCTACTGAGACTGATCCGTGTCAGATGGAAGACACACCCCCGTCTACGGCAAAAAGTGTTTCATCAAGAAGCATACATTCGGTGACATGTTTGGATACATAGAACAGAGTGGGGAACAAATGCAATCGACATGACATGGGATAAAACATTCATCAGGTAAAAGAGGGTAAAGGTCATCAAACTCGTGTCTCGTTACTGTACCACTCTCAGTGACAACCAGTTCCAAGAAATCTGGCAAAAGAATCTCAACTCAAAAAAATGAAAGAACAAATTCAACAGGCGTGATCTGGGTCTCGTAGTAAAGCGCAATAACGTTGGAATAGTGAAGAAATAAAAGAAGACGATATAAAAAAAGACAGCAATGACTTGTCCAACTGATCCAACTCATTCTAGTTGGGGGGTATGGGTGTGGACTGAGCGAGGCGAAACGCTTTATGCGAAGATGCGCAGCCGTCGGCTTGGGCTCTTCTTCCGAACCAGGTACATCTTTTCCTTGTTGCGGTCGTTGATCTTGAGTTCGGTGGTGGAGCTGGAGGTTTGGGCGATCAACTTGCCATCGCGGAGACGGCGGGTGTGGGCAAAGAGCTCTTCTTGGAGATCTTCGGTGATCCAGCGCTTGATGATGATGTAGTTGCTATCGCGCTAGAGAGAAGAGATGCATGGTTAGTAATGGGAGGCTTAAAGTTTGTTGTAATTTAAGAATATGCTTACCTCGTCCCATTCCCAGGGCAAGTTGTAGGCTATGAGGGATTCGGGGAGTAGATGCTTGCGGTGGACCTGAGCCAGAGTTAGTATACTCGCAACCCTAACCTGATAAGATTCCATCTCGTACCTTGATCCAAGTAGTCTTCTCCTCGATAATCTCATCTTTCTTCTCCTTCTTGTCCTTCTTCTCCTCCGCCTTTTTCTTCTTGTTGAGGATATCCTCGATCTCCGCCTCGGAATACCCAAACTCAAGGCGCAGGCGCTCTCGGAATTCCTTATCCTTCTTAATCGCCTCTTCCTTCTGCCGCTGCTTGATACGCTCCTGCTCAAGCTTCCACTCCTCAACTGCTGCAGCCTTAATCGCCTGCTCCTTTTTCTTCTTTTCCTCAGCCTCGACTTGCTTGCGACGCTCCTCCTCGAGGAACTCCTTCCGGAGCTTCTCGCGCTCTTCCTGATCCTCCTTCTGCTTGGCAATCTCCTTCAACTTTTCCTCGCGGATTTTCTGCTTCAACTCTTCCCGCTCGGCGGCCTCTTTCTCAGCCTCTTCGAGCTGTTTCAGTCGCCAGACCTTTCTCTCGGCAGCCTCGCGCTCCGATTCCTCGAGCTTCTTCAGACGCCAGTTCTTCTCCATGTTGCGTCGCTCTTCTTCGGCACGGGCCTTGTCAGCAGCCTCCCGCTCAGACTCCTCAAGCTTCTTCAGACGCCAGTTCTTCTCCATGTTGCGCCGCTCCTCTTCGGCACGGGTCTTGTCAGCAGCCTCCCGCTCCGAGTCTTCGAGCCTCTTTATACGCCAGTTCTTCTCTAAATTGCGCCGCTCCTCTTCAGAGCGGTTCTTGCGCTCGAATCGCTCCAGTCGGCGCAGTCGATCACTAATCTCATCCTCATACCACTCTTCTTCTTCGCGCAGCAGTCGTGACTCCCGTGGATCCCGTGGTTCAACCCGCTCACGGTGCTTCTCCAGTTCACGCTCCAACCGCTCGATCTCTTGCTGCTGTTTCCAGATCTCCATATCCTGACGGAGATCACTCTTCTCGAGGAGCTTCTGATTAAGCGCGAATTCGGCATCGCGCTCATGGAGGAACGGGGACGGGTCACGGGAGACGCCGGTCGCGGCACGACGACGAGACCTGACCACCTCCTCGTCAAAGTCAACGTCGACGACCTTTTGCTGCACGCGGCGGGGCTTGTTGCTGTTGCTGTTGTCGGTACGCTGGGCCTGCTCGTTGACGATCATGACAGCGGGGACTTCGCCGCGATCGCGGTGTCGGCGGCCACCATGTGAAGAGGACCGCTGGAGTCGTGAAGACTGCATGGGAACCGTGAGGGTTTCTCGCACCTCAGTGCGACGAGGACGAGAGACTGATCGTCGACGGTTCGAAGCACGACCCTTGCGGCCATGGACGGACCAGTCGGTCTCGGAGAATTCCGAGTCATCGGACTCGAAGAAGATATCGGCGGGCATAGTGGGCGGTAGATGGGATTTCAGAAGAAATCAGACCCAAAAGTTTAGTAATAATAGTAAATAATTCAAGTCGAGACAAGCCGAGTAATCGACCCTAATGGATGGGAGGGGAAAGGGTCTGAGCACACTCTATTCCACTTGGAGGGTGTGGGAAAGAGAGAATAATGAGGTAGTGTTGGAGGAGGAGGGGTGCGGGGTGGGAAAAGGAAGAAAGAGGGAAGAGAAGGAAGGAAAAGAAGAAAAGGCTGGGCCCCCAAAAAAGTAACGAATTAGTACTGAGTATTCTCGATTATTTAATTTCAGTTTGAATTTTTAGGGTAAGGCAGATGAAGGGGAAAAGAGGAGAAATACGAGAGAGAAAAGTTGGGCTTATCGACGATCGCTCAGCTGAATGGAGGGGCTGGAAAAGTAAAGAGAAGAAGCACAGCAGGGAAGTGACTGGGCGGCTATTTATTCGAGATGTACTGGTGTACTGGTGTTTCATAAGAGGGTTTTTTTTGGTATATTTAGTATACTCCTAGAGGGTACTATTAAAGCCAGTGACTATGCCGTGGTCATTCATCTTCCTGCGAGACTGTGCATATCAGCCTCAACGATCGCCTAGTCCAGTCGAATATGGAGTATAAGAGGGTTTAAGAGTATTAAGCCAAGGTATCAGACTGCTTAGGGTGGAATAGACTAGACTATCCACAGTCTGATCTCACACTTTATTCTATTCACCCTCTTCCTCGCCATACTCTGTCAACTATGATATCCATACACCACCCCAAGCTACCCCTCCTCTTCCAAGAAATTTGGCGGGATAGCATCATCGTCTCCAGCCACCCACCCAAAGGCCCCCACTCTTTAGCAGCCCAGCGACCGTCAGACGGGTTAGACTGTTACAGGCCCTGCCCTGCCCTGTGCCCCACTATGTACGGAGAGTACTGTATTCTCGTCAGTCTTCCAGTGGGTTCTCGAATTTGACTTTGGAATCTCTTCAAGACAAAATCCCTGCGAATCATTCTCCGGGCTAGTTTTGCGCCGCGAGCCCCTAAGATAAACGGTCGCAGCCCTATGCTGGCTGCATTCGAGCGCCAATAATTAACTACCCCTGGGCGTTTCGACGGACAGACTAGCGAGTGAGCGTCTGTTGAAACTGACCATATCTATATACAGTGTAGAGTTTTCACCTGTACTGTTTACCTTGCCATAGGATCCTCCTTATTGTCTGTGTCTTCGAATCTTTTTTTGTCGTTTTTGGCACTGTTCTGGGCCCGCTGATAAGTCTGGACCTGGCACTTGGGTACCTGGATACCATGCGCAGTACTTTGGGTACTGAGTGGCCCTGTGGCAGTGAGGACTAACTATACTTGGGTACCTGCGTGATCTCGATGATAGAACACTCGAGGATTGGGCAGCCGCCCCCATCATTCTCAAGATATGAAATTGGGCACAAGCCTACGAGAAGATACTAGATAAGTCATCGGACTAAACAAAACAAAAAACAAAAAGGTCGAATCCAAGGGATGCGGTCGGGTGTTCCCGCAGGTGACCCAAGGACCACGCGTGACTTGAACCGCACTCCATATCAACCCTTCTCACCTACTCTTAGGGCTATAGAGCTAGTCGGAAGTTGATGGCACTGGCACCAAGTGATCACAATCAAGGAATTTTTCACGCCTAATTCCAGAGATAACGGATTGTGTCTACCCTGGTGTGGGTGCACGTTCTGGATGCGCTCTTCCCCGAGATATCTCCGGTTCACGGTTGATAGCCTCAAGTTGATGTGGTCCCTGGTGTCTGCCGCGTGGGACTCCTCTCCATGACTTTGAAACGATTGATCTAACGCCCGGTTGCACCCTCTCGTAAAGCACCTATCGATCCGTTGGATTCGGAGGGGCTTTGAGGAACTACCGACTCGCTTTCCAGTTGGGCGAACACTTAATGAGCTACGGACATATTCCCAATACCGAAAGTAAATCATTCCAATATCAACTCAGTAGATCCAACTATGTCAACCCTGCTCCGGTAGACCGTGCATCCCTTTCCCGATTACTGGTCGTCCAACACAGCCATATCATCTTTCAACCTCCTAGAATAGTCCCTTTACTACAGAGTACAGGTATCTGCATCGTACTTCTCCGCCGATTGGGTAGGCAAAGCAAGGATGGACCTGGGCGATCCTCAAGTGCCTATTAGCGGGGTTCGCTCCCACGTCATTTTTAATTTAAATCCCGACCAGGGCTGGGCGACTTTTCCTCGTCAGGTGCAGACAAGTTGAGAAGTAACCAGTATGTACGTATGACGACGATGGCGGCGGCGGATTTTGATCAAGGTGGAAAAAGTACAGTTCTGTCATTGCTGTGCCACAGTCTAGTTGGGTTGGGCCTGGCATAGGTCAGTGTATCTCGTTGAATGGTGTGGCGGTGTCCTTGTCTTCGGGCAGGATGTCGGGCTGTGCTGGCTTAGCCACGACTATCTATTCAAGGGACGTCGCAAGTCATCACCTAGTAGTTCTGGTTATATCTCAATACCTCTGCGGTGAATTTGAACGGTATAGTTTTGTGTGTTGTCCAAGGCCCGTGGAGGTCCATCCTACCAGCTCACAACGCCGATAAGGTCTTATCGGTTCAAGGTATCTTTGCCAAGCTGGTATGTTGAATTAAGCAGCATGGGTGGTTATCTGCGAAATTTAAGCTTGAAATTCCAATCTTAACATGGTCTCAATCTATTGAAATTTTGAGTCCTCGAGGTTTGGTTCATCCCAATGAAGATAATTTTCTTTTTTAAATTGGACAATAGTCCGTGTTGCGGCTCTGCCCATGACTTGCAAAGCCACTCTTCACATAAAACTCCTGGGTATCCAAATCGCCGGTAAATAATGCACTGCAGTCCTTCGTACGGAAAAGCCAAAGGACAAATCTGACAGGTCAGGGGCCCGGTCACCCTGAGTTATATCTCTTCCATCTTCAAATAAGTTCTCCAACGTCCCACCACTTGTGTCTGGGCCGATGCCCTCGTCTGGGTGAGGAACCCTCGCCCAGGTACTTCACAGCCCAGTAACACCAACAGAGAAGCAAGGTTGCATGGGGAGCCCTTTCAGATATTCCCGTGTCCCTGAATATTGCCACCAACGACGCTGGTTCTTCTCCAGATCGATGTCCTTCAAATGCCTTAATTGCTTTCACCCTTCTATCACGACCTTATCATGCGCGTCCTCCGGAGGACAGAATCTGCTCCAAGTTCTCTCGGCTGTTCTTGAATGTAGTCTCGTGGTAGTGGAGCTTCTTCTCGAGGTTGGTGATCTCGGAGGAAGCCTCCGCGCTCTCGCGAGTGAGCCGCTTGTTGACGGTGCCGATGGGGACGTTGACGAACCTGGTTCCGGGGGTCGTTAGCTACCCATCCTCTAGAATATACCGATAAATTTTCCCCGGAGATCCGGTTGGAGAACCAAATCCGTGTTTGAATGCGAGGGGTAGGGAGGGACTGGTGAAACTCACATCTTCCCAACACCCTCGTAGACAGGCGTCTCCGAGGGCAACTCAGCCAGCTCCTTTGATGTCAGTTGCAGCATGCGAATGTCGCGCTGCTTGGTGGTGATCTGGGCCTTGGTGACGCCAATCTGTTGCTGCGAGGCAATGGCGCGGGTTTCGATCTCTTGCAGAATCTGGGGTAGCCTCGTGTTAGCATCTCTAGACTGTCACGGCTGTATTTCTGAACTCCCAGTACTAGGGGTAGTATTGAAAGCGTCCTGAGGAGTACTATTTTCTCACCTTCTGCAGGGCCTCGTTGGGGATGGACATTTTGGGGAATGTGGGGGTTGCTTGCCAAAGTTTGGCTTCGTCGAGGGAGGGGGAGGGGTAGGGAAGTTCGCGAGTCGGCAAAGGGAATCGGGGTGGATGAGCTTCCGAGTCTTTCGATAGCGATGCTTTCAAGCACGATAGAATTGAATTGATTCGCGATCGGAGATGCAAGTAGGTTAGGAATGGCGACGAGTCCCGCGAGCTGTCGTGAACCTGCCGCGTAAGTGGGGATCATCCCAAAGGCGGTGAGGCTTTCTATTGTTCTCAAGAGCCAACTTATGCTCCTCAACTCTGGTGGAAGATAATCAGATAAGATCGAGAATCCTATTTCTGATGCGCCCAGTACAGTGGAGGAAGCTACTACTTCTCTCGACTAAATGCGCAGGCCCAGATGAGTTTCAGCTGAGAAATTTTCACAAGGTTACCTATGTGTGGCTCTGCAATATCATTAAGAAGACTCGCAAGGTATTCCTCTCGATTATGGGGCTCAGGGTGAGTATTGGTACATAAATAGATAGTAGCCTAGTCCATGCCCTGGTATAAATTTACGTGGGAGAGCTCATTGTATTACATACGACACATCCATTCCACCATTGCCAAAACATCCTTGCCTGAACCACATTCCCTGCTCCACATATATATCCTGGCCAGAGAGAGCGCAAGCAGCGAACATGAGTGAATAAAATGCTTGGATGAAGTGATTTTCTAGAATTGTGGTACATATATTGTACATTAGCATGCTAGCTACCATAAATAGAGAGCGCTAAAGCTATAAAATACTATTACAATAGGCATCGCATGATATTAAAGGCGCAATATGATTGGTAGAAAATTATGTGGGTCACTAGCCCCTTTTTGTACAGGTTCAATTGGCATAATTTTGCCCTCTCGTACATACAACTGGGCTTGTGGTTTAGTGGTATAATACTCCCTTAGCATGGGAGTGGTCCGGGGTTCGATTCCCCGCGAGTCCAGATCTTTTTAAATTTTTTAAATCCACCATAGTGCTGGTGGAGTCCAGTGGGAATTGAGGATCCATCTTTGAAGTTTTTTTTCTTCCGTGGGACGGACTTACAAAGTGGCAGAATTAGAGAAGGGCGGTGTGAGCGTCGACCAATGGTAGCGCGCTCACCATTGAAATTGATCGGCATATATACCTCACCTCGTGTTAATTAACCATTGTAAATGAATGTCAAGCGATCATGTTCTTACTCGCTATACCCAATATATCGATCTTATTAAGCTAATCGCAGGCAAAAATGCCAAGAAGAAGGAAATACCCGACACCCACTCACAGCTTTGGGATGATCGCCGTTGTCGGCTCCTTTTTCCGCTCTTTGATAGCTCGTAAATATGACAAGGATGACCCCCGGAGATCGTGTGGCGTTCGATATTCTTGCTTAAAATTGACCCAATTGGCGGTGCTCTGCTTGGGACGGAAATATTAAGCGATCACGCTCTCTACATTGCTTAGCATGGCTGCCTTTGGATTTAAGCACGAGTCGTAAGAGTAAGCGATTGAACTCGGCTTATTTTTGCCCCAACTGACTCGTTTTTCGTTAGTTCCTTCTTTTCTTTTTCAACGCATGGATGAAATATTAATATCGTATATCTCCAGCGCAGGTAAATTCATGACGACTCCCGTCCGAAGGAGATAAAGATCCAAATCCAACCAGACGTCTATGGCCGAATATTTCGATGAACTTTGTATTTCAATGCACCGAATTAGATTTTCGAAGGTAATCTTTATATGATTGATTAAGAATTGCATCCCTGTCAAGCATCTCGCATGGATGCTCAGCCAGTTAAATGTTTCTGCCTGGGGAATATGCCACTAGAACAACATACCCCAATCTGGCCGATTTTTCAGCACCATAACTTGGCCAGATGACATGTCTAGTCCTATGAATGAGCCCAGCACCTAAACCCAGGAACAACCCATCAATATAATCAATAAATTTGATAGCGTTCAAGTATATGTGCTAACCAGGGAAGGCCGTCCGGCCACGTGAAGTGTTCTTGATCACATATTCATGCTGGTAGCAAAACCAATGTGTTGCCTTGTAGGTTTTCAGACTGGCAAAAGTCGAGATAGTTCTCCTGCCATTGTCATTGGCTTAAAGGACCTTGAGCCAGTGCATTACCCCAGTGGGCCTTATGAGCCAAGGCCTGTCGTTGATATAGAAACCAGAACTACCTCTAAAGCAGCATATTTGCTCTAGTTGCTTTTACAGTATTTGATCAGGGCTCAAAAAGCTTAGACACAAAGTTCAATGAGGTACAGAGGCGAAATAACGAAGTTACGATGACTGGGTGGTTTCCCATCCCTCTCGCGAAGAGAGAAAAACCGCAAAAATTGGGCCATTTGGACTCGTATTCGGCAAGGTATGATACGATTTAGGCCCTCTGTTCCAATATACTACAATCTAGAATGATAATCATTGAAAGGATTGACAAGATTCAATTGCATTGATTCAAACAGATAACCGCCCGCCATTCTTTGACATACGAGACATCTATCATAAATTAAATAAACAAAACCCAAAACCCAAGACGAAAAATAACAGATATCCTCCAGCGCACAAACAATAAAACAAAACAATCACCAAAGAAAAGAGAAAGGCAAGAAGAAGCACTGTGTAAATAGTAAAAAGGAGACGGGGAGAAACCAAGAATAACTCCAACCATAGTCAAACTCCCACGGCGCCTGTAGACGCCTCGCTAATCTAAATCCATTCCAATTTGATTCTAGGACTTTGCTCCACAAAGCCCATCGGCGTGGTCCATCTCGCCACCCGCAGGCTCGGCCAGGAACCAAAAGGACAGAGACATGGAACCAGCCAGTTTGTAAGGTGAGATATCCATCCGGAGACATTGCTTTTGTTCACAAAATTCATGGCTCATCTTCGGTCGTGGGCATCAGATAACTTTTCTTCACCATCAACCCCCTAATAGTTCGAGGATGGTTGATCCAACCACGAATCTATATCCTGACTCGTTGAGTCACTCAAGAGGCTGTTGGGGTCGGGATACTTGGCATCCCAAGAAGGTCCACGCTGCATGGAGACGGGGTAGCTAGCAGGAACCGGGAATGGGACAGGGCTGGGAACCGCGGAGTGTGCTGTTGGAAGATAGCACCCTTCTTCGGCCCAAAGATGGTAAGGGTTAGTTGGGGGAGTGGGTGGGCCAGTGAGGATGGGAAGACCGTTAGTCTCGCTTGGGTATTCGAGCAGCTGAGGGTCCATGTGACCACCGATGATATGACTCGGCACGGGGTGGGTAGGTTGAGGCTGGAGCAGCTCGTGCGAGGCGCCAGGAATGCCAGTAAGACCGTTGGTGGACGAGACGTAGGGAAGCTCGTGTGGCATTGGGCTGGCTCGAGAGAACTGCAGGTCCTCAACGTGAGATCCTATGGGATGCAACCCACTACTGGGGTAGCTGGTGTTGCTCCACATTGGGGTCAAGTAACCACTTGCACCTGTGCCTAGCATTGAGGAGTCAGGAGTGCCGAAGGGAGTTGAGCCTCGACTGCTGGGCATGTAGCCAACATCAAAGCTTTCCGAACGGTGGTGCATCATACTGGGCGTTCCCTCTCGCATGTGTCTGTCGTCCCAATCAACCGAACTCCCACGGATTGAAGCCCCCGGAGTAGCAGACGAGCGCGGAGGAGTGTATTCATCGGTCCTTCGCGTAGTCGTAGCCGGCCCCTTGTGTGGCTTAAACTTGTATCCTGGGTGTGAAGTTGCATGGTTCTGGCGCTCGAGGACGGCCAGGTTCTCAAACTTCTCACGAACTTCCTTGGTCTCTGCCCTCCAGCTGACACCGGCAATTCGTGAAACGTTTTGATTGCAGTTCTTACCCAGCAAGTTCTTGATGCGAGCAATATAGGCAGACCGGTAGAGCATGAAAGAGTTCATGGGACGGGGGATTTCACCATTTTTGGCATCCACCTCCTGTTGGCGCTCCTCAAGTGATCGATTGACCCAAGCTTCCATGTCTCGCACTGGAGGGTCGACCATGTCCTTGGTCATGATACTCAATGGTCCGGTGAGTTGAAGGTTACAGCTGGCAGCTGTTCCATCTCTTTTGCCACGAGACCTTCCACTGCGCGATTTGGTGACCTTGGATTTAGAAGCTGGGTTTTGGTTGCGAGTAGGCGGAGACCATGATGGAGAAGCCGAACCCAGACTCTCTGCTGGGGGTGTACTGATGGGAAGCTATTGATTGAAATTCTTGTTAGCCCACTTTAATTTCCCCCGTAAGGTTGGTGGAGCTTACCGTGTAAGAAGGCTGGTAGTCGCTGGTTGGGGGATAGAAAGATGTGGGCACAGGATAAATCTGGGGGCAAAGTTAGGACTTTGATGCCATAGATCAACGGGGAATAGGATCATAGACACTTACGGTCTGCTGAGGCTGAGAATGAGGGTTGATTTCATTGCCGTGCAAAGCCCCTTGATCGAAACCATTGGTGACGGCGTACATTGGCACTGGAGGATATGATTCCATAGGGGCTTCCATCCGGCGCTCTGGAGTCTTCTCCTCCTCCGATGTTTGTGGAGGAGTTGGTGGAAACCCACCAGCAGGAAGAGTAGGATTCATTGTAATGTTGATATTAGGGGAGTGTATATTTGAATAGACGAATCCCCCCAAATTGAGAAAGTAACCGATATCCTTAGAGGATCAGGCCGGTTCGCAAGGAGACCCTGAGAAGGATAACCGCTAAGCTAGGCCAGCGATCAACGGGACTTTCCAGAAGAAGATTTCTTCCAGAAAGAGAAGAGAAGAGGATGAGAAAAGGAAAGGTAAAAGAAAAGCTCCTGCGTGGCTGCTGTCCGACCCTACGGAGAGCAGTCTTTCATTTGAGGGCTTTCCTGGTTAAGAGAGCTGATCTCAGACACCTACACCGTATAGATGGAAGGAAGCTGAGACAAGCAAGCACGGACAACCACAATTCAGGTTGTCGGGTAGAAGAAGAGTGGGTTTGTTCCCGTCAAGTGGAAGGGACAGGAAGTAGATTGTATGTTGAAGTGGGACGGCAAACAATAAGTAGGCAAGTTTTATAGATCGATGGATTGATAGAAAGATGGTGGTCCACCGAAGTTCCACCTGGCGGGGTTCACTTAAATAAATAGAAAAAAAAATAATCCAGGATCTGGTCTGCCGCGAGGGCCACAAGAAGAGTGGAGAGGGGAGTGACAGGGAGAGGAACGCCAGGTGGATAAAAAGAGTATAGGAGGATTTTGGGTATTTTTTGGGCATTTTTGGTCTTTTGGGAAGAGCACCTATTTTGGCGGTGCTAAGCGGGAGATCGCTTCTTTCCAGTTGCAAATACCCGCCATGAACCAATCGAACCAGAGGCTGAAACTGACTCAAGAAGAAGGGTTGGCCCTTGGAATACGATACAGATGGCTCAAGATGGCGTGGGGCTATTACTCCTGATTGCCGTTAGTGCCACTATTTTCCTCTATCATTGATTAGAATTTTTTGGGGGCCTATTTTTCCCTCTACAGTTCGGCTTTTGGAGTCTCCCTCCCCGTTCATGACTATTTTTTTGAATTTTATTTATTTCTGTTCTAACCTCCCCTATAGGGGTGGGGCGTTCTTGTCACAGATTCATGTCTTTGTTGCTAAAATGATTCTCTGTTGCTTGTGATTGGTCCACCCTCTTCTTATATTTGTTCATTCTTTGATGGCGGATTATTTTCGGTCATATCGAATCTATATCGCATCTTCATCCCTCTGCGCCTCAATCTACACCACTGTCGCAGCAGCTTCCCCGTATGCCCCATTTTTCTGCTACACCTTTGTGCCAAATATGGAGACATAGGATAGAATTCTTCGAGAAAAGGCAGGGTCTGTTATTTTTGGGAAGCAGACATAGAATAGAATGTTCAGGTCAACCAGGGTGTGGAGCCCACATGGACACATCTAGTACCTAGAGCCCTTGATCTGGGCCATTCAATTGCCTGTATAAGGAGAGGGGGAGAATTGGTCACATACCATGGGCCCTCTGAGAAACTTCCCATGCCCGTTGCAAATCACCCGGGGATGTAATGGGACAGATAGAAATCGTAGGAAACGATGACTGGGGTATGGAAGTCTGCCAATTGTCCGGGGAGACCAAGTTCTCAGATCCCTGGACTTTTTTTTCTTAAATTTGACCGGGGTAGTAAACGTAGGAGAGGGGGTTGTATGGGAACTATGGGACTGAGCCGGGAAAAGCAATCATGGAACGAGGATTGTGCATTTTGAGAATGCAAGTTTCCAGATTGAGTACTCATAACGCAGGCAGAATTGACATCTTTTTCAACTCTGTCATATCTTCCTCTATGCTTGTCAGTCCCCTTTCACCCGGTGTGGGTGTGGATGGGACGCGAGGTGTTGGATGTTGGGCACACCGAATAGTGAGGGAATATTTGGATAACAGCTAGCGCTAAAATGGTCCGAGCTAAGCCAGCAAGACATTGGTAACGGGTGTCAAGTTCGTGATGGTAACGCAATCTGTAAGAAATTGGGAATAAATTACACCAACTTGTGGAATAGTGTTATTGTTATGTCGATACTTGCCAGAGCGCTCCTGGAAAGTATGATCTTTCTCTGTAGACCGAAGATACTACCGAGAAGCCACTCACTTCACGATCCAATGTTAAGAGTAACGCTAATGCCCCGATCGCCCTCCCTCAGACGTATAGAAGAGGGTATTTTCAATAGCATCCAGACTTTAGACTCCTTGCTAGGTGGCATCTGACGACCTAGCACAGTACAAATGGGGGGACCATGGTTTGGACGGCAAGGTCGGGCTTGGCAGCAGATCGAAAAGAAACGCATCAATAATAATAAGCATTATTATTATATTATTATTATGGAAATTAGACTATCTCGCTGATTTGGGTGGGGGGAACTGACATAGCCATTCGGCCATTGGTTGATTGGCAAAAGAAGTATAGCCCGACCTATAAGGCTTTTTCGGGGAGCCGGGAGGGTCACGATGGGGTCTACGGTCAGGCCCGTCTAGCTCGACTGCATACAGTAGTAGGACTCGGTGGAGTACGATCCTCCTGATCGACGCGGGTTGGACCAGACACTTGACAGGCTGAAAGTGGAGTTCATTCAGGTTCTCGAGAGATCGTCCGAGCATCTCCTCCCAGCCGCCACCATGTACCAGTAGGTCGACGCCATTGATGCATTGATTGGTCCAGGGAGTGCTAGGGTTTTGTATCCGGCCTGGCTAGACTGAACCACAGACCAAAAGCTATGCCGGGAACGGACTAGTACGATGAGCCCAAGCCTATCCGGGGTATGGAAATGTCCACTCACCCAACATCACCCCTTCTTTGGAGGCTTGAATTTCTGGTCGTCGAGATTAGAGGTCATCATCGCGGAGACTTCCGGAGAGATTCTGAGATTTTCGCTCAATGGCTTCGTTCCAATGACACTTATTACGTTTTAGTCATGCGAATGACACGCCAATATCCGAACACCATAACATCATTTCTAACTCTAATTACCTGGGGGAAGGTTAATAATAGAGGTTACTGGTCAATAGTACAGATCGCTATAGTTGTCCTATCTAGGTCTACCACAGACGGTCCTTGTAATTATTAGGAAGGAATATGCAGGATAAGCATTCAAAGTGGGACAGAATCAAACGCATAGCGGCTGTGCGCTTAAAGGCTGGCTGTTCTCTTTTCTACGCCCCTACCCCGGATTGAGTCTAGTATAGTCTATGTATAACAAACAGACCACATCTGTCTCTTTGATCATCCTGTCCACTCTTCACGAGGGGGCCATTTCTCAAATCCTTGCAATGGAACTACTGCAAAGTTGCATGAACGTGTTCATGGTATACTTGTTGCTCCCAGAGACTCACGCAGGAACGCCCTGCCACGTTTTTGCTATGATCCTCGTCCCGTCTTTGGCAATGGCTTGCATCTTGCTCATAGGCTCGTTGACTCGACCCCCGCAAAGACCGAGCGTCCGACCAGCCTTTTCATTGGACTGTAACGTGGATCGACTGCCATGTGGTTCACAAAACGGGAAAGGTTGAAGGCTGAGTCGTGCATGAACCTCGGGGGTGCCCGGTCAAAAGCAGAGGGAAGAGGCCTGTCGATTGCTGGCTCGAGCTTATCTTTGGCCTTACAAGTTGATGTCCCTGTCAGCACTCTACCCTTTTCGATCATTTCTGGGCGTTGCCCTCGATGGGAAACATGGCACCGCCTCCTCCACCGTCTATTCATGAAAGTGGATGTGCATGATCATTGCCCCACTGTTTAACAACTAGGTTTACTTCAGCCCTCCTAATGCCGAAGGGGCCAGTGAGATACTGTCGGGGAGATAATCTGGAGGAGGGCTCAGACCTTCTCACCCATACTTAGGACCTGCCAAACCTTGCAGGCCGTTGTCCAAATTCGGACAATGATAACCCAGCCAGGGTTCACATATGCAAGGATCATCCGCTAGAGGAGGCCCCTCCATGGCTTCTAGAAGAGTCATGTCAGGGGCCAAGAAGATTAGGACAAAAAAAGAGGCACATAAAGAAAAAGCATCGACATCAACACCCCTGTCCTTTGCATTACCCTCGTGGTCTGGTGACGCTGCCACGAATATCTTTAGGGATTGTCCACATCTCCCCATGGTCTGCCCGTCAGATACGCGTTTCAGCAATGCCTCCTGATTCCCCAATCCGGCGAATATGCTAAAGATATCTATTGTATGCCTCATGTGTGTTTCAAAGTGCTCCGGTTGTTGTTATTCTCGTCTACTCCGCCTCCTTTAAGATCTATGGGAGATCGACAACAGTCATGGAAGCAGCCGAACCTATGATAAGCCCTGAGAATGTAAAGATGGGGGCCCCCCTCAACGTATTGCACTACTCAATCGTGAAGATGAATCCACCCCGAATCCACTACAACCCCATTTGGTAGATCAAATATATCAAGGGTTGGTCGGGTGCAAGTCAGTGGCTGTCGGCTCTCGTTACCACCAACCACGTGAAAAAAGGAAACAAAGAGAGGAGAAGCAGCCAGAATCTTACGTTTAGCGTCAACTTTCTGAATGAGATGGCGCAGATCTACAGATTGAGTCGTGCGGCCATATCCTTCAGAATGTTACTATCAAGACAATCTGGATGATTTCTCTGGGTCTGGTGGAGGCTATGACCCCGGGTGAAGAGGACTATCTACGGTGACATAAGTTCCCGCACTTCTATCACGGACGGATTTCCATCGGGGTTTGGAGATCTCAGCTCTTCCAGAAAGTATACGAACGCAGAAGGCCCGATTCCTCTGGTTTTTCTTTATCCCACGAGATAGTTGGAGGGTGCCCCGTTGGAAAGATCCCTCCAAGCCATCGTCCCAAGTATCATGAACATGGATGACATGAATGGGCCCTTGGGAAGTAGAAGTGGGATCCATGAACGCCATCGCGATCAAACCCCTTCTACCCTTCTACGTATATATCTCTGACCGCTCCTCTGAAGAGAGACCCTCCCACGTAATCGGTAGTTCAAGTGACTAGGAACTGCCATGAACCATACCGAGAATCCAACGAACTATACAGGGGTATGACAGAAACCCTGGTCTATTGAGGACAATGACTCGTGTTGAGCTGAGCACAGTCAAGAATTGTTCAGGCAAAGAGTCAGGAATCAACAGTCAAGAGGCAACTGCGTCCGCAGTCCACCAATTCCACACCGAATGCATGAACTTAGATGTTATCACCAACAAGAAGTGGCTCTTGCCATTGGCCCTGTGGCCAGTGAGCCGTCTATGCCGCAAGGCACAGTGTCTGTTGCACAATGCGGTTCGCGCGTATCATCCTTCTCCTATGATTGCTCGGGTTTCGGCCGTTCATCGCCCCTCCCAAAGGTAAATCTTTCCTCTTGCGGCCTGGCCAACCGCTCTCGAGTACTGCGTTTCTCTTCTTATTTGCTCTCCCCAGATCAACCTCGCTGAGAAAAGTACCACCTTGCTCCGTGACCAGCTTGCCCCGAGACCAAGTTGCTCCGCGACCATCTTGCTCCGCGATACCTAATGAGCTTAGCAACCGAGCTTGCCGAATAGCTAATGAGCGTTTATCCCGTGTGTTGATCACTATTGAACGCAGCCTTGAGACAAATTCAAGAGGATTCTGCTGCTCGTGGAGGGAGACGGGGGTGTGCATCAACATCACCATAGCGCTATATTCGTTCTTTACTACTACTCCCTGGTCTCTAGACACGGTAAGTGACCAGGGGTAGTCCCCGATTCCCCGATGAATGTGTTCATGTCCCATGCATTCCACGTGGTGGTTTGTTGTCTCGACAAGATTGAGCCTGGCTTTGTCTTGGGCATCATTCTCTGCTGGATGATGTCTCCCGCTTAAATATAAAATGATGCCACAGTAAATTCCAAGCATAACAACAGGACGACATGACTAGCCGATGGTATGTATAAGCTGTTATGGCGCACGACAATCTCGATTAGGTTACATTATGAGAGCTGTCATAATAGTTGGCGAATAGAGGGAATCTCCCCGAGAGGACACACTGCAAGCTCCACCTATCTATCCCTTTCTTGGTCTAAACGGATCACGATAGTCTTGATGCCTGAACATGGGGGCTAGAGAACCACAGGGCTGGACTGAACCGAACTAGGTAAACAGCGGAAGGTGCTTTCGTCATGAACCTACCAGGTGATACCCGATGAATCTCTACGGGAGTATACTCTCGATCCCGGGAAAGGAACCACCATGATCCTTGTCAATCTAGCCGTGTTAGTCACGTTAGTCTCCTCCATTAGCCCCCCTATCATCCCCTCAAGTGGAGCCTTTTACCCATCTCAGGGCGCATCGCCGTTCAGTCATGTGCTCGACGGGGTCCCCGAATCTAATAGAAAATCCGTCCATAACTTAAAAGTCACCAAGTCGCGATATAGTAACTCCGAGCAGTCAACCATGCTCTCGAGATGGCACATGTTTAGGTTGGAGCTCTGAACCAGAAACCTCGTTTTTTGACTTTGAGGCGGTATATCCCCGGTTCGGCATTTGCGGGGACTGTGAGCACCACGCGACACGGCATCACCGAGCTATCCAGGAATTAGAGCGAGAAAATGGCAGATACATGTACGTGATCTGTTAAAGCTGTCGACTGTATTGCGACGTGATGACGATGATGAATGTTGATCCATCTCGGTTCGTCCTCTCAGTCTACGCTATTAGCGTCGCTCTCCCGAGCTTACCCGAGCGGACGAGAGATGCTAGTGGCATCCTGTGGTCCACTATGCCGCTGGGTCCATCTAGTTCTGGTGTGCCCTGGCAGATGTGCGATACTGGCGTGCTTTTACGCGCCGGCCGTACTCGGCTGCCTCTAGTAGGGGATGGTCTAGATGGTCTGTCACATATTGCGGGGTCGTTCTATACTCTTTGGAAACTGGTTAAGGGCAGATCTATTGCAATATTCAGTATTTGATCCATAGATAGCTGCAAGACAACCTGCATAGCACAGGGTCTTCGGGAGGGTGATATCCCGATCTTCTATATACTCTGTATGTGCAAAGGAACGAGTGGTCACGGACGTGCAAACACTTTAAATCTCGCTGCAACAGGACCAAAAGGGTAGTGCGATCAAGCCCTGAATGCAACTGTCAGTAAAATCACAAATAAGAAAAAAGACAGAGAAAAGAGCGAGTTAAAAAAAGGCACTAAATCGACTAGTAGCCAACGGTAGTAATCCCATGAATGGCAAATACCTCAAATCCCCCAAATTAAATGGCCCTCTAAGATCCGACCAGGGCAGCTATTTCCCCCGCCATATAACTTCATGAATCATGGGTGTTATATACTTCGGACTCTGCACGGCATATGGCTATCATGAAATGGTAAAAAGAATTCCTGTATAATTCCAGCAGTCTCAATCTCTTCTCAGTGCAAAAGCAAAAGAGAAAGGTCAGATATTACCATGGACATGACCATCGCTCTCCCCGAACAAGACTCCTAACAAATGCGGCGCTCGAGCGTCAACCGTGAGGGTCTCCCGTGGATCGCGGGCCAGCAACGCCTCACCAGTGGCCGGAACAATCCCGAGCGGATCCGTAGCTCTCTCGAACAGTTGAGATGAGTTGCATAGGTGGATCTCACGATAGGCGTGGTGGGGATTTTTAGGAAGGAGCTATGATCGGGATCGTCCTGTTAAACGGTTTTTCAAACTCTATGTTGCTGTGATGTGAATACGGGACCGTGCTAGGTGGAGAAAAAAAGGGGAAAATAGAGAGGTCCGGCCTCAGGAAGAGGAAGAAGCAAAAGAAGAACAGGTAGAACCGGAAGAACCAGAATATGATGGGAAAGTATGGTTTATGGAGAGAGCTGAAGCGGCTAGAGTTTCTAGTTAACTACGTCAGTACCAAGTACAAGAGCTTGTCTGCTATGGAGGGAAGTTATGTACTCCAGTCTCCAGATCGTTTATTAGGTTTACCAGAGGCCTAATTAGGCAACAGATATGACACCAACAGTAGCTTTACGCATCCCCCTCAAATCCCGGCCCAATCTACCTAGTTTGCCGCCCACACTTACCCCTCTGGATATCTCCCGTCGAGGCAACACGAACTAAACCAACTCGAGCCTCAGTGTTCGGCCATGGTCCAGACTCCAAGCACTACTATGGAATACTACAAACTCCCTTCCATTTCTCCAGATTCCTCCTCAATTTCAGGATTGCGATAGCAGACGCCATACTAATAAATTAACCACCTCTCCTCCCTCAATCACGCCCACGCGGAATGATCGAATCAAGGTGTGATCCACGGCTCGCCTTAAGAAGATGAACCGAACCGCCCGAAAGCCCTCAATGTCTGACTAGAATTTAATATCACAGCGCAAGTCTATCGTGTCCATCTTATCTACTTCTGGTCAAGGCTGCACCGAGCTGAGCGGGCCCGAGGAAAGCAAATATGACTGCGGGCGAGGAGCAAGGAGAATAACTGACAGGCAAGAAAAAACAGCAAGAGGGCCATTTTTCTGTACTCCGTACGCGATCGATCTTGGCAGGCCAGATAAACTACGATAGTAGAAAACTAGTCGATTTAGTGTCTCGATCTAGGGGGGACGCTGGCCTGGATGTTGCGCAGGATCGTCGACGAGAAATCTCACATTGGACAGTATATCTCTCGATAGAGAAAGAGTCTGAAAGAGTTGAGTTTCCTGCCACTGAACTTTGTATACCTCATATATGTCATTTTAGAGTATGAGCTTCAAGGAAAAGCTACACCTTACGCACAGATTGAGAAACCTTGAGGGTTGTTGGTCTCCGGACTAAAAGCCGTAAAGGGTCAAAGGCTAGAAAGTACGAGCATGATCCAGGTAGATCGGCTAGTTTTCCGTGGGCGGGATAATTGCCACTGTGCACGATGTGCACGATCTTGACGATCATCCACGGTATAGAATCTTATTTTGCCCATGGCTTTCGAGGTTTGGTTGTCTTGGAGTGGAGGGAGAAACAGCGGCTGTCCACGATAGATCAACTGTCAGCCAAGCTGGACATGCATACGCCATACATGACAGAACTAGCGGACGGGCCTCCCTCGAGGCGAAAAAAAGGACGTAAGTGACAGGTCGACCAAGCACATTCTCCGAGGACATGTACAAATATACCGGAGACATACATGTATACACGATACAATACTGGATATAAAAGTACGAAGCAACGGGGCAAGTTCTCGTGAACACGTGTTATTCGGTACATAGTCCAGAGTCCAGACTGTAAGATTCATCTCATCAAGGGGGCCATCCCAGCTAGGACCAATTGCGATATGTAGTGTAGATCGGGCGCGCGTCTGTTAGTAGTGCCATCGCTTAGTACGATTATTTATGCCGGGGCCAACCTTCCCCATCGCTGTTTGTGTTAGGCGTTAGCTGCTTTAGTGACCCTCCTAGCGTGTGATGGCAGGATGCACTGCGGCCTCATGTTACTATGTGGACCCCTATCCATCAACTAATCTCATAGCGAGGCAGATTGAAATTACAACAAAAGCCCCTCCTAGCACACTTGCGGTAGGAGGTAGGATTATTTGTTTTCTCAATTCTCCACATAGTCTTCCATTTGCCGATTACTACGCACTACTCGTGTCGTCTCCCACCCCAGCTCCTTTTTCGACCACCCCCCTGTCTTAGTTGGGGTATTTATTAGGAATCGCGTACTTTTGTCAAGGTCTTGTCTACGATAGGAATGTGTGATGCGATCGCGTCGCAGGTCTCGTTGCAGCGGCATTGAGATCCCGGTATGCATTGCGAATTGAGCTAAATGTGCTGGTGATCCATCGATTAGAGTATGGGCTGTGTACAATAGTCTTGTTGGGGTAACTGGGTATTATACAGGGCCTTATAGGCTGGCCTAAACAAAAGAACCCATGGAGAATCCCATATGTTTGCTTCGATTTTCAGATTGTATAGATTAATATGTATTTCTTTTTCAAATGGTGCTGAGGCTATTTGAAGGCTGACCCGAGGATCAACCCACAATAACAGGGAGTTTAACAACCACAGCTCTACCTGAGCCTAAGAGTCAAGCATAGTGAGCTTTAAAACAACACTATCATCGAAAAGAAAGAATCATTGCCCATCAGAATCAAAGTCTTTTCTATTACGGTACACATGATCCCAGCCAACCGTCCAGGCAAAAGAAACACCGCCCGGCCATCTGAAAAACGCCCAAGTATCCAATCCATCTTAATGCACATTGAAATCAATTAAAAAAAAGACAACAAAAAAGACAACGCCAATAGGACCACGGTAGGGAACGTTCGCCTCTCCAAAGCGATTTGAAGAGAAGAAAATGTTGGTACAGGGGTACCCTCCAACAGGCAAAAAAAACAACAGCGACGACATTCACAACATGAAATGAAAGTCATTTTTATCCAAGAGAAAAAGTAAGATAAGGTTCAAGTCATTGTGCATGTTCGTGACACTCGATCCAACATCAACATGCTTCCCGATCGAGTCGCGTCCCGATCGGGGATGCGATCAAGGGAAATTGGGGGAGGGGGGTTGGGGATAATGACTCCGGAGAGCCCCAATTCGTGTCAATATCAGAATGACAAACGGTAGCCTCAAAGCCAAATTCAACGTCAATTGGAACATCTCTAAACCAATTTTAGGCCAATTTGTGATACCTGTAGGTGTTCGTTGAAAAATTTCCACTTTTGATGCGCTGCCGGGAGTCTATTGTCGAGCCGAATGTCCACCGTTTTGAGGTGATGGGATTGGCTCAGGGTGCTGGGTATGAGCAGCTGCGCCCAGCGATGGGATGCGACTCATCGTTGGAGACGACATAATATTGGTCTGGCCATTGGCCGAGAAGGACTGCCCATTGTGTAGCAGAGAGGCGTTCTCCCGCTGACGGCGCTCCTCTTGCTCCGGAGTCATGCACTTCATAGGCGCAGGAATCGGTGCGTCAGGGGAGCTTCGACCCATGAGCTTAGGACTAGGCTCTAGTCTGCGGATAGGAGGAAGAACCGGGGCTCCTGCCATACCGCCTGCGGTGATGGGCCGAGGAGACTGCTTGGTCGGACTGATTCCGGACATGCCAATTCCATGCGAGCTGTGTGGGGGTGAAGAATGGTTGCCATTCGGGGTTGCAACAGAGGAGAATGAAGGGTAGTTATGGGACATGGCAGGGGTGCCTCCATGGCCAGATTGTGGACGCGGCGTAGCGTAGGTATCAAAAGAGGACCACGGCCCGGAACCATTGATGGGAGCACCGGACGGGACTCCTGCAAGAGGCCCTACATCGGGGTTGCCCTGCGTAGGGGACATGGAGGGATGATTCTGGGTTGGGCCATACCCAGAATGAGAGGAGGAAGGCCGGGCGGAAGGGAAAGATGCAATAGGAGGAAGGTGAGGTCCTGACTGCATCGGAGGCAAGACATGTTGGCCAGGTCCAGGCGCAAATCGAGGTTGTTGAGTAGTGAGGCGTTGCGTCGGTCCATTCGAGGCCTTTGAAGGCGAGAATGGTGGGCGAGGTGGACTTGAAGAAGGAAGAGGAGAATTGTTCGCAGGGCGGGGAAGACGCTGAGGGGAAGGTGGGACATAAAACTGGTGTTGTCCTTGAACGAATTGCTGGTTTTGAGCAGTAGGTGAAGGAAGTGTAGGCTGAGAACCCTGCTGTCGGGAAGGCCCGTTCTGAATGTTCGACAGAGCATTGTGAGTGTGCTTCACCGGAGAGGGTGGAACACGCCCATGCTCTTCGACCTTGGGCTTAACCCCGGCGGCAGATGGCGACGGGGTCGCGCTGACTCGGAACTTGAGCGGTGGGAGTTTAGGCCGGTTGGCTTCCTCCTCCTTTCGCTTGCAGTCCGTGCAGACGAAGTGGAAGTCGTCCTTTTCAGCATCTTCTTTCTTGATGCCAAGGCAGCTGCTATGCTGCCATACATTGCACTTCTCGCATGCAACGCTGTGACTCCCGTCATCCTAGAAGATTGTTAGATTCGAAGCCTGCCTTGGATAATCATAGTAACGCAGCACGTACCAGGTTCTCGCCATGCACACCACAACCAGAGCAGTCGAAGATCCATTGGTCCTCTTCATCAAGATCTGCCAAGTTCTTCTGCGACCGCTCCATCTCAGCCTTTAGATGCCGGGCCGAGACCCTGCCCTCACCGCGCTCCAGCTTCTCCTGTTCCGCCGCAAGGCGTTCAACCTCGGCTTCGTGGAGGATCCGCTTGTGCTCACGATCCTTGATGCGCTGCTCACGGGTCATCATGCGAGACTTGCGCTCATTCTCCATCTGCTTCTGGCGAGCCTGCTCCTTGCGGGCTTCGGCCAGATCGGCCTCTCGTTTGCGAGCGGCCTCTGCAGCTTCACGATCAGCACGTTCCTTCTCCTCCTTGGCAGCCAGTCGACTAGATCGCTTGGCACCAGCGAGCATCTGCATTTGGATAAGCTCCTTCTCGCGCTTAACCCTCTTGCGCTGTTGCGCTTCTTCCGCCTTCTCCAGCAGAGGCAGGATGTGCTCCTCAACCTGGCTGCGCAGGTACTTGTCGTCCGCATCCTTGCTCTTGCGAATGGCGTCCAGGAATGTATTGTACTCGGAAAGGGTGACAGCAACACACTCCCACTTAAAGTTGGGGAAGGCATTGGCATTGTCCTCATCCTTGTTTTCGTCCTCGGAAGCCTCTTCCGCAACCATGGCGGAGACTCGTCTCGATGCCCGAGATCCTCGAGAGGACCTGCTCTTCGGTTTCTTCTTTGGTCGCAGAGGCGCGGGGATAGGAGGGTCGGTTCGGCGGTAGAGGCGGTTGTCATCAAGGACGTAGTAAGAACGACCATCATGGTCATATCCGAACTCTTCAATGCGCTGGTGAAAGTCAGAAGACATGGTCACTTTGAAACAATGGTTAAGGTGGGGAGCAGAGCTTACCCATTCCAACTGCTCTGAGTCCTTCTTCTCAGGCATCTTCTCGCGGAGGCGATCCGGGTTCCAGAAGGTCCACACAGAGAGCTGGTGGAGGACGGTGAGTTTGGTAAAGACGTCAAAATCGAGGAATCGGAGAGGGGTCTCCTCGTAGCCGAATGGGTTCGGAAGATGAGGTGCTTTCGCATTGTACTGGCGTCGGGTGTACTCGTCAAAGTTCTCGAACCTGCATTGCGCCCGTCAGTTCGTTGGCCCCCCTGTGTTACCATGAGAATTGCATTTATCAACGTACGTCAATCCGCGATGCGACGAGATCCACTTCAGCAGGCATAGGCCAATCTCGAGTAACTTGTACGAAGGTTCAGGCTTGAGGCATTCGTCTTCCAGGTCCTGGGTCAGATGAATCAAGGTCAGCTTCAGGAAGACCAGGGTAGGGCGACAGCACATATGACTCTATCACCATCATCGCTGTATCACTGGCAATGCAATGCGCGACACTCATAAAGCCCCACAAGATAACAGGGCAAGAGCACTACCGGAGCATACCTCGATTCCAAAGTCCTCGTCGATCTTCATAATCTTTCCAAAGATATGGATGTACTGCATGATATTTGCAAATTCCCAGCTGCTTCGAATGCGCTGGAGCAATCCAGGTTCCTCGGTGACCTGAGCTTCGGGGGCATCGATCGCCTCGGAGCGGCTGCGCTTTCGCGGTCCCATCGCGGCGGCGGGACGAGGCCGTGAAGGCCGGGTATGAGCAGTGAGTGTTCAGTAGGAAGGGGGTAGGTAATGCACAGAAGGATCACAGCCACACAGTGTGAGTCTGTGAGAAACGGTATCAATAAGAAAATTGAGTTGAAAGAAGAAGAGGGGGGCAGTTCGTCGTTTTTTCTTCGTGTCGAGAGGCGACGGAGATGGGCTCTGCGAGAGGCGCGTCGAGACGGGTGTGTCACGTGATGATCGCGTTTGCGACGGGCAAAGAAATGGGAAAGAGTGGGGGGCAGTTTTATGGGCAACGTAGGAAGATTGAAAGGCAATTGTAAATGGAAACCCAATTAGGGTCTCTTTGATTGTTCATGATCGTTGCCTAATGGACAAATGGATGTTCAATGTATGCACAAAACCCATGCCTACAAACGAACAGTCCCGTTTACTAATAGTTTGAAATGAAGTCAAAGTACATTTTTTGCACACATGTACATGAGAAAATAAAAACCCAAATGCAGCATAACGATAAAACACATCAAATCAACGACTGGACCGTGGTATCTCGGGCTCAAAGGTCTATCTCGTAGAGCAATAGCGGGACCATCAAGGACAAGAAGAACAATGCAAACGACAGCGCCGACCAGAACCCCCACACCACCCGACTGCAAGCGCCACGAAAAGAGGACGAGATGAAGGCAGAAAATGAAAGCATGTCTGAGAAAGGGAGGGAAAAAAAGGGTGCAAAATGCAAGAAGAAAAGGCAACAAGGACATAGGAATACATGAGTCCCCTCCCATCGACATGAAAATCACCGTAGCCCGGAAAAGTGTCCCATAAAAAGAATAGTGCAGAGAAACTAGAAAACGAAGAGAAAGCAGCCGATGGAACCCGGTTGTCGTCGAGGATACGACGACAATGATCATGTCGGGTCCATCAGGTGCTTCCTCCCAACTTTTGCGCCTTTGTAACCGATACTCGCCAGAAACCTGTCCCATGCATATCGTGAGGTGTAAATAAAAAGGATATCCCGCGAAGAAAGAGAATGCGTTTTCGTATGTTACATGGCCGCCGAGGCTCCGTCGGAGACGTTATCCGACAGGTTGATTAGGAGCTGGGCCAGGCAGCGCTTGGTGGCAGCATCATCGCGGAGGACCGATGAGAAGGTCGCATCACGAAGAGGTTCGGGCAGACATTGTCGCAAAGCCTCGCGGGCCCGGCTGTTGTCGCTGAGACTGTATCTGGTTGTTAGAAGAGGGTCCAAGATCGAGTCGGAGGTCGACTAGGACACAGATAGAAAAAAAGACATACCGAAGGAAGCAGCGCACGACGTGCTTGAGCAGGCGAACTGTCTGCTGCTCGACCAGCTGAGTCACCATATTGCTGAGGACAGTGCCCACAGCGTAGAAACGTTCATATGTCGCACAAATATACGCCAAGCCAATGTCATCGAGAAGAATCTTCTGCACAATGAAAATGGCAACGGTCTTGCTGAGTTCCGACCCGGTCTCCATGATGCGGAGGCAGAGGGGAATGATCTCGGTAGTGAGGAGGAAGTTGATGACGTCCGAGGAGTCATTCTTCACCAGCGCTCCGATGACACCAAGCGATGTGAGACGGAGGTACTCGAACGGACGAGATTTCGAGGTGGTGTTCAGAAAGGGATAGAGGAACAGGGGGATGTGAGCTGCGAGAGGCCAAGTAATTAGTCTGGTTATTCCGTCGTGCCTGGCTTCAGTAGTGGGCAACATACCGTTCAGGAAGAGAGTGCGAGTCTCATTGTGGGAAGCGACACACTGCAAGAGCGCCAGCGCATTGCAGACTCGATTTGATGCCGCGGCAGTCAACTGGGAAGGGTTCAGGAGGGGATACACAGAGATAATTTCCTGGAGAAGAGCAGTCATGACACCTGCACGTTGCCGACGGGTTAGTTACGGTCGGGCAAGGATTCGCCCCCACGATGCGACGGGGATCATACCGAACGAATGCCAGATGACGAGAGCCAGTTCGGGAACCTGCTCCCGCTTCTTGCTAAGCTCCATCAGCGCCGCCTCTCGACGGGCCGGATCCAAGAGTTCTGCCACCCAGATAAACACCTTGCGATTCTCTTCACTGATGCCGCCGTCCATGACGGAGACCGCATTTGCAAGGCCCTCTCCGCCCATCCCGCCGACAGCCCCAGCACCCTGCGCAGGGTTCGCAGCGCCGTTGCCACTCATGGCAAGGCGACCGTAGTGTTGCTGCTGCGCAACGGCGGCGGCAGCCTGGACTTGAGCATGCTGCTGGGCGACCAGGGAGGCATGCTGTTGCTGATGCTGAGGGTGCGGTTGACCCTGGTGGTGCTGCTGTTGCTGTTGCTGCTGCTGTTGTTGCTGCTGCTGGTGCTGCAACCACGAGGGATCAGCCTGGGGGTACTGATGCTGGTGCGAGAAGACGTGCTGGCTCTGCGCTTGGAGCATGGCGAGCGGTGGTGAGTCGAAATCGGGATCTCGTAATACTCCGAAAGGGTCAGGGTCGGTGGGTTGAGTAGGGCGATATGAGAATAACTCCAGGTAGGAGGAAGGTCGATCGAAATGATGTCAGCAGTCTCGACTCAAGGCGAGGGTCATTGATGAATTGGCGCTGGAGACCCGAGTGGAAGAAGTGAGCGTTGCCTGAAGAGAGGGAGAGAGGAAGAGAGAAGTTCGGGTCGGGAAGGCGGGGAGAAATGGCCGGGCCAGTGAGTAGTGTCCACTAAGCCTTTGTGCGGCCCCGTCACACTCTCAACAACTCTGAATACCCACACCTGCTCTTTAGTTGGTCTGGAAAACCCACATGTGCACAACGATGTCGCCTTGAAAATTTGTAATCTCTACTAAAAAGCTGGGGACTCGGCTTCCGGGAATTGCTACCTATCTGCATCCCCTGTGCAGATAGTACCGGGGTGCTACCCTTGCCAACAGAGCCTAAAGTAACTGCAAGGCTGGTCTTGATTATAGCTTTCTACTGAGTATGACAGCCCGAGGTCATCATGCAATTTCCCGATATCCTGGCTTGAGGCTCGTTGAGAAAAATGTCTGATGAACTACACATAGGAAGGCAGTGGCGGCAGTGCCTGTGCCGAAGGTCTGACTGATATACTCAGAGAGACCCTTTCCTCTATCGAGTGCTAGTGATGAACTTCTCCATAGTGAGCATTGTATTGTCTTGATATCATTCATCGAGTTCTCATGTCTCATATTTACATCCTATTGTGCCCTGACAGGAATTTGTCCGGCTAACATGACCCCAAAATCCATATCCAAACCCAAAAATCCAAGTTCATATCAACGTCGGAGAAGACAAAGGCAACGAAATATCATCACACCCACAAACATAAAACATGGGTTGGTCATAATAGTACATAAATCATAATAACATTCGCAAGCCGGCGCCTTTTTCATGCATAAATCATTCAAGTTCGGGGAGTCAAGAGAAGAGGAGAGGAGGAGACCGCAATCAAGGTGTTGCTTGGGGTAATCTCTCCTCAATCCGTACTCTCTCTCTCATCAACGTCGTGAGCTTCTGCGAGACCGACGGGATCGTCGTGTATCGCGTGTTCGTCCACCGGAGCTTTGGCTGCCTATAGAAATAGTTAGTACTATCGCCTTCACATCTTGTCAGAAGCTCAACTTACTCCGTGTGTAGTCCGAGTAGTAATAGTACGAACTCGGGTATGTATAACTCGTCTTATCATCATCGTCATGCTCTTGGTCTCTGCGTCTCTTCAATCCCAGACACAACGCCAGCGCACCCAGGATAATCGCAATCTTCGCCCAGCTAAACTTGGACTTCTTCTCACTGACTTCACTATCCGTCCCCGCGGCTGCTGGTCTCGTACCGAACCAGGTGCGTCTGGGAGGTGGTGGCCGACTGCCGTGCGAATGATGGGAATAGCGTTCTTCGATAACGGTGGTGTCCTGTCTGCGGCGCTTGCGGATGCCCAGAGCCGCGAGCAGGCCTTCCAGGGCTCCCTTGAAGCACACACAAGCACAGAGGAGAAGAAGGCAGAACACACCGGCGATCGTACCAATGACAATTCCGGCAATGGCACCACCACTCAGTCCACCGCCGCTGCTGGTGGCTTTGGCGCCGATCAGCTGTGCGCCGTCCGTGCCGACGGGGGCAATGAATGCTTCCGTGGTAGTTGGAGCAGAGGTCTGCGTCACGGTGCTAGCACCGCTGCTCGTTCCTCGCACACCAGGGGTAGCTTCAGCACCAGTAACTGCGACGGAGGAACTTTCAGCGACGCAGACGCCATCCTCACACTCCTGTGCGGCATCACAGCAGGTAGTCCCGCATGTTGACTCGCCCAGATCGAGGCGACAGGTTCCCGTGGCCGTGGCCGTGGCCGTGGCTGCAGCCGATATATGAGTACTCCAAACGGAGGTAATGGTCGACTTGTCCACCTCGGTCACGATGATGGTCGTGGTGTAGTATTCCCATGTACCGCTCGAGCTGTCAATGCAGACTGCTTCGTTGGCCGAGTTGGTGGAGCAGGCTTGGCTGGCACTACAGCAAATCTGGTCATTCCAACCGCAAGGGTTTGAGCATCGCTTCTCGAGGGGGTTCTCGTTAAAGGCGAATGGCGAGGCGACCGCAATCGGAATCAGGTAGAGGAGGACCACCAGCATCGATAGGACTGGGGCAAAGAAGGAGGGCCACATGGCTGGAGTTGAGCGTCGCAACGCTTGCGATTTGCTGGTATGGATGCTATTCTTTCCAGGAATGTTCTTGACGTTTGAAAGATCGGATTGCACGGTGCTTGTCGGGAATGCTGGGCTTCCAATGCTGGCTTGTTGTGGTGGTAGGGTTGCAAGTATACTCTGTCGGCGATCTACAATAGAGTCGATCACCACTTTGAGGGTGACAGAGTACTAGGAATGTTGGAAAGAAGGTACAGTATAACGATGGAATGTGTAAAGTAGCGATGGACAGAAAAATAGAGAGAGATGAGAAGGAGAGCAAACAAAAGTGGGAGGGAAAAAAGGCGTTGCTGGGCAAGTTGAGTACATCCCCAGCCTCCCCAAAGGTATACCCAACCACCCGATTTCCCACGGCCAATGATCTACAAATCCACCTCTGACTTGGCCACCTCGCCATTCTCGGGAGGCTGGGTTTGAGATTGAAGATTTTTATTCTTAACCTTGATTCCCACGGATCTTCCGTGCCTAACAGGTCCACTGCTGTCGCACTGCTGGTGCATATGTACAAAGGATGCGAGGGACGTCAGCGACCAACTTCCCCGCCCTCGTGGCAGCGATCAGCATGCGGTCGGATCCCCGAGCCAGTCATTGCAGTGGAAGTCATCGAACTGAGTTTGTTGTTTATTTCAAAAGAGCAAGACATATACTTTGAAGATGAGAAGAAATTCAACTTCTTTACTGTGTTACTTTAATACTCGACTCGTCCACGACCCGATTCAATGTCATTATGTGTCTGTTTCCGGTGCCACCATTAGCAGCCCAATAGCCAACAGCCCAATCCGCGGCGTTGAAAGTCCGAAACATGCGGAACTGTGGAATCGGGGGACTTACACGTATTGTCAATGCCGTAGACTCGTGCATTAGTGCAATCAAAGAAGAGGGAGGGACACATCCCGAAAAATGCGGTGTACATAAATTGAGTCATTCATACCAACTAACTATGGGCTAGTCCAAAGTCCATGAGAAGGGGCATCATCACAGTTCAACATAGACATCAGAAAAAAAGAAGAATATACAAGCATAATAGCAAGGGCCAACTGGTCCTCATACCGAACATAATGTCATATCACATCAAATAAACACACCCGCAATGCCCACCATCAGGCCCAACATCAAATCGTGTAGACTCGTCGTCCGTACTGGCACCGCCCCATTCCCACTGGTAGCATGGGATGTACCCGTCGCGACCACGGTTGCGCAATAATTCAACTGAAGACCGTGGCAGGCCTGCTGGCTCAGACTGGAGCAGATAGACGTAGCCTGCGAGGTTGCCGTCACTGCTTCCACCGTCACGCCTGCACCGCCCGATCCTCCGACCGTTACCCCGTAGCGACCCATGAGCTGTGCTGTACATTGGGTGTATTCGGACCGGCAGAGGGAGTAGTATGACGAGCAAGTAGCGGCATTAGCAAATGTCGTAGGGACGTAAACGAATGGGTATGCCCCCGAGATCGTGGAGCCGGTAACCGAAGCAGCGCTCGAGTCGGCAGTGGTTGTCGTCGTCGTCGCAGTCGCACCCTGAGGGAACATGAAGCTGGTACCGGTAGATGTAGCTGTCGATGCTCCGGTCAGACTGCCCGTACAGCTAGCACCGGTCGGACAGCATGCGATGTTGTTGGCGGCATCGCGCGAACAGTTCGTGCCTTGTTTGCAGCAGGCATTCGAGTTGCCTAGACTGGTACACGGATTGTAGCCCGTGGGGCAGTTGTTTTCAGCTCGCCTGAGGATCTGGAGGACTTCAAAGGCTCGTTTATTGGACTCGATGGTCTGCGGTGCTGAAAAGGGCGCCGTCTCGATCGAGAGTACGGAGGGGAGGAATGAGGCCCAGACTCCGATCCACCACGAGGCCCGCATTCTTATGGCCTGGGGGCGGGGTGTATATTGAACGCGACCGAGGAATTTCTTTCCGATAGACTGAATGAATTGGTTTTTGGTAGGTATCAATGCAGTTCAAACTCTCATCGTTGGATTTTCTCGAGGGTGCTTATCGAGGGCTGCGCCGGATGTCAACAGACTACTCAAAGTAGTAAGATTAGCGTCAGCAGAGGTGTGTAGCACGGGGGAACCAAGGCCATTGACGGGTACGGGAATACTGTAGGAGTAAAGACATACCTGGCAGTTTAAAATTTCAATGCCTTCGAGAATCGGGCAGAAACCAGCAAGGTTTTGGGAGTGCTGGGAATGATGTAGTTTAGTTGAAAGTCGAAACTCGCCCGTCCAGCCCATCTCCACATCTCCACCAGGAATCCCTGCCACAGCAACCAGTCGCACGATGCCCAACCCGCTCCAACCACCGCCTTTGCAGCCCATTCCCTCGAGACCTTGGCAGTCTTGATTAGCATGGAGGCTGATGACCGCCATTTGAAAAAAATAATAGATGGTCGTAAAATTCGAGTGCGTTCACGCTTGCATATTTGCTGCCTTAGATCCAAGGCCCTGTTGCTGGTCTTTTAATGGGGGTTGCTCTTATTCCATAGCACGAATCAATGAACCAATTACGAAATGGTTGTTCGCAAAGAGGGCCATAGAGATGTTTCCAAAAAGGTTTCAATAGTGATATCAAAATTTATTCTTAATTATGTCCACCTGTATGTTCGCATCCACCCTGTTCGAACGCTAGTGCTAGTAAATTGCAAGACAAAAGTAAAATAGTGCCACTGTAAGCCCTCACAATCCACCATATTGAATTGGGTTGACTGATCCTCACGAACCACTAGAAGAAAACATTGTCCCACAGAAACAACAGCGGGAGTTTATCATGGAATAAACGTAAGTGGTGGACGACAGGACCACGAGAGGATACTCAACCTTCCATATGCCATTGTTGTCGACAACCTGCGTGTGCAGACTTCCAGATAAAACCTCTGCAATATGCCGCGGAACGCGACGAACGAGGCGAAAGCCTTGTCCTATGTACGGTCTCCAGTATTCGACCGCTTCGCAGGAAGTAATATACAGCAAATATCCACCGATCGCGGGCCATTCGGATAGAGGTTTCTGAGCTGCAAGAATGGCATCTAGTATAATAATTGTCAATTTGAGTAACATATCGGAGTTTTTGACACGCGCGAACCGACTTACATTTGACGGTTTACTTCTTTCCCCTCCAAGTGACGTACTTCGAAGTTCGGAAGGGAAACCCTTCAACTTATGCACATTGAAATCATGGCCTGCCAGCTTTTTGATCAAATCGTCAACAAGAGCCTCAAGCGAAGGAAAGGTCACAGTGTGTGGCAGGAGCTAGTTCTGAAGTGTCTTAGATCGTCTCCTCGTAATCGATGAGAGCTCCATACACACAACCCAAATAGTATATGTAGTATGTTGGACAAGTACCTCTCTCAGCTGACTCTCGTTAGGTGAAGGCGATGTTCCGGAGAAGGAATACTCAACCCTTTATAGGTCGAGGCAGGAAGATTGCTTCTGCATGGTAGTTGACAGCTCTATGCAGACACCCAAGGTCCTGCATGCGCCTGGTTGATTGGACTAGGTCTCGTTCACCTGGTCATAAAGTTGTTAGCAAGCTTTAGGTAAAGGCGATGCTCGGGAATCCAGGGTACCTTCAATTCTCCGATGACCTTGCCCTTGAAGGCGTATCTGCTGTCTATTTGCCAGAGCCACATATAGCGTGCCACACGGGAGTATATAGGCAGTATGTAATTAAATTCTGAAGATTTCTGATTCATTGACTGTCCGTGATTTGAAAAGAGCATTTAGCAAGTCTCCCAACGATTTCTAATCCGTCTTCCTTGTGACACTGCGAAGAAGTGCGTAACTTACAGGACGAGGAATGAAATCCAATCAGACAAAGCTCTCAAGTATGAAAGAGCTTATGATCTACGCCATCTTCCCGGTGTACCTGAAACGGGATATAGAAAGGGTGATGTATCTGACCGTCCATATGGAGTCGAGTGCTCTCTAAGTAAATAGCCCCAGACGAGTGGAGAGAAGAAATACAGAAGAACGCGAGAATTAAAGTGAGAAGAGTATAAAAGAGTAAATATTTAGAAGATCAAAATCCCCTTAGGAGAAAGAAAGAAAAGGAAAGTTCAAGAGAAATGCAACCTGCCGCTGGTCCATAGAGGGGTGCAGATCAGGATGACCGTCAGCTGCCCAACTTCAGTTTCTAAAGGACATTTACAGACAAACGGCCAAAACCTAAAACATCAAACAGGGCATTACCGAGAAAACAACAATCCACTGTATTCTCAACACAATGGACCCCTCTACCTCACAAACCCAGATCCCCATTGTGGATTTCTCGGGGTGGACCTCGGGCGGCCCCAGTCGCCAGCGTGTAGCACAAGAAATCGTCGCTGCTTGTAAGGAAGTGGGGTTCGTCTATATCATCAACCACTCCACTCCAGACGCCCTCCTTGATGAAGCGTTCCACTGGTCTCGGCACTTCTTTGACCTGCCCACGGAAGAGAAGCTGCGTGCCCCTCATCCTGACGGGTGGGCTGTGCACCGAGGCTATTCGTGGCCGGGCTTGGAGAAGGTCTCGCAGGCTGTCAGCGCAGATAATGATGATGAGCGGACTGCACAATTGAGAGAGGTTCCCGATATCAAGGCGAGTACCCGGTGGGCTTGGTTGGTGGCGTTCTCGTCTAGCCAGATCCCTTCTCTAATGGTTAATAGGAAAGCTATGACATCGGCAGCGAGGAGAATTCGGCACAACCAAATCAATGGATTCCCGAGGATACTCTCCCCGGGTTCCGTGCTTTCATGAATCAGTTCTACTGGGAGGGTTTCCGAGTGGGGGGCGAAATCCTGCAGGCTCTAGCGGTGGGCCTTGGCCTCGACGATGCGAATCATCTTCTGCAAAAGCATTCGGGACATAATAATCAGCTCCGACTTCTGCATTATCCACCCGTACCGGCCGATGCCTTGGAACAAAACCGAGCAGCTCGTTGTCCCGCACATACGGATTGGAGCTCTATCACCTTACTCTTCCAGGATGACTGTGGCGGCCTGGAGGTAGAGGACATCCACAACCCTAGCCACTTTATTCCAGCAACGCCCATCAAGAATGCCATCGTTATGAACGTGGGTGATCTCCTACAGAGATGGAGTAATGGTAGGTTGCAAGGCAATCCATTCAGTTCTTACGATCCTCTACTAACTGGCGAGGGTAGACCAGTTGAGGTCAACTAGCCATCGAGTTACACTTCCACCTCTTGCCGATCGAATCGAAGGAGAGGCTCGCATCACTCGTAGGCGGTTTTCTATCCCCTACTTTATGGCTCCCGATCCCGACTCGGTGATTGAGTGTCTCCCAGCTTGTATGGGTCCCGATGAGCCGGCAAAGTATGAGCCGATCACTCAGGCAGGGTATAATCAGATGCGGGCTTCTATGCAGTATTGAGAGGTATTATAGCTCTCTGTTGGGCTGGAAGTTTTTCGGGCAGCGTATTCAATATAATTTAGGATGTCAGCGATGGAGATAGCACCGAGTACCTCGTAATGTAACCTCACCTCTTCCTCTGGATAGGCACACCAACCGGCTACAGATATCGTATACTACTTAGTCACTTTTAAAGCCTATATTATCTTTGATTTTTTGAACAAGTTTTATTCTTTCATAAATCAACATGCTTTGAGTAGACTAACGAACGAGATATCCAGTTTGCTCTACTCGTTATCTAGACTCATCGTTCACCGGCTGCGGCTCATCTACCCAAAATCCATCCAATTTCAATACCAGCCAGTTGAGAACCCTTCAAATCTCCTCTACTCCCACTCTTCCTGAATAATAGATTCAACATCTCGATAACCCATCATCGCTCTCTTTTTACCATTTCCAAGCCTCAATATCCAGACTCAATACTTCCAATCTTCCATACTTCTCCCGCCGATCCCCACTCCACCTGACTAAGACCATTTCTTGGCGCGTCATGGAGAACCCGCCGAGTCGCGTCCCTCCATCGCACATCGACCCCGATCGCGTGGCCACCATGTACGGCGAACTCGGCAATAAACTGGTACGTAGCGATCTCTCGCCATAGACTAGTGCATTCGCAAACTCCCTTCCAAAGCATCCATCTCAAAATGCACACACGCTAAACGCAAACCCCACAGGTTCAACATGCGAAGCGCACGCAGGCCCTCGCCCATCTCCCACCCTACCAAACCGAAATCGTCCGCGCAGTAACTCGCGAAGTCCGCGATCTCGACCGCGATGTTACCCGCCTGCTCGATCCCTTCGAGGGCTCCTTCAATCCCTCTGCCGACCCAGCCACCGCCTGCGCCCTACTAGTCGACCACCTCTGCATGCGCCGAAACAAGCGCTGCCTCATGGCGTACCACCGCGTGCGAACGGAGAAACTAGAGGAACTCTGCTGGACGGGCGTGGATGTGCTGGAGCAGCAGCAGCCTAGCGAGGGTGGTGAGGACCGGGGTGTCCCGCAGGCGGGCGGCGGACAGCATAGTTCGTTGAGTCCCGAGGAGGAGGAGTATTTTCGACAGTATGGGGATATGTTGGCGGCTTATAAGGGGCAGTGGACGGATATTGATTTGACGGGGACATTGGAGCCTCCGAAGGATTTGTTTATTGATGTTAGGGTCTTGAAGGATGCGGGGGAGATTCAGACGGAGTATGGGTGAGTTGATTATTGGCTATTTTCTATGCTTGATTGGCGTCTTTTAAGAGGAGAGAAGCTAATGTCATTTGTGATGGATAGCGTGATCAATTTGACCAAGAACAGTCAGCTTTATGTTCGACAGGGGGATGTCGAGCGGTTGATTGCGCAAGGCTTCCTGGAGCGATTGAGCTGAGGGGGGATTGCTATGGGCTGGTGCCGTGATTTGTGAGGAGTTTTGCATTTGTTTTTGATACCCCGCCATGGATGAGATGGCTCATGTGAAGATCGAATCATTTATGTCGATCTCAAATCTACGAAGAATACAACAAGGTTATGCGAAGTACTTTCAATACGCCATTGTAATGGCAGGCACTATTTGCCTCACAACTACAGGCGCAGCTGCATAGAAAGAATAGGACGAGATTATGTTGTCGGCCATTATTTCCGTCGATTCAATCCTTCTCTAAGGCAATCACGTCAGGAACTATACTCAATTCTTCATCGATTTATCCACCATCTGCAAGGTAAACATCGCTACGAGTCGAAGTACGCGGACTTAGTAGGCCTAGACCCGTGGTCTAATCTATATCACACGGTCTCAATCATGGACAATGATGCTATTTTGTAAAGAAGTTATGTAAGAATTGAGTTTGAAGCCGCTAAGCCAGCTAGCATAAGAGCCGGGGGTGTTGGTGGAGATGGCGTGCATTGGCCAGCCTAGGAGCAGGAATTGGCCAGCGCGCTAGCGCCGATCGTGCGTCCGTCGTCGGAGCTCATAGGTACTGTACAAAGGTACATCTCGGTAGTTGGGGAGGGGTCGAGGATACCTTGGGGATGAGATGAGATGGATGATGATTTAGTAGAAGTACCCAGGGGAATTTGCCGAGAATACAATATACCTATGCAGTTTACAACGGGGTACTCCGTACTTGGAGTAACAGTTGACTATCGTAAAAGGCTTAGCGATAAAGATGATAAGAAGAAAAAGTGGGTGGAGTTAGTCAACCAAACCGGCCCGTGGATGATTCAATTCCGGTTGCTAATTCCTTAATGAAAGATAAGCCTGGTCCTGTATCCTGGTCCTCTTGAGTTTCTTGTAACTCTCGATATCTCGCCTTATTCTCGTACCATCGGCTAATATTCTTGCAACATTTCCCCCTCTCTCGTCTCCCTTCCTCTCTTCCTCAATGCATCATTCGCCCCGTTGCGTCATCCGCCGTTTTCTCCAACGCCGCTGCATGCGCTAGTGGGCCGGGAATCCTCCGAATTTCTTGCGACTCGTCCATTCTAGCCCTTTGCGCGACCTCCCAAATCGACCTCTGATGGGCGTACTCCAACCTCGTGGTCGTCGCGACTCGCGCGCCTCGATTCTCTCCCGTCGCAATTGGGGGTTCGACCGCGATCTCGACGTCGCCATTGCGCCAGAGTCCCTAGTGGAACACGCCAATGCCAACCTGGGCAGCTCCCCGGGGGCCGGCCTCGAGGCCTCGAGCTATAATGGCTCCAGTCTGAGAACCCCTAGTCGATCATTTTACCATCGTTCTTTCAATACACCGACTGGTAGGTCCCGCCTCTCGAGTGCTTTTTTAAAGCTAAAGCGCCTCATGCATAACGGGAAAAAGAAAAGACCCAAAAAAGCAAAAACGGAATTACCTCTCCTGCAGAGCGATTTACTGACCATTCGTCGTGCTCCACAGACCCAGCCCACTATGCATCAGATGGGCTCCGCGAACAAACGGCCGAACTAGCGACTTACGGTTTGTCACTCAATAAAAAGCCCTCGCGCGGCAGAACCAGTTTACCTTCTGGACTGGACATTTTCCGCAGCCAGCTCCAACATTCCCCACCAGTATCGCATGATGAATTGGCGAGCTCCCATCCCACCGTGGGGGAGGACTCGTTAGATTCACATGCCGTACTCCTCGAACCAGCTTCTGCCTCTGCCTCGTCGGCCTTGACAGAGATGATCCGCCAGCCTGGCGCGGGCGTGGTCGACGACTATACCAAGCCGATCGAAGACACGTCCTTCTCGCCGCTGTCGACTATCGACGATGAATCTGAGCCCCGGGATACGGAACGCACCTCTTTGCTGTCAAAGACGAGATCCAAGTCTCCGCACCATTATGGCTCAGTTGAAGATATTGAGAGTCAAAGAGGCGCCGCTCGGCGGGATCCAATCAATGCCTTTACCAAGAGTATTTCAGCGGTAGGCAAATGGTCTCGTATAATGTCCAACCCTAAATCATGGAATCGGCGTGCCATTTGGCAAGAAGGAGTAGTATATCCCGCCAGTTTAATCCCTGCTGTGGTTCTGGGTCTTCTGCTCAACATCCTCGATGCCCTATCCTACGGAATGATCCTGTTCCCTTTGGGAGAACCGCTTTTCGCCCACCTGGGCGCGGACGGTATCTCTATGTTCTACGTCAGTACAATCATTTCCCAGGTAGTCTTCTCCTGTGGAGGCTCCATATTCAAGGGCGGTATTGGCAGTGAAATGATCGAGGTGGTCCCCTTCTTCCACCAAATGGCATTCACAATCATGAACCGAGTAGGTAAAGACAACCCGCAATCAGTCATCGCCACAACTATCCTCGCCTTTTCAGTCAGCTCTGTCCTCACTGGCTTGGTATTCTTCCTAATGGGCGTCTGCGGTTTGGGCTCGTTGATCGGCTTCTTCCCTCGCCATATCCTAATCGGCTGCATCGGTGGTGTGGGATACTTCCTTCTCCAAACCGGAGTTGAAGTCTCTGCCCGACTTCCCGGTACTCTCGAATACAACGTCCACACGCTGCAGACGCTCTTCCAGCTCGACACCCTCCCCCTTTGGACGATACCTCTTTTCCTTGCAATTGCTCTTCTCGTTTTGAAGCGTTTTATTCGGTCGAATTTCCTCGTCGGCGCTTACTTTATTGGTGTGGGTGTCGTGTTTTATATTGTCATTCTCAGCGCTCGGGTTTCGATGGATACATTGCATCACAAGGGGTGGGTGTTTGATGCTCCATCTTCTAACAACCCGTGGTACCACTTTTATACCCTCTATAGTAAGCGATCTACTTCCCAAAGTCCCGGATCTTATTAAACTAACGTTAATTGTCAGATTTTTCCGCGGTCAATTGGACTGCCTTTGCCGACACTATCCCTGCGATGTTCGCGTTGACCTTCTTCGGTGTACTACACGTGCCCATCAATGTCCCCGCATTGGGTATCTCAACTGGAGAAGACAACCTCAATGTAGACAGAGAGCTCATGGCACACGGTGTGACCAATGCCCTGTCTGGCTTCGCGGGTAGTATTCAGAACTACCTGGTGTACACCAACAGTCTTCTCTTCATTGCTAGTGGTGGATCGTCGCGATTGGCTGGTCTTATGCTTGCTGCAGCCACGGCTGGCATCCTGGTCATTGGGCCGGTCATCATTGGTTTTATTCCGGTGATGGTCGTCGGTGCCTTGATCTTCCTATTGGGTATTGAACTTTTGCAGGAAGCCTTGGTGGATACCTGGGGCAAGCTTACGCGACTTGAATATCTGACGGTATGTGAATGTACCAACCAAGCCTCCCTGATGGACAGGTTCTAACTGTTACAGGTCGTTATCATTGTGGTGACTATGGGTGCCGTAGACTTTGTCATGGGAATTCTTGTTGGCATCATCCTCGCCTGCGTCAACTTTGTCGTTCAAACATCTCGCAAGTCGGCTATCCGTGCGACCTTTTCTGGAGAAATTGCCGGATCCACCGTTCGTCGCCCACCTATCCAGCAACAATTCCTGCATGAAGCTGGACAGCAAACTCTCATCATGAAGCTTGGCGGTTACCTCTTCTTCGGAACGATCGTCAATGTTGAGAATACCATGCGGGGACTGATCGAAGAAGAAGCTTTCAATCGGCAACCCATTCGATTCCTGATCCTAGATTTCTCTCGGGTCTATGGTCTCGATTTCTCCGCGGCCGAAGCGTTCACGCGTATCAACCGTGTACTTCGCAAACGGAATGTACAAACTACCATCTCGGGCCTAAACGTTGAAGGCGAAGTGGGCAAGTCCCTCCAGAACGTCGGCCTCTTCGAACCCGAATCCGGCGTGCCAATCTTTGAAGATCTCAACTCGGCTCTCGAATTCTGCGAGAACGACTACCTGAAAATCTTCTACAGTCGCCAGGAAGCCCTATCCCGCACACCAATTGGAGCAACTACGCCCCAAGGCACCACCAACACCAACAACCTCCAAGTCCCCCTTCCTGTCCCACAGATCCCCAACGCCAGCCTGTCCGACAACATGGTCAGCTCCCCACGCGGCCAATACCTCCAGCGCGTAGCAACAACCACCCTCCGCGAACACGAACAAGTAACCGCCCTGATAGCCGCCCCAGCCTGGTCCTCAATGCGCCAACCCCTCCCCCTCCTCCTCCAAACCTTCCAAGGTCTATCCACCCAAAACGAAGACTTCTGGTTCCCCGCCTGCGCCTACTTCTCCCGCGAATCCTACCCAGCCGGTACAGTCCTCTACCACGAAGGCGACGTCCCCCGCGCCTTCTACCTCCTCGAATCCGGCATGCTGCGCGCAGAATACGATCTCCCACAGGGCCGGTACTTTGAGCTCGTCGTCGCTGGTCGGCCGTGCGGTGAGTTACCGTTCTTTAGTGATACGCGGCGCACAGCGACTGTTAAGACGGAGCATGATTGTGTGGCGTGGTGTTTGAGTGATGAGCGGTGGAAGGCGTTGCAGGAGGATGAGCCGAGGATTGCGAGGGAGTTGCTCACTGTTAGCTTGAAGTTGACTACTGAGAGGATGGATAGTATTACATCGTGAGTTTCTCGTGATTTTTTTGGGGTCTTTGGTTATACTAACTTTTATGCCAGATACGTGCTTACAATGGCTGCTTGAATTTTGTACATTTGTATTTTCTGTGCATTTATGTTTTGCATCTAACCTCGGCGGTAATCTGAGCGAAATTATACCTTTGCTTGATCTTTGTTTTTTTTTTCTCCTCTTTACATGTGAAATACGTACATAGTTGGTCCATACTACAGCCGCGATGGCAATTTACATACGATCCTCCTTTTCATGACACGTTTACAGTGAAAAGCGCATAGCTTAAGAATCCGATGGAATTGTTCACAACGCTAATTCGAATAAGAACCCACTGAACAAGAGACATCAAAATTCTATCATTCGCGCCATGGCCGCTATTCATAAAAAACATAAACTCAACATCACACAAAATGCCATATCTCATAAAAATCCTCATAATATCCTCCAACCCAGGCCTTAGTACCACTCTCACAGACGAGACTTGACAGGCGTGTGAGCCTCCGAATCAACCGACAACCCATCAGCAAGCAAACGCTTGTTATCAGGATCATACAACGGCTCCGCCGCGACGGTAGCTTTAATCCGGCGACCAAAGTACTCAATCTCGACGCTCGCGCCTTCATCCAAGGTCCCAGACAACCAGGCATAAGCAACAGGCTTACGAACTGTAAATCCAAATGCCGCGCTGGTCACATACCCAACCGCCTTGTCATTGTGGAACACCGGCTCCTTACCGAGAATCATAGACCGGCCATCATTGACAGTAAGACAGCGTAGACGCCGGGAGGGGTTCTGCTTGGAGGGAATCCGCTCGAGCGCAGACTTGCCAACGTAATCCTCCCACTTGCTCGCCCTGATTCCATTCGCCACGCCAGCTTCGTACGGGTTATGCTCCGTGTTCATGTCCGTGCCGTAGATTCGGTATCCCTTCTCCAACCGCAGGGCATTGAAAGCAGCGCGGCCAGCGGCAATCAAGCCGTGGATCTTGCCAGCTTGGAAAATCGTATCCCAAAGGCGTTGGCCGTATTCGGCGGTTGTCTGGATTTCCCAGCCCAACTCGCCGACGTAGGACTTGCGGAAGGCTGTCACGGGGATACCATTGATGAGGGCTCGTTTCACGCCGAAATACGGCAGACCCTTGTTGGAGAAGTCGTCCGTGGTGATCTCGTTGATAACGTCTCGGGCACGCGGACCCCACAGTCCGATGCAGCAGGTGCTGCCTGTGATTTCGCGGACTTGGACAAAGTTTTTCTTACTCTGGTGGCGGGCTTCGCGGGCGAGATAGGCTAGGTCGGTGGCGGTGTTGGCGCCGATCTGGAAGAGGTTCTCTTCTAGTCTGGAAATGAAGATGTCGCTGCGGATGCCGCCGTGGTCGTTTAGGAGGAGGGCGTATGTGATTGTGCCGGGCTTGGTGTTGACGTCTGCTGTGCTGAGGCGCTGGAGGAGGTCGAGAGCACCGGGTCCGGAGATTTCGAATCGGTGGAAGGAGGTCATGTCGAACATGGCTACTGCGTTGCGTGTCTTCCATGCCTCGGCTGCGACGACGGGGGAGTAGAACTGAGCTGACCAGGCATCGCGGTCGACGGGCTTCCACTTTGGAGGGAGATAGTTGAGAAGTTCCTTGTTCGCTTCGTACCAGAAGGGTCGCTCCCAGCCACCGAGCTCTAGGAAGTAAGCACCCAGCTCTTTCTCCCGAGCGTAGAATGGGCTGGTTCGTAGCTGACGGGGGGATTCTCTGGGTTGAGATGGATGCAGGATGTCATAGATCTCGACGAAGTTCTGGGATGAGGTTTCCTCGATGTAGGATTGGCTCAGCTGGACTTCTTCAAAGCGAGACAGCTCGCACTCTGAGATGTCGATCTGCGAGCGGCCGGTGGTAAGGACTTCGGCGACGGCACGAGCAACGCCTGCAGAGTGTGTAACCCACACTGCCTCGGCGACCCAGAATCCGTCCAGGTTAGGTGCTTGCCCAACGATGGGTCCTCCATCAGGCGTAAACGAGAAGATACCATTGAATCCGTCCGCGATCTCAGTGTCTCGTAGCATAGGCAAGAGCCGTTGCGTTTCCTTCCAAGCAGGGTCAAAGTCCTCCGCAGTGAATTCAAGGCGAGAAGGCATGTTCTTTTCATCGACATTCTTGGGTGTGAGACCTAAAGACGATGCCTTGACGGGCATGGGACGATGACCATAGTATCCGATACCGTATTGGTCCCCGTGCTCACGATAGTAAAGATCTTGATCTTGGTGTCGTAAAATGGGGAGTTCGGCATTCTTTCCATTTATTTGTTTATTGAGCTCCCTTCCCACGAGAGATGGCACCGCTGTCGTCTTGGCGTATTGGTGGGCGAGGGGGAGTAGAGGAATTGACAAGCCGACCATGGCACCGAGTTCCACGCCCCAGAAGCCAGCACAGGAAACAACAATATCAGCCTCAATAGTGCCATTGGGTATCGTTACACCGGTTACCTGGCCATTTGCTTGTTTGATGCCGGTCACGGGTGTTGATTCGAGATATTTGACACCAGCCTTGCGGGTGCGTTCAATGAGTAGCTGGGTTGCACGAGCGGCGAGAGCCAGGCCGTCGCTGGGGATGTGTAGACCTCCGAGCACGACGTCCTTGTTCAGATGAGGGTACAACTTGACACACTCCTCCGCACTCACGAGGCGAGCCTCAATGCCCCACGAGGAAGTATAACCATGCTTGCGCTTGAGGTCCTCAAGCCGTGCCGGCGTTGTCGCCACCTCGAGACCACCAACTTGATTAAAGCAATTCTGGCCATCCTTCTCAATAGATTGGAGTTTCTCGACGGTGTATCGTGCAAAATTCGTCATCGTCTTGGAGGGGGTAGTCTGGAACACGAGGCCGGGGGCATGCGATGTGGATCCGCCAGGCATGTATAGCGGACCCTGCTCGACGACGGTGATATCCGTCCATCCGCGCGAGATCAGCTCATCAGCGATGTTTGTGCCGACAATTCCGGCACCGATGATAACGACACGCTTTGCGGGTGACATGGTGAATGAGAGAGGCGAATTGACTCGCTGCACGGAGCTGCGGGTGTTCTCGCTTTATGTATGTCTGATCGGCAAGAAAGCTAGATGATTAGGAGCTCCCCCGCAGGAGGGGGGTTTCTGTCCCCGCAGATTGCGTACCATGATGATATAGGAATAGATTCCATTAAGGGAAGCCAATCCAGGCCCCGCATCGGCTCGGACGGTGCTCGGGGATGAGTATACCGGCAACGGATACAGGGTCCTACTGCCCGGATGAGGGATGGCGATATCTCTACATGGCAATTTATCTTGTCGAGTTTTCTATATTCTGTCAATGCCAGGCAGCTCGAATAATGTGCCTGCTTTCAAGCAGAACAATCTCATGAATGCAGCTTTGAAACGACATATCCAAAGATCTCCAACTAGGAATGCCTGTCCCTTCAAGCTCGGGCCCACGAGGTATCTGGGGCATTGGATAAGGTTACCGTTTTTGGGATGATTCACGCCCGTTGGGTCCAGACAATTGACGCCACGATAGGCCATGATTGGCCATTGAATCAGTGGCCGTGGAACGAGATCAAGTGATAACCTGCGAAAGGTCGGCGTGTCGGTTGGGAGCCGCTCACGTGCACGGATGAGCTTAATCGGATACGGTCCGGATCTCTCATGGTTCACACCACAGGTAATACCCGCGGTCCAAGGCTATCTATAGATCGGGTTGAAATCGAATCAATATTCATGCAGTTCGCATCAAAGGGTATAGAGGAAATGTGGGGGAGACGGTCTCGCGGGTGATGCTGATACATCAACCATCGGGTAGTAGCAACAATATCGAGTATAGCATACCGCCGCTGTTTACAGGGGAGGAAATGCATGTTCAAAGGATACGTTCTGGACTTCTGGAACATTTAAGGTGATAGAATGGATAGATTGCAGATTGAGTTGTAGTTGGACTGGATTGGAAAAGTGGGTAGATGCTCCATGAAGGGGCATGCATCCATGCCTCGCTTCGAGATATATACTTGGCGCCGAAGCCCGCTAGATTGCACATAGGTAGCGCATACCTACGGGCTATATAACCGCGCCCGGCGGAGGCGATGATAAAAGAGGTACTGGGTGTAACGCCGCCTTGGAAAGTCCATCAACTGGCCTAGAGGAACCGTAGTCATGTTGATATTGTGGGAGGCTCCGAATTATGGACGAGTGTAATATATTGTAACCTGTAGTATTCTATACATTTACTCTGATCGCAGTTTTCAAACGTTCATCGTGCTGTGGATGGATTAACAAAAACAAGGGATTATATTGCTAATCGATGAGGCGCGACAGGCCTGTTATTTCGACCAGGAGTAGTGACAACCAACACTCGTCCATTTCATCATGTGAGGTGGCGCCAACAACAGTAGTCGAGCTTGGAATGTTGACAGGACGCGTTGTCAAATAGGCGGCGCATAGAAAGGAGGACATTGGTACACATGGATCATGATTGGGAATACTCTTCTACGATTACGGCTCTCTTCTCCAAACACGAGTCAATGACCCATGGTTGATGAAAAGAAGATGTGATCCACAGGGTGGAAAGTGCCAAAGAATACGCCTGTCAATGACCCGAAGGCCGTTGAACAAACTGTTCCGCCGCGCTGTGCAATGCAGGGACCAATCTGTGGTGGACCGCCTTCATGATCGCAGCCACCCAAACAAGGTAAGTATGAAGAAGAAAAGAAAAAGAAGAGGGAATCTGGGGGGTGAAGGGAGATATTTAAAGGAAACCATGGGCCACGCTAGTCCTAAGCGAGACACGCTAGTGCTAAGCGAGCTGCAGGTTAGACATCACGTGATCGACCAACAGAGCATAGCAAACAACTTCACGTGACATTGCATGTGACTCATCCTCTATTTGGTTGGAACCTGAGGTATGAAAGGACTGGCCCCTCAGGGCTTCGAAGCCTTTGAAGCTTTCAGGGGGGTTGCAGTGAGCTGTCACCTCTGACTCGTGTGCCTTGCATTCTGGAATCTATAATATTGACGATCACCGTCCTCGTCGCGTGGGAAAAATAATTCCATCCAATGGTTCTTACGGATTTACTCAATAATTGGACTCCTTGTTTACCAGGATGCAATGGAAGAAAAAAAAAAAAGTAAGTGGATGTCTCCAGGTACGAGCTTGTGTGGATCCCTTCCCTCCCCTATTCCCAGTGTCCCACTGAGCCAGTAACTCTGTCCGGTGGTCCTCGCGCTTAAGGCCGTATGGTAAGTAGTGGAAGTTTTTTCCCTTTTGTTTTGGTCGAGGTCAGTGCATTGATTGAATCCAATTCCTCCTTTGTTGTGCGTGTGTGCTAGAATTTTCCAATTTGCCTGCAATCTACGGAGTATGTATGACGCACTCTATACTTTGTACAAGTCCTGTAAACTCTCGGACGAGGTCCGTCGGAGAGCTACTAAGACGAGCATAGTACGGAGTACATCTCGTTGAGTTTTCCTAGTTCCCATGCTGATTTCCCTTGCAAAATTCTGCAATTTTTCCCAAACAAAGTACATTGTCTAGCCCAGACGAATCCACCACCAGTCACACGTAGCGAACGAGCGCGCATCCTCATCAAAGGGTGCCATGGTTAATGGAGGCTCGATGCTCGGGCTAGTGGACGCTAGAATCGACCAGGCCTCGTTCGGCGTAGAGCTTAGATGGACAAGAGAGTTTCACCAGGAGCTTTGTGGTGTTTGGTTGCCGGGTTCGTGCTCACCGCATCGTTCAGCAACGTTGTCGGACTTGGCCTCGTTAGTAGTCGGTTTTTATTGTTCGGATTTTGGGTGGGCTTGGCAATGGCTTCTGAGATTTTGGGGGGATTTTCGGGATCTTCGTAGGTTTTTGAATGATCTACTCCGTACAGTATACAATTATTGATGCATTAGAAGGTACTATGCGTAGAATCTCCCGCATTCGATGAATATGTTTAATTCGCATTAAATTGTACTCCATACATACAGAAAATGTTACCGTCCTGCGCATGGCAGCTGCAGGCCAGCGACCGCTAGAAAACGGCTCGCCAAATTCTGGGCGGAAGATGGGCGGGACGAGCAGATGGGATATGCTTGGCCCTGACGGGTAAGGGAAATCAAGAAGGTGGAAAAAGGGGCAGATGGACCGTGCTATTGGCTCTAGAGCTTTGCAAGTGGATCGGCCGTGTGGGCTATCATTACTGAAAATGTTCCGATGGTCGCATTCTGGCAGCACCGGGACCTCTCCTGATCATCGTTGATAGACGGCGAGCGGCAGGGCTCTTTTGAAATTCGGGTGTTTCAGAGAGGTTCCCGATGAGATAAAGGCTCCGAAGAGTCTCAATTGGTAGACACAAGATTTAGTCACCACTTGTAAGACGACGAAACACCCTGGTCGCGATGATGCAGAGACTGTCGGGAGCTGTTGGCTTGGGAGTAGATAGGGGGGGGGGGGGGGGGGTAGGGCTGCCAGCCACCATAGTCGATGGCTTAAGACACGGGACCACCAAGTGGGGCTCGTCGCTGGGAGTCGTTAGCTGGGCGGTTTAGCTCGTTTTCTTCGTTAGTCTCGGGACTGGACCACAAAAATTGAAGGAAGAAATTTCGGGAGTTTGAGAAAAATAGGGAATAGGGAGATCAGGATGAAGACTAAGAGAGGTAAATTAGGGGCCATTTTACTACGATATTACTGCACTACTGTAGATGGGAGGTGGAGCCGGATGAGAATTGTGCTAACGAGAGGTACATACTGAGTAGTATATCTACATCGGTATCTGTACTCCCTCCTCGGAGCTCGATAGGATAGAAAGAGAACGCAATGTGATACGAGTATTACATCTTAGACGTGTAAAAATGAAAGGAGAGTTTCCAGTACCAATGAAGGAATGAGACCTGGTCCCCCGATTAATAACTGGATACAATGAATGTTTTGACTTTTTTTGGAGTCGGGATCATGGGGTCCATCTGCTATCGCGATTTCGTGATTGCCAGCGCCAGCCGCAACGGTCCTGCAAGATGATACGCCAGTGATAGGGTAAGGGTTGCCCGAGAATAACCATATATGACGACAAGAGAAGATTTCCAAGAGAGAGAGAGAGGGGGGTTTGTGCAACGACCACTGGTTGGCCACGAGGATTCGCACGCCACTCATCTCGTCGTGTCGGTCATGGGATTTGATGATGCAAAATATCGACCACTAGGATGGAAGCTCTGTTGTACGGTGCCGGGTTGCGATCGACGCCATGCGAGCGAATCCGACAGGCGCTCAACCCTGGATCAGCACCATGCAGCAGCGAGGACGGAGGAGTTTCATGGTTTCGTGCCGAGCTAGGGCTGAATTGCTGGCCTGGTTGGTTAGTATGTACATTGGTGGCAGGGTGGACGGGCCAGATCCTGTCCTCTTTTGTACTGTACCCTCGTTTTTGTTCCCCCTCCTGCTCCCGTTTTGCTCGGAATAGAGGGGGTTTATCGATTCCTACATTCATCACTTGACTTAAGACAGTTGGGGTGTTGAACGAGCGGGTTAGTCCCCGACCGGATGCACAGGATGTAGACTTGGCTACCCCATCGAACGGTGTAACGGGTATTGTTTAACGGGTGGTCCATACTGCAATATTTACTAAATAGACTGACTAAATTAAGTAGTCAAAAAGACAATATCTAGCAATCAAAAAAAGTTTCATCATAGTAGTCGCTTTGTAGATATCCAAAGTTTGGCCAGATAAAAGCAGCAGATTGGTCGCGTGGAGAGACAATGCAGCTCATTCAAAAGTCCTGCAAATTTCGACTGCATCGGGGTTACTATCTAGGTAAATTAGTCGAGATTGGTTACTCTGCGCAGGAGGCGGGTCCGAGCTGCACGGGTCAATTAGGGGCTACTTTAGGGGGGCCGTTGTCCAGCTGCATGGACGATCTTAGGGGAGAAGTGCTATTGGGCCATTGGTCGAATGGACGAGCTATCAGTCCATAGGACAGAACCCAGAATACGGAGTGGTGTGATCATGATCAACCTTGTTATTTGATTTTTTTTTACCAGTAAATTTTCTTCAATTTTCTCCAAATTTCTATGAATTTTAATACTCTGGTTTCTGGGCCTTTCTTGTCTTGTTGTTTCAATCTGACACCAGTATGGAGTGGATGGTGGAAGAACTGGTGGCGCTGTCCACCCATGGAGGTCTGTTGATATTATATCGACTTATTAATTTTCTTAATTTCCATTCATCAGGCTTTGTTTCAGCTTGGCAGGATTTTTTTTTCTTGCTTCCATGGTAGTTTTGGTAGGGTAGGGGAATAAACAGGTCAATGAAAAAAAGGGTATACACTCTTAATTGCGTTAGCGTGCCTCCCCTGAAGGAGACTTACCTAATCGACCCAGTCCCACCCAACGTCTGGGCTCCCTGCAGCTCTTTTCCAAAAGTGGCTGAGAGCGCCATCAACAAGCGCTGGTCACCACCCCCCCCCCCCCATGCCGCTTCTCTTTTTTTCCCCTTCCCTCCCTTTTTTCTCCTTTCCTTCTTTCCCCTCCTTCCAAAGCTCAATACCCCCCCTTTCCTACTTCGTTCGTGATACCCAAGCTCTTTCTTAGAGCTCTTATTTCTTTGCTTTCCAAGATACCCATATACCCCCCCAAACGCTTTTTCTCTTCGAAGCTCTGCTTCTTAATCGATACCCAAAACACCCGATACCTTTTCGGTCTAATAACTTTTAATCATGTCTGACGTTCAGAAGCCCGTTGAGGAGACCCCCGCGGTCGTTCCCGCTGCTGAGCCCGTTGTTGAGGCTCCTGCTGCCACTGAGGCTGCTGCTGAGGCTCCCAAGGAGGAGGTGAAGGAGACTCCCGCTGAGGAGACCACTGCCACCCCCGAAGTCGCTGAGACCACTGAGGCTGCCAAGGAGGAGATCAAGCCCGCCACTGATGGCACCCTCGGCTACAAGGCCCCCGGTCTGGTCAAGTAAGTAGAAAATGGGATGCGGATTTGCGATAGCTTTGGAGCTTGGAGCTAACAAGGTACCTTCGTTTTCAGGAGCCTGCGCTTCGCTAAGCGTTTCTTCTACTTCAACGACGAGGCTGTTGAGGCCAAGCAGCTGTCCACCTTCCACCAGAGCGAGAAGCCCGCCGTTGCCAACCCCATCGCCGCCTGGGCCAGCCAGACCGGCAAGGGTCTGCTCTTCATCACCAAGCGCGCTGAGGACAAGGCTCACCCCAGCCACATCATCAACCTGGTAAGTTGCGCGCACTCTGCAATCATAGAGTACGAATGCAAGCTAACAATTACTTCTAGGCTGATGTCTCCGATGTGACCAAGGAGGGCTCTAGCGAGTTCCAGTTCAAGATCGCTGGCCAGAAGCACACCTTCCAGGCCTCCAGCGCCGCTGAGCGCGACAGCTGGGTTGTCGCTATCGAGGCTAAGGCTACCGAGGCTAAGGCTGAGAAGGAGACCATCACCTCCAGCGAGGGCTACAAGGCTGAGCTCGAGAAGCTGACCAAGCCCGTTGCCGTCGCCGCTGTCGCCGCTAAGAAGCCCGAGGAGAAGAAGGAGGAGGAGACCGCTGCCGCTGCCCCCAAGGAGACCGAGGAGGCCGCCCCTAAGGAAGAGAAGAAGAAGGAGACCGCCAAGTCTCGCTCCCAGTCTCGCAAGCGCTCCAGCATCTTCGGCTCCCTTCTCGGCAAGAAGGAGGAGGCTGAGGAGAAGAAGCCCGAGGAGAAGGAGGAGACCACCGAGGAGGCCCAGCCCGCTGAGGCTGCCGCTCCCGTTGCCGAGCCCGTTGCTGAGACTGCTGCTGAGCCCGCTGTCGCCACTGAGGGTATGTTCTTATATGTGACGAAATGTTGGTATGTGAGTAATTTACTAACATGAACGCTAGTTGCTCCCCCCGCCGAGACCACCGAGGACAAGGCCGCTGAGGAGCCCAAGGAGGAGAAGAAGGAAGAGAAGAAAGAGGAGAAGAAGAACAAGCGCGCCTCCATCTTCGGCAACTTCTTCCAGAAGGTCACCAGCCCCGCTCACGAGAAGTCTGAGAAGGAGGCTACCGCCCCCGTTGAGGAGACCACCGTTGCCAGCACTGCTCCCCAGCTCGAGAACCCCGTCGAGGAGGCCGCTGTCAAGCCCATTGAGCCCGAGACTGTGACCGCTGCTGCCGACGCTGAGGTCGCCAAGGCCACCGAGGAGGTCTCCGCCGCCGCCGAGGCCACCACCCCTAAGGACAAGCGCCGCACCTCTTTCTTCGGCAACTTCGGCAAGAAGGAGAAGAAGGCCGACACCTCCGACAACGAGGTCACTGATGGCGAGACGAAGGCCAAGGCCTCCAAGCTTGGTGGTTTGTTCCGCAAGCCCAGCAAGGCCGTGAAGCTCGACAAGGAGGAGACTCCTGCCGCTGAGGCCGAGGCCAAGGCTGAGGAGACCGCCGAGGCTGCCGTTGCCGAGACCGCTGCCCCCGTCGAGGAGGCTGCCGCCCCTGTCGTCGAGGAGGTCGCTCAGCCCGTTGAGACCGCCACTGAGGAGGCCAAGAACGTCAACCTCACCACCACCGCCCCTGTCCAGGCTGCTGCTTGAACTGCGTCTCCGCGACGCGTGGAGTTTGAACGCTGGTGGGATCCATCCTATTCCTTGTTCACCCACCATATCCCTGATGGGCTCGACCAATCTCCTGGTGGAGACCGCCTGAGTGCCTGACGGATGCAAATACGGAATTGATACCATTTCGCTCGCAGTTTTTGTTTTGCTCGTTTTTTGTGTGCTTTTGCCTCGCCACTGTCACTCTTTTCGGTCCATAATTGTCTAATCTTGCCTGGACATTATGATCTGAATTGGGTGCCAATGAGATACCCGCCGTCGTTGCTTTTTTTTTATTGAATTTCTTTGCTCTTGTCCCTCTCAAAAAAACACCAAGCCCCCAATAATTACTCTCGGCGCCCCCGGTTTATAGGCTGGGGGCCGTTCATTCCTTATCATGACCTTGGCGTCCCGCAACCGAGATTCGATTCGCGACGTGCTTATGCGTTACGTGGTGTGTCGCCTTACTAGATTGATACCACTCTGATTTCGTGCGCTTTGGCTTTCTCGCTTCGATACCCTCTGGGGAGGAAGGGTTGGTTTTATTTACTAATGGGAAGGTGGGAAATGTGGAAACTGTCTTGATTGTCTCTTGGTCTCTGCAATTCAGAATGCCGCCTCGTTTCCTGCTCTTATCATGTTGTTTTTGAGGCCCCCCCTCTTACCGTTGTCTACCGTTGTTCCCGTCTCACGCGGTTTTCCTTACTCCGATGCTTCGTGGATGTGGCACATATCGCGATAGGTAATACTTAATAGAATCTTCTCAGTCTTGCTTTAAACATGATTCCCGTAAACGTTCTTTCAGGTATTGTAGCAACTCCTCTGCCCTAGTGATGGACTATGTAGAGAGTTTATTATAGCCAGGGTAGATCATTCTATAGAAATGGGTCTTATATGCTTTGGTGGAAACCACCCCATCTGCAGACCATCATGCAAGCCATCCAGGGCCCCATCGAGATGCATTGGTCGCCAAGTGCGGCTCTCAACGGGGAGGCCGCCGAGAGAATCTAGTGTCGGCCACTGCTTACGCCAGAGTGATTATGAGACTATGCCGACCGACATGGAAGGTGTTTCCGTGGAGAGTCTGAATCGGAGGCTCTTTTTGTAATAGAATTACTCGGAGCATCCTCTTTTGGATTGGTGTGAGGTTATGGATGAGTTGATCAGCTTATGGAGTATGTACTGTTGTCGGAATGGGTATCCTGCTGTCTGACCCACGAGTTCTGCAGATCGTTCTCGGCCAAACACGTTGAAAGCCGACAGCTTCGGCCTGTGCTCGCCGATTATTATTCACCTGCACTGTGATGGCACGGGCTTCGGTCTTCAGGCTTCAATAATAATGCCTGGAATCTCAAGGCTCCTGAATACATGGTATAACTAATTCATCACAGTATTATTAATTAGGACTAGACCTACAGGGGTCCCAAGGAATAATTGTCAAAACAATACATCGGGCGGTCAGGTAAACATACCCACTGAGGTGGACGATAAGCGCCAATTGCTCAAAACCAATTTTCTAAGGCAGAAAGTCCGGCAGAATTCACATAACCTACAGAAGATAGAAGACAAGAGAAAAGACAAGAGACAAGGAAGGGGATAGTTAAATCGGTACTATAGTAATAGCGTCGCCCTAGCCTAAAGAAGAAGGCATTAGGGTAAAGGCGGCTATAAAAGCGGTAGATAAGCTGACTAATTATAGGTTTTGAGCAACTGGCGTTTATCGTCCGCCCTCTCCGCCTACTCCATAAGAATTTAGATCATCAGATGATATCATGTAAACGAATCAATGAGATTACGTAGATAGGTAGTGGTCCAGTTAGTAATATAGAATCTGGCAGAAAAATAGCGGGTCATGGAGTGTTTTTACATTTTTTTCTTGGTACCCCTGTAGGTCTTAGCGCAGGCAATGATTATTCGTCTAATTCTGGTTCGCGCAAAGGAAATTTAGATTTATTACCATACTATACAGTAGTCTATTTTCTCTTGATTCAGTTGGTTAGTTCAATATTACAGGACTTACAGTAATATGTTCAATCGTGATTATTGCATGGATTACCCAGTCCCCATCGGAGACATGAAAGAGGACTAGATCGTGTGCCAGAACCACGGGCCAGTATTCGTTTTTGGGGGTCTCGGAGCGAGACTGCCAGTCCTCCGGGGGTGCCAAGAATTCTAGCTCTCATAGTTGCAAGGGAACCACTGTGATTTTTTTTCTCTCTCTTTTGTTTGGCTTCGAGTAAAGGGTTGTGGATTCATCCACCGTTTCAACGGGGTGTGCCGGTGCGGTGCCGGTTGGCTTTAGTGGGTTTGGAGAGGGAGTCCGAGGACGGAGTTGGTATCCGTGTCTGGCGGAGGGAATCAAGTTATACGGTGATGATTGTCACAGTCGTGGGATACTGTGATCAAAGACATCCGAGGTAGTAATTGTATACGAAGTCGTAGATCCCAGGCTGCAGTGGTACCCTGCATATGAAATCAAAAGAACCAGAATCATTTGCTTGATTCCTTGCTATGATTTCGGTGTTAAACCCACGATGGATCAGACGCAGTGGGTGCAGCAAAGTCAATTTTCACGCCCTTCGGCAAGGCTAGCATCAAAGTGGGCAGAGTAGGGACCACACGGACCAGCACGATGACCGGCACAGCCCACCGCGGGGAGGCAATTGGGAAAAGATCGGTGGGTCCTCTCTTGCCTTTTGGTTGGAGTCGGAGAGTCGGAGGGGCACGCCTGTTGTCTCCGAGAAGGGGAACACGAGGCATTGAATTCAGGATTACCAATACTGGTATTCACATTCTTGTCGGAGTCCCCGTGTATACGAGGCGGAGGGGATTCGTGGCCTGGTCATGGGAAATGTGGACGTGGCTTATAATCTGCCAAGTTAGTTGTCGAAGGAAGATTAGAGAGAGAGCACTATGATTAGATAGTCAGCGTTAGATGGTCTGTGTCTTTGAATCTCGTTTGGACCAGCCTGGGCAAGGGGTTTTTTTCGAAACGACGCCAACACGTCTGGGAACTGAACGGATAGTGCGGATGCCTGGACCGCCAGAACCAGGGCGAGAGGGGAATGGTGATTGGACAATGGGTAAGGCAACAGGAATGGCTGATGGAGAGGTACATGATCGGTACCTGGCCGAAGAGGCTGAGAGATGGATGTTGAGTATGAGAACGTCATAGATGATAGAACAGCGGAGGTCGTGTTGAAAGTACATTGGAAGTACCCACAAACTTCCGCTAAAGTGCCTGTCGGGGCTCAGCAGCCAATTAGGGAAGCCCATTAGGGTGTGACTCACACCCCGTGACTTCGAGGCTCGACTAAGCCCCGTGCGGCTGTAGTTTCTGATTGGCCCAAGCCCCAACCGGAGTGGACCCTCCCACACAGCCAAACCAAGTCGCCGCTTAAGAAGTGCCTGAGTCCCCCCAAAATCGGTGCCTGCCTTTTTTTCTTCTTTCTTCCACCACCACCCACTTCCATCTTACACTTCATATCCATCCACCATTCTGCCTCCATCTGAACAGCCTTTTGAATCTCCACTGATCCAAAATGGGTGCTTTCTAAGCTCCTCGTCTCGAAAGATCTCGTCTTTCTCCATTGAGAACGACACCATTCCTCCTCACGGAACCCCGTCCTTTTTCTCCCCTCAACAACCTTCTTCAGAGTCTCCTTTTCAGGAACCTCTGAACTTCAGCATCGCTTCGCGTAGCTCAAGTTCTCCCCAAATCACTATTTCTCCGATCGACATTTCGTCGTTCACCACGGATCACTCCCAGCAAACATGGCTTCCCACGCCCCCGCCCACACAGCCCTTGGCTTCCAGTTCGAACAACAGCAACAGCAACAACAACAACAGTGCCCTCGAGGACTTTGTGCTCTATCCAACTCCACCAGCTCCTCATCCGCAGCCTCATCCACGAGACTCGCGCTTGCTAGCTCCATCGAGCACTACCCTTAGACCGTCTGCTCTCCAGCCTTTCTTGGCTCAGAACAATCCTAGAAGACACTCTTTTAGTCTGCAGTTGCAACGTCACCTCCAGCAACAGTTCTCTGGCTCGCCTATCCCAGACCCCAGAGTGACCAAGCTTGCCCGGTCTCCTTCTCACTGGTCTTATCCCAATTCCATCGCGCACACTCCGCAGCATCACGCCGCTTCCGTGCCCTCACGTTCCCCTCACCGTCCCCCAGTTCCCCAGTTTTCTACCACACACAAGATTCTGCCTACGCGCACCTCCCGTCGCAATATGTCTACTCCCAACTTCTCAGGTAATACCTCCACACTCTTGCCACGCTCGTCCAACATCCCAACTCACACATCATCTTCAGACCACGACGTCGAGCTCTTCGGCCTTCCCTCTGCTGGCTTCACCGCCGGCATGGGTTCGCCGTTTGAACTTGGCCTCCCTCTGGAGTCTGACTCCGGTGCTTTCTCTCCTGCTCCTCAGGGAACAGTCTCGCCCAAGGATCTCATGAACGAGGGCAGCTCTTTCCCACCCTCTGCGACCTGGACCGACCTTAGCACCCCCTCCTTCGAGTCTCCTGAAGCAACTTTCAGCTCCAACACTTCGCCTCTCTTCACCGAAATGGATGCCTTCAGCCAGTCTGCTTGGCCCTCCCTCTTCGAGGGTGACGAGGCCTCTATGGACGCTCTCAACAGCTTGGGTCTCTCTCTGGAGAACCCCGTGAAGCAAGAGATGGCGCCCATTGCCTCTGTTCCTGCTCAACCTCAGCGTGTCTCCACTCAGTCGATCTCGTCGCCAATCTCGGCTACTGGTAGTGCCAAGCCCTCCAGCGTCGCTGGCATCACTCGTTCTCGCAAGGAGCTTTCGCCAATTGCCTTCGACCCCACTGACCCTGTTGCTGCCAAGCGTGCTCGCAACACTGAGGCCGCTCGCAAGTCTCGTGCCAAGAAGCTTCAGCGCCAGATGTCTGCCGAGACTCAGATTGCCGAGTTGACACGCCAGCTCGAGGAGTCCCGAGCTGAGAATGCCAAGCTCAAGGCTCAGCTGCAGACCCAGCAGCAGTTCGCTTGAATGAGCTTGTGCTGATTTCTTTGCGATATTTGCTATATTTCTCGGGAGTTTCTTTTTCTTGCTTTTGTGGTTTCCTTTTTTCCAAAACTGGTCTTGCTGTGGTGGGCATGGGTGATGGGTCAAGCCATTTACCCTTGACGTCCCACCGAGAATTGCAGAGCATTGCGTCCTGCATTCTCCTCAAAAAGTTACGACATGACTCGGGACGTCTCGAACATTGTCATTTTCCTTTCCTCTTGTTTTCAATGTCTCTTTTACTGTTGTTCGGCCGGTTCTGACTGTCTCGCCTATCATGGCGATTGACTCGTGGCTCGATTTGCTTTAATTTAGTTCTAATCAATCAATTTTGTGCTCCCGCAATACCTTGACCTTGTAAATTGCCTTGCTATAGAGATTGTAGATGACTAGACTATCCAAGTATGTTGGCTGTCGATCATTAATGAGTACATCGTGGTCCTTGCGTATGTCTATTTGAGCTTATTTGCGTTGACTTTATGTGACGGTTTCTGCGCCGATAATTTTGTGGATATCTATCATCACCCGTGGCTTGTTAAGCTCTACATGCGTCACAATAATGTCTACTTCAGACTTGGGTTTCTGTGTGTCGCAATACTGTGATTCTCTAGCTGCTTAAGAATTTTGATACTCTCCGCACCTCCATCAAATCCTAGGTCGACGTAGTGATCATCCAACTATGCATTTTGATATACTAATTAGACACTTTGTGAAATCTGATTTGACATTCAACGAACTCTGACTAGAGAGTGGGTGAAATCTAACTAGGCACTTGGTTCAACAATACACGCTTACTGTCCAGCTCAGACTTGCCTTTTATACCCCTCATTAACGCCCATCCCGTCCTCCAACCGTAGTCTACCCATCTAACATACTCAATCTCCAGACACCTTTGTCCGGGTGGACAACACGTTGGATCCCAGCAGCTTAGCGACCCGCCCGAGCCACACGCCGTCTAGGGACTGCGGTTGCTCTGGGTAGGAAGCAGGGCGGTGGGAACGTGGATGCGTCTTCGAAGAATAAGAGTAGGAGGAGGGAGACTGGGCTGGACTTCTGGGGCTCAGAAGGTGGATGGGATGGGGTTTCGGAAGTATCTGATTCCATGTTTTTGTCATCATTGCTGGATTTTGTGGGGTGTGTTTGAGAAGTTATGTACTTGCTCGTGTTGAAGGGAATCGGTGCTAGGGGGAAAGGATAAAAGGGGTACATGGTTCACAATACAAAGGATACGAAGCCCTTGATATGTCCAGCGCAGCAGGATATCATCAAAGAGAAGGAGGAAAGGATCATCAACTCAAAGCATCAGTCCCCTTTGTCCTCCCCTTCTCCATCTTTGCCGTCCGCGCCCCAAACTGAATTGCCCTCTTTTTCTCCTTGGAAACAGAGACCAATCCAAGTTGAAGAGCTACGAGTCGCAGCGCCATCTTCTCCTTATCAATACCCTCAAGATGACGAGCCTCATCTTCACTCTGGGGCTCAGCTAGGCCGAACCCACACTTTTGCCATACTGGTGCCTGCAGCACCCACGCGACAAATTCCTCATCCAGGTATGGGAACCGGGTTTCCCTTCCCCAGTGAGAGAGAACGCGGTCGTCACGGCCGAGATTGCGCTGTCCGAGTCGACTGACGTCTAACTGGATCTCAGAAATGAGCCCTGGGAATCCACCGCGCGAGAAAGCTACCCCGTGTCGACCGTACCCGGCGAAGAGCTCGTCAGCGCCGAGACCCGAGAGGAGAACGCGAGCCGTGGTGGTGTATGGGGATGGTGTGGGTTCAGAGACGGTGCCTTGACCGCGCGAGGCAAAGTACAGTGCGCAGGCGATGGAAAGATCCATCTCCGTGTTGTGCGGCCTCATCAGCCTCTTGACAGAGTCGCGGTGTGCGAGGGTCTCGGTGTAAGGGATGTCGATGGCGACGAACCGCCAAGTCCGGCCTGGACAGGTCCTTTGGAGCCCAGTGTGTGCCGAGCGGCCGGTGATTCGGTCTGGACATGTTTCGTAGAAAGAAGTAGGTTCTGCTGAAGGTAATGAAGATGAGTTTTGCTGCTTTGAGGTTGCTGCGGCGGCAGCGGCAACGCGTGGATTTTCAAATGCGACGTTGAGTAGATCGATGGGTTCGTTGATGGGGAGGATGTCGTGGGATAGACGGGCGAGGAGTGTGCAGTCTAGACCGCCGGAGAAGAGGACTGCAATTTTGGCGCTTTCGCCTTGGACGTAACCCGGTGGTTCGGGTACGTCTTCAATTCTTAGGGTGAGAGACTGGTGTAGTTTGAATTGGAGGTCCTTGACGAAGGGTGTCTCTAGTCTTAGAGCCGGAGGCTGTTCCTCTGGAATAGACATGTTCATTGGTGGAATGGGGTTTTTCTAGCGATTTGCGTTAGAATTGGCTAACGCTGTACTTGGGTAGACTGGTTATAGACTCACTATATGACCTGCAAGGGGAGAGGAATCGGAACTCCAGGGCAAAATGTCAATCTTATATGGCTCTGCAGAGTCTCTAGACGGATCTTGATATTTCTCAAGGTCAATCATATAGACACCTTCAAATCCAACTTCTTGGAAATGTGTAGACGAAGATCCATCGCATATGCTGCAGATCTTCAGACTGCCATCCTCATCCATGCCACGCAGGAGTGACCTCCTGCCGAGGCAATCTCTGGAAAAGAAAATTCGTCCATGAACGGCATCGTAAAAGACAAATGCGAACGGACCTGAAATATCCGCAACTGCACTCGCAAAGTTCTCAATAGCCTGATCGGCATCTCCCGTCACAGCTTGGACGAATCGATCAAAGACAAGCTCTGTATCGTTGCCCGAGACCCGCTCGTTAGCAATCTTCCAGGCTTCCCCATTCCAGCAGAGCACAGATTGGCTTGCCGAGTCTACAAGGGGCTGCTTGTAGACATGGTCACCTCGCAGTGATAGCACTGTCGAGATGAACGTCAAGTACAGGGTTATTGGCGCAGACACTCCATCTTGTGCCTGAACCTCCCGTTGAACTGTGTGCGTCTGACAGCTGTCAGGGCCGCGTTGAATCAGTAGAGACTTGGTTTCTGAATTTGGTACAGTGGGCCTCCTTGACAAGGAAAAGAAGATCCCACACATGATAGAGTGGCGTGGGTGCAATGGAGGCGTGTCCAGTGTTGAGATGTGAATTCGACTGTTTTTATGCCATGGAAGGCCTGAGGCTAGATGATTAGTCACCCATATATTTCCGGCCGCGGGGTCAGCTCCTGAGAAGAACTAGGTAGGATTAGGAAACTTTACAGCAAATCGTATAGTAATATTTGCAAGTTCATAGCTCACATTTGTATGATAGAAACTGTGAATTTATCGTAATTATCGATCGCCCTCAAACTACTGTTGCAGTAGTCAATCAATAACAAAGAGCCTCGTGCTTAGGCGGCCTCGGCTGAACCAATGATCCGCGCATCAACATGCGAGCCTCGACACTCCTACAACTATTATCGTGATACCCCTGAAGACATTTACGTGGCCTGCATGTTGATCTAGCTCATGTCGGCCACTGAACCGCTGTCCCATTCGGGTCCCGTGGAAAAGGGGGACCAGCCCACCCACGAGGAGCCCGAGAGCCCAACGCCCACAACCGACCTCCCCGAGACACAGCATGACCCCTCGACTGAGAGCTCAGAACAAGTCGAGATGAGCTCAGAACAGCATTCGGAGTCGCACATCCCTGCTGGATCAATCGATGCCGAAACCAACACAGCAGCAGCAGCATCTGTACCTTCAGTAGCAGCACCGTCTCATCCGGACCGGCTTGCGGGACAGGTCGAAGCGCTGTCACTGTCAATTAAGATACCCGAGTCTGGGCTGTCCTCAACGACCAATACTCCTCCCCCTCCTCCACCTCCTGAGAAAGACGACTCCTATCTCAACTCGAATCCCACCGCCCCAGCCGCCACCACTAGCGCGCCCAACTCCGGGCCAAGCTCTGAGAAGGAGCTCCCAGATGTTCCCGGCGAGAGCGACTCGGAGACCAACCAGACCGCCCGAAAGAACGGAGCTCGAGATGACAATGACTCCCAACCGGAGATTCAGAATATCATGGGCCAGTTCCAGGACCCTGCAAGAACCACGGGCCAGCAGGAGATCATGTCACCTCGATTAGAGCTGGCCGAGCAATTCCGCACGTCGCAGCACTTCCCACCTCGCAGGTCGAGCCTTGAACCCGTACACTCCCCCATTTCTGGACCATCAGGGCCAGTCGCATCACATACGAGCCAGACCCCGTCAAGTCACCGACACTCTGTCGGCCCCGAAGAGCTTACGTTGACTCGACAATCATCAGCATCAACTATTCCGCCCCCGCCCGAACCTGAACCCGATCAACCGTTCGATTTCCACCGATTCCTTGAGCAACTGCGTCATCGGACTGCTGACCCGGTCGCCAAATTCCTGCGCTCGTTCCTGACAGAGTTCGCGAAGAAACAATGGATGGCCCACGAACAAGTCAAGATCATCAGCGATTTCTTGGCTTTCATCACAAATAAGATGGCCATGTGTGAGGTATGGCGTGACGTGTCGGATGCTGAGTTTGATAATGCGAAGGAAGGCATGGAGAAATTGGTTATGAACCGTCTTTATTCGCAGACCTTTTCGCCTGCGATTCCGGCTCCCCCAACAATTCCTAGGAGCACGAGCCGGAGCAGGAGGCGGGAGATTGAAAGGCTTCATGGACCTTGGCGACGGGGGCAGCATCAAGAGGATATTGAGCGTGATGATATCTTGGCGCAGAAGATTCGAATTTATAGCTGGGTTAAAGAGGAGCATCTAGATATCGCTCCCGTTAGTGGTAGTGGACGGCGGTTCCTGACTTTGGCACAACAAGGTATGTCGTTTGTGTTATTGCTGACGTGCGCACACATGGCTAATCTGAAGTCTAGAATTGTTGAAGATAAACGGTTACCGCGCCCCTCGAGATAAGGTGATTTGTATCCTGAACTGCTGCAAAGTGATCTTTGGTCTTTTGAAGAATAGCAGAAGCGCCGATACTTCTGCCGATTCTTTCGTTCCACTCTTGATCTATGTGGTGTTGCATGCGAACCCGGGAAACCTCGTCTCTAACATTCAATACATCCTGCGCTTCCGCAATCAAGACAAGCTCGGCGGAGAAGCAGGCTACTACCTTTCCTCACTAGTATGTTCCATTCCCAATAAATATTCGAGAATCTACAGCCCGTTGACCATTGATCCAGTCTGGAGCCATCCAATTCATCGAAACTCTTGACCGCACGAGTTTGACAGTCAGCGATGAAGATTTCGAGCGCAACGTCGAGGCGGCTGTCTCCGCGATTGCCGAACAAAACCGTGAACACGAGTCTCTGGCTGAGAAGTCTCCGACTCAACCCACCACTCCTGGTGGCCCACCTCCTCAAGCAGCTGGACCGAGTCGAAGAGATGCCTCCCAATCTAGTGATGACGATACCTCAGCCCCCGTTGCAGGCCTCCTCCGTACTATCCAAAAACCTCTCTCCACCATCGGTCGGATCTTCTCCGACGATGCAGACTCGACCCCTTCCACTCCCCAAGACCGTCCACTTCAGCCCGCAACAACTCCCCAACCGGGAATTGCTCCCCCTCGCCTTACCCCCAATGTATACCAGCCGCCACGCGCAAGCAGCGAAGGTCGTCGATCCGGTGATGAGCGCCCAGCTCCCCCTCGGGAGAAGGCTGGCGGCGCACAGAAGAATTTGAGCCGGGTGCTCGATGCTCAAGATGCAGCTGCCCGCCAGGCCAGCGCTGAAGAAGCCGAGGCACAGCGCATTCAGCGTGCGGAGCACAACAATGTTGTCGAGACACTTTCGAACATGTTCCCGAATCTGGACCGCGATGTTATTGATGATGTGGTCAAGCAGAAGGAAGGGAGGTTAGTTACACCTGTTGCCCCCGACAAATATTTGTTATACTAATTTGATTCGACAGAGTTGGTCTCGCCGTCGACGCATGCCTTGCTCTTAGCGCAGAGTAGGGAGTACATAGAATAATGCTAGATCCAGGGAGCTGTTATGAATGGCACGCTGTTTCCCTTGATGTTTACTTTTTGCTCCTCTTTTGTCTTAAGAATCTTAATTATCGCATGGCCTTTAGCGGGAGGTTTGCGAGGGATTGGAATGACCTGATACGCCGTGAGTTGAAGTACACCATCATTGCATATCGAGTATAATGGCCTTTTGCGTTAGCGATGCCTTCTAGGTGGCCCTAATCAGTGTTTTTGATACAATTCTAAGCTGTCAATAAACTACAGTATGGTGGTAAAGTGATCTACTGGGTGTGGCAGTGCGACCCACCAGAATCGCCCCAACTCGACCCATGACGTCTGACTCAAAAGCTCTCGCCACACCCGTAGCGGCAACGCAGCAGCTCCAGGCACAAGAACTTACTCCCCGACAGTACTTAAGCTGCGCCTTAACGTCTACCGAACTACTCATACATTACCTTCCGCTGCTGCTCGGTTCACCCGCAACCCCCCACTACAAAACCAAACCAAAAATCTCTATCATCCACAACCATTATGCCGATCCCAACGCCCGACTTCAAGTCTCAAGAAAGACAAGCCCAGCCCAATAGCGCAGGCGCTACATGCTCGACCGGCCAGAATGATATCAGTTCCTTTGCTGCACTGGAGGGTAGTGCCCCTCATCTTGACACTAGCGTGCGCGACACCTCGGCGTCGCAGAATGATCGGAACGATCGCCCATTGAGCAAGGAGGAGGCGGATCGGTTGTATGAGGAGCGTATGGAGGATGAGTACGCGAAGAGGGAGGGTGGTGCATAGATGGATTATGATTTTGATTATCTACATTGATTAATGTGCAATAATTCTATCCCGAGCTTCGCTCATTATAAAGTAAAACCTCCTGAAGATCCCGTACTCCATCCTGACGAACCACCTGAGAGCTCAAATCCTGAAATATGCCCAATTTAAGCTCTGCTAACTGACTTTGGATAACCATTCTACCGGCCGGCGGTAGCTATAAAGTTAATAAATACTCCTCATTGTAAATAATCTCTCACTTACTATATAGCCGCCCTCAACCATACGTTCGCATGCAATGGGCGTTGCCTAAGGCTGGTTGCTTATGGAGGCCACGTAATGATTCAAGAAGCAAAAATTCGCAACCCCGACAAATGAACACTGAGGTTGATATAGTAGATGTTGATGAAGATTGAAGATCCTTCATGTTGTTCTAGGCGGGGGCTTTACTAAAAATTATTGAGGCGTAAAAGGATTATACCAGAGATGAAAAGAATTGGGCTGAAATCGGATTAATAGTATACCCGTATACTTCTACTTCTACTGAGAAATGAATACTGGAGGCGATGGTCTTCTTTTCTGATGCTGCGTCTCTGATTTTTTTCTGCTTTGATATGAGACGGGTCTGAAGCGGGGCCATGTGCGATAATTGTATACGAGCAAGCTCGAATATTGGAGCAAGATCCATGATAATGAAGAAGAAGGGTTATCTGCCCAAACTGTACATCTAAAGAATGTGGTTCTTCTATTTTCGTTAAGCCCGGCCTGTCAATGTTGCATAATTTCGTATAAAGTGGGGCATCTAGCGTGAGTCAGTCCTGTCTGTAAATCTGACTCTCCTCAAGGTTGGCCATAGAAGCCCATAGGAGCCCTCCACCAATCATTACTTTTGGAGAGATTCTGAAACTCGGAGATAAGCCTCGGTCTTTTCCAGACGATTATATATACACCCTGAAGAGGCCACTGGAGAACTTACGCTGGAAAAGGCAAAACCGCTACAATGACGGCCGATCCTCAAGTCACGAAATCGTCTCTCTATCCCAAGCAAGTCACTCAAGTGATCATACCTGCTACGGTAGAGCCTATACGGACCAAAAATCTGTATTTACGGACTCTGGACGTAAAAGATGCCGCGGATATTTTTGAATTTCGACGCATGCAGAAGGTAGCGGACTGGCTGTAAGACCTCCATCTAGGTATATACGGTACAACTACTTCCAACTCTATGCTAACGTCTGAAACTATTTATCTATAGATGGCCCAGAATCCCTCACAAGGACATCTCCGAGACGGAAGCAGGAATCAAGGGCAAGACGTTTCAAACCCCCGATGCATCTGGCGCTATTGGACGACAATTCCAATTTGCTATTATCCGCGCCGACGACCCAGCCCAAAAGGTGATTGGTGCGCTAGGTATAAATGCCCTGGATCCGTCACCTTCGATTGGATACGGCATTCACCCTGACTTCTGGGGCAAAGGGTTTATCAGTGAGGCGCTTGGTGGTGTCATTGACGCGTGGTGGAAGCTCGAGAGGAAAGATATTGAGGGTTTGGGCGAGACAGAGAAGTTGTATGCTGCATGTAATAAGGCAAATATTGGAAGCCTGAGGGTGCTGCAGAAGAATGGGTTTGATATTCTCCAGGAGATTCATATAGAAGGGGACGTAGTGGCTTTACTGGGATTGGAAAGACCCAATGACCATGTTTGAAGAGATTTTGATAGCAGACTCGCGTGTTTGTTTGTCGTCGAGACGTCTGGAGCTCAGCCGTGACTTCACGCAACAGAATTCCATCTGGCTATTTTCTCAACTGACCGTTTCTTTCCCCCTCTCCTCTTCCATCTCTCCTTCCAAGTGCTTTCTCCTCATTCGATTCTTCACCTTTCCCACCAACGCTTTCACACTCAGGCAACGTCACCTCCTGAACCGTCCAGAAATCCGGCTGGAAATATGGCAGACCCTCCCCTCACTCTGTCGAACATCCCATACGACTGTCACCGTGAGATTCTCCGCCACCTCGATCTCCAAGCCCTCAAAAATCTTCGACTGACCAGCCGGCAAATGAAGGACCTCTGCTCCGGTCCTGTCTTCAACGGCTTTCTGAAACGTCAGACAATCGACATGTCTAGGGAAAGTCTCGAGTCACTCTGTCGCATAGCTTGCTATGAAGAGTTTTGGGGAGTTGTTCAAGAGCTCAGAGTCTGCGTCCCTCTTTACGATACAGCTTGCGTCATAAGGATGATAACCATGCAACAGGACGTTACACCACAGGATTACAATTTTGTGGCTTGTCGAGAGGCGGTTCAGAATAGGTTCTTCGATGCATCGGCTCTTGAACTTCTCACTTCGGCTTTGAAACAACTGGCTAGACTCGAAATGATCGACGTCGATCTCATTGTCGTGACAGGACTTGGACCGAGGATTAGTACCGAGACGAGATGGTGGGATTGGGGTGAAAATGTTGACAAGGGCTCTGAGATTTGCCGTATCATCATGTCGGCCATCGCAAGAAGTGGCATTTCCCTGGAAGCATTGAGAATCTTTCCGGACACCCCGGTTTGTTCTGTGCCTCTTTACGATCTTGAGTCAACTACGGACAACCTCAAGAAGGGTGGGTACAAAATGGTACCGGCAGAGGTCAAGAAGTTCGGTATCAAGATTGCTTCACGCTCACTCTCCGATGCAACGATCGCCTTCGGTGACCTCAGGGATAGTGATCCACCCGACAGAGGCGTCCGGCGCTTCGTGAACCTTTTGGAGCAGATTCCAAACCTGGAAGAGTTGCAGCTCAACATATTCAACACCCTTGACAACAACTTTGGCAGCAGGAAAATCCTCCGCGCCATCGTATCCCGCATTCACTGGCCACATCTCCGACGTTGCACTATCGGTGGCATCTACACGGAAGAACCTAGCCTGGTCAAGTTTCTCACAACCCACCCTCATCTCGAGAGTCTAGACATGGAGAGTTTCGTCATGGTATCTGGAGCTTGGCAGCCTGTTTTCAAAGTCTTGAGTGAAGACATGCCCGTTCTGAAGTACCTCCGTCTGTCTAACCTCCTACAAAACACCAGGTCTAGTATGCGAAGCAGAGAAGTCAATCTTTTCCCCTGCTGGGAAGAGCAAACGCAGAAAGTGAAAGATGAATATTGTGAGCAAGACCAGGCAGTACCCGGCCCGTATTCGCTATGGGTACATACGAGGGAGTTTGATGCCGAAGATCTTCAGCGAGGACTGGAGTTTTGGCCCATCGCTGCTCAAACTTTCTCTCCTCGTCCACGAGCACTCACGTCTGGGGAGAAGTATGGCTACCTTTACCCAATATAGGTGGGTAGCGAAGCAGGGAATAAGAAGAGTTGCTCAACTACTCGAGTCTTGCCTTCCATACTGGAAGATCAATTGCAGAAATTGACCGGAGATAGTTAGTTAGGAAATACATACGGGCCGGTACATACTACACAGTTTGCTATCTATCTGGGACATCCCTTGGTGGTAGATACCGTGCCACTCTTAATCTCACACATAGTAATCAGTTTGCTTTTGTAAGAACAGTATATATCCCCTTTGTTTATTCCTTGACTTCACAGGAGATTCCTCATCTTCAAGACTCTCTCTCTCTCTCTCTTCTCGGTTTACACCCGACCCCAATCTCCAGGCATCAACATGGCAGATCCCCCTCCTCAGCAGAACCCAACATTCATCATCAAGAAAATGATTGACGTTGCGCAGACATCTACAACTGCTGGCAATAGTGCTTCACAGAAAAAACCCCCACAAGCAAGAGAAGATGATTTTGAGTCTCTGCCGGATCCTCTTTATGGAACAACAGATCATGTTGAGCCTGGCATCTGGGCTTCTTGGGTCATGGAAACCATCTTCACCAAGAGTGGGCGAGAATTTGAGATTTTCAAGTTTCTCAGGAGCAAAAAACCTATTCGGGAACTAGTTTTCCGGGATCTACTCAAGGGAAAATATTTTCTTTCAAGACTGCATGCTAAACAATATTCGACGAAGCGGAATAATACGGAAAATTGTTGGAACCAGGCTGCATTGTTGCAGATCGTTGGCAGGCTGGCAGAAAAAGCCTGCAATTCCTGCATTGGAGGATTTGGGCCATTTACCACCTGTGTCGTTGTGGACGACGTCTTTGGCGGGTCTTGTGCAAACTGTCAATGCAACGGTGTTAAGGGTGCTAGACGTTGCACACACAGCAGTAAGAATGCTCTTAACGAGTCTGCTAAAGGGCCCAAGCGAGGTCATGGTTCAAATAAGAAGCAGGATGGGGCTGCAAATGGGCAATGGAGATACATTGCAAGGTCTCGTGCACCCAAGTATCCCAGGAAGAAACCAAGGCATTCCATTCGAGCCTTAATGGCTCAGACTGCAAGACAAACGAGAAGCGTTGAGAACTCGGTCAAGCGACTGAACCTCGAACTCGGGAAGATTCTCAGCGCCAATCAATCCGAGACAATGAAAGCTCAGAGGGTCAAGATTGAGTCCAACATGCAAGGCTTGAATGTTCAATTCGACACTCTTCAAGGGGCCATGGAAGAGCTCGCAACCATGGTCATGGAGTGCGATGATGATGTGACCATGCAGTCTGGAGACAAAATTGACAACGCCATTATGATCAGTGATGACGAAGATGTTGCTGCTGGAGTCTCTAAGATGGAGACTGCAGAGTCTCAGGGTATCAAGACAGAGTCCAGTAAATGCGAGGAAGATGATGAGCCGAAGACCAAGAAGGAAAAGCAGAATGTCAACGAGGATGCATGTGAGCACAACGAGGAAAACGAGGGAATCATCGATATCAAGGAGGAGAAGTAGAACTCCAATCAAGGATTCTGCATGGCCGTGGTATCATTATTGGACTGTTTCAAATTGGTGCATTTCTGCCAGCGCTGTGATCCCTGCTACGGTAGTAACATGTTCATTGTTTCTGAATTTTAAAATGTCTATGGGGAGGTATTCATTCACAGATTGATTTTGTGGTTTTAAAGACAGACCAAATTGATTTTTTTGTTGTTACTACTTTTTCAATGCAGACTGTTTCGATTGAGGGATCGTGTACATTCAATCATGGTAGGATCGTAATAAAGATATCCCAGAATAATCATACCCATTTCAGTACTCCATTATACTTCCATAGGCGATGTATCTGCATCTATTGATGTCCATCAATTCAGCCAGGTTGAACATGATACAAGAATGCTGTTGTTGACAGATGTGGTGATACCAACACGTGACATCACGTGCATTGCGGCCAGCTCGCCCCGAGCTGTCGTCGGAGACGTCTCAGCCGCCCACGCCATCATCCAAGTCCCTCCTTTTTTGCCTACACAGGCTATTTCTTCAGCTGTCTTCCTCCTTGACTGCAATCACCTTGGTGGAAAGGTTCTGGCTTCCCGTAGCCTCCTGCCCATCATGGCTCCGCAGGATACCTTCTTCCGCTCGTCGGAAATGAGCCTGACCCAGCTCTACATTGCCAATGAGATCGGAAGAGAGGTCGTTAGTGCCCTGGGTGAGATTGGGCAGGTCCAGTTCAGAGATGTACGTGGAACATTGATACCCGGATTCGAGCTTCGCAAAATCCGTGCCAGTCATAGATCCCCCCCGCTAACCCGTGTTTCTTAGCTCAACCCCGACACCAACGCTTTCCAACGGACCTTTACTAAGGAGATCCGGCGCCTCGATAATGTTGAACGACAGCTCCGTATGTTAAGCCTTCAATCTTCCGCAGAACGTATCCTCATTTGAATGATGCAAAGCTAAAATGCCATATCTTCTCGTCCACAATAGGCTACTTCCACTCGCAGATGGAGAAAGCTTCCATCCCCATGCGGCCCTCGACCGACTTCTCCGACACCTTGGCTGCTCCGTTGGCCTCGGAAATCGATGAGCTGGCCGAGCGGAGTGAGAGCCTCGAACAGCGCATCGCTTCCTTGAACGACAGCTACGAGACCTTGAAGAAGCGCGAGGTCGAGCTTAGCGAATGGCGTTGGGTTCTCCGTGAGGCGGGCGGTTTCTTTGATCGGGTTAGTACTTACCACGGGGCTGGCTCGGGACTGGCGGCGGGTGAATAGAAGCTGATATTGAGGTACTAGGCCCACACTCACACCGAGGACATCCGCCAATCCTTCGATAACGACGAAGCGCCCCTTCTTCGCGACGTCGAGCAACATGCACCCCGCGGCGCAAATGGAGACACTCATGGCCAGCAGAGCTTCTCGGAAATGAACATTGGCTTCGTGGCCGGTGTAATTCCTCGGGATCGCATTGGCGCCTTTGAACGTATCCTCTGGCGAACGCTCCGTGGTAACCTTTACATGAACCAGTCGGAGATTCCCGAAGCGATCATCGACCCTACCAACAACGAGGAAATCCACAAGAACGTGTTTGTGATCTTTGCCCACGGCAAGAACATTCTCGCAAAGATCCGCAAGATCTCCGAATCGCTAGGCGCTTCTCTGTACGGAGTGGATGAGAACAGTGAGCTGCGCCGGGATCAGATCCACGAGGTCAACACTCGACTGGGTGACGTGGGCAATGTGCTGCGCAACACTAAGAACACCTTGGATGCGGAGCTCTCGCAGATCGCTCGTTCTCTCGCGGCATGGATGATCATTGTCAAGAAAGAAAAGGCTGTTTACGACACGTTGAACAGGTTCTCTTACGACCAAGCTCGCAAGACGTTGATCGCTGAGGCGTGGTGCCCCACAAACTCCCTTGCTCTCATCAAGTCGACCCTGCAGGATGTCAACGATCGCGCCGGTCTCTCCGTCCCTACTATCGTTAACCAGATTCGCACCAACAAAACCCCACCAACCTACGTTCGAACCAACAAGTTCACGGAGGCCTTCCAAACCATCATCAACTCGTATGGTATCCCGAAGTACTCCGAGGTCAACCCCGGTCTATACACGATTGTCACATTCCCCTTCTTGTTCGCCGTCATGTTCGGTGATATGGGTCACGGTTTCATTATGGCTTCCGCGGCTGCTGCAATGATCTTCTTTGAGAAGAAGCTGCTTCGCACTAAGCTCGATGAGTTGACCTACATGGCCTTCTACGGTCGGTACATCATGTTGATGATGGGTCTTTTCTCCATCTATACTGGTTTCATCTACAACGATATTTTCTCCAAGGCTTTCAGCATTTTCCCCAGTCAGTGGCAGTGGCCCGAGGATATCAAGGCTGGCCAGTCTGTTGAGGCTACTCTGAAAGATGGATACCGTTTCCCCATCGGCCTGGATTGGAATTGGCACGAGGCGGAGAACTCTTTGCTCTTCTCAAACAGTATGAAGATGAAGATGAGTATCTTGCTCGGTTGGTCCCACATGACTTATGCACTGGTCCACCAGTACGTCAACGCCCGGCATTTCAAGTCCAAGGTTGACGTGCTCGGCAACTTTGTTCCTGGAATGTTGTTCTTCCAGTGTATCTTCGGTTACTTGGCTCTCACGATTCTGTACAAATGGTCCGTGGACTGGCCTGCCATTGGCCAGGACCCGCCCAGCTTGCTGAATATGCTCATTTTCATGTTCCTCAGCCCTGGCAATGTCCAGGAAAAGCTGTACAACCACCAAGCCACTGTTCAAGTTCTGCTGCTCCTTATCGCGGTCATTCAGGTCCCCATCATGCTCTTCCTTAAGCCCTTCTGGCTGCGCTACGAGCACAACCGTGCTCGCGCTCTGGGTTACCGGGGTCTTGGCGAGCAGTCCCGTGTCAGTGCTTTGGAGGATGATGGTGATGTGGATGGTGGATTCGGCGGTGCTCGTGACAGCCTGGCCAGTGATGGTGAGGGTGTCGCCATGCTTGCCCAGAACATTGACGAGGGCGATGAGCATGAAGAGTTTGACTTCAGCGATGTCATGATCCACCAGGTCATTCACACTATCGAGTTCTGCTTGAACTGTATCTCTCACACTGCTTCGTACCTGCGTCTTTGGGCTTTGTCCTTGGCTCACCAGCAGCTTTCCATCGTCCTTTGGGATATGACCATTGGCACTGCCTTTGCCCAGGAGAGCCACGTCCTCCGAGTCATCATGACCGTGGTCTGCACCTACATGTTCCTTGTTCTGAGTGTTGCGGTGCTGGTCACCATGGAAGGAGTATCAGCCAGTGAGTATCCCCATTTATAACCCTAACAACAGATTTGATTTGAAATGAATACTAACGAGGAATCTAGTGCTTCACTCGCTTCGTCTACACTGGGTGGAGGCGATGAGCAAGCATTTCATGGGCGAGGGTATCCCCTTTATGCCATTCAGCTTCAAGACTCTGCTGGAAGAAGATCCGGTGGATTAAACTTGAGTGGTCGGTCTTGCATTGCTTGGTTTCATTCTTTTTCTCTCCCTCATTGTTGCTCTACTAGCATCCCTGTGGGATTGTCCTTCCTTTGGGTTTTTCTTGTCCCATGTACTGTAAGAAGATCTAGAATATATACGTTCTGATAAATCAGGCACGGTAGACTTGAGAGGCCACGGGTAAATGTGTAGAACAATTCTGGAGCTTTGTCCACACAAGGCCCTCCAGATATGACGGGCGCTTACGAACATCCGCTACTAATCGTTGTACACAGCTGAGCAACTAGTGTTCTTTACAGTAAGGACAAGACAAAGATCTATTTTAATAATTTTTTTCATTCATTTAAACTATTTTGGTACCAAGCCGAAATGGCATGGGAAGAGCATCCGAAGGCGCTGCAAAGAACGGCAACCCGAACAGACGTCCACGTGAATCCCAAACACAAGAACACCAGCTCAGCACAGTGTAAAGGTAAGAATATAAAAGCGTGGAATCATAAAAATAAAGCGGGTTCCAATAACCCAAGACGGAAAAAAGAGACTGAGCCGAGTACGGTACCCAAGACCGAAGGGAGGATATCAAATCAGGTCCTTGTGTCGAGGAATAGAACAATTACAACAAAGCAACACACAAAGCGCAACGCTTTTAGTTGTGGTGCTTGTTATACATGTCGATAACCTTCTGGACCTCACCCTTGGAACCGAGGAAGACACCGCTACGGTCGTGAATGTGCTCAGGGCGAACCTCCATCAACCGCTCCATCTGAGAGTTGACAGCGAGACCGCCAGCGTTCTCGAACACCATCGCCATGGGGGCACACTCGTACAAAATACGCAGCTTACCCTTGGGACTCTTCTTATCCGCAGGGTAAGCGAAGATACCACCGTACAGGAGGGTACGGTAAGCATCAGCGACCATGGAACCAATGTACCGGGCGCTGTAGGGCTTCTGGCCTTCGCCGGGGTACTTGAGGCTGTGGAAGTAGGCATTGCACCAGTCATCCCAGTACATGCTGTTACCCTCGTTGACGGAGTAGATGGCGCGGGTCTCGGGGAGCTTCATGTTAGGGTGAGTGAGGATGAACTCGCCCAGCGAGTTCTCGAGGGTGAAACCGTTGACGCCGCCGCCGCGCATGGTGATGACCAATTGCGCCGAGGCACCGTACATGGTGAAGCCGGATGCGACGAGGGAAGTACCCGGGTGGAGGAGGTGCTCGGGGCCGACGGACTTGCCAGCGCCCAGGACTTCGTCGGGGAGTTGGAAGATGCCGAAGATGGTGCCGACGGAGACACCGGCGTCCAGGTTGGAGGAGCCGTCGATGGGGTCGCAGACGACGGCGTAGCGGGCATCGGGGTGCTCGTCGAATTTGATCACGTCTTCTTCTTCCTCGGAGACGAGGATGCGGCATTTTCCGGAGCCGCGCATTGCGGAGATGAAGATGTCATTGCCGATCACGTCGAGCTTCTTCTGGTCGTCGCCGGTGGTGTTGGAGGAACCGGCCAGACCGGTGAGGTTGATTAGGGAGGCGCGACGGATGTAGTAGGCGATGGACTTGAAGGAGAATTGGAGGGCGTGGCAGAGGAGGGTGAAATCTCCCGACGCATCGGGGTATTTGGTCTGCTCTTCCGTGAAGAAGCGGGAGAGAGTGACGATGTCGGTGTTGATGTTCTCCTGGCCGACAGGAGGGGGGTTGGATCCGTTGGCAGCCATATTGTATAGAGGTTTTTTCGTTGTGATAGTAATTTTAAGGATAAATTAGGAGCTTCGAGAGCTTTTTGTTGGAGAATTGAGGGGTGAGTTTGGTTTGAAGTAGGTGGGGGTGAACGCGGTTGTTATCGGAGCGGGAAGTATGCAGCAATTGTAGCCTCGGCTTTGAATTGCGAGACGACGAGAAAGAGAGGATAAAGATAAATGTTTAAGTAGGGGAGAAACAGAAGAAGTGGCCCAGAGATTCAAGGCAAGTATGGGAGAGTGGACCGAAACAACGTCAGGCAAGTAAACCGGGCAGGAGGAGAGAATTTGTAGTTTGAACAGGATGAATCCCATTGAATCTCTCGGCGGGTCCAGTTTTCGTCATTCTTCCCCGCGTGACCAGAACTCCCCGCTCCGGTTTTCTCCTTGGAAGTAATCGAGGAATAATGGAAAATCCTAGGAGATGATTATGATTGCCTATGAGAATTATCCCTCCTGGTTCTAGCCGGGATTGCCCGCTATCGAGTTTATCAGCTATCAGGTGATGGAAGCTGGCAATGGAAGTGTTCGAGTCCTCGTCGATCATAGTTCCAAATATTCTCTCATAGTTAACGTCATAATCCTAGTTCCTTTTCCGATTGGTATTTATATAATTAAACCCTACTATTTCCCATCCAAATTGTATCAATTGCTTCCCTATTCAATGGTAAAACTCGCTTTCCCGAGGACGAGACACCTGTCCGACTCCTCCGATCCCTGCCTCTGCCGAAGTCTCGGCCCTTGGTATCCCGAAAAAAGCAGTGCGCTTATAGGCCTATAGGAGGGCCTATAGGAAGTCGGGTCCTGCAGGAGGGTAATTATTACTAACTCGCTCCTTAGTTCAACTCCCCCCGGAAGAAAGAAATCCCTCCACTTGCGACTTCTCTCCACCGGGTCATGTGCACTTTCAGAGATTGGTGGCCTGGTACTCTCCTATTATTTGCTTGGTTTTGGAATCTATGTTTAGAAGGTCTAGAACTAGGGGGAATTGATAATAGAATATTTGAACTAAACGGATTACTAGAGTGCGAATGTTAATGGCGGACCTTTTCATCTCCGCCTCCGGAGTATGAGTCTCATACCGACCGTGCAATCGCCTATCTATGGAATATGGATGTAGCGATCGCAAACAACTATATCTTAATAGAAGGACTTCTTCATCTTCAAGGGAGAAATCGGAACTAGAGATCTTTGTCCAAACCAATGATCAATGGCCGATACTCGGAATGAACTTCCCTCTATCTGTGCTGCAAGAAGGCCTGACGGCTTTACCGAACACTTGCCGGGGAACTGCTGCTGGACGGATAATACTCCGGGGACAAGCCCGCGGGGGAGGGGAAATGCAAATGACATTACTTCAACAAATTAATGTAACTATCTGGGCTAAGCTTGAGATACTTGGGCTATCATCAATCTGATCCATTTCTTTAAAGTTGAGCTCAGAAGTTTGGAAAGTACCAAATCCAATCAAGCCGTACCTCGAAAGTATGGCTCTCAACCAGCCGCGCTTCTTGGAACCATTTTTCCTCTTTCAATTTCATGATAACTTTTCAAGTTGAAATAGACTAACGTCTAGCTATTCAACCACCTAGGGCAACGAGATAGTCGATATCTTAGGTGCCCGTGCTGGATACCCGCTATACCTGCCTAGTCAATTCTACAGAGCAAAAAGCACAGAGAAAAAGCAAAGGAATCTGCACATACCCGCACTTCATGTCACCTTTAGGACTCTAGCAGCTGCCAACTCGCAGGAATGAGACAAGCTCGCCCCGATCGACCCTTGTGGACCCTGAACTGTCTAGTCACGCTGCAGGTTGAGTTTTTTTCTTTGTCCCATTCAACACATACTATTCTATATCTGCAGTGACGGGCATGCTTCCCCTGACGAGAAGCTCTGCCCCTTGCACCTAAGTTCAAGAAATACTAATAGGGCACTTCCGCAATATTTGGCACGAATCTATCGTGCTTGTTGGGCGTTATGAGTCAATGCTCGGCCCTGTCACGCACGGTGGGTACGTGAGATTGGGTGGAGAAGTTTTTCCTCTGAAGGGATTTGAAGGTCCAAGGGCCTTTTTTTTCTGTGGACAGACCAGTACCAAGACAGTACCTTGAGCAATAATTGCAAGCTCCTAGAGTCTGCAAAGCTCTCCTGCTAGTTATGAAAATGCTCAAGACTAAATATTAGTTAGCTAAGAAGTTCGCATGGGAAGCAAGGCCTGGAATGGGCAAATCGTCAACAACCCTTCTCCTTCAGCCCAGCTCAGCTCGGCAGTTCTTCCATCTACCTGCCTGTCAGGGTTAACGTCTACCTTAAATGTCGAATGACTCCACGCGACTAGGACGAATCGGCAATCTTCTTGGCAACGCTTGACTGAAATCATCGAGGTCGATTTGACGTCCAGATCGGCAAATCTGCGCCAGCGATGGCGTGCTTGACGGGCTGCCGCTAGTTCAAGGAACCTACAAAACCATCAGAATCACCTCGTTGCATTTTTTCTTCGGTATCGCGACGGTCATCGAGTTATTGGGTTGGCTCATTGTTATCGATCATGTCTTTTCCTAACGAAAAGTCTCCAGAGACTGTAGAGGCGGCTGAAACGCCCGTGGTCGCACTCTCCAAGTCTAAAGAGAACTATGAGGGCGCCCCATCGACTGTGGGGGAACCTGCCCGCCAGAAATGGTACCAGTGGTTTGCACCCACCGACACACCGGCTGAGCGACGATTGATCCTCAAGCTCGATGGTTTGATCATCGTGTTTGTGTTTTTGGCCTATTGGGCCAAGGTTCTGGATTCGTCGGCGACTAGCACGGCGTATGTGAGTGGGATGAAGGAGGATCTGAAGTTATATGGAAATCAGTTGAATTATCTCAACACGGTGTATATGGTTGGCTTCATTACCATGCAGATTCCATTGACCCTGGTGGTAAGTCAACGCCAATACTGCGAAAAGAGGAAAGCAGTCAGTCCGCTAACTAGTTACTCGCACAGATGACTCGCTGCCCAGTGAACTATTTCTTGCCAGTTGCCGATCTCTTCTGGGGAGTCTTCACGCTAGCGCAGTACAAGGCGTCTAATGTCACTCAACTCTACGCTCTACGCTTCTTCGTAGGAGCCCTCGGTGGTTTCTTCTTCCCCGCCGTGCAATGGTACCTAGGTTGTTGGTACAAGCGCTCGGAACTTTCTCGCCGAGGCGCCATCTTTTTCATTGCCAGTCAAGTTGGCAGCATGAGCTCCGGCTATATCCAAGTCGGTGCCTATGCCCGACTCGACGGACGCTATGGAATCGAAGGTTGGCGTTGGCTATACATCATTTGCTTCGCGTGCACTATCCCTATCGCTTTCCTCGGTCTATGCCTGCTGCCGAGTACCCCGGACAAGTGCAACTCACGCTTCTTGAGCGCCGACGAAATCCGCTTGGCGCAGGAGCGGATGGCTTCTGAGAACCGTGAGGCCCGCCAGCCTTTCACTATGCCCCGGATTCTGGAGATCCTAAAGGGCTGGAGACTCTGGGTGCTGGTTGCGTTTGCGTTCTTCTTCTCACAGGCTGATGGAGTATCCTCGAACAGCGGTCTCTCGCTGTGGCTCAAGGCCGAGGGGTATTCAGTCGAGAGCATCAACACCATCACTACTGTTTCGCCAGCCGTGACTATCGTGGCTTCTATTGTGTGCGGTGTACTTTCGGACGTCTACGACACGAAAGCTAGCTTGATCGCTATCACTGCGTTACTGAATATCTTTGCTTGCATAGTTCTGGCAATCTGGAACGTCCCCGTCGGCCTCAAATTCTTCGCATTCTTCCTCTCTGGAACGGCAGATGGAATTGCGGCCATCATTTATGCCTGGGCGAACGAGATTTGTGCGCATAGCGCTGAGGAGCGTGCGCTTGTCATCAGTGCGATGAACACGGTCGGCAATACCTTTGGGGCGTGGCTTCCACTTTTGTAAGTTTTTCCGATAAAATTACGTCTAACGTGACATGACTAACCACCTCTAATATAGTGTTTGGAAGACCGTGGACGCCCCTCGGTATCTCATCGGCTATAACTGGACGATTGCGCTTGATGTTTGCATGCTTGTTATGCTGGCCGTGCTAAGGCATTTCTGGATTCGTGAGCAAAAGCGGACTCGGAACTAGGATTTTATACGTGAGACGACGATATGGCTGAAAAGTATATATTAAGATATCATAACTATTAACTCAATTGAATATTCTCAATTCCCAACCATTTTTTAGCTTGGTCATAGGAAGGTGAGGCAATAAAAACAGCCGACAAAATTCAACACCTAGGCTCGGAGGATGGTTTCACAATTTATACCCAATCAAGACGCATGGTCTCCAATGCAAAGATTCAGTAAGATCAGTACCTGATCTACTTTCCAGGAATTCACACATTACAAAACACCGGCTGTTTCCAAATTCCCGTGCAAAGTCTCTTTCGCCCTCTGCTCTTCCCCTGGTAGCGGGAACTGAGGCTTGTAGGAATAGGTATAGAAGAATTGGAACATGAGAGCGCCAAGCGACATGAAGCTGTCACTAGTTAGCAGAGTGCGTATCCAGTCTTCCAGAATTATACTAACAAGGCAATGAAACTGAATGCTTCTGCGGCGTATTTCCGACTACAAACCATCTCTCCATTCCACCGGGAGATACTGCAGCTGACTTGGTTGAAGTTCTGGGCGAGGAAGATGAAGACGGTGAGCCACCTAGAAGGTAGAATATTTAGCACGGAATCAAGTTGGTAGATTAAACATTAGGTTCTGACTCACAAGTAGGAGAGCACGGTATCAGTCAAGTATAGAGGCAATATATGCCACTTTCGGCTTCTGGTCACGCAGCTAACACCGGTTGATAAGGCGAATGCGACGGGGGTTAGGACAGACTAGAAGTATTCAGAAACGATACTTTTGAAAAGAGTGTCACAATTAAGAGATAATTACCACCACAAGAGCAAAAATCACTGTCAGCGACTTGGTGCCGCGAACTGCCCATGCCGTGATGCCTAGTACAATGAAGGCACTCGCACACTGGACGAAGTGAGCGACCAGCGTAACGATTCCGAGAGGGTGGCCATGGAAACTCGACATAGCTCCGAGTCAATATTATCAATCTTTGTATTTTCTTACAGAAGATAAGAAAGGTGTATTCGGGAGAATTTCTGGAGGTGGAACACTTTTATTGTCGACAAGTTGTCTCCCGTAAAGTGTATGATCTCACCACACCTGTCGAGATCCATGGGTAGAAGTGGACACCAAGGGTATCGATCAACGCGGCTAGACCATTCATTTTCAATGGGAAAACACTTTCTTTCGTCGTTTGTACCTTGTAGAGTACCTGAAAATCGAAAGGGGATTTGCTCTCACCGCAAACGGCGCATTAAGGATCATCTTTCCAGATATGGGTATTATATATGGTCATAACCCACGCAGAGCCCGACTATACATATTTTTGATGGGTGATTACAATAGCAACTAATAATTAGAGACGCATAGTAATAGTATGATGCATTGACCTATTGGACTTCTTTCTAAGCGGTCCAAAGTTGGTAAAAATGCCAGCATGTTCCACCAATGTCATGGCAGCCCTACAGGCCGACTGAGCCGAAGAGCCTCCAGACTGGCTGAAGAAGCGAGCGACAGCGTTGCTTAGTGCTGACTGGACCATTTTTGGCCCTTTGTTCTGACCTATAGGTTTCCTTGCAATGGCATGTATGGCACGATTTGGGTCAAGTACATTTGAAGGTGCGACAAATACTATTCTGGCTGTTAGTGATCCAGAGTATAGTCATTCCAGACAGCTATGCCAACTACGACGACGAAGGACACACTTTGATCGCAGAATATTATGTACAATCGAGCAGATTGTATTATCGCTGCCAAGCTCTTTAGAAGGGTCATCTTAATTTGCCAAGAGAAATTAACCGGTATGAAATGACGGTGGCTTGCATTAAATTAATCTCTGCTGATGGGCTATCTTTAAAACAGACATTATCAATTCCTATCATAGCTAAAACACGCCTCGCTTATCTGGCTTCAGTGCACCGTGAATCTAAACAGGTCAATGAGACAAATGGACAGGCAACAGAGTCTATTCTGGCGCCATTTCTACTTGCGACCATGACAGGCAATGATCTGTTCGTCAAGGTTGATCAACTATCCTATATGTGGAGCACGGAGGACATAGCGCCTCCTTGTTGTCCCTGTCGAACCTGTCAGCAGGGACTCAGGATCATCGCCCTTTTAGCCCCCAACCCTTCTCAGTTTTGACCGTTTCTTGGCAAAATGTTGTACAAAACACTCATTGGGGTGAGATGGGCGCGTCGCCAAACTTGGGGGCTGAACGCTCTCCTGGATGAGAATCCCTCTCCTTCGTCTCGAAATTTTTCCATATAGTTTTTCTAAAATCCCCGACCGACCTCGAAGCAGGGATCTCGACATTATGCGACGTTTAATGCTTCTCTCGTCTTTGCTGTTTCTTTCTGCAGTATCGGCTTCCACTTGCTATTGGCCGAGTGGGAAGGTCGCGGCTGATAATTGGCTACAATGTCCCGGTAGCAAGCAGTGCTGTGCAGAGGGCGAGGCTTGTCTTTCGAATGGTCTTTGTGTTGCTGGGAAGTATATGACTGTTTATCGCGGAGCATGTACGGATAAGTCGTGGCCTATATCGGAGTGTCCTCGAGTTTGCTATGAAGGTAAGTCTGTGTTGTCTTTTCAAACCGCCATTGCCAGTCTTGTTGTTGGTTTCAGTCTGGAGGCTGACTTCAATCTGTAATACTATATAGAAATCACCGATGGATGGGCCAATCTGTATCCTTGTCCCAGCAACAATAACGAGGTGTTCACCTGTGGAACTGGTGGCTGGGCCGATCACGTCTGCGAACAACAACTGGGCAACTATACCTGGGTCAGCAGTAATGTGACGGTAGCCCAATTGGGGGTCACCAGTTCATCCACTGCAACTTCATCTGCAACCACCTCGGCCTCCTCGAGGTCGAAAGAGACCACGACCTTCACTTCCAGTTGTACAGCTTCGCCCGCAGGAAACGATGCCACTATGAAGACGGGACTAGGGGTTGGACTCGGGCTCGGCATACCCTTGCTCCTAGCAGCAGCTGGTATGCTGTGGTTTTACGTACACACTCAGCGTCAAATCCAATCTCTGCGGCAGAAGTTGGATGAGCAAGGCGCTGTACCTCTAGCTCCACGAGGACAATATGCCCGTCTTCCTCCCCAGGAACTAGATACGGGAAAGCAACATTGGCCAGAGATTCAATCGAATTACCGTTCGGAATTGAGTTAGGAAGTCTGGGGTTATTTTATTTTATTTTATTTTTTTTGAGTATAGCTATGTCCTTATGTAAAGGTAAAAATAGTGTTGTTTCTTGAGCGAGTCTGTAGCGAATATATTTTCTGAACATGAGCGTCCACGGGTGTTGATTTAATCTAGGTCATAACTATAAGCAAGACCAACTTTGCAATTGATGTATCTATATTTCTTTTAATATGGGCCGAGGAGACAGTCGATTCCTAGAGATATGTTAATTGCCGATCTTGACAATCAAATCAAGTACAGTCGAACTGCCTGGACACTTGAAGAGTGATATGACTAGATGTGGACCTTAACCTGACATAATCACTTTCTGCCGGTGAGCTCGGAGCAGAATACGGCGCCAGTCTTAGAGCGGCTAGTCTCGGCACAACGAAATTCCGTCGCTTCGGAGCTTGAAAAGGTTCGATTTTATTTTCCCTCTTCCTCTTTCTTCATCAGTGCAGCCCATCTCCTGCCTGGCTTGCAATGTTTTGGCCCAGGATGATTGCAGCTCGCTTTTTCTCACAAGGAATGGCATTCGCTTGCTTCATTACCTTTTTGAACTAACGGCTCTCAATTCGCAGCTTGAAAAATTTTGGTAAGTTCTTGGCTCGGTTGATTTTTTTTTTTCATCACACACCCAACCCCCCATTATGATGATAACCATAACCACATTCAAACTAGAGTCTTTGACCCATAAAGGGAATGAAACTTTTGTTATTGCACGTCAGGCTGAAAACCTCTCGCTTGTCATGATTCATCACGCCGAGTTTTCCAAGGTTGAACCGAGAGCTAACTTGCCCTCGTTTAGGACTAACTTGGAACACATCCTCCCCGCTTGCCAGCTTTTCGACGCACACTTGGTGAGTTCCCAAATCTTTCTTGCTCCTCTTCACCACACACACTTTTTGCATGATGAACGCTTTTTTAAATATACGCTGGAAATTACCGTCCAAGGTCTTCGGATCACTGACGATAACTAATGGCTTTACTGATTCCTACCACAACTCTCTGCCTGTTTGCTCTGGACTATCTTCTTTCTGGACCATACACTAACTGTTGAAAAAGATTAGGTGTCACCGTCAGGATATCGGCGTCCAAATGGTAAGCCGCAGCTCGTTCTCTTCTTCAGCATCATCCCTTCCCGTCACGAAGATGAAATGGCACTGGGCTCCGACGGTCGTTTGACATAACGGCGGGTCATGATGGATGCGCCCTTTTTGTGGCAGGCCTAGAAAACCTCGCCCACTGAGACATACCCCGATGATACTGGTCGACTCATCCATGCTTTCCGCAACGAGTCGCTAATCATCTCGAGCAGTGACGCGCTCTCATCGACTTGACCTGTAATTCGTAGAATCACCACAGGTAAGCTCACTGCAATCTCGTTACTTTTCACCTGCCCTCCTTTCGTGATGATTCCCTAGATGACGAGTCTTATTCGAGTTATCGATGCAGACAACATCCTTTTTAATACCATTCATGCTTCTCTGATCTCATTTCTTTCTGAAATCTGTGCATCGTCAACATTTTGACAACATTCGCTAATTTTCTGCGAACAGTAATTTCTTGGTGGCCTTGCTATCTCTTGGCTTAGGCCTTTTCCTGACCGTGGGTGTATGTCACACCATATCCCCCCTTTCCCCAACTCATTCTTGCATGATGAAACGACACAAACAAAAGACAAGCATATGTCCAAGCCGGCTTTTGCCAGCGAAGACGATACAAGTCATGACTGATCAGTCATTCGAGCCTCTTCGGTTCCAACCCTGTCCAGTCAGTCCTCGATGCTGATGGGTCTTGAAGAACAGGAAAATTCTCCAGAACCAGCATCGACTAACCCTAGTAGGTGCTGCTGGCAGGCAACTTTTGCTACTGTGAGTATTCCTCTTGTGTGTCTTATTTTGTCAATGCGTTCTCCCTCCACCACTCCCTTTACATGATGATTTACTACATTTTTATCACGACGGTCAACATAAGGAATTTTAAATTGATGACCACCGCCTGTGACAGGGCTTTGAATCTGATCCCTTTTTCATTCAAACCATGTTTTTACTCGGTCGCTTTGATTTTGTTAGCATCACACACTAACATCGACCAGTTACTAGGATTTCTCAAGTCTTGTCAGTCACTCTCAGCCTCGGTTGGATATCCGGCCGAGTCTCTTGACTGGACGCAGAAGCTTTCGAATCTTCAGTTTAGTGTGCAGTAGTTAAAAGCCAAAATGATCAAAAATGCAACAAGCTATTCCTGAAAGACAAACTTCTTCCCTCTGAGTCGCTCACCGTTTATTCGTAACTCCAACTCCAAGTGGAGGCTCCCATGTGCCGTCTACCAGTGATCCAATGATCCAATCCCTGTAGGGCTACCTTCCATTGTTAGGAGGTGCGAGCCCTGGTATTTGCGATCGCAATGCTAATTCGCTGATGGACCAGCCTGTGGATGCGGGGAGAGCGGGCTTGGCCTCTCAGCGGCGGCGATAAGCGCCCAGCACTGGGTCCGCGTGTGATGAGCACCTTCAAGCTGCATATTCTCTTCCCCGCTTGGGGTCCTTTCCCTCGGTCTTGGTCTCCTTCAGCAGGTCTGTTGTTCCAAATTTAGCTCTGCCTCCTCTCATGCGGGTGGACATCGTGCCGGTCGTCTGGGTCTACACTAATTGGCCCTTTGTCGCAAGGATGATTTCCTTGTGGTGCTGTCCCTGCTCTCCGCGCAACACGAGACGAGGGGTTGGATTGAGTTCTATTCTGCGCTTCTCTCGCCTTGAAGGCTCGATATTTCTTTTTTGTCGCTTCGGGTTCGCGATCGCATTTACTTGAGTCTACCAAGGAAGACCATGGATTCGGTCCGTGCTTTGTCCTGACGGAGTGCACAGGGCCAGTATGAATAGGTATGATATGCGCTTGAGCCCCATGATTTTCTGGATCTTTCCCCGTCAGCTCCTGGATTTAGACATTCATGAGAGACTGACGGCTTTATCTCTCTAGCTGGTTGTCTTCAAATCATGCAGCCGACGAGCAGCCGTTGAACTCCCAGTACTCCGGCTGGCCGTCGACTGTCAACACCAGCAATCAACCATCGTCGAATCGTCGAGAGCATGCAGTGCAGCCACCTCTGCTAACGACCGCGTTGAATGCCTCGCAGTTCCATCACCCGTCAACCCCGATATCCTCTACGTCGCTGTCGAGTCCATTCACCCACGGTCAATCTCCCTCCGTTTCGACGCCGTCCAACGGCAGATCGGCATCGTCCTCCTCCTCAATGGCGTCGAGGCAGTACAGCGTCCCCTATAATCCACAGGACTGGGGACCTGTAGGCGGAAATCATAGCCAGGCTGCATATTCCCAGCAAGCTACTGTTCATCATGCTGCGCCGCAGCAGCGACTCCATGCAGGTTGGTGGTTCTACTTGAAGAGATGTCGAGAAGCATCTTCCCATATTGACGGAATAATACATAGATGCTCCTATATCACCACCGCCTCCGCCATACTCACCTCCACATAATCAGACTTCGGCACCACGAGATTCTTACGGTCAGGCGAGCTCGAGTATGGCAGCAGCTCCTAACATCACACCGCCGCACCAGTCATACAGAACAAACGAGTATGACAACACTGCAGAATACCATCGGCGCTCTGTCCCTCGCCCGCGCCCTGTGTCTATGATATACGGCAATGATGTGGAGTTGCACCGGCAGTCATTACCCCCTCCACCACCCCCGCAAGGAAATTCAGGCTCCAGATCCAATTCTCAGAATCGAGTAAATGCATATCAAGGCTCGCCTTACAATCATGCCTCGACAAGTGCACAGTCTCGTTTGACGTTGACATCGTATGAGCAGCCTCTTCCATCACCAGCGTTGCAAAGCAATGGTATCGGATTATCAGCAGGGCAATTGGAAGCACCGCTGAGGCCGCCTGCATCCCGACGAGCTGCCTCTGCGGGCGCCATTGTGAGCAGTGCAAGCTCGTCAAGACCCTCGAGTCTATCACGGGGTCCATCCCCAGCGAATGGCTGGGAACCTGGTATGCCTCTTCCACCACCACCTCCCGGACCGCCACCTGCGGGGAGGTCGGTGAGTGTAAGTGGCTCATCAGAGTCATCCTCTGCAAGGACGACTCAGGGCCCAAGCCGAACGCGTGCTCGTCCACCACCATTGATGGGAACTGGGCTGGGTAGCATTCCACCAACACCGGCTGATTGGGTAGATGAAGAGTATATCAACCACCGACCGAGCAGGGATCGAGAACCGCTGCATATTGACACCAACAAGGCGATGACGACACCGAACCTGCCAGACACCCTAGATTCAAATGGCCAATTGCAACAGTCCCAGAGAACGCCTGGGAGTGGAGGTAGCGGTCTCTTCCGCAGCCCGGCTATTCGAGACCCTAGCGCCAAAGGTATTCGTGAGAGGAGAATCGAGCGACGGAATCGGCAAAGCCAACATTTTGAGGACATGAGTGCCGTCTCTTCTACCAGTGGGAATCCCTGGGCTGATGCGTTGGAGCATATCGTGCCATCCAATCTCGTTCTCCCCGAACCGAAAAATGGCCCAGAGCATACCCGTCAACCGTCCTCTACAAGATTTACTCCACAAAGCACGAGAAGCATTGGCTCAGATAGCCAGCACCCAACGTCTCGGTCAAGAGCGTCCTCCGGTGGCCTATTCTCTGATAGATCATCTTCTTACTCAACACCCAAGCCAGAACAGAGTCCCGCAGGGCCTTCAGCTGCGTTTGCGAATACACCACCCTTTTCGCCCAATGGAGAATCGTCGTCTCGTTATTATAAAGAAGATACTCAAGTGGTACCACCAAAGGCTCTACCAACGCCACCTCTCAATTCTGCCAAGGAACCCCAACCACGTTCGCGTGCTACGTCTAGGGGAACAGAGGAACGTCCGATTTCTCATATCTTGCACCTTCCTAATGACGGCATCCCCGGGATCAAGCCACTGTCACCACGCCGATTGCCTACACAGCAGACACTCCAACAAACGTCGCTAGAGTCACTCATCAAGCAGGACACTGAATTCATTCAGAGCTCAATACAGAGGCATAAGAAATTCATTGAAGAGGAAGCCTCCGCATTGAACGAGGCTGACGCCTTGAGAATCTTCAATGATTTTATAATCGCCGAGTCTCAAATACGCCGTCAGCGATACGCCAGTGTGTTTGATGCTGCCTCGACTCAGATTGAGGATGTGCGTCGCAAGCTTTTTGAAACACCTAAGAGTCAGCCTGCCGGGCCATCGAACAAGCCCGCGAAGCCGGCACCAACCCTGGAGATACCATCAAACCGGCCCAGTCGACCCGAATCCGCTTGGTGGAATAATTATCAGCCATGTCTGTCGCCGATTGCCAGTCTCGGCATGAGTAATGATGAGATGAGCTCCAGAGGCAGGGCACCCAGCCGATGGTGGGAATCCAAGACCGGCTCTAGCAGCGAGGGTGGTGAACGAAGGATCCAGCGATCTAAACGAGAGTCAAAATATATGGGATTACCCCGAGAGGCTATGCAGTGGGACCAAGAGCGGACACCTTCCAAGCCTGACGATGCGGGTGCGAATTATACAGGGCAGCAGGTACCTTACGGCCCGGACGAGTATCCACCAGAGAAAGTTGGCTGGCATGAAGAGACCACCGGTTACCCCGCCGCTGGGAGAAATGGAACTGCTCAGATGTTGGCTAGTCAAAGGCTAGATATTTCGCGACTCGTTACCATGCCTCCACCATATCCGCGCCATTATCCTGCCGTTAACAACAGCCATCCGGACCTCGTCTCTTACCGAACCACTGTTCGATCAATCACAGACCTGTCGGAGATCAAGGCTACACGAGAACGTTACAAAGCTGACATGGAAAGGATGACCCAAGAGTACAAAGATCAGGTGAAAGAAGGTCGTCGCCAATTCAAGGCGAACATCCAGAGCCAGATCCAGGAAGGTAGCCTCAGTTTCGCTGAAGCTGCCGAAGCAGAAGCCGCAATGCTGGTCGGTCAAAACAAGCACGAGCGGGATTTGGCAAAGCGGCAGCTGGACAGTTACCAAGAAACCGTGCTCAAGCCTATGAATACCATTCTCGCCGATAGGATCAGCAGAGCAACCACCTGCATCGACGAGTTGAGCAGTAGGCTCTTCGATGATGCTCAGCATGAGACGCCCGATCAAACACAGGAAGAAGGTGACGAGAAACCGGAGCTTTTGGAAAAGTTGACGCAACTGAAATGGCTCTTCGAAGCTCGCGAACAACTCCACCGGGAAACGTTTGACCTAGTCAGCGACCGCGACGAGAAATACAAATTCGTCGCTCTATTGCCGTATCAACAAGGCAAAAACGAAGAGAAGCTTCGCGAAACCCAAGCCTTTTTCTCGAAAGATGCTTTGGATCGACGCGTCCAGTACGAAACCTCGGCACTTACCCGTCTAGAATCTTTCCTAGACGTGATTGAGCAAAACGTCGTCCGCGGAGTCGAAGTCCAACTCTCCGCATTCTGGGACATCGCACCCTCCCTCCTGGCCCTAGTCCAACAAGTCCCCGAAAACCTTCGCGGCTTCCAAGTCCAAATCCCCGCAAACGAGTACGAAGAGAACCCAAGCTATCACGCCCATCCACTGCAGTACCTCTATTCACTGCTCTCGCACGCCGAAAAGTCCAGCTACCAGTACATCGAATCGCAGACTAATCTCCTCTGCCTGCTCCACGAAGTACGATCTGCGGTAATGCGGGCTAGTCGCAATCTCGCCGAGGCGGAACTGATCTGGCAGGGCGAGGCTGAGGAGAGTGTTCGTCGGGAGATGCAGGCTGCCAGGGCTGATGAGGAGCTTACGCTTACGACGGATCTTAAGGAGAAGGTTGCAACTGTTGAGGGTCAGTGGACTGAGGCTTTGGGGAGTCAGATCCAGGGGTTGCGGGAACGGGTTAAGGATCAGTTGTTGGTTGAAGATGGGTGGGAGGATTTGGAGCAGTTGGAGCAGGAATAGTATAGTATATATTTTGGAGGGTATTTTGGGAATGGTTTTTCTCCGTGATTTATTTCTTGATGACTTGTGATATCCCCATTCGTTCGCTTTAGATCGGGCTTGCACAGAATATTATCTCTTCAATATTGAGATTTTTTGCCTTGTTCTACTCCAATATTGGGCTTCAAGGTGAGAGTGTGTACATGCCATTTTTACCATAATTTGACACAGAGATAAAGCATTTACATTTCTTTCTTGGCGCTAAGAGCTATCAACTTGCAAAGTAGCCTCGCACTAACTATATAGCTTCTTCAACCGCTGTGCGAAAGAAAAAGACCTCTATAGCCCTCAATGCTGGATTGATGTGGGCGGTGTATCTATCGTCAGGGGTGTCTGGATATCCATCCATCGTAGTAGGTGGAAAAAAAGTGTAAATTAGCCTCTTTGGGGATGCACCGTATACCGCAATCTCCACGGTGTGCTTGTCCGTCATTCTTGTTGGTGAGAACTGTCTCCTCAACATGCAACTCCTCGGCTCTGGTCCCAGACGGATGTAAAGGTCAAGTTTTTCTTTTGAGGACTTTGCTAGGGATTGCCTTCGAAGACGCAAGAGTTGTAACTCCAGTCTTCCAGGACAGAGTGTCGTTGACAGATTGTGTCAGTATCTTGGCTCGGGACGTCAGAGTTAGTAATACAGAAGGTCAAGTAACTAGATGACTAGGACAAGGAAGAAGTTATAGGTCTAAACTAGGAAGTTATATAGGCTAATATTCGAAATATGGATGAGGGCTTTCAAGAACGGATAACGGAGTAGTTATCTCGGTAAAGAAGCTTTGATGCTTATAGAGAAATGGAAATACACTGAACCAATGAGCTTTTCAAAAGATATACAAGAAGTTATTCTGGAGGATTAATTCATTGTACATCTGTAGAGGACGAGTGTAGGTAGCCAGCGTATCACATTTGAACCTATGATAACTATAGAATTGAATATGACTTAATAGGAAATTTGAATAATATATAGTAGATTCAAGAGGTATATTCCAGGCCTAGGCTATAATGAATGACGATGATTTGACGAGGTTTATCTCCGCCCTATTAGAGGCAGATCCCCGCAGATGCACGCGGCTTGACGTTGACCTAACACTAAACACGGCGACCTTCCCAACAGAGTTGGGCTTGGACATGCATATGAATATGTTGGGCTCATCCCAGAGTCAACAAATATACTTCTTAGAAATGGGGATATGAGCGGCTATCGCTAGAAATCCCCCACTTCCACTTGGAAAGTATAATCTGGAAGGCCCAGACTTACGCAAAGGTTGTTGGGAGAGCTCCCCGCGCCGCGTAAAAAGCGCAGCACTATCATCTTGTCTGCTATGTTAGTGGTACCTAGTAGCAGCATCAAGAGTACTAGTAAATAGGCTGCAAATATTAGTCGTCAAAGTAATAGTCCCACAAAGCAAGTCGTTTGATTTGTACTACAGAATCTGGGGGTTCTAGAAGTGTCTGCCATCAGGCGACTCAAATCGCGCTAAAGTGGTCCCCCAAACTTTCCGGATTCAACCTCCCCCCTCCTTCTTCCCAGTTTTTGACTCGACTGAACTCGTCAAGCTCTTCCTAGGCCTGGAGTGATCTTGTTCGAGCTACAGAAATACAGAATACACCACTACGGTTGCTGCTAAACAAGGAACATAGCTCCGGACGACCCTGAAATTGCGGGTCCAAGCTCTCGCCGCTAACATTTGACGGGGCCGCAACCCTTCTTCATGTGAACTCTGCGACACGACCTTTTTGCTCCACTGATCGCATCCACAGAGTCTCTCTGATTTACCACTCGGGGCAACGCCGCCACCATGGGGAAGAAACAGCAGTATATCCCACCCCTAATCGGGTGGCTATACGATCTGGTCCTGTGGACGTTCTCCGTTCTCATCGACCTCTTCTTCCGCGAGGTGCACCCGCGTGGATCTTGGAAGATCCCTCGTCGAGGTCCTATTATCATTGTCGCTGCCCCTCATGCGAACCAGGTACGTGAATCTCATACTATAATTGTCATACCCGCGCTAACCCGGTCCTCTCCGGTAGTTTGTCGATTCCCTCGTCCTCATGCGCGTCATTCGCAGCGAAGCCCATCGTCGGATCTCATGGCTCATTGCGGAAAAGTCATTCCGGCGCAAGTTTATCGGTCTGCTGGCTAGGGGTATTGGAACATTGCCCGTGGCGCGCGCTATGGATAACTTGAAGCCGGGAACTGGCACCGTGTATCTTCCGGATCCCGTCAACGAACCCACCCTCCTGCGTGGCGTGGGTACCAACTTTGAAGGTGCTGGATTTGAGGCGGAGGGCACAATTGCACTACCCACGGTCAATGGAACGTCGCACAGTACGGCTATTGCGGAAATTCGAGGCCCTGAGGAGCTGGTCCTCAAGAAGCCTTTCAAGCACAGAGATGCCCTGTTCCAACTGACGGGCAGGAAGGATATTGATGATGATGGCAAGTTTACTGGTGATGCTGCGGACAAGAACCCGGAGTTCAAGGGTACAAAGTTCAAGGTTGCGCCGCATGTGGATCAGACGGCAGTCTACGAGGCTGTGTTTGCGAGATTGAATGCTGGTGGTTGTGTGGGTATCTTCCCCGAGGGTGGTAGTCATGACCGCCCATCTCTGCTTCCTCTCAAAGGTATGTTGCTTGTCCTTTTTCCTTATGTGGCTGTACACCGGGACTGATTGTATGATAGCTGGTGTGGCTCTGATGGCCTTGGGTACTCTTGCGGACAACCCGGACTGTGGCTTGAAGATTGTACCCTGTGGCATGAACTATTTCCATGCTCACAAGTTCCGATCTCGTGCTGTTATTGAATTTGGTAACCCCATTGAAGTCCCGAAGGAGTTGGTAGAGCAATTCAAGCAGGGAGAACGGCGTGAGTCTGTTGGTGCCCTGCTGGATATTATCTACCAAAGTCTCGTTGCGGTCACTGTGACTAGCCCTGATTATGAGACTCTCATGGTAAGACTACCCAGCAAGTCTTGATTATTACTCATTTCCAATGGAGACTGGTGCTAACGAATCCCAGGTCATCCAAGCTGCTCGCCGCCTGTACAACACCAAAGGAAAGAAGCTTCCCCTGCCGATGGTCGTGGAGCTCAACCGCCGTCTCGTGAAAGGATATGCACACTTTAAGGATGACCCGCGCATTGTGCATCTTCGGAACTCGATTGCAAGCTATAACAACCAGCTTCGTATCCTCGGTATCCGGGATCACCAAGTGGCCTACGCGAAATTCTCGATCCTGCAAGTTATTGCTACGCTGATCTACCGCCTGGGCAAACTGGCTCTCCTCACCATTGGAACTCTTCCTGGTCTACTCCTCTTCACTCCAGTCTTCATTGCAACCAAATATCTGTCCATGAAGAAATCAAAGGAAGCGTTGGCAGCGTCGACCGTCAAGTTGCAGGGTCGTGATGTGATGGCTACTTGGAAGTTGCTCATTGCCCTTGCATTTGCTCCGGCTGTCTACGCAACTTACACCGCTACATTTACCTACTGGACGTATCGGAACCGCATCCAGGGCCTCGTGCCGGAATGGGTGCCACTTTGGTTGATCGTGATAATTGGCATGGTGGGCTTCCCGACCATCAGCTTTGCCGCCCTCCGTATCGGCGAAGTAGGAATGGACATTGTCAAATCCCTTCGACCACTAGTACTGTCCCTGAATCCGTCGTCGGCCAACTCGCTGGTCGGATTGCGTGAAAAGCGCGCGATGCTTGCCCAGCAGGTCACTGAGGCGATCAACACCATGGGCCCCGAGCTCTTCCCCGACTTCGACGCCGCCCGGATTGTCACCGGTCCCTTCCGCGAGGTCAGCGAAGAATCTGCCGCTGTGCGTGAAACACATGAGCTCAAACACGCGCGCGAGCCCGAGACGGGCGAGGGCTGGACTTCATCAGAGCCTCTGCCACGCAACGAGTCGTTCCACAACTTGGCCAACATTGGCTTCTTCTCTACCCGACCTCCTAGCCGGAACCGTAGCCGCAGCAGCTCGGCTGGGCCACGGCCAGGCTCGCGGCACGGGATGAAGCCGCTGAGCCCTATGACCGTCCAGAAGGATACGCTGGAGGACGTTAGTTCGCGGATCCGGGATGCGATGAGAGAGCGGGGCGAGCGACGTCGACGACGAAGTGAGGATGGTAGCTGGGACATGGCCAGCTCAGGGACAAGGACACCGTCTAGTGGAGACGAGTTGAGGAAGGATCTTTGATCTTTGATGACCTATTATGATGGCCGTGTTCGGCATCTCGAAACGATTTCTTGTAATCATTTGTTGCATTTATATAACCCGGAATGCGAGATATCCCCTGTGTTTTGTTGGAAAATATTTACTCAAGAATGCTCATATGTATGGACTTTGCAGTTCGATCCTTGGCTGTTGGAGGTGTAGTATATCGTATATCCGATCTATAGTAGAACACGGGACAGCCTTGCGGTATCCTCAACAAACGCCGAGGCAAGCGGCAGTAGCCCTGAATGTGAAACCGAGAATGGATGCTCAGTGCTCACCTCGGACCGCACAGTTTCTGGACTGATCTTGGGGCACAGTGCAGGCGGGGTCATAGATTAGCCAATTGTTGAGACTGTTGTCGTTGGCTGCGCTTGGCGGATACGAAGCCCGCCAGTCTCGCCACCAGAACTAAAAGAAACAGGGAGTCGTTGCAATGTAGCCTAGCATTGCCTCCCTACGTAATTTTTTTTTAACTTCTTGACATCCCCATGACATACTCTGCATAGCATAATTGGCTTATTTTCTTTTTATTGTATATTTCTATTTCCAGCACTACTGTTTAGAAGGTGGCTCATCAAAATATCTGACCACGTCGCCCGTTAACGACGGCCTCGAACACGAAAAGAACCGCCCCCGTTCCGCCTCAACTTCTTCCTTCTCCATCCGCGCATTCTTTCGCTCTCCTCCAGCGACCTTCCTCTCTTTACCTATTTTCTTCGCTCGAGCTTCGTCCTCTATCTCTCACCATGGCCGGCTCAATGCATCTGTCGCGCCTCCGGAGGTGGTTCCTTGCCTCGCCGCCGATCGAGTTTGCCATCACCAACCTTAAGGAGCTACTGGTGGGCGCACTCCGCCAGGGGCCGATCCCGCAACATGTCGCCTTTGTGATGGATGGAAACCGCCGGTTTGCGAGGTCACATGGAATTGAGACTGTGGAGGGTCACAATCTGGGATTTGAGGCACTGGCTAGGGTACGTCGTTCTCCTGTTCGATTGAACCGAATGCTCCGGACAGCCAAGCTTGCGGAGTTGGTGAATTGTACTCGATATTGACCTCGCGGTTTTTAATATAGATCCTTGAAGTCTGTTATAAAAGTGGCGTCAAAGTGGTCACCATCTACGCGTTCAGTATCGAGAACTTCAAGCGCTCCAAATTCGAGGTCGATGCGCTCATGGACATGGCCAAGGTGAAGCTGTCCCAGATGGCGCAGCACGGAGACCTGTTGGATAGATATGGTGCGAAAGTGCGCGTGCTTGGCCGTCTCGACCTGCTCAAGCCCGACGTTCTCGCTGCGGTCAACAAGGCTGTCGATTTGACCAGCCGCAATGGTGACCGCGTGTTGAACATTTGCTTCCCCTATACCTCCCGCGACGAGATTACGACTGCGATCCGCGATACGGTGGAGGATTACAGCACACCTCTCCGCCCTGCTCTCTCCGCGAACGGCCCTGCTCGCACGCCCTTCTCCGAATCTCATATCGCGCATAACATTCGGGCACAGACGCTTGGGTCGTCAAAACCTCAAGATACACACAGCGACTCCGAGTACTCGTCGGCGGAGTCTTCTGCACAGGAGGATGATCCTGCCTTGCGCAATGATCGTGCTAGTCGAGTCTATGAGTCCGGTTCGTCCTTTTCGTCTTCTACAACTCTCCATCTCGGCCCACAAGACGGCCATCACAATAAGGGCGCGGCTGCGGAGAATACATCGGATGGTGACAGTCCCATGTACATGTCCCCCGAAACTATTTCGCGCCAAATCCTCACCGATCACATGTTGACCAAGGGCACGCCGCCTTTGGATATGCTGGTACGAACCTCTGGCGTCGAACGACTGAGTGATTTCATGCTCTGGCAATGCCATGAAAACACGGAAATTGTCTTCCTGGATGTTCTGTGGCCGGAGTTCGACCTTTGGCACTTCTTGCCCGTTCTGCTGGGATGGCAACGACGAATCTCCAAGTCTCGCAAGAACCCCAATGCCGAAGGCAACTTTGCCGGTGATACTCCGGAGACTAGCGAGGAGGATGTGGATAACATGGTATTGCGACAAAGCAAGGTCAAAGCGATATAGATCATTCTCTTCTTCTGTGTATTCTGTCCTAATATCTTTGTTTTCATTTCTCTCAGCATTCAGCGGAGTTTGGAGTTATGGACAACCCCGACTGACCATTCTGTTTTATACATATACCAATAGCATTAGCAGCATTGTCCACAGATGTGCATACATGCCTACTCTCTGCATCGTTCAAATATCATGCTCAATCCTTCTCTACTTCCATATACTTCTCATATTATTGGCCCAAAATGATATCGGGAACCCTCCCGATTGCTTAGATAACCCCCCGCGCCGATACCGGCCACGTGACGGAGGTGACGGTGACTCAACCCCACGGAAATTGGATGAGTGCAACTCCTCCACTCCATCCCATTGTCCATACAAACAATTGAGTTCAAAATGGTCAAGTCAATTGCTGGTTCCAAGGTCCTCCTGCTGGGCTCGGGCTTCGGTATGTGTCAAGTTGTTGTAGCAACCATATGGCTTAGCTGCCCCGCAATGGCCAGCTCCCTCCAAAAAAAAGTATTTAGACAAGTTACTGACCTTCTACTTTTCTCACAGTCACCAAGCCCACCGTCGAGGTCCTGAGCAAGGCCGACGTTGAGGTCACCGTCGGTATGTGCTAATGGCTCTGAATAGCTCTCCCCCAAGCACCCGTCCAGCTTCCCTTCAGATTACCCCGCCATATCCCACCAAGGGTCCCTAGGGCTGGGATACTAACCAGGGTTATGCGCCACTCCCGCGCATCCGTCTCAGAGCTGGGAATATAACAACGTTGCTGACGGTTGAATGTGTGATAAATAGCTTGCCGTACTCTTGAGAGTGCCAAGGCCCTCGCTGGCGACTTCAAGAACACCAAGTCCATCTCCCTTGATGTTAGCGATGATGCTGCTCTTGACAAGGCCATGGAGCAGGTCGACTTGGTCATCTCGTTGATCCCCTACACTTTCCACGCCACCGTCATCAAGTCGGCTATCCGCACCAAGAAGAATGTTGTCACTACCTCCTATGTTTCTCCCGCTATGGAGGAGCTCGACGCCGAGTGCAAGAAGGCTGGTATCACTGTCATGAACGAGATTGGCCTGGGTAAGGATTCTCCTTCGAACCACGGGGTTTATTTTTCATGACTAACACTTCTACGATACTTATAGACCCCGGTATTGATCACCTTTGTAAGTCTCCGGCCTCCATTTGATTTCAAAACCGCGATCCTAATCATTTTCTAGACGCCGTGAAGACCATCTCCGAGGTTCACGCCGCTGGCGGCAAGATCACCGGCTTCATCTCCTTCTGCGGTGGTCTGCCCGCCCCCGAGGCCTCCAACAACCCTCTGGGCTACAAGTTCTCGTGGTCCAGCCGCGGTGTGCTGCTCGCCCTCCGCAACGCTGCCAAGATCTACCAGGACGGCAAGATCGTCAGCATTGACGGCCCCGACTTGATGGCCACCGCCAAGCCCTACTTCATCTACCCCGGCTTTGCCTTTGTCGGTTACCCCAACCGTGACTCGACTCCCTTCCGCGAGCGCTACGAGATCCCCGAGGCCCAGACCGTCATCCGTGGTACCCTGCGTTACCAGGGCTTCCCCGAGATGATCAAGGTCCTCGTTGACACTGGCTTCCTCAAGGATGAGCCCAACTCTGTCTTCGACAGCGCCATCGCCTGGAAGGAGGCCACCGCCAAGGTTCTCGGCGCCGCCTCTTCCTCCGAGAAGGATCTCGTCTCGGCCGTCCAGAGCAAGACCACCTTCCCCAGCAACGAGGAGCGCGACCGCCTGCTCGCTGGTCTGCGCTGGATCGGCCTCTTCTCCGACGAGGCCATCACCCCCCGCGGCAACGCCCTGGACACCCTCTGCGCCACCCTCGAGAAGAAGATGCAGTACGAGGCCGGCGAGCGCGACATGGTCATGCTCCAGCACAAGTTCGACATCGAGCACAAGGACGGCTCCAAGGAGACCCGCACCTCTACCCTGTGCGAGTACGGTAACCCCGCCGGCTACTCCGCCATGGCTAAGTTGGTCGGTGTTCCCTGCGGTGTTGCTGTCAAGCAGGTCCTTGACGGTACCATCTCCCAGAAGGGTGTTCTTGCCCCCATGACCATGGAGATCTGTGCTCCTCTCCTGAAGACTCTGAAGGAGGACTATGGCATTGAGATGGAGGAGCGCACTCTGTAAGTGTGCTGCTGCTATCTGAAAAGCTAGAAATAGCAAAAAGTACAAAGAATGATATAGATCATGATTGGACGTGTAATTGGGTTTCCCTTTATGAGCGTAGCGTCGTATCAAGAAGTAGAGTGGTGTTCCTCAACCACAATTATAACCTCGTCCCATCAATATCGCATTTAGTAGCTTCAAGTCTACCAAGGAGGAACTACTTTCCCCAACCTCCTCAGCTCCAACACCCACTCCTTATGCAATCTCCTCACCGCCAACGCAATCCCTTCCACCACATTCCCCAAAGAACCCATCTTCTTCACATATAACGTCCCATCCTTCCGAATAATAAAAAACCCACATCTAACCCGTCCTTCACGACGCAACCTGGTAGCCCAAGTCTTCGAACGAGCCGGTACCCGAACAAAGCCCATACCCTCGAGAACTCGACCCCTTGGATCACTGAGTAGATAATACTCCTCTTCGGGAAGATATTGCTCGGCTTCCTTCATGATAGATGCGTTTATTGAGACCGGGTACATGGAGAGACCGATGCTGGTGAGATGGATGTTTGGATGGATGGGGCCTGGGGCGAGGGTTTGGAATTCTGATAGGAAGTGTTTCTTGGATTGTTTGGAGAATACGGTGATTATTATTCCGTCGGCGCTTTGGTCTAGAAGGGCTTGGAGGGTTATTGGGTTGTTGTCTTGGGTTCGTAATGAGGTGTTCATGATAGAGGAGGGGAGGGATTGGCCGACTGTAACGAGGCGAGTTTGATTATTCGACAATGAGTCCTCGGAGCCTGTTGTTTGTGGGTGATTGTCTTTGGGTAAAGTTTGATGTTCACTCCCATTTGTAGTCTGATGTCGGACATGACGGCTTGAATGGGTTGGCTGGGATGGTAGAGTCATCGTGGGTGTTGTCATATGAGCTTGGATGACTATAGCAGAGACCAAATAAAGCAGTTGCACAAGACAAATTCTCGATATCAGGAGTTCAAGACAAATTACAATGGGAGAGGCAAAATGAAGACGGCCTAAGCACCTCGTAATATGGGCGAAAGCTCACGTGTTGACAGAATGACAGTGGGCTATACGCATAGGCTGTGACCAGGAGCCAATCACGTTACCAGACGTTTGACCGTCACCTAGTAGATTACAGTTTATCTCAATTCGCAGGCGATGATATCAATACGTTCTTTCTTGACTTCATTATCATAGGCATATCATTTTCCTCTATCGTAGCATCATTGCAGTCCCCGTCCGAGGCTAGACAAGGGTGAAACATAAAAGATCCGAGCGAGCACAAGCTCAAAAACTCCGAGAAACATGACAAGAAGAAAATTGACCGGCAAAAAAGTACTCGCGAATGGTGGTAGCCCAACTACTCGTCTATGACTGGAAACTCCCCTCCGTGCAAGGTCCCCCCAACTCTAATTCCTGTTCCATGTTTCAGGGTAGAAAGAATTTCGAGAGAGGGGCGTGCTTCTCTATGTTCTCTTATTTCTGGTGCTGTGTTTTGCAAGGTGGAAGAAACGGAATTGGCGAATACAAAGTGGTTTTCTTTGTAGATCGTATCAGGCGGCTAATGAAAAGGCTTGAAGTCGATCAGAGAATAGTGCCAAACCTATACCAAGCAGAAGAACGAGCAAAAACGTCAGCAATGATGTCCGAAGCAGCGACTGTGAAGAATTGGATCTGGAACGAAAAGGACCCGCATTGGTCAAAGTGCTTGCACGGAGAGGGGGATTCGCTACATACCCGAAAGTCTGCTTGATGCTGCGCACGTAGTACAGCTCCCAATTCTGCTTGGTGACATCCTCCTGGCCGATGGGAACACCGGACCACTCAACGCGCAGCTGGGTGACGCCATCGACGTCGTTCTGGTCCAGGTTGATCTCGAGAGAACTGAAGTGACCCTCGGGCCACTGGGCGAGGCGCCACTTCTGAACGATCTGCTTGGGAGCGTCGAGCTTGACGAACTCGCCGGTGACGTTGCCATCAAAGATGGCGAACTTGCCGCCGGGCTGGGCACCCTCGAACTGGCGGGGAGCGCCGCGGGTGAAGGCGGCGATGCGCTGGGGGTCGGTGAATGTGTTGTACAACTCCTCGGCAGTGGTGCGGAACTCGTCCGATGCGGTCACAGTGGTAGTGTTAACGGCGACCTTGCCGGTGGTGGAGGTAGTGGAAGCGGTGGTGGGAGCAGCCTCCTTCTTGTTGGTCTGGGGGTGGACAGCGGCGGGAGTGAAGCCGGCGGAGGGGTTCACGCCGGGAGCGTGCTGAAGGTCCTTGGCGTGCTCGGTGATGAGGGCGCCGGTAAGTGTGGCCAGGGTCTTGCGAAGCTGGGGGAGGATCTTGGAGCGAACGAGGTCCTTTACGGGCTGCTTGGAAGAGGCATCGGAGTAGATCTCAATCTCGAACTGGAAACGGTCTCCGTGTTAGTCGGAGAGTACTCCTTTTCCAGGCATTGTGTGTGCTCGAGGGCACTGCCAGATTTGGGAGAGGGTCTTTTAAGGGAACGTACGACGTACTCATCTTCCTCAGTGTCGTGGGCTACCTCGGGGATGGTGATGGAGCCAGTGACCTCCTCGCCGTCCTTGGTCTTACCTATCGAACAGTCTCAGCTGCCATCACGGAAAAAGAGATTTTCGTGGAACTACAAACCTGAATACTCTAGCGACAGCTTGACATCGTACAAGGTGATGACCTTGCCCTTGCGCTGGCTGACGTCTACGTCGCCATTCATGGACAGCACCTTGTCTACTTTGGCGGACACGCCATCTTGCTCAGCAGTGATGGCGCTCACATTCTCCTGCAAGTACTCCTTGGCCCAGCCAGAGGCATCCTTGTTCACCCAGTGCCAGTTGTTGGGGTTGTGGAGGACCATGATGACGGACTATGGAAGAATGAAAAAAAATGTTTCTGATTTGTGGGAAGATTGCGAGAGGGTCGAATGGGAAATCTTCCTTCTTCAATATTCCTTGGATGGTTTTTTTTCTGTCTGGAAATCGCAGCACGGCCGAGAGTTTCCTTTTGACTTGTGTGTTTTCCCTTTCCAACCGAGTCTAGATCTTTTCAATTGAGACATGTTAGCGAGGTCTTCAAGTAAAAATTGGCGGCGAGGTGATGGGAGAAAAAAATTGCACGAAACGAGTTCGTGCAAAAGCCACAAATATCAGGACCGACTGCGTATATTTGCCGGTCGTAAAGCTATTCAGCAAGCGAATGACAGACGTATCTATCATTCCTCTGACTGGTGCCAGCTGCATCTCATCATATGGGCGGGTTGGTGGCCTCGGACGGGGAGTCCATTGGTAGGGAAGGCCAGGGAGAGGGATGTCTCCTCAATTGGGCGGGTGTGAAGAGAAGGTGATATGGAGTAGTGAACTTACAAATTGGTAAAAAGTATTCAGGCGAATACAGAATGAGAGAAAGTGAAGTAGTTGGGAGGGGGAAAGGAGTGGACGAGGGAGGAAACTCGATATTTGAGTGAATCCGGACGGAAGACTCTAGAAGGGAGATCACGTGTTTCAGTGGGTATCCTTCTACCAAGTGGATACCCTAGATATTCAACTTGCCGTAGTTGTACTGTACTGTCCACAGTTGATCATATTCGAGGTCGATGAGCATATATTCCTCGAATAATAAGCTTTCTAGGGTAGTATCTATGGACTTTTAAGAGATTCGATAAGTTATGAGCTTATCGAATTGCAAAGGAAATGAGTATCATAACATCGACGAAGAATGATCCTCCAAAGTTATCATAAATTATTTCCTTCAAGTCATATCTCTTTACCATGCACATCGTTTTCCGTACAGCATCTCGACATCCACACACAAGGCGTCGCAGCGCCCAAAAGCGGAGCATGTTTTCATACTGATCTAGAAGCCTGCCCAATCTTCTAGTCAAAGAACTGAGAAATGAGGTCATTCCGTCCTGGACCAAGGTGCAACAAAGATCTATAGATCTCTACTCGGCCTAGGTGGTTCAAAAACCCCATTCGACTAAGCATCTAGACGCCTCACGCCGGCCACATTCTGCTCGACAGTGACCTCCTGTGTCATATTGATCCCATGCTCACTGACGACACTCCGAGCACTGCTCCCTTCCCTATGGGCTTTCAAAGTGATCTCTTCTCCATTATAGCTGCCGGAAGGATAACCTGATTGGTCATAGCTGGAGCGGATTCGAACGAAGAGGACCCGAAGGGCGGGAATGGAGGCGGCGAAGATTGTCAGACCTGTCTCAACAGAGGCCCAGATTGTGATGGTAGAGCAAAACCCTGGGACATTTCTGTTAGATTGCAACAGAGGTTTAAGGGAGGGCTCATACTTACAGGTAAAATCCTGGACCTGGGAAACATTGACCAGTTTTGAGGTCTTGATGAATGCAGCAATGGCCGCACTGCGGGTGTATCAGTTAATAAACCCTCTCATCAACAGTTTGGCCCACATACATGACACCCATACTCATGGCTAGTGCGATGCCAGCCTTCTCTCGCTTCTTCATTTCGAGATCCCAAATCACCGCCCACGGAAGAAGAGCAAGAATCACGTCCATGCACCCGGAGTATGCTGCAAAACCTCAGCGTCAATATTTGTAAAACCTGCCCAAGCAACTCATCTTACCTCCAGCAACCAGAGCAATAGTTTCAAACACTTCTGTTGGCCAGCACTTGGCGGTGGCTAGAAGCTTAGCGTTCCAAAGTGCTGCAGCGGGCTTGCACTGAGCCAGATAGCATATACCACAAAGCCACATGATAGCATTCATCGTGACAATGATGAACCAGATGAGAACCTTCATCCAAGTTTTGGTCACGATACGCAAGAGAGTAAAAGCAAAGGACGTCTTGCTGAAGACGCACCCAAAGATGATAATCACGAAACTGATGTAGAGAAGCTTGAGAGCTGGTGGTATAATGTCCTGGTCTTCGATGGCGAATACATGTCGACCAATTACTCCCAGATTCACAGACCGGGTGATAAGAGCCGTATAGATCAGTAGCAAAGACTAGTCTCAAGGTCAATGGATGTCAAGGGCATAGACTTTCTTGTATACACATACCCAAGCGACGCAGATGATAGCATCATCCAGGCCAAAGCCTCTCTTGCTCAGTCTGACCTTGCACCAAAGTCGTAGCCCAACCATCAAGCCAGGAATGATGACCAAAAGCCAGCAAACGGCCAGAATGGTCGGACCCTGGTTCTGGGCATCCACGGCAGCAGATTCCATAGCCATGGCTATTTTGAACAAGCTTGGACCTTTTTTCGTAAACAACGATGGTAGATTGAGAGCAAAAAAATGTTCAAGATTCACCTGTGCAATTGAGCAATCATCGTGGCAAAACAAGGCTAATAAAGATCAATCAAGTGCCCCTATAGAGACCAAGTCCATTGCCAGGACGAACTGGGATGTAAAAAGAAGCAAAGCAGAAACGACCGATGATCATCCCGAGCAGAATATGGCCCCAGATGTGATATTCCAATCAGAGAGATGTTATGTTATTCGGAACTAAAGCCTTGCATCCCGAAGATGACAGATGCCATGCCTGCTCCGAAACCGACGACCGAGATTGAATGACAGCCATTGAATGATGCTGATCACCCGCAGTGATTTGCACTATTGAGGCCCCTTGACCAACTATTTGAGAAGACCAGGGTAGTCATGACAAGTTGCAACCCTGGCCAACAGTACAACACCAAGAAGTAGACTCGACAGATCAAGTGTGAGGGTCACATACAGTATACTAAGCCAAGCAATGGCACTCTGTAAAGTCGATCAATGATTGATCAGTAGACCCTTTGCCAGAACAAGCAATTATCCTGGTTCGCAGTACCCCGTACCCCGGAGATATGTACGGAGTATGTACGTGAGCAATGAGTAAGGAGCAGCCTCAATATATGGACCATAAATGCGGTTGTCTACGTATTGCATTTGTGGCTGTTCAATGCACACGAGCTTGTGCTATGTAGGTTCAGAGTTGCCACCTTATAAAAGCCATCCACAATGGCCTCGCCACTGCAAGAGCTGCATAGCATGGAAATGATGAAATGAGATATTATGTAAAATTTAGCATCAAATTTCAAATTGTTGCGTTGGCTTGGCTGAAGCCTCCTACGTAGACCACTAGTGGAGAAGCGCTGAGGCCCTAGCACTAGAGACCAGCCCCACGGGCCTGGGAGACTTTGCATCCGATTGATCAATGAAAATGTCTAGAAAAAGGAACGAGCTGAAGAAGTCAATGCCCTGAAACAAAAGCTTTGTCCTTCTATGACAGGTTTTCGGAACTGGTTTTTTTCGTACGTGTCTATTATCCCACACACAAAAGGGTGGAGTAGCGCGGCCCTCCCCGCCTTTCCACTTCTGGTTGAACTCAAAACACCCCCGTGGCTTGTTCACTTAGTATAGATGTGACCTATCATTTTGCCTAGAACAGTCACTAACGGTGCGAGAGGTACATTAGTTCGTAAAACTCGTCAACAGAGATGATGATCGTAAAAAGGGAACCAATAGGATAAGTGAATCCCCGACATTAGACCCTGCTTATTGGATAATAATTGTACGAGAAAGCCTTGCAGCTCGCTACTGTACTGTGATATGTACATGCTGTTCGGCAAGGCCTGCATACAGAAGTAGATATCTGAACAATAATAAGCTGACTGGCCGTTGGAACCGTTCTCCAGCCATTGAGGTTGCCTCGTCTGACGACGAGCCCTAAGTATTAGGACCCCCTTCTTCTAGATGTCCTCTTACAATTGGCAAAAGTCCATACGCGGTGCCCTCATGAACCCCCCTTCCCCTCTCTTCTCGTCGCCACTACTTTGTCTGTGCGAGTGGCTCTTGTTGGTATACCCTGAAAACCCCCTCTTTTGTGGGGCATGAAAGGAGGGACTAGAATCTCTTGAATAAACGCTGTTCGAACTTGGCTGTTACTTATGTAGCTGGAGGGGAAGCCCAAGAAATTTCGCTTCTTGTCTCTGTATTGTAGATTTTTATCAGACTTGAAATTGAGCAGCAGACACTATGCATACTGTGGCAGATATCATCACCAATCTTTCTCTCTCGGTTGTGATTCTTTTTGTCTCTCGCTTTCTCTGGAATTATGCCCGATCCCCGCTAAAGTCCTTCCCGGGTCCTTCTGCCGCCGGCTTCACCAATATCTGGCGTTTGCAAGATGTCTTTCGGGGGCGCTGCGATATCACACAGACTGCGCTGCACCGCAAATATGGATCCGCTGTTCGAATGGGTCCGAATCTTCTCAGTCTCTCTGATCCAAACTTGATTAGCCAAGTTTATAACACAAAGAGTCCATGGCTGAAGGTATGTTGGTCTCTTATTAGAATGCTCAGATGATTTGTTGCTAAACCATGGTTCTATCTAGAGCAACATGTATAATGTCAATGATGTCGTTGTCGCCGGTATCCGATTAAGCAACCTCTTTTCCAGCCAGGATGAAAAATGGCATTCGACTTTCACTCGTCCCGTTAAGACCCTTTACTCTATGAGTAAGGTCCAGGAGGTGGAGGATAATATGGATATTACGCTGAACCTGTTTCTTGATAAGCTCCGCGAGCGCTTTGTTCGCCCCGGAAAGACTTGCGAGATGACCGATTGGATCAGCTTCTGTAAGTATGCGTTGGGAGCTTCTCGGAATATTAGCTGATAGTTATAGTTGCTTGGGATGCTATGAGCCAGGTCACCTTCTCTCAGGACCTAGGTATCATCGAGGCCGGTAGCGACTATAAAGGCTTCCTTGGAAGATCTAACCAGACGCTCGACTATTTTGCTTCGGTATGATTTGGAATACTTTTGCTTAGCTTAGCGGGAAAGGCATACTAACGATTTCATTTCACTAGATCTGTCAAGTCCCCTTCCTGGACAAGCTCTTTGACAAGAACCCGATTATGCGCATTGGTCCTCCAACCTTCGTTTGGGCCAACATCTTCAGCCTCGAGCAACTCCAGAAACGCTACCAACAAGGGAACCCAGGCAACAAGCAAGACTTCCTCGCTAAATTCCTCGAGATAAAAGAAAAGAACCCGGAACTAGTCAACGATAACGTTATCATCCTCTGGCTTCTTTCTAATGTCCTCGCAGGTAGCGACTCCACTGCCTATACCATGTGTGCAGCAATCTACTACGTCCTCAAGAACCCGGACGTCCACAAGAAGCTCTGTGACGAGCTCCGTTCCGCCAATCTTACACTCCCCGCGAGATGGAAAGATATCCAGGGGCTCAAGTATCTCGAGGCTGTGATGCGCGAGACTATGCGCGCACACCCCGGTGTTGGTCTGATCCTCGAGCGCACCGTTCCCAAGGGAGGACTGTCTCTCCCCGATGGCCGGGTTGTGCCCGCAGGAGTCACAGTAGGAATGAACCCTTGGGTAATTAACAAAGATGAGGGAGTATTCGGTGCCAATACGGATGAATTTATTCCTGAGCGCTGGCTCCAGAATCCGGACGAGCCTGAGGAGGTCTATCAAGCGCGGTTTTCCAAGATGAAGAGTACGGACTTTACTTTTGGAGCTGGATCGCGGACTTGTTTGGGAAGATATCTGTCACAGCTGGAGAGCTTCAAGCTTATTGCCACGTTGTTCAGTTCGTTTGATGTGAGTGGGAATCAAAGATGGTCGCTGTATCGAAGGCTAATGAGACGTATAGATGGCACTGCCGAGTCAAGATCATCAGTGGAAGGTGACCAACTCGTGGTTTGTGAGACAGAAGAATATACCCGTTCGTCTTTCGGAACGAAAAGATGAAGCTATCGTTGTCTAATACGTTGAATACTCTTGGTGTTATATTGGATTTGTTCTTTGAATGGGTTTTCTTATGAAGCATGGGAAAAGGGGGAAGATACTTGGCGACCAAGAATCGATCTAAGGCTATGATTATTTTGAGATATTTAAGGCATATCAAATACCACCGGAGAAGGCTGTTATCAACAGTATTGTAGATGATCGAGAATGTAACTATATCCAAGGATTGTTCCAGTGATGATCCGGCGTACATTTCCCCGCCTGCCCCGCAAACTCTTGGTTTCCTCCCTTACTCTCTCTCGAGAAACCCTTTGAAGGTCCAGACCCTGGCCTTGAATCCTGGAAATGACCCTGAACTTACTCCTGGCCTGGCCCTGACGCTCAAGCCGATCTCCAAATCTTCACCTCATCCGGAACGTGTTCTGCGATTTTCCCAAATCTCACCTTAATCCCGCCCGCTGACAACTCCTCAACCACAACACAGTTGCATGACTGTCAGATCCACGTCACCATGTCTATCAAGTATGTTCTCTATAACCCTAGTCTAATCCATCAAAGATACTTACCGGACTCACACAGCTGGGTGATGCTCAACGAGCAGGATGGCTTTGTCCGCCTTCCCAACGAGCGCCTGATTTATTCCTCACCTCCCCGCACCAGCCTGGCGCTGACACCGCCGTCAGGTTACAAGGGCAAAGAGACCTTGTCGGTGCAGAGCAGCGCGGGCTGTATTCATCTCACCAACCAACGGGTATATATCCTCATTCTTACTCCCTTCGTGCTGAGCACCCTAGATTTATTGACTGACACTCTCCACCGGTATAGGTTGTCTACCTCCCCGCCCAGAAATCCGATGCCTTCCAATCCTTTTCCTCCCCTTTACTCAACGTCCGCGACTCCCACGTTTCCGCCCCGTTCTTCGGTCCCAATGTCTGGACTGCGCTTGTACAACCAGTCGCTGGAGGCGGCATCTCCCCATCCCTACCCGCCGTCCAAATCAAGGTGACTTTCAAAGAAGGCGGTGCCTTTGACTTCCACACCAACTTTGAGCGGATCCGAGAGCGCTTGGAACAAGCCGTGGAGAACGTGAACGATGGAGCGCGAGGAATGCGCAGCGTGGATCTCTCTGCAGTGCACCTCGACGAGCTGCCGGCATACGATGCTCCGGGGAACCCAGGGCCACTTCCTCCGGTCGCAAGCGGTGCCCCGGCAGCGCCGCAGCACACTCGACAGGTGTCCGAGGCAGGACCCGAACCGGCGGAACCGCCACCCTGTTATGAGGAGGTACAGTCGCAGAGTGTGGCCCAGGAGCTCGAGGAGAGGTTACGGCGGGCCAGTTAATCTATTGGTTGAGCAGGATTGCAATGAGTGGGAGATTCGGCACGAGATTTCATCGTTCTCTTTCTCTTTATTTTCTCCCATATGAGCCAGGCTTTGAGAGCCAAGAGGATACCAATTTCATGTACATTATGATTCTCCGATTTGATAGTTACCTAAAGCGGTTACGGCAGTTCCCCATAGAAAGCAATCGGAACTGACTTGACGTGCGCTGGCGCGACCCCAATCACCAATTCACTGGTCACGTAATTGACCATGCCGACGCACATAGAGAGCTTGAGATTCCTTTACTGCAATAATTGTAGAAACATAAACCCCCCAAGTCGACGCCGTTGGGACGAGATCGTGACGACGAGCAACTGACCAATCACGTGCGGCACAATTGTGCTCTCAGCGGCCGGGGCGTCCCGATTTTCCAGTCCGAGCTTGGAAAACCACATCCTCGACTTCACCACCCCTACCTTCAACCCCATACACCTAACCCCCACCACCACCACCATCTCTCACGACCCCCCGGTCATTGTCTTCAATTGACAGTCGCAATGGGTTTCGCCGACTTTTTCACTGACGTCGTCTCCTCCCTGGGCTTCACCGAGGCTCAGGCTGAGGCTCCCGCTGCCGACGTCGAGACTTCCACCCCCCAGGACGCCGAGCCCGCCGAGAAGACCGAGGAGTCCACCGAAGAGACCACCGAGTCCGAGTCTGCTGAGGAGACCCCCGAGGAGTCCGCCGAGGAGGCTCCTGAGGAAGAGGAGGCCGAGGAGGAGGAGGAAGAGGAAGAAGAGGAAGAAGAAGAGGAGGAGCCTGAGGACATCAAGCCCAAGCTCGAGGAGGGTGAGTGATTCCGATCCTGCTTTGATCGTGCAATTGCCATCGCCAGTGTGAAGACTCGTGTGCTCCCAATGTGTTACCGGGCGGGCGGATGTTTCGAGCCTGGCCGCAGGTGACATTCGGGATCATCACATCACCCGCATCACGGAAGGCTTCAATGGCATTGCAATCGCTTCAGATCATCTCAAAATTTCAAAGATCATGCATCACTGACTTTTTCTCCGTCCAGAGTGCGCCAACTCCGCTCAGTGCGCCCCCTACAAGCACCACTTCGACGAGTGCGTCGAGCGTGTCACCCGCCAGCAGGAGGATGAGGACTACAAGGGTCCCAAGGAGGACTGCGTTGAGGAGTGTAAGTATTCCATCGGATGGGGGAGTCACATACAACGGATTGCTGTCAATCGTTATCCATGAATCCACCAACGAACCAATCGCTAACATGGCACCCAGTCTTCCACCTCACCCACTGCGCCACTGCCTGCGCCGCCCCCAAGCTCTGGCGTGAGCTCAAGTAAACGGATCACCCAGGACCTTCTTTCAGCATAACGTGTCTCTATTCTCGCATCGATTCGACCCCGCACTTCCCGGCCGACTCGGCACGAGCATACCAAGACTCGGTGCTTGAAAGAATTACGAATCCGTTTCCCTGATGACTGTCACCCACAATATCAGACAGTCTGCCGTCTATGTCCTTGATTTGAAAACATGGGGTTGGCGAGGAATGTCTTGAATACTTTTCTCGCTGCATCCCTATGTGCATATGGTGTTTTCAAGGCAAGGAGGGAGGAAGCAAAGGAAAGGAAAGAATAATAGACCGCCTTCTCTCTGCCTTGCATGTACAGATAGCTGGTCTTCCGCCTGTTCGAACTGTGCTTGTGTTTTTATTTACTGTGTCTTAAGACGAATCTCATCTGTTTGAAAACGGAAGGATTTCATGTGAAATGCGCTTTCTCTTAACATTGTTTCTCATTTGGTAACCGAGAGTAGACTTGAGCCCGGCAGCAGCACACATTCAATTGAAGGGAATACAAGGGTTCTCGATTCTGGCTGATGAATATAGGGTTTTCCCGTTGTTCCGGGTCATTCGAGTATAAAGTCACGATTTTAGAATGATCGTTGAAAAAGAATCACCCTCTCCTAGGCAGCTTCGAACCTCCACTGTCGATCTTACTGCTCTACGAATCTTAATCTAGGATATCCTACATGGTCGAGTCGCAGCATTAATAGACTATTCGCTTCCAATCCATTTAGCGGTAGACATACAAGATTATATGTACAAACGATACAGTCGGGCATAAGAAATAGGAAAGATGATAAAGAAGAGACCAGATAAACGTAGAAATAGGAAAAGAAAAATGGTATTTTCAATATCGACGCCCGAACGATCCGGGAATGCAGCACGAAGATAAAAAGAAAAGCAGAGGGCCTGGCAATAAGATCAAAAGAAAAGTGAACACGACAAGAAATGCACTGAGAGAGGAGAGAAAGGTGACAGGCGCTCCGCGCGCGAGAGCCGTATTTAATCTGACCCGGTAGGCGGGACCTCTGCTGCCGGTGTCGGGTTCAATCCAGCTGCCTGCAGGGCATCGGGCAGCTTAATTGGAGCGCTGGGCGAGATAGCCATCTTGTCGAGCTTCTCGCCGCGGAGAACCTTTTCCATTTCCTCCTTGGTTAGAGTCTCGTATTCGATCAGAGCCTTGGAGAGGATCTCGAGCTCGTTTCGCTTTTCGGTGAGAATCTTGGTTGCGCGAGCGCGGGCCTCCTCTACGAGACGTCGTACTTCGGCCTCGATCTCTTGCTTAGTCTCCGAGGAGAGGCTATCGTAGTTGGTCGACAGGTCGACATTGCCGAGCTTCTTGGAGTAACCGAAGCGGGTGACCAGGGTAAAGGCAGTTTCGGTAGCTTGTTGGATGTCCTGGAGAGATAAAAGTTAGTATAAGCTTTTCCTGTGAAGTGTAATTGCATGAGACAAAACTTACCGCTGAAATACCACTGGTAACGTTGTCCGGCCCGAAGATCATCTCTTCAGCAGCCTTGCCACCCATGGCGACGTCGATGTCGGAGAGATACTCGGTGTAGTTCCGGGAAACAGTGTCCATCTCCGGAAGGAAGTGAGTGATACCCAAGGCCATGCCTCGAGGAACGATGGTGATTTTATACAACGGAGTAGCAGATCGGGAGAAGTAAGCAACCAGAGCGTGTCCAGCCTCGTGGTAGGCAGTCAGAAGCTTGTCCTTGTCTTGGATGATACGGCTGCGAGCCTCGGCACCCATCATGATCTTATCCTTGGCCCAGTCGAAGTCCAGAGGTCCGACCTTGGGCTTGCGGTCACGGCTGGCATGGATTGCAGCCTGGTTAACCAGGTTCTCCAGATCAGCACCGGAGAAGCCAGGGGTACCACGGGCAATGACACCAACGTCGACATCAGTGCTGATCTGAACGTTCTTCATGTGGTGGCGCAGGATATCCATGCGGCCACGAACGTCGGGAAGACCAACCACAACCTTGCGATCGAAACGACCGGGCCGGGTCAGGGCCTTATCCAGCAACTGCGGGTAGTTGGTAGCACCGATGATGATGACACCGCTGGTCTGGGAGAAACCATCCAACTCGGTCAAAAGCTGATTGAGGGTCTGCTTCACGTAAGCGGCATCACGCTCATTTCGCTTGGCACCTATGGCATCCAGCTCGTCGATGAAGATGATGGCTGGAGACTTGCTGCGAGCCTGCGTGAAGAGGTCACGCACACGCTTGGCACCAACACCGACGTAGACCTCATCGAACTCGGAACCGGACATGTAGAAGAAGGGGACACCGGCTTCTCCAGCAACGGCACGAGCCAAGAGAGTCTTACCAGTACCGGGAGGACCGACCAAAAGGACACCCTTGGGGAGTTTGCCACCGAGGGAGGAGAAACGTTCGGGGTTCAGTAGGAATTCAACCAGCTCCTGCAGCTCATCCTTGGCCTCGTCACAGCCATGGACATCGGTGAAACGAACAGTCTGCTTCTCAGGCTGAGCCTCATTGTTCTGTTGGCCACGAATGTTCTTCAACACTCCAGTTGTTTCAACCAGGATGGTAATCAGAACGAGGGACAGATAAGTGAAGAAACCAAAGATGAGTAGGAACTTGACCCAGCGGAAGACGGTGTTGCCCAGGGACTCCTCCACCACGACGTAGAGAGGAGCCTCCTTGGCACCAGTACCATTAGGCTTGTTTGCCATGCCAATTTGACCACCATGAGACCGAGCAGCGACAGCTTGACCGATGGCCTGAAGCTGATCCGAGTTGAGATTCTGGTTCTGACCTACGATAGCGCCGGATTCGCCACCAACACGTTCCAACGCCTTTGCGTAGATAGCCTCGGAGGCGGCATTGCTAGCAAACTGTGCGCTCCGGTATCTTTCCACAACAATCGCTGGCATGTTTGCACGGAGAAGAGCCTGGTAGAAGGTGTTCTGGGCGTTTGCACTGTTCGGGTTGTTGTTTGCGGTCTTTTCCTTCTGGGCCAACATGTTCTGCGAAGGGCCTCCGAACAGGAATCTTTGCTGCTGGAGCCTTGAGAGTCCATTGATCTTCGGGGCTGCACGGAGGTTGCTGAGACGGAAGGGTGTCAAGGTAGAATAGGATCGGGTGGTAGAGGATGCGAAAGCGCGGACTGTGGGAGTTGTGGACGGGGCCCAGAAGGTGGTACCTATCACAAACGCTCTAGGTTAGATATGAATGAATTCGCGCAATTTAATAGATATCACTTACCTCCGCTCAACATGGGGGATGGCCCGCGAGGCGCAGACCGGTGCACGAGGCCGGCTCTCAACGCTTCCAGAGAGACGGTGTCCAGGCATTCGGGCAAAGACACGCGCTGGGATGTCTATTCAAGTCAGTATTTTGATATCACTGTAATCAAATTTGATGAAGCAACACATACCGCCACATTCTGCTCTGAGAAAGAAGACTGCTGGCGAATACCGCGAACGTCGCCTGTCGGAGTTCGGCCGGCGGCCCGCGTGAAGGGAGCGACGAGCACATTAGACATGGAGGGCCAAAGATCCGATGTTACCGCGGCGACACTCTAAATGCAGATCATAAGTATTAGCGATGGAACTCGGATGTAAAAGCAGAAATGAGTCAAAACATACCGGCCGAGGAATCGAGACCTGGAAGGCCATAGTTGTCCGATATACAACGGCACTTGGCCGCGGAGAAGAGGAGAGTCTGCTCCTCTAGGGTAGGATGATGTGGGAATGTACGAGCAAGGGAGAACAGATGGTGTCTAGTTCTTATTTGAAACAACTGCCATGGCCGACAGTGAAGATGCGGAGACGAGGGGGGTTGAACGGTGACGATGGCTTTTACTCCGCTGGGGCTGCGGCGAATGTCGGTTGCCACTCGGGCCCGCTTGAGTAACCGTAGGGTCACGTGGTACCATCCATTGCATTACTCAGTACATCTTGAGGAGGTCTGTAGGTTCGCAGGTATAGAACTTGGTAGAAGTTTTGGCAAATATTTAGTTTTGAGAAATAGGTAGAGAATATGACAAGGTGATTTTAACATGTGGTGAATTGTGAAATCGAGTGTCTGCACTAGGGCTTACAGTGGAAGAATATACAAGAGTTCTCAGTACTGCCATCTTCTACGACTATCCACGGTTCGGGCCTGGGCCGAGTTTCTGACGGCCGTTCTTTCTTTCCACTTCCAACTGTCCCCGACATCACTCGAGCTTTAACACGTCAGGATTGAGATGTGGTCACTCAATACAGAAGCTTGCATCCAGCTCCAATGAAGCCGTGATGCCTGCATCTGTATCACCGCTGGCTGACATCACTTGATACAAACCATATGGTGGAACCATCCTTATTCCAAAGGCATGGGACAAAGTGGTGGGAAGGATTAATCAAACTAGGAGTCAGTCAGACAGATGAATCTTTTAGCCCGGTTTCCAGAAAAATGGCCCTCAGGACGATCTTTTTGATGGGTGCACCATTGCCTAGTAGCCTGGACTGGGAAAACGATGAACTACTCAACGGTGCTATACAACCATTTCAAGGCACAGACACCATCCACGAGCATGAGATATCAACCATTCAAAGCGAAGACTCCGTCAAATGGAGAGTTCTCCAACCTCTTCACATCGAGCATCCCACAAGCTACTATGAATTCTACCATGGACAACAGAATCCAAGCTTTCTGACGACAGCCCAGCTGGTAGAAGCTGATCATGAGTCGATGAACGAGGACTCGATTATCTCGGAGTTTTATGACCATTCGTTCGCGGTGCATGAAACGTCAGAGATATCTATCTCGGGGCTACGAGAGGAGGAATCTACGCAGGAGAGCGGAGACCTGCTCTCTTGTATAGATGGAGCCTCCACAAGGGCGGCAGCAGAAGTAAATGACCTTGAAATACCTCGGTCTCTACAGATTTCTGGCCTGATTAGGGATCTACAACACCTTCCCACAGCAGGATATCTCCAGTCCATCACACCACAGACAATGACGGTCAACTTGATCGTGGGGATCATTGCGATCCACCCCCCTCGTCGCGTGGTGACACGACAACGGAAGACCGAGCTCGACATCATTGAGTTGATAGTTGCCGACGAGACTCGGACGGGGTTCGGTGTCAACTTCTGGATTCCAGCCCAAACGTCCATTTCTTGCAAGACCCAAGACGCAGATCGACTCGGCCGTTCACTAGCCATGCTCCGCCCACGAGACATCATCTTGCTCCACACCGTCGGGCTCAGTTCATTCCGGGAGCAGGTTTACGGACAAAGTCTGCGGGGAGGAATGACCAGAGTCGAATTGCTACATCGACAACCGGTGGATGCGACGGATACGGCTGGATTCTACAAGGGCGATTTGCGACGGGATAGCTCCTACGATCACGCCGATCTGCCGCTGCAGAAAGCTCGCCGAGTTCGAGAATGGGTCCTCCAATTTGTGGGAGCAACGGATGAAGCAGGCGGTGGCCCATCAGGAATGTCTCAGACACAACGTGGCCACCAGCGGCTGCCCCCGGACACTCAATGAAGGGGGGAGGGGCTGGAGAAGCAAAAGAAAATACAAAGTATGAGTGGAACGGTGGATGGGGAATCCGCAATTGGGAACTGTCTCAGGAAGATGAAGGAGGGTTATGGTTAGTGCGACGGATGGGGAGACCCTCCATATGACCAGAATTTCTGATCCTTTCGCGCTCTCCACGCGCCAGCCGACCGCAACCGACCATCAATTAAAGACCTGTAGTAAGAGAAAAAACAGTATCCGCCACTCTTCAGGGGGGCGACATCGCATGACTGACGATGAGAGGCAGAGAGTGAGCACGGGGGTTCTTAGTTCGCGGGGAAGCCAACTCGGTGGCCCCGATCCAGTCAAAGGCGGCGGCACTGCATCGGCCGGGATGGGCTTGGCTAGCCCAGTCCAGTGTGACCTAGAGAGACTGAGGACGAGATGGGGGACCCGGGGAGGAGATTCAAGAAAGGGAAATGGGAAAGGGGGCAATTGAAGAGATAGAATCAAGTCATTGGAATTGAACGGGAATAGAAGATAACTACGGAGTAAACGTCGCAAGAATGATGATACTGTACTCGGAGAGTGATTGAATCTTGAAATGGCCGCCCCCTTTTCCCCTTGGCCGCAAACGTGCCCCTCCACCACCAATCATCGGGCCTCTCACGTGCCCCACTCGTCCTCCTGATAAAAATAAATCCATCAACGGCCAGGTGTTCCCTAAATAATGATTCCTCTCCCTGAACCTCTTCTTCGAGATCACTGATCTCTATCTTCTTCTTTCTTTTTATCCTTGCTAATTGTCTCTGATCTTATCCTCCACACACATCCACAATGAAGGGTATGTGAACCGAATCGAATCCCCCCTCCTCCACGCCTCCATGCATTTACCCCCTCTTCCGTCCCCGTACTGACAGACCGCCGCAGCTCTCATTCTCGTCGGAGGTTTCGGCACGCGTCTGCGTCCTTTGGTAAGTTGCTATCGAGCTATTATCTCCCCAATGGAGCTATTGAATGCTTCAATGCCGGGCCTCTGGCCTTTGGAATTGCTTTTGGCTCCTTTTTCCTTGGCTCACAATGACTGACTTATCGATTGTCTAGACCCTCACCCTCCCTAAGCCGCTGGTGGAGTTCGGCAACCGCCCCATGATCTTGCACCAGGTCGAGAGCTTGGCTGCTGCTGGTGTTACCGATATTGTCTTGGCTGTCAACTACCGCCCCGATGTGATGGTCTCCGCCCTGAAGAAGTACGAGGAGCAATATGGTGTTCGCATTGAGTTCTCCGTCGAGTCGGAACCTCTAGGCACCGCTGGCCCGTTGAAGCTGGCCGAGAAGATCCTGGCCAAGGACGACACTCCTTTCTTCGTTCTGAACTCCGATGTCATCTGCGACTACCCCTTCAAGGAGCTCGCCGAGTTCCACCGCGCCCACGGTCAGGAGGGTACCATTGTCGTCACCAAGGTCGACGAGCCCTCCAAGTACGGTGTCGTCGTTCACAAGCCTAACCACCCCTCCCGCATTGACCGCTTCGTCGAGAAGCCCGTTGAGTTCGTTGGCAACCGTATCAACGCCGGTATCTACATCATGAACCCTAGCGTCCTCAACCGCATCGAGCTGCGCCCCACCTCCATCGAGCAGGAGACATTCCCCGCCATCTGCAAGGACGGCCAGCTCCACTCTTTCGATCTCGAGGGCTTCTGGATGGACGTTGGTCAGCCTAAGGACTTCCTCACCGGTACCTGCCTGTACCTCACCTCCCTGGCTAAGCGAAACTCTAAGAAGCTGGCTTCCAACTCTGAACCTTACGTTCACGGCGGCAACGTTATGGTTGACCCCTCGGCGAAGATTGGAAACAACTGCCGTATTGGTCCCAATGTGGTCATCGGCCCCAACGTCGTCATTGGTGACGGTGTCCGCCTCCAGCGCTGCGTCGTGATGGAGAACTCCAAGGTCAAGGACCATGCCTGGATCAAGTCTACCATTGTCGGATGGAACAGCTCCGTCGGCCGCTGGGCTCGTCTGGAGAACGTCACTGTCCTGGGTGACGACGTGACTATTGCCGACGAGGTATACGTCAACGGTGGCTCGATCCTGCCACACAAGAGCATCAAGCAGAACATTGATGGTAAGAATACTCTTTCTCACACTGGAATTGGGTTTCAGCAAAGCTAACAGTCTCTAGTTCCCGCGATTATCATGTAATCTCTTTTCCTTACCCTTCACGTCGACACGCCCTTCACACCTCTCCTCACCTTCCCGATACCTTCCTTCCTCCCTGTCTTGATGCATGGATCCGGAGTCGTTTTCTGCGTGATCTGCTCCCGCTATTGCGTTGGCAGACTTTTTTTCAAACTTCAAACCCCCTCCCCTTTTTCTATTCGTGTCTCCCCGATAATCGATATCATCCCAAAACCTAGATGGTGGAGATGCACGATTTCACTCGGCTATTTGCGACAATTATCCCCTTTTTAGTCTCTTCTTTGCGTCAGAGCTCTTCTCCCCTTTTCATCTATCTACTTTGTCCAAGCTCTGCTTCTTATCTATCTACATCCCCGCTCCCTTTTTGCGCTTTCTATTGTTTTTGTTGCTGGTCCCTTTCTTCTCTTTCGGAAAATGGCGGGCAAAGGAAAATCATGCTCTACCTGTTTTAATGATATCATGGGCGCGGGGCGGGTTCTGTTGATGTAAATAATTGGGATGTGGAATCTTCAAAAAAAAACAAGATGCAAATCCAATTGCTATGGAAGTTACTCGGTATAAATATTTTTAAAGGTATTATTGGATTAAGGTATTGTGTACATGCCATTATGAGTAGTCTACAGATGATCATTGTCCTTTAATCCGAAAGGGGCATGTGCATGATCATGAATGCCCCAAGCTCCCAGCTAATGTCTCAGTCTCACTGAGTAGTCTCAAGTCTCAGCCGCAGCCACAGCCGCACCCTTGTCCTTCTCAGCTCGATCCAAGATAGCATCCCACTTAATCCGTAGCTCCTCCATCTGCTTCCAACACTGGCGACCGAGCTCCTCGAAATTCCCCTTGGCCTCAGCAGTTAAATCAACCACGCCACGCTTCCGCCGACGATTCCGATCCGACTCAACAACAGCCCTACCGACAACACCGCCGTGTCCCCACCCATCCACCTCGGTACTGCACACATTCCCGACGCCAAGCCGGTTCGCAGAGGATCCCCATTTCACCCGGCCACCGCCGGACTCTCGGTACGGAGATTCGGCGGCGTCGAGCGCGCCTTGCGAGGACAAAGCGAGGAACACGGGTGACCAGGCGCCCGTGTAGGTGGACATACTGTGCCAGGGGGAGCCGAGCATGCGCGCGAGCCAAAAGGCAGCCACCATCCCCCAGACCAGCGGGAGCGCGAGCGGGACAATGGAGGTTGCGCAGATTCCCGGGTGGGAGACATACATGGTTGGGGTGTTTTCCTCAGTGACTTGATCCTTTTCGTCGGTCTGGTCGTTGGACAGGAAGCTATCCACGGCCCACGGGGCGGTATAGGGTTGATCGGAGGTCAGGGCGAGAATATCGGTTAGAGCCTTGGAGGACTCGTAGGGGTTCTTGCTTTTCAGACCCTGGATATCATCGATGTTGAAAAAATTGATAGTCCCCTCGATACTGGATACCCAGACGACGCGACCGGGTCCATTGGGAGAGTTGGCCTTCTTCAAGAGCGGTGCCACGTTATGCGCCAGCATGTAATGCCCAAACACGTTTGAGCAGAACACGTTTCCTAGAACTGGCTCCTCCTCCTTCTCCGTCTGCCTGTCCGTCAAAACTCCGACGTGCGCTAGCTTGAATGTCGGCCATGTCACCTGGGAAATGAGATCGGTGAGAATACCCCAGATAGCCTCGAGCCAGCCAATTCCACACCAACCGCCAATTCCGGCATTCAGGATAATCGCATCGAGTTTGGGGAATGTCTGTAGGAGTCGGCGGGAGAGGGCGCGCGCAGAGAGGAGATCGCCTAGGTCGACGCTCTCGGAGACGAACTTCACTCGTGCGGCGTTGGACGAGGAGGTCGAGGATTGTAGGTGCGCTTCCAGACGATGGCGGGTATCTTCGGCTTTGCGTGCACTCCGGGTAGTAAAGATAATCGTGAGGGAGTCATCGTAGTGATGCGAGGAAAGGAATTCATCGGCAAGGCGACAGCATATCGAAAAGCCAAGACCGCTGGGGGAGAGCGTACTTGATTAGTCCAAAGATACCTCCTTTCTTCATGATAGACCCCCGCGGGCAAGGGGTTTCTGTTTTCTGGCAGTAGCGTACCTGTTTGCACCAGTCACCAAGATGTAGAGCTCCTGTGGCTCTCGAGGTTTGCTGTCGTCCATGACTCTGTACCCCCTTTTTGAAGTTGAGTGGACTGTCTGGTTCTTTTCTTTTACTTTTTTTTGGGGCTCCGGGGAGGGGGATCATGTGATGCTGCGGTTCCTGAATAGTAGTGGATCTACGGCCGCCATGTGGATCGAGTTCTGGGGTGATACTCGATAGTAAGCTTGAAGTAAGAGATAAAAGACATGAAACATTTATCGACTCAATGTCTTTGTTGTCCTTACATCATGGTGGCCGACATAAGGACATGATACTCGTCTGGTGCCAAGTATGAGCTCTCACCACGTGACCGTCTATGCAACTCGACCAGCTACAATGTGTTGTGTCCATTAAGACAGCTCCATGATCTTGTAATCAGGAGGAATTGATCGACTTCAAATTTGATTGATGAACTTGGTGGCACTGTGTTTTATTTTTCTTTCAAAATATTGCTTCCATCTCATTTTATCGGGACCTTCTAGAACTAGGCATAGAAGTAGATCAACCTACAAACATGTTGAATATAGACACCCATCGTGATTTCAACGATTGCTTCTTCTCATATTGAGATATGTGACTTCAAAGCTCACGAAATACACCTTCTTAATAGGTTAAGACAGTGATAAATAGGTACTACAAGCATCTTGATAGCCATCCCGCCTACTGGTCCGGCCCACTCGGGGTGTAAATTCGTATAGAGAGAAATCAAGTCGGTGTAAATCTAACAAACTCTCCCCACTACTTTTATACGAGACTTAATGGCCCACTTTGCTCCCCCACCTCTTTCAACTGTATGTAAAAAAGAGTTATGGACTCGATATCCCACGGATTAATAGCGTCGGCCCCAGTGGGGGCTTAGTCAGGCGGAATCAGTTCCGATTCTTGGCAGAAATGCAAAATGATTGATAAGATCCTGCGCAACAGGTACGCGTCATAGCGACAGAATTTGATCAAAAACAAATTGACCACCTATCACTTACTTATTTCCAATCACAAATTCCAACGGGTGCAGTTCCCCTACTATCCACCCCCGCCTGTCATCACAATGGAACTCTTCCGCCGGGGCGCCTCTTCGCTCTTCGGTTCCTCCAACGTTTCCCTTGCATCCTCTAGGACCGACACCGACACCGACTTTGTGGGGGACAATGCGCTAGCTGAGAAGGGATTCAAGTCTATCTCGGAATCGGATAAGCTGTTTAGGCAGACAGACCCTGCGGTCGATGGCGACGAATGCTTGCATGACTGCGCATCTTGTACAGTGAAATACCCCGCCAAATTCGACGTTGATCAAGAAGATGAGCTCTACGGACAAGTTAAAGGCTGGGCGACACACCTGCTGGTTGCTACTGGCAAGTCAGATTGGGTGCGCGATGTAGCAGACGAGGTGGGCAGTGTCATGGAGGCCATTGAGAAAGGAGGAATTGAGCCGAGCAACGGGGTAAGACCAATCTACTATACAATTACCTTTTCGCTCCCCCTCTCTCTGTTCTCTCGCGGTATCCAGAAGTCCACCACTCACATGGCGCATATTCTTCTAGAGACTCAAGCTGTCAGCATCAAACATGCCCGTTCCCGACGAATACCACATGCATGAGACGGGCAAACAACCCACTGATGTGCTTCTCCTCCCCAGTTTCACCATCGTGGAACAAGTCACCCCGCAACTGGTCCCGGACTTGATCGAGAACTTTGTCAACAAGTCATTGACAACGACGACACCCCTAGGCGCCTCGCCAGCAGGCCCCAGTGAGGAGGAGCAAGACCAGGAACAGCAGCCACCACACCCTGCCAGCACATCCCTCACGACCCCGCTCCGTTCACATCCCTGCCCACACGCCGCCGTCATCCTCCTCTGCTCCCAGCGCACCCGCGACGCCCGCTGTGGCCAATCCGCGCCTCTCCTCCGGCGCGAATTCGAGCGCCATCTGCGTCCGCTAGGCCTGTATCGCGACATGAACGATACGAGACCCGGCGGCGTGGGCATCTACTTCATCAGCCACGTTGGTGGTCACAAGTACTCGGCGAACGTGATTGTATACCGCCGGCGCGATTTCGAGTGGTACAAAAAGAACGGTGCAGATGGCAGTGAGGACGACGAGGGTGCGGCGCAGGGTATCTGGCTGGCGCGTGTGCGGCCAGAAGAATGTGAGAATATCATCCGGTATACCGTGCTGCAGGGCAAGGTGCTTAAGCCGGGGAAGCAATTGCGGGGTGGGTTCGATCGAGAACGGGGGTTGACGAGTTGGTGAAATGGATTGCAAATACTGCGGTCTGTTTGGGGACTGGATTTGGATTAGACTTTGAATATGTGAATCGGTATAGGTATATGCGACATGGATATAGATATGAATGTAGCATACAATTGCATTACAATTGCATGGATTCGAAGACGACCCTCCATTCCTGCGATGCTCCAGCCTCGCAAAACTTACCGTCTAAACGAATTCAGGTGCCTCGTGATTACCCTAAGCTAATGTTTCCTGGTTGTTGTGAATTGAGGCAGATGACTGTCAAAACCTTGTTGTTCAGGATAGTCCCGGCTGAATGAGAGGTTATGTCGTCGTCGCGCCACGGCTATACAAATCTCCATTCTCACGAAGCTGAGCCGTGCTTGGCTTCGGTCAATTGAAAATGCCTAACTAGTTCGAGCCGGTCAAATGACCTGGAAACGAGGGGTTTGGTGGTGACCAAAGATGAGGCTTTCATCCTGGATCCCCGCCATCGAGTCTAGACCTCGGCCTCGAGGCATAAAAAGGGACATTAATCACAATTACAGTATAGGCTAGACTTGAGACGAGACCGATGGGATGGAAGCAGCTCACGGGTGCGGGATGATTTGTTCCAATTGGTCCTTTCGTTCGCCATATCTATAGGGCTGGCCGCTATTGACTGGGGGGCTGGTAACCGAGGGACTGGCTACGTGAATTGGCAAGGTGACATTCTCAGGTTCGCTTAAAACCTTTTGAATGGCTAGATGCAGGATTGGGTTGTAGCAATGTCTTAGTTTTGCCGTATCGCTCGCAAGGGATGAACGACAAGATTGTAGTCTAGCGAGTTCGTATCCTAACATGCTGGACTGCACTAGTAACGCTACTCCAGGCACATCCCATATCTTCCCCCACCCCACACTCTCCAAGCCCCCAGCCCACCTTTCCGCATCCACATGAAACTGCGACGTGCATCCTACCCGAGTGCCGACCCGGCAGTGCAGGTAAGGTGGCGTCGTATGGAGAAGAGAGTTGTCTTGGAAGGAGAGTTTGAGGTTTTAGTTAACTCCGTCGAGGCCCACAGGAAAAATAAATGGAGTATGCCCGTGAAGACGCCCCCTCAGACGTCATGGTGCAGTTTCGGTGGCCGATTTACCTCGGAGACAAGACCGGATCAGATGAATGGCTGAAGAGGAGGCGCTGGGGAAGAGGTACAGCATGGTTACTATTCATTCCATTGCATGATTCCACTATCCCAGGATAGTAAGGTACGCCTGGGGAAAATTTCCGCTCTGAATAGTTACGATCGGGCATAAGGATCGGGCTTTGAAATATTAATGGTTCCATCATTTACATGTTTTACTGTACTAATTAGCGGCGGGATTCTGGCCTGGATAAGTAAAGAGGCATGCGCTAGGAAGATATGTCCATCCCAATCAATTTACTACCGTGCAATCAGAATTCATGTTAACCAGAGAGCGGACCCTGCATAGTGCTCAGAAGATGGTCGCAAATTACTATGATGACATAGACACGCATATCTCATTAGGCAGCTTTCGCATGCACTATAGTATGTAGTTCAGGCCCAACCTAATCTGGGAGTTTGAGAACCATGCTCTCTTATCAGGTACAGTAACCTCATTTGTCTGTATGCCTTCCGGAAGACTATCTCTTTTGATGCGGTCGCATCTATCATGATGTGAAACGGGCGGACATATTGACTGTTGCGGTAACACATTTAAGGGCACATCGCCATCGGTAAGGAGGAAAGCGTATCAGCTTAAGACTTAGGTGGCGTTCTCCCTGATAGGGCCGGTTAGCATAGGGATTCGACAAATCGACCAAGGCAGCAAATCATAATTACTTAACTATGTTGGATATTTTTCTAATAGGGCTCATCTCGATTTGTTTTGGTTTTACGCTGTTTCCATTATTCCTGTCTGGTAACTATTTATCTTGCCCAGAATACGGAGTACATGCGGAGTACACCCCAATAGCGTGGACACCCATGTCTGTATCAGTATCAGGGGGCAAGGAAATAATTATCGTGGCTTGCATTTCCAGCCCCAAACCAAGACCTACCTTCCAAGGCTTTTCTGGGACTCGGAGAGTTTCCGATCACGCTAGTAGCACGCCTTGTCTCTAGGAGCTATCTTGACCGACAGTTTATGAAGAGCGAGAAAAGTGAGCAGAGAAATACACTGGTGGGAACCCCTTCCGACAGGACAGCCGATCGGTGATGGAGACAGTGTTGCAGTAGATCGTCTGTCCAGGTACGTGTGAGCTACCAATGAGACCGGAAATTTTGATTATGCAAAGCTACACAGAACTCGGGAACGACTGCTGATGTATGTATGTTTGTTTAATAATATGTTCCCATCAAGCCAATCAACCTGGATGTTTGGTAGATATAGCCAGTTGTCGAATCTGGAGGTGCCTTTCTACTGGGTAATTCGCTAGCCATACAACCCTGAAAACGCGTCTCAACCGAATGAGGATGAGTGATCTTACGGGAATTCATATGGACCAACTAATCAGTCACTTGTGTTCTTTCGTCAATATTCTAATTGATATAATACGGACTGCGTATTACATGGACATCTTCTTCTGACTTGTGTGGTTTGGATGAAATATCATAGATTCTCACACCACCCTTGGTGATGAATAATCCTAGTCATTTCACTCGAGCTCATTATCAGATGTGTACTATCAGACTTGCGCCACCGTAAGCGTTTATTTTCTTAACTTGATTTGATATGTTCAATTTTCAGAGATATTAGCGGAATTGCAAGGCACGAGCTTACTATTCAGATAGTCAATCTACTTACCAGTACCAATCACTTTACTCAACCTGAAGCTCATATCAAGAGGGGAAGCTATTTAGGTTTGCATGTGATTTACCGCTCCTTCATTGAAGAGGCAACTTGACTGTTGATGAGGCAAATGAAGATGTGGTGAGGCGAAGCAAGCCACCTGCGTAGGGAAACGAGATAGCCGTGAGAAAGTTGTCGAGTGTACCTATATCTAATCTCTTCAAGGGAGGCTGATATGAATAGCAGTGATCGACTTTAGCATGTGCTTCAACATACATGCGCCCCATATTAACTCACTAGCGTGGCAACCGCCATAATCGGCAGTCCACGTTTATGGCTGGATATCGTACTGCTAGTGGCGTTTTAGTTTCATCCTTGCATATGGTGGGTAGCTTTGAGGCAAGAGGCGTCGATGATCAGTATGGCTTCAGCTGCTTCATTCAAGTTTTGGCGTTTACGATTCTAAGCCACATATTCAAGTGAGGGATGGGAACGGCCTTGAAAGCTGAAGAGAGATTAATCTGAGACACAAGAGCATCGTGTCAGCAAGTTATCAACATTGGAGGATTATCTTCTGAATTTGCCGCTTTGCTCTTGCGGGGCGGTTAGCAACGGCCATAGTATATATATATAATGGCCTTGGCAGAGACATATTTCAGACAGATGCGCGTTGGGATAAAGGTCTGACTCGACGGCGTTTTAGGATTATGTCTCATTGTGTTTATGTGGCAAGAGACTGAGTATATTCGTAGTTTATTTTCTTTCTAGCATATGCCGGCAAATCGTCCTTGTCGTTATCAAAAATTCATTTATCACGATATACGCTAATATATGGATGCCTTGTCCGCTCCAATGGGTGGCACCTAGCTCTGATGGTATACGTAGCGTTAAGATTCGGGATGTATATTGACATGTTGTGAAGGTCCAAGAAAGATCTCGTCTGAAGGTGATCCCGTGAAGTTTACGTCTCTTTCAAAGAGCCTCGACATCACAGTGTTTATTCTGTTGTTCAGGCTGATTTCCCTACGTTTACATACACGCAGCTCAATGCATGTTAGAGGTAGGCGGATGATTATAAAGATGCCGGATACCCATCAGATTTGAAAGATTTAATACCCTATCACTGAGTTCAAACATACTAGCTCAAAGATAAAGGCAGCCTATACGTAACCCAGCCGGCCAAGTTGCCCAATGATACGTATGGGATATACTTCCTATTCCAGTGACCTAGAGCCAAGACGAGCTGAAACGAAAATAGGCACATGAAAAGAGCAAATGATGAGAGAGATGACAACACCCCAGAATTATACGAACTATACAAAAGTCCGAACACAAACTCATCTTCATCCTGTGATTTCCTGATGGCGCACCCTCGGGGATAAGTTGAGTCCTTGGGCCGATATCACCTTGATGTATTGCGTACTTGAGCAACCATTTTCCCTTTTACAGGTATCTTACTGAGGAGTTGATAGGATAATATGTAGGCAGTATCATTATCTCATGGGAAACAGGCAGCCACACGCGTTCTAGCTTGAGGATTGCATCACTTGCCGTCGCATTCTCAAATGCGGGGTAGCTAGCTCTACACAAAAAAAATCGGTACTGACGGGATGCCCACCGACAAAAGCGTGGAGTTAATTCTGTACACTTGACGCTCTCCTGCCCGCGGAGATCCGCATTAACCCCTCGGAATCACTCTACGGATGTACTCTTGAACTCTACTCTTTTCTCATGCAACTTCCATCACATTCGCTCTCCCGCTTCGCGTGATAGGCGTTGCCAGTCATCACGCACCTTTGGTAGGCTGGGACGAAAGAAGAAGACGCGGGAAAATAAGGCAAACGCGATCACATTCGCTAATAATTATCATAATTATCGCTGCTTTGTTTGGTAAGGAACCCACTTCCAGACGCTTTTTCATTTGAAAATATCCCCTTCACATCCCTGGACCCGGGGCCCCGGAAATCTGTCCCAACGCAGATGAATGACCAGCGGTCAAATGATTTATCCAATGACCTGGCTCATGGGAAAAACAAAAGTTTGATTGACGTCCTTAGCATTTGGCAGTCTTTATTCTTTGTTTCGTTATTTTGCTGAATAGCTGAATCGGTCACCGACGAAACAACATGAAAGGATTCCCAACGATCTGAGTTACCACTGGACTAGTGTCCCAAACTATGTACATGGGGGCCACCATTCGCCAAGTCCCGCCTTGCGATTTTCACAACA